AAATAAATAAATAATTAAAAAAATTATAAATAATTAAATTATTAAGATAAAGCAGATTAAATAAATTAAATAAATTAAATAAATTAAATAAATTAAATAAATTAAATAGATTAAATAAATAAAATAAATAAATAGAATAGATAGAATATATTAAATCTATATTATAATATTATAGTTTTTATAAATATCTATTTTCTATTCTAGTTTATTATATCTTAAGTAGTTTTATTTAAAAAAAAATTATTTTATAACTCTAGACTTCAGATATAAATTTCTATTTATTAAATTTACTAAAATAAATAAGATATAGTAAATATTATAGTTATATATTAAAATATAATAAATTATATTTATATAAAATTATATCTTAAAATAAAATAAATTATTTTATAAAAATTTCTGCTTTTATTTTTTTATATTTATTATTTATAAAATAATTTTAGAATTATAAATTAATTATAATTATTTAATTTATTTTAAAAAATATTATTAAGTTTTTTTTTCTATTTCTTAAATCTTTATAAATAATAATATCTAAACTAAGATAAGCTTTTTAAGTCAGATCTTTTCTTCTTTTTTAAATCTTTAGATTATATATATTATAAAGAATAAAAGAATTATCTTATATTTAATTTTTTAAAAAAAGTCTTTTATTTTTTAGAATTAATAATAAAAAATATTTTTTTTTAAAGACTATATATAAACTTAAAATCACTATTTTATTTTAATTAAAAAAAATTATTAATAATATAAAATAAATTTTAAATAAATATATTATTTTTTAATAAAATATTTTATATTTATTATATTATATATTTTTATATTTTATAATATCTAAAAATTAAAAACTTAGAAACTAGTTCTATAAATTATTATCTTTATAAAAATTATAAAAATAATTATTATTAGTTATATTTAAATAAATAATTAACTAGATATTAAGTAAAAAGCTATTATAAATATTTATTTATTTTTTAAAATAAATTTTTTTTAATTATTATTTTTTTTTAGATTTCTATAATTTATAATAAACAGGATTTTTAGAATTAAGTTTTATAGTTTATAATTATTTATTATTTATTATTCTGAACTATTAAATATATTTAAATAAATAATTAATTTATTATTTTATCTTTCTGCTAAAAATTAAGTTTTTTTAATTAAATATAAATTAAAAAATATTTTATAAATTATTTAAAAAATATATATATAATTATTATTAAAGTTTCTAAATATTAAATAAATATTAATTATAATAGATTACTAAATCAGCTTTAATTAAAAAATATTTTTTATTTTAATTAGATATTTCTTAATAAAAAATATAGATTATTATAAGATTTTACTAGATTTTTAATTAATATTTAAATTTTATATTAATAAAAATCTAGTTATAATTATTTTATTAGTCTTATATAAATATAATCTTATTTATTAATTATTAGATATAATAATTAATAATATTAATAATAATAATATAATATTTAGTATAATCTTAGCTAAACTCTGAACTTAATTTAATTAAAATATTTAATTTTATAATATTTTAATTAATTTTAATTTTTTAAAAATTATTTAAAGCTAGTATTATATTTTTTATTTTATTTATATAATTTAATTTATAATTTATATTCTTTTATAGAAACTTTAGATTAAGATCTTAAATAATATTATTAAATATATATAAAAAAATAATAATAAAAGTTTTAAAACTTTTTTTAATATTTTAAAATTTTTTAAGAAAATATATTCTAAAAGCTATTTATAAAAAATTAATATAAAATTCTTTTTATAAAAAATTTCTAAAAGTTTTTTATTAATTAATTTATTATATTAATTTTTAATTATAAATTAAGAAGATTATATAATTTATAAATATAAATTTTTAATATTATAAAAAATTTGTATTTATTTAATAACTTAAATCTGACTTAGTTTATTATTTTTTTTTAATTATAAAATCTACTAAAATTTAATCTATTTTATAATTTATTAAATATTTAATCTTTATTAAATAATTAAAAGTTTTATTTAATACTATAAATATAATAATATTAATTATCTTTATTTTATTATAATAAAATAAAAATAAATAAAATATTTTTTTAAGTTTTTATTTCTATTTTTTTTATTTTTTATTTTTTTTAAGAATAATAGATTTATTATTTATAAGATTTATAATATTTATAATAATCTTTTTAATTATCTGGATTATTTAATTAATAGATTAAAAAGAAAATAGATATTCTAAAAAAAAAGTTTTTTAAAAGCTTATATAATATATATTAAAAGTTTTAAAAATATTATTATTATATTTATTAAATAAAAAACTATATTTATATAATTATAATTATTCTAGATCTAATATTAAAGCTTAAAAAATTTAAGAAAAATATATAACTAAATAATAATATTAATTAATATTATAAATATTAAATTATTTTTAAGAAAATATTCTTTTTTTATTATAATTAAAATCTAATAATTAATATATTATTAATAATTTTTAAATTATTATTAGATCTGGATAAAATCTTTTATAATATTTTTAAATATTAAAAATTCTTATTTATAACTAAGATATATAAAGAATTTAAAATATATTTAAATATTAAAAATATATAGCTTCTTAAGATATTTTTAATTAAATTAATATAATTTTAATTATTATAAAATATATTAATATTTTTATTTATTAAAAGTCTTATTATAATTAGTTTTTTATTTCTTATTAAATAACTAAAGATTTTCTCTTAATTATAATTAATAATATTAATATTAAATATTTTTTTAATAATTTTTAAAATATTTATTATTATTATTAGAGCTATCTCTATTCTGATATAATTAAAGTAATTATATTTTAAATATATATTAATTATTTTATTATAAATAAAAAATATTAAAATATATTTAATAATCTTAATTCAGATTTAACTATTTTTATATTTAAAAAATAAAAAAATAAGATAATTATTATTTTTTATATTAATAAAAATAAAAATATAAATAATTTTAAAAATAATTTAGAAAATAAGTTATTATTAAAATTAAAAAAACTAGTTTTATTTAAGTTTTTAATTATTATATATATTTAGATAGAAATAAAGATCTGATTTTTATAATTTTTATATTATTATAATTATTATTCTAAATAATATAAAGAATAAATATTTTATATTTTTTTATATTTTTTTTATACTAGATTTTATAAAAATCTTTTTTAAAATATAATATATTTTCTAAGATAATTAATTAAGCAGATTAAATAATAGACTATATTTAAAAAATATTATTATATTTATATTATAATTAAATATATATTATACTTTATATATTATCTATATAAAAAATATATATATATTATAAATTAATTTATAATTATTAATTTATCTATTATATCTGATTTTTTTAATTAATAGATATAAATAGTTATAATAATAATTATATTTTAATCTAATCTTAATTATATAGTTAAAAATCTTTTATATTTTAATCTAACTATCAGATTATAGCCAGATTAAGGTTAAGATATAATGATCAGGTTAAGCCACTCTATTTATAAAGTTAAACACAGAATTTTAAAAATATATATTATTTTGATTACAAATAGAATTTTATCTATCTAAATAATTTTAATTATAAAATATATTCAGTTTATCTATTCTATCAAAGGTTTAGATAATTAAGATATTTTTAATAAAATTATTAATAATTAAATAGCTTTATATTCTTGATAACACATAAGAAACGGGTGCCAGCTCGCTTACGCTGCCAGCTCGCTTACTGATTATGTTATACTCAAGTACACCCGGGAGGAGGTGGGCTTCACCCTTGTAATATGCATATCCCGCGGATATCATCCCTTACAATATAGATTATCAAGATAAATGGAGCAGTGCTCTGTAGAGACCGGATATATAGTACTTAGTTATTAAGATGCATGGAGTAGGTACCTAGGTACCTTAATACTCCGTACTACACTACTACGGAGTACGGACTGCTACTGCTATGCCTACGGTAAATATGGATTCCAGCGGGGAAACATGGTACCGTGGTACGAGGGCCATCAAGTTTGAAGTACTACAGACTACACCCCGTACCAAGTACTACTTACTAGTAGGTACGGAGTAAGTACGGTAGGTACCGGTGCCTTCCATTGGATGGATACGGAGTAGATACTACCGGTAAGTAGTTAGTAGGTGGTAATATTCCGTCCCGGTCCCAAAACGATCAGTCCCAGAAACGAGACGACTAGCTCTGCCATTAGTGGGGGTCTACTCAGTCTAGACTGGCCCCAGGCGGCACCGCGACCAACACTGAGCCGTTCCTGGTGCTGCCACCAATCAGCAGCCGGGATGCATCCATTTGCGAGACATTCAGGGGCAGACTTGTGAGAGTCTCAAACCACTCATGCTGATGATTATTATTAGACTCGGTCTCTTAACTATTTCCCAGGACCAAGTAAGGTCCTCCGTACTCCGTACTAGCCGCCCACAACAATAATACCTGACCAACCGACCCGACCTGGACTCCTTCCTGTACCTGACAGTCGGGCGCGATAATCTCCTCCCTCATGGCTTGATTCCATCCATCGTTCATTCCATCCCGTACTATCCCTCCTTTCCAATCCCTCTCTATCTATCCATCCACTCGACGGAGTACTGGTTGTCTCCATCAACATTCATTTTGCATACCACGTTTTTTCTTTTATATATACATTTTGGACGCTTTGTTGGCCTGATACTGTCCTCCATCTTTCGGTCCTCTCTCTCTCTCTCTCACACACACACACACACACGCTCGCTCGCGCACGCCTGCTCCCCACTCCCCCTTTTCTCACTCATTTGAGACAGGACATACGTCGACTTGTTCTATTGTGCTTTGCAGTCAACCCTTGTTCTTCCTGCAGACACCTACCAGACTCCGTCTTCCGTCGCCTTTTCCACAATAAGCACTCTCTTGCCACCCCCCACCCCCCCCCTCTTGAGGTCTGCCGTGGAAGAGTGGGTGACGAGACGGTGAGTGAGAGGGTTTGTGCGGTCCTCACACCTCTTGCAAATCCTCTCTTTTGGTAGCTTGTTCAGATATCCTGAGTTATTGTATCCCACATTCTCTTGTACCTGTTTGCGACTCCTGTCTTGAGTCGACTTCTTTCAAGTGCTTCTATTCGAAACAGGTTGATCCTGTCATACTTCTGGAAGCAGAACGTGAGCCTAGTTGCTCCAACATCCAGCCAGACATATTGAGCAAAATTATTATCCTTCTAATCTCTTGCCAAGTTTGCTGTCCACTCCACCAGCCAGTGTCTACGACAAAGCCCTTCTGTGAAGATTTCCTTGACGCTGGCGCATCCGATATTCATCACAACGCGATATACTTATTACAATTGCCGACATGCGAATTATCCCTTCACTGCCAACGCTGGTAGCGTTAGGCCTTCTGACTACTCGAGTCCTTGCAGGCGATACGCTCAGCACTGAAGGCTTGTCAACTTGTCTGACAGACTCCGCAATCCAGGTCGACAAATTGGAAGTTACTTACACCCGCTCAACCAGAGAAATTGTGTTTGATGTGGCTGGCACCAATGCGAGGGAACAGAATGTCACAGCATCGTTGACGATCTATGCATACGGCAATCAGCTATACTCCGAAACATTCGACCCGTGTAGCAGCAGTGACTATGTTGAGCAGCTTTGTCCTGTTGCTGCCGGCAGTTTCTCTGCTGTTGGAACACAGCAACTCCCGGAATCCTTTGCCAGTGAGATTCCATCAATTGCTTTCGCCATTCCTGACTTGGATGGCCAGGTCAAACTTGAATTAATCTCCAAGACCGACAACGATGAGCTGGCATGCATCCAATCCGACCTCACCAATGGAAAATCTATGCAAATCGCGGGTGTCTCATATGCTGCCGCTGGCGTGGCAGGTGCGGCGTTGGCCGTGAGTGGCCTGTCTGCTCTAGCGGCTGTTGGTCACCCTGGAGTGGGTTCATCTAGCCCTAGCTTCGGTGACGTTATGACTTGGTTTCACACCATGGCCACCAATGGAATGTTAAGTGTCAGCTACCCGACGATTTACCGCAGCTTTTCCAAGAATTTCGGCTTCAGTACGGGCTTGATCTCATGGGGCCAGATGCAGGAGGCCATTGACAATTTTCGACGATCCACAGGTGGAAATCTCACCGACAATAACTACGAGTACCTTCTCAATGCCACCCTCGTGTATCCTGGTGATACATCATCAAATTCAAGCTCGAAGTCTAAAAGAGGACTTGATCTGGTCGTAGGTGCTGTCAATCTAGCTGCACGAGAAGTTTCGACCTCATACGACAAGAATGCAACTTCTACCAATAGTACCACCGAGGACACTAGTGGCTTCGAACACTTTGTTTCTGGGATTGAGGCCTATGCGGAACAACTTACTATCCCTCAAGCAAACACTTTCATGACAGTTCTGCTCATATTCGCCATTGTTGTTGCCGCTATCACCGTGGGCATTCTGCTCCTGAAGGTAATTCTTGAAATATGGGCTCTATATGGCTCTTTCCCTCAGAAACTGTCAGACTTCCGCAAAGACTACTGGGGCCTTTTGGGTCGAACAATTACCAACTTGATTCTCATTCTCTATGGAATTTGGGTGATCTGGTGTATCTATCAGCTCAGCGGTGGAGATTCATGGGCCGCAAAGCTTTTGGCTGCTGTTGCGCTCACTGTCTTCACGGGTGTCCTGTTGTTCTTCGGCCTTCGTATCTCATATCTGGCTCGAAAGTACAAAAAGTCCGAAGGCGACGCGTCCCGTTTGTTCGATGACAATGAGACCTGGCGCAAATACAGTCTCTTCTATGACAACTACAAGAAGGATTACTGGTGGCTTTTCGTTCCGGCAATCCTGTATATGTTCGCCAAGGGATGCATCATCGCCGCAGCAGATGGCCATGGGCTTGCCCAAACCGCTGGTCAACTCATTGTGGAGGCTCTTATGATGATTCTTCTGTTGTGGAATCGGCCATATGTCGCCAAATCGAGCCAGTGGATTAACATAACAGTTCAAGTGGTCCGCGTGCTGTCTTCTGCTTGTGTTTTGATCTTCGTCGACGAGCTTGGGCTTTCGGAAACAACCAAAACTGTCACTGGCATTGTCCTCATTGCCATACAAGCTGGGCTCAGTGGTATCTTGGCCATCCTGATTGCTACTAACGCTATCATTCTTTGTTGCCGTGAAAACCCCCATGCAAGACGAAGGAGGGAAGCTAGTAAGTCAAAACACATAATATCTTTGATAATACCCCTGTTTCTGACGTTCCACTCCCCCCTCCTAGAAGACAAAATGAACCGTGATATCGACGACTTGACCCCCTTGGACGCGCGGGAATCACTCCTAATGGAGCATCCTCCCCGCAAGGAGTTCTCGGAAATGAGTAAATTCAATTTCACCGGCCCATACGAGCCCTATCGTGACCAGTACGATCCGAAATCGCGACTCAGCCCTACAGGAAGCACAGATCGATTGGTGGAAACTGGATACCCTCTTGAGGATCGGCCCGGTCGGAGTCCAAGCCGAGAGAGTCGGCGAAGCCGTGATAGTCACGACCCCACTGAAGGACACCATGCAACGACCCCTGGCTATGGTTTCGCATATTGATGCACTTTTACACTGGATGGGGATGACATCCCCAATTTATCGATTCGCATTCTTCTTTTGGACATAGACTTTTTTTTGCCAGGCAAATTTGACGAATTTAGCGTACTTGACTGATGGCAATTGTTGGTATCTTTCCCACCTTGTTTCGTCTTGTTTCAGTTTCACTACCATCGTTACATCTCTTTAAGCTCCTGTTACTATCTATTTGCCGAATCATTGTCACGTATCTAGCTGTTGATTTGTTGATTTGCTCCCTGTAAAGTAGGTGTTTCAGACGGGTCTGAAGTACGGAGCCCCGGATTCTCGGATATACGTTGCTTTCTCTGCTTATAAAAATGACCGAATTAAAAAGTATTGTTGTCCGAACCCTTGGAAATTATAAATCTATTTATTGTATGAGGTATTAATTAGCCGCTACTGTCTTAAAGGACCGGAAGAGTTAGATCAAAAAGTGCAGGTTCATTGAAACTACCACCAGTTATTCGGCCATATGCAGGAACCACCCTCGAATTTCTTGCTTCAGTTTGGCATTGCTTTGGAAATTGGGTGATCCCAGACTCAAAAAGAAGATATACGCAGCGACGGAAATATAAAAAAGGAGAAAAGAACAGAAAAGGACGCACGAGAGCATCACTTGATGAATACATTAGACATAACCGTTGTTCACAAGACCCCACCGAGCCCAATGATGCAGCCAAACCATGGGCGACCATATTTCATGATGTAAAACGAATTGCACCAAGGGGGACTGCATGGCGGATGAAAGGGACAGCAAAACCATGACTGAAACTAGCGAAGGAAAGACAGAAAAAGCACAGGCATGCGGTAGACGAGAAGGCTGGGTCAGCCCCGAGCATACGGGTGGAAGCCTCTGTGACCTCCCCGGCCTCCTCCACGATAGTTTGCACCCGGCTTGCCAGCGTTCTTGGGTCCTGTCGGGGCGTTGGCCGGGGCAGCACTCTGCGGCTGGGGGGTAGGTCCTGGAGTCACGTTAGCAGTACTCTGGGGTGTAGAAAGGCAATGGACAGATGCTTACCGCGTCCCATACTCCCGGCACGGTTCATAGCCTGGGGTCCCGTGGGTATATTAGGCTGAGGCACTTCATCATACATGCCTTCCCATGACGTTGGCCCGCCCTGTTGGTACGGAGAGAAGGCCCGGTTCTCCATGGCTCGACGTACCTGCTGCTGTTCATATTTTTGCTGTTCAAAAGCAATCTGTTCATGGGCATTGTAACCAGGCCCTCCTCGATGCCCAGTGAAGTTTCCACCCGCGTTAGTATTCATACTACCTCCAGTGCCGCCAGTACTGCCCCCGCCACTACCACTACTACCACTGCCGCCGCCGCCGCCACCACTTCCTCCCAAGGCATTACCCATTTGTGCCGGTATGCCTCCGACGTTGTTGTTCTGTCCTTGATTCTGCATCTGCTGCATCTGCTGCATCTGCTGTATCATAGCGGGGTTCATCATGTTCGACATCGCCTGGGGAGTCGCACTTTGCGAGGGAGGGCTAAGGCTTCCTTGCTGTTGGCTATTGCCCATCTGCATCTGCTGCATCTGCTTCATCTGCATCTGCTGCATCATGGCAGGGTTCATTGCCCCCATTCCCATGGCCCCCATCCCTTGACCTTGAGCGGCGGCGACGGCCATTTGCTGCTGCATCAAGGCAAAGTATTGTTGCATCCTTTGCCAATACTGTGCCATCATCTGTGGAGTTAGACCACCAGCCATGTTGGCCTGTCCTGGAGCGCCTGCTTGCTGCTGGGAGCCATCACTGCTCATCTGGCCACCTTCTCGGAAATTCTCCCTGCCGCGGCGATATCTGCGGTCTTCTTCATCACGCAGGTTTCCCCGTGGTTGAGCTTTTTTGACCTCAATGGGCTTCCCAAGGATATCCAAGGGACGCGACAGGGCCGCCTCCACGGCGGCTTCGCTGTCAAAAGTCACAAACCCAAAGCCACGAGGCCGGCCAGTATCCTTGTCGATCATCAAGGTAGCATCAATCACACGACCAAATTGGGTGAAGAACTCTTTGAAATCATGTTCATTTGCCTCTTGGCTGACACCACCCACAAAGATTTTGCTCGTCTTCTCCTGCTCGTCACGCGGGATTGCACGCTTGGGATCAATCTTGCAAGATAGTGTAAGTCTACAAATGACCAGACAAGATTATGGGTTCATGGGGCAAACCATGTGGGGAATTCTTACAATTTTTCCATCCAAGTAGTGCTCCTTGACCATAACAGTATTCACAGTTTTAGGATCTCTGAAAGTCAAAAATCCAAATCCTCTAGAGCGACCTGTAGCACTGTCTCGCATTACAGTGCATTCCTGCACCTCTCCGAACTGGGAAAAATAATCTTTCAAAGATTCTGGTCTAGGTCGTTAGACCATCCATGACTGGCCGGTGAAGCAAAGATGAACAAAGATGAACAACGCTTGGATTGGAATATACATACGATCTGTAGTCTCCCAGTTTAACCCTCCGATGAACATTTTTCTATCCCACGCGCTTGAATTAGCAAGGACACCCTCCATGAAAAAAAAGTGGGGGGAGGGTAAGGAGTAAAGAAAAGACATGAACGGTAAAACGGGAACTCGTGGGGCGATTCCAAAGGAAACTTGAGACGAAAAGATATAGACGGGCTTCATTCTTCACTGCAGGAAGCTGATGGTTCATGACATTGTAGACAGGCACTCTGTTTGGGCTGCTATCTGCGATTTGTTTAAGTTGATCCTGTCGCTCCGGATTCCTGGGACATAGATATCTATCTTCCAGCGCTGATCAAGTAGAAACTGCTGTTGGAGAAGCGCAAGTTGTCTTGATCATTGTTGACTCTTGAATGAAAAATCAGGTCCTCCATGGGCTCCAGATCTCTCCGATTTTTGGTCATGTATACATCGACGGGGAAAGCCAGCGGGCGACTTGCTCACAAGAACAACCGTATCTCTAATCAGATAACCACTGGTTTACAGAGCGACCCAGTGGAACAGAGGCCAGGCGAGATATAACCCACGGCCGAACGTTTGCGTGTGGTGACACAAGATCACAGGTTGGAGCATGCCAGGCGGATTAAATCAACTTTCTTTTTTTCTTCTGTCTCCCTGGACCAAGTAACCTTGCCTGTCTGTCTAATCAAGTCCGAAGCTAGGTAATCTGATGGACATTGTCCAACCAGACAGCCAAGGCTTTTACTCCTTGCTGTGCTCTATCAAGCTATATCGACAAGAAGCTAAATAGTATCCGCTGTACTATAGTCGCTCGCGACAAGGGTTCGTAGAGTCAGGAATCCGGAATATGTTTCTCCGTAAAGTCATACCGAAGCCGGATCGCTGACATTAAAATCATCGAGCATCGTACGGTTGAGGTGGATTTGCCTTCGCCTGATCTCTCTGACAACCAAGCCCAACCAAAAAGCCTCAAAGTCGTGGGCTTAAGACTGACCGAGTTTTTGTCCATCTAGTAACAACGATGACCCAACCGGAGAAGACCTTGACTCAGATAATAGAACCTTTTCCTTCTGCCCATGACGCCAAGCCCTTGTCACTCAAAAGAGCCCATCCCATGAACCATCAGTTCAGCTGTGAAGAAGTTTTGCGAAGCTCCCAGCACCAAATCACTGATTACTTTCACTGTGTGCGGTGGTGTAGTCGTGGAGAGGCACCGCCAAACCAAGACAACCCATCCTTCTAGACGACTTGAAGAAATATCAAGGTGGACATCCAAAAGAAAACATGGATGCGCGGGGACGTCTCTTATCGATTGCCCAAAGACGTCCACACGCTCCGCCAAAGCAGAACACAGAGCAAAAAGAGAGTAGGAAACGGAAGAATAAACAGCACTTACCCGTCTTCTTTGATACCGGTTCCCTGAGGCTCCGAGTCACCGCCAGGAGTTGCAGCCTGATGTGCAGGCCCAGGGCCTACATTATCCGTGCCATTGTGCTGAGCTCCCAAATATGAGTATTGATACGCAGAGCTTGGTTCTGCCTCAGCCTGGCCAGTTTCGACAGATTGCATAGGTATCTGCGCAGGATGGGCATGGGCAGCGGAAACCGCAGGATCGGCAAATTTTGGAGCTTCAAGACTCGACAAAGTCTGAGTTGCAGCTTCATCGGCATCGTAACTATGTAGACCGCCTGAGCGTTAGACGTTACTCAACCATTTGTAGTGAAAAGGATCACCGTACAGATCCGCAAAAAGGTCTTCTTCAACATCCTCGGGTTCAGCCATGGTAATCAGATGGTCAGATTATTTGGGACTGGAATTGAGTAGGTTTCGTAAAACAAGGGGATGCTGATAATCAGAGCCTGTGAACCCCCGAAGGAAAAGAGGTATCGAGTCAATTAGTCCGTCCTGGAAAGGTACTTAGTGGTGAGGTTCTTTGGCGCCAAAATAAACCCTCAAAATAGAGAATGTCAGAAAACGAGTAGTCAGGGAAGTGTTGGATGAGGAAATGAGGAAAGTGAGAGCAAGGTGACCTGAATGGATGTGGAAGGGGACAAAATTGAAAGGAAGGAAGAAAGAAGGAGCGAAAGGAGGAGCTACACGGCAGATGTTGAGGTGAGAACAAGAATACTAGTACTCCGTACCTAAGGTAAGATACTCCCTCTGTACTAGTATTTTACCTAGTACTACCGTAGGTACGTACTACTACGGAGTGCCAGGTATGCAACCTGTACAGAATACGAAGTCGTTACTTAGTTGGACTTGGACAAGATTGCCCTTGGATAGGTAGGTACTACGGAGTACCTAGGTACATATAGTAGTACCTTGCCTGCTCCTATACTGGTAGAGATATAATATGCAAAAGAGATAATCCAAGGCCGATTATTGAAACAATGGAATTTTCACATACATAGTACTCACTCATACAAGCATTGTGACCTACCTACGGAGTACTACTGCATGTTACCTCGGTACTATAGTATCGTGGACCTACCTTATATCACCTAATACCAGTACCGTTTAGTACTGCTTAGGTCTCTACTCCGTAGCGGGTACTGTTTAGGTGAAGAGGCGTGTTTCTTAAGCCTTCGGAGGTTAGGATTCTTACCATGTATGAAGTAGTACCGAGACAATACTTATATAATACTTTACATACATTGTAGGTAGTACCGTAGTTGCACTTAAAGTCATACTATGTTACAGAACACCTAAGGTAGGTAAGGTAGTTGGTAGTATTGCCTTGGTACATAAGTCTTCCTGTAGCAAGAAAATGGCATGATAAAAGCGTCAAGCCACCATATCCCTAAAGATAATTAGCGAATGTCTCCCTACCTATAGGCAGTCAACGGGAATGACCCAGCGGCAATACTCTTTCTGGAGTTGTCATTGATCTTGTTTGTTTGCGACCTTGCCCAAGACGCATCACCGAACCCACGTGCCGTAACATCCCCCCCCCGCACTCGGGCTTTCTCTCCATGCTATTCAATTCCAATGACCTGTCCGATTGATCTCGTCACTGCCTCTGCACGATTATTTCGACGCAATGGCTGCAAAGAAGGGCCAGCAACAGGTGAGTTCTGGCATGGTTGCTCTATATTCTATAGTTATCTGTGTGCAACCCATAGCTAATCCAATGTCTTGCGATATCCTGAAGGAGATGGTCCAGGTTGGTTCGTACATCTCCCCGTGTTCTAGGTCTCAGATCCGTGGCTGATATAGCTTCCCCCACTCCCAATGGCAGACCGTGCTGAGTATGTTCTGTTCTAAATGAACTCTCTTCTTCCCAAGTCGCCTGCTATCCCCTACTCATCTCCTCCCTGTCCAAAATCCTGAAGCTAATCACCCCCGCTGAAGACGGGTAAATTCGCCTTTTTGGAAGGGTAGATCGATCCCCCATAACCAAGCGTCCTCCAAACAACCTGATCAGAACACCGTCGTTGGTGCTTCGTACTCTCACGCCAATATTCTAAAGTCAGTGTGCGTACTCTCTATGCAATTTCTTTGGTCGATACTCAACTGGCTTGGACCAATTGACTGACTCGTGTGCGTCTCCATTAGAGGCATATCGCCGCAACATGTGCGCTCGCGAACACCACCGCTGCCATCATCTACCAACCCTCAACATGTCTCCTTGTCGCCCCGTCGCTCGGGCGGGTGGTCCTCATCCCCTCGTACTTCGTATTCCAGTATCATGAATCGTGGCATGGAAGCCTGGGGTGGTGATCAGTTGAGAGAAAACGATGAGGATGATGATCAAGAAGAGGACATCACCTACGACGATGACGAGGATGAATTCGGGCTTCCCAGTATCACCAGCATGCGAAAAAAGCAATCCCAGAGCACCGATACTTGTCAGCCCAAGTCTGTTGACCCGGGCGGAGGACTTGCTAGCAATGCCTCGACCCTTGGTGTTGGTCTGGGAAACAATCGGCAACGCGCGGATAGTTCAGATATTGCCGAGGAACGGGGTGTCCCTATGTACCCTGCAGCTAAGAAAGGAGAGGGCAAGATTTTGCGACCACAATACAAAGAAATTTTGCAAGGTATGGCTTCCACATCTTAATATCGGAACATATTGACCCTTTCTTGAAAGACCCAGCCAACGCCCTCAACCTCATAAACCATGTACCGCCTCCTAGAAATGCATCGCCTAAAGATATGGATATGCATTCAAGCCGCATTTCAAGAATCAACAAATTCAAACGTCTCCTACAAACAAGCACCGTTCCTCTGCTAGAACTGAGAAACCTAGCTTGGTCGGGCGTTCCAGATGAAGTACGAGCAATGACCTGGCAATTGCTCCTGGGATACCTCCCCACAAATAGCGAAAGGCGCATCCCAACTCTTGAAAGAAAGCGCAAAGAATATTTGGACGGGGTTCGACAAGCCTTTGAGCGCAGTACTGCCACGAATTCTGAAAACCCACCCTCGTCGGTCGCAGGGCGTGGTAGAGGCCTGGATGAAGCAATATGGCATCAGATCAGCATCGACGTTCCTCGCACTAGCCCTCATATTCAACTCTATAGTTATGAGGCTACTCAACGGTCATTGGAAAAGATACTGTACGTCTGGGCTATTCGACATCCTGCTAGCGGCTACGTGCAAGGTATTAATGACCTTGTAACACCCTTCTGGCAAGTATTTCTGGGCACTTATGTAACAGACCTTAATGTCGAGGAAGGTATGGATCCTGGCCAACTACCCAGAAGTGTGCTTGATGCCGTGGAAGCGGATACATTCTGGTGTCTTACAAAGTTGCTTGATGGTATTCAGGATAATTATATTTATGCTCAACCGGGTATTCACAGACAGGTCAGGGCCCTACGCGACTTGACCATGCGCATTGATTCTACGCTTGCCAAACACCTGGAGCAAGAGGGGGTCGAATTCATGCAATTCAGCTTTCGGTGGATGAACTGTCTCCTCATGCGGGAGATGAGCGTGCAGAATACCATACGGATGTGGGACACGTACATGGTATGGATATATCTCTATTCTGACAAATGTAGATCCTGGTGTGCTAATTCAGTATTAGGCGGAGGAACAAGGTTTCTCGCGTTTCCACTTGTATGTCTGTGCAGCTTTCCTCGTGAAATGGTCGGACCAGTTGATCAAGATGGATTTCCAGGTGGGTATATATAACCCGGAACTCGGCAGTGTAGTATATGCTAAATGACAATAGGAGACAATGATGTTTTTGCAAGCACTTCCCACAAAGGATTGGACGGATAAGGACATTGAGCTCCTGCTAAGCGAAGCCTTCATCTGGCAAAGCCTTTTTCAGGACTCTCGGGCTCATCTTCGACCGGCTGGAGACCGATCCCCGGAGAATGGCTTACAGTGACGACAGTCATAATTCATTAATAGGACTCGTCTCAGTAATCTTCGGCCTTCCAGAAGAGAGGTAAATTGCTCTTTGACCCCCCTTGCTGCCAGGCTCAGCTGAAATGGAAGCCCTTTTGGTTGAAAGCCCACAATAGCTTAAGGAAATCGTTCTCATCGCACATCCTTGCACGTTTCTCTCCGAGCCCTGTTTCATCTTCCAACACCTGCCGTACTTTTTCTCTGACCAGCTCTGCCACCTTTCCTTTCCTCTTACGATTTGGCCGGTTCTTGAGAGCGTCTTGGATGCGAGCGTTTGTTTGCTCCTTGAAAAAGTCAGGCACATCATCTTCGTCATCAACCTCCATGCCCTCGTCAGGCTCATCTTCATCGTCGTCATCATCATCATTTTGTCCATTGACAATATCCATCGCATCGGTCTCAGCGTTGTCCGCCGGTCCATCCTCGACTGGGATATCATTCTGCGCGCACCATGTCCGATAGTTTGCCTCCAACATGTCCATGACGGTGGATTTCCCCAGAAAGCTCGATCGAATGGTCTTATTTTTCCGTACGAAGAGGATTCTCAGGAGTCCGTCCCACTCATCGTAGTTGATTTGTGGCCTTGGATTCTTTGGGACTAGACGGACGACACTTGACTCAACTAGCGGAGGAGGCTTGAAGTTATTCTTCCCAACCTTCATTATGTGATCAATTTTGGCCCACATCTGGGCATTGACAGAGAGTCGGCTGTAGAGCTTATCACCCGGTTTTGCAAAAAGTCTCAGAGCAAATTCTCGTTGGAACATGAGGATGCAGACACGAGGCGCCGGGGACGTTGCAAGGAGTTTGAATGTGAGGGGGGATGAAATCTAGAAGGCGAGGGTTAGGTCTCTCTTAAATGCCAAGAGGTATATAGACATAGAGCATACCTGGTACGGAGTGTTGCTAATGCAAACATCAAAATATGGGAGGTCCGTCTTCATCACGTCGCCAAGTATAACATCCAGGCGTTTCTGGGCTGGCGTGCCTTGGACACGCTTTGTGACTTCGGCGGCCATTCGAGGGTCCAGCTCCACGGCAATGACCTTTTTCGCCTTTTCGAGTATTTTCACCGTCAGGTTACCAGTACCGGGACCAATCTCCAGCACAATCTGTAGAGGCCGAGGCGGTTCAGGTTAGGCTAGACTAGACTTTGAGGGCGTTGAGGAACGTGACTCACGTCGCTCTGTTTCAACTCCGCCTTCTCGACAATCCGTTGGGCCACTCCGGGGTTCTTCAGGATGTGCTGGCCGAGATCCGTGTTCATCCTGAAGATGCTGTTGGCGGCCTTGGTCTTTGCCGCCGCATCGGCGTACGGGCTCGCCTTCGAGGCGCCATTACGCTTCTGTTGCTTGACCTTAGGCATGGCTGCGGTCCAAGTCACTCCGAGGGGAGGGGCTGGTCGAGAGCGGGAGAATATTCCCACGGCGTTGGCGACTTTCTTTCTTCCGGGTCAAAATGGGGCAAAAAAAAAGGACGAAGCGGAGGGTTTCTGATAAGATTACCGGCGCGGACTTACGTTTGTGCGGCGGTCCATGGGCCGGCCGGCGGACAAAGCAAGCACCTAAGTAAGTGGTAAGTCTCCCGACCTCCTTCGTTTTTCAAGCCTCCGTCATCATGGCTTCTGGGCGAAAGGACTTTTTGAGCCAGCCGGCGCCCGAGAACTATGTGGCAGGCCTTGGTCGAGGTGCGACCGGGTTCACCACCCGTTCAGATCTCGGACCTGCGCGAGAAGGGCCCACGCCAGAGCAAATCCAGGCTGCATTGGCAAAGCGCGCGCAGCTTCTGGGCGCGGCGCCGCCAACTGCCTATGGTGCAGGACGCGAAAAGGGCGGCAAGGACGAGAAAGCTGACGAGGAGGAGGACGATGAACGTTTCCAGGACCCAGACAACGAAGTCGGACTTTTCGCATACGGACAATTCGATCAGGAGGATGACGAGGCAGACCGCATCTACAGGGAGGTGGATGAAAAGATGGACAAGCGCCGCAAGATGAGAAGGTCAGTTCCCCTGCCCTCCTTTGTTTCATGAAAACCATTTGTTCATCCGGTTCGCATCCGGGTTGTCTGGACAGATTGCCGACGTAATTACTCCACCACTCACAGGGAAGCCCGCGAACAGCAAGAGCGAGAAGAATACGAGCGCAAAAACCCCAAGATTCAGCAGCAATTTGCCGACTTGAAACGGTCCTTAGCCTCTGTCTCCGAGGAGGATTGGGCCAATCTTCCGGAAGTGGGGGATCTTACAGGGAAGAATCGGCGAGCGAAGCAGAACTTACGGCAGCGGTTCTACGCAGTTCCTGACAGCGTCATCGCCAGCGCAAGGGACTCAACCCAGTTCGATACGACTGTCGCCGATGATGGTACTCAGATGAGTGTCGAAGGAACGCCGGGCGCCGATGGGACAATCACGAATTTCGCCGACATAAGTGCTGCTCGAGATAAGGTCTTGAAAGTTAGGCTTGACCAAGCCGCTATGGGTTCGTCTGGGGATTCTGTTTCTGGGAGCGCCACCAATGTTGATCCCAAGGGATACCTTACGAGTCTCACTCAGTCGGAGCTCAAGGCAGGCGAAGTAGAGATCGGAGACATCAAGCGAGTACGAGTGCTATTGGAGTCTGTGACGAGAACGAATCCAAAACATGCGCCTGGCTGGATCGCACTTGCACGCCTGGAAGAATTAGCCGGCAGAATCGTGGCTGCCCGCAACGTTATCGCCAAAGGTTGCGAGCTGTGTCCCAAGAGTGAAGATGCGTGGCTTGAAAATATCCGACTCAATGAGGGTCACAATGCCAAGGTCATCGCTGCGAATGCCATTAAGAACAACGACCGCTCTACCAGACTCTGGATTGAAGCCATGAGGTTGGAGTCGGAACCTCGAGCGAAGAAGAATGTTCTTAGACAGGCAATTCTCCATATTCCTCAGTCTGTCACCATCTGGAAAGAGGCTGTCAACTTAGAAGAAGATCCCGCAGACGCGCGCCTCCTCCTGGCGAAGGCCGTTGAAATGATCCCCCTATCTGTAGAGCTGTGGCTCGCTCTAGCACGCCTAGAGACTCCCGAAAATGCCCAGAAGGTGCTCAATGCCGCCCGGAAGGCGGTGCCCACCAGCCATGAAGTCTGGATCGCGGCTGCACGACTACAAGAGCAGATGGGTACTTTCGAAAAGGTAAATGTGATGAAGAGAGCCGTCCAGTCTCTCGCGAGAGAGAATGCCATGCTCAAGAGGGAAGAGTGGATAGCAGAGGCAGAACAGTGTGAAGAGGAGGGTGCCATCCTCACCTGCGGTGCCATCATCCGCGAGACCCTCGGATGGGGCCTGGATGAAGATGACGACCGCAAAGATATATGGATGGATGATGCGAAGGCTTGTATTGCCAGGGGGAAGTATGAGACTGCGAGAGCGGTATATGCTTATGCACTGCGCGTTTTTGTTAATCGTCGGTCAATTTGGCTCGCGGCAGCCGATCTTGAGCGTAACCACGGCAGCAAGGAAGCGTTGTGGCAAGTCCTCGAAAAAGCGGTGGAAGCTTGCCCGCAAAGTGAGGAGCTATGGCTACAACTTGCCAAGGAAAAATGGCAGTCCGGGGAGATTGACGATGCCCGGAGAGTACTGGGTCGCGCGTTCAACCAAAACCCTAACAATGAAGACATCTGGCTGGCCGCGGTTAAGCTGGAGGCCGACGCGGACCAGACCGATCAGGCCAGAGAACTGCTTGCAACCGCTCGCCGCGAAGCAGGAACCGATCGCGTCTGGATTAAGAGTGTGGCTTTTGAGCGACAGCTGGGTAACATCGACGATGCACTTGATCTAGTGAACCAAGGTCTCCAACTCTACCCCAAGGCTGACAAGCTCTGGATGATGAAGGGCCAGATCTATGAAGCTCAAAACAAGTACCCGCAAGCGCGGGAGGCTTATGGGACTGGTACCAGAGCTTGTTCCAAGTCTGTCCCTCTTTGGTTGCTGGCCTCGAGGCTGGAAGAAAAGGCCGGTGCTGTCGTCAAAGCTCGCTCCGTGCTCGATAGAGCCCGTCTCGCGGCACCCAAGAGTCCGGAACTATGGGTAGAGAGCGTCCGGGTGGAACGCCGTGCAAACAACATTTCCCAGGCCAAGGTTCTGATGGCAAAGGCTTTGCAGGAAGTCCCAACGTCCGGACTACTGTGGAGCGAAAGCATCTGGCACCTCGAACCACGCGCACAGCGGAAGGCTCGGAGTCTGGAGGCGATCAAGAAGGCGGACAATGACCCCGTTCTATTCATCACGGTCGCCCGCATATTCTGGGGGGAGCGTCGTTTGGAGAAGGCATTGACATGGTTCGAGAAGGCTATTGTTTCCGACAGCGATTTGGGCGACGGGTGGGCGTGGTACTATAAATTCTTACTGCAGCATGGCACAGAGGTTTGTTTTTGGACCACCTTCCCTCCCTATCCAGGATGCCTACCTACATCGACCACACAGATTGACTTTGGATCTTACGCAGGATAAACGAGCGGACGTAGTGTCCAAATGCATTTCCACCGAGCCCAAGCACGGAGAGGCTTGGCAATCCGTGGCCAAAGACCCAGCCAACGCGCGCAAGTCGACGGAGGAGGTTCTCAAAATGGTTGCGGACGGTCTGACCTGATGTCGGAGTTCCTGCGGACTCTCAACACAGCATCCCTACTTGACCTTCGCACCCCGGATCTGGCATTTGGACGCGGCGGAAGGCCGTCAGCCCTACATAGCATTTGGTCTGCATAAACCCGATCGGCAGCCGCAATTACAACCACACGAGCGAGGCCCGGCTTCAACATCTCCGTGAACCACCTTTCAATCAAACCTGCAGGCTGAGTGCCTTCCGTCCCAGAATCTCTTTCTGTTTCTAGAAATGACCAAAGCCAAACGGCCCACCAAGGATATGTCAGGAATGAAAAATATAATGTACAGTACATCGCACAACGATATCTCACCTTGGCAGAGAAGAAGAGAAAGCATAGCATAATCGCCGGTGCTAGCACATTCAATATAGTATATAGATCGCAAAGATTGTGTCCACCTTCGCCCCCCGTAGCCATGTCATTGTATCCCAGAAGCCATGAGAACCAAACATAAATCAATCGAGCCTTGGGTATCCATAAAGTAAGTAGTAGTAGTTCAGATCATTTCAGTTTTTTCCTCCCTGTCGCCTTTCCTTGCCCCCCCCCCCCCCCCTCTGGGTTTCATCGCATCTTTCAAAAACACACGCATGTGCTTTACGAAGGGCCATGACACCGGTTCTTCTGATCGAGCTGAAAAGTAGGCCTCATCATCAGTCCTAATCACCATCACGCCTAGATAGAGGAGTCAAGAAAGAGACATAAGCGGGCAGGAAGGGGGGGAAAAGCACGAGTAAAAAGGAAGGGAAAAGGAAGAAGAGACTCTTTGAACTCCGCGCCAGATGCAAAACGACAATGTTACGCCGATAACGGCTTTGCCCGATTACTCCCAAGACGCCTGTTCACCACCTCTGTCCGACCGAAACGCTGCGACCTTTGATCCCAGTTGGACCAACAGGTGCTCGACCGGACAATATCGAGGGGCAAGTAAAAGAAGAAGGACGGGGGTATAAGAAAGAAGACAGCCAGGCCATCAGATGCTTATGAGGCCATGGAGAGGCACTCATCCAGAAGCGCGCCCAGTTGTTCCCGGTCAGCGATTGTGCCCCCTTCCCAATCTGGTTCTCTATCCTCCACTTCCATTTCATCCGCGAAGTTGTTGGGTGTCGTGTCGTCAAGGGTGATCTCCACAACGTCGTCAATACGGTCCTGCTTGTCTGTCTCCAGCTCGTCGTCAAGGTAGCCGCCCATGATCTGGTCCACAAGCAAGGGCATATGACTGAGGACTCCGCCACCAAGCTCCAAAGACAACCGAAGATCTCGAACACCAAGTGGTTTGCGGGTGCTTGCCTCCTTGGCCTCGACAGGGAGCAGACCAGTTGCACTGTCCTTGACAATTTCCCCTCTTGTGAAGGCCAGCTCTTCCCGCTCGAGCTGTTGTCGATATCTTCGCATCATCATGCCGTTGATAGTTCCCGAAGGACCGTTTGATCTTGTTCGAGAGAACACTACGGACAAGACTTCTTTCACAAACGTCTCTGTTGCGATTGCCATGAATTCGGCGCAGGGGAGGCTTGCACCGCTGACAATGGACTCCTCGTAGCATATGGGAACCATGCGGGCGTGGATGGATTCGGCATCCGGGAATTCGCCCGTCTCAGATGCCAAAGGTTGCGCGTAGCGCTTCCGTATCTCCAGTTCCCAGTCTGCCACAAGCCGGAGTGGTAAGCTTCGGTGGAAGATCAACAAGGCGAGCAATAGACAGGGACCTACTTGTCTTGTTCAATCCGCCCGCACTGGCTGGTACTTGACTTGGAAGCTTGATCTGCTTGGCCAAGTTGTATTCCTCCAGTTCATTGGGGGCATTCTCGTTCGGATCACGCTGATTAAAAACACGCCATCGTTAGCCTGGTCCGTATGTCCCCAGGGAAATCCGCATCCTGTGGCGGATGACCTACCTCTGGAATGGCTTTTATTCTTCGACGATCACGAGGGGGCAGTTGCATAACCTCCGTCTTCAGTCGCTGCTCAGCCGCATCCCCTGACGTCGGCTTCGACACAACTGACGGCTTATCATTCGCCGACACCCAACTTGCAACTCCATGATCCGGAAGGTCCCTCGTGAGGTTCCCGATGATTGCGCATATGAAATTATTGTGCAGATGCTCAGTTTTATGGTCGGCGCATATTATATGGTCGAGCCGCGACGAGAGTTCACTTTGATTCAACTGTCCTATTGTGGAGACGGGGTGTCAGCAAGCAACCCAGAAAACAAGAACCTGGGACCGAGACCGGATGGGATTGCAAGGCGAGCAAAAGAAATAAGGGAAGGGCCCGGATGACAAGAAGACCAGACTGCCATGCACGCGTACCTAGAAGAAAGAGCGCAGTAGCCTCCTTGTACTCGGCCCAATTTTCGCCGATGGCGGCTTTCAGCTCCGTGTAGATAGGCTCCAGATCCAGCCGCGGCACGGAAATCAGCGCCTTGGTCGACTTCTGTGTCGCCGGGGCGGTAGGGACCGTGCTCTTGGACGAGGTTATTGCGGTTGACGAAGAGTCTGTCCGACTCAGAGCCGCCGGATCGATCTGCATAGTTGCGAGACTCGCCGAGGCGCGACGGGCTGCGCGAAGCCGGGGGTGGGGGGAGGGGGGAGGCGCGGGATTAGGCCTTCATGAAGCAGGAGACATGCCAATTAAGGAAGAATTACGGTCGAATGACACGTGCTAGAAGAAAAGGAGAAATGAGAAATGGTATGCGAGAGGGGGCGATTGATGGGGAGTTTTGGAGGCCGATGGAGGGAGAGGGAGGGAGGGAGGGAGGGAGGGGAGAGGCGAGGTGAGGCGAGAGGTTGGAAGTCGAAGGAACGTCGCATGAATCCGGTGCCCATCCGCCATCATCCATCATCCATCATTCTCACACAACCACCACCACCTCGACATCGGCCTCATGGCTTTCTTTCCCTTCTTCTTACTTCCCCCACCACCCCCTTAGCCACAGTGATAGTCGTATCTTACCGGCAGCGTAGGAAAAAGAGCTATATACAAACTGGCACATTCTTCAACTATATCGCATCTCCTTCGCTTTCTTGTCTACCACCATTCTACGGGATCTTACTACGGCTACGAATTCCAGAGGACACGAGACTTAACCGAGAATGCTCCCAATGGGGGACGGGTGAAACAAATGGAGACATGTACATATAACGTAATATTAAGAGTTACCGCTCTGGTGCTAAGAATACAGCTTCACAGCATCCTCATGCAGTACGCCAAAGAGTCGGCCGATTTCGCCCATAATCGCTTCGATCTCACACGATAACTGCCCGGTCACCAGGACTAATTCCAAGTCAGCGACGTTCTCGTTGCGCCAAACAGAGCCGGGAGAGGTTGGAATGGGACTTACTATATGCGTAAAGCAGGGCATAATCTTCGTCCGTCGATGAGCGGGACGCGTCTGGGTCCTTGCGGTAGTGGAAAAGCCGCGCAAGAAGCCGATCTCGCGCATGCTCCACGCTGGGAAGCACGTCACTCAACGGGTACTCCAGCTTCATCGAGGATGCCATGACTGGCCCATATGTTAGCTACGGCCCATTCAACTCCTGTTGTACCGGGGACTCACCAGATAATAGGTGACTGATGCGCGACGATAGCTGTTGCCGCTCCTTCACCGTGTATCGAAGTATGGAAAGTTCTCCTTCAGATGCCGTCATGTTTTTCACCAGATCCAAGTTGATGGCAACGAAAGCATCCACCATGCTCCTGGTGCAACGGAGAATATCCCCGTAGCTGGAATCGGGGAACGCGCTCTTCAGCTCAAACTCGGAGCGCGCTGATGTTTGGAGAGACTCTAGATGCGACAGGAATCGTTCCACTTCCAGCTTCTCTCGGGGGCTCATGAAACCTGCAGACTCCTTGGGAAATGACATCGTGGACAAGGGACCACGCTTCCAGATCCAACTCATGTGGAGCCATAACAGGCTCAGACCATCTTTCAGCCTTTCTCGCGCGCTGATCGGCCAGATCACTCGTGTGATGATAATGCCCCAGAGACAGCCTGACAAGACCGCCGCCACTCGGTGAAGGGTAATTTCAGTGATGATAGGGCTATCGCCCCCCTCATCCTGGTCGTCTTTCCCCTCCCTTTGGGTCAGCGAATAGGCGTAGAGTACAGAAAGATTGTAGGTGAGCATGATGAAACGGCCCATAGGTCCTTGGCCTCGACCAAGGATAATGTAGGAGGTCCAGGTTGACATAAATAGCCCCAGGAGAGCGAGACCGTACACATTTCCTGCACTCGCATACCATGAAAATATGGCACAAACTGCTCCCAGGCATGTACCGAGAAACCGAGCATAACCAGTAGTATTTGATGCTCCGATGGTCATGGAACAGACCAGCATATAGGACAGTAAACCCCATTCACCCCTCCAGTGAGAATAGAATGGTCGAGTCGACTGAAGGAATGAGGGCAGGGCATATATTGCGGCTCCCGCGCCAACTTTGATCGCGAACTTGGTGTCGTCGCGACGGAATACCCCAAGTGACCTCCAAATGCGATAACCGAGCCGCTGCTTCAGAGGAGCCACGTCGACAACGTTCGATGATAAAGAAGGTCTGACGTGTGACCCTGGGGAGCTGACTATCTCCCGCTGGGGTGGTACGGTACCATCTACCACGGCAGTGTGCTCAAGCAAGGGCCGTTCAATGTCCGACTCCCGCGTTGTTTTCAGACTTCTCCAACGCCAAAACTTGAGCCAATTCCATGACCTCCCACCGGGTCTTTCCTCAATCTCCAGTTCCAGTTCATCCAGAATGGTAAGAAGCTCCTTGAGCTGCTCGCCAAACTCGAGGAGGGAGAAACTGAAGTGTCCACAGCTGGCAGACACCTCCTCAAGGTCGGCCTCCACTTCCAAATTCTGCACCCCTATAACCTCACGTTGTCGATAGATGGTCTGAAGCGCCTCTTCGCGCGATTCGCGGTAGAGCTCGAGCGCTCGGTCAAGACTCGTGCGGTACCTATTGTTGACGGAGACCTTAAACTCTGGTGCAGGTTTGAAAGGGATGTCTCTAAATGTTTCTTTGAGGGTAAATGCGAGTGACCGCTATTGGCCATTAGCACAGAGTCCAAGTTTCATAGTCTTCTGGGCCTACTTACCATCGAAGGTCCAAGATGGCTGATAAAGAGCGCGAAGATGTCGGCTGGGAGAAGAACATGGTCGGCCGCCACCTCAGGGCGATTTGCCAGGTTAGTCAGGGTAGAGTCGGGCGTGTTTCTCCCAAAGGCCTCCAGCCTTTCTTCCTCGTCTGGCCGCTCGTCGATTCGCTCCAAGAGCGGGCGATCTTCTTGGAATGACCAGGGACTCGGTAACGGGCCAGGGCCGATTTCCAAGCCCGAGGCCTGTAGCTGCGCGGTCGCGACGATGTTTGTCTGTTTGATCAGCTGAAATTGCAGCAAAGCAGCACTACGCAAGCCTCCCAAGTTATGGGTAATATCCTGTACCCAGCGCGCAAGCTTCTTCTCGAGCCTGTACTCCTTTTCTGTGCCTGCCACAAAATGCTCAAGCTTAGCCTCTTTCACCAGCTTGTCCAACTGGGCGTATGATTTTTTGTGACGTGCTGCTGTGCGGATGAACTCCGCAGTCTGGAGCTCCTCTTCAGAGCCACTGAGAAAGCTCTCCGTGATCAGAGCTAACATAGTCGCTAAGCTTTCAGTGACTGTGGTTAGATTCGATCGCAGGTTTTTGCGGGCAGAGATCGGGAAGATGAGAAAAGACACGGCCATGGTGATAGTGACGCCCATAACGACCATTTTCAAGACCTGGGAGATTTTTGCAAATGACAGGTCCCCGCTCTGCACCGCACCCTCCTTTGTCAAGACTGTGATCGTCGCCAGTGAGGCTAGCGAGCAGGCAACATTAACGAGGGGGTCGCCGAGTCTCTGCTTTGTCCATCCCACGAATCCTAAGCCGCCACCACAGAACACAATGAGCACTATGGCATGACCCACTGGGAGCAAGTCCAAGGTATCCTGGAAAAACATGGAGACACACATGCTCGTTACGGAGATGAAGGCGGCGTAAAGAAATGCCAGGAAAGCACAGATCAACGCTTTGTACATGCTGCCTTGCGACCTTGCCGGATGGAAATAGACCGTCACGGTGGCCACCACATGCTTGCCATCTTGGTGGCCCAGAAACGACGCAATGGCAGGGACGAACGTTGCAAGGGAGCCCAGTAAGTAGGCCAGACTGCATTTTAGCACCCCTATTCCGAGCTCGGACGAGACGGACTGGCGCACCCAAGGCCATGCATCGTCCCAAGCGTCGTGGGCTTTATACCAGAGCCTTGACGCAAAACCCTTCCGGGCACGTGTGACTTCTCCGGTGAGAAGGGGCCGTCGCTCATCTCCCGCACTGGTGTCATGATGGGGATCGGAATTTGGGCTGCGCAAGTTCACGAGGCCTTTTAGTCGCTGACCTGTTCGCGGTAGAACAAACGTCGCCTGCCGTAACTGCAATAGAAGAAAGGGGAGAAAGGATTAGCAAGATTCTGTTCCGGGCTTCTGTTCCGGGGCCGGAGGCCAGATAGGTGCCGCGCCGGGGGGGTATTAAGTAGGTTATATAGGAGGTAAGGGAGAACGGCACACAGGAGACTAAGTACATCCGGTGGTTTCCATGTTGATAGCAGGGACCAGGGAGGAAAGGCCTTGCTTGATAAGAACCATCCAGTCGGAGGGGAGGGGACGATGCAGGAACTCAGGCATGGAGCTGTGCTTACCTTCTTCGGACGCAGAAAGCGCCGGGAACTGTTCGACGAGTCCCCCGGCAATAGAGCCATTGCAGTCTCAGTCTCACATCATGTTCCCACCGGAGAAGGGGGATATTCCTCTTTGGCAGGTGGGTTGTATAAGATGGATGGGTAAAAAAGGTAGGAGGAGGAGGAGGAGGAGGTGGTGGTGGTGGTGGTATTGTTATTTTGCCCGGTCAGGAAGTACACTGAACGGGGGAAGCTTTTTCTCTACCAGCGATGATGACGTTGGGGCTCACGAGGGACGAGTCACTGGACTCGCCGGGCTGACCTCCATCCAATGGGAAGGTCCAATATGCCGTGCCCGATCCCCACTCAGACCCCCCCGGCCAGACCCGCTCGAGCTCCTCGGCTCCTTGGTTATTCTCGGGTTTGTTACCAAGGAACTTGTATCGACAGGTACGGAGTGATACTGTGTATCATTCATAATAATAGGTAAAGTATCTAGCTAGCTACCTACTATCTATCAAAGCGATTCAAGTCCCTCCACCTTCCACACCTTGACTGCTGCATCAGCTCCAGCCGACGCTACCTTGGATCCCCCAGCGATCCAGGCAACCCCGTTGACCCCTTCCTTGTGCGCATTCGACACTTGCAGCCAGTCTCCCGGGTTGTTCAAGCTCCACACGAAGATGTTGGTGTCTAGTGACCCGCTGACCAGGTGCACGTTGTCTTCGTTCCACGCAAGTGAGGTAATCCGAGAGGTGTGGGCGGTCCATCGGTCAGTGACCAGGCTGCCGTCAGCAACCTTGTAGACCAGCACCCGACCCCGAGAGTCGCCCGCCGCCAGGAGAGAGCCGTCCGGCGAGAAGGCCAACGCAGACACCGCATTCCGCGTGACCTTGATGTCCGCCTTGGGGGAGAGCTCCGAGCCCGATAGGTTCAAGACCTGGACGCATGAATCCTCGCCTCCAACGGCCGCGATGTTGGTGGCATGAGCCGCAACGGTGGTGATCGAGAATCCCGGCTTGTATCCGCCGGCCTTCTGTCCATCTCGGTAGATCTCAATGCTCTCCGCTGTCCCCACCAGCACCGTGTCGTTCGCCGCTGCGATGCCCTTGGGTTGTCCCGACAGCTTGCCCGAGACTCCAGTATACGTCTTGGCGCCCATGTCTACGGATCGAATGGTGTCATCCCAAGCCACACTGTATATTCTGCCGTTCCCTTCCTGGGTGGGCGCGAGACCTGCAGTATATGTTGTGTGACCATCGCCTTCCACGTCTTCTGCAGCACCTGCCTGGACATCCCAGCTGCAGACCCTTCCATCGAAACTGCCAGTCCACAGTGTTTGAGTGTCGTTGCCCCCGCGAGACTGGGTCAATGACGTGATGTTCTTTTGGTGTCCCTGGACCACCTGTCGGGGGGTTGGGGTGCCCTCGACCAGGTAGTTGAGGTCGCCGCTCAGCGAAAGACTGATAAGCAGGCCATCGCTTCTGCCCGCAGGCCAGACCACTCCAACCTGCTGGTCTCTAACATTCGCGGCACCTTCCTCTCCCAGGGCCCAGCTCTGTGTGACCTTGCCTGCTTCTGCATCCCAGATCTTGACCGTTCGGTCTGCACTTGCCGTCACGAATTTGCGGGAATCCTTGGACCAGGAAACACCAAAAATACTGCCGCCGTGCTCCCCCTCGCCGATCTGGCCCTTGGGCTCTCCAGTCTTGCCATCGTACAGCCAAATTTTGCGGTCCGCACCGACACTGACCAATGTCGAGCCATCGGGGCTGAAGCCAACCCCGTAGATATAGTTGGTATGTTTATCACGGATTCCGGTGTTGAATTTGAACGGCGCGCCGTGGTAAAAGACCAGGTTCTTGTCATCACCCGCGGCAGCGGCCCGCAGCGGCCTTTGCTGCCTGATCGAGACCGAATTGATCTGCTGTGTGTGGCCATATATCTCCCCAACGGTGTTACCACTGTCCCAGGTAATGCAATGTCCGTACCGTTGCTTTCCGTCGCCGACGGCAATGATGCGCTGGGAATCGCCGTCCCAAGCAAGGTCGTTGATGCGACCGTTTATAATGCTATATTCTCCCTTGGTTATGCCCTCCCCAACACAGTCCCAGACTCTCACGAGACCGCTAGCATCGCCACTGGCGACATAGAAGCCCGAGGGCGAGAAGCGGGCAACTGTCGTCTGTGTCTTATGCTCGGTGTACTGTTTGGAGATGGCGGGGTTGTCGATCGAACGGAGGAAGATTGATTTGTTCGCCTGCACAGTGCATTGAGGGACAGTACACGTAGATTAGCGAATCCGCCCACGCGCGAGGATCAGAAAAAGTACGCAGGCATACCGCATAGGCAAGGCGTTCACCCTTGGCATCCGAGGAAAGCTGGGTGGGCTGACCCCTCGTGGTGGAGGGACTGGCGGCCCAGATGGACTCTACAGGTGGCCAGTCAGCGGAGGTCGCAGGAATGTCAGGGTCGAAAGAGGCGGGGCGAAAGAACCATTTGTGATGGACATGGCTTGCTTCGGGGGTGGTGAGGTAGTTACGCAGGGTGCGGTATCAGTGTCTTCTTAGAGAGAGGGTAGGGGGAAGGGGAAACAGGCGCCGATGTTGACGTTGACGTATGAGTGGGGAGGGGCGGGCTACTTCTATACTAGTACAACGTAGTAACTTAGGTGTGTACGGGAGTATCAACACCACCACTATTGCTTTCCCATTACATTTATCGGTTCTACGTCAATCTACAAGGTCTCAATACACATACATGGTTGTTGATCTTTCGATGCCAGCTTGCTAACGAGAAGAAGAAAAAATGGGGCGAGGCAAAGAAAAATAAATACAAATCACACACCAAATCCGTAACGTACACCACCGCAACTCTCGTCTCGCGGGCGATCAATATCCACTTCCCTCCATTCGCGCCTTTGCGTCGGCCACGAGAATCTCCGGGTGTCGGTGAACACTGGGCATGATACCGATGCCAATAGCCCGTCGGATGGCCTTGGCCATCTTGCGTTGGTTGACTGGTCGCAGGCCAGTCGAATTTCTGTGCCTTATCCGTCCCATGGGGGTGATGTATTCTGACATGATGGAGAAGTTCTGGCAGGTGCAACACATATGAGATTAGCGGCCATCCGGCACATTCCTTCTTGGTGACCGTCCAAGGACGGCGGCCTACCTTGTATTGCTCTAGAGGATTCAGGTTCAAAGCATCGAACGCATCGGTCCCAGGGCTGTAGCGCTTCTTCCACTTCCTCATCTCTGCCGCACTGAGATCATGGGGGGCGTAGATATCACCCGCTTTCCAATCACGCGTTTGAAACTTCTCCAAGGCCCTGCTTTCGCCCAGCGCCCGCTGGTCTTCAAGGAATTTTTGGCGGCTCGGTGTTCGACGACGGTGGTATACTCGCATCGACGCTGTCGGGGCCTATAGTCAGCATCGATTCGAGGAGGTATCGTCATCACATCAACCTACACTGAGGGGATGGAGCACGTTGAGAAAACGGGTTCGTCGGAGCAGCCGTCGAGTTCCAGCGGCACGCGGCAGCCGACACAGATCCGACGGCCGAGCCGACGGTGCGCAAAGGCGACCAGGAGAAGAGGTGTAGCGCCATTTGAAAAGAAGGAGAGCGGGTGCGAAGTTGGTCACGGACAATCACGGTCGAGTGAGGGCGAGGCCGGAAGTCGAGGAGGAGAGGAGGTGGATTTGATTTTCTCTGCCGGAGCGCGCGCGCCAAGAGCCGCTCCCCGTCTATTGCTTCTTCTTCCCTCCCTCCCTCCCTCCCTCCCTCCTCCTCTTTCTCCACTACCATCACCACCACTTCCTCGACCACCGTACTCGTCCATGGTCTTACCGGTCTAGTCATTGTCCGATCCGATAGTTCGTCTCTAGAGAGAGAGAGAGAGAGACAGAGAGAGAGAGGACATCCAAACATGCAATCCCACCTGACCCGACGGGTCTTCCGGGCCATTCTGAACAACGAACCGCTCTCCTCCTCGCGTTGTCACCATCGGTTCCTGCATTCATCTCGTGGTGTGCGATCCCGCAAGCCAATTCTCTCCCCTTATCATATCCAGCGGCGCGGGCTTTTCGCCTACGACGCGGCCCCGCCCGCAAGTTCTCAATCTGCAGCTCTGCCGTCCGAAACCGGCTTGAGTCCCATGAGGGATTTGATGAGATCCCTGGCCGACAAAAGCAGAGGGCCTACCAACGCGACTCTCGCCCGTGCCTTCCAGGATTTCTTCGTTGCGCGCGCAGAAGTTCCAGGGGTCTTTACGAGCTTCCACGCACAGTTACTCATCACAACTTGGAAATACCTACGAGCTCACGAGGATGAACTGGTAGCTGAGGAGTGGCAACGGGTTTTCTCCACGGAGAACCTCGAGAACGTCCTCTACGTCTTGTCGGAAGCTAAATGCTTGCCGGAATCGCACGAAACCCTGCGGAAGGTGGCCCGTTTGGCATATCTGGAACTGTGCAGTGACCATGGATTCGGGCGGAATCGCATCAGCCGGCCCGCACTCATTGCATATATCCATATTCAGGCAATGAATGGCAACCCGGAGGAAGCACGGCACGTTGTGGAGAATTTCTGGAATAAGCTGGAGAAGACCAGTCCTTCCCCTTGGCTGACAGTCATGAGAGGATTTGCCATCAACGACGATAGATATCAAATTGAACGCACTGTGGAATTGCTCCACGAATATGGCATCAAATTCGATCAAAACGCCCATGAAGAACTTATCACCCTTCTCATTGGACAGGGCCTTTTAGTGGCCGTGAAGACGCTCTACGAGTGCCCCTTGCCTGGTGGGCAACAGCCCTCCATCGCAACGAAGGAAGCTGTCGTCAAATACGCGATTCTGAAGGCTGAGATTGCGTGGGCAGAACCCATCGTGGAATCGCTCTCGAAATTCCCAATTATGGAGACCATGAGGATCATGCTCCTCTGGGAAGCTGTCCATAAGAAGAGTGCCGCTGCTATTCTGGAGAAGGCTCAAGCATTGGTGTCCGAGGACCCAGCCGCAAGAGATTCACTAAATATGTCTTGCGTGAACAGTCTTGTTGAGTACGCAAATTCCATCAAGAATCTCGATCTGGCCATTGAATTTGCTGCACTGGCCCCCCAGTGGGGTCTCCGCCCGAATGTGCAGACACAGCTACTGCTGTTAGAGTCCTATATCATGGCGGGTGATGTCAATAAAGCATTGACCTCCATGGAAGCCGTGCAGGACCCCGAGAAGATGGTGCTCCAAAACATGCCGTTGATGAACAAGCTAATAACAATGCTCTGTCTGTCGAGCCAGGAAAATAATGTGCTGGAAAAAATTTCCTCTTTCCTGGACCCCTTGTTCGAAAACAATGTGCGGTTGGAAGCCGATACTTTGGCAGCGTTGACGCACGCGCTGCTATACCGTCATGACTTGGAGGGCGTTTCGGAGCTACTTCGTCCTCGCCTAGGCTCCTATGACTCGCACGAGAGGACGAAAATCCGCAATGCTCTAATCGATTTCATCGCTGATCAGAGTCAAGAGAATGGAGAGGCCTGGGCGGCGTATGAACTGCTCCAACTCGCCTTTCCTGAAACCGGGGTAGCGAAGCGGACCGAGATCATGTCGTCGTTTTTCAAGCGGAACCGAAGCGATCAGGCCTTTTTGGTCTTCGGGAACATGCGGCAGGCCGAGGATTTCGCGCGACGGCCGAAACCTGACACCTATGTCCGGTGTTTCCAGGGCTTCGCCCGAACCCAGGACGGGAAGAACGTGGACCTAGTCCACAACATGCTCAAACTCGATGTTCAAATCGATCTCAATACGCGCTTACTGAATTCCCTCATGCTGGCATACGCAGCCTGCGATCTGCCGGAGAAGGCGATGGAGATCTTCCGCGAAATCCTCCAAACGAGCGAAGGGCCGTCGCAAAAGACTCTTACTATTTTCTTCAAAGCCTGCGAGAAACACCACAACGGCGTTGAAGAAGCGGTGAAAATGTTCAACAAGATCAAGCTACTCGAGATCACCATTGATCGACAGATGTACATGGCATATGTCGAGGCCCTGGCCGCACAGTGCGAATTCAGCCTCGCCACCGAGGCTTTGGACGAGATGCATAGTCAAATCGGCTACCAGCCGACTCGCAACTCGTACGTCACTCGTTCTCCACCCCCTTCCTTCTCTCTTGAACATAGCTAACCGGATTAATTAGCATCGGATTGCTCTACAATGCCATGCCCTACCCATACTGGAAGAATGAAGTCCAGAAATGGGCTATGCTGAAGTACCCCGAGCTGTGGGCGCAGTTGAAGGAGGTCGAATGCTCGGAACACGAAGAGGGTCCGAAGTTTCATATCAAGCCCAACGAAGTTCACCTCTAAGTCGGGGTGGTACGGGTTATCTCGTGGGGCGACCTCCGTGTATATATCAGTGACTTTATGTACAAAAGTATAGGGCAGGGGGAAGGCCGTGTCTGATTATCCAGCGTGCTCTATCTATATCTACGCTCTCCGATAACCATGTGGTGGTTATTACGTGCAACGGATTCGTCTATGCTGGAACTCCGAGTCTGTTCGTGTCCACCGGCTGGAGACTCCTAGAGAAAGAATGTGATCCTGTAAATATATTCCGAGTACGCTATGCAACTCTTGTAAAGGAAGCATAACAAGCATGGCGAAGCCAGGCGCTCTATTCGCGACTCGCCGTAAACTAGACACAGCGATACCGTGGCCAATACAGACAAGACAGATAGTAAGTAGTGTGTGGAAGAGAGGAAGTGGTTTGTATTAAATGCACAGGGCTCCGTACTCAAGTCTTTTTTGTATTCCATGCAATGGACATCGGTCATAATTAATATATCCATAAACACTGCGTATGTGCAGCAGGTATTACCCGGAAAATGCATATCACGGAGCAAGAAGAGATGAAAAAACACCATGTATATCCATCTAGGGAACAGCCATTACATTATTATGCCTTGGATTGCGCAAGTCGCTTGGTCATGCTGTAGTCCATGTTAGGGGGGGGGGGGGGTCGAATGCCATGAGCGCGCCCAAACGGGATGGATCACTTACAAGTCAAAGAATGAGAACTGGCTGGGACTGCTACCATACTCGTACACAAATCGGCTCGCGAGGTAGCTACCAAAGATGGCGCGTAGATAGTTCTCCGGGACCTAGAATATGGTGAGCCTTGCGTGAAAGAATGTGATAACCATGGAGCTGCAGAGGCTTACCCGCGAAAGAATGGTGTCAAGACCGATCTTGTCCAGAAGGAGCTTCGGCAGAGCATCATGAAGGACCGACCGGCGGAGCTCAACATTATCCCACAGCTCTGTCTTCTGAAGTTCTTCATCCAGTTTCGTGATAGCGATACTGAGCTGGTCGCTCAGAACACTGCGGAGCGCCCCGGTTTGCTCGTGTTCGCGCCAGATGGCTTCAAATTCGAGTGTGGCATTCTGCTTGATGACCTCTTGGACCTGCTTGACGTATTCACTGTAGAATGTCGGCACAGTGCCGTCCTCGCGGATGCACATGTTTTCCACGAACTCAGCATCGTCGAATGACAGAGAAGCCAGAACTTCCAGCGACGAGGATGTCACGCCTCCTTTGTTGGCAGAAGCATCCTTGAACAGTATGCAGCCGGCCTTCTCAAGGCGGAGCTTGCTGTCTTGGGTGATGAACAGGTTGGCGCCCTCGACAATGTATGGGATGGTTGACTTCCCATTCTGAATCAGCTTGCCGACTGTGGAGAGATCAATCGACTCAGGTCGTCCACCGCACGGCACGAACGTGTCGTATGGTTGGTCTCGGCGCAGGTGGAACAGATTCCGGAAGATCATACCATTGTGAACCAGCTCGCCGCTAGGCAACTTGACGTTGCTTTCATCAACCAGAACCCGATAGCCCTGAGGCGAGAGCTTCGAGAGGTCGAATTCAGAAATGGTCACCCGGTTCTTGGCGAGCTGGATGAGTTCTTCATGATCCAGGCCCTGAGGATCAACAAGCACGCCGGAACCGTCGACAATGGCCGTGTACTTCTCATTTGCAAGAAGGATTTCGTTGGAGCCCAGATCGCCGTCGGGACCACCGGTCTGCAGCTTTCGAATGGTGCTCGGGTCGATCTTCAGTTTGCGGTAGATACCAAGGACGTACTGTCGCACAGACAGAGTGGTCATGCCATATGTATCATGGGGAATACCACCCAGCCTGGGGCTCTTGCCCGTGAAGAACGATTTCCACCACGGAGCTCCTCTGTTTCTGGCATGCTCCGTGGCCCAGTCCACCAGCTCGGCCGTGTTCTCGTCGGGGCCCATGAACAAAATCTCGTCCTTGCCATGCAAGTCCACAATTGGATCCTTGATACCGGGGCTCACCGGGGGCAGCAACAGGTCCAGAATACTGTCGATGTACTTCTCAAAGGCAACACCGGCTTTGTCCTGGTGGTTGACATCCAGGAGGATCACGCCCTTCGCACCACCTTCGGGGATATCCTTGTTCTTGCGCTGCTGCGTGTTGGCGAGGTTATAGTTCTCATCAAACAGCGATCGAGCATTGATACTATAGGCTTCCTTGTTCCGACTCTTGACAATACGGATACCTCCGCGGGCAATATCTCGGAACCGCAGATGGAATCCACGGAACTCGGAGCTGATGACCAAGAACATGCCATAAAGGCGTTGGGGGTATTCATGCTCCGGCAGAAAGTCCGGGTTGAGTCGAAAACTGAGGGCAACTTTGGTTGGGGTGAAGAAGTTGCTCTTCAGGATCGAGGCGTTGAACACACGGAAGGCACTCATGACCATCTCATCGTGCTCGTTAGCCGCGGTGCTCGAGATGAGCTGCTTCAACTTGGGTCCATCCAGAACCTCGTCAACCTGCAGACGCAGATAACTTAGCGTGGGAAGGAAGTCATCTTCGGCAGGGCCACGGGTCTGCACATAGTGCGTGTTGGCGAAGTCCAGGTAGAGCTTATGGATCAGGTCCGGGTACTTGTTGACAATTTCTGAGATGTAGTCGGATGTGAATGTCTCAGTACGCAACCGCTTCTTGATCTTCGCCAACAGCTCCGCGTGAACACTGTTGTTCGCGTCAAGAAGGTCGGTCAAAGAGATATATTCGGATCCCAACCGGTTCAGGAATTGCTGAACGAACACCCAGGCACAGTGAGCGTAGATGGTTTCCTGCAAGCTGAGACGCCCACTGGCGAAGTGGTGCTGGAATCTGTTCTGAGGGATACAGTACAGAAGAGAGACTTCCTTGATAATCTGGTGGATGGTCGACTCGATTGGAGGGTGCTTGGGGACAACCCCCTTGTTGGGTAGAGGACGCAGGTAGAGCGAGATCACAGTGATGCCGTTCGAGAAATTCTCCAGGTACTTCCGGGAACTTGTCAGGTGGTAGTAATGGTACAAGTCGGAGAGCGCGCTGAAAAGCCCCATGGCAGAGCCTTGACGATAGGCAATGACCAGTCGCTTTTCACGACTCTTCTCGATCTCAAACATCTCAATGACCGGGCCGGATCGGCTGACGGCATTGCTGATGATTTCTTGGTAAATGGCTTTGGTGTTGGGAGTGGCCTTTTGCAAGAATCTCTTTTCGCCAATGATGTCGATGTTGGTCTCGTTCGGATCAGGGTTTGGGTTGGCGAACAGGCACTTGTACACGAAATAACAACGAAGTTGCTGTCCGTCGTCTCCGGGGATTGAAGTCGGCGAGCGGAAGGTTTCCACACGGTAGCTGTTATCGTGAGTCGAGCCGTTGATATATTTCTGATCGATGCGCTGTTCATAGCCAGGACCTTCGACTGATGAAACGCCAGGCTTGCTGGTATCGATGTAAACGGCATGATCTTCTGCTTCCTTGTCCAACCGGATCTCAAGCTTCTTATCGTCCCGAGCGTAAGCCGCGACCTTGGCCGCGTATAGAGAGAGAATCTGTGTGACGATTGCGTCGACTGTTTCGGTTTGAAAATATGTGTCGTCAATGCCCAGCTGGTTGTAGAACCAATTGGTTTCTCCGGTCACGAAATCGGCAGGAAGGAAGCCTTTCTTTTCCAATTGGTCCATCACTAGTGTTTAAGACACGCGTCAGAAGGCATGTCACTCACTCAGAAGGATAGACGTCTCTGTTCCTTCTATGTCCAGAGCCATAACAGGCGCACTCACCTTCTTCCATTTGATTCTCCTTCCCTTCAAACTTGGCCGCCACGTAGCCAGGGTCTTCCTCGGACAAGATACGATGTTGGCCGCCTCCAGGGATACCCAGATGAGTAGGCTGGGGGGAAGGTTGACGCACGCTAGAGCCGGCTACATGGTCCAGGATCTTGTTGTGCGGGTGTCTCTGGAATCCAATGGGAGTGCCAGCTCCTGACTGGGAGCTGTCGTTGCTCGCATAGAGTTTGGGGACCGGCCGCATAGGAAGAGTGTCATTGCCATTGAGATGGCCGTCTGGAATCGGCGACGAGGAGGGGGCGGAGGAGACCATGGTTGGAGTGGGTGGTAGCGAGACGCGTTTCGGACGATACTAAAGCAGAGGAAGAGGAACTGGGAGATTTAGATCTGGTGAGTCATGCACTGGGAACGAGGCAGCTATGCGTGCCAGCAAGCCAGCAACAAAAACCAGGAGGCAAAAAAAGGTAATCGAGGGAGTGGGTGGGGGGGGGGGGGGGGGGGGGTTGATAAGACAGATAGACAGTATCTAGACAGCTCGCAGAGAGCAGCACAAGGGGGATGTGGAATATTTATATGGAAGGGGAAAAGTCAATTGGGGGTTCTAGACCATCAAGAATAGAAGCTATTTACCTTTAGGAGAGTTGGGGGATGGGATGAGGTTGGGTTCGCTGTTGTTATGGCCAGGGCAATGACGAAAGCTCGAAGCTTATCGAAGCAAACAGACCGGGATATTCACGGGTTGGGGACGGCCATTAACCAACACGTCACCCTCAAGAATTTAATGCCCAAGGATTTTCCAAGGAGGACAAAGAGATATCTAAGAGGGGGGAAAGGGGAGGATAGTCAAGATATTTAGAGGGGAGGGGGGGGGGAGAAAGCAAGAGAGAGAGAGAGAGAAAGAGAGAGAGAGAGATTAATTTGCAATTGTTTGATTGACCAGGACAGAACAAAGCATGGCCAGCACAGTAGTAGTGAACCGGCCGACGCTGGGTCTTTATACAGATACAGATACACCTGGAGGGAGAAGATTGGGACCGGTTTGAGCAAAAAATAAATAATAATAATAGTAATAACGAAAAAATTGTGGTAATCATCGTAATCATGGTAATAATCACCGCAGCAGGCGCAGAGATAGCCGGTGCTATGCGATCGGCCAGGAACGGGGGGCCGGTCCGGGGCAGCCTGGTGTTGGACGGTTGGACTTGGATCCTGTTTCCTGCATCGATGGGTCTCCACGTTGTCCCGGACTGTCAGTACTTCTTATTAGTAGAGTGGCAATGGCAGTGACAAGTGGCTGTAGTGTAGGTTGATAGACTACTGATAGTTATATCCCGGAATTCTAGAACTACTACTCGTACTAGACAACATCTATATACTTACTACTTACTCCCTTCCACACCTCAACACCACCACCACCACCACCACCCCGACTACTAGTACTACCATTATGACACCTTCTTTCCATCTCTCTTTCTATGTCCTCCCCCCTTCGTCATTCTCCTCCTCGGATGACTCGATCGCGGTCGCCAAGGCAAGTGGAGCCGGGCGGCCTGTTCACTGGTTCAGGCATCGCTGGGGAGGATAGCGCGAATGAGGCAAGAGCGAAAAATACCGCAGCCGAACGACGTGATTGGCCATGGGGAGGCTAAATTTGGAAAACAACCCTCCCTTCCCCCCCCCCCCCCCAAAAAAAAAGAAAGAAAGACAGAAAGAAGGAACAAAAGGAAGAACAGAAATTGCCTCAACGCCTGGGAGCTGAAGGCACAGTGGCTGGACAATTTCAGGGGGCGTGCGGCAGCAAATTTAGAACTAGAGATGAGATCTGACTGTGACGAACATGATGACAAGAAAGGTAAGGTAGTATCTAATGTGTATACTAGGCACGGAGTACTGTACAGTGTACATATCGAGTAAGGTACGATCTCAAGAGTCACCGGGTCTTTCCCCCATGTTGAGAGTCAGCTGACCGGACCGGCTGGGCTCTCTCGCGGTCTCCACTTAGTAGGGCTGTAGGTTTCGAAAGGGGGTTTTGGTGTGTCATGGTGGCTAGACGCCTGCAAATCATCGCGCCTGCAACAGATTGTGCAGCTTTTTCCTGCGTAATATGGCGACTGGCGAGGGGCATGGAGGGGGAAAATGCCGCATGTTGTTTGAGGGCTTATCATCCAGAGCGGTTCTTATCATCTTGAGGATTGGGATGTGCACCTGTGCAGACCCATGGCAAGGTGCAGTGGATGTATCTCGTAGATAAGTCCCGGCTCCCGGGGAGCTATCAACTGGCCCTGTGTCATTGAGCGTTGTCAATTCCCCTTGAGGATCTTCAGCACATAAGGTACCAAGTAGTACTGTACATTTTACACACCGCCAGGCTAGGGCTCTGGACAAGGTTAGTAGTAATCCGCATAGCGGGTGATATTTTGGCCAGAGAAAATTCGACTACTGGTACAGAATACTACTCCGTACTGGATGCTACTAGTTAGTATGGAGTACATATTTCTTCACCGAACTTGGGAAGGTTCCTCACGGCTCACGGCTCACGGCTCACGGCTCATGGCGCTCACGCGCCTAGACTGCGGGGGTGGTCGATCGGTACCTGGATGATGGTCCGTCACTATCCTCAATCCATTCCTAGCGATTTGCGGGGGGAAGCGAGAGGGGGAGGGGGGGGACTGGGAAGGGGAACTTGGGGGCAGAGGGAGAGGGGACTCGGAGAGAGGGGACGGGGGTTGAGGAATCCGACTAGTCTCCAACACCCAACACACAGTCAAATAAGATGCGCCGGAACATCCTGCCGGGGAATTCCCATTATTAAAATGGCTCACGCCCGCCCCCCCATGCCATTACCCATTACCCCATAGAAAATCAACCTTTCCCAGTTCCCCCTCCCTTTTCTAGTTGCTTCGGAAGCCGATCCAGGCGGGGGTGGATCAGTCATCCTCGTTTCGGTTGACGTGATCCGTACCTGGGGGAATCAGCCATGGGTACGATCCACCCCGTCGCCGTCTGGAAGGGTCCATATGAAGTAATGGGAACGACGACCTGGATTTCCGCGTTTTCCTGTTCGTGCTGCTGCCGCGTCGTCTTGCCGCCATGACGTACGGTCACGTAAGTACCCCGGCGATTGCTGCGGGAATGGATAGCAGCAGACACATCCTGAGGGGCACGAGCGGCCGCTGCATCGTGACTGATACTTTACTTTACCGTTACTGTTAGATACTAGAGACGGACCCCCCCCCCCCCCTCCCTCCGCGATCGTGGCCCCCTGATAGGTGGTTGGGGGCCCGACTCGTATCAAGGCCGCAAAATAGGTGTCTTGGACAGCTTTGCATGATGGCACAACTGGTGCCGGGGATGGATAAGCGGCTGGGTCCGACAGGTCACCTGCAGGTCAAGAAGATCAAAGGGGTCCGATTCAGTCCAGGGAGATTCGTCGTCAAAGCAATTGATACATCTGCAACATCTGCATGCAAACACCCAGCCGGGTCCGTCTCTCCGATGGTAGAGATTGGGTGAACAGCACGGCTCCGCCTGAGTACATTCGCCAATACCTGACCTACACCTACCGCTGCGCGATGCAACCTATTACTAGGAAGTTTCAGAAAGAAAAATTATCGCACGGGGCCCAGATGCCCAGATACTGGGGGGTTAGGATAATGATGCAATATCATGGTCTGACTCGCACACAGCACACCAGAGCGCGGTTTCGGCAAGCCCACGATATAATAACTCGCGGGAGCGACGCATGTCCCGCAGTCGCCTCCTCGGTGGTGTAGTGAATGAGGGAACCTGCAAAGAAGGAGTGCGAGGGATCTCCCACCTCGGCCCTTGTGCACAATGTGTGATCACAGCATGGATAGCTTTCACGGGGTCAATCAATGCCCAGGTATGTTCTAGCCTTCTAGGACAGGCCCAATGATTCCTTCGCTAGCACCGGGCACGGAATGCCATGGATAAACTTCGTTAAATGTTCCTTGCATTCCCCTCGGCAAGATGGACAGTCACGCGAGAGGAGAATGCCTGGGCGTAGAGTCTCCCTTCCTGCGGGTTGGAAGGTTGATTTATCCAACCGTCTTCTGGTCTGGGGATTGATAGAGACATGCGTCTACCAAGAATCCTTCTAGGGGATCGAAATGCAGAAGGCACGAAAGAGGGAAGAATGACGGGTCAGAAGACAGACAGGCCTCCGACCCGAAGAGGCGACGGACAAGCAGCTAGAAGCCAGGAAACTTACGAAACTTACTCTACAAGACCCATCACGTCATCTCGCAAGCAACTTTTATTTAGTTCTTGTCTGGTATATCTGAAACATATCATACAACTACCCCGTCTACCGCTTCTTGATGCTCACATCGATGTTCCCAACCGCCCACGCGGCCACAAACACAGTCAACAGGCCGGCCGTGATGGTCACGGGCTTGCGCAGACTGTCCCACAGGGAGTAGTCGTAGGTGAGCTGTGTCCAGATGTGAGTTTCAAACTGCCAATCCAGTGCATATAGTTGCTTACCAGTAGCTGAGAGTCACGGGCTTCGTCCGTGAGGCCCTCGACGGTCAAGGTCAGAGTTGTCCGTCCCAGCGTGTCCATGAAGGTCTTGTAGCTGGAGATATGGGAATGGATCTGGCTGGCGCTGGGAAGTCCATTGCTGGAAGACTTCTCGAGTGTCTCGTACTGGACGTTCCGGGCGCCCTCAGGGAGAACCACGCGGACGACGACCTTCTCGTACTGAATGCCCTCGGCGACCTTGGGGCCCTCGATGAAGGGGACCCTCAGCACGTACGAGTCCGCGCCCGTAACAGCGCGACGGAGGAAAGCCGACAGGTCGTTGTTCCAGCCAATGCGGAAGCTGTAGTTCCAGCTTCCGAAGATGGGGTACCGGGGGCGAATCTCCAAGGATCCCTCACGGTTGGGGACCTTGCCGGGGCGGTAGTGGCTCGTCGAGACGTTGCCAATATCGTCGGTGAAGTACGGGTCGACAGACCCGGGCTTCAGGGGGTATTTGAGCTCACGGATAGAGGAAGATGGCAGCTGCTGGTAGCTGGAGATGGTCCACTCAACGCGGGAGAAGTTGTCCGTGAGCTTGGAGCCGTTGTTGCGCAGCCAGTAGCGCTCTTCCGTCGCCAGATTGCCGCCCCAGTGGGACACTTCCAGGTCCCGCTCCAACAGCGAGGCAGTGATGACGGGCTTGGTGAACTCGTAGCGGATGTTGATTGGGTAGAAGGTCCCCGGGGCGACATTGGCCGTGTCATAGGGCCCATACGTGTAGGTGGTGCCCTGGCGCTGCGGATCGGGACCCGATGTCAGGTCCGTGGTGGTGTAGTCCGGGACGCTGGTACTGGGGAGCTTAAGCTTGGTCTTCTGGGTGACCGTCGTATAAGCGGAGGGGGCATAGGCGGAGAAGGAGTGGGCGAGGAACTGGCGATCATTCTGGCTAATGGCAGCTGGGCGCGGGCGGAGGCTATTCAGGACAGCGTAGGAGATTCCTAGGGTGATCTGCGACGAGGGGGCGAGAGGTTTAGGGAGGTGGACGATAAAGTACTGGAAGTCACTGCATGTGTCATAAGACAAAGGCGTTAGCGAGTGTGCTCGATCAACCATCCAGATGCTTGGCTGGATCAAGCAACCGTGGCTTCGTCCTCTCCGTCCCCGACCAGCCATTGGCGGCCACAATTGGGGCAACTCACCTGCCCGGACTGAACTCGGTCGCTTCCACGTCAAACCGGCCATTCTCTGGGGCCGTCTTGTCCCGGACTTCCAGAGCTCCGACCTTGTCATAGAGGTCGGACGGGAAGGACAGGTAGTAGTCGCTCTGCGGTTGCGTGTCCACGTTCTCGACCACCACGTTGACGGTTTCCCGCAAATACCCCTTTTCCAGATTGGAGGTTCGGACGAGGTTCGCGTTCTTGAACACCTGAGGGGGTTTGAAATCGCGAGGAAGCGCCACCCGCGAGGGGGAGGTGGTCGAATCGGCGCCTACGAAGCTGCTGGCGGACAGGAACAGCCCGCACAGCGCAGAGAGTGCGGTAAACGGCCTCATTGCGGCGATGGGCGGTCTCTCACCAGGAGATAGTCCCAAAAAGATGAGGAGGAAGCAGAAGCCGACAAGCACACACCGGGGGAACAGCAATGTGCAAGACGAGAGGGGGGGGGGGGGGTTGAGAAGAGAAGGAGGACGCGCGGAGATGCTGAGATGCTGAGGTGTCCCGATTCGGGATTACGTACGGCCACCGCCTTGGCTTTTGCCCTCATCTTATCGCCGATCTCCTCCTCCTCCTCCTCCTCCTCCTCCTCCTCTTCTTCTTCTTGCTGCTGCTTCGGCTTCGGCTTCTCCTCGCTTCTCCGCCTCTCCGCCTCCGCTTCCCCCTTCAGTCTCGTCTCGTCTCGTCTGTCTCTGGCAGACAATCACCCCCCCCACAATCCATGCTTGCCTCGCGCGCTGCAGCTCGATCATGCTGCCGCCCAGCTAGAGCCCTGACAACCCCCACAGTCCTCACCGCCCCCCGTCGGTATCACGGTCTCGCGCAGAGCAGGCTCTTCAGGGTGTCTGACGAGGTTCGCGATGCAGTGGCCACCGGAAAGCCCGTCGTGGCGCTGGAGTCAACAATCTACACTCACGGTAGGGCTGCCGCGCCGCTTTGGCAGATAGGACAGAGCTGACCGCCGCAGGATTTCCCTATCCCGAGAGCGTCGCGCTTGCATCATTGCTGGAGTCCGTGGTCCGATCCAATGGCGGAGTTCCTGCTACAGTCGGAATTCTCGGGGGCGAAGCTCGGGTTGGTCTAAGTGCCGCCGAGCTCGTCGAGCTCGCATCCACCGCAGAGAAGAAGAACGCCCTGAAAGTGTCCCGGAGAGACCTCGGTTACATTTGCGGTCTGGTGGGTGACGGTCATGCTGCTACACACGGGTCCATGTCTAACGAGCGTAGGGTCTAACTGGGAAACGTCTTCATGGTGGAACAACAGTGTCGGGTACCATGGTGCTGGCTCACTTGGCTGGGATCAAGGTGTTTGGGACGGGGGGGCTGGGTAGGTGTCTCGGAGCTGCTACCATACCCACTGGTGCTGACATACCATAGGCGGCGTGCATCGCGGGGGGGAGAATTCCATGGACATATCGGGTATGTGGGACCGACACGGGGTGGCATCGTCAGCTAACTGTCGTAGCTGATTTAACCGAGCTGGGACGAACGCCGGTGGCCGTGATCAGCTCCGGGTGCAAGAGCTTCTTGGATATCCCACGCACCCTCGAATACCTTGAAACGGAAGGGGTCTGTACTGGAACCTTTGCTGATGGCCGTCAAGGCTCCGTCGATTTCCCTGCATTCTATACCCGAGATAGCGGGCTGAAGAGCCCGAAGGTCATCCAGGACGAGGCTGAAGCGGCTGCCATCATTTGTAAGTAGCCTCCAGGCCGTGGGCAAACTGGATCTGTCCCCAGGCGCACCATCTCTCCCCCATGGATAGATTGCGCGCTACTTGGCTTGCATTCCTATTGACAGTCCTGCAGATGCCCAATCCCAGATCCCGGTTTCCTCGGGTATCCTTCTTGCTAACCCTGTGCCTCTTGAGCATTCCATCCCTCAGAATGAGATGGATGCCATCATCGACGAGGCCATTCGTCTTGCGGCGGTTGGGGGCCACCAAGGAAGCGATAACACACCTTTTGTGCTGTCCAGAATCAAGGAACTCAGCGGCGGCAAGAGTGTGGTGGCCAACCGAGCGCTGGTGGAGGCGAATGTGAAGCGCGCAACCAAGGTGGCCGTGGAGCTTTCCAAACTGGAGCGGTCTGGGGGATCGCGTAGCGAACGGTGAGCTGCCACTCATCCGTGTCAGAATCGGGATATCCTAACTTCGCGATGGCCTGCGCAGACATATGCCAGCTATCTCCGGGACAAGTCGGGCTGACCAAGCGACTTCAGAGACAGAGCTGGAGCTCGAATCAATGAGTGAAGATCCAGTTGAGCCCATCGCCAAGGCGGACGTGCTTGTGGCGGGCTCCCTAGCCATCGATCTTGCGTGCGACTTTGCCCCGGCGGAAGCGCACGGCACCACGCCCGTCCTGCAAACATCGAACCGCGCCGTGATCGGACAGAGCTTGGGCGGAGTCGGACACAATGTTGCCATTGCAGCGAAATACCTGGACAGCTCCGTGCTGTTCTGCAGCGTGGTGGGGGACGATCTGAGTGGCCAGACCGCCCTGTCCAGTCTGCGTCAAGAGAAGCTCTCCACAGCCGGTATCAAGGTTCTGCCGGCCTCGTCCGGGGCGCGGACAGCCCAGTATGTGGCCATCAACGATGTCCGGAAAGACCTCGTCGTGGCCATGGCCGATATGGCAATCATGGAACAGCCGCTGCAGGCCCTGGACTTTGACGGGTTTTGGGAGCCGATGGTGGGTCAAGCGCAGCCGCAATGGGTGGTAGTGGACGCCAACTGGGACCCGGAGGTCCTGGCCAAATGGGTGGCTTTGGCCAAGCAGCATAAGGCCCGAGTGGCCTTCGAGCCCGTCTCGACCGCGAAGAGCCGTCGCCTGTTTGGATCGGCCATCGGGCCGTCCGACTTTGTGCCCAAGCACACGGTGAGCGTCGCGGCTCCGAACCAGCTTGAGCTGGCGGCGATGTACACGGCGGCCCGGGAGGGCGGGCTGTTTGATTCGGAGGGGTGGTGGCGCATCATCGATTCGATGGGGATGTCGTCGTCGGGCTCGAGGGACCGGCTGGTGGCGATGACGTCGGGCAGCCTGGTGGACCAGGGCATCCCGCAGCAAAGCATCCAGCTGCTGCCGTTCCTCCCGTGCGTGGTGACCAAGCTGGGATCGGAGGGGGTGCTTCTGGCGCAACTGCTGCAGCCGGGAGACGCGCGGCTCACGAGCCCGGAGTCGGCGCCGTACATTCTCTCGCGGGCAGCGAGGGACGACGGGGTAGTCGGGGGCGTGTACCTGCGGCTGTTCCCCCCGGCGGCGGTGCTGAGCGAGGCGGAGATCGTGAGCGTCAACGGGGCGGGCGACACGCTGCTGGGGGTGGTGGTGACGGGGCTGGCGCGGGGGCGGGCGATCGAAGAGGTGATCCCTACGGCGCAGGAGGCCAGTCTACTGACGCTGCAGCACGCGGGGGGGGTGAGCCGGGAGATAGGCAGATTGGCATTGTAGGTAGGTAGACTAGTAGTAGTAGTAGTAGTAGTAGTAGTGGCAGTGGCAGTACTAGATAGATCAAGATCAAGTTTACGACTACGACACCATGCGATCGACCCCCTCGGCGCCAACGACAGGAAGGCGCTCCACCGACGCCTTCCCGTCGCGCGTCGTCCCCGTAACCCTAAACCCGGCGGGCACCAGCTCCGGATCCAACAGCCCGATCTGCACCAACACACACGCCTGATCCCAGTAGATGTTCAGCCGGGCCAGCTTGCCCGTACAGAAACTGGCGCTCATGACGAGAGCGACGCGGACGGGCCGGCCGGTGGGCGGCACGCGGGCAGCAGCCAGGGGATTTCCTCGGTGTGGGTGAAGGAGAGGAGGAGCTCGTCGACGACGCGATCGGGCCCGGTCGTGCGCGATAGCAGGCGGATGTGTTGGTCGGGGGGCCGACGGGAGGAATTCGCTCGTGTAGAAGGTGGTGATGGCTTTGGGGGTGGTGCCTGGATGATGGGATCAATCCATTGGTTAGGATTTAGTCCCATGTTGGGTGGAAGAAGAAGAAGAAGAAGAAGAAGAAGCATACCTCCCCCCAAGGTCGGCAGGCAATTGACGACCGGATTCTCCTCGATCGTGCAGGTTTCCTCCTCTTTTCCAGTAACAGCAGCAGCAGCACTATGATTACTCCCTGCACTGGCACTGGCACTGCTACTCGCATCCTCCAACGCCAACATCTCCATCTTGACCCCCAAGCCACTCCCCACCATCAACGACACAATCTCCGCGGCCCTTCTCTCCCGCTCATCCTCCTCATCCCGGTCCGTCCATGCCCCTTCCCCCTCTCCTCCTCCTCCTCCTCCTCCTCCACCTCCACCATCCACCCCCACCGAGGAAGAGAACCCCGACGACAAACACCGCCAATACTCCTCCCAGACAGCCTCGACATCACACGCGCGCCAACCGGGCGTCGCAGGCCAGCCGAACCCGCGCTTCAACCCATCGAGAGCGCGCGACCAGGCCAGCCGGGCGGAGATGCGGTCGTAGGACGGGGCGGTGGGTTCGGCGAACCGGGGCCGGGATTCCGGGTAGGAGAAGATGTGGCAGCGGTGACGTTTTCGGGGTGGATGGCGGAGGAGGAGGAGGAGGAGGAGGAGGAGGAGGGGACGGGGTGGGTGGCGGTGCCGGCGAGGTGGATTTGGATGGGGAGGAGCGGCACGGAGGAGGGGTAGGTGGTTGGGGTGGTGGTGGTGGTGGTGGTGGTTGAGCAGCAGTCCGGGTAGTAAGCGATGAGGGCGCAGAGACGGGGGAATGGGTTGGTGGTGGTGGAGGGTTGGTGGTGCGATTCGAGCAGGAGATGCGCGGGTTTGTTGTATGCTGAGGGAGGGTGAGTGAGTGAGTGAGTGAGTGAGATGGATGTATGTATAGATGTAGAAGAAGATGATGATGGAGACGATATCATACCCACAACTGCGTATCGCTCGCCCGGCTCGAGGTTGTCCTCGCGCTCGTGCAGGAGGTTCTCGAGCTCCTTGCGATCATCCCCGGGGAAGGCCAGATACTCGACGTCGAAGCCCTCGGCGTGGAGTCGCGCGAGGATGCCGGCATCGAAGTCGGGCGAGTCGGAGGTCACGTACAGGCGCCGGGGCACGCTGGGTTCGACATCGCGGCGACGCTTGTCACTGCTATTGCTGCTGCTGCTGCCCAAGAGGCTCGGGGGCGATTGCAGCGGCGTCCTGCTGGACGAGCTGCCGCGACGGCCCGAAGATGCTGGCGGAGGCGATCCATGGTCTATCGGTCTATCGCACAGGAGAAAAGAAACGAGAACGAGATGAAGATGAAGATGAAGATGAGATAGCGGAAGTCAGCGCCGGACCCATGGTCGAGTTCGCCATGACCCGATTTAAATAAACAACAGCCGAGCAGCCCGCCGGCATGCTGGGCTGACGTCGACGAGTGCTGGCCATTCCGGGGCAACGTGGATCCAGCCAGATAGATATGGGGCCTGCGGGATCGCCTGATGGCTGGCTTGGAGATCGGCCCAAGGTCGTAACATCGGTTCATGTGCGTGCATGCATGCATGCATGCATGCATGCACGCATGGCGCTATGTATTCTATCGTCTCTATCGGTGCTGCGAAAAGCCGGCCTGACGTCAGGCAGGTGGTCTGGTATGTACAAACATCGTCTCAGCCATGTCATCCCCTCCCACGCCCGTCATCGGTCAGGACTCGAACCCGGTCAGCCAGCTCGTCTGTCCCCTTACGTCCTCCTCGTCCGCCCGGCCCGCCGCCAGATAGCTCGCATACGCCGGCCGCTGCAGGCTGCGGCGCGCCACCTCGCAGTCCACGCGGATGTCCTCCACCAGGGCGTCCAGCGACACGTAGTCGAACTCGGGCCGGATGTAGCCCAGGATCAGGAGGCGGAGGGGGGTGCCGTAGAAGTCGGGCAGTTTGTGGAAGGTGACCGGGCCGTCGGCGGTCGCGGTCGGGGAGGGCGCGGACAGCGGCGGCATGATGTGGATTTCCTATTTCCCGGGGGCGCGGTCAGTTCGGTCCTCGCGCTGGTGGGGGGTAGGGAGGGGAACGGACGATCGACTTGGTTTTGTTCTTGTAGAAGGGATTGTAGCCGATGCTGAGGACGGCGGGTAGGATGGGGGCATCGTCCTCGTACGCAAAGCGGGCGGGATCCAGGGCCACGACGCCGTAGTACACGCCCACCGACAGATCCGGGTACTCGTCCAGCCCTTCCGCGGGGATGTTGGCGGTGGGGATGCCCAACTGCTGGCTGTTAGCGGCGCGAGGGAGTAAGGGCGCGAGGGCGCATCGGTGGCACTCACCTCTTTGCTGCCCCGCCCAAACCCTTTGATGACCGGCCCGGAGAGGCGGATGGGATAGGGGGCGGAGGGCCCGTCATCAGACCCTGCGACGGGATCGCGGGGGCCGTCGGGTCGCATGGTCGTGGCGAGGGGAGGCAATGGGGGGTGGGAGGGTGAGGAGGATGGAGGGAGGGAAATGAGGTGAGACTTGAGAAGACCGAGAGAGAGAGAGAGAGAGAGAGAGAGGAAAGATAGAAAGAAAGAAGGAAAGAAGGCCGGAGAATCGCGCGATCGGCGGGATCGATAAGATCCATGCGGGGTTCCCGATCGGGCCGCCAACTGGCCAGTCATCATCACATTCCTGCCTACGTTTTACTGACTTACATGTTTACTTCTCTACAGACACAGCATGTTCGTCGAACCGTGAAACTCCGTTCCTCTAAATATGAAAGACTTTAAGCTCGTAACTACACGTTTACTCCATCTCAATCGTCGCAGGAGGCTTGCTGGAAATGTCATACAGAACACGGGACACTGCAATCAATCAGCATGCTGCCATGAGAAATGGAAAGGGGGCAAAAAAGAATGAACTTACCGCCGTGGACCTCGTTGATGATCCGGGTCGAGCACTGGCTCAGAAACTCGTTGTCGAAGGGGAATGCCCTGGCAGTCATGACTGCGGCCTGTTAGTCCCAACTCAAACTCAACAAAAAGGGTAGTGTATATCGGTCACTCACAATCGGTCGTCTCGACGGCACGCAGGATGATGATCTCCGCGTAAACCCGGTTGTCACCCATGACACCCACCGCCTTGCTGGGGTCCAGGGCGGCGTACGCCTGCGCGATCTGGTCGTACAGACCCGCCTCGCGGATCATCGAGATGAAGATGTGGTCCGCCTTGCGCGCGATCTCCACCCGCTCCGGGGTGACCTCACCCAGGACACGGATGGCAATGCCGGGGCCCGGGAAGGGGTGGCGCATCACCAGCTCGTGGGCGATGCCCAGCTGGCGACCCAGCGCCCGGACCTCGTCCTTGAACAGCTCGCGGAGAGGCTCGATCAGCTTCATGCCCTGGCCCTCCATCATGCGCTCTGCTCCACGTCAGTACAAGTGCACACATACAAAACCCACCCGGGGAACTCACTGGGCAGACCACCCACGTTGTGGTGGGTCTTGATGGTCGCCGAGGGACCCTTGAAGGAGATACTCTCGATGACATCGGGGTACAGGGTACCCTGGAGGAACCACTTGACCTTGGCGCCCTGGTGCTCGGTCTTGGCCTCGATCTTCTGGGCCTCCTCCTCGAAGACGTCGATGAAGGTGCCGCCGATGAACTTGCGCTTCTGCTCGGGCTCCGTCACGCCCTTGAGGCCGTCCAGGAAGCGCTTGGAGGCGTCCACCACGGTCAGATTGATGCCCAGGTGGTTGTTGAGGGTCTCCTCGACGATGGCGCACTCGTTGAGGCGCATGCAGCCGTTGTTGACGAGCACGGCGTGGAAGCGGTCGCCGATGGCCTCCTTCATGAGCTTGGCGGCCCTGGTGCGCGTTAGCAAGGATCAGCCGGCGTATTGGCAGCAGCGGCACTTACACGGTGGAGTCGACACCACCACTGACGGCACCCAGCACGTGGTCAGTCTCGCCGACCAGCTTGCGGATGCGGACGATCTCCTGGTCCACGAAATTGGACATGGACCAGTTCTGCTGCGCCTCGCAGATGTTGACGGCGAAGTTCTTGAGGATCTCGGTACCTGTGAACGGGAAGGTCAGTGTCGGCCTCCCTCACAGACAGACTCGGGGGGGAACGCCGTACCGAGGGGGGTGTGGGTGACCTCAGGGTGGAACTGGACACCGTAGAGGGGCTTGGTGGCGTGGGCAATGCCGGCGTACTCGGAGTTGGCGGTAGTGGCGATGGTGTGGAATCCCTCGGGGAGCTTGACCAGCTTGTCGCCGTGGCTCATCCAGACCTTGATGTGGCCCTCGAGGCCGGCGAACAGCTTGTCGACGTGGCCCTGATTGTCGAGTCTCTTGGCCTCGAGGTCGGCGTGGCCGTACTCGCGGGAGGTGCCGGCGTCGACGTTGTCCTTGCCCAGGCGGTAGGCCATCTCCTGGAGGCCATAGCAGATACCGAGGATGGGGACACCGAGGTCAAAGACGGCGGGGTCGGCGTGGGGGGCTGTCGGGGTGGTGAGTCAGTCAGTCAGTCAGTCAATCTCCGTATTTGCATGCGGCTTCCCGAGCGAGGGAGGGAACCGGTTCACTTACCGCCGTCCTGGTAGACACTGTAGGGACCGCCAGACAGGATGATACCCTTGGGCTTGAAGGGCAGGTCGGCGATCTTCTGAGTGCATGGCAGCATCTCACTGTAGACATTGATCTCGCGCAGTCTCCGGGTGAGGAGATGCGTCTGGGGGGAGACGTCAGTTGACTCATCGCGGTGCGGTGATGGCGGGGTAGTGGGCGGGCACTCTGAGGGGAGGGGAGCAGCAGAGAGACGTACGTATTGAGACCCGAAGTCTAGGATGAGGATGGTGTCGAAGGTGGCATGGGGAACCTCGGTGTCGGCCATGGTGACGGTAGGGGGCAGAGAGACAGGACCAATTGCTCGAACCAGGAAGCGATGCAGGCCAGCGGAAGACTTGCTTGCAGACGCCCGACTGAGCCTCTTTTTTTTCTGCGCCCATCCCGAAATTTTTTTCTCTGCCGGGCGGTGAGCCGGGCGGTCGGGGAGGGGGAGATAACGCTAACGCTAACGCTTATCGGGCAGACGCTCCCGTGACGTTGCTTATGTCAGCAGTTCCGCCAGCCCTAACCAGGAAGAAGAGTGGCTAAGAAGCCACTCCCTCTTCTGTATTCATTCTATCCAACAGTCAGTCAGTACTGGTATCTCCTTGGCAGTGGCTGAGACCTCCATCTTCAACGTCTATCTATCCAAGTCCCACGAAGACAGACCACGGTTATCAACATCTCAACGTTCCACATCCTCCTGTTACTGTAACAGCCCACCCGCCAAGGGATCAACCCGACCAGCCTGCGCCGGAATACGAGGTGTGCACTTTATAAATCCCCATATCCCATCCAAGCGTCCAGTATCTATCTAGTTCCAGCATATGCAGTGGACCTCCCACCCAAGGTTGAGCAAGTTGCACCAAACAATCCCCCGGGACTAACTTCGCCTAGCGCCTGCCCTACTCCAGACTAACGCCCCTTAGTAGCTTGGCCGGGTCAGGGTCAGGGTCAGGGTCAGGGTCAGTGTCTGCTCCATCCGTACTGGAGTCTGGAATCCATCCTGGATATGACACGCGGGCGAACAGACTTCTTCAGCATGAGTGTCCGACAGATAGGAGCGATGAGGAGTAGGGATGGATGCCACTCATTTCTTTTTTTTGTGCCTGTGTGGAGCTGATGATTGGCGGGGAGGGACTATGATCAGGGTCTCAGGGTCTCCGGGACATGCGAGACTCATGCAATATCGGCATGATTCATGCCAAGATGGTTCTTTTTTTTTTTTTTTTCTTTATCCAGGCAGAATTGGACCCTCACTAGGCAGACTCGAGCTAGAAAAACTATTTCCTGGCGGAACCACCACCCCTGAGGGGATTTAAACCGGGCCTGTGTCCCTGTCTGTTGTCCTACCTCCATCATCTTCTCTCCTTGCCTTTCTCTGTCTGTCTACACAGTACCACCAAGCCATCACCACCTCAAATAGACAATAGACTCCCACTCCCTCCCACCACACAACCCTAACCATGCACTTCGCCAACCTCCCCAACCTCCCCACCCTCCTCTCCCTCCTCTCCACCCTCACCACCCTCACCCTCACCACGGCCGCCACAACAACAGCGACCCCAGCACGACGACCCTCCAAATCTTCAACGGCGGCGACAGCACCACCATCCCGATAGCCGGGTTCTCAGCGAGCATCATCGCCGTCGACAGCACGGCGACGACCCTCGCCATCGACTGCGGCGACAGTTCCAGCTCCTGCGCTCTCCCATCCCCGATCACCATCACCGAAGGCCCATCCACATTCACCATGAGCGCGGTGTACGCAACCAGCACCGCGGGCCTAGACGGCACGGTGACGCTGATCCAGGACTGCGAGATCACGTCGTCGACGCAGGGGGCGTCGTGTTCGGTGTCCATGGCTGTGGAGGTCACGTATGAGGGGGTCTCGTCGTCGACGGCAACCAGTACGGTGACTTCGTTGGACGGGGACGAGATTTATTATCAGGCGGTGACGGCGACGGCGGGCGTGGAGAAGTTGAGTGCGCCGAAGGCGACGGAGAGTGCCGGGGGGGCGGCGGCGGCGGCGATGGGGATGGGAGGCGTGGGTGTTGGGGGGCGGCGGTGGTGGTGGCGGCGGTGGCTGCTTGGGGGTTGTGAGCGTTGATGTGTATTGATAGTAGTGCTTGACTGGCAATGTGAGCATGCGTCGCGTCTTGTATGCCTAGCTTCATATGGATCCTTGAGCCCCAGGTGCACGCATCCCTTTGGGATTTGGATGATTTGTGCGCGTCGGGCCTGAGGTTGATCATCATCCTCTTGTGGCAGTTCATCCACTTCTATAACTCCTCCAATCGATAACCGTGATTTGACTTCAAATGTGGAAGCTGGAATCGATCCTCCAAAGACAATTCATGGCTGGGCTAACCCGTACAAGTCCACTATATACAAGCCCGTTCATAACTCCATTACGTCCCAGCTCTATGTCGAGAATCAATAGCTCCCAGGGGAATCATACAACCAGTATGTACCAATACAAACATCCGGCCGCCGACCCGCCAGTCGGGGACCAAAGCAAAGAGCGACCCATTTTTTTAGAATCCGGCCCGGGTATGAAACTGATGAAGCACATTAAACAATAAAGCAGGGGCAGACGCATGATACAGATGATCAAATACACGGTAAGAACTGGGGCGGGTTAGCATCGCCATCACCATCATTGTCATCGGCCCAAAGGGGGATAACTCACATTCATCACAATCAACATCGGAATGTCGAAGACGTCTCGCTTGACTGTCCAGCAGTATGCACATTCGACCTTGCCGTCCTTGAACCCCAGCTGGTTCATCCCCGCCTCGCTGGCAATCCCGCCCTTGCGCAGGTGGCTGTTCCACCGTTGGTGGTCTTCCGACGCCACCTCCATGTCCTCCTTCGTCTTGTACTTCAGCAGCTTGCACGTCGTCATCACGCTGCCCCGGGAGTCCCCAAATGCCAGCCGCGCAAAGTCCTCGTAGAACTGCACCACGCTGTCATCGTCCAGCAACTCCGCCAGGAACACCGGCTGCGGCCGCCCGGGCGTCGGGTTCTCCGCCGTCGAACTGCGCGGCGTGAAGCTGCGTGACGATGTCCCGGAGCCGGGCATCGAGGTCCCGCCCGTGTTGACGTTGAGGTTCGCCTCCTTGCCCAGCAGCACGTCCTTCTTCCACCCCGTCAGGATGCTGAACTCCTTGCCCACGGCGGCGATCTCGCCCGTCCGCCGGCACACAATGGTCGGCGTGCCGCACGCGTTGATGAAGTCCTCGTACTCCCACAGCGTCCGCTGGAAACACTTCTCCATGAAGATCAGGTCGTCCCGGTTCAGCGTCTTGGTCGTCGCGATGAAGGACGGCCGGATAGACGCCAGCGCCTTGGCAATCTGCAGTCTCTTCTGGGGAGGGAAGCGTCGCTGGATGAAGGCGGTGAGGTTGTGGAAGCGACTGGTGTAGGCATACGGCTCCTTGACGCTGTCGTAGACCGCAGACGGGTTCCGCTGGCGTCGCCGAGTCCCGACCTGCAGGCTCTGGTGTTTCAGGCTCGGGGTCGTGATGGACGGTCGCTGTCCGTTGGGAGCCAACCCATTCGATTTGCTGGCTACCGCGCTGTTGAACGGAGACTCCTCAAACCCTGTCGTCATCTGCGGGCTGGTGGTCGCACCGGGACTATTGAAGCTGGCCGGACCGCTTTCAATCGCAAACGCGTGGGGCGCATCCGCCTTGCCCATGTGCGCTGGGATCGCGCTACCCTGTCCCTGGGGGTAGACCCCCGGGATCCCGTGCGGTTGAGTCGGTGCCTGTCCACTAGGCCACTCGTTCAAGAGCGGATCCCCGAACATGAACGGCGGCTGGTTGCCCGGGCTTTCGCCAAACCCGGGCCCGGCGGCGATTGGCGTCGAGGCGAACTGTGCCGAGCCACTCCGTCCCATCGACCCTCGCTGGGTGGCCGAGTCGCTGGGCGAGTCCCCGGCGCCCGTGGCCATGTGTCCCAGCATGCCAAACTCCAACGCACCGTAACGGTTCTCAAAGTTCATGCTGGATAGGTCGAAGTTGAACAGGGCTGGGTCACTCGGGTCGAAGAAGGGACCGGCGAACGGGTTCTGACTCTGGGTGGGAGGTCCCGAGACGGGGTTCGGCGGGGGCTGGTTGACGGAGGAGAGGCTGTTGGCTCGAGCCGTCGGAGTGGCCTTGAGGTTGAAGGTCGGGGACACGGGGGATTGGGAAGGAAAGGAGCCCTGGTTCATGGCATTCTCCTGGTAGACATTGTAGGACGTCGACTGGGGCGTAGGGTAGAAGTTGGCCCCGGAGCTCTGCCGAGCGGCGGCATTGACAGCATTGGCCCCATTCCTGGACAGTGGCAGGCTATTGCGCATGCCGCCACCATTGTTGTAGAAAGTCCCGCCGCCGGGGATGCTGGGCATCAAGGCGCCATCCGGCGCATCGTGCAGGTATTTGGCCTTCTTCCGGACGCCGTCGTGGCACGCATCTTGCAGACCACGCTTGATGCACCGTTGACACGGTCTCTCATCACCTATGCGCAAAGCTTGATTAGTGGCAAGTCCTCAATCAGGCCGCGCAAGCGCAATGACACGGTGCATCATTGCGCCTGCGCGCGCAGAAGAGTCGGTGAACAAATGGCTACTGGAAACAACGAGGGGGGTCGTGGAACGCAAGCAAAGCTGAAAGTAAGGTCAGTCGTACCGCAAGTCAAGTGCGCCCGCTGGCAAGCAAAGCAAGCCCTTCTGGCCTTCTTCCTCCGCGGTCTTGACGGGTCCTTCGGGTTGGGTTTCTGGCCGGGCGCCGCGGCACCACTGGTATGTCCGTCGCCGTTGGCCTCGGCCTTGGGCGGTTCTGCCTGGTCTCCGGCCGCGCTAGCCTCCTGGCTGGCTTCGGTGCGCTCCGCCGACGGGGCAGGGGAGCTTTGGTCCTTCTCTTCCACGTTCATCTCGGTATGAATTCTCCAGCGATGTCTTGGGGGATGGGGGTGGTATGCGGCCGTTAATAATGTTATCGCACGTGCGCTGCTCGGTGTTCGTGATGGGCGGCGACAGGTGAATGCCGAAGCAGCTTGGTTCCGAGTCGGGTGGGTGGGTGGCTTTTGTCGCGTTGCGAACCAGCGCAGTCAGAGGAAACCCCACCAAAATTCGCGCGCACCAATCTCACCAGGCTTTAATCTGGGAGGGACAAATCGAGCGTTCTGTCGCGGATCGGGCGCATAGAATCCAGGACGGTGACGGTGACGGTGACGGGTCCGAGGGCGTTTTGTATTAGTTGCCAGGACGGGATGAACAGCGGAACCGACCGCAGCAGAGGTCAGCACGAGTCAAACCGGGGGGGGGGGGGGGGGGGGCGGTCGTGGGTTGGGTTGCGGTTGCGCCGAGAAAATCGGGATGAGAGCGGAGCGCTGGTGAGAATTGAGAGTGATCTCTCTTGCTCTCTCTGTATTATTTTTCTTCCCTTTTTTTTTTTTTATGTCACGCGGCAAGTGGTAGGAATGCGTAGCGCAGGTGGAGCGAGCGACTTGCCGGGACTGCGGGGAAGACCTGTCGTGTGAAAGGGTCGAGAAGGGAGCGGATCCAATGCCCAGCGGCGCAAATGCGAGCGATCCTGGAGGAGGGAGGGGAGAAGGGGGGTTGGTTTATAACGGCAAAGAGGACAACCGGAGGGGTATGGAGGGGAGGGGAGAGGCCAAGAAGCAATGCAGAGGAGCAGCAAACGCGGGGAGAGGGAAGAAGTCAGAAGAGAGGCGACGCGAGGAGAGGAGAGGAGAGAGAGGTCCGTGGTGACTAAAGAGAGGGATTTTGATTCCCTTTGCGAAAAAAATGAACGAACGAGAGGACGAGGCCGAGTCGGACTCGTCTTCGTCTCGTCTCGTCACGTCTTGTCACCCCGCCCTGCCCGTACCGTACCGTACCGCGTCCAGCCCAGTCCCGCCAGCTGAGTCGCGTGTCGACCTGTCCGCCGTTCGACCGATGCTTCCTCTGTTCTGGATATCTTCCAGGAAGTTCGGTCTGGCTGACCGCGCCGAGCTCTAGACAGAGATCCCAGTCCGATGCCTGGAGAGGCACTGGAAGGGCAGGCCTGGCGCCCTTTTCTACTCGGGACAAATGCCGCCGACCCAAACAGGAACGCTCTCCCATGGTCCCCGTCGGTACTGAAATGACGGCCCTGGGACGGTTTTACATGTGCTTCCAAGGTGGACGGCCGCATGTGACGCAGGCCATGCGGATATCCTTTTGCAGTCTACTTACTACTTTCATCATCCATGGAGCAGGAAGTAGATATTTGGTACTCTGTGCAGTGTACTCGGTGCGACTCGTGATTGATAGCAGATCTCGGCTGGGAAATCACGCCGTGACTCTTGCTATGTGACTTTCGAGTCATGGTCCGTGTCCGGTATACTGTATACTGTACATACTGTATACTGTATACAATGTCGGCCCAACCCTCAGAAACATATCGTGGGATGGATAGTAGTATGCACACCATCCCAGCCAGCATGGGCTAGTTCGGCCCGTGCCGACAATCAAAAAAGCAATCATGTCCTATACGAAGGACGGAGTAGATACGCCCGTACAGCAGGAGCAGGGTGTCTCCAGAACTACTGTTATACAAAGTAGATATACTCCGTAAAAAGCGACTGATTGACCGATCGGGTATGCCGCTTACCAGCGGTACCCGAGTACCGAATCGCATCCACTCTCGAGCACTAGCCACGCGAGATGTCAGCCTGAGATGGGAACCAAGCCATGCAAGTTGCAAACAGATACCAGGGACCAGTCGGGGATGTATGAATGGCCACTGAGCAATGCCGACGGACCAGAAGAAAGGATCGAATAGCCGGATTCATATATAGATCAACCGCCGGATATTCGATCTTGTACCTCTCAAAACAACATCTAGCGTCAGCATAGAAATAACTACCCCAACTCCAGCTAGATAACCCACCCTAAGCGCTACTACTACTACTACTACTACTACTACTACTACTACTACTACTACTACTACTACTACTACTACTAAGCCCCCGTCATTACAATACCGTATATCACCTCCACGCTCCCTCCCACGTGTATCCATCCCAAACCCAAATCAATATCGCAAAGCAAGAAAAAAAAGCCCTAGCCATCAGCTAGATAGTTAGTCCAGAATCCAGATAGCAAACCCTCCAGGCCAAACAAATCGCGCAATACAGAAAGCAAATCGCCAATCACAGCGCCCACAAACATCACCATTCTTCGAATCCTTGGTCAATCCATGAGCCATTTCTCGCTGCCGCCCGGGGCTTCCCGGACGGTTCGCTCCCCCTGGCTCCGGCTTTGCCCGAGCCTAAGTATGAACAGCTCGTGGAGGGAGACTTGTGAGTTTGCCTCGGTTAATTAGCCGTCGCCAATGTGTCATGGTTTGGTTTCAGGTTCGATCGAGGATGAATGAGGAGCGGCCAGTCGTGCGAGGGAAGGAAACCGGACTGGTTGTTGCGGCGGGCCTCGTATTGTTCGTGTTTGTCGGTCTCTGCCTCTAAGGTACTTCTTACCTACCTACCTGGTAGTTTACCTACATACATACGTGATGGGGGCAGCTTATGGCGCGAAGCGTAGCTCGGGCGGCCTCGCGACGGGGGTAGCCTTACACAAACGTGAAGAATTCTCATTTCATGTCGCGTGGAATCTGCTTTCCATGCGAATTACTCCGTGGTCGTTCAGCTGCGTGGTCTGCCGCCAACCGTCCTGTGAGCCTGCAGCTGCCAGCAACAGCATCTTCGGTCCGACATCGTGGATGCCGCCTGTGGGCTGGCTAAGTAGTCTAGGTTATGTACAAGAAGGTGAAAGTGGGTATCTGGTCGCGTAACGCTTCTAGGTCGAGCTGTTGTGTCCACTGTTGACCGACTCTTGAGCACGTGCCCATCAGGCGTAGTGTGCGCTGCATCGCATACCCTATGCTCCGTCTCAAGCAAAGCTACCCCGGCTCCCGATGGTGTAGACGTCTATCGTGCCGCGAATCGGCTCTTCTGCCGAATCCGATTGCCATAGCGGAAAAAGATATAACTGTCCGTCAGGGTCATCGTCAGTGTCGGGGTCATTCATGGCCGCAAGCCAGGGCCAAAGAAACTGTAGAGGAAATTACGCCGTCCAACAGTCTCACAAGCAGGAGAGATAGACTGCAGATCACGCGCAGAAGGCCAAGTACTTACGGAAATGGTGCCATGACAAGCGTCAGAAAAGCAAGCAGCGAGGTTGCCCAATGATATCCCAGGTTGTCGTACACTATGGGCAGTTAGCATCTGGCGGTCAGAGTCCAATGCATCACATTTCTAAACATATCACTGGGATTCAAACGTAGTTCCACCGGGTCAAGTTGGATCGACTTACTCTGTATCCCAAAGAGAGGGAAGACTCCGCCGAAAATAGACCGAGCGAAGCTGTTGGCCGCCAACGCACTTGCAGCATAGGTCGGGTACGCATCAACCAGGAAGGTGAAGACCCCGGAGTACACGAGGATAGTACTATCAGGTGTCAGTAGGAGCCGAGCCATGATGAGTGGTACAAGACAGATGATGGCAAAGGAAAGCTTCGGAAGAGGCTTCAAACTCACCCAGCTCCAAAGAACGCACTGCCGATGAGCGGTACAATCCAGTGTACGTGAGGATAGATCGTCCACGCAAAGATGAACAGTCCTATGGTGACGAGTGGACCCCCGGCAATGGCTACATTCAAGTGAGTTAGAACCATTTGCTCGCAATGCAGACAAGATACACATACCTGGTGGTAGCCGCCACTCTGGTTGGAAATCGTCGGACTTGCCAACGGCATCCTCGTGATTCATTTCCAGACGGATGTAATTACGGCGCCATATGGGGTCGGAAAAGATGGCAATAAGCATTCCGACGAACAGGCCGAGGAAACAAAGCCCCCGCTGCCATAGTTCAAAGCCGTACACGGTCTCAAAGACTAATTGAAACGCGCCGAAGAAAAGGTAGAGAATACCCAGCAGGATCGCCGAAAAGATGCAGAGACTCAAGCACATGGGCTCCAGAGTCAGGAGAAGCAAGGGCCTATAGATTGACCGCAAAACAGTCTGCGCTACCGAGCGATGCAGTTTCTCGATCGGAGCTTGCCATCTGTCCTCCCCCGTCTCCTTTCGAATCTTCCGCGCTTTCCGTCTCAGCAGACTAAGTGGGAGTTAGAGAAGTGGCCATCTCCCGTCATAAAAGACATCACTTACACTGGGTGGTAGGTCTCGGGAACGAAGCAGGTGATCAAGACTAACAACACACCGGTCCAGATGAGGAGTACATAAAACGTCCACCGCCTGGAGACCATTATCAGTTATGCCCGATGACGCAGATATATGGAAGCATACCATTCCGTGAATTGGTTGATGAAGCCACCGACCCTAATGACCGTCGTCAGCGACTGCAGCAACATACTCTATCATCGACTGGGAGACAAACAGTGGGCCCACCTCAGGACCAATAAACGGCGAGCTCGTGTACAGCATCATCGGAGCACTCAGCTCATGGCGGGCGAATAAATCTCCCACGGTGCCTCCGGCGACACTTAGAAATGCACTCCCGGCGATTCCACCGAAAAAGCGGCATATGATCAAGGTTTGGATATTCTTCGCCACCGCACATGGAATAAGCCAGATCAGAAAGAATGAGAAGGAGCAGATGTAGATTCTTCTTCGGCCGTAGAACTAACGAGTGTCAGCTTTCGCTTTTCCAATGAACAGATGTAGGATCAATATACAAACCTCAGACAGCGGTCCTAGAAAGAGCGGTCCAACCGCTGTTGGAAACCAAGTCAGTGCCATTGATATAGTCAGTGGAGACAGGATCATAGAAATCACTTACCGAGACCCCAGATGAAGAACGACAGGCCTAGAGTCGCAACCAGCCGAGAGCAATTGAACTCCACCATGATTTGGTCATAGGTGGCGGTATACATCGACGAGGTACAGGTTCTTCAAGCACCATTGATCAGCATCAACTGTATGGTATAGATTCGACAGGGTATACATACACACACAGAGAGCCTGCCGAGCAGATAACCACGATCAGCCATCGCCTAAGCGTGTCGAAGTTGCGCGGATTCTCGGGGTCATTTTCGTCCCAGCCGACGGTAAAACCATCCGGTTCTTCAGCAGATGCTCCCTCTTTCCGGCTAGGGGCTCTCTCAGCAGCTTCTTCGTCGGCCGTATGGCAGCTGTATCCGTCGTTCAGGGACCAGCTGCGCTCGAGATAATGTGACGACGCGGATTGATACCGGCGCAACCGTTCTTCGTGGGAGGCCGTCCGGGCACTGATGGGAGCAAACGTTCCATCGACATTATCCTCAAGCTTCTCCTCTTCCAGATTTTCCCCGTCGCTTCGCTCGGGGCTTGTAAAGCGTTCGCCCGAACGCCCGTCCGTGCTATCTCGCGAGCTGTCCACCCCCAGAGATGCAGACATGACGACTCAGTCCACCTGTTACGAGAAACCCTGCCACCTTCCAGTGGTCCAGTTCGTGGTTTTCGAGTGCTGTCACCGGCTGTGGCTCTCCGGGATTTGAATGACCACCCACGCGTCGAGCCGAGGCCCGAAGTATATTTGAGGTGAAACCGGCGATCTGCCGCGGGGAGGGAGGTAGCGAAGGCCCCAGTCGGGGAATTTTCCTATCGGGCTTGCAGGAGGTTGGCTAAGACGGCCAGTTAAGGGTTCAAGCAAGAAAAGACCGAGAGGGCCAGTTGAATGGCGCGAGTGATGAGCCCGACACCGGACTACCGGAGGGGAAGTGTCGAGAATAAATAGAGAGACGGACAGATCTCCACCTGCTGCAGAGCACTAACACAGGAGCAATTACTATACTGGGTCCTGTATAGTGCAATGGCTCGATGGTTTGCGGACGCGAGATGGAGAGGGCGGCCAGTAGATTGACTGACTGGTTGCTGATTGCTGATTTCAGTTAGTGTCGCCTCTTCGGCTTCGGGGTAGAGCCGAGTGACGGGCTGAGGCGATAGACAACGCCCGAGCTGCTGTTATCGGGGAAACTTTGCCGCTGTGGAGTCCTTTGGGGGTGGGGGGGGGTCCTCCTCATGGACATGCATGGTCAGGGTCATGGTCCGGATCATGCATGACAAGTGATAACAGTTCATCATGTTGACGGGGTGCCGGGGAGGAACTACCAGCGACACGCCCGCCGGCCGTCCATGAATTCCCCACGTGGAAATAAATGCCTTTTTTCCACCTTGCACCGGGGGGCCAGCCACTAGATACGCAATAGTAATTGCCTAGAGGCATGCAGAGCAAAGTTGTAGTCTCTGTTGTCGGTATAGAATATTTAGAATACTACCCTCCCCCCCTTAGATCCCCCGCCTACCTCTGTAATATATTGTCTTTTTGTGAAGTATAGAGTAAAGCTTTCATAGTACTCCCACCCAAACAGAAGAGCTTTACAGAGAGAGTACTGATCGGTCGGTATAGTCCAGTTGGTCCTGGAGTGGTCACGTGCTATAGGTGGCTGAGATAAGCAGTGACCCCCACTAGGCCCAATGCGGACCGCCCGGATCAACGCGTCATCCGAGGCGCTAGGCCGGATTGGGGAAAGCATCATCAAGTGGCCCAAAGAACTGCACGGCGCCCCGGAACGAAAGTCAAGCAACAAGAGACATGAAAGGACTGTGGCTGCTGGGTGATCAATCAATCAATTCAATCAATCAATTCATCCGACTGTCAATAGTCTATTCGCGGCCTTGTGTCTGACTTGGTGGGTGCTTCTCGCTTCTCCCGGAGTCTGGCCAATGTCCGACCCTCCTCCCTCGCCCTGCACGGCCCTCAGGCTGGCCGTCTCCGTGTCCACTTAGCGACCTCCCGTCCTGCTAACCAATTGACTATTATTGATGCAGTTACGGCCAGGTCGCGTCTACCCCCCAGGAGAACGTGGCTTCGCACTTCGCCCGGCCTTGTCGACTTTTCCCTGCGACCTCTGCGACCTCTGCGACCTCATTCTCCCCCCTGAAGCCTTCTTCCTGCTGTTCTCTGGCCCCGACGGGATGCTAGCATTTGCCTTCTGATCTGAACCGGGCCCTCCCTATTTTCCGTTTCGACAAAGCATGAGAAATGTCAAGGTCCGCAACGCCCGCGCTCCCTTTGCATAATGTCCAGATCCCCGATTCGAGACCGAGGTCGACAACCCCCGCGGACGTGCGCTCCAGCTCCTCCCCCTCAGTAAGTTCGTTGCAGCGCTGTCTCTTTCTTGCCCACGGCCCCCCTCCCCCCGGGGCTTCTGTCCCACCGGGGCCCCCCTTGTCCGGTGGACGCAGCTAACCTTTGCGCCCTGCCCCGATAGACGTCCACCTCGATATATTCGCTCCTAGACCCCCAGGAGACTGCGGACCGCCTGCAGACCTCCCTCGTTCATGGAATCAGTCCCGCGGAGGCGGAGGTGCGCCTGGCGCAGGATGGCCCCAACGAGCTACCCCATGAGGAGCCAGAACCCATCTGGCTTCGGTTCTTGAAACAGTTCAAGGAGACCCTGATTCTCCTGCTGCTGGCCTCCGCGGCGATATCGTTCTTCATGGGCAACTACGATGATGCCGTCAGCATTACTCTCGCCGTCACCATCGTTGTCACGGTCGGATTCGTCCAGGAATACCGGTCGGAAAAGTCTCTGGAAGCACTGAGCCGTCTTGTGCCGCATCATGCACACCTCATTCGCGATATCCCTTTGAATGGCCTGCCGTTGGCCAACTCGGTCCCTGCCACCTCCGCTGGGGAGATTGAATTGCAGGAGCTGCGGAGCAAGAGCCCCGCTATCTCGACTGCCGTCAAGGCTTCTAGCACCGTCCCAGCCGCCGAACTCGTCCCGGGTGATCTGGTCCTATTTACCGTCGGAGACCGCATCCCTGCAGACATTCGCATCACGGCGGCTACCGATCTGACTATCGATGAATCCAACCTCACCGGAGAGAACGAGCCGGTTGTCAAGTTCTCCGACGCCATTCGCAGCTCAAAGCACCTTTCGTCGCACTCCCCCAAGCTTGTGAGCCCGCCTCGATCCCCATTCTACGATGCCCCTGCTAGTGGGGCTGTGGGAGCGGATATCCGCCTGAATGAGCAACATAACATCGCCTTCATGGGGACATTGGTCCGATCGGGATACGGTCAGGGAATCGTCATTGGAACCGGTGCGAGAACGGAGTTTGGCAGTATCTCCGCTTCGCTACAGGAAATCGAAAGCCCACGAACCCCGCTACAACTGTCCATGGACCGCCTGGGCCAGGAACTGAGTTACATATCGTTTGGTGTCATTGGTTTGATTGTTGTCATCGGTTTGATTCAAGGCCGCAAGCTGCTCGAGATGTTCACCATTGGCGTTTCGCTCGCTGTCGCTGCCATTCCGGAGGGCCTTCCGATCATCGTGACCGTCACCCTGGCTCTCGGGGTTCTGCGCATGGCCAAACGAGGCGCCATTATGCGTAGACTGCCTAGTGTGGAGACACTGGGTTCGGTGAACGTCGTTTGCAGTGACAAGACCGGTACTTTGACTCTTAACCACATGACAGTCACGAAAATGTGGCATTTCGATTGCCCCGATCCGTTTGAGGTTCACCATGACATATCTTCCTTGACGCCCGGACCCGCGGCTCGCACCGTTCTTCGCATCGGCAACATTGCCAACAATGCCCGGCTGTCGCGTGTGCATGCAAACTCACCCGCTAGCGCATCCTCGGCCGCGGTGTTGTCCTCCACGGACGACCGGGCGTCTGGGAGTGTCCGAAGCAGATGGGTCGGCCAGCCCACCGATGTCGCTATACTGGATTTACTGGACACTTTCGGCGAGGACGATGTCCGTGACCGGATCAGCGCTCGTGTCGCAGAAACCCCCTTCAGCTCCGAGCGCAAGTGGATGGGCGTTATCATCGGCAATGGCACGTCTGGCGACTCCAACGTTGCCTATATCAAGGGTGCCCTCGAGCAGGTTCTAGCGCGGTGTGACACTTACTTGACTAGGGACGGCCGTGAGGTTATCTTGGATGAAGTACGACGCAAGGCAGTGAGGCAAGCCGCCGAGGAGATGGCATCGGAGGGATTGCGAGTCTTGGCTTTCGCCAGCGGCGCAGTGAGGGATGCTAGTAAAGGCAGAGCCTTTGGCAGCAGATCGGGCACGCCCATGTCCCTGACCAGCCAGACTGATGATGATGACAGGTACAATGGGCTGGTCTTTGCAGGCTTGGTGGGGATGAACGACCCTCCACGAAAGGATGTCCACAAGTCCATCCGGCGCCTCCTCGCCGGTGGTGTGCGAATCATCATGATTACCGGAGACGCCGAGACCACTGCCGTTGCCATCGCGAAGAAACTGGGAATGCCGATTAACGATGCTCCGGGATCCCGACCAGTTATCAACGGCCAGGAAATTGACCGGATGAGCACCACGGAGCTCGCGCAGGCCATCTCCTCTACCTCGATATTCGCACGTACCAGCCCGGACCATAAGATGAAACTTGTGCGCGCTCTGCAGTCTCGCGGAGACGTTGTTGCCATGACCGGAGATGGGGTGAACGACGCACCGGCGCTCAAGAAAGCGGACATCGGCATCTCGATGGGCAAGCTGGGGACGGACGTCGCCAAGGAAGCCGCGGACATGATTCTGACCGATGACGACTTCTCGACGATCCTGCGTGCTATTGAGCAGGGCAAGGGCATCTTCTACAACATCCAGAACTTCATCACGTTCCAGCTCAGCACCAGCGTCGCTGCGCTGAGCCTTGTGTTGCTGAGCACCACTTTGGGCTTCAAGAACCCGTTGAATGCTATGCAGATTCTGTGGATCAGTAAGTTTTAGCTGGCCCGCAACGACAGGCGGTTGCTAATCTCAATTGACAGATATTCTCATGGATGGTCCGCCTGCACAGTCCCTCGGTGTGGAGCCCGTTGATCCGTCTATCATGAACCGCCCCCCGCGTCCCAGGACCGCTCGGGTGCTCACGAAGCCGCTCATTCAGCGGGTACTTACCTCGGCCCTGATGATCATGATCGGCACCCTTGCCGTCTACGTCTACGAGATGGGAGATGTCGATGACGCGGCCAACCCCGGCAAGCGTTCGCGGGTGGTGACGGCTCACGACACGACGATGACCTTTACCTGCTTTGTGCTGTTTGACATGTTCAACGCCCTGGCGTGCCGCAGCGAGAGCAAGTCGGTGCTGCGGGGCGAGATCTCGCTGTTTGGGAACAAGATGTTCAACTACGCGGTCCTGGGCTCGCTTGCGGGGCAGGCGTGTGTGATCTATCTCCCCTTCCTGCAGCGGATCTTCCAGACGGAGCCTCTGAGCTTCGCGCACCTGCTGCGGCTGGTGTGCATTTCGAGTACGGTGCTTTGGGTGGACGAGGCCCGCAAATACTATATGTCGTTGAAACGACGGGGAACTATTGGGGGCGGCTACAGTGTGAATGTTTAATAGAGGGGCTGGGTTCGTGTATAGAAATGAATGCATTTTCCTTGTGTGTGTACGCTGGGCGGTAAGGATTTGTAATGGGGTTGGCTTTTTCAAACCAAAAAAAAAAAAAAAAGTTAAGCTCATTTAGCGGGGAATCATGATTCAATCGATCAACAAAATCCAAAAGCAAAAAGAAATGACCTACGCAGGATTCGAACCTGCAATCTCTTGATCCGTAGTCAAGCGCCTTACCATTGGGCCAGCAGGCCAGGTTGTTGAATTCGAGGTCTACCTTTGGTTCTAAGATCCATTGCTCAGAGTAGTAGTCCTCTAACAAGTCCATGTCTCGAGGTTCTTGGTTAGATATTGTCTTTCTACGAGAGACATTGTAAGCACTAATTCATAGGTGCTTGAGACATGTAAGCTAAAACAAGTGACTACTTGACTTAATGTTACGATTGCTGTTGTTTCGGTGCAGTTTGGGTGTATATATGTAGGACAACGGGAGAGAAGTTATTGCTGTTACATTCACCAGCCTGGTACGATCAGGGCACGCCGATTGATTTCATTGTCTATATCCATCAGTGTTGCCCCCACACATGCAATAGGGCTGTTGAAGCCTCGAGTTTTCCAATCAAGCATGGTCTGCTTGTCAGTCAGCCTACCCCAAGCCTCCAGCTAGACTACAATCCTATCTCTACCAGATGAATGTGCACCCCCAGGATAAGTCGGATCTACAAAGATGCCACCAGCAGTTCCCAATCGCAAGTAAAGACGGACGTGGCGCCAACCACGTCGTCAAAAGGCCGATGCGGGTCTCCAGACCCCCTAGCCTCTTACTCCCACGGACCCACGACTGGGGAAACCGCCCGTCACCGTACCTGCCGAGAGCGCAAAGGCGAAGGATAACAGAGCCCAGCCAGTGTGTACAAGGTGATGGCCTCACCTGCCCCAATGAACCATACATAACCAGTAGTTCATTCCATACGAAATGCACCAGATACCAAGCGCCAGCAATACACCCTGTCCGATGTGCATAGCACAAGTCACGAGACATAATCCTCCGCAATATAAAAGAAAGTGGCAGCTTCCCCGCACTATTATTTTCCCCAACCCAGGCACCAGGTCAACACCATGAACAAATCCACCCTCCCGATTGAGAAAGCGGTCGAACTGACACTGGACTGATAGATTACCATACCGGGGGATATCATTTTCTCAACTGATGAAGAACATGGCTCGCCCCATATTGACCCGGGACAGAGCTCCACGTGCTGCGGGAGGAAGAACCAGAAAATTCAGGCAGTGAAGCCAGCCTTCCCCCCCCAAAGACGATCAAGAGAGAGGGGAGGGTTCGGCGGGTAAAAAAACCGGGCTGATAACCTCGCCCGGCGCGAAAAAAGGCGGCCTCACCTGGCCAGCAGTAGTCACCTGACCCGCCACGTAGCAAACAAACAAACAGCCAGAAGCTCATCACGACATGCGACTAATGCTGCAGTCCTGCACGGACAGCCGGCAGGGAAGACTTAGGGCTGGCGGTCGATAACCGTTAGGTAATAGCGTGATCGCCTGATGTCGCGATTCGCAAATGGATCCCCCCCCCCATCGTGGGTTATGACAGCCTGAATGGCTGGGGATTCTTGTCCGGGTGCCAGTGTCACAGCACGTGGCCATCCCATCACACTGGATCCCACATGCAGGGGCAATGCCATCTGATCACTGTCTAGTTGAGTCTATCTAGACAGCTGTTCACCGTAGCCCTGGGTCCATACCCGTGTCCGTAGCAACAGACAGCCCCGATAGGGAAGTCATTCGATGAAATAGGGCCAAGATCTAGAAACAAACAATCAGCACTGGATCTAGATGGCCAGAAGATGTCTACTCACTCACCAGTCACCAGCCGCCACAGACAATACTAAGCCCCCCTAGTACGGAGTAGTCAACAGACATCTCCCCCATCTTCCAGTAATGCCAAGGGCAAGGGTCTAGATTATCTTGATTATCCGGGGAAGAACAGGAACAGCCGGCATTTAAGAAATAAAGATAGGAACTAGCACGCGCCTAGCAGGACTTAGTTAAGACTTAAGAGTCTCCGGCACTCCATTCCTCTTCACCTGCTGGCTTGTCCGCCATACCCGTTCCGGTAACGGGTAGGGTCCGATGTAGGATGAACACCTCGATATCCCCTCCGGTGTAGGCCTGGAGAATGGAGATAGATAGCACTACGAACGAGATACTCGGGACTTTCGTCGGCTATCTAGTATCTAGTATCTAGTATCTATATTGTTGATTATCTGATGTCGATGACCCTGTCTATCTACCCCACAGAACTGCCTAGTCCTGGTACTGAGTACAATAACTACTCTATGTTACAGCATTCTGTGTCGCCCTAAGGTAGCAATGGGAACACAAATAAGGTAGATTGCCGTGGTCTACCTCTTCTACCCCTGTGTACGGAGAGTCCCTCACCCGAGATACGAGACCGGAGGCCCCCGAGACAACCTTCTCAGCCGTGAAAGTCCAATGAAACCAACGGGCACCCGAAACACTAAACAGGCAGGCAGGCAGGTGGGCAGACGGCAGATCGCAGACCGGCGAACCGGGCTCCTGAAAGACCCGAACGAACGTCGGGAGGACACGGGGCAGACGGGGGTGGTGATTGGCGCAGCGATTCGTTATCAGGGCGCGAGGCTAAACTAGGCCGGATCGGGGGCTAGCGGGGGCCAGCGGGGGCCCCACGCGAAGCCGGTGGCGGGCAGGGCCTTATCGTGGGCTCCCAGCCAATCGATCGGGGGAGGTGATGAGCTGAGAGAAATGGCCGTGATAAGAGGTTGCTTTTCCACGGATCGGGTTGAAACACAACAGTCTATCTACGGGATATCTATGCCAATGGCCGTGGGTTGTGGGCTGTGCATTGGGATGGTTCCAAGGTCAGACATCCCGGGGTTTTGGGATAATGGATAATACCAGGTCTGTCTCATAGTACCTGCAGTATAGGTAGGGACTAAGTACTCCGTACTATATAGTATAGTATAGTATATACAGACAGTATACGCAGAGACGAGAGAGATAATCGATAGGTACGATAACAATGGGCCTCAAATTTGATCCTGGAGGAACCACCAACGGCCTCTATCTATCTACATATCTATCTCCCAGCGGAATCTGAGCCGCGAGTATCCGGAACGCTCTCTGTAGATTGGACGTGTGTTCATCGGTTATCACTGGGATGCGTGATAGCTGTCGGAGTTCCGCGCGCATACCTTAGAGGGGGAAAGGGTCAGGGTACATAAGGGATACTGAGCCCAGCAATCGCGCGCGTTGGATTTCGTCGGTTGGCTCTTCGCCCAGTATCTACGCTGTATCTATATGGATGACACTTCCAAGAGCGAGGCCTAGATGCATGCCCTCCGGTATACTGCACTCCGGGCAATACGGTGAGGGTGGTGATGGTGGTGGTATTAGTACCTGGCCCGTACCAGCCATCAGCCAGTTGCAGAGGAAACTCTGATGTCGAGTCTGGACAAAGACCACCTCTGCTATGATGCCAATGGCTGCGAGGGATCTTGGTCTGCATGTGATGCAGTCAGTGTCTACACTACACTGTAGACAAGAAAAGAGTCTCACAACAAGCTCTATCTACTTACTCACTGACACTGTATAACTACACTCACTATCTTAGGTACTACTTACTACTATACAGTCTCCTTCAGTACACCGTACAGAACACCAGAATCCTCCGATGCGGCGCGGGGATTTGCCACCGACGGTGCCAGAGCCGGCGGGCTTGGCCGATGTGGAGAGGAGGTTTTGCCACGGGAAACTCTAGTGGCTCAAGCAGCCATCATCTTGAACATGAGAGGATGAATAAGAAGCAGACGAAGAAGAAGAAACAGCAACAGGAACAACAACAACAAGAAGAACAAGAACAACAACAACAACAACAATAATATATATCATCAACGGCAGCAAACCGAAGAATATTGTCGGGCTACTACTACTACTACTACTACTACTACTACTACTACTACTACATCATGGTTTTATCATCTGCAAGGCCATCATCCTTCCAGTCAGGATGATCGGCGGGCCCGAGTTTATTTTATGCCATTTGATTTTTCACTCATTGGATCCGCCCTTCTCTCCGTTATCTTTGGGGGTCCAGTCAAACTCAGGCCTTTCCGTTTCTTGCCTTTTTTTTGCCTTTTTTCTTTTTCTTTTTTTTTTTTTTTTTTTTTTTTTTTTACTGTTTTCTTTTTCTCGTCTAACCGCGCCTCCCTTACGTGGAGGAAGTTAGAAGAAGAAGAAGGAGAAGAAAAGGGACGAGGGCAATGCAGGGTTTCACTTGACAATTCATTCATGATCCCCTTCATCCCACGCGAGACGGATCGGTTTCACCTGCATCTGGCAGGGCAGCATATCTCTCTCTCTCTCTCTCATCTCTCTCGGTCGAACGCATCACTAATAGATATTATTGACCGTCGTGGGCTCCACCCGCGCCCAACGTTTGGTTTGGAATCCGGCCGATCTGAGCCAACTTTAGGGGACTGACTTGCTTTGACTGACACGATCCTATTATCGCTGCTATCGTGTCGGATTGGTAAACGCTACTTGCTCCCTCTTCCCTTCTCGACGACTCCTTCTCCCCCATCTCTTGGAAAGGCCAGGCCCACTCCTGAGGTGCCTTTCGCTTTCCAGAAACTCGTCGCCCGGCCACTCCACTCGGCTCCTCCCAGGCCACTCAAGTCCCTCGTCCACTCTTATTTATATAGTCCACGTCCTCCGCCCCCCGTGGCGGTTTTTTTCTCCACACCCGGCGGAGTCTCTTCACACCTTCTCCCATTCCATCCTCCTCCTCCTCCTCCTCCTCCTCACGGCATTCCGTCCTTGCACCCATTCCTGCGTGCGAGCGGCCTGACATTCCTGCACAACCTCGACTCCTGCTTTCCCGCACCCGCTCACTCACTCCCCTCCTTGCCTCCTCCAAGGTCTCAATCTCTCTCCGGCCTCGATCCGATCTTGCTTCCGCATTCTCGACCCTCCGTTACACCCGTGCACCACGCGCCTGTTCTCGACTGGAGGACGACCTGGCGGTGGTGACTTTGAACTCGTTTTTACGAACGCTCGTCAATCCCTCGCTTCAGCCTTTTTCTTGCTAGGCTAGACCGTCACCATGTCGGACAAGGTGGGCGTCTACATCCCCCAGTATGCGTCATACAACTGGACGGGCGCGCCTTCCGATTACGAAGCCCTCACCACCAATGATATCGGTGGCGATTCCCGTATGTTCGCCAGTGTTTGTTGGTCCTGATGGTGCGTGAGACTCACAGCTTGCCTAGGAACGGAAAACCTGAACAAATGGTTCCAATCGGGTGACCAGGCCTACATCATCCTGGCTTCGGCCATGGTGATGGTCATGGTCCCCGGTCTCGCCTTCCTCTACTCCGGTCTCGCCCGCCGCAAGTCGGCCTTGAGTATGATTTGGGCCTGTATGGCTTCTTTCTCCGTCGTCACCTTCCAGTGGTATTTCTGGGGCTACTCCCTAGCCTTTTCACCCACGGCAACCAACGGATACATCGGAAATCTGCGCAACTTCGGTCTGATGAAGACGCTGGCAGATCCCAGTCCGGGCTCGCCACTCATCCCTAACCTTCTCTATGCATTTTATCAGGTATGACCGATTCTCTCCCCCTCCCCACCGACTGTTCTCGACCGATAGCTGACTGGGGCCTGCATTAGATGCAATTCTGTGGAGTAACGGCTGCGATTATCATGGGAGCCGTGGCAGAACGCGGACGCATGTTGCCTGCGATGGTGTTTGTTTTCATCTGGGCCACGATTGTGTATTGTCCCCTGGCTTGCTGGGCGTGGAACGTTAATGGTTGGGCCTACAACTACGGAGTCTTGGATTATGCCGGTGGTGGCCCCGTCGAGATCGGGTCTGGTTTGTCGGCTCTCGCCTACTCGATGGTCCTGGGTCGACGCCAGGAGCGGATGATGCTGAACTTCCGCCCGCACAACGTCTCCCTCATCTTGCTCGGCACCGTCTTCCTTTGGTTCGGATGGCTGGGCTTCAACGGTGGCTCGGCATTTGGAGCGAACCTTCGGGCCACCATGGCTTGCTGGAACACTAACCTGACGGCGGCCTTCGCGGCCATCACCTGGGTTCTTCTCGATTGGCGTCTGGCCCGGAAGTGGTCCATGGTCGGCTGGTGCTCTGGAACCATCTCTGGTCTGGTCGCGGCCACGCCCGCCTCGGGGTTCATCACCCCGTGGGCCAGTGTGATTCTGGGTGTTGCGACCGGCATTGTTTGCAACTACTCCACCAAGGGTAAGTCCCTTGACTGCATCGGGTTTGCTGTTTCCTAACTAACGATCACAGTGAAATACTGGATCCGTATCGACGACTCGATGGATGTGTTCGCGGAACACGGTGTCGCGGGCATTGTCGGCCTCGTCTTCAACGCCTTCTTCGCGGACGATGCGATCGTCGGACTGGATGGCGTGAACACGGGATCGAAATCCGGTGGATGGGTGATCCACAACTACAAGCAGCTCTACATCCAAATCGCCTACATCGTGGCCACCTGCGCCTACGCGTTCGTCATGTCCGCCCTCATCGCCTACGCCATCAACGCGATTCCCGGCCTGAAACTGCGTGCCTCGGAGGAAGCCGAGCTGCTGGGCATGGATGACGACCAGCTGGGCGAGTTCGCTTACGACTACGTCGAAGTCCGCCGTGACTACCTCGCCTGGACCCCGCAGAAGCACGACCAGCTCGAGGACGGCCACCAGATCCCGGCCGCTGCGCGGTACGGAATTGGCGAGCACAGCGAGATGATGCTGGACGGCCACGCTCTGGACGGCCACGCCCCGGTTGGCGTGGACAGCCGCGGCTGCAGCGAAGGGGACTCGGGCATCCAGGAGATCAAGGTGGTGCCGGCGCCGCGACAGATGGCCGAACATCGGGCGCCTCACCAGCCGGAACCCGCCGGGGAGCCCGTCTCCCTGACCGAGAAGGACCTGCCTTGAGCCTCGTCTCGTTTCCCTTATGTCTCGTTCGTTCTTTGTCTTTTGTGATATCCAGCGATTGCCTTTCCTTTTAGCCCGGCAGAGCCATTTTTTGTACATGTATTATTTGGCGGCGATTTGGGGGTGCGGCGTTTTTTTTTTTTTTTTTTTTTTTTTTTACTTCTGGGGTCTGGGTCCGACAAAAGCCCGCGGGTCATGTATCCCTACCTGTTGGGTGAAATTGTATGTGTATATATTAGGATATCAGCGCGGAGGGTTGGATTTTGGGACTTTGATTCCAGATTGATACCAGTACATGCATAGATTGGTTGAATTTACTTGTGATCATACGATACTTGGACAGGAAGTAGCGAGTAGCCAGTAGCCTACTAGTAGTTATCTAGTCTTTATAATTGGCCTGCATACTGTGTAGAATGGGTTCCACTTAGACTACTAGTATCGAGGTATTGCCTTGGCTAGATAGACGGCTGGCGCTGGCAGGGCAGAGCTTGGACAAAACAGGCAGGTGAGCACGTGGTCAGACATTATTATGCCCGGACACCCTGGACAATATTGTATCACCATACTCCGTATCTACTATATATACCGAGTATGCGTGGGCTGGACCGGCTAACCCACCTTGACAGTTCACAGTGGTAATGGGTTAGTGGTATGAAACTGTACAAGCGTCAGTCACCAAGCAAGCAAAGAAACAAACACTCAGCATCGGAAAACAGTGCCAATTCTAATGCAAGGGTGGAGCCAGATCGGGCTGATATTTGCATATATGTTGTATGTTGTATGTTGTATGTATGTATGTAAATAGATAGATAGATATATACAATGAATGGCTAAAAAAACAACAGTGGGTTCTAATCCTTCCAAGAAAGAAGACCACGAGAGTGTGGGAGTGGGGGGAGAGAAAGAGAATTCTACGATAAAGACAAGAATTAAACCTTCCGCACCATGCCTCGCACGCGCATCCTCTCCTCCCGACTTAACTTGTCGACGACGTCAGCGGTCTCGCCGCCACGGAGGACATCGTCCCATTCGTCCTCGTCCATGCCCATCACCAGCACCATCTGCAGACAGCGCGCGAATGCCTCGCGGTGGCGGTATCGGCCCGGGGCTGCCTGCGTGCCGCCTATGTCGACGGCGGCGCTCACCACGCCTGCGAGGTCGCGTTCCAGACGGGTGGCGCCGAGGGCGTTCACGCGGCCGTGGTACGACCAGAGACGCTTTTCCAGGAGCCGGGCTAGATAGGCCACAGTGACGGTAAGGAGACGGTCGAAGGCGGACGCGGTGAGGATGCGACACAGCGGGAGGAGCAGCTCGGTCCAGGCGGCGGCGAAGCGCGGGCGGACGAGCTCGGCGCGGCTGGTCGGGTCGGTGTCGTCGTCCCGGACGGTGCCGTCAGTGACAAAATCGGGGTCGTCTGAGTCGTCGTCGTGGTAGACGGTGCGGGTTGGGTCGGTGTCTTCACGCGGCTGGTATTCGATGTCGCGGAAGGCATCGGACAGGATGGGGCGGAGCCGGTGTTTGATGACATTGTTAAAGACGACCTGGATGCCGTCGGAGAGGAGGTCGGTGACCTTGGACTCGAATGAGGCGGACAGCGACTGCAGTGTTTGGGTGGCGCGACGGGCATCCTCGGGCACGGGGAAGAGGGCGAGCAGCGGGTCGACCTCCTCGGGCTGGCCATCGGGGCCCGGGAGGGCCTTTTTGGGCTCGATGTGGTTATTCAGGATGCGGCGGACGTAGTCGACGGCGACGTCGAGGTTGTTGATCAGGACGAGGAAGGAGATCACGAGCGGCTCCGGGGGATGGCCGCCCTGGACGACGGCGCGGGGGTAGCACTCGTCGCGCATCTTGCGCTGGGTCATGCCGATGAAGTCCGAGCCCAGGACCCGCGAGAGCGTGGGCACGACGCCGGTGACGACAGAGATCTGCGACGTCGCCAGGGACTGCTGCAGGACCTTGTTCACGATGTACATGATGTCGTCGACGGCGGAGGTGATGTGCGGCGGTTCGCACTTGAGCGGTCTCAGCGGATTGAGGGTCAAGCCAGAGGGTTGTTCGTCCAGCTGGAACGCCTTCTCCACGGATCGTCGGAAGAAGAAGGTGGTCATGGTGTTGAACGGGCCGGCGAGACGCTCGCTGATCTTCTTGGATAGGGTGGATTCTCGGAGGAACTGAGGGAGGGTGAACTTTTGGTTCTCGTCGCCGGGGGGCTATCGGATGTTAGCTAGACCTCAGAATGGGGAAGATAGTAAACTTACGTTGCATGTGTCTGCTAGGAACCGGCAGTACAGCGACCAGCGACCCAACATAATTGCCATTTCGTTGAGGAGCCCGTCGATCTCCTTCATATCCACGCCCTCATCCTCGGCCGCGGCTCCGTCCCGGACCGCAGGCGAGTTGGACCGGGGCGTCCCACCGCGCTGGGGCGGAAGAAAGCTTTGCACGAGAAAGGTGAACGCGTATGACTTGGTGTCAGTCAGCTTGCGGTCCACGTGCCTCTCATCGCTCCAGGTATCCAGGATGATCCCGCCCTGGACATCCGCCTCGAGCTGCAGACGCTCGATGACCCGGTTCATCTTGCGCGGCCCGTAATGGCGTTCCACCAGGCCTCCGTGACCATCGATAATCTGCGCGATATGCTCGAACAGCTTGGTGAGTGCATTCGCGTAGAAGAAGCCATCCTTAGTTGCGGAGCCCCCGGTGCCTGCGTTGAGATTGGAGCGGGCCCGCGCAGCGACACCCTGACAGACGTAGCGTCCGTAGACATCCAGGCCCACCTCGGAGCGCCCGATGAGCGGAAACAGCTTGAAGAAGCGCGTGATCCGGGCGTCGTTGTTCTCCTTGACGGCCTTGTCGAACTCGCGCAGGAACAAGCCGCAGAGCGACTCGGCGGCGTTGTCGAGGGTGACATTCGGGGGATCAGGCACCTCGGCCGTAGGAACCATCTGGGCGGCGAAGGCCCCATGCACCACCTCCGGGGGAATCCTGGCGGCCCGGTTCAGGTAGCTGGCGGCCGTCTCCCAGTCCTGGGGCGCACCCATGGAGCCCGCAACACCCAGCACGCAGGCCTTGAGCTCGGAGACCTGCTCGACGACTTCCAGAGTAGATTTGACGCGAGATTGTTCCAGGTCGAGGCGGCGGACGGCGCTGGAGATGCGGTCGGCAGTGGCTGCGGCGTTGGACAGCATGCCATGGCTGATAGTGCGCGTGGTGGTGGTGTGGGACCCGAGGTGGGCGCGGAGCAAGTCCAGGCGGCCGAGCTCTCGGGAGAAGTCCTTCTGGGAGGCAACGAGGGCGTCCAGGCGGGCTGTAACAGAGGCCTCCTGGTCGTGCAGGTGCGACAGGGTGGCTTTGATCTCGGCGACGGAGCTGGCGTTGAAGATGTCGGCTGGGGGGGATGATTCGGACGGCCGAGGGTCGGACGGGGAGGAGACCACTGCGTGGCCATTAGCCACAGCAGCGGTAGATTTAGGCATGGTCCGCCGGAGGAGGAGGATGGGAGGGTGAGACGCAATTTAGGGGAAGGGGAAGGGGAAGGAGAAGGAGAAAAGGGAGATGATGGGTTTGTTGACGGGCTTACGGTTTACACGCAACGGCCATCTGGCTTCGGGCCCGTGGGCGGTGACCCCCTCAGCAATTCTGCCGCCTCTCGATTCGACGTCATCCAGACATTCCTCTCGTTTTTCTTTCTCGCCTTGTCCTCGTCTGCCATCGTCTATCCCAAGTCCACGGACATCAATCCCCGACCAACCGCCATTTATCCCCCCGACCTCCCTTCCTCAACCGCAATCCCGCCGGCATTGGCCGCCCTCGCAGACCCTGACACCCAGCCAGGCCCCGATCTGGTCGCCCGCCGTGCACCATGGGCAACGAATCCTCAACCGTGGTGGACGATTCCACCCCTCCCTCCGTGCTGGAGGCGCGCAACCTCGAGGGGGTGGCCAAGTATATCAAGCAAAGATCGGTGCAGCGGGTGGTGGTGATGGTACGATGGCCCCGCGATGTTTTCTCCCCCGCATTGGGTCGGTGATCGGCCGCCAAAAAAAAAAAAAAAGAGAGAGAGAAGAGCCCGCCGCTGACGAAGAGGCCGGTGGAAAACCACAGGTCGGAGCAGGCATTAGTACTTCGGCAGGGATCCCCGATTTTCGCTCCCCCGACACGGGCCTCTACAGCAACCTGGCGTACCTGGATCTGCCGGAACCGGAGGACGTGTTCGACATTGGCTTCTTCCGCGAGAACCCCCGGCCGTTCTACGCCCTCGCCCGCGAGCTGGCCCCCGGCCAGTTCCGTCCCACCATCGCACACTCGTTTATCAAGCTACTCTACGACGAGGGCCTGCTGATGAAGCACTTCACCCAGAACATCGACTGCCTGGAGCGCCTGGCCGGCGTGCCGGGCGACATGATCGTCGAGGCTCATGGAAGCTTCGCGACGCAACACTGCATCGACTGCAAGGCGGAATACCCGGATGATCTCATGAAGGCGGCCGTCGCCAAGGAGGAGGTGCCGCACTGCCTCCAGTGCCAGGGGCTGGTGAAGCCGGACATTGTATTCTTCGGCGAGGCGCTGCCGGCGGACTTCTTCGAGAACCGCGAGCTGCCCGAACAGGCGGATCTCTGCATCATCATGGGGACAAGCCTAACGGTGCAGCCGTTTGCCAGCCTGCCCGGGCTGGTGCGCGAAGGGGTGCCGCGCGTGCTCATCAACATGGAGCGGGTGGGCGGGCTGGGGTCCCGGCCCGACGACGTGCTGGTCCTGGGCGACTGCGACACGGGGGTGCGGAAATTGGCGCGGGCGCTGGGGTGGGAGCAGCAGCTGGAGGCGATGTGGGAGGCCACCAAGCCGGATCAGGGGACGCGGGAGGCGGAGCAGGGGCCTCCGCCAACGCGAGAGGAGCAGCTCCAGGACGAGGTGGACCGGTTGACGGAGGAGGTGGACCGCACGCTGGGGTTCTCCAGCGCGTATGAAGAGCGGGTGCGGCGGCACCTGGAGGGCACATCGTCGCAGAAGACGGACAGTGCGGAGGAGACAACGAGGAGGACGACGACAACAACAGGCGCGGGGCAGAACGATAGCGAGAGCGTCGGGGGACTTGGGCATGTGTTCCCGCATCTGGCACGGGCCAACAAAAGCGGGTGAGGAGCGGATGACATGGATGGGATGGGATAGGATAGCATAGATGGCCCCTGGCCGGATGGCGTTGGGTGGCTGGCGTTGAGGCCTCCCGACTGGCCGGAATGAGGGGGAATCCCAATCGGGAGCGAGAACCCCCACGACGATACATACATACTGATACTGTTAGAATAATGAGTTGATACAAAACTACTGGGTCCGGGCGATTGTTTGGGCCATTGGATGGGAGAAGGAGAAGGATGAAGAGGGAGGGATGGATGACAGGACGGAGCCGGTCGTAGAACATTCCTGGGCCGGCCAGCCCTAAATTTCCGCAGTCGTCGATCTCCCCTTCCTAGTTCTTCCACGCCGGAAGCATCTCTCCAGACTCCAGACTCCAGTCTATCACACAACCCGGGGAGAGGGGGACGATGGGATGGAAAGCAACAAGACGGGGGTAGGCCCAAAGCAACGCCCGGTGAGGGTTGAGGGCTCTGGCACTGGGCGGGCTGGAGAACTGCGGGGCTGAACCACCGGCCAAATCCAGTCCGTTTGGTGCCCCACGTCATCTGCTTTGCTGCTTGTTTCTCTTTCTCTTCTCTCTCTCTCTCTCTCTGCAACACTTCTTCTCCTCTTCCATCTCCCACTACAATCTCCCTCTCCCCTTCCCTCTCTTCCTTCACAACCTCTCACAACTGTCATCATGGTCGGACTCGGTCCCAAGCACCCCCCCTCCCGCAAGGGTATGTATGCTGATGCTGATGTTTTGCTTGACCCCCCCCCCCTCCCCCACTCGGCTGCCCCTAAATTACCCCTCGGGATGCCGGTCGCTGACCCAATTGCTCCCCCCCCCCCCCTTCTCCAGGCTCCGTTGCCGACATCCCCCAGGATCTCCTCAAGCAGATCAAGGACTTCGAGGATGAGTTCACCGTCAACAGCGCCACTCTCAAGAAGGTCGTCGACCACTTCGTCTCCGAGTTGGAAAAGGGTACGTCCGCGCCGGCCATCGGCTTCCGAGTCGGCCCAGTCCTGAAGGATCCAGTCGCCCACTAACCCGTCGTGACCCGTCGCAACAGGTCTCAGTGTCGAGGGTGGTAACATTGTAAGTTGTCAATTCTCAATCCTCAATCTCCATATTCATGCCCGACCCGCCTGTGGACGCCGACTGACCCTCCCTTGCCAGCCCATGAACGTCACCTGGGTGATGGGATTCCCCGATGGCCACGAACAAGGAACCTTCCTCGCCCTCGACATGGGCGGCACCAACCTGCGCGTCTGTGAGATCACCCTGACCGAGGAGAAGAGTGCCTTCGACATCACCCAGTCCAAGTACCGCATGCCCGAGGAGCTGAAGACCGGTACCGCCGAGGAGCTGTGGGAGTACATCGCCGACTGCCTGGAGCAGTTCATCAACTCCCACCACGAGAACGAGAAGGTCTCCAAGCTGCCCCTGGGCTTCACCTTCTCCTACCCGGCCACCCAGGACTACATCGACCACGGTGTCCTGCAGCGCTGGACCAAGGGTTTTGACATCGATGGCGTCGAGGGCAAGGACGTCGTTCCCCCGTTGGAGGAGATCCTCAAGAAGCGCGTAAGTCGCGACTGATCCGGGCCATTGCCGGCATAACTAATACTCCCCCGACAGGGCCTGCCCATCAAGGTCGCTGCGCTGATCAACGACACCACCGGAACGCTCATCGCCTCCGCCTACACTGACACTGCCATGAAGATCGGCTGCATCTTCGGCACCGGTGTCAACGCTGCCTACATGGAAAAGGTCGGCCGCATCCCCAAGCTGGCCCACATGAACCTGCCCGCCGACATGGACGTGGCTATCAACTGCGAGTATGGCGCCTTTGACAACGAGCACATCGTGCTGCCCCTCACCAAGTATGACCACATCATCGACCGCGACTCGCCCCGTCCCGGCCAGCAGGCCTTCGAGAAGATGACCGCCGGTCTGTACCTGGGCGAGATCTTCCGTCTGGCCCTGCTGGACCTGCTGGACAACCACCCCGGCCTCATCTTCAACGGCCAGGACACCTCGGAGCTGCGCAAGCCCTACCTGCTGGACTCGTCGGTCCTGGCGGCCATCGAGGAGGACCCCTACGAGAACCTGGAGGAGACCGAGGAGCTCCTCGAGCGCCTGCTGAAGATTAAGGCTACCCCGGCGGAGCTGGAGATGGTCCGTCGGTTGGCCGAGCTGATCGGCACGCGTGCCGCCCGCCTGTCCGCGTGCGGTGTGGCTGCCATCTGCAAGAAGACCGGCATGGAGTCCTGCCACGTCGGTGCGGACGGCTCGGTGTTCACCAAGTACCCCCACTTCAAGGAGCGCGGTGCGCAGGCCCTGCGGGAGATCCTGGACTGGGCTCCCCAGGAGCAGGACAAGGTGAGCATCATGGCCGCCGAAGATGGATCCGGTGTGGGTGCCGCCCTCATTGCGGCCCTGACCCTGAAGCGGGTCAAGGCCGGCAACCTGGCGGGTATCCGCAACCTGGCGGACATGAAGACTCTGCTATAGAGGGGGGGGGGGAGGCACACTGGCGCACAATTTGAATATAGGTTAGGTGTTGTGAGGTGATTCGGACCTGGCGGAAAATATACAGTGACATGCAGATATGGAGCATTCGATAATGGAGATCACGATAGATGTGACCAATTCGGTCTACAATCAATACTATGAATTCAAAGACTATACGGAGCACGGAGTAGAAAGCATGAACTCGCCTGACTCGACCGGACGGATTCTTTTCCCAGACCACTTGATGGGTGGGCGAGGGAATGCAGGTCTGCTGGACGGGTGAAGAATGCCACCAAGCCAAGGTTGGCAGACATTCCCAGAGCGAGCCAGGAATGCCCAGGACTACCGCTGGGTTTCACAGAGGACATCATCCAAGGAGAGAGCGATCCCTTTACACCGGGGTAAATATGTCATCGTCAACAAACAGTCGCCTCGCATCATAGGTCATCCGCGTTCTAAAACGTCTGGGGGAATGCACCATGATCCCAGGACTGCCCGATCACCTGCCCTCCTCGACGATTGATATCCCTGGAGCAGACAGACAAACTCTTATGACTCCCTGCCCAGTCGATAGGGATGGATGGAGCATAACGTATAAATACCGTAGTAGTAACATTACAGCCGGCGCCCCCTTCCCCATCCCCATCCCGAGCCCTATCTTCATCCCTCCCATCCCTCACCACTCGCCACCAACGCTCGCAACCATCCTCATCTTCTCTCATTATTACCCTGCCCACCCACCTCCAACCAACAGCCAGACACAAACACAATGAAGTTCTCCCTCTCCCTCCTCACCATCGCCCTAACGGCCACCACGGCCCTCGCCACCGCCGTCTCCTCCCCCAACAACGACAACGGCTCCCTCGGCCGACCGGGCACCCTGACCAGGAAAGCCCTCGGGCGTGTGGCGGCCGCCTCGTCCGCCACGACGCCCTCAAGCACCCCGGACGCCGATGCCCCTTCGGAATCGGATGATGGCGAGAGCACCTCCAAGTCTGCCGCGGAGCAGGCGGAGCAGGCGGCGAAGGAATCGGACGTATGTTCTTCTATTCTATCTAGAGAGTTTGACTATTGATTGCTTGAATGAATGGTTGACTAACTAAATGTATAGCCCAATGATTTCGTGAGATTCCCTCTCCCTTTTTGAAGGAGTGCATCACTGCATGGTATATACTATGGATGATATTGCATGTGTATACGTGTACATGCACTGCGTGCACTACATACGCCCCGTTCCATCCCATCCCATCCCGTCTGATCCCCCAAAACGAACAATGAGAGAGAGAGAGAGAGAGAGAGAGAGAGAGAGAAGATTGCTAACATAGTATCTACCCCTCTCGAACGGAACAGTTAACCGGAATCGTTGGCTTTGTAAGTATCTTCCTTACCTACCATTTTTCCCCTTCCTCCTTCCCCCTTCTAGTTCAATATCATCAAGACAGAAAGGCTAATAAGCATGGATGGATGTACAGATTGGCGGTCTGGTGAGTTTCATTCTATTTATAATCTCTCTCTCTCTTGGATATCCTGGTGGGGAATTAAAAGAAGAGAGGGTACTCAATGCTACGAACGTGATGTTAACATCACCGATCTATCTAGGGTCTGCGCGACGTGGGTGGCCAGTAAGAAGGAGAGTTGCTTACGTTCCAACATAGGATAGGATAAGCTATCTATCTATCTGGATAATCTGCGTCTGTTCGGGTTACTACCCACTGTATTATTCAGGGAGGGGGCCGAGGGCTGAATGCTCCATGCTATCAGGAGCTCTCTGTATGTGTGCTGAGTTGTGTTGTGTTCTGATCGTGATCGTGATCGTGTTCGTGGCGACCAAGTCGGTGTTTAGTGTTTGTTTACACTAGATTACCTTATTTATTGTGTTTGATCTAATTGGTTCGAGGTTGGGTCGATGGTGTTAACTTTTCAAAGTATGGGCAAATATCTAAGGAATATCAATACTACCAAATATACTACTACTATCCATCCCCAACTAAACCTGCACCTCCAGTAAACTAAACATGATGTTATGAATACCACACCACCCGATAATTAACGTCTATGAACGTATGAACGTATGAACGTATGAACGTATGAACGTATGAACGTATGAACGTATGAACGTATGAACGTATGTATGTATGTATGTATAACATCATTACACTACCGCACATCTATACAACATAAAATCCCCATACAGTAATGCTACCATGCAACACGAACTTTTCTACTCCACCCACTCAACCCACTCACCACACGCACACAAGAACAAGAACATCTCACCCCCGGATCTCCCACAGCCGGATGCGACCCTGCTCATTACCCACGGCCAACTGCTCCGAGTTGGGCGAGATAGCGACGGACGAAATACGCCCGAAAGGCGTGTTCGAGGTGGGCCAGTTGCGGTAGACCGTGCAGCTGGGGAGATGGACTACCGAGATCATTCATGTTAGTATTTATATTGCATTGTATGGAGGGGAGTGGAGTGATAGTTAGAGGGGGCATACCGATTCTCAAGGCATCTCTCTTCCAGCGACTGGCCATGACGAAGAACTGTCCGTCGGGGGCAAACTCCAGATGGCTGATCGGGGTGGTGAGCTGGTCCAGGGCGCGGACGGGTTCGGGGTTGCGCGGAATGGCCTGGTTGGAGTCGGCGTCGGACCCGGACGAGGGCTTCGCGGCGTAGGCCGCGGCCCAGTCGCGGCGGTCGTAGACGTTGACGACACCGCTGGAACTGCCGATGGCAACCCAGCGGTCGCCGCCGAGCTGGGTGCGTCCGGAGCGGCCACCCAGGCTGAGCACGGTGGTGCCGACGGCACCGGCATCCAGCCAGCGGGCGACGACGCGGTTCAGCCGGCCGTCCCACTCACTGACCTCTCCGTTCTTGCTGGCCACCGTCATGCCCTCGCCGTCGCTCCACCAGGCGAAGTCCGCGACTCCGCCGCGGCCGTCCACGCGCACCTGCGCGATCCACTGCGCCGTGCCGGAGTCCAGCACGTTGATCAGGCCGCCGCCCTTGCGCGACGAGCCCACCAGCCCGACGTACCGCCCACAGGGCGACAGCTTGAATCGCTCCATCGACTTCTGTTCCTCCTTGCGGTCGGCCGTGCCGTTGACCTTGTCCACCTTGCCGGTCTCCATGTCCCAGATGTGGAAGTAGCGCCGGCGGCCGGACGCGAAGATCCGGTTGCCGCTGGGGAGGTGGAACGCGGAGCTGTGGATGGGGGTTTTGCGGATGTGAAACGAGGTGAGGAGGGGGTTGGGCGCCGGGGCCGAGGGGGAGATGTGGTGGAGGAAGAGCGTGGCCGCGGGTCCGGAGGAGAGCAGCAGCGGGTAGTGAGGGTGGTACATGAGCGAGTCGACGGAGGACTATATCCTATGTTAGGCGAAGAAACGTAAAGAGGCGAAGGGGGGAGACTCACCGGCTGGTCTTTGCCAACGTCCTTCAGACGCTGGATATCAATCACCTCCTGGCGCATCTTTCTCCGGCCGCCTGTCGTCTTCTCCTCAAGCTTGGTGAGCTCCGAGGCGCCCTGCAGCAGCTTGGCCAGAGGCTGTGTGGACATGGACTCCTCGTCATCGGTGTCCATGTCATCCGCATCGGAGTCGTTCTTGGGCTGGTTGGCCTCGGGGTTAGCCCAAGCCGGCATGGGGTTCAATTGCAGATATTGCCGGCGCAGTCGCCGGATGTATTCCTTGCCGCCGATGACATCCTCCGACTCGGCGACACGCAGTTTGCGCAGGCGCTGCTGGCTCGCCAGCGAGATCGTGAGACGATCGTCGTCGCTATCGTGCCATAAGGCGGGCATACCGGCCTCCTCCTCACTACCATCGGAATCCTCCGACGGCGCCTCCATGAGATCCGTCGACACGGGCCCGGCGCCAGAATCCAGGAAGAAAAGCTACATCAAACAATCCCATTAGCAACCGCCGCGCACGTAGAAAAAGAGAAGTAGACCACGAACATCGGAATCCGCAACGTTCGCCAAATCCACATCGTCATCGCCCTCTCCCTCGCCCTCCTCATCCGCACTGTCCTCGTCGCTGTGATCCGCCAACACCAGACCGCGCTCGTTCTGGGTTTTCAGAGCGCCCCGGAACCCCTCGTCGTCGCCGAATAGCATCCGCTCCAGCTTCATCTCGGCATCGTCCTTCTCGGGTTCGTCCGATTCATCTGAGCTCGTTTCGTCGTCCATATCGACGTCGTTGTCAAAGTGGATGGGCTTGCCCGGTTCGAATGAGGTGACCGCGGCCGGTTTGGCCTTCTGGCGGACCTTGTCCTTGACGCCTGCCTTGGGCATGATGAGCAGTGCACGCTCAGTGGGATCGCAGGGGAAATTTCCAAGTAAGAACAAGAAACCCAGGGAGCTGGATTTAAGTATAATAAGTAGCGCTCGTCCTTGGATGTGGCAGAGAATCGACGGCCGCCGACAATAATTTTCTTCCGCGGCCGGCAGAAACGGGCGGTGAGAGGTGCGGTAAGCAAGGTATGCCTGACATGTAAGGCAACCATTACAGCCTGGATGTACCGGAGTGACTCGAAAGCATAAGTTATTATGTAGGTAAGTTGCTATTGCAATAACAGACAAATTGAAGATCTAAACATATACACGCCCATTGTCCTCCCCAACCAGTAATTTTATAAACAAGCAAAACCTGCACACGACCAACGCCCATCATGAAGCACGTGAGTGGAGTTTCATATCAGTCCCGTTCATGGGCCGTAAGCTTGGTCCCCGATTCCAACGGACCGTATTCATGGCTGCTGCCCGACCGAGCGGACGCCGACGCCGAAGAGGAAGAGCTGTGCGCAGTGCAAGTGGCGCTGTACTCGATGGACCCGAACCGGACCAAGTCTTCCTTGGGGCTCTCCAGGCCCGTCACGTCGTCCTTGCCCATGGAGTCATCGTCTGACTCAAATGATCGGTCTTCATCTGCTAGGAGTGCGTGGCGGTGCTCGCGGTCGTCCCCGCCTTCACCCGCAGTCTCCTCTTCTAGAGCCTCCGGAGACGAAGGTTTCTTGATGAATGTGTCGATGATGTAATACTGAATACCGTTCATGATGACGGGGAAGAGTAGCATGACAAAAATGATCTGCACGGCCGTGTTCCCCTCCGTCCACCGTAGGGCCCAGTCGCCCACCTTGACGATAAACGGCACCAGCTGAATGAGGAAGAAGACGCAGATTTTCATTCCCAGGAGCCCGATAAAGTATATAATGGACTGCTTGAACCACCACGAGGCGCGGGGTGGACGACCATAATTGCCCGACTCTATGGACTCCGGGGGATTCGCAAGCGGAGTATACGAGGCCAGGCGGTTGAGAATGTGAAGAATGAAAATGAGAATGGGAATGCCTAGAGTGGTCTACAACGGTGATCTCGTTAGCAGAATCACATATTGCCAGCTTCTGTGTCGGGACTTACATCGATTCCCAGGTTCAAGATGTAGAAAGAACATGGGTTCGGTTTGTAATTACTCCTGATCTCGAGCTGGCCCGCTGAGAACATCGACATCAGCAGGTTGGCGAGATGCAGCATGGCCGACCCGAAGACTTGCTTCGAGACGTCAAATGCCCACACCTTCACGGGCCGCTGGGGTCGTTCCCTCCAGCGCTTGTAGACCAGCGACAGCAGAGCCAATGCCCCGAGCGCAGCCTGCACGAGGAGCGAGAAAGGACCCAGGAGCCGACATTCTCCAGCATCGTCATCTCCGGTCGGGTCGGCACCGGTTAGGTGAAAGGGAAGGGTTTGCGCGGTCGGTGAGGGGGATGAGGAGGGAAAGGCGCTGGTGACCGAAGAGGCTAGACCGTCAGCGGGCGATGCAGCGACACCGCTACTGAGGGCCGCGATGACGGTGGTTGCGACCAGCCCCGCGAGCGATGGGAGAGTCATGGCAGCGAGGACGCTCTGTCTGGAAGGTAGGAGGGAGGAAAGGCAGGAGGAGAGATGAGTTTGAAAGGATCTCCGAACGAGCAGCTAGTGGCGTTTAATAATTGGAGGGGGTCTAGTGACCCAGCAAATGCACGACGGCGGCGTGCCTATCTCGCGAGGGATGTCCGTGTCACGAGCATATGGAGCAGGGGCCGGAACAGGATTCTGCAACCTAGAGGGACATCGACGAGACGGACGGTAGAGAAGGGAGGCAGCAGACGAGCACTCCTTTAGCAGTCAGGAACCCGAACCAGCCAGGCATCTGTCGGAGCAGCTAGCAACAAGCGGGTTTCATGGGATGATTGGGGATGAGACATGAGGTCAGGGCTGAGCCGGACGAGACACCGCCCCCGCAGTTGGTCCGCGCTAGTGCCGCGCCGGGCGTCCGTTTCGGTCGCTAGATTCTGTGCCCATTGACTGGCCGAAAAGTAGGGCCCGGAAACACTACTGACTTTACAGTTACACGGCTATGGAACCGACCTGGATGATGAAAACACTAAGGCTCATGAGCTGGAGCCTTGTGTGAATTATGACATTTAAGACATGGTTGTCTGCTTAAACTCGAGCAAATATTCCTCCAAAATCCCGAAGCAAAGCCGCTAGCCAGCCTTCTATGTTTATTGCCTGGTCGCCTATCCGCACGGATCTGAACCCATCAGGTTCCGTCAACGCTCAAGACGACAACCGGCTCATCCAAAACAGAGGAGGCCAATAGCCCTCCTCCGACCGGTGCTCAAAGCCGGACCATCTTAGATCATCAGTCTCTCGACCTTGTCCTTGATGGTGCGGATCTGGCCCATGAGGTCACTGGCCTCGTTGGTGGTGATGCTGGCCGCAATCACGGGGCGGGAGACACCGGTGGCACGTCCCAGAGCGAGCTTGCTGGGAACGAAGATGTAGGGGACGTTCTTGTCCTCGGAAAGAAGGGGGATGTGGAGGAGGATAGCCAGGGGGGAGGTGTCGGCAGCGAGGATGACCAGCTCGGCAGTACCGCGGTTAAGGGTCTTGGTGGCTGCACAGATAGTTAGCACGGGATAGCAATATAGGTCCATCACGAAGCACATACCCTCGTTAGCGCCCTTCTTGAGCTGGCGGTAGTGGCTGGCCTGCTGGACGAGGTCCAGGAGGTTCTGGGTGAGGGCCTCGTCGGCGAGGGGCCAGGCTGGAGATCCATCAGTCAGTATGTGTCTAGGGATTGACATTGGGAATTTGCAGGGCTTACCGGCGTTGGTTTGATCAGACATGGTTAAAAGGTGGGAGTGAGTTTGGTGTTAGTCAAAAAAGGCTCACGCAAAGGATCCTTGCCGTGGTGCAGGTCGAAAGGGCGAAGAGAAAAGTTGGTGGTTGATTGCAGAAGCGCATCTGGCCGGCAGCGAAAAGAAAATCTTGGAGGCGCTGGATGTGGGGCTGAGTCATGACTAGCCGCTCTGGGATTGGTCCTACATGGTGCCTGAGGATTCAGGCGTGCAATATCAAATCCAGCCTTAGCCTTCAGGCCTCCCATTCCCTTCCCCTCCCCTGACGCAGAGCTGGTCAGCCGGCCAGCCGGGCCAGCCTAAAGTCTCGCCCCGAGGCGCCGTGTCACTTGGAGATCAGCCGAGCTCTCCGTACGGAGTAGCCTGTCGAACAATACGTTACATGCCTGCACGACTCACAACTCCGACGGTGTATCTATGTAGTCGAGTGGAGAGCATTGGGCTATTGCCAATTGCAATTGCCAGAGGCGGTGCGGTCCAGGCCAACTGTCGTCGTTCCTGACATCCCAGCACGAAGTTCCGGTGTACATGTCACCACGACGCTGCACCCCCTCCCCCCTGCTGTGACGCCATAATTGGCGTTTGTCTTTCGCGCCTAATGACGGGTGTGGATACGATTTCACCGACGCCCAGGAGTCAATCGATATTAACCATCGCACTAGCTGGCTAGCCTTACGCAGCTTCTCCAGGGGGTCACTTCGCTAGCCGATGCATGATCTTCCGAGGTCGCTCCACCATGCAACTTGCGGCCGTTGGGCGATCCCCAGGAGGTCCCGCCCCCGGCTGGGTGGTCTGCTGTAGCAATTATGGCCGGCCTACTCTACTGTATGCCGTCCGATTACTGTAGAAGAGATACAGTTCCTGTCTCATAGGGGTGCACAGCCGAGAGTGGCCGGCGATCGAAATGATTATATTGGTAGCCATGACTAACCGGGGCACGGGGGTCAACCCAGCCTGAAATATCCCATTCTGTAACATCTCCCTGGACAAAGCCAGGGTGTCATTCAACCCGCCGGCAACCCTTTCATACCCATGAATGAATAAGACCCATGAAACCCATAGGAGGAAAACGCCAGAAACCCCACGACCAACCCAGGATAATACGCAGCCAGATGCCGGCAAAGGGCATGCAGAGAAAGCGAGCAAAAGCCATCATCACGTCATTCTATTCCATGTTGCTGTTTGAGACGCTCCAAATTCTCTTGCCTTTCCGCCAGGTCCTCTTTCGACCTAAGCATTTTCTCGGGCTGGTGATATAGAACTAGAGCAGATCGACGTCAGCCTTATATGTCCCCCCAACCCAATGCGCGTGCCTCGGGCCACGTGTGGCGTACGTACCGACGAGATATCTGTTCTGGAAGTTGAAGCCATTGAGTTTATCGCATGCCTGTTTGGCGTCGTGCACGTCTTCGTAGACAACAAAGGCAGTGCCCTTGGAGTTGTTCGCGATTCCCTGACGTATTTGACTGAAAGCCGGTCAGTTCCTGGGGAATAGATCGACGGGAGAAGTCATGCGCAGGCTTACCGGATGGGTCCGAATTTGCCGAAGAGGTCAAAGAGTTGCTCCGCGGTGACGTTGTAGCTGCACGAAGTCGGAGATGTTAGCGTCGGTCCAGACAAAAAGGGCAGGCACATTCTGGGGCAGCCATTCGATGGGATATGCGACAGTCGACTGGGGGTGTGGCGTGCAGCTCGAGTGGTGGACATACTTGAGGTTCTTTACAAAGAGAATCCTAAACTGGTCAGCATCGACGTCCCACAGACCCAGATTTCCGGGGCCAGCACGCGAATCCTCCCCAGATCTCCAGATCGGAGCTCGAGATGGAGGGATGGCGGGCGACCGAGGGAGGGGCAGATTCATCGAGCAGAACTTACCGATTGGCTTCGGGGGCGAGCTTCCGGCTCATTCTCGGGTGGGACGGGATATGTCCTAAAAATTGGGTCGAAGGAGGATGTAGGTCGAGTCAGATACCCAACGGGGCCTGGAGAAGCGTGGGAATGCGAGGAAAGGGAGAGGAGGAAGAGGATTGAGAGAGAAGCAATATCCGCGACGAGCACGAGGTTCGGAAGGGAGACTGCCTTGCCTGATTGGGACTAGCCGCCGGGGGAGCCTCACTTTGTTGGCTCGCGAAGAACCGCCGCCGCCCGAGGCATTGAGGGGGGAGGAGGTCAAAGGATGAGGGTCTGGCTGTCGAGGAGACTGGAGAGGATCGGACTGGTTGGATGTTTGACAATGTCGATGTGTCTGGAGGGGGGCTGAGGGGGATCTGGTTGACCCCCGGCATGCTCGCCGCAAACGAAGGGCTGTTGGTGCCTGAGGCCGCCAGTCTGGCCCGTCCGGCTACCACTCGGACTACGACTCACGACTAACTGGCGGTCCTCCTGCTGCCGCTCCCTCCCCCGTCCGTCCCTCCCATTCTCCTCCTCTCCCCTCTGCGCGGCGCAGCCATCTCCTCGATCAATTCATGTCGCATCTTCCAATCGCTTGATCTTCGCTATCCTTCTGTCCATCCTCATCCTCTCTGCGGCTTTCGCCCAGGTCTCCCTCCTACTCGCACCCCCGCCGCGGTGCAGTCCTCGGGGACCTACCTACCTCTCTCTCTCTCTCTCTCTCTCTCCCGCCCAGTCGGCAGAGTCTCTCTCAACTTCCCCCCCCCTCAACCTCCGCCGTGCGACTCTCCGTTAACCTCGCCTCACCTCCTCCCCCTCTCCCCTCCCCCTCTGTTTCCACCCTGATTATTCTCGCATCCTTTCCCTCCATCGTGCGCCATTCCATCCTGCCAGGAATGACTCTCTTTTTGCCTGCGGTGGCCTCTCTCTAGCCCGTGTGGTCGAACATCCCCGCTTTGCACCCGTCTGCCGCAAGCACGCCTCGTCTCTTCCTTCGGGCCCTTTTCTCCCTCTTTTTTTTCTTCCAGACCATCCTCAGACCACACCATGATTAGTGCTACCTCCTTTTTGAATCACCCCGGCAGCCGGCCGCCGCGGTATCGCACTCCCTCGCCGCCGCGACGCGCCGTCGAGCCCATCTCGCCCTGCTCGACCTCCGACTTCCGGGCCTCATGGGTTGACCGCAGCGTCGCCCGCGTGTTCGGCCCCGATCGCGACCAGTTCGTACCAAACAATACCGCTTATCACCCTGCTGATGGGGCTGCTGCTCACCGGTCCAGCCATGGCCGTTCTAGTTCGACTATTGATACCCTCGCGACGATCGCTCTAGCGACGAGTCCGACCTTCGCTCCCCTCTCCTACCGACCTCCCTCCCAAAACTCCTCCGCCCCCGCCAGATCGCTATTCCCCCACGAGCCTCTGGAATCTACAGAACGCCCGGCCAAGCGTCCGCGGTCGGAAAAAGATCCGTCGCCGTTCTCCCAACACCGGCCGGTTGCTTTGCCCGATGCAAATTCTGCCATGCTGCTCGACCTTGACAGCATGAAGACGGACGCAGAGCTGCTGCTGAACTTTTCACGGCCACTGCCTCCCCCTCCTCCGAAACGAGTCAGTATCGACGAGTCATCCTACCATTACGGGGAGGAGCAGAGGCATCACGCCACGGCGGATTTCGGAGGTGCGAGCTGGAGATTGACCGACGAAAAATACACCTACCACACCCCTGGGAGCAACAATGTGCCGCCCTCTCGAATGAGATCGCAGTCCGACGGGTCGGCTGCCATCTCGCGCCCGGTTATCCAAGGCGCGCGCCCGAACACGAGCTCCTCCACCCTCCCGCCGATCCTTTGGCAGGAAGAGGGCGACGCCGACGACCACTGGGGCTCGACAACCAGGATCGCACTGAAAGGCCTTCAGTCAGACACACAAAGCTTATTGCATGCCACCGGTGTCGCGCCAATGCCGGCTCGGCCTTCCAAGGTCGAGGACGACATGGAAATGGAGGAGTCGAGCCAAGCCAGTTGTGCGGCCTGCAATCTCGTGCGGATCCCGATAGACACTGGGGAGCAGGGCGACGTAACATGGATCAGCTGCGATGGTTGCAAACGGTGGTTTCATATCGTTTGTGCCGGGTTCAAGAATGATCGCGAGATTCGGACGGTGGACAAGTTTATCTGCCGTGGATGTCGTGGCGCTTTTGGAAACACCACATTCGTCCGCAAATCCTCGAGAGCTCGGACTGCTATTGACTATGCTGGCCTCAATCAAGGCCTCGTGAAGGCAGCCTCGGACTCGCTGGAGCACCACTACATCGAACCCATTCGACAGGGCAAAATCCAATTCCTCCCGGAGAATTTCCCCCGCATGCGTCCGGAGCTGGTCACCGCCGAGTACTTCGAGCGAGGAAATGGCATGACAGAACCAATTGTCATCCCTGCTGAGTGGAACACTCGTGAATCTGCTTCCATCGACGATTCCGAACTCGACTCTCTCGCCCAAGAGGCTCCCACTCAAGAGATGTTCGACGAGCTACTTGAACATCTAGTCGCAGACAGCCAAGACTGCGAGCAGGTGATCGATTGCGGTCAGGACCAGTTGGATATGGTCATCCCACAAGGCCTCACCGTTCGACGAGTGGCGGAACTCTACGGTCCGGAGGAACGGGTGGAAGTTATCGACGTTAAATCACAACAAGGGGAAGACAAGCGATGGACTATGCAGAAATGGGCCGATTACTACGAGAGCACTGGCGACAAGGTTGTCCGCAACGTCATTAGCCTGGAGGTGTCGCAGAGCCCACTAGGCAGGCTAATTCGCCGGCCTAAGGTCGTCCGTGACCTTGATCTGCAAGACTCCGTTTGGCCCGAGGAACTCCAGGCGGTTAGTGACTTCCCGAAAGTTCAGTTCTACTGCTTGATGTCTGTGGCCGACTGCTACACCGACTTCCACATCGACTTTGGCGGGTCATCCGTCTACTACCATATCCTGAAAGGCAAAAAGACCTTCTTCTTTATCCCGCCAAAAGATAAGCATTTAAAGAAATATGAAGAATGGTGCAATTCACCCGCCCAGGATTCTACGTTCCTCGGGGATCAAACCAAGGAATGCTACCGCGTGGACCTCGGCGAAGGCGATACGATGCTGATCCCGTCGGGCTGGATCCACGCCGTCTGGACGCCTGAGAATAGTCTGGTCATCGGCGGAAACTTCCTGACCAGGTTGAACTATGGGATGCAGATCAAAATCGCGCAGATTGAGAAGGACACCAAGGTTCCTAGAAAGTTCCGGTACCCGTTCTTCCAGAAAATTCACTGGTATACTGCACTGAGGTATCTTGAGGATGACCCGCTGCCTCAGGGTGTCCTGGACGCCTTCGCACAGGATGAGAACTACCGCTTCCACCGAGGTTACCCCATCTACTACGAATTTGGAGAACGATCTAACCCTGCCCCCGCCGGATCCCCCTATCACAACTCACGTTTCTATTCCCAGGCGGAACTGGAAGGACTGCCAGATCTGGCCAAGTATCTCCTCCGCACCGCGCTGATTGCAGGCTCCTACCACATCGAAGGCGTGACGATGGACGCCGGAAATGCAGTCAGGCGCTCGATACCCAAGATGTCGGGTGATCCGATTGACGTCGTGAGAAAGTTTGGGATTTGGGTTGCCTGGAAGCGCGGGAACGAGAGAGCGCCACAGTGGACTCGCCCGGGTGTGGTGGAGAGCAACGCGAAGCTCAGTCTGGCGGAGAAGAAGCCGGCTGGGCGACCTAGCCGTCGTTCCGAGCGGAATACCGACAGCCAGCGCACGTACACCGAGAGACAGGCTGTGCAGCGACTTCCGGAACCGCGCGAGTCTTCTACGGAGGTCAGCAACAGCAACAATGCCCCCAGCCTTCCATCCACCTCGGGAACGACTTTACCGGTGAGCGCTTCAGGCAGCGGAATGAAAGAGGAGGTGGTTCCGAAGCCTCGAGCTACACCTCGCGGTTCCGGATTGGGTCCTAAGCGGGTTGCTTGTGATGCGTGTCGCAAACGAAGGATCCGGTGTCACCACAAGGACGAACAGCACGACGGGCTTTCGGCCAAGCCGACGGCCGTGGCTGCATTTGCTGCTGGAAGTCATTCGCTAGCGCACGACGCAGCGACGGCGCTGAACTCGTTGGCCGCCATCGCATCGGAGGCGGGCTTTCAAGACAGTGCAAATGGAAGAAGTCTGGATCGGTTCGAAGTCTCCGGGAAGTTTAACCCAGCTATCTTGGGCACGCCGCATGCACCTATCAACCGGCTCAACGATGTTAGCCCTGACGGCCTGAATAGCGGCAAGAAGGGCCGCAGCAAGGCTTGTGACGATTGTCGGAAAAGCAAGGTACGTACAGCACCACCACTGTCTTGTTTCGATACTAACTGCAGTAGCGTCGGTGTATCCACGATGAGTATGGCCGGATTGACCCGGTCAAGGCCCAGGAACGAGCGAAGCCCCGCGCGGCTGCTTCGGGCAAACGACCCCGCCCCGAAGAAGGGACTGGCTCTGCGAGCAAGCGCATGAAGCAGGAAAGCACTTCGCCTCTGGCAAGACCCGCGCATCTCAGCCGCGAGGGCATGATGGAGACACAAGATGCTCGACTGGCCGAGCCTACCCACCAGCCGGACTTCAATGCGCCTTTCTCCGGTGTCTCTCACGACGACCAGGACTATTCACAACCAGACATGGTCGAGAAAGAAGCGCCGCTCGGACAGACCTCGTACGCATCGCCGCCAGCATTCCAAACCGACACCATGGACGCAAAAGAGATGGACTCAGCACCGGTCTCCAAGCCCACAGCCACCCTTGTATCACCGCCGACGTCGCTGGCCGATGAGACGGATGTTCCTCATGAGCACGCCGATGGGGAGGGAGAACATGGGGTCGTCCTTCACACGCCCACGTCGAGTTCACGGCATTCCTCCCGGCAGCCTCGCCAGGTCGACCGGTATGTGCCCGAGGTGCATGTCTTGAAGCCGACCAAGCCGCCGACGCACACGCCCACCGCGCGCCGCTCGTCGTTCGGCGGATCGAGTGCGGGAGTGCGCAAGTCGACGCCGGGTCCATCGTCAGGCTCGAAAACGTCTTCCTCGCGGCCCTCCTCGTCCTCGCAAGCCAAGAAGAGCTTCTGGCCCACGGACGAGAGAAAGGGAGACCGCCACGCGGCGTCCTCGGCATCGCCTGGGCACACGGGCAAGAACCCGAAGCGTGCGGTGGACGAGGAGCCCGATGCGGAGAGTCTGCGCCTCATTCGCGAGCTGCAGGAAGCGGAATTCGGGCTGCGGAAGCGATCGACGCGAGTATGAGGCTCATGCAGATTGGGACACCATTTTTCTTCTATTTTCACCTTTAGACCAGCTAGATCGGGCGACCGGAGACTCGGGTTTGGAACGATCGAGTTCGATCAGATTTGCTAGGATGCGGAGTTTGACGGAAGGAGTCTGGCCAAGGGTTGGCTTAGTTTATTTTGCTTGGGTTGTTTCTGATCGATTGGCGTCACGTTGGCGGATTGGGGGTTTACCTTGTCTTGTCTGTTTTGCGGTCTGCACCAGGCGTTTAATGTGGGAGTCTTGACCAGATGGTCCTTCGTTCCTTTGGTGTTGTGTTTCCTTGAATTCGATGGAGCTTCGGCTCGGACGCCTACGGCGGTCCCTTGTTTATTTTCATTTTTTTCAGTATACCTCCCTTGGCGCGTTTCTCAGCCTTTTTCAGTCCGACCGGGCTGCCGGGCTAGCCCTAATGCTCTTGCTGCATGGATCTGTTTGTAGCTGTAATCTGACTATCCTTTTTCCAATCCTTCACGCGTAGGGTCAACATGTAAGTCTTGACTGCGATTCAATCCCGCCAGCAGAGACAGGAACTGGATACCCAGTCTCACATTCGCTCCGGATAATTTCCTTCAGAATGTCTGGCTCGAAAATGTACTCAGGCCCAGTTTGAACATTTATCAAGGATCTTCCTGTCGGTGTTTCAAAAACCACTCACTGGGTATGTAGGTGCCTCAGGCGGGTATATTTGAACACTTTCTCGGATTCTTTTCCCCGGAGTGTCTGTTCTAGAAACTCCATCAATATTCGCGGGAGGGATATAGAGATGCCTCAGGCTGGTATATTTGAACACTCCTTCCGATCCTTTTTCCCCAGAGTGTCCGACTAAAATTGCGCGGTTTTCGCTGTATATATATATAGGTCTCTGCCTCAGGCTGATAGGGTTGAACACTCGCCCAGAATCTTTTTCTCAGGATGTCCTCCGTTTACGAAATGGGCAGTGGGTAACCTAAAGGTGCCTCATATCCTGCCTCCCCAACTTAGGACAACCCAAGAAAGTAGAGTAAACCAACCCAACCCAAGTAAACTGCCTACCTACCTAGTATTGCTTATCTCCCTCGCAACGGCATCTCATCCCCCTCCCCCTCTCTATGCCCCTCATACCCAACCTCCTGCTCAAACACCCTCTCCACCACAATCCCATTCAACCCCCAAACTCCCCCTCCCCAAGCCCCTACCAATCCCAACAGGCCTCATTTCCGTCCCATCTTCCACTCCCTTCCCAAACGCACCCCCATCTCCACCCCCCACCCCCCAAACCCATCCTCATCCTCCTCCTCCTCATCAAAGCTCCTCAACGCCTCCACCTCCGACCGGAAGCTATTCCCCGCGGCACTGCCATTGTGCAACTTCAGCCAAGATGCATGCTGCGAGGCCGTGATACTCGATTTATGCGCGTGCGTGTGGCCGGTATGGTTATAGTCGTGGGTATTGGAGGAGGGGGAGGTATTGTTATTCGCGCCGGAGCGGGTGGTGCGTGATTGGAGAGTGCTTTTCAGGCTGGTGAAGATCGATGCGAGCGATTTGTAGATTAGGGGGAGGTTGGCGCAGAGGATTCCGCCGAGGGGTTCCCAGGCAGAGAGGATGCCGAGGGGGACACCGGCCCCTGGTTTTCACAGTGTTAGGGGTGAGTTGGAGATGGATTGGAGGGGATGAGGGGAAGGGAGCGTACAAGTATAGTCTGTTGAGCCTTGGGTGACGACGACGGTGAGGCGGGCGGCGCTGATGGCGCAGGTTCTGTGGATATCGATATATCGATAAGTATTCTTCTTTTTCAATTCTTTGTTTCCTTCCGTCTTTCACAAAAGATAGATAGAGAGAAAGCGGGAGAGAACTCCACAACAGAGGAAATACTCACGCCAACCCAACCGAAAACAATAAACTCAAGCCGACCTTCTTATTCCTCGTAATTTGCAACTTCAAAATGACCGGCACCGGAAGCAGAAAGATCCAGATATCGGTGACAAGGTTCGTGATATTCGTGAAATAGCTAAACGCCACCAGATTAAAGCACGTTCCGTGGACACTCGAGTCCCAGAATTTCTGGATGGGTCGGCACTCCAGCCCCAACACGATCTCCATGGTCATGAGCCATAGAATCACCCAGACGACGGTGCCGATGACGACGAATCGGAACTTGGGCGTGATGAAGATGCGATAGTAGAGGGCGAGGACGGAGAGTTTGGTGCTGGCGATGGCGACGTCGTAGAAGTGGCTGAAGATGTAGTCGCCCTGGGGTTACGGTCTGTTAGGTATGGTTTGGGTCTGGGGTTGAGATGCAGATGTAAGGAAGGGTTTTTGTTTACTTTCATGAAGGTCTCGACTTCTTTGGTCGGGAGAGCTGCGACATGTCGTCCGAAACCGTAGGGCGGACCTGATCAGCGCTGTCAGTTGCTGTCAGAAACTCACTGACTGTCAATGGCCATATCGCACCGTAATACAACCCGCTGGCGCAGACTCCCACCCCGATGATCTACAGGCGAGTCAGACATGCTGGAGTCACCAAACACGGACGGCTCACCGTAGCCCACAATATCAGATAGTCATCGAACGCCAAGCCATTCTTCGACGACGGCCGTAGCTGGATCCAGATGCGCCAGCCCGTGGTCAGAATCTCCAGAGGAATCGGGACCGAGTATCCCACGATGACCTCGGTGACGCGCGACTGTGCCAGATACGCGGCCGAGTAATGCGTGGCCGCGCTCATCGTGGACTTCGACAGGGGTCGAAATGCATGCTGCAGGCTGCAGCAGACGCTGTCAGGGTCAATGTTTTTTGTACGTGCCAGAGGGGTGGGTCAGGATTCCGTTATGATCACTCCTGCAGACCTGAGCAGGCCATACTCTCTCGGACCGTCGGACATCGACGTCTCTGTTCGTGCAACTGGTCCGGTGCTAGGAAGACGATGGCTGGCAGGATTGTTCGACTGACAGACTGGCCCCCACGTGCTATTTCGGAGATTGAGCGAGAAATCCTTCAGTCAGCTAGCAGCAGCGCAGCAGCATTAGCGAGATGCCGGCAGTGAGATGTCAGCCCAGTCAAGCCTTGACGCTAGGACTACTCCGTAGCGGTTCCCACGTGCGGAAAGCCGTACTGGGCCGCGATCGAATCACTGCGGCGCGAATAGATTACCGTCGATGGAGTCGCTCCACTTGGCTTTCTGGCCGGAGGCACCGCAGTTTCAACGGCGCCAGGCAGTCGCATTAGGTGCCGACCCATACACGGATGTGCTGGTCTGCAGCAGAACTAAAAAGCTGACCCCTGACTCTGAGCGGCCGACTGACCGGTCTCTCGAGTAGTCGAAGGTGCCGGGAATGCCGTGCTGAGGAAGATATTAGGCCCTGCCCCGTCGCTGCTGCCAGGTCGGAGCATAGCCCACCCCGTTATCACTTTCTGCGCAGGGAACGCGATCCAGGAACCCCCTTCATTTCAACCTTTCTCTGACTGACCATGCGGATCACTCACGGCCTGCTGCTCGCGGCCAGCGCGGTGCCCGCCTTGGCCACATCGCCTCCGACCGTCGATCTGGGCTACGCGACCTACCAGGGCTACCTCAGCAGCTACGGGTTGAACACCTGGAAAAGGTAAGTTCCCCTTCAATTCCCATCGTCAAGGAAATGGCTCACCAAGCAGTATCCGGTATGCGGCCCCTCCGGTGGGCAAGCGGCGGTGGCAGGCCCCTGTACCGCCACTGCAGAACAACACGCAGATCACCCTGGCCGTCGACCAGCCTCCCGTGTGTCCACAGTCCGGGGCAGCCGGGACGCCGTACGTGTACGGCTTCAACTCGGGGCCGGGCGATGAGGACTGTCTGTATCTGAACCTGTATGCGCCGCCCAACGCGACGAACCTGCCCGTGCTGCTGTGGATCCGTAAGCTCCCCCCCTCTCCCCTCTCCCTCAATACGTGTTAACATGGACAGATGGCGGCGGATACGCGCTATTTGGGGCGGAGTATGACCCCAGCCCGATGATCAACACGAACAACAACGGGTTCATCACCGTGGAGATCCAGTACCGGTTAGGAGCGTTCGGGTTCCTCTCATCAGACGAGGTCAAGGAGCACGGGCAGACCAACGCCGGACTGTTGGACCAGCGGTTCGCGCTGGAATGGGTGCAGGAGCACATCGCCAAGTTCGGGGGGATCCCACACGCGTCACCATCGGCGGCGAGTCGTCGGGGGCTGGGTCCGTCATGCTGCATGCGCTGGCGTATGGCGGTCAGGAGTTTAACCTATTTAACAACGTTCGTCCTGACCTCCGAATGAATGTCTGAAACAGTGGGGCTGACCAGACAGATCATCGCCGCGAGCGCATACTCGCCGCCCAGCTACAAGTACAATGACGGCGTGCCGGAGCAGCACTACCGGCGGTTCGCGGAGCTGGTGGGTTGCGGTGCTGAGTCTCTGGATGGGAGATTCGCCAGCACGTTCGACTGCCTGGTGGCGGCGCCCAGTGCGCAGCTGCAGAATGCCAGTGGGACGGTGTCGACGTCGGGGCTGTTCGGAACATTTGGATTCCTGCCAGTGGTGGATGGCGAGTTCCTTCAGGAGCGGCCGTCGCTGCAGTTGTCGCAGGGAAGAGTCAGTGGGAAGCGGATCCTTGTTGGTGTATGTTTTGCCTTTTGCCCTTTGCCCTTTGCCCTTTACCCCATACCCCAAACCCTAAGTAACCTCGTTCCCCGCCTTCTCTCAATTACCCCTCCCCCTCATCCCAGTCATCCCACTTAACTAATACACCCCAGAACAACGCCAACGACGGCGTCCCCCTCACGAACCCCAACGTCGTCACCCGCGCGGCCTTCAACGCCTACATCAACACGACCTTCCCCCTCTTCACGGCCGCCGACGTCGCCGCTCTAAACACCATCTACCAGACCTCGACGACCTCCCCAACAGACAACGGTCCCCGCTACGACACCCTCGGCACCACCCCACCCACCGCACTCAACCAATCCGAGATGGCAACGGGTCTACAGCAAACCGTCCTGAACATCTTCGCCGAAACGACCTTCGACTGCCCCGCAAAATGGCTGGCCGAAGCATTCAGCCAACCGCACACTGCCCTCGAAGCCTGGAAATACCAGTACTCCGTGACCCCGGCCTACCACGGCGCGGACCTGAACGCGTATTTCACGGCGGATGAGCCGGCGTGGCCGGACGCGGGCTTCAGCACCGCGTTCCAGAGGATGTGGGGCCAGTTTATCATGGCGGATAGTCCGGTGATCCCATTTGGGGTCGCGACGGCGGGGTATAGGAATGCCACCGTGCCCAGGAATGGGAGCTGGCTGGATTGGCCCCGCTATGAGAGAGGGTTTCCCGTGCAGATGGACCTGAATACCACCGGGGGTTATCTGGTGCATGAGACGGTGACGACGAACTTGTCGTATTGGGTGCGCGAGGGAGAGGGCATTGTGAATACGTTCCGGTTGGTGGATGCGGAGAAGTGGGAGGAGGGCCGGGGCGACAGGTGTGATTTCTGGAGGGCAGTGGGCGCGAGAGTCCCCCAGTGAGCCCAGTGTAGGCGAATGAGTGATGGAGAAACAAGATAGACCATTTAGACTACTGCACCGTAATCGATCAGATACTAAGTCATCTATTCGTAAATACCGCTAACTCCAGATCCAAGTCAGATGCAACTGCCGTAACGCCCTCTCGTCTCCGGGCCGCTTTCTTCGTCATATATAGGTATGTCTTCATGTCTCTCGTCCGTCATGGCTCGGCGTCTAACCAGCATGCGCCGGGGATGCAGATGTAAGAATCAACGCAGGGGTATATCCACTTGATACAACACCAGACAAGAATAATAATAAGAATGGCACGGGGTAAGAATGGTGACATTACGGTCCAACCAGCGGAACACTGGCATGCAAGGAGGGTACCGTAATGATATATGCCGCTCTAGCTCATCTCCAGCTCACCGTTCTTGCTCGCTGACATGCTCGGGTCCACTGCCTGTCCAGCGCTTCGCCCGCGTCTGCTCGCCGATGTAGTCTTTGATCACACAAGGACTGTCGTCGCGCTGCTGGCAGACCTTGCGCCGGTTGAGGTGCTTGAACCGCGGCCCCAGCGGTCCGTTGACGTAGTGGTACTGCCCGGCGAACCGGTACTGCCGCTGGTCACCCAGTGGGTAGAACTTGTCGCCCCAGTGGCCGTTGAAGTCGAACCACTCCGTCGGTGAGCTCGGGGTCACGGTGGATGCGCGGAGGGTGTCGCTGTCGTGGTCGTATGTGTACGTGTGCGCATTCAGGAGCGGATCCCACAGTGGGCCACGGTCGGTCTGATCGTGCAGCAAACCCCAAGGCAAGATGTACGCGTGTATGCCCGGGGTGGCATACATGGCGTGGGTGCCCATGGCGGAATATATCACGGGCTGGGATAATTAGCAATAGAACATAGAATACAAGTCTCTCCGGCTTACCCGCCGACCGATCTTCTCGACCGCTTCATAGCTGTACGCGTCCCCCGCCGAGTGCGCGCTGAAGAAGAGCGCCTTGGGCCGGCCGTTGTGAAACCGCACGAGACAATGCTCCCAGTCGCCCACGTGGTTGCCAAATCGTACGTTCAGCACCACATTGCCCAGGTTAAAGCTGTAGAAATAGAACCAGAAGGCGTCCACGATGCCGTGTCCTTTGTCCATCACCAGCAGCACCGCCGGCGCGTTACTGCGCCCGCCGGTCTTTTCAACGTGGATCGGCTCGCCCCCAAATCGTTTGCGGAGCTCGTCCCGGATCCCCTCATCGGCCAGGTCCTCCGGGCTGAGATATCCCAGCTCCTCCGGGGACCAGCTGTCGTTATCCTCCGAGGGAGGGCCCGAGTCGTACCACTTGGCGCGTTCCTCGGGGGTGTCTTCTGGAATGGGCCCATCCACGCGACCGTCCCAGTCCGACCAGGACTGCTCGAGAACGTCATCGGGATCTTCCGGGATATTCTTCTCTCCCTCCATCCATGGCGGGCGGTCTTCTACATTGTCGTTGCTAGTCAGGAACACATAGTTGCCGCCCTGGAACTCGTTCAAGTGGTCGAGATCCTGCAGGGTGGGATGGTCGCCCTGCGACTGGATGGGCGTGTAATTCAACATCGGAGTGACATGATACAAATGCTCCGCGATGTCGCCGGGCCAGAACTGCTCGTGGGAGGACAGGTGGACCAGCGGTGCGTACTGGAACACATACGGGGGGATTTGCCGGCGGGAGCGTTCAGCTTCGTCCCAGACGGTTGTGGTGGAAAGGGTGTCGTTAAATTGAGCATCGCGCCAGGCGGCGTACCGCTCGTCCTCCTCGTCGGCCGACAGACGCCCCAGAGTGGACTTGCGGTGGCCATAGCGGGGCCGCACCAGGCGGAAGTGGGCGGTCCCGCATAGGCCTAGCCACCGACAGGCCTTGCGATCCACCCACGAGGGCGAGGAATCGATCCAGCGCTGCTCGTCGTGGTCCTCCTCGTACCAGATAAAGGCCTTGGGGTTCACAGCGCGGGCCAAGCTGTTGACCAGCACATACGCGATCAAGGAGGAGAGCGTGACAGCGGCGGCTTTCGTTGCGCAAACCATCTGCTGACCAATGCCGGGCACGACTAGATCGGAGGAGTTGGAGCGCGACGAGGAGAATTCCGCCAACGCAGCCGGGGCTGAAGGGATGGTGACCAGTTTCCCGATCGGGGCAGCAGCAGTAGGCGAGGCAGCGATAAGAGCGGTCAAGGGAGACTCCTCGGGGGGATTTGCAAGGGAACGAGAGGCATCAGGCCCGAGGGGGGACGAGTGAGAGAATGGAGATAGGAACAGCAGCAGTAGCAGCAGAGAGCACGCAGACAAGCAGCCGGGCCGGGCATTTAAGCCCGGAAGCAAAGGCAGCGGAAGGGACACTATAAGCAACAGACGGCAGGCGCGATGACATTGTCAGTCAGGCGGAAGGTCGAGAACAGCGCGCCGAGGGGCCGAAAGGGAACAAAACGGGGCAAGATTGGCCATGATGTGGACGCGGTAGGGCAGACAGACAGCGAGCAGCAGCAGCAGCAGGGCAATCAGCGGACATCGGATGACGGGCTTAGGGCTGAGAACAACAGGGAAGCCGTCGCAGAGTTGCCGAGCCCAGCGAGACCACAGAACCGGGAAGCGCGGAAGCGGCTTAGATAATGGATGATGGGGGGGGGTTTGGACGCTGACGGATGCAGCTGGGCGCCCTTGCGGGCATCCGCAGCGAGCCGGATCGTCGTGGAGAGGGAGAGACCGGGCAGGGGAACGGAAAGACGGGAAAAACGGCACGGCCGGAAGAGGGAGAAGGGATTGGACTCACTGGCCAGGAGCAGGGCGAGGGGGGGGATGGAGGTGGCTGGCGGGTGGGTTGGAGGAGAGAGGGAGGGAATGGGCGCGACGGAAGTAGTAAAAGAGCCGGAATGATGCAAGAGGGGGATGAAGTCATGCGGCCGATCATCAGGAGGGAGGATAAAGCTAGCAATGGAGAGAGGGATGGGAGGGACGGAGGAGATGAAGAAGCGAAGAAGCAGAAGAGGAGAATCATCAACAACGACGGTGATCAATCAGTTCAGGGTCGACAGGGCTGGCTGGCCGCTTTGCTGGCTGGATGCCTGACGGGGGAGCCGGGGTACCGGGGTACCATCAACCTCCGATGCTGGTACTTGAGTCACTCAGCCTTGCTGACTGGCGAGTGATGTACCGGTACACGGGAGATACTGTATCTCAGTATCTGTCAGGGTCTGGTGGGTTCACCGCCAAGGCCGGATCGCCGGGACCCGCGGATTAGTCGATCCGTCAGCCAATTTGCGCTTTCTGGTTCGCGCTTTGCTTCCAACAATCTTTCTGCAGCTATTCTGTCTTCCGGACACACCCCATAACCACGCCATCCCATCCCATCCCATCATGGACTTCCCCCCTCCCTTGATGCTGGACCCCGCCATGCTGGCAGATTCCCCTCTGCCCAATCTCGACGACCCGGACTCCGAGTATGAATACGAATACCATCCCACCGACACCGAGGTCCGTTCGCCGTACCACTACTGTCTGTCTGTCGCTGACCCCCCCCCCCCCTCTCCCCCCAACCAGACCGTCTATCTCACCCTTGACCTGACTTCCCTGCACGGTCCTATCCGTGCCCCTCGTCGCCGTCAAGATCCTTCCTCTTCCACCACAACACCCACCCCCTCCCACCACGACGAACCCGACGCCGCCCTCTCCAGCACCGAAACCAATCCCAACTCCACCAGCGACGGGGTGCAAATCCTCGGCCTACACACACCAAACCCGATCATATCATACCAAAACCAAATCTTCAGCGGCACCTGGGCGGACCAGATTGGCACCGAACTACTTTTCACTCCCCCGGAACACGCCCACGACCACGACCACGATCATGACGACCCCACCCAGCACCTCAACCCCATCACCCCCCTCCACCGCGGCAAAACATTCGATCTCGTCTCAGCCAACAGCGTGAAAATCCTTGGTCGCAAAGCCAACCTCATCTCCAGCTCTGCCAACGTCTACGCCGCCGAGACCTTCACCTCCGACCCGGCCGACGCACCCACGGGGTTGGTGCGCAAGACGGCACAGCAATCGAACCAGGCGCGGTTCATGGAGCGACTGACCCGCATCAAACGCGAGAAGGGCGAGATGGACACGGTGCGCACGTCGTTCAGCGCCCGACGGACACAGAACCTGGAGGCTCGGTTGCGCGGCTGGGCCCGCACGGATGAGCAGCTGGTGGAAATCCAGCGGCTGAATGAGCTGGCGTTGCAGGGTGATGCCAATGCCATGGCGGAGTTGGAGGGTCTGTACTCGCGACTAGCGGGGAATGGGGATGAGCATGATTTGGACTCGGACCTGGAGCAGGAGGACTTGTGAGGGATGTCTATCTGCATCAGTGTTAGATACAAGCCTCACCACTACAGCATGATGATGAGCGACGGAGATGGTCCACGACAGTGCTGTGTCTGAGCGGCTGAATATACACTCCGAGTGGAACGCGATCAGCAGCAGTCCAGACCCGCGCAAACCCAGGATCCGTCACGTGAGCGCATCCGAATCCCCGACCGAGGTCCAACAGACAAATGTCGTGCTGAGCTCTCGGGCCGGCTTCACCCTTTGGCCCACGTCGGATCTACGAAAGACCTCGCCTCAGTGGCAGTAGTAAGCTTTGGGGAATGCCGTCGATCCCGACGAACCGGGTCGATGCCATGACCGCGTCATGGCGTCATGCGATCTCAGCCTGGCTGCAGGTACTTCTCTGCATGTGATGGCCCAGCCACCGTCGGCAAACAAAGCAAGCAAAGCGAAGCATACTTTGTACAGGCCAGGCACAGGCACAGGCACGGTACAACACTCTACAGTAGACAGAGCCGGGAAACAAAACCCGCCCGTCTACTCACTCCGTCGTAGGCCAGCCATACTGTGTATGTAGTAGCAAATGCATACATTATCCACTCCGATCAGCAGTATTAGTCTACTATACATACAAAAAAGCACTCGGCAGTCAGTGAACCTCAATACGCCTACCAATGTAGCTAAGCTAGCTAGAGAGCAAGCATGTAAGCTTTAACACGAAGAGATGCAAACAGACCAATCCAAATCCAACCCGCTAAGCCGAGTAATCAAATCAAGAACCGGGCACCCAGCCAACCAACTAAACCAAGACACGGCAGGACGAACAGAAAATAATATGTAAGAATAGGAAACCCCAGAGCAGCAGCACTCACTCCCGAACAGAATGGATAAACTCGAGCTCAGAAGGTATCAGAAACCCAACCCAACCCAGCCCAGCCCAGCCCAGCCCATCTAGACCATCCAGTCAAATAGATAAACAGACGGACACCCAGGCAGATAGATAGATAGATAGATAGATAGTAGATGGCAAGCATGGGTTTGATTTTAAACGCCCCAGAACCCCCTCCCATGCCCCCTCGTCTCAACAGGAGACGGAGGCGGCGGCGGGGGTAGCGGAAACTCCCACTCGAGGGGGGTCTCGCGGGTCGGACGATCGGGGAGAGCGACGGCGGCCTTGGGGGTGTGGGTGGAGGCGGAAAGGATGGCGCGGGAGATGTCCTGGGAGAATGACGATGTGGACATTGACGTTGTTGATGCTGCCGTTGCTGTGGAGGTGGAGGTGGTGAGGAGGGTTGGGGGGCGGGTGCGCTGGGAGGGTGGTGACATTTTGGGCGGTTGTGTATAGTCTGGGTTGTAGGTGGAGATGGAATTTGTGGTGGTGGTGGTGGTGGTTGGTTGGTTTGAAAGTTGAGGTTGAGCAGCTGGTGGAATGAGACTAGTTGGTAGGTTGGTAATAGGGAGGTGAGGCAGGTAGGTATAGATCCCAGATGTGCCTAGGCACCAATCACAGCAGAGCAGAGTAGATAGAATTTCAACCTAAAAGCCGTCCACACTCGTCAATTCCGTGCATGTGCATGTGCATGTGGACATGTAGAGCTTATATACTGAAGGAAGAAAGAAAAAAGAAAAGAAATAAGCAGCGGACAGCGGACAGGAGGAAGTCATATAAATGGGGGAGCGACAACTCCGACAGAAGTTCCGATATAGAAGCTCCGACACTCACAGAGCTCCGAAAACAGCCGAGGAGGATTCCATGGAGACACAAAGGGAGAGAGAAAGCCCTGATAAATGGATCCCTCCTTTTAACCGAGCTCGGGTCCGTGTTGGTGCGGTTTGTTTGGTGCCAATAAACAAAAAAGAGCAAGAAAAAAAAAGGAAGAAAGGCAATTGTAGTGGACTTACCGGTGGGTTGGATTTCCCGGTAACTGGGGATACCTTGGTGCTTCTGTTACCTCTAGATACTAGGTGGCAGATAGGTAGATAGGTAGGTAGGTAGGTAGGTAGGTAGGAGTGGTTCAGGACAGATGGAGGGATTGAAGGAGGGTCCCAATGAGTGGTGGGAATTGGGATGATCAAGCTATCAAGAGAGGTAGGTAGGAGGTATACTTCGTAGCTAATAAACCAAGCTGCCACTGGGGAGGACCAGGATGATATAAAGCCGTCTGGGGATGGGGAAACCCAGAAACCAACCCCGGCTGGGATCTTTATACATGAGCCCCGGGCAAGGAGCAGCAGGACGGACTACGGAGACATCATCCCTTTGTCCCGGAACCCCGTTGCGAGGCGAGGACCGACCGACGGACGCCTCACTTGCGCAACGGGCCCAGAGCGACGGGGGCCCAGGCTTGGTGCAATAATGTGCAATGGGAAATGGGAAATGTGCAGGCTTGCCACGACGACGGGACGGAAGGGCGGAACCATGCCTGCCCCGGGGAAGCACCAGGACCCAGGTTCCGGGGAAGAGTTTTGGAGATGCTGGGATGGGGATGGGGATGGGGGGGATGGGGACTCAACCGGGTTACGTGTGCAGGTGTGGGGAATGATTCTCGTTCAACAAGGGTTGGCCAGCGAGGCCGCAGTCTCCATACCTCTCCTGGAGATCGACACCACCGGCATTCGACGCGGATTCGATCTCCTGTTCTCTACCTCTGTCTGTATAGTTACACCGTAAGTTGGGGTTGTTAATGGGGAGTAAGGACTCCCTCGTACATCCACCCTCCCAAAAGAAGCCCATCCAAAGAAAAAGAGAAGAAAGAGAGAAGAATAATCATACTAAGTCACTAGTATAGCCCTACGCAGTCTCAGATGAAGTCTCAGGATCAGCATCAGGCCACCTCCCCTGTCCTCCCTCGCAAGCCACCGGGGCATTCATTCCCATTCGCACACGACAGAACGACCGCCCAGCTTCTAGAAAGCCGACCGCCCCAGAAAAGATATCACGTACTTTGGAGGCTGCACGGAAGGATTTCAGTGGCAAGGAAGAAGAAACAAATGAGGATGCACCGAGGCCCCTGCTTTGTCTGGACTCCGGACTCGTCCCCCCTGGATTCATTTGCCTTTCTTCCCCATAACCTACCGAACCTACCTAGTTGAACCATCAGCTAGCTGTTTACTGTCGTAGTGTGAACCAACTGCACTCACTCATCCAGCCTCCCTGCCGAAAAGAGACCCGGGGTTGAAAGGCCCAGGGAGGTTAAGCGAGCCCACTAGCAGTAGCAGTAGCAGTGGCAGTGGCAGTGGCAGTGGCACAGTCGTCGCACACACCAGGCAGGTCACCTAACGAAGCTCCCTTCAATCCACCTCTTTATGGCAGGAGTCCGTCCCCTTTAGTCAAGGTGCCAAGATCCTGACTGACTGACTGACTTTCCTTCCTTTTTGACCTTTTCTTCCCCATATGTTCAGAAGCTACACTCCACCTCCACATTCCAGCCCATGCATGCACCAAGAGCTCCGTGCACTACTACTTTACTACTACTAGTACTGTACGCTTGTGCTTGTGCTTGTGCTTCGCTCTGCAGTGGTGGTACAGACCACCCACACACATCCATCCATCTGACTACTATTTATATCGCTGTTATGTAACAGCCATGGAGGAGAGTTACTCTGGGGAAAGTCTCCCTGAATCATGGCACCGTGCCACTGCCCATTCTGGTGGGGGTTGGCGATGGCTTGTTTACGAGGCTGTAGTATTTGCCATTGATGTCATTGGATGCAGATTACTGCAGCGCAGACTGAGACTGTGAGACTGTGAGACTGGGACTGAGTTTCTTATTTATTTGCCGGGGTGGTTCATCTGCGCTTTGATGTCATACGGGAGGTAACATCCGACACGGGGGATGTCTGGACCCGTCTAGACTGGGTTTGTGCGAGGGGCGAGGTATGTATGGTGCCAGAGACCAGCCGGGCTCTGGAGTCGGTCGGTCTTGTAGAGTCCGGATATATGGAGTATTCGCGATTCTACCTAACAAATGACATACATGTTTATTTCTCTCAATCGGAGCAGCTTGGCTCATCCATCCAAGCTGTAGATTAATCCAGTAGGGAAATCATTATACAGAAAAACCACCCGCCCAGACCATTTTAACCCCTGCTCCATCATCCCCGAATCTATACAACCAGAGCATGCATGCCGGAGGGACAACATCGCCAATGACCCAACGCCAAACGCCGCGCAGAACCGAATCAGTCAAGTCAAAGACACACCCTATTCCTCAAACTTGCGCTTCACCCCGTTACTCCCGTTAGCGCCGCCGCCGCCCTGACGCGCCCGACGCTCCTCCGCCATCATCTGCGCCTGGCGCTTCTTCCACGCCGCCTTGATCTTCGACGCCACCGCGATGAGGTCGTCCTCCGTCACGCGGTCGTCGATGCTCTCCAGCACCTTCTCGACCGTGGAGATATGGTTCGCATCGGCCTTGTCATCGCGCAGCCGATGAAACCGCCACCGGTGCTCCGAGTCCTTGGCGCATTCCACGATGGCATCATCCAGGGGCTGCTGCAGGGCCTTCATCTCCTCCCACTCCGGGGCAGTGACATACATCTCGCCGAACGGGCGATACTCATTCGAATTAAGCATGACGAACAGATGAAAGATCGGGAGCGCGTCGTAGTCGTAGTATTCCCCCGTAATCCCATCGGCCTCGTCCTCGGAATCCGGTTCCAGCAGGGGAAACTCCAGGCGCACGCGAAAATCAATCGTGTTCTCCGCCGGCGGCTTCCATTTTAGAATATGCTCGTCCGTCCCAATGCGGTACGGGGTGCTCCGACACGTGAAGATCAGGCCGTCATTGCCGTGGATCTTCTTCACCTTGGGGATGATGTCGCGGAACATCATCTCAATGCCGTAGCTGAACTGCGTCGACTTGTCCTCGACCGCGAAGGCACGGTGCTGCTTCTCCTCGGGAAACCGGTCGTACAGCGCATTGTACGGCTTGAGGACCTTCTCCTTGAAGTACGCGAGCCGTTTATCCAGGGTGCGGTGCATGAGACTCTGCCCGTCGAGCACCAGGCAGTCAAACACCAGGTACTTGAGCTGCTGAGAACCGTCCTCGTAGGTATCATTGACCAGCTCGCCATCGACCAGGGTGTCGACGTGGAAGCGCTGGAAGGAGTCGTCGTCGGGCAGGGGGAAATGCAGGCCGGGGACGTAGCGGTACTCGTTTTTGCGGTCGATCAGGTAGTGGATTTCAGGCATTTCGGAGTCCGGGTCGCCGCGCGCGAAGTACATCAGACATCGGATGCCATCGGTCTTCTCGCAGACGTAGTAGTCCTCGCGCTGCAGCTCGTCGATGTGGCGCCTGGAGAAACTGACGGGTTGCGCGCCGGGGAAGTTGAGGTTGTTGCGGCCCAGCAGGCCGGCGACTTCGCGGCGGAATTGGTCCGCGAGGTCGGGCTCGGCTTTGATGCCGATGGCGTCGAGATCGGGGACGGAGTTTCCCATGGTGTTTTGTTTGGGGGGGAGGAAGGCTCGAGTGGTTCGCGGTCGGTGGGAGAGGAGGGACGAGAATCAGGAGGGTGGGAGTCGGGCGGGGGGAAGTCAGAGCTCTCGCCCGCAGGCGCTGGGAGTAGATGGAGGTCGCAGTAGTCGGGGACAGGGGAGTGGTGCAGGGGTGGTGGGAGAGGGAGAGGAACAGGGCGAGCAGCGCATGAGGCGAGAGTCAAGCAAGAGTGGCTGTGGCTGTGACTCCATTGCGGCGCGAGGGTCGGAGATGCTGGCGGCGTGAGGATTGGGGCCTGAGGCAGCGTTATGAGGCAGCAAATGTGAGGCAGCCACCTGAGGCAACCACAGCAACTGACAGTCGACACTTGAACACTCGACAAAGACAGGCGACAGACATGAGGCAGCTTTATATTGCGATAGGTGATCCGTTACGCAAACTGCACTACGCACTGGGCCAAAGTAAAATAAAAATCAGTAAATCACATCCTATCGCAATGCTTATCTACCAGAGACCAACGATTGCGTACGCCAATATATTGCAATCTATCACACGCCAGACCAACACCGACTGAAATGAATCTACATGCGCCCAGTGACACTCAACGCGGGGTATCTAATCAATATCACTGCAAACCAAAACCCACCCACCGTAGACCTTCTACGAACGCCATCCATAAGACCGTCCATCACTCGTTTGAGGGCCAGCCTTACGAGCTCGCCGCCACCGGCAGCTTCTTCGGGGCCTGCGCCGGCGCGTTCCCTCCGGCGTCGGTCGTGGCATCCGGCGCTGCGGGCGCTGCAGCATCATCCGGCACCGGTAACGACATCGTCACCTCCTCGACCGGCGTGAAGAGGTTGCTGTCCGTGAACGGCGAGGAGACATCGCCCGTCGTCGAGAAGAGCCCGCCGCCCCGGGATCCGCCCAGAGCATGGGACAGCATCTCCTTGATCCGCACGTACTGGTACTTCTTCTTCGTCGAGATCAACGTATGTGTGACCAGGGGCTGTGGGTGCGAGCGAGAAATGGCCGCCATGACCGCGTCTTTCTCCTCATCCGAATCGACCGGTCCGTTATTATCCAGATCATCCTGAAGCGGCGCATTGGCATCGATAGCAGCCTCTGTAGACAACAACAACAACACTTAGCACTATCCAACCCCGAACAAACAAAGACAAAGCGGGAGAACTTACTCTGCTGCCTCGCCTGGTTCTTCTTCTGATACGCCTGCAAGAGCATATCATAAGGCAAGGACCGGCCGGGGACTGCTCTCTTCGCGCCCATCGAATGACTCTTACAAGTCAACGACCTCGCACACTGCGCGCCATTCGGCAGAGTAACACCACACTGCTTTTCGACATCGACGGGCCCCTTGGGTTTGGGCGCCTTCGGTTTCGGCTCCTCCTTCTTTTTCTTCTTCTTGGGCTCCTTGCTATCCTTGTCATCATCGCCGGCCTCGGCCTTGCGCTTCTTCCCCTTTTTCGTCCCATCCTCCGCCATCCCCTTAACAGCCGACTTCTTCGCGCTCTTCTGCCCCTTCATCGAATCCTCGGCGCCCTCGACCTTCTCCCCTCCCGGACCAGTACCAGCACCACTCCCACTCCCACCCCCAGCGCCCCCAATAACCACCGACACGGCCGTAGACCCCGCATCCTCGTCCCCATCCTTATCCCCCTTCTCCTTGGCCCGATTCGCTGCATCGCGCGCCTCCTTCTTCCGCCGCGCTTTTTCTTGCTTCGCCCGAATGCAACCGCGGATATGCTCGACGGCGTTCTGCTTCAGGACGGGCCGCTTACAGGTCTTGCAGATGACGGTCTCGAGGTGATCCTCCTCGCGCGGTTTGCCGGTCGGGAAGGCGGCCATGGTCTTTTCGTCGATCTCGGGGAGGATGGGGGACGAGCCGGGGGATTTGGGGTTGTCTTTATCTATAGCATCTCGTAGTCAGCCCTCTGCCGATTGTATCTGCTCGTACATTATCCCCGCCTCGAAGCAAACACCAGAGACCCCAGAAATCCAATCACGACGAAGTAAGGTAAAGGTAGAGGAGCAGAGGCATACCATCGCCCTTCTTCCTCCCCGACTTGGACGTCTTCTTCAATTTAATCTTGCCTGGCTTAGTATCTTTCTCGGCGTATTTATATCCAGAGGCATCGACCAAGCTGCCGGTCGTGGATGCGACCGAGGACGCTGTGGAGTGAAAGCGTTAGTGTTAAGCTGATGGTGCATGCGTTCCCATCGGGGGGGGGGGGGGTCGCACCTCTGCCACCACCGTTGGAAGCCATGACCGCGATAGCGCGCAGGCAGGCTTGGAGGTTGACTTGTGTTTTCTCTGAGCGGGTTGTATGAGTGGAGTGAGGTGAGTGTGAAATACTGGCGGGTTGGTCGCGATGCGAGGTCGAGTTGAGGCTGCGCTGGTGGTGAGACACTGAGACACTGCTACTACGTACTGGCCGCCGTACAGTCCGGGGCTCTCCGCATCGGGGGGTCACGTGGTGGGTGTGTTGCTGGTGTTGGGTTCGGTTTCCGCGCGGTCGCGGCGCAGATTGTTTTCGAAAAAAGGAGGGGGTATGGAGGTTATGAAATTAGTTGGTTCGCAGTGTGGAACTGAGGAGGTGGGTTGGAACGGTGTTTGTTGTCGCAGCAGAGGACGACAAAAGAGTCGAGGCGGGCTACTCGGTACGGTTATAGACAGGCTCCGAAGGACAGCAATACGAAGCACTCTACAAGTCAAATCTGCTAGGCGGCTGCCTCGGACCTCGCGGGCCAGTCAGGAGTGTCCATTTAATGTAGGTCAAGTGCGGCCTATCCACCGTGTTGTACATTCTATTGATACAATGCAATGCAATATGCAAAAAACGCCAATATCATATGATATCCAAGCCACCCACCTATGCATGCTTGGAGAAGCACAAGCTGCTGTTCGTCCCGCCAAACCCGAAGCTGTTGGTCAAGGCCACGTCGATGCGACGCTCCTGAGCCTGTCCGGGGGCATAATTGCAGTCAAATCCATCCGCCAGTTTCTCCAGATTGATCGTCGGAGGCATCACATCCTAGCGCCATGTTAGCATCGCCGTACCCCTCGGACCAACGTACGAAGATCTTACCTCGTGAACTGCGAGAATGGAAAATACAGCCTCGATAGCGCCCGAACCACCGAGCAGGTGGCCAACCGCGCCCTTGGTGCTGCTGACGTTGACTTCCGTCGCCCGCTGCCTGCCTCCCGAGCCCAGCAGCAGAGTCTTGATGGCAGCATTTTCCGCGGCGTCACCGACCACAGTCGAAGTGGCGTGCGCGTTGACGTAGTCGACCGCTGAGGGCAAAATCCCGGCGTTCTTCAGCGCCTTCTTCATGGACAGAAACGCGCCCTGGCCGTTCTCTTTGGGTGCCGTGATGTGGTGTGCATCGCCAGAACAGCCGTAGCCTCTCAGCTCGGCGTAGATGCGGGCTCCTCTTGCTTTCGCGTGTTCAAGATCCTGATCAAGTTAGAACACTGGGAAAAGTCATCACTCGACAAAGAATACCTCCAAAACCACCATGGCTGCGCCCTCGCCCATCACAAAACCTTCTCGATCCGCATCAAACGGCCTCGCTGCTTTTTCCGGCGCGTCGTTATAGCTTGTCGCCAAGCTGCGCGCCCGAGCGAATCCCCCGACAGCCAGCGGATGAATACAGGATTCTGCTCCACCAGCCAGCATCACGTCCGCATCTCCGCACGCGATGAAGCGGGCCGCATCACCGATGGAATGGGCGCCGGTCGTACAAGCGGTGGTAGCGGAATGATTGGGACCCTATCACGTTAGCAAGAGAAGCAATTGAAGGAGAATGCGCGTACCATGAACCCATATTTCATGGATATGTGTCCGGCGCCGAGGTTGATTAGAAGCTTCGGGACGAACAAGGGTGACACTTTCCGGTAGCCCTGTGAAATGTCAACGGCGACCAAGCCTATAGAACAGGGGGGTACTGACGCCTTTTTCGTATGCTACAACCGTATCGTAGACCTCGTCAAAGTTGCCGATCCCGGACCCAAGACAGATTCCCTGGACGGCATTAGGATAGTACGTTCATAAAGACCTGGCATGCTTACTGTAGCTTCTCGCTGTTCGAAATCGGTGGGCTTCCAGCCGGCATCTTCCAGCGCCTCCTCCGAAGCGGCCATGGCATACTGGGCGAACTTGGCCATCTTGCGCTCATCCTGGTACCATTAGCCATTGGCCAAGGCCATGACGAATAGGGCGAAACCTGCATCTTTACTCAACCACTCCGAGGCGGTCCAACAACCATCCTTGCGGGTGCCTTGCGGCACAACGGCAGCGATCTGGCATGGCAAGTCGGCGAACCTCGGGTCGCGGTGGGTGACGTTGACGATGCCGCAGTGGGCATCCAGCAGGCGGCTCCAGGTGCGACGGATCCCTACAGCAGACGAGGGGACTTAGTAAGGCGGATGGTGGGCGTCGTGTCCAGTTGCCTTCCCGGGCATGGATGAAGCTGGCCAGGACCTTCCCTTTCTGGAAGCACGGGGAGTGGAGACGCAAAACGGTCGATTCGACAGAACACCATGATGTTTGTTACTCACCTACCCCAAGAGGCGTCACAGCCCCGAGACCAGTTACGACGACCCGACGCATGGCATTCTGAGGGTACCCTGGATATTTAGGAAGTTCGAGGGTACTAAGTACTAGATACGCAGTACAAAGGATACCGCGAATGCTGGGCAATGCCGGGCAATGCAGGTGAACCCTGAGACAGATGGAAGAGGATGGAAGAGAGGCCAGGGAATTGATTGATTGGCGTGGAGGCACACGAAGCAGAAGATTCGACCAGAAGAGGAAGGTCCGCACGACGTCAGAGAAACCAGGCCACAAGGCCCCCAAACCTTCTCTTTTCGGCCCGCCCGCAGCCAATGGGGAGCCCCCCTGCTATCGATAAGCCGTACTTTTCCATGTCTTTTCATGGCTTTTTATGGCTTTTTATGGCTTTTTATGGCTTTTTATGGCCTTTAATGGCAGGGCCGATCGATCCCCCGATATTTAATCCTCATTGACTCCTCGGGACTTTGTCTCTCCTCTTGCTCGCTCTTCCTGTCGCCTTCTAAACCCCCCCCAAAATCACCCCGAGCGAGGCCCCAATCCCACCATGAAGTCCCTCACCTGGACGGTTTGCCTTGCGCTGGCCGGCACCGCTCTGTCCCACGCCCACCACGACCACGAGGAAGCCATTCCCGACCATGTGCGCGAGGAATTGCTGAAGAAATGGGACCAGGAGGTACACTCGCTGCTCTCCTCCTTCAGATGATCAACCAACTCTGACCAAAACCAGTACACTTTCACTGGCATCGCCAGCTTCGCCCACCTCAAGCCAGTCAAGTGTCTCGTCGAGCCCGATGAGCGATACGACATCGCCGTGATCGGAGCTCCCTTCGACACCGCCGTCAGCTACAGACCAGGTATCTACACCCCCTCTTCCCTCACAGTCACACACACTAACCCCCTCCTCTCCTTCCAGGAGCCCGATTCGGCCCCCGCTCCATCCGGGCGGCCAGCGCCCGCCAAATGGCCGGGACGAGCTACAACACGCGGGCGGGGATCAATCCCTACGCATCCTGGGCGACGGTCAAGGACTGCGGTGACATCCCGGTGACACCATTCGATAACGGCCTCGCGGAGCGACAGATGTACGAAGCGTTCCTGGAACTCGGATCCCGCCCGGCCCTCACCCCCGCGACCTCGTCCCACGGAACAAAGGGCATCTCCGCGGGGAAGTCCAAGCTTGTCACCCTCGGCGGCGACCACAGCGTAGCCCTGCCCGCTCTGCGCGCCCTGTACCAAATCTACCAGAAGCCCATCACGGTGCTGCACTTCGACGCGCACCTCGACACCTGGAACCCAGTGCGCTACTCGGCCTACTGGCTCTCGGAACAATCGCACTTCAACCACGGCAGTTTCTTCCACAAGGCCAGCCGCGAAGGCCTCATTTGCAACTCGACCTCCGCGCATGCGGGTCTCCGCACACGGTTGACCGGCGTCGACGACAGCGACTACACCAACCCCGGCCCGGAGCAGGGATTCATGCGGATCCACGCGGACGACATCGACGAGCTAGGTCCCATGGGCATCGTGAACCGCATCATTGAGCGCATCGGCCTCGACTCCAAGCAGCCCGTGTATCTGTCCGTGGACATCGATGTCCTGGACCCCGCCACCGCCCCGGGCACCGGCACCCCCGAGCCCGGCGGCTGGACGACCCGCGAGTTCATTCGCATTCTGCGCGGAATCGAGAAGCTGAACATTGTGGGCGCGGATATCGTCGAGGTGTCGCCGAGCTACGATAACAAGGGCGAGACGACGGCGTTGGCGGCGGCGCAGGTCGCGTTCGAGATTATCACCAGCATGGTCAAGGCCGGGGCTGGAGAGGAGCTCGGCGGATGGTACGGCCAGAAGGAGGCTGTCGAGACGGCCGAGAAGACCGAGGTTGAGGAGGAGGAGGTTGTTGTTGAGAAGGAGACCAAGGATGAATTGTAAATGAGATATGACGCTACGTGTATAATGAATTGAGCTGTTGATACAAAAACACCTTTTTTTTCCACCCATCATCCATCCTTCCATCCTTCCCCCACTATGGAGTAGATACAGCGTATTTGTCACTATAGTCAGACCGTTACTCCACCAAACCGCTATAAAACACTCACTAGCACCTAGTCCGCCATCCGCTATAACTATATGTATACTCTACTATTCTACTCTACTGCAAAACAGCGGCAACAGCACCAAGCATCGCCCAAACACAACCCAAGGTAACCACATCAGTACGTCGAGAAGCGAACATCATCCAGAACTCCTTGCTTCTGGAAGAACTCGAGTCCAGTAAGTAAATAAGCAAGTAAGTACTATAACATAGAGCGCTGGCAACACACGATAATAATACCTATCTATACTATACCAGGTATACTATATTAACTACCTATACCATAACAGATATCTAAGGATGTAAGAACATAGGTACGTAGGTATATACCGCATCACCAGTCACCAGTCACCAGTCAAATAGGTAGCAGATACCTAAGGTACGTAGGTACCTACCCAACCACCCATGTACCCCCCAGCCATCATCTCCTCTCCACCCCAAAAAAAAAGCCAAAAGAAGAGGAAATAAAGACAAAGTAACTTCATCATGACCATTGACTAAGTAATGACTAATGTATCTGCGATCTGTGAGTGTTATCTAATAGTAGAGACTAGAGACTAGAGACTAGAGACCAAGACCAACCAGTCGATGGAGTTGTCCAGGCCTCGACAAAAGGAGCTGCTCAGGCGCACAAAAACAACAAGGGCATGCGGGAAAGAAAAAAAAAGGAAAATGGACGGAGCAAATTTGTAAAAAGCGGCATGAGTAGAAACAGATCAGACCAGATCAGACCAGATCGGATCAGATCGATGAATCGATGGAAGAGGAGTATAAGAAACAGCGCATGGCAAGGAAAAAAAAGTAGAAAAACCGTCAGCCAGCCAAAACAAGACGCCTCGACTTCCAACGCCGATAAGGACGAGGGGAGTTAGAAAGGAGGTAAAGGGGGAGGGGGAGAATCGGAGTGGGAGAAAATGAAGAAGTGGATATGGGAGATGAGGTGTGGGAATGGGATGGGTGGGAAACATTGACAAGTCGAAGGAATGGCGGTGGAGGATCGGATCGTGGGAGATGGCAGGGTCAAGGAGCGCTGGCTAGTGGGATAAGACGGCGGCGGCGAGGTCGGATAGGCGATGATAGGAGGATAGAGAGGGTGGTGGTCGGGATCGGAATCGGGACTTGTGGCAGGGAAGATCGCACACGGGGGTGTTACGGGTGTAAGAGGTGCATTCACTCAAGGATCAGTGAGAAAACACAGGATCTCCAGTCCAACGTCGGTCGAGTAAGCCAGCCATCCACCTCCGTACAAAGAATCCCCCCCCAAACTCCATATTGCGTAGGTAAAAGCACATTCAATCTCCCAAAATCATACGACATGTCTGCAATGCATCGACGACAGGCCCTGAAACCCTCCGGAGCGTACGGACCTGCCCTGTAAGATACCGTGATCGATTACAGCAAGACGCACTTCTTCGACTTCTTGGGAGCCGGCTCGAGCGCGGCCACAATAGCCTAGACGGATCGATCAGTACATGTCACGGACGACCTCGCGCAGTCCACTCACCTCGTCGAACACATCCTTCAGCTTGTACTGTGTGAGGGCGGAGCACTCCACGTACTTCACAGCACCCAGCTCCTTGGCCATCCGGTCTCCGTCCTCCTTGCGAATCGGCTGCATCTTCTGGCGGGAGAGCTTCTCACGGACAGCGGGGTCGTCGCGAAGATCGGTTTGCGTACCCACAATCAGGCAGGGCACACCGGGGCAGTGGTGGTGCACCTCGGGGAACCACTTTTCGCGGACGTTCTCAAAGGAGGCAGGGGAGGTGACGGAAAAGCAAACAAGGAAGACATCGGTCTGGGGATAGGAAAGAGGACGCAGACGATCGTAATCCTCCTGACCAGCAGTATCGAACAATCCCAAAGTGTACGGCTCATCGCCAATCCTAGTCGCAGGGGAGTTCAGTCAGACCGAAGGCTCATATCAATTGCGGGCGGCATCGCGCTAACCGACCCAGCGACATGGGTGAGGTGACCGGCAGCGCTGTCGCTGGCGTGGGCGTGAGACCGCGCACTCCGGCGCAGGCCTCTGATCCCGGCCGAGGGGGAAAAGGAAACCAACTTACATGACCGTCACGGCATAGTTATCAAAAACGGTAGGCACATATTCCGACGGGAATTTGTTGGTCGTGTACGAGATCAAAAGACAGGTCTTGCCGACGGCACCGTCACCAACCACCACACACCTGCGATAAAGGAGAAGTTCGGATTAGCCACCAACGGCTTGATTGGACATTGCGGTGTTACGAAGCTCCAAGGAGTGCGGAGGAAATTGCGGAGGGGAAAGGGGGATGGAGGGGAGGGGGGAGGGAGGAGGGGGATAGGGATGGAGGAGGGGAAGGGGGCGTAATTGCAGTTGAGAGGGATAAAGGGCAAGAACTCACTTAATTGTCGCTACAACCATGATGGTAAACCTTAACGAACCGCGGGTTCGCGAGAAAACCGGTGCAGAAGATCACTGGAGGCTGGCGGTCGGAGGCCGAAAGGAGCAGAGCAGGACAGGAGATGCGGTGAACAGGGGGGGAGGGGGCGGCGGAGACAGGACGGTGAGGGGAAGGAGAGAGAGTGGAAGAGGGAGAGGATGAGGATGAGAAAGAGAGCGCGAGGAAGGAGGAAGGAGAAGGGGAGAGAATAACAGGTCGAGAAAGTAGAAAGTAGAAAGTGAAGGCGGGTAGGATGGGAGGACAGACGCGCTGGAGGGCGAGGTCCGTTCAGGAATCACGGATGGGTTGGTGTGCGGTGAATGTTCGACGGGGAGAAGACGATGTGGTTGGACTGCGAGAAGGACCAGCCAATGTGGGAGGGAGGAGACACAGGCGGAGGAAAAGAAGCTGCTGCACTGCTGCTGCTGCTGCGGCGGCGGCGGCGCTGCTGCTACTGCAATGGGGCAACCCGCACCGTTAGTGAGCTCCTGGTTTATCGCCCTCGCTCCAGACCCGTCTTTTCTCTCTTTCTTTCCTTTTCCTGATTCCCCGACCGGGGAGATGACAACAACAGGCCCTCCAGGATGATTCCATCCCCGAGTCCAATTATCCTTGCCTTCTCCACCATCCCCATCCCCATCCCCTTCCCCTTCCCCATTATCACCAGGTAAAAAGGAAATCACCATCCACCGCCTTAGATAAGGATCAACTTACAGAGATCGGGACCAGGATCGGGATGGATCCCTCCTGCACAGCTCGTCCACTAGACAATCCTTCTAATTCTATTTTCTCCGATGAAGCGCTAACCTGCCACTGGAAGCCCGTTTGCAAGAGGCGCAGAGACGCAGAGGCGATACGCGAGAGGCGAGAGGCGAGAGAGGCAACGGAGGGGAGCGCGGCAAACGGAGGATGGTACACAGTACTTACAGTAGTAGTAGACCGTACGGAGTGGATGCGATGGAAAGGATGAACAAGGCGTCAGCCCCGAAGCAAGAGCCAGCAACGGGGAAACGGGTCAGATCGATCAGAGGACGGACAAGATTCAGATAATGGGGCAAATGTAAAGTGGCATGAAGGGATGTGAAGAAGCGAACAAAGCCTCTGGGGGGACCCCAGAGCCTTGACCTGCGACTACTCCAGCTCTAAAGCCTCCAATAATACCCTGCCTTACGGAGTACTTCCAGGGCTACGGCGACTGGGTTCTCTTCGAGGTACCTTCCTAGATAGGTAGATACTGCCTGACGGTCCTCGGGGTAAGGCAGGAAAGTAAAGCAAGGCAAGGCAGTCAGGCAAGCAAGCAACAGCAGAGCTGGCGATTCAGGAAACCATCCGTGACACTGTCATTCAATGCTGGGCCAATCAGTCTCGCCCGCCCAGGCGGTCACCCTGCCTGCCCAGCCTTGGCTTGATTCGCTACGCGCCCAAGAGACAGAATATGATTCTTCTTTAGCAAAACAACAGACCAGGGATGGAAGCAAGACCAAACAGCAAACGATCTATTCTGGCAGGGCTGGTTGGACAGCCTCCCGATGATAATGGCTCCAACCCCAATAAACCGCCCCGCGCTAAGTTTCATGACGGGCCCCGAACCCACCCCGGCATATCAATCACCGTCGGATTTAACAACCTTACACAGTAACAGGGCAGATCACCACTGTCACAGATCCGAGCCACTCATCCCCAGCCCATACACTAGTATCCAGGGCGACAAACAGCCCAAAAAGATATCCCCCCCCCCCCCAAAAAAAACAGTGTTCAATGCTGGCTATATAAAGTATCAAGTATAAACACATAACACATGATCATATCTAGTCTAGTCGTAACATCTATCAAATCCCGCGGGATCGTCGGCTGCCGGGCCTTCTCGCCGCGGCAGCCCGACTCATATCGTAACTGTAAATCCGAATCCAACAATACACCAAATGGATGCCAGTCGCTTTCTGACTGGATGCGCCCCAGGAACTCATCATCCGGAGGGTATGGGGCGGGGTTGTACACCCTCCCCATCACTTTTGGCATCCCAGACAAGGGACGCGGCTCATCACGTCTGCTATGCAGAAAACGACGGGACATTGACGCGCCCACGCATATCCCCTGGGATGCAGTCTCGTATATATAAGTGTCCGTATGTGCATAGTGGTGGCTCCAGACCAGCCGTCCGCCGATCAGGTCCGTTTCGAGTGGCCCTCGGCTTCGGCTTCCTCCTCAACGGGGATCGGCTCGTGATGCGGCGTTTCGCTCATCTGCGCGCGAAGGTTAGCCGATCGACCCACCTGGCCATGGATCTGAGGATCGCTTACCTTATCGAGCTGGTAGTTCGTCATCAGCAGGCTCAACGGGATCAACGGAATTGTGACGATGAACGCCAGAACCAACAGCTTGTTCATGGTCTCCTGGTACGCGCGATTGATCGCAACGCGGGCGGGCGACCCCATCGGGTACGACAGCGCCTTGGTCAACTTCCCGAAAATTTGGCCCGCGTCAGCCTTGAACTCCTCCGGCAGGTAAAGCTGGAGTTTCCGAGGGATGTGATGGGTCCAGACGGCCCCGGAGATCGCCGCTCCGACAGCTCCTCCCATCTCCATCGAAGTTAGAAACATGGCTGTCGCAGCGGCAACTTCTTGGTGGCTAGCGGAGGCTTGGACGCCCAGTTGCACGGGGACATTGAGGAGCCCACCGCCAATGCCGACGATGATTTGCGTTCCCAATATCTGCGCCGGTGAGCTTCCTTCTCTGCGGTAAAGCAACATCATCAAGATCCCGCAGATGTAGATCACGCAGCCGATTGTCACGTAGATGCGGTACCGGCGCGTGTACTTGATCAGTAACGATACACTGAATGCAGCGATCGTTGACGTGAAGGCGAAGGTCTGCGTCACGCGGCCAGCCGTGGCGACATCGTAGTCTTGAACGACCTGCAAGTAGGAGTACAGATACGGTTGGACCGAGAAATAAAACGCCACTAGCATTGTTAGCAATGAACCTGCTCTGGATGGAAGGAGGGAAAACACACTGAAGTAGAAGAATGCCAGTGTACACCCAGCGAGCGCTGTGCGCTGTTTGAGAAGATGCAGAGACAACAAAGGCTTGGGGGCGAGTTTCTTCGACGACTCCCAAGCGGGCAGCGCAAACAAACACAGTATGCCAACCACAATCATCGCGACGATGCTGCCGTTCTTCCACCCATTCTTGGCGCTGGACGCAAGTGTGAGAGGAACCAATATCAAGGTCACCGCAGTCGAGAGTAAGATTAGCCCGAACATGTCAAGGTCGTACCAAGTGTGTCGGATGATGGAGAGCAGACCACGTCGCTTTGGGTGTCTGGGCTTGATCAGGTTCAGCCTCTTCGCCTTGCGTTGGTTCAGCAACAGCGACATTGCCAGGGGAAGAAACGAGGCCGGTAGGAGGATTGTCCACATTCCATACCCCCAGCGCCATGATGCATGCTCAAGCACTGAGTTCGCAATGGTCGGTCCGATCCAGACCGTAACCAGAAAGGGGAGCTCTGGCAAGAGAGCCAGCAACGCGCGGTTGAGTAGACTGCTGCTGTCGGCAATGAACACCTGTTGGAGGATCTGCAGACCCGTAGAACCGGCGGAGTAGAAGATCTGCGCAGATGCGTAGGTCTGAACGTTGGTCGACGCAGCCATCTGAATGTATCCAAGGACATAGATCAGGATGCTGACACAGAACGCTTCGAACCGTCCAAACACGTCGGCGACTTTGGCCATCGGAGGCTTGATGACAGCTGCGATTATCAGCTAATGAACTGACCGGCAGAATAGAGCATCTTACCGTTGACCACATTCTGAACAACGAGAACTGTGGAGATGAGGGAGTGCTTGCTGAACGCACTGGTCGCGTATGCAGAGAGTGACATAACGGTCTGACCCTCGAGAGATGTACAAAACGCCATGAGGAAAATGCTGGACTGGTGTTAGCAAGGATCGCAGAGCTGTATGCCTGTCGAACGTACCTGATATATGCTATAACCAAAGACCGTGTGGTCCATGTCATATTGATCGCTTCAATCGTCCGAACCCCATCCTGTATCGAACCCCCTGAGGATTCTACTTCACTATCATGTCCTTCATTTTCATATCCCGCCTGAAGGAGGCGTTCCTCTGCCTCTTCGTTGTATTGCTCCATTTGATCGAGAGTGCCATATGAGAGTGTTGAGCGGTGATCAAGAAGGGGCATTGCGGCTGAGCCGGAATCGTCGCTGGGGTATGTCGCTGGATAGCTATGCTATGACCAAAGTCCATTTATCGCGATCGGTCGTGGGACACTTCGTTGGCTCGGAGGGAGTAGAGGGAGGTAACCGTGAGTCCGATGGTATAGAGTAGAAGCACTGAGTATCGAAAGAGAAGCAGGTTGGCGATTGCAAGGCTGAGTGGATGTGGAAGGGTATCTGCGACCTGAACCAGCCAGATCCACCGCGAGGAAAAGCAAAGCACTAGCCAACGAAGAGGGGGTATCTGACTGGAAGGGGGACGCAGGGAAAAGCAATGACGAATGAGTAGTCGGTCCACCGTAGCAGGTCAGGAGGAACTAGCAAGATGGAGAACCCGAGGCCAGGTTTGGGTACCGCATGCATCAGTTAGGTAACCAAATCAAGACGCAGATGCGCAGCGACGCGTGGATCGCCAGATCTGTCGTACAGTACGGAGGACAAGGGGCTGAGCTTCAAGTCTGCAAGCCCGAATCAGGCCCCCGATATGATTCAGACCACTGCTGGGCACGATCGACAGGCCGCACTTATGCACGCCGGCGTGGATGGTGGCCAGGACCTAGCCTATGGGCTGAACGCCCGTGGCCCAGAATGGCAGTGTGGCACCCGCCGAGTAGCTGCGCCAGACAGGGCGATGGATCGATGGAGCGATATGGGGATTAAAATGTTGTGTTCTGTCCCACACCGGTCGTTGATTGAACAGAAGAAAGTCGGGAGGGGCTGTTGGGCAGACCGGGTCGTCGCAAAGCTTGTGCCGCGGCCACGGGCCTTCATTGACGGGGATCTCGTGCACGGAGGAACGGAGGGGCGGGCGACGGAAGGGTCGAACGAGCAGATACCCCTGGCCTTACTGCAAAGAAGGCTTCGACTGCAGGAGTTCACCAGGAAAAGCGTGGTGTTGGGGGTGGGGGGAGGAGGGGGGGGAGCGGCGAGGAAGATAGTGTGGCAAGGCGACCGGGATGCTGAATCCTACGCAAGCGGGTGAGAAAGCATCAGATATGATAAGATCACCTGGTCCGGCGGTCGGACCGGTATTATTATTGCTCAATAATACGATTGTGCCATGCAACCTTGAATGCAGCAGGATCAAGATGCTGAGTTACAGGGGCCTGTCAAGTAGTTGAGTTGAAGCTATCGCACGACATGGTAGGACATTTTGTCGGTTATAAACAGGGTCCTCTCCTATCTCTCAGACCGCCTGACATTCTGCTCGTCGCAAGAATGAAGGCGCATCATCGGCCCCTTCCCCCCTACCCCCTTGCATACGGAACGTGACCAGAACACCCCCGTAACAGGCTTGCTGACTGGATTCGTCAGCATTCAACCGGCATACAATATTGTTTCCAGTTCGTATGCCAGTGACTCACGATGCGCTGACAGCCGCAAAATCACTCGCTGTTTTTTTGGGCATATCTAACCAATTCTCGACAGGGTAATTGTAATCACGCCAAAGGAATCAGGATCAAGGAATACCCATGATTCTTGCCTGTCGGCCACACCCCTCCGTAAAATAAAATAAAAAAAAAATTATGATCCAGTCGCATGATTGGGGGAATGACACAGGCGCCGGGGAATGGATTACTATGAGTGGGCAGCTGGATGGATGACTCGGGAACAACCGCTTCTTGGCCATCCCTCCCACCACCCATTGTTCCATCCCATCCCCATCCCCATCCCAATCCCAATCCCAATCCCAATCCCGTCCCATCATCCACCCACCACCCCTCCAGGCTCCAGGTCACGGGTTGCAGATTACCCCTCCACATCCAGCCCGATCATCACCATGGTACATGGAGAGATTTCGGTCAGAATCCGCGAAAGCCGCCGGGCGATGCGCGAGATTTTCCTTCAACCCGTCTGGTTTGCCCTGCGAGCGGGTTCGCTGTGCCGAATTTGATTGCTCCACTTACTTGAACGGGTATAGATATAGGATTGGGCCTCAACTCTCAACTCTGGTTTCGCAAGGCTATCTAGATTCTACTATACATGATGGATGGGTGCGCCTCATTGTATGACGGACGGTGTACAAAGTAGAGCTTAGAGTGGTTGTCCCGTGTAGTGGCCCTGTGGGTGAGACACGGAGATTTTCAGTCGTTGCGCAAGATCCATGAGGGACCCTCTCTCTGGTGATGCGGTGGTCCTTGCATTTGCCCCGAATGCCACAGCGTTCATCGGCCGTGCCCTTCTATGATGTCAACTGGGCTGGGCTGATATCTTGCCCCTCATTAACCCCTCCTCTGAGTTCTATCGTTCTCCATGTGATCGGTTTGTGCTTTACCAGCAATCTGCCAGTTCATACTAATGCACTCGGACGGTGTGGCCGGGGCTTTTCTTCGAATCACAGCCCTGATATTAGCAAGCGAAGGCAGGCAGCAGGACCTTGGCCATCATTGACAACTGTCCAGTGGTTTAAACATCCACGGGTCAGACCTATAAGGATATGATGCCCGGGTGGACCAGTGGGAGATGAGCCGTGTCAGTTACCTGCCTAATCACACTCAGCATTGACACCTCGAGATCCGATTCGGCTGAGCCACTGGACATGTTGAGCTGGCATTATTGTATGTCGCCGGATACTATATTTACCTTGGACTGGTAGTGCGCACACAGCGCATCGAATCAGACGAACACTGCTAGAACTAGTAGTTTGGTTACGGGCTTGTATGAAACCGGAAGGTATGCCTCTTGATAACCGTTGCTGCACATTCTCTGAACTTATGAACACACCAAACCAAGTTTCCGACTGCAGTTTGCCTTCATACAGGAAAGCCATGGTATGTATGGTACTCATTTTCAAAGCGTAGTATTGGTCCCTTGGCTGCCGTCACTCGTCACTCCGTCAAGTCGACCACCACATGGCCGAAATTTACCTCTAAATCCCCGCCTTCTGTCGAAGGACGCGCCGCATATAATCCAACCCAGAATTCTTGGACGTCCGGCTCCTCAAAGATCCAGGTGACCTCGCGGAGAGGCGACTTCTGGATGCCCTCCACCAGGTATATCCACAGACTGTTGTCTGACTCTCGAACAAGCTCCAGCGTCGCCGCACCCCCTCCGGACGGCACCGGCTGTAGACTCCAGTCCGCCCATCGGTCCTTGGTGACAGTGCTCAGGTGAGGTCTACCGTTGGTGAGTTCGATGCCGGTCTTGACCCATTTCCTGGTCCCTCCGGTGCCGTTCAGGACAAAGATCACTCCGCCCTGGTCATACTTCTGCTGCCAGAGGGCATTGAAAGCCACTCTGATCCGCTTGAACGATTTCAATGGCACAGTTTGGTAGAGAATGGGCGCGTTGAAGGTCTCTGTCGAGGGGGGCTTCGACCATACATCTGTGGAAGGGCCTGCCGTGATGGTGAACTCGGCGGGAAGGATCCCCTCGCCGGGAACCTTGTCGGATGAGTTGGCAAAGACGAATTTCGTCATGGCTACCGTATGATTCGAAGGGATGGCTTCAATGTAATATCTCAAGATCTCTGCTACGGTCGATATGGGTTCGACGAAGAGATAGGAGATGCGTCTCGGGTTGATGGGAAACACCGTTTCCCGACTAGTATGAAAGTCGTAAGATGGGAGCGAGGGAGAGCAGAGTATATTCTGTGTAGGAACTGAACGGGCTACGTCATTTTTGGGGGGGGGAAGGAACTAGGCACTGCCCGTGACTGATACTAGGGACCATCTATACCCTGCTTACTATGGCCGGGGTCTGCAATATCTAGTACTAGGTAAGTACTGTGTAGTCTACTCCGTACCAAGCACCCCGAAGCCATCCCTGTGGTCTCCAGGCCTATGACAGCTATGGCCCCATTAGTCTATTAGGGTGGGGTTGGGGTTGTTTCCGGGCGATAAGGATGTTCTGGGTGTCTGGTATGTCGGGTTACATCCTGCAACGTGGTCCTGGCTCTTATATCGTAGCTGGTCCGTCCGTCTCCCCCTTTCTCCCGTGCGGAGTACACCGTGTCTCTATCCATCTACCCCATGGATTATTGCATTGCCTTGACATTTGCCAAGCCCGACACCTGACGCGGGGAGTTCGAACCCCCTTAGTTAGTCGCGATGACATAAGCAACGGCTTTCGGGGGCAACACTCGAGCCTGAGACTCGCCGAAAGTTTGGAAAAAAGGATGGCCTCGTCTCGCCCAGCTTTGTTTGGCCTGATCGATCTCAGGCATGGACTGACAGAGTGCTTCGAGTGCCTGTGACGATCCGTTCGTCATGCCTACTGACTTCTACTACCCTGACGAGCCTAGGAGACAGTCCCTGTGGTCGCGACTCTTCTCGTCCACCTATGCCGGCTATCGCCACCTCCAGCCCTCCGGCCCATTGCTGTCGGCCCCTAGACGCCCCGGTCGTTTTCGTCGCCTGTCCCTCCTCCGGCTGTGTTATCACCTCCAAGTGGTGGTCGGGATCATCCTCTCGCTGCTCTTTCTGACGTCCGTCTTTCGGCCCTCCTATACCCGCTTGCCGCCCCATTACTCGTCCCTCCGGGATGCCGTCTCGCAGTCCTCCGAACCAGGCCGCGGCAACGTCCGCAACGAGAAAGTGTTCATCGCAGCGAGCCTATATGATCGCAGCGGAGACCTGGCACGGGGCTATTGGGGGGAGAGCGTACTCCAGTTGATCCACCTGCTCGGGGAGGACAATGTTTATTTGAGCATCTATGAGAACGACAGCGGACCCGAGGGCGAGAGTGCCCTGCGAGAACTAGCGGACCGGGTTACGTGTCAGAAATCCATTGTCTTCGAGGAGCATCTGGACCTGGCCAGCTTGCGAAAAATCGCCGTTCCTGGTGGTGCGCAGCGGATCAAACGCATCGAATACCTGGCTGAGGTGCGGAACCGTGCCTTGCGACCGCTGGACGATCAACCGGAGGTGCGCTACGACCGGCTCCTCTATCTGAACGATGTGGCATTCGACCCAGTGGATGCTCTCCATCTGCTGTTCTCCACCAATGCCGCGGAGGACGGCGTTGCGCAATATCGGGCGGCATGTGCCGTGGATTTCATCAATCCGTATAAGTTCTATGACACCTATGCGACGCGCGACCTGCAGGGCTACAGCATGGGCCTTCCCTTCTATCCGTGGTTTTCGAGCGCTGGAAAGGGGCAGAGCCGGTCGGATGTCCTAGCTGGGAAAGATGCAGTGCGGGTGCGCAGTTGCTGGGGTGGAATGGTGGCATTCGATGCCCGTTTCTTCCAGCGGGGCACGACCCAGCCGACAGCGGGCGTGGCCGATGGGGGCAGCACGCCTGTTCGATTCCGCGCCTCACACGACATGTTCTGGGAAGCGTCCGAATGCTGTCTGATCCATGCGGATATCCAAGAACCCCAGACGAACGTGGAGGAGATCACTGACACAGGGGTATATCTCAATCCATATGTCCGGGTTGCGTACGACCCTACCACTCTCTCTTGGCTAGGGACGACCCGGCGCTTTGAGAAGTTGTATTCGCTCCCCCATACCCTCATCAACCATCTTGTCGGTCTGCCCTGGTTTAACTCTCGTCGTACTGAGGTTCCCGGCCAGGCGGCCGAGGAGACGGTCTGGGTACCCGACGAGAAAGGGGATGGGAGTGGATCGTTCCAACACATCGATCGGATGGCGGGAAACGATGGGTTCTGCGGCCGTCCCGGGCTGCAAGTGATTGTCGAGCATCGCGAGAAGGGACAGAAGGGATGGGAAACGATCCCAATACCTGGCTGAGGGCATTGCGGTAACTGTCCATATTTTGTCCGTGTATAACTACTGTCCTCTTTCCCCCACTGTGTCATAGATTACTACTAGCCATAGGTATATAGAACGGGCCTGGGGTTTCCCCACCTGGGTCTGTTATGCTGCATTTAAAGCACCTTCCTAAATCGCACTTACACTCCCACCCACAACAAACAACAAACGCTTCTTCGTGGACTGCGTTCCTCGTGTCTTTGCCTCATGCCTGATCAACTGAAGATAGTAGTTAACTCTAGAACAGTTTGCCTGAGGTTCGAGCTTCCAGTGTGGTAACCACTTCTGCCACCCTGTTTACCGGCGCTCTCTGTTCGACACACCACGGCAGCCCATTGCGGTCCATCATCCCATGGGGGCATTCACTCGCACTATGTCACTATGTCACCATGTCATGGCCCTCCCCAACGTTACTGCTGAAGTTGTGGGAGAGGACTTTCCATTCACTGGCACTGTTCCCCCAGCTACCAGCCAGGCGCCAGACAGATCTTTCTTCTTCTGTTGTATCCCCCCCTCTTCCTCCTCTTCGTCCTCTTCTTCCTCTTCTTCCTCTTCTTCCCTTCCTCCACCAACCTCCTTTCCAACCACTTCTCTCCGCCTCGCACCCTTCTTACATACTTTCTTCTCTTCTACATACTCTCTGCTTTTCTCAAAGCTTCACGCGAATCTTCAGCAATGGAGAACGATTCATCTAATAAGATGGATTTTACGAACTCAATCACAAGCCTCATCTTTGGGGTTTTTGGCTCCTTCATGGAGCGCTCTCCTCACGGTTTAGAGGACAGCCGGCACGCGCCAAAGGCGGTGCGCCAGGCTGCCCAAATCGCTGTGGTTAGTGCATACTTTTTTTGTGTCCTCGTTGAAGCGGTCGTTGTCGGCCTGATCGAGTCCCTCGTCGATGTCTACAATGTACGTTCCGACGCGACTTTGCTGGTGGGTTGTCTTGTGGGCTGACAGAAGGATCGTAACACTCAGGCAAAGCCGGTCGACAAGCCGGTGTCGGGAACTCGCTCTGGGCTCTCTCCTGAGGCACCAGCTTTTGGGCTTCCTGGCACATTCACTACTACTGTTGGCTGTAACACGCTGGCGAACGCGGTCAAGCGGCCTTACGCGTGCCCCTCTCCCCCCTCGTCTCGCCCTCCCACCTTCACTCCTCGCCCACTTGATCCCCGCTCCCCTGTTTTCACCCCTCCTTTCTCCCGCACTCCTTCTCCTCCCCGTTCTCTTTCCCCGTCTGGTATCTCCATCAAGGACAAACAGACCTTTAAAGAAACCTTCAGGCGTTCTCAGTCTCCCACTCAGGCTCTCAAGGCTGTCAGAGAGGCTGCCAAAGAGGCTGCCAAAGAGGCTGCCGCCAGAGAGGCTGCCATTAAGGCTCCTGAGCAGGTTGTCACTCAGACCCCCAAGCAGGTTGCCATCAAGACTCCTCAGCAAACCTCCATCAAGACTCCTCAGCAGGTTGCCATCGAAGCTCCTCAGCAGGTTGTGAGCAAGACTCCTCAGCAGGTTGCCAAAGAGGCTCCTAACCAGGTTGCCATCAAGGCTCCTCAGCAGGTTCCCATCGATACTCCTAAGCAGGTTGCCACTCAGGCTTCCAAGCAGATTGTTCCTCAGCAAACCTCCATCAAGACTCCTCAGCAGGTTGCCATTAAGGCTCCTCAGCAGATTGTGAGCAAGGCTTCCAAGCACATTGTTCCTCAGCAGGCTGCCACTCAGGCTCCCAAAAAGATTGCTCCCAAAATGTACGTCGCCGATGTGGATGACACTGCCGGCTTCATGGCTGCTGCCCGCGCCTTGAAGCTGGAGAAATCTTATGGCACTCCCCCCTCCGCTCCCGCTGTCGATGCGTTCAGCGACAAGAGCAGTGACAAGGGCAGCGCCTTCAAGGCTCGTGTTGAGTCCCCTGTTAATACTGCAGGCGATGACTGGGCCGTCTCTAATGACACTCACAATGATTTTGGTAAGTGAAGTCTCCCACTCGACGCGTCCTGGCTAATATGTCTCTCCATAGTTTCCTCGGGCAAGACCGTGTCCAAGTCCACCACTGCTGACAATGACTGGACCGCGTCTAAGACCACCGTTGATGATATTACCGTCTCTCATGACGCTCACAATTACCTTGGTAAGTGAAATGTCCGGCTGAGAGGCGTCCTAGCTAATGTGTTCCTCGATAGCTTCCTCTGGCAAGACCGTGTCCAAGTCCACTACCACTGCAGGCAATGACTGGACCGCGTCTAAGACCACTGTTGACACTACTGGCGATGATTGGAACGTGGCCAAATACACTGATGATACCGCTAGCGATGAATGGACCATGGCCAAGTCCACTGTTGATACTGCTGGCGATGAATGGACCGTCTCTGGGGACATTAAAAATGACTTCGGTAAGTAAAGCATCCAAGTCGAGACGCGTCCTGGCTAATGTTTTATCTCCCTATAGCTACTTCCGGCAAGGCCGGGATCAAGTCCACTGTCGATACTGCTGCCGATGACTGGATCGTCTCTAAGGACGTTAAACATGACTTCAGTAAGCGAAGGGTCCTGCTCGAGACACGTCCTGGCTAATGTCTATCCCTCGATAGTTTCCGCCTCTAAGTCTCCTATTGACACTGCTGGCGATGATCGCACCGTCTCTAAAGACGTTAAATATGACTTCGGTAAGTGACTTAGTGTTCCACTTGAAACGCGTCCTAGCTAATGTTTGTCTTTCGATAGCTCCTTCCGGCAAGACCGCGTTTGGAGGTTCTGGAAACAACACTGATGCCAAAGGACTTGGAGTGAAGGTTGACGCTCCCAAGACCGAAAAGGTGTCTGGCGTGACCAGCGGCTTGGTGTCCCGCAATGTCACCGTTGATACTACTTCTACTCATCATGCGAACTCGGGTGTCATGACTCCTAGCCATTCCACGGAGGAGGACCGCGAGCATCTCACTACCTTTAAGTCTTGGGGCACCCCGGCTGCTCGTGACAAGCCAGGTATGTTCCTCTTTATCCTTGCTGACGATTATACTGACCTCCCTGCAGCTTCTCGTGTGCGTCGTATCATCATTAAGGGCTTGCCTGCTGCTTGGTGCAACCCTGCCAAGATCCTGTCGTTGGTTCATGGCGGTACTGTCGAGAGCATCCATGTTACTCCTACTGGCACTGCTCATATTCTCTTCTGCGAACACGAGGCATGCAAGGCCTTTTACGATAAGTACCCCAATGGCATTGACCTCGACAAACAGCGTAAGATCACCGTCTTCGTCGACATGGGACAGGACGTCGACGTGATCAGCTCTCAGCTTTCTTTCAACCTGTCTGTGGGTGCGACTCGTGCTGTCCGGGCCGTCGGCGTTGGCTTGGACGTTCCTATGGGACAGCTTTACAGCATTGCAGGTGGAAACGGTCGCAAGGTTGAAAAGATCGTGGAGTCGTATGTTCCCGGCGAGGCAAGTGCCCTTTCTTTCCCCTCCGTGTCTCATATACTAACTTGCTTAGGCTCGCAACGTGGTCTTCCGCTTCTGTAGCATCGAGGATGCGGTGCGTTTCCGTGCTGCTCTTGTCCGCAATGCCGACTATGAGCACTGCAACATCCAGTATGCGGCTGATCCGTAAGTGACACACGCGCCCATCTACGATGACCCCTACTGACCCCAGTCTAGCTGTGAGATCGCTAGCGGTTACCACGCCGACTAAATGTCGAGCAGAGCAGTGTTTCCGGACCACGCTCACCAGATTGTGGCGTTAGATCGATGGAAGTGTTTACGAACGATGTTCAAGGGGACGTCTTTTCTTTTTTTTTTTCTTTGGTGTTCTCTATTTTTTAAATTGGGGATGGTCTACGGATGTATCTGAGCGGTGTTCAAGGGGACGCCTTTTTTCTTTTCTCTATTTTTTAAATTGGGGATGGTCTACAGGATGTATCTGAGCGGTGTTCGAGGGGTAAAAATTGTTTTCAGGATGGAGAAAAAGGCGGCGTATCTGTGATGACTGGCTGACTGGATGGATGGGTTTAAACTGTATGTACCTGGTATAGATTGAGCGGAACATAGTTCCTACCGGTACATAATGAAAAGCCTCAGTGCAACAACAGCTTCCCCGTAATTGCAGTCGATAGTTCCCCCCTTGGCACGCCTTATATCGAGCCTGTCACAACCCAAGCCGAGCATGAAGCCCGTCCCCTCGTATCCTCGGCGCCGAACAAACCCGCGCCCATGAGTGTGATATCAGACCGGAGAATATATAAAGTGTATGCGGGTTTGCGGAGTAGTTCGCATAGATATCAACGCCACCGTCAGTTCTAGTGTTCTACAATGCCGACCGTGACGAAGCATGCGGAGATCAGGTACTCGTCCAATATCGCCTTGCAACATTTACTCCGGCACATTCCATCTCCATGCAACATCGATTGATTGATTGATTGATTGATTGAATGATTGATTGCTTGCTTGCTTGACTGATTGATTGATAGATTGTAGGCCGGGTATCTCCATAACATACACATACGCATACGCGTACCGATACCGTATACATACCCACACCAGAAACACCCATGCAGACGGTCGCCGTTACACCGACATCACGGAATACAGTACGACACTTACAGCATCCGCGGAAATACCCGGACTTAGGTACTTACCCTTCTTCCTCCATCCTCACACGGGGGATGGTGACCTTTTTTTTTTTTTTTTATCCCAATCTTTACCTTCTAGACCAAACCGGATAGAAACATGACTGAGTACATGCATGCATGGCATGGCGTGGCATTGCATTCATCTCATCTCATTTTCATTTCACATTCCAAGCCAAGCCAAGACCGAGCCGATTCGCTTCACTTCGATTTGATTTCTGGAGAGGGAAAGAAAGGAAGGGAGAGTAGAGAGAAAGTGACGGGTGGGGAAGGGAATGCGGATCCGGAAATGCGATTCCATGGCTTCAAGCATGCCCATGGCCTGGCCATGGCGTTTTTTGCGTTTTCTACATGGGGATAGAGGAGGAGCGAACAGACAATGAATAGGGTTACTACCTACTTATGTACATGTGGGTGTACATTTCCGCCGAGGACGTCCGTACTCACCAGGTATACCTTCCTTCTACTCCGAGTTGGATATGCTCGGTCGAGATGGAAGAGGAAGAGAAAGAGAAGGAGAAAGAAAGAGGCGGTATTAGAGTTTCCACCCATCGTAGTCGTACTCTGTACCGTAGATGAGATGAGATGAGAACAGATGGGATGAGTGATCACCTTTCGCGACCTGACAAAGCAAAGCGACTTACTAAGTTACCTGACTCAAGCACCCGCGACATTCTCACTGGGTGGGTGAATTCCCCGACTCTTCAAAGTTCCAACCACAGTTACACCCTTACCTCTTACCTGTCTGGGTATCTATGGGACGGACGGTTCCCTTCGGAACCGGGGAGTGGGAAAGGCTATCTAATACATATAACTACAGACAGATAGATATACGGAATGCATAGGTGCTTAGATAGGTATGTACGGAGTACTTAGGCAAGTAAGCGCTGGTAACCAACCAGAGAAGATGGACAAGATAAAGAGAAAGAGACAAAGACAAAGAAACAACAACAACACAGGGCATTGGATGGGCCATTGGGGGAAGGCGAAAAAGACGACGTCACAGCCTTGGATCTTTCTTGGTTTTCCATACGTACAGGTAGGTACTTACTCTACCTACTCTGTCTTTTTCATGTCGCCCTTGTCCTTCTTGTCGGGTCGGGTTTGGGCCGTCCGATGCGGAAGTTAGTCCGCACGGCAAATGGGGGCTTGTTTGACCATCCAGTAGCTAAGGTAGATCCTTCGTATTGTGTCTGATAGGATGCTTACTTCTACAGAGAATTTAGAGAAAGGGTGGGTGCGGTGCGCTACGCTGCAGATACTCCGTGCCAGAATGCCGAAATAAGAAGATCATCATAATTAATACGACGGATATTGTTATTACCAGCAAGGATGAAGGATGGGAGGGGCTGTTCGTATGTACAATGTATATCCCCATCATCCTCATATTTAGGAGGACGGACTGGGGCTGAGCTGCCGAAGTGTATATTTACTATTTGCCGGATGTTACTTGGAAGTGATGTGGATGAGGTATGTACCTAGGGTGAAACGAGACCCAGATCCACATGTTACAATTGTTGCTTTTTCTTCTTCTTCTTCTTCTTCTTCTTCTTCTTCTTCTTCGTCATCAGGATTATCATTATCATCATGGTGAAGTCACGGCGAAGGATGAAATCTGGTCTGATCCGACAGGAAGGAAGAAGGAAGGAAGGAAGGAATGAAGGAAGAGGAGAACATGCTACGTTGCAAGTTGGACCCAAGTTGCAACAAAGAATGTAGGAGGCCAAAACAAGGTCGAGAATCAACCCGCCGATTGAACTTGTTGGGTGGATACAGCAGCACGGAGATCGCCGATGCAGAAACAAAGCGTAAGTATACTACTAGATACTACTACTACTACTACTACTTACTCTGTAGGACTAGTAAATAGGAAAGTATCCAGTAGGAGCAGGAGCAGTATACCCAAGTCTTACCGTCTACGGAGGGAGCACTCTGTATAGCAAGTGGTTTTATGATGGGATGAATATTGTTCGGTCGGCCCCCCTCCACAGTGGGGAATGTTTCTGAAGTCTGAAGGTCGTGAAGATAACTAACTAGTCGCCTGACTAAGACCTGACTGATGAAGATGATTTGACTTCTGGACTTCTGGCACCGGAGGGATTCCACCCAAGGATGAAGGGCTGGCTTAGCGGTGGCTGCGGCCCATGGTTGACATTTGCTGAGTGGTGTTGGTTTGTCGAAGGAAAGATGGGTGCGAGGGTCTCCGAACCCGAGGACTCCATCGTCCCATCCGTGTTCCGACGGACGGGGGAAGTGGATTAGCGGACAACAACGGAAGAGTCAAGATGTCTCAGAGAGACTGGCATCTGCACCGACCGGGTCCACTAACCCTCAACAGGCAATCAATCGATGAACCCACAACCCAACTGGCACGACCAATCCCCGACGCCGCAGTACGGAGCAAAACCGTCTTTCCCGTGACTACGGAGTTACAACTGACTCGACTCCATATTAGTTCATACAATGAGCAGCAGGAGCACACAAATGAGCGAATGAAGGAATACAGCAGGAACAAACGACAGGACCGACCGCCCACCCGGCCGGATGGATTAGGATGCGAAGAAAGTGGTCGTGACCCAGGAAGAAGAATCTGGCTGCCTTCATCCATCCAGCCGCAGCCCAAAATAGATTAATTGGAAAGAATGGTGGTGGTGCATGCCACCGGCTGATTCTCGCAGCCAGAATACTACACCAGCGGACCCGACAGTCTGGATGAAGGTGTGATAGTTGGGCATTAGTAGGCAACCTTGAGCAAGGCTCCGGTCCAGCTGAGGGGTTTTCGGGGGGGGCAGGCGAGGCAAGGCAAGGCAAAGCAGGGCTACTACTTGCTACCAGGCAGCACCCCCCGGTCGGTTTCGGTCGTCATGGTCCCCTTCCCCTCCTCCTCCGAGGGGAAGGGAGGGAGGGGGGGGGGGGGGGACGGTTGTTTGGGGGATTGCGCGCATTTACGCTGCTGCGATGACTCGCGCGGGGGGAGAAATTCCATCTCCAACCTTAAGTAAAGTATCTAGACTACTTATGTAGGGTGGCCGCTGGATCGAAATGGTACCTGACTGACTCAGTGGATGAAAACGGTTAGACATTTCTTCAGTCGGTTTAAGGTAATGGGTAAGCAGGAGTAAGCTTAGTTGTTACCTGGGGTACGTACGTAGAAAGGAAGGGAAAGGGAGGGTGCTCCCCCTCCGTGCGACCTGTCTATCTACTGCCCTTACTACGGAGTACTACTTACTTCCCTTGCGGAGGACTGTATGTACCTTTGTAGATACTACTGGACTGTCACAGACTAAGGTACTCGAGTCTGCCAATGGTCGGTCAGAAACCAAGAGAGGCCTTCTGGCCGCCTGAATCGATCTCGCTTGCCGATGTCGATCGAACGGCCGCCCGGCTCGGATTGGCCGTCCGCCCAGCCTGACCCTGACCGTACGTGACCGGACATTACGGCGCGCCGGCCCATCCGAGCTGCAGCCAACCAAGAGACCACTTGGTCCTAAGTACGGAGTACTGGACTGGGTAAGTACGTCGGTCGCCATTGCATGCATTGGCAGGGGCGCCTGCTGGGGTCAATGCTTCTGTCACTGGCCCCAGTCATGCCGCGGTATGCAGCTTGGTATCTACTACTTTAGCTGCCGATTGTAAGAGTCACCGACCGGTCCTACACACTACATCCAGTAGATAATAGTAGGTATGTATCGACCGGCGTATCTGCAATTGCCAGACACAACTTACTATCTACTAGGTACCTACTCCTACTATGTCCCTCCTTGATAGGACCCAGAAGCCGTTACAAGCCGGCGATGTGGGATGGATCTAACTAACTAGTTGGTAGTAGCCAGAGGCTACGACCGGGTTGGTTAATAAGTAGCCAGCTAAGCGCCGGGGTCATGAACAGGAGTTGTGCGCATGTCCCATGTCCCATCATGTACAACGACTGTGCCGCAAATCTCCCCCGGTAGACTAGATGCCAATCACTGGGCCGGAGCGGCGCTGATTGGCCGGCGTGCTGTCATCTGGTCCGGTCGAGATGCCTATGCCTGTCTGTGTGTCTCGGGGTTTCCCTCGCACTAGATAGATAGTTAGATAGTACGGAGTCCTTAGTAGCGTAACTAATTCGAGACTCAATCTCATTGTCGGAAGGACACCCACACACAATCTCAGCTTTCCTTGAGTCTGAAGCAACACTCCATGGTCCATAAGTCCAGTCTATAGATAGTCCATACCACTATCCAGTAGTCGTCCAGATCCCTGGCGCGGCCAGACTCGGAATCCATCCCGGACCCGAACGGACTCCAGATTACTCATTAGACGGAGCATCCTCCGTCCCTAGGTAAGTGCTTCAATATCCACATTCCAGACACACAGAGGGATAGTTTACATCTCGTTTGCCTGGATGGGAGTAGTACTCGCCGCTAAGTGCGACGAAGGAGAGACAAAAGTGAGGCCTGGCGTTTGAGGCGATTCGCCCCACGTGTTGGGCGCAGGGGAAACGAACGGACGGACGGACGGACGGACGGAGGAACGGAGTCGGCGTCGGCATCGGCGACTCGTAAGCAAGCAAACAAACAAACAAGCAGGCACACACAAGGCTGAAAACGCCAAAGCACCTTTCTTTTGTCGCAGCCTTCTATCTTGAATATCTAGATGCAGTCAAGTCTATGGTACACTGTCTACAGACCGGTCCACTTGGGTACAATTGAACCCACCACCCTCCGCCACGGGAAGGACTTGAATAACCTAACTAAGGCTTAGATAGAGGCTAACCTACTACTAGATCCGACTGTTAGATACCCATCAGCCACCAAATTGGTAAATCTAGACGAAAACTCCAATCAGACGGTGTGAAATTTTTTTTTTCCCTTTTACGTGTGTTCGCGACCTGGAAATTCCGCCAATTAGCCGGTCTATTGCGGCGCAAATCCGCCAGCCAGTCGTACTTCCTGCGGTGGATTTCGGACGGCCCTCATCCGTCGGCCGACTGGCCCAAACTACTACTAACTAGCCTCCATTTCACCGCCGTCTCGAACGGAGTCGGAGTCGGAGCTGAAGCTTATCGCCAGGAGGATCTGAACCATGGATGCTTGGCAAATGGCAGTAGGTTCCGGTGCAAGTGAGAGCTTAATAATCCCTATATAGTTTAGTTATGCCTGGTGCCACTAGTCAGCTCCGCGATGGAGCTTCATAAGGGGACAGGAACCAACTTAGGTCCAGCCACGCCCTCTCGGGTAATCCTTTAGTCGATGCGCCTGCGCGCTTGCGACAAAGAAAGTAATCGCCCCCTAACGGAGGGTATTTGAAATTGCGAAAGTCTGGACTCGGGACATCCGTTGTGTCGAGATACGGACACTCGACCATGACCACCGTCGGCGATCCACCAGACCCAAGGCAGGCACCAGGTGGCGTTATCAATCTCACCAGCACCACGCCACAGATGATTCCTGGTGATCAAACGTGGTGAACGTGGCCAGCAATCCTGGGGGCCAAAAGCCTCCCTAGGGGCAATCCTTTGCCGCGCCCCGGCAGCGACGAAGGATTCGTCGCGCGGTCCGGCATTTGCTTCTGGAAGGGAGAGGTGGTTTGATCATGGAGACGTGTGGGTTTGTGAAGGATCTCGTGTATCGTAAACTATCTAAGTCGACTCGGATCGTCGCGTATCTAATCCTACAGGCACGGTAGCGTCGCCGTCCATGTGGCTGGCTAGTTGGGCCAGATAGTACTAGGTAGGACGCCGTCGATCCAAGCCGATCCGGTCTGGTGGAGGCAGGTTGTTTCGGGAGGGATGGGGGCAGATTCTGCATGATGATCTGTTCGGCATGTTGCTGATGTGAGGAAGCTGTCATCGCGTGTGGTGAAGAGCTCCAACGGGTGTCATAGCCGCAATTTTCCTATCTACAGGATGAGACACGCATCAGCTGATCCATCATGACAGGCCTGGTTGATCTGCTGACCGTAGTACAGACAAAAGTCCAATAATCGTGGGAAGGGGGGTGTGGTTGTGACGACTTGATCGTCACAGTAAATTGATCATCTTACTGTACAGAGTAGTGTCCCAAGCTTGAGTCATTGGCGTGATAAGGGGGGAAAGCAGTCGTGGTGGAAATGGGACGGACTCCTTCCTCCCAATGAGAGACAATCCCAAGAGAGAATTCATCTCCCAGAGGCCTATCGTGTTCGTTCTCGGTCTTCGTTCGTCGCGCTGCCCCGAATAAACTAGCGAGTTATTGATTGACATCTGACACATCCAATCCGCAACGATCTGATCTGAGCTCACCCGATGGGGCATTATTCATTATTGGCGTACCTATCTACTTCGCAAGCAATCCCTTTTTTAGGGGCTGAAGGTTTGAAGGCCCCGGGAGCTCTGGCCAAGTGGGTGGACTGTGGACTGTGGACTGTGGACTGTGGACTGTGGGTTGTGGGTTGTGGGCTGTGGGCTGGGCTGTGGGATGGCTGGGCTGTGGTCAGTGGTGGTCCTCCTGGCTCCTGAATCCGCAGTCCGCAGCCCGCAGCCCGCAGCCAGTCGCAGGGTGTCGTGTGTGCACTGTACAGGACTCCATACATTCTCCAGAGATACTCCGTGGGAGTGTATCCTAGGAGTACACTGCCTCCTCTGCCTCCTCCTCTCTCGTCGCAAATCAGTTCTCACCGAAAAGATGTTAGGTAAGAATCCTCAAGAGTAGGGAAGGCATGACCAAGACAGGCCTAGCCGTGTGCAAGGTTGTATGTATCACCGATTCATCGTTGTTGATCATCGGCGGTTGCACACAAAGAAGACCACGCCTCCAAAAAGTCAGGGGGTGACGACCGAGGCGGATGATGCCCCCCAGCGCGCGCACTGTAACCACGAGCAAAAGTAAAGTAGTGGCCTTGTGGCCTGTGGCCTGTGGCCTGTGGTTGCCGGGATCGTCCCGGCCGGGAAACAGCGAACAACGAACAACGTGTCTGCCTTCCTTCCCCATTAATCTATCCTCATCCTCCCCCGGCCTTGGAATGAGCGACAATCCCAATCCCAATCCCTTCCCCTTCCCCTTCCCCTTTTTGACAAGCGCTCCTGAAAACAAGACACTCTTAGAGTTGCGATCCTTGACAGTTGACAGGTCTTATTATTGTCCCGTGGCTTTTGCCGGAACTACGGTATGGGGAGAGTGGCTTCAGCCACCACCACGTACAGGATCAGATGGATCCTTCTGGAAAAAGGGTTATTTATCCACGATGGGCATCCGTGAGACTCGGCTCCGATCCCGACACGTCGTACCAGGGCAACACAATGATATCATTGCCTCGCACAATGGCTTCTGCCCCGTCGTCAGGCCAGTCGAGTAATAATGCGTCGCCATCCACCATCCATCCCCAGCCTTACACGCTGCAAGGCTTGTCGCTTGTCAGAACTCTGTAAGGCAGGGATGGGGCCTGGGGAGGGAGGGAGGGTATGCAAGTGTTGCCTGGGCGCGGTTCTTGGCTCGCTGCTGCTAGTTACACTTAAGCTCGCTTGCAGGTCCTTAGGTTATAGTACGGTATGTACTCCGTAGTATTACTACCTACTATACTGAGTAGTACCTACACAGTACTAGTAGTAGTAGTACTACGGCTAGGCGGTAGGCACCGGCGCACGGCGGGTAGGGAATATTAATAGGGAGGCCGTAGTGATGATAGTCCGCCGTAGCGCTGCCACCGGCGGCGATGGAGCTGCGGCACAGTGTCTGTCTTGTCTGTTGGCTTGAGCCGCAAAACGTCCTGGCTTGCCCTCGATCTATCTACCAGCTTCTAGGTCACTTCTAGCCAGCCGTTCTAATCCATCCTTCCTTCCATCCATCCTCCCATCATTCATCTCCAACGCGTGAATGCACTGCGACGCTGTACCACGGCGGCCTGCCTGACCGCATCATGGGAGTCGCGCATCTCCTATTATTATTCCCGGGCGAAATTTTGGATTTATTATCATCAAAATAACGTCTCGACACACTGGGATGACCCCAATCCGTTGGGGTCATTACGAGTCAGTGTCTCGCCGCCTGGACGCATCCCTGTCGCCTTTTTCTTTGTTCTCTGTCCCTATCCCCGTCTGCCTCCGCCGCACCGGTATCCACCTCCAAGCACCGCAACCCCTCGAACGAACGAACCGACGAACCGACGAACCAATGACTGACCCTCCGACGGCGCCATTAATCAAAACGAGGCCTCTTCATAGGCTGCCTGGCCGACTTCCCCGGCGATGAACGTTCACGTGACCGAACGCAGCTGCGGGTACGCGTCTGGTGAGGAGAAGATGAAGGGAACTAAGGCAGAACAGGCGAGGGTCGCGGCCTGGGCTGGTTCGATCACCTCTCTCGCGCTCTCCCATCCGATGTGACCTTGTCGCCTGGCCGCAGGACGGATTACTCCATACAGCGATGGCCAGCTGGCTTGGCTGGCTTCTTTGAGACATCCCGACGCGCGCTTCGAGGTCCACCCACCCGACGACGAAGCCCCAGGATGTAGACGTTGGGACAGCTCCTCTCGACCAGGGATAGGATCTACAACAGGTGTAGACAAGCGGATGATCATCCGTTTGCCCCTCCCTTCCTCCTTAGCCGTCTGCCCATCACAACGGGGACGGAGAAAAGGCTGCTATTTCCTCGGAACCTTCCACTCTATCAGTAGATATCATGGCCTGAGCACATGCACGGGTATGCCAGCGATGAACTGGCTAGTCGCGGGGAAGTCATATGGTCGAGAACTTGCATCCAACCTCGCCTGTGATCCATACAACCGGGCATGCTACGCGCTTCGTCGGGGGTTGGGTTTGGAGCTTGCGCGGATTGACTGTGCCGCAATTCTGGCCCAGAACCAATCCTCGTTGTGGAAAGGTGCGCGCGGCGTAGTACCCTGTAGTATTGCGTCGTGGTAGTATCTACTACCGAGGATACTATCGAGCGTCCGCTTTTATTTTTGCCTTGTGATATTGTTGAAAGGAGAACCTGGTCAATTTGTCATGTCTCATGCCGAACGAGCGAGTGAGCGAGCCAGCCAGCGAGCGACTGGCGGCCGAGGCACCCTCTCTCTTCCTTCGTTCCTGATTTTTTTTTTTCGACTATGATTATTATTATTTTTTATTATTTTACTTCCCCCCCCTCGATTCTTAGGACATTCTGATAAGCTGCCGGCGGGCCCTTTCCGCCCGTTTAAGAGGATTTCCAGGGCGCCAAGACCCTCCAGTGGAAAGAAAAAAAAATCTTATAATCCTACAATATTAAGGTAAAAGGGTTGCAGATGAATGACGACGCTGAAGGATGTGCCTCGTCGATTCACTCGTCCCCGTGTGCAGCGTGCCAACCTCCTCGACCCCAGGCAAGCGTGGAGACGAAACAGCTACTGGAGCCTGAGGAGAGAATGGAGACGGGAGTGGAGCGACCTCCTGGCCGTTTGATTCGTGCTGTCGTCTATGGAAGGATACGTTCGGGGCCGATCGGCGCCAACCCGACTTGTGGAGATAGTGACACAATTATCGGTTGGCACTTGCGATTGGCATTGGCATTGGCATTGGCATATTGGGATTTTTTCCCTTTCCCTTTTCCTTTCTGGCCAGGTCTGTAAGGTATCTAGGGCTTTGTGCACTGTGCAGAGCGAGCTTGCCATGCTTCCTTACAGCAGCAATAATGTAATGTAATGTGCGACATGTCTGCTATATGCACGGTCATAATGCTACCCATCTCAGCCCCGAGTCTCCTTTCCAATCCATTCCTTCACTGCTTCCATCCTTCCTCTTTCCTTCTTCTCGCCGACCGACCAACTGCCTAGCTAGGAAACCCCTCGAGTGTAAGCCGACTACTACCGACGACTCCCGACCGACCATCCATCTTTGCTCCTCTCCCTTGTTGTCGGGGTCCTTCCACATCGGGTTTCCCCATTGTCCCATCATCGCTCCAGACTCGGTTTCTCCGTCTCTCGCCCGCCGCGGATCTTCACCGCTGAGACCCGCCGCGCTGCTCGGCTGCTAAAGTTCTCCCCCCATCCATCCGCATCCAAGGCTCAAACAAATGGATCCCGCCTGGGTATCACTGACGACTAACGAGCCTGGGAGAACCGTCCGTGATCCGTCCGTCAGGCCTCAGCATTGACACCGACGGGTGGAACTCCGCCGCACCACTAGCGAGTTTGATGATGCCATCCCGACCCCGTCAATCTCTGCAACAAATTACGGAGTACGGAGTACTACTCCTCCAGATGCCATTCGGCACATACTATGCGGATACCTAGCCCGTGAGGCTTTCTTTCCCTTACATACCTCTTACATAGGTAGGTAGTAGCTACAGTTCTTAATAAGCGGCAATGCTAGTCAGCCATCAATAATTCATTGTTATATAGTTAGTTTAGTATCGAGATGTCTATCTACGTGGGTAAAAAAAAAAAAAAAACACACAAACAAAAAACAAAGGAGGGAAGGCAATCATAATAACAATGATAAATAATAATCAATTTCCTTCATGGATCTTCGGCCCGTCTTCATTTCCAGCCGTCTTGGTATATAGGGTGCGTACTATGGGAATGAATTGCTTACGGCCGATCGTTATAGGCGATGATGACACCTTCTGGAAGATGTAATCATGACCTATGTATGTAGTAAGTAGTACTATGTCCCCCCCTTTCCTGCCTACTTAGGCACCTGAGGTAGGTCGAATCGAATCTACTTACCTACTTACCCCAGGTCCCGAACGACTTGGCTGTGTACCTTACCTACCTTACCTAGCCTACTAGTACCCAGTACTACAACATACAATACTGTACAGGCGAGAGAGGGGAAGAGGCTTGGAGTTGAGGGGGGGAGAAGAAACCGGCTACATACCCTGTCTTACCCAAACCAACCATCATCAATCACGGCGTAAAATAGCAACCAACAGATGAGATCATTTGAAAAAACCGAAATTAATTCAACCACTCCACTGGGTGGTTTGAAAATATTTTTCTTAAAACGAAATAGCGATGGGAGGGAAGAAAATAAAATAAATCAAAATAAAATTCAAAAAAAAAAAGATCGTCTTACCGCTGCAGAGATGTGTTGGCAAAAGTCTGCAGATTGTTATCTGGACCGCGCGGTTCTGTTCAAAATAGTATACATGTATGTAGGTATATGTAGTATGTATGTAGGTCGAGTTTCCATGTGCATGTCGGGCTGCTTCGAATGGAAGTGTGGTGGTGGTACTCCGTAGTGGGAGGGTACTTGCGAAGTACATGATAGGGAGATATGTACGGGGCAATAGAAGTAATAATAATAATAACAATAATAATAAGAATGATAATAATAATAATAAGAATGATAATAATAATAATAAGAATGATAATAATAATAATAATAATAATAATAGTAATAACACCACCACCACCAGGACAAAATCATGGTCAACACTCACACTCTCACAATGCTCAACTTAGGTATGGCAAATATTAATCCTTTTCCCCTCCTTCTTCTGCTCTTTTCCCCCCCCCCCGTACTAAGGCTCGGACCCACCCACATCGTGTCTCCCGCTTGGCTGTCAGGTCGCCTGTCCTTCAGCAATGGCCCTGCGCAATCTGAGACCATAAGAGCTAGACAGCGTTAGAGCCTCGATCCTATTCGTAAACCCGTCCCGGCACAACGGTACGCTAGCCAAGCCACTGCAGGCTGGGTTGCTGACTCTATTCCGCGCCCAATAGGCGCGGCCCATCCGCTCCCTTCTGTTGGCTTCCTTGGCCGGTTTCCTTTCCCCCCCCTTCTTTGCCTGCTGCTCTGTGTTCCCCACCCAGCCCAGACACACCCATCGCCGTCCTCACCTGCTGATGATGGACGATGATGGACGGGGGATGATGCTGATGGATGGATGGATGGATGGATGGATGGATGGATGGATGGATGAATCGATGGGATGAATGGGCTGGCACCGAATCCTGCACCGATCCTTTCTGTTCCAAGTTTCTCATTTTATTTTTATTTTTATTTTAGATATTTGTTTTTTTGCCTTCTCGTCCCGTAAGATGATTACCTGGAGGATGACGCCGCGGGTGATTTTATTTCATTGGCCGAACCGCGTAGATTTATTCTTCAAAGCCCGGTGGTGGTTGGTTGAGTTCGGTATGGAAGGATTCTTCATGCTGGAGTGTTCGACATGATTGACCTTGCTGCTGCTCTTCTCAGATCTTCTGCCCGTCAGTCACTTCTTTCTTGCGCGACTTCTGTAGAATTCCCCTCCCCCTTTCCCGGGGGTACAGTAGTATTAGGGAGGGTCGCACCTTCGCAGACAAGCTGGCCAGTCATTCCCGACGGTTAGAAACCCATGGGCCCACGAACCAATCGAATCCCCCCGGGGTCATTCCCAATGAAGAAACACAACATCCATGAATCGAGTCTTCAAGGGCCCTTCAAGGCACAAAATGGGTCTCGACCCGGTAGAATTTCAATTCGAGAGAGAGAGAGAGATAGTGATTTAATTTAGGTGTGTCGGAGGCTCGGAGCGAACAGTGGACTATCCAGAATAACAAAAACAATAACAATAAAAACAGTAGCTAAAGTAAATACTAGAGCCCTCCCACGACTCCACAGCTCTCCCTCTCTCTCCCAGTCCTAAAGTAGCAATGAAGATGGCCAACCTAGGTGTCCAGTGTGGAGTATCAACAAACGAACTAGTCGCCGGCCAGCTAATCCAGGTGTCGTCTGATGTTTCCCGTCAGCGGCCGAATTGAACCCTGCAATGCTTCGTTTCGGTCGACCCGTCTTGCAGCCAGAGGAACCACCTATCAGCTCCGCCAAACCTGAATCGTCTCATGCAATGGCAGGGCTGCAGCCGGCGGGCGTATTACGGCGTACTTTTTTTTCTCTCTCTCTTCCTTTTTTTTTCCCTTTTGGCGTTCCCTTTTTCTTACTTGTTTTTTAAAAGTTTTATCTTTCCAGTCTCAGTTTTCTGGGTCGCTGCCTGCCCTTTTGGCTTCCACATTCTCGACTCAACAAACATGTCCCTACTATCGTGCCTCTTTCACTATACAATCTAACTAATGTATTGCTTCATAAGACTTAATCTACTGCTCCCACGGAAAGAACATCACGCCGTCCCAGCCCTTTACAACCGCATTCCTTTTTTGTTTTCTCGGCCGTACCAGTTCGGCGAAGAATGCACTGGTGGGGAAAAGTAAATACGAGCCCTTGCTGCTTGGAAATACGATTACGCGATTGACACATTCTTCAGCGATAGACATACCCGCGAGGACATTCATCGTCGAGTAGGCATCTAAGTAAAGACTAGATAGAGAGTAACCAGAGAGAGAACATCGCGTCGTTCTCCAGATTACTACCCAGATACCCACTGGCGTGGGTGCGATTCGGCTCCGGGTATCTACAATGGAGCACGCAAGTACCCAAAAGAGGGGACCAGGCATTGGGCAATTTGGCATGGATATGGTTGACAGTGCAGCCTCCCCCCTCCTCTTTCCCCCAACCCATCCCACGATCCTTAAGAGGCGCTGTTATTATTATGATCATGATCCGTATTATAATGTGCATTATTATCCTGAGGTGCGTTCAGCCTCCCAGAATTTGGAATTCTGTTCATAGGCTGGATGGCTTGTGGCTAGGGAGAGGGAGGAAGAGAAAGTGTGTGTGTGTGTATGCTGCAACTGCATGTCCGTGCCTGGTCTGTGCCAGATGGGGAAACGACGACCGAAGATAATAATGATGATAATGATAATAGTGGTGGTGAACCTCAGGAGTTGTGTATGTGCATACATACATGACGCTCATGCATTTGGCCCCTTTTGAAAAAAGAAAGGTCGGTTCCCCCTCACTCCCCGCGTGGCCAGTCCTCCGCCCAGAAGCTGTCGTGTCGCCAACATCATGGGCATTGTGTCATCGTTATCGTCCGTGCAATAGTTGGAGAGGAGGGGGTGATGATGAATGATGAATGACTGAATACTGAATGAATAAACGAGGGGAGAAAAGGAAGGATGTACAGAACGGATGCAGGCAGGAATCGGACCCATTCAGGTGTCCATCTGCCTGCCTGCCTGGCCGTTTGACCCGAGTCAAACCGAGTACTCTGGAGATCATTATGATCCTCAATTTGCTTTTGATTATATCATTTCGTGGCCTTTCTTTGTGTGCGGAAGAACCTAATCTGGAAAGGGGGGGGGGCGCTTTTCAAGGATCCATCCTAAATCCCACGACTATCAAGCTACCTACTACTACTAACTGATTGATTGCTGCTGGCTGTGTCGCATTGCCTCACCAGTCCGGTCCCTTTGTTGCGGCTCCTTCGATTTCACGTTGAGTTTCTGATATCCACGGTGCATGTTGCATGAACGGTGTGCCTTCCCCTCCTTGAGAGTGGATCGAGTTCTGAGGGGTAGGGGAGGATGGGATAGGATAGGATAGTAGATAGTAAAAAATAAAAATAAATATGTAATGTAAGTGGGAAAAAAAGAAAAGAAAATAAAATAAAAAAAGCCAAAGTCAAAGCAGCAGGAAAAAGGAAGAACCGCAATCCCCTCCATCCTCCTCCCCCCCCCCCTCGAGAAAAAAAAAGCAAAAGGTAAAACCCGAAAGAGTCAAGAAAATAAAAGATTAAATCCAAAACAGAAAATCCCAAATCAAACCAGATCGTACGGTACGGTACCAACCACCCATCGAGATTAATTACCCGATCCAACGGTGACCCTCTCCTGGGACTCACTACGGACTCAACACACTCAACTAAATAACTACGAACTAGCAATAGCATCTAGCTACTAGTAAACCCGAGAGGGAAGTCAACCTACTGGGTACTTTACCTATCTCAGCACCAGCGGCGTCCAGCCTGGCCCTGCACGTCGGTCTGCCAACGTGACCCTGTCGCGATCTCCACCCGCCGAGCCATCCAATCCATCGGATGCCATTCTTGCATCCATTCATTTCGTTTCTTCCTCGCTCTCGTTTCTTCCTGCGATTCCCCGTTTGAGTGCTGAGGATCCATCGGTCGTGGAGATAAGTGGCGAATCCTTTGACTTCTTGAACTGCTGGTGAATTCTTCCAGACGACATCCTTGCATATAAGCCCACGGTCATCTTCTCTCCTCTGATTGTTTTTTTTTTTTCTTTTTTTTTCTCTTTTTCCCTTTCTTCTTATATACATCTACAGACAGGAACAAGACAAGACACACAGACTTTGCGGATGAGTTAGGGTTGAAGGAACCGACGACGAAGTAAAAACATCCCCGGGCCCAGCCTTAAGCATCAGCAATCCACAATCCACATCCACATCAGCAGCATCAACCATCTTTCTCTCCTCTCCCACCCCCCCCCCCCCCCCCCGGATACCACCATCGCACCTCCCTGCTGCTACTGGCGCTACACATCACGCCGGTCACCATCGTGTACCCGCCGGAGGAGCGACTCTCCCCACGACCGGACAGGGGGCGCAGTGACTTCGCTCTCTATTACAGGCCGGCGCGTCCCAGGGCTCTGGTACGCTGCATGGATTAAGCACAACTAACGGGGACCCTTGGCCGCCATTGCCCTCAACTAAAGTCCAACCGGGAGTCTCGTGCGGCGTTGGTGATGCTTTAAGGACTGCCATTTCCTGAATTAAGTCCGTTCAAATAAAGCTCCCCCGTTCCTCCTCTACCTATCCTCGTCACCCCCTCTGCCAACGTTCCCAAATCCTTCGTCGCGGCTGAGAGGAAACACCGCCCTTGGTCTTTGTTGCCAAAAGAGACATCCAACATCTGTCACATTTTTGTTTTTCTCTCTCCCTCTCCTTCTTATCCTCGCTCGACTTGTTCTATTTTACTTTATTTTTATTTTTATTTTACTTTCTTCCTCCCTCTTAAATTTTGGCCCACCTGTCCCCTCTCCCCCTCCCCTGGGTGTGCCATCTTCTTCTCTTCTGGGTGACCTACCAATATTGAACTTGCATCGGGTCACCTTATACATACCTTGTCTCTCCCCCCCGCGGTGGTTGTCTGCAGACCCCGTCTCTCTCGATTCTCTTTCCTGGAAGGCTCTTAGGGTCTCTCTTCTTCTACTACTCCTGCACTCTATCTACTGCAACACATTTACCATCCACAATGGGATCCCTTCATGAGCAGACTCGCTCGAGCTACATGCCAGCGTCGCGCCAGAGCCGCATGGCCATCGATTCCCTGTTGAATCCCTCAGCGGACAACGGGATGGTCAGCTCTCCATTGCACTATGATCACCGTGGCCGGCCACTGTCGCCGCAATTACCTCCCAGCCCCAGCTCCTACTACTTCGCTTCCTACTCCGACAGTCACCACCCCTACGCCGAGAGCTCAGCCTCCTCGCAGGACCAGGCATTCTTGCCATACCGCCCCCGATCCGCCGAGTCATCACCTGACATCTACTCGCGCGATCGATACGACTCGGTCTCCAGCAGCTCCAGCAACGCGCCGGAGCGGCGCCGGCCCCCTCGGCCCAAGTACGAGGAAGAGGAGATGTACTTCATCTGGTACCACCGCGTGGACCTCTGCCAGGAGTGGAAAGAGGTGCGCGAGAGTTTCAACCAGCAATTCCCCAGCCGGCAGCGGCGCGGGTTCCAGGGAATCCAATGCAAATTCTATCGCTTCATCAAAGAAAAGCAGTGTCCCACGCTGCGGGAGCAGCGACGCATGCGGGACGGCGACTTCCTCCGTGAGGGAGCGGGTATTACCGACTCGGCCTCTCCGCGATTTGGCGTGATAGATTGGGCCGGGGTATGGTATCCATGGATGCGCGAGAACAAAGAACAAGTCCTGAGCCGACGGATGTCGAGGTGAAAAAAAGGTTTCCAGCCCACCTTTCTTCTAATGACCAACCAACCAAACCTTACCTCGTCATCGATGCCATGCGCATCTTTAAAAATGTTTCCTCGCTTGATTTGATTTTTTTTTTTCAAAACCCGATACATCTCACGGCCGCCTGAAGATACCTCTGTTTAATTTCTGTTCTTTTCTTTTCATTTCTTCTGTCTGCTTGGTCTTTCATTTGTCATTCTGGTTCTTGTTCTTGTTCTTTTGTCGTGGTTGCTTTTCTGACCATTTCAGCATGTTAACACCTGGGAGGCTACTTGATCTTTGCATGCATGCATACATATACATACCTTCGGTTTTTTTCTTTTTTTGCTTTTTTTTTCTTTCTCTCACTCTTCATTTTCACTGCGTGGGGGTTGGGTTAACGGAATGGAATGGAACTGGAATCAATCACTGGGTCGGAAACATGGGCGGACAGACTATCATTCAGTTCAATTCATCAATCATCAATCATCAATCAATCAAATAATCAATCTACCAACAAGCAAACAAACAAGCTCTTCCACCACCAGCAGCAGCAGGTAGCAATAATCTAGCCATAATAACCATCATCACCACTACATTAATCACTACTACTTATGACTGACTGACTTACTCTTCTCCCTACATACATACATACATACATACATACATACATACCTCCAGTTTACTTACTTACTGAACTACTAGACAATTTCCAACGCGACCGCTCCATCCACCCATCCATCCATTCGCGCACCCTAGTTTTCTTTCTGTATTCCATACTTTATACCTGGTCGCATTGCGCAAGCCCCGGCCGGCGGCCAGCGGCCACCTAGGTCATGGACCATAGTTTGCTTGCTTGCTTACCTACGGTTGTTTCTGGCATTTATGTCCGAGGTTCCGAGGGCGTGGCGAGTCTGGTGGTGGTACCTTACGGATGTGTATGGCGTGTATGCGTGGTTGTGGCGTGGCGTGGTGTAGTGTGGTGGGTGGTGGGTGGTGGTACTGTGTATGTATACGTATGTATATATGTATGTATGTATGATACATGTAATGTATGTAGATAAGTATAGGTACTCTTTGCTGGGTTGGATGGAGCTTGTTTGGATAAGGTAGGTACTTACTAGATCTCTATCTGGGGTATCTATTAGGATGTCTAGGTAGGTAATAGGTAAGGTAGTATGTAGGTAGGTAGGTAGGTAGATAGATATCTACCCAGATTATTAGGTAGTAGGTAGTAGTAGCCAGTAGGAGTAGAAGTACTAGAATGAGGTAATAAGACTGAAGGTATACAGTATGGTATGTATGTAACCCCCATCCCCCCCCATCCCTCCCTCAATCCAACCGGACAAGAAAAGCAACGCACGTACCCAGTCAGCTTCATCCCGGTGAAGGATTTCGGACGGTGTGTCTTGGCCTGGCTGTAGTGTCAGTAAATTCAGAGTTTTGGGGGGGGGGGGGGGGGGGTAAGGATAAGGATTCTTCTGATGCGAAGTATTATGTAGTGGGATGGAAGATAAGAAGACGGGTATTACGGGTTGGTTGGTACGGTAGTTGGATTGTTACCTAGATGGTTGATGGTTGATGGTGGTGGGAGATGGGAAGGATGGGGGAAGGAACGAAGGGCTTGCTTACTTGCCTAGGGTACATCATACAGTACTACATAGATTACTTACCTACTTAATAGATTAGAATTCGGATGAGAGACAAAAAACAAAGGAGGCGAAAAGATGAGGAAAATGGGAGGGAGGTTAAGTAGGTAGATTTAAAGTATTCAGATAACTACTACCTAGATAGTGTGTCATCCCAACAGAACACACATGGCAAATAACTACCTAGGTACCCATGGAAGATACCATGTATCGATCTATACCTCACTGAAATTATAGCATTATAGCTTGACTCCTGAGAAAAGGACATCCTTAGAGGGACTAAATGTAAGGGTTCTTAGTGGTAGGGTAAGTCACTGGACTGGACTGGACTGATTGATTGATATCAATCAATCAATCAGATCAACACCATGCCAAACAAGTATGTACCGTGATTGATAGACAGATAACGGGTAAAGATACGAAATGTATATCCACATCCATCTATCTCTCCATCCATCCATTCAATTCATGTATATGGATCACGGGGGAGGGTAGTAGAGGATGGGGGAGTCTGGGAGAGGAGTAGAGAGGAGAGGAGAGGAGAGGAGGGGCCAGTAGGATCCGGAGCATGATCAATTTCATTTCATTTATTATCGATTGTGGCGTGGTGTTCCCAAAGTTTAAAAGGAGAGAGTTAGGTAGAAAGGTCAAGAAAACCAAGGCACTCCGTAGGTAGATGTGGTGTTAATCTGATACCGATAGACAGACAGTGTAAGTGGCTATAGTAAGCAAGGTGTCTGTGTGTCTTTCTCTTATTAATAATGGTATGTTGTATGTACACTGGTCAGATGGGATTGGGATGGATTCCGGACTGGTACTTGGTCTGTCTGACATGCTGACTGACTGGTTTTGGAGAGCTGTAGAGTAGATTACTACGGTACTGTGTACATTGCCCAGAATGATTGGAGTTGAGGTGATTGCTGCTGTATATGGTATCGAGACTGAGCACTTCTAACTGGCCTACGATGGAGATGATCAGAGACATACACACATGCACCCATCCATCCATCCATCCATTTACAACACACGATTTCCAGGGAATGCATACGGCCCTCACAACACGCCTCGAAGGTATCTATCCCTCTTCAGTCTGACAGAGGTAAGCAGCAATGCCAGTATTATCGTATGTACAACAGACAGACAATGAATACCACAACAAAACAGGTATTACCTGATGTATACGTATACGTATACGTATACACTAATCTGGAAACGCTCCAGACTGGGGCCAATCTAGACGAGCAAACCACATATAACGAGTCGGCGGTGATCCCTCACTCCCTCACTTCGCACCCGCCCCCCTGAATCTGAGACATGACAGGCAGACAGCGAGAAAGATAGATAGGCGTTGTGCGTGAGTATCTGCAGGTGATGCTGATCGAAGGATTTCGGACCCCGAGGAGGGAGGGAGGCATGGGGGTAGGTCTGTCCGCCTGCCTGATTGCCTGTATGTATCAGGTGGCTGCATATGGTGGCAGGATGTATGTCTTAGTTTATTAGAGCGTACGGTATGCTACTGTATGCACATGGCGGTCATTGCAGATGAGAAAAAAAAATTAACTATGTCAAGATGGTCTGCATGGGAGGGAGGATGCGGTGCTGAGGTGCTGATATCGATTGCATCATCAGATGACGGGCCCGATGATAACGCTGGGGTTGTGAAGGATTCATACCCCGCATTCAAGTGGCCTGGTATAATCTTATTTCAGAGTCTGTGTGTCCGGAGCATCGTGGGGGTGGGAAGGCAGACCCGGTTCTCGTCAGGATTGTTGAGACGGGCGGATTATTGGCGAGCATGCAGGGTGGACGACGTGTGTCTGCCGGCAGGGCGAACGAACGAACTATATCGAGCAGCGAGCTACCCTGAAGGATCACACGGATGAAGGGAAGGTCGAGGAATGGACAGCTGCAATGCTGAAACGGTCCTTGCCGGGCCCGGTCGACTTGGCCTGGCTAGTCCTGTCGGCTTACTGTCTGGCTGCCCGTCTCTCGGCCCAGCTCATCATGCAGCTTCTGCAGAGGTCTGACGGCCGCGGATCTTGCGGTGAAAAAAAGCTCCCTACGTCGGTCTGTCGGCCATCGTCTCCCTCCTCAGCCCTCACCCGTCAGTCGAGCCCCGTCGAGGGCAGTCCAGCCTCGTCGTCTTCATGCCCAGATGCCAGCCAGTCTGCAATGCGACCCCCTACATGCATGCATTCATCCATCAATCCATTCATTAATCATTCATCCATTCATTCAGTCAGTCTGCAGACGCAGCCACCCGATTTAGTCTCGGTGCCTTGTTCTGCCTCACTCGCTTGTTGTTCGCCCTGGTCGGCGTGTGCGTGCCTGTCCCCGTCATCCAGATCCAGCATCCAGCATCCAGCATCCATCCATCAAGGGATGGATGATCGATCAATCAATCACCATTCCTCGTCTGACTCCACGTGCGATAGGAATCCATATCCACCGCGATTCCGCCCCTCACTAGCCGAATCGTCAAAATCGAACTCTTCGTCATCAGACCGGCCATGCGTCCGGTATTTGTTGTAGATAGCCGTTGGATCGTCCTCTTCATCATCCCACGACAAGTCTTCATCCGGATAGTCATTTGCGGGATTATTTTCGGCTGCCCCGGTAGTGCCCGTTAGTCTTTGTCCACGACGCGACATTCTGGCTCAAATTGCGATCGACTTACCGTTCGAGTCCGCATCCTCGCTATCCCACCGATCTTCGTCCTCCTCCTCGACAAAGTTCTCCCAGTATTCCTCGTCCTCCTGCGTGATGACGATGACACCGATATCTTGGCGATTCACGTCAATTCCATGCTGCCGGAACCAAGCTTCCTGGTCCGAATCCAAACTGACGAGCGGGTCCGTAAGCAGACCACCGTCTGGCAACGGTTTCCGTATGTACGTATCGTAGACATACTCGCCATCGCTCTCGTCCTCGTCAGACCCGGCCGGCTGAGCGCCCGTCGCCGGGGTGGCAAGCCTGTCGGACTCCTCACGGCCCTCGACAGGCCCTTGCACCGCTGCCGCGCCCGTCCCTCCCGCGCGATGCTTATTGGGCGTGCGCGGCTGGTATCTCAACGGAGGCTTGGGCATCACCGAACGGGCCTGAGGTTGTGCCGAAACTTGCGGCGGGCGAGTGTAGTCCGTTTCCGTGGGTGTCACCTCCATCTCCCCATCCAACTCCAGAGCAACCTGTTCCAATTCCCGAGCCAGCCGTTCCGACTCATCGTCCCAGTTACTTTGATGGGTGGCCTGGGCCTCCCGATCCAGCACCTGCGAGATGTGCTGTTTGGCAGCCGAGATCGCGCTCTTACGCTCCTCCCTCCACTTTCTCTCCGCCTGATTCACCACCGGCCGCTTCCGCGGAGGTGCTGACACCTCCGTAGCACCCTCACTCGCGTCTTCGTCCGCCCGCGCAGCAGCATCGGCGACCATTGACGCCTGCCTGGAATGCGCCGTGCGCCTCAGCTTCTCAACAAGCACCGCAACTGCCCCGTCCCCTTTGCGCTTCTGGACACCGCCCCCTGTACTCCGGAGGGAAGTCATTGGCGTGTTTGACCTCGAGATCTGGAATCGACGCAGAGCCTGCGCGCGTCCCGGCGAGGAAGCCGGACTTCTCCGCCCGCTGGAGGAGGAGGGCACCAGATTGCCGGTGGAGTCATTCGCGCCAGAATCCGGGATGCTAGAGTCGGTAGCCGACGAAGGCTTAGACGGGCTGGCAGTAGGCGACGAATGCAAGGCTCTTTTAAACTTCTCCTCGTTTTCCCTCCGAACGGTCGCCAAGCGGCGTTCCTCGCGGACCTCCGCCCCGGGCGACGTGGCTCTTACCAGGGGGATGCCTGTCCCTGCACCAGCAGCACGGTTGGTCCTAGTACTGGTGACGACGCTGCTGACCGACCGCGGCGTGAGGAATTTTCTCTGCGTCGGGGCCAGCGGTGATGGGCTGGGGGAGCCATCTTTTTGGTCCCCGCCCGCGCGGACCTGGACTCGTTGAAAAACAAAGTCCGTGAACCGGCGTTTGGTCTGATGTAGCTCGGACTGGATGTCTGTGGGCGTGGGTTAGCGGGAGGAGGTCCTTGGTGCAGAAAGATCATTCACAATGTGACGAAACAAGGGAGTCGTAGGTCTTACATAGCGTCTCTACGGGTTCCTCTTCGCGCCGGCGTTTGATGTTGATCTGCTCGGGCGGCAAAGACATCGTGGAATGGTCGGTTCTGCTGCACCAGGCCTGAGGGGGATGAGATGGAATGAGATGAGATGATGGTGATCGCAGCGGCTTCTTTTGGTTCCATGGTTTCCTCCTTCCGGGTTAGCGTGTCGCGGCGGGTATGCGCTCACGTGATGCCGTGTTGATTCTTTGCCCGATCGGGTGGCTACCACTACGACCACTACTAGTGCCAGTAACTACAAACTGAAACTGCCCTACAGTCGAACTCTGCATATAAGTAACCAGATGTTTGTCATTTCCTATGCTTGGAGCACTCCTCCTCACCGTCTTTCTTATGTTCCTTGGTGGCGGATCCACTATCATCATCCAGGATCAATTATCTCCGCCGCTATATAAACCCTGTTCGTTATCAGAATGCAACAGGGGAGCTGTTATGCTCTGGATTAGTCCCGTTGAATGGCATCACATATGCAAATGAGCAGCTTGAGACATGAAGAACGGGACTGAGCCACCCCATTAACGGGTATGGCTCAGATCCCACCCGCCTCCGTAGCCAACTGGAGGTCAGAAACGGCAAATGGCCAAAAACAGATTTTCAAAGTAGGGAGATGACAAGAAAGGCAAACGAAGATGAAGAAGATCATACCCAGCTAGCAATACAAGGATGGTATAAAAAGAAGGGAGGCATTAAAAGCTGTAATATGGGGTGGCGGAGAACGAAAATTTGCACAATTAAGGTAAGGAGAGAAACCATAGTAAGGTGAACCCGGTACAACGAAAGGAATCAGAATGGGGACATCGAAGGGATTAGTCAAGTAGCAAGACGAAAAAGAAGAAGAAAAAAAAAATAAGAGAGATCGAAGAAAGAGAAAGAAAATTGGCTATGCTCATCGCGATCAATGGCGAGTGTTACCCTCGCAGTGGTGTATGCAATCATTTGGCTCCGATCTCCTCCTCAGCCCAGCCCGGCAGCGAACTCTCGTTCTGGATGGCTAATCCAAAGCCGGCATGGTTGAGGCCGCCCAGGGCGGATGTGAAGCTGGAGAAACTGCTTTGGGGCTGGTGAGCCATCCCGTTGCGAGTGGGACCGGGCTGGCTCGAGACAGGTCCGAAAGGTTCCTGGGAGAACGAAGGCAGACTCACGGCCCGGGAATGCTGAGCACGGGGCACGTTCAGGCTGCTGGTACTGGCTGTGGCATGATGCCCGGGTCCCGAAGAGCCATTGGTCACGTTCAAGTACCCGTTAGTCGAGGGCTTATGTTGGTGTTGGTGTTGGTGCAACGGGGCCTCGATATTCCCGTTGGTGTACTCGGCGCCGCTGGTGCCGTTGTAAAGCGACTGCTGTTGCGGGGCCTGCTGTTGAGACTGCAGAGCCGCCAAGCTCATGGGGTCGTTCAATCGGTTCTCCTGCTCCTGAGCCTGCTGAGCGGACATTTGATTGAGGTACATGGTCAGCGGGTTGTTGGCGCCCACATTGAGAATCCCGGACGGAGACGACACCGTTTGCAGAGGATGCCTAGTCTGGTGGCTGTTCTGGGAGCCGGTGGACCCGGGGGCAGGGGACAGTGCAGGGTGGGTTGGGCTAGATCCAGAGCCGGATTGGCTTAGGTTCTGCTGGAAGCCGTTGAGCGCCGGGGAAGGTGACTGCGGTCCCTCGAACCCAGCTCCATTGCGACCTTGAGGTCCACCGTTGCCTGCTTGGCGTGGCGGGTTTCCACACCGATCCTTACCAAAGTTGATCTTGAATCGTTTGTACTCATCCCGATTGCGCATTCCTTCGATCGCTTTGATGGCATTGGCGATGTTCGTGAAGTTCACAAACGCACAGCTCTTCTCGCGTAGCGTATTGACAAGCTCGATCTCTCCGTATTCGGAGAAGTCCTGACGAAGGCGCTCCTCCGACCAGGCTTCATCAAGATTGCCCACGTAAACATTCCGTGAAGCACCACCGCTCACCGCCAGGGCGATAGCGGGCGGAAGAGGACCGGAGTGTTTACCCCAGCCAATCTTCAACCGACGATTGTGAATCATGAGACCTTGGAGGTTGCTCAAGGCATAGAAAGACGCGGCCGAAGTAGGATCAATGAAAGTGACAAAGCAGATGTGCTTATCAGGGATGTAGCGAATGTGGTGCAGAAGACCACCGCGCACGACGTTGCAGATCTCCTCAATAGTCGTTTCGGGGTGGATGTTGCCCAGGTAAATCGTCCGGTTGCCCAGGTTGTTGACTCCGCCCGCGGTTGTAGCCACAGCTGCGGCTGCCACGGATTGCTGGGCCAGTGCGTTTGTGATCAAGTCACGGTCCGCCGAGTTGAGTATGTGCGCATAGCCGGGGGCAATGCCCAAGAACTGAGCTGCATTCTGTTGCTGCGTCTTGGAAACGTAAGCACACCGATCCTTGCCGTAAAAGACACGTCTGGGAGCCTGCCACTTCGCCTCCTGAGGGAGCTGGGAAACAGCCTTCATCGCATTGCTGATAGACAGGAAGTGGACGAAACCGATCGCCTTCTCCTTGACAATCTTAACAGTATCGATAGGACCAAACTTTCCGAGCTCCTCACGCAGTTCCTCTTCGGTCATTTCTTCCGGCAGGTTCCCGAGGTATACATTACGTGACGCACCCGATTGCTGCACAGACAAGGCGACCGATGTAGGCACCTGGGAGGGCTTGCCCCATCCCACCTTGATGTCATTGCCCTTGATCGCGAGCTTCTTCAGGATCGCGTCGGAATGGAAATGGGTAGCCGAGTTGCTGTCCAGGAAAGAGATGAACGCGCAGTTCTTGTCGGGAAGCAGCCGAACAGACTCGATTTGGCCACTCCGAACATGGTTCAGGATCTCTTCCGCGGAAGTTTCTGCGGGGATGTTTCCCAGGTACACCGTTCGGCTCGTACCCGAGAGCAAGCCAGGGGTCACCGAGGCCGCGGGACTCCCGAACGCCGCATTGCCCAAGCCTCCCAGACCACCGACAGGGGACTGGGGAGCGCCCAGCATCTGGGAATTACCCATATCCGTCGACATCATTCCGGAATACAGACTAGCATTATGCGAGGGCTGAGTCGGACTCCCCAGCTGGTGGTGGCTGTGGTGGTTCTGTGCGTGTGTAGGAGCGTTGGTTTGGGGGAAGCCGCCAAAGTTGGCGAACTGAGGCGAGGCAAATGCTGAAGGGGTTCCCGGCTGAAAGGGACTACCGAGCAGCAGCTGGGAAGGTAGAAGAGGAGTGAAGTTCATGTCAAACGCGGTACCCGAGGAAGCCATGTTGTCGGAGAGGGGAGCAGAGGTATTGATCGCGGGGATATTAGCTCGACGAGTGTTCCGGTCCGGCAGGCCCTGCAGGGGGATGTTGTTTGAGGCGTACGATCCGTGTGAGAAGCCAGTACTGTCCGCGTTGAGGTGGGAAAACTTGGAAGACATCAAACGGCTCGGGATGCTGGCATCGGAGGTTTGCATGACGAGGGGAGGGAGCGACTAGGACGCAATTGTCCCCTAGAGTGAGGAAGGGCACGGGGTAAGCTTGTCATCTATGAAATGATGGATATGGGCCAGCCAGGGGGGGGGAGGGAGGACGTACGAGGCAATCAACACGGTGGGAATGGCCAGGAGAGAGGGAAAAAGGGCCGGGCCCGAAGATCACCCCCGAAAAGAGCAGGGGGGGAATAAGGAAGAAAACAGAGACCTGGAGAGACCAGAATGAAGGTAACCAAAACGAGGAAGAAGGGCGGAAAGGACGGGACAGAGCACGGAGCAGGAGGACTGCCGGGGGAGACGTGTCTAGAAGGGATCCCGGTGGTCAATTGGAATGTGCATGGGCAATAAGAATAAGAAACAGTAGTGGAGGAAACGGAGACGAACCTGTGGTGGTTTAGTTGCTTTAGGGGGCCGAGGAACCAGGCCCAAAGCAGTGAGATCCAGCTGAAGGCGAATCAAAACGGCAATAATGCGGGTGTGAAGAACAATAGTGGTAATGATAAAAGTAGTAGTGGTGGTGGCAGTAATAGTAGTGGTAGTAAAGATAATAATAATAATGATAATAAAGGATGCTGAATAAAGAAGCAGACCCCCAAAATGAAGGTCCTGTCAAATGAGAAATGAGAGAGAAAGTGCCAGGTTGCAACGGACCCCAATAGTGACAAAGAAGGGTATCCAGATGGCACCGACAATTAAACTGAAAAGGGATAAGTGGGAAGGACAGTGGGCAAAGAGGAAAGGGAAAGGGAAGGAGAGAAAGTAATTGCAAAGGACAATTAAACTAAAAAGTTACAGCCGCCAGTACAAGGGCAGCGGGAAACGAAGGCTGAGGGAAAAAAGAGGGCCCCCGGTAGGAGGGAAAAAAGGGGGGGCGCGCGTTAGAGGGATAGAGGCGCGATAAATACTAGTGTCGTTGAGGACGGACGGAGGAGGGAAGAAGATAATGAATAATGACTGGTGGTAGCGAGGGGAAGGAACTCCTAGGACCCTGGCTTCCTCTGCCTTTCGAGTTCACAATCACAACGGATGTACCTAGAATGCAGATGGCACCAATCAAGGCAGGGAGGGGGGGGGGGGGGTAGAACAAGGTTTACCAGAATATTCTCAACAAATAATAGATCGCGCGACACTGGGATTAAAAGGAAGATTATTATTATGAATGTTGCTGTTGCTGTTGCTGGTCCTGCTCCTGCTCCTGCCAGCCACTGCGGCGGCCACCACCACTCCCAACAACAACAACAATAACAACAACAACAACAGCAGGAAGGACCGGGGACGGAGGATAATGTAAGCAAGGAATGAGCCGAACCAGAGTACGGGAGTCGCAGCAAGTACCGGTATGTGATCGATGGGATCGAAGGGGAAGCTGCGAAAAAAAAAAAAAAAAAAAAAAGGGGAATCGCCGGCAGGAGGATTCCTCCCCCAGCCAACGAGCAGCATCATCGTGAACCTGGACCTGAACCTGAACCATTGGCATCATTGTGACGGCGGGAAAAAAATCCCATCGATAATAATAGAAATAGTGTAGTGGAGGGTGATTGATTAGTACGGAGTACGGAGTAGATACTTAGTTAGCAGATCCATACTTTTGAGGCAAAAAAAAGATGGGGAAAAGGACTCCATCCAGCCCATCTGTCAGCCATCATCCATCTTTTCACTTTCCGAGCCACCCGGCATGCTGTGTTCCCCTGCGGAGGAAAATGATGCTATCATCCTCATCCTCATGCTCAATCCTCCTCCGTAATCTGTAGTCCGTATTCCGTACCACCAGTCCAGAACCCACCCTCGACAGCCCCTTCGGGCCCCGATCTCAAATCCACAGGTCTGATGAGCCAAATGATTTCAGCGGGGAGGAACCCATAGTTCGACCGATCGCCATGCAGCTGCAGCTTCACCACCATCACCGGCAGCTTTCATGTGATGACATCCTCTGGGATGCATCGGTGGGAATCCACTTTGCTTTTTTCCTCCTCCCTGCCTGCGATCAGTCATGCTGGCCATGGACGGTGGACGAATCGATCCATCGACGATGGTGGTGTTGGGGCTGGCTGCTGGTACAGCGTCCAGTCAGTCGTCGGCTGTTGGTGGGGTTTCCTGGTCAGAGGCTCTTGACTCTTGAGTCTAGCGGAATCCGGGTTGACCCGCTCCGGCTGCAGAATCCTGGTCTTGGCGCCTCAGGCCAATTTCCTTCTTGACGGCTCATTTCCACATGGTGAGTGGCTTGACGCAGTATTCCACGGACAGGAGATAGATAGTTTGTATCTAGTAGATAGTCTGCCCTGGCAACTAGCACAATGCCTGCTGGAACTCTAAGGATATGTCAGAACTCAGTCTCCTTGGCTTACTTTTTAAACCAACCATGGGAGTACTACTATGCATGGTATGTGATTCCTTACCTTCAATATATAGTACTAGTGAGAAATGTCCTGGCGATGCGTGGAAAGAGCAAATGTAAATGCGAGTTATCTCCAAAGCCCCGATTCCACCTGGGATAGACGCCTCAGAAGTAGCATCTTTTTTCAGTCCAGTGCCCATGGTTACCAGCACCACCCGTGGTGAAGAGCCGACGGACTTTGTATGCCTTATTGATGCCTGAGTCATGCGTGGGGATATCGGGATCCAAAAATTTACCCCTCCAAGGGATCGTACCCTCCTCACTGTGCGATCAAGGCATCTTGGTATCACTTCCCACGGGACTTGCTGATATCCTCCCTGGCCAGGCTGATCGGTCCATATGTGAGTAATCTGTGCCATCGTATCTTATCCTTCAATGCCTACCACCCCCCCGATAAGACTCGTGTGACTCACACGGCTGTCTGAAAGACATCTCAACTAACCAACCTCTCCGCCAGAGCACAGTTCATACCGATTGCCCCTCCCAGGTTGTTCCATACGCACCGCCAAAATGCCTTCCATCTACATCGATGAAGATGTCGGAAGGGACGACTCGACCGCCACCGGAACCGAATCGGCCCCCTACAAGACTCTCCTCCACGCTTTCGTCCAGCACCCTCCTACCCCCGAAAACCAGTACCTGACGCGCAAGTCCCAAACCGAGCCCGCCGGTGAGGGTGTTGACCCCGCGGCCAAGCTGGAATGGCAGCCCGCCACCAAGTCGGCCGTCAAGAAGGCCACCAACCTCTACGAGCAACGGAAGAGAAAGGCTGCGAAGGAGCACGAGCTGGCTATCCGCGAGAAGGAGGAGGCTGATAAGCGCAAGCTCGTCCTCGAGGAGGCCAAGAAGGTTATCATCAAGGAGGACACATCTCTTCCCAAGGCTGTCAAGGTCCGCCTCGATGAGACCGACCCTGCCGTTATCAAGCTGGGATCTCCCGAATCGGAGGCTCCTGGTACTCGCGTCCGGGTTCTTGGAAGAGTTCACCGCTTGCGTGCCCAGAAGGGTGTCATTTTCCTCACTCTTACCGATGGATATGGATACCTGCAGTGTGTCTTGACTGGAGACCTGGTCAAGAGCTACGATGCCATGACTCTCACCCTCGAAACCTCGATGGCTATCCACGGTGAGATGCGTGCCGTCCCTCCTAAGCAGCACGCCCCCGACAACCGTGAGCTTCACGCCGATTTCTTCACTGTCATCGGTCGCGCTGCTGGCGACAAGGAGGCCATCACCACCCGCGTGGCCCACGATGCCGACCCGCAAACCCTCCTCGACAACCGTCACCTGGTCCTCCGTGGTGAGACCGCTTCGTCTGTGATGAAGGTGCGCGCTGCGACCCTTCGGGCTTTCCGCAAGACCTTCGAGGAGACCCGCATGCTCGAGGTTACCCCTCCGGCTATGGTGCAGACCCAGGTGGAGGGTGGCAGCACCCTGTTCAAGTTCGACTACTATGGCGAGAACGCCTACCTGACCCAGTCTTCTCAGCTCTACCTTGAGACCTGCCTCCCCTCCCTTGGTGATGTTTTCTGTGTCTGCCCCTCTTTCCGCGCGGAGAAATCCCTCACCCGTCGCCATCTGTCTGAGTACACCCACATCGAGGCGGAGCTCGATTTCATCACTTTCACCGACCTCCTGGATCACCTTGAGCACGTAATCTGCCGCGTTATCGACCTGATTCTGGCCGAGCCCGCTACCAAGGCTCTCATCGACAAGCTCAACCCCGACTTTAAGGCCCCGAGCCGCCCCTTCAAGCGGATGAAGTACTCCGACGCCATTGAATGGCTTCGGGAACACGATATTCCCAACGAAGAAGGCAACCCCCACCAGTTCGGTGATGACATCGCCGAGGCCGCCGAGCGCAGGATGACCGATATCATCAATCAGCCCATCTTCCTGACCCACTTCCCCGCCGAGATCAAGGCTTTCTACATGAAGAAGGACGTTGAGGACCGCCGTGTCACCGAGAGTGTGGACGTTCTCATGCCCGGTGTCGGTGAGATCGTCGGTGGTAGTATGAGAATGGACGACTGGGACGAGCTCATGGCCGCTTACAAGCACGAGGGCATGGATCCTTCCCCGTACTACTGGTACACTGACCAGCGCAAGTAAGTCAACCGCTTCCCCTCCCTTTGCAAATCGCAGTCAATATCAGACGAGCATGGCTAACATGGTTCTTTACATAGGTACGGAACCTCCCCCCACGGTGGTTACGGACTTGGTCTGGAGCGTTTCCTGGCTTGGTTGTGTGCTCGTTACACCGTCCGGGACTGCAGCTTGTATCCTCGTTTCACGGGCCGCTGCACCCCTTAAGTGCTTTGATATCCTAGACCAGATTTTTAGATACGCGATATTCCAATTCATACCAGATGTGATGTGGGCAGTTGTGCAGGGATCTCGAATCCCGGCGATAAAAGTGTAGGGTCTCGTAGATGGTATGATGTTAAATATTGTAGGTTGCAGCGGGAATTCATTGCCGTCAGATCGATGGCTAAGATCGGGAGTAGCAATCCGAAGCAAACAATAGACGACATGTACACAGTAATTATCAGACGAGCGTATTAGAACACGAATATATATTTTTTTTCCTTCTTAAAAGGGGAAAAAAAAAGAAAAAAAAAAAAACAACAAGGACATCAGCTCCCATTCATACCTTCAGTTGAGTTTATAGTAGCAAAAAACCGCCAGATGCGATACTAGCTAGCCTTGCTTCTACCCGTAATCTGGTGGAGGCGTATGAGGAGCCGTGGGCGCAAACAGAGAACCCCATGTGCCAGAAACGGGATGGAGCAAAGCAAAACTGGAACCCGTTCGCAGACGAGGGACCTAGAATGGCCCAGTACGTAGAAACCAAGGAAGAAAGCGAAGGATGCCGAGGTTGGGGCGGAGCTCAAGGAGGTTTAGCCTCGATCGACGTCACGGGCAGCCACTGCCTCATTTGGGACGCGAAGCTCTCTTCCTCAACCTCGCCGAGCTTCTCGAACGGCCTTTGGACGCTATGCTCACCCTGGGTCGCACATGGGCCACCACAGTAGATCATGGCATACACCTGTTCCTGATCGGAGTGGTTTACATAGATGGCTTCCTCTCGCTGTGTGGCTGCGAGTACAACCATGGCATCTCAGAACACTAATGTTTACCGGGCCAGACATGAAGGGGCATCAGTCGGTACATCGCATCGGGACATCGCAACGGGGCATCGCAAAGGACAATGTCGACAAGGTCCTCGGATGGGTGAAGGACAGTGCATCCAAGGCTCGCCTTTGAGGGGACACTGGGCTATGTCAAGTTCGGAGGTTATCATTGCCTGTCTAAGAATACAGTATGCCAGCGGAAACTAGACATCAGACACCAGACACCAAAATTAGCCAGCCTCCCGCTCCGGAGCACATGGGAGGTTAAGGCTGGTGGTGGTCGGGAATTATACACAGCACATTCTTTGCGCAAGAGAGCTATCTCAGCCGCGAGTCTTTGTGCTTTCTAGTATATTCAGTGATGGACAAAGAATTGGCTGACCTTCCCTGTCTGCAAAAGCTGACTAACGGAAAATTAGACAGAGATGTATGAATGAGTGGCGTCTATCTGTGCCCCATCACTCTAATTTATGTCCCATAGGGACCAGACAGCCGAATGAAGACTTTGTCAAGCTATCATGCCAACAGCCTGCCATGAGCAGGGGGGGGGGGGGGGGGGTCGGCCTGAAAAGCCTTATCTCCCATTGTTATTGCCCTGCTCGCGGGATTCCTCTTCCGCAGGGCCACTTACGCCCGAAATCTGGGTCAACAAGGCCAGGATTTCCTCGTCGGACGCGTGTGAGCGAATGGCGGTAACCATCCGATTGACAGACTCCTGGTCTCCGTGGCGGACTATGCCTAATAGCTGATCGAGGAAGCTTCGATAGTAAGCTATCTGGTCGTGAATGGTGTCGGGTGTTTGAGGAGGAGAGTCTGAAGGATCGATGCCCGCGCTTTGGCTGCTCTCGTTGTGGTGACTATTAGTAATTCAAAAAACAAAAAAAAGGGTCAACCAACACGACCAAAGTGATACGATTTAAAGATGATAGGCAAAATGTTTCGCCAGCAAACTTACCTGGAATCGCCGTTGTGGGACGAGCCAGATCCGTTGTTATGCTGCATCCTGTTGTACCCGTTGCCGAAGAGCTCTGATGCCAAGTTGCAGGAATGGAGATACCCCTTGTTTATGCCTCGTCAAAACGCCTGCGTGGTGATAGAGGGTATATGTTATGAGTTCGCGGGGGAAGATAGGATATCCACGGGGAGAAGAGGAGTGGCGCCAGATATCGAGGAAGGTCCAGCCCGGAGCCCCACAAGACAAGTGAGTCAGTTGATCTAGTTAGCCTGTGCGAGAAGTGGTGACAGCTGTAATGTGAGTCCCTCCTTCGGTTGGGAGTGTCTGGTTGCCAGCAGATGCAAGCCACTACTCACTCGCAGGCAGTCAGTGCGGTGTCTAACCGTGCACTCAGGATTTCCGGCCAATGGACCAAGGAGATTCTTCCCTTCTATGTTAGAATGGCGTACAGGGAATAGACGAGACAAGGAAGAAGTGAGTCGGGTTGGGAAGGAAAGGCGTCCATCCTATGACCTAAGCCACGCGAACAGGGGCTATTGGTCAAATATTACCTAGCCTGCTGGGGATCGAGCTCATGGACCCCAGGCCGTTAATCGCACGGAAAGACAACACTGGGGCAAGGGCCACAGGCATGGAAGGATCATCATTGCACCCTTCTGATTTGGCACGGGTGCATCCACAGCGGTTCCCATCGAGTTGCGCATCGCTAAGCTGTTCGTGGCCACTTTGCATGCGATTTTGTCCTCCACCCACCCACAGGTACGCATCGGCGGGCAAACCAGGTCATGGCCATGGAATAAAGCTGCCGTAGGGTAGGCATTGCCTGGTTGAGCCAGAAAGTTGGAGCCAAAGGAACTAAGAGCACGGAGAAATCTCCCAGCCAATCCTTGGATCCTTGTGTCTCCGCCGCCATTCTGAGAACATCGCTTTTGTACTGCGCATCGGGGCCTCGGGTGTGACAACCATTATTTCGTCAACCGGAATATTGCTGCTTTTTCTCCATCGAGTGGTTTTTAGTATTGTCGGGTTTCGACTTCTTCTCCACATCAAATATCACCAATATCCAAAAATTCGCGCAGCGGCAGATCTCCGACGACCTATCGTCGGGGGAGAGACGGGCCCGTCGGCTCAATAGAGTCGATATATATTAGCATCGTTGGCCGTTGTTCGATAAAGGGAGTTACGTTTAACCCTGTAAATCCCGTTGGCTGACACCTGCAGGAAATAACAAGCCCAATTTGTAACCGAACTTGGAATGCTGATGATTCGCACTCTTGTCGATGTCGAGGATCACCTTCGCCCCATGACTCGCACTGCCGGTCGCGTTCCGGGGCCACGTCTATTATCCATGGACAGCTTCTGAAATGCTTGCATGGTGAGCTATGTCTGGTATTGATGCCAAGGTAGCACCCATATTATTCAGCGAATATGTGATTGCGATCGTGTCCCATCGCAGTCGGAAGTCCTTGCCACATGGAACTGCAGCTCCCTCGCCAGTGGCAAATCGACAAGCAACGCGAGGAGACCACAACACCACAACAACAGCATTGTAGTAGCAGAGTAACTCTCTGTTATTGTTAAACCTCTTTTGATCTTCTGGTATTGGCCCGTTCCATCCATGCTCGATTTGATAGAACCCGCGGACGACTGGCTTGCGTTGTCCGGGTTCGTTCCGCACTTCCGCAGCGGGCATTGCCAACGACTGTGCCTAATCACCATTAGGCAGACCAAGCTAATGTCAAATCCCAGCTTCTATTATCGTGTCCGGAAGTTCGGTGGCTTCATACTGCCTCGTATCTAGCTGCGAATACATTTGGACGTGTCACTCCAAGGCCGAGGCTTTTTATTGAGCGCTGGCCGCTGTCGAAAGGGCCAAGGCTGTCTTTTCATGAATCCTGTCGGGCTTGGCAAGCACATACATTGCGAGCCTGGAATAGCAACCCAAAGTTTTCACGCTGGCTGTTTTCCAGATTGTCCCGTCGAGATTCTGGCCCTCAATATAGACCGTACTGCGTCCAACACCTAGTTATCCGTCTCGTCTCGCACTGAATCATCGGGGCCTCCCAGAACACAAACAGTCGCCGTCCAATAAGAACACATAAAAGTGAGAATCGCAATCGAAATATTGTTCTCGAGGAGAGGGCTGGGGTCGTGGATTGACCGACATTGCTGAAAACACATCGGAAGTCGGCAACGTCGTCGATGTCTGATCACTGGGCGAACCGTTTGACTGCGAAATTGATTTACATACCGGACGGCAGAGACGCGGCTCATCACTATATTGATAAACAGAATACTATTTCCTGGGAACAAGAAATAGGCGTTCGAACACTTGTGTGGATCCGGGTGCTGATAATCTGTAATTCTGCGAGGTAAGCTCAATGTCTGGCTAACACATGGGCACATCGGACCGTAACGGATCTGACTATCAATGCCGGACCTATGCTGAATCAAAGACAGACCACCGAGCTGGCATTTGATTGACGGGGTTATTGCCCATATGTTGAACCCGATAATGGCAGGTTGTCCCAAACACACGTACCCCCGTCTCTCTGGTGATGGTCAGATGCTCCTTCCTCGGATTCGAATTGCGACCACTATAGAAAGCAGACGGTATGGCTGCATGATGAGAAAATGGCGTTGCATGATCTGTTGTGTCTCGATATTCCGCCGGATAATCTTCAAGGTAGTATGTCGACTTCAGCCCTGTCTCTGGTTACAATATCACCATTGGCCATAAGAACTTGCTAACTTTCGTGGTTGATTTCGAATGACAAGGCGGACAGGGTAAAACAACACCCGTCCGATGCTCGCTTTTGGAATTTGGCCCTCTGCACTGAGAAAGGTCACAGGAATGGCTCTCCGTGAGCACGCTGGCTATAACATAGCGCGGGATTTCTTGGAATCGGGGAAGCGAGCACGCTGTAGGAGATGATCTTCTAGCCCTACCCCAACTGGCCTCTTGAAGGAAAGGTTTTGTCGTCTAACGGTCCTTCATAGTACAGACGTGCGAGTGCCTGAATCAGTAGCAGCGTTGAAGGATCGCGTTTTCTCACCGCTCAGGCAACATAATCCCCACTACCGTCTTATTGCGCAACTTATACTTCAGTTGGACACCAGGCACCCCCAACCAGTCTCGAGAAAAGCCTAGCTGTGTTAATAAGTCATTGCCTCAAAGGAAAGAGGGAAAGGGGAAAAACAGGGCAAGGGCAGCAGCAAGCAAACGAGGCCGGCGGCGCCTGGTGCCAAGCGAAGGAAATTATATCCAGGAATTTTCATTGGGCACAACTCAACGCCTCCGAGGGCATCTCCCGAGCGCGAAGAAAACCTGGTACTAGGGGCCTAGTGATCAGGGCTGAGGGGCACATCCCCATCCCATCCGCCCGTTCGAGCGCTTCAAGCCTTTGGTTGAATACATGTAGGAGGTGGCGTGCTGGCTGAGAACAACACTAGATTTTCGGCCCAAGACCTCGCCTCTGGCACCAGCCTACCAACTGAACTGATTGGAATTTGTCTGGTTTGCGCTATTGGGAAATCTGCTGGTTTTCCCAAAGGCCACCAGGCTCACTGTGATATAGAAGGGGGAAGAAACCGGAGGGGTTATAACCAAAGATCCAGAAAGCTCCCGAGCAGACTCGGAAGGGTAAGTCTTCTCCCCGTATTGTTCACTAAATATGATCATCCTTTGTGCCGCCATGGGGGCCAGTAGGAAGTTCAAAGTAATATGTCGCAGGTCCGTACTAAGTAGCAATTTGTTATCACCAAGGAAAGTGCCAACAAGCAACCCGTACTCAACTCATCATCGACTTTACCGGAAGGGCAAGAGGAAAACAAATGAGGCTCAGCAAATCTCTGACCCCGTCGTGACATCTACTTCACTGGACCGTGCACACACACACACACACACACACACATACATGCTCACATGCGAGGAACCCAACCAAGTGTTGTGCCCAAGGTTACCTTCCACCACCAGCTTTGTTGGCGCTAGATGTCACACAAATTCGCTACTTGCCATCGTTCCAAGGAACCACCCCCTTCATGGCCCTACCCCGGAGATCATTTCCGGGCCGCTGTGGATATTCTCACAGGACATGGCAGCAGTACATCTTGTGTAGCTCAAAGTTTACCGAGTCCACGACCTGCTGTGCGATGATTTCCTTGTTGGTAACTTGGTATGGTCATACCGTATCTCAGAGGGTTAGAAACAAGCCGTCCAGGCTACAAACTGCTATTTGTTATCAACCCTCCCCCCTCCCCCTCCCTCCCCTTTTACAATGCCGGCTCCCGGGGGGGGCTAGCTGGTCTAAGAAACCCTATGGGAGGGCTTTATAGGTAATAACATCAATATGCCAACATATCATGTTCTTAGGTAAGCCTTACATTTCACGAAGTGGTTAGTCAATTGACAGCTGCACAAAAGACGGGGTGATTCAGCAATGCACACGTAATATGGTTGATCTGTGGAGATCGTTGATTTCGACTAAGCTCCCAGGAATATTTTTCCCCTGTGACATTTTCGAATCATTGGCTACTAGTTCATACTGTATGCATGCTATTGCTCCCATCTCCTCACCACGTCACGGAGAGGATACACATGGCTTTGTTTTGGTCACCTATTATGTATGTAACCTGGGGGTGAAGAATGAATGACCTTCCAAGGGGAGCTGGGGAGCTTTGCGCTCTGAGTGAATGCTGTTCGGGGTATTTTCATCCCTGCTTAGGTCTTATCAGCAAGCATAGTATAACTCGAGTCTCCCTTGTTCAAGAACCACGGGGGATAGGATATATAGACAGCATACCCACCACCCCCGGGATACCGGGATAACTATATCTAGGTAGTTAGTATGTTGGTTAAAAGAGTCTAGTTGTTCTCTGTGTCCTTCCACAATGAGTACTTCTAGTCAGCAAACATCGGAAATGCTACATGATAGCATCCTATGCTTTATTTGCTTTGCTTTGCTTCGCATACCAGCATTTGTCATCGCGGAATCTCGCTCGAAACAAACTAACAAACAAACAAATTAGCGAGCATTCTTGAGCCCTCGGGCAGATCAGGAACTGGTAAGGTCAGGTCAGCAGCGTGTGTTCTGCAGTGCAGTGCAACATGTCAACGCGACACGATACATAGTGGTAATCCCCCCTCCCCCCCTTACATGCCTCCCCCATACCGAGCAAGGAAGGGGAGAGTGCATTTATAAAAGCGGGTTTCTGCCCGCCTCGCAGCGAGAAACTGCGCTTGCGTGACGCGACTACTCTGCATAATATTCGACCGATCTGGTTTTTGCTGCTGCTGATTTCCGCGCGGTGTCCACTCCTTCAAGATTTTCATACATTCGTTCATTTCATTTCTTTATTGATCATAAGATTCAGTCCGTCGGTCAGTCAGTCAGTCAGTCAGTCATTCGAAACAAGATAGTATAGAACAGCATAGCAAGATGCAGCTTTCAGGGCTTTTTGTCACGGCAGTCGCGCTGTTCGCGTCGCATATCTACGCGCAGAGCCGTCCTCACGGAATCGATACCGGTAATGAGCTATGCACAGGCGAGTGTCTGCCTGATCCTAGACATCTCCCGTGCAGCAAACCGAAGGTGAGAGGCTTCTTTTCCTTTTGTTTTTTTTTTCCTCTTTTTTACTTTTTGGTTGGTGCCGGTTCTCGGGTTGTGGTTGTGGCTGTGGCTCTTTATTAACTTTGACGGTGACGGTGCAGTACGAAGCGCAATTGGGATGCTACATCTGCTGTTTTGAAAATGACGATGCGGGTGCTTTTGCGGATCATCTCGATGGGGATCTGCTTTCCGATGATTTTATCCCTGATCAAGAGTGAAAGCTGTTGGTACTGGTAGTGGGTGGTATGGGGGTGTTGTTTCTTGCATGCGTTGAGAATATCCGGGGCTTGGGTGGCTGGGTGAGGGTTACGGTGCATGGTTTTCGGTGCTTGGTTGTGTATAATAAGGTGTAATGCGCAATGCTGACTGAGATCATTGAATGTCAATGTCTGTAGTGAGCTTGTTACTTGTATGCTGGCCCTGCTTGTTCGTCGAATCGAGAACCCCTTGCTTAAGCGGGACCCCGTTTGTCACCATCCATTGGATATCTGTGGGATGAATATCTATCTGTCTGGGAGGGAATAGGTCAGCGGGATAAGCATAGTTAGCAAGTAGCATGTTCTCCAGTCATAGACCCGTCTGATATCAATTAGGCATGGTTCATGAGGGGGTTCGGACCGATGAATCCGATGCGACGGAGTGTCTTCACGTTTATTTAACTTCCGATGATTGTCCATTTCGGCCGCTATGAGTATGGATAGGCTTCAGAGTCCAGAACCCCATCTATGACAAGCCCCCCCACGCTTGGCTGTAAGTGTAGTCCATACCCATGCCCAAGATAGATTCGGTCGCATAGCGTCTGCCAATTACTATAAGACACTTTAGCGTCTTAGCATTCCAACCTGAGAAGGGCTGACCCAATCAAAACGACAGTCCAAGCTGGGCGATATTAGCGCAACCCTAGGTGCGCTAGGGATTATGCCTCTGCTTCCCCAGTGTATGTGTCCAAGTGGTGTCGAGAATCGGGACTTCTTCGCGCATGAAATCTCGTAATCCAAAGCCCGAAGATGTCGTCGCGACCGTAAAAAGAACCCAATGAGGTCAAGTTCCATCCAGGATGGTTTGGTTGAGGTTCGATGAGGCGGCGTTTCCCCCCTAATGGTTCCTGGATTTATTGGCCGGAACTCACAGCCGAGTCGCCATGCGGAGCATAGTACCGAGTCACCTGGCGGAGCGCAGTATCGAGTCGCCAGCGACCCCTGTCTTGATGGATCTCAAACTTCGGATTCAACGTCGTCCTTGTTGTTTATATTCACCTTGTAGTCGAATACTAGGCGCAAGGAACGATGGTCATGTCCACTTTCAAGGCACAGGAGCCGCTACTGTCCCTTCCGACCAGCCGAGACTGAAGGGTCTCGCAACTGATAACTTTGCCATCGCTTGTCTCTTTCCCATGATCATCTGCTATTTAAATGGCTGGTATCCACGTCTGACTCTCGGTCGCAGCGACCGAAGACCAATCCAAGGACGTCTCCGTCATCATTGACCCGTCTCAGGACAAGTCCAGCCTGGCCGATCATGTCATAACATCAGAATGTCTCAAAATTTATCGGCAATCGAACATCCCCCGCATAATTCTAGACCGTGGTAAAGTCGGATTCCGATAGGCCCTATTTGTCAGAGGTACGTCATTTGAGGAGGAAAAAGAACGGATGACCTGCGATCTTAAAAAAAGCCTTCGTCAGCGCTGGATCAGAAAGGGCGATCACAGTAGAGGAGAATCCGAACTATACTATGAATAGAAAGAAATGACAGCGAGCAGTTCGCAACACAAACAGGGGCGTACTACATGTCATTTAGGAAGCATCTGTCCCAAATTCCTCATCTCCCCTACTCCCTTCAGACCCCGGGCAGAATCTTCTGCCCACACACACATCAACCAGTCTGGACCCAGGCTCTCTCATCTCTCTGTATCTTCCAGGGGCATTATTCGAACGGATCTGGCGTTCTGCGATGGCCTTTAGATCGTTGGAGCCAGAATCCAGCTTGAGACGAAACAACCGGTCTCCGTGGGCGCACGAGGAGTGGCGAGGTTGAAGGCTTTGAAGCATCCAACATTAACGCGTAGAGACTTGAGCCTACCCCCCTAGAGAGTGTCTGATCCTTGATCCCAAGTCCAGGAGTGTAACGAAGAACAGGAGAGTGGGTGGGTGCAGGCCCTGACGAAAACGCCGGCGACGACGTTGTGCTGACAGGGGAGCAAAGACGGTATAAACAAAACATAAACGAGAGGGCGCTTCCAACTCATCCCATCTAGATCCTCAAAACGAGAATAGAAAGGTGAGAAGGAAGGCAGGAAAGACGAGACGTTTAGAGACTTGTCGGGGTGTCGAGGGGAAGAAGAGTCACGGCAAACAGAGCGAGTGAGGAGAGGAAGGGTGCCGTCCCAGGCCTGCCCCAGGCAAGTTAGCCCAATTAGGCTTTGGATTCTAGGTTGACAACTCGGTCCCCTTCATCCTTGACAACCACTGACAGCACCTTTAGAGTTTATTTGCCACGGGCTGTCCGCCTCTGGTATCTCCATCCAGATATCTCGCACACCTCGCAGCTCGGAGATGTGAAGAATCGGCTTGAAGTACGGTTGTGGCTGGCTCGTTCCACGATCTATACCCTTGGGACTCAGGCGCCCAATGCACGGCTGTGAGATAACTAAGCAATGCAACAACTGTCAGGAGCAGGGGCAGTCATCCATTGCGGTATCTAACGCAGAGACTTTTGATCTCAGGGCGAAGTCGGCTCAGGGACGAGGAAAAGATCCAATGTGATGTTTGAAAAAAAAAATCATTGAATCACCAAAAGGCTACCTACCTCGTTGTTGTAGTTTTTCTGCTCAAAACAGCTTGGAACAATTCACCTTGTAACACTTCCTGCAGACAAATACTAGCCAGAATATCTGTCCCTGGGCCTTTTACTAGTCTGATAAATGGGCATACGGGCCTGTAAGTTCCCACTTGGTTTACCATTAGCCTGACTTGCATTCACTTTCCATGCCAATTACCCAAGGCGAGATGGAAGTAAGCCGGTGTTTTCCGGTTCGAGGCCTGTTAAGATAATCATCTGTCCGGTGAGCAATCAGTCTAACTTTACTCATTCAGAAATCCCAGACCTCATTTGCTCTGCGACTGATATTTGCTAAGACCATGAAGCATACACCAACAAGGACGATCCAAAATCGCTCTTCGAGCTTTCTAGTCCTCACATCCCTCGATCGAACAGACATACAAACACACACAAACACCTTCTGGAAGCCCTTCTATCAGATATTCTTGTAGTTGTTGAATCTCTATTCTCGACCACCGAACTTTCGCGGGCTGCCTTTGGGAATATATGGGTAGATGGGCTATACATCGAAGACATGTTTCCATTATATGATCGAAAACACGCATATGACGATCGATACAGCCTCCTTTCATCCCCTGGCTTTTGGTTGAGGATTCGTTCATGGTGAGCAGAGTAACTAGTTAGTTAACTATATGCTTGTGTTTAGTCAGCGGGTCCACCTCACCCTGGAATCGGCACATGTGCAGAAGGATGGAAGAAGTTTGACAGCCGTCTGACGGCAGTTGTTCCTGCGCCTAAAGTACCGCCCACTACTACTAGTACTACTTAGTACTTACTAAGTACTGTACGCTGAGAAATTAAGATGTATTTCAAAATTGAAAAAATTCCGAGTCAACCGCAAGACTCGAGAACTGACTTCAAAAAAAAAAATGATGACGTTGACGTTGATTATCAAAGAACGTGTACAACAGGTAGTGAGTAAGTGATTGTCAAGGACAAAATGGGTCTCTTTCAGTTCTATCTAAAAATATCGATTCGCCTATACACATGCCCAAAGCCCGTGTGGTATTAAATCTATGCAAAGCGTCCGTTGTGAGTGAGCTGCAAGGCTCGAAAAAAAAAAAGGAAGGTGCCAATAACCACGCCTATAACCCGTCGCTTCATGTCTTTTTGGTGGAGTCTATTACCCTTTCCCGCTCAATATCTGCACAGCACTGAATGATTGAAAAAATAACAAAAGACGAAAACTAAAATAGACGAATGAGCTCTGACCAACGATCGACCCTGGTGCCTTTTCACGGCTCATGGACACGGCGTCCAAGCACCCATCATGCACACACGTGCCGGCAAATAACTGAGAGTATCAGTCATCTGGGGGTGCTACAGATTGGTGACAATGGAAATCATGAAGATGCCTCCAGGGGACGCGCAGGCACATCCGCGTTCACCGAACCCAAGGTTGTGGCCAAGGTAGGCGTCTTGTCGAGGCGCTTGTCATCCCACAGGGCACTGCTGGCAGGAAAGATCGAGTCCTCGTTGGACATGTCGACCGGGGTAGCGTCCTCCGTCGGAATGTGTACGTGAGGCACGACCAGATCAACCCCCTTCGTGGCAGTGGAGCAGCTGGGGAAGTAGGGGTTGTGGCGAGGAGGCAGCGGACGATAGGCCGCGTCGTGCATGTAGCTCATGCAGTCCGATCCATTGCTGCTGAACGATGATGCAGCAGTTGACGGCGTGTGCATAAGCGAGGGGATGGGCCCTGGGGCACTCAAGAGCGTCGTGAGGCTCGAGCTGCGGTGGTCGAGCCGAGGGCGACGCATAGGCACCACGGACTCGTCGCTGTGGAACTGGGACAAGTAGTTCCAAGCTTCCGAAGACGCCAGCGGGCTTACACCCGATCCCATAGGTATCACGGGCTTCCATTCGGACGGATCCTGATCCGTTTTGGCATCATTCCATTCGCCGGTTATCCGGGCGGAGACGGAGTATCTGGAGGGAGCTTTCGTGGGAGTCCTCGGCGCCACGATTATGCGAGGAGACATGGGAGGAGATGTGGGAGGTGTGGTGGTGGAAGACATCGAGGAGGTCGAGGAGAAGGAGGCCGAAAGTGGTTTGTGAGAGTCTTTACGGCGGCAGCTAGAGAGAGAAAGTATGAGCAGACGAACCCAGAGGAAGGAGGATGGAAGGACCAGGAGGGAGGTAGGGGGCGATCGTTGGGATTTAAACCCGCGACAGAGGCCGTGCACAATGTCAAGGGTACGGTGCGATAAGGAAAGAGAGAGAGGCATACCCTTCGCTGCAGTATAGGAGGGAGTTGTCAGGCACTGTTATCTGTTTTTCGCACATGGCGCTGCAGATCGGTTAGCTTCGATTTTAGAGATAAGCGAGGCATTTGGCATGCAAGGGAAGGGAGCGACAAGGAATAAGGAAGGATGGATAGATGGATAGATAGACGGATAGGTTAACGGTATGGGGTGAAGGTTTACAAAAGCAAGCAAGCAAGCATGAGGAGACAAAGAAGCAAAGAGGGATGGAGAGATAAGTAGCACATACCAAAAGTTAAGGAAGCTGGCCGACATCTCGGGCTGCCGGTCGTCCTCCACTTCAAAGTGCTTAGTGGTCTGACCGGAGCCTAGTTTTGAGATGGAATGGTTCACGAAGGATGTGCCTTTCCGATGGAGAGATGGTCGGGAGGTCCTCAACTTAGGGACATTGGAGCCCGAGGGAGTGCGCCGATGGTGGCCGTTGCTTTGAGTCATTGATGGCGGTGAGGGCTGAGCTATGTATAAATAATAACACTGGTCGAAAAGGAATACTATCTGTTCTGAGATAGTTCGGCGATGGTACCTTGCGCCAAACCGAAGCCGCGCCCGGCTGTGGAGCACGAGAGCTTCCCCCTATGGGGTCAAACGTATGAGGGATTTGCGTCTAGCAGGGATCACACGGCGCAATTGGTTGGACCAATTGTCTCGGACGGTCGCACTGGATGAGATAGTTTCGTAATATTGCCTCGTCCCGGTTCAGGGAACTGGCATGTGTAGTTGTTGGGGGGGGAGGGAAATGGCAGGGGAATACAAGTTGAGACTGCCTGCCTGCTGATTTTCCCGGGTCGTCGTCCCCTACCTAGCAATGAGGCAAATATGTAATCGCGGGCCACCTGGGAAATTGGGAAATTCTTTATGACGATAACGACGCCGATAAGCTTTTAGCCTTTTTTTTATTTTATTTTTTGGGTCTCCCTGTGTGTATCTGCTGTGGCACCGAAAAAAGATGGAAAAGATGGTCAGCCGTCAGATAGGTCACATAAATGAAACCATTGCTGGGCTGTTATCATGGGGCGCCGACGCTGAGTGGGGAGAGATAAGGGAGAAATGGTAATGAACGGACGAGATAAATATAGCCCCGGGCTGGAAAGGAAGATGAGGACATACCAAAGGAATGTTTTCTTTTCTTTTCTTTTTGACTTTCAGGTTGAGAGCCAGATTTTTCTGAGTTGATACCCCCCTTTTTTTTTACTTATGCTGTCTGTCTCCCAAGGTACCGACCGGTAACAAGACACCGCACGTGCGACGGGCCTGATGCAAAAGAAGGGCGGAGTGGTGTTATGCGGGATTATTAAGTGGCGGTGATGAATGAGGATATCGTGCAGCCGGTTGGAAAACCAAAAAAATCGCTCGGAGAATAAACAGGCAATCAATACTCAAAAGAGGGATTGCCGAAGGGAGGGCCGGACGGTGAGCCGCGGGACATATACTTATGTATAAGGATGAGGCGGATAATGAGAACCGGTGCTGTTTGCGGCATGCGGCGTGCAATAGATAAGACTCAAGACTCAGAAGCGACAAAGGCAGCCGAGACAAGAAGTCGAACAAGCGCCGGATAGATACTAGATATATCCTGAGTCGACCAGGTGGGAAATTCTAGAACTCATGTTCCCATGACGGGGAAGGTTAGCCTTGGATCCCCAGGTGTCCTCATCCGTCCATCGATTGCGTTTTCCCCATGGCCCATGATTACGATTCCCCTCCCCGGGGCGATGTGACGCCTGAGCACGTCAAGCCCGGGAGGGAAGGCGAGACGGAGTGGGGGGGGAGGGAGGGAGGGAGGGAACTGAGACGGAGACTGAGAGTCACGCCATTATTGGGCTGGGAAGATGGTAGGTGCGAGTCTAGAACTACCCGCACCGGGCCTGAGGCACCCCCCAACGCGCAATCGTCGCCTCGATGAGGAAATGAGGAATGTCCAACAACAGAGAAGGCGGCTTACCTCACCAGTCACCCAGCCTCGGATGACCTAATCCACTCCGCGGACGGGGAATCCGGAGTATATGGTTGGGGAACGTTGCAATGCTCCGCCGGGATGAAACAATTTTTCTTCAATTCCCTGGGGTTGGGTGGACTCGCTATAATTAGTTGTGGGCTTGTGGGGAGGCGAGCGAAGTAAGGAAGCTGAGCAGATATTCTGGGTGGCACAGGGGAAAAAAAGATTCCAGCCCTCTCCGAATCCGTTGTTTCCTTCCATCGGTCTTATATGGTTCTGGGTCCTCATACCTACCTACGTACTACTACGCCTAGGTAAGTAACTACGCGTCGGGACTCTGTCTGTCTGTCGCGGCGGGGTCGATTGATTGATTGATTGAGCCATCGAGATTACCGCCACGACCACGCTACTACGGACAGTCTCTCTCCATAGTGACCATACGGGGAACGAAGAACGGACAAGTCGTGATAGCGCCTCCGTCGTCCGTATTGCCCCTCATATTCCCGGCGGGCTTTCCTGAGGATTCCGATGAGGGGGAATTTCCCCCTAACCGACCGAACCACGCTTATCGGGTGATGGAATAACCACCGGCCCCAATCATTCTTCTCATCCGGATGACATGTCGTCTTGGCCTGAGGGCATCTCGACGCGGGGCTGCCAGGTCTGATCATCGCTGCCGGCCAGCCCAGTTTGGCACCTCGAATCGGGCACCCATCATCGACGCGGAGCGTCAGCTGTAAACCACTCCAGGCTCCTGCGAGCTCCACACCTTGCTGGTCTAGACGGCTGCCCCGGTGCCCGGGTGGGTGGTGAAAAGGGGACCGGCCAATGCTTGACGTACAGGCTTACACATGGACTGCGGACTGCCCCTCCGCCGAGTGCCTGCACTCTGCAGTATCCAACTGCTTACCCCTTGTTGGATCTGTGCGGCAGGATCAACCGCCGTTAGATCCAATGATCGGGCCATATGGCAGTGCGGGATCACTGGCCCGGAAGTGGACGCCAGGGAGGGTTTAACCTTGGCTGGCAAACAAGGAAATGCCGACTACTCGTAAACTGCTACCAAGGTGGCTCTCCATCTTGGATAGTTATCAGGTGTGACGCCATCGCGGTCTCCGGCCTGGTTTGCTTATTCCTTGCGTAGTAAGAGGAAGAAGGAAGTAGGAAAGGGGACTGGGGAAAGGCTAGGCTGGGCAAGGCTAGGCAACAAAAAGGAACAACAGCCACCGTGACCAAAGGTCATTGATCGTTGATGATGCAACGGATGTGGCTCTGCTCAGGTGGTCCTCCTCCCTCATAGTCCTGAATGAGACGAAGCACCAACCATTGAAGGCCGAAAATAGGTGAGACAATTTCAATCTGGGGGCAAAAAAACAAAAAAAATAATATCTCATCCCATGGAGTAATTATTCGGCAATTTCACCATTTTGATTCTACTCGTATACTGTACACTGCAACGTTAAGCCCGGTCTATGATGATGATGATGCTACGGAGTACGGAGATGGAGTCAGTCAGCAATATTAGTGGGGTTCAGGTCACCGCAGACCAGACCAGAGTCCATTTCAGCCACAGACCAATCGCACGGCGATGGTGCCTAAGGACGATCAAACTCATGGCGAATCGCCAGTAGGCAAGCAGTTCTTCTCATGTAAAACGAAGATGAGATGACATGTCATCTCGATCGCCCGGTGGAACCAACCCCCATCATCCATTAGCAAATGGATATCCACGCGAGGTCGAGATTGGATGTCAATATTGATGGGGGGGGGGGGGGGGTGGGAATAATAGTAAATGGGGATTTCCCACCCGGCCGTTCCAGGGATCATCTCCCTTTTTTCTGCCTTAAACCCAGTGCCCCATGTTGTTGTCTGCACTCTGCACGTTGTCTCGACCGTGGCGGTGAGTTCTGGACTTTGAGCGATGCAAAGGAATCATATCCACTCGCTTGCTCACTCACTCGGGAGTATGAGGAAGGGTTTGTTTGCTGACGTTTTCGCTGCCTCTGTCACCGTCTATCTATCTCCATTGGGTCATCCTGTAGAGATTTGACGACAGCCTCACTTTCCAGTACCTTCACTACCTACCTACCTACCTACCTACCTACCTATCTACCTATGGAGAGAGAACTCTGCACATTGAGCTCATAACACTCAGTTCCAACCCCATCCGCAGTCCTTGCGCGATGGCCGCTATGACTCCAGTACATGCGGTGGGAACAAACGCCGTGAAACCCTTGGCGCGCAGCGTTGGGGGTTCGGCAGGACACCTGCTCTCTGGCTTTCTTTTCTTGTCTTTCCTTTCTTTCTTTCTTCCTTTCTTTCTTTCTTTCTTTTTTTTTCAATAGATTGGAGTATCCCATGTAAGTAGTGGATAGGCAGGTGATGAGGAGTGAGTGCATCATGCGTGCTCTATTCGCCATGTTCAAATGCCGCAATGAGTCCAGACATGGTGTAGATAGTGGTACTGTAAGTAGATAGATAGTAGGTGATAGACGATCCTTCGTCTCAAGTCACATGCCAGGTTACTGGATTCGGGCGCATGGGTTGATTGCATGTAGCTGTCCGTCTTCCCTGACCCTTCCTCTCTCTCTCTCTCTCTCTCTCTCTCTCTCTCTCGTGTCCGAGTGATCATACTACCTACCTACCTACTTACCCATTCCTCAAAAATCCCACCCATCACAACGAAGCCCCCCAAAACAAAACCCGATAAATGAACCCATTACTACCCAGCTAGCTAACTCTCAGACCCTCAATCCCAACAGAGTACAGGGTACAGAGTACTACAGAGTACAGACAGACTCGGATCTCCACCTCCACCTCCAATTCAGTTCGCAGACGGAGAAACTCCCCAAACTCAAAAGCGAAAAAAAAAAAAATCAAAAGCAAAAGGCACCCACCAGTGAGAGAGGGAAAAGAGGAGGAGGGGCAGCAGAGCAGAGCCTTTTTTTTTCCCCCTCTCTCTCTCTCTCATCCGCGTATCCGTGGCCAGTGACACCGTTCCCGACGCTTTCCGTCGAATGACTAAATGCAGACGTTGAAGAGGGAGGGGAGGGGAGGGGAGGGGATTGATCCCGGACCCTCTCAGCTCTTAGTTAGTTACTTACTACCCATCGGCATTCACGGTTGGCTTCCAAGCCACAATAACCATGGTGTGGTGTACCTTGCCTATGCGTCAGGTGTGGGTGAGTGGGGGGTGAGTGGGCAACAGTGTTATTCAGGGCTTGTCGCGGGGTTTTCTTATCTGTCTGTCTATCTATCTATCTATCGACTTGTCTCCGGGTAGGACAGGGTAGGTCAGGGTAGGTTTGTAGAGCTGATAGATAGGCTAGGCAGGCAGGGGGATAGCTATATGTCGCGACCTGTTACCTATCTACTCCGTACCGTCTGTCTGTCGGACGTCTAGGGTTGGATGGGAGCTGACTCGTTGAGTTTTATTATTGATCGTGTGAGGGTTCTGCATAGGTACTTGGTTCTAGTTACACCTCTGCATGAACTCGATAGCCCCTCGATACTCCCCCCCCCCCCCCCCCCCCCTCCTCCCTCTTCCCCCGCCTCATTGTTGGGGACGGCATTGTGGCATGCATAATTGTATGGGCTATGCTACACGTACATGCGGTAGCTCGGCCCTGGCAGATCTTTTATCTGGATTACGTACAGTAGGCCTGTGACCGTGTGACTTGATATGATATGGAGGTCAGAATGAACGACTGGATCAGGAGCTCGAGGTGAGACAGGCAGATGCAATTGATGTGGGTATCTTAGGCTTGATATAGTAGTACATGACGGAATATACAGAGGACATTAATCGACTCGTCCCACCTGGGCTCATATCCAGGTGGCCGCAATCATGTATCAACTTCCATTGGATCGCCCGCACCACCTGCCGCGGGTGCGGGTGCGGGTGCTGATGCTGGTGCTGATGCTGGTGCTGGTACTGGTGCTGGTTCCGGTGCTGGTGCTGATGCTGATGCCGGTGCTGATGCCGGTGCTGGTGCTGGTGCTGGTGCTGGTGCTGGTGTCGGTGTCGGTGCCGGCGCCGGTGCGGCTGAAGGACCGGAGGTTGCAGACGCAGTGGTCGTGCCACCAGACGCCTTTGTTTCGATCTCTGTCTCAGTCGTGGCGGGTTCGTTGCTACCGCCATTATTGTCTTTCTGCTCGCTTTCTTTGACTTCCTCCTCTGCGTCAACACCGCCGAGGAACCGCGCCGGGACTCCACGCGCGGCAACCCCAGTAGGGCCAACGTAGCACCCAAGCATTGGGCTCCAGCTGTACTTTTGCGCAACCGTATGTCGGATCTCCTTGTACGCATACGAGTTTGCAAAGGGGAGGGAGGTTTCCGTGTCCTTGTAGCGCGAGGGAAGTGATGTAATCACACAGAGAGATGATGAGATTTCTGGTTTGCGTGGTTAGCGGTTGCATGCAGTGGGCTGATAAGGGATATGCATACTGGTAAGCCTGGGAGGTTTCTTTGCATTGAAGTAAATGCTGAACTCGCGACTCTGCGCGGTCTTGTCGTCAAAGTTTTCCAACACTGTCAGACTGCGTCCTGTCTGCTCTATGACTGGAGGAATCTCTGGGATCTCCGGCTGTGGCGCATTCTCGTTCGCGACAGCTGGCTGGTCTATATGCATCTTAGGAGCCTCATTTTCTGGTTGTATATCCGGCATCGGGATGTCACCCGGTAGGTCGGCTTGTGGAGGGGCATCAAGTGTATCAGGAGCAGCAGTAGGGGAAAGCTCCTGTTGTGCTGCGGCAGTCTCGGGCGCAGGCTGAGCCGCTGCAGATGGTTCAGAGATTGGCTCCTTTGTTGCATCATCGGACTTCCCTTCCACAGAGGGTGGGTCTGGGTCAGGCTGCTGCTCGGATCTAAGTGTCAAGCCCTCACCAGACACCTGCGATATGGATTGTTCAGCTTCGGCTGCGGGTTTAGATGCCTCATCTGGTTGCTGGATAGTCGTTTCTTTATTCGTTTTCTCATTCGCGTTCCCATCTTGTGGGGCTTGGCCCGGAGTCGGCGCTTCAGCAGTTTCCTCTGCCTTCCCAGATTCGGCTTTCGAAGAATCTGGGTTTGGTGCTACCTTTGTGCCCGATTCATCATTGAGCGCAGATGTAGATGTTTGGTCAGGGGGGGCAGCTGCAGGAGCAATAGCCTCCGTAGCTGCAGGAGAGGTGGCGGGAGCCTGCTCTGCTGTATCAGAAGCTTTGTCTTGGGATGTCTCGCCATTTTTCTCGAGTGGTTTGGGGTTTGTCTGCTGGGGTTGAGTATCTTGATCCTGCTTTGCGATCTCCCCATCGCCAGACGTTTGTGGTGGTGCAGAAGCCTCAGCCTGGGTGGTAGGAGGGGCTGCTTGCGACGTGGCAGGTCCGGCAGCAACAGCATCTTCGGTCGTTTTTTGCTCTATCACATTTTTGCCGTCTTTGTCCATCTTCTTGCTTTTCCTGCGCGTATTCTCTTCTTTCTCTGGTTTGGGCGTTACATTGACTTTGCCAACGCGCGTTAGGCGGCCATCCACCCAAGTTGCTATACCACTCCAATATGACATAACCGGACCTTCAAGACGGCGGTTCTGAAGGGCTTCGATCTTCGCCTTTCTTTCCTCGGCCTTCCTTTTTTCCATTTCCTCCCATCGATTCAGACTCTTGCTGTTGTGTTTTTCCACTCTTTCAGCTTCAGCAAGACGTTCGGCCTGCGTAATTTCCTTTGGCTTAAACCGGGCCTTCCTTTTCGCCGCCTCCTCCATCGTCGCGATCAGGCGGATGCGCTTCTCTTCGCTATCCTTGAGTCGCGCATGCGTGAGTTCCTTGTTTTGCATGGTCTGGCGACGAGACGACGATCGTATGGGGCCTTCCTCGGGCGTGGGGATCCAGGAGATGCGCTCCGACTTCTTCTTCGGTCGAGGAGCAGGGATTGCAGACACGGCGGTAGGATCGATCTTGACCTTTTTGCTGACTATCTTGTACCGGAGATCCTCTTGTGCCCTCCGTTTCTTTTTCTCCGCTCGCTCCTCCTTCTCGATTTGCCTCTCACCCTCAAAGTCGTCAGCCCGGGCGTCGGGTCCTTGGTCATCGTCGTCGTCTGACGAGGATTCGAATCGCATGTCATCCTCCTCCCCTTCCTCTTCCATATCTTCCGCAAACTCGTTGTCATCCTCCACCTCTTCGAACAAAAGGGCAAGGTCGTCATCTGCGGCGGCGTCCAAGAGAGCTGACATATGAAGACCAGCCGTGCTTCGTTTCGCGCGCCCTTGAATGAGCGATTCCACCGGGGCCACTTCCTCCGGGGAGGGCGGGCTTTCATGGTCGTCTGACATTTCTCGTGAGGGAAGGACTTGATTGATCTCCTCCGAACACTTAATATTGGTGTTTTGCTGAAAGCCGACCGTAAAATCACGAGAGGGCGCTAGTCGGAGCGGGCGCGGAAAGAGGTAAGTAACCAGGGGTATCACGTTCGATGCTGTTATCCGCTTAATCCATTACAGGGTCCTCTGAGAAATCCAGCTTCTCGAGTGACCAGTTATGTAGGGAGGTAGTAAAAATAGTGAGGACGAGTAGGACGCAGGGTATGGTCGAGTCCCATGAAGCACTTGGAGAGCTAGAAAGGCGGTGCCGAAAAGCATTATTGCAGATACGGAGGGCGGGCGGGCGGTGAGTTAATTGCCCGTCTTGGTGCCTCAGGTCTTACAAGACATCACGTGTATAGGGGAAGCGCGCAGGAGCCAACGTATACAGGGCACGGGAAACAGAATCTTAAAAATGCATTTGCATGTCTAGATACTTCGGAGTATGTTGGCATCATTGAAGACCTGGACTCCACAGCACTATATAACTAGTGTGCTGTTCTATGGTTTGCCGCCCATTTCGGGTCTGTCAGGGACCATGAACATATCCACACTCACTCAGAAGAATGTTCTGGGTCAGGTACCATGTTGGTTTCACTACCTGCTGCAAGCACAGGCAGCTAGCTGCAGGCAGTGTTGTACTCCATTTTGCCAAGTCCTAACTCTTACAACAGTTTTCCACGTATGGCTTTGAGGTTACCCCGGAGTCCAAGTATTATTCCATCATGATTTGGCATTAGCTTCAGCTCGAAATAATATATATGGTGTTCCTGCATACACAGTAGAGCCTCAGACTTCACATGGAGACAAAACCATCATCCCTTCAAGTTGCTGTCAGCACAGGGCAATCAAGGACGTTGTACTCCGTATCTTGAATTTCGCTATCTTGACTCTGAGTAAGGGGTATTTGAGCTTCCGGAACCCTGGGTCTACCTGTAGTCATACGGGGATTTTTGCCCGACACTACTATGAATGGGTTAGTTACACAGGACGGAGGAGTAGAAAGGCTCCAGTGAACAGATTGGCCATTAGATCTGATACTTGTAAAGAGCTAGCAAGTGCGACGAGCCAATAAACCGAGGGAACTGGCTGGATTCTGGTTTCAGACAGCAGAGAGAGTCGGCCATTGAGCAGGACAATGGCCACTGCATCACGTCAAAACACATGACGGACTGTGGAATGCGGGGTCTAGGATGTTTCAGGGTGTCAATCACCCATCCAGCCCGGTCGGCTCCTCCCCGTTTCAGGTTCGACATGGGTTGCGCAAGGCCATTGATTGATTGCCAGCGAGAGGCTGAGAGCTTCCGCCGAGTCCGGCTTCGACTTTAAATGATATGATGATTAAGTTAGATGGACAGAAGTGCCAGGCAATATATATCGATACACTTGCTGTTTCACGTTGGATTGCGCCCCTACCTTAATTACATACATACTTTCACTGAGAATTGCGTTGCAACATGAGGGGAGAGATTGAAGGAACTGCGGTTTGCATCTACCTATCTACTACCTGGCTGCCTAGATGGACACTGACGACTGACGATGCCATCCAAGCTTCGACTCCACCTGGCCTGATCTCTTTCCGCTTTAGGGAGTCGAAAATGAGGGTGGAAGTTTGCGCACAACTTTTAAAAAGTGAAAAAGTAAAAAGAGACACCGGGTGGATTGTTCTCTGACGGAAGAGGCACCAGTCTTCTACACCCAACCAAAGAGTGAGAAAAAACTGACAGGTCCATGGTCGATGGTGGACTCCTGAGGTAGCATCTCCAAAATCGGGATCAAGAGGGGATCGATCGAACCGAGCTGACCCCGGGGGGAAGAGGGAAGGGGAAGGGAGGAGGGTTCGCGGTTCACCATCCATCCAATATCCATCCCCTGACCAGTGGGCACGAGCAATTCAACCTGGATGGGGAAGGGGGGAGGGGGGGGATGACCATTGAATTCGAAAAAATTAGAATTAGATAGACAGATGTACCTGTACCTCTCGAACGCGATTCCGTCCCAATAATCAAAAGGAATGGCCGACCCGACCGACCAACCAGACCGGGGGATATGACATGCCCCCCCGGGATCCGGCAACAGGAGCTCCCAACCGCCTTCCTCCTTCTCTCTCGAAGTCTCTTTTCCACCTCTTCCCGCCGCGCCGGAGCTGCTTTCAACTCTTTCTCCTCTCCCTCTCCTCTTCGCATCACCGCCATCTGTCTCTTTTCTCACGTTTCCTCCTCCTCCTTTCATGTTCATGCCATCCACCCCCCCCTTTCTATCTTATCCTCCCCCTCTCGATTTCTTCTCCTCCTTTCCCCATTAATTCTTCAATCCAGTATTCCGTTTAGTGCTATTATCGCCGGTCTTTTCCCTTCTTGTATCTTTTTCTCTGCCTGGCTTCTCTGCTCCGAAGCCGCGCCGCGCCGTTTATTTCCAGCCACCGTCTAGTAGCCATCGACCCTTTCGGCTACCCCCGTACACATCGACCGCTGCTTTCTTCTCCCCCAACACATCCCCCCTCGCTCGACCTCTTTGTCCAGACAATCCCCTCGTGTCTTGTCGGTCTATACGAGCGGGTCGCAGCCGATTAGTGATAATTTTGGATTGTCAGATCTAGATAATTATTGCGGTGGACCGTGGCCGTCGAGTCTGGACACTAGTCAAGGATCATCTTTACCCAGTGTGACCATAGCTGACCGAGCTTCACACATAACGGACGACTTATTACCACCAGTTCATCGGGCCTCGCTCCTCCCTCCTATCCTTGAATATCCGTGCTCCTTCAGGCTTACGTATTCTTTCGGACCCAGTCCTCCGTTAACCCCGCTACGAATACATCCACACGCGGGCTGAACGAACGCACAGAACACCGGTTTCCTGGAGTGTCCCAGTCACACTCACTGATCCAGCCATCCATTGTTGATTGCCCTGGTGCTTACCATCAGCACCCGACATCAACCATATACTTTTCCTTTTCTCGGGATTGAACTGACACATGGTTCTCGCGAGGCAAATTTCCGATTGAGCAGCTTATTTACCGACCAACCGACTTCCACCGTTCGCCTTTCTGATTTATACGCGAGGAACCTGGTGTCCACCTTGATTCAAGGCGGAGGGATATAATTCATAATGCTACCTGTTTCACGACCGGACGGTCACATGAACCTCAATTATATTCCGACTACTCAGCCAATGTCCGGGACCAGTACAGGGCGTAGCTCCCCTAGTGACCTGTCGGCATCCGGTGCCATCAAGTCACCGTTCGGCTCGTCAAATGGCCTGAATGGCGCCGCAGGCTCGATCGGGGGCGCGAGGCTAGGGGCTGGATCCCCTTCTCATGATCTTGGGGCTCGTTTGTATTCGAAGCGGTAAGCAGCATAACTTTCTTCAGGTGCCTGCTTCCGGTTCCCGGCCGACTGACACATGCCTTCTACCGTTAGGGCACGAGAGATTCAAGCGGAGGAAGGCGTTTCGCCTAGCATTTGGGGTCCCCCGACTAGTGGTCATTCCACCCCTCTCCGCGAAAACATCCCGGAGTCCCCAAGCCAGGAAGGCTTCCCTGATCTGGTGCCCACCTCCAGCGGCTCAATGAACAGCCCTGCCCGGAGAGCAAGAGCTGGCACGGTCCCGTCGAGATTTTCGCCTGTTGGTGCGCTGAACGAGGCGAATCTTCAACAACCGTACATCCCCCAGACCTCCCGTCCCACGCCGTCAACTAGCCCCTTCCGCCCGACCGGCGTTTCCGGTATTGACACAAGCGCAAAGACTGCGACCACCGCTGGCGGAAATAACGCAGGCTCCCTTTCGCGTCTCCGGGCTGGTTCCATGCCCCAGAGGGCGAACTTTCTGGGATCTTCTGGCCCGTTTGGGCCATCCTTGTTCTCTACCAGCTGGGGAACAGGCCGTGAGCGCGCGACAACTCTTACGAGTATTCGTTCTTCCGAAGGGCCTGCCTCTCCCAGTCTCTCCTCGTTTTCAAGAGATGGACTTGCCGATACTGACGTCAAAACGCTGGACTACTTGGGACTGGCCGAGACCCCACAGCAGGCGCGAGCTACGCTTGTGCGGCCTTCTGTCGATATGCTTCTTCACCAGCAGCAGCAGCAACAGCAACAGCAGCAGCAACAGTCTAGCCTTCCTCCTCTGCTCGCGGAATTGGCTATGATGAAGAATAACAGCCGGATCCGATCGTATTCTGTGAATGCCAAGGAAAAGTATGCAGATGACGAGGACTTGGAGTATGAGAGTCGCTACTCGCAACTTGGTTCTGGCACTGTCACGCCCTCTGCAGCCTCAGCAGCTGCGCAGTTGGCTGCGACGCAACATCAGATACATCAGCACAACCTTGCTGTACAGGCATTTGCGAATCACGCATCTGCCAGCCGACCCCGTGCCAGGACCGCTGGCATTTTGGAAGCGCCACCCCAGCGGTCGTCAATCCGCAATTATCTGGCTACCCCGTCACGCCTAGAGAACAGTTTCAGTGCTGCTGACCTCAACATTTCGGAGGGTGGAGAATACGATGAACTGACGGAAGCTGTGCAGCTTCTGCATCTGAGTGGAAGCGCCATGCGGCAGCCTACGGAGATGACAGATGAAAACAACCAGGATGGCCCAACCCGTGCCCTGTGGATTGGTAGCATCCCTGTTTCCACCACTGTCACATCTTTGGAGGCGATTTTCAGCCTGTATGGCAAGATCGAGTCTACCCGCGTACTCACCCACAAGAACTGTGGCTTTGTCAACTTCGAGCGTACCGATAGTGCCATCCAGGCAAAATCACTGCTTAACGGCAAGGAGATCTTCCCTGGCGCCGGTCCAGTCCGAATCGGATATGCTAAAGTGCCTGGCACTTCCGCCTCCGGCACCCCTGGTGTTAATGGGGCTCAGTCTTCCCCAACCCCAGACCTGAGCACGAGCCTGAATGGCCCCGATGGTATCCTGAGGTCGGAAAGCGGGACCAATGTCCCACAGATTCCTGCCCTTTCCGATCTTCAACCGGAAATGGCGCAAATCGTCACTGACTTCGGGGCTAGCGAGGATGATGTGCACAACATCACGGCTAGTATTCAACGCGCCATTGCCTTCACTGCATTTGAAGATGAAATCCCTGCGATCCCTGAGCCTAGCCAGACCAGGGCATTCGATGCCCCACGTCTCCGCGACATCCGGAAGAGGATTGACAACGGCGCTTGCTCGGTCCAGGAAATCGAAGAGACCGCGATTGCGATGCTGCCAGAAATTGCGGAACTCTCTTCGGACTACCTAGGAAATACTGTTGTCCAGAAGCTCTTCGAATTCTGCTCTGAACCCACCAAAGAGGAAATGCTCAAGCCGATTGCGCCTCACCTTGCTGAAATCGGGGTCCACAAGAACGGAACCTGGGCGGCACAAAAGATCATCGATGTTGCTAAGACCCCAAACCAGATGAATAGTGTTGTTGATGCTCTGAGGCCATACATTGTCCCGCTTTTCCTTGACCAGTACGGAAACTACGTTCTTCAGTGCTGCCTACGGTTCACGACCCCATTCAACGATTTCATCTTCGAAACTATGCTGAGTCGGATGTGGGAGATCGCACAGGGTCGATTCGGTGCCCGAGCTATGCGAGCCTGTCTCGAGAGCCACCATGCCTCAAAGGATCAGCAACGCATGCTCGCGGCAGCCATTGCTCTGCACAGTGTGCAGCTTGCGACAAATGCGAACGGTGCTTTGCTGCTGACATGGTTCCTCGATACATGCACTTTCCCTCGGCGCCGGACCGTCCTTGCACCCCGACTGGTTCCTCACCTCGTGCAGCTTTGCACCCACAAGGTCGCCTATTTGACCGTGCTCAAGGTCATCAACCAGCGCAATGAACCGGATGCCCGTGAAATTGTTTTGAAGGCTCTGTTCTTCAGTCCGGGCGACGAGGTCTTGGAGAAGATCCTGGCGGATCAGACATCTGGAGCGACATTGATCTTCAAGGTTCTCACCACCCCGTTCTTCGATGAATCCATGCGAGCAGAGGTTGTGAAGAATGTCTCGAAGGTTCTCACTAAATTGAAGGCCACTCCAAGCCAAGGCTACAAGCGCTTGATGGACGAGGTTGGTCTGTCCTCTCGGGGAAATGCTCGTGACAGCCACCATGGACGTGACCACGGGTCCACCGCGGACAAACAGCAGCACCGCCCGAATTCTCGCCAGGCGGCCTCAAACTATGCCTCTCAGCCCCCCATGGAGAGGCAATATAGCGCGCAGTTCCCTACCATGCTTGGTCAAAGCCTGGAAGCTGCCAGGCCTGTTGCTCCTGAGCAACAGCCGAATGCCCCCCAGTTTGATCCCTACAGTATCAACGGAATGAACAGCCTTGGTTCTGCTGGTGGAATCAATCCTTTGAATGGCGTCAACGGCCCCGGATTCGGCCAGGACCCCCTGGCGCCTCTGTCACAGCAGCAGATACAGTATCAAGCGTACCTAGCTGCACAGTCTCGGGGTCTCTCGCCCTCGGGCCTTTACCCGAGCCTGGGTAACGCCAACTTCGGATATCCAGCCGGAGCGCCCTCGGCGGATAACCTTCGCTCTCTGCAGAACCCGGCTGCTCCTATGACCGGACCCGCCCAGCTCAACCCTGGGTCTATGTTGAACCAGCCCAACTATGCTCCCCAGCAGTTCAGCCCCAACGTGGGCTCGGCCCCGATGTATCAGTATCCTTCGCAGTTTTATTCCCAAGCACAGCCGGCCCCGACACAGTCCGCTGGGGGACGACGTGGACGTGTGAGTCATCCCCAGCACATGTGAGACGCGGCGGGCTGCCTGGGGGAACGAAGCTAACGCGGGCGGTCTCCAGTATTGAGGCTTCCTTATAACTCTTTAATCCGCCATTGACTTCAACCTGATGTATAAAGTTTTGTCCTTGTCCTTTATTTTTCGATTTCCGGGATACAGAGAGTAGTATGGCTATACGCACGAAATGACCCTTGTCACACCTAGACCGACGCTGGATCGTCTTGGAAACGGAGGAAGAGGAATGAGAAGAGAAAAAAAGTGTTGCAATTTCAGTTTACTCCAGAGCATAGTGGTGTTGCCTTTGTCAATAAGCATTCAAGTGATTTCCGCCACGCTGTGGTTTGGGTATGCTTTGCCTTCCTACCTTTACAATCGTTCTGTTGGATATGAGAACGGACGGTATTGTTTATTTCTATTTCTATTACTAATACTATTACTATTATTATTCGTCGGCTTCCAGGGTGGTTGGGTATGGTGGAGGATAAGACACTGTCAGATTGAGCCGTGCTCCGCTGGTTGTACGTTGGGGTTTATTTTATTTTTGTTTTTTTTTTTGGGTCGGGGGGAGGCTTTCCGGATAGAAATCAGTAAAATGCGATAATCAACCATGATCTTGTGGCTCTGTATCCTCGCTCGTAGACATGGCTGTCTTTCTTCGATGTGCCTGCCCAACTGTCCCGCAAATCCAGACCGCTGAATGCCGGCAAAACAAGTACCCCATCATCGCCCCGACCATGAACGCGTGACGACCATGACGGCATCGTCTTCCATCCTTTATCAAAATCAGGATGCCACCGTCTTTATAGTTGACATCCCCACCTCAATTGCGCTCGCACAGGCGCTTCCGACCCCCACCTCATCCAACCAAGATCATTTCGGGAAAACACTCCTCTCTGCAGCGCCTATCACGACCCCTTATCCACCTGCAACCGAGCCCAAAACCGAAGCAGCACGGGCCCGAGTTCTAGAGAGAATTCCGCTCTCCGAACGAGTCTTCCAGACGGAGATCATCGAACCCCTGGTCACCGAGAAACTCGCTGAGCTCCGACAGACACTCGCCGCCGGGTTTGATTGGTGTCTACCTCGAATCGCCGTCGAGAGTGATGCCCTCGAGCAGGTCTCTTCTGGAAAGAGGAAACGGAGTGAGCAGCTACGCAGAGATGGATGTCGCTGTCGACTGTGGGAGGAGGGATCCGCCTCCGACTGGGTGGAAGAGAAATATACTTCTCGATCAGAGACGAAGCTCTCCCAGGGTCCGCCATTGATCCTGTCGCCCGGCTTGAATGCCTTCGGGTCCATGTCGGAACTTTCCCATCTGGTGGTCAAGAACACATCTGTCGAATCGGCCACGGTGCAGATACGCTGCCAATTATTGGAACCCGATCAATCTATCTCACCCGCGAATGAGACGCACAACTCACATCACCATCACCACCACTACCATTCATTCCACATCCCCCCTCTATCCAACTTCCTCCGATGCCGACTCCCCATCTCAGACCCCACGACGAAGAAGGAACCCGACCCCATCCCCGGCCTCTCCCGCAAACAGAAATTCAATCTCATCCTCCTCGACCCGCCATGGACGAACCGCTCCGTCCGTCGTAGCGGCCACTACCGCACGCAATCGTATCTAGACTGGGACCTGCTCACGCGACGAGTCCGCGGGATTCTGCTCACGCATCTACACCCACACTTCCAGGAGAAGCACCCTCTGCCCGTAAACGGCTCTAACGGGACAGAGTTCGGGATGAATCTACCTGCACACGCAGACGCAGACGCAGACGCAGACGCAGACGCAGACGCAGACGCAGACATCCCAGCCTCTATCGCAGCAATCTGGATCACCAACTCCGCGAAGGCGCGAACTGCAGCATACGACGTCATCCGGGGGGCCGGACTGACCGTCTGTGAGGAATGGGTATGGCTGAAGACGACGACGGACGGACAGCCGATTTCGTCGCTGGATGGGCTTTGGAGGAAGCCGTATGAGATTCTTGTGATTGGGAGACGGGGGGATCCGTCTGCTGCATCTGAGGGGCGGGGTCAGGAAGATGATGTGAAGAGGAGGGTCATTGCGGCTGTTCCGGATGTTCATTCTCGGAAACCGAATCTGAGGGAGCTTTTTGATACGGTGTTCTTTAGGACGCAGGACGGTCGGCGCGTGAAGTACGATGCTTTGGAGGTTTTCGCGCGTAACCTCACGGCTGGGTGGTGGGCTTGCGGGGATGAGGCGCTCAAGTTTAATTCGGAGGAATGGTTGGTTGATGGTGAGAAGGAGATGGGGGATGAGGGGGCGGGAGCGAGCGAGTGAGTGAGTGAGTGAGTGAGTGTTTGGATTAAGCATGCACCTTATCCTATACCCATACATACATCGAATTCAATAGCACATCCAGTTTGTTCGTGTCCACAGCCAACCAACCGTATCCCATTCCCAACCTCATTTTACCATAAAAGGGTATACCAGCACACATCAGCAATAGTAGCAAACACCTCAACCCAACCCACCATAGCCCCAAATCCATCATCCAACTTTTAACCCACCGACCTACTCAAACACCTCCCCCAAACTGAGCAAACTAAACCTGAGATCAGGATTGCCACTCCGCTTCTCAATCTCCAAGAACCTCCTAACACCCAAATCCAACGCCTTATCAGACAACGCATCCTCATCGACGCCCAAAACGCCCCTCTCCAACGGGCCCTTCCTCTGACCATCCAACTCCCACAACCGTCCATCCTGGCCCTTGACAAACGCCACGAAATGCAAATCCACCTCACTCTCCGCCTGCGGCGCCGCCGTATCCCCCAGCTGGGCGGCATCCGCATGCGCGCTCTCCAACGCCTTACTCTCATACAGCAGATCCGCCCTCCGCACCGGCTCGAGCCCCTCCGCCTCCCGCAGCAACGTATCCAGATCCGACCCCGCCGTGATATGTCTCCGGGGCTCGCCGTTCGAGACCGCGTGCAGGAGGCCGATCAGCCCGCACGCGTTGCGGATGGTCTGCTTGAACCACATCACCGGCTCGCCGGGCCCGGAGCCGCTGTATGTCGGAAGCGGGGCGTCTTCGGTTCGGCGCGCGGTTTCGTGGGTCGACGATACCGGGAAGACGAGCAGGAGCGCGTGCGACGGTCGTGGCACGAAGGCTATTAGGTCCGGGCTGTCGATCGACCACACGTCTGTAAAGCCGAGGGACGGGGATAGGCCGAGTTGGCGGACGAGGTGCGTCATTACTTCGGGGTTGTTTTCTAGGGAGGGGGTTAGATGGTGGGTGGGTGTGGGTGGGTGTGTTGGGATTGGGGAGGAAGAGGGGTGGAGGGGCACGTACCGAGAGGCACGAAGGCCTTGTTTGTTTGGGGAGCATCGGGGTCGGCCATTTTGATTGAGCGTGACGTGTTGTTGGAGTGGTTTGGTTTCTCCTTTGGGGGGGGGGGGGGGGAGTGGAGGAGGGATGGAGGGATGAGGGAGATGATAGCTGTGCGGATGATGATGTAGTGAGTGGTGAGGGGTTGGCGGTGGCTGCGGGGTCGAAAGAACGAGCGTCCCGCCCGGATGTAGATCTCCACGCGGTATGATTTATTGTATATATAGGGAGATATTTGGGCTATTGGGGTACGTGTCTATGTTTGGCAGTTGGAGGATTTAGCTAATGCGCAATGTATCTATCGTAATCGTCATCATTGATCATTCAAGGCCTAGGCGTAACATCTAGCATCGTATCGCCATATCAATTTGCGAGCGGCTTCTCCCCCTTCTTCAACGGCTCGTACACATTCGTCCACAGCTCACTCGCCTCGCCCAGGTAATAGGTCAAGCTGACGTCCGCCATGCTCGCCTCCTCGTCCCCATCCAGAGTCTCCAGCTGAGAGATGATATTCTCCAACCCGAACGCCTTCCCGACCGCTTGCGTCGCGCCCGCCTCCAGCATAACATTAACCACATGAACGTGGAAATGATAATACGTCGGCTGGTCTGTAGCACATCGATGTCAGCAGGATCCACCACAGACAAGATCAGAGATCAAAGAAGCAGGACAACTTACAATGCACATAAAGCTTCAACTGATCCTCCTCCAACCCCGGATACATACCGACGGTGCCCTCCAACAGCCTCTTCCTCAGATACTTCAACCAGGGCACATGCTTCTTCTTCAGATCCCTCAGAGACCAGATATCCCTCCTCATGACCAGCCCCAACAAATGCAGCGAGCCCATCGTCTTCCGATCCCAGTTCAGATCCGGCAACATCAAGAACCCATCCTCCGGCCCGTGCCCGGCATCCCTGAGAATCACATCCTCCTGCTCCGTGCGGCCCTCCAGGATATTAAACACCCAGTTTAGCCGACCCTCGTCGCGCTTCGCACTCATGTACGGCTGGACGTGGTCGCGGTAGATATCCGGTGTTTCGGTGACCATGCGGACGACCTGCTCGGAGTATTTCTTGATGTGCTGTTCCGTGCACGGCCAGATGAGGTTGAGCTTGAGGTCGGGCGGCTGCTGGCCCCCTGGTTCTGTGTTCGATGAGGCCAGATACCACCGGTAGATGTCATTGTCGCCGAGGTTGTTGACGTTGGTGATGGCGGCGTGGAAGGCTTGCAGCGCTTCCGGGGATTCGGTGGCGAAGGCGGCGCGTTCGGCGGTCAGAATGCCAGGTTGGTTGTTGATGGTGCCGAGGATGGTGATTCGACGGCCATTCTGGTCTGGAAGGGAGTTGTTAGTTGGCTTCGTGGAGGGATGGAGTCGTGGTGTGAGGCTGGTGGGAGTGGGGGTGGGGGTGGTTCAAGAGAGAGGAGGGGTATGCATGCCTTGTTTGAGTAGTCTGCCCACCTCGAATTTCGAGATGAGCACTTCAGGTGCGATTTTCTCCTCGCTGGCGGCCATCTCGAAGAGGATTGGGTCAGGATGAGAGGGTTGTATGGAGCTGTCAGGATGGGGTTGCGAGTTGTTGATTTTACCCCAGATCTTCTTCGTCAGGCAGAATTTCAGGGCGGTCGGGCTTATCTATACGTTCCGATTGTGATTGCGCTGCACTAAGAAAATGGACTATATTGGTTTGGTTTGGTTCTTCGAACAGCTCCCATGACATATGATTGGTATTCTGCGATAACTATGGTCCTTTCCGACATCCTATCTTGCGCATGTCGGCCAGCTTGCTTATATATGCGTCTGCCTGCACATGTCGGAATATTGGAGGCCCTGGGTGTCTAATAATCTGCCTTCGAGGACCCGTGATTGCAGGATACATCGGTACAGATTCGGATTGTTGTGTTGGCCTCCTGGTTGGTTGAGTTGCTCCCACGAGGTCTATCGTGGTCCTGGTTGGGCTGGGTTCAACCAGAACCCACAGATGGCAAGCTTGAGCTGACTTATCGCCTGGACACGCCGAGAGGTTCACCGTAAGAGTTGGGTTTGTGTTGTAGCAGGCTTATCGGAAGGACTTGTCGAATATCAAGGAATTGTAACCACGCGGGCGAAGCCAGGAACGTCCTGTACTGGGTTATCATGGCCCCTGTTTACAACCAGGCTCAAGTAGAAGCTTTCTTTTCGCTGCTGGGCTGGCAATGCATCTAGACATACTGTCAGCAGGGATACCACCATAAGAGAAGACAGCTTCACATACCGCCTCAGCCAGCTTAATCCACTCCTCCACGCCTTTTACAAAGGAGTCGTCTGCCGCCGGTACCCATTCATGTCCCCAGACCACATATTCGTCGAATGTACCCTGCTTCTCGAGAACCTTGACTGGCTCTTCGGGTTCGGTTTCCTCGACTTCAACGTCTGCGCTTGTTTGGGTAGAAGGCATCACACGGTCTGACGGCGTCGCAACGATACCTGGAGCAAGCATCCTGTTAGCAAACCCCCTAGGAAATGGCATTGGACTGAGAAGAGACATACCCTCATAACCTTCTGGTATCGCAACTCGTCGCCCCCTTAGCTTGCGGCCGCGGAAGTAGGCTGTCTGCAGGTTCTTGTCTGCAATTGGTGAGCATGCGAGCCATTAGTATTGGTGGTATAGGAGCGTCAACTACCATTTTCATCGGATTCGGGTGTCCAGTAGCGGTCTAGTGTTTCGACAGGGCCATCGTGACGAATGCGACAGGGGAGTATGTTAGGCGTGAATTGATCACTGCCAGTCGATGTGTCGTTGTCGGAAGAGGGCTTTTGTGCTGGTTGAATGGCGAACATTTTGAATTGAGTAAAAGGGTGTATGTTGGGTCTAATTGAGATATGTTTAATAATGGTGGATATTGAGCGGTTTCTATTATCTGCGTGGTATGACGATGGAAGTTGTCTCGGTCTGGTAAAAGATCTTGAAGGTTAAACCGGGGAGAAACGCGACGCGTAGCCGCGAAAAGGGCGGCCGCCATTCCGCGGCCGGCTTAAGTGCTAACTGGCGAGTGCAGCTACCGCGGAACATGAACAGGATAGAGAGCAGAAGTAGGATTGAAGATCTTCTGGGTCTTATGCTATTGTTATAGAAACTTGATTTTGCTTAAACTCTATGTACTCGATATGCTCTCTATAGATAACCTTCAACTTCATGGACTTGGGGTATATCAAACAGGATCAGCCATTGTATTCGACAAACTGAATCACCTCTTGCGGGTCTTCTTCTTCTTCTTTTTCTTCTTCTTCTCCTCGTCGCCCTGCTCTTTCTTTTCGACCACTGCCCGTACCGGCCACTTCTTCAGATGTTCCCGCTCAAAAGTCTCCTTGTCTCGCCGGTACAGAAGCATCGTAGCCTTAGCATCTTCCACACTGGAATGCGCGCCGCCCTGGATGTCCAACCCAAGAAACTCCGAAGCCAACATCTTCAAGCGAGGAGAGCCACCGCCGGCGATCTTTCTGTAGGGCGCATGCTTGCTGGTGTCTCTGATATCGCGCTTGGGGTGGCTCAGGAGAAGAGCGTCCAAATCGTTACGGACCGCATGTCCAATGAGTATTCGCCCATCAAGGATGTCGGTCACATCCTTCTGCACCCGCTCGAGTGTTCGTGCCTCCACCATGTGCTTCGGGAGAATACCGCTGACATGCGTCCTCCAGTCCGTAACCATCTCCTTGGGCCTCACGTATGTGTCGTATATTTGTTCGCCGTTGAAGTTGACAATACTGACGCGCGCCAGAGCGGAATCATTGTCGGGGTTGGGGCCGACGCCCACCATTTCGCAATCGATCGCAACATATCTGCCTAGTTCCGCACTGCAAATCCGTCAGCAAAACCCCTTTCATTCGGACAAATCTCAAAAGCAGAGCCAGCAAGAGAGGTGGACTGACGTCGGTGATCGGCCTTCATTGATCTTCGATTTCGTTTCCGATACCGTAGCTGTAGAATTCCCCCGCGACCTCGACTTCACTGTAGTTTCCTGGACATTATCCTCGCCTGCTTTCGTAGTGTTCTCAACCATTTTTCTTCTTTTCGTCGAGGCCGGCGCCCGATCGAATTTCCTTTTGCCGTCGACCGTTTCTGTCTTTCGCTTCTTCACGCCACCATTCTGCGTCTCGCGGTCCGATGACTTGCGCTTGGTAGCGGAGACGCTGTCCTTGCTCAGCGTCCCCTGGAGTTTCTTCCAATTGCTGGAGAGATTTTTCAAGTCCATTCCAAGAAAAAAAAAGGCCTCCCACTATTGCATTGTGAAGTGGACGGAGAGTCTGGGAGGCGGCCGAGAAAAAAGATGGGTTGTTGCGGAGGCTGGCCCGGCAACTTTCCCAAAGCAACCTTAACCGCCCCCGCTAAAATTTCGGACGGGTCCACTAGTATCTACTCCCAAGTCGAGAACGCCGCCGGGCGTGTAGATATATATCTCTGGTCGGCACATCCACAGCACTTTCTATGTATGGCAGAAGTACGGATGGTGTGATCTACAGACTATATGACCTCTTTTAAGATAAGAGCACTCGAAAACAAGAGTGATAGCAGGCAATCGTAATCTTCATAAGATAGTATAAAACTTTTTATGTCCAGCAGTAGCCCATATTACGTGAAATCTATCTCGACAGAACCAACATAAAACGCCAAAAGGAAATCGACTATTTACAGACCCGGGACCTTGAAGTCCTTGTAAGTCCACTTCTCCGTCACCTCTCTTCTCGCCTTCTTCGGCTGTGTTATCGGCTTACGAGACTCCATCTTACCCTGGACCACCAGTGTGCGGAACCGATCGTCCAGCAGGTTGCCCTCTGGCTTGAGCAAACGTAGCGACTCCTTAAGTTCATCCGGCAACACGACCTCCAACCGTTTCTCGGGAGCGCTGGTTTCAAGTCAGTAAAGAGATGGATGCTAGGAAGAGACGGTGGCACTTACTATAGCTTTCCGCCGAGAGGTCTCCGACGCAGAGCAGTGTCATCGCCTTCATCAGAGGAGTCTTCCGATTGCTGAGCAACCTCGACCTCACCCTCGCCCTCCTCACCCTCCTCACTGTCATCGGCTCCATCGGAGGTGACCTTTCCTAGTTGTTCTTCCTTCTTCTTCATCTGCGCTTCCCATTTCGCCTGTCTCTCCGCTTCCTTGCGCCTGTTGATCCTGTTCCTCTGTGCCTTCGTCTTCCGCTCCGGACGCTTCTTGCTCAGCCACTCCGGCTTCTCGTACTCGCTCTCGAACCCTTCCCAAGCACTCTCATCATCCGACTTGACCGCGCCATCGTCGTCCTTGGCTTCCTCGATCATGCGTAGCCTCTCCTCTTCCTTACGCTCCTCCTCCAGGCGTTTCTTTTCAGCCTCAACTGCCAGCGCTCCCTGCTCCTGCAGCAGGCGATCCCAGTCCTCAAACGTCGGGTTGTAACTCGTACCGGCAACAGGCAAAGGAACCGCGCGAATGGGCTTGCCGTTCGCCGCGAGCGAGATGGGGGCCTGCTTCAAGGTCACAGGTTCAACCTTGGGCTTGGGCTTCTCCAGGTAGTCAAATCGGGGGTCGTCCATGGCGGTGGAGTTATCTTCCGCCTCAGCCCAGGGGTCGTAAAAGCCACCTCCAACAGGCTTGCTGACCGGCTTTCCCTCCTTAGCCACCTGCTTCAGACGCAGCCAATCCTTGCGGGTAACCCAGTCGCTCTTTTGCCTCTTGTTCTTCGGTTCGATGACTCCATCTGTGACCTTGGAGTTGAGACGTTTGCGCGTATCGACACCCGGAATAGCAGACCGTTGTGCCAGGATTTCCTCCGACTTCAGAGGCTTGTGCTTCTTGAGATGTGCGTCGCGGATTGCCGTCGAACCCGTAGTATCGATCACGAACAGATCTTCGGAAGGCTTCTCAGCCAGGACACCTCTAATAGATAAAAACAGTCAGCGCGCCGCAGTGAATATCCGTAGGATGGCACATGAAATTATTACCCTTTGATCTCTTCCTCCTTCAGAAGGCGGACACCCTCCTGCACCTCCTCGATATCGACGTTCTTACGCCATGCCTTCTTGCCCTTACGGGAAGGCTGGCTAAACTGCTTGGGCGCGCCGATTTTGCTAGACATTTCGGAGACTCTACCGAGCGACAGTCGATGTAGAGCTCTGTTGCTGATATGCGATCTTTTTTGCGGCGTACTAAATTTTTGGATACTCCGACCAAAAATCTGGACCGGGATTACATAAGCCTCCGCGGGGCGACGCTAGTGCGGTTGCCGCGCTAAGGCTCTGCGCGGTTGTCGCGGGCAAGTGACGAACGCCGCCTCAGGACCTGAACCTCGCTTTTCACCCGCGTCGCTTCTTTGTCGACTCTGGTCAGCGTGGACCTAGTCCCAGCTGTTTATTTCTACTCCGGGCCTTCATCTCTCTTTGACATTTTAATCATTGCCCAGTATTTTGATCGATTTACCATTGCGAGCGGCTGCAAGCATCCCCAGCCATGCCTGTCGTCAAAGGAGGTGTCTGGTAAGTATCTCGCGATTTACCATATTTCTGCCAGCTTTCCCGCTTACATGCAATTAGGACGAATATTGAGGATGAGGTGCTTAGGGCGGCGGTATGTTTATTCTACGCTTTTTAACAGGTACTTGATTTTCGATTTGCGCGATACTGATGCTCTTTCCCCTAGGTTTCCAAGTACGGTCTGAACCAGTGGGCGCGCGTGTCCTCGCTGTTAGCACGGAAGACCCCGAAACAATGCAAGGCGCGATGGGTGGAGTGGCTGGATCCCGGCATCCGCAAGGTCGAGTGGTCGAGGGAGGAGGATGAGAAGCTGCTGCATTTGGCCAAGCTGATGCCGACACAATGGCGTACAATCGCACCTATCGTGGGGCGCACAGCTACACAATGCTTGGAACGCTATCAGAAGTTGCTGGACGAAGCAGAGGCCCGTGAGAATGATGAGCTGGGACTCGGAGGCCCCGGTGAAGAGTCGGCAGCTCCAAGTGCGGACGATGTGCGGCGGCTAAGGTATGCTTCCTGACATCGTATAAATGATGTAATCTTTGTCGCATCTGCTGACCTTGTGTAGACCCGGAGAGTTGGACCCCGACCCGGAATCGAAACCCGCTCGTCCTGACACAATCGACCTCGACGAAGATGAGAAGGAAATGCTGAGTGAGGCTCGAGCTCGTCTGGCGAACACACAGGGAAAGAAGGCCAAGCGCAAGGCCAGAGAACGGCAGCTGGAAGAGTCGCGACGACTCGCAGTGCTTCAGAAACGACGTGAACTCAAGAATGCTGGCATTAACATCAAGGTCGTTACTCGCAAGAAGGGCGAAATGGATTACAACGCCGATATCCCGTTTGAGAAGCCGGCAGCACCTGGATTTTACGATACTCTGGATGAAGAGGCTCGGAATGAGAGGCAACGAGAAATGTTCGACCCCCGCAAACAACAGCTCGCCAACAAGCGCAAAGGCGATCAAGACGACGATGCGGAACGAAAGAAGAGGAAGAACGACAAGAACAGCAACTCTGCCGCGTTCGCCGCCGCCGCCCGCGCTGGTCAGATGCAAAAGATCCGAGAAGCAGAGCAGAGCAGCAAGAGGAGAGGGCTTGTCCTTCCAGCCCCTCAAGTCAGCGAGGGCGAAATGGAGGATATTATCAAGATGGGCATGGCAGGTGACAGAGCTAGTAAGCTGGCAGGCGATGAGGAGGGAGCTCGGGGCTTGCTTGGAAACTACACTGCCATGGTCGGTGGGACTCCGATCAGGACACCTCGGGCGCCCCCGGAGGAAGATCACATCGCCAATGAAATCCGCAACATAAGAGCCTTGACTGAAACACAATCATCGTTACTGGGAGGAGAGAACACCCCTCTGCACGAGGGAGGGTCTTCTACCGGATTCGACGGGATTGCTCCTCGGCGCCAGGAGATTGTCACACCGAACCCCATGGCCACTCCTTTCCGACAGGGCAACGGCGTTGGCGCGACACCTATGAGGGGTGGTGTCGGACCTGGTGCTACTCCTTTGCGAACCCCTCGAGACCACTTTGCTCTCAACCAGGCTGATGGGCAGCTGATCGGGAGCACGCCCAGAGATATCAAGATGCACGAGAAGTTCGAGCGCCAAAGCATCCGTGGCAAGCTGGCTGCTCTACCAAAGCCCAAAGAAACGGAATGGGAACTGGAAGAGCTCCCGAGCGAATCCGCAGAGCCAGCTGCAGCGGCCGAGTACACAGAAGAGGACTCAGCTGAGCGCGATAGGAGAGAAAAGGAGGCTAGAGAGCGTGCTGCAGAAGCCGAGCGCAAGCGTCAGAGCCAAGTATACCAGCGATCCCTACCCCGGCCAAGCGTGCTTGACATCGATGCGCTGATGGATCGGGTGTCTCACGTAACGGATCCCATCGCGAAATTGGTGGCTAAAGAAGCCGCTCTTCTTATCGCCCACGACGCCCGCAGATTCCCTGTCCCTGGAGCCAAGGTTGAAGGCAAGGCCCGGAAGTTGGAACAGTACGATGACTCTCTCCTTGCCCAGGCTCGTGCAGCTATTGCGGCGGAAGCTGCCGCGTCCGAAAAGCAGCAGGAATGGCAGGAGAACTTTGACGAGCAATGGTCGTCGAAGCACTCCACTACACTCCCCGGTCTCTCCAACTACGCCGATGACGAAGAAGAGGATGTATACCAACAGGAACAGCGGATGATTGGCGCCTTCGACAATGTACAGGCCTCCCTACTTGCCACCGCGGAGCGGGGGAACAAGCTTGAGAAAAAGCTTGCTCTACACTACGGGGGTTACCAGAACCGTGCGAAGGTGCTTCGAACCAAAATTGTCGAGGCCAACACAGCTTTCGAGAAGACCCGCGATGAGCTGGATGCCTTCCGTACTCTGCAGATCTCCGAGGAATCCGCGATCTCCCGAAGACTGGAAAAGCTGAGGGACGACGTGGCCTTCGTCATGCGCAGAGAGCGTGAAGCCCAAGAGGTCTATCGGACCAGGAAGGAGGAGCTCGAGGAGCTGGTCGCCGGAACCGGGGGGATGGTGAATGGGTGGCATTAAATACCTACCTACCTAGCTCGAATTGGAATCCTGGAATTGAGAATGTAATTATATTTCCCATCTGCTTGCCATTTGGCCTTAGCTGGACTCCTTATTGTTGTGACGCCACATGTATGGTAGAGGGTAGACTTGAATACCACGAACAATAATAATTAACACCAGCAACAATAAGAGCGGATGCAACGGCGGCGCTGGGGATGGACGACCCAAAGCGGATGGCAAAAGTCTAAGGCGGTCTCTTCCGACGCATCGCAACGGCGATTCTTCCTCCTCCACCTCCTGCCTGCAATCCTCTCCGGCGCTTTCCATCGCGCAATTCACCCCCCCCCCATCGCCGTTCCATCTCTCATTCCCCCACCGACGCTTTGACAATCGTCCCTCCTTCACCATGGGCGGCAGGGACGAGGCCACCGGCACCCCGGACCCCGTTGAGAAGGGGTTCGCCACCCTCAACACCATCCGGTATGTCGAGATAAAATCCCCTCCATATAGTTTCTGGGCTATTTGACCCCGGTTTCATCGGTCGCGTGTGCTAATCATGTCGCTAGGATCGGTATGAAGGCCATGGTGCAGAAGGTCAGTCTTTCGTGGGCATCTTTTGCCTCCCGTCTTGCGGCAGATCACGTGACATCATTCGCTGCTACTGTTACGCCAAATGGGCACCATGACTGACTGAGCTGTGTTGTGTAGGATGGGGAACTTCGGAAGGCGGAAATTCTGTCCATTAAGCAGCGGAAGGATGGGACTGCATTCTAGTACGTTCTGAATCACCGATGGTATGGAGATCTTGGTGCTAACTAACCTTCGCAGCGTCCACTATGTCGATTTCAACAAGCGTCTTGATGGTAAGCTGAACTGAATGATAACCCCTGCCTGTACATACTGATATCGTGTCCAGAATGGGTTGACTCCGCGAGGATTGACCTTTCTCATGAGGTCGAATGGCCCCAGCCAGAGAAACCAGAGAAGAAGAAGGCCGGCCCCAGCAATAAAGCGCCCAGCAAGAACACCCAGAAGCGTGCTCGAGCCGAAAGCCGTGATGTATCGGCCACCCCGGACCTTCTCACGGGTAAGAACACCAACGTCGGCAAAGCCCAGCGTCTATCCAAGGCCGGCGGGAAGGAGAATCGCGGCGACGAGACCCCCGTGAACCTCTCCATCGGGGGATCCGAAGCCGTGTCCGCCGATGGAACCCCCAAGAACGAATCCGACGACGTCGACATGATCGACGTCAGCTTCACCAAGGATGCAAAAGAGGAAGAGAAGGAGCTCATGTCCCGCGAGGAAGAGATCGAAAGACTGCGCACAAGCGGTAGTATGACCCAGAACCCGACGGAAATCCACCGCGTGCGCAACCTGACCCGTCTCCAAATGGGGAAATTCGACGTCGAGCCGTGGTACTTCTCGCCATACCCGCCGTCATTCTCCGACGCGGACACCGTCTACATCGACGAGTTCTGTCTGGGGTACTTCAACAACAAGCGCTCCTTCGAGCGCCACCGGTCCAAGTGCACGCTCGTGCACCCGCCCGGCAACGAGATCTACCGGGACGACTACATTTCCTTCTTCGAGGTCGACGGAAGACGCCAACGCACCTGGTGTCGAAACCTTTGTCTTCTCAGCAAGCTGTTCCTAGACCACAAGACCCTCTACTACGACGTCGACCCCTTCCTTTTCTACTGCATGTGCAGCCGCGACGAAACAGGCTGCCATCTGGTCGGGTACTTCTCCAAGGAAAAGGACTCCGCGGAGGGCTACAACCTCGCTTGTATCCTGACTCTCCCCCAGTACCAGCGTCGTGGCTACGGCCGTCTCCTCATCTCCTTCAGTTACGAGCTGAGCAAGCGCGAAGGAAGACTCGGGTCCCCCGAGAAACCACTCAGTGATCTCGGTCTACTCGGCTACCGACAGTACTGGCGTGAAACGTTGGTCGAGTTGCTCATGGAAACCGGCCGGGAGTCCATCAGCGAACATGATCTTTCGATGCTCACATCCATGACGGAGAAAGACGTCCACGAGACATTGGTCGTTTTCAATATGCTCAGATATCATGTATGTCTCCCCCTGTCCCCCTGGCCCCTTTTCCCCTTATACGATATCCCCGCCGGCGCAACAACTAACCCCTCACCCCCAACAGAAAGCAAACTGGACCATCGTCCTAACGGACCAAGTCGTCGAAGAACACAAGAAACGCCTCGAGAAAGAAAAAATAAAAGGCGCTCGCAAAATCGATCCCGCCCGTCTGCAATGGAAACCGCCCGTCTTCACTGCCTCATCCCGTACATGGAACTGGTAAAGAAACCGCCAATAAACATGTATGTATGCGGTTGTGTTTTTTGCGTGTGTGCGAAGTGAAGTTAATGCGGAGGACGACGACGACGGCGACGGCGACGAGAAGATTGATACCCAAACTGGATGGAGTCATTGCTTTCTTTTTCCTTCCTTCCTTTCTTTCTTTCTTTCCTTCCTTCTTTTGACTTGGTACTTTGGTTCTGTTCTGATGGTGTGTCGGGACTGGGAGTTGATTGTGCACAACTCACTCTTGTTGCTGTTGGTTGGTTGGTTGGTTAGCTGGTGGGTTCATATTAATTAGCATGGGTTAGCAGGGTTGGTGTTCCGTATAATTATCATTGTATCTTGGAGGGTTGCAGTTTAGACCAAATGAATTACTACTACCTAGAGCCGGAATGAAGCTGCGTGTGTCTGTATATCCGTGGCATTTATTTCTATTTCCTATGGCGAGTCCAGACTCTTACTTATCTTTACAGACGAGTAGGTAGGTAGTATTCGTCCCAATTACACTTTACTCAGAACAAACACCCTGCAGACCGGATGCTGGTGCTGGTGACTTCATGCTACATCATCTGTACTCCACAAGAAACCAAGACAAGAAGGCTAAAGTATTTGAATGCACACCACACCACAATGCTAGATACAGGTTTCTGGACGTTAACGCGAAGCGCCCGCCCCATCCCATTATCCCATCCCAGAATCCTGGCTCTGGTTTACAAGGTATGAAGGAGAAAGTGAGGGAAAGAGAGAAAAGAGAGATCCAACGGCTCGACGAACGACCACAAACGGCGGTCGCGGGAGCATGGAAGGATGGGAGAAAAAAAAAAAAAAAAACACAGGGGTATATTGTGTTTATGGAGGGAGAGGGCGAGGGGGAGGAGGAGAGTAGTGAGTTGCATTGCAGCATACTGATACTGATGCGGAACCGCACTTATGGACAGACAGGGTCAAGATTTGAGAAAGGAGATAAGGGGGGAGGTAAGTAGCGGGTGAGACCGGAAAAGGAACGGGGTAGGGGGAGAGATCGGAAAGACAACGGTTGTTTTCGTTCAAACCCCTGAACTTTCGAAACGGATAACGAGTTAGAAGGAGCAAGCAGTGAGCAAGGTGGAGTGTTGTGTATGTGTGAGTGTGAGAGAGACCATGAAATGAATCGTCCCGCTGGATAGAAGGATGAGTATGTTGTTGTTACCTGGGAGTGGGCACTGAACCAAGGTGGACACGCAGGGAATATGGTGCGGGAAAAAAGGAGGAACATTAAAGGAATACTAAGAATTCAAACCAAACCCAGATCGATCGAATTTCCCCGCAGGCGTAGCTCATCAATACCGAAATGAACGCTCAATGAATATCTGGAACCCGGCAAAAGCCAACCCAAAGCTAACAGCTGCAACTCGAATCTCGAGACTTCATTCCGCATAGAAAACGATTGACTGGACTTTACTGGGACCCGCTGAACGTACGGGGACCCCAAGACGCATTCCGGGACTGGCGTCGCGGAGAGCTGCTGCCGTTGGGCTGCTGGGATGTGGCAGGCTTCTTGGTGTTTGGATTCCCGGGTGCTTCGCGCGGCTTCGTGTTCTTGCGAGGCTTGAAGCTCGAAGGCCCGCGAGGGCGGGAGGTATGAGGTCCTGTTTTCCGGGGAAGAGACAGGGTCTTCGCAAGCGCTGCGCCGGGGAAGCGGATAGAAACCCTGGTGTTTCCGGAGGAGTCCCTGTCCTGGAACCCAACCAAGAACGGCTCAATGCTGTGGACCTGCATCGACTTCAGGTGCTTCGATCGTAAGCGAGACTGCGAAGGCGGCGGCGCTGCCTGCCATGCTGCGGGAGGTGCCCGGGTCGGTACTCGAACCACTGGCAAAGATCCCACTTCACGGTCTTCAAAAATCTCCTCTGCCTCTTCGACTTGCTTCGCGGTCATCTCACCGTCTCCGATATGAGACTCGCCGTTATAAGGAAGGGAAACGGAGACCGCAGCGATGTGCAGCTGGACGTCAAGTGGTTCCTTGGTCGCCGATGTAACCGCCAGAGCATTCCTCTTTTCCGGCACCGTCTTCTTGCCAAATAGTGTGTTGATTTTCTCCTGCCAGGACGTAACGTGCTGAGAGTTGGACCGCGGAGGGGCGGCAACCATAGAGGCGAAGGTGGGAGGCGGAGGGGGCGGAGCGATGACCTTCGGAGGCAGTTTGACGATAGGCTTCGGCGCAGGAAGATGGACCAGTGGCCTGTTCGAGTTGCCAGTATACACTGGATGACTCGACATTTCTTCCGGCGGAGGTGGCGAAGGGCTCCGGTAAAAGTCACCATCATCAGCCGCTGGCTTCCGGGGAGGCTCGGTTGCCTGGGGGAAAAACCGTGAACTGCGGACTGGAACGCTACCAAGAGGCCGGGCAGGTGTCTCCGTGAAAGGCAGAGGGTTAACAGGGTGATCGAACCCAGGAAGGGGGGCTGCCAGTGGTGGGTTGTTCTCTGATGACCTCGTGATTCCAACGACTTGTCTCTGTCCGGCCTGGTCTCCGGTCCGAACTTGCTTCCAAGTCTCATTAAATGTAACCTGGAGTGAAGAGGGGCCCTGAGGCATGGCGTTGAACTCGTTGCGGAGCTTCTCGTTTTCCTCTGCCTCACGCTTCGTAGCCACGGAATGGAAATTGTTCCAGGCTGCTGTTCCAGCAGCGCGACTCTCATGTTGCCGGTGAGAGTGCTGCGAACTGGGAGGACCGATTGGCCCGGGGCGCACAAGCGGAGTAATGGCATCGTAAGAGACATGCCTGACTTCCGGGGACGCCAAAGGTGGGATCGATGCGTTCTCCTGTGGGGATCGCGAGGGAGCAGAGAAAGGCTGAGAGCCCGGCGCCATGGCTGGCTGATCAAGACCCAAGTGGCTGCGGAGAGAGATATCCCTTGCTGGGAAGCCACCGAGACTTTGCTCGAATATACCATTTCCTAAGGTCTTGTCATTGCTTAGAGGCTTCCAAGGATTCGAAATGGTAGGAGGCGTCGTTCCCACAAACTTGGGATTCGGGGACCAAGGCAGATACGTGCTGGGAGCATTGAGGTTTCCTCTCCACTGAGGGCTTTGTTCGTCGGTCTGAGCTTCAGGCGCTTTGTCAGAACTCGGTACTTGGGTATCACCGGGTTGCTGCTGAGATCCATTCGGCGCGGAAGCATCTTGTTTCGACTCACGAGCCGGCGAAGAAGTGCGTCGGGCATTGGCGGCTGAGGGCGCCTTTTCCGGAGCCCTCTCCCTCTCCACAAGCTTCTTCACAGTGTCCGGATGGTGAACCTTCATCATACCATACTGCTTAGGCTCCCCGGTCGGTTCGGGAACTGGTGGCTTTGGTGGAGAATGGAATGCTTGCGCAGCGGACTGCGGGGGATTGGTCTCGGCCTTTCCGCTATCCAGCGACTCCTTGCACCTGGGCTTCGACTTGTCCGGAGCTGGGCCCAGTGCTTCAAGCTTCTGCCGAATCCTTTCGCGCTTCGCCGCTTCCTCCCTCTCTTCCTGCTCTATTCTTCGCTGGCGAGCCTCCAACCTCTTCTCCTTCATTATGCGCTCTTGCATGGCGACTGGGTTCTCTTGAGGCGCTTGTGGCGGTTGGACATCTGCTGCTGGCGCCTGTTCCTCCGTTACTTCTGCAGTAGGCGGCTGTGGTACTCCATCGGGCATATTGGGCATTCTGTCTTGTACGTGTGCAGCACCCCTTGAGGGCCAAGGGCCGGGACCCCTCCGGGAAGGCGAGACCTCGCGCAGAGGAACATCCTTAGGTGGCGGCAGGTCTCTAACAGGTAATGATGATTCGATCATCCCGTTTACCTGAGACCCTCTCCTAGACTCAAATACCTTAGGTACCATATCAGGCCTGCCAATCGACATTCGACGTCCGAAGCTGCCACTCCCTCCACTAACATTAGACGATGTTCGGCGCCGCGGCCAGTGCATCCCATCTTGGCCACTCGACCTGTGTGTTTGAAAAGCGGCGGAGGGCTCTGCTGGTCCTGCTTGCTCGCCGTGTGCTGGCCTCTGCAACAAAGAAGGCGCCCGGAAGTTCTGCTCAGCACGCCAGGCTCCTTTTCTTGTTTCCGCGACAGGCTCGTAGCGACCCGATCTAGAATTGTAGAGCTCCCGAGTTCCGGACTGCATCTCCCTCCAGGACCGGTTGAAGTCATCTGCGGCGATTTCTTTCGGGGGCAGGGGTCCAAGTGGACCGTCACCTAAGTGAGGCTCCCTAAGGGGAGGCCGCATTAGCGGTTGGACCTGGACTGGAGGAATTACAGGGGAGATTTTCTCGACCGGCGGTAGCTGGGCCCAAGGCGACTTGACAGGGGGGGGTGCTGGACTTGTGGATAACAGGGGAGATTTGTCGTTGGGTCCTTTGGCAGCAATAATGGCACTCTTTGCTTGCCTTTCTGCGTTTGCTCCAAGCCGGAGAACTGTAGGGTTCGGGCCGATAGAGGTCACAGGTTTTGGGACAAACTTTGCAGGCTCCTTGACAGCGGCAGCAACAGCAGCAGCTTGCTCCACGGGTGGGAAATCATTCTTGAAATCCGCCGCCGCCTTCTCTTGGGGAGGAGCAGGAGCTGCTGGCGCAGGCTCTGGTTGTTGCGTGAGGTCGGTTTTCGTTCCATCAGTCCACTCAATCGTCTCGGGAGCCCAGTCGTCTTCATCGTCGTCGATATCGGCCCATTTACCTTCACCTCCCCCACCATCTTCCTGTATCCTGGACGTCATGTGAATTCCGTATTGCTGCTTCAACTCCTCATCGGTCAAGTGTTTCGGAGGTGTTTGTTGAACGGCTGCATGTATGCGATTGTCAGAAGCACAGTCGGGACTCAATGGTGAAGAGTTCTTACGGCGATTCTTATTCCAAACTTGGTTCGGGTCCGGTCCACCTGCACCAGGCCTAATCGCGCCCATCCCCGTTTTTGAAAGAGAGTCGCGTAGGCTGCTAGTGGACTTAACGACCAAGCGAGGGCGTGAAGTGGGAGGCGGCGTGCCCAGAGGAGTGGTTGAAGTAACGGGAGCTAGAGTGGATTAGACTGCTATTCCTTGTGCGGGATGTGAGCTGTAGATACCTTTCTCCGAAGCCTTCGTTATGGGAGGAGTGCCCGGCGCCTTGGGAACAGAAAATTTGGCAAAGGTAACCGGCTTGAAGGAGGTTGGCTTTTTGGAGCCGGCTCGAGCGAATCTGCCATCCGTTCGACTGGCGTCGGACTCCGAACCTCCTTGAGAGGCTGTGTCCTCGCCACCATCTGACCCAGACGTCATTCCATTCATCTCGAGTGCTCTTGCAGCGACCGGCAGGAGACCAGACTTTGGGGTGTCCTGGGTCGGGTTCAGTAGGTATATGGAAGCGTCCATGTCGGCAACACTCACGCTCGGCGGCTGATCGGCATCCTTGGCGGCTCCGTTCTGTCCTAGTTGTTCGGCAGCATCCATTTTTCGTTCCCCTTGTTGAGCGCTTGTGTTCGTCCCCGGTGGTGTCGTTGTAGCAGTATCTTTGAACTCCCCCACGTCTCCTCCGGCAGGTGTCTTGTCGGTGGTGCTCGCAGGAACGTCGGACGGCGAAGGTTCGCCGCCCGACAGGGTTTGGTTTACCACATCGTGGCTACTCTGCTCTGCCATAACAATTCTCGATTCTGTGGGACCAGCGGGTTGCGACATCTGTTAGACACACGTTCTGAAACTGTAAACACGGAAACAGGTGGCGGCTATAATCCAGAGTCCATGGGTGCAAACGAGGGGATGGGCTGAAAATATACCTATTGTCAGGTATCAAGAGTCGCCACGGTTGAACTGCTAGCTCAACTACTTGAGCCGTAAAAGCTCCGAACGACCAGGTGGACGGTGGAGAGGGGAGCAGCGTCGAAGGCTGGGGAACCAAACAAAGCTTAAGGAAGACGGGGGGGCGGGCGTGAGAAGGGTAGTGGTGTGATAGTGAGAGGCCGCTGCCCAGAGAATCCCAAAAGGGAGGAGGTGGTAATAGAGAAGGTGGTTCTTCTTCGGGGGGGGGGAGGGGAGGAGGAGGAGGGAGGATGATCGGGTGATTGCTGCAGTCAGTTACGGATGACTGACGGTTCAGGTTGAGGCACTAGGGTGGCTGCTTTCGGCTAGCGCCCTGGCTTTCCCGCAAACCCTGTGGCTGGAGCCGCGAGGCCGCCTTTGCGTCTTTGCGCCCTTGCGCGCACCCGGCCGCCTTCACTCCTCCCTCCATCATCGGTCCGTCGCCGTCATTCACTGCCGGGCCTCGAGCCAGAGCCAGAGCCGGGGCGGAGTCGCTATTTTTACGCGTGGATTCACCAGGCTCGATTGCTTGGAGTGCTACAACTGTTCCTCTGCGCCCTCGTTCCTCATCTGCCCCCATCGATATCCTCCTGGACCTCTTCCTGGGCCCGCGAATGGAGCACGCACCCTCCGGGTTGCGGATTTGTCCTGAACTACACCAGACACACGAGCGCTTTTCATCTACACGGGGGACCATTGGAATACTTCGCGCGACTCGGGCAGAGATAGCTGCTAAGATCTCCGAGCTTTATCAGCTCTATCGGTCGTACCTTCCGCAACACTTCCCGACGGACTAGTACTCCGTGAATATGGGATCTTCTGGATATGTACCTGGACAAAGAAGACACTAACGATGCAGGTGCTACAAGCTACTGCGGACTACCATGATGCTGACTACAACGTCTATGTTAACTAACAAGGAATGACTGCATTGGTTGCACCGATCCTGTCGAGTTTCTTTGTGGTCGGGTTTACTCAATTGCCACGCGCCTACCTTTTCCATATCACCTTGGTCTATACTCGGTGACCCAGTTTGTGGGGTGATATAGGCTGCCCAGTTGCTCGGCAGTCACCGCAAGAGGAAGCCCGAATCCCCTTGTGTATATTGTTCGCGCCATAAGCCATGCTGTACTACATCCTGGCTCCTCTGCTTCTGCGGGATTTCCGCTGTATCTATAACGCTTATGAAGTCTACTTATGGGTGCTATCAGCCATCAACTCTGCTCTACTCCCTCCACAGAGCCGGGCATTTGACCTATGGAATCTTACTCCCTACGTCCTACGATAATTTCCATTGTTCTGGTCGAAGACAGCCATGCACAGGAAGAGCTTCCAAGCTGCAAGTACTACACACAGTTTGACCGTCCTGAGAACGGGATCCATTATGGGAGTGTATGGGAGTGCTACCTCGACGGTAGAGCAAGATGCAACGCTGTGAACTGGTGCTTCATTCAACATGGCGACTGGAGGTGGTTTGCTGCTTTCAGGTAACACCGCCTTATCAGCTAAGTTTCTTGAAAACAGAGCCCAAGTGACACCATATATACCCAGCATGTCTCACAAAGAAACCATGGACTTCCCCAGTCCCAATGTCTATAAGTAGTTCCTTCATTACTATATACTGAGGCGCTGCGCTCAATGCTATGCGATGCTTGGTATAGCATGTGCAGAATATCTAATGGCCAAGCGTATAGAAATTGTCAGATACCGATTTTGACCAGGCTAATAAGCTCCATGAGCACCCACCCGAAGGGAAGCTGTCAGGATTGGAATAACGAGCCACTTTTACTGCCAAGTCTCAATAGAGCTTCGATTCTGGGCGTCAGATACTACCAAGTCGCTGGATAGTTTTAGAACGGATGGGGATGATGACAGAAATAATCTGCTATGGTGAAGGCATGCAAACAGTCGACATGGGGGTAAGAGGAAAGATTGAGTACTGGGGGAAAACTGGGGTGGCATAAAGGTTCCCATAACGGTCCCCACATTAACGGCTCCGTATAAAGTAGATCTATTAACAGTAGCATGAAACAGCCCCATCTCGGGATGGTTGACGGAATTCGGTGTTGGCTTATCTTTCAGGCCGCTACTTGGCTCTAGAACGAACTGCTCAATCAACCGCGACTCGGTGGCCAACGGCTGGAAAAAAATTACGCAATCTACCCTGGTTGTTGACCAGTTCAATGGCACATTCCAGACTACACATATATATCCATGGGACGGACAAAGACGTCCAGATTATAGAGATCATGCTTCGCAAGATCCAGGCAATCACCAGAGTGACCAGGGATTCATTGGGCGAAAAACCAGACATTCGGCAAAGCGGAAAAGACCCGATGGTATCATTTTTTTTCGAACAGGAAATGGAAATTTTGTTTTTCTTTCATTCAGGGGAATCTATACACAGGATTGAGATGCCCTAGAACATCCGGAAACCCTGTCTGAATCCAAAGGCAACCCCCTGTTGGAAAACCCCATAAAACACCAAACAACCGCAAGGACCGTTCTTTCGTTCGCTTAGATGTGGGTGTCGTAAGGGATGGGAGTGATGGTCTCGGCGGAGACACCCTCGATGGTGTGAGCCTCACGGGGCAGGACGGGCTGTCTCTTCAGGTGGAGGTGGATACCCTGCTCCTTGGCCTGGCGCTTCTTCTGGGCGTTCTCCTTGACACGCTTGATGAAGTCCTCACGGGAGCGGGAGTGCTGGACGTGCTCGATGCGGATGTTGACGCGCTTCTCGAGGTAGCGGTTGCGGACGACCTTGTAGAGGAGGACACCGACGGAAGACTTGGTGACGTTGTAGACAACACCGGTCTTTCCGTTGTAGACCTTGAAGGGCATACTATTCCAATATCTCAGCAAACCATGATCGATCGAAGTTTCGGGATACACCACGCAAATCCGTTGATGTCGGAATTTCCATGTGTGCACCGGGCGGAAATTGTACTGACCCCTTCTGAACGGCACCGTTGACCTTGATGTCCACGATGTCGCCGACCCTGTAAAAAACGTATCAGACCCTGCTAACCCAAATTTTATACAATCCAACTCGGCGGGAAATTTCGGCGTACCGGTAGGTCTTCAGGTAGGTCGACAGGCGGATGGCACCCTTCTCCTTGAAGTTACGGCTGAAGGCATACTGAAAAGTTCGTCAGCGCGGGCGTTCGGACCAGCGAAAAAGCGTTTCTGCAGGCTGGGGGAAATCGGCATACCCGAGTACCGGCTCTCAAACCGTGCGAGTGACCCATATCGGCGGTGTTGGTGGTGTTGGTGTTGAGAACTTGTCGACGTCGAAGAAATGCCTCGCTCTGCCGCCCGTCGCGATGTGTAGACTTCTCGGGTGCTTAGTGCGGCCGTTCTCCGCCGCCGAGGGCTAGCCCTTGCGCTAGTCCGCATCTGGCTCCACCCTCGCTCGCTTAGTTCCTTTCTGCAAAAGCATCTTCATCTTCTGAACCTCTGCGATACCCGTGTACTTTGGTGTGTTCGACAACATCACGACAACGCCCAATCCGCAGCCATGGCCCCCGTTCCGTGAGTATTCGCCATGCGATGATATCTGCCCGTCTCGACATTCGTCTAATTGCAATGTTCCCAACAGCCGTGTCTACTCCAAGACCTACAAGGTCCCCCGTCGTCGTAAGTAGCCTTATCAGTTTTTTGCAAAATTTCGCGAAGTCCGCGCCTCTCGTTCATATACTAATCGATATGCAGCCTTCGAGTCGGCCCGTCTGTTAGTACTCTCCGGCCACTAATGAGAAGCGTGCTTCTCTTTATGTCGTGTGTATCCGCGCCTAACTTTTATCGCTAGTGACGCGGAACTCAAGGTTGTCGGCGAGTACGGCCTCCGCAACAAGCGTGAGGTGTGGCGTGTCCAGCTCACCCTGTCCAAGATCCGTCGTGCTGCTCGGTATGCGCCCCCTGTTTTCGATAAGCGACTTGCCTATGGTATCGCCAGGAGGCTGAGAAGATGATCGGTACTAACCGCTCTGATAGTGAGCTCCTCACTCTCGATGAGAAGGACCCCAAGCGCCTCTTCGAGGGTAACGCCCTGATTCGCCGTCTGGTGCGCATCGGTGTGCTCGATGAGTCCCGCATGAAGCTCGATTACGTCCTGGCCCTCAACGTTGAGGACTTCCTGGAGCGTCGTCTTCAGACTTGCGTCTACAAGCTCGGCCTTGCCAAGTCTATCCACCACGCCCGTGTCCTGATCAAGCAGCGTCACATCCGGTATGCGCCTCCGGCACGATCCACGAACGAAGAACACTCGAAGCTAACTTTGCATACAGTGTCGGCAAGCAGATCGTCAACGTTCCCTCTTACCTTGTCCGCCTCGACTCCCAGAAGCACATCGACTTCGCCCTTACCTCCCCCTACGGTGGTGGTCGCCCCGGTCGTGTCCAGCGCAAGAAGGCTGCTGCTGCCGCCGGCGGTGGTGACGACGAGGCTGAGGAGGATGAGGAGTAAACGATTAAAAAACGGAGTATGGACGGGTTTCGTTAGTGAAAATCTAATTACGGGGTCCCGTCGTGGCTGCAGCATAGCGTATAATGTTGTACGATCATGCAATTCTATAAATGAACCAATAGCCTACGGCTCGATTCTGAGACCCGAAATTTTTTCTTAGTTGTAAAGATCCACCATGAACATTGCTACACGCCCCGTAACTGGTATATGGGTATGAATCGCAAACGCCGACACCAAGGTACAACATAACTCATGTAAACTCGAAAGTCCCCTCAGCCCTACACCCCCACTAGTTTCTTTAGTGCTTCTTCGGCACTTCTGTACCATTTCCCCATCTCCACCAGCCCATCACTCTCCCCTTCTTCCTTCTTCCTCTGGACCTCCTGGGCCTGGGCTATGGCTTCTGACTTCCTCCGTTCTAGAACACCTAGTTCCCGCTCCACCGCTTCGGCCTCTCGTGTCTTGCGGGGCAGTGCATTCTGCACGGCAGCGAGTTGTCGATCGAGGGCCGCGAGCTCAGCCTCCCGTTCCGACAGCAGGCTCAACGTCGCGGGAAGAGGAAGGGTCTGGGACGAGGACCCGTGTGTATCGATTCCTTGTTTTTCGCGTAAGTCGGCAATAGTTAATTCGAGATTTTCGATGGACTCCGGGAGACTAGACAGCTGGGTTATCTGCAGCTGAACATTCTTGTACCCTGTTCAAGTTGCGTCGGATATCAGTACAACCTCGCATCCTATCTTATAACACCAGAACTTGATGATAGAACCCCGGCCTGAGATAAAGTAGTATAGAGAGCACTCACGATTCGCCAATTCCTTGCCAGTTTTTTCCATTTCCTCCACCATACTCCGGACTTCTTCTTTGCGCGCGCGGAGCTCTGCCTTCACCTCCGCCAATTGTGTCTCCATCTCCACGTTCTCATTGTGTCCGACCACCAGGGGCGGGTCGCCCACAATCGCGCGCAAGAATTTCTCCTTGGTGACTTGCTCAACGTATGAAAATCGCAACTTTGAGAATAGTTCCTTCAATAATCATGTCAGTACACCGATCCATCCATAACAACCTTGTTGTGCGCCCGCGGGGAAAACCGGCTTCGTACTTTATAATGTGTCAGATCCGCTTCCAACGAGGCAGGTGTGGGGTTATATATGGTCGAAGCATCTGATCTGCGCTTCGACGGAGAGGGTTGGCTTCCGGCATCTGGAGAAAATATCGGTTCGCTGATGCGGAGGATGTTCAGCTGCGTCGTGATATCGCCGTTTTCTTCCTGCAGTTGCTGGAGTTGTTTTCGTGCTTCGGTGGCGTTCGGTTCGGCCATTGTGCGCGTTCAGTTGTCTGTCAAGAGGGATTTGAAAGTTGGTCAAGCCGAGGCTATCAGAGGGGATGACTATACAATACGTCTTGCTGAAGGAGGGGGGCGGTGGCTGCAAAATCCATTCATCTATCGCGCGTCGGCAGAAACATGCGGAGAGGTAAACAGATTCCTCGGCCCCACCACTTTATCGGCGCGGGCGGTGAATCCCCCGGTGAGCGGCGACAATGAATATCGCCGGTGATATCGCTCGCTCCTGCACTTTTTAAACGACGTGACGGTGGTTCCCACTCATATTTTAGGCAGTTGCCTTGATTTTACAATTCGAGCCTTTACTATCTGCCTAAAATTCTGACCTCATTCAACTCTGCCATGATCTGATTCTTTCCCTTCCGCCGTTTTAATCCGTTGCATTCCCCTCGTGGCGTTACCCGACACCATGCCTCCCAACACCGCAAAAGCAATCGACCCCAGCAACGATGATCATGTTGCCGAGTTAATGGCGCGGGAGGCGCGAGACAGCTCCTTGAAGTACTCTGCGCGTGGATTGGAAGCATACATGCCGAAAAGGTATTTCACTCCATCAAGAACTCTCCCGCGGTCATCTTGGACGAGCTGACGGTTCATTACTTTAGGCCTACCGGCGCTGCCCCAAAACCAAACACTCGATTCCTTCGTCATATTATCCGAGAAACAGACAACCATAACACTGCCCTGAAACGGAAAGAAGAGCGCGAAGCCAGGGAGCGAATGCGACAGCTAAGGGCCCAAGCATCATCCTCATCGCACGATGCAAGACGTGAGCAACGACGCGGTCATCGGACATCGGATGAGCGAGGGTCAAGGCATGAACGCAGACGAGATCGCGACGAAAAGTCTAGCTCGCATCGCAGAAGACATAGAAGTCGTTCGGATTCTGAGAGGGATCAATCGCATAGGAGCCGTCGCAGACGTGAGCCTGATGATGTCCACGATACGGAGCGACACAGACATTCTAGAAGGAGTCATCGAGATCGGTCATATTCTCGGTCTAGAAGCCGATCTCCAGAAGATTCTCGGGATGCTGACTCTCGCCGCCGTCGCCGACATTACCGCAGTCGCTACGATTCAGTGTCACGGTCACGGTCCCGGTCCCCGAGGGTCTCTGGGAGGCGCAACAATAAAGACGGCGAACGCAGGAGTCACCGGGGCTCTCGGGAATATGAGTCTTCCAAAAGAAATGAGACAGTGGCACGCGAGGAAAAACCACCTCTTCGCACAGCAGACTCGGAGAATCCACAATCTGGAGACGAGTCGGATCCACTAGAAGACCTAGTTGGACCTCTGCCAGCGAAGGAGGGTGGTCATGGGTTTCCAGAGCCGGTTCGCTCTCGGGGTCGGGGCGCTTATAGGCCTAATATGAGCAACATCGACGCACACTTCGCGGCTGACTACGACCCTACTACGGATGTTCAATTGGAGGAAGAGGAGGGGCAGGCAGGTAGCCGGTCTACTCGCCGACCCGTGCCGGGTTTAATGACTGGAGATGACGACTGGGGCCTTGCTCTTGAAGCGGTCCGCGATCGCGCTCGGTGGAAGCAGAAGGGCGAGGAGAGACTGCGGGAAGCCGGCTTCGGGAACGAGTTTGTGGAGAGATGGAAGAACAACACTACCTCCACGCCCGGGGACGACACCGAGGGCAGGCTGGATGATGTGAAGTGGTCGAAGAAAGGCGAAGGTCGCGAGTGGGATCGGGGCAAGTTTGTTGACGATGATGGACATATTGACGTTAAGGCGTCTTGGTAGAGGGGCATGCACTCACACACTTGCAAGGTTCGGGCGTTCTATCGGTCATCCAGATATCCATTGGTACAGCTTGTATCTAGGCATATCTCTGTATATTTACTCGAACATAAAAGGAATATGTCATACAACCATTTTGTGCACAGTAATGAATGCTGCTGATGGGTGAATTATGGAGCCTTATACGTATTTGGCAGTACCGCGCCTTAGCTCGCATATATATACCGCTGCCGAGGTTACCCCGCAATCCGACTTGATAAACAGAAGTACCATCAGTTTTTGACAACTTACGACCAACTGTTCCAATTTTAATATCGGACTATCACATAAATCAAAAAATCTTCTCTTTGTACCTGTTGACCGACCTCGTATCAACACTTATTCATCGCTCATCCGTGCCAAGCCAGGACCCTCATTTAGTTCCGCGCCTTTGTCAGGAGTGCGGAATATTGCAACTGAACCTTGCATAATCGCCTCATGATTGCCTAATCAGCTACGAACAAAGAGAGGACAAATCATCCGGAAAAGACCAGGATGATGGAGTTTAGATTAAAACTGGGTTGGTAATACATTGGACGTCCAGGTGATAACGGATGATGCTATAAAGATGGGTCTGTCGCCATCCGATTGCGGAACGGCTCTTGTACACTTATCGGATATACACTCGGATAGCGGATTTTCTCCCCTTTTAAAACATCAACACCGACCAAACTACGAGGAAAGTAAGGAATATCGTTCGGTAACGCAATTGGCTTCGACTGAAGCTTGAACCTCGTGGTGATATTGTTTGGAACTAAGTCTATTTCTTGCATCCCTCCACATTTCATTTTCATCCGGACAACCAACCCCCTCAATGACGGATCAGTTCGCATTCTCGTACCCCTCACCCCTTGCGGGGTATGAGGATCTGGAACCACTTCCTATGTAAGTGAATCACTTGGCAAGCTCTGTCGCAATGGAGGATATTATCGAAGGAGCGTTAACAGAATCGCCACAGGGAAAAGACAGAAGACGGGAAATCACTAAGAAACCCGCAACATGGGATTCTGAGCAAAGCATATGAAGAATTCCCCGACCCCCTCAGCAAAGACCGTCGCGGGGGGTTTGACATCCACATCTACCACTTCCAGGTTGGTAAATCCCATACCGGGCCACCGAGATCCCATGCGAGGACAGAACACGGCTAAATTCCCCTTCCCCAGACCAATCCCGACCAAGTCGCCTTTGCGAGAGCGCTATGGGAAAGAATCAGACGTGAATGTAAAACAACCCCTCTCGATCACCCCCATTAACTTGCCATGGCTGTCTTCGAGTTCATCTCTCCTGACATCGCGCAGTTCCCGAGCTACGCATCTACGATTTCTTCGACAGACCTATCGGGCCTCATCCTATAGCCATGTTCGAGGTCAACCTTTTCACACCCGCACAATTTGGCGCTTTCGTGCCTTGGCTCGTGATTAACCGGGGGCCATTGAGTGCGTTGATCCATCCGAACACGGCGCATACCGAAGAGGAGCGAAACCATACCCAGCGCGCTACATGGCTGGGCGACAAGATACCGCTTGATTTACGGTTGTTCAAGCTCATGAAGGAAGCGCAGAAGAAGAAGGAATTGGAGGCTGAGCAGGCGGCAAGGAATAATTAGTTACCACACTACCTAACTTTACGAGCATGATTGTTTTGAGAATGCGAATAGTATTTATTGAAAGAACTGCAGCGAATTTTGAAAGAAAATGCCGGGAGCGTCGGACCGTTTATGATATCCGACTCCATGTGTATGTATATAATCGTATCTAGACTTTGGAGGTGTATCGACGACAGGATTATTAGCCACTTGCATGAACTTCTATGCGAGGCCCTGCATAGGGATACCTCAATGCCTATGCGCGGGGATGATCTGGGAATCACGGAATCCGGCATGCGAAGACAAGCAGATATTTGACTGGCCCCGACCAGCATCACGGGATCTGACCATCTTCCCCTCCCAGCAGAATGTGACCATGAAAATCACACCCCCATTCGACCCCCTCACCCATCAGATGCATAGACTCAGATCATGCTTATCACTCAACGGCGCAAGAGACTCCCACATCCATGCAGAATGCCTCGGACCCTCGAATCCCCCTGCAAGGAAGATCGCAGACAACCGGGGAGATGGCCCCGTCACTTTCAACAGCCTCCACAAGACACGAGACCGAGGGAAAAGCAATAATTTGCTTTCCAGCCCTATCAGCTGCCATAACGATTGGGTTAGCCCTGTGGGTGGAGGTGAGGTGGAACAGGAATCTGAGACAATGACCCTCGCCATGAAAGGTGTCAGAAGGTCGGTCGGCCAGAGTCAGACAGGCATTGAATATGCAGGCGATACCACCGAATCTGATACGTAGCATAATCTCTACAAGGGATGCGCACCTGGGCAATATACCCGTGATGATGCGCTGCTGGAAAAGAGATAGGCACTGCCCCGCCACCATTTTATAGGGTAGGAGTTGCCTCTGTCGCAGGACGCAGACTGCATTGGAATCGATCGATATCCAGTTGATGTGATGATATTCGACTTGTCAGAATGTGGACCCTAGGTGCCAACTTCCTCTATTCCGTGCTTCAGCTGCCCTTGCTGGCAATCAAGGACGAAATTGCAGATACCGTTCCCTTGGATCTGGCGGCAACTGCTTTGCCAAGTTATGTTTTGGAATATGGTAAGTAGCCCGAGTGGACTCACCTATAGACTTCTAACAATTCGTTAGCACCTTTAGTTTGGCTATATAGCCAGGAAGCCTACCTACCCTATGATTTCGGGAAGCAGCTTGTACATGCAATCCCGATGGTCAATTGGACTGCAATTCAGGGAGCACCGTCGCCCTTGACGCTCGATAATCTGGCAAGCCTGAACGATTTGGGAAACACCAGCGTTTATCTGACCTCCAAGGAAGGCATCAACGCCAACCCGCAGCCAGAATGGCTTCATGGCGTGAAACCAGATGCAAATGGCAAGACAGAAGGCGCTGTCTCATCAGCAATCATTGTCCGTGACCACGGCAATGGGACGTTGGATGCCTTTTACTTCTATTGCTATGCGTACGTGACCATGCTCGCCCTACCTAGAGTTGTACCATGCTAAACAACTGAAAGGTACAACCAAGGAAACACAGTCCTGGGCATGGAATTCGGGGACCATGTCGGCGATCTGTAAGAACCATATTTAATCTATCCACCATCCCAGCCCGTATACCCGCTCTAACTTCCACCACTACCAGGGAACACAACATGATGCGATTCGAGAACGGAGTCCCCAAAGCCCTCTGGTACAGCCAGCACGCAGGAGGCGAAGCCTTCACCTACTCCGCCACCGAAAAGAAAGGCAAAAGACCGATCGCATATTCCGCGAACGGGACACATGCTGTATATGCGATTCCCGGGTACGATATCTAACCCCCAACTAGTCCCGTCCCCTCTGCCCCTCCTGACTCATGCATGCGATAATCACTACTATCCATATATGAAGCCATCACAGCCAAGAAGACCCCTCCAAGCTCGCCCTAACAGTATATAATATATCTAGGACCCACGACCACGCGATCCCCCATTTCAACCTTCCCGTAGGATTCGTAGAAGACCATACGGACCGAGGAACGCTATGGGATCCCATCCAAAGCGCCTACGCATACAGCTACGACGCGGCGAGGCGGACCTTCCAGCCCTACGATCGTAGCTTCCCGGTCAACTGGCTGGGATTCAATGGCCAGTGGGGTGACGATGCTTTGCCGGGGGGTCCGGAGCTCTTTGGGGAAGCGAAATATACGGCGGGACCGAACGGACCGAAATTCAAACACCTCGTTCGGGAGACCGTTTGTTCGGATAGTCCATGCGTTGTTTTGCCTTTTCGGACTTGGAGTGAGGGTGAGATGGTGGGGGAGGAGTGATTGAATGGATGGATGGATGGATGGATGGATGGATGATGTATATGAAGAAGTTATGCCATTGACATGAGGCACGATGGTATATATGAATCACTGTTGGAGCGGATCCCGTAGATACTATTAGATACTTACTGTACTCCGTAGTTGATGATCAGAAGGGGAAGGGAGGGAGGCGGTGTGGGTGGATTTGGACTGGACTGTGGACTGACTGTGGAGATCGGGGTACAAGATCACTACTATTCCTACTCCATACAGTCCAGCGTATCTATCTACAGACATTCTTTACTGTACCTTAGGTGAACATGCAAGCACGATCAGCTGATGTTCCAAACCCGCCTAACCAAGCAGTTGAATTCCGGGCCAGGAACCAGCAGCGCAAACTTGGGATCACGAACCACGACTCCGTACGCCGTACTATGGAAGCTTAAAGTAGTATGACCCGGAACTTCGCCAGGGCTGGTACTACGCCGATGCTTATTCAGGCCGCAGAGCGTCCATTGCGACAGTTCCTGATAATGGTCCGATACCTAACTCAGGGGCTGCGGCGGACAGACAAACAACAGGACAGGATGGCGCGAACTCTAAGGTAAGCAAGGTAGTTACGGAGTAACTAGGTACTGGCTACTGTACCTGGCAGGTACCAGTACGGTATGGTATTTCGGAGGTGTCTGACTCGCTCCCACCTCAATTGCACTGTTCGCTGGCTAGGAGGGTGTCAAATATTGGGTACTGGGGGTGCCAATACCTGGCTACGTAAGATACGGAAGCTACTTATACTGGAAAGGGGCATCTCCCCGCACTGCCTAAGATATGGGCAAAGAAAAGGGGCGGCGAGATGTGCACAGTAGTAAGGATCAAGACCCCCAAACTGGCAAGATCTGACAGCTTTGCGACGTACGGAGAGTACGGTATCTTCATCTGTCGCGTATCGGGAGGGACGGACAACTCCGATTGACATGTTGGGAAGGCGATGGATGACCCAACTGTGACGCCAGCAGGAATGAATGCATGCCACATGCAATCAGCAGCGCCTGGTGGACTCAAGGGATGTCAGTCCCCCCGTTAGACTCAGAGTCCCCACGTGTGGATGGAGTTTTGATCACCGCCTGCTCCAGCTGGAACGGTGTAGATACACTGTACGGAGTACCTAAAGTGTAAACATACCTTACCGGGTAGATAGATACTTAGATACCGTTTCAACCCCAAATTTGCTGGATCCGTACTGCACGAGCGTTGAATCATAATAATGGCGGTTGAGCGGATCATCGTTTGGATAGAGGAGGGAAATTGATCGGCCCTTTTCGGGCTGGTGGTGTGGGCAGCATTCCAGCCGAAACAAAGAACAGGCCATGATGCAAAAGCCCATTCCACCAACGCTGACTTGGCCCCCTCCCTATGGAGATATGCCCCGGGCTATACTGCTATTGACTGACGCACACGCTGTCGTACTGCATGAAAGATGCGTGACTGTAATCGCTAGACGGGCTGCCCCTCCAGCGTGCAAGCCATACTGCTAGGCTAACCGTCCGCCGCCCTAGACCGAGTGCGGAGTTAGAGGCAACCTAAGTACTAACCTAATATACCTAGAGGGTTTTGCTGAGTGGGGGAGAATGGGAGAGGTCGAGCTCTCCCCTGCCGGCTACCGCTTTGCCCCTGAATTTCATCCAGCTCAAAAGCTTCTCGAGCTTCTTCTCCGCCCGGTAGACGACAAGGTGTAGAGAGAGAAAAAAAGAAAGGAAAAGGAAACCCGTACCGGAAAAACAGAAAGAAAAAAAAAAGACTTGTCCTTTAGCACAAAGGACATCGGAGACCTCAGCAAGCTCTGAGACCCGGACGAGCGTGGCAGAAACGGTCAATTCGAGCTTTTGTTTGCAAAGCAAAAGTGTATCAAGTCGGTTCGGAGACAAGCAAGCACCGCTGTCCTCACCGGCCGATCTTCATCTGCCTTCCAACACTGTCACCCTTGGGTGCCACTTCTTTCCGTTTCAGCCTTCTCATACTTATCTTCTTCCGATATAATTGATTTTCTCTCAATTGTATGCGCCGCATCAGTCGGACGCAGCGAGCAGGCATCTCCCGACTCTCCCTGGTAGGATTGTGAGTCACTTTACAAACCGCACGTTTGTTTCTCATCTCATATCACCTCCCCGTCGTTTCACCGTGACGAGGAATCAATCGACAATTGAAAATCGCTTGCTGGGCTTGTGTTTGTCGATTTTGGCAGACCCCTGATCGCTGGAGTTTGTGTCGCATTCTACCGTCAGACCTCCGTTCGTTGCTTGTTTAGTGGTGGTCGAGCATCTGCTTCTAGTTGTTGACTTAGAGAATCAATCCCGTCAGTCATCCGGACAGTTGAGCCCAACGGGAAAGAAAGGAGAAAGACGCCATTATTTTCCGGACCAGCGTGGAAGTTTGGTACGTTGATCCCACCTTAAACCCCGAAGAACATGATCTGTTGGCCACCCCGAAGCCGGCGCAACTATCCGCAAGTTGTCTGCGGGGGGGCAGGCGCAAGCCTCAACTTCTCAACTTGGACCTGAGTGCTCAGTCCTGACTGACTTTGGTTGGCAATTGACTAGATAGGTGATTCCATCGTTCGAGCCCTTTGTCTAGCCCAGGTCGAACCGAGGGAAATCGGGGAGCGCTAAAGACACTGATCCTTTGGCACCAGGCTGTCTCTATATCTGAGACACGATTCATTCCCAGAGTCCCCACTTTTAGTTGGCAAATCCCCCCCATTTGTGTTACCACCAGTCCGTGATAAGGGTAAGGGAAGCACCGCCCGGAAATAAAACCAATGGCAACCGCATCACCACAACCCCGGACCCCGGGCCGGACTCAGCCTTCCGCAGAAGTCCCTCCTGTCGTCACCGATACGAAAGATCAACGCAGAACATCCTCCCTAGGTTTCCTCCGCCGCTCCAAGTCCATAGAGCTCCTAGGTGAGAGGAGGTCCTCCGGAAGCAAGAACGGCAAGAAGATACCCCAGCCAGAGGACGAGGTTCGCCGTCAACGCGACTCCGTCATGTTTCAACAGCCTCCCCGTCTTCCAGACCTCTCGCCTGCCCCCGTCCTTGAGACTTTCGGCGGCGATGAGCGCCAGGACACCGTGACTGCGCTTTCGAGCCAGGCCTCTCCGCCCCAGCAACAGGCCACACCCCGCAGTGCGATAAGCACGCCCGTCACCTCGGAGCCCAACGACACCAATGCACGAACGGAGAGCATGACGCATCGCGGCCGCTATAGCTACGCGAGTAGTGCTGTCAGTAATACCGTCAACAACCCGCGTCGGCTGCGTCGGCGCAAGGACCCAACCCCGTACAAGTGAGTCGCATGGTAGCACCTTATGGTGAGCTATCTGAGACATGTCCTAACTCGTTCGTCAGTGTCCTCGTCGTTGGTGCCAGTAACTCAGGCAAGACCTCATTCCTCAATTTCCTCAAAAAGTCTCTCGAACTGCCACCGCACAAGCACCCCTCTCGCTTGCCCGAGGAAGTCCAACAGCAAGCCCACCAATCCTCCGCCAACGAAGGCTACGTTTCCCACTACTTGGAAACAGAGATCGATGGCGAGCGCGTGGGACTCACCCTGTGGGATTCCCAGGGGCTGGAGAAGAACATTGTTGACATTCAATTGCGTGGGGTGACTGGCTTCTTGGAAAGCAAGTTTGAAGAGACTCTGAGGGAAGAAATGAAGGTCATTCGCTCACCCGGAGTTCGAGACACCCACATCCACTGTACGTTCTTGATTCTGGATCCTGTGCGCCTGGACCAGAACATAGCGGCTGCTGAGCGGGCTGCCCAGGGAATCCCTAGAGCAACTGACTCACCCGTCGTTGGGGTTCTGGACGAACGCCTTGATATCCAGGTTCTGCAGACTATAGTGGGCAAGACAACCGTTGTCCCGGTCATCAGCAAAGCAGATACAATCACCGCCCCACACATGGCATACTTAAGGAAGGCCGTGTGGGATAGCTTGAAGAAGGCCAACATCGACCCTCTGGAGATCCTCTCTCTAGATGATCAGGACGAGTATACCTCTTCGGAGAGCGACGACGAAGATGCAGACGCCAAAGATGAAGACGCGGACGCCTCAAACACCGAGGAAGCCGCACACTCCAGGTCCCCACGCTCGCCCTCTGAACGCAGCCAATCCACGCGCAAATCATCCGGATCCCAAGCTGTTGTCCAGCATATTCCATTCTCGACCCTGTCCCCCGACCCGTACTCGCTGAAGGCCGGCGATGAACCGGTTGGACGTAAGTTCCCATGGGGTTTTGCTGACCCGTACGATCCCGAACACTGCGATTTCCTCAAGCTCAAGGAGGCCGTGTTTAGCGAGTGGCGGTCTGAGCTTCGAGAAGCGAGCCGGGTGGTCTGGTACGAGAGATGGAGAACTAGCCGCCTGAACCGTAAAGTTGCGACCCCCAGCCCTGCTCAGCAGAGGAAGTCGTTTGGGGGAAGAACGGGGCCCGACCCGCGTCGGTACCGGTAGTGACTGCCGCCGGCAATCATCCAAGCCTTGCGTCGGCGAACCGCAACCGAATGCGCGAGCCATCTTCTATTCTATCTTGACTGATACCTGAATTTCTTTCATCGCTTGCTGCTCGCGGCCGCGAGCTTGTGTCATACTGGACCCGCCGGGCTACTGTATTTCTGGATTGACGACGTTGATGTCAATTTGTTTGCTTGACTGCCCGGACTCTCAGATGGAGAACCATGGGAACCCTTACTAAGACCATTCACATATCGGAAAAAGGCGATCTGTTTCATATCTGGATGGGTTTGGGCACTCAGGAGCGAAGCGCATCGGCATTTCATGTTTTATATTTTACGAAGTCGCCTGGCTTGGACATCGTATTCTCTGAGAGCATAGTTGAGAGAAGCGGCTAATTTTTCCTATGTATTTCTGCTGTGGCACTAATTTGTGTGGCCCTCTACGAACCCTCGCGAGATTTGTCTTCCTTTCTACCCGTGATATCAGTTTCGGTGCTTCAGTGTTTTCAACCCAGCGCAAGCCCAACCTTGTGTGCCCAACGCGGTTATAGCTGCTTTGGCTGAATTCCTTTCTTTTGTATTCCCCCTCCCCCACATATTCCCCTTCCCGACCGTCATCATCTTCTTCTCTTTCACTCCCATGTATTCTTGAACCTTTGCTTCCTCTGGTTTTCAAGACCAAGTGTATTCCCCTTCCCGAATGGTTGACGGCATCGGTTGACGATCATCCGGGTTCGGTGCATCCGTCCCATGCATGTTCCTGTCCCTTGGCTGGCAAACGCGGGTGATGCCTGTTGCAAGCATGGAACCAACCCTCCTAGTTTGTCCTCGGGGCTGCCGCCTGCTTCTGCATGGTTCTGAAATGACGAATAGATTGCCACTATCTGCTTGATGTCTGTCGGGAATTGTCCTGCCGATCATCTATCCACCTACTTATCAAAGAAGAACCGATCCATCATTTCTGAATTTCTGGCCAGTCAGATTTGGGGAGAAATTCCCCGTAGCCGCGGCGCGATACCGTTTTATGTAGCGTAAGAGCACCAGTCTGTCAAGCGCCATGCTCACACCGTTCCTTCGCAGGAAGGCTGAAAATGCCGGATCGTCGATGCTAGGCCGCGATACTAGCCAATGACCGTCCGTCGCGGGAAGGGCTCGTTCAAGCGGCGGCGGAGAGTATACGAGGCGCTAAGGAGTAAACAAGTGCAGATTGCAAAGAGGGGGTGGAATGTGGATGCTGGACCCCAAGTTTTGTTGGCCGCCATTCGTGAAGCCGGTGGATATTGGTCGCATGCTACCGCGTGGTGTGGGCCTCGGATTTCCTCAAGGCTGCAGCAGTCTAGCAGAAAAGACGTGCGGCTACAACAGAAGCGTGCTGTGACTGGCGGCCTTGATGGATGCGATAGAGGGAACAGGAAAGCAGAGGGAAGGGGCGCCAAACCGAATAAATGAATGAGTGGTCAGGATGGTGTGCTTCTTGCTCCTTACCTGGGGTGCTGCGGCTCTCAGCCCCGCGGACGAAGCAAAGAGTCAGAGAGGGAGAGTCGGAGTCTGGCTGTTGCTCAGCTGAACTGGACGCGAACCCGCCGAGGGCAAGTCATTCCGCCCTCCCAGCCTTGGCCGCCCAGTGACACACACTGAACTGACACTTTCACACATTCAACTCTTTCTCTCTTCTCCCTCTCTCTTCCTTTCCTCTTTCTTCCCTTCTTCCTAAGCGGATTACCCTGCTAGCCATCCTTCTGTGGTTTGCATCAGTCAGCACTCACAATCAAGACCAACATTCTTGTTGAATCCATTCGCGACTTGCACTTCTGTCATTGCACCTAGACCCCGTATTTAGTCGCGGTTGTCCATCCATGTCACTCCAGGCTGGCGACCCACGGTCGCGAGGCCGTTCCAAGTCTCCAGGCGGCCGTATCCGCGAGCGTTCCAAATCTCGCGACCCCCGCCTCTCCTCCACCGCCGAACCCACCAGTCAAGGCATGGGCAAGTATTTGGCTTCTGACCTGGCCGATGCGAAGCGACGGGCGAGGTCCCGAAGCAGAGGTGTGAGTCCAGCCGGTGCTTATCGACATACTACTGGTTTGCGGTATGTTGCGGGCCCTGACTTCTACCAGGACGGACAGGAGCCCTACCTGCGAGCTGAGCACGGTCGCGACTATTACTACCAATCCGACTCGGGAGAAGGTAAGGCAGTCAGACGCGACGACAGGAGGTATGCTCCATCGCCTCATCATCGGACCGCCCATTTTGACAGAGATTCCGACCACTCCTACTCGGATTCGGAGGACGATGATGATGCGCTGGCTTATGGTGACCTTCCCGGAGGACTTGAGCGCAGCTTCTATGGCTATACTAGCACCTCTCACGGCAAATCTCAGCGCCATGATGGCGCCATGATGTCGGGGGCTTTGAACGGGAGCCCAGCGTACAGCAGCAAGCCGTCGCGCTCCGGTGGTGGCTCGAAGGAGGATGTCTCAGCTTTCAACTATCCCGCACCGGTTCAGTATCCTCAACCACAGCCTCCTTCGTCCCAGTACGGTGTCCCTCCCATGTCGTCTGCCCCGCAGTCTAAGTCTAACTGGGCACCGATCCCCGAGTGTGAGCGACCGGGCTTTGTGCCGCCGACGTCGCAGGCACAGGGACAAGCTATGCCTGGAGCATTTCCGCTTCCCGTTTCAAGCCATCCTGATGTGCCTGCTACGACCGCAGCAACTGCTTTTGCCTCTGCGAGGTACGTCACCCCCGAGGGACTGCAGAATCCGTACGGGTCGTGGAATGGTCGCCCGGTCTCGATGCCCGTTGGCAATGCATATGCACAACCAGTGGCTCCTCCGACTCACCAACGCACGGCTTCGAATGATGCGGCAGTTAAGCCGCCATACGCTGCACCGTCTCAGTACCAATATGCGCACATTGACCCCAACGCCAATGTCACGTATACTAAGAGCGCGGCACCCAGTGCAGCGAAGCCCCTCTCATATTCAGCCGCGCCCCAGTACCAAAGTTCTGGAGGAGCTCAAGCAAACGAGCCCCGGCAGGCTGGTGTGAAGTATTCCGCTACTCCTCAATTTTCCAAGCCTGCGACCGCGCGTCCGGAGACTGGACCCCAGTACGTCGAGATCACGCCGGGAACCCGGTCGGGGGCTCGTCCGCATAGTCGCTCGGTTTCTTCTGCCCATAACCTCGCCGTGAGTGGGCCTGACCCGACCCAGCGAGCTGCTAGCCCAATGCTGGAGCCCTACAAAGGAACCTACCAGACTATTTCCCCAATGCCGTCGCCAATAGTTGTTCCCGGCAGATATGATGATGACGTATCGGACATGGAGCTACTGGGTACTAGTTCGGACGAGGGACGAAGGGAGCACAGGCGGAAGAGATCCATGGATGGGAAGGACCGAAAGGAGTCCAAGAGTGACCGGGTGAAGAGGGATAGCAGCCGTGTACGGCACGAAAGACATGATTCCAGCGGGCGAGATGCCCTTGTTGTAATCGCCCCCGGCAGCAGCCGGAAGCGAGTGACTTTCTACGATGCGGCCCCGGATGCCATTGCGCTGCGGGACGCCCTGTCGCATACCCGGCATGTCGACAACAAAGCACTCATCCGCGTGCTGCCGCATCTGACCGGCGATGAGGTCTTGGACCTCCGCAAGGAGTATAAGAAGCACGTGAAGGTCCACGGGAAGGGCGTCAATCTGGCCAAGCATATCCGGTTGCAGCTAGAAAATGGGGCATTTGCGAAAGTGTGTTACGCCACTGCTCTGGGCCGTTGGGAGTCGGAGGCTTTCTGGGCCAACTGCTACTACCAGTCGAGTAAAAGCCGGCGTGAACTCCTTATTGAATCTCTATTTGGCCGCCGCAACAGCGAGATCCATGAGATCAAAGACTGCTTCCGGGACTCGCGATACCACGACAGCTTGGAAAAATGCATGAAGGCCGAGCTGAAGGCGGACAAGTTCCGGCTGGCGGTGCTGCTCGCTTTGGAAGAGAGTCGCCAGAGCGAGCGTGACCCTACGGACCTGGACCTGGTGGATCGCGACGTGGATGAACTGCGTCGAGCTCTCATCACTCCCCACGGCGGAGAGACGGCGATGATCTACATCATTGTGCGGCGAAGCGACCCGCACCTCCGGGACGTGTTGCGTGCGTATGAAAAGGCGTACGGGCGCAACTTCGTCAGAGCCATGATGGAAAAATCCCAGAACCTGGTGGTATGTACCCAAACCTTGCCCTCGCTTGGATGATCCGAGGCACTAACTGCGTCAACAGGGCGAGACCCTCGCACACATTCTCAACGGGGCCATCAATCGGCCCATGCGCGACGCGCTCCTCCTGCACCAAGCGCTGCACGAGTCAGGGACGAGCAAGGAACGATCGGAGCTGCTGATCTCGCGGTTGGTCCGGCTTCACTGGGAGCCGCGACACCTGGAGCGCGTGAAGAGCGAATTCCGGCGGCGATACGGCGAGCGGCTGGAAGACGCGATTGCGGAAGAGGTGTTGACGGCGAGTGGCGGCAGCGAGTGGGGGGAGTTCTGTATTGAGCTGGCTCGAAGCTCGAAAGTCCTGATAGGCCGGAGCTAGATAGTCAGTCCATTGCCCTGTCGGATTGACGATAGAAGACGGGGTGAATGACTGTACCTTGTATAATGTTTATGATGATGATGATGATGATGATGGATACGACGCAATGATTGGTTATGCAGGTAATGAAATAATTGCATCCGACACCCGACTGGCTGCGAATGAAGACGGCTCAAACTTGGGCCAACCCGCACTAAGGCTCTAGTGTAGATACTACTTTTAGCCACCCAGCATCGGTAGAATTAGGGGGGTGCCTTGGAACTGCAAGCCAGCAGGGCTGGCGTTCATTACTGGCAAGAATGTCGCGCAATCCCGCCGTATGCTGAGCAGCGAGTTGCAACATGACATGATGGCAGCCCCGTTCTTCAAGAGATCTCTTGGCACGAGGGCACGGGCAGATCCACCGTGACAGCAGCTCAGGGACTGTATCTACATACTTACATCCCACAATCTTCTGCGGCATACGTACACCAGGCCAGCCACCCGGCCAGCCTTGGACCAGTCAAGTCTTTATGTAGGCCCTGAGGTCTCGCGGAGGTGGCACTGGAACCCGAGTTATCCCCCATTGGGACCTGGCGAGCTGCCTGAAACAAGACTGCTTTCTGGTGCTGTCGGGGAAGAGGGACTCCGACTCCTGGTTCCAGAATGGCCGATCGCCGGCACCAGCGAGAATGGTGCGAAAAATGGCGTGAACGTCTTGCCGCCGGGGGGGGGGGGGGGGGGAGGCGCGATCCATCTTCCACGAACCAGGCCTGCCATCGCCCACGGATTCCTCAAACCGCAGGCGCCAAAAGTAGGCTGAATATGTATCACCTTCGCCATGCTTTCCTTGTCTTCCGATCTCTCCGTCTCTCTCCCTTGCGCTTCTATTCCTTCTACTCCTTCTTCTATATCCTCATATCCCTCTTCCTCTCTCCCCACCCGCTTGGTCACGATTCTTCTTCGCCAGGGGTGCTTGCTTGACCTCTGCCACGCCCATGAATCATGATCGCGGATCTATGCCTGTTTTTCTTGCTCTTACTGCAACTGGCTTTGGCACAGCGGCACGATGACGATCTCATGTCCTTCGTGACGGTGAGTGGACTGCACACCATTGGAACTTCCTAAGCCACTTGCTCATAGTTGTCTAAGCTGCCCGGGGTCAGGGCCTTGAAGTTCGACATCACTCACCACGACCGAGACCTCGCGAGTCCAGGATACTGGTTTGTCGCCCCGTACGGGATGATCGACCCGGAGGCTTCGACCCGCAAGTATCTACAGTATCAGGTCGGACCCTACATCTATGACCAAGATGGGGTAAGTCCTCTGCTCCAGCCTCTCCGATCATGAAGCTGACCAGCGTGCTCCTATCTTAGGTCCTCATCTGGGCCGGATCTCCTATGTTTGGCAACCGAAACGTCTTCGATTTCAAGGTCATCAACAATATCGACGGCCGGCCACATCTGTCCCTGATCGCGCAACGGACCTCTGACGGAGGCGTTCCTGGTGGCGGTATCATCCTGAACCAGCATTATGAGCCCGAAGCGATAGTCCCTAAGCTGGACGACACCTGGGAGTTCAACGTGCATGAGTTTAAGGTGCTCGACGGCGGTAGGTCAGCCTTGGCGTGTGTGTATCAGTCGAAGGTACTGGACCTGGCGGACGTGGGTCGCCCTGGGGAACAGAGACTCTTCCTGACCGGTGGGTTTGCCGAACTGGGCCTTCCCACGGGGATACCGTTGTTCGAATGGGACTCGGCAGACCATCTGGGCATACATGAGACAGACCGGTTCCACACGTGGGAAGAACCCATGGGCGATTGGGGATACGATTCCGTCCATATGAATTCGGTCGATAAGAATGCCGACGGTAACTATATCATCTCCATGCGATTTACCGACACAATCTACATGATCTCTGGAGTGGATGGACATGTGATGTGGCGGCTGGGTGGACGAGAGTCCAACTTTATGCAGGACTTTGTCTTCTCCAAGCAGCATGATGTCAAGTTTGTCGAGTCCAATGGGACGCACCATATCATCTCCTTCCTGAATAATGCCTCCGATGAGATCACGACGAATGAAGAGGTCTCGTCTGCGATGTTTGTCTTGCTGGATACGACAGCCTACCCGATGACTGCCACGCTGATCGCCCGCTATCGCCGTCCGGATGGCCAGTTGTCGAGGCTTCGTGGCAATGTCCAATTGCTCCCCAACGGCAATGTGTTTGTCGGATGGAGCGAGCGAGGGTATCAGAGCGAGTTCTCCCCGGATGGGCGTATCTTGATGACGGCCCGGTTTGCATCGGATCGCTTCTCGACCTATCGCGCATACAAGTCCGAGTTCACTGGCCGGCCTCGTACACCACCCGATATAGTGGCATCTGTTTACGGGACAGACGACTCGGATCTGACCACGATCTTCCATGTGAGCTGGAACGGTGCCACGGACGTGGCCCGATGGTACTTCTACGCGCAGGGGTATGATGGCGGAGCCCCTGTGCTAGTTGGGAATGTCACCAAGAAGGATTTCGAGACCATGTATGTCGGCCACGGGTTCTTGGACTGGGTATCCGTCGCAGCCATCGGCCATGATGGCAATGTGATGGGCACCTCCGCCGTACATCGGACTCGGACACCCGACGACTGGAAGGCTGCTGGGTACGTCGGATCGTCCAAAGGACCGTCCCCGACCAACCCCTCGAGCGTGTCTCTGATGGCATCTGGCGACGCCGAAGTTGTTACGGCGCTTTACCAAGCGTACGAGGTTGTCCGCGGGCTTGGAAGGCTCCTCATTCTCATTCTCATCTTGTCATCACTCATCGGGGTCACTCTGGGGGCTTACTGGGTTCTTTTCCGTCGCCGGCGGCGGCAGGCGCAAATCTATCGCCACGTTCCCTCGGGGGAGAGCGTCCCCATGGTCGAAGCGTCTTTGCACACGCACGCCGAGGATTGAACCGCCTGGTCTGGTCGGGTGAATATAGGATAAGGGGGGGGATTGTATTTTTAGACCGTCGCATAATAAATGCTCTGTATATAGACTTCGCTTTAGCAATAGCAATCAATAGGTAATACACCGTCTTGGCTTGTGTCTTGTGTCTTGTACTCCGTCGGCGATGAATCCGGCCTCCACCCATCCATCCGAGTCAACCAGCTCATCTCCCTTGGCGTCGAGGTGGCATCCAGCCCCATCTATCTAGTCCAACTGATTGTTGGCGATGGAACTCCCTCCATGTCCATGTGTATTCCCATCGCCTCGCCTCACCTCCCCTCACCTCACCTTACACCCGGGCTCCAGACCAGGATTAGACCAGGGTCGGAAATTACAGCCCGCCCACTCACCCACTTACTCAGTTACTCAGTTAGTTACTCGCTCAAATCGGAGAGTAATCCTTTTTTTTTTGAAATCTTCCCGACACTCACTCTTACTCCTGCTGCATGTAGCCTGCCTGCCTGCCTTGGGACAGAGTAAGTAGGTAGGGAGTACATACGCACCATGTTCATCTCCTTTCGGGGTATGGGTGTGTGTGTGTGTGGGGGTGTCACGGAAAGCAAACCCCCGGAGATTATTTAGTCGGGTTGTGAGTTGCGTGTGTTGGGATCTTGTTTGTTCTGGTGGGTGGGGATGGGGTTTGTTTTTGGATGCTGTGCATAGGAAAGGGGGGGTTGTTTATTTATTATAAGTATTGTGTTGTGTTGATGTTGATGTTGATGTTGCTGTTGTTGGTATGGGGGATGGGAAACTGGGGTTGAAAAGGAGGGTGGACTGATTGATTGTTGGTTATTACCTAGACCTGTGTTGGTACAAAGTAGTAAGTAAGTAGCACATGGAAGGTAAGTAAGTATAGTAAGTAAGAAGGGTAAAAGTAAAAAGCGAACCAACTGCCGCTGCCGCCATCCGCGCCGGCACTGCAACTTCGCATCGCATCGCATCTCACTTCTCATCTTCTCATCTCCCCTTGTCGCCGACGAGCAAATCACACCCGCTGCTGGATGGACGAGCCGGTCACACTGCAGTCCTGCATGCAGCCATGCGGGACTGCAGTCAACCAACCATGCATGCCTCCGTTCGCTGTGACTGGTGGACTTGGCGGTTCCTGGACGCAGGGGAAGTCTCCTTTCTTCTTTCTCACATGATGGCATCACAATCACTTTCTCGACTTGCAAGTAGTCGGTCACACTCGCCAACTGGGACTTCCCCGCGATGGATGGAGAGGGAGAAAGGGAGATGGAGGGGAGTGAGGTGGTGGGTTGGATTATTACTCCTTGCTTGGAGGGGGCAGACAGACAGACAGTCAGTTCAGGATGGTATCACGGTCTGCGCGCCTGTTCCGGGTTGCTGGATCGGCAGCAGAATCGACACCCACGGGGTCATCGGCCATCGGCCATCCATGAGGCTGCAGTGCTGCAGTGCTGCAGTGCTGCTGCTGCGCTCATGTTACCTCCTGCCGTTTCCGATCGATCGACGATGTGTTTTCTCTTCTCGCCTGTTGTCGCCTTCTTCCGCCCCTCCTCCCATGATCGCGGCCAAGAGCCCATCACCCGTCGCTCGTTTAATCTATCGTTAGTGAAGTATTTATTTGTGCTGCAAACTCATGATACTGTCACTCGTTCCCCTCTGCCTCCGGTAGGGTGTCATCTGCGTACCCCAGCCGGATCTGAAGCCTGCCTGACATCTCCTGCTAGCCCGCCCATGCTCAGCTGCAGACTCAACGCCTTCATTTCTAGGGAGAGCTAGAGCGAGTGGCGTCCTGTCTCGACCATCTCGCCGCGGTCCAGCGTTCGCGTCTGGCCCGACCTGCTCGGGGGTGTCGCAGTGCTACATGTGGGATGGGGGAAAGTCTGCTCGAGACTACATGCCGTAATTAAAGATTGCATGTAAGTGTCTTGATCACACTCAGCCACGGCCCTCATACCGGCCCCCTTTCTTCCATGAACCATGCATCCCATTGCCTTCCTCCGGGCATATGGATGCAGACCGCATGAGTCCTCTCTCCCACCTCCTTCGGGGAAAGGGGACTGACTGACAGGTCAGACGATGTCCGGAGACTTCTCATCACGCATCTCCGTTGCTTATTTGGAAATGTCTGTAGATTGCTTTTTTCTCTGTCCCTGTCTCGTCACTGACGCAACTGCAACTCCTGAGGATCCGGGGGGTGTGAGTGTCTCGCCCTTCAAATACCCCCCCTTATCCCTCGGTATGCTTGATCGATCAAATGTGGGTTCAAGCCGTTCCTGACATTCCAATCAGTCAAACAACATTCCAGGAACCACATTGCCCGCTTGGTTTGTGTTAAACTCTGACGTGTTTTGGCATTGCTCTTCTCGTGGGGCAAAAAAAAAAAAAAAAAAAACAAAATCCCTATCCCGAACACCGTTATAAAGGGCCATGCGAGCCGGTTGAGATTGTTACAAAGTTGCAGAATCAACCATGAATCAGTTCGCTATAGGTCTCCTCGCGACGGTGCTGGCCTCCGTGGCTGGGGCTACGTCCGTCTTTACGCCTGCCCGCCCCCCTGCCTTGCCTTTGGCTGTCAAATCGCCGTACTTGAGTACCTGGTTGTCTGCGGGGAGTGATGGTGGTGATGGGGGCTATTTGGCGGGAGAGTGGCCGATCTTCTGGGCGTGAGTACCTGGATATGCGCCCTGATTCTTTGATTTTGAAAGATGCTGAGATGTCAAATTCTGGGTTAGTGGCGCGGTCACAGGCTGGGCCGGTATGATTCGTGTGGATGGGAGTGTTTACACCTGGATGGGACTGCCGGGGACTACCACGGTGAACCAGACTTCCTACGAGTACACGTCTACGAAGAGTATCTTTACCATGAATGTTGAAGATAAGGTGGAGATGAACATCACGTTCCTCTCCCCTATCACGCCCAACGATTTCAAGCGCCAATCGCTCGTTTTCTCATACGTTGATGTGGAAATCGGATCTCTCGATGGCGCGGCCCATGATGTGCAGCTGTATGCGGACATCTCAGCGGGTATGTGTGCCTTTCTGGTACGGGAAGGATTGAGATGAGATGCTGACTATGGCAGAATGGGTATCTGGGGACCGCACCGCCCCTGCGACATGGAGCTACGGGGTTACGGACAGCGACGTCGCCTACCACAAAGTCAGCCGCCAGACGCAGCTTGCCTTCTCGGAGGTCAGTGACCAGGGAGAATGGGGCGAATGGTTCTGGGCGACGGACAAGACCGAAGGCTACACCTTCCAATCCGGTGAGGATGTTGTCGTTCGAGGCGCGTTCTCTGCGAACGGGACGCTGGGCGACACCCAGGATTCCGACTACCGCGCCATCTCGACCGATTGGCCTGTTTTCGCCTTTGCCCATGACCTCGGGTCTGTGGACTCGTCAGTTGGGGTTCTGTACTCTATTGGCTTGGCTCAGAACGATGCTGCTCAATATGAAGGGAGTAGCAGCGGTCTTACCATTCAGCCTTCCCTGTGGACGAGCTATTTCAGCTCGGGTCCGGATGCTGTGAGTGACTCTTGCTCGCTCTAGGCTATGATGCCTCTCACCCTAGGGGCTATGTTGACCCTGTGCTTATTTAGTTGGACTTCTTCCACAACGACTATGCCATTTCCTACGCGCTTTCCACGAAATTGGATGACCAAATTGCGACGGATTCCATTGCCGCTGCGGGCCAGGACTACCTGACCATCACTTCGCTCACCGTCCGTCAAGCTTTCGGCGCAACGCAGCTGTGCGGAACAATCGACGATCCCTACCTCTTCATGAAGGAGATCTCTTCCGATGGAAACATGAACACGGTTGACGTGATCTTCCCGGCACACCCCATCTTCCAGTACACCAACCCCGAGCTTCTCAACCTCCTGCTGAAGCCTTTGTTTGAGATCCAGGAGTCTGGAAACTACCCCAACGCTTGGGCTATGCACGATATCGGGAGCCACTACCCCAATGCCACAGGCTATCCTGCTGGCAATGATGAGAAAATGCCGCTTGAGGAGTGTGGAAACATGGTTATCATGGCATTGGCCTATGCACAGAAAGCGGGTAACGCAGACTACCTCGAGGAACACTTCACCATACTCAACCAGTGGACGGGATATCTCGTGGAAGAGGCTATCTACCCGGCCAACCAGATCTCGACAGATGACTTCGCAGGCAGCTTAGCGTACGTACTATATGGTTTGATTGCAATTCGGACCGATACTGACAGTGACTAGTAATCAAACCAACCTGGCCCTGAAAGGGATCATCGGCATTGAAGCCATGGCCGTCATCAGCAAACTGACTGATCACTCCGAAGACGCATCCAACTACTCTTCTATCGCTCACAACTACATCGACCGGTGGCAGGTCCTGGGTATCGCGCAGGACGCGAACCCGCCGCACGCGACGCTCGCTTATGGCTCCAACGACACCCACGGTGCGTACCTTCTGGTTCTATGTCTGGGTAATACTGACAGACCCAGGCCTTCTCTACAACCTATATGCGGACCGGGAGTTGAACCTGAACCTGGTCCCGCAGTCCGTGTACGACATGCAGAGCACCTTCTATCCGACGGTCGAGCTGAAATTCGGAGTCCCGCTCGACACCCGGCATAATTACACCAAGAGTGAGTACTCAGTCTCCCAGTGTAAACATTTCGCTGACCCTCTGTGTAGGTGACTGGCAGATGTTCACAGCATCTATCGCGTCTACCAGCACTCGGGACATGTTCACCCGGGATCTCTCCAACTGGATCAGCGAGACGCCCACCAACTACGCGATGACCGATCTCTACGACGCCATCAGCGGAGAGTGAGTCTTCTTCTCCCTTCTCTTTTTCTCCTCGATCAATCACTAACAATCACAGCTACCCCTCAATCACCTTCATCGCCCGACCAGTCATGGGCGGCGCCTTCGCCCTCCTCCTGCTCAACCAAACCTAATCGCCGCCACCCATCAGCATTATATATACCCATCTGCGCGCGTGTAATAAGCCCACCTCGACTATCGTTCCAATCTTGCACAGGTTCTATTCATCGAACCACACCCTTCTTTTTCCACTTACCTTCTTACCATACCTACCCTATCCTTCAGTTCAGCATCAGATGTGCGGGCCACTCGTTCATATTTGTATTTTGTGAGGTTATTACTACCATTTTTCCTAAGGGGTGGGACATTACTACTAAGCTAGATTGCATGGCATGCTTTTCTGTGCCGAACGCCAGACAGCGACGCCGGGGGGGGGGGGGGGGGATAGTAGCAAGAACCTTGGGAGGTCTACAGCACAGCACAACACAGCACAGCACAGCGCATTTGGGAATTGGACTTGGGGACATGGGTCCATGGTTGATTGAGTTGCACTTTGCACAGTACATAATTATTTTCTTTCTTGTCCTCTTTTTTTAGGTTATAGGTTATTGGGGACATTGCAAATATTATTTAATTGATTGGTTGTGGTGTATTCATTGCATTGACTCGTGTCTGTCTTCTCTTGGTAGGGGTTTGTGTTAGACTTATATGGATGAAATTTGGGTTGTTGCGTGGTTGAGATGGAATGGGTAGATGGGATTACGTTGGTGATGGATTGTAGTGAGGAGTAGGTGACTGGGATGTAAATATGTAAATAGGTAGGCAGGTATAGTCAATTAGACCATGAAGACATCGTGTCGTGTCGTGTCATGTCATGTCATGTCATACACCATCAGCAAACCTGACTCAACTTAGATAGTTAGTTAGTTAGTTAGTTAGATAGATAGATAGATAGTATACCATTCATTCATAAGACATAAACGAGAGAGCGCGTATCCATTCTGCCGACAGAATAAAATGAACTTTTGGCGCATGTAACCAATCAACCAATCAGCCAATCAACCAATCAGCCCACCAACCAATCAGCCAATCAACCAATCAGCCCACCAACCAATCAACCAATCAACCAATCAACCCACCAACCAATCATCCCACCAATCAATCAAGAATAAATAACCAAATAATCCAGCGAGCCAAGATTTCCAGTAGAAATTCCACATCAATCCTTCCCAATTTCAGTAAATATTGCAGATCGGGGTTTCCCAATTTAAGTAAGATCACCTTTTCTCGAACAGATAGGCGGATGGGCGAGTCCATTGAGCCATGAGATGGCGAGTAGCAAGCTCACAGCATGTCGTGGGCGGGTTCGGTGGGGTCTGAGTTGAAAGCTGAGGTTGAGTCTTCTCCTTCCCAGGTGTCGAAGGAGCGGATGAGGTCTGGCCAGAGTTATTGGTTAGCAAGGGATCGATTGGATGAGGTATGATGTAAGAAGGGGTGTTGGAGTGGGTATGTAGGAGATTGATAAAGAAGGGGGGTCGATAAGGGAGGGGAATATGGGAGATAAATGACGGGTATGGATAGCGTAGTAATAGGGGGGGTTAACAGGGTCATTGACAGAGTGATGGCCAAAAACAGGGTGATAGAGGGATATAGTAATAGAAAACATACCATAATACAACGCCATCGCCTCCAAATGCACATTGGGGTCGATTTTCTCATCAACAGTATGAATATTCAGCACCCGGCCAGCGCGCGACGGACTCCAGCGGTAAATATTCCGGGACAGGTTCCAGTAGAACCGCGTATCGGTATTACCGGTCATGATGTCGCCGCTCACAACAACGGTCTTGCCAGACAGACTGGGGACGGACTCGAAGACGGAACGCGTAACGCCAGAGAAGCGCGCCCAGACGGCGTTCGTCTCGATGTCGGTGGGGCTGACGGGGGCGGGGCTGAGAGATCCGCTGAGGGTGGTGAGGGTGAGGTGGTGGTTGAGGGAGGGGTCGACCTCGTCGCTGTCCGGGAATGCGGTGAGGGAGATGTTGTATTTCTCAAGGATGGGGGAGATGATCTTGACGGCGCGGTTCTTGACAACGTCGGGGGTCTGGTGCAGCGCGACGCGGTAGTTGACCACGGCTTTGATCTTCTCGGGCAGGGCGTTGGACTTGATGCCGCCGGAGATGATGTCTGCCGCTTGGGAGGTTTGGAGAATGAAGCGGAATTTCTCGCCGCGCGAGGAGGCCAGTTTCTCCGCGAGGGAGACGTAGTCGGAGGACTGCAGGGCGGAGGCGAGCCACGGCTCGACTTGCGAGGGGGAGTGGCGGACCTGGCATTCGAGCATCTTGCGGGTGGGGTGGTTGGAGTCCAGCACGGGGACGAAGAGGTCCTGGCGCTCGAGCTCGTAGATGATCTCGGACAGGATGCCGATGCCGGTGTGCGGGGGAGGCACGGAGCTGTGGCCGCCTGAGACGGCGAGGGTGAGTACCACGTCGAGGCTGCCCTTTTCGCCGACGCCGGGGAGGGCGTACACGACGCCCTGGTCGTCGTCGCTGTCGTCGTCAAGGGTCTCGAGGCCCATGCCACCTTCGTCGAGGACGAACTCGAAGCTGTCGGGGCCGTATTTCTTCTCCAGGAATGTGTCGATGGATCCGGCGCCGAGGAAGCCGTGGGACTCTTCGTCGAAGCCGAAGGCGAAGACGACGGTGCGGGTGGGGTTCCAGTCCTGCGAGAGGAGATCCTCCGCGACAGAAAGAAGACCGATCAGGACGTTCTTGCAGTCGCTGGACCCGCGGCCCCAGAGCCATTCGCCGTCATAGTGGCCGTCGAAGGGAGGGTAGGTCCAGTCGGAGGGGTCGTTTATGGGGACGACGTCTTGGTGCGCGGTGAAGAGGATAGGCTTGAGCGAGTCATCCGTGCCATTGAGGGTGAAGACCAGACCGAAGCGGTTGATATGATCGACACGGGCGTACGAGTGACTGGCTTGTGTTACGGGAGTTTGGGTTGCAGGAGGGGGGGACGTACGTGATCGGGAACAGGGTCTGCAGAAGGTCCTGGAAGTCGGCGAAGCGGGCGAACTTCTCGTCATAGGGATCTCTCATGTAGTCATCGATCGTGGTGGGGACCTGGACAGCCCGGGACAGACGGTTGATCTGCCTCGACTTGATCTCGTCATCCTCTACAAATCTGAGGGCGGGAAAGAGTCCATCGTCGGGCACGTCAACCTTGTGTGCCAGCGGGCAGAAGTCGCTGGTTTCCCCGTGGGTCAAGGAATTGATGATCTGCTGCGGGGAAGGAATGCTGAGGGCTGCAATGGACGGGACCAGCAGCCCGGCGGCAAGAGGGAGAAGCTGGAACTTAGGCATCTTCGACTGAAGCGACTGAAGGACGAAGGAGAGAGGAAGTCGGAGGATAAGAATGAGGGGAAGCTGGAGACTGACACATTGACAGAGGCGCTTCCATGGATGGGGTTATCTTATCACGCAGTTGCGCAATCTCCCGGCGCTCCGATAGCTTCCCCTCTCGTATCTCGGCCACTTTTCCGTCACCACCAACAGTAGGACGGTGGGCCACTCCATCGCTGTGATAAGCGGACGGGACCGCGCAGGGATAATCGCCAGATGTAGGCAGCACGTTGACACGGCTTGTGCGGAGGACTTCATGGGTGTATGGAGGACGGAGTACAGAGTACTTTGGATTGATCGGATCGAGCAGCAATCAGTCCCGATGACGCTAGATTGTTAGCCCATTTCAGTCCCTTGGCCGATTAGCACCAATGCATTGCCAGTTGACAAATCAAGGGATAGTTAGTCATTGTTGACTAGTCGGTGGGTTTCAGAAGGATTTCCCCTCGACTCCCCTTTCCGTTTCGCATGCCGTGGGTTATCTGGGCATTTGCATCCTGTGGACGCAATTGCCACTGCCTTGAAGAGCGAAGACAGAATGGGAATTGGGTCAAGTCTCAGACAGGAGGGATGCTGTGTCAACAGGTCAGGTCGGCAGACCCGTCAGTGTTTGTGGCGCTGTCAAGCTTGCGACGATCGACAATCCTAGTGCCGGTGAATAATGCGGAAGCCGAGCATTGGCCGAGGAAGAAGCAAATTGACGGAGGGGCGGAGAATGAAGCGACGAAGATCGAGCGACGAGCGATGAGCGACGAAGCGACGGAGAGAAAGAAGCAAAAGCAAACAAAAGACGCGACGCGACCAGCCGCAGTCTCGTGATCTCCGCCAACTTGACTTCTCCAACCTCGCGGTTCGCTGTCAAATCTATTCCTGACTCTTGACTCTCCACCCTCCAGTCTCCGTTCCATGGGTCAAACAGCTCCAAGAGGCTTCTCAGGTACAAAGTACAACCCCAGCCTGACTCGGCTACCCTCGACGAAGCTGACCAACCCAGGAATGGAGCCAACCCCCACAGAACCCAAGTGACAATCGTTAGTCGCCGCGTGGTGGTCTCAGAAAACAATAGTGCGACGATCGTTACATCATCCGGGAAACCCCTCTCTCGCCCTTGAACCGAACAGGCGAACAGTCTCCCCCCCCCAAGGCACCCAGGGCGGGCGCAGCGAGAGTGGCCATCATGAAACGCCGCCTCAAACAGCAAGGGATCGCCCAAACCGCGGGACGTGGAGCCGGAATTGGCCAGCGAACCAGTTCGGAATCTGGAGAACGAGAGGCGTTCGTCTCGCGATCTTCGGATCGGCATTCTGCTGCGTTTGTTTCACACCCGATTTTTGTGTCGAGTTCCAAGGGGTTGGGTCGCCGTCAACCAACCGTCGTGAATAATGGGGGTAGTATTTAGGTTGGGGACGCCCTTGGATGGCAGAGGGATGGTTGACATATCAGCTCCTTCGTTCTAGCTCTTCCTTGCACATTATCCGAGTACATATCTACCTGGCTTGCTCTTTTCCCGTCTCGCTCTTTTCCCACAGAAGTTCAACACTCGCTTTCGACCATCACAATGCCCAATAACAACATGACCATCCTCAACCTCGCCTTCCTCTGTCTTATCGCCCTCTCCCCCGCCGTCTCCGCCACCACCGGCTGCTACACGACCCCGGGAGAGCTCGTCGCGCAGGGGACCTACCAATTCCAATCCAACGGCTACTGCCAACAGATCTGCACCAGGCAAAACCACACTGTCTACGCCCTACACAACGGCAACGAGTGCTCCTGCGGCGACCAACTCCCACCCTCGTCCGACAAGGTCGCAGACACGGAATGCGACAGCCCCTGCTCCGGATTCCCCTCTGAAACCTGTGCGTCCTCCCAAACCAACCCCGGGCCCCCAGACCCAGCCTCCACTAACCCCTCCCAGGCGGCAGCACCAACACCTGGACCGTGATCACCGACTCCAGCAACGCCAAACGCGACGACGACTCCTCGGTGATCGTCACCGCGCCCGACACCCCCGACCCGATGGCAACCTACAAGGTCAACCCGACGATGGTGGAAACGGGCATCGCGATCGCCAGCACGGGCGAGGCCGACAGCGTGCCCAAGACGGCCATCCCGAGCGTGATCCTGACCGCGCCATCGACGACCGCGCCGCAGCACGGATCGTCCGCAACGGCATCGTCGATGGTCATTGCGGCGTCGTCGGCTGCGGCGTCGTCTAGCGGGGTGGCTAGCCCGTCGGCTAGTGCAGGGGCTGGGGCAGGGGTTGTGGCTCAGTCAGGGTCGATACTGGGGGGTATGGTGGTGTGTGTGGCTGTGGGGATGTTCTATTAGGGTTTGATTCAGTCAGAGCCTGGCCAGGTCTGAAGCAGGAATCAGGATGGACGACTTGTATAGTACGGAAGGGGGGAATAATGCGTGGGGAATCGCGGGTCGAATCCGCCGCAGCTGTTGGCGAGAGTGGTGGAGTCAGCCCTCTAGTGTATAATTAGGGTCTGTCGCTGGCGGCAGCCGTTAACTATTGTGTCTACTTAGGAAGTCCAACTTCCACATAACACCGGAACCATAATTGAGATATCCAATGTGACATTATTCGCTCGCGACGACAAGGCTCTATGTTGAATTAGGTTGGGTTAGCGCCGCAGCCAAAGTTTAGAACCTAGATAATATCATCCTTCTCTATAGCCCCAGTCCACGTGGACACCACATAAGTGAAGGAAGTACACAAGCAGCAAGTCAAACCCGAGTGAGTCACTACTATGAATGGTTACTACCATATCAGCCCACCCTGCCTGTGCCATCAATCCCCAATCCCCAATCCCCAATCCTCATCCCGCATCCTAAGGCCAAGGCCAGACTTAGCCTCTCAAAGCGGGGCCTCACCCAGCGCCCTCAAGGGACAAGGCTATCTTGTCATTTCTGTCCCTCGCAGACCCTGAGCGAAATCCCATTCAAATATTTCCTCGCACAAGCCGTCTCCTGACCTCCATCTATCTCCCCAACTACCAACCAACTACAAACTAAAGAGTCCAATCCAGCTAACCCAGTCCCTCACCCCCACCCAGCAATAAGCATCACCACCCCCAAGACGGACTAGCCCGAGAGCCCAAGTGGACACCGCATCCACGACGCATCCACGACGCATCCCGCGCAGGATCACCGCCAGTGCGGAATGCCGCCGGGCGAGTGGTGGGATTGGCCGGGTCGGGAAGTGCGGTGGAATCGGCCCCCAAGATGGATGAGGATTGGGGGGGGATGCTATATAACACGAGGCTTGGCGGGGAGACTTGGAGGGACTAGAACTACTAGAGCTGGTTCGAGCTGTGTCGTATCTTTCTTTCTATCTCCGACTAGACTAGATAGTCTACTATCTAGACAGAATATCGTTACCGTTGATGCTACTAGCGGTGTTAAGACCCTGTCAGGGCACACGCTTGTTTGTCAATGTCAGGGCTTGGCTGCTGGACTAATAGTTAAGGGCTAATGGCTATATCTATTAAGAGGAGAAAAAAGTCCGACCGTGGAGGATTTGGTCGGCCGTTGGGTTGTGTTCGATTTCTATTTCTCTACTCTACTATCACCGTTTTTTTCTTCTGTCTACTCGTCCCCTCTTACTTTTATTTTTATTTTTTTTTTTGCTTTGCTTTTTCTGTGGTGGTAGTGGTATTTACTTTTTCTAGAGCTGCATGCTGCATATCTAGCTATATCGGTCTCTTACCAACCAATCTACCAACAGACCAACACGGCAAATTGCAACATAACCCTACATATCCTTATAATCACCCCATACATCGCACACCTACCTACCTACCTACTTACCTACTTACCTACCTACCTATCCACACACACACACACACACACACACAAACACACCATCAACTCAACCACCACCATGACCCTCAAACTCACACCCACCCCACCCCAACATCAAACATACTAACCACCCTCACAACCCTCACAACCCTAACCCTCCTCCTCCTGCTCACCCCCGCAACGGCCCGCGAATGCTACTTCCCCGACGGCTCGGTCGCGACGGAGAACGTGCCCTGCTCGAACGCCACCGACGCAGCCTGCTGCGGGCGCAACGACATCTGCCTCTCCAACAACCTGTGCATGGACGTTGCGGAACAGCCCTACGTGCTGTCGAGGGGTGGGTGTACGGATTCGACTTGGGAGAGTGACAGTTGTCCATCTGTTTGTCGTACGTATTTCCCTCTTTACCCATCCTATTCTGTGGGATGGGTTTGTTCTGTTTGTGTTTTTGGTTATTAGTTTGATCAACCAACTAACACATATCTCTACCCCCTCCTCACAAAAACAGAAGACGTAAACACCTCCGGCGGCTGCTCAATCATCAACCTCCTCTACGTGGACGGCATATCAACATACTGCTGCGGCACGCCCATCAGCAACGGTAGCTCGGTCGTCTGTCCGGACGGATCATCCTTCAAACTGACGACCGGAGAGATCGTGTACGGGTATGCCGGGCTGGCGAACCTGATCAACACCACTTCCACCTCTACCTCCACCTCCTCTTCCAGCTCCACCTCCACCGCCACCTCGACATCCAACGGCACGTCTACCGCATGCGCGGGTACATACGGCTCGAAATCGAGTACATCTTCTTCTTCGTCCCGTGACACGAAGATCGGGGTGGGCGTGGGTGTACCCCTTGGTATTATTGCTTGTGCGTCGGTGGTGTGGGCGCTGTGGGAACGCGGGCAGAGAGGGAAGTTGGCGAAGGCTTTGGGAGGGGGAGGGGGAGGGGCGCGATTGCGTTGGGGTCGGAGGTGTCGATGTTTGGGAATGGGAATGGGCAGGGGCAGGGGGCGTATTATGTGCAGGCGCCAAGTGGGAAGCCTGTCGCGCCGACGGAGTTGCCCCTGAATGGGGTGTCTCATGAATTGCATTCGTGAGGGGGGTGGGTTTGAGAGTAAAGGGGGGGAGGGAAAAACAAGGGGGGTGGGGGTTGGAATGAGTTGTATATATGTAATCTTATGAATGAATAATATCTATGCTATACTATACTATATGCTTATGATTTGAGGTGGGTGGTTTGATGGGATGGACAGGGTAGGTGCCAGGGTTGAGGTTGAGGTTGAGGTTATCAAGTCTGTGTGAACAAGCCCATAAAGTCCGGCTCGAGAGGGAGCTCATAATTCTGCATCTGCATATTCGCCCGTACCAGACCCGGGAAGCCCAGGAGCGAGCCCGCAGCCGGTTCACCGAAAAAGCCCGTGTTGATGACCTCCATCGGCGGCTCGGGGAGAGCCATGGCCATGTCGGGGGTCAGGGAAGCGAAGGAGCCCAGCGAGTCAGTCGGGTCCAGGACGGGTAGATCAAGCCCGAATGTCGGGGCCAGCAGCTCATTAGCAAAATACCAGCTGCTGCTGTCCTGGACGGAGGATGCCGATGGGGTGGTGGTGGAGGAGGGGGAGGAGAAGCCCAGCGTCTGGAAAGCGAGTTTCACCCGCTTGAACCGCTTCTTCACTGGCGAGATGGCAGACCCGATGCGCGCCACCGAGTCGCCTTTGCAGGCTTGGTGCAGCTGGTCCGCGATGCTGGCTAGCTGGTCTTGCCGCGTGGCGACGGTGTCGCGCTCGTCGGTCGACCCCTGTGCGTGTCGGCTGTAGATGTATGAGAGGCCTCGACCGCAGGTATCGAGTCCGAACACCATCATGTGTGTGGCGTCTAGTCCTGTGGATGTCTGCGTGGGCATTGGTCCTGTTGGCTGCATGGGCGTCTGCGCGATGGCGAGGAGTGCAAGGGTAGACTCGCAGAAGGAGTCGATGATCGACGGCGAGATGACCGGCTGGTCGCCTTTTTTGTCGGCGGAGAACAGCATGTGGATGGTGAGGGTATGGTAGGCATTCAGGAGGAAATCCCGAGTGGACGTGATCGTGACCTTGTTCTTGACGTGCTCGATGGCCTGGAGGAGGATCCTGCGTACCCGCGTTGCTAGCACAGATCGGTCGAAGCAGGACTGGAACAGTTGGTGGAACTCGTAGAGATGCTGCTTCTGCCATGGCATCGACTGAGCCGACTTATCCTCTGCAGACTCGTTGAGGTACAGTGTGTATATGTGTCCGACCGTACTGGTGATATGGCAGAGCGGCCACAGACACCGGATGGCCTGGACCTGTGCCTGCAAGGTCGAGATGTTTCCCGACGCGCGGTCCAGTCGGAGGAGGAGCGATGCCGACTCATTCAAGCACGGAAAGTCCGGCGTGTTTTCCGGGGTGAGGATGGAGAACGGCTGGTCGATCTGCATAAAGCCCCAAACGGTGATAGACAAGCACAGCCAGTAGACGTTTTGCAGGATCTGCTGCTCGACAAGGCCGATATCCAGACCGTTGAACTTTCTGCTGCGCACACGCGAACTGTCCTCCTGCCAGAAAACATACAGCGCCGCTGTAATCCGGCAGGTATACCCCATAAAGCAGGTAGCGCGACGGACATCACCTAGACATAACTCCCTCCACGACATGAGAAACAGCGCTTGGCCCGTGGAGAGAGCCTTCGGGTCTGCTAGTGACATCGAGCGCTGTCTTAGTTGCGAGACCGCAAACTGAAACCATGCGGACGGGTCATTGTGAGCATCCCCAGGCCTGTCCACGGCGGTGTGGATCTCGCATGCATCGGCCAAGATGATCGCGAGCAGGGCCTCATCCACCGTCCCATTTTGGATGTCGTTCGTGAGGAGCGTCTTCGAGACTAGCGGCGACAGCGGATGCACCGAGAACCAGATATCCACCAGCTGCAGGATGCGGTGTTCTCCCAGCGCCATCGGATTCTCAATCGGACACTCGATGTCGTCGAACATATCTGGGGTAGTGTCTGCCGCCAAGCTGGTGATATAATAGTTTTGATGCGGGGAATTCGATCGCTGAATCCCCAGATGGCTGAACCGCAGCGGTACTATCCCCACCATCTCGCAGGCCATGAAAGACAGCAACCCATCGTAGCTAGGGTTCGGTGGCGCCGGAGGGACCGCCGTTCCCCGTGATATTCTCGAATTCCGCACATACGAAGCAATCGAGGTGTCGAAGATGTTGTTGCGAGGGTCCTTGCCGGTGATGAAGTAGATGTTAAACATGCCCTCTAGATCATCGCCCACCACATAGTCCATGGGGTACGTCTCACCAGCGCCATTCTCGAGCTGCCGGGGGGTCTCTCTGTCGACGGTAGGATTGGGATGCGCGAGCGAAGCCAGAATGGCGGTCCCTTTTTGCTTGGGCCGTCCCTTCTTGGCTTCCGGGCTGTAGACGCAGCTGAGGTTGCGCTTCTGGCAGGCGCTGCAGATCGATTCGCCAGAGCATCGGATCTTCCTGGTGCGGCAGAAGACACAGCTCCGCCGGAGGTTTGCAGCCGGCCGGTCGGAGCCTGGTCCTGGCGGATGCAGTTCTGTAGCTGGAACGCTCATGGTGCAGAGAGAGGTGGAAGTTGGAGTCAGCCTGACGGTCCGCCTGACGCGACCGCGGGTGAGTGCAGCACTGCGGGTGCTGCAGGTGTATTGTGGGTGCCTGTTGTAAGTTATCTAGTATTGCAAGTGAGTACGGAGTACCCACGGGTGAATGCTGCAAAGAAATATGCAAGTAAGACTGCAAACGATTACTGCAAGCGAGGGCAGGGAGGATTGTAGGTGAGTATGGCACTGCAGTGAGCGGCGGTGGGTACAGAGCAGCGGAGAGTAGAAGATGCGCGATCGCCAAAGGGGACTAGTCGATCCCAGACGGCCCGCCATCAGCTTACAGTGGAGTCCTACAAAACATTGCCATGAAAAGGAAATTCATATACTATTAATCAAACTGCTATGAACAATCCAAATGGGTATTATGCGGTCGCTCAAACGCTATAACGCTGGACTACCCTAGCTCACTCCTGGCGAGTCGTGTCGATGTTATGAGCCTGGAGTCTCCGAATGTCAGTTGCCTTCATCGTCACGCCGGCGAAATTCTTCGGAATCGGTAGGTGGTGTCTGCTCGCGGTCAGTTGGATTGCCCATCACTTGATAAGGGCGCGCGGAAGAGAACACTTACCGATAAAACTTGATCTTCAGGTTCCTAGCTCGATCCTTGATCTGCACCTGTCCGTCTTTAAATCTGGCCTCTCCCTCCGGCACGTCTTGGGCGTCATTCTCGCGTTCGATCATCGACCATTTGGGGCCGAATTCTTCGATCAGGCGGATCAATCGTCGATCTTCGGCCGCAGACCAGCCAACCGTTGGTCTGCCACGGACAGGTGCACTTGTAGGCGACGGACGTCGGTTCCGTTGGACGGCGGTTCTCCGGGGGACTAAAGTCGGCGCAGTTGCTACGGGTCGAGCCGACTCTCGTGAAGCAGGTTGACCTAGGTCATCATCTTCCGATGTGGAATCATCCTCATTGCCCATCCTTGCGCGCTTGGTCTGTGGCTGTGCTGGCTTCTCGGCGCGTCTGCGCTCAGTGGCCACCTCGCGGTCGTCGGTATCAAACCCATCATTGCTTGAAGCGCTACTGGACTCGGATGAGGACCAGCGGCGTTTTGGGGGTTGTCCGACAGGCCTGCGCTCCGTGCTTCTGGGATCCCCTTGGCTGACAGGAGAGACCCGCACGGCGTTCTCCTGGCGGTCAATGAATGCAAGGCGTGAGTTGCTGGGTGCCACAGTGGAAGGCCGTGGAGCCCTGCTCATACGAGCAATCTCCGCAATCGAACGCATGGGCTGTATAGAAGCCCGTTCCTGGCGGTGTCGCGAAGCAGACCGCATCGGAGGGCTGTGAGACCTCTCTACGTGGCTCTCTGTGTGCGCGCTGATATCGAGGGTTTCGTCATTGACGAGAATCTCTGTCTCATCTACCCAAGTGTCCCCGTCATTAACTCCGCTGTTATCGATGATCTCGGTATCGTCATTCAAGAGAGTGCGAGAGGCATCAAAGAATGTGTGTTCCTCAGGCTGGCGAGGGAATGCATTTTGTTCTGTCGCCTCAGTAGGGCTGGGTTCCGATCGTCGAGGATCCGAAGGCGCAGCCTCAGCACTAGTCTGCTGCTGGCGCTGTCGCTCTGCCAATCGCGCGATATAAGCTTGGCTTAAGAGAGAGCTTCTCTGTGTTAGTACATGGACATTATAGTATATAGGATCACTCACGGTCTGAAAGGCTTCCTTCGATCCCGAACCTCTGGAACAGCGCTGTGCGTAATCCTTGAAGTATCTGGAAGAGGGCGCGAGTTGTTCTTTACAGCAGAAGGCGGGGCACTCATCCGTTCGCTGCTCTCGATCACTGGGATATTCAATAGATCCCTCAGAACAGTTGAAGGAGTGGCTGTCTTTTGAGCACTAGAGTCTTTCGGTTGGGAGGAAGGGTGTGAAATATGCGGAGCGTCCGAGGGAGTGACTGCCTTCGGAGTGTTTGTAGAGCCATGAGTTTGAGGGGACGGCCGCGAAAGACGTTCAGCGTCCGAAGGGGTAGCTGCCTTTGGAGTACTTGTAGAGGCCTGTGCTTGGGGGGAAGGTCGTGAGACACGCCCAGTGTCCGAAGGAGTGACTGCTTTTGGGGTATTTGTAGAGCCCCTGGTATGGGGGGAAGGCTTTGGAACGTGTCGAGTGTCAGAGGGAGTGGCAGTCATCCTCCCTACGGTGGAGAAACGGCCGATGCGCTGCGAAGCAGGCGTCGAAAATCCCAGGGTGCTGGCCAGACTATGGCGAGCTTTGGGCTTGGCGAAGAACCTCTCCTTGACATCTTCTGCGCTCCTTTGGACTTTAGCGTCGTTGCCAATCTCGTCGTTCCGTTTGCGGATCCACTGGACAGCCCGGAGAAGAAACCTGTGCCAGCGGTATGCACCCTTGAACACCTCGATGTCAAACGTATCGTCCTCCTCGAGAAGCAAACGCATATCATTGAACCGCTCCTCGACATCGGTTCGATACGTAGAGGGGAGTTCGCCATCGGGACCTCTGAGCGCCTCCAGATTGAAGCCACGGACCTGGGGCTCGACATCGTCGATGTACCCCTCGGGTATGTTCAAGAAGAAGCCATGGCTCAAGATCGCAAGCGGGTCGAAATCATCGTCAGGCTGGTGCTCTTCCAGCTGCATGATGAGATACTGGGTACGAATCTCCAGTGCAAGCTTGAAAGTATCCTTCTCCAGGAAGCTCCTGCCGGTAGCATGCCCATCCTCCCTGAGGGATAGGTTTGTCATGAACGGCAGAGGGAACTGCCCCTCTACATTCCAGATTGCCCGCTTTGTAGACGGGCCAGATTTAGGCAGACGGCCAGGCTTTGCCAGGAGGATCTCCAAGGCAAAGCGCGCGCAGTTGGCTCTTTGCAGAACCGGACTAGGACTCCACTGACCGTCCAGCCCGCCGTTCTTCTCCTGCAAGGCCGAAAGGAGCAGGCGACTGACCTGCTCGACATTAATATAGGTATGGTGACCAAAGTGCTCTGCCTCCCGGTCCATATTCTCCATCGATCGCGTCAGCCGTCTGCTTTGAGTACCGGAAGGGTCGGTCAGCTTCTTCGCGGCGTTGACGATACCGACGGGATCTTCGGAGGCGGGCACGAGCAAGTCCAGCACGTTCTTCGCCGCACGTTCAAGGTCCGGGAGAGCCTCGATCATCAGATCGTGTTTCAGATTGTCATCGGGCTCCGAGACCAGAGCCGTAGTGCCAGAGATATCGACTTCATTGTCGGGGCTCTCGGGGATGATTTGGGTTTCATACCGCGGACGGGGGGTCTGAGACGGCTGAACAGGAGATTCCTCGATGACATCCAATCCTGTCGAATCGGAAAAATGAGAGACGGTCGGGAAAAAAAAAATAGAATAAAAACAAAAACAAAAATTATCCCCGAAACCTGTCTTCTAAGCACCCCGTCGATGGTCCAGCCTCAACCACGGTACCGGCAGCCAAAGAAATGCTTAGCAGAGAGACTCACCCATGCCGCTCACTCGTCCCTTACTCGGGCCTCCCCACCGACCCCCAGCACCAGCACCAGCATCCAGCAACGTCTGCTCATCGTCCTCGTCGTCGCCAGGCTGGGTCCGCTGACGGAGCCTCCCTTCCTCCAAATCCAACTGACTCTGACTCCTCGTCACCCGTCTATGCTGCGGACTGCCCGTCCAGACCTTCGACGCCTTTCCCAACCCCTCCGAAGGCTCGCGCGACCAAGCCAGGCGCGCCATTTCTGCCAAAACAACACGGCAGGCGGTCAACGGTCGGAGCACGTGAAACGTGACCCCTATGTGGCCGTAAAGGGTGCCACAAGGCCTCTCTAGATGAAGAATGATACTTTGGCGATAATGTAGTGAGTTTGTCGACGGATTGCCGAATCGCTCAGGGGAGGAAGGGGAGAAAGAAGTCTCTGGGGTGTCCCTGGCGGTTGACCCTAAGATTTGGGGTAACTGCATTACATAAGCAGTGACAGAACGCGCTAACCAAAAGAGGAAAACCCTAAACCCCCAAACCCTGCTAAACCCTACCAAACCCTAATGCCTTGCGGTGTTGGCTCATGTAGTCCACCCGAGTCCCCTATAAGGGTAGCAGCACCGTTGCATCATTTTGGTCTCCAGCCACCCTTTTAGTAGTCATATTGGTGTTACAACATCTTTCTAGTCATGGGTGTGCATTTAGATCATCTTACACCTGTTTAACAGATCCCCCTTCGCCGGTGTGACTACATATGGCCAATTTATCCCTGTTAAACCCATTGAGAGCAATCCCCAATTTCCTCCGAAATTGGGCTATTTAGCAAATATCATGTATACTCTCACACGGTTGTATGGACCTCAATGATGCTCTGCTTTGAACTATTTGAGGTAAAGGTCTTCGGCTCAGTTTTGAGATATTTGGCGACAGAGTACGGGAAGCCGAGTATGTGCTATTTTGGTGGCACTTTTGCAGATTACAAGACCAATTGAGTTATATATCTGGAGAAATCCACACACATCCAGCCGCTAGTCTGCCATTGAGGATACTGAAAATCAATTATAAAAACAAAAGATACGGTGGATCTTGAGATATCTGGCGACAGAGTTCGGGACTTTGGATCTCCTGTTTTCAGCAATTTAGCCTGTTTTTGACGGCCTTTTTGCAAATTACGAGATAGATTGAGTTATTTAGGGGATACCACACATATACAGCGGCTTTTCTACCTTACGAGATACACCATATTCAATATCAATACAAAGTGTTAGGTTGAATTGTGAGATATCTGGCAAGGAAATCTTGGACTCCAGGCTCTGTTGTTGGGTGTTCTGCGGGGCCCCGCAATTACATGGCGCGGGGGGGGATTTCTGGCGGAACCAAACTAAACCCGACGTTTTTTCAGCTTTGCTTTTCCAGTTCTGGGTTTCCACCTTTGAAATACTATGCTTGGCACTTTTTCAGCGGGGTGATTCGTTTGGCACCACCACATCGTCGGCCATCCATAGGTATCTACCCAGTATGTAGTCCGCCAGTTCTGGTCAGACCTACCAGCAACCTCTTTGAATACGCATTGTCTACATTAGACAGAAAAGTCCTTCGGTCAGGATAGATCGCTAGTACGGTATTTGCTGTATGCCACTCTACTGGATCTACTCTCAATGCATGCATAACATGCTTTCAGCTGACTGTAATGCTGCCAAGGCGAACACCAATCAGAGACGGGCGATGTAGAGTGGCTGCGGGTGTTTGATCCTCACCACCCCGTCAATATCAGATCCCCTCCATCTAACATCCACCTCAACCAGAGCACCATCCCACCTCAGTGCAACAAAGTGACCCCCTGACATCAAAAAACCTTCCCGGTGAAGCGGCTGTCAGAGCATAGCACTCCCGCCCATGCAAACACATCCTACAAGCTCCCTCAGGCCCAACATGGCCAGCATTCACTCGCCCAGCTGCCCCAGGCAGCCTCTGAAAGTGTTATTGCAAAGAGATTTCCTCACCATGCCTCGCACCGTCTTTCCTCGTGACGTCATCCAACTCTCGCTTAAGCATCGTGTACAGAAACAGCCAGTCCCAAGATGGCCGACTCTACCCAAAGCGCGTCTCCCCAACCTCCCTCCTCCGATAACGCCTCTGACAAAGCGACTGCGGGCTCAAGCGTCAGCTCAGACGATAACATTAGTTTCAAGACCGCACGCTCGGTTATCCAGGAGGACGCCGCGGAGACTGCCTCGGAGCCGGGCCTGGTCGCTCAGGTTGAGCAGCTGCGCGTCGACACTCCCATCCCCGAAATCAGCCACTGGAGCAGTGACAGTTCCTCGGAAGAGGGGAATGCACCTGTCCCAATGGCGCGCACCCGTCGTCCTGTGCCTCGCGTGACGGCGCCCGAGCCTGAGCCCGAGAGAGAGTTTCCTATCGCTGTCACCTCGTTCATCGGAAACCCGCGCCCCCGTCCTGACCACCAGACCCAGTTGAGCTGTGTTGTGTTCAGCGCCCCCTGGCTGGAGAGCTTTCTTCCCGAGAACTGCCGCACCACTAATCAGAAGTCTCTCAAATGCAAGGCCATCCTGCGCTTCAACGAGGAATGCCTCGTCCAACTGGCTCAGTTCTTCTGTGCCGGTTGCACCGACCCAACTCCCGCCGAGGGCTTTGTTCATCGCCCGATCATGTTTACCCGTACTGGTATGGACGGGCTCGAAGACGGACCTCGCCGCACCCTGATGATGCGTTTCGGACAGCTGACCCGTAGTCGCTGGAACTTCCCCGAGATGAACGCAACCCTGGGAGGTAAAGCCGAAGGTCAGATTTTCGAAGTTGCCATCCCCACCTGTGGCAGGGATGAATGCAACCTCACTGCACGCACCATGGCCAACGAGCTGATCAACTCTTTGCTGCCCTGCATCCCGCGCTTACGTCTTGCTACCCTGGACCTGGGAATCTTCATCCCTACCACTCGAGTGGGAGAGCATGAGGAGGACGCCGGCTGGGAGCCCAGCGGTGCCGAGGTGCTGGTCTGCAAGCTTGCACCTGACTGCCTCTCACTCCCCGTCCAGCAGGTTATCCCCGACGATGAAGACGAGGGGGAGGCCGCAGCCAGCGGGGCAACTGAGACCGCCGAGGACGACGCCGAGGCCGACGACGAGGAGTCTGAGGGCGCTGACGAGGATGCCGAGGCTGATGCCGAGGCGGATATCGAGTCTTAATCAACTGTAAGTACATACCTGAGTGGAAGGTGAAGGAGGATAGTGTCAGCTAACGCTTACTTGGCTTCTAGACCGGAGACAGATGCGTTGTTAAGCAACGAGTCGACACCTCGAATGCACGACATGATATGATCCTACAGGGTTCATTGCGGAAGTGTTGTTGACCAACACCGTCAACATATCGAGGTGGACGACAAACTGTTCTTGCGGGTGAAATCGAAGACGATAATACCGGGGTGTCATACGAAGTTGAACGGCGATGTAATGAAGGATAACAGAACCCCGAAGTGAGACTGAGGAAAGAGGGAGTTGAACATAAGCTTTAGCAGGGATTGAGGCGATGAAGCTCGAGCTAGGTAGTCACCGACACCAATACGTTCCTCCCAGAACCTTTATCTCGGCACGTAGCTGCATCCACCCATAGCTGTAACCACAGTCGTACCTACTAGATACTACTTAGTAGTAGATAGATACCTAGATGATCATCCTCGAAATCCCCATCCCCAATAATTCAACCATCAATAGCATGACACTAACCCCCATTATCCCGTGCCCTAGCAGCTCTAGCAGCTCTAGCAGCTCTAGGCCCATCTAGAAGACCACCCGCCCCTCACCATCCCGACAATTCCGCAGTCTTCCCGACGGCATGATCGGCCCCTTAATCTGCCACCCGACGATGCATCCGCGCGAGTGGAGCCAACCTCAAACAAGCTTATCGCTAGCGGCGCATCGTCAAGACGGGGGGGTGAAACGCGTCCAGCCTGAAGAACAAACATTCCCGAGTCCAGACCGACCGGGGGGGGGGGGGCGATCCACTCCCCACTCCCCCCTCCCCTGTTTTGGATGAAGTGGTTACGTAGCATGTTTATATGTTTATATTGGGAGTGGGAGTGGGGGTTCATGTTTGACAGTGCAACAAGGAGCGGGCAGGGTGTTATAAAACGGTGGTTGTCGCCCGCGATCTGACAGGAAAAAAAAAAAAACAACAACAACAACGCAATTGTCTTTTCTTTATCACTTTAAATCGTTCAAAATGGTCGCCACCAAGTCCCTCTTCTCTGTCCTCCTCACCGCGGCCCTGGCGGCTGCCACCGTTGACCCGGCCACCTCCAACACCAAGGGCAAGTGCCCCGGCACTCTGAACTGCTCTGGTGAGTTTTTTTTTTTTTCTTTCTTCCATCTTCCATCGCCTTACCTTGAATAAACAACCAGAAAGGAGAATGGAAAACTAACACAATATCCAGCCGCCAAGACCTCCACCGCCATCCAGGCCGCAGAGTGCTCCCACAACACCCGCACGTCCGGTACGTCCATCCTCATCCCCATCCCCATCCCCCAGAACATCACCCATCTAACCACATACAATACTCAAAGGAACCCAAACCTTCGCCGTCTTCACCACCGACCACGAGTACGACTCCTCCTACGGCGCTCCCTACGGCACCTGCGCCGCGTACACCTGCACCGCGCCCACGGACGCCGAGATGACCGACTCGGACTCGGACTGCTGGACTTTCTTCTGGAAGTGAGTTCCTCCCCTGCAGCCTCAAAAAAAAAAAAAAAAACGAAATAAAGCAAGCAAGCAAAACAAATACTAACAAACAATCCAGCGACAACGGCGAGTCCTCCGGCGTCGGCACCGGCTGCATCAAGAGCCCCACGGACGGAACTTGCGGTTGCGAGGACTCCGATGGGACTTTTGTTTATGGAGGTACTGACTGCTCTTGAGTGAAATACATACATACATACATACATACCTACATACACTGTGGCTTCAACTGGGTTGGGAGGGGAGGGGCGTTTGCGGGATGTAGGTGTATATGTACATGTACATGCTAGTCGTGTGTGAATTGGATGGATGGTGGGGTGGTGGTGTGGTGTGATATGATATGATAGGGCAAGTCCCGGTTATATCTAGATACTTATTATAATATGGATTAGAAAAGAAAAGAAAAGAAAAGAAAAGGAAAGGAAATTGAAGTTAGCTGTGCTATCTATCTATCTATGCTATGTTTTCTTTGTGTTGCTTATTTGGTGTGGAGAGTACATGTAGAGGCGGCGTGAGTGGAAACAGCCAGTGTTTGTATTGTATATTAAAAACAAGAACTATATATGTATCATGAATTCATGTCTCGTTATACAGTTAGTCAGTTAGTAGTTAGTCAGTCAGTCAGTCCACTCCATCTAGTTTCCCGTCCATTACACACCCCTGAATCGGATAACACAGCAGCAACAATACAAGTGAAAGTGAAAGTGAAAGCGGAAGCGGAACTGAAAGCAATAGCAGAATCAGAATCAGAAATATAGATAGGATAGACAATAGACAGACAGACAGTCACATCACGTCACATCCGACTCGTCCCCTCCAGCTCCGACGGCCCCCTCGCCATCGCCTCATACATCATGTGTCCTTGCGCGAGGCCCGGGCCCTGGTATATCTGTCCGGGTGCCTGTCCCTGCGGGCCCTGGAACTGGTACCCCGTGCCATCCCATCTCCATAATCCTAGCCCTCTGCCCTGGTCCTGGCTCTGGTTCTGGTTCTGGTTTTGGCCAGGTGTCTGTCCCCCAAACCCGACACCTAGGCCGACTGATGAGCCGTATTCCCGTACACTTTGGCCTTGGCTTACTAGGGTAGTTGTCGTGCCGGTGCTTGTGCCGGTTGCAGTTGTAGTTCCAGTACCGGATCCCGGCGTGGATGTCCCAATAGCCCCGGTGCCAATCCCCTGTCCCTGTCCCTGCATCTGCATCTGCATCTGCCTCTGCGGCCCTGTACTCCCACTCCCACTCCCACTCCCACTTCCATCCAAGACACTCTTCCTCTGCCCTCCCCCTCCAGCTGCACCCCCACCACCACTCCCAAAAGCGCCGCCCACCTCGCCGTCCTCTCCCTCCTGCCACCAGCACTCGCACTCTCATCTAAACTCTGTCCCTGACTCCAACTCTGGCTCGTCACCCACTGGCTATACACCCTGTTTCTGCCCAGGAGGAAGAACAGTGCACCGAGAAGGGCCAGGAAGGCGACAGAGCCGAGGGCGATCCCGATTATGGCGCCTGTGCTTAGGGTTGGTTTGCTATTGGAGGCGGATGGGGATGAAGTTGATGTGGAGGAGCCGGTGGACGTGGATGTTGACGTGGACGAGGTGCTGGTGGTGGGCGCGCCGGGGACGGACCCTTCGGCGGGAGGGGATTGGCCTGGGACTAGCATGTAGGGGTAGATTTTTGCTTTGTTGAATTGGGCTTGCCAGGTCATGGTTTCGTTCTGGTTCGCACCCCGGGGGGGGGGTTAGTTGGGGTTTGTTTGGAGAGAATTTGTGGTGGGTGTGGTTTTGAGAGGGTGAAATTGGGTATAACTAGGGAGGGAAAGGACTGGACTGGACTGGACTGGACTGGACTGGACTGAGATGCGCTGGACGTACCGGGTTTATAGCGCCGACCATGCCATTATCGATGCAGGAGTCTGTGGCGGTGCAGTAGAAGAAGGTGGGCTACGTGGTGGATATATGTTAGTTGTGATGCGAAAATAATGATGATAAGGGGTGTATGTAGGACGGACGTACCTCTGTATCATTGATGACCAGTGACCAGGTGGGTGGCTATTCCGAGTTAGCACTGCATCCTCATCGTCATAACTATATCCACCCATCTTCAATCACCGTCTTCGACGAGACAAGAATGACGGAAAAATGTGCAACATACCGGCCCAACCAACTGTCCATTCTTCTCATTATAACTATCAAAGATGCCCGAATAGAAAAACGCCCCGTCGGCAGGCACACACGGCGCCATATAATCGGCCTTCACGACGGAGTGATTCGTCGGATAGAACTCGAAAACGACGACATCGCCAACCGCAGCGGTGATATTGCGAGGGCTGTATCCATGCGGGTACTCCTTCGAGCCGACCTTGATGGTGTGTGTTGCTGCTCCGCCTGATGTGGGGGTGATCGCGGAGGCGTATGTGGTGGATTGGGCGGCCGCGGAGGATAGGATCGTCGTCCAGACGAGAAGCTGGGGGAGGAAGACCATTTTCATCGTCCGAACATCTGTAGCTGATTTGCTTTCTGCGAGCGATTGATCGATGGGTGTAGTTGTCAGGTTCCTTGGTGGTTTGGTTGGTGGATGGTGGTGGTGCTCGGGAGGAAAATTCTCGATGAGGTTTTTGCCCGATCACAAAGAACGATAGCCCGACAGAGGGGACAAAGACTGATCTGACACGGTAGGCAAGGGCAGGGCTGTGAAACGATAAGAATAGAGATGAGATGGGAGGAGGGCCTGGTTGGTGATGCGCTGCATCGATCAGACAGACCTCGTGTTCGTGCATCGTTAGGTGGTGCTGACTGGTTAGGGCTGGATACGGGAGCTGCAGGGTCGTTGGGTGGGTAGATTCAATAGTCCCCAGAATGTCTTATTCTCGCAGCCACCACTATCAATTCGGGAGTTTATTAATCACTCATTTACCCGTGTTTGACACCTGCACCAGCATCCGTCAGTAGATTGTTAATGGCGAAGTGCCTGAGCCTTCCACCTGCAGGGTCAAGTGTAATAACTGACAGCCTCTACATCGGAGGTGCCATCGCGGAGGGGATTCAACTGGTACTGCATCAGATCCAGTGGTAATCATAAGTTCCCCTACCTTTACCTGGACGGCTCCAGGTACTGAAACAGTCAAATGACAGGTCATTCCATGGCTCACACAACCCTCCCGCATCAATAATGATAGTCGCGCCCACGGACGCGCTAACAGCTGGGCTGCAATCTTCCTGTCCTTTCCGGATGGCCAACGTTATGATTCCAGCTCTGGTTGTCTCTGAAGCAGACATCCAGCACGCGTGCCGCAAATACATACAGCTAAGCCACCCACTATTGCCACATCGACGGTTTGTTCGGCTGGAGTGTCTGGTAATGTATTCTGGAACCGATTGTCGTAGAAATGGTAGCGACCTGGTTTTCAAAGCCCAATGTCAATGTCCGAGAGACAAAGACGCGCATTAAGGAGGGGCAGGAGCAGCGGTCGTGTGTGTTTTGCCATGCAGTGCGAAGGTCAGCCCAGCGCCGAGGAAACAGGAGACAGGAGACAGAGGAGGAGAGGAGTCACTTGCTATTATTGAAGATGGGCACTTTATACCTATATCTTGACCTGGAAGTCAGTGCCTTGGCTCATCAATACGCGTGGAGGCAGAAAATCGCAAGAGAATCAGGAAATGAAATGCGGCGATGACAGCCGATAGTCGCCGATCGATCGACTTGCGGGGATGCAGATGCGGGGGAGATCCTAGAGTCAGACTGCGAGAACCAGCATCGCCATCCATCAACCCAGTCATCTGCATCGGGAAGGATTAAGCACTCTGCATTCAGTGCGCGTGGCTCAGCTTGCCTGGTTGGGGTTGGAGAATGCTAGGAATGTTAAGAATGTTGGAAATGGAAGCGTAGATGTGCAAGGGAAGGGGGGGGGGTATGTGATTTATCCGGGGTACAACTACAAACACTACTAGGTTTTATCGAAGAATTTCAATCCTTGCGTTTGATTATTACTTGAATATTTCACAGTAATTGCAATTCACTTTTTCATGTACGGGACTTTTTTCCACTGAACTTTTCACCACTCTTTCCACGAAGCCTCCATGTACAAATCCCCATGTACGAAACTTTTCCAGATAACAAACCTCACGTACTTGTCCACGTACTAAACCTCCACGTAAGAGATCCTCGACGAACCATCCGACAGAGAAATCTCCAGATCCAGCCGAAAGAACACCCTCACTTATGCGACAGCATGGAGCTAACACTGGCGCCCGAAGGCATCGGACCAAGATTTCCCCAGTCCTCCTCCTCGAGGTCCTCCTCCTCCAAGGCCCAGGGATTCAGCGCCAGCGAGCCACGCGGGACAAACGAAGCGACCATGACGAGCAAAGAGATGATGGAGAACTGCACACTGGCCACATAACGGATGGCATGATGAATATCGCCGCCTCCGGTCGAGCCCCCAGTCTGAATGTACACGCGGTCGATGTAAGAGCCCAGGATCGGCGAGATGACAGCATACAGCACGATGTACGTCGAATACAGAAACGCCATCACCGCACTGAGGGGAGACACATTGCGGGAGGTATTCTCCATGCGCGCGAGCGTGGCCTGGATATACGCCGCCAGCGAGACATCCCCGGCAGCCCATCCGAAGGAAATCGGGATGAATGTCGCCGCCACGAACAGCGCGTCGCGGAGGTGGCGGGGCTGGGGGTGCCAGAAGGGGAGGTACCAGGTGATCAGCAGCATCAGGGCGTCCATGCGTAGCCAGGGGATAGGCGTGCGGACGTTGTTGTTGAAGATCACGACGAAGGTGGCGCCGAGAAGCTCGCCCAGGTTGGATCCGCCGACCATGGCTTGGGACCAGGCGGCGTTGCCCAAATAGCGACGTGCGATGGCCGGTGCGACTGCGTTCTCGAGGTAGCGGTGGGCGTACAATGCGATCGAATACCCGGGGAGCAGCCAGATGAACTTGCGTGTGGCGAACAGGATGCGGGCGCCGACCCAGATGGACTCGAAGAAAAGGAGAAAGCCGGACAGGGCGGCGTGGAAGTACGAGACGCGGTTATTGCGGCTTTCGGCGGCCACTTCGGCTCTGCACATTTCGTCGTCGAGGAAGAACCAGGCAGTCGCGGCGAAGGTGAAGCAGATGGGGGTCACGATGAATGCATAGTTGTTGCCCAGACGAGGGATCAATGCCAGCGCAGTACAGAATGCCCCAGCGGTGCCGGCCACCTCGTACATGATGTGGACCAGGGCATCGAGGCGACGCAGTCTCTTGATGTTCCCACCCACAATGTCACGGGGGATGATGCGACGGACGAGTTCGACCATGCCGTAGCCCAGACCACTCAGGCAGTAGATGGGGATCATGATGTCAGTGCTGTAGCGCCCGTAGTAGCGGAACTCGGCCTGAGGGTGCTCGTGCAAGGCGGCCGGAGCAAAGGAGCCTCCGGTACAAGCATCCATCACAAGGAGAATGGCGCTGAAGAGAGCGAAAATGAGCACGGCGCCCATCAGGATCCATCTGGCCGGGTAGCGGCGGACAAGCGGTGCGACCAATATAGATCCGACGCACTGAAAGGCCTGGTTCAGTCCAACCATGAGGCCGACGCGCTGGAAAGTCTTGGGGGCGGTGTCGGAGACGAAGGCATCATAGTCGTATCTGTTAGTCGCGAGAGCGACAATGGCACCGTTGAACGCTTCAAGGCCAAGCTTGTAGAAGATGATCCCAAGAATGTAAATAATCGCACTGTGTCTTTCTTTGGGGGTGTAGTCCCACCAAACCTTTTCAATGCGTTTGACAATAGACCTCATTGCGCCTGAGCGCCCTGAGGTGGACGCGGAGATACCGGCGCGATATTAGGGCTTTATGGCAGTCAGTGAGAAGTATGCCGTAGACACTATCCCGAGGGCTTGATTGGCAGCGCTTTTTATTACCCAGCGAGCGCCGAGGAAGGGATGATGCCGCTGCGATGGAGGGCATCGTGAGGTCGGTTTCAGAGATCATGGCTTTGGTGTTGTGGGCGGCGAGCGCGCAGTGAATGGCTTCTCAGGGCATGGCCAGTGAATGGGGGGCTGAGTGCAGGCTGGCCTCTCCATGCTTCTACTACCGGGCTGGATGCCTGGGAATCTATAGTTCACACATAAAAGATTGATATAGTACAATCCCAAGGGGTTGTGCACTTTTTTTTTGAACAGCATAAGTCAGCAAGCACATCATAAAATATTACTGCTGCAAGATAGTCAATAACTGCGGGCAATGCATTTGTTATTAACTCCAAACCTGGCCAGTTAGGATAGATAGTAGCAACCCGAGGATACTGCTTGGTACATGTTCTACCCACCCGACGCACAGCTTAATAGCGCAAGTTATAGATCAGTCTGACTGTCCAGCTGAGCACAACTGACAGACCTCATCCTGTCTGGCCGCTAAACAGCCAGACAGCTGCATCCGATGACGCCATGTTGGTCATCCCTCCCGCACGCTCGGGGCCCTTTATCTGTAGCCTGTCCAAAGCAGCTTGAGCACCCGGAGCCAATCCCCCGCTCCTTTAGGCCTCACCTCCCTGATCAGCTCCTAGCCTCCTCCTACAGATATCTGTCCTGTAACCTCACCCCCCCACCCCGCAAACTCTGCCGCATACAGCCGACCGGCATGGTGCCAGCTGTCGTTTGCCCCAGGGTGATATATCAGATGACGACCCGGCGGCCGACGATCCTCATGCTACAAAGTATCAGACATCGGACCCTGGTCGGGATCCGACAGCCTGTTGAAAGCTCGAAACCCACAAAGAGAAAAAAAGCCCGCGCATGATAAGAAAACCCCAAAGGAGGAATCAGGCTACTGGCGGAGAATTTGCGCCTCACCGCATTGTGCGGCGGATGGGCGCTGGGCACTGGCAGATACCGCTTTACATACATCCGTACGGCGTGCATACGCATACAGTGGACAAGTCGGCCTTGGCGGTCGGGCATCCCACGTGCCTCTCCGACCCGCTTGTGTTTCGACTTCGTTCATAAAAATAAGCAATGGGAGACGGGGATTGTTGCGGATTTGGAATTAAATTCGGACTGACCCGCATGGATTTGGCACCCTGACAGCGAACTATAGATGGCGAGCTAGAGGGCAGTTGATAGTACTATAGATACAGCAAAAGGGCCGAGCTAACGCAAAGCCCCATGCGAGGACATGCATTACGGCGTGTCGATCGCGAGGGAAACGTGGGAATCTCAAGGGACTTGACTGTCTATTTAGTAGATACTTGAGGGGTACGCGACCCAATGGGCGTTGCCTGGTGGGGGCAGCGGTACCGCTGGCGTACTCCGTATCTATCGAGTTTGTACGCCGTACCGCCCGGGGCGCTCTCGTTGGCTGCCGGATTCGTGCGGCGAAAAATGGTGACATGCTTTGGGGGGATTCTTGTTGCCTCAGCCTCTGGACGCCTTCGGCCACTCGCGCTTCTCCCTCCGCCGCGTGATGCCCGTCATCCTCACCGACTAATCCCACCCACGCTGCTTCTTCAACCTGGCCTGTCCTCCCCCACCTGCTTCTTTCTTCTTTCTGTCGCCTCGTCTCGTCCACGCGCTCGCTATAATATGTCTCACTCCCCCCCGCCCAGCCATGTCGCTTGCTGAATCGCTGCCGTCGCCGGTTCTGCTTGTTCGCCGCAGGCCGTGATCGATACTAGCTGATTCGAGGAGTGGGGATACCATCATATCATCGGGCTGCAGTCGCTTGTCCGATCCATTCTACAGGTGGTCTGTTCGTTTCACGCATTTGCCTTTTGATAAACTTTTCTTTGTGCGTCATTCCGCACGCAACTGTCAGTTCTCCGCGCAAAGGCCCCTTGCTTACAGCCCGTACTGGCAGCCTGGCTAATCTGCTTGTCTTGCAGAGCGCGTCGAGTCGCAGTCGGGGCTATTCTTTCGACCGTTTTAATCTGTTGGTGGTGATGGCGACCGAAGACGCCGCTGCTCCTGTCACGGAGCAGTCAAAGACGACCAAGAGCTGGTGGAAGAGAAGGTCTGGGGACAATTCGTCCAGCGTGCCCCAGGCCACTACGAGTGAAAGCCCTTATCGCCAGAAATCCACTCTCGGCATCCTAAGTGACAAGGAGACGGATGAAGTCCCTGGTATGTGGCAACTCACGATCCCAGCTGGAATCCATCGGATTAGTCACTGACAATCGGTCTAGGGACCGTCCTTTTGCTATCTGCGAACCGCAATGAGCCCCTGGGTCTGCGACACCAATCGCATCGCGAATCGTCCTCGTCCTTGCCGTCGCCGTACCCTCCGTCGCGATCCCCCTCCCGCTCCCACCAGCCGGCGAAGAAGCGAACGGCAGATGGCCATATTGTTTTGGTGCCCCAGCCGGATGACTCCGTCAACGACCCGCTCAACTGGCCAGTTTGGCGACGGGATGCTGCGTTGGTGTCGCTGGGCTTCTACTGTCTGATGGGAGGCGGCATGACTCCGATCTTGGCTGCCGGGTTCAGCGACGTCGCCGCTGCATACGATGTGGATACCCAGCAAGTCGCATACACGACGGGCCTGTACATGTTGGGTCTCGGGATCGGGTCGGTGATCATGTCCCCAACGGCGATTCTGTTTGGGAAACGGCCCGTCTATCTTCTAGGCGCGACCCTCTTTATCATCTCCGCCGTCTGGTGTGCGTTATCGCCCAACTATCCCAGCCTGGTGGTTGCCCGCATCTTCCAGGGCATCGCGGTCAGCCCCGTCGAGTGCCTGCCCTCCGCGACCATCGCAGAGATCTACTTCCTGCACGAGCGGGCGTACCGCGTCGGCATCTACACGCTGTTGCTTCTGGGTGGTAAAAATCTGATTCCTTTGGTGAGTGCCGCAATTATTGGCAGCCTGGGGTGGCGCTGGGTGTTCTGGATTGTGGCCATGGTGGTGGGGGCGTGCCTCATCCTGCTGTTCTTCTTCGTCCCCGAGACGTTCTGGGACCGCACGCCTCGGCCGCGGGCGCACAAACGCCCTAGCTTCTACCGCAGCGTGTCGCACATGGTATCTCACGGATTGCGGGGCCGGCCGCATCATGCGCATCGTCTGGAGGATTCTCCGCCGGACCAGGATCCGGCGGAGGCGGAGCACAAGAAGTCCAAAAGGGGCCACGTTGGATTTGTGGACGAGCCTGATGAGCATGAGCATGAGCCCGAGACTATCACTGAGAAGGCTGAGAGCGTGCACGATCAGAACTATGTGTCCCCTGCTAATCCACCCGTGGAGCATAGCACTGGGTCGCCAAGCGAGGACCAGGAGAAGTCCAACGAGCTCCTCCATCCCCCAGAGCCTGCCACACATTGTGTCGACCTCGAGGCTGCGCGACAGCCCGCGATGTCTCCGACTCGCAGTGAGTCCCTGGAGCCCGGGGCCTCGATCACACCAGCCGCACGGTACACCAACCGGCTCCGGGAGCAGCCGTCCATGTCGTACAGCTATTACCTCCGGCCGTGGAACGGTCGCATCACCCATGACAAATGGCTCCGAGTGGCGGTGCGGCCGTTTATTCTCTTTGCGTACCCCTCGGTGCTGTGGTCGACCGTGGTGTACGCCCTCTCGGTGGGCTGGCTCATCGTGCTGTCGGAGTCGGTGGCTACGATCTACGAGAAGCGCGACACCTACAACTTCACGGCCCTGCAGACTGGTCTCATCTACATCTCGCCGTTCCTGGGGGGACTGCTGGGGACAGCGGTGGCGGGCAAGGTGTCAGACGTCATCGTGCAATACATGACGCGCCGCAACGGGGGCGTGTACGAGCCGGAGTTCCGGCTGGTGATGGCGATTCCGATTGCGATCACGACGACTATCGGACTGATGGGGTTCGGCTGGAGTGCGCAGGAGCGGGACGCCTGGATTGTGCCGACGATCTTCTTCGGGCTGATATCGTTTGGATGCTGCCTGGGGAGTACGACCGCGATCACGTTCTGCGTCGACAGCTACCGCCAGTATGCGGGCGAGGCACTGGTCACACTGAACTGGAGTAAGAGTAGGTTGACCCTATGATGCCTGTGTATGATGGACCAAGCTAACGATAACAGACGTATTCCACGGATTGATCTTCTCGCTGTTCATCGTCGACTGGCTAGACGCGGAGGGGTCCCGGATGGTGTTCATCGCGCTGGGGGTGATCCAGCTGGGGTGCCTGCTGTTCACGATTCCCATGTATATGTACGGCAAACGGGCGCGGATGTGGACCGTTCGCCGGGGCCTGATGGAACGATTTTAAGAATCCGGCGGACGGGTCGAGTGTGTGGCGACCAGAGAGGCTTCCATCGGACGGACCTCGGGATGATTGATTGATTGATTTTGCCGTGTGTGGACTGTCGCCCAACGGCTATCTGTACCTATAATCGAACGCACATAATTAGTCACATAGTTAGTACTTATCATTTATGACATTCATGATTCATCATCATCATCATCATAGTTCCCCCGCCCATGTCGCCCTGTAGGGTCAGACGGTTTGACATCGACAGGATGTCATCGGACCGACATCACCTTGAGGCACAAACACCGCCACACCGCCCGGCAGCCACAGGCCCACCAGCCAATCCGGATCTAGACCGCTTAGTCACGGCACTGAGCCGAATCGCCCAAGCCATCGCAGAATCGCAGCTAATAATGAATGGCAGCTAAGCCGCGGGGGCTGCAGCCCCCGTCGATCATGACGCGGAGAGCGACGTAAGAGGCGAGCAGCGCGTCTGAAGGACCATCAATCAGAGGATAAACAGACAGCCCCAGCACAGTCAGCACACGCAGTGCAGCATCCAACATCTTCAATTATGTTCTCCAAGTGGTGTGTTAGTCATCCCGACGACGGCCTCTGACTGGTGGCATCGTAGCCCGGGAACGGGGATTTAGGGCCAATCAAGCCCCCACTCTTGGCCCCCCTCTGGCACCCGAAGCGGGATAGCGTCAAACCAGAAACCGGTCTGGAGGAGGACTGAAATGAATCGTGATTCATGGTTCAGATCCAGGGAAGCATCGTGGATGGCTGGTGGATGGGCTCGGCTGAGGGAGACACGCGGAATGGCTGCCAGGGGGAAAGCCTGTGGAGTCCTTTTCCCAGTCGGCCAGGCCAGGAGCGCCGGTTATTCGCTGGCCGGTATCTCCATCCAGCATTCAGATCGCACGGCTGTCGTTGTTCATCGTCTTGCCACATTCGGCTCCCACGGATCGTTCAATCTTGAAGCAGCCCCTCAGCGTTGAGAATGAGGATTGACAGGAGGGACAGGAGGGACAGGGACGAGGGCTGTACCTTTCAGGAGGCTGCCCCGACATTCCAGATTTTTCAGGCTGGTTTGATTGTCGGCTGCCGTGCCGTGTGGAATCTGGAATGAACCCTGCGAGATCTTCTGTCCTGCCTTGATATTAAACCCGGCGCAGTGCAAACCTGTTTCAGTGTCTTTCCCTTTCGTCCTCCCTTCTCTGGCCTCCCCTCCTTCTCTTCACAGTTCTCCCTTCTAGACTACTGTGTGCCCTTCTTCTCCCTAGCTTCCCTCTTGTGCCCATTCCCACCAGCATTTTTCGCCACACTTTATTCCGACCACGCCAGCCTCATCATCCCGCTTCCAGTCCAGCCCGCCAAACCCCCCCCCCCCCCCCCCCACCACGCCGGCATGGATGCATGAAGCAATTGACGCCATCTTTTTTATCGTCCCCTCTAAATTTGCTTCCTCCCAATATTCTCTCCTTCCCCTCCCTCACACCCCATCATGGAATCCTTATCCCCTCCACCCAGGGACGATGACCACCGCACGGGTCGACGAGTCCGCGAGCTCTACCGCTATTTCCAGCCGGAGCGCAACAACAGCTTCCACGACCGCAGCCAGACCGAAGACACACCCCCACCACCAGCATCATCCGCAACGCTCGATCCCTCGATTCAAGGGCCAGCGTCGCCCGCCCTATCCTCACTCTCGCAATGCCCCCCCGCCATCGGTCCCGGCTCTGCGGGGCTAGTCCCCGAGGCCTTGGTCCTGGGCGACCCGAATGCGACCCTGACATCCTTTGCGCAACTCGCAGCTTTGCGCCTGAATGTCGAGCGTGTATTAATTAGGTACGGCAACTCGCGACCGCCACTGCGCCCATGATGCTAACCCTCTCGGCCTGCCAGTGTTTCAGATCGCCAGTCACAATTCATCCTGGCCCAAAGTACGCGAACCGGAGGGGTCAGTGACTACGAGACCACGGGCAATGGCGTCTGGAATGGCTGCCCGACCATCTCTAATAACGTTCTCAGCATGTGCAAGGTAGGTACTACCTCCTCAGGGCAGGTCGTCGATCGGTCACTCAACAATTCGTTGCGTCCTTTGATACAGGCCACCATTGCTCTTCCGCCGTCCAGCCGAGACCAAGGTCAGCACAGCTTCAAGGTGATCAACGATCTGTCCGAGGAGGAGCGCTACAAGCGCCTCCCCTTCGTGCAGGGAGACCCGGGCTTCCGATTCTACGCCGGCACGCCCCTGACCACCGAGACCAACATCAACATCGGATGTTTCTTCATCCTGGACACGAAACCGCACAATGGGCTGGATGACACGGAGAAGGAGACCCTGCGCTCGTTGGCGTGGTTGATCATGGATTACCTGAAGGTCAGCCGGCAGGCGTCCGAGGGTCGGCGCGCAGCTCGCCTGTCCCGTGGCCTGAGCTGCTTCGTCGAGGGCAGCTCCAGCTTCGTGGATGCGGGCCATCCATCGTTTGCTGGCAGCTCCGCGGCACCCAGTACCCCGCCGCTGTCCAGCCAGCGGACCAACCATCTGTCCGTCGGATCGCTCAACAGCCTGGACGTGCCGTCGAAACGATCGCACAGCACCGACGCCCGCTCCTTCAGCTCCGCGTCGGACTACAAGGCCGACCAGAACGTTTCCTCTGGTCCGAATACGCTACTGCCGGACTGGTGGTCGGGCAGTCGCGACAAAGAGCTGAAGGGGGTGGACGAGTCGCACGGCCACGGCTGGGCGTTCCGACGCGCGGCGAATCTCATCCGCGAGAGTCTGGAGCTGGGATCCGACGGCGGGGTGATCTTCGTGGAGAACAGCAACAGTCCGATGATGGACGCAGACACGGGCAGCGACTGCTCGGTGGAAGGCAACAACCCGGCCCCCGTGCTGGCCATATCCACCAACGAGGAGCCTTTCGCGCCGGGCCCGGGCTCGAAAGTCCTGTATCCGGCAACGAATCTGGACAGCTCGTTCCTGCACCAGCTTCTGCGCCGGTACAGCAAGGGCAAGCTATGGTCATTCCACCGCGATGGGCTGATCTCGAGCTCGGACGATGAAACGCCGCGCCGGAACCGCGCGCGGGCTGGCAAAGGGCCCGAGACGAAGAAAAAGTGGAAGTCCATGGAGAATTCCATGCTGAACCTGTACTTCCCGAATGCTAGCCAGGTCCTCTTCGTGCCGCTGTGGAACTCGGCCAACTCGCAGTGGTTTGCCGGGTGTTTCTGCTGGAACACCGTGGAGACGCGCGTGCTCAGCTCATCGGTGGAGTTGAGTTCGATCCTTGGCTTTGGCTCGTCCATTATGGCTGAATGTAACCGGGTTGAGTCGCTCATCTCCGACCGGCAGAAGGGTGACTTCATCGGGAGTATCTCGTAAGTTTGACTTGTGAAATATGAGTGTTGTTCTGCATGCTGACGGTTTCAGACACGAGCTGCGGAGTCCGCTACATGGCATTCTCGCAGCTGCCGAATTCCTGAACGGAACGAATCTGGATGAATTCCAGAGCTCTCTCCTGGAGACTATCAATGCCTGCGGGCGCACCCTGCTGGATACGATGAACCAGGTGCTGGATTTCAGCAAGATCGTCTCGCTGGAACGAACATATCGCAACCTGAAACGAAGCAAGACCCCACCCGCGGAAGTCAAGAGTCTGGACCGGTTGTCTACGCATCTGGACACGTACGTGGCGACGGATCTGGCCCTCCTGGCTGAGGAGGTGGTTGAGGGCGTGTGCCTCGGCCATGCGTACGGACAGAAGTCCACTGCGCCGTACGATCAGCCGGTCGTGCTGCCGGTGGGCATGGCCGAGCAGACGGATGGGGAGACCAAGCCCAAACCTCGCCCCGAAGTGGAGGTGGTCATGGACATTTCCCACAACGACTGGACCTACCTGACGCAACCCGGCGCCCTGCGGCGCATCATCATGAACGTCTTTGGCAATGCCATGAAGTACACCCACAGCGGCCGGGTGTCGCTGCACCTGGAGGTCACAGAGGCATCGGAGGGCCGGTCCCGTCGCAACGGCGTCGAGGAACTGGTGACGCTGACTGTGTCGGACACGGGCAAGGGCATCTCCGAGGAGTTCCTGCGTGGACGCCTGTACACCCCCTTCGCCCAGGAAGACACTCTCGCCGTCGGAACGGGGCTGGGGCTGTCCATCGTCCGCAGTCTGGTCAAGTCGCTCAAGGGCAGCATCAACATCCACAGCCGCTCGGGCGAGGGGACGATCGTGAAGGTGTCATTGCCGTTGGTCCGACCAGGCCCCGAGCTGGAGCTCGAGGAGCCCATCGGCCCGCTATCCCCGTCGGCCAAAGAAAAGGACGTGCTCACGGAATGCCATCTCCTGCGCGACTCGCACGCGGGGCGCCGGGCCGCCATCCTCGGGGTGGACTCGGACAGCGCCGCCACCCACCCGCTGTGGTCGATCTACTCGCGCTACCTGACGGACTGGTACGGGCTGGAGCTGGTGTCGTGGCCGTCCAACACCCCGGTGGACATCGTGCTCGCGGAAGAACAAAGCCTCGCCGAAGCGGCCATCCAGCCCCCTCTCGACGCGACCCTCCCGTCCCTGCTCATCCTCTGCAACAAATCCGTCGACTACACCACGGCGCGCACGCAATGGTCCTCCCTGGCCAACGCCGTCAACATCATCCGCCGCCCCTGCGGCCCACACATGCTCGCGCGCAGCATCCGGAAATGCCTCGACGCGCAGACCGAAACGGTCCCCGGCCGCACGATCCAGCTCCCGGAACGCCCGCGCAACACCACCTTCTCCACCAGCGACCTCTCCCCCGGCGAACGCCTCTTCGAACTCACAGCCGACACCCCCGACCTCGCCCCAGACATGACCACCAGCTCCGGCTCATCGTTGTCAATCGACTACCCCCGCTCGCAGACCTCGTCGGATGGCCTGGAACCGCTATATGCCACCGCTTCTCCGCCCGCGCTTCCCATACGCGCCCCGTCGCCGTATAAACAGCCGCAGCCGCAGCCGCAGCCCGAGCCCGCACCGATAGAGAAGCCGGAACGTCGCCCCCGGGTCCTTGTCGTCGACGATAACAGCATCAATCTGAATCTGATGCTCACGTTCATGAAGAAACGCCAGCTTATGGCGTTGGATTCGGCCGAGAATGGGAAGATTGCCGTCGATGCGGTTGAGAGGTTGCAGGTGGGGTATGACATTGTTTTTATGGGTGAGTTATCCATCCTTTACCTTTCTTTCTTTCTTTCTTTCATCTTTCTTTCCTCACAATTGATCTCCCTTCCTATCCATCGGCATCTATATACCCATCCCACCCCCACAGAACATCTGCTAATAGAGAAATAAAAAACAGACATGTCCATGCCCGTCATGAACGGCTTCGAAGCTACGCGCGCCATTCGCGCCATCGAGAAAGAGCGCGGAGAGGGATACACGCCCGCGGTGATCATCGCGTTGACGGGGCTGAGCAGCACGCGCGACGAAGCCGAGGCGTTGGCGTCCGGCGTGAATCTGTTTCTGACCAAGCCGGTGTCATTTAAGGAGGTGTCGAGATTGTTGGGGGAGTGGGAGGCGGGGACACTGATGGTTGGCTAGTCCTGTTGACCCGGTTGGTTTGGATATCTTTCATTCACCTTTGCCTTTCTGAGTTCGATTTATCGGCGGTTCTGCATCGTTTATCCGATTCTGAGACGAGATGAGATCAGAGGGATGAGATGGTTGGTTATTTGGGAGGTCGTTGTGATTGTGCTTATGCTTGGCGTTGAGTGGATGCAAAAAGAACCTTTCTTTTCTTTTGTTTGGTGGTCTTGGTTGGTTGGTTCGGATGAATGGGATGGGATGGGATGGGATGGGGATTGATTCCTCCGTACATGGATATGAGGCACGATTATACCCTTGCTTTTCTTTTCTTTTTTTTTTTTTTCTTTCTGGCGTTTGGCGTTTGGTGAGACGATATATTTTCTATCTGGTTTCACCGATCTGACCTGTTTATGTCTACATCTACATTTACATTGATATTTACATTGACATGTTGCATTTGAGTGGTGGTCTGAGAATGTGATGAGATGGATGAGATGGATGGGATAGTTGGGATAGATGGCATAGATGGGATAGATGAGATGAGATGATTCATTGCGATTGATGATTGATGTGGATTAGTGTGGGATGAATGGTTATCTCTCTCCACTTATAGTACATCCGTGCAGCACATACTACTTATAGATCCCGACAGGATACAAGATCCGGCATATTATACGTACATACTATGAATCTACAGCATCATACAGTATATTATATACAGCTACAGCATACATTATCTATCGAACTCTTTTCTACACTTGAAAATTTACAGTAGAACAGCTATATCGACAGAACCCAGCATACAGAAAGACTACATACAGCACACCAACCAATATGAAAACCTGACTTGACTGATTGGCATAATATACAGTATAATGTATACTCCATCTGTAGAAATGCACTCTTCTTCTACTATCACCCCTCACCACTGCAACTAACCAACCAACAACCCAACAAACACCACCCCGGACTACCCCCCAAAAACCCAAATAAAATAAAAAACACTCCCAAGTTAACCTAAGCTAGGACCGCCCCTTAACCCCCTCCTGCATGGCCCCCAAATGCTCCCAAGCCAAGGTATCCTCACCGAGACTCCACGCCATGACGCCGCCCAGTTTACTCTCATCGACGATATCGGTGAACTTCCGCCCGATGAGGTCGGCGGTATCCCAGGTCCAGAAGATATTGTTGGGCGAGTCGAAGTAGTACTGGCCGCCGAGGTCGGTGTCGGTCTTGCCGGAGGAGAGGGCAGCGCGCCAGGAGTCTGTCAGGGAGATGCCCTTGCAGGTGCCATAGTCGGAGAGACAGCCTGCTTGGCAGAAGTCGGAGGTTGTGCCGCTGTTTTTTTTTTTTGTCCAGGGTTAGTGTTTGGTTGTTTGTTGTGTATTGTGGTGTGGTGTTGGAGGGGGTTAGGGGGTCAAAGGAAGGAAAGGAGACATACCAGTTCCCATACTGACTACAACACTGTCCATCGGGACACTTCCCCTTATCGGCACCACAGGTACCATCATAACTGATTTTCAAATCCTTCGGCGCGGCCCCCATGGTACTCTTCTCGAAGGTCAAGGCGCCAGACTTCCCATTATCACTCCCATCATCATTCTCCATGACGACCGTCTTACACCCCAGCGGCTGCTCGTCACAGCCCGCCCCGGGCTCCGTCTCAAACCACTTCGCGTAGTACGCCATGCCCAGGTTCGTCTTCTCCCCCTCTAGCCCAATGTCCGCATACGCCTGGATCGTACGTAGCGAGTCCTTGACCGACGTGTGGTGCATGGTGACGTTGTTGCGACGGTTCATGAGATCGTACGTCATCACGTTGACCATGTCGACCGAGGGCCAGATCTGAGGACCGGTTTCGGGCGTGAACGCGATCATGTCGCCCAGTTTGCCCGGGACGGCGATCGAGAGCGTCTTGTTGGGGCCGATGGCGGACCGCATGGCGGAGAGGAAGAGCGGGTAGGTCGTTATTTCGCTCACTTTCGCGCTGTTGGGCGTTTGTTTGTAGTCTTGCCCGTTGCCGCCGGGGTATTCCCAGTCGATGTCTGGTGTGGTGGTTAGTGGTTTGTTGGTGGGGGGGGAGGGTTCCGAATGAGATTGGGATTGTTCGAGGGAATTGGGGGATGGATGGAGGAGAGAGGGCGACGGAAGGGGGACGCACCAACTCCATCAAACCCATGACTATCCAGCATGGCGGCCACGTTCTTCGCGTACCGGTTCCGCGAGGTCTCATCCGTCGCAGCCTGCGAGAACCCCGAGCTGTCGCCCCAGCCGCCGATGGCGATCATCACCTTGGTGTTGGGGCCGAAGCGGCTGCGCATCGTGGACACGGGCTCGAAGGGGGTGAACTGCGCCGGCGAGTCCGAGTTGAACAGCGTCGACGGCGCGAACGCCATGATGGCGTGCGAGATGCCTTCCGTCTGGTCGGTGCTAGGGAGGCCGTTGGTGTGGTATCTGCATCGCTTCGTTGTTAGTCAAGAATCCTGTCCAGGTTGAGATCGAGGTCGGTACTGACTCGTCGATGTACATGGCGAAGCGCATCGCCGCGACGGATTGCAGGCCCAGGAGGCCGAGAGCGAGGTGTTTCAACATGATTGCTAATGATGATGCTGCTGATGCTGCTGCTTCTGCTGATACCAAACCAACCAGCGAACGATCAGATGAAGCCTGATCTGGATGTAGGATGGGATATCACGTCACAGTAGCACCCGTGTCACCATCGACAACACACAACGAAGCAGAACCGAAGCAGACGACCGGGCGACCAGCACAATAATAATAAAAAAAAAAAACTAGCCAGTCTGTTATCATTCCGATCGGTCTGGGGTATCGTCAGCCAGCAACATTCTGCTGCGGATGCCTGGACGCTGTGGCGATCGATCGAGCAGGAGCAGCAGGCATGTACGTCGGCTGAGTCGCTATTCCCAATCAGACAGGGTGCAAAATCCCCGGGAAATGTTCACAGCCAGGGATCGGGCCTGCTCGGATGTTGGTGAACTTGGTTGTTGTTGGTCTCGATCATTGACATACCAACTGCATTCCTGCTTCTGGTGTGGCATGTCGGAAGTCGGTGCGCCGGCTCACATTGTTGAACAAGACAAGGCAAGACAGGGCGAGACAGGGAACGAAGTTTATTGCGGTATCTAGGCTGTAGACCAGACGGTGCCTGCGATCGCTATCTCTGTTGTGAGTGAGGCGGGAGGGTGTCAAGGGAAGTCAAATGTCATTATCAGCGCTAGTATAATCTGAACACAGGGTATCGTAAAGCTCAAGCTGCAACGTGGATCTGGGACAGCTGACAACTGGACAACGCCCAGCTAATCCCACCGTCGTCGTATAATAGGACGCGCGGGATCCCACGGCCCCGTCACCACATTCTTATACTTCTGAAGACTGATCAGCCACCAGCTACATCCCCCCATGCCCAGCGCCGTCAGGATGCTGCCCAGGATCGACCCAACCACCGCCGCCGCCCATCCGCCGCGCAGCGTGATGCCCACCGCGCCGCCGGCCACGATCACCAGCGCCAGCGTCAACAGCACATGCCCCGTCCACGAGACATGCCGCAGCTGGCGCCGGAAAATGGGGAACAGGCCGAACACCTCCATGGAGAAGAGCATGAGACTGAAGACGTGGGTGGTGGACGGCAGGCGAGATGCGAGCACCGTCGACGCCATGACCGCCGCGTTGGTCGACAGCGACGCCGGAAACTTGGTGGCGCCGGCGCCCTCGCCGCTGCCGTAGTCGAACGAGAAGATGTTCATGATGAGCAGCCAGCAGCTCAGCGCCCAGATCGAGTCACTGGCCGTCGACTTCGTAAGCGACTTGAGGATTGGGCTGAGCCCCAGCAGCGCAAAGTAGATCAGAAACGCCGACTTGACCGTCGACAGCCGCTGGCGGTTCCGCGACGAGAACATCGACGACAGGTCCGCGTTGGGCGAAACGCCACTCACGGCCCCGGTCGGCCCAGGCACAGGCGACGCAGGCTCCTGCGCATTGTCCGTGTCGCCCACATACCCGGTGCTGTTTCGTCGAGCGGGCTCGCGCTCGCTCGTCTCACCCTGCGCCATGGTCAAGCCCAGACCGTGCATCTGGTTTTCCTTCTGACTGGCGCGCAGACTCGGGTCCACCGAGCTGGTCATCGAGCTGGAGCTGGACCCGTCGTCCCCCTCCAATGCCCGCTCCGCGACGTGCGCGTTCTCCGCATGTTCCCCCAGTATCCACGAGTCCCAGAAGATCCAACCCAGCGCGGTGCCCACGCTGCCCCAGCAGACCACGGATACGGGACTCACGCGGCCCTGCACGATACCGACGAAGCAGCAGACAAATATGGCGACCGAGCTGACATGTTGCACGATGACGGTGGAGTCGGAGACCAGCGGCCAGAAATCGTAGGGACGCACGCGGGGATTCCGCTGGAGGTGGTCGAGGAAGGTCTCGGTGTCGGTGTAGTTATCGGGATCTGTAGAGATCAGCCATGGTCAGATTGGAGGTTCGATCATGGTTGGGGGTGGCGTACAGGATTGTTTCACCCAGAGGAGCTTCTTCCAGGCGCCCTTTCGTCGTCGCCGTCGACTGGACCCTCGCAGCTTGCGACCCACGCCTGGAACGGCGGGCGGCGGTCGCAGGGCGGCGACGGAGTTGCTGCTCAGCACGCGCAGGGAATCGTCATAGCTGGCGGAGGTCGGGCGCGCTCGGGGCAGCGCCGAGTAGTATGCGTCTTCAGGGGCCAGGCGGGTGGGATCCGGGGGGTCGGCGGAGGACTTGATGCCCACGGTGCGGTACGGATGGGTCTCGACGGGGACGGGGGGAGGGAGTGGCGGAGGCGAGTCGGGCAGAGGCATCGAGCAGGACGGGCTTCATGCTTGGAGCATGGTGTGATGTGATGTGATCTGGGATCCGTGATCTGGAATTGGAGTGGAAGATGATGTGATGCGATGCTGTTTGTAGACGTGAATTCGTTGGCCTGCACGTGGTGCTTAGTCATGGGGCTCTCTATGCATGCATTACTCGGTAGTACTACTACTACTCAGTTGCATTACGACGCAGTGAAGATAGGAATAATCAGATATCCACATGTTGGTGAGAAGATAAGTTACTATGCGGTATATCCACCGAGTGGCTCACACCTATCCCATATGATCCGATCATGTCTCCGCCTACATCTGCATCCCAGGCACAACATTCACGACTACTCGCTCTTTCCCCTTTAAACTCTGCGCCTGCTCCACCATCATGAGGAATTCGGCATCACTGTCCTCAACAAGGCAGTATGCCTCTCGCTGCGGGGACTCGATCTGACAGTCGAGAAACTCGATCTGGGCGTTTTTGTCGCGGGCTCGGTAGAAATCCTGAGCCTTTTTGAACAATTCCTGTCGGGACCGACAAGCCTCCAAGGGGATATTTCGACAAGGTTTGCCCAATGTCAGCGGCGCGACCCGAAACACGACCTGGACTGGCTTGGTCTCTTCCGAGGAAGCACTCATCTCCTTGGCCTTTGGCTTCTTAGCCGGAGGGGGAGCAGCGACGCTTTTTTCCTCATCGTCCGACGATTCCTCCTCCAATGAGCTCTCAGCCTGAGTGGGCGGCGGTACCCGTCTGGAGGAAGTTTCCTGCCGTGTGCGTAATGTGACCGCACCTCCTCTTCCCCTTGTTCTTTTACACTGACGTACCAGCGCCATGCGTCTTCTTCCGATCTCCTCTGGCGGGGTGTTATTTCGAGACACCGACCGGCTCTGGGCAGTCTCTCCAGCCATGCGCTTCTTCAAGTAGTCCCACGCCAGGTCCGAATAGACAATATCGTCGATGGAAGACCCAAACACCCGGACCGCGCAGTGCTGCAGCTCATCTCCGTGCTGCGACCCCGACCACGGTCTGAGGAATGTGCCCTCCTCGGTGCGTTGCGGGGGATCACAAAGGACGAATCTCACCGTGCCCACCGCCTCATGCAGCACCAGCACATCATACTTGCGTGGCTTGACCACCGTGTACCGTGCGAGCTCCAGCTCGCGGCCCTGCCGATCGAACACCTTCGAGATGAGGATTGGCGCGCGGCCGCCGCATTTGCAGGCGGGTAAGTCGTTACCATGCTCGCGGTGCCATTTCTCCAGCGTCGCTAGCAGATAAGTGGGGAGCTGGCGCCTCGGTCCGAAGACGGGGACTGGTTCAACTTGAACTGCGACGTCCTGGTCGGGGGTGGGGTTTCCGTTTCTCTGTGGGGTCATTTCTGCCCGGGTGGTGTTCGGTGGTTGTTCAGCCTCGGACAGAACAGGCTTCTCCTCTTCGTTATCAGATTCTGTATGGATGATCCTTCGGGAGCTGCGTCTGGGCCTGATGTCAGCACGGCGCGGGTTAGCTGGTCTTTACGCGTGAAGACTGAAGACTGAAGACCGCGGGGATGTACCTTTCCATCACAAACATGACAGCGCTGCTGTCCGAGGGAGATGGGAGCGCTCGGTTCATCTGGCGGGGTTAGATTCAAATAAGAACTAACAAGGAGCTGCAGCCGATCTGCTTGGTACGCTTACCGTGATGAAGATAGATAGACGTGCCGCAGGAGACAAAGAGACGCCGTTAGATAGAGTCAGGATCCAGGCCGGGCAGGACCGGACAGGACGCGTTGTTATGCATGGGGGGGAGTGGGTGTAGCGTGGGCGTGAATGTGGGCTTTGCCATCAACACTGTCACTGCCAGAAGCTGCCTAGGGCCGCCATCCACTGTCCTGTTTGGCCAATGGCCCCAGCCATGTTTGGCTTTTGCAGTCACACAAACCAACCTCCAGACTTGAGACTAAGTCAAGTAAACACCTTCAACTCGGTCCAGTCCAGCAACCACTCACTTACACCCAGTCCTACCATGGTCGAACCAGGTAGTTTCACCACAACAATAAATACAAGAAAACAAACCCCCCCCCCCCCTTCACCCGCCATGTTTCAACCTACCTCTCCCACCCGGCTCTCGCAAATGTATCACCTTTCCCAATCCAATCCTCCATCCTTGCCCATACCAGCAACTTTTACAAGCAAACAACCCCGAACCCGGTTTATTCCAGGGCCTGCATCCTATCAGCGTTCCAGCTTGCAAAGCGGCGATGGCGGAGACAGGCCCAATTGGATGCTCATCCTCACCCAGACACGCCTCATTTCTCCGGTCCGGTGCTGGCCAACCAGGTCATGGGTTTGCGGAGTGACAGGTCAAGTGGCATGGATCTGGTACTGGAGCGGTACCAGTGCTTACCTAGTAGTAGATGTAGAGCTGACAGCTATGCCGTTTCTGGGTAATAGTAGCTGGGTAGTATTAGAATTCTGGGACTATGCGGGTGCCAAAAGTACTTACTACCTGAGTAGGTATACCTATATCTAACTAGTAGTCACCGTGGTTTGCAATAGATAGATAGGTCAATGTGCTTGATCCCTGCAATGTCTGCAAACAAGTTCCGTTAGTTACTGTTGCTTACTTAGAAGTAAGACAGGACTAGGATGTCCACCCCTGCCATGGAGTAACAGACCACCTGATGGGCCTGTCTAGGCCACGGTGTGGCTTTAGATAACAGCTTACTGTAAATATGTGCGGAGTATCTACTCCGTAGCTTAGCTGCAGCTGTGCGACGCAGCCGTATGTTTTGCTCGCCTCTTTTTTTCCTTCTCTTCTTTCTTGTTTCTCTCTCGTTCTCTCCTGCTTCACTCCCCGCTTACTCCTTGTTTAATTCTCAGTCACCCCTCCTTTACTTCTCACTCACCTCTTTACTTCACTCTCTAGCCTCTTATATGCATTGATGCACAGAATCATGATTATCTATCAGAGATCGTCAAGACAGATAAACACCTTCTGTTCCCTTCTCCAATGGCGAGGAGTATGCCCGACTAAACTCTTATCGAAGCCCAACCTCTCGCATGTCTTGGGCGTATGAGGCAGGCGTAGCACCTGGATAACTAGAACAAAAACCAAGACAATTAGAAGCGTCAGGCCACAACAGACTGAAACAGATACACAAGGCACCTGATAGCTGTGTCTGTGTTCCAGTTCTGGAAGGTTCAAGAATAGAATAGGATAGGATAGGTGCTGGGATAGCTGAGCCGAGACAAGTCTACTTACCTAGTACCTACCTACTAGTACAGAGTGAAACGAAACAGGTTCACTGCTCCTAGATACCCAACCAGTACTGATAGAGGCTTCGGTGAAGGGTCCGTAGGTTTGGATCAGGGGCATCTTTCATGGGTGGCCAGTACTCCGTAGTAAGTATCTTTCACCCTCTCTCGCCGCAGGAGAGGGAGGTGTGTGGTCAGTCCTCCGTATACTAGGTAGAGGCCAAGGGCCTTAATATGATGGGGTTTATAGTGATGGTATTTTGTGAATCAGATGATGAGTCGGTGATCTGGTGAATAACAGCTAGCTAGCTATATCTACCGGTTAATAACTATTAGCCTAAATCATCCGCGTCTACTAGATATTATGCACTGGTTCTCACCCGGGGATTAAGTTGCTTGATTGGCCAGATAAGGTATGGTCATGGTCCCTCATACCCACTACCATTCTGCAGGCTAAACCCTGGCCCTAACCCATAATACAGTATGGCCATAGAACCTTACTGCTACTGGCTATATTTAACATTCTTCACAAATAAAGTTCAACAAGTTCAACAATCAAGAAGTCAATGTGCTATTCCCCGCATATTAATCATTTCTATGCTTTATCAAACAAGCCCTCTATTGCAAAAAGCCCGATACCAGCTCTTCGAAGAAAACATCTAACATGGGCTGGACTACCCACTCTGGCAGTAACAACCATGCCACGGCACAAAGTCCCGAAAGTGATGGGAAGGGTGAAAATAGAACACTATACATTGGTCGTGCTCGCGGAACGGCATCCACTGCTGCATGCATGCATGGAACAGCACAGACGGAAGCAACACCGAGAAGAAGTTTCGAGTATTATAATAGCAAAAATGCCAAGTCTAACCGACACTATGTAAATGTCGACACAATCAACGGGTATCAAACGCTCAAAATGATGGACTGGACGTGGTCCAGTATGAAATCACGAAGTATGCTGGCACGACGGTTAGGAATCGGAGTGCTGCTGGGCCTCTGCGGCGGCCCGGGCGATCTGCGGCACGGTCTTCTCGTCGATGCTGTTCCGGCGCCCCCAGTTGGCGGGCTGTCGGCGGAGGAACGCCCCCACAGAGCCGATGTACCCCTCGTGACGCAGGAAGTAGGCTTGCTTCTCGCCCTTGGACCAGAACTTGATGGCGTACGACAGCGTGTTCATGGTCTGCCGGTGGCCTCGGATGAATGAGCCGCCGAAGTAGATGTGCTTGACCTGGTGCTTTTCCGACTGCAGATACGCAATTTGGCCGATGTTGTTACTGGAGGATGTTAGATAGCTGCAGACGCAAGGCAAATATGACAACGCACCTGATGGCATACAGCAGGCTCCTGCTCATGTCCTCAAACTGGAACATCGGCTCGCCGTTGCTTTCTCCGCTTTCGCCGGATTCCTCCGGCCCGTCGCCATCCACTTGGTTCTTCATGCGGAACACCTTGCCAAACGTGCTGGCAATGGCGGTGTGCTTCAGCCCGATCTTGCTGTAGTCCATGCCGTAGATGTCCCCGACAAGCATGTCTACCCCGCTGTTGTCCCCCCGGTCGGCCATGGCCAGCATGTCGTCGAAGGTGCGGGCACCCGTCAACAGCGACATCAGGCCCCAGAATGTACCGCCTCCCAGGTGCGTTCCGCCCACACGTTGAAATTGCTTGGGGCCCGACACCTTGATCATGGACACTCCGGAGCCGATGTTGACTAATAGGTACGGGTAGACATCCGGTCGGGCCTCGGCAAACTGCATCGGCTCTGTCTCGCTGTAGGTAAAGACCTCGTTGGGGATCTCGGTGATGAAGAAGTCGAGGCCTGCGTGAGTGCCCAGTTAGACGCTATTTTCTTCAATGCAACGCGTGCAACGTACCCGTGATGAGACATTCCATCTCATCCTCCCGTATTATGTCAATCTTGAGGGTCTCCTTCAGCTTATCGTAATACTTGTAAGCTCCTCCGCCCGTGGCCATCACGCAGAGCTCCTGTCCCGACGGGCCGCCGAGCTTCTCATGCTCCTCTTTCAGCTGCTTGATGAAGTCGAGGCACAGGTCTATGCGGGAGGTCTCGAAGTTGATGAAGTTGAGGCGGCCGCCATTGTCGACAGAGTCCAGCTCTCGGGTATAATAGACTAGTTTCGCCAGCGAACCGCCAATCTGCAGTCGAGAGAAGCAAGGTCAGTGAGATGCGCCGAAATGGTGTTCTGTTGCAACTGCGGGGAGCTACTGTGCGGGGAACCGCGGAAGACAGGGAAAAAAAAAAAAGGGCCGCACTCACATCTACCGCAACATGGCTGACCAGGCCGGTGTGATGGGGGAGACGAATATCGTGACCCTCGTAATGGACGCCATCGGTGCGGACGGGACTCTTGGATCGGGGATCATCGTCGACAATGAAGGCGCCCTTGACGTTGATCTTGACAGCTCCAGGGTTGGTGATGGCCTTCTCTAGGCGACCGCCGCGGGGGGCGGGAGGGGGGTTTGAGGAGGCCATGTGTCGCGTGGGCTTCAATGGCATAAAAATGGGAGGGGAGGAGTGGTCGGGAGAGATCAGGGGATATGAGGGGTGATAATAATTAATGACAGGACTAGCGGAGGGCGTACCGGGGGATGGGGGGTGGTTGAGGTTGCCATCTCGGGGCAATGGGATCCCGTGCTGGCCCCTACGGCGTATATCTCCTTCTGCCCGCTTCTGTTGGCTTTTGTTGAGGTCGGGTGGAACCGAGCGCTCTTACTACTTAGTCAAGTCACTCTGCTGATGCTGCGGCGGCTTATGAGATGTCATCAAACACGCGCAATCCCTTGACTGTGGCGTGTTGACCGATGCGGCATCGCGATGGTATGTCTTCTGCAGGGATGGCCTGCATCCTGCCTGGAGGGGGTGGCCAATGACGTCGCCCAATCCGGGTGGACACCTGAGGCTGCTCGGCTGCTAGTCTGTCAGGCTGTCAGGCCGCAAGGCAGGCAGGCAGGATCCAGGCACCGACCCCACGTCGGATCTGAAGATCCACTCTCATCAGGGGGTTCCCGATATCAGATTCGACTAAAAGCACCACTGTCCAGGCAGTCCGAGGGTCAGGCAGTTGCAATGATATGTTCCTGTTCCCTCCCTGGTATTTCTACGTCAAGTTCTCGTTCGTCAGCATGGACCAATGACGTACGTAGTGCGTGGTACTACTTCAGTTACCGTATCGCTGTTGGTTCCCTACAAAATATATCTTCAACACCCAATCACCTGCATATACAATTTAAACCAAGCACATATATACTTATCTACCGCAACGAAGAGAAATCTACTTGGCTTTGGACAATCCAATGAAGGACCTTATCCTCAGACCCTCAAGTAAGCCCCCAGGATCCGGACGGTTACGCCAACTATGCTACAATTGAAGCCCATTGCTGGTGTACACGGCTTGCTGCATATCTGAACTCGTACACCCCCAGCCCAGACAGGCTTGGACAATGAAGGTTCGCTCACCGACTCATCACAAGGCCATAGATGAGAACTGTTTCCTGTACTCCAGTCAAACGGATATAGGCCTCTGTCTGCCCACAATAAGCATGGCTGCCTTACCTTTTGTTAAGAGCCTACTAGACAGTGAGTGCCAGACCACCATCAAGTTCTGGTCTGATCCATTGGTTTGAGCCACTTGGCTCTCATCCTTCTTGTCACTCATCCTTGATCATTACGCTTGATACCATGTGGAAACAGCTGCCACTTCTAGATACCATGGCAAGAATTCCTAGCGACATGGTTGACAGCCGATGAGAGGATCGAAGTGAATCTGGCAGCTGGCGATGTCTCAGATGGCGCCAGGCCACTGGGTGCCTATGGCATCGAGCAGGTCGGCTGCTGACCTGCCAGACCGTCTCTTCCTCTCTTCCACTCTCTTCCACTTCAAACCACCGCCGCTCGTTTGGTCTTCTGTCACTTCCACCTCCCCTTCCACCTTCCCTTGACATTCACTGTCCCCCCACCAACGGCACCGTGTTTGGCTCTGCTCTTTCATCTCCACTCCTCGCTGTTTTGTTTTGACCTGTGGTGACTCGCGTCTTCGTTTTCTTATATCCCCTTTCCCCTCCGCCTTTTTGTCTTCTTCCTTCCCTCCTCTCCTCCTCCACCTTGTCTCGCCCACCTGTCTTCTCCCACCATAGCAGGACTGGTCTCCTTTCGTGAGTATCTTTCCTTCTCTGTTAGTTAGATATCCTGCTCACAATCCTGTGTGATTAGATCCTCCACCCCCCTGTCCCATAACGCGTGTCTGGTTCTGTTGGTGTTCTAAACATGGACATGGACGGAATTGACGTGTCGGATATGAGCCAGGCTCTGATGGAGTCGGCCGGGAATGAGACCACCAAGTCCACCGAGGCGGCGAATGTTGCTCGTGAGAAGGGCTGGGTGGCTCCGGAAGGGTACGACTACAATAAGTACACTTCTGTGGCCCCCCCGGTCCAGCCCGAAGGAGAGGGTGACGACGCGCTTCCCGAGTGGGCAGGGAAGGCCGCCAAGTACGAGTGGAAGGATGAGTTTGGTGACGTCGGTCCCCAGAATACTGAGCTCGAGGAGATGCTCTTCCGTAACGACTACATCAACCGGACTGGGCTCAAGATTGGAAAGTAAGTGGACTGAGCTCACCTGCCTGTGACCTCACTGACGATGCGTAGCTTGCAGAACATCGAGGTTATCGCCGAGAGTCGTGAGAGACCCAACCCCGTCAAGAGTGTAAGTCAGCCGACTCAAGATTAACTGCTTGTCTAATCGTTTAGTTCGACGACGCTGGTCTTCACCCGATCGTCCGTGAGAACATCCGCTTGTGCTGCTATGAGCTCCCCACTCCTATCCAGGCGTACTGCATTCCTGCCGTTCTCACCGGCCACGACCTGATTGCCATTGCTCAGACCGGTAAGTGATATCCAATTGCAGAAAGTAGCATCCTGACCGAAGCAGGCTCTGGAAAGACCGCCGCGTTTCTCATCCCTGTTCTTTCTCAGCTGATGGGAAAGGCAAAGAAGCTCGCGGCTCCCCGTCCCAACGTGGCAGCTGGTTACGACCCCAGCCTCGACGCTGTTCGGGCCGAACCATTGGTTCTGATAGTTGCCCCTACCCGTGAGCTGTCGACTCAGATTTTTGATGAGGCACGTCGCTTGTGCTACCGCTCCATGCTGCGCCCCTGCGTTGTCTACGGTGGTGCGCCGACTCGTGACCAGCGAGAGGAGTTGCAGCGCGGCTGTGATATCCTGATTGCAACCCCTGGTCGACTGCTCGACTTTATGGATAAGCCGCACATCCTTTCCCTCCGTCGTGTCAAGTAAGTTTCGAAGTTTGATATCATTCGCCACTAACATGATCAGGTATACCATCATCGACGAGGCAGACGAGCTTCTGGACGCTGACTGGGAAACCGACTTTAACAAGATCATGTCCGGTGGTGGTATGTGTGTCTCACCACCGAATGCTTCGTAGTGCTGACAACATAGATATCAACGAGGATGCCGATCATCGCTACATGATGTTCTCAGCAACCTTCAACAAGGAATGCCGTCAGTTGGCTCGCAAGTTCCTTGCTGACGACCACGTTCGCGTGCGCATCGGACGTCCGGGCAGCACGCACGTCAACGTTGACCAGAGCGTAAGAGTGTCAGCCATATCTCATGAAGCTGCATTAACAATACTGTCGTGTAGATTGTTTACGCAGAGCCCCATCTTAAGAAACAGGCTCTCTATGACCTGCTGCTGTCAATGCCACCTTCCCGTACCTTGATTTTCGTCAACTCTAAGAGTCAGGCTGATTTCTTGGACGACTATTTGTTCAACATGGGACTTCCCAGTACCTCCATCCATTCCGATCGCACCCAGCGTGAGCGTGAGGATGCCTTGTAAGTTCAATGAAGCCAAGTGCTGGACAGCTGCTGATGACGCGATAGGCGTGCGTTCAAGACTGCTAAATGTCCGATCCTCGTTGCCACCGGCGTTTCGGCTCGCGGGCTGGACATCAAGAACGTCATGCATGTCATCAACTTTGATTTGCCTAGTGCCTCGCATGGGGGAATTAATGAGTACATTCACCGAATTGGTGCGTCCACATGCCGGGAAAATAAAGCAAGACTAATGCCGGATACTAGGACGTACTGCGCGTATTGGCAACGAGGGCCTCGCGACTTCCTTCTACGAAGAGGGCAAGAACGCCGAGCTTGCGCCGGATCTGGTCAAGATCTTGCTCGAGAGCAAGCAGAAAATCCCCGATTTTCTCGAGTCCTATCGTCCGGCCGATAACCTTGTCACCTTTGACGACGATACCGACGACGAGAAGGAGAACGAAGGGACTACTGCTGATGACGACGGTGCTTGGGGCGGAATTCCTATGGGGGAGCCTGATGAGGCGCCTGTGGCGAACCCTAACTGGGATTTCTAGTTCAATGGTCGCTGCTTCCCGGTCTGACAACTGGGACCTGTCACGAATGTGTCTCGCACCACCTCTCGCAAGGCATTCAGCAGACAGGGCTCTGGTTGAAGGACCGGGTCGGTGGATGGCGAGTTGATCTTTGAATGCCTTTTCGTTTGTTTCCACTTTCAACCCTACGCTCCGGCCGGGTCAAACGTGCAATCTGTTGCTGAGATTTCCAGCCCTATAGTTCAAGCAAGGCTTCGCAGTCTTTCTCGCCTTGAACGAGCCTCGGAAATCTAAAGAAGCCCGGGATGGACTGGCCTTTGTTGGAGGCAATAGATCTGAGCTTGCTGCAGATATCCAACCAACGGAGTCATGTTGGGAGGTGGTTCGGGAGGGTTGGCTTGCGATGTCTCTTGTCTAGATGGGATAGTTAATAATGAATCAATCTCTTTTCTGTTAACAGCGATTGGATTCTCAAGCTCTGGACACTGAGATGGGACATGAAGGACATGATGATGATGATGCTGTATAGGCTCTAACGTCTTCGTATCGTGCCTTCCTAGAGTGCACCTGCTGTTCCTTCCTGCATAGCAACATAGCCATGCGATCTACCCTCTACACTCTACCACCATCAGTATAAACATCATTCCACATATAAACTGCCCTCAAACACTTTCTTTTGTTTCCACTCATTATTCCCCACCCCGGCCGCTACCCAGCACCATGAACTTGCATACGATCTTCACCATCGCGCTCACCCTGACCCTCACCCTCAAAGCCATCACCACCACCACCGCCCTCCTCGCCCCCCTCCCCCCTTCCTCATCGACACCTTCACCCACAAAACCCACAACGCCCTAGGCTTCTGGCATGGCGCACTGGAAGGCCTGCCCCTCACCCACGGGCCCAACTCCATCCGCCTCTCCCCCACCGACCCCGACCAATACTACCACACGCAACTCAGCGCAGCCACATGCTTCAACCTCAACCCCCACATCCACACCAACCAGCACCTGCACATCCACCTCTCCGGATCCCCACACTTCACCATCTCCCTTACCCAAAACAATCCCTCCTGTAACGCCTCCCTCCACCCCTTCCCGGAGACCTGGGACTCGCTCGACGCATCCCGCTACGCCCACAACAACCACATCTACATCCCGCTCTCGCACTTCCACATCAACTCCTCCCGGACCCTATCCATCGCGTTCGGCGGCTTCTATACGCCCGAGTCTGTGACGCTCTTCCGCGTCGAGATCGTCGACGCGGCTGCTGTTCCGAAGGCCTTTCCTGTCCCACCCAGGCTGGATAATGGGAACGTGGCGTTGAGGTGTTCGAGGCCGGGGGCGTTTGCGTTCGGCATTGATGATGGACAGCCTGGGTTGGCGCAGGAGGTTATGCGGATTCTGGAAGAGGAGGGCATCATGGTTACGTTTTTTGTTGTTGGCATGGGGTTGAGGGATGCGGAGACAAACTTCTCGGCGGTTTATAGGGAGATGTTGAGGAGGGGGCATCAGGTCGCGTTGCATTCGGATACGCATCGGAAGTTAGTATACTTTTTTTTTCCCGTTTCGTTTTGGGTGGATTGGGGGTGGTTTTGGAGATGTGGTGTTGGGGTTGTGAGGCTGATGTCTTGCAGGCTGGAAGGCTTGGGGTCGACGGCCGAGATTGACCGCGAGATCGTGGAGAACATCAAGTCGTTTCAACAGATTCTGGGGATTGAAAGTACGTCTACTCTTTTTTTCTTCGCTTCCTTTTCCTGTCCTTTTTTTGAGTCTGTATGTTGACTGACCGACAGCTCGCTACTTCCGTCCCCCGTACGGCACCATCGGCGCAAGAACCCGACAACGTCTCGCATACTACATCAAAGACCCCCAGATCATCAACTGGAGCGTGGACATCGAGGACTGGCTGTGGGCGGGCACCAAGACGCCCGAGAAACAGCGCGAGGCGTTCATCCGAGACGTCAAGCTCGGCGGAAACCTGGCGGTCATGCATTTCCTCAGTCCGACTACCGTGAGCTACTTCCGGGAGATAATCCAGTTTGTGAAAAGCATGAACGCGACCATCATGCGGATCGACCAATGTCTGGAGGATCCGAATAGTCCGCCGTTGAAGATTTCAGTTCCTTGATGTTTTTCCTTGTCTGTGGTTGGGTTCAATTGATACCGGATAGCTTGAACGCTGACTGACGGAAGTGAAAGAAAATGAAAATGAAAATGAAAAATGAGTTCTGGATAAAGCACCAACAGTGCCAGACGCCTGATGCGGATGCTGTAGACAGGACCAAGCTTTTAACAGACAGAACAGAAGAACAGACCGCCCAAACGCCCTCACTGCATACCGCCTATGCAATGCGATGCCATGCCACGAACAGGCTCGACCAGAGTAATAAAATCTATACTAATACAAAAACAAACATACCCTTTTAGAAGCGAACATGTAGAATCGAATCAAAAGAAGAAAGAAGAAAGAAAGAAGGAAGAAAGAAAGTAACGAATGCCTCGTCCCGCGAACATCAATGAAAACCATATCAATACCATACCGACGAATATCAAAAATCCGAATTGGAATCCAGACCCTGACCCAGACCCAGACTCTCCTCCGAATCCGTACCCGAACCCGATTCAGAGAGACAGAAAGAAAAAGAATCACCTCAACCCGAAATCGGGCTTCGAGCAGCGCGGCGCATGATCAATCATATTCTCGATCGTGCTGAGCACCCAACCCGAACGAGCAGCGGGGTTACTCGTTCCCAGCCGGGGGGTCTCGCCGGTGAAGCAGACGCCGTCGCGGATGACGAACTGGGCGCAGTGGCGGGTGGCGGCGCAGAGGGTCTGGCATTCGTGGAAGGTGGTGATGGCGGGGTTTTCCTGGTCGGAGAGGTTGTCCCAGCTGTCGCGCACGTTGGAGAGTTCGGGGTAGATGAGTTCTTTGAAGACGTCGCGGTGAAGGAGGATGGGGTTGTCCGTCTGGGTATTAATCTGTTAGCTTGGGGGGATTTTAGGGGGGGGGTATTGGGGCGGGGGGGCTCACCTCTTGTCTTCTGCGTTTCTCGAAGGCGTACAGATCTTGGATCTCGCGCTTGCTGAGATGGTGGAAAGCGACGGCGGGGAAGCACCACGGGTTGCGGTAGAAGCCCTTGGCGAACTCGTCGAGCTCGCCGACGTTGGAATTCTGGAGAATCGGCCACGAGTAGTGCAGGCTGACGCCGGCGTCGGCGAGGACCTTACCGAGGACGCAGTCGCCGGCCCAGTGCCAGTCGGTGTATTCGTTCAGCTCGATGGTGCGGGTCGCGTACTCGTTTGTGGCGAGCTGCATGGCGGGGTTGGAGACGATGAAGCCGGAGCCGCCGTGAGCGAAGATGACATCTGCGATCTGGGTCTCGGTGCCGATGTAGTGAGGTTCTCTGGGGTCGAAGTGGGCTAGCCATTCGAGGAGGGTGGGCCAGGAGAAGTAGGTGTCCGCCTCCATGAAGACGTACCATTTGGCGTTGTCCTTGTGGAGGAGGGCCTGCTGGACCATGGGGAGGAATTTCCATTTATCGAGTTTCCAGCCCGGGTTGTTGGGCTTGCCGATGTTGGAGTTGGCCTCGTCGGCGAAGTCGGAGTTGTCGAGGCCGGCGCGGCCCTGCTCGCGCAGCCGGTTGTAGAGGTCGAAGTCGGCGACCGTTTCCTTCACGACGGTGTCCATGGTGCGGAGGGCGTCGTGGATCTTGACGCCCTGGATCTCCTCCTCGAAGTCCGAGAAGATGATGTAGTTCGGCACGCAGCGCAGCGTGGTCTGGAAGTGCACCGGCACTTTGTCGAGGGATTCGGTCACCCCTGTTTTCATCACCACCAGCACGTCTTCCATGCCGGGGAGGACGGGGCATTCGGCGGTTTCGCTGGCGGAGCCGGTGCGGTGGTGACCGGCGGCGGCGGCGGTCGCGTCATAGGTGCGGGTGTAGAGCTCCGGGCGGAGCGAGACGAAGTGGTAGAGGAGGAAGAGGCCCAGGAGAGAGGAGACGAGGGCGATGCGACGGGAGCGACGGAGCACCATTATTATTGTCGGCTTGCGCGCGTGCGCAGGAGCGTAGGGATCGGGGATCGGGGATCGGGGAGGTGACGAGGGAGGATGAGCGACGGTGGTTTGCGGTTGCGTTGGTGGTTGTTTCGGAGAGCCGACCTGCAGCGGGTGGTGGAGGAGGAGGAGGAGGGAGGAGAAAGCAGGAAAAAACTGAAACGACGATTGATTATCTATGGACCGGTCCTCCAGATAGACGAAAAGCGTTTTTTCATTTTCTGTTTATGTTGGTCTGCCAATAATGCAATTCAATCCACCCCTACTCGTGGTGCGGTGGGATTCCTGGGGACGGGCAGGAACGTCGGTAGTGTGAGACAGATGGATCGGGTCCCCTGGCGGTCGGTGGAGGGGAAGAATGGGGCCGAGGAGGGGGGAAAGGAGCAGGAGGAGGAGCAGCAGCACCAGCAGCAGCAAAAAAAAAAAAAAGGACAGCTGGAGGAGAACTGGGGATGAGGAGGAGGAGGAGGAGGATCGACTCGGGAGGGTATAAGAACTATTGTGTTTCGCGTGGAGATGGCGACGTAGGAAGGCACGTAGGCAGGCGAAGATCGGCTCACGCAGCGGGCGATCTGGATTTCTCACACTGACTGTCGATGACGCGTTAGCCTGGCTATGGCCCCCGAATAATGGCTGGAGAATGCGAGGATGGCCCATCGCTACTCGCTAGTCGGGGTCCCACGGCGCTTAGGCTGGCCTAACCATGGGTTGGGGAGGAGCTGCGAACCTGAAACCCGCCCCTGACGGCCGCTAAGTAGCTAAGCTGTCAGACGCGAGGCCACATGGGGATGTGATTTGTGCGTGAGCATGGTGGTGATGGTGATGGTGGTGGTGGTGGTGGTGGTGGTGGTGGTGGGGAAGATGATCAGTCACAAAGAAAGGAGAGAAAAAGTGGGAATGTTTTTGAATTGGGTTGCCCCTGGCAGGGGATGAGCATCGACTCATCATTGACATTAATTCCGCAGTCTTATGACAACCACCCGAGAAACAGACAATATATTAAGAGGAAGAGACATGTGTTCAATCTCCTACGCTGACAGGGCCAGATGGAGTTTCAGACCCCTATTAATCTATCTGGCGAGGACCCTCTTGCCTCAGGGTTACTAGATACACTATATCTGCTCCCGTAGTCTCCGAACGGCCCCTTGAAACCCTTTCTCCGTTCCCCGGCGTCCACCACCACGTTGCCCACAAAAGTGCCCCCCCCGTACGTCTAGGCTTCTCTACTCTCTACTGCGGAGAGTGTTTCGCGATCATGTTCGAGTGCAGCAGCACCAGCTCCGGAATGATCAGACTCTCGATCTCCACCCCCTCCGAGGTGGTTTTTTCACCCTGCTGCCCCCCACTGGTTTCCCCTGACGCCGAGTCGCCCGCCCGCTTGGCCTCCGCCAGCCCGACCTGCGCCTCGCTGCCGGAAATGCTCTTGCTGCGCCGCGACTTCGGCACTCGGATCCAACGCTCGTGCGGCGCGTCCGGCGTCACGAATACCACCTCCCACTTGCGCGTCGTCAGTAGATTCCCAATCACTAGGTGATGCGCGTATCGCCGCAGCGCCGTCTGCGCCTTGTACACCAGCAGGTTCGGGTCGGTCTCCAGCTTGAACGATACCACCATGCTACCGTCCGGCGCCCACCCGTCCACCAGCCGGTGCAGGAACTTGGGCACCGGATCTAGATCGATGACCAGTCTCTTGCTCCGCGACGGTTGTTGCGCCTCAAGCCCGCCCGTGTAGATGTCCGACCCGTCGGTCGCCTGGCCCTGGGACAGATGCTCCGGCAGTTCCGACGATTGGATCTTGTGTTCCGACATCCGGTCGCTGGGGATGAAGAAATCGCTCACCGCCGCCGCCAGGTAAAACAGCGCGTTGGAGCCCAGCGGCCTCATGAGCTGGGCCAGCGACCGCAGCTCAAAGAGATACTCGGAGATGGTGGTGAAAGGCAGCAACAGGAGGAGGTTGTTGCGTTTGGCGTACCGGTACTTCCGCAGCACGTCCCGCATCTGGTCCTGGTATTCGCTGCGCACCACGATCGGCCGGTGATCCGACTCGCTGGCCCCCTCCACGTCCGGCACCGGCTCCTCGTCCATGAAGTCCAGGAAGCAGTTGGTCGAGTGACTGTAATGCCGCGAGTACGGCAGCAGACTGAACTGCCGGTGCAGGAAGATCACCGCATACCCCTGCTGGAGAAAGTATTCCGCCGACACGGCACCTCTCGTGCCCGCGCTGAAGTTGTCAATGAAGCGAACGGTTTGGTTCTCTGCACATCGGTCAGAAGTCATTTTCGGGTGCACGATCCATCCCACGAACCGAGAGGAACTGTGGTGCCGCCGGAGGTCACGAGGACGAGGCGCCGGTTCGCTTGGACATGATAGTCGACGAAGGCCCGGGCGAGGGCCTCGTGTTTCGGGAGGGACTTGGGGGGAGGGTAGTTGTTGAAGTAGACCGACTCGGCCTCGGCGGGCGTCATGTCGGGTGTGGGGGCGGAGGTCATGATGTTGGGCGATGGAGGGTATGTTCAAACTAATGCGATCAAGGTGAGACTATCCAATATATTCAATGCCACGGTCTATCGATGCGATCAACAGTGCGAGTGGATCTATCCAAGCGAAACAGGAGGGGCACTGGCAGAACTCGCGGGGGACAGCGCGGGGACTGGCAAACAACGACCGCCTGGTGAAGAGATTTTATTTATCGCAGCCGGAGGATAGACGGTCGACGACAGCGAAGATGGCCGGATTTATAAGAAATGGCGTCTGCTATATTCTGACATATGCCGGGTAGTTCGGAGCACGCTTGGATGGGTATAGCAGGCAGGTCAACCTTCCACGATTGGGCCTCGGGCACTGGAACGGTTGCCTCGTTCGTGGTATGGAAATGATCGCGGAGACGGTAAGAGATCAACAGCAATAAGACGAAGCGTCTTGCAGATGAGGTGTCCCCAAGGAGATGGCGAGTGGACGGCGATGCTGGAAACTTGTCGCCGTCGGCCTCTCACTTTCTCTTCTCGCCGAGAGGGGCTCCTCACCGCCTTCGGGGCATGACGCATCTAATCGCCGATCCTCGGTTCTTTCCGCTTTCGGTCGGCCGCTTCTGCTTACGAACTGATCTGTCCACGAACTAAACAAAACAAAACAAAACAAAACAAAACATCTTATTCTCTGTCCTACCTGCAAGCTGCTCGATGATTACACGCTGGTAGAAGACCAGACGAATTAAATCTTGGTACGTATCATGATCAGGACATCAGGATCTGTACGGCGGCCTTCAATTCCGCCACCTTCTGCGTCAAGATCGCCCGTCGTGATTTGGTCATCGGGGACTCGCCTGCCATTGCCTCCAACTGATCCGCATTCAAAGTGAGCACCCATTCTTGACTGAAGACTTTGAGCGGGCTGCCAGATCCAGTCAACAAACAGTGATCCACGGCCTGCATGTAGATGTTGTCCACAAATCGCTTGCGTGCAACCTTGTAATAAGCCCAGAGACCATCATGGATTTCCTCCATGATGAATTCCACATTGCTCTGATTAGTGGCTGTCTGCTTGACAGTCTCCAAGTCGACGACAAGATTTTGGGAGACCACGATGCTCCCGTGTGTACCAGTCTTCAACACCTTCCGAGCGTTGCCTTCCAAAGTCTTGCTCAGTCGGGCAACACGCAGCTTTTGAAGAGTGTCGTTTGAAGTAATGGTTGAGGGTATACGGCTGCAGGTTCCTTTCGACAGATAGGAGGAATGCTGCCTGGGACATGGCCGACTTATATCGCTCCAAAAGCCCATAAAGCATGTTGGACCAGATTTTCTCCTGGAGTTGCTTGTTGACGCAAACCCTTTCCAACGCCATGAAGCAGAACTGGTGGATGACCATGATAATCTTGCTCACATAATCCATAGCCATTGCCTCCCACTTGCTCGTTTGCTCTCTGAAGGCGCTGGAGAGAATATCTCCCCCAAAGTTCCCTAAGTCAAGACCGCGAGACTTGAGTCCTGATCAGTCGTGATTCCGCCTGCGGGATCTCTGAAGATTCCCGGTACATCGATCACAGTCAGGTAATCTTCGGAGGGACCGCACAGCTCGATGCGAAGCACATCTCTGCTAAAGACAGTCCCTTCGGTGGAAGAGAGATCACTTCGAATGCCCATGCGAAAATTGACCTTTCGAACTCATCAGCATGGATATCGTCGGTATTTACTACACTATAGGTGAGCCTCACCTCCTTCAAGATAGCTGGAAACTGGGAGCGGAAATCCCGAGTATGCTTCAAGGTTTTGTGAAACGTCTGCAGTTGTTTTATATGAGATTCAGACGCGTCGGGACCCGGAAGAATGCGGATATCAACTTATGTTTCTGCTTCGCGACGGGAGGTGATCTGGGTTGCGTAGCGAGTACAGAGCCCCAGGTCACGGGGGAAAGGTATCTTGGTGAGACTTTCCAGAAGAGACGACTTTCCGGAGCTCTGGTCTCCGACCACGACCAGCTGTGGAATCATCAGCCTGTGAGGTCAAAGTAATGCAGTAATGGACCGGGACATCTTACCTGAGGGAGGGGAACATGCTTGCCGACGTTCTTCTCGCGGAGCCTGTCGATCTTCCTCAGCAGATCTGAGTTGCTGAGGAGGTTCGACTCGCCGGTCTCTTCGAGCGTCATGTTTGCTAGTAAACTACTGGAAAGCAGCATGCACTCAATAATAGAATCGGTAGATGCTATGATATTGGAGTCAGTATCGGTGTCGGAGCCAGTAAGCTCTGACTGTGTGGAGGAGGGCGAGGGAGGAAAGAAGTCCTGGGGGTTGAGAAAATTGTTTAAAAGGCCGGTAAAATCAAGTGGCATTGTGGGAGTCTGAGAGAGTGAATGATGTAAAAGAAAAATTTTCTGTCATATGTGAATGACTGGGCTGGTTACATCGTTGTGTATATTGGTTTGGCGATAGCTGAGGGTCCTGACAAACGGCTTGCAAGTGTGGACAGACAAGCAAGGTCGTTGAAAACGAAAGGAACCTCCTTTTCCTTTGTTGGTATATTGTAGGATATCTGGACCTGGTTACACTGGTTGCTTGGGAGATACGGGACATAGAGCTTGGGGAATAGGTTTCAGGTCGTAGTATTAAGCGATAGAGTATTCACAGAGAACAGATCACATGGCTTTTCTTCTACTTGGCAGAGTTTTCAAATAATACTAAACCTACGAAATGATCTGGTAGACTACTAATGCCAGTACTGATTGTTCTGAATGGTTGTATATCATACTAGACACTTTACCCTGCCCACAATACACAAGGCGAAGTATAGTATATATCAAACAACTAAACGAAAGCTATCTACAACTTCGAAGGTTATACATCTACCCAATATCCCTAAACATCCTTCCTTGGCCTAACGGGCATCTCCCGCGTAGGAGCATCAATATGAGTCGTCCACTTCGTAGCGAAGACATCCGCTGCAGTGAACGAAGTACTGTAACCATCACGAACGATGGAGTTGACCGGGAATCCAGGATCGAACGGAATGGCGGTATCGATCTCATCCATATCCTCCTTCGACAGATCGATACTCAGGGCCTCGATATTGGCCTTGAGATGCTCGATCTTCCGCTGTCCCAGGATGGGGAAGATATAAGGCGTCTTGAACCGGATATACGCGAATGCCTAGCAAACCACGAATCAGTCAGTCACCATACACGTCAAAGAAAGATTTGGAGCATTTAACTCACAATAGCATGAATCCCCGTCCCATTCCGCTTCGCAACCTTCTCCAACGCCTCTGACACCTTCACATCGTTCTCCGTCTGCTCCTTTCCCCTCGTAGAACCAGTATATACCTTGCCCCCCTCCTCCTCCCCCTCCCTCTCGACCCTAAACCTCCCCTGCCCCAACGTCGCAAATGGCGCAATCGCCATCCCCTGATCGCGACACATGGGGACAATCTCCCTCTCGAGATCCCTAACCCCGGCATTCCACTTGCCCTGATAGACGGAGAACGGACGCAGCCCATTCGCGCGCGCGTAGTCGTTCGCTTTGACGACCACCCACGCCGGACTATCGGAGATACCAATATAGAGGACCTTCCCGGCGGAGATGAGGGTGTTGAGGCCGTGCATTACTTCTTCGACGCTGGTGGTGAAGTCCCACCAGTGCACGTAGAGGAGGTCGATGTAGTCTGTTTGCAGCTTCTGGAGGCTCCGGTTGACGGAGAGGTGCATCGATTTGACGGAGTTGCCAACGTAGTTGGATTGGATGGGTTCCGTGGTGACGTGGGCGCGGCGGTAGCCGGTTGTGTATTTTGTGGCGATGCTGGGGTGGAAGTGTTAGGGGGTGTGTATGTTGAGGGGGTAAGGGGAGGGGGACGTACACCATCTGATCACGGTTTCCGCGTTTCTTCATCCACTCTCCTATCCATTCCTCGGATTGTTCGTCCTGGTATGCGTTTGCGCTGGAGAGTCAGTTGTTTTGATGTAGGAGAGGTATTGTGGAAGAAAATCATACGTATCGATGAAGTTCCCGCCATGCTCGTAGAAGGTATCCATGATTGCAAAGGACTGCTCCTTGTTGCACTCGCCCATGAAAGGACTCCTACGGGGTGTTAGTTACTGATGTCTGATGTAGGACTAGACGATGGTCTCACCATGCATCACCGAAGTTCATACAGCCCAGACACAGAGGAGAGACTTTGACACCAGCTGTGGGCGACAGCACCTGGTGGTAACCCAGAAGGGACTTGGGTTTAGGTGCTACAGCGAAGGCCATGTTTCCGAGTCTTGGTATCAGAAGATTGGAGAGATGTTGGAGGGTTATTGTTGTTCAGATCGAGAGGAGGTATGTACCACCTCTTATATAGGTAGCTCTGTCCATTGTTGAGAATTGAGATGGGAGACATGCATCGACATAATTGCCAAGTAGGTCTCTGTGTTCTCTTTTACCAGGCATACGCAAGCATCTGCCTGCGACATTGTGCTCAACTACTGCACTGGCAATGACGTCCTGGCAGTTGCCTGCGGTGGGTGGAGATGCAGGCCAAAACATCATTGGCGCTGTCCCTCTGCTGACACTAAATCCGGTCTCTAAATCCGTGGTGCTCCTTTAACGCCGTCCCATGGTCCCAGGAGATGACACCATGTGTATAGCTCTGCCATGCATCATGCCTGACTAGGAAACAATGCCCACGAGGGATCGGCGTCTCCAAAGGCAACGAGGGTCAGTAGTGGCTTTTTTCAGGGCTGGCTGTTAAGTGCTCTCACCAACAAGGTTAGTGCAGCTCTGTCAGGTATCCCCCCTCTTCATAAAATGCGTAGAAGTAAGTATTCTCCGGACAGATTGCGATCCGAGTGGTATGTATGGGCTTTCCCCTCCAGGAACACCAATCCCCAGCATCCCTCGCCTGCCACGGCTCGATTAGGCAATGTTGCAACCTCAGGCATGAAGCTTATCTCATCGGCACATCACGTGGTAGATCAGCCGCGGGCCGTGGCAATAGCGGGGCAATAGCCTTCCCCAGGCCCATGTGGCCCAACTTGTCCCGCCTGGACTGCTAGGGCAACGCACTCGGCCTGGGCATCCATGGCACGTCACTCTTCACCGTCCTCGCAACCGCCGCAGGGCGTCTTTTGGCAGCTGTATTCAATGCAATTCCTTGTTCCTTGTGTCAATACCTCGTTAGTCTCGTCTCCCCGCGTCCCGCTTGATTCTCCTACAGACCCCACAGCTGAGAACTCATAACCGCAATGACATCTCTGAATCAGTCTGGGGACACTCAGTTCACCGTGTTTATTCGCCTGCCCTTCCCCAGAGGCGACTTTGTGGATCCCCCGCCGGTAGGTGCCGCTCGCCACCTCCCATGGACGCTACTGACCCATTTCCAACAGGTAGAGTGGAATGCTGCCAAGGACCAGGCGCTTTGGGATATTCTCTCGCGCCCGTCAAAGGGGGATGGTCTAGACTGTAAGCGGAGCAAGCTATCCCCTCCAGTCTCCTCAATACTGACTGTACCTTAGGGAAGGCATTGTACGATAGCTTCCACTCGCCGTGAACAGAGTGCTAAAAGTCTGTAGGGCGGATCATTTCGAAGTCACACTCCAGTTCTTGCTCCAACAGGCAGCATGGCTGTACGACCGGCAGCTGTCGCAGGTGCGTGCCCAGATCCTCAAAGTGGGCACCACGCAATCGAGCTCTCCGTCTCCCGCTCCTGGCTCGGTATCAAATAGCACGGCTCTGGGCCAACTAAATAAAGGGTCTACGACTTCGGGTACGCATGCATCATCCCATCCCATCAGTGTGACTATTTCTGATATTTCTGAAGTCCCTCGAGCCCCAAGTCGCCTTGCAGGACAGCAGAAAGACACGCCCCCGCAGCGAGGTACGATTCATCACATTAGATGGCTACAGTGGTCTCGCCATGGCAAGGACTGATTGTCGTCTCATTAGCCCCCATTCCCCGTCGCACCAGCTCAGCAACTACCGTAAACCAGGTCAAAGGTACCCGGGAGTCACATCGCAACGATACGCCCGTTGCGGAGCTACGGGAGCCAAGGCGTGAAAGTCACGACCATCGACCTTCAATCAGCAAACATGAACAAGTCCCAGCACCACTGGCTTCAAAATCGCCCGCCATCAAGGAGGACGATCTAATATCCAGCTCATCTGAATCTGAATCGTCCGACGATGACAAGGTAGGAAGTCGTCGTGGTCTCCGGTTCAAGCCGCCCTTCGGGAAATTCTCAACCCACAAACCCGGCCTAAGAGACGATCTCGAGGACGAAGACGACGAATCCCCTGCCTTCCTTCCAGAACCAAGCAACGACCACCACCACCACACATCGAAACAGGATCTCAGCGCTACCTTACGAACAAAATCCAACGCCGAAGACCTCGCCGCGTCCCGTCGTCGCCCGCACCATCCTGCCTCACGAACGTCCGTCACGACAGAATCATCCGCCAGCTCCACCAGCTCCGGAGTCCCAGTCACGCACCCTCTGTCTCACAGACACCGACCGCTGAATCAAAGCGGGGGACCGACGAGTCCTCGACGGCCAGGAGACATGGCTCCTTTTAGTCCGCGACGGTCGCTTATCTCTGGCAGGGAGACAAGCGACGGGACTCCGAGTATGGGAAGCAGCTTTAGCGATTTAGACGGTAAGACTTTCCCGGCATGTCTACACAATTTGCTAACTTTGGTCTTAGATGCCAGCGTAACCCAGTCAGCACTCGAAGAAGCTCTGATGAGTAACATGCAGCACGGTGGAATGGCCAGTCGAATGAGTACGTTCAGTCAGGCTATACGGAGTCGGTATCTCGGGCGGACGGAAGACAGGTTCTCGTAGGATGATGATGATGCTACAGTCGAGGATGGTACAACTGCGTAGTGGCATCGTCTCATAGCAGACACCTACACGTTCTAGAAGGGGGGGGGGTTGGTTTCTCGCATGTCGCGTTTCTGCACAATGATATTATATTCTTGGTGGCGTTTATTTCCGCCCAGTTATGGCTATACCTTCTTCGATTTCTGTCTAGTTCTTTCCCTCCAGATGGCTTTTACGTGGTCTAATAGGAGGAGGATATCGCTTAATGAAGTGGAAACGCATATCTGAATAGAACGATACTGAAACGTTACCTAAAAAGTCACGTACGACAGCTCCTTCCACCCCCGACGCATTAGCCTAGAATCCTCTTTAACCCGGATGGCCTCCACTCCACACTGAATACCCATGCCGAGCGAAGACCCTAATGAGAAAGATGCTTGTAGAGACCTCCCTAGAACAGACCAACCACTTATGCCCTTCGCAAGACCACGGGATATTTTCGAAGCCAAGCGCCTGATCCAGGGGATCTAGGCTTGCTGATTTTTTGTGGATGCAGGGATCTGAGGGTGTTATTTCGGGCCGTGGCTGTATGACTGAGGAGGGAAGTCGCTCCTGGCACACGTGGGGCAAGCGTGGGGGGACGAGAAGACTTTCATAGTTTATTCATTCGGTGCGGCTTGGTATGAGATTGAGTACTCCCCGCGCATGGCGCTCAGGAAGCCCTCAGGGACCTGTGGTTCTGACATGAGATTGATAGGTGTGTTATGGCTTTTAACAAGGATGGAATTTAAGGCGGTGATGATGAAACTGTTGAAGCTTGAGATGTGAGAGAACATGAACTGTGGGAGGGGGGGGGCAAACGCGGAATTCATACGGAGGAAGAAGAGAAGAGCCGGTCGACAGAGAAGGAACGGTGACTCAGTCAGTGGCTTGGCGGTTCGCAAAAGATGCTGTTGTGGAAATGATGATGGTTCAAATAAAATTACTCACTATCAAGCGCTCTCCAGGTCTGATTTCTCTTCTTTATTGATTTGGCGCGTAGAGGAGGATTCCTGGTGCGGTAAGACCCGTGGAAGAAGTTCATTGACGTCAAATACTAGTATATGATTTTTGAAAAATTGCATGCGATACTAGAGACTTTAGACCTCTCTGCTGCTTAAGGAATAATCACAAAATCGGGCGTAGAATTAACTGGAGAGTAGAGATTATTAACATCCTCGAAGTTCATGAGCCCATCCAAGTTCAACTCAATATGCGTCTGTGATTATTCAAATTGGAATCCCGCCGACATCATGATATGGCCCAAAGACCTTCTCTTCCTTTCGACCAGAGTATTCAACAGGTCAGCATCTTAGAGATGGTGTCTGGGTGTAGCCATCATATACCGGGGTGAGCTATCGCTCATCGGGAATCCATAAGATGAGGGAGTGTCTGATATGGATAGATATGGCAGTTTTCTCCATGCATTGGATAGTCTCTCTTCCGCTTTACTTTGGATCCACGCGCGGGATACGCTTCCAGGGTGGAGCCCCAGACAAGAACAGAGCCACGACAAGCCGTTTATCAAGACAGTCACGACCATGAGAGAGACACCCCCCCCACGCTGTCGACCCGAAATGGCTTCCTGAACATCCTGCCCTATCAGTCATAGTTGTTACCAGGAAGCATTTCTACTTCAGACCTTGAAATCATACATCTGAGCACTGCTCATCAATATTATCAATTTATGGCGACGTATGAGTCCATGGTATATGATGGTGTCGAGTTCCTACAAGACTCCGGGTTATATGTCAGATCTTCCTCCAGGAGCTGCTTCCGTGCACCCTCGCAATTACGCATGGCAGACCCAAAGGTCTTACGCTCTACCGAGAGCATCGAACTTCAAGAGCTCATGGCTAGTCAATCCAGGCAGGGGGTGCTGTGCGATGGATGACATCGGTTCCTCGGCCGTTGCGGAGCGTCTTGTGTCTGGGTCACAGACACTCATCCATCTCCCAAGATGATCAGCTCTAACGACGGTCCGACTCTGGGGTTTGTCTATAGTATGTTCAAAACGCGCTGCCTCTCAACCCGTCCTGGGCAGTGTGGACTGCGCACGCTCTGCCTTCGACAGAGCTGTTCCGCTAGCAACAAGCCGCTCCGAGGAAACAATATTCGAGTTAGCCTTCGAGCCAGAAGGTTCCTTGAGGCTCCCGATTTCATTTTTCGCAGTGCCACCCGTAAGAAACGTTTTGTTTGTAGTGAGGCACCCGATCCGGAGATGTTGCCTGCGACAGCTGCGTTCCTCCTAGCTTTCATCCAAATGAGCGGTGCGCAAGCGCAAGTGGAGAAGACTCAGCCTTGTGGGGGATCAACCACTCTATAAAATGACCCCTGGAGTCGAAAAGCACCAGTCTGCCTGCGCCCAGGTAGTCTCACCGTCGACGAACCGCTCCATTGGGATCAGCACGAGCATGAACGCAGCGCTGGGAATCTTTTCCGCTGCCCCATGAGACCCGCAGATCATCGCAGACGTTATTGAACCCTTCATCCGGTCAGTGGACCATTTCCTCGAAGTTGTCACGAATCAAGGGTGATAAGGGTGATACAATATATGACATCCAAACCCTCATCCAGCATTGTAATCTTGACGCACCTCTTGCATCTGGCTCAGCCGGTCTCAATACAGTCTCCCTACAACACTCGGGGGCTCCTGCCAGCTCAGCTACACTGATGCACCTCAGGAGCTCCGACAGGCCCTCCCTCTGCTCTAACCGAGGTGCAGTTCAGGTCCAGACCACAGTCCCCGAACAGCCCGCCAAACCCCGCGTCCATCCGGCGGCGGGAATCCGCGCGTGTGGAATGTGGATATCATCGGACCGCATCTCAATCCCGCGCCACCCGATAATTTGTCAGTGGGAGCTCCCCCTGTTCAGTTTGCATCTCTCGCCACAGTGACGGATACATCGGATGATGGGATACATCTGTGGCATGTTGGACGGCTCCCTGTGAGTGATGGCGGTACATTGACGTCTTGTGGGGGTCGGGGCAACGAGATCCGACGGGGGTTGAGTAGTTACTTACATGTGGCGACTCGGCGAGGCCGTGGCAAAGGATGGGTTGGGGTAGGGATAATAATGTAATCATAATAGTAGTGTCATTTTGGCCAGGTTTGTGTGTCCTTTTCGGCTGTCTTGTCCCTGGCATGATGCATGGAGTCGAATTCTCTCGCTATATCATGATATTTCCCGCCACCAACCCATCACTGAAAACCCAACCTCAATCAACTTAACTGAAGTACAAATTGTACGAAATCCCACACAAGGTTATCAAGGAAATGGAGTTTACTTTTACTCCTACCAAATTTATTCTTAAAAATACCCTCCTTGCACCAACACTAACCAACATGCAAATACCAAGTCAGAAAGAACCCTTGCCATCCAGGCCCGGCATCCACACTAAGACTAACACTAACCAAGGCTAACACTCACACTAACACTCTCACTAATCAGCAACCACACCACCCAACCTTCTAGTCAAAAAAATGGTACTTGGAAACAGCTAGTTAGCTATCTATCTCCTAGATAGATAGATAGCCTAGATACTATCTACCGGCACCGGCAAACCACTCTAACCAGGGTACTAAAATCTCACCCCTCGGAGTCGGCACTCGCAATCCTCCAGGATCATGAACGATGTGATATTAGGTTCGTAATCGTATCCCCTGCAGTAGTTAGTCTACTTATCTACTAGTAGATATGTACTAACTACCTGCTTAGCGAATCCTTCACAGTTCACACAGTCAGTACCTAGATAGTTATCTCCTTAGTTAGTAGTTAGTACAGAGTAGATAGTTTGCTAGAAAAAAAAAAAAAAAAAAAAACCCTGCAGAGGCGAGAATTCCGCAACAGCCGTTAGATAGTCAATTAATTAATATACTTTCTTCACCGTCCTCGTGGCATATGCATGTACCATGCATGCACACTACCGCTATCTAGATACTAAAGTAGCATCATCTACCCGTGAACCATGGATGTGTTGGTGTACTGTTTTTGTTTACCTGTTACCTGTGAGCTGGGGGGCCTCAGGTACGGTATTTCTGATACAGTGATAGCACACGGTAGATAGTAACTAACTATCTAGATAGGTAAGTAAGTGGTGTGTGTGATAAGTGGTAAGTGGTAAGTTGCTAGACCTACTGTAGGTATCGATTCCGAATCCCGAAAAAGGCTTGTTTGAATATAGGCTAGCGTATCTGGGTGGGATTTCAGATTCGGATGGTTGGATGGATTGATTGGGTTTGGCCTTTCTTTCTTTTCTGGGTCTACCGTCTGGGTTGGTTGGGTTCTGATGGGATGGGATGGGTGGTGGATGGTGGATGTACTCCGTAGAGACCACTCAGAAAGGAAGGTGGAATTTCGCAGCCTGTAGGCTGTATTTAGCCTGTGGAGGAGGGATAATAGTTGGTCATAGTATAGGATGGATGGATAGATGGATGGATGGATGGATGGGTGAAGCTCGGAGGAGAACTCCGTACCTACTACCTAAAGTAAGGTAGGCTTGCTTAGACCGAGATAGATCGTACTGATACGGAGTACATAGTGTCAGAATTAGAAATGAGAAATACTGGATTCGGGGTGAGACATATATGTCTGATAGTGTAGATGGTAGGTGGTGGTAGTAGATAGATAGTGAGTGGGAGGAAACTGCGTTTGCGGTGAGACATATCTCTATACTAGGTATCTAGTATCTTGTAGGCGGGTAGTAACAGGCATGTGTACATAAGAAATTGGTCAAGTGAATCTCGAGTCTCTCAATTAGTTGAATGGGTCATAGACCGTATGATAAATAATAAGCGTGGAAAGTGAAAAAGAGTAAAAGTAGAAAGAAGTACAGCGTGCTATCCAACATCCCACTAAAATCCAGCATTAATCCGATCGCTACAGAGTATTTACAGAGTTCAGTCGAGACTCATCCTCGAACTCAGGGCACATGAAACACGCGGGGGAAGACACACACGAGAGATATGGAAGCATATTAATCTACAGCATCCCATACGCCAATAACACGAACAATTAACCATCTCGCCATGCGCACAGTACAGCCGTAATTTGTCAAGGCAGGTATCTATCCAGGTATCTAGAATGAGAACAACAAAATCAAAACCAAGCTAAGCCGAACTGGTCAGGTGCAGGCGATGCTACTGTAATTACCAACAGTATCTTCAGTACCAGTACAGTAGGGCAGGCAGGCAGGCATTCAGCAAAAAAGCATGGGGATCTTCCAATGCTGACCAGCCCCCTCCCAACCCCCCACTCACGCACTCACTTGCCTATCATGATCAAGCCTTCGCCAAGGTCCTTTCTTCCTGGATGTACGGACTACGGAGGTATGCGCGTACCACGGTACAGACTGCGTTTGACACTGGTTAGGGTAGGCTTGTAGCCGAGCCGACCCGCTTGACCCGGTCGGGCGGCCGTTTCCAGTTATTGTCTTGCATTGAATTTCGCAGGGCAGAGTTCAGTGTTCAGGGGGAGGGACAAGGATCATCCGGTGGAATTTCTAGGATGTATTCTGACGTTGTGAAGGACATTTCATGACTATTGTGTAGGGTTTGATGGCTGTAGTAGACATTAATCGGGTAAGTAACGTAGTAAGTGATATATACAGTATATACAAGAATTTTGCTATCCAAGATGGATGAGTGGGTGGGTTGATGATTCCTTGAGCTCCCTGTGTGTTTGGCGTTCGGCGAGTTTTGTAAGCAAGTTGTTGGTGATGGTGTTGTTGTTGTTGTTGTTGTTGTTGTTGTGATGATGATGAAGCTCCACCACGCAATCAGATAATCTTTTAATAATAGTGCTATTGCTCGTCCACATCGTTCACGCCTCGTGTAGTCTTCAAGACGTGTTGTTGATTACTCAGTGTTCAGTATGCTGCCTGGCCGACCGACCGGCCGACCGGACAAGACCCGGCCGAGACGGGGAAGTCTGTCTGTAGTTGGGTTCTTCCTCTGCCGGACATTACGTGTACCCGGCCGCGGTGGGGGGAGTGGGGGACTATGCACACAATAGTGCGTGCGATTAGCTAACTTCCGAAGGATCGTCGCCCAGCTTGCTCGATGGGATGCGTCGCCGACAAGCTGGGTGGGAATCCCCGCGTGGGTTTGGTGCGGATCGTGCAGCGAGAGGCATCGCATCGCGGCGCATTCAGATCCAGGGCGGTGGGGTCTGATCGTGCTGGACCGGTACGCGCTTTGCGATCGTCGCGGTGGTGCCTGGAGAGGATCTGAGATCCAGGGGGCTCGATTCGTTGAGGGAGCGAGGTTGAGGTTGAGGTTCAGAGTGCGATTGTCCACTGGGCCACTATCCTAGGAGTCGATGGTGCGAGGGCAGGGTGGCTGTTTCATGCGAAGTAGCCGTGAAACTCATCAGAGTCGCTGTCATTCCTTCTGGATCACAATCTCCGTCGTTTTCCGGATGATGAAGTCGTCCTGTCCGCCCGACTGTATCCAGTCGGTGTTATCGCTCCCGTTGCTCGTAGTAGTGGTATTCATGCTGCGCCCCACCACTCCGCCCATCTCAATGATGTTCTCCTCGCTTTCAGTGCGCGTCAGCCCATCTGCGCGACTGACCCGAGTTTCGTACGCGCTGGGCATGTTGCGCGTCGATCGGGTAGTGGGAATCGACTTCCACCGGGCATTCGAGGCGGGTTCCGTACCGTATTGGTTATTGTCGTACTTGCCATTGTTGGTGTATTGGCTCGTTTTGAGAAAGGAAAGCGTCGATCGTGCCAGGCTCCACACGAAGGGCAGGTTTGTGACGTACATGCCGATCGAGGCCTCCCGGAGGTACCAGAACTGGTAGCTGTCGTCGTAGATGTCCTTGAAGGTGAAGCATTTAGAGGTAATGGCACAGGCAATCTAGAGGGTCAGCATTCGTCGCCGAACAGGCGGAGAATCAGATAACGCACCACCACGATACCCATGGAGAAGACGAGAATCACGGGCAGCTTCGTCTTCCACGGCATTCTGGCACGGATGAACATCGGTAAAATGATGGCGAGAATGGCGATGTCCGAACTGATGTTGAGGACACATTGGACAACTTCGTATCGGAAGTAGGTGGAACACTCCGTACTGGGCGGCGGAATCGTCCAGTACCCGGACAAGGGGTGACAGTTGAGAAAGAGCGTCAGCTCCGTGGCCACCCAGCCACAGAACGTGTAGCCGGCGCATATTTTGACCAGACGATGTTGCCACAGATTGGAGCTGAACAGGGTGTAAGTGAAACAGCCGACGCGCGGGCTGGGAAGGTACATACGTGAGTCGGAAGTACACCATCAGCATGCAGGCTTTGAGCGAGTAGATGGTGCAGAGCTGGCACTGGTGGGTGACGTTAGGCCCGACCGTGACAGGGACGAAGAAGCAAACATACGTTTTCGGAGGCGAACTCGATCTTCGAGCCCTTGATCCTCGACCTAATGTCGGCAGCTGTAAATGTATCGAACTCATAAGGAGGGTAAAGGTTGCTTCCTCCGCCCTCGATGATTTTGATGTTGGTAACCGCAAAGGCCGTATAGAAGCCCTAGGGGCGTGGTTAGGATGAATCGTGCAAGAGGTGTACGAACACAACATACCACGGCCACTACCATGAGATAATCCTCGAGTTGGAACCGGAAGCCCAACCGCTTGTAGCGAGCAAAACTGATTCATCGTCAGACCCCACGGGGACACTACAGCAGACGAGAAGAAGGGTGCACATACACTCTGATCACAAATAAGAGCATGGCAATGCTGTACATGATCCAGGTCTGCACGACCAGGTCGTGCGGGGAACCGCCTCCATCTTCAGTGGCCATGGTGATCGAGAACTATGGGAGCACAAGGACAGTCGACAAAACCATGGTGGAAGGCTGCGAAGGCGCTGAGTGTACGGAGGGCCGGTTTATGAACTTCTAGAAGATGGCGGGCTGGGATCCCGTGGCTTGCGAAGTTTAGTTTCCAGCTAATTAGGGCCTGCATAATTGACGTAGACTTGCTGGGTTCATCCGATGGTTCGTGTCCCTCCTATCCCTGGGTGGCACGGGAAGGGGGGACGGAAGAGGAGAACGGAAGTACGGAGCAGATTGGCGCGGCTGGTGGCTGGCTATGGGGCACCCGGCATTGGGGTGAATAATTATTCTTCGCCAGGATGTCGACCCTTGCTAGACTACGTCCCTGCATAGGACGAAAACCTCTGCACGAAAGCCTATTATTCCTTGCCCTGCAGGCGAAGAAGTCGGGCTACCAAGACCAGCGTGCTGGATCCCACGTGGTGGTCGCTTAGTGTTCGACACCAGGCAGCGGGGGTCGATAGTCTGCATCCTGAAGCCTGATAGTGTGAAGGATCTAGCTAGACGTGAGGTCCTGGCTCGAGGATTGGGCGGTGCCCGCCACAGAGACAGAGAGAGAGTCATGGATTCGGGGAATTTCCGATGCTTGCTCGATAAGCGGCGTGAATAATCAGGTTGCAGCTTGAAACCCTGGCCAGTGGCCACATCAGGAGATGACCGGGGTGTTCCGACTACTAAGCTTCGGCTATGCATTGAGCACCCACTGTGACAGCCAGTCAGACCAGGCATATCTACCCCCGGGGCACACTGCAGATTGCCACGTCCATTCCAGTCCAACATGATTCGGTCAGGGTGGGATGCTACTGTGCCCTAGTGGTGATGAATTGATTAAACGGCGAAATGGGGGTTCGGAGACATGAAATTGCCGAGTTCTAGCTTTTCTGTGTGTTTCTAGTCGCCAGCCTGGCGTGCCTGAGTTGCGCTGTGCCTTGTCAGCTCGTTAGTCCGGTCTGTACGGACTAAGTTCATCTACATGGGACTAAGTCGACTATGTCGACCTTGTGGGAAGCCGTCCGACTTAGGTTTCTCTCTCCCAGTCCACCATCCCACGGTCCGATGTGATCGAGGGAGCGAGTCATGAGTACGTGTCTCAGATCGAAATAGTAGGGCATCTCCGAGGAGGTCGGTGATTTGAGTTTCACTTGGGGCAGCCAAGGCGTATAAATTGTCTTCCGCACAAATCATGGATTTCGACCCCGTAACGAACAAGGCGAGGGGTGTGACTGCGAGGCTAAGGCGGCGGTAGGGTTGAGAACGGAGTCGACTACTGTTACACAGTAGGCTGGCGGCGTGGTGGGGAGCGGATCGGGGAGCAGAACGGACCACCTGGGCCAGCCGAGTCCAAGACTCCAGAGGGCCAGAGGCAGGCCGACAGGCCGACAGGCAGACAGCAGGCAAGCAGTGCACTCAGAGTGGACTGTCCGACGGTGAAAGCTGGCAGGACGGAAGACGGATGGACCATCCCGGCGCCGAAGCGGGGCAGGAGGCAGTCCACTTGGATCGTGATAAGGGCGGCCCACGCTCTGCTTAAGGACATGCCGACATGGCCAGTCAGTGATGTGCTCGCCTCGGAGCCATTAATCTCGGGCGCTGGACGGGCTGGAGACTTAATCTATTCTCTCGACGTTGGTGGCTGAAACAGCAGCGACGCAGCCAGACTTGCTACTGAGACTCAGACCGCAGAGTATTAATCAGGCCATGTGCTTGTGGATTCCACTTCCTGCAGTGGTGGACCGATGGTGGTTGGTCCACTATTGCAGTGTGTGTAGTCGATAGTCATGTCATCAACCTTCCATTGGAAACAATGAGGGCAGAATAAGCGTGTAGTCCCGGGAGTTGAACCAGGGTCGTGGACGGAGGGAAGGAGGATTGGGACGAAGGAGCAGCAGGAACCAGGGAACTGAGGCTAATCGCAATAAGGTCGTCGTGGCCTGGGAGCCTGAGGACGGGGGTGTGGTAAGTTACAGGGTAACCGTACGGTATGAAGGCAGCTTATTCCGCCTAGCTCGGACCGCTAAGCAATGCGGGCGGCCGTGCCAAGACTGGATGCTTCCGCGCGGGGCCTGTCATTGGTGAGAGGCAACGACGGCGGAAAAAAAAAAGAAAAAAAAAAAAAACGGCGATGACCGAGGCAGTCAGGCAGGCAGCCCAGTTGACCAGCACTGATACTAAATACACTGAGTCTGACACAGTATCTGCTCCGTACCTAGCTACTATACTAGTTGTCCCGGTGGGTGGCACTGCTTACACAGCGGCGTGAACAGCCTAACGACCACCATCTGGCCGGTTCCAACTCTACTGCCTTAGCCCGGTCCCTAGTTCGTCGCTGCGCAAGAGTGCAGGGGGGCAAACACACCCCTCCACCTCCATTCCTCGTTCCTCTTATGCAACCCGGCTTTGAATTGTTCCTCGACGCTTCCTTCTACTCTGTCGTCCATGCGCCGTTGATTCTTTTTAATCTTCTGGTGCCGGCCTTCATCTGAGGACTACTCTCCTCTGCTACACCTTGCCGATCATCCCTTCCCAGTATACTATCCCCCCCCCCAGTATACCCAGCATGGCGGACTCCCTGCGTGACGAGGAGAAGGGCATCCGCGCCCCTCCAGCCGTCGAGTCGGTCTCGACGCCCTCCGACATGGAGAAGAAGCCCCCGGCCTCTGTGTCCGGAGGCAATGTCTTCACGAGGATCAACAACCGCATCCAGTCGCTCACCTTCAACGAAAGCCGCGGTATCGAGCGCGTGCCCGAGTCGGAGCGCCATGCCGCCTCCGTCGGCAACTATATGCAGATGACCCTGCTCTGGTTCAGTACCAACATCACCGCCAACAACATGGCCGTCGGCATGTACGGGCCTCTGTCCTACGACCTGGGATTCGTTGACTCCGCTCTCTGCGCCGTCTTTGGTGCGCTGCTCGGCTCCGCCGGTGTGGCGTACATGGCGACCTTTGGGCCCCAGAGTGGTAACCGAACTATGGTGCGTGCATCCGGGCGCTCGATCCCAAACACAACACCACTAACGAAATGTAGGTCGTTGCGAGATACTTCATGGGATACTACCCCAGCAAGATCGCCTGTCTGCTGAACATCATCATCATGATGGGGTACGGAATGATCGACTGTCTCGTGGGCGGCCAGGTGCTGTCCGCGGTGGCCGACGGCAGCCTGACGATTGTCGTGGGAATCATCATCATCGCCATCATCACCTGGGTGATTGTCATTTTCGGTATGGCGCCGTTCCACGTCTACGAGAGGTGAGTCCCGACCCAGCATTCCCATCCCCATCCCCCATATACCATGGACCATACTAACACCCCTCAGATGGGCCTGGGTACCGCAACTCATCGCCATCTTTGTGCTGGTCGGCAGCGCAGGCCCCAAGTTTGACACCAACATCTCCTCGACGGGCGACACCCAAACCATCAACGCCAACCGCCTCACCTTCTTCTCCCTCTGCCTCTCCAGCGCGGTCGCATGGGCCCCCGCGGGCGCCGACTTCTTCGTCTACTTCCCACCCACGACCTCCAAATGGCTCACCTTCTTCATGACCTTCCTCGGTGTCGGCCTGGCCCTCTCATTCGCGAACCTGATGGGCGTGGGACTCGCCAGCGGCACGCTCACCCAAGAATCGTGGGCGACCGCCTACGACACCTCATCTGGAGCGCTGATCCTCGCGGGCTACGACGGCCTTGGCGGGTTCGGCAAGTTCATGGGCGTTCTCGTCGCCCTGGGTCTCATCGCCAACAACATCCCCGGAACGTACTCAGCGACACTCGGCTTCCAGATCATGGGCCGCCACCTGGCGCGTCTCCCGCGGTGGTTCCTGTCGTGCGTGTGCGTGATCATCTACACGGTGTGCGCGCTCGGAGGCCGCAACCACCTGTACGACATCTTCGAGAACTTCCTCGCGCTGATGGGCTACTGGGTGTGCATCTACCTGACCATTGCGGCGGAGGAGCAGCTCATCTTCCGTCGCCACGTCGGCTTCGACTGGGACGCGTGGGCCGACCGCTCCCGACTGCCGCTTGGGATCGCTGCGCTGGCCGCCTTCCTCATCGGCTGGGCCGGTGCCATTGTCTGCATGGACCAGATCTGGTACATTGGGCCGATCGCGAAGATGGTCGGGTCGTATGGCGCCGATCTGGGTATCTGGGTTGGTTGTTCGTGGGCGATGCTGGTTTATCCGCCTTTCCGGTGGTTGGAGTTGAAGAAGGTCGGTCGGTAAATCTGCCGTCTACCGGTGAATTCATGAACCAACCAACCAACCAACCAACCATTTAACCGCAATCAATCAACTAAATGGTTTTTTCACTGTATAATTCAGGGGCGGTTTCTTTCATCATACGCTATAAAAATAATACAGGTGTGTATATTTGCGAGTGAGTGGGTGGATAAGTGAGTGAGTGAGTGAGTGAGTGGGATTAGAGACGCATTGTTTCTTTTGTTTTACTCTCCGTACGCGAAAAGCAATGCTATGCGCGTGTGCATGGATGTATATGTGTTAATGTAATGGACGGCTGGCTCAGATTACCTACTATGTGATGCGATTATGTTATGAGCACATGAGTTAATAATGTGGATGAGTACGGTGTAGCTAGTTGTTGCAATCAATATATCTCAAGCAATAATAGTTCATGTCCTCCGCCTGCCTGAGAGACTCTAGACTACTTCATTTCACTATATACTATTATCAAGGTATAGTATCTCACTTAACTAACCACCCACCCCCTTTATTATATATCCATTAACTATGGAGCACTCTGGACGGAATACCTTGGCATCATCTCCCTCGATCCTTGAACCCACTTCCTTTTCCTAGGTACTAGTGATCCCCTCAGCCTCAGCCTAGATCCAGTGCATTGCATTGCATCGGTATCAGCATCGGTATCGGTATCATATATAGTATATACCTTAGACCCCAACCGGCATAGTCCTACACAGGATATCCTTGGCACAGTATGGCCTATGTTTGAAGTATATTATATTACTTCTGCCTATATCTGGCCCATGCATGGTCGAGAATATATTTCAGCAGCCGAGGCCAACTAGTCGTTGTAGTTTGTACTCCGTAGTTTATACATATTGATCTTCTGCACAGACCCGATATTAATAGTAAGGGAGCTTCAGATACTTCGTTACCCCGTGGGCGAAATTGGAGAGATGACGACTTGATTTGACGATCACCTTGGGTTTGGGTCTAGGGGTTGGGGTGGGGGATGCGGTGCTTACTATAGATAGTTACTGGTAATAGTACTAGTGTTAGATCCAGAGGGGTTGTCGGTTGTCAAATATATATATATATATATATATATATGGGAAATATGTCCGTCGGCTGGAGATTAGGTAATACTTACGTGATCTTGTACGCTTGCTGCTACTAGGGCGGTGATGGGAGTGTGCTATGGGTGTATGCATGTATATAGTATATATATATGTATGCTATGTATAGAACCTCCCCCCTTATCGGAAGTGGGGAGATTAGGTGGTTGTAAGTTCGTAAGTATATACACTTCTTCGTACGGAGGACTCTAGGTCATTAGTATCTATAAATATTATTGTCTCTAGCCAAATTAGATAGATGTCTAGAGATAGCTGAGATGCTGACAGGATGAGGATGCTGTCTCCAGTGCAAAATAAATAGAACCACCACACCACCCATGAACCCTTCCAGGAATGGTGCCTGGAATGTGTACCGTGGGAATAATAATGTTTAATTGGGTTTATTTTGTGAGGATGTGATCGAAGAACTAACAGGTGGTTGGTTGTATTTTGAATAATTAGCTATTTCCGTAGTGGTTGAAAGGGTTTTGATTAGATTAACTTTGATCCTATACCTATATATCTGTAAGAGACATTATCATATGATATTTGCTTTATGCGGAGGTGTTTCTATATATCCTGGAGAGATTTGTTGTCGAGCAGCTAGTATCTACCTCATCTCAATGGACTGACCGGTCTAGGTGGATTGGATGTAAGTTCTATAATGGGCTTAGCTTTCCTGTGACGAATGTCGCGCTCATATAGATGGGAAACAAGGAACACCCTGTCTTCAAACCAATCCCAAACATAATCAATTATTCTCACGAACAAAGCGAGCCATCTATAGCCCTCCTCTGACAAGGAAGCCAATTTATCCCAAGACGTACACATTCCTCCAAGTCCACCACCTGCCTCTTCCACGTCATAAAAACCACATAATATTCCTCATCCACAGCAGGATCAAACTCCTCTCTCTGCTCACCCGCCTTCATCTCCCCGTTTTCATCCAGCGGCACCAACCTCGGCACCCTCCTCTCACTCACTTCCCCATCACTCTCCCCTCCACTCTCCTCCAAACGATCCGCCCCAGTCAAAGCCCCCTCCCTGACCCCAACCCACCTAAACCTCGTGACCTCCTCCTGCGCAACAAGAAACACCCTGTCGGCAGGAACAAGCGGGAACATCCACTCCCTCGCCAATCCTACAATCGAATCCAACTGGTCCTTCTTCCGCATGACGGTCTCGAACTCAATAACCAGTTTCTCCAAGCTCGGCAGCCACGTGAACTGGTTCCCCCACGCGCGCGGATCCGTCTGACCCAGGGGACCTCGCGGTGCCCGGCCCATGTCCCTGGGCGAGGCACGATTAACCTTGAACGGCTCGATGGCCATTGGCTCGTCGCCCTCCCAGAACCACCAGTCGGAGTGGCGGAGGGTGATGGTGAGGGATTTGGGGGCGATGATGCCGATGGTTTCGCTTTCGGGACGGGGTGGGGAGGGTTGGGATTGGGATTGAGATTGGGATTGGGATTGAGATTGGGATTGGGACTGCTGAGAATGGAGTGAACTGCGGAGGATACTCTCGTTGTCGCGGATCTTAGGCCAGACGGCTGCCATTTCGCCCTCGAGGTAGAACTGCTGCGTGAAGAAGTGTAGGTGTTGGACGGCGGCGCGTTGGCGGGGGTCATTTTGAGGAAGTAGTGGGCTGGGGAGGATGGGTTCTGGACGTGGGGAGGGGGGCGGTAGCACCAGAAGGTGTGTTCGTTGATGGAGGGGTGGAGGAGCGAGGCCTCGTCGTAGATCTGCTGGCATGTTTGGAGGAGGGAGGTGGAGATGCGTTTTGGGCTTTGGAAGCCCGGGCGGTAGTAGAAGGCGCGGCGTTGGTAGGGGGTTGCCGTGGCGGTGGAAGCGGATTCAAGGGTGTAGACGTAGATAGTGTTGCGGATTTCAGCGGGGAGGTGGGTGAAGAGTGGGCTGGTGGTCTGGGGGAGTAGTGGTTGTGAGGGGGTCAGTTCGGAGGGGGATTGTGAGACGGGGCGGCGGGGCGTGTGCGGATGGGGGACAGGTGCGTCGGCGGCGGTGGGCTGCCAGGGGGGGTTGTTCGGCCATGTTGAGGGTTGGGTGTGGATGATGTATGAGATTGAGGTGGAATGGATGGACAAAGAAAGGATGTTGAATGTTGGAGGGGAGAGCGAGGCTTATATCTTGTGGTTGAGGCTGGGCGAGGCTGCTTACCCCGCAAACCACTTGACGCTGATAGGCGTGCGGCCATCTGACAGCGAGGCAACAACGGATGCCTGCTAATAGGCAAAGACCCTAGCCCGGGTCGGTGCCTGGTGGCGTTACATGAGTCATTTCAGCCGTGTTGTCCGGAGAACTGGTCCGACTGTGTCAAAGAGTCAAAGATGTTGAATGCGTTGGCTGCGCGATGAGATGAAAGTCTGCTATTGGATACATTGAGGTTAGATAAGATAATATCTTTTGTCCCTTTCTTTTGTATTTCATACGACAACAAATCAGCGATAAAAAAAGTCTGCCTATAGGCCTACCTGTTCTCATGGAGGACAACACACTCATACACTCATTATACCATCAGGATTAACAATCAAATCGACATCCAATCTACTAGATCAAGGTCGTGTATGGAAGAAGAATCTTGCAATGCGCCAGATCCGGCAGCATCGAGGGTGCGAGCGGAGGGTACTGAAGGTTGGCGATCTGCGGGCTGTATGTGTTGTATTCCGGCCAGGACCAGTTGGCAAAGAAGTCCAACGTCGTGTTATACCCGCGAGCCTGCAGATAATCGGTTTTCGTGTTGGGGTTGCCCGTGCGAGCAAACGATGCCCACATGTCTTGGACTGCGTTGGTGTAGTAGACGTCTTCGGCCACCCGGATGGGCTGGTCAAACAGATATGCTGTGCCAAACACTTCATACAGATCGCTCGAATGGCACCGGTAATAAGGAGTCTCGGGCTTTCCAACGGGAAACGTGCACAGATTGTAGTAGTCATAATACGAAAGTGCATATCCCCGATGCATGACGTAGATCCACTGCACGTCGAATGCGCTGACGGCAGCGCCGATCTGATGAAGCTCATATCCCAGACACGTGATCTGCGCGTCTGTGGCAACGTTGATACTTGCGTTGTAGACATCCGAGAAGGTTTTGGCAAGGTCACTGGTATAGTTGCTGGCATAGCCATCGATCTGCCACTGTCCCGAGGTCACGATGGCCTGAGCCTGATCGTGAGTAATCTGGGAGTCGTTCAGCAGAATCTCCAGGTTCTCCTCGAAGCTGGTGACATTGGGATTCAGAACTGTTTCAAGCAGGGACTGCGCTTCTTCGACCATGTGTCCGCTCAGATACTTAATTTTCCGACTGATCAGGGGCTGGCCCTTCGCCACTTGGGCCCAGGGCATGTCGAGCACGTAGTTCCCATCGACGATACTTTCCCAGGAAGTAAGCTCACTGTACGTTAGGTTGAGTAACGTCTCCGCAGGGAGTTCCTGCAAGCACTGTAACCGTTCCCAGCCAGTGCTGTTGCAGTATTGGTTGAGCACAGGCACGTTTGTGGCAGCGGCTTTCTCGGGGTACGTGTCATGGCCACGGCCAGCTGACTGGAGGATTACCCCGTTAAACAAGCCGTCACCATATGGAGACGTTAGTACGTCAATTACTGACCCACCGCCAGCAGACTGACCAAAGATGGTGACATTATTCGGATCACCACCAAAATCGGTAATGTGCTTCTGCACCCAATGCAAGGCAGAGAGCTTGTCAGTCAAGGCGAAGTTCCCAGGAATTATATCATCCCCGGTAGAGAGATAGCCGAAGATATTGAGCCGGTAGTTTGGAACGACAAGCACGACGTCAGAACGACTGACCAGACTGGCACCGTCAAAGGTGGAGTCCGTACCGGTTCCAGTGGTCTGGCCGCCGCCATGATACCAGAGCATGACCGGTTTCAGGGGTGCCGATGAATTAGCAGAAGGAAGGGAGGAGCTGTATACATTTAAGTATAAGCAGTCCTCGCTATTGCCCCAAGGATTCAACCCATAGGAGTCGCCATCAAACCAGCCGTATTGAAGACAGCCAGCGCTATAGCGAGTTGCGTTGACATAACTTCCGTTCCAGTCCTCGGCATAACGGAACCGTAGAGCGTCGACAGGCGGCTTGGCGAAAGGTATTCCGATGAATCGGAAGGCCATGTGATCCCGAAGGCCTTCAAACACAGTGCCATTGCTCTGTATACTGACGGTAGGAAACTTGGAGTAATCCGTGTCCACGGTGCTGACAACGGGTGCGTTATTTGTGCAAAAGAATGCTGAAGCGGAGCTCGATGTGGACGCCGTGCCCTGGGAGTTCACAGGGTCAGATGAAGAGCAGGACGACCAAAAAGTTTGGTTTTCGTTGATTATCCCCAAGTACTGCTGGTAGGAGAACTCATATGCGTAGTCCGAGAAGTCCTTGCAGTCCAAGAGGGTCTCATTGTATGCCTCACAGATGCTGGCTGCAACAGAGTAGCTGTCAGGGTTGTTGATGAATAGTGCACTTGGCCTCGTCCCATGTGAAGACCAGTTGCCATTGTTATGGAAGAAAATAGTCAAGTCATTGCTGGAGGGTTCGACATCGGCAGCACTCACCAGCGCAAGATAAAAGACGCCGGTGAGTGCTAATGCCCACGAAGAAGGTTTCTGCATTTTGTGCAGTGAGTATTAAAGAGTAGAAGGCTGTTCTTGACAGTGAGTGGTGGACAGGAGAGCCATCCTGGCCGACGCTTGGGTATTTATACACCTACTTCGCTGGATTCCCCGCTTCCTTTAGATCCTTCCAGCAGGGCAGCATACCGTGACAGCCAGTCTCAGAAGCAGAAAGCTTGTACTTCGTATCTTTGCAGCAAACATCTTCTAGTACTGCAACAGGACCGCTCCTCGGCATTCATTCGTGCGGGGAAGGTCATCAGTTTGGAATAGATACGGCAGATGGCAGTGGCCTGGTGCCCAACGGAGGATTTGCTTTTGAGTTAAAACAATCAAAGTGGCTAGGCGAAGTATCATAGGTTGCCAAACTCCAACGGAGAAGGCCAGAGCGCTCTCTAGATACATCAAGCTATGGTAGTCCGATGAGCTTGACCCCCACGTTTGTAAGTACAGGCTTAAACGCTTTCGGAAACGTAGGCAGACTACCCGGGTTGCAGTCAGCCCAGTCGCAAATGGGGGCTGGAGTTGGTTAGTCGATCATCCTCTGTATTGGGCGATGTGCTCTAGATTGGCTCTAGGGCTACTGATCCCTATCCCCGTGGGGTTGACGGGTCGGATCATCTCCGCGTCATGGCTAAGAGCTCGGCATGTTTGCTTCCCATCCCGAGGGAGTGGGCAGGATATCTCAGATAGGTTGGGCAGTGGCTCTTCATGTTGTTTTGAATTGAGTCTCGTTCTTGTCCATATTATATGGATAGACTGTCTGCCTGCGTCAGTTCCTTTAGTCTGTGGTATCAGCATATTCTTGACCCCGCATCTCATAGCATAAGATTTCTAGGTAGAAAGCTGCAAGATTTTCGCGCTAGCTCGTCCAAGCCGTCCTGTCCGCCATGTATCCTGCCAGAAGACTGGATAACCCGGATCGATTTGCGGAGATTAGTACAGAAGCGTCAGTCTTGAGGTACTTGGTCATGCACTCGCGCGGGGATCATGCAATGCTGACAGCGGGTGGGGTGAGCATCTGCAATTGAGAATCTGTAAAAGTTTGGTTGCCTTTCGATGCAGGGGTGAACTTGACGGGCTTGTGTGAGGAGACTGAGTCGTTGAGAAAGTGAGAAATGAAGAAGGCGACAGAAGAGGCCCGATCAGGTGAAGAGCTAGTCCTCATTGGGAAGACATATCGTCAACACATGACTACTCAAGCTTGGGTATCAGTCATGAGCATGTTGCCTGTTGCTGGATAGTGAAAATTGATATAGAGATGGCCGGTTCTTCTTTATCCTCCATGAGCATGCTGTTGCTTGTGCAGCCTTGCTTGAAGTGGGTGTTCCGAAAACCCGAGAAACAGACATGTCTCCATGCACCCTACTGATGCGGATACTGCAGTGAGGAAAACCACTGCGCAAGCCGATGGATTCCTCCAAAACAAGACCTCAGTGCGGGGTGATATCTGACAGAGTTATGCAGTACATGAGCATAACAAATCTGGTGCATCAAACTCCAGCTGAGACGCTATCTGTCCATGACCCTTATCATGGCCCGTAGTGGAACCAAATCCAATCCCGACCAGACCTCGGTTGGACCGGCGCTTTGGTCTCTTGGTAAGCACGCACCTTGGAATCCGCATCCTATCTGCACTCAACTTGCAACTATCCTCTCACCCCTCTACGGAGAATTACCCCGCACGATGTTCTACCTTGTTTACCTTTACTACAAAGTCCTCATCACCGTCATTAGGTTCCTCGGCCCCAAAGGCATCAAGGCGACTCCCGATGACGTCTACCACATCCAGTCCCGCGACTCCGGTCGGACCATCAAAGTCCACGCATACCGAAATGCATCCGCGTCCGCGTCCACCTCCAAGCCGACCCCTGTGCTGATCAACTTCCACGGAAGCGGGTGGGTGTTCTCCGTCCATGGCAGCGACGACGCATACTGCCGCGAAATGAGCCGCGAAACCGACCGGACGGTCCTCGATGTCCAGTACCGCCTGGCCCCCGAGAACCCGTTCCCCGCGGCACTCAACGACGCGGAGGATGTGTTGAAATGGGTTCTGGGACAGCCGGAGAAATTCGACGTCAGCCGGGTCTCGCTGTCGGGATTCAGCGCGGGAGGAAACCTTGCGCTCTCCACGGCTGCCAACCTGTTCCCCCAGGACACCCTTCACTCCGTCCTGGCGATGTATCCCGTCGTTGACATGCATACGGACATCGCGCAGAAAAGTGCGCCCGACCCGTCGGGCAAGCCGATTCCCGTTAGAATGGCAAGGATTTTCGACATATGTTATACGCATGGGGAGAGTGATCCTCGGGACCCGCGGATTTCCCCGCTTTATGCTAGTGCCGACCGATTTCCTGATCGGGTGATGATTGTTACTGCGGCCTGCGACAATCTGGCGCCCGAGGCGGAGGCCCTGGCGGAGAAAATCGAGAAGGCGCCCGGGAGTGAGAGGGAGGTGGTGCGGGTGCGAATGCCGAGCTGCAATCACGGGTGGGATAAGTCGGCGAAGAAGGGAACGGTGCAGTGGGATGCCAGAGAGAAGATGTACGCCATGGCGGCGGCGATGTTGTCGCGGTAAATACTGTACCTAGGTATCACCTGATCATTTCGAGCACATAGTAGCAAGTCAGCCCTTGCCAGTAAAAAATTCTCTCCTTTTTTCCCCCCTCCATCTGGTGATGCAACCGGTAAAATGCGGTGAGACAGGGCGTCACAACTCACGACTCACGACATCATCGATCAGACCACCACCCCCTCCTATCGAAAGTGGCCAGTAAGCGAGGAGGACCAGTGCCCGACCCCATCGGTTTGGACTTGATCCGCACGCTACTGGACGGTGAGGGAGAACCTGGCGAAGGGCAGGGTCCGGAGAAACGGCGTTCAGGAACAGTGGGCCGGCGGACCATCCTTATATATGAGGACTGGGTGGGATCTGAAGCGGCGGTGCCTGACCTTAAGCCATGGTGTTGCAGTGGCTGAAACCATGGCACTCTCCAGGGAGTTGCGTGTTGTTGACTTGACTTACGTTGTTTACTGCGTACTGTACGGAGTACACCGTACAGATACACTGCGGCAGCGGGTGACACCGGCGACCCTGCCCTGCCCTATGCCCTACTCGACCCGGTGGTCCAATCCGCGTGGCTGCTGGGTGCCTGGACCGTAGTAATTAATACACGGGTATTGTATCCACGGTTGGGTGCCTGAGTTTCGAGAGTTGACAGGTCCGGTCACAACAACAAACTCAGGCTGTCAGGAATTGCGTCCACGAGTCATGAGAGACTTATGACGGCTGACCACTGAGGCACTCCCTCACCGCAGCAGTATCTCATGGTGACACTACATAGGAACCACTACACACTATATGCCGATTACTCCTATCCATCCATCTACACTCTTCACGTTCCCATCAACCTGCTACGTACGGAGAAGTGGAGAGCCGGCCTCCGTCCTAATAATAATACTACTAATCAGAACTCGGTCAGGCGGGCCGTGGGTCGCAATAATAACCACAACGAACTTGAGGCCCAAATCAGGTTGTCGCTTTGGCTCTTTGGCTGGCGCTGTTGGCCCGCCTGCAGAGTAATCCGCCTTCTCATTAGCTCATTCCCTCTGCTCCTCCTGGCTCCTCCTGCTGCTCCGACCCGGCGACGAGTCGTCCTCCTCCTTTCCCTCGCCTGCTCCCATCCCGTCCGTCTCCTTCCAGAATTCGCCCCTCCCCGCAAGTCGGATGCTGCTCTTGAGCGCCTCCATCTCGTCCACCGTGCTTCTGGTAGTACTGTGGACGAGTCTGTTAGCGTCTCGCGACTCTCGTCCCTGAAACCCGAACGCTTCCCTCCCCTCTCCCACCCCCCTTTTTCCTATATCTTTTGCTGCCCCGCCCCCTTTCGGCTTGCGTCCTAGTAGCTTTGTTACTGTTAGCCTGCGAGCTTCGGATCCCGGCGAGCTCCATGTGTAATTGGCGATTCGGTCTATCTGCAATTGCATCATGGTGCTGACAGATTACCCCGGGATTGACGAGTCCCGGTACCGCAGTGAGGTCCTCCTGCTGCCCTCCGAGGAGTCGGAGACGTCGCATGAACAGAGGCTGGCCGACGAGGCCCGGGAGCTGGGGCTGAAAGTGCCGGAAGTCGAGGCGGTGGCGTCGCTGGCCGCATCGATTGCCTCCGGAATGGTGGATTTGTCCTCGTCCTCCCCGATTATTTCCTCCGGTTCCTCCACCGATCGCAATTCTACGTCCGACGTCACCCCGTCCCTCGAAGTGCCGCCAATCGATCTTCTTGCCTCCTCCCTCTCCGAGTTCACCGTGGCCTCCGAGCCCATCCCGGCCGGCAGTACCCGATCCTTCGGCTCGTTGTCGACTCGACCGACATCCTATAGCTCATGTGAGGGGAGACTAGCTCCGGGGCTGGACAACCTCACGGTGAGGACGCCGGGGAATCGACTGTCGATGTGGACCATTGCGTCGACGGATAAGAGAGAACGGAGAAAGTCAACAATCAAGTCAGCCATCGGAAAGATCCACTTCCGGAAGAAGAGGTCGCCCTCCGCAGTGCTTCTCCCGCCAGCCGCGCAGATCACCGTCGCCAAGGGTGAAAAGGGCGTCGAACGAGTATTCGTGGAGTCGAGACGATCCGAATCGCAAAACCCCGACTCCGCGGAGGAAGAAAACCAGGTCTTGAGGCTAGAAATTCCCGTCTTCGACAGCGAATCCCTGCAACGGAGCCAGGATGATACACAATTACGCCAGCTGCGCGAGTCTCAAGAGGCGGCAAGGGACCGACATGTGGCCTTTCAGGACGCATTCATGGCACAACTGCGACGAACTCAGCAATCTATTGTCACAGACCAGCTCGCGGCGAACAAGGTGGTGGAAGAAAAGAAGCGTGAAAAGGTATGTGCGTATGGTTTGTGGGGACGGTCCCGTTGCTGATTTGGATAGAATTCCGCCGATGCTGCTCGGATGGAAGAGCGACAGCTCACAGTGGAAATGGAGCAAATGCGCGAGTTTGAACGGGCCAAACTCAACTCCAGGACTCGCATCAAATACATGGAAGGGTACTTCAGCAATTCGAGCCCCCCGCCGTCGCCTGTATCCAGTGCGGGGGGGGACGTGGCACCGGCTCGCAAGTTCACCGCACAACACAAGGCCCAGCTGGCGCAGGAATTACACGACCACGACTCCATGGACCAGCTGCACGAGTCCAAGATCAAGGTGCTGCGCGACCGGCAGGAACTCCGCCTTCAGGAAGCTATCGAGAGGATGGAGCGCGAGCTGGACGAAATAATCGACAAACACGCACTGCAATTTGCGCAAATGCAGGCGAAGCATCAGCAAGAAGAATTAGACGTTGTACAAGCGTTTGAGGCGAAGAAGGTCCAGTTACGACATTGTTGGAACCTGGAAGAAGCGATCTTACGCAAGAAACTGGAGGTGCAGTACGAAAAGCCGTACGGGCCATTACCTCCGCTGTCGTTCAACGATTCGCATTACGAGACGCGCGACTCGGCCATCTGCGTGTCCGACCAGGCCGGAGCTACCAGCGGGGATGAGGGATCGGTGCACCAGAAGAGAGGCGGACAGGTGCTTTGATTACGACGTGATGCCCAAGTGATACCCTTTGCTATTTCCCCATCCTCGGTCTTGCATATATGCAGTTCCCACATACTAATGTTTTGTGTCATACCTTTTGTAATTAACTTCTTCTTCATCTCCCCATTCCCCCCTCCTGCTGATGCAGGATGCATACATACGACAGCTGCCTCATACGGGCTCATGTGCATAGCGTTGACCTTGGGTATACCCGTCTATAATAGATTTCTTTGTTTGCGTAGACATTTGGCAGGTGCAAATCCCGTAAAGTCCCATTATATCCAGCCAGGAGGCGTAATTCGCTAAGTCGCAATCGGAAAACACAAGAACAGTTATTTCACGACCATGCCTCACAGGATAGATTCATCACCCATGTCTCCATGATCAGACCCGTCCTCTCCATATCCCTGTTCAGACCCCTCCCCTCCATCTCCGTGTTCAGACCTATCTCCTCCCTCTTCACGCTCAGACAAGCCATGCTTCCTCAACCGATCAAACAACGTCTCCACCCTCCCATCCCCCCCTGTAATCACATCCTCCATCTCCTTATCTCTCCCATTATCCCCCAGTACCACCGCCCTCTCGACGACGCCAGTACTCGAGATCTTAAACCTCCCGACGCGACCATCCTCCCACTCCAAGCGGACATACACCGCCTCCAGCGCCGTCGGCCCCAGCGACACAATTCCCAGGTCATTCTTCGCGATGCGCGTCTCCTCGCCGACCCCAGCCGCAGCACCCAGAATATCCCTCTCCCAACCCCCCTCCTCATCCTCCTCAAATCCGGCCGCATCGTCATCAACTCCGCGTCTCACCACCCCCAACTTCTCCCTCAGATACCGCACCGCATCGCACCGCAAATGCCACACAACCAACTGTTTGCGCACCTCGCGCACAAACCCCTTCAAATCCTGTTTCTTGGGCTTGTATTTCCAGGGCTTCAGCTGCGCCTCCGCCTCCGCCTCCACCTCCTCTCCGTCAACGGTAGTAGTCGGCACCTTACTGCGCGGCAAATACCCCCTCTCCAACCCCCCTACATCCACCACAGCCGGCACGGTATGCCGGTGCACACTAACCTCCTTCTTCCCCTCCCTATTCGTCCCCGTGCGCAGCAGAATGTAATACGGTTTCGTGTACGTCCCGTCCCGCAGACCGATATCGATCCTCACGCCGAGAAGGTTCGGCGTGTCTGCTGTGGGGGAGGGATCTTTGAAGGGGAAGGTGGTCGTGGAAAAGCCGATGCGGTGGTGGTTGGTTCGCGCGTGCGCGCTGCTGGATTGTAGCAGCGGGGAGATTTCGGCCCATTGCTGGGTTTGCTGCTGGTGTTGGGATTGGGCGGAGGGGGGTGATTGGGGGTGCGCTTTTGTGGCGAGACGTTGCAGGGGCCGCGAGGCGAGGATGCTCGAGCTGAGGATTCGGCGGCGGTGTTGGAGGGTGCGGACTGTTTTGGGTTAGGATTGGTGGGGGATGGGGAGGGGAGGGGAGGGGAGGGGAGGGGGACGGACTTTCTGCGCGGATGGTGGAGATCTCCGAGTCGAGGTCGTCGTCTTCCATTTTGGATGCGATGGGATGGGATGGTGGTGGTGTGGTGGTGTTTTGTTCGTGATGCGGTCTTGATGCGACGGACGGTCTGGTGTGGAGGTGGAGATGATGTTTGGCGGTGTTTGTTGACAGGCGCGGTGTCACGTGATGGGAATCCGTGCGCTGCGTGGCGGCTCATGGATTGTTGCGGTGCGATTGGCGGAGGACATCCTGGTCTTTGATCTCCGGGGTTGGCTCGGGCGATCCTGCGCCGTACTTGGCTCGTCGCTTTGTTGATTATTCAGGACTCGGCGACCTATTGAGGGTGGAATTGGGTGGATTATTCTATAGATATGGGCGGTATAAATGTAGAGGCAGACCTGTCACACTGTCACACCAGAGGGCTTGTTGGGGATAGCAGGTTTTTCACACAGATTGATTATCGATCAAGATAGATAGCATCTGGAAGCCAAACCCAAACCCAAACCCAGAAAAGGAGACCCTTCATGCGTGTCATTAATAATGCCCCCCGACCAATCAGCGCCCCCACCCAGCGGTTCCAGATCCCATGAGAAACGGCGGCCGTCTTGAGGCCAGCTTGCCTCAAGCTCCAGTCCCCATCTCGCCCTCTCCACCGCGTCGAATGGCCGGATGGATGCATCATCCCGGCTCTGCTCCAGTCCCTCCCTCGCCTCCCTCGCCCCCCTCGCCTGCGCCCCTTTTCTCCGCACCCTCCTCGTCCCTCCATGTTCCTGCGGACCCCTACACTGCCCCCGATCATCCTTCTTCCACCGCGGATCGTCCTCAGGAGGTGGAACTCCAGTCTCTAGCATGCAGCACCGGCACGCGTGAAACTGAACACGGCCATTTCCTTCATTACACAGACCACCACTTACCCTCCGATCGACCCGGAGATCCCGCTTGTCTGTCTTCAACAGAATCAGACCCCGACCCAGACTCCGACTCTTCCCACCTCTTACACTCGTTGCTCCCTCCTGACGCCTCCTCCTCCCGCCGTGGCAAATCACCGATGAAGCGCAAAGGCCGCACGGTCTCGAAACGCACCTCGAAGCCATCCCTCACCATCGCAACCGGCCAGAACGGCTACGCGAGCGAGGGCATGGATTCCTCCATCGAGATGCGAAAGAGGGACACCTCCGTCGAATCCAACTCGACGCGGGCCAACCGCCTCATGTCGCGTCCGAGTTTCTCCCTCGACCAGGATCCTCCCATCGCACCCCCCCAGACCCCCGCCATGACGACCACCTCGTTCGCCAACCTCCCCGCCAGCGACCGGCGGAACTTCATGCTGCTGTGTGTGCTATACTTCCTCCAGGGTATCCCCATGGGGCTGGCCACCGGCTCCGTGCCGTTCCTCCTGAAGCCGTACCTGTCGTACGGGCAGATCGGTGTCTTCTCGCTCGCATCCTATCCCTACTCACTTAAACTGCTGTGGAGTCCCATCGTTGACGCAATGTGGAGTCGGAGGTTCGGCCGACGCAAGAGTTGGATCACACCCGTGCAGGTTATCGCAGGACTGGCCATGATCTACCTGGGCGGACGCATCGAGGAGATGATGAAGGCGGCCGGGGCCAATGGCGGCGCAGGCGTGTGGAATTTCACATACTGGTGGTTCATGCTGGTGTTCTTCTGCGCCACGCAGGATATTGCCGTGGACGGGTGGGCCATCACGCTCATGTCGCCCCCGAATATCTCCTACGCGTCGACCGCGCAGACGGTGGGCCTGACCGCCGGTCACTTCCTGTCGTACACCGTGTTCCTGGCCTTCAACTCGGCGGACTTCGCCAACCGTTGGTTCCGCGCCATCCCGGCCGAAGGGGGCCTGCTGTCGCTGGGCACGTACCTGAAGTTCTGGGGCTGGGCGTACATCGTGGTGACCTCTCTCCTGGCGGTCATGAAGAAGGAAGACCGGACGCACGAGCGCGACAGCATCATGGACGTGTACCGCAGCATGTGGAGCGTGCTGAAGCTGAAGCACGTGCACACGATCATCTTGGTGCATCTGATTGCCAAGATCGGGTTCCAGGCCAACGACGGCGTGACCAGCTTGAAGCTGTTGGACAAGGGTTTCGGCCAGGACAACATGGCGCTGGTGGTGCTGATCGACTTCCCGTTTGAAATCGGGCTTGGGTACTACGCCGGCAAGTGGTCGACAGAATACACGGCAATGCGGCTGTGGTGCTGGGCATTCGCCGGCCGGCTGGTGGCGGCTGTTCTAGCCCAGATCACCGTGATGATTTACCCTGCGGCCGACCAGATTCCAATGTGGTATCTCCTGACCGTAATCGGCGAGCACATCTTCTCGACATTCATGAACACAGTGATGTTCGTGGCCGTGTCCGCCTTCCACGCACGCATTGCCGACCCCAGCATCGGCGGAACCTACATGACGATGCTGGCAACGTAAGCCTCCCCCACCCTCCACAAACAACCCACACCCACTAACACCACCACCAGTGTCTCGAACCTTGGCGGTACTTTCCCACGATACTTCATCCTCAAGCTCGTAGACATGTTCACCGAGGCGACGTGCGTGCCTCCAACCGTCCCCCCCGCCCTCGACACCCTAAAGGGCGACCTCGTCACCGAGGCCTTCTCCTGTGCCCTGGAACCGGACCGCGCCCTCTGCCTCAACGGCGGCGGCACCTGCAACGTCCAGCACGACGGCTACTACACGACGAACATCATCTGTGTGTTGATCGGGGCGGTGACCTTTGTGTTCTTCATCAAGCCTGCCGTTCTCAAGCTGCAGGCCCTTCCATTGCGCGCCTGGAGATTGACCCCGGCCACTAGACACTAGCGCATTTGTATTTATAGCCACATTTACAGTAGAACGCATACGAGCACGATGTATACCGATCCAGGCGTTTAGGGATTTCATGTATCTAGGCATGACTGCTTGTGCAACGGTTCGCGGGTGGTCATTCGGCTGTTGGGTCGGATGCCTGCATTAGTGTTGTTAATCCCCTACTCCCGCTTATGCGGGTGGAGGCGCTCTATAGTATCTACCTATCCCTTGGCTATTGCAGAACACGTTTAGTGCTGTATGTTCTCTACACCTAGATACTTTCTGTAGCATTAGTATATATATATATATATATATATATATAGCTCTGCTATTCAAGTTGGATAGGTAGCCAATTAGGACCTATGCTTGGGTTGGTTAATTGGATTTTATTGATTGATGTAGAGTAGGGCAGAGCGAGAGGGAGGGCTCACGCCGGGCCCTGCGATGTCCGAGTCAAGCTGGATCTCCCGGGGGTGCTCGGAGCAGTTGTAATGACAGGTAGACATTTTGGGGGACTTGATGAGGTCGTGTTTATTTGGGTATGTATGTCTGTCTCTCTTGGTTACTGCACGTTTCAAAGGTGGGATGGGGTGGGATGCCAGTTATATATATAGTACTAAAATCCTTGATGACGGGCTTCTCTTGCGTGACGGTTTCGTCAGGGATTATACCTATGTTTCCATCCCGAAGAGGCTTGTCTGGGGACCATGTATTGTGAGATAGCGTATGGTATGCTTATTTCCAAGTCATTCACAGCTCTTCAAGTCTCATTTCATTAACACGATAACCACTTGGCGTACGTATATAGGGTCCACGGCAGCCTGCGACTCGGTATTAGAGAAAGCAGAACCACCGAGATGAACGTCAATTGCAAGATGTTGCTCCATCCTTGAATCTTAGATCCGGAATCAGCATAAAACCACCCCTCTTGCATCAGACCAACCCAAAACACCAATGTAGGACAGACAGTGACAGGTATACAAACTGTCTGGATGGATCTCGGCAAGGCAGGACAGACTGCACTTACGTCTTAGAACAGCCCCTGTGTCCTCACATGGGTAAGGTCGATCCAAAGCTGACTATAAGACTACCCTGGGCGCAGTACTACCATGTATCAAGACAATGGGGTATTTTTATAACACTGGCGCGATTTTAGGTCTGCATATAAGTTAGTAAGGCCCTGTGTTACAGCGGGCCGTTCCCCGCGTTTTTTTGCGTCTCCTGCAGTCCTGCTGATATCTGCAGTTGGGGAGAGGGTTGAGGAGGAAATTTAATTGGGATTGCATTAAAGATCAGAATAAAAGGAAGACTTGTCAATAATTTCCATAAATCCACCCATTGAAGACGGCAATGTTTCCAACTATCAGGATTAGAGAAATACCAACCCCTCTCGCTCAGGGACCGAGATAAAGGTAAAGAGGAACAAGAAATAAATCTGCCACTGACCGAGTTTATCAGACTAGACAAATCCCCACTAAACGGAAATATTCTTCATCCACCAGACAAATATTCACGCCCTCAATCCAAAAACCCAAGTCATCCGGCGGCTGTGCCAAAGCGGCCCTTGGTAACCCGGCCAGTCTGTTCCACTGTGTAACCCGACCCAGGGCCATCTGCGCGACCCTGTCATATGAGGCATAAGTAACAAAAGTAACGCAACGCAGCCCAGTCAGTCTGCACAAACCTGCACGTGTCCATTAGGGGGTGATGTGAAGCACTAGCGTACCACACTGTGCCTGATCGGCAGTATATATAGGGTAGAGCGATCTCCCTCCCTCTGCTCCGCATCCCCCACCTATTTCCCTCCATCCATCCATCCATCCGTCCCCAAAGGCAAAGCCGAATCCAACAGAACATGCATCTTCCGCTTCTACCAGCCCTAACAGCCCTGCTTCTCCTTCCTGGAGCACTCTCGGAGGCTCTTCGTCCGCGAAATGTACATTTCCCTCCTTCCCTCCCTTTCTACTTCCTATCCATGATGCTCGGAAATTTAAATTTGAAAGAATGGCCATGTTACTTACTTACTTATTTACTTACTTACTTACTTACTTACTCTACTTGATTGTTTGCTTAGTGGGACCTCCGCCTCTTCAAACCAGGCTGCAACCCCAACTCGACCAGTTTCGATCTCTCGCTGTTTCACGCGCAGGGCGTCACCGCGACAGATGGATGTAGTGTGCTCGATTCGGGCCTGAATTCGTCCACGGTGGATACGTTCTCGTGGAAAAGCCCGGGGACCACGCGGTTGGATCTGTGTCTGTATGGGGATGGGTGTGGCGGGAATGGGAAGGGGAGTGGGAGGGTCGAAGCGATTCGCGATGGGTGGGAGGTTTGTGTGAAGTATTGGGGGTGGAGAGGGTGGGCGGTTGTGGATGCGGGGGGGAATTGTTGATCTCGATCTCGATCTCGATCTTTGTTTGACTATGTTTGTCTGTCTGTCTGTCTGTTTGTCTGTCTGTCTGTCTATATTTTATGTCTCTGTTGGTATGATCCTTCTATGTCCATCAGAATAATGCTAATCAGTGCCGTCGTGGAAGAAGTACAGGCTCGCTGCTGGTTGTTGTGGGATCCACGTGGGGGGAGTATTTGGCTTCGAAGGCTATGAGAAATCTGTGCGTTACATAGGTTAGAGCTGCTGGGGGGTGAGGAGAAGTAGGATGCGGGTGGTTCTTGGTCGAGGCATTGTGGTGATGGTTGTGGATTTGGATTCGAGGTTAAGGATGAGGGGAAGAGAGGAGAGCGGGGGGGGGGGGGGGAAGGGGGTAGTGCGCTGTTGCAGTATATAAGCGTTAGTATACATGTGGTAACCTAACAGGCTTCAAGCACGGTGGCAGTATGATCTGCAGTCAGTGGAGGGGAATATATTTCTGAGGGGTGTGTGGATAGAGATGAGATTAGATTGATAAACAAGCTTTCAGTTTTAGTATCCAATACTCAACATCTGCTAATGTTAATAAAAGAGTCGACTCAATTCTAGAGTACCAAGTCAACTAACAAAAACCAGTAGTACTTGTACTCACTCACACCCAAGATAGGTGTATAGAGATAGATGGTTCCTCCCCCGATCCCGACCCACAACCCCCCCACCCACTCTTACTTCCCTTCCCGCAAAGTAAAGTCCGACTCTTCCCCCCGCCATCAATTTTTCTCCAACCAACACCACCACCATCACCATCAACTCACCACTTCACAATCCACCCATTACCTCACTCTACATCCAGCAACCCACCAAACCACCCCCCAACAACAACAAAACAAAATGACATCCACCCTAGACGACATCTTCGGCTCCTCCCCACCCCACCCCTCCACCACAACCGGCCCCCTCCCCCCTCCGAACCCTCCGACCTCCCCTCCCTCCGCCGCCAACACGTCACAGCCGGCTACCGCGACGGCATCAGCGCATCCAAATCCGAACACGTGCAGACCGGCTTCGACGCGGGTTTCCCCGTCGGCGCCCAACTCGGTCTCCGCGCGGGCACGATCCTGGGTATTTTAGAGGGCGTGCTTCGCGGGTATGAGAGTCGAGGTGGGGTGATTAGGAAGCCTGGTCAGCCGTTGAGGAAGGCTGGGCCGGGCAACAACAACAACAGCAACAGCCACACAGCTGCTACGACTGGTGGTGCAAGTGCTAGTGCCAGTGCCAGTGACAATTCCACTGTGAACGGAGAAACGAAAGAAGCCCGTCGGGCGAAGATCCTAGCTTTGTACCAGCAAGCAATTGCAGACCTGGACGTGCGGAAGGTATTCGAGGGTGTGAGCGAGGGGGACCTGGCTCGCGAAAAGGCAGAGGTCAGGTTGGGGAGACAAGGGGAGGGGGTATTAGGGAAGTGGGAGGGGGTGGTGGGAGTATCGGAGTGGGAGGGGGTGATGGAGGCGTTGGAGATGAAGAAGGAAGAAGAAGATGGACATGGAAATGAAAATGAAAATGAAAATGACCAAGGAAAGGAGGTCAAGGAGGAGAGCTGAGGGGGTGATGGGATACTATCGGGCTTTGGATATTTTGGTTTTTTTCCCTACCCCCCTCGTTTGGGCTGCGAAGGGGCTTTTCATGCGTCGGACAGACCGGACTGGATCGTCTGTCTATCAGTCAGTCTGGACGGACCGACGGCGAGACATGCGGATGGATGGGATGCATGCATGCATCCAGGCTGCTGCAACCTTTTGCGTGACGGCTGACTCGGGTGTCTGGCCGTCCGTTTGTATCCTCCCCTGCTGCTGTTCCTGCCGCCGGTGGCGGTTCCTACCGGACCGGACGGGGACGAGTCTGCAAGGTATCTGTCGTGCACACACGACCTATGTTAGTGTGCAGGAGACAAGACTGGCTATGTTGATGGGTCTAGATGAACAGATAGCCAGCCAGCCAGACAGGGCTCTATCGGTGCCATCACAGGGTTGTATATGACATAACTAACCCGTGAGGCTGTGGCTGAACAACAAGACCTGAATGAAGACAGGCTATACGGAGTACAGCACAGACCAACCCTACCCTCCTATACCTATACCAGTATTTATTAGAATTTTAGAACCAGAAAGGATCTAGATAGTGGCGTCAGCAGAGAATCCCTCCGATACAACATCCAAAGAATGTAAAACCTTTGTTCGTTCGATGCTACCCCCTCCCCTCCTCTCCACTCCTTGGTTAAAGTACGAAATCCTGAAACCTGTCTAACACACAGCGTCATCGATCACGTCAAGGGATGGATGCCGCACACTACACAGTATACGGGTATCCCTGGACTGTAAATATCCACCCCGGCTTGCCTCGGAGCCGCCTCAATCAAGGGATGCGGGCGAATGTTCCGACCAACCAGAGCGGCAGGCGGGCTATTGTTTCATTCTGGCGATCCCTGGCCGGGGTACTCCCGCTCATTCTGTCCGGCATGGCGGATTCTTTTTGCGTGTTTGTTTTGATTTGTTCATTCTGGGAAGGGAAGTCTCTACGTGTAGTATGGAGGGAGTGGTACGTGAAGGAGTCTGAGATGGAGGATTGGGTTTGGCTGGACTGCTCGCGCAGACGTGTATTCTTTTCTATGGTTTTCTAATAGAGCGAGACTCTAGTGTAGTGTGGATAGTACCAAGGAGTGACGGTGACCGTAGTCACAAAAGCAAGTCATCAGGGAGTGTATATGGGTGGGTGAGTTGGTGGGTGGACAGGTAACCAGTAAGGAGTGTGGTCAGACAGGAAAAGGAAATGGTGTCGCGCAGACACAGGTAGAGATCAAATCAACAGAAAAATAAAATAAAGAGTGGTATGAGCACAACCGAGTCATAATCGTGCCGTTGCTCATCGATACGTGTCATTCATCGCAGTGCATCTGCATTGCATCATTCGGGATCGGGGAGGAGCCATCTCCATCCCAGTGATCCGTCGCGTTCGTCATTGGACATGAATGGACTTGGAGGAGTCCATCTCGTTGGTTGTCATCGCCCGCCGGCAGGATGCCTGGGCGTTCAGCATCATAAACATTAGTTCAGTCATTGGAAACCGTTCGATATCGTCGGGACGGGCCGTAAATGGTTTTCGATAGTTCGTATAAAAATAGCCGTACATGCAACGCCGTTTTTGTACTTTTGTTTTTCGAGAAAGAGATCAGAAAAGCTGCAACGTAAAGAACTACATCGGACGGCGGGGCCGCGGAGGCGTGATCTCGCCGTGGCACCCGAGCACCCGCAACGACTCCCACACCCGTTTATAGAGTGGCGGCCGTGCGAGGGTCAGGATTGCCTTGTCGGATCGCTCCTCGCGGCAGAGGGTGCACATCTTCTCGCGCTCCGCGGGTAGTGACTTCTTGGAATCGGACCTTGGTCGGCGACGTGACTTCGCCTGCATCGCCGCGGCTGTCGTTCGGTCGATGTCAATGTTCCGAGACTGTCCGCTGTTGCGACGTGAACGTACTTGCCCCAGGGAAGTCAAGGATGGGTTAACAAGCCGCAGACTCGGCAAACCTGGGGGTCGGAACATGTCCCGGGAACGGCTCTGGATTGTGTTCCTCGTGGGCGACGGGCACAGGTCCTCCGGCGGCTTGTCAGGCATCGAGGGGAATTTCTCCAAAGGGTGCGCCTGCTGGCAAGAATTCTGCTGGTTCTGAAGCTTGGGTGCGGACTTGGCCACGCGAAGGTGAACGCGACTGCGAACCTTCTTCAGCGTATCCATAGGCTTCCTCGAAAGAGACTTGGGGTCCAGTGACTCGCTGTCAGAGTCAGATTCCCATACAGACTGCTCAGGAAACGCTTCGGAAGTAGATGTAGAAGGCCGAGTACGGCTAGAGTTGGCAGTGGGTTGACGCTCAATCGACGGCGATGCCGGCCCTGGGCTGGGAACTGGACTCTGACAGTCGTTTGCTGGTATGAACATCGCCCGATCAAAGTGGGAGGTATGAGGCTCCATTGTCACGGGGTTGATTAGACACGGTGGAGATATCATGGATGCGGCGATAGGAGGCCGGATGGCGGGAGGGGGGCCCTTCCTGCTCGAGTGGGCACTTCCTGATCGCACGGATCGCGCACCGGTTGGCAGAGATGGAAGTGGCTTTCCACGATGAGATGGAGGGTCGTGACTATCGACCGGCTGCATGACCAAAGTATCGGACGATGCGTTGGGCGCCTCAATTGGTGTCTTGGCCTGTCGGACTGGTGTTGACGGGCGTGTAGCGAGAGTAGTCTGGGAATGGTTCAAGGGAGTGGATGCACAAGGGTATACTTGGTTTCTAGGGCTAGGAGGTAGCTGGACATGCACTGGGAGCGGCTCCAACAACACACCGTCTGGATAGATTGGAGCCGAGTAGTTGGAAGAGAATGAGCTGCTTGGAGTCAAATCAGGCGTGGCTTCGGTTTGGACAGAGCTGAATGATCCTTGGTCGTAGTTGACCGAGGATCCTTCCCAAGGGCGAGCTCCCGCGACCTGCTGCAATCCCAGCTGGTGCTCCAGCTCAACCACCGACAAGGTCGATCGGTTGTTGTTTGAATGCAACCTCGCAGTATCACCGCGGGCCGTGAGAGTAAACGGGACCTCTTTTCCAGGACTCACGGAGGATAGCATCGAATACGGGTTGGACTCCTCAATGCACCGAACATCGCGACTATCCAGCCGGCAAGTACCCCAAGGAGCCCCGCTTGTCAAAGTATGCTCCAGATAAAACGGATCGGGATTCGAGTCGTCAACAATTCCCGGCCCTCTGGCTGGGTAGAATGATGAAGCGCGCTTTCTTTGAGGTGTAGACGTGGGGAGGGCAAGTGCCGTCTGCGATCTGTTGCTGCTGCTGGAGAAGGCGTTCAGTTGGCCGGGAAGCCGATGATATCCGTCAGCCATGGGCTATGGTTCTGGCTGCCAGAATATATTTCGATCTGGTACATTCAGACACGCAGGATGTTCATCAGTAATAGAAGGCACAGATGCAGGTCATCCAGGTTCGAAAAGAGAGACTAAAAAACGAAGGAATGAGAATGTCCGGGAAAGAAGGACTGGCTAGGGTCAGGGTAAAGGGATATGTTTATACATATCTTCCCAAAAATAACCGCGACGCCTCTTCTGGCCTAGGGCAGACCCAATGGTGGCCCTGGTGGCTAGGCCGGGGAGGAGACCCGGCGCATGCCAATGCAGAGAGGCGTAAACAGAGCTCGAACGTCCGAGCGCACAGACTCCAATGACCTATCAGACCTTACATGGTCCCTTTGGTAGGGATGGGGATGCGCAGCAAGGCGGCAGGCCGTCGACGCTGGAGCAAGGGAGGCGTCGGAATCCCGATCCGCAACTCAGTTGACGCGGGGTTCTGGTTTCTGGCTCGGGACTAAAACCTTCTGTAGTCCCTTGGGCCCTGTGTTTGGTGTTTACACTGAAAGAGGAAGAACGTCAACAATCGCCTAGGTGCAGTGATGCGATTCGTCCCGTCCCCCCCCCCCAGTCGTAAATCATAACAAGGACACCAAAGGGTTGTCACTCCCCCGTCCCCAGTCCAGTGGCGAGCATCACACACTACCAGTCAACCCAACCCCCAATATTCGGGTTGTCCGCTCAAAATAGTCCTGCACGCGAGTATGAGCCTGCTGCTGCAGGCCATTCCGCCAAGAAGCCGACCAAGTAGCTGAAACGGAATGCCACTGCTCATCAGGCACTCGGAGCGAAGTTGAACTGCAAAGCAGGCATGACTTCATTACGGTCGGGGTTCTGCATCGAGGCTGGGAGCCGCTCCCAGCAACCTGGTAGCCGACGTAGAGGGCAAATGTGAGATCTCAGGCGCTAGGACATGCCGCCCCCCGGGGAAGGCTTCCAGGATCGGCCGGTAACTGAGCACTGGTTCGACCATGGCACTGGTGGCCGATCTGCAGCCGATCATCTGCGACTGTGGCTAGATGGTTGCCAGTCAATGCACCCTATTGTCTGAGCGGCGAATAGGCCTGCCTGTAAAATGCCAGGCATCACAGAAAACCATCAGAAAGCTCCAAGATGATAGAATCACTCTTTCAGAGTCACCTTTTCAGACTCAAGTCGCTAGACTACGCACGTAACCGCTCAACTCAACGCCGTGGCTTATGCGGAGATCGTAACACAGAGCGTCAATTCGTCGTCCAGGAGGGCCATGCAGGAAGCTATGTCACGACCCGCATTCCAGAAGTTCATTCCAGGTTGCCGCGATACTGTAGGCCAGCATTGAAAGCCGGGGATTTGCTAAGCATCTTTCATCGACGACTATCTGCTTGCCTCGGACCAGCATCGAAGTTGTTGTTGTCTAGGTATAAGAAGACATCGCCCCCCACTCGTTTATTCTCCGAAAGGCTGGCCCGCCAGTCTAGTGGTCCGGAATAGACTTCTTCATCCTTGCTGGGAAGTCTGCAAACTCCCTCTCGACTTGGTAATTTAATCGAAATTTTGATTATCCTTTCTGCTGGTTGGTTCTGCCATTGGCCAAACAGTGAAATCCAATCAAGCTGCAAAGACAGTCTCCCTTTGACTTCGTAAGACGCTCAAATCCGCTCATGAGAGGGTTATTCTCCAGTGTAGCTGCTATATCCTGAAAGGTGAAACGATCATCTTGGCTCGAACCCCGTGGTTCATGCTCGACTTTTCGTATACTGCACGCTACTAAGCTGTACGCTGTGTCATCGTCTGACCGGCCTGTGCCATTGGGCCCTTTCCCGCGTGTTTACCTCGGTGATAGGTTTCTGTCATGTGTAATTAGATCTGACCACGGTTTTAGCATCTCACTCTACAACCAGTATAAGATAGCTGCCTTGAACGTAAAAGCATATCAACAAGAGTGAACATGAAAGTTCACCACGTCTAGACCGTCGGGGAAGCAACTACTCGCATGTCCCGCATTCCGGGTCTGTGCGTGACGATGCGGTTTTATATCAATTCATGCAGATCACCCGACAGGTCAGTGTGCCGGCAATATATATACATATATATATATATCTTCTTGTATTCGATGAGAGAGACAACTTTCCGGGTGAATAAGTATGTTGGGACATTGTTACGTTTGTAACTCATGTTCGTCTTCAATGACATTGAATGAGTATAGTCCTGAAGCTTGATTTGCTCCAAGATTGTCTCATAATCTGAATTGAGCTTCGTTACGGGGAACACGGAATTGAGATGCACGATTCTGCCGGCTCTTGAAGCCGGCGCATTCCTCAACTGCAGGAACTTTTCAGTCACGGGTTTGCACCTGCGTCAACTACTTAGTGTAAGTACAGCCATAACCTGACTTTTGTACTCGTAACATCGTCCATGTGCTTGTCATTGCTAATATTGAAGCAACCCCAGAATCAAAGCTCATGACACCAAGCGAGCCGGCCGATGAGTTTGGGTGATAGAGGTATCACTTGAATGTGGTGTAATGTGCCACACGTAGAGTGGCGTTGACGAACTGTCTGCACTTACTGTAATCGTGGATGTGAGACCTCTGCAACGCATTTCGATAGGTCTGAAACCGGACCGGCCGGACTGGCTCCCTCGAACTCAATTAATAACCGACTCGAATGGCCCTTGCTTTGACTGATTCTTTGCTTGTGTTTTGCGACTGCTGAGATGGTTATTATGCCGATAGTTTGCGCCTGTTGAAAGCCTAGTCCAATTTCCACCAAGGGCCTGAGATGGCGGCCAGAACACGAGATCACCAGCAAGACCTCCCGAGATCGGGTAAGTGGATCACTACCTTATATTATTCTGGGTCACCTATTGATTTTTCCGGCGAGAATTGAAACAGGAAACGAGTCTGACACTAGATCTTCAACGGGGGGTTGATGGTGAAATACTTCCCGGAGGGTCGTAGCGGCTTCTCGTGCGACCGCGATGGCAGAATAACCAGCCCATAATCGTCACCGTTGGGTCTGTGCTTCTGATGGAGCCGGTGTGGAGTCTCCGAACTGTCTGTCTAGTGTCCACTGTCCAGGCTCTAGACCCCCCAAGAATCAAGGCGATTTTCATACTCCGGAGCCCCTGTCATTTCGCGAAGCAGTCAAACTTTGATCGCCGCCTCAATTGTGAACGGAGGAAATCTGGAGGGATCGTGTAAATTCTCAGGAAACACAGACCGCGGGCTGGTCGATTTTTCGGAGCTGGAGCGCCAGGCACATCGGGACTAGTTGGCAGCTACCTAAACATGGCTTGGGACTAAACCCCCATTCAGGAATCGCCAGCACATCAGCCTGGGATTGGGTCATGGCAGGGACAAAGCTTAGACTAGCGCGGATTTCTATATATATTTCTGTTGCGACGGAGCCATGATGCAATCAATGAAGCTCCAGCGGGCTGATATCATGTTGCACGTTGTATGGCGTAGGAGGGCACCCGAAGTATCCATGTTCCGGGGGGGCAAGGCGATGAGAGCCGCTCCCCTTCCTTGGGGCCGATGAGCAACGATCGCAGAATAAACACCCAACGTAAAGATCGCCTGATCGGAAACAATTGATTCCCCTTGGGTAGTCAGGTATTAGGTAGGTAGAGTGTTGGTTGGACAACCAACGGGGTGACCGAACCACTTTGGTCCATCTGTGCAACGGATGCCAGTCGGGGAGTGGAAAGGTAAGGCGTGGGTTGGAGGGTGGTGGTGACCTTGGCCCGCAGTGAGTTGGACGCATTTCATCATGGCTGGCCTGCTCCCTAGACAGGCAGGGGAAGGGTTTTGGGAGGGAGGAGGAAAGGTGGAGAGTGTCTCTGGTACCTGACTCTGAGGGGGTGGATAATTGGGGAAGAGAAAGCCGATCGATCGGGTGGGCTTTCTTTCCGCCGACCGTTAGCTTTGGCCGTCTCACTTTCCTTCCAGCGCCAGATTATTCTCTTCGCTCGCCCGCCTTCGCCTCCGCCTCCGCCTCACACCTGGCTGGTGTCAATACAACTCAGACCGCCGTCAACCGGCCTTGCGTTCTCCGTCGGGGCCATTGGGCTTTCCCCTCTGCTCCATGACTGCGACGGGCCTCTAGTTATTGCCTTGTTGTGGTCTGCCAGGGCGCTTCCAGGTAGTCCGTCCGCTACCAACTACCACTACCCACTGTCCAGGTGAGATCCCCGACTCTCCCAGCCATCGCATTTCTGCAACGGCTCATCTTATTCGACCAGCCACTGCCTCTCAACCTACTCTCACTTTTAGTCGCGTGGCTCGCTCTGAAATCCTCTCCCCTCCCCTTTGCTGTTTTTCGTGTTTCGAACCAAAATACCCACATTGCAGCTGTCTCTTACCTGACTGACCATTGACCCCCCCCACCAGCCGCGGCGTTGATTTGTGTGCTGGACAAGAGGCCCCCTCCCTGGCAGTTCGTGTCGTGCTGCAGTTGCGCAGCTTCTCCTGACACGTTGACAAACCCACCCAACGTTGCAGGTTCCGCGTTCCTAGACCCTTCTCGTGGGGGCTGAGACCCAATTCTCACGTTGTCGTCGCATTTCTCTGCGGCCCATCCACTTCAATCTTCAGCGGTGTCTCATCGCAATCGCGGCACCTTTGACGAGACCTACGAATCTAACGACCCCCCAAACCTTACGACTTACCCACCGCAACTTCAGCAGCAGGCTGCTCCCCTTCCTTTCTCTGACTCTACCCGCCATCACCCACTTCGACCGTCGAGTGCTTTGGGAAGCACTCGCTCGTTACGGAGAACAGCACGTCTTTCTCAACGTCCCCCCTCGGTAGATGTTTCGGGACGCCCATTTCAGGTAGAGCAATCAATCCCGGTGCTGGTGCGACCTGTCTCGGCGCATACGCGAGACCTCGCTGCACTCCGTTCCTCCCTCTCCGAAGCGCAAACTGAAGACGACGACGCCGATTCCGCAGCTGAAGACCATCCTCTGCGGCCGGGCGAATTGTACTGGCCCCACAGAACCACTCGTGTCTCCTCGCGCACAGCGTCCGCGATCCTCTGGACCTTGGAGGAAGCGATTCGCAAGCCATTTCCGCTCACCTTCGATTGGGAGGAAGTGAATGCGCCCATGTCTGACATCGCAGGTCCTTCTGGTGCGCCTGGCTTTGGAGCCAATGGCCGCGCACAGAATGGATCTTCTCGGGCCGCCAGCGGCCCAGTCCCTGTGAACCCGCACCCTCCAAGTGGTGTGCGAACGCCCACTGATATCATGAGACAGCGTCGAGACCGAGAGGCTCGGAAGAAAGCAGAGCAAGAGGCCAAGGACCGAGAGCAGGATGAAGCGGAGCACAAACAGCAGGATCAGACTACGGCTCAGGCTCAAGGGCAGGCTTATGCTGCTGGCGTTGCCGGTGACAGAACTTCGCAGCGAAGGGTGCAGATACCCGAGCGCTCTGCCACAAACATTCGACGTCCGGATCCTCAGGCTCCGTCGCAGCTCCCCGGAACTGGCGGTGCACCTGGTCATGTTCGGCCAGCCACATCTGCCGGACAACCCAACCCAGCTCAATCGCAGCACCCTGCCACACAGAGCTCCGCCGGCTTGTCCAAGCAAGCTTCCAATCAGCCCGGTGGCCCCCAATCGGAACAGCAACCCCGTCGAATCCCATTTCCCCATGCGTTCGAACGGTGGGAGACGCTTTCGTCCCACTGGGAGGGCTTGACTGGGTATTGGATCCGGAAGCTAGAGCAGAACAACGAAGGGCTCGAGCGCGATCCTCTCAATCAGCAAATGGCACGCCAGGTGACTGATCTCTCTGCAGCCGGTGCGAATCTTTTCCACGCGGTGGTGGAGTTGCAGCGCCTGCGCGCCTCATCCGAGCGCAAATTCCAGCGCTGGTTTTTCGACACTAGGGCGGACCAAGAACGATCGAAGGAGGTGCAAGCAGAGTTGGAGAGACAAATTCGGACCGAACGTCAAGGACGGTCTGATGCTTTGACCTCATTGCAGAAGGCCGAGAGCGACAAGGTCCGCGCCGAAGAGTTGCTCAAAGAAATGCGTCGTGAGCTTCAGATCTCCAAGGAAGAAGCTCGCCGAGCGTGGGAGGAATTGGGTCGGCGCGAACAAGAAGAACGCGATCGGACCAATTCCCTCCGGAACGGGGAACCCACCTTAGTCGGAGGGGTACAGGTTGTACCTATGATTCCAGGGCCTGCCAGAAATCCTAACCGCCCACCTACTCGCGAAAGTCCGTACGCCGAAAGTGAAGGTGTGACCAAGAGCACGGATCCGGCAGAAGGCCAATTTTATGCAGATGCGCCCGCATCGCCTACCGGAACCGACCCGTTCGTGGAGGGGGAGAGGCCTCTTCAGGAGCTGCCAACATCCACATCGGCTGAACCCCAGAGACAGTATCCTGGACACTTCTATGAGCAACAGGCGACATACCCCCCTCAGCCAACCTCCGAGAACGATGACCGCTCATACGTTCCCAGCGTTGTCAGTAGCGAGCCAGGTGAAGAGGAATTCGGTAGCAGCTATCGCCACACTCCGCAGGGTCCGATCGTGTACCCCCCTACAATGTCCGAGGCGAGCGACGAATATGAACAACGATCGGTAGAGGGAGGGTATCCTCCAACCTCCATGCCCGCATCTTCAGGGCCTCCGTATGAAGGCTATACCCCGTCCGTCGACTACAGTGGCTCGGGATGGGGTGTAGGAACCGGGTGGGAATCCATGACCCCCCGCCATCGCCATCCTACCCGCCTTAGCGATGTGATCGAGGAAGAGGAGCCACGAACTACTCCTAGCCGAGCCAGCGTAGCCAGTCGAAGTGTACAGTGAGACACCTCCACATCCGCCGTACATACAGCATTCGAACAGCCTCCGACACCAAAAGACGTGTGATTCGTTTTTTGTTATTATCTATACCGATTCTTGCATTGCCTTTTCGCTTCAACTACTTTCAGAATACCACTTCGCTTCTCCGGTTTGCCTACACCTTTGCTTCTTTGTCCCATTATATTCAACCTATGTGACCCTGTTCCCTCGGCGACCAGAGCTTCCAGCAATCAATAGATTGCATAGCGGGCATTTCCAGCCTCGGCTTCCGCGCGCCACTAGTGCTTTGCAAAAGTCAACGTCTTCGGGCAGGAGACGGGTTTATTCATTGTAATTCTACATCCCATGACGTATACTTGGATCATCTAGATATACCCTAGTGCATTAGTTTGAATAATCTCAGATGAATCAAGTCTTTTACCATTCCAAGCCATCCCTCCAATTACATTGCACGTGATTCGTAGTGATAGTTTATGCCTCAGGCACGTGCGCTAACCCGCGTACGGGAACGCATCGATCCGACCGAGCTGGAGATATCCAAATCACCGGCGCACCTCCGGCATCCTCCTCCAGAAAACTCCGTTTGGTCAGCCACTTTGCAGACTTTTCCCAACCCACCAATGGCTTCCACGATGAGACCTATGGGCCGGATGCTCCTGCGGGCATCTCGCTCCACCCTTCTTCCCGTCGAATACAGCACCTCCCGCGCAACCCAAACCGCGCTCTCCGTCAGCAAGACCAGTCCTTTCTCCAACATCCAAATCGCGAACAATGGAATCCTTACATCCCACCGCGCGTTCTCGACGTCCCCGCTCCGTTCCCGCAAACCCACAATGGGCCAATTGAAGGCCCGCCATTCCACGGGCCCGTTCTCATGGAAGTCGGCCTTGCTGTTCGTCCTGACGGGCGGTGGCATGATCATCTACTTCCGGGTCGAAAAGGAGCGACTGGAGCGCAAGCGGATCGCGGAGATGAGCAAGGGAGTTGGGAAGCCGAGAGTGGGAGGTCCGTTTACGTTGAGGGATCTGGATGGCAAGGAGTTCACGGCGGAGGATTTGAAGGGGAAGTACAGTTTCGTGAGTATCTCCCTCTCTTTACTTTCTGGGTATTTGAATTTGGGGACTGGGGCGCTAATGTGATTCTTCTACGTTAGGTCTATTTCGGATTCACCCACTGCCCTGATATCTGCCCCGACGAGCTGGACAAAATGGCCGAAATCATCGATAAGGTGAAGGAGTCTACGAAGGGCGAGAATATCTTCCTGCCCGTGTTTATCACCTGCGACCCCGTGAGGGATACGCCCGACGTGCTGCGCGAATATCTGAAGGAGTTCCACCCCGATATCATCGGCTTGACGGGGACGTATGAGGCGGTGAAGAACGTCTGCAAGCAGTACCGGGTGTACTTCAGCACGCCGAAGGATATCAAGCCCGGGGAGGATTATTTGGTGGACCACAGTATTTATTTCTACCTCATGGGTATGTGATTTTCCCGCCTAACTGGCGAATCTGTCGCGGTGTGCGAGCGCTGACTTTTCACCTACTTAAGACCCCGACAACGACTTCGTCGAGTGTATCGGCCGTCAGGACACACCCGAGTCGGCGACTCGGACGATCATGGAACATATCAACGACTGGAAGCGGGAGGGCAAGCCCCTCCGGAAGGACTAAACAGGGTGCGAGGACGTGTATCATAGACAATACCCTACTCTGTGGATGTAAAATAAGTCTGCCAATTAGCATTGCTCATCACTCATCTCATCTCCCACCAACCCACTTACCCAGCACATATACATCCACCCCTTCAACCACGCACCAACTCCCCCTCAGCATCCCTATCCCGATTTGCCCTCCACTCCCCCTCCCCATCAAGAAACACCTCCCTCTTCCAAATTTCCGCTTTCTCCTTACACAGCTCCAACACCTCCTCACCCGCCCTCCACGCCGCCCCGCGATGTCCCGCGCTCACCGCAATCACGATACTGCTCTCCCCAATCGGCACATCCCCCAGCCGATGCCCAATAACCACCCCCAGCAGCCCGTGCTTCTTGACCGCATGCTCCGCGATCCCCGATAAGGTCTTCAGCGCGAGCGGCGGGTACGCCGTGTAGCTTAGTTGGGCGACGGGGCGGTCTTCGAACGAGTCGCGCGTTGTGCCGAGGAAGAGCACGTTTGCGCCGGCGTGCGGGGAGGAGATCTGGGAGAGGGCGGCGTTGGGGTCCAGCGGCGTGTAGGTCAGGGTGATGTGTGTGTTGAGGGTTGGGTTGGTCGTCGTGCGGGGGTAGGTGGATGGGTTGAGGTGCGCGGGGAGGGGAGGAGTTTGTTGCTGTTGGTCGTGGTCTCGGGGCTGGGGGTGAGTGGTGGTAGCCATGGTAAGTTGGTTGTAGCTAAGCGGTGATACGTGAAAGGCGTTGAGGTTGATCGGGAGAAGGATGTTGGTGTACGTGATGTGTCGGTTGGGAGTTGGAGATATATAAAGGGTTGAGGCTGCTGATGTTGAGTCTTGCGAGGGTCAATTGGAGAGGGAATGAGCGCGATGGTGAGAGCGGAGAAGCTTAAGTTCAATCGACTAGGATTGAAGAAAGGAGATCCAGAGACGATGTGCACAAGTTGAATGCGAAATATGCCCACAATCGGATGAAGATGAAGATAGCCGCTTATCACTCATCAAGGATGCTGCGGGGAGCTGGCAAATATGGAAGGCGGTGGGAGAGCTACCCCCGTTGAGCTAAGGAATGCACTAGTCTGCCTTCAGTTAGCCGGCTCTGAAAGGGCGGCTCGGAAGTACGGTCGGACTTTGGCTTCATCTACAATTGTTCAGTCTGCCTCTATTGTTCAACAGCCTCATAATGGACTGATCTGAAGGCCAGTCCTGCGCAGCCATTGAAAAAGCATATGTCCATGAGTGAATAGCGTTGACCGGCAAGAAAATGGACAAGACAAGACGACATTCGAGGAATCTTCGCCTGGCCAAGGTGAGCGGTTCTTGTCCAGTTGGCCATGTAGCGGACATGCTTTGCCATTGAGCTTACTCACTCTATGCAGGCATGTAATACATGTCGGAGGAAGAAGGTCAAATGTGATGGAAAGCGACCTGTTTGCTCATCCTGTCGTGCCTTCGACCTGGAATGTGCTTATCAGGATGTTGTGGATCGTCCAAATCGCGCCAGCCGGTAAGTTCGATCGGGTCAGGTTGATGGCATTCAATTGATCTTTCGAGCAGAGCTTATGCTCAGGCGCTGGAACAGCGAATTGAGAGACTACAGGAGCAATTGCAGAGGCCCAATAGATCTGGGGATGGACCTGGGCCAAGTATGCGCGGAACTTCGCCTTCCGGGCTCTCGAGAAGCGATGCTGTATCTAGTCAGCCAAGCCATCCGGAAAATGGGGAACCACTATCCGAACACAATACGTTGATCGATGAAGACGATTTTCATCCTTCCAGTGCCGGGGAAGCGAATGACCAAGCGTACATCCTTAACGCCCAGGACGGCAGGATGCGCTACTACGGTTGGTCTAGCTACAAATGTCCGTGTTTCTATCTGAAAATTGACGATCTCACCCGCGAGAATAGGAGCATCTTCTGCTTTCGGAGCCTTCTCAAGCACCGTGGGTAGTGGTTCAGAGAACCAGACGTGGACGGGAGCCCAACAACGCGTACCCCAGCGGCGGGCAAGTGTGTGGCCGCTTACGAGCTGGGTGCCTAACATCCTACAAGATGGCTTGGATCGACGTATCTCTGAACCTCTTCCATCCAGGAATGAGACGATGCAACTGGTTAGCGAATTCATGGCGACATTCAATCAGGCCATTCCTTTATTCGACGAGAAATCATTCATGAGATCAGTCGACAGACAGTACTCGTGGAAGCCCGATGACAGTGCTTCCTGGTGGATTTCACTCAACATTGCCTTAGCCATTGCATATAAGGAAAGGACGCACGCCTCCTCCGATGCCGGTGACAACTGGAAAAGATCAATGGGACATGTAAAGAATGCTTTGAACGCCGTTGGTGAAGTCTTTCTGCAAAATTCCGATCTCTCCGCCGTTCAAGGGCTGCTAGGATTGGCACTTTACTTTCAAGGCACACCTAACCCTCAAGCTCTTTTTATGTTTGCAGCTACAGCCATGCGTCTTGCCCATTCTATCGGATTACACAGGGATACTGCATCTAGCATACCGTCACCTGAAGATGAACAAAGAAGACGAACATATTGGATCGCCTTCCATTTGGATGCAGATATTTCCATTCGAGTGGGCCGCCCGCCGGTTCAAGACACCGAGGACTATGATACACGCTTGCCGGCAGATGTCCCTCATGATGAGAAGGGCATTATAACGATTGAGGATACCCAGGTTAATTTCTTTCGTCTACTTGTGCAGTTGTCCCTGGTACAGCGGCTCGTTTATCGACATTTGTACACAGTGACTGCTCGTCGACAGCCGAAGGAGAAATTGATCGAGGAACTAAAAGCTTGCGAGCAGGCGCTTCTGGACTGGAAAAGCTTGATTCCCCCAAGGCTCCAACCTCAATGCTTATTCAAATGGGAGTCTCATTACTTTGCGCAGCATTTTCTTCGACTACATCTCGCGTACCATTGTTGTTACTGCAACCTCTATCAGGCGTGCATGTTCCAAATAAAGTCTGCTGAGGCACCTCTTCGAGACGCCATCTTCGGGATCATTTTACGGTCTCTCGACTCGGCACGCTCCGCCTTAAATCTAAGATCGCAAATACCCTTGCTGGGGTCGACGTATAAGTGGTGAGCATTGTGATATCCTATCATTTGAAAAGGCTCAGAGCTAACTCACACACATAAAGGAATGTTATCTACTTTCCAGCTGCCGCGTGTGTGCCGTTGGCCCTCAGAATCCTCGCGTACCCTGCACATGAATATGCCAGGACTGATCTTGCTATGATCCGAGAAACCCTCGACTTTCTTGCCTCTACCTCGTCTGAAGAGCCTGGTACATACATCGACTTCATATTGGGCGCATTCTCTGACCTGGAGCACTCAGCGAGACAAGCCCTTGCAAAAGCGCAGCTTAAAAACTCCCAGCCCCCAGCACCTGAATCAGATAGGCGCGATATAGGACTCAACGTACCTCCCGATGGTATCAGATACCCGGCATCTCATGCCGGATACAACTCTCTCCCTATATCATCAGGTATTACTACTACGGACGATATGGGAGGCACGACCTCTATCAGCAACCTTCCTGGTGCGGATGCTGGCTTCCCAATCCTGGATACCCAAGTCGATTCGACCGCCAACTGGCAATGGTTACTACCTCCATTTTGGAATTGGCAGGAATTTACGACTGGAGCACCCTCCTTTCTGTAGTTCTCAGGAGACCAGAGGGTGAATTACGAGAGAATTAGTTATAGGCACGGCACAAGGTGAGAGAATCGCTTTATTATGTGAGCATATTTCCATTTTATTTCGAAGAAAAGTCTATACTACAAAGGTTGCATTCGTATGCGACAATGTCCAGTGACATTTCAAAGCCAACTGATAGTTTTGTCGTGATGGCAGTTAGGTACAGGGGGGGAAGTCCATTGTGGCGTTGACTCCTCCACACCCAACTTTGCAACTGGTTTCAAGATTGACAGACGACCCCATGGCCCTGGTTCGTCAAATGTCGTCATGAACTTTGAGTTTTCATCCAGACAATGAGGGAGCGCTTTCTTCCAACCATCAATGACCGGCACCAAAATCTCAGTCACATATTGATCAGGCGTAATCTCCTTGAATCCACATCGCGAGTTAGTGTCCCGAACCACCTCAGGCGGGTACAACCCTATCTCCTTCTCCAGTGCAATAGCATCTGCAGCAACCAGAGAACTAGTGACATGGTATGAGCCTCCTTCTACCGTTCTTCTCTTCAGCGCAATCATCGCACCAAGGGCGCCAATGATACCAGTGGTCATATCGGATACTGGCAGCGGTGGTAGTACGCTCTTTCCGTCTTCATGCCCCTGCGATCGACCCATGACATACGAACTTCCCGACGCAGCATCTCCGATTTGCTGCCAGCCAGGACGCTCGGCGAAGGGGCCGTCTGGCCCGTAGCAGTTCTCATCAACGTAAATAATTCCCTTGTTTCTCCTAGCAGCCAATTCCAGCATGCTATGCAGACCAAGCCCCTTGCGCTCTAGTGACCCAAAACGGAACCCTTGGATGAAAATGTCGACATCTTCGAGGAGCTCATGCAAGCGTTTCATATCTTCCGGCTGAGTGATATCGAGATCAATAGTCCTCTTTCCCGCGTTCAGTGTCAGCTGCAGCACCTGCAATGGAAACTTTTGGTCAGCATCATTCTTCAAACCGAAGAGAAACAACTAGAGACGAAATACACACATTGAGATCCACCAGTCTGCTGCAATTCACCCGGATTACATCCGCTCCGTAGGATGCTAACGAGACTCCGACCTGCGGCCCTGCTATGATACGCACCATCTCCAGCACTTTGACGCCTGCCAGTGGCCGCTTATCAGATAGCCCCTTGACTAAAGGAACCTGAGGGGTAGGCCGAGCGTAGGTTTCCGCTGTCACATTAACCAAGGGATGTCTGGACAGTCGTCTACCCATCTCTGTCTTCCTCCACCCATCTGGAGAGTAGCAGATGCTTCCGCACAATCCATGGCGCAAATTGTGCATTTCAAGTTCATCCGGCGACCACTTGCTAATATGCTGTTGAATATAGTCGTAGTATTCTTGACGCGTGTCAAAGGTCACATCAGGATTGATACCCATCGAGCTGAGGGCTGCATCGGCATCCAGCGAGCCATGAAGCTGGTACCAGACCCGGGGATCTTTGGTCTGATAGATAGCCGTTGTGCGACCTGAAATTCCCTTAAGAAAACCTCGTTGAAAGTCCCGATCGAAGAGACTTTCTAATTTCCCTGACCGTACCACCGCCGACAAATCAGAACCGTTCACGTACGCAGTGAAGACAGAACCGAGCCAGATTGCCGCATGATCAGTGTCAACAGTAACACTATTATCGGCCACTGGCTTCCCGCCTCGAAGCTCCAGAAGCTCATTAGCCACCAGACCGGCCATGGCATGCAGTGCAGCTGCGACGACGGGGGCCTTGATCGGACCTTGAACAATCGGCTCTGACCCACCCTCAAAGTGAACAGTATCCCATGCTGCTTTGTTCTGAGTAAAGCCGGGAGTCTTCGAAGCAAGGAGCTCAAATACTCGTCGAGCATCCTGAGGAACTGGGAGAACTTGCTTGTCAATGAAAGTGCCCGGACCGTATACCTCGGTCCCGGGAATAGTTTCATGGATCGGAGCCATTCTGCCGACGACTATGATGGAAGAACACCGGAAGAGACGTCAATTAAGAAAGAAAAATGCTCGACGGTGAGCTTTCACTGTAACACATGCCACCTTTCACAGAGGGACAACATCATGTTCATATACTCGGTAGGGATGGCTCCGGAGTTGATGTTCCACGGGCCACGGGATTTGCTATCCCGTGGCCCACGGCAACGACGGGGCTATTAGCAACGGATTGTCTCACTGATGATGTCCTGCATCAATCATTTAATTACCCAACGGCTTTTCAGTGGGTCACTTAGATTGATACTTGAGTAGATCGTTTTGTCAAGAGGGGTTTGCAGGTTGCAGACCTCGGCCCATAGTCCACGGCCCACGGAGAAAGTAGTCGGCTTGACAGTTTGGGGAGCATGCAGCTTGGAGAGGGGAACAATGAACCAAGGTCATGGAATTGAAAGAGCTCATGGCATATGATACCTGTAAGTCCCTCTTGAAGTGTGTTGTCAATTTTCTATTCACAGCACTTTGTCCGCAACAACCCTTCAAAGTAAGACTGACTCCCTGTAAGGACACAGCTGGAATATCAGCGGGAGATTGGCACCCCACACCTGTCACTTCATTTACTTGACCTAACTGGAGTCCGAATATCTTGAACATATCCTTTCTCTCATGTCGCGTCCCAGAGGAATCCGCTCTGTTAGGGTGGCCAGCTGCTCCAGCTATCATGGTATGGGGTGCACTTCAAAATGTCCTTCTATGCTCATTGATGTGGGACAGGCGATCCAGCATATGAAATGTACCGGCAGGCAACTCTGGGTGATGTTGATTTTATCACGGGCGACTATCTTGCAGGTAGATTATATTCCGCCCCTGCCTCAGCTTTGTCCACGTGTGGGTCATGATGGGCTAAGGCCGAGTTGTAGAAGTGAACCTTGCCAATGATGCAGAGGTATGGAGGAATGGAAAGCACCCCGGATATGAGGAGACGGCTTGGGAAGGAATCCAGCAGACGATCGATGTGATTGCACACAAGCGCATCCGGGTGATCATCAACGGTGGTGCGTTGGATCCGAAAGCTCTCGCCGTGCAGACTCAAGCTCTGGTAAATGAAACTGGCCTGCCTTTTGTTCGAGATGAGGTGCTGATGCTCAATTTGAATAGGTAGCTGAGAAGAACCTCGACGTTCGTGTCGCGTACTTGGTGATGACTTGTACTCACATGTTGGACCAAACATGCCCACCACAAGAGAAGGAATGTGCCACCTTGATTCCGGAAACCCAGACATAATCCCCTCGGATTTAACGTACGCCTTTTTGAACACCGATAACGGCAAGCCTACTCCGATGGTCTCCGCACATGCATACCTGGGAGCTCGTGGCATTGTGGATGGTCTGCGACGGGGCGCCGACGTTATCATCTGTGGTCGGGTGGCAGATGCTAGCCCTCTCATTGCTGCCGCATGGTACTGGCATACCTGGTCCGAGACGGACTATGACCGGGTTGCTGGGTCCCTTATTGCCGGTCATTTGATCGAATGTTCTGCGTATGTGACTGGAGGGAACTTTTCAGGATTCGATAAACACCCGCTGGAAGACCTTGTTGCTCCAGGATTCCCCATCTCTGAGATTGCTTCAGATGGCACTTGTGTGATCACAAAGCATTCGAACACCCAAGGAATTGTTAACGAAGAGACTGTAGCCTGTCAGTTCTTGTACAAACTTCAAGGAACAACCTATCTCAACAGTGATGTTAGCGCCGATATCTCGGATGTGGCTATCAAAGAGATCGGCAGAGATCGGTAAATATGACCCATATACTAAACTGATTCTGGGGTTTAGCTATGAGCCAACTTTTGACGATGAAAAGTGTATATGCATCCGGAATTCGAGGATCTCCACCACCGTCGACCACCAAGCTTGCGGTTTTCTACCAGGGAGGGTACGAGGCCCAGCTGTTGCTCAATGCCACGGGATATGCCACAGGGAAGAAGTGGGATATGCTCGAAAAGCAAACTCGTCATTTTATTCCGGAGAAAGTGTTGAAGAGCTTGGAGACCCTGGAGTTCCAAAGGTGAGTATATATCGGTCGATATATCAAGCGGAAGCACCTGACACAGGTTAGGATTGGAACACCAGCTTCCGACCCGTCGTTGCAAGAAGAAAGCACCATCTATTTGAGGATATTCGTGGCTTCCCGCTCACAGACGGCTATGCTCGGAGTAGCGAAAGCTATGAAAGACATCTCTCTCAAACACTTGTCTGGTTGGATATACCGCCCGACCGTACGAGAAACTCGACCTGATGCTGATTTTCGCAGGCTTTCATTCGTCGATGGACACTCGCACTGCCATGCCTATTCGATTCCTCGCTTATTATCCAGCACCGATCAAACAGGCCGACATACACGAGACCATCAACTTCATTGACGGGCCCAACGCGATCCACTCCTACGAGACTAGCCACCCTCCTCAATACAAAGAGCCTGGGATGCGGGAAAGCTATGACCCAAGCCATCCCAAAACCCTACAGGGGCCGACGAAAAAGCTCCCCCTGGGAGACATTGCCATTGGACGCTCCGGCGACAAAGGCGAAAACCTTAACTGCGGCATCTTTTCGTCACCAATCTGGATCACTGGCCTTGGTTTCAATTATACATGACCAAAGATCGTATACATCAGCTCATTGGCAAAGACTGACGGGACGAATTCTTCCTCGAACGCGTCGAGTTCCCTAATATCACGACGTTGCACTTTGTCATTTATGGAATTCTTGGCCGTGGCGTCAGCAGCACTAGCCGCCTTGATGGCTTTGGAAAGGGCTTTGTGGATTATATCCGCGACAAACTTGTTGATGTTCCCGTGGGACCTTTGCTATAGGTTTGCTATGACATAACTCGAAGCCCATAAGATGAAAATGGTTATTTCCTTGAAGAATTTAGTCGATCTCACTCTTGAATTCTGGGGGCATTGTCGAGCCACCTCTCGCGGGCCAAAGACAGGGTCTGGCGGAGGGGGTCGTATAGGCCACCTTCCAGAAGGGCCGAGCTCTCCATAAATATTGGCCAACGGACGAGGAAGAAGATGGAAACTCATAGCCGGACCAATTCATGTCACCATGATATCACCGCGGAAATGGTTCCTGCAAAATGGTTCCGCAGAGCAGCCCACCCACCCTTGCTCTTTCCGCCTGGTCTGTGATTTAAACAATACAGCCATGTTAAAATGCTCTACGCGGCCCACATACCTTTGCTGTTTCCGCCTCGTGCGTGATTTATCTATACAACCATGCCAAAATGTCCTACGCGTATCTGCTTCGTTGGCACCCACATCAGCTCCCAACAATTCCCTGCTGTGTAGTGTGTGGATCCATGATTATGCCACACAGCACAGAAGAGGTGTTGAACGAGCGGGTTGACTGGCGCCTAGAGTGCTCTAGGAAGGAGGGCCTTATCATCCCAGCTGCTGAGTTCGAAAGGACTGAGTTTGTCAAGCATCCTTATCTATGGTATTATTTCTTCCGAGTTAGTAAGTGACCATGCCGCTCATCCATCCTAGCTTTCACTACCATACTGCATACTGAGCAGGAAACCTGTCTCCCTAGTTCTACACGATCCCATAACGGAGACCTTTCACATTTCAGGAATTCGCCCCAGCCCCCTGACACCGGAGTATCATTATCATGTTTTAACCGACTTCAAGAAAGCCCGCCTCGTGGGAAACGTTGAGAAAGAAGATCTGGAGAACAGAAAGTTCTCTGTGGCCGAAATATTCCGGCCAGATCGAAAAAGGCAGGAGGGTAAGGTCATTGGGTTTGCAGTTCACGCTCACTGCTGGTTACTGGTAGATCAGGTAATTGGACATAATATCGTCGAGCGAAACCTGCGGGCATTTACAGAATCCGTGAGAAGATTCTGGAGATCACATTATGACGGGCTAGTGAAGAACGCGCTTCCTCCACACAGTTACGACTGCTGCATTGAATATAATTTAAACAATCTGTATCCGACCAAGATCGTCCGCGAGTATAATCCGTGGTGGACCTGGGGGGTGCACATTCAAAGGTCGCACCGCCCAGGGAATCCATTTAGGATTCCTGAAATTCAGCAATTGATTGCCAAAGTAACCAAATGTCCTAGTGGAAAGAAGGGTCTACGGCCAGGGCGTTACTTGCCGCCGATATCCGATCTTCCTCTGGACATCGCATTGAATATTATGGACTATATCTACGCAGATCGGCCTCTTTGCTGGGAGAGGCTGGATGATGTCCGGAATTCCCTGGAGGTTCTTCAGTGGAAACTGCCTGTATCATACTGGGTCCCGCGCTGCAACAGTGATATCTTCTTCGAGGTGGACACGCTGGTTAAAGCGGGCCATGAAGTGGACTGGGAAGCCCTTTGTCTCGGAATGGAGGAGCTAGTTTTAGACAGAGAATGGTGCTGCACCAGTGGGCTCAACTATCGATGTCTTGTTTTGAACATTCTGCGTGACCTTCATGAGGAGTTGGTGCTGAAATTGTGTCACAATGCACACGGATGAACTGCAGCTGCCTTGAGCATGATGGCCTCTTATTCCTCTGCCTTCTTAGCATGTTCTTCCCTTTGGTCTGACATTCCATCGATCGAGAATGGATTCTACTGTGGAATCTTGCTTGTATCACCCTCGTTTATTGGCATGACTGTATGAGTACAGTGCCTTTGTGAGTGCCTTTGACTTCGCCATGGCTTTATGGCTGTTACTATTGTTATAGCACTGTATCTAGATCACTAATTCCATAGACAATTCACGTTGAGATGATTCTCTACATCTGTAATACCTACCTACTTTACGTCCGGATTCACTACACTATTATGAGCTATTCGCCTACTTCTAGTGACGCACTTCTGCAGTGACGCCGTGGTATTCTGGGAATGACGACTAAGCGGCCGGGATCTCCCACTATAAAAGCAGCCCGTTGAGCGGCGTTTCCTTCTCTCCTTCTCTCCTCATCACCTCACCATATCTTGCCTCTCAGGGACCTTCGAGTCAGTGGCAGGGCAGCCAAAAGATTGATTTTATCTATGACATATATATTATATCTCTACTACTCCGGACTGTGCTGTCTCCCCTCTTCACAGCGCTCGGAAGAGAAGTTGGGATCAATCTCTTTCATATACGGGAGTCGGGCCTGTCCTGTCAAGCGTGTTGCTGGCCTCAAGCACAAAAACATTTTACTAACAGGTCATACGGATCCATACCTTATCCTCCAACACAAAGATATCTTCTGACCACAAAACCCAGGCATACGTTGAGCATATCCATCCGAAAACAAAAGTCTCAGCCTTCGTGGCCGGAGGGGAAAACAACCGATTCACAGACGGGGCCTCGGACCGCAGACATGCCATGGTCAACGGCAATAGCCTCTGGCAGTTTATCCGACATTATGCCTGCAAATAGACCGGACCAGGAATGGACATACTTCTGTACAAGCTATCATCCAGCAGAAGTGACCAACTATAAGGTTATTCCGCGTTGAGTTTGGGCTCCAATACCCCGCGGTCACTGTCTGTCCTGAACAAAAAAAAAGGGCCATGTGTTATGACAACAAGCTACTTTCTTTGCCTTCGCAGACAATCTTATAAAAGGATCGACATCTATATGTGATTTTGAAAGGAATGTGTTGCTCGGAGCTTTCCTCGATGAGAGGGAGGGAATGCTACCCAACACACTTCTCAGCGAATCCTCCGCGGCTAGATATTCTGGGACTGCCATCCTTATAAGTTTGGCAACGAATGTCGCAGAGCGAAAGTCAATCGGTGATACAAGACCCCCAATAGCGCAAGACGGGCCTTTAGCGCCCTTGTCTTGCCTAAAAGCACTCGAACAGATCGAAGAGCGGAATTTCGCGAACAATATGCAATCGGACAAAACATGCTTTATACCTAAAGATTTACTCCAAAGATCTATCACAAAACCCCATATCTTTCATTTTTCATGAGCAAAATTTTGGTGCTCAAAAACCCGATTTGCTGAGAAGAAAGCGTCCAATATATGAGGAAAAAGCGTGGTCGATGAAAGCCTTGCATGTGGAAGCAATGACCATGGTCTACTTCTTCGATGGTGCCGTTCCGTTATCCTCAACATATCGGAGCCTTTAATACGCTCCGTATTTACTCTCGCGAGTACACTCAGTTCTATTTCCCACCCTCTCCCACAAAGGGTTACGGTGCTGGGTAGGAAACCTCGTTTGGTCTTCTCGGAAATTGCTGGAAGGTTATTAGGTTTCATGACCGACGGATCTACTCTGTGCTTTCGAAGCCACTATAAAACAGCATGTGTGCGGCCATGATGAGTCTATATGGTTAAGAGTGGCTCGATCAGCATTTACTGGCCTTTTTTTCTCTCATATCAATTACGGAGATGGCAATATCGAACATACAAAGTATGACTATGCACATATCAGTGACACATCATGAATGACAACCGAGGGAAACGGCAGAACAGGACGACGTTCCCCAAGTTGCCATCCCGTCCTTCTGCAAAGCCTTCGTGGTTTGATGCCAGTATCCGAGTTGCCCAAACACAGGCCCACTCTCAGCCGATCAAGTGCTTATCTGCGATGCGCCACAGCGTGGCCATGGCAAAGGGATTATCTTATATGTTTCTTCCTGGCAAGAAGTACATAGTTCCAAGGGTCATTCAGACAGCCCCGGCCTTATTAACACCGAATCATTGGTGGAATTTATTGTCATACGAACTAGTAACTCCATCCGAGATACTATGCTGTCGAAAGGAAGCGGGAGAAATTCTCTCACTGTTGTACCGCAAGCAATCTGTCGCCTACACAATATATGAATAGCATTATGGCAGGATAGCGGTGCATTTAGGGGGTAGGGTGGACTCACAATACCATATGCTACCCTACTTAGCCCTTGAAGCAACTCGTTCGCATGTCACTGCATGGAAGTTCTTTTACCGGCGACCATTAATGTTAACGCCAATTACTTGACCCACCTTTTGGCACTGCGTCTGCCCGAGATTAATCGTGGGAGAATATAATTTTCCCTTTACATCCACTTCAGCGATGGCGGAGGCCCCGCATTGGGTCGTCCATGCAGTTCAGCAGCAGCAGCAGTCCATGACCGGGCCCGAGACGAGAAAGCACCACAGAATCTCCTCTGGCAAATGAACAGCCCGTTGTCGTTGATGACGATTACAACGGCAACTTTCTTCGTGTCAAAAAGAATGAACAGCCAGACCTTAGGACCTTGTTAACACGCTGCAGAATGATCGGCTGGACCTTGACTATAGCCTGCTGCTCATAGCGGCTACAGAGGGGAATAAAAATGAAGAAGCCGGGCACAAGGCAAGAGTGGCCACGGAGCCAGCAATCAGCAACATGATGCTGAACAGTGTAACTTACTTACATATGGTCATACTTTCTGGCCAATGATGAGAATAGTGATGCCGTTGACGCCAGCTATGGTGACATCATCATTGATCTTGACAATGGGGATGAAACAGCTCGCTGGGCCAGCCCCGCCTTGTTACAATATCTCCCCTGAGTATTTGTCATTTTTTTCTGGTTCTTATTTATTGAGAGTGGGTAGATCGTGCTGGTGAAATGGGTGACTACGGATATTATCACAATAATATCAAAATATCCCGTAAGGTTACCAGTTGTCTTAAAATTGGTCAGTTGAACTGGACCACCTCTATTCCAACAAATTTCAATGGTGTCTTGATGATTGATAATTGATACCCCTAACATCTTTACCTCAGACCTGGCAATACTGTAGGAATGGGTTGATTATAAGTTATGCTACAAATGTCACTAGCTTTATGGAATCCATAGCGGCAATGAACTAGTTTCCATAACTAATAGACTAATTAGTTCATTAGTCAATGTTCAAGTAATTCACCTCGAGAAAGTCCAGAGTTGAGGAATATGCTTATAAACAGTAGGTAACTAATCGTAATTTCCCCCAGACTCTGTACCCCATCTAATACAAACCCCATATCATGCAAGCCACCAACAGGCTAATGCACGATCTAGGTATTTATCTCCCGACACAGACTTCCCAGAAAAAAGTTTGCATAAAAAACGCGCTAGTCGGCCCGCGCGGGCCTTTTTCAACCCTCGCGACCGTCGAGCCCTTCTTCTTCAGCCACCACCACCACCACCATCATCATCATGACCAAGCCTCCCATCCGGCCGTTGGAGTCGAATTTGAAGCGGAATCATGAGCTGAAGCCATCCGACCGAGCATATATCCTAGAACTCTACCATGGTGGCCACAAACCAGCCGAGATCGCAAGGCAGTTGAAGCGGCCCTCCTCGACCATCTACTCCACAATCAAAAGGGCTACTTCGCGAGTGAGCCACGCCTCTCAGCCACGATCAGGTCGCCCAAAGGCACTGTCGGAGAGAAATATACGGTCGGTCATTCGGTTGATCAAGCGCGACCCGTCTATTTCCTACGCCCAAGTCATCGATACACTGGGCTTGTCGATCAGCACCCGAACCCTGCACACCATTATACATCAGTCTGGATATGGCAAATGGAAAGGGCCAAAAACGACTGAAGTTGGCCGAGGAGGATGAATCGTCGTCTGATCCCAGGTCAACCCATCACCGAAACAGTAGCCCGGACACCCGGGGTCCCTGACCACTCACTAGTGCTTACTATATACATCTAAGAGTACTGTTAGTTAACAGCTCTTCTCTGAGCTCAGCCCACCCAACATGAATAATATCCAACGTCCCATTATTCCCTCTTCTCCGTCGCAATTAACCAGATCTACGGGGTACTCCTCCGTACCACTATCTCGATCTGCGAACGAGAACCAATAGAACCACACATCCACCTCTTAAAACCAACAACCAAACAACAACCAAACATGTCCCCCTTCTCCCCCCACCCCTACGCCGAAGACCAACCTCCTCACAACGCATGTCCTCCACCGGGGGTTCCAACTCGGTGCCGGAATCGGGTTGGTATATTAGTAGGTGGGACCGCGCGGTCTCTGCTGCAAGACAGACAAACGCCTATCCACGCCCTCTTCGCCGCCCGAATTTTCCAACGCCATCGTCCAGGTGGCCAAGCCCACGGGGATTAGCGCCCTCGTGTGCATGGTCCTATCCAGGGCAGTACTGCCTGTCATGATGTGGGGGAAGGAGGCAGTGGCTGTGGTAGGATCGGAGCTGGAGGATCTTGGAGAGTTCGGGGCAGGTGGCGGTTGATTCGTGGAGTTTGGGGGGTGCGATTGTGGGCGTGGTGGGGATGGGGGTTTGGGGTTTGATTTTGGGGAGGGAGAGGAGAAGAGGCTTTTGGGTTGCGGTGAGGGGGGATTGGAGGGGCTGGGATGGGATGTTTGGGGGGGTTGCTGGGATTGGTGGGAGGAAGTAATGGATCCGACAATACTCGGGGTTCCGAGACAAATGGCCAAGCAAGAAACGGTGGCAAATCCCCGCTTTTTGCAGCCACCCTAGTTATTATTCCAAGACGTTTGTAATGCAAGACGGAGGAATATTGGATATCAGCTTCAAAATCGAAAAACAAGATACTGCCGTCCCCTCCTCAAACGCCCCCTTCCACCCAGGACAAGACGTCCAGCATCCTGAACATCCTGTGCTCGTGTATCCGTATCCTCCCCGATAAACCCATCAAGACCGTCCAGCATTCCCATCTCATCAGATCTAGCAAACCATATTAGCCCCCTACACGATCAGAGTCTCAAATGGGACGAACATACCTTACATGCCCCAGCAAAGGCAACCGATGAGCGGCATCATTCCTCGCCGCAATCTGTGCCCCAATCCTCAACATCGCAAATGAATCAAACGACTCCGTCCACGTGGGATGATATCCCGCATAGACCGTCAACCCCGCCAACCCCAGTACATGTAAGCCAACGATCACCGAAATGAGTGCTATCGCCCAGGGTCGAATGTGGAAGATATCCACGGAAGTTCCCTCGTCCTTGAACAGGATCCTGCTATAGCCTTGGACCGTTGCCGCGCGGCCGAGATTGGCTTTGTTGGCAAAAAAGGCAGCCTGTGTGAAGACGTCGCTGGTTTCAGGGTAGTCGTAGTTGGCGAAAAGCTGGGTGAGCCAGGCGTTGAGATCGTTGAAGGATGTGGTGTTGGAGGGGGAGGCACAGGATCCGAGGGGACTGTAGCGCCAGTTGGTGTTGTCGTGGGTGGTGGTTTCGGAGATGTAGGAAAATGGAACGGGGTCGGAGCATTCGTCGACGGATGTGGAAGTGGTGGTGAGCGTTGGGGTTGAGTTTGCGCGGTTGGCGAAGAAGGTCGATGGGCCGAACAGGGCTATCGTGGCTGTTAGAAGGGGACCCAGGGCTGGGGATGCCACGACAGTTGGGTTGGGATAGTCATATCTGAGTTAGAGGGTCAGACTGGACAGATAAGGAGCAACGGAGAATACACGCACCCAAGAACTTTCGAGTTGTTCAGGTCATGAATGTTCATCCCCTCACTCTGGGAGATCATCACGTTCTCTGGGTCGTGGCTAGAAGAGAGGTTAAACGTCTCAAGTAGTGGACCGGCTTCGTTATTGGTCTGATAATTCGGAAGCATGAAGTAGCCTGCAGTGGTATTTGCACGGATCTGTTGAGTCCAGCTAGTTGTGTGACATCCATTGGTCAAAAAGCTCATTGCAACTGCGTTGAATTGAATGTACGCCTCCTCTTCAATATCCTGGCGGTTACGAGTGAGATTCCATGGGAATTGCTGCGAATCGCCCATCGCACACACTCTGAACTCCATGACTCCCTTTGCTGAGTCTGGAATGTCGTACGCTGAATCTAACTCCGACAAATTGGCGACGCTCGATGTAGAGAAAGATCCCGATCCACCACATGTATCCGGAAAGGCATCTGCTGGCACCCCTTCTGCAACGACAGTTGTATTGAATCGAAAAGCATGATCCTCGACAATCCCCGTCGTAATGGAGTTCGCAGGAACTGAGACAAACGAACTATTGCCGCGAAGAGTATACATATTCGAAACGTAGGTACCTCCCTTTAAATATTGCGTAGCACACGAGTACGCCCAACTCATAGATGTATTGCACTGCGATTCTGGAGTCCGCCATATACTAGGCTGGGAGGCATACTGACTTGCATACTCGATAGCAGCTCTGGTATCACCCACTGTCATGACAGAGTGCACCTGGGATAAGCCCGTGATATCCGCATCTTCGAGAAAAGGAGTTGGTTCGGCAAGTTCCGTTGCCACGAAAATGGTTTCCTGCGACACGAGAAGCTGTTGCAAGGGCCAATTCAAGGTACCTATCATTTACATCAGCCAAATCCCACTAATTGTATATTTCTGCCGTACCCAGTGCGCAAACAGCAAAGGCGTAAAGAAGAAGGGGACTGCCACTCTGTCGCCAGCCCCCGGGAAGAACGAGTCGCATCAGAATGAAAGGATTCCACCACCCGCGATCTGCAAGCGCAAGCATTTTCCTCAAACTAAAAGCCCGGGCAGTATCCGCAGTTTGGGCGTAAACAACGGCTGCGCGGGCGGCGATGAAAGAAGAGAACGGTATGGTTAAAACGGCCAGAATGGATGCAATCATTCTAGCAGCCAGTCTCCAGCGCCTGGTGGCGCTCAGCTGAGATACATCCAACCATATCTTTTCAGCATCTCGTTGTCCACAGGAGAACGTTGTAGTGGCTTCCGAGTTAGTGCCACCCACAAGCGTCTGAGACGCACAGGTTATTTGACTGGCCATCCCCCACGAGGGTGTAGTTGAATGCCAGTCGAGAGGACGGTAGGTAAGGATACAGGTGACTGTCCACGAGAAAATAAGGAGGAAGCTGTATACTGTGACGAGTGAAGCGAGAAGCTTCAAGCTCCGAGGCTGGGGACGAGCAATTTCCTGGGTACATGGCGACCCTTCGTCTGCCTCTGTAGTCTCTATCGGATGTTTTTGTCGCAACAAAGCATCATCAACAGAATCCATGGCTTGATATTTGGGAAGCACGACACGATCGTATTGGAAGGTGGAAGGGATTTTAACTCTCGACCGTAAGATCCAAGATATGGCGGAAACGGTTTTACTGAGAGGGTCTGCCTATGGAGCAGCCTCACGCTGATAGTTTCCAGATGCAGTCAAGTTGTTGCATCTTAAGGTTAGACCAGGTTCTTAAGTACCATTAAAGTCGACATAGCCCTGTGGGGGCTGTTTCAGCGGACGGGAGAAAACTGGGTCTTCCGAATGGAGATGCTCGGATGCTGAGGCTTTAGCGGAGCAGTGCAAGGATCGGCGGAGGGGAAAGGTCGGAAAGGTCGTGGGAGAGATGATTGATAAATGTTTGTCAGATTAGCGAATGACTTCTCGTAAGGAGTAAGGGGTGTTGATCTGCAAGGCTGTACACCTGCATCCGATTTAGCGGCTGTCATTCATTGGTCACACGACCTTGCCCAGGGCTGACTCAAATACCACCTGCCAGTCATACTGCATCGTCTTTCAGTTTGACATTTCTTACTCCAGTGACAGAGGTCAAAGAATACTCTCCCACCGCTCCATAGGCAGGCACCGCCTCCGAGCCCGCCCGATCAATGATATCCGCCTCCACCTGGTGATCAGAATACGAAAATTCATTTTACCCAATATCACAGCGTCATTACTGGCATCCAATCTCAGGTTCTCGAGACACACTCTTCTTCGGGCCGTGTCGCGCGTTGGGGAATTCGAGGATATTCACTGTTGGTAGACATGGGAAAAGCACCTCATTGTCCACTCTGATGTATCGTTCTCCTGGCTGCAAATTATACCACGTGGAGGGGACGCCGTTGGATTCATCCTTGCCCTCCATTTTTGAGTCAAATGATGAGAGTGGAAGCTAGATGGTCATATGAGTAGTGTATTTTGAGTATATTGACATGGGCAACAGGGGAAAATTGGAACGAGCCGATACAAGCTAGGATGTCTTCTCCTGCGTGGGGTAAGTCATTAGTAGGGAATGGGTCATGTGACGCTGCTCTGGTAGTGTTATAAGTCTTTGCGTTGCTGATCTGAGTCTAATCCGTCATATATTTCCTAAGATATAAAAGGTACCCTACAAAATGGGCATTATAGTGTTAATCTATGAACGATTATAAATATTTCAACCAAGCATTAATCTTTCGAGCTGGCGTTTTGCGAGTTATACATAACAAACCAAGACGTATTTCAAATCTCCATATAATCTTGCACCCCACTGCCATTTAATACAGTAATACACCATTTTCAATCGAGAATATAGATATCAATTCAGGTAGGTAATTATCTTGACTTGTTTACAAGCCCACGACTTCCTTTCTGTTTCTACAACTAGATCTCACTGAAGAGACTAACAGAATTTAGGCATAAATTACTCATCCTGATGTTTTGAAGGTGAGATCTGGAAAGTTGTGCGACAAGATATTTTTCCCTGGTGCGGGCAATCCAGGGCAGTGAGAATTAAGGCTGATGCGGGGCGGAAGATGCAACTTGGCTAGACAACAAACTGCAACAAGTATTAGGCAGTTATTTGATCGTCACAAGATCCTTTCAAGTAATGCTTGAATTTTTGACTACTCAAAAACTCCCCAAGCACACCACCTGGAGAACATAGCCACGAGGGAGGCAAAAAGTAAGTGGGTCGGGCGTTGTATAGATCTTCCTAATCAGGACCCCGCTGAAGAGCGATCCTCAGCTCAGCTCAGCTCAGCCCTGCCGTCGGCAACGACTAAATATTGGTGCCTTGCGTCCCACTCCTGTTGCGAAACTTCTATTTTTCTTCCAGGAAAAAAAATTTCATTCTTATTTACCTTCCATCTCACCCTCCTTCGCTTTTCTATATACACCCAAGAAATTGAAAGCCTCGCCAGAATGGAAACGCCTCGGATAGAGCTAGTCCGCCTAACCAAAGAGCACGCGCTCGGCTATTTTTCCGTCTGGTCGGATCCCCACACCACCCGATGGAGCTGCAACGGCCCATGCAAAACCCTCCAGGACGCCGAGGACTGGATGGCAAGTCTGTTACCAGATGAGAATCCCACGGGAGAAAACTACGCCATCCTCATTCGTCGCGACCTCGATCAAGCAACAATCGACAGCTTCAAGCCCGAGACAGAAATCGACGATACTGATTCAGTGTTCAAACCCGGAGGGTTTATCGGATGGATAGGCACCTGGCGATCGGAACCTTTATCCGAGGTGGGGTTCGTCCTGCATAGGTCGACCTGGGGGTTGGGTTTTGCGACTGAAGCTATGAAGGCGTTTACTTCGTTGTTCTGGCGGCTGAAACCGAACGTTGAGTATTTGGCCGCGTTTTCTGATACGGAGAATGTGGCTTCGATCCGTGTGTTGACCAAGTGTGGGTTTCGGTGGGTTGGGGTTGAGTTTGGGGAATACGAGTTGGAGTGGATGGTACCCCAAAAACGTGATACTTCGCAATATCGGCTGTATAGAGGTGTGAATGATGGCATCAACTCCTCAAGGCGATGAGAGCTTATTGGGATAGCTTCATGGCCCTTTTCAGATGCTATTTGCCCCATTTTTCGAAGAAAGGATGGAATGGGACTTGTATTTAAGCAAATAACAACATGATCCGGATTGGGAGAAAATTTTATCAATCGACCAGTGCATTAGATGGTAGCTGTTTAAGGGTTAATTATAGAAATAAAAATAAGTCTGTTATTCGATAATTGGAGGGCCAAACCTGAGCAATCCAGGCGGTTCGAGACTGATTGTTTGAAAATCTGTCCACTGCATTTCCAAGTCCGGGGGTGGAATATCAGGAAGCATCCTTCCCCAGGAATGTTCGGATCTCGAAACATATGTTCTCTGGCGCAAAAGTCTGGGGTACGCTACCGTTGCTGTCTGCTTGATGCTTGCAACTAAGGTTGCTGTGACTACCCGGGCCAACCGGATGTAGTTTCCCTAGCGCAATCTATAAATGAGGTGCAGAAGACGGAATAGAAAGATATCGAAGCGGATATAATCTTCGGCGTCTTGAAGCAACAGCCTTTAATCATGTCAGGCGAAGCTAAAGAATATCGATATAGCCTGATAATGGGCAGAGTTTGGGATCAAAAACGTATGTTCAATATACGCAATGATCCTTTCTGCGGAGATGGTGGTTGTCACAGCCTTGTCAAAATTGATAGCTTCATTCCACCTGAACTTCAATTTCTTCGGGGACGCGAGGCTGCAGATTTATGTGGGAAACGTGGTGAGGCTGTGACGGCTCAAAGCGCCACAATATGCGAATAAGGTCCATCCCTTCCGGCTCTCCCCTCAGGAAAGTGGATCCAGGGCATCATGGTGGATCGTCTGATCAACTGTCAGGCTGTTAGCAATCAGCATGAAGCTCTGTTAGCGAATCTGAACTATACAGGATCTGTGAAAGAACAGCTGGACTACCCCGCTACTGAATTGCTTCCAGACCAACAAACCAAGGATTCACCAGTCCAGTGGCTGAAGCTTCTCCACTCTATATCACAATTTGATTATAATTCTCAGTATGATTATAAATGTCCTGGGGAAACGGTACTGACCAAAGAGACTTCCGCTCACAGCCTTATAACCCCCCTCCCTCCTGCCCCAACAATTCATCTATCCAACACCCATTATTCTCCACATCTATATCTCTTCTCATGATGACCGACACCACCCCGACCCAGGTGGCTGCTCTGGAGGCCTTCCTCCAGGATCATCCCACCATCAAGTTCACCGCGCCCACCTCCCCTGATTACCCCGCAGCCCGCGAAGTATGGAACGGGGGGCGCCTCGACAACCCCCTCGCCGTCGTTCAGCCACAAACCCCGACCGGCGTAAGCACGATCGTCAAGTATGCCAAGGCACACAAAATCCCATTTACCATTCGCGCGGGCGGACACAACCTGGAAGGCCGGTCCATCGTCGAAGGAGCTCTGCTCATCGATTTACGGGCACTGACAGACGTCACGGTATCGAGTGATCGCCAGTCCGCCACCGTGCAAGGTGGAATCCTGCAGAAGGAGTTGGCCACCAAACTCTGGGAAGAGGGCCTAGCCACGCCGATGGGAACTATCCCTGGTGTGGGATACGTCGGTTGGGCCACGTACGGAGGATACGGACCCTTCTCGGCACACTGGGGATTGGGGGTCGATCAGATTATCAGTGCGACGGTCGTCAGCCCTGATGGGGATATCGTTACCGCCGATGAAACTCTCCTCAAGGGGATCCGAGGAGGTGGTGGACTGTTTGGTGTCATTTTAGACCTCACTATTAAAGTGTACCCCCTCAAGAGTGTAAGTTACTGGTCATCCGTGCGCAGGAGGGTAATACTCACCTCTACAGCTTCTTACCGGAGCAATCGTATTCAACTCGCAAGATATCATCAAAACCGTCACCGACTTCAACGCCGCCTACGAAGAGCTCCTCGACACAGGCATCCCCCCAGAACTATATATCCAACAAATCTCATTCAACACCCCACACGGCCGGGTATACGCTGTCCTCTTCGTCTGGAGCAGCGACGACACCGAAGAAGGTCTTCGATGGAGCGAAAAGATCGCCAGTCTGGGACCAGTTATCATGAACAATGTAGCTCCGACCGGTATCCCGGGGTGGCTGACTGCGAACGGTGCTTTTGTGCCTTCAAAGATGTTCGGAATCAGCCGCACGCAGAATATCCGTCGCATCACGCCCGAAGTAGCCAAGGTGCTCGGACAGACGCTCGATCGTATGCCTTCAGACCCGGGTACGATGTTCTCGATTCAGCAACTAAGGGGTGTTTCAGCTGAGGCGAAGAGCAACTCGGTCTTTGCGACGAGGGAACCGCATCTTGTACTCGAGATTCTGGGGTTCACGACGGAGGACGAGGCCAAGGAGGAATCAGAGCAGTGGGCGAAGCGGGCGGCGGAAGAGTTTCAACAGACGGACCCGAATAATACACTCCCAACAGTGTATATATCTTTGTTGAACACAATGGGGGTTGAATCGGCAGACGTGCTCCGTAAGGCGTATGGACCTCATGTCCCGGAGCTTCTGGCGCTGAAGGAGAGGATTGATCCCGAGAATGTTTATAGTTTGGCGGTTCCTCTGCTCAGGTGAACTTGATCAGCTTCAGAGAATGCGTGGTACATACCAAATTGGAATATTGAACAAAATTGCCCCATGATTTTACTTCAGCACATCCACGTGTGTTAGGGACAAGAAGACTGGATCCATATCCGCGGTTGACAAGATTTCCCCGCACCGACCCAGCAAAGACAGCAGCAACGTCATGTCCGCCGCCCTCGGTCCAATACCTGAATTGTAAGCATGTAAGGCAGTTTTCAAGAGTGATGGTCTGGGGATTTATGGCCTTAGAACGTGTATTGTACAGCTTCCGCAACCCCAAACAAAATTTGACTTCATTCACTGCAATACTATGCTTTCGTCTCTCACCCAGAAACCTTTTCTTATTACCGAGGAAGATGTTCGTCCCCGTCAATGACCCTTCTCAAGATAAGTATACATCTTCTACAACCTTACAACCGAGAGCCCCAATCTTCTCCTCTGCAGTTATTCAAGTCCCTGTACCATACTTCCTCTCAGACTCCAACTTCCGTCATCAGCTCAATCGCCCATGGCCCAACCCGAGCCCCCCAGGACGCCTTTCAAGAACTGGCCGAATGATGCAGGCGTATGTACGCCAGCAATAACACAACCCATTCAAATCCACTAACGACTTTCTAGTTCGACGCGACCGTTGAGCAGCACAACCCCCTAGAGCTACCCATAATCGGCACGTTCCCCTCTTGCCTCGCTGGAACACTCTACCGCACCGGGCCGGGAACATACAAAGTTCCAGACAGCAAATTCCAGCTCAGCCACTGGTTCGATGGATTCACTCATCTCCACAGGTTTCAGCTGGTCGCTAAACCTAAGGGGGGGTGCAAGGTGTTCTATACATCGCGCCGACAGGTCGATGCCATGATCGAGGAGGCACGAAAGTTGGGATCACTGAAGGACATCACATTCGGGCAGAAGAGGGATCCGTGTGAGAGTATCTTTCATAAGGTGAAGAGTATCTTTCTCCCGGCAATTAACAAACTGGATCCGGTGCTGGTAAATTCAGGGGTTACAGTTTTTGCGAATGTACGTCAAGACTGACTGGTTCGCTTCCAATTCCAGACCATTGTGTATTGTATAAAAGGCTAATAAGCAGGCTCCCGTCGCCCCTCCTCATCTCAAAGCCACCGAAAGACCAGAATCCGTCCAGTTTCACAATTTAACAACATTGACTGATGCCAACGTCATCAAACACGTACATCCCCATCCTCCCCAGCCACGAAACGAGCTAACTGAACCAGATCAACCCCGACACCCTCGAACCACTCGGAGTCACCCAACAAACCACCCTGCACCCCTCCCTCAAAGGCCCACTTTCATGCGCACACGCCGAGATCGACCCCGAATCTGGCGATCTATACAACTACAATCTCTCCTTCGGAAGAAACTCCACTTACCGGATCTTCCGGACCTGCGCTACAACCAACAAAACCTCCATCTTAGCAACCATCACCGGTCCTGCCGTTAAACCGGCCTACCTGCACTCCTTTTTCCTCAGCCCTGACTACGTGATCCTATGTATCTGGCCCTGCGTTATTGCTGCGGGCGGGATAAGGATCCTGTGGGAACGGAACGTCGTCGACGCGTTGCGATTCGACCCGACTCTGCAAACGAGGTGGTATGTGGTTGATCGGAGGAATCGCAGGGGGGTAGTGGCTACATTTCTCAGCCCGGCATTTTTTAGCTTCCATACTATTAACGCGTGGCAGAAAAGCAATGAAGACGGGACGGTAGATATCATATGCGATATCATTCAGTATCCCACGGATCAACTGATTCGGGGGGTATATTACGAAGCGATCATCTCCACCGGAAAGGATGTGGAAAAGTACTTTGGGAACGAGAATTCCAGGGCTAGTCTTGTTCGCTATCGACTTGCGGGCGTTCCTCGCGAAGGTAGGATGCCGAAGTCCGCTAAGGATGCCGGACTTCCAGGAGCGGAGGCGCTGTGCAGGGTTAATTCGGAATATATAATGGAGCTACCCACCATCAACCCAAGGTTCAAGACCACGAAGACTCGATATGTCTACGCTGTGTTGAATGAGGGAAAGGTAAGTTCCTTCGGCAGTATCGTTACCAGAGCTCGCCGCTAATTTAACAGTCTTCCTTCTTCGACGCCCTCGTGAAAGTTGATCTCGAAACACAAAAGCTTCAAATCTGGAGCACGGAACACCATACACCCGGGGAAGCGATCTTTATTCCCAATGAAACAGACAATGCAGAAGATGCAGGGTTTCTTTTAAGTGTTGTTTTGAATGGCGATACCAGGACAAGCTATCTCTTATGTCTGGATGCGCGAAACCTGATTGAAGTTGGACGTGCTGAGTGTCCTGCGGCGGTTGGGTTTGGGTTTCATGGGTCGCATTATCCGCCCCCTCGTAAAGATGCGTGATGATATACTTAATATCTAGGAGACTGTGATCCATACAGGTTCAATTTGAAATTGACTTCAGTAATTTGCTGGACTTATTCTATGAATATACTGCTACTGCTAGGAGAGAATAGTGATATATAATCACGAATGGCGGATTTTAAGACATACCCTTTTCTCCACCCCTTACACGCTCACGAGGCCCCAGCTAGCCAACATACTAGTGCACTTCCACCGGGCGAAAATGCGACGGATATAATGTGCAGAGACTCCCACGCCGACCGCCAGCCGAGAGGGCGATAGAGCTGTCTCCCAGCATGGCACGGCGCTTTCGATGGAAGCTGACATCCGATGAGCACCGGTGCATCTCGTTCTTCGAACGCCGAGTCAGACCGTCTATTGTCGCGTATCTCGACTGTCTGCTGTGGCAGCGACTTGTCCTCCAAATCAGCCAGGTCGATCCCGCTGCTTTCCATGCGCTTGTTGCGTTCAGCGCGATGTATGCCGACTACGAAACTCGAGAGTCGAGGCCGTTTCGTCCCGAAAAGGAGGTTGATAGTACCTGGAACGCGTTCGCTCTCGAGTAGTTGCCTTCATCACACGATGCTCCTTAACCGCCCCTTGTTGAAACTACGACAACAGCACCATCGTCTTCGCAGGTCCCATCCGTCATTCGGTCGACTTCTACGTCTCCAGCACCCTGTGCCAGCTCTCAATCGGGGTGGAAGGTGGAAGCAGGACTGGGAACTGTGACGGGATGGGGAGCAAGGCAGAACAAAAGATAGAGGGGGACGAAGGAGGCGGGGCCGGCGGGGGAGGGGGGGGTTTATACTCCGGGGCCGCCCACGTGCCAGTGGCCTCCCGGCGGGCTCAGTCTGCCCCCCAGCGGGGAAATTGACCGGCATCACAATTCCTGCGAAGGAAGCAACTGGCCCGTGGTGCTCGGCCCGCAGTCTGAGACGTTTCGCCGCCAGCGCGCGGGGGCACCCACCACCCACCACCGCTGACTGCCAGGACTCTCTCCCCAGCATTCTTGCCGACATGTTCGACATCGAGGAACGCGGGGCTGCCGTCGCCCCCGCCGTCACAATCAGGACCTATACGAACCTGCTTGTCCATACTTTTGTCACCAGCTCTCTCGTCTCCCGCTGCGCCATCTGGTCCAACGCCATTGCCATGGACACAATCTCCCTATTGTCGAGACCTCCTACAAAGCCCTTAGCGAAGTGTTCCTCCTTCTACCTTAGTGGACTTTTATCCATTCTCTCTGCTTGCGTTGAAAGGAACAAAGGAACATACAAATTCAACATCCAGAAACGGGCGAAGAAGCGGCGCGAAGGCTGACGCTCCGCGACAAACCGTGCCAGAGCCCTTCCTTCCGACCACGCCAGTTACACGCGACACAATGCTCCAGTACCTCTTCCGCCCGCCCCAATTACTCTTCTCGCGCCTGTTATCCTCGTCACCTCTCACGACATGACTCTCACTTACGGATTCGATGAAAGGCCCGGCGGCATCACTCCTCGGTCAAGGTAAGCTCCCCTGCCCCCATGCCCCCAGCTAACATATTCATCAATTGGCAGCAGAATCGATCTAATGAGCTCCAGTCCAATCTGCGCTCGTTACGTCAAACACCCCCGCTCCATTGAAGTCATATCTAAACCCGACACCGTCTCCCACTGATGATCTTCGGCACCGCCATGCTCCCCGGTGGGCCTCTCCCAATACAGCCAGTCGCCGATGAACACATCCCCTCGATCATGCCCCTCATTGGCACCGGAATTGTGGACCTCAGCATACTTCTCACCGTGCTTCCTACAGAGAACTGCCTGATCGATAATTTCGCAGACCAGGGGACCGCCGCGTCCACTTTCTCCGCCAATGAAACCCTGTCTGGCGCGCCGTTCCCGCGGGCGGGGTCGCTGGATGACATTTTGGGGATGGGGAGGGGGAAACTGCTCCTGGCGCTTGTGGCGTTGGCGCTTTTGCCGCCTTTGATGGTGTGGTTGAGGGGGGAGGGGTGGACGGGACGGTATGGATAGGGGTATTTGACGAGAGGGAGGGACGGAGGGAGGGGACGGGGGTTATTCTTGTCCTTCTGCTTTCTCTCCTTCTCCTGCTATTTCTTCTTAATGGGTATTCTTGATATGTGCAACGTATAACCCTCGCTATCTTGGTATGACGACTGTCAGGATAATGGTGAGAGAAACAATGTGGTGTAACTTCAGTATATCCCTCTGTTCGACCAAACATTGAAAGTTAAACATAGAAACCCAATCACAAAAAGCGGGGAAGACATGGGATAAACTCAATCGGCATAAATAGCCTGTCATTGTAATTAACTTCTTGAGATTCCCGGACCCTGGATGGATCAGATTAAAATGCAGGGGGGTCGCATCCACCACGTCATGATGACTTCGGGAGTCGCCATAACTGTGACTGTAACCCTATCCTAAAGTGTACATAAAACAACACCCTAGTCTTGATTTCGATTCTTCTTCGTTGGAATGTTTAAAATTTCTTCAATTACAATCCCATACTACAGTCTAGCTTCATCGCCTACACTGTATCATCTATCTCCCATAATATATATCCTACGATCAATCCAAGCCACCACCATGTCCTCAACTGCCCCCCGGACCATCATCTCCACCCCCCAAACCCCGGAAGAAGAGGCAATTCCCCCATATATCCCCCAATATTCCATCCCCAACTAACCCCCCCTCTCCCTCCTTCAAACCCAGAAAAACATCACTCTCGCAAAAGACTACATGTCCATCGCCTACTCCCCGACCCGCAACACCGGCGCCCCTCCGTCACCCACCTCTGCCACCCCACCAGCACCTTCTGGAGCCCCTCCACTTTCCCCGGCTGTTCCACGCCCATGGACTACGCAGAATCCCACGCGACCGTGATGAAATCCGTCTCCGACCTGCACATCGTGCGCTATGACCAGGCGTGGGCGAAAGACGGCCACGTGCTGCTGCGATATACGGCCGAGGGTTCGCACTGTGGGGAGCCGTATAAGGGGATTCAGAAGAGTGAGCCGCCGAAGCGGGCGCGGTGGAGTGCGGCGGCGATTTTCGAGGTCGAGGGGGGGAAGATTAGGAGTTTTGTGAAGGATTGGGATCAGAAGGTTATGCAGGTATGGGTTTCGTTTCCTTTTGGTTTGGAGGGGGAAGAGAGGTGGGGATGGTTGGCTAATGTGTTTGTTTGTTTGTTTGTTTGTAGATTCAACTCGGATGGGCGCCGGTCACGGAGTCGGAGGATCCGAGATGGAATCGGGAGGTCTTAGCCGATCCGGAGAGGGGGAGAAAGGTGGAGGGGTAAATTATCGCATTTGGATGGCTGCGTGGCGTGCTAAAGAGTGGTGAGGTTCAGCTACGACATAATTGTCTTGTGTGTGTTCTGTGTTTATATCTCTGCAGGCGGATCTTATAAGTAATGTGTATCTGATGTTACTACGCTGATTGTTATTTTACCTGCTTTTCTTTTGGTTGATGTCTTTTTTATAGACTTATAATGTGATTGACCAATTATTGAAGAGTGTTCCTCGAAATTACGCAGGCTAAATGATGGCTTATATGTCATCTTACTGTGTTTTTGCCCGGCGTTTGCTGCAGCATTATTTGTTGCATAAAAGATTAATTTAGATATGGTTAGTGTGGCACGAAACTCTGCTCCGTAGGGTAATAGACTGTAAACTCATCAAATAAATTCTCCTTTGAAAAATGTGTCACTACCCCAATATGCACCAGCACGATGCATCTCTGACAGGACTAACGGTTCTGGATTATCTCTGCGTCATGCCCTCCAGTTGTCGAGTACACGGTAAGCAATCATTGGATCTTATGTTTGCAGGCGAGGTTGGGAAGCTGGCTGTGAGAGTGGCAAGATCGTCAATAGTCATGGGACAGACATACCCTTTTATCTGATTGCTATCAAGATGGTGCAGGTGTACCCTCTTGGCCTGTGCAGCTGAAACTTGATATCTTCGGGTGGGGCCGTGCGGTGGTGGAGATTGATCTGTCTCTATTTGATTGGCTCAGATACAACGCAAGAATTGGCTCATACACCCCATTCTTTGGGAGTCCATCATCGATAAGGTGACAGACAACATGACCGCATCCACATGTCTCGACTCATGGGGGGTGAGAAATGAAATAACTGGCCGGACCAACACGCTGTGTATCAAGATTGTCGTCCTGTGAGAACTAAGCGAGCGTGAAGCTCCAACCAACCTCAGGCCACGGTGGGCCCAGCCACACTCTATTTTGGCACGCGCTAGCCCCCATCAGGCAGGTCCGGCACTGGCGGTGAGGGAAGGCAAGATATGACATGACGTACCCTGGGTCCCCCCCCGGCCCCCTTCTCTTCCTCGAACAACTCTCAAAAACCCGTCCCTACCACGGTACCACCGCCATTCCCCCTCCCCCCAACCCCTATCCCTATACAGGGAGAAGAACCACCCACCATGTTCTTCAACACCTCCCGCTTCTCCCGGCGAGACCTGAAGCCATACATCGCCGAATTTCTCGGAACCGCTCTTCTGATCGTCATCGGCGACGGCGTGGTCGCACAATGCCTCCTCTCCGACTACCAATATGGCACCTGGCTCTCCATTAATGTCGCATGGGCCTCCGCTGTCTGCATCTCGGGCTATCTCTCCGACCCCAGCCCGACCATCAACCCGGCCGTGACCATCTGTCTGGCCCTCGTCCGGCCCACCCCGGGACAATGGAGAAAGCTTCCCGGAAAGCTCCTCGCTCAGTTCCTGGGCGGCTTTGTCGGCGCCGCCATCGTGTACATCAACTACCGCTCGGCCATCGAGGACTGGGACCCTGAGTACACGATCCCTGGTGGTTCGATCCTCAGTCCTCGCGGCCATCACTCGGCCGGTATCTTCTCGACCTATCCCGCCGCGTTCTTCAACTCCAACTGGGAGGCCGGATTCTCGGAACTCCTCGCTTCCGCGGTCCTCATGTTCGGCTCCCTCAGCATCTCCGATCCCGCCAACGCGTCCAGATTCCACTCCCCGCAGCTGTCGGTCTTCTTGCTTCTTCTCGCCATCGGAGCGGCCTTGGGATGGCAGACCGGTTATGTAAGACACCCCTCACACTCAGTCCCATCTTCTCACCCAGCAAGCTGACAATTATACTGGTTAGGCTATCAACCCAGCCCGAGACTTCGGGCCCAGACTTTTCTCCGCCATCGTCTATGGAAAAGAAGTCTTCACCGCCGCGAACTACTACTTCGTGGTCCCCATCTTCGCACCCATTCTGGGCTGCATTCTCGGCGCCACTGTCTACGATTCAATGCTCTACGAGGGGGACGGATCCCGTATCACGGACGCCCTTGACAAGGCTGAGGATCGCGACGGTGGTCTTCGACTGGACTAGTTTGGCTTGCATGTCTCGTTACCCATATAGGTAGCGGGGTATCAAGTCTCAGACTGCCCCCGCCCACTTCAGGCAGATAGGAGTTGTCTGCGTCGTTTCCGAACCTTTCTACGATCATCCATCCCCCTTTGGCCATTTAACACCCTATCTTGATTTCCTGTTTCTAGCTAGATAGTCACATAGAACCTTCGCTTCCCAGCTCACAATCATCACTGTAATAAAGACGATAGAGTTGGGAGGCTCGCAATCATCACTATAACAAACACGACAGAGTAATAGGACTGGATATTTAGAAAGCGGTAGTAGCTAATTTAAGGTACCAAATACATCAAGAGTAGTCTCGCGTATCACCGAAAAGGATGCATGGAATGACACCATACTTGCTCGTTGGGAGCTGGTGGAAATTCCCGAGTCAGAAGAGTAGTGGAAGCCCGAGTACGTTTCCAAGGACACTTCTATTTGGAAGTTCTAGAGGTCGGTTGAAGGTGCGGAAAGATCATGTACTTTCAAGAATGGCATCTACTGGAATTTTTCTATACCATGTGAAGATAAGGGTTGGTCATAACTTTCAAACATATCCAGGCGTATTATGAGGGGGTGTGCACCACCTAGACAATCGCGACAACCGCCTCAAAAGGTCGTAACTCCCACTTGCTCCCCGAGAACCTCTCTTTGACGCTCTCGGCACTGTCATACGTGTTGAGCAACACCTCCTTCGCCCGCTTCACGCCATTGCTGGCAGAATCCCACTCCAGGGTCTTCTCGGTCCAGTTCGCCAACACCAGCGCCTTCTGGTCCTCGTACTGGCGCGTATACGCGAAGATCTCCTGGCTATCACGGTCCACAAGCTCGTAGTTTCCGTAGACGAAGATGTCGAGATACTTCTTACGGAGGCCGAGGACGGAGGCCCAGTAGTTGTAGATCGACTTTGGGTCCTTCACTTGTGCTTCGGCGTTGAATCGCACGTAGTCCGGGTTGACAGACATCCAGGGCTTCGCGTTGGGGCCGGTGAAGCCGGCGTTGGGCGCGCTAGACCACTGCACGGGCGTGCGGCCGTTGTCTCGGGACTTCTTCTGGTATTCTCGGCGGGCGGACTGGTGGGCTTCCTTGTCGTCGGGTCGGTGTTTGAGGAGTCTGTTGCAGGGATTAGTATGTGCGCTTGAATCGGAGAGAGGATACGAACCGGTGCCAATGGTTGAGGCAGTCGAGGTCCTTGTACTCGTCCATGTCCCACTCGATCGGAACGTTCCTCGTTCCAATCTCCTGGCCTTGGTAGACGAAAGGCGTGCCGGACTTCAAGGCCAAGATGGTCGCTAGCATCTTTCCAGCCTCTGTGCGGTACTTCTCGCTGGCTTGTGCGTAGCGATCGATGGATCGGGGCTGGTCGTGGTTCTCGAAGTAGAGGGCGTTCCAGCCATCGTTGTCATACATGAATGTCTGCCATCGCTCAAAGAAGGCCTTCAGGTCGGTGAGCTTCCAGCTCCCCGGCTCGAACTTGTCGTATGTGCCGTGGTCGATGTCCACGTGCTCGAAGTTGAAGATCATGTTGAGCTCGTTCCGGTCGAACTGCACGGCGCGGAGGACCTCTTCGGTGTCTTTGACGAAGGGCATCTCCCCCACACTGAAGGCGTCGTACTCTTTCAGGATCTTGCCGAGGTCCTGGAAGTATTCGTGCAGTCGCGGTCCGTTGGCGTAGTATTTGTCTCCCCACTGCCACGGCGTCCGGGGGTCCTTGACAGGCGCATCTGGGAATCGCTGATCTTTGCTGACGAAGTTAATCACGTCCATGCGGAATCCATCGGCGCCCTTGTCGAGCCAGAAACGCATGATCTCATGGACTGCCTTGCGCACGGGCGGGTGCTCCCAGTTAAGGTCGGGCTGTTCCGTGGCATACAGGTGCAGGTAGTATTCCTGCGTGTGCTCGTCCCATTCCCACGCGCTTCCTGCGAGTGACTTTAGCGACCGTTTCATAAACAGTTCCCATCATGGGGGTACAGTCCGTACCCTGAAAATGCGACACCCAGTTGTTGGGCGGCTGCCGGTTGCCCTGCTCGTCATACTTGGCCGGCTTCCAGACATACCAGTTCCGGTACTCGTTATCCTTCGAGCTGCGCGACTGCTTGAACCACTCATTCTGATCACTTGTGTGGTTGACCACCAGGTCCATGAGAAGCTTCATTCCGCGCTCATGACACCCCTCGATCAGCTTCTCGACATCCGCGACCGTGCCGTACTCATCCGCGATGCTATAGTAATCGGCGATATCATACCCCATATCGACCTGGGGCGATTTGTACGACGGACACAGCCAGACAATATCGACTCCCAGGTTCTTGATGTAGTCTAGCTTGGAGATAATTCCCGGAATGTCACCGATGCCGTCATCGTTGGAGTCCTTGTACGAGGCGGGCCAGATCTGATAGACGGAGGATTCCTTCCACCAGGCGCGGTGGATCTGTGAGGCGGGCTTGACCATGGTGGGAGATTTCGGGGGGGGGGGGGGGAGAAATTAGGGGACTGTCGGTAGGGAGAAGAGAGGTGAAGGAGAAGTGAGAGTGAGTTGGGAGGTTAGCAGGCGAGGGGAAGGACAAGCTGGCCGTTCTGCCCCTCGATGGAACCGCGGGGCAGTCGGAGCTCCCTCATTCATCCATCCTCTCTCGTGCGGAGAAATTCTCGGTGGGTTCGCTGCCCACTTGTCAGTCGCTGTCTGCCACTCACGCTCCGCGATCAGCTTCGAGCTTTTCAGCGCACTCCGATCTTATCCGCTTCTGGTCCCTGAGAGGTTTCGGTAGCTCGTTGCCAGATGAGGATGCTAACTAGTATACCTACCGGTCAGTGCGGGCGCCGCCCGCCCTTCCACCCCCGCGAGAGTCGGCCGATCGAGGTATGCAGGTTTGGAAAGAGACAATTATATCGAAACTGACAGTGAGGGTTGACAAAAATGCTCAAGCGGTATAAGTCGACGGAAAAGGACAATGTCTCAAAATAACAACACCCTATATTCCCCAAATAGGTGGTGTATCACTGACACGTGACATCCCAGCCCTGCCTACAACCATCGATCGGAATTAATCTGCGCATCCCGAATCAACTGTTGACATATAAAAGCTTCCATGTTCATATGTTCTCATTCAAGCAGTGGTGATTTCGTAGCAGCGTAAGTATAGATGTGCCCACTCGCAGGTGTCAGAATGCGGTCAAATACGGTAGTCGAAGCCTGGTCTCACGGATAAATAACAGGACAAGGCGCTCTCGCAGAATCCTGAGTTTCCTCGACCTTCATTCTCGTCCCATCTACGCTATCATCATCTACTAACAGTGATTCACAATGTGTATGTCAGGTTTTTTTTTTTTTGGTGCATTATGGATCGGGAAGGAGACGTCGTTCGAGGAATTTTCAATCTGGAAGATAAATCGAACAGACGAACGAAGAATTCTAATTGAGCATCTATGACCGGCAGACGTAAGGTGGTTTCTTGCTCTCTTCCAGTAAAACCGAGTTTGTTTGCAAGAATACCAAGAGTCCCAAGCAGGAAGCGTTCCTTGCGGTCTATAAGTGAGCATCCCACCTCGAAATAAAACCCCCCTCCTTGAAAATAGCCACATCTCCTACGCCGAACAGCTTCGCCACCTTTTTGTCCAACACGCGGGAAAGAAGAAACTCGCAATCTACACCGCTGAAGACGTGGAAATGCGAACATTGGCAACGTGGCGATCCAAATGACAGAATTCAATGCAGCAGCATGTTATCGACCCCGAACTGCAACCCTGAGCTCTACATTCATTTAGCACTACAACCAAGACAGACCAGGGAGTTGCCTCTGCGCTGATGATGGGCGCAATGCAGAACTGTGTCGGGTATGACTTCGCCATGAAATGCGACATCCCGTCCGTGACGCCGTTGGGCGAACGGACGACTGAACCGCTCTGCTCAAGAAGATCGACACGATAGCGGTGTTGGGTGGAGAACCTGCCGATTTCGCCAATCTGCTCCCTCCGGTTCTTCGCAGATGTGTTGCTTTGTTTGACGGGCTGGATGTGGATACCATACGCTTCTGGGGACGTTGTATCAGCCGCGATGTTGGGAGTGGGTATGAGACGATCTCGGGCTGGGTTGGCGGCGTTCTGCTTCTGGGATGAAGAGGGCAAGTGTATCCCTAGAGGTGGCATGAGTTTTGAACAGGGTGAGGTTGGTTATAGACCTATATTGATGGGTGATTTTTGGGGGTGATCTTGAGGGGGATGCGATGGTCTGATGGATGTAGATGACTCACAAGAGTATGAGCTTGATGGTATAATAGACTTCAGTTTCATTTCCGCTGGATTTGCGACGGTCCCGGTGCCACTTACTGATGAGCGCAGAATAGAACATAAGACCAATGTGTTGGCGGGGATGGTGGGGTTTCAGGTTTTGCGTGATTTGTGTGAGCAGCAGCGTGGGATGGACTGTAACCGTTAACTATCTGGGTGGTGGACGTACGAAAGGTCTGGGGAATAAGCAAAATATGCGATATCCGCATCCGTTCGAAACTGGGAGCATGAATTTGGATATTACTGGAGCGTCGGTAGACTTCTAGTCCAGCTAGAGTGTTGTTTCAATTGCGTGCTGAGTTGGTTGGTTCGTGGCTTGGTGTTGGTTCGCTGGCTGGCTGGTTGCTTGCATTGTGATCTGCGGTATTCTTTAATCCCTCGAGGGTGGATCCGCTTCAGCCACAGCCTAGATCCGGGTCGCTAGATGATACATGATACTCCGAATTGAATGCGCCTTTATAACCCATGGTGGCTATGCCATTCCAGATCCGAGTACTTTACTCGGAACCTACACGGCGTTACTTGATAGGACTGAAATCTGACCATGCGTCCTACCTCTACTGGCGCATACTATACTTCAAAATTATTCATCGTAGTTTCCTCACAACAGGATTTACCAGAGAAGACCCACCTTCAGCCAAATCTCGCCGTGGTCCCTTGATATAATTCTGTGCCAACGTATGCTGGTTTCTGTGTAGTCACACGATGACCATTCACCACCACGCATGTTTCAACATCCTTTCTTTCAAGCTCGGACTGTTCCTATCCAGTAGGCCACTTCATCATCTCCTCCATCATCACCTTTCCTTGTCTTGGCTGATCCGCCATCATCGTATCCCTCCATACCTTCTCCACCCACGCCGTCTTCTCCATTACTAGTCTTCCATACAACTTCCGCAATGACAACATCTTTCAAAATCAAAAGCCCGACACCAACTGTCAAGGGTCTCCCAGCCCTGTCGATCGTATATCGGCCAGCTGCAGAAGGAAACCCGACGGCTCCGGAGATAACCGAGACGACCACCCACCATAAGCCGGCGTCAGACCGTCTTCATATTAACGTGGTCGACAATTACAACAACAATTTTAGCTTTAAGATCAAAGCAAACACCTCGATGAAACGCGTTATGAGTGGATACTGTGAGCACGCGGGACGGGGCCTGCAAACTACCCGTTTCCTGTATGATGGCGCTCGGATCAGACCTGAGGATACTCCGGCTTCGGTATGTAGTATGGCCCCTTCGATTATAATTTCTTTCTCTCTCATTATAGTCGAGAATGCTGATGTGTGTTCTTAATTTGTATATAGCTTGGAATGCAGGATCGGGATACTGTTGAGGTCCACACGGAACAAATTGGCGGATAGCAAGCAAGCCTTGTATAACTACTGGTCATGCGGGCCAACCCTGGGAATTCTCACGCGGGCAGTTCTTCTTTGCCGTAGTGGTCTGACTGACAAATGACGAATGTTCTACCGGGCTACTCGGTTAGGAGCTTTGATATTTTAAATATGTTACAGAACATCTACAGTACAGCCTTGTTTCTTGACATGCCACCTGGCTTGCATACAGACGCGGTCCAATCACAGACCATTAGTATACCAGACCATGCATAGAGGGATGTCTTTGAGATTCTCTTCAAATATTTGGTAAATAGCAAGTCTTCTGAATTTAACAATTTCCCAACTGTAAGAACATTGGCTCTGTAAATAGCCTCTATGTGTAACCAAGCTTCCAACAATTATGCGCGAAGCCATAGTTGTGTAGACAAATTCAGGTGAAACCTTGGACCACAGGCTTCTTTACTTCCGACAGGATGTGCTTCTAGCGTGAACACACTGTTCGAATCCTGCAAGGCTTTGGATGAAAGTGAGTATATTAACTGATCAACAAACATATACTTTTCACCACAAAACTCCGCGTCCGCCTGATTTCTCCATCTACATCCTAAGTTATCCTTTCTTCTCGCCTCACCCTAATTCTCACCCTGCCGTACCCTGATAGTCCTTTCATCTTGGCATCCTCATCCCAGATGCAGCTCTCCATCGTCCTCCTCTTTTCCATCAGCCTGGTGTCAGCGGTCGCCGTCCCTCAGGGCGCGGACGCCGCCACCGGCACCGCCACCGACGCGTCTGAGGTTTCCTACAATTCCGAGCGTATGAATCCTATCATCCTACTTACTTTCCCCATGAATCCATCTATCACTATAAGTATCTGATACGCAACCCTGCAGACGATCCCATCTGCCACAGAAACTCCGACTGCGGCACCGGATGCTGCTACAACGGCATCTGTCTCGCTTACTGCTTCCACGAACAGGGTCCTATCGAGGACCAAAAATGCCACGGAACCAAGGCGAAGTGTTCTCATCACCCCGGTGCAGTCCGAGATACTGTTCCCGAATCCCGCTTCCCTTGATGACGGCGAGATCGAACCGTCTGTCCCGGAACACTCCGTCCCCATCCCCATTCCCGAAAGTGAGGAAACTCGCTGCATCAGAAATAAATCGAAGTGCTTTCGTCATGGCAGTGGCGGTGAGGAGAGGTGTATGTATTCATTTATATATTCATTTATATATTCATATTCATATTCATATTCATATCCATCCATTTACTCCGTGTTTTTCGCGATTACCTTGATGATAATCCGACAATCTGACAATCATAATTGCTTTAGAACCCCAGGGCAATGATCTCGTTCTCGTTCTTTTCGCAAGTCCCATTGCGGTAACTATACACACTAGGTTCCTGGTTGCTTTGTACTTTACTCCTGCTGGGTCCTTCTGGCGTCGGCTTTGCGAATGGATTATTTATGATCATCCAGTTGGTGGTTGCGGAGGATATTGTTTGTGTGTGCGCTGGTCGGCCGGCCCAGTTGGCGTTCTTAACTGGTTTCGGGAGTGCTGCAGGAGACAGACAGACAGCCGTTGTGGATTGTTTCCTGGCTGGGTTGGCTGGCTGGCTGTGCTTTTCTCGGGTTCGGGTTAGTGAAATCATACAATCATGAAATTGTATGTTGGTTTTAGAGAGTCCATCCTTCTGCTTCTTGATCTGTCTCCTTTTTTAATTCTTGAGGTCGGCTCATAGTACTCTGTAACCACCCTGTGAACAGCAGCACATTGTAAATCATTCATTAGCTGAATCATTTCAACCATGAAATCCTCTCTCTAAATAAATTCACTGCCTTTGTCATTCCATCTATCTTGAAAGCCTACATCACTACAATCCCAACCCCACAGCAAACCCCGCCGCTACCATCACCCACACTCCCTCCCCCACTCCTCTCCATCCTCTCCATCCTCTCCATCCTCTCCATCCTCTCCATCCTCTCCATCCTCTCCATCCTCTCCATCCTCTTCGTCCTCACCAACGGCTCAGGGTCATAATATGCGGGAGTGGAACTATTCCTCGTCCCATCCCAACAAAACCTCTCAAAGCACCGCACACAAACCCCCGGCACGGGCGTCCCCGTCCTCTCCAACGACCGACTCAACACCGCACACCCCACACAAGCAGGCCAATCCTCCGACAACGGGCCCCGTGACAGATTCCCCATCGTGACAACCTCGTACCCGTTCGTGATCATGGCGTCTCTCTCCGAAATCGCGTATTTCATCTGGAACGTGGACGTGTTCGAGTACGTCGAGTAGGGGTAGTTGGGGAGGTAGACGATCAAGGGCGCAGGCCCGGTGGTGATGTTGGAGCTGTTGCAGCCAAAGAAGGTGGGGCGGGAGTTGAGGCCGAGATTCAGGAAGGTGTTTTTGTCGGGGATGCTGGGGAAGGGGGTCCTCTTGGCGATGCCCGAGGCGTTGAGGCTGCGTTCGTAGGTGGCGATGAGGGGGCTGCCGTTCGGCCAGTTGTTGGGGGTGCTGGCGGAGGAGTCGACGGCGAAGATGACGTCGATTTTGCGGAGGGGTTGGATGAGGGGGTGTAGGGGCAGGTTTTGGTTGTCTTCGCCGCCGTCGACGATATTCAGGTCGGGGGTTTCGGCGTACGCGGCGGTGGCGTTGCGGTAGGCGTGGAAGGGGTTGGGTGAGTAGATGGCGATGTCACTGTTGTGGGCGCCGAGGCATTCGAGGATCTCCGCCAGGATCGTTTTAAGAGTCGGGGGTAGGGAGGTCCCGTTGAGTTGGAGGATGAATTGGTTGAAGAGGCTGGAAGATGTCCCCATTACGAAGCCGGCGTTGTCGAAGCCGCGCATGCAGGCTTGGTTGAGTGGGATGGAGCCGTCGGAGAAGTAGGAGCCGAGGTATTCGAGCGGTGCGAAGCCGTAGATCGAGGGATCGAAGCTGCCGAACTCCCAGGGGTTGAATTCGTAGACGGTTGAGTTGCTCCCGACGAGGGTTTCGCCGGGGTTGCGGCCGTCGGCGACGAGCAGAGGGAGCGGCATCTTTCCGTCCTGGAAGTCGGAGGTCCGCGCGATGGACGACCAGGTGTAGCTGGGCCCGCCTTGGGTCGCGTTGACGAGTTGGTATGAGAGCGCGCGGCCCCAGTAGTCAGTCAGGGAGATGTTGAAGCCGGCGGCTTTCTTGCCTGCCACGGCCTTGGCCAGATCGCGGTAGTATTGGACGGTGTCCCAGCTTTGGAGTCCCTCGAGCTTGGGGCCCTTCATGATGGAGTGCTGAAACTGCCAGACCTGGCCTTCTCGGTAGGTTTGGAGGTCCGAGATGGTGGTGAAGTTGTTCAGGTAGATGGATCCCACGAGCCAGCCTCCGCCTGAGAGACCGGAGAGGTAGGTGGCTGACTGCAGCAGACCACCCAGATGGCCGGGCTGGTTCGCGTCCTTGGTGCGACTGTCGAATGCTTTGAGGGCACCTCCGCCGGTTGTCAACGATCTGTAGCCACCTCCCGACACCGCGATGCCAACATTGGGTATGTTGGAGATGTTGGATGCGTGGTCGGTGAGGTAGGACACCGCGTCGAAGGCGCCCATGTCGATATGGCGGAAGAAGTCTTTCATGGACGGGATAGTCTGTTGGCGACGTACTTCAAGCCATGCTCTTTCGTTCGGGGATAGGGATGAGGCGCTTCGTATCGTGGGTCTGCTCGCGGGACAGGTGACGCTGGTGGGAGTATACCCTTGAGGGGCATTGGGAAGGGCTCGTGAGATCCTCGCAGGGGTGAAATCGTACGTAGGGACAGCGACTCGTAGCAGCAGAGCATCATCAGCAGGTATGGCTACTCAGGAAGGGACTGGACATACCCGAGACAAATCCCAGACTCAGGACAGCCACCGGAACAACAACTGTGACCAGCTTCATGGCTGCGTTGGAATTGACGACATACGCCGGGAATGTCGAAGATGATGTGATCTTAGGGACGCCCGGGTCGAGCGGGACTTTATAGGAGAGCCACGACAGTGTCACCGCGCCGAAACAGAGATTTTCCCATAACACGAAACTCGACAGGCTGAGGAGAGCATCGCTGGCACCAGTGGCAGGCTAAGAGGCATGGCGCAGAAGCCCAGTCCTCAGCGGTGGTGCCTGCTATACCCATGGCCTTTGTGCATAGTACCCTTGTTTGTGCCACACGGCATAGTGATGGTATGATGTTTAGGGTCTACTTACTGTCCGAGACCCTCAGATGGAATGTTGGTTAGATATTACTTTTTGTAAGGAGAATAGGGACTCGATGGAGGTGAGGATGAAGACTTTTGAAGAATACATGGAACGCTATTAGCCTGTTGACTCAGCCCTACGATTGGCAGTGTTCCCATTGGTGTTCCAAGTGAGGAAGCTACCCAAGTCGGAAACGGATTCCGCCAGAAGTCATTCGCTGGCTTTCTTTGATTCTGGGCACCAGATCCGGTTGCCTGTATACAATCTGCAACAGTAGAAATCGAATGACGCTTATACAGCCCAATCTGAGCGATCAAAGGTCATGAGCACCCAGGTTCATGTATCAAAAGCCAAGACTTCCCTATAAGGCTGAGGCGGACCCCCCAGACTCCAGATCAGGGAACATCCCGATGATACGGGGCTAATAATATCTCTTCATCAATGGTGATACGGGGCTATTTATGATGATGTTTCGCGGCAGACTGACATGTGACGGAACAGTCAATGGGCAGTTCTACTGCGCCAAGTGCGGCGTCGTAGCTGGGGCCTGATGGTTTCTGCTTGAACAGAGGAGTATGGAAGGTCTGGGTAAAAGCTGTTACCCAGTATTGTATGAGTAGTAAGAAGAGAAGTTTGAGAGCCCTGCTTCCGACAGCTGTAGCTACGGACAGCCATTTTCAGACAGTAATTCTACCAGTTGCACTTTCTGAGCTTGAGGAAACCATGTAGAGCACTGAGTAATAGAAATAGTGTATGTATGTAAGTATGTGCTCCCCTTTATCTAGAGGATAGTGCACTGTTCATCGCCACCAGCACATGCATCCAATAACACAACCATAGCCATAACCATCCATCCATCCGTCCGTCCGTCCATAAAACCGCATAAAGAGTAGAGTAGGGTATCCAAAACAATCACAACCAACACCTCACCACGGACGCACAATCAACCAAGCCCCAGGATCAAATCAAATCAAATCATCTCCCCTTCCCCTCCATATTCTCGCTCACACTCGCACTCCCCTCCCCCCTCTCCTTCAGCTTCTCCCTCTCCAACTCCTTCGAAAACTTCTCCCCGAGAACCTTCTCCACCCACCCCTCGACCTCCTTCTCCAACTCCCTATCCCTCTCCGTGACCACCGCCCCCTCCTCCACCATCCCCTTCCGCACATACCGCCTCATATCCTCCACGCCATTGATATCGAGCGCGTACAGCGCACCCCCCGTGCTCATCATCGTAAACGACAACACGTTGATCGTCGCGAGGTTCAGCGCCTCCAGCGCCTCCGCGCCCCCGTTCCCGGGCACTTTGTGGTACACGCTGCTCGTGTAGAAGGGCGGGATGCACGCGCGGAGTTTGCGCGCTGTGGCGCGTCGTGTGCTCCATACGCTGAAGGTGAAGAAGGCGAGGCCGCCGAAGAGGAGCTTTAGGTTCGTTTTGGGGGTCCAGAGGGTGGGGAGGAGGGGGGGTTGAATTCGGAGGAGGGCGGGCGGGCCGGGCTTGCATTTGGGGTGGTGGTAGTGGTGGTAGGGGGTTGGTTGGTGGGCGGTGAGGGGGAGGGGGAGGAGGGGGTTGTTGGGTTGAGGCCGGGGAGGAGGAGGAGAATAGCGACGAGAACAGCATCTTCGCGGTTGGTGTGGTGGTGAGGTTGAGGTTGAGGTCGGCGGTTTGGTTTGGTTTGGTTTGGCTGCGGTCGAGTCTCGTAGGAACACGGCGGAATTACCGTGTTAAGTATTATGGTTGTGGGTTGTGAAAAATGAGAAACCGGACGGGAGCTTCACGGGCTGTCCAGGTCCCAGCAATGGAAGGTGATGGCTCGGAGTGGAACTCGGATCGATCGTGATGTTGACTCAAGTCGAGAGATTCTGCGGAGAAGATGACCAATCGGGGAGGTCGACGTCATGTGACCCCGGATGTCCCGATTGGTACATATGGGTGGAACTTGAATATGACGGTCGGTTGTTTTCCGGGGATTATATTGCAAGGGTATGTGAATTGAATAGAGTCTTAGTGCAATTTAACTTTGGCATATAGGGACATCTCATCATTTGGCTGTCAGACAGCCTACAATACTGCAAAACGGTGATATACGGAGTTGTACATATATGACTAATCAATCCACACACATAAACTATGTGCATAATTAACACCACGCACGCCTCCGCAACAATAATTGAGTCGAGGATTATTATATACTAGATCTATTCTATACCATATCATTCCATAAAATCACATTGCCCCCTGCCCAAACGTGTATATCTTCAACACGCGCTCCTTCTGCTCCTCGACCCAGGCATCAATTCCCTCATCCAGACGCAGCAACTGCAAATTAGACAAATGCGAGGCCACCAGCCACCCGCCGATAAGACTAGCCGTCTGGTGATGCGACTGCGTGGCCTTCCAGTTGTCCGTCGCCGGGTACTCGACTTTCAGGGGACTCATGTGGACGGACGTCGTCTGGCTGCCGAGGATGTACGGCACGGTGGCGCAAATATCGAGTGCGAGGCCGTGCATCAGGGACATGGTGGATTGGATCTGGTCGGCTGAGGTGCCTGGTAGGTGTTGCAGGCAGTGCAGGATGATATTCTGCATGACGAGCCGGGAGTCGCGGTAGAAGTTCCATGTGCCGGCGACCCAGAGGTCGGAGTAGCAGTCGCATCGATTTTTGTACATCCCCGCTTGGCGGACGGACGGGGGGATTGTGGTGGCAGGGACAGGTTTCCAGTGTGCTGGGAGGGCGTGTTTCCAGGCGACCAGGTTGTTATCGAGACATAGGGCCCGGGTTAGAAGATCTTCGACGTCGGATGTGTCGTGCTCTGGGACCAGGTTGAAGCGGTCCCAGGCTTGTCGGAGGTTGACTAGATCGGCGGTTGCTGCGAGGAGTTGGGCTGATGCGGACTGAGGCGCGGTCGGGGATGTGGGCCACACGTGAGGTGCCTGCATGGAGGGATACGGGAGACCTTTGGTTGATTTGAGCTAAAAAAGTTAGTCTCTGCCATCAGAATCCAGGGATGGAGACATACAAGGTGGGTGTGGACAGCATTTTCCAGGATAAGGGATATGATTGACCGCTGATGGGGGCTGCGACTATTCACCAAGGCAAGCGCACCTCGCAGATGCGTTGTCGTCGCATGTCTCTTTTCTTTCAACGCGCAGAATTCCTAAAGAACACTAATCAGCCCCGACTAGAAGACATGACCATTAAGCCCACCTCATAGGTAGAAAGTAAAAGAACGGCAATGAGAATGTCATCCAGATTCTGACTGACGTCCCCCTGCAACGCCTTTCTGATTTTGGAGATCGTGTGCCCAACCAGGCGCTCTGACGATCGAAGAAATGATCGATTTCCCGTCCAGGCGCCCACAGAAAAATAAGACACTGCTAGAGTGCCGGCGTGAACATGGGACCCGGGTTGAGAATTGGAGAACACCTGCGGCAGTAGGTCCATGAACCCGCGCAGGATTAGCGGATCTCGAGGACTATAGATATATGAGTTGAAGAACATCGAAGTCACGGTGACCTCCATAGGGAGAAACAAGCTGGCAGGAACCGAGGGCTGCATTAGTGCTGCAGAATTAGGGATAATCGGAGTAGGGTTTCCCCCGGAAAAAGCAATGTTTGATACTAGCGTTCCTGCTGATACTGGCGCTGCTGCTGATCCTGGAGTTGATGTTGATTCTGATGTAGATGTTGATGCTGGCGTTGGCGGCAAGACCTGAGGCGTCTGCACTTCTGGCTGGGGATTCGAGGTTTTACTAGGGGTAGAGGCGTCTCTCTTCTTCCGATTGAAAGCTACATTGTTCCTCAACATGACATCCAGCGGATGGGGGTATCCGGGACATGATCGGCCGGTCCGGACGCATGCTTTGCAGTGGGGACGGGTTTCATCGCACTGCATGATCAGTTGAGGTTAACAGTGCTTGGTGTGGGGTGTGGGCATACCTTGATACGCCTCTTCCGGCAGTTCTGACAGCCGGTGCTCGGCTTCCCGCAGTATACCATGGTGGATGTGTCTTAATTTCGCGGCACGGACAACATCGGTCTCATCATTAATGTACGCGGGTGTGTTCGAACTGTGGTTCCATGCAGATCCGCCTAGACTGTGTCCTATCCTGCCCATAGCTTGGAGGTTGTTCTCCAGGGTGCTGGCTGCCCAGTACGTCAAGTTGCATGGATAGATGCGTGAGGCAACTTCAGGCTCTTAAGACGTGGCCGGCGGAAAGGCACAAAATGGGTAGGTAGCCTTATGTTTAGTTATCGCCCACGTGATGTGAGTCAGCAGCATAACCCAGCATAACAGAGGAATAGCATAGCCGAGCAAAGGCATCGGCATAACTAAGCATAAGCGTTAGCATGATGATCATCTGCACCAACCTAGGCGCCAACACCAGCATAAGCCAAGAAGGATACCAAACAGGAACCAGAACAAGAGTTTCTCAGTTCAAAGGGCAAATTGCCATCAAGGGATAGTACTATCGAGGATATCTAGGTACAAAAAGCAAGCCAACCAAATCAAATCATAACGCTCATAAGTCCCGCCATGGCTGACCACCACATGAGATCATTGACACATAAAAGCAAAAAAGACAGGAAAGAAGCAACAGAAAAGAGCACGGAAAAAGGTAGACAGGTCGTCGAGTCATAAATACATCAGTATATCACATTATCATTAATAGTCCCGTTCTCAGGCACAACAAGGACATGCATGCAACTTGTTCGGTCGTTGTTCGTGAATGTTCATCGCTGGTCATAACGCACAGTAAATCATATGCAAGAACGGAATCGCTTGTGGGATAGCTAGTCGCACGCTGATAGCGGCAGTCCACATCATCGTACAAGTTCCCCACTATAGGAGAAATATCGTCGCTACTTCATCGACCCCGTGGTGATCAGCATATCGGCCCGGCCGGGTCGGTCGAATCGATCAATGCCGAGGTGCTCTTTTCCATCTCGCCCGACGTAGATCCCGAAGCCGTACATGGAATGCTCGCGGTCCCCGGGGGGTGCGACGACCAGTCGTGTAACGAGATCAGTCTTGCTCCTTGGCTCCCGCAGGATTTTGTCGGCGAGTAGTGGACTCTGGTAGAGGAAGCTCATCTGATCGGCCAGGGTGCTGATGTCGTGGGGAAAATGACGGCAGCGGCGAGGCCAGATGCACAGGAAGGACACTGTGTATAGCGCGCAAAAAGCCACGATGGCATAGAAAGCAGGCATCAGCGCCGAGATCCGGATGGCGTCGTCGGATTGATGGTACAGAGCAATGAACACGCCTCCGGCTAGAATGGGAAGCGCGGCGGACACGGTGCTCATCAGCGAGATCCAGGCCACTTTGTAATGCTTGTTCAGGACTGCCAGGATGGTCACCTGGAAAGGAAGACAGGACGGATACGACAATAGCAGACTGTGCTCCGCTCTAGCGCCGTCCGTGGCAGCCAAGGCTGCGAAGGGCTGCAGCGCACGGAAATAGACGTCAATTGGCTGCCACGCGAGGAACAGGAAATTTCCAATCAAGGCCGGAACAAAACTGTAGCAGAAGTTGGACGAAGAGAAGGCCCCTGTCGAGGGCAGGGTTGGAAGACGTGGAGGAAATCCGCCTTTGATCGCGTCATGAAGGAAGCTGACCAGCACAAACGCGATAAACAGGGCACTAACAATGACCGTCCATACCACCACCCAGCCGTCCCTTAGGAACCATGGGATCCAGCGGTATCTAATACCCGGCGAGTACAAGTGTTGATAGTACTCTTCCTTTTCTGCAAGGTTGTGCTGTTCAACGTCGAATGACACTCTTGACAGGCCGTGCGACTGCATTTGAAGATTCTTTTCCCGGCGATGCAGAGACGGTGTCCGGACCGGTGCCTCAGCTTCACCAATGCCGTAGAAAATGTCTGCTCGGTTGGAGAGCTGCCAGTATCCCAGCCGAAGGACTCGCGGGTCGAGAGACTCCGCCACTTCGGGCAAAGTCTCCGACTGCTCAAAGTCGTGCAGGATGTTCGACCGCTGAATAACCGAAACCAGGTCCGCCAGGCTCACGGGATCCCACATCAACCCCGACCAGGTACGTACAAACCGGAACATGAGCAAGAGCAGTCCAATGGTCAAAAGCGCGTATATAGCCACAAGCGTCCAGCCAACCGCCTGGACGGAAGACCACCGCCATGTCCCCTGGCCATCTATCAAGTACCATTTTGCCTGGAAAAGACAGCTCAACAGGGGTAGTGTAATCAGGTTCGAGAGCCAGATGGTAAATAGCGAGAATCCAACAATGGTTTCTCCGTGCCGGAAATGGGAGAGATCTGGCGCAAGGAAGTTTCGCGATAGAATGGGCAAGCCCTGCATAACGTGGTCGAAAGGCCGTTCTGACGCCATGATGCAGAACGGCATGATCCGGTACACGGCTGCTTGAATGACAAAGGTCCAAAGAGTGATGACCACACCCAGAATCTGGGGAAGAAACTGCATCACAAAATAGTGCGAACCCCCGAGTCCAGTATAATCCCAGATCCCCTGGTGTCGCTGTGACCAAACGTTGCAGAACGAAATCCCAGCGATCATAAGCAAGCAGCATACGATAAACGCAGCCAGTGCCCATGTTCGCAGCACAACCGGCACGAAGTCTAACGGCGGGTACAGCAGACTGTCTGCCGGGGGTTCCACCGCGACAAACGACTCTGGGTCTACCGAGTTCTGGGGCGGCCTGTCTATCGAGGTTATCGAAAGATTCCGCGGATGCGTCTGATCCCGCTGCTGTCCCGATGGCCCTGCCGGCGATCCCGGGGAGCGAATGAAGCATCCCAATTCTTCGTCCCAAAGCAGTGGCTCCAAGGGACTGTCATTGCTGACGACGGAGCTTCGCCTCCTCGGACCCGCGACCTCCTCATCGCGTGTGAGCTGACTGATGGCGAAATGAATGTACGGCGAATCATCCATCCCCGGAGTTGTTGGGCGTCCCGCATAGCTGTCACGGGGGCCTTGACGACTGGTGGTATCGGACATGGGGCTGGCTAAGTCGTCGTCGTCGGTCTCTTGCACGGTCCGGATGGTGTGGGAGACAGGAGTGGTGAAATTCCGATTCTCGCTCGAGGTGACCAGAGAATGTTCCGATCGGCCAGCCACCGGCGGGGCGAGATGCGTGCGCGAGATGCCAGGGGACGGAGTCGGCGACGCAGGGTGCGAGTTCGGAGTCGCATACCGCGCGATGGTGATGCGGCTGCCACTCTCTCGGGATCTCGCACTGGAGGACTGGCTTGGGAAGGAGTAGTAGTCGTCCGAGGCGGCGACGGACTGCTGGTCCTGCGAAAGAAAGAGCTGTGGCCTGCTTGCTGTGAGGGGTCAGTGAATGATGGGCGATGGGCCCGTCCGATTTCGAAAGCATGTCGGACGGTGCTCCGTGCTGCAGCCACGGGGGGGGTGTTTGCTGCTGAGTGCTGATGGGACTTACAGCTGACAGTTCTCAGACTGACGTTTCCCGAGCCCGGAGCGAGCATGGCGGTCGAGATCAACCGATGAATGTACCGGTACGCGGTGCGCAGCTCAGATTGACTTGCAGAATGAAGTATCCGAGGGACATTCCCCAGGTGCAGGTCCACAACCCGGGCAGGAAGTAATAAGATGCAATTGCGTGGAAGCGAGAAGCAAGGGAGAGGCGTGGAGTTGGGCTGCCATGGTGACTAGTCACTGGGGGGAGGTTGGTGATGGTGTCTTGCCCGTCCCAGCCTCCTCGGCCCAGCCACCGGGCCCGACAGGGAAAGGGCCGATCGAGCAGGCCGGGCATTGGTAGGTACCTACCTGGCGATCGTCGACCTGGCCCTCGCCGATTGGAGCAGGGGTGAGACGGGAGTGTTGGCGAGGGAGCTAAGAGTGTGACACGGAGGATGGTAGGTCGATAAAGACGGGTTGTGCTGGGCGTGGATGATGGGTGGGATGAGTGGATGAGTGGACTGTGGACTGTGGACTGTGGACTGTGGACTGTGGATGGCGGACGGTCGAATTGGGTCGATCCGCACTGACTGGGTTGCGGCCCGATCCACTTGCGGCCGAAGCTTCCCCTTCCGTTTCCCCCTCTCCTCTCTATCGGTTCCTGATGGGGTCGTTATTTTATCGTATCTGAATATGGTGGCCGCTGCATTAACAAGTCCACTGTTAGATCCTTTGTTCCTGTTTACCCTTTCGCCATAGTGGAGTGTGTGACAAAGTGATCAGCAGGTGCGGAGTGCGGTACGGTGTACTATATATTTGCCAGCATCTTTCAATCTGAGTGAGGACCGAAACTACTACTGTACCTCCACACAATAATTTGTAAAAGACATCATCTTAATCTTATTAATTGCCTGTGAGATTCTCAGTCTAGCATATATAGAGATACAAACCATCACACTGCTATAAATAGGAGAGAAAAAAAAAAAAAAAAAAAAAAAGACAAGATATGTACGGGGGATTCCTTGCTTGGTTATTCTGCATCCCACTATGAATCATATAGATACGCCGCCAGCACACCTCCCCATCCGCCGGCATTGTCGCTCTGCCGCGCGATGGGCTTGGTGCCTTCAATCGCCATATTTGTTGTACTCTTGGTGTTGGTGCCATACATATACACAGAGGTTGAGTTTCGCACCTGGATGGCGTTCGTCTGGCAATCACCATCACAGTTGCCGCCGTTGTTGAAGAACACCCAGTTGCAGCCCCCGTAAAGGAACAGGTCGGATGAGCCGTGGATCCGCTCGAACAGCGCCATGCGACACTTGCTGTCATCAGCTTCGCAGTAGCTATAGTCCGGGTCGCTGCTGGTCAGGTAGTCGTCCCACGGGGCGGGGTTGAGAGCACTGCTCCCCTGGCCCTGCCAGTATGGAGACTCGCTTTGCTGCATCGCGGTGAAGACGTTGCGGGCGTACTCGAAGTTGTACTGGTAAAGGGTGTTGTGTTCGAATCCGGTGCCGATCAGCCAGGTCGCGGCGGTGCCTTCGATGAGAATCCCGCGCCCCGTGGAGATGGTTTGCGGGTTGTTTCCGTCCAGGTCGTGGTCGGCCGTCCATCCCCACATGTTTTCAATGTAGGCAGACGATGTCGTCGTCAGGTGCAGAAGTCCCCACGCGGCCTTGCAGTCATTCGCGTTGTTGGTACACTTGCTCTCGACCTTGCTGCCCACCGCACCGCCAATCCGGAAATGCGTGTTCCAGAAACCGACATCGCCGGGAGACTTCGCAGCGATATTAATCTCGACCTGGTTGTCACTGGGTTAGTCATGCCAGGGAATGTAGTTTCGGGTCAAATGACCGTGCTTACCAGCTTACAGCCCGGAAGTACATCCGCAACGGTAAAGACCAGATCACTGACTTGCGCAACCCCGACATCGCCGGGGTATCCAACCCGAAACATGGAGCGCGGCGAGGACTCATCGGCGAAGTTGCTACCGACGGCACTGATAGTCGAGGCGTACGCATCGCCAATAATGCGCGTGTTGGCCGGCACGAAAATGGTGTCCGTGACTAGGTATGTACCCGCAGGGAAATAGAAGACCGTACAGTCGCGGTTGCTGGACAGGATGTCGTTTATGTTTCTGGTGTCGTCCGTCTGGCCATCACCCAAAACCGGCTTCCCAGGGACATTTTTGATGTTGAGAATCTGACCGACGTCGTATTCCTTGTATGTCGGCGGCGCCATGGTAAAGTAATTCTTTCCGGACAACAAGGGAGGGGTCCGCGCCGTCGTCACGATCCGCCCTTGCTCAGGCTGAAATTGATTGTCTCCGGGGGTGTACTGACTGGTATCAGCTCAACTATCCCTTAGAATGCTAGCGGCTGGCATTTACTCACCACATGCCCGTGCACCCAGGTGTCTGGCATGTTTCCACTGAGGATAGCATTTCCGCCGACGCTGACTGTGGGTCCAGAATTCAGGATATTATCCAGGACGATCGAATTCCCCGCCGTGTTCGAGCTGTGGGTCGAGATGAGAGTGTTCATCCCGACACCGGTGGTATCAATCACCGTCAAAGACCCAGATGTGCCCTGGGCGTCGATTCCCAAGTTACCCTGCTCGAACTGACACCCCAAGAACACGATATCAGTTCCCCCGGCAATCACACCGGTCGTTGTGCCCATGAATTTCAGGTTCTTAAAAACCCACTGCTGGCCACTCAATTTCATTCCAACCGATCCGCCACTGAACCAGAGGTCATTCTGCATCCGGTTAGCATATGGTCTACGATGAGTTTCATGAGCCAACATACCAAAATCAAATTACTGTTATAGTCGTACTGCGTGGTCAACCCGACATGAGATGAGCCCCGAGGCATGTTAAACCCGACATTTGTGAGCTGGGTGGCCTGGCTGACGGTCCAGTCTAGGAGAGTGATGGCCTTGTTCGGATCCACATTGTTCGACTCGAGCACGATATTCTTCATCCCTATATAGAAGTTGATTGTGCCGCCGTAGTTGGGATCTTTGGCATAGATCATATGATCGTCTGCGAAATCGTACTCCGCCTTCAGAGTCGGGGGGTTTGTCGGATCACCAACCAACACGGTACCGACATAGAACTGCAGGGAGTGTTTCAGCAGGTAAGTTCCTTCTGGTAGATAGACGATCGCGGGCTGTCCGGTGGTTCCCATTGAGTGGGAGCTACGGTCAGGTCCATTCGATGGCCCCGCTATGATGGTTCCGATTAGTAGGTGCACGTTCAGAAGTGTTCCACTCGGCCATACCTGTGATGGCTGCCTGGATGGCAGCAGACGCATCCATGGATCCAGTGTTGTCCGCGCCAAAGTCCTTCACCACGTTGCGGAAGACATTGTAGTTGTCCTTAAATCCCGATTCCATAAATGAAGATTGCCCATTATGTTTGATCTGCTCGTACCAGTACCCAGGAGTGGTCTGCGAGGACGAGCACTGCGATTCCGGCGAAAATGACTGATGAACGGCAGGAGGTTGAACACGAGACAGCCACGGTTGGGCGGTCTGGTTTTGAATGACATAGGGAATGCCCCTGCTTCTGTTAACTAGCTGGACCTCCTGTAGTAGAGAGTGTAAACCCACGAAGGACGAGGGGCATAGGTCACTGGAGGAAAGTATTGGACCTGCGAGGGCCTAGTTTGATTCCTCGGGGTCGATGAGTTCGTCCATCCGCCATGCGGAACAGCCCATGCTTGAGAAAGGAGAGACAAGATCGATAGACCAAGAAAAACGAATGTGAGGTGCGCCATATTATCAACACCGGTATTATCAATTCATACAATGTAGAAAAAAGAGCGTGAAGAAACCCAATCCCTCCAATAAAATTAACCAATCCACTGAGTACCTACCTCGACCGTGTACTGCTTCAGGTATACGGGACGGACTCAGACTGGGCCTAAACGAGGGAAAATATTAGGGGGCCCGGGTTGTCGTACAAGTTCATGATCGCAGCCACCTGGAGACGGAGCTGGCTAGGCTTAAATTGATCTTCCATTGTTTGTGTGTTGCACGGATTGCACATACTTGGGCTTGGGCTAGAGCCGTCGCCCTACCCGCATACCTGAGAACTCACCAGGACTCTAGGGATTTGGACCAAACAGGAGAGGGCGTCGAGTCCCTGACAAATAGGCCTCCCTAGTGTGTGTTTTCTTTTTTCCATTTCCATTTCCCTTTCGGTTTCCACCAAGTTAAACTTTACTCCTTTCCGCCTGCCATCTGATCAGTCATTCGGGTCGTGTTCGCGGTTCCCTGTGGTCAACTTGGTGCAGTTTGCAGTCAAACTACGGCGTAAGGCATTTCACTATTATCCGGAATGTATAGAAAGACGGGGAGCAAATATGAACAGCTTAAGTCGAATTTAGGAATTGAGGCCAGAGACGCCTACTTAGTAGTATAGTACCAGGCAGCCAATGCAGCCAAGTCTGTGAAGTCGGAAGCAGGGCGGAGGATAATCTGCCAACCCTCTGCATACCGCGGGCTGCATGCCATCCCCGCCAGGGTGCAGGTAAACAATCAAGAACTCCTTCCGCGGGTATTCACGTGTGCATGCCATCGCCCATCCCCTCCTCGACCAACCATCGCAGGTTGCTGGTTTCCTTGTATCTTCTTCCACCAGCTCGACATTGTCCTTCTCCTTTTTGGTAATCCGACTCTCCTTTCCAGCGTTTATGCTCCTGTCGGTGTTCCGGCGCGGTATCCAAACTCAAGTCCTTTCTTCAGCGTGTGTCTCGGGGATGAACTATCCATGGCCCGCGACTCGTAGTTCATTCACATTATGTACTCGAACTCTAATGGCAGAATGTCAGACACGCAGTGACACACAACTATGAGAGGGCTTGGTGGTAAGACCTGCGAATGTTCCCGGCGCCGCCTATCCCAAAGCCAATGTAGCGTTCACGGCGTGATGGCTTCGAATGCCGTGCACCTGTGGCTGGCTCCCATGACTCCTCGAGAGAAGGTCTGCTGGACAGGAGCAGAGCGTGTTGCTCATCGTTTGGAGGGGACCGGGCTTTAAGCCATGTCCCTTTCCAAAAGCCAAGCATACCGCTCAGGTTGCAGAATATCTGGATGATGAGAAACTTGCTGAAGGATGGGGTGTTGGATCGTGCTGGAAAACGATTCACTTTCGACAGTGGGTTTGCTTCGAATTTTACTGTCGCGTCCGGTGTTCTTTATATACCAGCGACCCTTTGATTAGGCACGGCACTGGCCAAAATAGGTGCCCCTCCCCGAAGCAACCAGGAACGCGACGAGGCATTCTCAAAAATGGGCGCGACCCCGAGATATGACATGTCACTTTTGAGGAAGCTCTGGACCGACCTCCGTGGCATTTCTAGCCCCGTATTCTATGAATAAACCATTAGAGTTTTCACGCTATCACACTGGGAATTGGAGAGACGATGGCTGTTTTTTTCAAGCGTGATCGACACATTATCCTCCGCTGGCGAGGGGGAAGTTGACGTTCTGGGCCCGGGGGAGGGGTTGGATTACTCTCCAGGAAATGGCCATTCATACTCCGTACAGAGAGATCTATCACCTGGATACTAAATTAGACACGGAACACTCTTACCAGGACAGATTGCTTCAACGCAGAACATCGATACCTGGTCGTGTTGTGATCCGGCGATGCCTCTGTTCTAGTATCCGATCTGATATCGCACTGTACAAACCAGTTGTGCGATTTCAAGGGTTCTCATTGGTAATTGGGAACTTCCTCGGAGGCCAACAGTTCTTCTTGACCTGAGATCCACCTGACTTCGGAAGCTCGGAAACGAGACGGAACTCTCCAATCGCGCCAGGCAAGTTGCAAACAGAAGACACGGGCCTCGGGAAAAGATGGTGTGCGCCTGGGGTAAGCACACAAGCCTTCCAGTTCAGAACATGACCATTACATAGCCATTATTATCGTTGCCGCGTTGCCATGTTGGGCCTCCAGTCACTGCCGGGCCATGCGGGTGGGGCCTTTGCATCCGAAAAGCCGACGGAACTGGCCTGATCATTCACCCTGAGCAGATTTCTCCGCCTCGCAGTGGTCCATCCAGTCTACCACAGATCATGCAGATGAAAGATAGCGCACTCGGCTACAGCGATTGTCCGTCCGACAACAGGCTCAGCAGCAGTCGCATGGGGCATCATAGGGCCGAAACGGCGCCGTGAGCAGATTATTACGATATAGGCGTGGGGAGAACCGGCGCTAGACAGGCCAAGCTCCCCACTCAACATCGGTGATATAAGAGGATGGATCCCTGCATGGCAAGAGGGGCACCGTCGAGATCTGTCGTCGCTCGGGGGTCGTCTGTTCGCACAAGATGCAGATGGAGGGCATGGATGGTGGGACCTACTATGGTCTGTTGAACGCCTCTGATTTCGACTTCAACAATTCCACCCAGGTGCAGAGTTTTCTTCACGACCTCAAGCATCTGGAGTATCTTCCCATCCTGGGAGCCCGCTACGCAAGATACTTCTGGTACGGCATTATCGTGGTGGTTGGACTCACTGCGATCGTCAACCGGACGTGGTCGATAGTTCGAAGCACGAGGTAAATGGGCCCGGTCTGTTCAATTTGATCATAATGCTTACAGTTTTGCCCCCCAAAAGGCTTCGTACACTGAGGCCAAGCAATCCGTATCTGGGGAAATTATATTCAATTTCAAGTACCCTTTTCGCCACCTCCACAGCGCTGGTGAGAGAGCCGTCGTATCTCCAGTGGACACCGCGCGCCCTGTCACCATGGCTCAAAGTCCCTCCGTTTGGGCCAATCTACATCATCCTCGCATACTTCGCATTCATCCTCGCATTGCAGTTCATTGACAACGACATCCCAGATGCAGGCCACTGGCAGTTTCTGGGCGACCGTGCTGGGTGGCTTGCAGCTGCACAGGTTCCACTGCTTGTCGCCCTCGCAGGGAAACGAAATTTTATCGGCATGCTGTGTGGCATCCCATACATACGACTGAACATCTACCACCGCTGGGTGTCGCGAGGTCTGCTTCTGCTCTCCACCTTTCACTTTGCTTTCCAGAACCACGGCTGGGACCTCTACAACATCAGCAAGCTCGAATGGACCACAGACGACTGTCCCACGAAAGGCATTGCCGCGTACGCCTTCATCCTCTGGATGAACCTGACCACCTTGGCGCCATTCCGCCACATGTGCTATGAGTTCTTCGTCGTACAGCACATCATCACCTTTTTCGGGTTCATCATCTCCCTATCCTACCATCTGGACCTGGGCCCGGCCCCCATCGCTCAACGATACATTTGGGCCAGCGTCGGAATCTACATCGCCGCTTCACTCCTACGCTTCATCCTCTACCTCTACAGCAACGTCCGGCCCGCGCACGCCACCCTAGAAGCCGTCGAAGGCGGAGCGACCAAAGTCCGAATCACCTCCAAGCAGATCCAGCACTGGACCCCAGGCGCGCACATCCTCCTATCTCTCCCACGCGTCGGATTCCAGCTATCGCACCCTGCGACCATCCTATCCACCCCATCATCCCACTCCGGCGACCTAATCCTCATCCTAAAAGCCCAAAAGGGGTTCACCAAAAAGCTCAACAACACCGCACATGCCATCTCAACTTCATCAACGAAAAAAGACCCCGAGTCTCCAGGAAACCACCGCGCGTACCTCGCTTTAGTCGACGGACCTTACGCAACCTCATCCCCAGACTTCACCACCTTCGACTCCGTGCTTTTCATCGCCGGTGGCACCGGTGTAACCTTCACTCTCGCCCACCTCCTCGACGTCGCACACCGTTCCACAGCCGACGGCACTTCCCCCCTCCCCCTCCTCCGTAAAATATCCTTCATCTGGGTCGTCAAAGGCCGACAATGGCTATCATGGATCACGGAAGAGTTGCAATCCGCGATTCAGAAGCTCAAAGCAACGAACATCGAGCTCCAAGTTAAGGTCTTCATCACCTGCGACGCCGAATGGTTCGAGGAGACCACCCCGGACGAAAAGCAGGGCGGTTGTTGCTGTACAGAGAACTGCATGTGCTGTGATGGCGATGGCGATGGCGATGGTGACAGTGACAGTGACAGTGACAAGATCACAAGCATCGTCCCCGCAGATCCTTTACCAAACGTTCGTCCCACGAAAGACACCTCTTTTCTTCTGGACACCGCCAGGATCAGCTTTCAGCAGGGAAGACCTTCGTTCGACGATTACATTGAAGACGCCGTCTTGCAGGCCGGAGGCGAGATCGCCGTCGCGGCCTGTGGACCCATCGGACTGACGGTTGCTGTCAGGCAGTCTGTCGTGAAGATCTCGGATCGGCTGGGCGTGTGTAAGGGGTCGGGTCTCCCGGGTGTCTTTTTGCATGTGGAAAATTCTTACTAATTGACTGGCTGGCTGGCGGAATGACTGGCTGGGCTGTTGTCGTCGTGGAGTGTGTATATAAACTGCGGACCTACCTAGAGCGACATGCGGACATGTATATATACTAGTTACCTACAGCGTACTGAGTACAACGTGAACAAACCCTACAAACTATTAATAGTAATAACCTAATGAATTCACCACAGATCAAAGTAACAATAAGAACGAACTATCTAACAACTGAACCCCTGTTTGAAATATTATTCTTAACACCCCACCCCTCTCTTTCCCTCCCCTCCAGTCTCCACAGCAGAGCAGAACGGGAAGGGTGAAAAAGCAAAAGACAGGAAACAGGTCTAAAACACCACCCGCGTTTGACATCCATCCACGCGCACTCTCACTCACTCGCTGATCCCCCTCCCGCAGCGGCAGACAGGTCGAGTTTCATCCAGCTTCAGGGGTAAGACTTTTCGCCCTGCAGGACGGACGATCTAGATAGCCCCCTTCCCCTCCCCTGCGACCTGCGATCTATCTAGTACTTAGCTCACGCCTCCCTACCTATGTAGTTATCTTACTTTTTGTTGTCCCATTCTTTCCAATGCGCGGAAGCTCTCAGCCCAGGAAAACCAGAACTCTATCGCGCGCGATCGCTTATCTATTTGAGTATCTGTCATGATGACTTGTGCACTGGCCTAGTCTTATAGTAGATATCATTCTCTGTGGCTAGATAGGTATAACTAGTATCTACTAAGAGGTGCAGTAGTAGCCAGTTCATGGTCATCCCTGCGCTGGGGGACGCTGGTTGGTCCCTGGCTTTGCGACGGGCCAATGCCGTGTCTGGGGCAGAAATATACTCCACTCTGGGTTTCGGAGCTCCGTTGGTGCTAGATAGATGATTACTATCTATCTAGATCCCTGCTGTGTTAGTTGGGTTGGAATATGAATGGGATTAACTACTATAGATAGATAGTAAACTACCGTGGCGTATCTTTATAGTTGAGCACGGTCGGATGCATTCTAGATAGGTAGAAGTAGGGGCTGACTCGAGTGATAGAAGGGGGAAACGACGGTCGTGTGGTGCCGTTTTATATGGGTGGTTGAGGGAGTTCGCGAAACTAGAAGATCTGGAGCGTTGTGGTAATATATTTTGTTGTCCTTTGTTGGTAATTTCCACCCGCCGGGTAGACACCGATGGAATTGAGTTGCTGACAGTGGGAATGGAACAGCGAAGCTAAGCGAAAGGATCAAAAGCAGTTGTTTGCCCTGATCTGTGGTCGAGCATACAATCTCCCAGCCCTCTGGCGTTATCGGCTGATAGTGTCGGGAGAAAACACCCCGACTTGCTCTGCCGTGGATGTATAGTACTATGTGGTGGCTCCGTTAAATTTTCGATCGTTGGTGCTAACTTCTGTGGGTATGATTCGGCAACCCGTGTCCTCCTGGCTCCCTGCTAGGCTGTTACCCGCACTGGCTCGATTATAAACTCCAGTCGGCCCCTTGGCTAAAACGCCCGCGGTGGTACGAGTTGATTATTGGGGCCTTAGGAGGACCACATTCGCTCCTGGGCTGGTTGGCGTTTTGGTTTGTTTGCACGCCGTCCATGGAGATTGCGTTGCGGGTGTCCGCTCGTTACGTATTGTACCCGGGTTGTTGGAGATTGCAGGTGAAGGGTCTTCCATAGTTCTATTATTAGTCGTAGCTCCTCTGTAGTTCATAGCCAATTTCCTTTTCGCAGGATAGGTGGTTCGTCCGGGCTTGAGATGTCAATTCGGTCACCTCGACTCGTGGCGCGTGGGAATCGGCCCCATCATCGTTATCTGCGGTTCGGCGAATCAGGAGGGGCCCTTGCGTGGGACAGGGGGCATTGCTTGCTGCGGTATCTGGAGTGGTGGTGGATGCGGATGGGCTTAGCCACGATAGGAGACCGAGGCGCGGGACGGGCTGTCGCAGGCAGAGGAGTTGAGGATGAGCATCGCAGACGATCAGGGATGGGATTGACTGGGATTGACTGGGATTGAATGGGATTGAATGCAAAGGAGGAACCATTGGACTAGGGAGAGGATGCAGATGGCAGTCACACTGAGTGAGTAACTAAGTACTATTGGAGTACCGGGTTGCAGTTGCACAGTGGCGGCGATGACTAAGAAACCCCGTCGCCTTCCTCCGCCAACCCCATCCGGGCCATATTCCGGGCATTCACCATCACTCCATCTCTCGCTCTCCCTCCCACTCCTCACTCCCTCACTCACTTCCTCAACCCAGTCGCTCTTTCAGTCCTTCCCCCTCACCTGGATTCATCCAGTGCTATTTTCTTCCAAATGCAGCTGCCTTAATTATCCTTCTCCCGCTCCTAGATAGTTTGTTAGATCTTAGGGCTGCTTCCCAGGCTGCGCCTCTCCCTCCCCGTCCATTCCTGTGCCGTCACTACTTACTGTCGCGATCGCGGATTCCCTGCTCTCTCCCCTCGCCCTCCGGAGGAATACAACACAGCACAGCACAACCCCAAGACTTTGCGGTGTCGCAGTCAATGATACGACGAGCACTGCCCGTACTGTTGTGGTCCTGCTGCTAGTTTGATCCGTCCAACGCCTTTGTCTGGGCGCCGTTTTCCGTCCCCAACACCGCTACTGATTCCCCGCCCACGTCTTTATCGCGGCGACAGCGCCGCTCCGCTCTCTTGAGTCGCCATGCTGCTCAAACCCGCCACCCCCCTCACCATCCTCCTCCTCATTGCCTTCGCTCTGCTCCTTATTTCGGTCATCTCCACCCCTATCATCAAGGGTATTCCGCTCGCAACTTATGAAAATGTCGATTATGGTGTCTTTGGTTACTGCAAGGGTGATGTATGCACCAATATCCATGTCGGTTACGCCAACGGTATGTCGCCGCCCCCTTGTTTCTTATCGTCGTTGTCTCGCCCGATAGTACTTCTCGGGATTTGACGTATGGCTGACTCCCTATCAGATGATATGACATCAGAAGGCAACGAATTCAATCTTCCTCCGAGTACGCGAAGATCCCTTTCGGCCATTCTCATCGTCCATCCCGTCGCGGCGTTTCTCACACTCATCTGCCTCTGCTTGGCGGCAGCGGCTCATTTCCATGCCCCGTCACACTCGCCCCGCTATTTGCTGGCGTTGTTGATCCTACTGCTCCCGACTTTGCTCGTATCGCTGCTGGCGTTCCTGGTGGATATCCTGTTGTTTGTGCCGCACATGGCATGGGCCGGATGGATTGTGCTGGTCGCGACCATCATCCTAGTCACTTGCGGTGTTGTCACTTGTGCGATGCGCCGGACTCTTGTCAGTCGCAAGGCAAGGAAGAAGCGCATCGCAGAAAATGCCGAGATGAGCGGGGAGAATTTCTACAACCGCCAGAACGCAGCGGCAGCGGCAGCAGGGCTGAACAACACCGCACCGATGCACGGGGATACCAAGGAACCCGTAGTCACTGGATTCTCCCCTGCCTCCGATACCGGACCCACGTTTGCTACATTCCGTACGCCTACGCATGACAGCGATGATGATCGCACTCCTCTGAACTCCCGGAACCCTCCTAGCGATCACCCATTACCAGACAACCAGTATACTCGCGCGCACGGCGATGTAGTGGCTTACAATGCTCCACCAGAGGATACAGACATATCTCCAGTTGCTCCCACCCCTGGTCCGAGAATGCGCAACCAATATTCCGACGGCAGTATGGGCTCACGGAGAGGACCGCCGCCACCAGGTGGTGCCCCGCGGGGACGAGGCTACCCACCACGAGGGGGATATGGGCGTGGAGCGCCTTACGGAGGGCCTGGATCTCGGGGACCCCCTCCGGGTATGAATGGAGGCCCAGGCCCAATGGGTCCCATGCGCGGTGGCCATCCCGGCGCGATGGGTCGCGGCGGTTACCGAGGACCCCTTCCTGGCGGCTATGTTCCTGGACCGCGACCAACCCCGCCGCCGGAAGATGAGTACGAATTTCGCCGTGCCTCGCCCGTAGACATTGCTCGACAGCCATCTCCCGGGCCAATTGGAATGGCCATGTCTCCAGACAACGGGTCGCCGATTGGACAGGCCATTGAAATGCAGCCACAGCCGCGACGGGTGGGCTCTGCCGATCCAGAGGCGCATGATGTGATTCTCGAGCCCCTGCCCCATGCCGTATCTGCAGATGGCTATCCCGAGCCTATCAGTCCTACGAGTCTCTACAGCCGGACGTGAGCCATGTCTCTTTTCCTTTCTCCCCGTCGGTGAAGGCTAATGATTCCTAGGTCCTATGTTCCGGCGCGCGCCGGATGGGCTCCCGATGCACCTCCTGTCGGTCACACACCTTCCCCCGTGCATGCGTATGGGGCACCTCCCGTCGGTCATACACCCTCCCCCGTGCATGCGTATGGGGCACCTCCCGTCGGTCATACACCCTCCCCCGTGCATGCGTATGGGGCACCTCCCGTCGGTCATACACCCTCCCCCGTACATGCATATGGAGGGGCGGCACGGCGACATGTGCGGACCCCCTCGACGGATTACTTCGAAGATGCAGACCCTCGGTTTGCAATTCCAAATGAGTCATCGGCGGGCAACCCGCGGTTGCCGGCCGTTTTGACACCTGGTACTGGTGAGAAGAAACCGGTGGAGGTTCCGGTCCAAGTGCCTAGCTCACCGACTACTAGCGAAGTAAGCCACTTCACATCGATCTCGGAGCGGCCCATCAACCCTCGCTGGCGCCCGCCTCCCATGCCAAACCAGCGGAAGCAGGACGTTCTGTTGGAGAACAACCCGGACTTTGACCTGCGCGCTGGCACGCGGGGAGGGGCTGCCGGCGTGGGCAGTCGGATGCCACCAATGTCGATACCCCGAGATACGGCAAGATACCCGATATGAACATAATCATAATTATGCTCCCAATACATTGATGTGAATGTCATCAAAAGTGGGTGGGATTGCGAGGAGTTCAGGAGTTTAATGAAGTGGGATTCGTCGAATTGTTTGCGTTTTTATGTGTCATGTTTGCGCACCATGACACTGCATATATGCGCATTTGTCTGTTGCATCGATCCGTGTACATGAGCCTGGGAAGATGCAGCTGTTCACTCTGGCCTATCTTCTTTGATACTGGCTGAGTTGTCGTTAGTTATGATCGTTATGTTAGTCCGATAGGCATGATTATTATGTTCTCAGCTGTCTGCTTGCACTAAGCCTATCGATATGCTTTACGGAGTATACAATCGTGCGCCTCAGTAAGCCTCTAGGCTCTCGACCCATACTGGTCATGTGAAGTTGGCCGTGATACGCAGTAGTCCTGATGATTAATCCGGCAGCGGAAAGAAGGACAGCCGGCAGGTTGCAACACCTTGCAGGACCCGCCAATTCTGACAACCACCACGGTTTGAAAACCCAAGCCATAGCGAATCTATCAGAGCATCGCTATGTCGGAGTGTTCTTTCAATACAGACGAAGTGGATTGGACAAGCAGATCAATGTCACCCACGATGCCAGCGTCCAGCCCTCGATACTTACGGTATAGTCAGGTCTGGACTACGCCGCATTCCATTCCTACTGCGGTCAAGAACTCCCCAAATAAGCCGGGATAGCTCTGATATGGCGGCCAATAGGCAATGGGATATCGTTGTGGATTGCAGGTAAAGCTCCCGTCTCTTCATCGATGAGACCTTGCCTGCAAAGGCGAAAGAAAATGGCACGCGATACGAGGTGATCATGGTTGCCTGTTGGGCGACATGTCCTTTATCCACCAAAGCGTCATTGATTTGTTTATACCTGGTCAGGCATGACGCACTGTGATAAGAGCTACCTCTAAGAACGCGCCTCATCACTCAGTACAGGCGATCCGCCCAGTCCAGCCAGACGAACTCAGACGCCTCCTTCCGCCCAAGAGGCGCCAAGTACTCTTGGAATTCCGCCCAGCGTGGCTCAGCGGTGAAGGAACCCAAGGTTCGTCAGGATCGACCGTTCCTCTGGCAGTTCGTAGCAGAAGCGGCACATGGCAACGGATAGCTATCCTGCGACTCCGTATTGCGGACGACGACACTGGAGCGTGTCTACTGTCGTGTCTGCCAAGCAATCGGTATCAATACGAGTATCCCCAGCCACTGTTTCATGTTGCGGCTGATGCGAGCACTCTAACAGGACGAGGATTTTCGTCTCCCGACTTCAGATGACGCCTTCCACTGTCTCCGCGCACGACAATGAGGATCTACCCGGGAGAGATCGTCTCCGCCAAGATCCCACACACGAAGAGCCTCGGGACGCTTGGCGTATTCCGACCGACGGGAAACATGAGCCTTTGCCGCGTTGTGGCTATGGTCGGAACCAGATTCGCACTACGCGCCAAGAGGATGCCAAGATGGTGTTGCTGGGAAGCCATGCGATATATCCAATATGGGATGGAATCCATCGCAGACATGTCGTCTGATGCAATCGGATGCGGTATATTGTTCCCGATCCATGTGGATCTCAGGGATGAGGCTAGTATGGGATGGATATCAGGCTGACATTGGAAACACGCAGCGGTGTATCGACGACATGCGTGTGGCAGACATGCGTTGCGTCAAGAAGAAATATCAGGACGTAAAGTTTCAATGGCTGATCAAACGCCTTGGCGTGGAGGATAACGTGGATGGATGGTCTTGATAGAGATGCCTAGCTGAAGTCTGCCACATATAGATCCGCGATCCGGCTCATTGCGTGAAAGATTGATGCATTACTTCCATCGCATCTCCATCGGTTGCCTCTATACCAATTATATTCGGTCCACCATGAGTCAGTATACTCCCGAGGATATCCAGGCAGTGCCTGCGCCCAGACTGGACAATCAAGGACACATCCAATTTGCTGAAGACAAAAATGGATTCTGGTCCTCAGGAAACAGCACCAATGTATCCGTCTCTGCGAATCCATCCTTCGAGGAAACAACTGCGTATGCAAGATTCGTCCGACACTTCCGCGCAGAGATCGACATCGCATATGCGGATCTGATCCTGATAGTGTGTGGCTTTGTCAGTGGGCTAGTTGACGGACTCTCATTCAACGCATGGGGAAGCTTCGCCAGCATGCAATCAGGTAGAGTAACCCCAGCTCCCAACTAATCCCGATAACAAGAGCTAACAAAACCCAGGCAACACAATCTTCATAGCCCTCGGAGTCTCCTCCCAACCCAGATACCCAGCCTACCTCTGGGCCAAGTCGCTCATCGCGCTCTGCACCTTTCTAATCAGCAACATCCTCTTCATCAAAGTATCCCGCCTCCTCGGCCCCCGTCGCCGCTCAACCATGATCCTCTCCTTCGCCATCCAAGCCATCTGCCTCCTAATTGCCGCCATCCTCGTCGAAGCGCAAATCATCTTCCCAAGACCAGAAGACCCCCGGGCCCCGATCCAATGGATGCAGATCGTCCCCATCTCGCTCATCGCGTTCCAAGCAGGAGGGCAGATCTGCGCATCACGCATCCTCGCCTACGACGAGATCCCCACCGTCGTGCTCACAGCCCTGCTGTGTGACCTGCTCGTCGACCCAGACGTGCTGGCGAAGAAGAACCCGAAGAGAAATCGACGCATCGGCGCTTTTTTGGCCCTGTTTTTTGGTGCAATGACCGCCGGGGGGTTATCGAAGGTGGCTAGTCTGGCGAGTAGTTTGTGGTTTGCTTTTGCGTTGAAGTTGGCGATTACGGTGGAATGGGTGTTTTGGAGAGCTGTGCGGGAGCGGAAAGAGAGTGGGAGTATTGTTTGATTCGGGCTTGTGGGGGTTGCTGCTCTTCTACTCTACCTTTTCGTCTTGTTGGCCGTGTCAGTCCCAGATCCATGTGGCTCTTCCTTCTTCTTCTTCTTCTTATATGTGCTATGACCCGGCTATGAAACTCTCTTCCAGCTTTGCTTTACTCCTTTTGTTAATATGCAACCGGAATACAAATTGTGATCTCTGGGCATACCCATCCTAATATAAGTACTTACCTTCTCCACGCCAACTCTCCATTCCCGATGCAACCAACCCCTTCAACCGCCATTCCCTACTTCTACCAACCTAAATTGCACCCATGGAGTGGAATCCACCCAAGATCTGAACTTCCAGGCTAGCTAGACAGTTTCACATCCCCATACTCCAAACCTCCCCTACTTGCTACATCGAAATTCCGATACCTGTCACGTGATACCAACAACCCTGAAGAATCCGGCCGACCGAGCATCCCACCCTAAGCTATCCCCGAAGCGTGCACTAGAGCAAAGATGAAGAGGGATATAATTGCCAGGGGGGTACCATAAACACAAAGTTTAAAAATATAGGCGACGGGCTTCTTAGCGGGTGTTCAAGACCAGCGTGGCTGGTATGTGATGTTCTCGTTGAACAAACATTCTCGGAGGGGTATTATTATGGGCGGGCGAGTGTTCCAACTCTGCTATGTAAGTCTGAGGTGTACTTAGTTATGGGGAATAACGCACCTCTTGAACAGATACTCTGGTGTGGGTAGTATGTTGAGTGCAGTGGCTGGGTGTTTGGGATTCCTAGCCCTGGGGCACCCATGTACGTATATATATATACCCATGATGTAGGCGGATATCCTGGCACCCCCACCCTTCTATGAAGATCATGATTCTTGAACAGACACTCCGGAGAAAGAATAAATCCTGTATGATCGGAGTGTTCGATTCGATTCTCTCAGCCCGAGGCATTCAATACAGCGCATCTCCCCCCCGCATGGACCCTATGTAAGCTAACACCATCCCGCCCACCAAGGTATATATCAATCGGATATGATCTCGTTAACCAATAACCGTCCCAGGTTCGGCGAGATGTCGAAGGAATCGCGAAAATCCACTCTGGGAAGATGACCAATAGCGCCCCGCCATTAAGACGCGTCCCAAGGTCCTGGGTACATTGGGAAGGAGTGAATGAATCATGGCAGGGGATATAAAGTTATAACTGGCCTCATGATGAGATCAATCTGGTAAATCCTGTTGACCAATGAGCTTCCTCAGCTGGGTTAGATGTCAAAGGAATCGCGAAAATCCACTCGACAGGACTAGCCAATAGCGACCCGCCATAAAGACGCGTCCCAAGATCCTGACCGTGTGGGGGAAGTGAATGGCCTCAGGATGAGATCAATCCGGTAATCCTGTTGACCAATGAGCTCCCTCAGCTGGGTTAGATGTCAAAAGAATCGCGAAAATCCACTCCGGGGAGATGGCCAATGGGGACGCGCCTGGGGACACGTCCCAGTGTCTGGGGACGTGTTTTAGGAAGGTGCGAGCCCGGAGGGGAGCGAGGTACGCTTGAGGCAGGCGCCGGTGTGAATGGTGCCAGATAGAAAGGAAGGGAAGGTACCCTACCTACCTCTGTTGACCTCAGGCCGTAAGACTGGGATGGGGCTGATGTCATGGAAATGACCTTTGAGGCTGACCATGCGTGTCGGTATTTCGGCGTGTTTTGGGGGGGGGGGGGGGATGAGTGGTTATGGGAGAGATTATTGGGGTTATGTCAGTCTACTGGTCTTTAGGGGGAATGCATCTCATGTCTAATGTAGGTAGTGTATGGTCGAGAATATTGATGTCTCTTTCAGGGAGGGAGATGAGGTTGTGTTTGGTGGTGATACGATGGGATGATACCCTACCCTGGGCTGATAGGGACTGCCGGAGGTAAGCAGAAGAAGTTTTACGGATCTACGTGTATTCATTTATACCAGCTCCACTCCGGAGTAAATAAGGCATGCCAGTTGTACTTTCAAATATCAAAAGTTGTGACAGAAGACTTCAAGGGTACGGAAAGTAAGAATTGCGATTGAATCAAATCGAATTGGATTGATAAACTAGAGATAAACACACGCGATCCAGCCAGCACTGAGAGAGAAATGTCAAACAGCACAAATTGTGATAACGCCGACCTCGATCGCGCAGATCGGAGGATAGATGGCGATAGCTGCATCACGAGTCTGGACCTTAAGCGACTTGTTGCCTCAAAAAGTACTCATATCGGACCAGGCTACCAAGCAGCTCCTGGAAAGTCCTCTGCAGCTTGGTAAGCCTCCTTATGGTGAACTCGCCTGGCAAATACCGGCCATACAGCGGATGGGACCTTTCTACATTGTCCGAGATCATCTCATTGCTCGCCATTGGGTCGTTGCCAACTATTGTGCAGGCTATCAATGATGAAATCAGATTCACATGAAAGCCCATGACGACCAGCGGGACCTGACATGGCTGGATGGAAAGATCATCATTTGGGCCAAGCCTACCCAGTTCGTAAAACCTCGCCATCACTTCTTGGTAGCTTTGCAGGGAGTTGAGCGCCCAGTCGTTCTCCATAATAGGCGAGTTGGGATACTTGAAGACATCTCGCAGACTTCCCTCAATATCTCTCTTGCAGTCTGTGATGACTTCATTGTGATCATTGCAGTGAAAAGGACTGTCTTTGTTGGCTTCCTTTATCATGACCTGCCAGACCTCGTGAGGGATAATCGAGGGGCGTCGGACTGCATGAACTAGCCTGTCCAGTTGACTATGGATCGATTCTAGCATACCATCCAATAACTTCATTTCATCGTCCAAGAAGATTGCGGCCGCGGGGTCCTGAGCTATATCATTTTCATGAACTGTAAAAGCTTGGTTAGTACCCGTGCATATGTTTTTATTGTTTATATTGGACAGCAGATGAGGAACTTACCAAATGCCACAATCACTGCGACCCTAGCCTTCATAAGCTGTGCCAGGTAAGCTGTCTCTAAGGTCATCCGCTCAGGCAGGTTCGAGTCGTGGAGAGAGTCAAATGTGCCACAGACCTCGAGCATGGCGAAGACATGCTTATAGCCGTAAATGAATCTTGTGGCCCAGTCCTCGTCCCTGTCATCAAGCTCACCCTCATAGCCTGGAATCTTAAGACGATGTTCAATCAACCCAGCCAAGAATTGGCGAGTTTGACAAACCGCATCTTCAATTTCCCGGCGAAAGTTGGTCTGGTCTTCGGGGAAGGCTCTTTTCGCGATTTGGAAATCGTGTTCGGAGAGGAAGGGACGGACTTCCGTGCGTTGGGACATAATTGCGGTGGGGCAAGTCAGTGAAACCTAGATAGTTATGGATCAAGGGGGATAGCTATGGATCAACTGGGATAGGTATGGATCAAATGAACTAATGCACCTGGGAGTATATCGTCTAGATCAGGCGCGCATGAGGGGCTTCTTATACTTCAATTATGAGTCCCGAACAAGAGGAAATTGCCTATGTCTACATATCCATATCCATGGGTGATCGGGAATCTCCACTTCAAACCTGGTCCTCGCGAGGGACATGGTGGGCGGTGATAGATACTATCCGATTCCCATCTGATACTTGCCGCAGCATCAGTCGATCTGCCTCAAGAACTCTAGAAACGGCCTGCGGAGAATACCGTCATCCTTTGCTGGAAAGTCTAGGGTGAGGAGTCTGCCTTTTGCATCAGGAGTCTTCCTGTCACATACCCAGCATCAAGCCACGAAGGCATTTACCGGCGACGGAGATTACCTACTGAGATACGAGAGATGGGAGATGGCAGACGGGTATTTTCTCCCCTCTCTAGAGATAGCACTTTATTTGGAAAGGTGCGTGTCTAGCCTAAGGCAGGTAAACAACTTGCATGAAACGAAGTGGGGCAGAAAGTCTGACCGTGAGAGAACCGTTTTCTGTTTTTCTCCACTATTCCGTCTATCTCGGGGCAGGGAGTTGAAGATGGCATCCAAGTCCGTCCAACACCCAGATTCCCCCTGCAACCAGCATCTGTCACAGAATGTATAAAGCCACCCACTACTATTGCCATCGCCATCGCCATCACCGCAACCACGCACAAGTGCAGTTCAGCCATCCCGCAGAAGCTCAGCAATAAGACCCTCCACACGACGACAGATCTCATCCCGGATCGGCCGTACGGCCTCCATGCCTCGCCCAGCCGGGTCATCCAGCTCCCAATTCAGATACCGCTTCCCTTGGAAGACAGGACAAACATCGCCGCAGCCCATCGTGATGACCACATCGCTGCTTTGAACAGCATCGGGGGTGAGCATTTTCGGCTTTTGGCCCGTGAGGTCGATGCCTTCTTCTCGCATTGCTGCGATTACCACCGGGTTGGTGGACTCGGCGGGGGCGGAGCCGGCAGAGCGGACTTCGATGGCGTCACCGGCGAGGTGATAAAGGTAGCCGGCGGCTATTTGGGAGCGACCGGCATTGTGGACGCAGACGAATAATACGCTGGGTTTCTTCGACATGGTGGGTGATTGGTGGTGCTCGCTGGTGTTGTCGGGGGTGGTTCGGTTTGTTGGTGTTATTGGGAAATTGCACGCTTTGGATTGCTTGGATTGGAGGCTCGATATCGAATAATTGAAAATCTAGGGTGATTACCTAGGACGACAGATAAAGAAACGATGATCAGGTGGGTTCATATCGTCGGTTGAATTTCACTACTCGAAGCCTGCCCAATCAATGCTAGCCAGTGACATGTCAAACGGAAAGACTACAGGCTAGCTACCGGTCTAGTATGGAGCCATTCCTAGTGGTCACAAGTCAAGTGGACTGTCAAAGGCTCCAGCTCTAGTATTGAATTTTGGAGAGTCGATATGCCCGGAGGATTCCAGGTACAGAACTACAAAACCAACCCAATCCGGGAGTACCCGTGGGCCCGTCAATGTTCTTTCTCGGGCCTTGTCCAATCAGGATCGTCGAGTGACATTCCAGTACCAGCCCAGAACTTTCCGTGGTCAAGTCAAACGTTCACACTTTGCGTAGTGCTAAGTGGGAGGCAGTGGGACACTCCCTAGGATTCAACAAGGGCTGTACGGATTACAAATCTTTATCCAAATTAATTATAGGGAAATTTGATCTGAGAACTCGTAGAACCACATCTTGGACGAGTGAGGACGTTCAATACTGCGCGTCTAGTGTGGCTAATGCACCCCATCTAGTCAGAACCTTGTGGATTGACAAGTCCTTCACATACGAATCACGGCCCACCACCAATAGATACGGGCATCCAAAATCGAGGCTGATGAAACGCTAAGATGTGGAGCCGGGTCGAGAATCGCCCTTAGCCGTGGAGGAGTGGGGGCAGCGTTGGAGGATCGGACAGGGGAAGATTCGACAGGGACCATGCACGCAACAGGGCTGAATCCCACCAGCCTTTCTCTGTCAATGAAGAAACCGGAGGAGTCGGAGAATGCCGATCCAGCAGCGGTTCACACGACACGGTCGGCGGACATGCAGCATGCCAGTCTGTTGTTGAGGGTTGACTGTGGGTTAGTCACCGCCACGTAAAGGGTGCTAAAAATACCCCCCGCCCAGCCACGCGCTAGCCCGATCGAGCAGGAATTTACAGGCTGGGCAGGCGAAACGCGTAGGCAACGCTCGTCTGAGACACCAAGACTCAATAGATAAATATGCCTTCGTCTCCTCCGGCTGAGCTTTTCGTCCTTTGACCACTCACTTACACAACCTCACCTACTTCACCATGGCGCCCTCCTACATGGTCCTCGATCAACGCGCCCTTGACCCGGCTGGGTCCCATATGTTCAAGCGCGATCTCAGCGTCAACCACACCCAGGCTGTGACGCTGGGCGTCATGGCAGCGTATGTCGTGGTGATCGCGCTGCTGTGGAATTTGCCCTATGTTCGCTGGTCGCTATGGCCGTTCAAGGTGAGCGATCACAGTCTCCCAGTTTCAGCTGCGCGAGCCGTAAATAAATGCTGACTGCGACAGATGTTGGTTATTGCCTTCCATGAATTCGGCCACGCCATTACCGCGTGCTGTACCGGCGGCCGGGTCAAGTCGATTTCGCTCGATCCGCACGAGGGAGGAGTTACGCATATGACGGGTGGAATGAGCGCAGTCACTCTCCCGGCGGGATATCTCGGGTCGTCGATTATCGGATCGCTGTTGATTTTCGTGGGCTTCGACATCGTTGCTAGCAAGGTCGCGAGCATTATACTGGGGGTGTGCTTTTTGCTCACGCTTTGGTGGGCGCGCAGGGACTGGTTGACTATCGTTACCGTGCTGCTTGCTGTGGGATTGCTCGTGGCGTGCTGGTTTATCGCGCATGGCGAGGCCTTGAGATGGGTTGTGGTATGTGAACTTGGCCTGTCTAAACAGGAGTCATCAAGACCCGTGGGGGGGGGAGCGTTAGCTAACTGATATCACAGCTTTTTATCGGCGTTATGTCTGCTTTATACAGCGTCTGGGATATTGTGAGTCTAATTCTACCACCCTATAGCCTTTCCGTCAACATGCTAATCGCAGACTCAAACAGTGCGACGACCTGATCCTTCGAAAAGTCAACACGTCCGATGCCAGCCAATTCGCCCAGAGATACGGAGGCTCCTCTCAGTGCTGGGGTGTTCTGTGGTCATTCATCTCCCTCGCCTTCATCGCCATTGCGATCGTCGCTGCGATAGCAGCATTCCGCGAGTCGTTCAGCGAGCAGGAGAAGGACTCGCAGCACTTCATCCCGACTCGGTGATAGACCAGCTCAGTTACGTTCTTTTTCATGATTTATGAGTTATCGCGCATGACGGGGCAGATTGGAGGGTTGGGGAATCGATGCTTTTACTGATACCATGTTTGTTTTTGGCTTGATGATCCGCTGGCGGATATGAATAAACTTGCTCAAATGGCGTTATTAATGTAGCGATCCAGTGGAGATCCCAGGAGAATTATGGGTTACCAAATGCGACATGCACTGGGGATCTACGGTTTCCATCATACCGTCGGACCGGGACAATAACTTCATCCTCTGTCCACAGTCTACACCTATAGAATATCAAAGCCCGCTCCCACTTCCAAAGAATCTTCAATAAATCTAGTGATCACTCAGGTAACTTTACATCCTTTCCTTTGCGGTCGAAGTATATCATCCGGAGACCCTGCGGGGCATCATCACCCGAGCTTCCTGCTCATTCCGATTATCCCCGGGTGTCGCACAGCCAGCCACCTTTCTCATCTTCCGGTGTTGTGTTATTAGATGACGTACTGCTCATTATCTCCCAATGTCATAGGTCAAAGTCTGGTCAACTTCCAAATTTTATCCCTATTCCACTGAACCAGTCGTAGATTGATGACATGATTGAGACCGGGACTCGGTTTTCCTCTTGGTCTTGTGCTCTCCTGATGGTTTTTCTCGGACCATATTCCTGAACGTCATGCTTGATATCACGATTATTGGGAGCGCCAGAGTTTCTGTTGTGAGTCTGATCCGAAGATGACAAAGTCAAAGTGGTGGTTCTCTATACCAGCTTGGACCTCTATCCTGACAACATGAAGTTCTACTTTGCACGCCTGATGCTGTGGCTCTACTGGGGTGGCTTTTCTAATGAGATGGTGCCGGTTATTTATAGTAAGGTACACTCGATTATGCAATTCAGCTCATACATTAATCAGTTATCAATCTTGCCAGTTGGTCCGAGGTGAGATAACTTCCGGATCTACGCTCATCCAGGCCCCCAATGGAATTTGACACCTTTCGAGGCCTAAATTAATTGTGGGGCATTAAGAAATAAGGTATTCTGCCGACAACAAATTAGGAAAGAAAGATCGAGCCATGGAGTCAGTGGATCGAATCAGAACGAGAGAAGTGGTGGTGGCCCGGATATCCCTTCTCGTTATATCCGCAATTCCGACCGCATCCCCAATTGAGCTTCGGCCGCCGCTCGTACTTAAACTCGCTGGTCCCCACCTACACTCTTCGACGAAGATGCTCCCTCGCCTCAACACCATGTTGTGTCAAACTCGAAGAGCAATATGATCCGGGCCTAGGTTATCGTCTACCACTCAGTCATGGCAGATCCCGATATAGCCGGAGCAGCCGGTCAGACCCCGACAGCCGCCAAGGACGGACCCAAAACACCGTCCTGTGTAGTCTGCCAAAGACGAAAGGTCAAGTGTGACCGTCAGGATCCCTGTTCAGCTTGCACCAGAAACGGGGCAGAGTGCATCTATCGCGCCCACTTGCCCCCTCGTCGTCGCAAGAGACAGCGCTCGGAAGACGTTCGCAGCCAGAGTGATGTCCATGCGCCTAAGCAAAGTGATTTGGCGGTTGGTGCGAGACCACAGGTTTTCTCTCCAGCAACGACGCATCATGGGTCGCCAGCTATCACACAGTCTGAGCCTGGGATGCTGATTACTGGAGCTGGGAGATCCGTCTACGTCGATGGGTGAGTTGCTTGCCCCTTCTTCAAAACAACCCGCTGACATTCGCCTAGCAACCTCTGGAATAGCGTTCGCACGGAGGTAGGATTGAACCATCTATTCTCTCATCGGCAACTTCTGACAGGGTCTAGCTTCCTCCCGCTGAAGATATGTTGCGGGATGTCTCGTACACTGCTTCTCCCAGCCAGTCTTCACAGGATCAAGATGACGAGTCCTCCCTGATCTTAGGTTCGAAGTCCGCAAGAAACATCACTGCTCTTCACCCCCCGACGCTACATATCTTCAAATTGTGGCAGGTGTTTCTAGAAAATGTCAATCCTCTGGTCAAGATCCTACACGGTCCCACCGTTCAGCAACAGATCCTTGAAGTAACTGGTGATCTGACCTCAATCCCAAAAGGATTTGAAGCACTTATGTTCTCCATTTACTGTGTCGCGCTGGTCTCGATTGATGCAAACGAGACACAGAAGACCTTTGGCGAAAGTAAAGCAAGACTTCTCTTGAAATACCGACGTGGAGCTCGGCTTGCCCTGTCAAATGCGGGCATTCTGCGCACATCAGATGTTGTAGTTCTTCAGGCATTTGTCTTGTACCTCGTGAGTATCGAACTCATCCCCACCATAATTAGTCTCCTAACACCATACCTAGCTCTCAATGCGCTCATTCTCCGACCCCCAGTCCATCTGGTCCTTGTGTGGCCTTGCAGTCCGAATGGCCCAGCGGATCGGTCTTCACCGGGATGGCTCACACCATGGGCTTTCCGTGTTCGAGACTGAAATGCGCCGTCGCCTCTGGCTCCAGCTGACCATACTAGACGCCACCACCGCACACAGCTCGGGAATCATGCCCCAATTATCTTTAATGGTGACAGACGTCCAGCGACCCTCCAACGTCAACGACTGTGATCTAGACCCGCGCATGACCGACACCCCTCGCGAGCACGGCGGAGCAACAGAGATGATATTCTGCCTCGCAAGATGCGAATTCGGGGAATGGATCAAGCGTTGGTCCAAGATCACCGGCACCCAGGGAACCCACAGCTTCTTATCCTCGCCTGCCATCTCGCTGGCCGAGAAGGACCGCGCGATCGATGAACTCAGCCATACCTTCGACACCAAATACCTCTGCTACTGCGACACGTCAATCCCCCTCCACTACATGACCACCATCCTCATCCACTCCCTAATCTACATCCTACGCTTCTCCGCCCACCACCCCCGCCAATACACAGACCACATATCCCAGCCCGAACGAGACCACATCTTCTCCATCTGCCTACGCGTCGCCGAAAACTGCCACGTCGTCCAGAATGGCACTACCACCCAACGCTACATCTGGCACGTGGAAAACCACATCCCGTGGGAAGCGCTGATATACATGCTTTACGAACTAGGATGTCGCGTCGACGAAGAAGAGACGCGAAAGGCATGGTTTCTCATCGACAGGATCTATAGCCGACACTTCCGCGACATGAAGCACCGAGCGCGGACGGCCTTCTCCGTCGCGATGCAGAATCTGATCGTCAAGGCGTGGAAGGCACATGTGGGGGAGCGTTCACGGCGTAATAAGCCTTCGCTGCCGTGTCCGGAGATTGTCTCGACTATATCGGAGCGGGATAGGCACGCGACGATCTCTCCTCTCGCATCCGAACAGACGAGAAGAGAAAGTCGCAGTCACGAAGCTCCGTCTGGGCTGTTTGATGCGAGCGAACTTGATCTCGGTCCGATGGACTGGGGCCAGTGGGACGGCCTTCTGGGGCAGTTTCAGCAATATACGAACGATGACCTGTTCGCGGTGGATGTTAATGTTTACGAGTGAGCTGTCGCGATTACCGGTCTTCAACTTCCCACTATATCATATAAATATAGCATGGGTTTTCTGCGACCAGTGGAAATCTGGTCTGTGCCGTTACATGTCGGATCCCTGGTGTCGGTCGCTCGCAGTGATCAGTTCTCTGACTCCGCTATATCCCGTCTTTCTGGTTCTTGAATGTCCTCCATATCCCACCCATTCCAAAGCCTATAAGTATTCGTGGTCTTCCATACCATCAAATCCGTATCCTGTCGCCCCCCTCCCCCTCCCCCTCCCCCTATTCACAACGATATTGGATATATGCCATGGGTCTGAAAAGATGGAGGAATAGAATAGCGAGGAGAAAGATGGTCGGTCTCCCATTGACTCCGCCTGCAATATCATATAGTACATGATCTTGATGGGGCTATGAATTATAAATATCATACTACGCTGGCAGGTGATTTATATTATATACTTTTGTCATCAAAATAAATGTGGATCATGAGAGTAACTTAATAGCACAATGTCCAATGGGCTATAAGTGCCAGTAATAATGAATAAAGTCATCGCAGCGCTAAACAACACACACACACACACACACACACACCCAATACATACATACCCTAGCCACGGCACCAACCACCCCACCCCCCTTCCCAAGACAATCATTGTTCATCCGTTGAAAACACATTTACAACTCTACTAGACGAATGCTAGCAGGCTCAGACATAATAGTAAGACATGGTTATGGTATACCATTGATCTGACCTGATCTAAATCAACCAACTCAACTCAACTCATAGACCATTATTCACATCAACCATCCCATCCTGTCCCGTCCTGTCCACCGTCCATCCGACTGTCTCAGATCACATCAATCAGGGGAGGAAAGAACAAAGTCTCAAAAAAAAAGAAAGAAAGAAAGAAAGAAAGAAAAGGGAAAGAAGGATAGGAAAGTTCGACCATAGAAGATCTAGCCAGAGCCCCGAATCCAAGACAAGCGGACGCAAGACATGGCGGCAGGATAGGACAGGACAAAGAAAAGGAAAGGGTAAAGAAAAGGTAGGTAGGTAAAAGCGAGACAGAATGCAAGGCTAAGAGGATAAGAAAAAGGGGTTTCATGCGTGTATTCGTTCAAGCGCAGCAGGACGAAGTTGGGACATGAACCGAAGCCAGAAGAGGAAGAGAAGGAAGGGGAAGGGGAGGGGGAAGAGGAATCAGTATTAATACATTAGTAGAATTGGAACAGGGGCGTTTCTATCCTGATATCAACACCCAGAGAAGAAAGAAAATCTGTAGGGTTGGGTTAGTGGTGGTCGTGTGGAAGAGGGTTGAGGGGTTATAATGGGTTGGGTTGGGGGCTCACCATTAAAACGCCAAACATCTTGGCGAGGAGCCAGCGGTTTCCGGATACCCGCGTCCAGTACTTCAGTAGCTCGCGCTGTGCGCCTTGCACGTTGTCTACCACGTCCTCCGTGTTGGCGTCTATCCGCTGGATCATCTCGGACTGTTCGCTGACCATCTGGGCCAACTGGCCGAAGATGCCGCCTAGTTCGTTGATGGTCCGTTCGATCGCATCAATCGCCTCGCCTCGTCCCTGGATGTATGCGTTGCTGGTCTGGGCTTCCTCCATAACCAGTAACTGCTGGTCTGATTGTATGGACGGGCGCCCGAGAGGCGATGGGTTTGAGGGTTCGAGGGTGAGCAGGTCCGAGGAGCCGCCCGGCTGGGGCGTTCTCCGGCCCGAGTTGTACAGCGGGGAGTCGGAACGCTGCGAGTCCAGAGCGGTATGCGACTTTGACGACACCGACGAGACGAAGTTTTCCGTCCGCGATCGCGACGCTTGGATGTTCTTCGTGCGGACCTCGAGGACATCTTTGAAGTTTGCCCCCACGTCCGCCAGTTTCCCTTGCAGCATGACCACGACCTGACCCGTTAGCCTGTTGTCTTGACTGTGTGTGCTTGTTCATCGATTGGGAATCCACGTACATTGTCATTGTGCTCGCCCTCCTGGTCCGCCTTGGACCGGGTGTTCTTGGGGTGTTGGGAAAGGGTGAGCGCCTGCAATGAGGCGATTTGCTGGTTCAAGGACGCGAGGTCCTGCTTGATGACGAACGTCAACTGGGAGATTTCGTGCGGTTTATCATCGAAAAGCGTCTTCCGTTTCGCCACTGCGACAAACGATCATCAGAACTATTGCCTCTCCAACGCACGCATGCATCTAGGCTACTCACACTCGGCCAGTCTCCTCAACTTAGCCGTCGTCGCGGTGATGCCGCGGCCGATCTCGACAGCTCGCCGGGCAAACTCCGACCGTCGCTTGCCCGGTTGTCCGTTGACGGGACCGTTCGCTTCTTTCCGCTGTGCATCGGACAAAAGAGATTGACGCTGGGAGCCGACCTTGTTCGAGGCCATGCGCTTCTGGGCCTGGCCCAGAATGGCGTGGAACTCGCCGGTGCGGTCTTGGATGGACGGGCCGGTCATTGTGCCGGGTGAGGGGAGCGTCTGGTGGAGGAGGAGGAGGGAGAAGGGCGGCAGATAGACAAAAGGGACAGTCGATCACGATACACGTAATGTACAGGGCCGAGAGCCGGATTCCGAATGAATGTGCGACGTGATATCCACGGAGTCGATCTAATCGATAAGCAGGCAACTGGAGACGTGTCCGTTTGTTGGGAGTGGTGATGGTGAGAAGTAGACGGGTAGGAAAGAGGGGAGAGTGAGAGACAAAGAAGAACGGCGATGAGAGGCTTAACACAGGGCCATGTCAGTCCACCGAGACAATCGACAACCTCCGCAGCAGGGCACGGGGGAGAGAGAGATGGCGATGGCGAGGATGAGAACGTCGTCTCCGGCCGAAAGGGGAAAGGCGGAGCCCCAGCCACGTGCACGCACCAGCCACCCCGGCTCCCTCGCCACAGTTTATGCACCAGCCACGAGGTGCCCCAGGCGGCAACGATGGAGACTCGCTCAGGGGAACCTCAGGCTAACTTGCAACCATCCGATCGGTCATACTATACGGCCATTCCGGTTCCTCGACACTCGACACACTCCAGTCCATTCCACTCTCTATCTACTGCCTACTGCCTACATCCACTCTCTCTCTCTCTCTCTCCCCCTCGAATCGACACCGCTCGTTGCCTCTCGCCTTCTAATTTTAACCCTCCACGTCACCCCTGCTGCCCTGCTGCAGTCCTGCTGCTGCCTCCCCGTGGCTTAGCGGGCCATCCTTGCCCCCACGTCATCTTCGTGAAACCAACTCCTCGTTCTCCCGCCTCTTCCATTCATTCTCGCTGCATCTTCGCCGACCCGTTACGACGACGACGACGTCTTCGATACCAGCATATCAGCCCTTGGCACAGGACATGCCGATCGGGAGATCACACCGACTGTACTGTTAATGTTCACGGTCGGCTTGACACGATCGGATCTATGAGCAATGGCGCGCCAGTTTCAGCCGTATGAGCCGGAGCTTCACAAGCTGTAAGCCATGCGTCGATGTTGCTTGCAGGAACACGCGACTAATTAGCCCATTTCTTATGTACAGCTCCTCTCCGAATTCCGAAACCCCCAGTTCTCCCTTCCCCCGTGGGGAGACACCCTTATCCTTCAAGACGAATGTGAACCGGTCCAAGACGAAACGATGGGTGGAAGCGAAGAAGTATTCCTATGATGGCAACGACTGGGGAGACGATGAATATGACGAGTATGACGATGATGATGGGCCACCGCCCCCAGTACCAGCAGTTCCCAGCTCGAATCAGAGCACCGGCGATATCCCAGGCATGTTCACTCGGGGCATGGCAAGGCCGCCGCTCCCCTCGATGGATCGCTCGCGGTCCCTGGATCATGTGGCCACGCTGGACGCTGCCGCTGCCGACAGCCGTAGCCGGTCTGTAGATCGCACCGCGACCGATCCCAATAACCGCACCGTCCCTATTGTGCGCCCGGCGGAAATCTACAAGCGGATCAGGGCGGAAAGTGCAACGCGACCGCAACCTCCGGCCGACTATTTCGCTCTGAATCCGTCGGGGGCGGGGCCTCCCGTCCCTGAGTCGGCGTCTCAGGATATCCCGTCTGCCTCGCGCGCACCGGAGGCAGCGGGTGCCCCCGACGATCATCCACTCCACCAGGCCCAGGGGAGCTCCAAACCGTCAGATGTTGAGGGCACTCCCAAGGGATCCTATTCTTCTGAAACACGGGGGAGTGACCCTCCCGGCATCAAACTGCCCGATGTGAAGCGTCTCTCTGGCTTTAGCCCGGACCTCTCGTTCGGTCCCGCCCTCCAGACCCAGACCCAGGACGAGGCGGAGCCGGGCCATCAGCTGCAGCACAATCCGTCCTTGGGGTTCCGGTCCGTAGTACATCAGGCGTTCGATGTGCCCGACACACCTAGCAGCACCGTCGATAGCGTTGGCCGGTCCAATAGCGATAGCACCTCGGTGATCAGCCCGATCATTGCACAACGCAACCCCAGCGAGACGAAGACGCCGACGATTGTAGAGGAGCCGGAAAGTATCACGACCCCAAGCGATGCGCGGGGAAGCATGGTGTTCAAGCCCGGTCATCGTCGTGATCTCAGCCTTCCGAGCCCAAATAACAGCCCTTCCCGGACACCGGTCGTGACCAGTGTCCAAGGCGCTCCTCTGTCCGCCGCAGGCGAGATGACGTCGGACTCGCCCCTGAATCTCTACTCAACCTCCCCGAAAGCTGCGGTGCAGCTGCCCGAGGCCGGGAGGGATCTTCCTGCCCCCCTCAGCGTCGGGACCAGCCACATGACGTCCGAGCCTATAATCACCGCCGATGATGGGGTCCCTGTGGTCATTCCGTCCCTAAGTACGGACAACTCTCCGCAGGACACCGAGAGCGACCGGCTGAGGAAGGAAATCATGCGATCCTTGAGCCGCGAAAACACTCCTTCGCAGGAACTCGAAAACCCCGTCGAGTCCCAGTCGGAAGCACGACAGGACAGTCTGATCCCCAGCGAATACGAGCGGTACTGGAGTGAAGAGCCCCTCTCGAGTCCCCAGGGGGCTACGCCAGAATACAGCACTCCCCCGATCATCCCCGATGCACCTCCACCGGCCCTGGATTCTGCTGCCGCGCCCGCGAGACCGAAACTCGGGCGGCGATTCTCCTGGGAGTCATCTTCGTCTGGGGGACCTACCCCGGAGGCTGACGTTCCCGCCACAGAGGCCGGTGTTCTTGCCACGGAGACTGGTGTTCCTGCGACGGAGACTGGCGTCCAATCGCCCGCTGCCCCCATGCCTGGGCAGTTCCCCGTCCCCAGCGAGAACGAAGCGCAGCCGGAGGAGACAATTCCCAACTACGAGCAGGTTGTGGAGGAGAGCGCGGAAAGCGAAGAGCCACCGCCGGAGAAGCCCAAGCTGAGCATCGTCCCTCCCATCCCGGACAACCGCAGCATTATCTCGGACGGCCAACTGCCGGAAGTCTACAATGCGGAGGCCATCCCGGACTCTCACGCTGATGAAGGGCCTGTGGCTGGCTCCGACCGACGGGCTTCCCGCATCATGTTTACTACGCCCACAACCACCGAACCGATCTTGCTCGGCTTCCGTGAGATTCTGGGGATGAAGACGTCGGAGGACCGCGTGCGGGCGTTCAACGAGAACCGGGCGAAGTTCGGGACGATCGACACGGGGCTGAACCAGTGGCTCTCGATGACAGTGCAGGCGCATCCGGAGCACAAGGACGTGGTGGAGAAGAGCATGAAGCAGACGCCCGGCGGGGTGGTCAAGGCCCCCGTGTCGCGTGGCAAGTTCCCGAAGAAGCTGGCGTCGCTGGGCAACTTCGCATCGTCGCATCCGGATGGATCACCATCTGGGTCGGGCCACGTGCGACGGCCATCGGCGCCGTTGGGGGCGATGATGAACAAGCAGCAGGTGGAGCAGCGCGGCAAGGAGCTTCTACACTCGGCGGGCGTGCTGGGCGGGCGCGCAGGCGAGGCGGCCAAGGGATTCTTTGCGCGCGGCCGCAGTAAGCTGAAGGGCAGTGGGAATAATGACAAGGTAGATTCATAATCTCTTTTCCGATGATGGGCGGCACGGCGGGTTTATCTTTATGTTTTTTTCTCTTTGGATGTGATTGATGTGTTGGTTTGTTGGTTGATACCATGGTGTAATTGGACATATCTCAGTGCTTCAGAATGCGACATGAATGATGTCTCAACTCGACTCGACTCGACTCGATTGTGACTCTATCCACTCTACTTACTGTTCTCCTTTTGATTGCCTCTAATGTGGTGATCTGTAGGGATTCCATGCCTCGCGCGGCTATTGGCGACCGGTGACCCTGGCCGAGCTGCAGGAGGCATCAGCCCTAGGACTAGGTGAGCCTAGCATCACGACCCGGCCCAGCCACCAACGCCATAGCGTGCACTTTGGCAGCCTCCCCGTCCTAGAGCCGGCGGGTGCGCGCCCGGGCGGACTGCATCGGTTGAGCTGGGCGATGAAGCGGAAGGCGGTGCCTACAGGGATGGAGAGAACCGAGAGGGCAGAAGAAGATGGACCTGGCCGTAGCAACGTCAGCAGCAATTGCGCAGTCCCCGGCACGAGCCGGATCCAAGTGAGGGTGAACGGAGCGCCACTGACCTTCGCGACCGACGAGGTCATCCCTGGCGATATCCCGGGCCAACAAAGAGTCCGTCCCCCCATCGGGGATGCGTCGCCCCCTGCAGCCCCAGCCTTTGTTCGGCCCTCCTCCGTCTCGTCATTGGGCAGCCTGGACGTTGCTGATCCTCCCCTCGCCAGGGCGCTTAACGGTGAGTGCCTCCTGTCTGTCCAGGCCACCATGTCACCACGCTCACCTCCTCTCTCGTAGCCCCTGCCGGCGTCTCCAGCCTCTCTCTCCCATCCACCGTGGGCGATTACCACACCGCTGGCATGGATGTCGCTCCCGGCGAGGACCGAGCCATGCTGAGCCCGTATCACAGTCAGCCCCAGGCCCATTCGCGCGTCAGCAGTGTGTCGACCCTCGCGGCGAGTCGGCAGTCGAGCCGCGCAACGGCCGGAGCAGGAGCAGGCGCAGAGGCAAGCGCCCCTGCGCGATCCCCAGAGGCCTCGCCGCACGCACGCCTGGCTGCGATGAAACAGAAGTATGGCGGCAAGATCCGGGACATCCGCCGCATCTCGCTGGGGCCCAGCAGCCCATCGGAGCCCAAGCCGGCGCCGTACAAGCACGCCCTGGATCGGCTGACAGTAAGACCAGGACCCAGTGGAGGAGGATGACTCGTGTTCTACTCGTGCCTGACATCTCCAGGGCCTTCTCCGCACAAATCTCCGTCCCCACAAGTCCAAGCCGGACGGATCCAAGCACGCATCGTCCTCGAGGCCTGAAACCCCCGCTGCGCTGCCGTCATCGTCGGTGTCTCGTCGCCCGGTGCCCTCATCCTCATCGTCATCGTCGCTCTCCCGCCACGGCCACCCGCCGTCCCACACGCGCTTCTACTCACTCGACCATCGTCTCCCTCTGATCCGCTCCTCCTCCGCGCTGTCCAACCCACGTTCCAAGCCTGCCAGCACCGACGATCTCCCCCGCACCGCATCCGGCATCCCCCGCATCCCCACCCCGGACTCCTTCCGCCAGGCCCAAACCCAACCCCTCATGCTGTCGACCCCCGTCCTGCCCATTCTCACTCCTGCCCACTCCCAGCCCGACTACTTCTCCTTCATCGGCCCCAGCCATGCTCGTTCCGCCGACGACCCGCCCCCGGAACGCGGTCGCGGCAACGTCCGCGAGTACGTCCAGGACCTGCACTTCCGCTCCCGCAGTCCGAAGGAATCCGCGCCCCGTCCGGATGAGTTCTCTCTCCCGGTGACAGACCAGACCGACCCGGCGATCGGGCTGGGACGGTTTGCCCTGAATCCGCGGACCAGTCGCGTAGGCGATCAGGAGTTGCCGTGGAAGCTGACGATCCCGGGTTTGGGGGGAGATGTGGATGTGGATGAGCGTGAGGCGCGGGGAGGGCTGACCGTCGTGCCGGGGATAGCATCGACCACCCTTGCCCATGAATACTCCCATGCCCACGCCCATCACCAGAAAAGGGACCACAGATTCCCCCCCGAGCAGGGCATCTCCACCCTATCCCCCATCCCCGAACCGGCCACGGAAGAATCTCCGCGCGAAACAGCCCCTCTTTTCTCTCTTCCTCTCCAAACAACCTCCCTCTCCGTCTCACCTTTCCCATCGACCTTCCTGTCGGCCACTCCCTCTCCTCCTTCAACTACTTCGCCGTCTCAATCGGCAACCCCCACTCCAGATCACCATTACCATTCTCATTCTCTCCCGGAATTACATTCGAAGCCCCTCTGCAAAGACGCCCCTTGCTCGACGACGAGTCTTCCCCATACTATCCCCCCGCATCCGCGTCTCCCGCCACCACCACCACCACCACCGCCTCCATCGATTTCGCCTCCTTCGGTTCCGACGATCCAGACTCAGGCTGAAGGGGAAGAGGAAGAAAAGGAGCAGGATAAACCCCTGTCTCAACCTCCACCTCCACGTCAAATACAAGTTCTAGTTGAGCTTCAACCCCAACCACAATCTCACTCTCATGACCATGGTAATGGTAATGGTAATGGTAATGGTCACGATCTCGATCACGATCCATCAAGACAACGAATCCCATCTCCCACTGAAACCGATATCGAGAAATACACCCCTTTCCCCCTCCAACCTCCACTCCAACCCCATCCTCACGATCAGGATAAGAGTCATCCTACCGACTCCACCACCACCACTACCAATCTCAACCCTCATTCCACTGAACCCCCCGCTCCAGTCACCGACCAAGAACGCAGTCCACGCAGCGAGAGGGTGAGAGAACGTAAAGGTGAGTGTGAGGATGAAAATGAGAATGGTAATGAAAGCGAAAGCGAAAGCGAGCCCGAAATCATCATGTCGAGCACCGCCTATCCCGGACAGGAGTGGCGGCCTGCCGGGTATATGGGGTATGAATAGGTCGATCAACCCGACCCGACTAATCCGGGATGTGGGATGTGGGATGTGGTGTTTTTTTTGCGGGGGGGGGGGGGGGGAGGAGAAACGGGGGAGGCGGAGGTGAAATGGGACGTATAGAGGGAGAGGAGATGCTTGGTACTAGAGATGGATGGATTTGGTCGAGTGATTGATGGATTGATGGATTGATGGATTGATGGATTGATGGATTGGGTTGGTTGGATTAATCGGGTTGGGGATCAAGATATGGAAGATACTGTCAAACTATGTATCGTCATCAGATCAGACCTCAGGTCTATGATACATACATATACATAGTTTGACAAATGGCGATGGATAGCTATGGTGGGAGGGATATGAATGGGGACGGTGGCAGTGACGCTGGCCATGCATGCATGCATGATAGAAGAACATGGGCGGTAATAATGATGTGTATGGTACGGTATGATACGACACGGTACGGATGGGAACTGGATATCACCACAAACAAGCATATGATGGATGTATGGGTGGATGGATGGATGGACAAGAACAGGCATTTACTTACTTGATGGGGTTAATAGTCATAATAATAGGTTAATGTGGGGGATGAATTACAGATACCCTGATTTACTTTTTATATTCCTTCAGTCTGTCTTCTTTCTGGAGTGTTCTTTACATATATCGAGTCCCTTGTGGAAGATGCAATGGATCTATTTCTGTCTGCCTTGTTTATCTATCTTGAATATGATGGGGAGAGGTGTATACTATACAGTCCACCATCTCTATTATTATATAGGTCTGTCTGTCTTTTTGTGTATTCTTGATGGGTGAGGGGTGAGTTGAGTAGAGATGAGAGGATGGAGAAGAAGGGTTGGTTCCAGACGAGTCTGGTAGAGGAAAGGAAGGTGGTGGGTAATGGGTAAGGAGGGTAAGAGGACGTTCAAAGAGAAGGTGGAGGAGAAGACGAAGAAGAACAGTAAGAAGGAGAGTAAGAATGAGAAGAAAGAGAGATCACCCCTCAAAAACATTCTGACTCAACTCCACCCCCATCTCCTTCGCCATACCCTGCATCTGCGCCTCAATGCTATCCTCCATACCTCCACCAAGCCTCAAAAACTGTCTGATCTTCGTAAACCAAAAGAACAGATCACTGCTGAACAGCACGACGCGGAACAGCATATGGCGCGCGAGATTGCGCATCTTCTCGCCGACAGGGAGGTCGGGCGACTCGACGAGCGCGCGCGACGCCCACGTGCCCGTGATCTTGACGCGGTTGACGGGCGAGCCCAGGAACTGGTTGTTGGCTTGGACGATGCGCAGGTTGCGGCCCAGGAAGATGAGGGGGCGGGGCCACTTGGTTTCGTCGCCCAGGACCTCGCGGATGGCCTTGCGGGCGGCCTGTTGCATTTCGTAGTGCCGGGTGGCGCGCTCGGATTTGCTGAGGCCGACGAAGGAGCGCTGCGTCGAGAGGTCGCCGCCATTGTAGGGACGCATGAGCGTCGCCGAGGCGAAGATGTCGGTATTTTGCACCCCCCAGCCGCGGACAATGGAGGTCAGGGTGCTGTTGTCGAAGGTGAGGAGGGCTTTCCAGAAGCGGGCGTATTGGTGTCGGAATTCGGGGTCCATGTGGATGTAGAGGCCGTGGTCGATTAGGACGAGTTCCGGGTGGCCGGAGGGGGTGCGGCGGATGAAGATGTTGCCGGGATGAGGATCGCAGTGCACCCAGCCCCAGAGGAACATCTGCGCGGAGAAGAGGTCGACCATTGTGGTCATGACTTCCTTCAGGGAGAGCCCGAGGCCTGCACGTGCGTAGCCGCCGCGCCAGTGGTCGCGCTCCGGCTTGATTTTGGATGTGAGCTGCGGGTGTTGGGACACCTTGGTGACGGGGTCTTCTGTGTTGGGCGGGTCGAGGGGCGTGCCGTGGCACCCGGGGGTACCGGTGCGCCAGCCCCCGCGCCACGTCCGCGTGATGGAGTCTTTGTCCCAGAGACGGACGCCCTCGATCCATTCGGCGGTCATGACGCGCTTGGAGCTGAGCTCGCGGTAGACTTTGGGGATGTACACGCGGCCGCGGAGGCGGGACTCGCCGGCCACAAGACGGGCCATGTTCTCGGCATTGTCGGCCTCGTTTTCAAAATCGGTCTCCAGAGAGAGGCGCTCGGAGACGTAGGGGACGAGGCCGTAGAAGGGGATGTCGAAGGTGCGGCTGTAGATCCAGGCGACGACTCTGGTTTGGTTAGCTCTAGCCATTGCCAATTAGGAATGAAGATAGACATACTTGAAAGCCCATAGATCCCACTTCAGCTGCTGGGCAATCTCCCGTTTCTGGATCTTGATCGCCACCTCACGGCCATCGGGCAACCGGGCCCAATGCACCTGAGCGACGCTGGCGCTGGCGCGCGCCGTGCGCTCCATGACGCCCTTCCCGGGCTCGCCCGTGAAGGAGACGCCAAAGACCTCCTCGGCGGAACGGCCGAAATCCTCGCGGATGACCTTGTCGACATCCTTCCAGTCGTTCTGGGGGGCATCGTCGAACATGCGCGAGAACATCTTCTGGAACTCGGGCGGCAGGATGCCCGATTGCATGGCGATGGCCTGGCCGATCTTGAGGTACAGACCGCCATTATGACGCAGGAGATCGGAGAGGCGCTCAGCGTTGCGCGTGTGCACGGCTACAATGGAGCTGGCCAGGGGCGGGTTCGGACGGAAGTTGATCTTGTAGTCGAGGGCCACCAGGAGGCCCAGGCTGAAGGTGCGAGCGGTTCGGGTCAGCGACGAGGCGTAGAACTGGGTGTCGCCGACGTAGACGACGCCCGTGGCGAGGGAGATGTAGGCAATGCGCCGCAGCCATTTGCGGGTGCGGGTGTAGGTCTTGGCTGGGGTGGGCTTGCCTAGGGAGGCGGGCGAGGGGGGGACGAAGGGCTGGTATCGGCCGGGGTGGACATGGCGGGCGAGTTGCGGGCGGGCCAGCTGGGGGGGAAGGGTGCGCCAGGCGCGGGAGAAGGTGGCCGACGCCATCATGAAAAGATCTGGGGAGTGGAATTGAGGAGCATTGCGGGGTGATGTGACGAGGGGGTTGCGGTGGTGGTGGTGGTGCAGCTGCTGGTGAGAAAGAAGAGGAAGAGGAAGAAAAGCAGCAGATGACGTGAAGCGGAGAGGATGAGTTGCCCGATCGGGTTCGGCGCGGAGACTGGCCGGGGCGGAGATAAGCGGTGTTACTGTACGGTTCAGATATTGTATTATGGAGCATTATTACAGTACAGGAATACAACAATGGAGGGGTTCATCATCAGAACGAAAGCATCTCCTCCACCGCCATCCTTCCCAAATCCAATCCCCGACACACCCCCGCGTACTCGCGCATCTTGCCCGGAATGATCTCCTCCCACAACTCATCCTTCTGCAGCCACTCGTACTGCTCCCGACACACCGGCTCCGACGCCAGCGGCAGCAGCGTTCCCAGGTTCGTCAGCGCCGCCCGTACAAACCCCTTCTTGAAGCACGTCCCGAACGCCGCCATCGTTTCTTCGTCCGCGCAGATGTCTCGCCCTTGAAGCAGTGGCCCGCACTGTCGCTTGATCACGTCTGCCACATCGTCTCCCAGGCGCACCATCGCCTCTTCTTGCCGCGGACTGTCGATGTCGCGCATTAGGCTGCGCACGGCGGGGAGGAAGGTGTGGTTGCGCGTCCACAGGTCCCAGTGCGGTACGGTGGGCTGGCAGCCCTGATCGCAGATCTCGCGCTGGAACTTGCTGAAGAGATCGTTGGGGCGGCTCGTCAGGGCGGTTAGGACGCGCAGGCAGGTCGGGCTGAATTTGGCGGTGATGAGAGGGAGGGAGACTGCCCACACCAGGAGGAGGGAGAAAAGCCGCATGGTTCGGACGAGCACCAGGGCAAGGAGGGAGAGGAGGGGGGCCACGTAGGATGTAGAAACTGGGAAGCTGGAGCAGAGCAGAGGTCAAGAGAGGTGAAGCGAAGCGAAGCGAGGACCGTCCAAGTTTCGGGTTTCCCCTGATTGATCGACAAGCTTCCCCGCAGGGTCGGCCATCCCTCGGTGACCACTCTGCTTCACTGCTTCACTATCAATACTCCGCCGCATAATAATGATCACTACTGCGGTGACCACACACCGGCACATCAGACCAAACAGGACAATGGCGGCTGTCCCAGGATGACCCTCTCGCGATATGATCGGTCAGATCGCCCGGTGATCACTCTGACTTCATAGCATGCTCATCATCGCGGCCAGCGCGGGAACACCCGTCCCATCCTGTCCATCAGGCCGCTTCCATTCCTTGAAACGAGCGCTGCAGAACTTGAATGAAGGGGCATGCGATCATCGTGACACATGAACTATTGGTGATGAGCACTTGCAGCTGCTGCAGCGTCCGAGGGGGCGTGCCGGACATATGATCCCTCCGATGCACCTGAGATGATAAAGAATGCGGGGACGGCTCGATTCGGACGGTTTGAGGACTCAGGAGGTCAGACCATCTCGCGGTGTGCAGACTGCAGTAGCTGCTGCCTGTCATTCGGATTGGGAGATATGCTCCTGCAGGGGCAGGTTTCACCCCTGGGACCGGTCACATCAGACGGTCAAGCTGATTAGATAGGGTTCGCGAATTGGGTTCGTGGATTGGGTTCCTCCCTCGTTGATCGCTCGGAGCATACCAGACCGATGGCAGAGATAGCAGAACCGATTACGGACAGATATTTACAGTTATCGGCGACTTACGGAGGACAGACAGATGATGTGTTCACATGATTCATTATGATTATTTACTCATCTGACTCAGTCAGTCAGGACTAATCGAACCGAAACCGGCGTGCCCGTCTCCCTTGCTTCCATGCCCGAACTCCTCGCTAAACCCAACCGAAATGATACCGGTGCAACCTGATGACAAGAGACAAAAGGAAATTCAAGGAGCGATCCTGTATGCTGGAAGGATGTATGATATGATGATGATGATGATGATGATGACAAAAGAAACCGTCGTGCCAGACGGGTCGCTCAGCGGCTATGCAAAAGACGGCGAAAGGCGAAATGCGAAATGCGAAATGTCGACGAAGAATGTAATAGAAATCGATAAGGAAAGGAATGCTCTCAGGCATGTCGGGCACGGCGTCTCAGCTCGTCTCGGCTGAGGAAGCGTCGGATTCGTGACACGAAGCGGGACGTTGTGGAGTCTGGGAGTCGTTAGCGTAGCTCACATGTACCTGGTCTGACAGGTAACGCTGGCGATACGAATCGCCTCGAGGGCACTTACCACTGTACCTGCGTGCGGTGGATTTGGTGGACAAATGCTCCGGCGTTTCGACCTCCGCCCAGTAGCTGCTGTCGTGGTAGCCCGAGGACTGGCTGGCCTTGCACCATGGGTACTCGTTGGCTTGGAGCTGGAGGGCGACGACGTGGGGGTAGAGGGATCCGAGGGGATAGAGGATCTCCTCGGTGGAAAGCTCCCGCTTCATGTCGAAGCTTTGGCTGGTCTGGAGGGGTCAGTTGGGTTCGATCAGGTAGTGACAGGGAACTCACGTAAGGTTCGTAGTTGGTTCTGTAAGGCATGGTGGTGAAAGAGTGGTGCGGAGGTAGGATGTTGTGATAGTGGTGATGGTAAGTTTGATATTGGTGATGATTTGACTTTGCGATGGAGAAAACGAGTGTCTCCGTCCGGGAGAAACCTTGATGGTTATATAGCATGAGGCTACGAAGCATGCTCTGATGGAAGGCCGCCGCCACTCCGGCCGTAATCCGGACGGCGACACGGTGGGGAGCCTCAGCATGGCCGGGTGACCCTGGCTATCGCGGGCTTGGCAAGACTGATTTTATTTTTATTTTTCTCGCATCTCTGTGATGGATCTAATCGCAAGGATGATTTGAATTTAGCGGCCTCCATGATCTCATCGTCGCATGCGACCAACGGACTAGTGAGACATCGATCAGGGCACCGGGCGGACTAGTGTCTACCAGCGAAGCAGCCTGAGGATGGTAGCTGCCAGTCTGACACTTAGGGCTAATCTAGCCAGCCAGTCGATTGCCAGGATCGGGGGGGGGTGAGTCCAGGCTGGGCGCCTGAGAACGCTAGAGAGACACTCGGCGAGGCTCGGTGGTCCCCACCCGTCAGGCACGCCAGTCGCGGCTGAAGGTGACGCAGACTGTTCGTCGTTCCATGATCCATGTTCCTGTCCCCCAGTCTAGATAGTGAGTGGTGTCGCAATGTCGACGTCGACGACTCGAACAGGGGGAGGGGACAGTCGGGGCTAGCGTGGACGCCGGCGCGGTCTGATCGACGGCGAATCCACCGGTGTGTCCGATGGTCGATCGGACAGGCGTCGTTCGCTGCCTCCCTCCCTTGCGTGCTGGAGTCGGTCGCAACTCGCGTCGGATCTCCTCCACGTTTTGCAGTTCCTGGGGGGTTGCATATGTACGACGACAATGAGAGTAAGAGGGATCGCATGCGCGTGTGCCATCTGAGGTGCAATCACCCGCAGGGGTCATGACTTGCCCCCCTTCGTCTCCTTCCTTCCCCCCTCCCCTTCTTCGGTCGACCGCCCATGTGTCGGCAGTGTCTGGTGTCAGTCAATGTCACGATTGCGTTGGCGGGCGAGCTGCTGCGCGGTTGCGGGGAGCAGAAGAGCTGTCACAGATCGGAGGCCGACTATTGATTCTCCCTCGACTGGCGTGGTGGTTGGTTACTGGCTACTGGTTGGGGTGGTCGCCGGGCTTCCCTTTCCCCAGCGAAGACCCCGTGGATACTTCACCCGCCCGGGGTCTACAACTCGCTACTGGGCGATTTCGTCATGGATTAATTAAACTGCAATCAACGATAGATTAATTGGGGCAGGGCGAGCTGAGGAACGACGACGAGCATTCCAAATCCTGGGTGCTTAGCGCATCCGGGGTGTCCAGGTTCCCGGGTTTGAGGGCCTGAGACAATGCCCTGGTGTGCTGGTGGTGTTCCAGGGGTAAAACTCCTCAGCCCTCACCACGAAGATGGTTTAGTCAGTCGAGCTACGCTACCACTGCTACTGACTAGGTAGGTATACTATCTACTCTATCTACGGCGAAGGATCCCACCCCGGTCTTATCAGGCGCGGTTATTGGGCAGAAGCCTGCCCATCTGCTTTAGACTACTGTGGACTGTGTCCCGATCGGGAAAACGGAGATCCTGAGGCCGGTTCTCCGCGCCTCGCGGCCTGAGGCCGGCAACCAGTCCCTAGGGCTGCACCGCCTCTCGGCCCCACCGGCGCCACGGCTCGGAGTATGCCGCTAGTCCACATGCGGGGGTGTCGTGGCTCCCCTGTGGCTGACACGCGGTGGCTTGACCCATTCTTGCCAATAGTGACCAGCCCTTGTCGCGATAGCCTCAGATCCTCGCATGGGCAATAGTGTGTTCGGAGCTCCACCTGCCATGCGGATCCTCGTGAGCTTGCCCGCACCGGCCTGGGTCTGTTTCTTTGTCGGGTAACCCCCGACGTCTGTCTCGGGCTGCCCGATATGGAACAGAGAAGTATAAGAGGGTGCGTAGTCTGCATCTACAGTCTGCATCTGTCTCTATCATCTGTCCATCAAGCCGTATACAAACGTCGTCCTTTTCTGCCTTTTCTGCATCCTCCTCTCCCATCACATGTCCCATCGCAATGGCTCTCAACATGAACCTCGTCGCGCCTGGAAGAGAAGACTCGTGGCCCACCTCTCCTCCCTACGTGGACTTCCACGATCCCTTTACCACCGCGTCGCTCGCCTACCACCCAGCCAGTAAGATTCTTGACCCTGATCTGTCATACACATGCCAACCTCCGCAGAATCTCTGTGTCTGGACACTGAACCCAGCCCCGGTAGACCTGAACCAGCGGCCCCGGTTCCTGTTCCCATGACCCCTTCGTCTCCGGAGTCGTGGCAGCAGCACCAAACCCAGCTGCAACTTCAATCCCAACCCCAACCTCACCCAGAAGAGCACCACCTCGACACCTCGTCGTCCTCCTCTGCATCCTCCCCGGACATCATCCAAACCTGGTACCCGCAATACCTAGCCTGCACGCAGTACTTCCTCACGCACAGCCAACACACTCCCGCGGTGCAATCCCTGGCCGCATTCCTCAACATCCGCCTCCCTTGTCAACGCGCATCATCATCATCATCATCATCCTCAGCATCCTCAGAACCATTCCCAACCATCTCCCTACAACCGTACATCCGCCGCCTCATCGTCACGGCGAACGACAGCCCCGCCGTGCTGGACGCGTTCTTCGGCACGGGCTGGCCAGCCGGCGTGGGGAGGATGGTGCAGGAGGAGCGGCAGAACTACCTGTTTACGGCCAAGAGCGGCGGCTGGGCGGCCACCAAGGCGGCGTACGATATTCTGCCCGACGAGCAGGCGCCGTTCCTGCGCCCGCTCAGGAACCCCGACGAGGACGAGCTGCGGCGCGCCGAGGCCAGGTGGAGCGAGTGGTTGGCTATGGAGGATTGGATGGTGGGGGCTAGGAGTCCGTGGTAGACAGGCAGACACACTATAATCTACCTATACTATACTATAGACGTGGGGGTAGGAAGGGGGTAAGGTGACGATGGCTATGATTTTCTTTTGTAAATTTTTTTTTTATTATTTTCCTTTGTTGGTATGGAGTTTTACTAAAAGAATTGATTACTTTGGATTATATATATATCATATCTCTCTCTGTGTGTGTATGTGTGTGTGTGTATGTGTATGTGTATGTGTATGTGTATGCGTATGCAAGTAAAAGGAGAATTCTACCATCCTTCTAGAAGACTAGAAACCAACACGCGGATTTATCCCTGCATAAAATCCCGAGCAGAACCTGCCAGATCATGAGTTTGTCCGTCCGTCCGTCCTATCTATCCATCTATCCATCTGTGTTTGTCTGTCGATCCCCCCGTAAATACTATAGAAACTACTATGGAGCAAGCACTCTATCCAGGACACTATGGGGTACGGACCCCCCTCCCAAACCAAACTACGGAGTATGGAGTACACAATTCCAAATTCCAAATCATCCCGCCTCCCCCCCCCCAAAAAAAATACCCGAATTGAGTAAAGCGGAAAGCCCACCCAGGCAGGCTGCACCCAGGCACCCACCGCCACGGGACCTGTCAAAAACGCGGCCCCCAATCCCTGTCCGTGCCAGTGCCAGTCAGCTCAGGAGAATAAATCAACCAACCCAATCAATTAATCAATCAATCCCATTCAGGTCCACATGGGTAGTACACAGTAAGTAGTAAGTAGTCAGCTGTCAGCGTCAGCCGTCAGCCGTCAGCCGTCAGCAGTTAGATAGTAGTTAGTTACTATAGCTAGTTAGGTAGATAGATAGATGGTTAGTACGGGGGGTAAAAAAAATGAAACAAAATGAATCTGTGCGTTGGCCGACCGGCATCCTTTTCCGTTTCTGCTTGTTTGATGTTCAGCCAGCCCACTTACCTATCCATCCCATCATCCACAGTCCACGGTCCACAGTCCACAACAGGGACGGGGACGGGGACGGGGACGGAGACGGAGACGGACGATCGAACGCGCTAGAAGGCCGCTAGACGCCAGCTGGGAGATAAAAATAGCGAACTAATGCAGGAGAGACATGTTGTCATGGTTGGGCGTGAAAGAGATTTATTAGTCTTGTTATTATGGTTCTTATTATTATTCTTATTATTATTACTTTTCTTTTTTTGTTATTGTTATTGTTGTTGTTATTGTTCTTTGTTATTACTTTATTTGAGACTTACCCTGGTCGATAGCATAGCATATAGTACATAGCAGGGATGGCACACTGGCACTACGTAGGATCTGGGTTAGGAGAATAATAATGCTTGGCTTGTAGTGAGCACCGCCACGGTCGGGATCGCCGACTGGACTGAGGATATATTATAACTATTGATTCTACTCCGTACTGACTAATAATTTCTAGATAATTAGTTAACTACTTATCTACTGCCTGCTTACCTGATTGAAATCCTCCGGAAATCCGTGATTGTCGGTCGACCCGGTTGGACGGATGGACGGACGGGGGGGCACAGGGAGAGAGAAAAACGGAAGGGGTGGGGAATGACAAATACTGCAGCCTGTCATATCCAACTGCGGTTACACCACTTGCCTATTTATGTCCGTAGGTAGTTAACTATCTAGTTAGGATGATTAATTAATCATCTGTCTTCTCCGTTATCTGGAGATAGGATCTACTAGATACGGATAACTGCACTGACTAGTTATCTATCTAGTCATAGTTGGTTGTTTGACTCATGACTCATCCCCTAGTTATTTACTCTTCTCTGGTTTTTTTCCAGTCCACTAATTAGTAGGTAGTTAAGTCATTTCACCCCGACCTGTCATCCCCACGATCATCCGGACATTTTCCATCTCTCGTCTTATTCTCCTGTCTGGCGACAGTTTGTCCGTTTGCTTCAAACGTGTACCGGTCAGCCTGAGCCAGTCAATCCACCCACTCCACCCACCCCCCGCCCTGATCTCCCTGATCTGATACACCCAACTCCCACCTCCTCGCCCTCTAGGCGCTGCCTATCTGTATCTGCATCATGCCCCAAACGAACCCCAATAATCAAGCCGAGGCTGGACCGCCTGTATACGCCCTCTCGCCCCACTCCCCAACCACCCAAACCCACCTCCTCCCCCTCCTGCGCGCCCACCTCCCCTACTCCCTCCCGCTCCTCCGCCGTATCCAACACGAGATCGCCCATCCTTCTCCCCACGCGAGAATCCTAACCACCCTGTCGGGTCTGGCCCCAGCCTCGTCTTCAGGGGGTGTGTCAGACCCAGCAGGGGTACTGGTACCTGGATTAGGATCGAGATTCGGGCAGGGAGCACCAGAAGGAGCAGCAGGAGCGGGAAAAGGATCACTAGTACCTGAACTAGCAACCTCCGAGCCCGAGTCCGAGCCCGAATCTAAATCCGACGCTCAGTCGATCGAGACTCTGCCTGCGAAGCCGTGTCCGTGTCCTCGGGCCTGCCTGTCAGTGTCAGTGTCAGATGAAGCGGTGCCCAATGATGGCCCCGGGGCTAATATTGACACTGGCGCTGACACTGACACTAGGCCTGACGCTGCTAGCCCAGTCACTATCAATACCCGGGAAGCTGGACCTACCTGCACGACATGCACATCCGTCCATCTAGCCCCGGAGGATCCCGATGACATCACAACCACCAACTCTAAGAATGAGGCGAACAAGGCGCTCCCAGCAAGCATTCCCAGTCCCGCTTCCGCAAGCAAGGCGAAGAATCAGGTCATCGAAAACGACGACGAGCCCTGGCTAATCGCGTACATCGACCTCCCCTCCGGCCGGGAAACCCAGGCCGTGGTGTATTGCAATCTGGAACATCCCTGCCACCAGCAGAAGCACAATCCTTCAACTGTACCATCATCATCATCATCTTCTTCTTCTTCTAAAAATAACATCCCTGACGAAAAGGATAAACAAACCATCAAGGAGGATCTCGATGACGATCAACAAGACGACGATGATAACAATAATACTGGAAAAAGAATCTCCGCCCTCCCCATCCCCACTCACAGCCACACCTTACATCACATCCGCGCGCAGTTCCTCGCGCTGTTGGGATATATCAAATCCCACCTCTTACCGGAGTATCGTGCCGTTCAGGCAGCGGCCGGTATGGGCGCGAATGGGAACGGGAACGGGAATGCCATCGTAAAAGACCACCAGATCCCGCCCCCGCCAGACGGGGCATACCTATTTGGGAATCTGCATACGGGGGTCTTCGGGTCGTTGTTTTCGGATGGTGGCGTGGGGTATTCTTTACCCTCACAGTCCGATGGTACGGGTACAGGTCAGGGTATACCTGGAGCTGAACCTGAGGCTGAGGATGAAAGAGAGTTCGTGCCTGAGGTAAAGGTACACCGGTATGATCGCGTGCCGTACGTGAAGTATCTTTTTCGGGAGGGGGCTTTTGCGAAGACGAAGACGAAGACGAAGGGAGACGGGGAGAAGGAGAAGGGTGATCTCCCGACTGGGTTCCGGTTTTCGGATGCACAGGGTAGGGAGGGCGTGCAGAGGAGGGATCTGGGACTGGTGAGGAGTCGCACGGTGATTCCCCGCTCGGAGGAGACGTTGGCCATTTTGCCGAGTGCCGCGGTTTATCGAGATTCTTCTTCTGCTGCTGCTGGGTCTGGTGTTGCTGTCGCTTCTGTGGGAGAAGAAGAGGGAGAGGGAAAGAAGAGCGAAGCAGAACCAGAATCAGAATCACCCATAGCATGGGCCTTCCTCGGGCCCGACGGGAGTCTGGCAACCTTACATGTCGAGACACCTTACCGTGGACAAGGACTAGCCGGGTGTGTGGCCCGAGAAGCCATGCGGAGGGGAATGAAGGATATCCAGCGCGAAAAGGAAGGAGAGAGATGGGTGCATGCGAACGTGGCGATGGAGAACCGGGCAAGTCGGCGGGTGATGGAGAAGTTGGGGGGGGAGTTGGCCTGGACGGTGACGTGGAGTGTTTTGGAGGTGTGATTGATTCATTTTTATTTTCGCTGTATAGAGATGTTTGGATACTATTTGGAACTAACTTTGTAGATGATGTTAGATGGTTATATGATACTAAGTATAGATAGTAGTACTATTGATGGTGTTGTTGATATAGTATCAATAGAACAGACATTAGATACTAGATATATATACAGACATACTATAATATAAACCACCAACCGCAAACCGCACCGCAACAAAACCCCCCAAAGCAATACATAAAACTAAACCAACAAACACTATTACAGGAGATATAGTAAGTAAGTAGTGCCTAGTAAGTATAGTTAGTATCAATCCCAATAAACATTCCCCTCCCTCCACTCCTCCTGATACATCGGCAACGTTTCCTCTCCATCCCTGGTATCTTCCCCATCCTCCCTCTCCTCCTCACTAACAGACCCTTCCCCTTCAACAGCAATCAACCCCCACGGCTCATCCCCCACCCTCTCAATATTCGCCGTCAACACCGCCCCATCCGCCGTGACGATCGGCCCCGTCATCAGAGTCCTCCCCTCGTCATCTGGACTGATCGTCCACCGTCGCCCGGACGGGATGTTGATTAGCTCTCGCGCGGATTGCGCGGGGAGTTCTGCGCGCTGCCGATAGAAGCCTGTGTCTGAGAGCTCGGAGCGCTGGATTCTGGGCCGTGGGGATGCTGGTGGTGGTGGTGGTGGTGGGGGGCTGATTTTGGATTTGTTGTTGGTTTTGTTAATGTGGTTGTATCCGTCCCCGGGGTTGGTCGTGTGGGGGGGTGGTGTTCGATGTTTTCTCTGAAGTCGAAGTTGAGGTTGGGTGTTCTCGCTGGTCCTGCTGCTGATCCTGCTGCTCCGGATGTTGACCCCCCTGGTACCGGCGGTGATGGCGGCGCTGTGATGGCGGAGACAATTGGCGTGTTTGATTGTGTCATGGTTATGGACTTCGGGGTGAGGGCTGAGACGGGGGGCGTGGGTGTCGCTGGAGCTGGAGCGGGGCTTGTTTCCGACTCTGGTCCTGGTGCTGATCTTGTCGCTGTCGCTGACCCTGACTCTGACCCAGTATTTATCCCTGTCCCTGTCCCCGTCCCCATTCTCAAATGTATACCCTCCCCCGCCACCGTCCCCAAATCAACCATCACACCCCCATCCTCCTCTCCCTCCCCAGACCCTTCTTCTCCCCACTCAAGTCTAGATCCGGATCCAGACCCCTCCCCAGAGCCATACCCGGATTCAGATCCAGATCCAGCTCCAACTCCAACTCCAGCTCCAGCTCCCTCCCTCACCAAAACACCCGGTCTCGGCCCCTGGCGAACATGCACATGCACCGGCGGCGGAATCGGAATCGGAATAGAACCTGGCGATGGAACGGAAACAGGGATTGGGATCGGAACGGGATTCATTAGCGGGGGTTTCGTTCCTGGGGCTGTATTCTAGTTAGTATAGGTAATCTAGTATAATACGATGTGGTATGATACGGTATGATACAATACCATATAATGTCTCATGAACACCTCGTGGATAAGGCAGAGAGAGAGAGAGAGAGAGAGAGAGGTGTGTAGCAATGAAGATACATACCATAAACCATCCCCGTCTCAGGATCCACCCCCCGCGAAGGCGAAGGCGAAGGCGAAGAACAGTCCCTGGTTGGTCCGCGCCAGCGCAGCAGGGTGAATCGGCGACGGCGCCGTCGTCGTCGCTTTCGGGATCGGTGGATCGAGTAGACGATTAGGGCAACGAGGAGGATGAAGCCGAGGACGCTGCCGACTATGGCGCCGATTATGGCGGGGGAGGGGTGGGATGTTGATTTGGTGGTACTGGTACTGGTCGGGGTGGTGGGGGTTGTGCTTAGGGTTGTCGGGGACATGGTCGTGGAGAAAGTTGTGATGGGGGTTATGGAGGAGGTTGGGGGCGCGGTGCTGGTGTGCGAGGTTGATGTGCTGGTTGGAGTTGGAGTTGAGGTTGAAGTTGAAGATGAGGATGAGGATGAGGATAAGGGTTCTGCGACGGCGACTATGGTTGATATTGAGAGTGAGACTGAGACTTTGGTGGTGATGGTGATGGTGGTTATGGGGGTGACTATGTCGGCTGCGCTGTTGTTGTTGTTGTTGTTGTTACTGTTGCTGTTGCTGGTACTGCCATCCGAACAAACCCCCGTCGTGCAAGGATCGGACGAACAGCAGCCTCTATATCCCCCCGCCGAACAAACATACCACTGCTCGTTCGCGGGACACGCCGTACTCTGACGCGCGGAGAGGTCCGCCATGGGACTGGGCCGAAAGAATAGGGCTGACTTCGAGAGTCCAAACAGATAAAGAAGAGTCAAGGGTCAAAAGTCGAGAGTCGAGAGTCGAGAATCGAGAATCAAGATCCTAAATGAAGGTGCAGGTCACTGGAGGCTAAACGAACAGTCAAGCAGTCTGGCGTCAGAGGAAGTCTCCATAATCCCTCTCACCCACCCACTCACCCACCGGGCAAGTCATGTTCTTTGTCTGTCCGAACCGAACCACTAATGGGATGGGGGGTCCTGGGAGATGTCGAGTGGTCGGCACAGAGAACAAGGAACACTGACTGTCAGGCCAGGGGAGTTCTGAGACGGAGACGCTGGTTGACATCGGAAAGTGATTCACAAACCTGTTTGTGCTCATTGCTATCATTCTACCTTTAGTTAGCATGGAAGCTCTTGCTGGCGATCATGCAATACTGCCTCAAGGTCAAGATTCGCGCTGTCGACTCGCCGAGTTCTTTGTTGCGGGCCGAGTCAACGCCGACTGACTCGGCTTTATTTGACAGAGTACCAGACTTCATGACGAGGACTGCCGACCACCCCGACCACCCTTACACCAATCCTGCGTACAGATTGCAACTCAAAGAAACTCCATTGTATGGGTGAAACGGCTATAAAAGACAATACACGTGAGTACCCCAAACTCATCGCCTGGAAAGACACCTGGATATACACATATGAACACAATAAAACGGTCGAATTTTCGTCTCGCTCTTCTTCCATCCCCCTACTCCTCCATCACTTAGTAGGTCCGCTTGAAGGGAGGCACCGACTTGCACTCGTTCTCATCCAGGGTGTTGTGCTCCACCGCGCGGTAGCCGAGGTCGACCTTGCCGTGGGGCTTCTTCTGCCAGGTGAGAGTGTGCTTCATCCAGTTCTCGTCGTCACGGTCGGGGTAGTCCTCACGGGCGTGGGCACCACGGGACTCCTTGCGGTTGGCGGCGGCAATGGCGGTTTGGGAACTAGCCACGTTAGTAAGTTTCATTTTCACAATCTCAAGGCTGGGTACTCACGCGCAGGTCAACAGGTTACGAAGCTCGAGGGTCTCCACGAGATCCGAGTTCCAGATCATGCTGCGGTCCTTGGTGCCGACCTGGTCGAACATGCCGTCGATGGCGGTGACCTTCTCGACACCCTCGTCCAAGCTCTCCTGGGTACGGAACACACTGACGTCCGTCTGCATTGCCTTCTGCATGGCGCTGCGGATGTCGTTGGTCGACTTGGGACCCTCCGCGGTACGGACGAAGTCCAGGTCCGCGATGGACTGAGCACCGGCGTCGGAGCTCAGCTCCTTGTGCGCCTTGCCGGGGGTGGCAAGGTCACGGACGCGGTGGGAAACAGCACGGCCGAAGACAACCAGATCCAGCAGGGAGTTGGCTCCCAGACGGTTGGCACCGTGGACGGACACACAGGCGGCCTCACCGCAGGCGTACAGACCGGGAACAACCTGGTCCTTGCCGTTCTCGTCCTGGGTCAGGACCTCACCGGTGTACTTGGTGGGGATACCACCCATGTTGTAGTGGACGGTGGGCAGGACGGGGATGGGCTGCTTGGTGACGTCGACACCGGCGAAGATGGAGGCGGTCTCCGAAATACCGGGCAGACGCTCGTGCAGGAGCGCAGGGGGCAAGTGGCTCAGCTGCAGGTAGATGTGGTCCTTCTCGGGACCGACACCACGGCCCTCGCGGATCTCGAGGGTCATTGAACGGGACACGACGTCACGGGAAGCCAGATCCTTGGCCGTAGGGGCGTAGCGCTCCATGAAACGCTCACCCTCGGAGTTGAGCAGATAACCACCCTCACCACGGGAACCCTCAGTGATCAGACATCCGGCACCGTAGATACCAGTGGGGTGGAACTGGACGAACTCCAGATCCTGGTTGGGGAGACCGGCACGGGCAACCATGGCCATACCGTCACCAGTGCAGGTGTGAGCGGACGTGCAGCTGAAGTAGGCACGTCCGTATCCACCAGTCGCCAAGACGGTGTGGTGGGCCTTGAAACGGTGGAGGGTTCCGTCCTCTTGGTTGTAGGCAATGATACCGCGGCACTCGCCATCCTCCATCAGAAGGTCCAGGGCGAAGTATTCGATGAAGTAGTTGGTGTTGTGGCGGAGAGACTGTCCGTAGAGCGTGTGAAGCAGGGCGTGGCCGGTACGGTCAGCGGCGGCGCAGCAGCGGTAGGCCTGGCCACCCTTTCCGAACTCCTTCGACTGACCACCGAACGCACGCTGGTAGATACGGCCGTCCTCGGTACGGGAGAAGGGGCAACCGTAGCCCTCCAGCTCACGAACACTGGCGGGGGCCTCTCTGGTCATGTAGTGGATGGCATCCTGGTCACCAAGCCAGTCAGAACCCTTCACGGTGTCGTACATGTGCCATCTCCAGTCATCCTCGTGCATGCTGCGAAGCATTAGCTTGCTCCAATGGACACATCGCGATCAACTCACTTTCCGAGGGCAGCGTTGATACCACCCTGAGCGGCGACAGTGTGAGATCTCGTAGGGAAGAGCTTGGAAACACAAGCAGTGTTGAAGCCGGCTTCCGCCAGACCGAAAGCGGCACGCAGACCGGCACCACCCGCACCGACGACAACGGCATCGTACTCGTGGTCCTGCAATTGATTAGGACCACCATCTGTAATATAGACTGACGACAGCTTACAATGATCGGGTACTTCGAGGAGATGTAGCCTTCGGCCGCCTTTCCGCGCAGCGGTCCGCTACCGAAGATCCGGGCTAGCGGAGGAAGTTAGCAGAGCGATAGGGAGGTGTTGCGAGACCAATGCGTACCAGCCGGGCGGGAAGAGGAGAAGAGACGTCTCTGATCCCTCAAGGCGCGGGAAATCTGCGTAACGAGACCTGTCAGCACGATTTCCAGCTGAGGGGGGGGGGGGCGCGAGCCAGAATTCAGATCATGGGCAGACGTCTAAAACTGACTGACCTTGGTGGCGGGAGCTAGGCTCCGCAAGCCCAGGGAGCTCATGATGGCGGATCACAAGAAAGAAACACTTTCAAATGGTCCGAAGGGAGGGGAGATTGGGGGGTGCAGGAAACCAGCAGCACGGGGACGGGGAGAGGAGAGCGAGGTGAGGCCGGTGGTGCTTGCGAGCTGCACTTTTGGATCGTCGGTTCTGGCGAAGACAGACGGCCGGCTGACATAAGCCCATTTCACTTGCCGACGGGGAGGACCGGGGCCGAAAGCACCAATCAGCGCCTGCGGAGTGGTAATCACCTCGGGCAGCCGGCCGGCCCTCATTGGCCGCGGCTGCCAAGGCACGTGGTCGGGCTTCTTTTAACCGGCCGCCGCGAAGAATTCCGGAGCAACACGGCCTGGGGTCTGTTGGAGTGTTGCGGGAGCTGCGGGAGTTGGTCGATACATTGAAATATCACCTCCCGATGACATCGGTCCGAATTGACTAGGGGTACTGCTGTTGTATGACCAGAGCTACGTCAACTACCAGACACATCAACTACCAGCTACATCAGCATCACCTATAATCATCGAATCCTATTATAGACCGTAGACTGAACCGTCGAGTATGATCATACATCCATCCAGCCATGCAATACCCCGTGCGGGCACATCTAATTATACTGCATGTACGTTGCCGTCGAGTTGAACTTCAGGTTGCCCTTGATCACCTTGTCCACCGCCGCCAAGAAGTCCTTCTCCGTGGCCACCTTCCGCCGCGCCCGAATGGCAAACATGCCCGCCTCCGTTGCAACACTGCGGAGCTCAGCTCCCGTCGCGTTCGGGCACAGTCGCGAAATCAGCTCCCAGCGGATGTCCCGCTCCACCGACATACTCTTGGCGTGGATCCGCAGGATGTTGGCGCGGCCCTCCACGTCGGGGAGTGAGAACTCGATCTTACGGTCGATACGTCCGGGACGCATGAGGGCGGGATCCAGAGTTGACGGTCGGTTGGTCGCGAACATGACCTTGATGTTACCACGGGCGTCGAATCCATCCAGCTGGGTGATCAGCTCCAGCATAGTACGCTGGACTTCGTTGTCACCACCCGCGCCGTCGTCGAAACGCGCTCCACCGACCGCGTCGATTTCGTCGAAGAAGATGATGCAGGCCTTCTTGGTTCGTGCCATCTCAAACAGTTCGCGGACCATCCGGGCACCCTCACCGACGTACTTCTGCACCAGCTCGCTACCAATGACACGGATGAACGTGGCATCCGTCCGGTTGGCTACGGCCCTGGCGCAAAGGGTCTTACCGGTACCGGGAGGCCCGTAAAGCAGGGCTCCCTTGGGCGGGTCGATACCGAGGTTGACAAAACGCTCCGGCGATAGCAACGGCATCTCCACGACTTCTCTGAGCTTCTCGATCTGTTCCTTGCATCCTCCGACATCTCCGTATGTCACATCCGGCTTGTCCTCGACTGTCATCATCGTCACGCTGGGGTCGATCTTGGGAGGGAGGGGTAGCATGATCTGATACTTATTCCGGTCGACACTGCAGATAGTCAGCGGCGCGGTAGACAAAACAAAGATGGAAGTAACACGTACCCGACTCTCATGCCCTCCTCGATATCCGTAGGACTCACTCTCTCCCCTAGATTGACCACAAACTTGGCAATCTGCTTGACGTTGATGACATATTTACTCTTGTCCGAGTCCTTCTCGTCCTGGATGATCTTTGTGCAACGGGCCACCTGCAACGGTTGCTCCTCCGCCATGCGTTGTCGGTCCGCGGCAACATCCCAAAGGTGTGGAGGCGCAAGACCGGTATCGGATTCCTAAGCAGTCAGTGGGCGTTCCGGACGACGCGACGATGTAATAATACCTTGACGCCAATCTTCTCGTTTACACTCGCTTGTCTGTCCTTGATTTGTTTCTCGAGCTTCTTTAATGCGGTGGCGTAGGGAGCGGCGCCGTAGGTCTTCAGTACTTGGATGTCCCTAGTTCGTGTCAGCATCCGGACAGGCGACGCAACGGTCGGTCCGACCGATACATTCGGGCTACCTACTCATCTGTGAGAGGGGTGATCTTCTTCTCTGGCTCTTCGTCATCGGCGAAGTTCTTCTTGTACTTCTCCCAGTTCTCTCCCGTGGCGCTAGGCATGGTGATGGGAGTGTGGCGAGACGCAGGGAAGAAAGGAGGAAATCACCAGATCAGGTGCAGATTCGTCAGGCGGTTGGATGGTGGAAAGGAGGGGGATGGGAGGCAGAGAGACAATAAAGACGTGGTGATGGATGGGCTTGGTCGGAGATGGAAGAGTGATGTGATGTGGTGGTGAGCTCAGCTTGTTGCGGTTCGAGCTGTCGACGCTAGTGGCCGCCAAGCCCAGCAGCAACACCGCCCAAAACGCAACACCGCAGAATTTCCCAGAGCCGCCTCCAGGTTCTGGATCCCCTCGCCTCACTCCCCTCCCCCCCTCATTCTTCCCCGACTCTTCTCCCTACTCCCTACGGTGTCCGTATCGTAGCCACATTCATCATGGCGACGGCAGTTTCCCAGGGTGCCCCGAGCACCGGCTCCTTCAAGGTGAGCCCTTTGCCGGAGCGAGTGTGTGGGCCGTTTTCTGATAGAGTGCCAGGACAAGGAGAAGCCAATGGCAGTGCGCACGTCCAACATCTTGGCTGCTAGAGGTATGTGTCGATCTTGGGGATTCTCGGACGATCGAATGGAATGAATGCTAATTGGAAACAGCCGTTGCCGATGCCATCAGAACCGTACGCGTGTGACAATTCCATTATGACAAGTGAGGGGCTAATCACTGTGCAGTCTTTGGGACCCAGGGGCATGGACAAGATGGTAGGAAGATGAGGCCTGCTAATAGCGGTCTATTGCTAACTTAGTTCCAGATCCAAACGCCCAAAGGAAACACGATCATTGTACGCTCCCAGCCCCGTATACCTACCGACCCCGCTAACCCCCGCAGACCAACGATGGAAACACCATGCTGAGGGATATGAGCGTCATGCACCCCGCGGCCCGGATGCTGGTCGACCTCAGTGCGGCTCAGGACGTTGAGGCTGGTGATGGAACCACATCCGTTGTTGTGATCGCTGGTAGCCTGCTGGGTGCCGCGGAGCGACTGCTGTCCAAGGGTATCCATCCCACCGTCATCTCGGAGTCCTTCCAGAGAGCCGCCGCCGCCGCCGTCGAGATCCTCCACAACATGTCCCGCCCCATCAACCTGACCGACCGCTCTACCCTTCTGCAAGCGGCCTCCACCTCCCTCTCCTCGAAAATTGTGGCCCAGCACTCCAGCCTTCTCGGCCCGATGGCCGTCGACTCCGTGCTGAAGGTCGTCGACCCCAAGACCGCCGAGAACGTGGATCTCCGGAACATCCGTATCGTGAAGAAGGTCGGCGGTACCATTGAGGACAGTGAGATGGTTGATGGCTTGGTGTTGAACCAGCAGGTGATCAAGAGCAGCGGCGGTCCTACCAGAATCGAGAAGGCCCGGATAGGTCTGATCCAGTTCCAGCTCAGCCCTCCCAAGCCTGACGTATGTTCCGGTCTCCCTCGGACCGATCTGGATACTAATTGGCCTGCAGATGGAGAACCAGATCGTCGTGAACGACTACCGCCAGATGGATAAGATCCTCAAGGAAGAGCGCCAATACCTTCTCAACTTGGTCAAGAAGATCCAAAAAACCAAGTGTAACGTCCTCCTGATCCAGAAGTCTATCCTTCGTGACGCCGTCAACGATCTTTCCCTCCACTTCCTTTCTCGCCTCAAGATCCTGGTGGTCAAGGACATCGAGCGTGACGAGGTCGAGTTCCTGTGCAAGAGTCTGGGCTGCAAGCCCGTTGCCAACGTCGAGTCCTTCACCGAGGACAAGCTGGGTACCGCTGACCTGGTTGAGGAGGTTCAGCAGTCCGGTGCTCGCTATGTGAAGCTCACCGGCATCAAGGCCCCCGCCACCGGCGCCAACCAGACCGTGTCGATCGTCGCTCGTGGCGCCAACAACCTCATCCTGGACGAGGCTGAGCGTTCCCTGCACGACGCTCTCTGTGTCATTCGTTGTCTGGTGAAGAAGCGCGCCCTCATTGCCGGTGGTGGCGCTCCTGAAGTCGAGATCGCTCACACCCTTGCCATGCGCGCTCGTCAGCTCACTGGCACGGAGGCCATCTGCTGGAAGGCCTTCGCGGACGCCATGGAGGTCATCCCTACCACGCTGGCTGAGAACGCTGGTCTGAACTCGATCAAGGTGGTGACCGAACTGCGCCACCGCCACGCCCAGGGCCAGCACAACGCCGGAGTCAGCATCCGCAGTGGTGGTGTGAAGGACGACATCACCGAGGAGAACATCCTGCAGCCTCTGCTGGTGAGCACCAGCGCGATTGAGCTCGCTGCAGAGACGGTGAAGATGATCATGAGAATTGATGATATTGCTTTGTCGAGATAGATGGGGTGCAAGGAAAAGTATAGCAGAGGTGTATCATGATGAGTAATTTATCAATCTACATGTTCAAAAGATAGAAGTAGTGGGTGTCGTTTATCTTGGCCGGGATATGAATCGGCTCATGCCAGTGGAGTCCGTATTGATTTAGCAGAACAGGTTTCTATGGCCAACTAACAATTGTTCAGCTTACTATCTTGCCCATTGAGGGGTACCACTCAATCGTAGTAACCCCTCGGGTTGTCAAATCATACTCCTGACATCGCTTACGACCCAACTCACTTTGCTTTCACCGCATCTGCCATGCATTAACACGATGTACCTTTATTCCATTCATTCAAGCAAACACAACCCGATGAATGAATGAAAGCCACGCTATAAAAGGAGAGAAATTCCTTCTCTTCCCCTTACCTCCTCTGTGCTCCTCCACACTACAGTCTACCTCTTATATCCATTTACATATATATCACCTGGCCTTCTCGATCTGCCTATGAAGTTCCAGGGTATATAGCCTATCATTTTTACCATTATCATCAACTGAGTCATTCTGAAAAAAAAACCGTAAGGAATGCGTCAGTATTGGAGAATTGCGTCTATCGTCAACAGATTAGCCACCACGTACCCAATAACGTCCGAGTTCAGATCTTAGAAACTCCCTCTTGGGTGTATGGTGATTCCTACAATATTCGCCACACTGACCAAAGGACATTACTCGTCATTGCTATGATGGCCATTTATATTTTTCTTGGGCGAGCATGGTCTCGCCAGTGTGAAAACATGACGGGGACGTGATAGCAGATATAAGGCGACGGGCGATCATCTATAAACACCCTATAATCCTTTTCGAACCAGGTAATTTACTACTTATCTGTGAAGGATGTTGGAGAGCGTCCAGCCCAGTGACACAGGCGATCGAAGCCAGCGAAGATCATATATCCCGATGCCGCCATCTGGTCGCGTGCAGTACGCGACAAATGTCACGAGGAAAAGAACCCGACAACTCAGAGTATCATGACCTTGAGAAGATCAGCTGGACCAGGGGCGCTGGACCAGGGATGCGATGTAATAGCTGGCACAGCAATTTCGCAATGGGGGAGCGCACTACATGCCGAACCCATCCGCTGCTCGCCATGGACATGTCCCCGAATTATCCGACAGAAGGAAGATCTCTCCAATCACCCGAGCTCAATGCATGGATTATTATATACGAGATCTTTGGCATTTAGGAAGCACGAACAACTATAGCAGACGCTTGACAGAAGAGTCACAGGTGTCAGCATCAGGAGAAGGTCTTCTCGGAATGCAAACTCCAGGTTTGGGAAGATCGAACGACAAAATCGCCTAACTGTTACCTTGGAGTACAAACCAACGACACGGATACCAGAAGGCTGTCCTTGCGACCTGAGTGCCTGCTTTGAACTGAGAAGATGTGCTGGGATTGAATAACCCCAACAGAAAAGAAGTATCGTCCAAGCATTAAGGATTTGATCAGACCTTCAGTCATATATCGTGAAGAGAAACCCTGAACAATATCCCTCTCTACAGGGCTCACTGTTTCATTTGTAACATACGAATGGTTGATCCAGAAAAGCGGGCAGTCATGACAACAAAATGTGCCCTGGATTTTTCATCATGGCAAGACACCTCATTAGCAACACACTCTATATTAAACACCATCCTGTACGTGCATTTTGTCTTGCATGATTTCCAGGTTTTAAGATCGGTCGTCTTGACTTTCCTCGACGACCTGAGCAGCGCGTCGTCGGACTCTGCAACGATACTGCGTTTTGCTTTCTTCCAGGCTCCTGCAGCCGAACTCAAGTTGCATTTGCGCCTCGTCAATGCGTCCTCGTGTTTGGCCAAACACCAGAATAAAACCGGTGTCCAAAAGCTATTAGAGCTCGACTGATTCGAGAATGAGTGCTGGTTGCCCAATACTACGCTCACTGCCCCAGGCTGTATTGGCTCGGGCCCCGGTGGAGGCTCTCTATTTCATGAAGTCCTACGGCACATACAAAAGGTCGGACGTCATGGTCCAGCATGGAGGGGAAGTACTGCGGCTGGAGATGATCTGAGTCAGACCATTTTTAACACAATAGAATAACTGGCTACAGATGGCCACAACCGCGAATACGTTTCAAGCGGATGCGCAGTGGAGGAACATCAGTTACTGTTGATTTAACTAACCGATCAGTACCGGTCAAACCTGTATCGGAATATCTACCACTACCATGGTCATAGAAGGAAGCTGATCAGCACGAAAGCTAAGCTGTCCGGTGCAAATATGAGTCAAAGTTGGGTTTCGAGTCCAGTGTCAGGGCTGGCCTCTGGGCGCTCATGAATAACAAACGGGTTATATAAGAAGAGCACAGGAGGAGTATGACGTGGAAGTCTTATCTCGCTTCGCAAATGCTCTTGTTATTTCAGGATGCATACACTTTCTTTGGTCTCTGTCGGCTCAGATTATGGTAGACGAACTTAGAGACAGACTACATGTCACATATGGACTGTTTGATACAGCTCTTTGACATTGTATATGGGACAAGCCAACACGGTGACCAGAAAGACTGACATCCTCGATCGCCTTCTGGATCGTGCTATAGTAATGAAATCTCCTCACTAGCAATATCAATTCAATTACGATAGTGGGAGGATGTAGAAATTCTGAATGCTTTTCTTTTGAGCTATATAGAGAGTAGATAGGTGTCAGGTGATATACCTTGCACAGCACCTGCTGTTGATGGCGCCTTCCGCTTCTGGACACTACAACTTCGACAACTTCGACAGTTTCTCGATCGCCGGTTCGTTCATCGTCTCCGCCACCACCCTCTTCCAGTCATTTGAGAACATAGATCTCTCCCGGGTCGACAACCCTTCCCATCCCTCAGCAATGCGCCGCTCGTCCTCCTTCCATTGCTGCAGCTCCTGTTTGATCCACGGCCCAAGTTCTTCTGCCGTCTCGGAAACCTTCTCGAGGGGCAGGGTGTGCCCAGCCTTTTCAATCGACAGATGCCTCACTCGGCCATGGTTCATGCCACCGCTCCCTCCAAAATCGGTACCCGTCCTCTTCGCCATGCGAACATGCGCCCCAGACTTGCTCAGTGGACTCTGTGCTCCGCACAGGAAGAGCACTGATGGTCGAAGATACGGTAACACTCTCCCTGCCAGAATTGGCTCCGGTCGATACGCTCGCTGATTAGGAAGTAACCCTCCAAGTATATCTGGGAAAAATAGTGGGTCGTGCGGTGGACTGGGGCCATCGTTCTCACTCTTGTTGTGTTCATCGGGCAGGCCTAGCTGCTGGTGGCGACGCGGGTTAGCACGGGTGTACATCATCGCTTCCTGATATTTCGTCGTGGCCAACGTCACAGGCCGCCCTGAGTCGATCGTCTGGCTTTCCTGAGGATGTGTTACTGTGGGAATATCGCGATATCCCCATCGGGCGAAGCGATCGAGCACACGCGGGTCCCAGAACCGGAGATACTTGCGCGCTTTCTCCGCTGCCGCAGCCCGCGAGGGCCATGTGTCGCGTTTCTTTGCGGTCATGAACACGAGATGCGGGCCATTTCCATCAAGGCTGCTGTCGATGATGTATGGTTCGACCAGCAGGAGGGAGGTAAATAGCCGGGGGTGGATCACCGAGAGAAGGACTCTGCAATCACTTAGTAACTACCAGTTCTTTTTATCGGAGTACGTACAGCTGTGTCCCGCCCACACTATGCCCTACCCCCATGATAGGTCTGGGCATCTTGTCTCGGAACTGGTTGATCATGAGCAGCATGTCGCGGCTGTGATCGGTCCATGATGCTGATACTGTCAGTAGGGGATATGCAGAATTATCTTAATATAACTGACGGTCATTTCCCAGATAGTTCTCGTTGTGGATGCCACTGGCGCCTTGATTGGCCGCATCAGCGATCCAGATGGAGCGGATGCGAAATCCCTCTTTTTTGCTTCGTGCATAAAGCTCTTCCCAGAGAGGTTCATAGAGTTCCTATATCTTTCTGAGAAATTGCCATGATATAGTGCAAACACATGGTCATACCTTTGCGAAACCTGTTCCATGAGCGGCGACGATGGTGAGATCACCAGGTTGAGGCTCAGGATTGTCGAACGGAGTATATTGTTTGATGCAGAGCTTCAAGGGTGCATTTTGAATGGTCGTGGCTCGAGGGTATTCTCGGATGTATTGGGCATCGATGAGATGCTCTGTGATGGTGAAAGGGAATGACATCTTGAGGAGAGGGTCAGACTGGAAACTTGTAAGTGCTCTATCCAGCGTGACAGGGCTTCCCTATTTTCTGGCTTATGCGAAGGGACAAACCCAGACTGATCTATCCCAGAATATTTCCCTTAGTAAGGATGAGTGTTCTAAGTCCAGCGGCACCTTCACCGTCAACTACAGTCTCGAGGGAGTCTCAGATCTCGGGCTGACCTCATAGCGGTCTACAGCCCCATAATATCGGCAGGAAGGGTCCATCTCCAGCTCACCGGACCGCTGGCAATTACCCGAAGCGGGAAATGGATGAGCTGGTTGCTGATCGTGGGTCCAATCTTGGTTCCGCTGGCTGCACATACCAATTGACACATCATGTGTCTGACATACAGAACATGGCAGCAATTTGGAGGCCATGCTAATTCCTTAGTACTGACTTAGTACTGATAACATCTCAGTATCGCCTTCAAATATTTCATCATTCGCTCTCTGGCCTTGCAGTGACGATTATCAAACTCACGTACAGAGCAGCCACGAGGTGGATCAGGTTCCCGCTTCTTGCCACGGACGGCACGAACCAGTGTTCCCAGTTCCCACACCAGTATCTTGATCCACGTCGATCTTGGCGTGTATCCTGCAGTGGCTCGATCGATCTATCACATTCCATTTGAGATATGCTCACTACTACCTCATAGGATTGGCCCGGATCGTACTTTGGGTGTTGCGTCACAGCGATAAGAAGCACTATGCGCCTTGCAGATCTCTGCTTCTCCCATTGTCAAATATCAAGTTGGATGTCTTATATAATTACAACAATGACTCGCCACGAGTCCCACAGACCTTCTCTGCGCGGGATGGGTTTTCCTCATGCGCTTGATCTGGGGCTGAGGGGCTCAGGGGCTCCTTAGAACAGGGTTGCTCGCTTCGTCCCATGAGTCTTATATCAAACCCTGTGTCCAGTGCTGCTGTTGTCGATATACCCTTAACAAAAATACAATCCAGGTTCAGTATGACCTTGTACATTTTGGCTGCGACCACAGCAGCAACTTTACTCTATGTACGTGATCCGTGCATTAACCAAACACCCAAATCTGACAAATCAGGGCTGCATACTCGCCATATACAGACTCTTCTTCCACCCTCTGGCCAAATACCCAGGACCACGCCTAGCCGCCCTGACAGATTGGTATGCAACATTCTACGCATGGCGAGGAGATCTGCACAAGAAGAACCGCCAATGGCACGACAAATATGGTACGTACAGGATCTCGCGGCATCAGACTTCGAGTAACCGCTCCAGGCATGACGGTCCGCTTCGGGCCCAACGCACTCTGTTTCAACTCCTCCACTGCCATGAATGATATCTATGGTGTCCGGGCCAACGTGCGCAAATCCGACGGATATGCCTCGTTGTCCGCGAGCCGTTGCACCCCCAACACGGTCACCACAATCGACAAAGGTGTCCACGGCTTCAAGCGCCGCATCATGGCCCAGGTATACACCGAACGAAGCCTCAAGGAGATTGAAGACCGCATCCTCGACAACATCTCCGACTTTGTCGACGTACTCGGCTCAGAATCAAACGCCATGACAGGCTGGACTGCGCCCAAGGATATAGCGCAGACATGCGACTGGCTCACCTTCGACGTCATCAGTGATCTCTGCTACGGCGAGGACTTTGACATGCTCCATTCCAGCGAGATGCGGTGGTTCCCATCTGTGGTCCGCAAGATCGCCCAGCGCAGTATGATGGTATGCTTCCAGTCTCATTCCCCCAATTTGACCCGCCCTCTCTAACTGACTCAGGGCCTCATCCAACCCAAATTCTTCCAACTCAAACTCGACACCATCCTCCTCGCCAACCAATACAAGGACATCATCGCGGCAGGTGCCTGGGTCCGCCAGCGCGCCGAAGCCCGCGCCCAACTGGGCAACGACATCAAAAAGAAGGACATGTTCTACACGCTGATGAACGCCGTCGACCCGAAAACCGGGCTGCAGTTCACCCAGAAGGATCTGTGGGTTGAGTCCATGCTGTTGTTAGCAGCGGGTGCGTCTCCTCTAACCATTCCATCATCCCATCCCTCCCCTCATATCGAACGAACAATCGACTCTAATACAATATTATTATAAATACAGGCTCCGACACAACCTCCACAGCTATAAGCGCTGTAATCCACTACCTCCTCCACCACCCCACCCACCTAGCAAATCTAACCCGCACCCTCCGCACCCTCTTCCCCACCGAAGCCTCCATCTCCTTCTCCAACACAACCCTAAACACAGAAATGGAAACAGAAGCAGAAGCAGAGAAAAGCACAGACACCCTCCTGACATGCCCCCAAACCGCGCTCCTCCGCTCCTGCATCAACGAATCCATGCGTCTCGCCCCCTCCGTGTCGAGCGCACCCCCGCGCACCGTCCTACCCGGCGGTCTGCTCGTCGACGGGGAGCCCATCCCCCCTGGCACCACAGTCGGAACATCAATCTACACGATCCATCGCAACGAGGAGTACTTCGACCACCCGGATGAGTTTGATCCGCTGCGGTGGATGGATGAGGATACTGAGATAGGAAAGGAGAAAGTGAGGCGCGCGGGGATGGGGTTCGCGCCGTTTAGTGTGGGCGCGAGGTCGTGTGTCGGGTGGAGATTGGCGTGGGTGGAGATGAATGTTGCCATTGCGAGGGTGTTATGGAGGTTCGATATGAGGTTGGCATCTGTAGCTGGAGATGGAACTGGAGCGGGGTGTTCCTGTGGTAGTGGGAACGGGGTAGGCGAGAAGGGCAGGGAAGGGGGTTGTGACTATGAGTTCATGGGGTGGGTGACTTCGTCGGCGGAGGGGCCGGTGGTGGAGTTTAGGAGGAGGGATGATTTAGAGATGTGATGATTCTGTGGAAAGGAGCGAGGGTGTGGTGTGGTGTGGTATAGATAAAAATATGTGTGATGATATCATGAGCCATAATCTAGATCATCCGATGTCGGGTATGATGTCCGGTTAGCCCATTCCATCCTATCCTATCCTATCCCTGTCTTCATTATTGTTACAGGGATGCTATAAGGCTGTCTCATGGTACTATCTATATCTACTGTTACAAATGAGATCTTATTGGATGGGGCTCACATATGTACTCAAGCATACATTGACTAACTATAGTACCTGCCCACCTAGTACATAGTAGTGATACCTAGGTAGCAAGGAGAGAAGAAATGGGTATTACTGACAAGAAAAGACAAGACAACACAACACAAAACAACACAACACCGAACTCCCTATCCACACCAGCCAGCAGAAACAGAAACACCAACACAAACAACCACACAAAAATAAATGTAACGCCCTCCCGCCCAGATAGATACATAGATTACTTTTCTTCTGGCATCATGGCTATGATTCACGGCTCACGGTCCTGTCTATGGTCATGGTCCGGTCCATGCCGAGGAATCAACTAGACCGAACAGAGCAGACCAGACCAGACCAATGGAAGTGAACCAACCAGCTATGATGCATGCAATCCACCGCCGCCGGCGCCACCACCAACGAAACATATCATGAGGGGGGACATAAGGAAGAATGGAGAAAGGGAGAGAGAGGAACAAAGGAAATGAAAGAAGAAAACGCCAGAAGAATCCAGAATCCAAATCAAAATCCACATGGTTTCATATCCCGTAGATGCCATTATTGTCATTGTCATCGTCTTCATCGTCAAGACATGTCATATCCTATTTGGAAAGAAAGAAATATAGATAGATGGGGTGAGTATGTGAGGGGGGGGGAAGAGGGAGGGAGAAAATCACGCAATAATGCCCGATGCAGACGTCCCCGATCCCCAGCGGAAGCGCTTCAGTCCGCCGCGCACGGCTTCCTGGCCGCAGGCTCGACTGGGGATACTGCCCCCGTCGGAGGCCATCACGGACCCGAACCCGGTGGTGCTGTTTGCCTCTAGCTTGCCGACTTCGCGGCCGAGGACGTAGCCTGCGGAGAAGCTGATGGCGGAGAAGAGCACCACGACGCCGGCGCTGATCACCCAGGTCATGATGGTGGGAGTGGCGGTGACTGAGTCCGCCGTGCTGGCGCGTCGGCTCTTCTTGGCGGAGGAGGCATGGCTGCGGTCTTTGGAGGAGGGGCTGGATCGTCGCTTCGGGCTGGGTCGAGGGGCAGGCGGCGGCGGGGTGGGTCTTAGCCGCGGGGCGCGAGTGGGGGCGTGCGTCTCGCCCGTCCCGGGTGTGATCTCTTCCTCCCCTTCTTCGTCGTCTTCTTCTTCGCAGACTTCCTCGCCCATGGCGACGGACTCGGAGACGAGGCGGAAGGATGACGGGTGGCCCCGTGATGGACCGGGTTGTTGGGGTTGGGATTGTTGTTGGGCGTCTGATTTGGGCAAGCCGCGCGCGGCAGCTGCGCAGGAAAGGAGGGTGGAGAGACTGGCTCGCAGCGCGGCGTCGTGGTCTGCGTGGTGAGATGGGGAAATCATGCTGAAGGGACTGTGTTGCTGGGAAGGTCTACGGGCGGAGCGGATGCTGGCCTGGGAGTCTCTTCGGATCGCGGTCCGGCGGCTGGAGTTGGACACTTCGCTGGGCTGGGGCCGGTGTCTCTCCGTTGGCCGCGTCCAAGAGGGGTTCTGAGATGCGGGCGGGTGGGAGAAAACGTTGGGTTGTGGGACGAAGGGGGATGAGGCCATGCGCATGCCTAGGGCTGTGGAGTTGTCGTCGTCATCGTCGGTCGATGCCTCGTCCAGGGGAGAGATAGGAGCCGGCTGTGGTAGGAATGGACGTCCCAAGGTTGGACGGGCCATGTCCTCGTTGGAGCTGCTGAGGATGCGGTCCGACTCGCTCTCACTCTCCTCATATTCATCCTGACTACTGCTTTGTTCGCGAGACGAGTAATCGACCTCGGCGGTGGTGACGGCGGCCAGGTGTTGCAGGCGTCGTCGGCGGCTACGGTGGTACGGAGTGCCTCTGTTCTGCTCGACGCGCAGGCCGGTGGTGATGATGTCGTCGCAGGTCCCGGCGGAGGACAGGGAGGAGGAAGAGGGCTGGGAGGCGACCTCGATCCAGGAGTCTATGTAGTAGCGGAGTGAGTACATGGTGGTGGTACAAGAGGGGTACTGCTAGGAGGGGAACAATATGGCGGTAGATGCAGATCGGATGGAATCTGCAGGGGGGGGGTTGCAGAAAGGACCGCGTAGGGCAGATATCTGGGGAGCAGAACCAGGATGACGCACCTTCGGACCTCGTGGGCGCGCCAGCAGCAGGCGACCGGGAGTGGTGGAGGGAGAGAGGCTCGCGCGGCGGCTGATGGGTATCTCGCGTCATTCGCGCGAGGGATCGAGGGTCGTCTTGCACCTGACCCAGCAGGTCATAGTGGCTGGGTTGCATGATGTGGACGTAGATACAGATAGGGATAGAGATATAGATATAGATAGAATAGAAGGGGAGGGGTAGAGCACGAGCAAGAGGGAGGGGGTGGAGGAGGCAGGGGAATAAATACGGTCACGGTCAAGCAGCGGTGGGGAGACGGATCTCAGGCCACGGGGAATGCAGGCGGACCGTCAAGGCAGGAAGGCAGGAGGCAGGAGTAAGTACTAAGTAGAGCGGTCAGGGAGGGCGGGGTTGAATAGGGAGGAGAGGAGATGGAAGAGAGATGGCGATTGGATCTGCAGCACGATGGAGACCGATGGAGACCCGTGGATTAGGTTGACGATTATCTTATCAGCCAGAAGTATGAGGCGATCGCTCGAGGGGTTACAATGAAGCACACCCGCAAGGGGACAGGAAAGTGACAGGCTCAGTCAGTCCAGCCGTGTGAGTGACTGCGATGAGATGAGAGTTGGGTTGAGAGAAAGAGAAGAGAGAAGAAGAAGGGAAAGGGGAAGAGAGGCGCAGAAGAGCAGGAGGGAGGGAGAGTCAGTGAAGAGAGCACGAGGCCTGATCAGCCCGGCAGCCCCCCGCCGCCTGCTGACTTGGCCCGTCCCCGTCGCGTGCTCGCATTGGCTCCCGGCACGCAACACGAAGCCGATCAGGCTGGTCCAACTGATACAAAGAACAAAGTAACAAAGGCTGGGGGGTTACGGTAGTGACGGTAGGACAGAGTGGATATATACCTATAGGAACTATAGTGAGTGTGGTGAACTGTGGTGTATAAAATAAATCAATGTGGTCATAGCCATTCATTAATGGTTTCTATCCTAGATGATCATACTACGTCATCAACTATGGATAGCTGGGAAAAGATAATAAAACAATGCAAAGAGAAACTTTTTCAGGTGCCGGAAAACAGTCAGCAGAAACAACCCACATGGTTTACAGTCGCATCCCAAATGAACTCCCGTGCCGAACAATTCAAGTTTTCATGAAATCAACCAAACCCTTAGAAGGTGACCTTGGTACCCTTGTACTCAGGGATACCACCGCGGGCCTTGTTGGGGGCACCGCCGCCGCGGCCACCGAAGCCACCGCGGCCACGGCCACCTCCACGGCCACCGTCACGACCACCACCGCGGCCACCGAAGCCACCACGGCCACGGCCACCACCGCGGCCACCACCGAAGCCACCACCACGGCCACCGTCGTTCTGGCGGGGGGTGCTGAAGTCCAGGCGGAGGGGACGGCCGCTGAGCTCAGCGCCGTTCAAGTCGTTGTAGGCGGTACGGGCCTCGTCGATCGAAGAGAACTGGACGTAACCGAAGCCCTTGGGGCGGCCCGACTCGGGGTCGGTGGGCAGGCGGATGCCGAGGACGCTGCCCTTCTCGCCGAACAGCTCGTGCAGGGAGTCCTCGTTGGCGCCGAATGCGATGTTGCCGACGAACAGGGTGTCACTCTCGGGGCTGGCCTGGTCACCGAAGCTACGGGCACGGTTCTGGGCACGGTCACCAGCGTCCTTGTTGGCGGGACGGCCGGTGGCGTAGTCGAGATTGATGGTACGGCCGTCAATCTCGGTGTCCTTCTTGCCCTTCATGGCCTTAGCGGCATCGACGGCGTTGGTGAACTCGACGTAGCCGAATCTGAGGCGGGTTAGCGTGATTCCATCAACAGTCAGAGAAATACAAGGTAAACTCACCCACGAGAGCGGCCAGTCTCACGCTCAGTCATGATACGCACACCGGAGAGCTCACCGAAGCTCTCGAACTCCTGGGTGAGCCAGGCCTCGTCGACGTTCCAGGACAGGTTGCCAACGAACAGGTTGGCGGAGGCACCGGCCTCCTCGGTCTTGGACTTCTTGGGGGTGGGCTCGGCCTCCTCAGAAGCCTTGCGCTTCTTGGAGTTCTTGGGCTCCTCGCTCTCCTCAGAGTCAGAGGCGTCGGAGTCGGAAGAGTCGGAGTCAGAGTCGGAAGACTGGAACGCAATTAGTATCGGGTTGTCAGGAGGGATCATAGTAACATACCTTCTCGGCCTTCTTCTCCTCCTCCTCGCTCTCGGAGTCAGAGTCAGAGTCGGAGTCCTCGGACTCAGACTTGGCAGCCTTCTTAGCGGGCTTCTCCTCCTCGGACTCGGAAGAGTCAGACTCGGACTCAGAGTCCTCGGACTCAGACTTGGCAGCCTTCTTAGCGGGCTTCTCCTCCTCAGACTCGGACTCGGAAGACTCGGAGTCGCTGGACTCCTCCTTCTTGGCGACCTTCTTGGTCTCCTTCTTGGCGGGCTTCTCCTCCTCGGACTCGGACTCAGACTCGGAAGACTCAGACTCGCTGGACTCCTCCTTCTTGGCAGCCTTCTTGGCGGGCTTCTCCTCCTCGCTCTCGCTGCTGGAGGAAGCGTCGCTCATCTCCTCGTCGCTGTCGGACTCGGACTCGGAGGACTCGCTGGGAGTGGGCTCCTTCTTCTTCTTCTTATCCTTCTTGTCATCCTTGGTCTGCTTGGCCTTGGCCTTGGGAGACTGGGCGGCCTTGGTCACACCAGCATCCTTGACCTTGCTCACGGACTTGTCAACCACCTTCTCGGCACCCTTCTTGGAAACGGACTTGGTCTTGGACATTTTGATCTATCAGAGCGATGATTAGTTGGGACGTTGGAGGAGGAAGGGAAGAAGGAAAGAAGGATTACCAACAGATTCAAGTTAACAACACGTGGTTGGCAAAAAAAAAAGTTTGCAAAGTGCGGCAAGAATCCCACAATAATCACCCGATTTGTTTGACGAATACCCACAGGTAACCCACAACGGACAGTGTTCAAGCCCACACGAGACGACAGGGAAGCTACCGTCTAAGATATGAAACCCACGAGAGTATGCTACAGCCCACAGCCCTCAAGGTAATAAGCCCACAAGATGTCTGTTTGGAAGTGTACCTAGTAAGATACAGCCCACGGAACTGAGTAAGGGATAAAAGAGATAAAAATGGATGGAAGAAGGGGAAAGGGGAGGATGGATGAGATGAAAGAAGAAGAAGAAAATTCCGCGCCGGGGGGAGCTCTGATAAGGCACTGGAGAAAAAAAAAAAAATCTGGAGGCTGGCAGAAAAAAATCAACAGTCCGACCGCCCACTGTTTGTGGTCTAAACCAGGAACTAAGTGGGGAACTGCTTTCGGCGCTAACCCGACGGGGACTGACTCCGGAGGGGCTTCCCATTGGTCGACGCGACCCGTTGGAACCAGAGTGTCCCGTCAGTCTGTCCACCACTGACCACTGACCACTGACCACTCACCACTACCTACTATCTACTATACTACTCCTCACTCCTGAGCTCCCTTCGGCCATTCCCGCCTCATCCGCCATCAATTGCGCGCAATCCATGGGCTGCTTTTAGCCTGATCACTCCTTGCTCACCATGGCCCCTCCACCGTCCTCCTACCGCCCCCGCAAGAAGAGAAAGTTCCCCTCCTCTTTCACCGGCTCCAACAACTCCCTCATCGTCGAGACCGACGGCAAAGCGTCCCCGGCCTTTCCCCTGGTGTCCTTCTTGTGGTCTGCCCGGGCCGGTGTCTCCCAATGGCTGGTGCTGCCTCTGATCCTGATGGCCGTGGGCCTGTTCCGATGGGCTGTCAGTCTGTGGGGATACTCCGGTATGCAGCCAGCACTTCCATGCGCTCAAACAGGAGATACTGATCAGACCAGGCTTCCAGGTACCCCCGATGCATGGTGATTTCGAGGCGCAGAGACATTGGATGGAAATCACAATCCACTTGCCCGTGGCCAAGTGGTACCTGTACGATCTGCAGTACTGGGGCCTGGATTACCCGCCGTTGACTGCCTACCACAGCTGGCTGCTAGGCAAACTGTACGTCCTCCCGTGGCATCTGACATTTGCATAATCTGACTGAGCAGTGGCTCTCTCTTCGACCCCGCATGGTTTGCCCTGGACGAGTCTCGCGGCTTCGAGGACCCCCTCCTGAAGGTCTTCATGCGCGGGACGGTGATCGCCTCGGAATACCTCATCTTTATCCCGGCCGTCGTGAACTTCCTGCGTCGCTACACCCGGACGCAAAACGTGCCGGTCTGGTCCGCCTCCATTGCTCTCGTCGCGATCCTCCTCCAGCCGGCTACCATCCTCATTGACCACGGTCACTTCCAATACAACACGGTGATGCTGGGGTTGGTGGTTGCGAGCCTGGATGCCATCTTGGCCGGACGCATGCTCTGGGCGTGCATCTTCTTCGTGGGGGCCCTCGGGTTCAAGCAGATGGCGCTGTACTATGCCCCTATCATGTTCGCTTTTCTCCTTGGCGTGTGTATCTTCCCCAAGATCCACATCATCCGCCTCCTCTGCATCTCCCTCGTCACCGCCGTCGCGTTCGTGGTCCTCTTCCTACCACTGATCCTCGGAGTGACCGGTGCGGACGCGCGGGAGACTCTGGCGGCGGCCCCACAGCCTCCGCTGCTACAGTTGCTGCCGGTGGAGCTGGACAAGCAATCCGTGCTGTACGCGGTCGCCTTCCAGCTAGCGCAAACTATCCACCGCGTCTTCCCCTTTGCCCGCGGTCTGTTCGAGGACAAGGTCGCAAACGCCTGGTGCGCCATCCACACGTTCTACAAGCTGCATCGGTTTGAGGCCAGCCTGCTCCAACGGATGTCCCTTGGTGCCACCCTGGCATCGATCCTGGCTCCCTGCGCCATCATCTTCCGTCACCCGCGCGCTTCGCTCCTCCTGCCAGCCCTGTCCAGCGTAGCCTGGGGCTTCTTCTTGTTTTCCTTCCAGGTGCACGAGAAGAGCGTGCTACTGCCGTTGCTCCCCATGACCCTCCTCCTGGCCGGCGATGGGGGCCTGAGCAAGGAGACCCGCGCGTGGGTGGGATGGGCCAACATCCTTGGCTCGTGGACGATGTTCCCTCTCCTCGCGCGCGATGAGCTCCGCGTGCCCTACTTCGTTATGACCCTCCTCTGGGCCTTCCTGCTGGGTCTCCCTCCCACCTCTCTGGAAATTTTCCGCGGCCGGGCTTCCCTAGAAGACAACACCCTTGGCGCCGAGCTCCACGTGCTGACCAAGCTCCTGCACGCCTGCTTCTACCTCGCGATGATCGCGTGGCACGTGCTCGAGGCCTTCGTGGCACCTCCCCCTGGCAAACCAGACCTGTGGGTGGTTCTGAACGCCCTGATCGGAGCGGGAGGGTTCGGTATCGCCTATCTGTGGTGTGCCTGGAAGTTGATCCAGCAATGCCGTCGGATCGACCAGAAGGCCGCGGACGAGACAGACAAGAAGAACCAGTAATGGGTGCGGGTGGGTGCTTTCAAATTCATTCCAATATACAATTCGATTCGTTTCTCATATGATACCCATTTTGATCGGGACGGCCTGCGCTGCCTTTCGGGCAACCTCGCACGGCCCATGCTTGTGAGCTGGTGAAAGACAAAAGCGATTGCTTCAGCCTTCATTCCCATCCATCCATCTATCCGTCTATCCATCATTCATCATCCATCATCCATCTATCTATACCATGCACATCTCTCCCAAGATACTAAATACCACTAAACAATTTTACATTCCTTGCGATTGCCAAAACGAGAGAAGAGATAGCCCCGACGCATTAGATGGAGCAACAATAATATATCAACAAGCAATAGTAATATACAGTTCATAACCCAGAGACCAACCCTATTTCATTCCCCAACACCAGATAGAACCAGACATATTTGCACACGCTCAATCAGACACACGGTATGGTCTATGTTCATTTAATTCAATCCGGTGGATCTCAAGCGGATTCCAGTCCAACGAACGGATAGTTTGTCATCGATCAATCATACTCGGAGGATCAAGCAGACGAAGTCGAAGAATTAGTTAGACCTTGAACCCATATCCCCCCATGCAGGCCTTGTACTGCTCAATCATGGACTTGCACTCCTGCGTCGGGTCGTCGGTCTTGGAGAAGAGCATGCAGTCGTCGCGGGCGGTCTTTTCGGTTTTGCATACACAGCAGGGCTAAGGTAGGAGAAGTTCGCTGTCAGATATCCGTGTCATATCCGCGAGGTGGGTGGAGGGTATGGAAAAGTAGATTGCTAGCAGGGACGTACCTTGGGCTTCTCGGCGGGGGGGGCCTCGGTGGGGGCGGGAGACTTCTCAGCTGTTGGGGGGGAATTGATTGTTAGCAGGGTATTCAATTTGTTTATAGGATTGGTGAGAGAATATTATGGGTAGGATAGGATAGGATAGAGGAGGGGTGGGCATGGGTAGATGCGGAAGTATGGGACTGGCTGGCTGGCTGCTTACTCTTGGAGGAACCGAACAACCACGACATTGTGAGGAAGGGGAGATGAGCACTGAATGAGTGACTAGGAGGAGAGCGAGAGGAAGGGCGAGTGTGAGAGTGAGAATGAGAATGAGAATGAGAATAATGGTGAGAGAGAGTAAGTGAGAGTGTTCCGATGCATGCGCAAAACGTGCTGATTAATGACGCGATGGCCAGGAACGGCATAACTGGTCCCTGTGGGCGGGCGGAGCGGCGGGCGGTCGGGGAAATTTCTGGGAATGAAGAGGCGCGGTTGTCAGGGAAGCCAAAACAAGTGGGATTGATTATTGCCTCTCGCTTTCTTTCTCCCTCCCCTTTCCTTTCAACCCACGCATTGCCTCCCACGTTCATTGTCTTTCTATCTCCCTCTTCCTCCGTTTGCCTCCCCCGTTTACCGTGACCATATCCACGTCTACTGACGTTTATAATCTACGATCCTTCCCTCTCGCACCGTGCAATCCCTACCCCTGAAATTACCAAATTACCCCGCCATGGCCCCTCCAAAGATCTTCTCGCTCGAGGGCAAAGGCCTCAAGCTGGACTCCGCCGCCGACATCGAGTCCCACATCCAGCCCCTCCTGGAGAGCGCCGACTACACTGAGATCCGCTTCGGAGGCAACACCCTGGGTGTCCCCGCCTGCGAGCGCCTGGCCGCCGTGCTATCCACGCAGAAGAGCCTGGAGGTGGCCGAGCTGGCCGACATCTTCACCTCTCGCCTGCTGAGCGAAATCCCCGCCGCGCTGACCTTCCTCCTCAACGCCCTCCTCGAGATCACCTCCCTCCACACCGTCAACCTGTCCGACAATGCCTTCGGCGCCAACACCCAGAAGCCCCTCGTCGACTTCCTCGCCCGCCACACCCCCCTCCGCCACCTGATCCTCAACAACAACGGTATGGGCCCGGAGGCCGGCTCCAACATCGCGAAGGCGCTCACCGAGCTCGCCCAGCGCAAGGAGGAGGCCCGTGCCGCGGGCAAGGAGGTGCCTCTCCTCGAGAGCATCGTGTGCGGGCGCAACCGCTTGGAGAACGGCAGTATGGCCGCCTGGGCCCGTGCCTACGAGGTGCACGCCGCGGGCATGCGCTCGGTGAAGATGACACAGAACGGAATCCGTCAGGAGGGTATCTCGCTGCTGTTGAAGGAGGGTCTTCGCCACTGCGGTGCCCTGGAGGTCGTCGACCTGCAGGACAACACTTTCACCGTCATGGGCTCTACGGCTCTCGCGGGTGTCGTGTCCAGCTGGCCTTCCCTGCGTGAGCTCGGTGTGAGCGACTGCTTGCTCTCCGCTCGCGGTGGTGTCAAGGTCGCGCAGGCTCTGGCGGAGGCGAAGAACGAGAAGGTGCAGACTCTGCGTCTTCAGTACAACGAGATCACCGCCGAGGGTGTCAAGCAGTTCCTCCACGCCACGAAGACGGCGCTTCCTTCCCTGCGCCGTATCGAGCTGAACGGTAACATCTTCATGGAGGACGATAACAATGTGACTGAGCTGCGGGAGATTCTTGAGGCCCGCAAGGAGGAGCACGGTCAGGATGACGACCCGGAGGAGATGTGGGGAGTTGACGAGCTGGACGAGCTTGAGGAGGAGGAGAGTGAGGAGGAGGAAGAGGAGGAGGAGGAGGAGGAAGAGGAAGAAGAGAAGGCCGAGAAGCTCCTCAAGGATGACGAACTGGCCGAGAACGAGACGGTCTCGCAGAAGAAGTCCGAGGACGTCGACAAGCTCGCCGAGATCTTCGGCAAGACTGGCCTGTAAGCGGTTGGGATCTTGGACTCCCACCTCACCTACCCCTATTCCTATTTTCGCCTACCCAGCACCGGCACTCTCGCGTGGCAAGAGCTGGATGCATGATCGTCCGGGTCCAGCCGCGCCGACCGCGTCCGTCGGATTGACCGACAGTCTGTTGGAGGCGAGGCAGATTCCGACCAGCCACAGCCCGAGACGCCGCGCCGTCTGCCGTCCGTGAGGTTCATCGCACTTTGGATAGAAGCCGTGCCTTTGATTTGATGCCGTCCTTTACAGTCATTGCTCGAGAGCATTAGACTAGACATGAGCCTTACCTTTGCTGACCATACACCATGTTTCTGCTGTGATGTATATAACGTTTAAACGAATGAATGTGTGCAATACTTTATGTCTTTGGTGGTGACGGTGACGGTGGCAGTGACAGTGACACGGTGGCCGGGTGAAGAGTCGGTGTAGTCAGCACTAGCCAACGGCTTCTAGAAGTTCCGGCTCAATTCACACCTCGTAGGCGTATCAAATGGTGTGCTCAATGGTGACACTAAACTACTATCTCAAGGTAACGCAGCCTGAGGCATCCGATGCCAGCTGCGTCACCTGAGCGCTCATCTGAACATCGCATCTGAATTCACTAACAACCCCCATACAACATCAACAAACACCATCAATACCCCAACCAATATACCTACATCAACTCCCCCAATCCATACCCCTCCCTCCCTCCCCCCACCCCCCAACAGCACAATATCACAACAGCACAGCAGCACAGCGGCACAACAAAATGGCATCCACTCTCCTAGAAATCGACTCCCTCGAAGCAACCATCATCATCGACAACGAGCTCGACACCATGTCCCCCGTCGCCCCAGACACCGTGCAGGTCACGGGCCAAATGCGCAGTCTGGCCACGGACTCTCCGCACTTGATCCACGACCGAGGGGACGCGAGAAGGGAGCTCCAGATGGAGGATATTTGTTGCGCTGCACATGGGCTGTCTATTCTAGTGGTATCTTTCTCTCTCTCTCTCTCTCTCTATTTTTTATCACTCGTGTCCACGTGAGCTGGACAGGATATGGGTTCACCCGCTAACCACCACTCCAGACCGCCACGAAAGACGGAGAACGACACACGCTCCTCTTCGACGCAGGACCAGAAGGCGAAGCCTGGGAGCGGAACGTCAAGAGACTCCGTCCGGACCTTTCAGCCGTGGAACTGGTCCAGTTATCACACTGGCATCGGGATCATTCTGGTGTGTTTTTTTTTTCCCAATATAACCTCTTTTGCATTACCTAGGTGATATGGATATATGAAGTACTATAACTAAGAGAAGCGAGGCAGGCGGTCTCCAACGCGCAATTCAGATGATCACATCCGCCCGACAAAGCACAAGCAACAGCCACGGCGATGGTCATGGACCGATAGTAGACGTCCACCCAGACCGTCCCGACTACCGGGGCATGGCTATCGGGGAGAATATCATCTCTTTACAGGCAGATCCCACCTTCGCGGAACTGAAAGAGGCCGGGGGTGTGGTGGAGAAGCATGACGACGGACATACGGTTCTGGATGATTTCTTCTTCGTGTCCGGCGAGATTCCCCGGCGGACGGGGTATGAGATGGGTCTGAGGGGCGGGATGCGGTTCGATAAAGATGAAGGCGATTGGTTCTCTGATGAGGGTATTGCGGATGAGCGGTTTTTGATGTGTAATCTGAAAGGTGGGTTTCCATTTCATTCCAACTTATGCTGGCGCATTATGCAGCTGTTAGGGGTTCAGAACCGAACCGGGGGGAGGGGGGGTAGTTGGTATATCCGGTTGGGTGCTTACTGACTCAATCCAGGAAAGGGCATCGTCATGTTCACGGCATGCAGTCACGCCGGGGTGGTCAATTGCGCGCGACACGCTATCGATGAGCTGGGGGGTGATGTCCCTCTGCATGCGATTATCGGGGGGTTCCATCTTGCGACGAGTGACGCGGCGCAGCTGGAGAGCACTGTGAGAGATCTGAAGAGACTTGATCCAGCGGTTATCCTGCCGGGACACTGTTCGGGTTGGAGGGCCAAGTTCGCGATTGAGAGGTCTATGCCGGGGGCGTTGGTGCCTTGTTCGGTGGGTATGAAGATTACGTTCTAGATTGTGCCAAGTGGTTCGATAGTCCTCAAGATGGAAATACGCGTGAGGCGAGGACTATGATGATGCTTTTGAGCTGTCGCGCACAGCTCCGCAGATGTCTGAAGCACAGCTTTGAGGAAGTCTCGCTCGCAGTTTTGTGGAAGACTCGGGCATGAGGCTGTCGGGTTTGTCTCCTGACGGTCCCTCCGGCCAAGCTGGAGTCTGTAATGGTGTGTTGGAGAGGTGTGCTATCTCCCACAGATTCTCTCGACGGGCTGATTCATTGATGGTCCTATCCTATGGTCTTGGAGCCTTGACTGACACGCAATGACAGTGGCTGTCTCTTTGGAAGATGCATGGTGTCAATATCTACAGGCACAAGCTTCACGAGTTGCAGGTATATCCTGGCCATGCACTGGCTCAGCAAATGTCTACATCTGATATCTATTGAATTGGGATCTGAAAGGGCCAGTCTGGAGCCTAGTCAAAAGACATGGTGAACCCCTAAAGATGACACGATGTGTCTAAAGGCACTTGCTGATAGGGTTCAACCAGCGCAGATACGGCACTAGATATATCTTTAGGCAAAAAAAGGCTATGCCAATTCCAATGCGAATTTACTTGCCATTCTCGATGCATTACTATACTGTATATCTATCTATGGCTTTTCTTAGTCATTGGGCACGATATATATGTGCCCATCTGCAAAATATCCCCGAGGAACATATATCATCTATATTCCATCCACCAAGAAGAAAATCTGTAACCAACCTCGACGTCATATACTACAAAACAAGTGCTGGACTAGATTCCCACCAAGTCACCGCGGATCATCCAACACCTCATCCAGCCAAGAACAACCACCTACTCAACGCTAAATCCAATCCAACATACCAAGCCCACCGCCCACCACCCACCGCACACGGACACCACATACCGCCAAGCCCCCTTCCGTCAATCTGAATCCTCACCCTCAACTCAATTCCTCAAGAATCCTCAAACTTCCAATCTTCAGGCCAACTTCTCCAGTCTCCACCCGCATGCGTGAACATCTCGCATTACATCACCTCACCTCATCTCACATCGTGTCCTGATCCTGATCCTGATCCCAGTCCCGATCCATTGGGCAGCATACCGCACCCACCGCCATCCCTATGTAAATTAAAGTTATGGGCGCGCTCCGTGGGGATCGCTGATTTGACTGCCGTTGTATCAGTTCGTGGATGGGTGCATACATACCGTGTCCACTATGTATGTATGTGTGTGTGTGTGTGTGTGTAGTATGTGTGTCGGGGCTGCATGCATGATGCATGCGTTATCCTGGTTAGTACATGCTTGCTTGCAGGTTGGCTGGCCGGTTGGTTGTTGAGTACCTACCTACCTACCTACCTACCTACATGCATACAGCCAGACAGACATAGATTTTTGATACCGACTAGACTGGACTGGATGGTATAGTGGAGGCCGTGTAAGTATACATACTGTGTACCTACCTATTTACCTACAGTATCTAGATACTTAGATAGTATCATTCCAACTCCATGCTGCATCCATACTTAGATAGATGTACACACAAGTCCATCTGTATACTGTAGAGAAACCCAAGATCTTCTTCCCACCTTATACCTTAGCATCCACACTAACCATCTCTCCCTTACGACCATTACGGCACTACCTAACCTAACCTAACCTATCCATCACCCACCGCCAAGCCAAACCCCAACCCATCTACCCATCCTAGTTATTTCTTGGGTATAGAACTCTCTCCGGTAGATCATATCACATCACGTCACATTCTTGTTACCCCAACCAGACACCATCTACGCTGTTTTGCTGCCGACCAGCTGATCACCGATCACCAACCTGTATCACGGTAGTTAGCAGGAAAGGTGAGTTCCGCGCGGAGGAAGTAAGTAGGTACGTCAGTTCCCCGCTCATACATGGATAGATACCCGGTCGGTTGCACCATTACAATGCCAATGTCAATGCTAATGGACTCGGGGATGGGGGAGGGGGCGGTGCAGTCAGCGGATGCGGATGATCATTAATTATCGTGTCCTACTACTCCTCCACCCCCTGTGCCAAGACAATAAAAGGGAGGAATGCACGGCAGGCTTGGCGGGGGGGAAGGGGTCTCCGTACTGTTGATTGTTATGAAGAAAGGGGTTTGTTTGGGTGAGATGAGATGAGATGAGATGAGATGGGTATGGGGTATGGGGGAGATAGATAGTATAGTAGTTAGAGCGGGTGCTTTGTTTGCCCCTATCTACTTTGTTTAGTTCTCAATGGAGCATACCTATCAGTTATGTGGTGAATAAACGGTAGGTCGGCTGCTGAGACATACATACACTGGCATATAAAATGAACGCCCGTAGTATGTGTGGGATGGGATTGGATTGGTTTTATTTAGATATGGGTAGACCGGAGATAGATAAGAATAAGACACTCAGTTCTGCTGAGATGCAGCTCTTATCGTTCGTTTATTTACTTACTTGTTGTCTCGATCGATAATGTAATACTGGATGGATGTTATTGTCCCACCAACCCAACCCAACCCAAACCCATCACCACACTCCCACCACTACCATCAAAAACTAAAATTAGCCCTGCCCTTCCGTATCTCCCCTCCTCCAGAGTAAACTCCCACACACTCTATACGGAGTACAGAGGGACTCCCTCCCCCCCTAAAAAGAGTCCCCAAAGGGATGGACGCACCGCCAAGAAAAAGCCTTGCGGGAGCTGCACCAGCCCGCTTGGCAGCCATAATCTGCATGACTATTGGCTTGGAACGGCCAGAGAAAAGGGTAAGAGGCCGAGGACTGATCACACCGGACTCATTAATTGGGGGGGGGGGGTGCGTTGCTTTTATTGTTTTTACTTGGCTTATCCAACTATTGTAGCTGGTTGCAAAGGAAAGGTTTTATCTAGCTCCTAGGTGTGTTATCCGTATCAATCTTGGGTTTGGTTGTGTTGGGAGCTACGGTAGCAACTATATACTTGGCAGATAGGTAGTAGGTAGTACAGTACTATTCATGTAGTGATGATGACCCCCTGATGGTGTCGATCAGGTGGTTTGTTTTGATTTAGGTTTGCTTTGGATGTGTATTGTGGACTGTCGTCATTTTATTATAATAATGATTGACTCACTGACTCACTGACTCACTGGATGGATAACTGAATAATTAAACAACAATAGTTACTACTCTACACAGTCTAAGCCATGGGAAGGATGTAAACCTAAAAAGTAAGTACACTGCTAGTATCTATCTACCATAATGTAGACTGCAGACTGCAGACTGCAGACTTACCCAGTCCGGTAAGTAGGTAGCTCTCCTCTCCTCACTCCACCACAAACCTAACTCTATTCTGCGCCATCATCACCCTTCATCCTGGTACATAGTCCGGTACACTCACTAGCCAGCCATACTACCGTCTCAGCAAAGTAATCCGAGTCAGACAGGGAGGGAGGAGAGAGTCTGACATCATATGCGGGTTTCCACTTCCCTACCTCTACCTGCCTGTCTGCCCTGTCTGCCTATCTGCCTGCTTTGATTGCTCCGCGTACCTGAGCGATCGACATCGACATACCTACCTATGGATGTACCTACATTACCATTTACCCCTGAGAATCGGTACCTGCAGGAGGAGGGCAGGTAGGGCTGGCTGGTTCCCCCCTCCCTTGTTGCTTGCTTACGGACAGACATACTTTGCAGACGCCGTTTTTTATTCTATTTTTCAATGTACCACCATGTGACCATGCACGGGGCATGTACTCCGTAACCTACAGCAGAACTGCAGCAGACGCAGTCTGTCGGCAGGGGAAGTAGAAATGAGGCTGAAACATGTGTTTGGTGTTGTCTGTATGTCTTGGATGGATATACTCCGTAGGTTACGTACTTTGCTTGCTCCTATATATCTATTTATTGGATTCTAGACAGTGCAGACTGGGTGTGTCAGGTGGTTGGTAGGAGGTAGATTGGTAGGTAGGCAGTAGTAGTAGTAGTAGTAGTAGACCGCAACTCTGTAAAGGTATTAAATAAATATTGTAGATTGCGGGGTGAGGGGGGGATGTACATTGTACCTAGGTCCCTACCTACCTACACTGCATAAGACATAGGCAGTATATAGTATGTATACATAGGTAGGTACCAGGTACATCCTTCTAACCACGGCCACAGTGTGCTAGCACTTAGAAAGCAGAATGACAGCCAAATGACATAGCAGTCCATACTATCTAATAGGTAGGTAGGAACTTAGGTAGGTAGGTAAAAACTAACCCATGCAGCTGATCCCTTGGCATACTCCGACTCCCCACGTCTACCACAAACCACAAACCATGGGAGCGAGAAAAAAAGAGAGAGGAGGGGGAAAAGAAAGACATCACTATACCCTCACCTCACCTCACTGACCTCACCAGTATCGCGTGATGCGCGATATTCTCAAACCAGACCCCCTAAACCCCTCAATACCCCTGTTCCCGCTACCTAATTAACTGAGCATATTATGGACCGTGTCTATATCCATACTATATCCATCCAGCACTATATATACTTCACTATCACTGTCACTGCCACTAAGTAGTAAAGTACTCCGTACCAAGAATCCTATGTAGATAGATACCATCTGACATAAATCCCTCAGCCTTACCACCGGCACGGCACCTGCTCCCGCACCCGTTCTATTAGGTAGTTAGTTATAGTACAGTCTATCTACCAGTCTATCTACCAGTCTCAGTCTATGTTTACGTCTACAGTCTACAGTCTACCATCCCGGGTTAATATCCCGAGGTAGTACGGAGTCTAGTAGATAGTAACAATTTAAAAAAAAAAAAAAAAAAAAAAAAAAAAACCCTTCACTAAGACCCAACCAACCAACCAGCCAACCAGCCAACCACACAAAAAGTAAAAAAGAAAGTACGGAGTACAGTAAGGAAACTAGAACCCCCCCGACCCATGGATCTCACCCGAGGTCTAGGATACCGTACGGGGTTAATTGGGTCGGGTTGGGTTGAAGGTTCAGGCAGGCAGGCAGGTAGGTTTGATGTTGTGTTTGTTCTTGTTTGCCGCCGCCGCCGCCGCCGCGGAACCATGGGTGAATCGAAAAGCCAGAAAGAACGGAATGGAATGGAACGGGCAAACTGGAACTGAAGAAACCACATTTTGGTTTGTATGTAAAGAAAGTAAACTAAAAGTAAATAATCTGACTGGCTGACTCCGGCGCACCCGTGCCGATTCCCGAACGCGATGGCATGGCGATGGCGATGGCGATAGTGATGGTGACCGCGACCGAACCGACAGACCGACCCTGGGATTTTCTCATTCTGGATTTACGGGGGGCTGGTTGGTTGTTATGCCGAGGGGATGGGGAAAACGCCGAAGAGCGAGATCTATTGATTGGTGCTTATCTTCTCCGAACTTGCAATCTGCAGGGTGTCGCATTCGCGCTGAAAGACGGAATCTTCCGCGGGGTGTCAGACTCAGTGGATAGTCAGTCATGGGTGGGTGGGTAAATTCGCTCACTCACTCGACCTTAGATAGATAGATAGATATACTACTGTATAGTATGTAAGTACTATGTAGGTTCTAGGTAGAGTAGGTCCCTGCTAGTTAATTACAGCTATAGCTATACCTGTCTATCTATCTATTAGCTAGCTAGATAGCTAGCTAGTTAGTGATCATCACGATCCCGGCAATAAAGTAAGTAGGTACATAGATAGCTCACGGTAGGAAGGGGTAAGTAATATCGAAGACGCAAGAGCATGCATGAGGGGTAAGCTACTCCTGGGAGTACGGAGTACGGAGTACTAGAATCAAGTAACTACTATCTGCTACCTACTTACGCTCCATGTACGAGATAAGCTGCCCTGCCGATATCCGTTCCAGACCTGAATCTGGATAGTATCTATCTAGTAGTTACTTAGTCACCTTTCTCCAAATCGACCCAGTAGTTCGATAACTACACTACGGAGGGGTTAGTCGGACTATCGGCTTCACATGGTAATATGCCGAGCATGTTGTGCGTTGTGCACCCACCCTTTTGGCCGACCGTGTAGGCAAGAAGGGCAAGGCAAGGTACATGTCGCCAGGTACCAGGTACTAGTACTAGTACTAGTACCCAGAGCGATAATTCCCCGACTCGGGCTCGGACTATACCCACCACACAAACCCCGGAGATCATGCTTTATTTCTATCGGGTCGCATTATTGTTCCTATTATCCACAACTATCTATAGAGTAGTACCGTACCCATAACTAGATGCCAGATGGATGGACATCATCTCCCAGTCCCGTCAACTGCGATGGCACCTGCAGCCCGCGTCATGGACGGGGCTGACACCGTGGCACGCCGGGGCGGGCGTGAAATGAGATGAGCACGCGCGTGTCGTAAAATCTCTCATACTATCCATCCATCCATCCAGGCAATTCTACGGTGCGTAGTCAGTCAGTCAGTCAGTCAGTCAGTCAACCCGGCGACGGCGAGTCTTCTCCGGAGGTGTCAAAATGGCTTGGTGTACTACTATAGACCCCCTAGGACCTAGGTAGGTAAGACAGGTAGCTCTGGCGCTGCAGTAGCGGTTTCGTCAGAGGGTTGAGCTATGAGATTGAGGGTGGTGAGTGGTACGTCCTAAAGTTATGTAGGTACCTGCTCTTAGTTAGATACCTCGTTCAAGAGTCCAAAGATAGGTAAGGTAGCTCGCTGCTAATATCAGCTTGTCGCTGCTGGGGGAGCCTGGGCTGGGGACGGACGGCTGGTCCGTCAGCGAATGACAGGGTCGCTTCCTCGTACTGCTTTGGGTTCTCCGATGAACAGTCGGAGCTCCTGCCGCCCGTGGGGGCAGGTACAGGTACTTACTTACGTGTAGCTGGCCCCGTAGTAGTCTTCTTGTTGCCGTGGCCGTAGCCGTTGGGTTCGGAGAAGCGCTGTATGTAAGTAGACGGACGGAGAATAATTGTCCTGCACTGCGACGGAGAGAACCTGCGACGCAGATGGCCCGGATAGGGCGCTGGCGAAGTACCTCGACCGCGGACATCCGATGGCACCTACACTGTGTACGGATACTTAGTAGTGTGTAGCGACTGAGGCGAGCGAAGATGACTTGAACCTCGGGTCAGCGAGGGCGAGGGCCGACAGAAAATCCCTCACCAGGATCTCCTCGATGAGACAGCTTGGCACGGGCGATCGCCCGGTGGGGGGGGGAGGCCGCCTTAGTGGCAGACTCACAGCACTTGGGAGTAGTTGGGACGACGATTAGTATCGTTTCCTTGGGGGCCGCTAACTGGATTCGCAATTAACGTCGGTGAGGTGGGAAGATTGGCCCCGTTGGAGAGAGGACTGGCGACCTGCTAGCCCGTTCACTACTGTAGGTACCAGAAGCCAAGAGCGAGCCTAGTACGCGGTAGCGGACAGTGGGCCACCACTACCACCACCACCACCACCACCACCACATTTTCGAGGTTATGCATCGCGCGGCGGAACAATTGAACAATCGCTATTGTGCAAATTACCTAAGGCCACACACACACTGGGTGAGGGTGAGGATGTAATTTTCCGTTTCACGTCATACACTCATAACAACACCCAACCCGCGCACTTTGGCGGGCGGACATTTTGGCGCCTCGTCAGATATACAAGGGCCGTACTCCGTACGTCCACCGCCAAATCGGGGATGGCGCAGGCCCCGGCTGGCCCGAATTGGGAATTTCATCCTTAGCCCGCTGTGGTTAAGCCCCGGACTCTCTCGCCCTCCAGGACCGCAGGACGGCCACTCAGACCAGCAAAAGTCGCATTAATTATTGGCAAATTGCCCCAGGACAATCAAATCAATCAATCAATAATAACACTGACAATCCTATGACTTTACCCGATGTGCCCTCTCGGACTGCCGATTATGACGTCGTCCACCGCGCCCCGACCCCCCCCCTCCCTCCGCGAGGAATGCCACCTGCTGGCAGGTCAGGCAGGGTAAGGGCCAACTCACTGCCGACAGCCGATCGAATTGGCCGCCGCCGTCGCGGTCGCCGCCGCCCCCGAGAAAAATCCTGCTTCGGTCGGTTGTTCTCGAACCCCCTCCTCTCCCCAGAGCGGCGAATCGTAAAATCTTAACGAAGGGCCCGGAATGCAGCTAGGAGGACCCAGTTGGAAGGCTTCTAGAAAACGTCGAGAACGGCGAATCTGCGGGTTTCGATGCGGTCAGAAGGTCCTTTGCCCCTCACTTTGCCTTTTGCATTCGGCGCTCCGGTGGCGACTGTCCTGCCCGACTGGGGATGGCGGCAAGTGGCTCTTAGTAGGCCCCCCCCCCCCCCCCGGTCACGGTGGGATAACGAGCAGCCCTCAGCCAACGATGGGCCGATAAGACTCTTTAGTAAGGCGCCTTACACAGGACTACTTGGTCGTGCTAACTTACTCAGTCCAAGTGTGCTTTGTATCTTAGTTAGTCCGTACTCCGGTCCTGCCCCTCTCTCTGTCCCTCTCAGTCCGGAGTAGTTAATTACTTACTTAGTAGTTAGTTGGAGGGGTCAGCGCGAGCGCGGGACTACTGTAGCATGCCCCAGTCGCCGCGGAATAGCCTCACCTTCACGCACGATGGCTCCATGCGGGATATATTGTCCAGCGTGTACGGAGTACGTGGTCATACTATCTATCTGTCCATCAGTCTATCTCTGCTACTACGACAGACAGTACTGATTGACAGTCCGAGTACGGAGAGGGGTCCAGCACGTCGCCGTCGCGTCGTCTCGGTCGGGATTTCCCTGACCGTTCTCGAACCCTTTGCGGGCTCCCGATCATGCAGTTGTACACCCTCACGTGTCCGACTTCGAGACCACCTTCCCGGGGAAGAAAGACATCACCAAACCATGGAAGCGTCTTGACTGTATCTGTCAGAGAAAGCGTTTCAACTTTCAACACCCCATTGCATGATTGCTGCCAACAAAGGGAACTACCGCCCGCTTGCCCCAACTGTAAACCGACTGACTGTAGTAACTGCTGGTTCAGGGACGAACTTCAACAAACTGACATCCCGACCGAAACCTCCAGTTCCACGGGTGGGATGTGGGGAGCTGCGAGACTCGCGCTTCGGCACTGTTTGGTAAGGTAAGGTACCTTCCCGACTAGGCGAGGTACCAGGGCACTCCACCAGATAGTAGCGTAGCAGCAGCACCACGCTAAAATCACCCACCCAGCACTATACTATACTATACTGAGTAAGGCGGTAAGGTACTACGACTGACTCCGTCGCGGTACGGCGGGGGGGGGTCGGGGGGCCACGCCGACCAGCGTTATTTCCACCCTCCCACCCGCGGCCCACTTCGGTTAGAGGCGCTAGCCCGGGACTCTCTTAGTGTCCCTCTAGACTGGTCAGGACCCAGGTACGTCAATCCTGAATCCAGGTACTCCGCCATCTGACTGGATAGCTGGGAAACGAGGAGCTCCACGGTAGCTTGGAGCTCCCAAGCTACTAGTATGTCTGTCTGTCTGTCTGCCTTGGTTGGGGCATAACTGACTGACTATCTATCTATCTGCTCGTCCGACGGACGTCTTCAGCTGACCGACCGACCGACCGACAGACCGACCTGCTGAGTGTCAATCCGCGGATCGAACTCCAGAGTCCAAGAGGATTTCCCCAGAATTCGATAGCTGATTCCTTCCGTGAGTTCCTCCCCCCCCCCGGTCCTAATTCAGATGGCTGGGGTTGCGGGTTGGGGGCTTGGCTGACGTGGTTACATGCCGCATTCCTGGTCCTGCTGCTGCTGCTGCTGCTGCTGCTCGCTCCCCCAGGTTCGAGTGTGCAGGGTAGGCCCAGGGCAAAATGCGACCGCGCCGGGCAACGGTGAGAATCCCCCGGAATTCCATCGCTACCCGGCTGGCTGGCTGCTGGCGCTGCCCATGACGAAAGGGAAGGGCGCACGGGGCTGTTGGTGCCCCGGAGGTGGTTTTGTATTACCCTGTGTATTTGGATTTGGTGTAGATAGTACGTAGCATTAGCAGTAGCAGTAGCAGTCAGCCTGTAAGGTAGATAGATAGTTGAGCTTGAGACAGACATAGCTACTAGCTATCTAGCTATTTAACCAACTAGGTAAGTAGCTAGGTAGCTAGGTAGTTAGCTACGGAGTAGGTCGGCAGGTAACCGGCATAGCAACGGACGAGAGGAACGGAAGCCATCCGAATATTGAAATGGGAATAGTTTCATCTCGTCGACTGAAGAGACTGGATACCTACTTTATGCACATGGGGTAATGTACGGAGTACGATATGGATAAACATACGCCGCCCTGTCTCCCATTCGCCAGGGAAATAAATCGACGGTCAATCTTGCTCCGTACCACCACCACCACCACCCGCAGAAACCGCTCAGTCATCCCAGGTAAGAGAGCCTAAGAGGCATCTCTATCTAGTCGAACGGAACTAGACCCGGGCGACGGGCGACGGGCGACGGGCAACGGGCGTACTCCGTATCTACTAGTAGTAAGTCGTAGTTACGGACTACGGAGTAGTCGTGACTAAACTCGGGCCTCGACTTTAAGTTCGGGTCTTGCTCCAGAACAGCGTCACGGTGAGGGATGCGATGCGGAATTACCGCCCGTAGATAGTCGGCCATCATCTACTGCAGTCTGCAGCCAGCTGCTACGGTCTCCACGGGTCGGTCGATCTGGAGCGCCCAGACGGGTGCGTATGCCGTATAGTAGGGTCATCATCATCATCATCGTCTATCATGATCGGAGCAAAGGGAGACTAGGATCATTTGGTCTCGCCTGTAAAGGAAGGAGGAATTGGAATTGCCGCGCGCTGTCGTGCTCTATGCCATGCCATGCCATGCCTTGGCTTTGGTTCTATCACGCTCTTCTTCTGTGAGTCTCGGTTGAATTAGGAGACGATGATCGGACACGGGGGGATGGGGTCTCTCTGCAGACTGCAGAATGCAGATGGGATGGATGGATGGATGGATGGATGACTCGGCTTGGCTTGGCTGGGCTGGTTGGTTGGGCTCTCGGTCCCGTCCTCGGTCCCTCCACAGTTCACACGCCGTGAGGACCCCTCGGATTCTGTCTGGGGTTGGGGTTGAATCAGGTCGCGACCCTCTTCCCTCCTCCGTGTTCTTCCTACCTACACGGGACTCCGTGGTGGTGGTGGTGGAGGGGAGGAGGAGGAGGGCGTGGGCGGCGATCGAGACCGGCCGGCAGGACGGTGAATAATCCACGGAGTCAGTCAGACGGGATGCCTCTTACTTACTAACTAACTAACACTCTATCGATCGATCTATCTATCTATTATCCCGAGATTTGGGGCCAGGGTCCCGAAGAAGCAAAAGCACAATAGTTGTCGCTGGATGTGATTCATTGATTGAATCCCTATGTAGTAGGTGCACGAGGTTGATCGTTGCTTGGCGAGTTGGATAGTATACAGACTTGGCTTGGTAGCTACATATATTTTGTGTGAGCTGGGTTGATGCGATGTTGGCGTACACTCACCGTTTCCCCGAGAGAGAGAGAGAGAGAAAGGTGAAGGTCAAGCCAAGCATCGCCAACCCTGTATCCCGTTGACGGTTGAGATACTACCTACGTACCTACCCAGTAGCTAGTGTCTACGTAGCTGGGATGGATGAGTGGACGAGTGGAGGAAGGTTGGATGGATGGACGGGAATGATAGGCATCTCCGGATTCGGACAGCAAACCAGAATGTGGAGGAGTCGGTCTTGGCGGACCAAAAGCGACCAAAAGCGACTCAGAGTCCGAGACAAGCCTTATGCGCGGTGAAGCTTACTAGGAAGTGGAGGAGGAGGAGGAGGGGGGGGGGGGGTGCAAGGTGGAAGTCACGAACATGGGATTTCCCTGCTCAACCGTAAAGTCAAACCGGGCGCGGGAAGAAGAAGGAGAAGAATATACTGGAACCGAACCCAATAATGTCCGTTGTCAGGCGATCTGAGGCTGGGCTGGGCTGGGCGGGCGCTGGGATGGCTACGTGGAGGATGTGATATGAATGAATAGGAATGCGAAATGAGAATGCCATGCATGCATGCAATAATCTTTGTCATCCCCCAGGAAATCGAGTCAATGGCCCGTCGGATTGGCGGTAACATGAAGTACCATGCGTCGGGTCTTCCGTACGGTTTCTTTTTTATCCCTCCGGGGTGCTTTTTCTGGGAATCCCGCGAGAACTGACTAGCCTCTACGGAGTAGCTGTAGCCTCACTCGTTCACTTGCCTGCTTGGGGGTGGGATGACGCTATTCGATGCGTTTGACGATAAGGAACTAAGTAAGTACCAAATTCCCGCTCTAGTCGTGCCGACTACTCCGTAAGCACCACTACTACTGCTTCTAGGCTTGGAGTGCTAGATACGAACTACGACGACGGAGTACGGGGTACTTACTTCCTACCAGTCAGTATCTCGAGCATCAGGTGGGATCTGTTGATAGAGGCCGTTCTGCAGCGGTCGTGGCCATGCATGCGGGCATGCCTCTCCAAGCCAACCTGTCAACCAGATGGCGTCGTAGAAAAGGGAATCGAAATCGAAATCGAAATCGAAAAAAAAAATGTCGCAACGTGGATGTGCTATGTGCTCTGTACCATGGCGGCGGCGGCAGGGTTATCTGCGGACTTGCGGAGACTGGGGTTGGTTGGTCTCGGTCTGGTATGTGATCCACGCCGATGAGGTCACTGCTATTTCTGCTTGCAATGATAGAATCAATATTATCTACTCCGTACTGACTACTCCGTACTATGTGAACTATCTACTAATTGAGAGAGAGAGAGAGAGAGAGAGTATGAGCTGAGAATGGCCTCATATCCCAGAAACACCCATCAATAGCGACGATAGCAACAACTAATATTAATAGCCAGGACGCCCCGCAGACAGACCAATGGGAACGCGGCAGAAAACAATGGGAAGCTAGACTGGAGGCAATCCCGAGGACCTAGCCGGCGGAGTCGCCCATCCCGACGTCAACCACTCAGACGAAAATGACGCTCCGGGATGGAGCCCATGCCTCCCCACGAGAGGAAATCGGATGAAACTCAATCAGGGCGAGATGCATGGGATTGGCGCGCCGCAAATAAGGAGGGTGGAGGTCGCGCCCCCGTCGTCACACGCCCATAAACCCAGAGGGGGACGATCGACTCCGGGTTGGCTTTAGTGCGAGATGGGAAACAATCAGAATATTGATAATGGTGATGATAATACGCGGAGTGGACGGGGGGGTCGAAGAGGAGGAGGGGAGGGGCCGTGGGGACAGCCCGGGAGGTGCGTAGGCCCAAGATAACGGAGGGTTGTCGTAGGTCAGGTACACAGTATCTCGTAGGTAATGGCATGGTAATTTGCCCTGCTAATACTAATCTCGATAACGACGCCAATCAAAATAATCCTGATGACATAAGGATAAGGGCGCCCGCAGCCTCAGGTTATGCTGCTGGGTTGAACCGTCGAATGGTATGGTCGAAATGGGCTGACGGGGTCGTCGCCCCGAGTCGGCACGATCCTACACTCCAGCTACTCCGTATACTGCTGCTACGCTCACGGTCAGACACGGAAGGATGATGGGATGACATGGTCGTTCGCAACCGCGACCGATGATGTCAGTTCCTCGTCGCCGACGGAAGCCTGAAGGAAGTTCGAATATGGAGTCGCAAGTCGCAGTCGCAGTCGCAGTAGGATTTGTTTTGGCCCTGCGCGCGCCGGAAATGGTATCATCCAAGGCCTTGGAATCGCCCCTTGCGTTCCCGTTTGGCTCAGCTCGTGGTTCCAAGATCGGGTAGGACGGCCCTGACTCTCTGCTGCGCGCTGTGGCACTCGGTAACCACAGGTACGGAGGTTTTCGGCGGCCAACACCCAGCAGAGACAAGACACACACACAGTCACACACACACAGAGAGAGAGAGAGACACGCTGATTCAGCTATTTGTTTGTCCTGTATGTCTCGTCCGCACCCTCCCTTCTATCATTTCCGTTTCTGCAAGGGAAGGGCGAGAACTATGGAGCTCGATGTCATCGCTGCACACACAGAAGAAAACATGCCAATGCCAATGATCGCTATCTAGTAGTACCTGTAGTGTCGTTGTTTTTCTCGTGTCCATGTCCGTTCTGGTCGTTCGGCCTCGGCCAGCGTCGCCAGAGATTAAATTCACCTTACTATCTACCAAGTACCAACAGCACCTAAGCTGATTGGGATGATTATTATTACTACTACCATTCATCATGGCGAGGAAGGCGACAAGAAAAAATCGCGCATAGTAAATCCCGGGCACGTAGAGGAAGGATCAGGAAAATTAACGAGGGCCACCACCCGCACGCGGCAAAATGGGCATTCGCACGGTACCGCCGTCGGTATGGTAAGGAATTCTTTTCCCAAGAGACAAAGAGAGGCAGACAGGACAGGCACACGCTGAGGGGACAGACAGACTCTGGGAGTGTGTGGCACTTGGCCGACTGGCCGACTGGCCGAGAGAGCCGTCCCCCGTCGGGATGGCCGTACGCGTATGTTACAGGACGCATACCTGAGGGCCAGGGCGCGGGCACGAGAAACAGAAACCATCGTCCACCGATGGATGTATCGGGCGCGTACACCGGGCCCTCCCCAGGATTTTCGCTCACGGCCTCCGTACGGTAGGGAACGCCTATCCTGTCCTGTCCGTGGAGATGGAGGAGGGAGGAAGATGGAGGGGGCGAACTCGGCACAGCGCTGCCGGTCATGGCGACCGTCGAGCCCTCGAGGCCCAGGACGACGGCGTACGGTGCCGTACCATCGTCGCCCAGAGAGGAAAGGTCAGAGTTTTTCCACGGCCTGCGCTAGGCCTGATGCGGGAGGAGGACCCACTTGGCACTGGAGAAGAAGACCACGGAGGATGATGGAAAAAGGCGGAAAGTGGAAAACAAAAAAAATAATAATACTAGCGCGGCGTCCCGTTAAGCCAGACAAGGTGCGTGGGAGTGGGAGTCTGGGAAGAGGGAGAGGCAAAGAGTGGGTCCCCCAAGTCACAACCTTACCTTACCAGGGACAGCGAACTTTCGATCAAGTGGCTACTGCTCCCGGCCAAGACTAGACCGGGAGGGGAACAAAATAAATCGAAAGAAAATAAAAAATTCGAAAACAAAAAATAATAATTATCGGACCCAAAAAAAAAGAAGAGGAGGAAAAAGTAAAAAAAAAAAAAGTGGGCTTACGCACAGGGAAGGTCGCCCGTTGGAGCTTAGAGAAGACAGACGTGTTTGTCCTGGTCCCGTGCAATTGAAGGCCGCCCACCCCCAAATATTAAAGAGTACATTCTCCCTCCCTTCGTTCCCCTCCTTCTTCTTCTCTTCTTCATAGGATTGTCCGACTCTTGCCATTCCTGCCATTTTTTGTTTGCGTCTGCTCATATCGTTGGGTCCCCAGGCTGTGTGAGCCGAAGCAACAATGGCAGAGCGGAGGATTTCCTATGCTCCTGACGTGGAGAATGGTGACCATTCTCGCGCCCCCAACCTCGATGATGCCGCTGGTCTCGACGAATACGCCGCGTTGAACCGCTACATCTCGGTCGCCCCTGACAAGCGTCGTGGTTCGACCGCCAGCGCCGGCGGCGTGAGCGCCGGCAAGAAGAAGAAGGGTGGTTTCTCGCTCTTCAAGAAGAAGACTGATGGTGCTGAGGATGGCTTTGAGTGCCCGCCCGAGTGGGTGGATACCGACATGCGCTCCGGTCTGAGCTCCAGCGAGATCGATGGCCGTCGCAAGAAGACTGGCTGGAACGAGCTGACCACCGAGAAGACCAACTTCTTCGTTCAGTTCATTGGTTACTTCCGTGGTCCTATTCTCTATGGTAAGACAAGCCGTCCCACCGCATCGCCGACAGCAGAATATCTAACAGTCCTCGTGCACAGTTATGGAATTGGCTGTCCTGCTCGCTGCTGGTCTTCGTGACTGGATCGATCTGGGTGTCATTATCGGTATTCTTATGCTCAACGCTGTCGTCGGTTGGTACCAGGAGAAGCAGGCTGCCGACGTTGTCGCTTCCCTGAAGGGTGACATCGCCATGAAGGCCATTGTTATCCGTGATGGACAGGAGCAGGAGATCCTTGCCCGTGAACTTGTTACTGGAGATATTGTACGTGCTGCCGCCCCTCCAATGGTGGCGTCGCCGGGGAACCCCGCTAACAGACTCCTGCTTTAGATCGTCATTGAGGAAGGTACCGTTGTGCCTGCCGATATCCGCCTGATCTGTGACTACGACAAGCCCGAGAACTTCGAGACCTACAAGGAGTACCTCGCCACCGTTGGTGACGACACTCTCAAGGAGAAGGAGGACGAGGATGATGAGGATGGTGGCATTGAGGCTCGCGCCGGTGTCTCCCTCGTCGCCGTTGACCAGTCCGCCATCACTGGTGAGTCTCTCGCCGTCGACAAGTACATGGCCGACACTTGCTACTACACCACCGGTTGCAAGCGTGGTAAGGCCTACGCCGTTGTCACCGCCACCGCCCGCCAGTCTTTCGTCGGTAAGACCGCTGCTCTCGTCCAGGGTGCCAAGGACCAGGGTCACTTCAAGGCTGTCATGGACAACATCGGTACTACCCTCCTGGTTCTCGTCATGTTCTGGATTCTCGCTGCCTGGATCGGTGGTTTCTACCGTCACCTCAAGATCGCCACCCCCGAGAACGAGGACCGCAACCTGCTCCACTACACTCTTATTCTCCTGATCATCGGTGTCCCCGTCGGTCTTCCCGTTGTCACCACCACCACCCTCGCCGTCGGTGCTGCCTACCTCGCCGAGCAGAAGGCTATTGTCCAGAAGCTCACTGCCATCGAGTCCCTGGCTGGTGTCGACATCCTGTGCTCTGACAAGACTGGTACCCTTACTGCCAACCAGCTCTCCATCCGTGAGCCCTACGTCAACGAGGGTGTCGATGTTAACTGGATGATGGCTGTCGCTGCTATCGCCTCCAACCACAACATCAAGAACCTCGACCCCATTGACAAGGTTACCATCCTGACCCTCCGCCGTTATCCCAAGGCTCGTGAGATCCTTGCCCGCAACTGGATCACCGAGAAGTACACCCCCTTCGACCCCGTCTCCAAGCGCATTACCACCATCTGTACCTGCGATGGTGTCCGCTACGTCTGCGCCAAGGGTGCTCCCAAGGCTATCCTCAACATGTCCGAGTGCTCCGAGGAGGAGGCCAACAAGTTCCGTGAGAAGGCCTCCGAGTTCGCCCGCCGTGGTTTCCGTTCCCTTGGTGTTGCCGTCCAGAAGGAGGGTGAGCCCTGGCAGCTTCTTGGCATGTACCCCATGTTCGACCCCCCTCGTGAGGATACTGCCCACACCATCGCTGAGGCCCAGCACCTCGGTCTGTCCGTCAAGATGTTGACTGGTGATGCTCTTGCCATTGCCAAGGAAACCTGCAAGATGCTTGCCCTGAGCACCAAGGTCTACGACTCTGAGCGCCTGATCCACGGTGGTCTCGCTGGTTCCGCCCAGCACGACCTGGTTGAGAAGGCTGATGGTTTCGCTGAGGTCTTCCCCGAGCACAAGTACCAGGTCGTCGAGATGCTCCAGCAGCGTGGTCACTTGACTGCCATGACTGGTGACGGTGTCAACGATGCTCCTTCCCTCAAGAAGGCTGACTGTGGTATTGCCGTCGAGGGTTCCACTGAGGCCGCCCAGGCCGCCGCCGATATCGTCTTCCTTGCCCCCGGTCTGTCCACCATCGTCGATGCCATCAAGCTCGCCCGTCAGATCTTCCAGCGTATGAAGGCCTACATCCAGTACCGTATTGCTCTGTGTCTCCACCTTGAGATCTACCTTGTCACCTCCATGATCATCATCGATGAGACCATCCGTGCCGATCTGATCGTCTTCATTGCCCTGTTCGCTGATCTTGCTACCATCGCCATTGCCTACGACAACGCCCACTACGAACAGCGTCCCGTCGAGTGGCAGCTGCCCAAGATCTGGGTCATCTCCATCATCCTCGGTATCCTCCTCGCTGGCGCCACCTGGATCATCCGTGCCTCCCTGTTCCTTGACAACGGCGGTATCATCCAGAACTGGGGTTCTCCTCAGGAGATCCTCTTCCTCGAGGTTGCCCTTACCGAGAACTGGCTCATCTTCGTCACCCGTGGTGGTAAGACCTGGCCCAACTGGCAGCTGGTCGGTGCCATCCTGGTCGTCGATATCCTTGCTACCCTCTTCGCTGTCTACGGATGGTTGTCCGGTGACTACCTCCAGACCCACCCCCAGGACCACGCCCACTTCTCCGGCAACGGCAAGGTTGACATTGTCACCGTCGTCGTCATCTGGGGATACTCCATCGGTGTCACCATCATCATCGCTGTGGTCTACTACCTCCTCACCATTGTTCCCTTCCTGGACAACCTTGGCCGCAAGACCCGCTCCCGCGCCGACACCCAGATCGAGAACCTGCTTGGCCACCTGTCCAAGCTGGCCATCGAGCACGAGGTTGACGCCCACGGCAAGTCCCGCTACATGCTCGGAGCCCGCGCCGAGGTCGAAGAGGATGAGTAAACGCTTGATTGCGCTCCTTAATACCATCCGACCTGGATACTACTTGCTGCGCATACATGCATGAGCTGGCTTCCGGCTACCTTTTACCCGTATTATAGACTTTTTTTTTCTTATTACCTTGCTCGGGTGATAGAGTTGATTTCTTTTCTTTTTACATGTATGTATGTCATTAATAGTGGTAAATTTAGTCAATCAACGGTTACTACAATTACTTTTTTTTTCTCTAGTAAACATTCTTCAGTAACAACAACTTTAGCTTCAAAATCCCCGGACTTGGAGACAATTTCCTCTTGAAATTTCTTGGGATTTCCGAGACCAACCGCAACTGCCGGCTTTTCCAGCCGAGCACAGTGCTCCGAGTCAGTCGGGTTCAGCCCTCTGCGCGATCTCTCGAAGGGCAGGGCCCTCTCCACGGTCCACCCAACGGACCAAGACCTGGGACGCAGTGGACCCGGGTAAATTGATTCAGGGGCATGTTTCACCGTTTCACGCCGCGGTTCGGACACCGGCCGAACAGTACTACCAACCAACTACTACTATCTACCTACTGTAGGTGTCGCGACTCGCGCCTCAACTTCGGGCGTTGAACTCGAGCCAGGCCACCGGCCACCGGCCATTATTGGCCCTTGGCAACGCAACGTACGCGAGCGGGTACGTGAGCGAGCTCGGGTGGATCCTTCCCACAGAGCTATTGAGATTTGAGCTGGGTCTGGCGGCGCTCGTATCGAATCGTCAATCGGCCGACGCGACGGCGACGGAGATTTATGCGACAGCTGCGCGGTCCGACGGGGTCTCAATTTCATGGCAGCTTAGTTTGTTTGTTTGTTGGTTGATGAGGCATTTGTGGGCGCGTATTGGTATCGTTCTGTTATAGGCCTAGTGTTGACGCTGGAGCTGTCAGTATTGCACTCGAGTCAGCGCGTGTGGCCTCCTCCACATGGGGGGGGAGGGGGGGGGTGACTGCGTTGCCTCATTTTGGGTACTTGAGTGATTTGTCGCAGATTGCGATCGATGGGGGTGTAATTTGGACAGGTATGGAGGAGAGGAGATGCGATGAAGAGATGAGGATCTTATCTCGACATCCCACTTCCTGCCTCAGGCTGCCTACCCCTCCCCCTCCACATCTTCCACTTTCTACTCCTCATCACGCCTCTTCATCACTCCTTGTCACTCACCACATCTCCCCACCTCTTCATCCTGCATGACAGGATGAGTCGCAGCCCATTCCGCTGCATTATGTCACTGCGTGCGCAGAGTCGATATCATCCTGTCTGGTAAGTGGTCGGAATGTCTGCTCCGTCGGCGTCCGAGCTGAATGTCTTCGTCGCTGCGCTCAACTGACGTCCATCCAGAGACGGGGTCAGGCTAGTTTTCCCGCTCGTTGCACTACCACCGCAGAAGAGCTACATCCCTCCGCAAAGGACACCACTCTCCTCCACCAACGGCTACCCAACATCTGCCTCTCAGGTCCCGTTTGGCCCGGTCCGCCAACCCGACAGGTGGAAAGCAATTCTCCGGCAGCGACTCCCATTTCTCCGTTTGCCCGCCTGGGGAAGTATTGCATCATACCGTGGTTCTCCGATAGGAGCAATCGCCAGTCGCACAATGCCTGTCGTCTGGGGTATGGTCTGCAGTGTGCAGAAGCTTGACAGCTCCCCGCATCCCCGGATTCGGCAGTGATTCTATAAAACGGGCCAAGAATGGCAAGGAACGCCACGATGACGGCTCCATTCCCTCGGGCAATCCTGCACAATGCTACTCTTCAGTCTTCTCCTCGCCCTCCAGGCCCTCCTGGTGCACTCGGCCGCCCTGCGACGGGACTCCCTGACCACCGCTGCCCGCGAGAAATGCCAGACCACGCTGCAGTGTCCCCCGGGCACTCTGGTCGTCTCCAGCACCGCCCACCCGCTCGCCAACTTCACCACCCTGCAGTCGGCCATTGATGCCCTCCCCAACGACAACTCCTCCCAGACCATCCTCATCCTCTCCGGGTCCTACCATCAGCAAGTCAACATCACGCGCGCCGGGCCCATCACCCTGCTGGGCGAGCAGCCCGACCCAGCGGCGCTGACCGACGCGGCGCGCAACACCGTCAACCTCACCTGGGCGGCCGCCAATGAAGACAACACCGGCGAGTCGGTCGACAACGTCTACTCTAGCGTGATGATCGTCTCGCCCACCCTGGACGCGAGTTTGACAGGCTCCGGCACGACCGGCTACCCGGTCCCGGCCGACACGCCCTTTGGCAACACGGACTTCCGCGTGTATAACATCGACTTCCGCAACACCTGGGCCGACTACACGGACGGGCCAGCGCACGCCATCAGCTTCAGTCGGTCCAACGGCGGTTTCTACTACTGCGGGTTCTACTCGTACCAGGATACAGTACGTCCCCCCCGCCCTCTTGACCACCCATCTAATAGTAAAACCCACTAACCCCCGCAGGTCTACATCGGCAAACTCGGCTCCGCATACGTCCACTCGTCCATTTTAGCCGGCGAAACCGACTTCCTCTACGGCTTCGGCACACTGTACATCCAATCGTCGCAGATCCTCCTGCGGTCCTGCGGCGGCGGCATCACCGCCTGGAAAGGCACGAACACGACATTCGTCAACAACTACGGGGTGTACATCCACGACTCGACCGTGCGCGCCGCCAACACGTCCATCGCCCCGGATATCAAGGGGGCCTGCGCGCTCGGCCGGCCCTGGAACTCCCTGCACCGGTCGATCTTCGCTAACACGCACGAGGACGGCAGCATCGAGCCGTCCGGGTACATCGATTGGGAGGACCGGTGGACGGCCAACCAGACCCTGATGGCGGAGTATCGGGCTTTTGGGCCGGGATTTAATCTGACGGGGAGAGAGGAGAGTGAGGTTTCGGTGTTGTTGGGGGACAAGGGGTATGAGCGGTATAGTTCCATTGAGAAGGTGTTTTTGGGTGATGTGGCTTGGATTGATTGGGAGGTTGCGGCTTGAGTTGATGTAGCTGTATATGAATACAGTACATGAATCAACATTCCATGGATGCACAGTACATATTTTCCATATCACACATCCATATCTGAACACACACACAGAGAGAAACAAACAAACAGATACAGGCACGAACACAGGCACGAACACAGACATGGAGAGAGAGAGAGAGAGACAGAGAACCTCCCACCTCTCCCCTATCCCTATCCCCTACCTCATATCCCCCCATCCTCAAACAATAACAACACAACCCAACAACAACAACAATAACCACCACCACCACCTTCTCAATACCTCCGAACCACCCCCCCAGCCACAGCCACAGCCCAATCTATTCTCCCTCTCTCCACTTGTATCTCTCTAACCTCCCCCCCGGACCTCCCCCCTCCACGCCCTCCAACCTCTCCAATTCTCTCAACTCCCCCCTCATCGCTAAATACGCCGCCCCAGTATCCGCCCAAACACTATACTCCTGCACCTTCAACTCCCCCGTCTCACCCTCCCCATTCCCCCATTCCCCCCATCCCCATCCCCAGTAACCCCCCATCCCCATCCCCAGTAACCCCCCATCCCCCTCCCCAACCCCAATCCAATAAACAAACCCCTCCCCCACCCCTCCCCCGACTTTCTCGCCCGAAACCTCGCCTCCCCTTTCAAACAAACTCTACCCGTCTCACAATCCACCGCCCACTGATCCTCGGGCTCGAAGCGCATCTCCTCGATAACGAGGTGTTCGTTCAGCAGCGAGAAGTATTCTTTTGCGCCGGCGCGGCCACGGAAGGTGCGGCCGAGGAAGGGGGCGAGGGAGGGGTGGCCGTGTTCGTGGATGGTGAGGGAGGGGGAGGATGTGAATATGGATGTGGAGAGGAGGGGGTCTAAGGAAGAAGAAGGGGGGAGGAGGAGGAGGAAGAGGGAGAGGGAGAGGGGGTGGTGAGGATGGTGAGGAGGGTGTGGATTGGTTTGGTGAGGGAGGAGCGTGGGTAGGGCATTTTATTTTGGTAGATGTTGGATGTTGGATGTTGGATGTTGGATGTTGGATGTTGGATGGTGTTTAGTAAGTAGAGGTTGGTAGGTGGGTGGGTAGGTTGGATAGAATGGATGGGATGGAAGTGGAAGTGGAAGTGGTGGTATTGATGGATGATGGATGATGATATGACGTCGTCCATCCTCTATAGTGACATGACATAACCTTTTTGAAACAGCCCGCAACTCCTCGCCTCAAGACATTCCCAACACCAACAATCACAATCAGATACAAAATACAAAGGAGAATAGATCCTGCCCCAGTCCCCAATCTCGGTCTCAATCCCATCCCAGTCTAATCACTGTCGCCACGATTTCCCGCAGTTCATGCACGTGCAGAACAGCGTCATCGGTTCGTCCGCACTGCGCGTCTGCGCCTCCGTGTATGTCACCTTGCGCTGCCCACACTTGCCGCACTGCAAACTGGTACTGATGCTCCGCTCCGCCTGTGCCACCATCGCCTTGTCCATGTTCTCCTTCTGGATCCGACGGTCGCGCTCCTCCTGCTCCGCCGACCGGAGCTCGTTGTGCGACATCTTGACGAAATATTCCGGCGTCACGTCGCCGTCCATGACTCTCACCCGCAGCGTCGGGTTCGATTTGTTCTTCAGGTTCTGGAACAGGCTGCGGATCTTGGTGCGGTAGGGTTCCTTCGACTCCGGCCCGAAGGCGCTGAAAGCTGCCGCCTCCACGGCACACGCCTTGTTCAACACCGTCCGCGGTGCTTCGGTCGAGTTGAGACACAGTCCGTCGTACAGCAGCCCAATGCAGCTGTCCCGGATCCGGTTCGAGGTTTGGTTGGGATCCACGCCGTCGGCCTTCCAGGTCCGCTTGTCCGGAGGCACCGACAGCTTGGAAACCTTGTCGGAGGGGGTGGTGCCGCCAGAGGGGGTGCCGTTCTGTGTCGGGTGCGGCGAGCTGCTCTCCGGCCGGCTGGCCCCGGGGGAGGCCCGGGCCTTCTGCTTGTTCACTTCCGTGCGCCATCTGGAGACGATCTCGCTCGCCAGACGGGCGACCTCAGGGGTCTTGTGCTGCTTGAATTTGTTCACGATGATACCGACGCGGGTGGACCGCAGCAGGTCCTCGGTGGCCTTGACTCCTTGTTGTAGCTCCTTGAGTAGTGTAACGATGGTCGAGGCGGGCTCGTTCTGCGTAGCGGCCTTGGTCAAGGCCTTGGCCTTGGCCTCGATTTCTTTCGCGTCCATCGGCATGGTGGTGGTAGTGGTTATGATGCCGAGATGACGTGGAGGAAAAGGGTGTGACAGATGTATACGATCGATAGACGAGGCTTGTAGCGCCTGCATGACGTTAGTATGCGATAGTCCAGGGTCATGCGGAAACGAGTGCGTAGGTGAAGGGGGGATGCCACAATGGCAGGTTCGGCAGAGACGTGCGACCCCAAGTCGCCAGGGACAGGCAAGGCACCGTGTATGGATCAACAACAGTTGCACATCAATGCGGGAGCGTCGCACGTGCAGGAGTCGCCGGAGGAGTATTCACGATAGAGGCCCTCAAGGGGACACCCGGGAGAAGCAGAGAGCAAGCACAAGGTAAATGCGCCCGGGATGGGGGCGCGCAGGAGGAAAGGAGGGGGGTGGGGGAGGTGGGCGCACTCACTCGGTCAGTTGTACGAGCCGGCGGGACTCAACGTGGAGGTGGTGGGAGATTCTGGAGAGGGTGCGAGTTGACTGAGGATCTCAGTTCTGCGCAGTTTTGGAGAGAGAGGTCTCTTCTGGGTTGCAAGTAGCAGAGGGAGATGTGGGAGATGTGGTAGATGTAGAGGAGAGGAAGAGAGGAAGAGAAGAGAAGAAGAGGAAGAAGCCGAAGAGAAGAAGCGGTTGCGATGGCGCCAAGCCCGGATGGCCCGATCGGGTATGGCGGGGTCCCCCCGACAAGTAGATGCCAATGAAGCACTTCTGATGTACACATCTCCGTCTATCCCCAAGAACCCCCTCGATGAGCCCCTTCTGACGGGCTGATGACTCCGGCCAGGCAGCCAGAGTTACGCTACGGATTACAGACAGTTTACACAAGACGTACGTATGCATCATGTACACAGGTTGTAGTTCATAAGCAACGGTCCCGATGCCCACACTTCCAGATATACCATCCCCTGCAATCTCGCTCGGGTCTGCCATTCTTCTCATAAGATACGCCGGATCTCGCAGCCGGTCACTCACGCAACATCCAAGTTGCCAACCCGGCATTGGCATCGAGGCCCACGTCTTGGAGAGCGGATGGCGCTCCGTAGAACCCTGTGCAGAACCATGCCTCTGAGTCGTCGGACAAAAGGTGGAGAGAACTCCCGCGATGATGCCCGATCAGAATGTGAGAGGGGGAAGCCCCGCAGGGGCGAGGAGAATGTGAAGCCCTCTGGCAGAAGTGCTTGAGGGAGATCACCGAAACGATGTGTCCGATAGGGCAGTGCCATCACGCAGTGTGGACCATCGACGGCATACGTAATCGGGTGCTAGCTGCGTCTACCTGTCACATATTATTCCTCATCAGCTCGTGGATCGTATGCTATCAACGCTCAGATATAATCACGTTAGCCACATCTCTTTACAATCCAGACCCCTTTGGCCGCAGATCGACCGTCTCAAACTCCAGCCCCTTGGCCTCAAAGACGTGGCCCGGGCGGAGGGCGTCGGTGTAGATGTTCGCCTCCCCGTGCGGATGGAACAGTCCGGACTGGGTGCAGTTCAGCACCGTCTTCAACCCCGGCGGGTCCGTCAGCCGGAATATCCCCCAGTCCGGGGTCTTGCTCGGCGCGCAGACAATGGCAATGCTCTCCGGGAGCATCACCTGGTATCCGCAGTGGGTGTGCAGGTCGCGCGAGCTCATGAAGCACGTCTGCGTCGGGTGGGTGTGGATCCAGCCGAGCACCATCAGGTCCTCCGAGTCACAATAGTCAAAGATGGCCGATTCATTGACCGTCTCACACGTGTCCGACGTGGCCGTCTGCTCGGGGATGAGAAGCCTCGACACAAACAAGGCGTTTGAGATCAACGTTCCGCACAGGATGGCACAAGTCTCCAGATTGCGCTGCGTATTCGGGGCCGCCAGCGAGACGAAGTGTTTGCGGAGGTCGGGCGGCAGGAACAACGTCCGGAGGGGCGTTCCATTCTCCAGATAGGCCGATGGTTTGAAGGTGAAGCTGGAGGGGTCCAGGTCCGAACGGGCATCTGGTCCATCTGTCGCGGGCTGGACCTTCGCAGGAAGCGCGGGAGTCTCCACCGGGGGGGCTGCAGGCGAGATCTTGTCCGGACGAGGGGGCGGCGACGGTCCATCGAGTCCGGAACCGCGCGAGATCTCCTTGGGAGGCGGCGCGGGTGCCTTGGGAGGTGGAACCCTCTTGCCCCCAGGGTCCGTCCTGACCAGGGACGGAACCGCCACCAGTGGATTTTGGCGAGGAACGGTCGGATATTTGTACGCGGAGAGGGAAGAGGTCGCGGTGGACGGCCGGACGGTAGTCTTGGGGGCGATTTGCGGCCGGTGATCCGCCTGCGGAGCACCGTCCATGTTGACCCTCACATTCTGTATGCGCCGGCTCAAGTCATCGGCTGGCTCCGGGGCATCTTTGCGCAGGGAATGGTCCCAGTCTCCCCACATGCCAGCCGTGCGTCGAGTCCGCTCCTCCTCGGGGGAGATACCGGCTTGCCGGATGGCCTGTCGGACAGTAGCTCTCCGACTGATCTCGGTCCGCGCCAGTTGGACCGCCAGGTCCCGGTTCTCGCCTGCTTCCAGCGGCTCCGCGACCCCTGCCAACGCGGGGTCCTGGGGCTGGGACTGGAGCTGGGTCAATGGGCTGGTATTGTTGCTGGCAGGAAGCGGGGTGCGGGATTGCCGTTCACGCATCAGCTGGGTATAGCGCTCATGGCGTTTGTTGATTCGGGGTTTCAGGCGTTCCAACACGCGCAGGTTCCGCTGGACCTCCTTCTCGGCCTCCACCAAGGCCTTCCGGTTCTTCTCATCCTTGGCCTCGGGATGCTCGGCCAGGTTGACGAGCACCAGCTGGGCATGTCGGAACAAGAGGAGGTAGGCCTGCTCGTCGTGTTTCTCCCGTTCGTAGATGCGAGCCTGCCGTCACCAGCTAGTCAGTCCCATTGTCAGGTCCATCGAGACTAGGCTACCGTCCAACGCACCTCTCTCATCATTGTCGCGGCGGTCCGCAGCCAATACCGCAGGGGGATCGAGGGGTTGTATTCATAGTCCTGAGCCTTGCGAGTGATAGATTCCACGCTCTGCGGAGGAGACCCGCCACTGGCTGGAGACACATTGGTAGCCATGACTGCGCGTGCACCGCGATGGGCAGGAGGTGCGAGGGGAGGAGGAAGGGATTGGGCGTCTGGTGTCTGGTCTGGCGCAAAGACCAGCGGGAGTCGGGGTGGGGACGGGCCGCATGTAGGCAGAACGGAGAGTGGGGGTTGTCGTCGACGGCGTGGGACTGTAGCAAAGTCAAGGAGGCAGGAGTTCCAATCAAGAAGAGGAAGTGATGGTGGTGGTCGTTGTGGTGTCGGAGGTGGAGGTGATTCGGCGGCGGGTCGGCGGAGGTGAACAAGAAAGAGCTCGGTTGAGCCGCTTTTCGTCGTCTCTTCTTTTCTTCCTCCGCTTCCACTTCTTTTCCTTCTTCCTCGAATTCCGTACCCTTTTTCACCCACCACCACCCCATCGCCTCCTGGAACTATGTCTGGATCGGCCAGACTCCCCTTCCACACATCCCAGAAAGGTTGATCTCGTCTGCAACATCCCCTTCTCGACAGCAGAATGGGTGCGACCAAGCGGGTGGTGTCATTACAATGGACACCGATTAAACAATATCCCCTCACGATTCACCTGAACAACCATTTCAGCGGAAACCCCCGAACTCGCTTGATCAAGAAACCAGAGATTATCAGTGAGGATCTATGTGGTGAGTTTCCGAAGCTGCCAACCGCTCACAGTCCCAGCAATTGACTCCTCCCCCCTCCCCCCCCCTCAATATCAGATCAAGCTCTGGAGCGCATCGCCCCATTCCTTCTCCGCAACACCCCCGTGGACGTCCTCGACCTATGGCCGGGAGTTGGGATTATATCCTCCAAGATCAACGCCCTTATCCGGCCCCGACGCCATGTTCTTGTCGAGCCGGCACTGGACGTGTTCCAGCCCCTGCTGGAAACGTTAGTCCAGAGCGATCCCTCCTACAAACTCGTTAGCTCGGACGACTTGTCCCGGAACAAGTGGGAAAGCTTGCTCCACGAGCACTTTCCAGACCAAGGGCCGGGGAATTGCGATGCAACCGGTCTCCTCCCCCGGAACGACACCTTGCTGGTCCTCGCGAACCCGCCAACCAGCGGGGACAGTGACCATTTCACCCCAAGCCGATGGTGGTCGTCATTCATGGAGGCCTGCATGCGACAGGCAGGGCTACATCTCTACGGAAGTGTCCGTCTATTGGCCACCGTTCCAACTGCGGAAGCCTCGACGATTCTCCCGCGTCAGGTGAGCGAACGCAGGCGGCCGGCGCTCTGGACAGAAAATGTTGCGCTGCATGCTTTCGAAGTCGCCGCTCCCCAAGAAGACCACGTGTGGGCGAATATGAAGACATACGGCCTTGCCATGGACAATGCTGCACGCGTTGCCGAGAGAACCGCCGAAAAGAACGTCCCAATCCCCCCGGGCAGAGAACCCACGCCGCTGATTGCGGCTCCCGAGAGCCCTGATCCTGGCAAAATAAAGATCCCCTATACACCGCGCATTCGAACGACCCTTCAAGAGCGGCTCTTCGCAACCATCCAGGCCACAGCCGACATCAGTCCGTCTGTCCCTGGTTTCAAGGACCTCTATAGGCAGCGCGGCCGCGCGCTGACGCGACTGAATATGGACAACCGACAGGCCCATGCTCTTTTGCAAAAGGCGAATAAGTGCTACGAACTCGATCAGAAATACCGGTCTTTATCCCGAGCAGCGGCCGATCCCAACGCAGACTTGGCCTCTCTGAAACCCATCCTCGACAAGATCACGGCCCTCAAGAAGGACCTCGACAAGCCCGAAGAACACCCAGACCATTTCAAGAGTCTCCCACTCGTGCGCGACAACTTTCGCGTTTCCCTCGATAGAAACAAATTCGACGAGTCCCTCCTCCTCTGGGACCGCCGCCCCTTCGAGCCACTGACCATCGAATGGAGGGAATTCTATCCGCGACGCGCCTCACCGCGCACCCTCATTTATTTCGAGGCCGATCCCAACCCCCCGTTCGCCCCCAAACTCGCCAAACTCCATCCATCCAAGCGCAGCGAGGCCTACCGCATCTACGAGTCCCTCATCAGCTCTCTCAACCGCGGCCGCGACTCCATCTCCGCCGCCGAAGTTTTGGACTTGCTCTTCCCCAGCCGCTCCGCCAACGACATCGTCAAAACCATCCCCAGTCTCGCCGAACACGCCGCCAAGGCCCCCAAGCCGGACTTCGACTCCCTTCCCAAAACCGTCCACGGCGAGTCCCTCGACGGTGGGCCCCCGGACCCGGCCCTCAGTTACCAGGAGAACCTGGACTACGACCTAAACGATGTGCGCATCCGCTGCCTGTCATCCTCCACGATGTGGGACATCTGCATCGAGTATATGAAGAGCGGCGCCTCGCTTACCGCCTTGCAGTTGAGTCGACTGCTCGGGGGGACCTTGACAATGTCCCAGATCAGCGGTAGACAGGAACCCAAGAAAAGGCTCCATTGATGTGGAGCAACTTCTCACTCCCCCCTCTCTCCCTCTCCATCTCTCTCTGTGTATGTTGTTGTCATGGTGTATAACAGTGTATCACCACCCCCTCTTCTCACTATCACTGTTATATATCCACCCTCCGTGTATAATAGTTACGAATTTACGTATAGATATAGAATCGATAGATGCATGTGTGATTGATTTGTTTGGTTGGCATGGCTGGAGTTGGTGCGGAGTACGGAGTACTGGTATACATACAGATGAAGCATGAATCCGGGGAATATGTTCTACTACCATGTTAGTACCAACCTACTACTAACTTACCTAGGTACATACCTACCTACCTACCTACCTACCGACCTACCTAGGTACATACCTACCTACCTACCCAATAGATACCATACCGTACGGAACCATAAACATACTTACCTAGGTATCTAAGGTGTCTACCTACTAGATAGACAATTTTGACTCTTGAGAGTATACATGCATACAGAGCTACCTACCGTATGTACTATATGTACCTACTATACCTACTCGGGGAGAAAACTTATCTTGTAGAATGCAGGATCTGATTTGGGAGTACAGGTGGGTACCTGCCTACCTACTTCGGAGAGGAATATAGGTAAGCAAGCGAGCAAGCGAGCAAGCGAGTAAGCAAATAAGGAAATAAGGAAATAAGGAAATAAGTAAATAAGCAAAGAAGCAAAGAAGCAAAGAAGCAAAGAAGCAAAGAAGCAAATAAGCAAAGAAGTACGGAGGCAAGTAAATAAGGGAGTAAGTAGTCTGGTTTATTTGCATAGTATCTAATCTAGCGGGTATCTTGATATTGGGGGGGAGGGGGGGAGGATGTATAAGTGTAAGTATAAGTGTAAGTGTAAGTGCAAGTGTAAGTATAAGTAAAGGATTTCAAAAGGGGAAGAGAGAGAGAGAGAGAAAGGAAAAAGAAGACAGGTGAGAAGGTGGGTAGGTAGGTAGGTATGTTATCAGTAAAAAAGAAAGAAAGAAAGAAAGAAAGAAAGAAAGAAAGAAAGAAAGAAAGAAAGAAAGAAAGAAAGAAAGGCAAATCAGATAGACAGACAGAGAAAAGAGGCAGGTCAAGTCCGCGAGATCTTTCTAATTCACGACAGATTAAAAAGTGAAAAGAGGTGGGAGAGGTGGATGGGTAGATAGACAGATGGTATAGAAAAGGCAGGGGAAAAAATAAAAAGAAAGAAAAAAAACGAAAATGGAAAAAAAGAAAAGAAGAGAGAAAAAAAAGGGTAGAAGAAAACAAAAAAAAATAAATAAAAGAGATGTGTAAACTGTAAAAGTAAAATAAAAAGACAGTAGTATCCGAAGAAGGTAGGTAGATAAGGGAGATTAAAAACGATAGTTATCTAGCGCGGCTGCGCGAGGCGAAGGTTGCGTGCGGATGCCGAAGATAACGAGCGAACGAACGAACGAAAGAGCGGCAACCGGGTCCGCGATTCAGAGATCCTGGTACGGAGTACGGAGGACTCAATCAAGTCGAGTCACCAAGATAGTCATCTAGATAGCCACAACTAGATCTGAACAGCCTCAACAAGCTTAACCCACTCAAGCGGCGTGATGCGCTGACTCGGGTCCTTGACGATAGCCGGCTTGAGGATCTGCTCGACAATGCCGTTGCGCGGGACGCGCGAGCCGTTGGGCCCGGCGCGCACGAAATCGATGACGCGGTGGCCTTCCCTCGCCATGGCGAGCCGTTGGAGGTTGCTGGCGCCGGGGTAGAGGAGGAGGTCGCCGGTTGCAGCAGCCAAAAGGGTGACGGCCAGCGAGAAGACGTCGGATTCCGGGGTTGGGGCCGCGTCGGGGGAGGTGAGCGACGAGACGCACAGGAGCTCGGGGGCGGCAAACGGCGGCGTTAGGGCTGTGAGGGCCGTGCCTAGGTTCTTCTCGGGTGATGAAGGGCTGGCGATAGGGTGGGCGGAGGAGAAGTCGGCGAAGAGGGGCTCGTAGGGGAAGTTGCTGTCGTTGTTGTCGGTGGTGGTGGTGGTTGGGCGTGATCGGAGGAGAATGTTGTGAGGTTTGATGTCGCCGTGCACCGTTTGAGGCCCGCTATGGAGCCAGTAGAGACCGGTGATGAGCTTCTTGGCAAGGTCGTGCCATTGGGATAGGCCCTGCACGGGGTCAAACATCGTCTTGGTAGACATGTTTTTTCGGGCTAGGACGGCCTTTTCTTCGATGTAGGTGGACAGGGAGAGTGGGACGGCGGACATGACGATTGAGTGCGAGTCGGCGATATAGCCCTGGAAGGGAACGACATGGTTCTCAGAGCCGGGGACGCGACTGACCCGGGTCAGAGTGAGGGCCTCGGCGTCGAGGACACGGTGCGCATCCCGTCTTGAAGGTGATTTGACGGCCACTGTCGGGCCTTTGATGGCAGGCGAGCTGGGGGGCGTGAGCAGATAAGGCTTGGAGGGCTCGCACGATGAGGCCTTGTAGACGACGCTCCAGACGCCGCGACCGAATTCCACGGGACGGCCTTTCAGGTCACAGTGATACTCGAGTTCGTCTGTAAAGGAGCGCGAGGTGCGACTATCCCCGTCCACGTCTTTGGACTGGGCCTCGACGGGAGAGAGAAATGGACTCGAGGCGCTGGAGTCAAGGGTGGCCACGCTGCCTGAGAGGCTATCATCGTCCACAGTGGGGGTCACCGGAGGGGTGAGGCCGGGTAACACTGTAGGATGCAGCGTCTGAGCATTGCTGTCGGGCTGGGTGCGGACAGACAGACGGATAGGCATGTGTCCGGCAGTCATGATGGATGGCTTGAGGGGAGATTCTGCCTTCTGACGGGCTTCTGAGGGTTTTGGGATAGCGGGGAAGGCGATGAATCCAGTCGATGCAGCAAACCGGGGCCGATCACTTGCTTCAGCCCCGATAGGTCGGCGGACTTCGGATCAGAGTAGAGCGATCAGAGGCGAGCGCGTATATATGGGTGGTCTGGAGAAGGGGACGATGCCGTGGTCGTCGAGCTGAGGTGTCTCGCCGCGTCGCTATGCGGCGAAATCAAGGACGGGGGAGTTATAGTCGTGAGGAGCAGCGGCAACCACGGGCTCTAATCCCAGTCTATAGTAGGCGACGACAGGTAAAGTGGTGGCAACCCCGTGCAGATGACGTCGGCGTGGGATGAGATGTAATCGTGACTCACGCAACTCACAATCGATGGGGGGGATGCAGCAGAGGAGTAGGACAGAAGGCAGAGAAGTGAGGGAGAAGACGACGAGGAGGAAGATGAGGGAGAGGGAGAGGAGGAGGAGGATAGCAACACATTCATGGTTCTAAAGGAGGCGAGGGGAGGGAACCGGGGGAAGAGTAAAAAAAATTCGTGGAGGACGAGGAAAGAGTCTCGACCGGGTCGACTGCAAAGGGAAATTAATTAAAAATTCGAGAGAACATGACGGCTTTCGATCGACAGAGAGCGATAGCTTAACTGCCACCGAGGAACCATGGGTGATTACAGCAAACCGTCGCAAGTCACCGTGACATGCAAAGCCCACCGGCCTCTTCTGGCCGGCGATTTGGTCCCACCGGGGGTCCAGTCCAGTCATCCTGCATGTCTCCAGGTGCTCACTCGCTATCCCATCTGCAATACGTGAGTGTGAGTGTGAGAGTACACTGAAGATATACCAGACACACAAGACACAGCAACCCCTCGGTGGATATAGATCGATCTCTGAGACAGATCGATGATATTGGAATAATTAATGCCTCGACTGCGGCGAGAGTTCGGGGGTGGCGGCCAGCTGCTGGACAACCTTCAAGCTGCCCGGATTCGATTGGCCGCGTGCGACCGTCACGCCCTTGCGACGGACCAACCAGCGCCAGGCAAACAGGGGCAGTCCCGGTCGGTCTGCAGATTCAGCACGGACGCTAGGCCGCAACAGGCACTAGCGTGTGCGCGCTAGTCGCCAGTGGTTCGTCGGCAGACCCAATCAGCAACGCCCCTCGCGCTGGGATTTCGAGGATTTCGTGCAGTTTGCCAGTCGTCCCCGCCGTCCCGAGGATTGGCGCCAACTCAGTCCTGTCGGGGTTTGTGATTTTCGAGCCTCGGGCATAAACGGCCGTCACATCCTCTGCCGGTCCTTGTTTGGGCCCTCCACGAGTCCACTACGAGGCCGGTGACGAAGATGTCGCAGGTGTGACACACGGTCATCCACCGGTGGATGGGTCTAGTCCGGTAGTCCAGGGTTGTCGTGGACATGGAACCCATGCAGGTTGTGCTGTGCTGTGCAGGGCAGGGAGCATCTTATCTTGTTCAACCTCGCGACTGACTATCTACTAGTATTATTACCTACATGCGCCCTCGCTGCACACCATCCCTCATCCCTCCCTGCCTGCCGCCTTCCTGCAGCCGCCCTTTCCCAGCATCCGTCGGATAGGAAATATGGCCCCCTCCTTTCATCTTAAGCAGAGACCACGGTCTGTGCGGACTCAAATCATAAAAGAAGATGGAGGATGAAAACGTAACCCTCCGACGGGGCTCGCAACCAATCCCCACCCCCACGTGGGTCTGGTCTGCCAGGGAAATTGGCCGCCATCCAGCGACTCCACTCTGCAATTGTGTTCATCCCAGCCGACCACCAGTCTATTGATTCCGTGGGATCGCTATATAACTCACCCCGTAGCGCGATGGACTCCCCCTCGGGCACCCCCGACTCCCAGTCCCAACACTTTGCTTCCAGATCCACTGCCGTCGTCGAATCTTTCGGGTTGTGACCTGTCCAATTGTCCAACTGGTAGCACTCCCGCGAAATCCGGTGCCAAGAGCGCACGGGGCTGGCCTCGGAAGTTCGTGGTCTCTCCGTCTGCGAATCGATTCCGGGGGGAAGAGAGAGTGTGTGTGTGAGATTGGCGATTTCATTACGGGGTAAAACTATGCAGCAATACAGATCTCCCTAGCAGTCGGGCCAGCAAGGAGGAAGGAATATCAAGGTTAAGCTCGTATGGCATGTACCGTCCGAAGCGAGGTGCGAGAAGCATGGCTCATTATCCCCTTGCCCCGGTCTTCTCAACGTACTCCTTCAAGTCCTGCACCCACAGGTCAAAGCATTCGTCCAGCCGCGCCCCAAGCATCCAGCGAACTACATAGGCCAGCACCCCGATCTGTGCCTCCCAGTTGCGCACTTCCGTAACCCGCTTCACATGCCCCTCCTCGTCCTGGACTTCGACCTCCGACACCTCGTGGACTCTTTCTGCCGTCAGCAACGACGCCAGAACGCGCCCCTGGGCCGCCGCATCGTTGACCCACACAATCCGACCGAGCTTCTTGCTCGCGCTAGGCGCATCTCGCTCAGCCACCATCAGCATCGTATCTGTATCGGGCTGCGGTTGGGGGGAGGTTGGCTTCATATTGACGTGGAAGGTCATCCGCGTCCCCGCTTCGAGGACGGGGGAGGGATTTGAGGGAGAATCGGACGCGGGTTGCTGGCGGATGGTGACTCGAGGAACGAATCTATTCCAGGATGGCCAGGTCGAGGTGTCCACGAGAGCATCCCAAACTTCCTGTACCGGGGCATCGATCAACGTAACGCTTTGGAAGTGCACGATCGCGTCCGAGGCGGCGATGTTGAGCGTGGGGCGGGACGCCAGAGAGGCTTTGGAGGAACGCGAAGTAGGCATTTTGAGATTGGTGCCGATGTAGAGGCCGTAGATTCTGGGGGAGAACCAGTAAAAGTACTCGACAGGACAGCTAAAGTAGGGAACTGAGAACCGCCATCGAATTGAGCTTTGAGCTTTGAGCTTGGATGTTTGGATGACAGGACTAGGAGCGGCCGAGCCTCCCGAAGCCCCACCGCCATGCGATCGGCCCGGATAAACAACCCCTCCACGCGGCCACAGATCTATACGGGGTTTACCACTCTTGCAGGAACACTCCTCGCCAGATCTGCTGCCCCTCTGGCTTCAAAATGGAAGACACAGGAGCACTTCTGTCTACTCCAGCTCTTAGGCCCCACGAATCTGTCATAGATCTTCTGATATCCGCCAGGTTATCTGTCTCCTCGACACTCTGTTTGGCTGCTGCCTAGAATCATACAATGATTGCATCTGAGGCAGACCCTTGGAGCCTGCAATCCCACAGCCCTATCTGCCTCGATGGACACCTCCACCGATTGATCCACTCAGATGGTGGGATCTATACTAATTAAACCATCCCCCTCAAAGCCAACTAGAGCAGCGCAAATGCCGTCAAGTAGACGTGTCAAAGACGAGGTGAGATCCCAAGAAACCGGACACCTCTTTTGGTTTGCACTGTTGAATCTAACATGGCAGGCTTCTGAAGCCCAGAAGCCGACGAGGCCTTTAGATCGCCAATCCCCGGCTGTCATATCTTCGACTTGACGTTTCGTTTTAGCGGATCGTTCTGGCCATCGTTCCATCTGCGTGTTTCCTACCAGCCGTGCCCTGGAGTGTTGAGCCCCGGAAAACGGCATTGGCATCGGCATCGAACCTGCAAGACAAAGTCTCGAGTATATCTAAGCTGGGTTAGCTGTCGCATTGGCTTATAGCAGTTTTGTATGGTCGTGCTCTGGACTACGACCCCAATCCCATGTGAAACAATCCATGAACGACTGACCGTGATCACTCGGGATCTTCCCCTGTTACCGGGGATGTCCCACTTCATTATAGATCCAGTTGGGGCGTTCCGGATTCCGTGCTCATTTCAATGCGACTATGGGAGGGTCATCGTACACGGAAAATCTGCTCAATATATGCAGATAAGCGAGACGCGTTTCTCGCGCGGCCAATACCAGCTCGGATCTAGCATGAGTGTTCCTCCGTAAGGGGGATACCAGGGTTCTCGTTCTGATGAGATCAGTAGCAGTGTTGATGCGAAGACGGAGGATTTGATGTTCATGTTCTTCTGGAAGAGTCCTGCTCAAAGGCAGTCTATCGTTCCTTCCAGGCAGGTTCAGCTCGTGCCCACCTAACTATTCAATGCCAGCCCTTCACATACAGAAGCCACGCTCAAAACAGCCCTACCAGGAAGGCCCGTCACCCTCTTCGCCCTCATCCTCATCCTCCCTCCATCCCGTCCAATCCTCGCCCCCTCCTACCCCCATTATCATCTATCATCATCTATCCACTCGTTCAGCCTCAAAAGCACCCTCACTCATTACCAGCCTATCACTATCCCGTATCCCACACATCCATCCACATATATGTCCACCTGCATCCCCGCCACCAACCAACCATTCCCAGCCTTCTACATCTACCGCCCTGGGTACACCGTGGTCCCGCTGATCCCGCTGGATGAGCTTCCGACCTGGATCCAAATCGGCAACTTCGACTGGTCCAACAGCGAGCTCTACGAGTTTATGCTCCCTGCGAGCTTCACCTGCTTCGATCGTGTCGGCGAATACGACGTCATCTGCCACCACTGCTACGCCGGAGTCGATAGCTTCCATCGTAGCGTCTCTGAACGAAGTGAGAGCTCCGCCGCTTCTTCACGTGCCGACGATCAGCTTTGCCATCTTCGTGCGCCTCTTGCTGGTGTGGTGGCTGGTCCGTCTGTGGTTGGAGATCTTTTGAGGGAGGAGACGGGGAAGCTTGCCGAGCTGAGGCAGCCCCCGTTTCATGCTAGTCTGAACAGTCCTTTTGTCGGCATGTGCTTTATTCCCAGTTGGTTGAAAAGGACATTTTACCCTCGGACGACAGTAGGTGTTGACTGATCCAGTTGAGGACGTCACCAAGCTGACGATAATCAGCTCGTACCTCCGCCACCTGTTTCAGTTCCTCGGCCACCTTCTCCGCCCTTTCGACCGTCCGATTCGGAGTCTCCGCCGCCGCCGCTCAATACTCCAACTGTCCAGGCTCCCTCTGCGGTCACTGTTCAGAATCTGTCTGTGGCTCCTGTCCAGAAATCGTCTGTGGACTCTTTCCAGAACTCCTCTGTGGACTCTGTCCAGAATCCCTCTGCAGACCCTGTCCATAATCCTTCTGTGGCTCCTTCTGTCCAGAATCCCACCAATTCCGAAGATCACAATGCCAGAGAACCCCCAGGCGCTACAATCTATGCCCAGTGTGCTGGTCTTGTGGTGGATAGGTATAATCATTTTGATGTTCGTGAATATGGTGGCGATGATACCGAGAATCGTGGCGATGATACCAAGAATCGCGGTGATGATACGGGCAATCTGGGTGAGGCTACTCCATATGATATGGCAGATAATATGGCGACTACTCCCGAGACCTTGCAAGTTGTCAATCTGCCGGGTAGTGCTCTGGATCCTGCGGGGCTATTCGCGGGTACTGACCTCAATACTAATGTCGATAACGGGAGCCAGGTGGCTGACAACTACCGCCACATGGGTGGCAGCCTCGGTAGTAGCCCGGGCTTTCTATTACGCGGTGATAGCAGTACACAGACCAACACGGTGGATACTGCGCTTCTTGGATCAGCTGTTCTATATCATGGGCTACGTGCTGCACCAAATCGGGGACATGATTTGGTGGGTACAGATCGCGCGGTACAACGCCTAGGCGAGGGTGATCCGGACCTTTCCCATCTGGGGGCTGGAACTGGGGCCACTGGCAAGAGGCGCACCTTTCGGACCGAATTGGGCGACAAAAATGGGGATGTAATAGAGCCAGTAGGTAGTGGGAGGGTACTTGCTGGATACGACGCCGAGAGTGCACCTGGGTTGTTTCCAGGCCGCACTGGAGTTATGATGCCAATCGGAGAAGATAGGAAGAACAATCGCCCTCCTCAGGCTTCCCCGGAGCCCCTGGTGTTCGGTATGGATCTTGTGTCTGGCGTGGATGGTCAGGGGGAAGAGGTGACCCCAGAATCGGAAACGCAGGCCCTTCTGGACGAAGACCAGGTAAGCGAGTCTTCATCGAAGCCGAAGGGGTGCTTGGTATACAATCCCGTGAATCGAAGTCGCAAGAAGAAGGTTAGATTTGACTTGTCCAGGCTGAGACCGTTCGAGCTCCGCCGGGCGGGGATGACTTCGATGACATGAGTAATCGATAGGAGGATGGGGGTTAGATAGTGCTCCGGAACCCGTTTGATCGGGCTAGTAGTTAGGATTAATGTTTAATAGTGTTTTTGAAATGATGGTAGAATTATCTGTAGATGAAAGTATTCCAGGTGTGGACAGAGGTTGAGAACGATTGATTATAGTAGCTATACATACTGGGATGGTGATGGTGATGTTGTGGACGGTTCAGGAACCGGCACGGTGGTGCCTTGGAAAGGCCCGCTGGAGCATCCATAGGCACTGGGCTTCTGCGACCGTAACGTTTGGGTTCATTTGGGTTTGGTTGAGGGTGAGGGTGAGTGCGGATATCTGTTGATGCTGGCGTCGGTAGCCGATGGCGGGGGGGGGGGAAGTCTGGAAGAAAGTCCATCTGGAAGCTGCGGGGTGAGGAACAAATGAGTGTCTGTCATATTGATGGCTGGGCTGACTAATTTATATTATATCAGAGAACTTATTCTATAACCATCTTATTTTAAAGTTACTAGTTATCTCCAAAGACTTTAAAGAAACACACCTCTGTAGTGTAGTTACTATAGTTACTATAGTTACTATAGTGACTATACATGATGATGCGCCATCTCCAGCTCCATCCCACACGCATCAGATCTAGCCTCCGTACTGAACGAATCCCAGCGCAGTTCCTGAACCACCTGAATTTCTCCTGGACCGAGGTCTCCGCTTCCTCTGCCCGCTGCTTCCAGATCAGGTCCAGGAGGTCCAGGAGGTCCAGGGACCTGGGACGATGACAATGGCGAGTGGGTACTCTGACTGTGACTCTGACTCTGACTGTAACTGTGACTGTGACTGTGACTGTTATCCAGACTCTGCCTGAAACTCTGACATAAGTTCTGTATACTCTTCTTTTTCTTTCTCAGACTCTGGGAGCAGGTATTCCCCGAGTCACCTCCCATCCCACTCAGATGGGTACCAGTCCCGTTTGTGTTTGTGTTTGTGTTTGAGTTCATGTTCGTAGAAACACTCGCCACGTACCCCGTACTCCCTGACGGGACGAACGGATTTATATTGTTCGTGTGAGGGTCCAAGTTCATGTTCATGTTCATGTTCCGGTTCGAGACGAACGTGCGGCCGGATGAGAAACTGGGTTTTTCGCGGTGGGTGTGGTGGGTATGTTCACGTCCATGTCCACATGTACATCCACATCCATGTCCATGTCCATGTCCATGTCCATGCTGCGGCCCATTGTCTTGTCCATGGTGAGAATGGTAATAGTTACAGTCGTGGTGTTCATGGCTGTGATGTTGATGTTGATGATCATGTTGATGATAATGACAATGACAATGACAATAACCAGGGTGGTGGTTCTGGTTATGGTAAGAGTTCCGCATGCGCGAGGGAACGAGTTTCGGAAATAGCCGGATCATCAGGGGCCGGAGCGGAGGCAAACACGCGCAGATAATGGCTGTGCTGGATTCGATGAAGGACCATGTTGCTGCGAGGGAGTTTATTTCTGTTTTTTTTTATTAGTATTAGAAAAAAAAAAAAATAAAGGCATTGGGGAAATTGGCTTGGGGATTGAGATGGGATTTGTGGGGGGGTGAGAAGAGTGAAGATGAGAGGAGATAGGGTTAGGAGGAGGAGGTAACATACTAGTAAAATTATCCGTATGCATCAAATCAACAAGGATAGTTAACCGGACGATACTTGTTGCGCAGACACTATCATCAACCAACACCAGAGGTCAGCATATCATCATCATCACATCATCATCATCATCACATCCGGACTCTAGTTTGGATAGATAAAGAAAAGATCAAACCCACAAAAACCCCAATCCAAAAACCCCCATGAGCGCAACCCTCTGCCTCATGGGCAATTTCAACCGCGCCAAAATGGGCAAGGGGATGACCACGAGGCCCAAATCCGTCGTGATCTGCAACGCGGCATTCAGCCCCCAGACCACGTCCTGGGAGAGACAGGTGTGCGGGATGCTTGTGTCCCAGAAGGCGCGCACGGGGATGCAGAACAGAATCGCGCTGAAGATCATCCACGTCCCCGTGGCGAGGACGATGCAGAGCGTGATGGAGAGGAGGATCTGGTAGCCTTTCGGGGGGAAGAGGCGTCGGTAGAGGACTATGAGGGAGAGTTTGGTGAGGGTTAGGGTGGTGTTGTAGAGGATTATGGTGGCGTAGAGAGACTATTATTATGATTATTATCATTATTATTATCATTATTATGATGATGATGATTATTTTGTTAGTATTGGGGATGGGGATGAGTATCGATGTTTGGCTCTTCTTCCTCCTTATGTCTTGTTGTGAAGAACGGTATAATCTCAAATAAATCAAGCAAAGGGAGGAAAGTAAGGAGGAATACCTTCAACTGCAACTGCAATTCCTCCGCACTAAGCTCATCCAGGTTCCTGCCAAGTCCATACTTGATTTCTGGTTCAAGATTGGAGTCAGTGGCGAACAGCTCACTTCCTTGTCCCCGCTAGACGTCTAGACAGAAGCCTGTCCCGGCCATATATGGGAATCGAATCATACATACCCAGGACCAGAAAGGCGAAGAAGATGATGTCGACTATCTAAACGGTGTATATTAGCATTTCATATCATGTGAGATTGGGTTTGAAGCGTAGAGAGAAGGATGGGGGGGGGAGACAGTTGACAGTAGACAGCAGCCATCACATCGCATCCCATCTCACTCACTCATTCACACTCACACACACTCACACAAGCTTGAGATAAAACAAACCAAACAGCAAAAAAACAAAAGACAAAGACAAAAGACAAGACAGAGAAACCTACCAACGACCCCCCAATCAACAAATCATCCCACCCAGGCTTCCTAAGCACATACAACCTCACGACCAGCCGCAACACAACCACCACGGTAGCCAGACACAAGAACGTGATTGCAACAGGAAGGGCGTACATCCTGCATGCAGGTTCAGGTGTTGATTCCGATTCCGATCCCACGATAGACAGTGCAGCGCAGCGGAGTGGCGTGGAGTGGAGTGGATTGTACTCACTCACTCACTCACTCACTCACTCACTCACTCACTCACTCACCAGAACCAGGATCAGGATGAGGATGATGAGCAGCAGCAGCAGCAAGCAAGACTAGCAGATCAGCAAGCAGGACATCAAGACAGACAACAGGATATGCAGGGCCTCCAGGCGGGGTTTGTCCCTTTTCTTCCACAGTCAGTCATCTCATCGCAACTCAAAACCCAATTCAATTCATCTCGAGGGCGGCGAATCTAATGTACTAACTTCACCTTCTAACTTTACCGTGGGTGGCCAATTCAGCCTTCCAGCCACATGCCATCCGTCCTCCCGGAATCAATTGCGTCAAGGACGGCGGGGCCAGGCCCAAAAGAAGGGAAACTTGGCCTGATGCAGCCATGGCCGTCCTGCAATCCACGGTACGGCCCGCGGGTATCTGCATCGCCCGATCTGGATGCCCGGATCGACACGGACATTCTATGCAGGTGATGTACCGATTACAGTCAGGAAGAGTTGTAGAAAAGTGCATCATTATCCAAGGGCATATACAAATCATGAGACATGGTAACTGGGCATGTACAAATCGAAGATGTGGACGGACCACAGCCAATCGTCCATCCGGATCTCCAGCCTAAATATACAGTATAGTATAGTCTCCGCAAAATGCATCCCTTTATCCAAAAAAAAAAAAAAGACATTCGACTCGGCGAGTCTCGCTAGCGTTAGTGTATCAATGCAATGTCAACGACGTGGGTATTTAGAGGCGGGCCTTGAGGTTGGACTTGAGTCGGCGCTCCACCGCAGCCATGTACTCGCGGGTCGTCACCCACGCCTCGCGGTCCTTGCGGCCGCAAGCCAGCGCCAGGTCCTTGGTCATGATGCCCTCGTCGTTCACCACGTCCACGCACGCGCGCTCCAGCTCCTCGGCGAACGCAACCACGTCGGGCGTCTCGTCCAGCTTGCCACGCTGCACCAGACCACGGGTCCAGGCGAAGATGGAGGCAATGGGGTTGGTCGACGTCTCGCGGCCCTTCTGGTGCTCGCGGTAGTGACGGGTCACCGTGCCGTGCGCGGCCTCGGACTCGAACGCCTCGCCGGTAGGGGTGGCCAGGGTCGAGGTCATCAGACCGAGGGATCCAAAGCCCTGGGCGACGATGTCGGACTGGACATCACCATCGTAGTCTGCATCCGTTAGCATGCAATCCCAACCCGATCAGCTGTCATAGCTATGCAGGCAACTCACTCTTCAGGGCCATCACGAAGCCACCCTCGCTCTTGATCATCTGAGCGACCATGTCGTCAATCAGACGGTGCTCGTACCAGATCTTCTTGGCGTCGAACTCCTTCTGGTAGGTGGTCTCGTAGATCTCCTGGAAAATGTCCTTGAAGCGGCCGTCGTACTTCTTCAGGATGGTGTTCTTGGTGCTCATGTACAGGGGGAGACCCTTGAGCAGGGCCATCTGGAAGCTGGAGTGGGCAAAGCCGCGGATGGACTCATCGGTGTTGTACTGGGTCTGGGCAACACCGCCACCCTGGAAGTCGTAGACCTCGATGGACTCGGGCTGGCCGCCAGCGGGGGTGTAGACGAGCTCCAGCTTGCCGGGGCCGGGGATCACACGGTCCTTGGCACGGTACTGGTCACCAAAGGCGTGACGGCCAATGATGATGGGCTTGGTCCAGCCGGGGACGAGACGGGGGATACGGGGGATGACGATGGGCTCACGGAAGAGGGTACCGCCGCTGCAGGGGTCAGCCATTGCGTGAAGTGACAGGGTCTGGGACGCTTACAGGATGTTACGGATGGTACCGTTGGGAGACAGCCACACTGCACAATGCGGTTAGTCGGAGTCCTCCGGTCAGGAGAGGCCGTACTTACTCTTCTTCAGCTTGAATTCCTCGACACGAGCCTCATCGGGGGTGATGGTGGCGCACTTGACACCGACACCATACTGCTTGATGGCCTCGGCAGCGTCAATGGTGACCTGGTCATCGGTCTGGTCACGGTACTCGAGACCCTAGCAACGAAGTCAGTTCCCATCCGAGTGGCCTCCCCAGGGAGATTCCGGAAGCATACCAGGTCGTAGTACTTGAGATCGATGTCCAGGAAACTGGCCCCGAGGTGTTAGTCGAACTGTCTAGAACCACCCAAGTCCGAAGACCAACGAATGACCGAACTTACGGAAGAATCAACTATCGAGCGAGCCGAGTTAGTGTCTCTGGACGGGACCGAACGGGGGCGGGGCAGCCGAGGAAGCACATACCTTTTCTCTGATGTCCTGCCAGATAATACGGGTCATCTAGTCGACGGGAGCGGCGTTAGCACATGTCCAGAAGTCTATCTAGCGATGCAATTGAGCCCTGGATCGCCGAGCGATAGGCGCTTGGCTGCCAGGGAACGAGGCGCCATGCCCGCCGTTTTCCCCCGCGGCAGGGATGCGCCATGACGAAAATGCGCATCCGATGCAGGGAGGGGCAGACGGGTATATAAGGGAGGGTCCATCCAGCCCGGGGAGGGATGTCCCAGAAGCAAAAGAGAAGAAGGGGGAGGAGGGGGCCACATACCTCATCACCGTCGAGTTCCACGACGGGGTTCTTAACCTTGATCTTGGGGATTTCGGTAGCCATGGTGCGGGATTGAGTGAGGTTCAGGGAGAGACCAGTCCAGCGGGGAGAAGCAGAGCGAGCAGAGAGCAGAGAGGAGGCAGAGGCAATGGATCTGGAGGGACGAGCTGAGATGGCAGAGGGGGAGGAAGAAATAGTAGAAGAGGAAGAGGAAGAGGAGGAGAGAGAGCGGCGGGCGGAGGAAGCGAGAGGGGCAGAGCGAGGAGGGGAAGCGACGGCGAAGGAGCGGCGCGCCAATGCGGAAGTGAACCGAGCAGACATGATGATGACTGGGGAAATGTGGGAGGAACCGGGGGGCAACGGGGTCAGACGGTGCGACTGGCCAGGCGGGATCAGCTATCGGGAACGGGGGGAGAAGCAGCAGGCAGTGTTCAGGACATACCCGAGGGATTACGGAGGGACTGAAGCTGCGCAGCGCTCGGCTGGAAGGAGAGGCGCTGGTGGAGTTCGGAAGCGGCCGTTCAGCCGGGAGGTCGTGATTTCACGGGGCAAAACGGAGGGGCCGGAAAAGGGTTATTCACGGGGGGTTCACTGACGTGAGGTGAAGATTGTTGGATGATGGAGAGAGAGGGAGAGAACGAAAGGGAAAGGGAAAGTGAAAGAGCAGAGAGGAGGGCCTCTTATCCCGCCTGGTTGCCCTTCCAGACCCCCAAGACTTTTGGACGCCCACTTCCCTTTCCGCCCACCGTTGCACTCGCCGCGCCGAAGCCGGACGCTCCTTATTACGTATCTGCGCCGTGCTCGCTACATCTGCACTCTACTTGAGGATACTCTACTAACTACTAATCTGTCACCATCAAGGGGTTTCGTTCTACCGTTCTACCGTTCTACCGTTCTACCGAGTTCCCGATCTACCCTCCGACCAAGCCAAGTCCCCTTGCCACCCTCCCCGGACCTGGGGTTACAGGTTACTGGTTACAGGTTACAGGTTGCAGGTTGCAGGTTGCAGATTGCAGTGTGCTCCAGCATGCTGTGCCATGTCCGGAGTGCTACAGTCCATCATCTGTCATGTCTGGCCAGCCGATCTCAACCGCTGTTTCCCGCGGCAACGGACGTCGAGTCTCCGCTCGGGCGAAGAAGCACCGAAATCGCTGCCCGGACTGGAGTCTCGTCTCCCCGGCACATGACTCATCTCCGTCCCTTGCCTGGCCTTCCCCACAGCCAGCCATGCTATCATCCATCTGATCTATCTTCTCCGTACCGTACTGTGAGAGTAAGTCAGTAAACATTCCGGATTCAATCGTGACCATAATATATTCATTCCATGGATGTAGTAAGTGTAAGTAGTGTGCCATATTCCCAATTGCAATTGCTATCAGGAACCAGCAATCTTGTTGAAGATTCACCCTCCCTCCCTCCCTCCCTCTCTTTCTCTCTCTCTCTCTGGTCATCGCCTCAGGAACACCTGTGTTGTGTTGAAATCCATCTTCCCCCCTCCCCCCATTCATGCTCCCGTGTCCGTCGTGGCCAAACCAATCAAACATGCTAGTAGATATATCGCAGATCCAAACAAGAAACAAAACAAGCAAAGCCCTCTAAACCTCCTGTCTACTGTCTAGAACAGTCCATCGATCTCCCCGGTCTCCGGGTCGATGTCCACGTTGATGTAGCCCGGAGCGGTGGGCAGGCCGGGGATCGTCTGGATGTCGGCCGCCAGTGCGTAGCTAGAGAACGGGTTAGTTCACTTGGATTCGTCATAGCAGAAATCTCATCTGTGACATGAGGAATGAAGTTTAAAAGAAAGAAAATCTTACAGATATCCACCACCCACCGCCAACCGCACGTCCCGGATAGGAACGGTAAAGCCCGTCGGGGCACCCTTCAGGGCCGGGTCGTGACTGAGCGAGTACTGCGTCTTGGCAATGCAGATGGGCAGGTTGGCGAAGCCCTGCGCCGTGTACGTGTCGACCTTCTTCTGCGCCAGCTCGCTGAACTCGACCTTCTCCGCCCCGTACATCGCCTTGCCGATGCGCTCGATGCGCTCCTGGATGCTGCCGTCCAGGTCGTACAGCAGCTTGAAATCCTTCGGCTTGGAGCTCGCCGCCAGCACGCTCTTGGCCAGGTCCACTGCGCCTGCGCCGCCCTCCGCCCAGTGGTTGGCCGGCACCGCGTCCTCCGCGCCCGCCGCAATGGCCTCCTCGCGGATGATGGCAATTTCGGCCTCCGTGTCCGTGTCGAACCGGTTGATCGCCACCACCACGGGAATTCCGTACTGCCGCGCGTTCTCGATGTGCTTCTTCATGTTCACGCAGCCCTGGCGAAGCACCTCGATGTTCTCCGTGCGGTACACCTCCGGCAGGGGAGCCCCCGGCTTGATCTCGGGGCCACCGCCGTGCACCTTCAGCGCGCGCACCGTCGCCACAATAACCACGGTGTCGGGGGACAGGCCGGACGACCGGCACTTGATGTTGAAGAACCGCTCTCCGCCCATGGTGAAGTCGAATCCGGCCTCCGTCACGACGAAGCCCGTCGTGGCATCGTGGTCCTCGTCAGGCTCGGAGCCCGCCAGCTTCAGGGCCAGCTTGTCGGCAATCACCGAGCTGGCTCCGATACTGATGTTGGCGAAAGGTCCCGCGTGAACCAGGACGGGGGTACCCTCCAGACTCTGCATCAGGTTGGGCTTGATGGCATCCTTCATCAGCGCAGCAAGGGCGCCGCCCGCGCCAAGGTCGTCGCAGGTGATCGGGTCACCGCTCTTCGACGTGGCCACGACCATGCGGCCGAGTCTTTCACGCATATCCTCGAGGCTGTTGCTGAGGGCGAGGATGGCCATACATTCACTGGCGACGGAGATGTCAAAGCCGGTCTCGCGCGTCAGACCCTTCTCCGTGTCAGCCTGTCCGACGGTGATGCCCCGCAGGTGGCGGTCGTTGACGTCCAGAACGCGGCGCCAGGTGATGGTCTCGGGGTCAATGTCGAGGCGAGCAAACCGGCGGATCTCATCCTCAGTAAGGTCATCCGGGTTGGTCTTGGTGATCCCAAGCTTCTTGAGGCGGCGGAAAAAGATGGGTTGGAACTCGCGGGTGCCCTTCTTGGCGGGAACCAGTCGCTTGTAGAGCGCGGCATCCTTCTGAGTAGATTCGTGGAACATCCGGGTCTCGATCGCGGCGGCGAGAAGGTTGTTGGCGGCAGTGATGGCGTGGATATCACCCGTCAAGTGCAGGTTGAACTCATCCATAGGAATAACCTGGCTGTATCCGCCACCGGCGGCTCCACCCTTGATACCGAACGTAGGTCCCTGGCTGGGCTGGCGCACGTTCGCGAAGACAATGCGGTTCAGGTGGGCTCCGAGAGCCTGGGAGAGACCCAGAGTCGTCGTGGACTTGCCCTCGCCGAGAGGGGTAGGCGTAATACCACAGACCAGGATGTACCGACCGTTGCGGCGGTGGGACAGGCGGTCGAGAACGGAGAGGCTGACCTTGGCCTTGGTGTGGCCATAGGGCTCGAGCTCGTGGGGGAAAACGCCGATTTCCGAGGCAAGCTGGGTGATCTGCTTGGGGTACTGCGCACGGGAGATGGCAATATCCGAGGGAACGGGCGTGACCAGCTTGATCGGAAGGGGAGTGATGTGTCGGTCCTTCTGCTTCTCGAAGTAAGCCTTGGCAGCGGAAACGATGTTCTCCATCAGCATCGCCACCGTCATGGGGCCAACACCACCGGGAACGGGCGTGATCTGGGAAGCCACCTGGGCGGCGGATTCAAAATCGACATCGCCAACGAGGCGCTCGCCCGACTTCCGGGTAGCGTCCGGCTTGTAGTTGATACCGACATCAATGACGACCGCACCAGGCTTCAGCCACTCTCCCTTGACGAACTCCGTCTGTCCGATGGCGGCGACAACAATGTCGGCGGACTTAACAAGGCGCGCAATGTCCGGGGTCTTCGAGTGGCACAGAGTCACCGTCGCGTGCGCATTTTTCAGCAGATAGCTGACGGGGCTTCCGACAATATCACTGCGGCCAAGAACCACCGCCTCCTTGCCAGCCGGGTCGACGCCGCTCTCCTCCAGGAGCTTCATCACCGCCTTCGGGGTGCAGGGCACGAAGAGCGGGCGACCACCCCTCTTAGCCAGTTCACCGATGTTGATCGCACCGAATCCATCGACATCTTTCTCGTCGGCGACCGCAGAGGTGATCGTGTGTTCGGACAGGTGCTGCGGGAGAGGCAGCTGCACGAGAATACCGTGCACGGTGGGGTCGTTATTGGCCTTGGTGATCTCCTGTAGGAGCTCGGGCTGCGTTACGGATTCGGGAAAGTTGATAATCTTGCAAAGGATACCTGCCTGTTCGGAGCGAGTTCATTAGGTGTCCGGGTTGGTCCAGCAGGATGAAGGCTGAAACGTACCTCCTCCGCGGCCTTCAATTTCATGCGCACATATGTGCCTGAGAAGCTATGTCAGTGTCGACCCTTGTCCAATGCGACAGACCATAACTCACTCGAATCGGACCTGCTGCCAACTGTAGGTTCGAGGTCAGCATTATTTTCAACCCCACGTACGGGGGTACTTTGTGTGTACGCACTCTGGAAAATCACAAGACTGGGCTTGAACCGGGGGTTGGCCTCCTGGATCTTCAGGATCTCAGCCTTCAACCCCGCGCGAATGTTCTTCGCAATCTGCGTGCCGTCGATCTTGGCAGCCATGGTGGTGGTGGTGGTGGCAGCGGCGGAGAGAGGACGGCGGAGACAGGGTGTGAGATCGAGTCCCTGGGAACCGAACGGAGATGACGCACAGCGAGGACGAGACCGGGCCCCACGTCCGAGAGAGAATTGGCGTAGATGGAAGGGGAGTGGCAGGGAGGGGGAGGAGGAGTACTGGCGCCTTGGAGTTGGGGTAGGGATATAGTAATATGGGCGACGACACTCTGCGTGGACAGCGCAGCGGGGTAAAGTCGCCGAACGGGCGGGGGGAAATGGCATGGAAAGGCTTCGTCGGTCGAGTCGCAGCTTTCCTCGGCCGGGTCAGATGGAGATAGGGAAAGGACGGTAATCACGATGAATAATTGGAAAACAAGCCGGGCCGACGCAGCGCCGATCGCGTTGCAGTAAGAATGTAGCAATGCACGCAGCTTTCTAAGATGAACGGAACGATCCTTTCTATTCTAGGAGGGCAATGCCCATGAACAATATGCCAGCGACCCGAGTCCACTCTCTCCCTTTTCGCGTTCTTTGTTGCATCGAAAAGTTTCCCCGAAAGCCGCCGCGTCGAGATCTTCGGAGCCCCGGCGCCATTGCCGTCGGCCCTACGGCGGGCTCCACAGCCCACTAGCGCAGTCTCCCCGATCGGGGCATTCGGGGCATCCCTCCAGGGCTTATGGGTGTCACATGACATCTAGTCTCCCCGGCCGGAACAACTCTCCCTCCGGTACGGCCGTTTCATACGGAACAGGCTCGAACAGGAAAGTCTTGGCGGGCAAGCCCGGACTGTGCGATGAAATTCAAACTAGTCTGACGACGCCGACGACGTGAGCCCGCCAGCACCCCGCAAGGATTTCCGCTCCAGCACGCAGGTCTTAGACGTCTCCGGTCACAGAGGGCAATACACCTGTGATCCAACATCTCCTTCCCCCCCCAGATTCATCGCGTGGTAGGCCAATATGCGGCCTATTTTGCTTTCGGGCCATGTGCGTTTACCTCTTCCTCCTCTGCCTGCCTACCCGACATTGGAATGCCATGCCGCCTCCCCCAAAAGACCGGAAAATCCAAAACCGAACCTGGCCGGGGCAGTAGTCGCTGACAAGTCTTGAAAATCTTCTAGGAACGGTCTCTGAACCAGATCAAGTTCAACCGCGATGGCGACCTCATCTTCTCCGTGGCTAAGGATAAAATTGTGTGCGCCTGGTGGTCGGCCAACGGCGAGCGACTCGGTACCTACGCGGGACACCAGGGTGCCATCTGGACGGTCGATGTGAGCCCCAACACGATTCTTCTGGCAACCGGCTCGGCAGACAACACGGTGCGACTATGGAACGTGAAGACCGGCGAGTGCGTGAAGGTGTGGGACTTCCCTACGGCCGTGAAGCGGGTCGAGTTCACCCCGGATGGAAGCAGACTTTTGGCCGTGACGGAGAAGCGTATGGGTTTCTTGGGTACCATTGTGGTCTTGGATATCAACTACGACGGACTGGACGTCCAGGCCGAGGAGCCGAGCCTGCGCATCACCTGTGAGGAGAGCAAGGCCACCGTTGCGGGATGGAGTTTCATGGGCAAGTACATCATTGCCGGTCACGAGGACGGCAGCGTCAGCCAGTACGATGGAAAGGTGCGGAGAGACCCTTCTTTCTCTATTCTTATGCTCTATTTTGCGCGGCCGTGCAGACCGCAGTCCGCGGAAGTCCAGCTAACACCGTGACCAACAGACCGGTGAGCAGCTGGAGAACGTCCAGGCCCACGAGTTCGACCACCAGATCAACGACCTCCAGTTCTCCCCCGACCGCACCTACTTCATCACTGCCTCCAAAGACAAGTCCGCCAAGGTAAGCTCTCTTACCCCCACCGTGACGATTCACCAATATCATCATTCCCCGCTAACGCAACCCAGCTCATGTCCTCCCGTAACCTCGCCATCCTCAAAACCTACGTCGCCGACACCCCCCTCAACAGCGCCTGCATTACGCCCAAGAAGGAGTACGTGATCCTGGGTGGTGGACAGGCCGCTATGGACGTCACCACGACCTCCGCCCGCCAGGGTAAATTCGAGGCGCGTTTCTACCACAAGGTCTTCGAGGACGAGATCGGCCGTGTGCGCGGTCACTTCGGTCCCCTCAACACGGTGCACGTCCACCCCTCCGGAACCGCCTACGCCTCCGGCGGAGAGGACGGTTACGTCCGTGTGCACCACTTCGACAAGTCCTACTTCGACTTCATGTACGAGGTCGAGCGGGAGCAGATGAGACGGTGAACGTGAAAGAAGTGATCAGTGTCGGTGATCGGTGATCGGTGAACGGTGAACGTGAAGCTGAATCTGAAGCGCGCGAGACGACGGAGAGATTCCGAGTGTTTATTTCCCCATACCAGTTAACGCAACGCATCGCATCGTATGTATGTGTCATGAGGCGAAGAGATGAAACTTTTTTTTTTCTTTTCTTTTCTTTTCTTTTCTTTTCTTGTCTTTTCTTGTCTTTTCTTGTCTTTTCTTTTCTTACTACAACAACAAAATTTCACTCAAAAAGTAGAAAGGGGGAAAAGTCACAGGCGCACGCGTTACGTTACGAGAGAAGAAAGAAAGAAGGAAAGAAAGCAAGAAAGCAAAAGGACGGAAAGAAAGAACCTCGGGAAGGCGATTCAGGGAGGGCATGAGTTTGAGTTTCTTTTTCTTGCAAGTTTCTTACTACTTATCTATCTATCCATGATAAAGTCGGAGTTGGTACCACATAGTTTGCTTTTCTGGTCGCTTTTGAGTGTGTCCTAATAAAAGAAACCACCATTGCTTCTTATCCCTTTTTTCTTCCAGTATTTCAAGTATCTTCTTACTTACTTTACTCTTACCTATCTTGCTGTGTTCGGTGGGATTGTGGCACGCATGATGCAATGTAGTGCAGTTTTCTTAAGTGGTTGATTGATTGATGAAATATAGATCTGTAGTAGTATTTTCCAGGCTCAAAAACGGTGCAGGGCAACATTCTATCTATCATTCTTCTTGGCTGTAAGTCTGTCTCTCCCAGAAACATTCCCTAAGAACCATGATTCCCGAAACTACATCTTTTTTAATCGTATAGAAATATCCCTCCGGCCAGCAGAACCAGAAACCAAAATGAAAAGAAAAGAAAAGAAAAAAAAGAAGAAGAATCATGGGATCTCATTGAAAAAAAAAAAGTGAAGAAAAAAGGCATCATAATGTAAAGCACCCAAAAGGTGTGCGTAATAGTCAAAAAAAAACCCCCTCAAAATAAAGAAAACCTGTCCAGTCCAACACCCCTAGAAAAAGCAACCAGGCTCACCCCCGGACATGATTTACTTCTTCTTGGGGAATTTCTCCTGCCCGATACCGGCACCTCTGAGCTTGACGTTGAGGACGCGCTCCATGGCGCCGAGGACCTTCTGGTCCGGGGTGGCGGTACCGCGCTCGAAGTCCTGCACGATGGTGATGGTGGTGTTGCACTTGGTGGCGAGTTCCTTCTGGGTCATCTTGTAGGGGTCCTCGTTACGGCGCTTCTTGATGGCGTCGGCCACGGCCAGGCCGACGGTCTTGGGCTTGACGATGTCGTCGCTGCGGTCGACCTTGGTCAGGTGTTGGCCTTCGCCGGCGCCGGAGCGGGCGGACTAGAGGGGTAGTGGGTTAGGCTGCGCTCTAAATAGACGGAGAGAAAGGGAAGTGGAGGGACGGAAGGAGGGAGGACGTACAGCATTGCCAGTGGCGTACTTCTTCTCAGTACCGATGACCAGACCCTGACGCTGAGCGGCGTTCAAGGCGCTCTTGCCCTTGACGACGGTCTCGCGGGTGGCAGGGCCACCAGTGTGTCTGGTTCCAATGCGGGTGACGTTGTCCCAGTCGGACATTTTGAAGGTAGACGGTGAGGTTCGGGTGAGAAGGGTTGGGTTGGTGAGAATGGTGGGTGGGATGCGAGGGTGGCGGTCGTGGGAGTGGTAGCGGTTGATCGTGTGAGGTGTCGTAAGGAGGGATGTTCAAGGCCCGCCGAATTTATATCGACGCCACGGAAGCTTCTCGAGCCCTGGGATGGCGGAGTCAGAGGGGCGAGCGACGCTAGGCCGCTTCGGGGTTAGGGCAACTGACATCATGCCCCCGGTCGATTGTACCCGTTCCGTTGGTTGGGTTGGGTTGGGTATAGTGATTGTGATTGTGACCGAGAAGGTGATCTTGAGGGTTCTTCTGCGAAAGGGGATTGGTTGTGGATGCGTGGGTTCTCGGTTGGGCGACTCTGGAGATGGTGACTGTGAGGGTTTGTCTGGGACGGTCTGGTCATGCCATTGCAGTCATCGTTGTTTGTTCTGGCGGGGTCCCGCTTGGGTTTAGCGTGTTGGCCTGCAGGCCTTCTTCACCATCTCTTGCTTTCGTACACAGTAGATCTGGTCTGCTTGGCTAGATCGACGGTCTTCTTCTGGCCCTGCAGATCATCTGGTTCTTGTCTGTGAATCTCTGTGATTGCCTCGGAGACTGTTTGGGCATTCTGCTGGTATATACAGCGAAACTGCCTACCACAGCTATAGGATAACTTTGAGTTCGTGTACCTTGACTGACGGGTAGTAAACAAAGTCAAGGTGTAGTGTAAACAGCATCGAAGATGGGCGTTAAGTGGACTTGAGAATAGACTATGTGTATGGTCTGCTTATATAACCTCCTCAGCTAGGCTGGATGGAGATCTGGACCCCGGATCCCAATCCCGGATCCCAATCCCGGTAACCCATCACACAGGCGTCACTATGGAAGGTGTTGATGTTTGAGGCGCTGCTTGAGAGCATCATACATTCTGTTGCTTCAGCATGTAGCAACCACCTAGCTGAGCAGCTTCAGCTTCATCGTATCTTGGTGCTGTTCAAGTCTCTGTAATCACAGCAAGAGGCGGCTCGGCATAGAACTATAGGCGATCTACTACATCCAGTGATATGTCAACACTACAAGCTGAATCTGTCCAAAGATTCGGGGGGTAGCACATGTCTGCATTTTTCGAGGCACAAGCCAAATGCCACCAAAAGCAAAACATACTACGCTCCCCTGGTAGGCGATTCCATGGCATTCCCTCATTGTGACGCTTTTACCTCTGTATTCTACGTCAGTAAACATAGTATTGCGTCCCATCAGAGCCCTCCCCTTCCTAGTTTTACAACTCGCAACTCCCAAGAACAACCCCCAAGATGATCAACAATGCCAGACAAGATGACAGTCCATTCCTCTGTCGTACCAAGTTTATCTTGGCTTCACAGTCCTCACCCGATGTCCACGGTGGTATCGGATTACTTTGACCGCCCCTGCAAGAAGATCACCAAAGTATTCCATTCTTCCCAGTTCATGAAAGTGGGGGACGACACCGCGTCCTATGACAGGATCAAGACCCGGCTCAGACACAAGGCAAGCCTGCAGGAGAGGCACATGCCAGACAAAATCAATATCCAGAAAGACTGGATCAGACGACACAAGGAGAACGAGGAGTTGGAGTTTGCTCTCCTGCAGCGGATCACCTGTCTGGAGAGAGTCAAAAGACAGAAGGAGGAAGAGCAGCCGGCATCCTCTTTGATACATACCCCGGGCCCTTCCAATCCTAAGCGGCAAGTCACGCTGGCGGAGGAACACTACTTCCGCTGCCAGAGGGCATCCAGAGCGTTGGACTACGACAAACCATCAGGCTCTCTGACCGACGAGTTTGACTTTCTTCGGCACCATCGAAACAGCGACGGACAGACGCTGGCATGGGAAGAGGACAGGATCGCCTGTGCCTTACTCGGCGGCTGCTGTGGTCGGAGGTGCCGGTGCTGCGAGAGGCCTTTGCGGTGCTATATCATGCCCGACTCCGGCGAGGGAAAGGAGATGGTCGGGTTCCACGGCCACTGTACCGCTGAATGTGGTTGCTGCATGCGCCATCGGGGATTCTACCGACCAGACTCGCGGCTGAAAGCTCTCGATCCCGAACTGGCGACGAAGATAGCCGTCTTCAACAAGAGTCACTATGTTGAAGAGGACAGTGCCGAGGAAGCAGGGGATCCAGTGGCCGATGCTTTGGCAGTGGTCGATGCTTTGAAGCGTCAAGCCTGAGTTGTTCTTTCTTTTGCGGTGGTCATGGTATCAACCAAACGACTTGTTGTGTCTGGGGATGGGTGAGAGTCTGCTGGAGTCCCTCGCTGAGACATAATCATGACTGTCAGTCTTGGCGGGGGTTGAGGTTGCTTTATAGTAAATGGCGCCCATGTGTTTTGAGCAGAAGGCTCCCAGTTATCATGTTTAGTGCACAAACAAAATGGATGTCACCAGTATGATTTATCAGATATATGCCAGCAAAAACATTCAGTCAAGGATATCTGCCAGTATGTAGCAGAGATCGTAGCCCGTCGGAACGAACATCACCCACCGATCGCGAGGCTCGACCAAGATGGAGTGGGACCGACTCCGCCCCCTTCACGGTTTCACCATGGAAGGGTCCTCAAAATAGAGATTCGTCCGTAGGTGATGGCCACGAAGAGGGAAAGGCATCGCAATGAGTGAGAGCTCTCTGGTAGACATGAACTGTTACAGAGAGTGGAGGGGAGCGTCAACCAGCGTCCTAGCAGGGGTATCTAGGAGAAACCAGTCCGAGCGACCGTTAGAGACAGTCGGATGGTGTCTCAAGCAGAGTGGCTCGTACGTACTCACTGAACCCCGATACAGTGATGCCTGAAATGACAAGTCCGACTAATTTCCCTGGGCCAATCGGAGGGGAGCAGTCAGGACCCGGCCTGGGGGAAGCCTCAGGTACCGAGTCTGAGTAAGAGGAGAACCAACGGAGGGTCCCCCGCGTGCCGATACCTTATTCATTCATCCTCCATCCCTCCATCCATCCATCATTCCACTATTGATTCCCTCACTCGCCCCTTCTCCTCCCACTCTCTCGCTTCTTCTTTGTTTCCATCTTACCCGACCCAAACTTATCTGTTAACCTTACTCCGTCCACTCCTTGGCCTGCCATGGCGTCCCAGGGCGACTTCTACTCGGCCATGACCAACCGGTCGCTCCGCATTGTCCGATCGGTAGGATGACATCCCCTGTCTGCGTCGCTTGATAAACCCCCTCGCTGCATCGCATCACCAGTCCATCGCTCGCTAACACCTCCGACCATCCAGGAACTCGAATTTCTCGCAGATTCATCCGTCATCACTCCGCAACAGCTCTCGTCGATCCTATCGCAACTACCGAGTGACGAGAATGAACGCAGCAGAGGCCCCGTCCCTCAGCAGCGCACGCCAGTGCAGCAGGCACCTGTCGCTGCGCAGCCGCCTCCTGCCCCGTACTCGCCTCCCACGAACCAGTTCGCCAACACGTCCCTGAACGAGAAGGCCTCCTACCAACAGCCTCCCCCGCAACAATACTCGACCCCGTCCATCCCGCCTCCCGCTTATGCCCAGCCCCCGCCGGCGCTGTCCGTCGCCTCGGCGCTCTATGCGTATACTCCCACAGACCCCGGCGATCTGGCTCTGCAACCGCACGATCGCGTCCAAGTTCTGGAACACATGAATGCCGACTGTATGGCTGCCCTGCCCGCTTGTATATCTCCAGCTAACCACGGTTGATAGGGTGGCGTGGTCGTAATGAGCGGACCAACCTGGAGGGTATCTTCCCTCGAAGCTACGTGAACGTTCTCGACGAGAAGGCTCTCTCGTCCCCTCCCCCGACCAATTATGGGAACATGCCCCTCGAAGTCAGCCAGAGTGGCTCCACGCCGGGCGACGATGGCAAGAAGAGCAAGTTTGAGGAGCAGGGCAAGAAGTTTGGCAAGAAGATGGGCAACGCCGGTACGTACCCTGGATAGCAGGCTCGCATACGGCAAGGCGTACTGGAACCTGCTGGCGATGCCTTTCCGTCCCTGTTCGATGAACCTGATTACTGACGCTTGTCTAGCCATCTTCGGTGCCGGTGCTACCGTGGGCTCTAACATTGTGAACAGCATCTTCTAAGCCGAGCGCAGCGTAATGGCTTCATGTAGTATTTCTTGCCCCTTTCATTGGCTCATAGGGATGGCGTTGGTGGATTTTTTTTCTTTTTCTTTTTCTTTCTTTTTATTCTTCCGGAACGTTCCGTTCGAGTTAGTTGGAATAGCGCGTCGCAGATTGATTTGGTCATGGTCAAGGCATTGTTCAATCATAGAAGCATCCGTGAGGTCTTCCCATGCTAAGGTCTCCTGGAAGGACTCCAGGAATAGACCTTTTTCCATCGAGGAACCGAAATCTGTTAAGGAAAACAGGTTGTTCTCGAGCGTAATGTTTTATCAGACTCCTTAATTTCAGTTATGATGCTCAAGAAGATTACTTTTCCCCCCATTAATTATGTGTTAACCCCTGCTTCTACCCAGATGACGTGCTCTAGATAAATCCTGTTAGCGCCGACATCCGTGACCTGATATGCCCTCGCAATGTGACCACGGGCGCATCATCCCTGCTGCTCGCCCGACAGGGGCGGTTGCTACTAGTAAGTAATATGCACCTCGGAATCCAATCAACCACTATCGGCGATGCGCCGAACATCCACCCCAGGGCAGTGCTCGCCCGGGTATGCATGATGAGCTGGTGTTTCGACTTTCGATAACATATCGCGCCCACGCGGGGCTGAGACGGCGCTTATGTACAAGGCTAGCTGGCGGTTATTATTATTACATATGGATGGAAGGTATACTGGATCCAGCGATGTTCTATGCTTGTTTCTCTGTATTCGCAGCAAACATCGAATATTGCTTGTCAGCTTGTTCGTAGACGGTTATTCTGTATGCCTCGCTAATCATGTCGTGGTGTCTCACATCTCTCGCTCTACTACTGATATGTCCCGGGGCGCTGGCCACCGGATGGGATGACTTCGCCGATGATCTCGCCACGGACTTGGTATGTTTTCTCTCTCTCCCTCTCCGTCCTTCTCTGTCTCCACTTCCATCTACCTCGCAACTCTCCGTCGATAATAACACCCCCCTCAAGGCCCCCCTCATTTCCCTCTTCGGCGAACGCCTCAGCACGCAATTCCTCTCCGAATCCACCAGCCTCCTCGACAACTTCCTCTTCTGCGTCGCCCCCATCGGCATTCTCACGGCCGTGGTCTCCGTCATCCGGGTATGCGGCAACTCCTCTCTGCGCGCCTTCATCGGCCGCGCACAAGAAGGGCCCGGGGACGCCGAGAATGAGCTCCTCTCGTGTGTTTCCGAGATGACGGCGGAGATGTTCAACGAGGGCGGCATCTCAAGAGTCCTGGGGAGACCTCGGATGCTTGAGGTTGTGGGGTGGGAAGACGTGGATGCTCAGACCCAAGAGCGCTCCTTCCGCGTTGGGACCCTGCGGGACGCTCTCCAGGAGGGCGTCTGGGTCGCCGGCAAGGGGAACTGGATCCTCGATGAGAAGGGGTATCTCCCCGAGCTGGACGTTCCCAATCTGTCCCTGAATAAGGGGATTGAAAGGCGGAGTCAGGGGTGGTTTTATGCGGCGGCTGTGACGGGGGTGGTTTTGCAGGGTGGTGAGTTGGAGGTTGTGCTTTCTGTTATTGTATTTTTGTTTCTTTTCTTGGACTTGGACCTCCACTTCACTCGCTCCAGTGTTGTCGTTGTGTTATACGAGCTAATTATAGTGATTAGGAGTCCTCATCTACGCCGCAATAACAGTGTACCTCTTCCCCCAACAATTCAAAAAAGACGGCTCCCTAGTCGTCAGCTACGCCTTCCCGCTCTTCCTCCTCGGGACGATGATGCTCTGCACGGGCATGTTCCTCTGCGCATTCATCATCGAACGCGCCTCCACCGAATGCTACCTCCGCCCCGCAACCCCCAGCAAAATCTACTGGCTGCAGCCCGGCGAGCAGGAAGTCGGCGACCAGGTCTTCGGCGCGTTTCTCGGGGTCAATGAAGGCCCCGGATCCACGTTGACCCAGAATCTGATGTATATTAAATCGGTACGGAGCCCGGAGAATCCCGGGAAGAGTTCCCTGCTGTTGTATTTCACGGTGGCGGTTACGATGGTGGGCTTTGTGTTGCAGTTTGTGGGGGAGAGGGGGCTGCATGCGAGTGTTATTCTGGCGGAGATGGGCGCGACGTTTGTCATGGCGGTTGTGAGGACGTGTCTGAGGACGAAGAGGACGGGGCCGGAGGAGAATAGGCTGAAGGGGGAGGAGAGACATCTTGTCGAGCATAAGAAGCAGGAGTTGGATTGGTTTGCGTTTTATCTTCTTGGGGTTGAGGGGTTTCGGTTGGTTTTGGATGCTGGGTTATCGTCTGGGACATCGTCTGGGACATCTCAAACTTCAAGTCAATCACCCAGTCTAGGGGCCAGACTGATGCAAACGAGGATTCAACTGGCGCGGCTCACGTCCAACCCCGACGAAGAATCAAGTCTGGCGTGGGATGACCTCCCAATCAGGCGGGTGGCTCGAAACCTCGCAGACACGATTGAATCTACAATGAACATCCTGTCAAGCTGGAAGAGCATGTCTGGGGATACTGCTGGTTTCGATCTTGCGTTCACCTGCCAGTCTCTTGACAAGACTACAAGTCCCACTACAGAAACCTACACCATCAAGCTGGAAAGATCCGAAGACACGCTACAATGGAAAGTCGACGAAACCGAGCTTGAAGCCGTGCTGGGACTATGGACATGGTCACTTCTGAAATCCGATCCGAAATGGCTCCATAGCGGACTAGGTCGCGCAGTCGGACTAACAATATCCGAAGCTGGGAAGGAAGAAACCGACCTCTATTTCCATAAATGGATCTTTCGCCAGCGAGAAGCAAAGATGGTTTCATCCAAGATGATCCCATTCGACCATCAACTCTTCGGATACTACTCTGACACACACCCGAATGACAAGTCAATCCTCACCGTGAAAACAAACAACACATTAGAAACCATGGCTGCTCAGGATATCTTCATCCAATTCCTTCGGAGTGCCCTCCAAGGTCTACAGACCCTTGGCGGGGATGCAGATATACATCCAGGCTCGCAAAACGGGTTCATCGCTTATAGCAAGCGCATCGATGAGCTAGTTGCTATCTTTGAGTCGGGGAGCCTCGGGTCAAGAGAAGATGCCTTGTTGTGTATTGTTCCGGCTCTGAAATCTCGACAGCTGCTGCCAGAGCTTGCTGCGGACTCGAGCAGGGTCAGGGTGCAAATTGAAAGTTTAATCTCGAATGGGAACTGGACGGAAGCTTTCTCCATTGCTCAATGGCTCTGTGAGCGTTCTGAGGGAGAGGAGTTCGAACGTTCTTTATATGAGCTTGGTTATCTTTGTCAGCGTGCAATGATACATGCTGAGGATACCGTTCGACAGGAAGGGATTGATCGGCTATGCTCTCTCCTTCAATCCGACCCTAGACTGACATATTTCAACGCCTTACGGAATTTTCGGACTCTGGAGTGGATGGATTTTCAACATCGGGATCTCTGGTGGACCCGGTTCTCTCGACAACTCGGTTGGATCGCATGGCACATCTCCATTAACAAAGCCAGCAGACGCTCTTTGAAGTCTACCTTGGAGACATTAGGAAATTTCGAAGATTTGGGTTTGCACTTGGCTATGCCTGATGGCGAGCAGGATAAGTGGGAGTGTGCCAAAAACACCATCCTGATGTGGCTTACTCACGGCCCGGATGTTATATTCGAACGACAAGTTCCTGGTGAAGAGGATCAAATTAGCCTTGAATGGGTTAATCAACATAAGCAAGATGCTGTCCGTCACTGGCTCCTGGCCAAATGGGCCGAAGTTAGCCAGCAATATGGAGCGATGGGACAAAAGGCCTTCGTGTTTGCTGCAAGATGCGATTCGGATACAGCCATTCAGACACTCAGCCGACACGGTGCAGATATCAACGGCCAGGAATATGGAGCATACACAGCGCTTTTTGAAGTCGTCGAGCAGTTGGATCTGGAGGCAACAAAGAGGTTACTTGCCAATGGAGCCGATGCGAACCTGGGCACTAGATCCAATGGTACAACACCACTCGGCATAGCTGCGTGTCTAGGAAACGAACAGATGACTCGCTTGCTCCTTGGATATGGAGCAAACATCGAAGATCAAGACGGACAGGGGTTTAGTGTTTTGCACCTAGCAGTGCGACAGAACCAGCTAGATATTACCCGGCTGCTTATGGACAAGGGTGGTGACATCGAAAGTGTCGCAGGAGATGGTTCAACGCCTCTAGCCAACGCCGTAGTCGATGGCTATAGAGAGATGGTTGAGCTGCTCCTGGAATCTGGGGCGAATGTAAACGCTCAGAACCTCACCGGCTACACGCCATTGATTTCAGCAGTACATTATTACGCACACAAGGACCTCGTTTGTCTACTGCTCGATAACAAAGCCGATATTTATCGACTGGACAACTATGGCGAAAGTGCCCTCGATGCAGCCCGATACAGGAATCGCCCGGATATAGTAGCTATCCTGGAAGCTGCATCTAAGACCTCCTCACACTAATCAGGGGACGATGCGATTATGTCAACCAGTGAAGATATACGATTCGAAACGTTTATAGGGCCCGTAAGAGCGAAAACCACTCAATCAGACGAGCACTTTTTTTTGCTTATTCTGGTTGTTAAATTTCTACTGCGAAGTTACTGGGTATGCGCCCAAATGTGCATCGAGAAAGGCGCGTATCTCAACAACTACCATCCACCAGTCTCCTCATTGGTTTCTCCTCCCCCCCCTCTCTCACTCTGACGCGTCCCACCCTCATGCTCTGGGCTCGGGGATTGGGGCCTGACTTCTTCCGAGGCACTAAGATTCCGGCCAATGGTGTTGGTTAGCGCCTGGTGCTCTGCTTGGATGTCACCCAGCAGGGCTATCAGAGGCCTTCCCTAAGCGCCGAGGGGCGATCACCATGCAGCATGCAGTAGCTCCGCTTGGTCTACCACCAGAGCTTACCCCCTCATTTCGAAGGTCATGTTCCGCCAGATAATTTAAAGACGATGATGTGTCTCGCAATGCGGTCAATTCTTTCGAACCGCTTTCATTTTACTTCGTCTCATTGCCCTAAACGGCAGACGGTCATTGTCACTTTCCACACAGCTCAACCAAACTCATAGCATTCAATCAGCCGCAGTTTGGCACTTTACTCCAAGTCATCACTGCCCCGTGCTGGATGATCTACTGTGGGCGCAATGTCTGAGCAAGTCATCTATCCGCCTTTCCCAGGCCAGGGACCTTCGTTCTCTCGTGAGTTCTACCATGCCCCGAAAACAAACTGTTCAGCCAGGGCTGATAACCTATCCTCTAGCCCCTCCCAGTGGTCCCAGTAAGACGCTATTCTCCATGTAAATCATTACATCATTCTCATGAATCCGCTAGCTTTTCAACCACCGCCCCAGGCTGTCCCGAACTTCTCGCCCCCCAGTTTTCCCCCGCCTCCTATACAGGTAGCCTCAAATGGCGAGAACAGGGAACTCTCTCAGACGCCGCCATCGGAAGGTCTCTCCAACCCACCAATGAACGAGAAAGCTCTTTATGCCACCGAAATATCCGGGTCATTCGCTGCCAATCCGGTTGACTTGAGCTATGCGGACGTAGTACCCCCAACCCCTCGAGGCATTGTTCGATCGCAGACAGATACATTTGTTGGAAGCAAAATTGCCCCCAAGGAATTTGTGGGGGCGACGTCAACCTCGGGGGACGATATAGGAACCTTCAACGGTGGCAGCTACAGGATCAGTCATCGAGACACCAACACTCTTTTGACCATCCAGCTAGCAGTAGGATGTCCACTGCAGGCGAGGCCTGGTATACCACCCTGACTTTGTTTTGTCACTCTCAAGGAGAAGCTAACACGCCCGATATCACAATAGGTATCATGATCGCAATGTCCCCCTCGATGTCCCTTAGAGGCTCCCTCTCATTCGGATGGATGAAAGCCCTTGCAGGTGGGCAAATCGCTCGATCAACCTATACTGGCCCTGGAGAGCTTTTACTGGCTCCGTCAGTGCTTGGAGACGTTACTGTTCTTCGGTTGGACGGCACAAAAGAGTGGCTTGTAGGCAGAGATGCATTCCTTACCTGCACAACGGGTGTCCAAATGCAGTACAAAACCCAGGGGCTCATGAAGGGTGTGTTCTCCGGGGAAGGCTTCTTCATCTTCAAAGTTGAGGGTGCCGGTTTGCTTTGGATGCAGAGCTTCGGAGCGATCATCAAGAAAGACGTATGTGAACCCCATCTCAAATCCGGGAAATTCGACATAGATACACAAACTAAACAAACAAATCCAACTAACGACATCCAGCTCGCCGAAGACGAAAGATACTACGTAAACAACGGCCACCTAGTCGCCTGGAACTGCCAGTACAAGATCGAGCGCGTGGCCTCAGGCGGCATCATCTCCAACTGGAGCGCCGGCGAGGGTCTTGCCTGCAGGTTCACCGGCCCCGGCACCGTCTACATGCAGACCCGCAACGTCTCCTCCTTCCTTGCGCATCTCAACATGGGGAACTCGAAGAGTTGAGTTGAAGACGCAGGGCGTCGATCGGCGGGACATCAGATCAGCATCAGCATCACGGTCCCCACTCAGGATTTGGATTTCGCATTCTGGTTTGATATCAAGCTGTTGTTTGAGTTTGGGCAGGAAGGAAAGCCGTTGTTTTGAATTTGGCATGTCCTTCTTTCTCTTCTTTTCGCCCCTTTGGGGTTTTGTGATGTGAATATTTATCTTGCTATATACCTTATCTTGTCACATATGCATGTTTGTTGATTTTATTTACCTATCCACTTACCTACCTACCTACCTACTTACCTATCCACCTACTTACTACCTGCCATGAAGTCGATGTTTCATCTTGCATACATACATAGCCTATGATAAAACCAAGCATTTCGGTTCCCTCAATACATACATCCCTCCTTTCATCAGTCATCGACTCATCGAGGTGGGGTATATTATAGATCCGACACCACAAGAACGACACAGACACAGACACAGACACAGACACCGCCTACGAGGAAGACAAAGACACTAGATAGATAAGAGGGGTCATGTCATACCAATCCATTTACCTATCATGCCATCCATGCTCAGAGATCTTCACTTCACTTCACTTCATTCATCTCTCTTTCTTTCTCTCTTTCTCTCTTTCTTTCTCTCTTTCTCTCTTTCTCTCCCTCCCTTTCCTTGACTCTCATCTCATCTCTTCTTTTTGAAATCCCTTACTTGCACGCACGCACGCACGCACGCACGCACCCGGAAACCGGCCTATCATAAAATACCCACCCAGCCACAACGGTCATATCCACATATCCACGTATCCACATCACATCACATCGCATCGCATCGTATCAAGATGGAATACAACGAGGATTAAGGGAAAACGAAGAATCAGAATCAAAAGTAGAAGAAGAGGTAAAGAAGTCTTTATACGGAGAGAAAAAAAAAAAAAAAAGGGCGGGGGAAAAAAACAAAACAAGTCATAACCGCGCCAGAAGATAGCATAGCATAAAAGGGCACAGTCACCACCATAATGTTTTGGGTGTGTATATGGGTGATGTGATGTTTCCTTCCTTCCCCTCCCTTTTGACAAGAATTTTCCAGATACCGACGACGCCGACGGAGCAACACGCTTAACCCTGTCTCTTTCTGCGGCCGACCTGTCCACGGAAACCGGTCTTGATGGCGGCGACGGAACGGCGGGATCCGCACGAGTTGCAGGTGACGAAGTATAGACGGTTCTCGCCCTTGTTGAGCTCGGTGTCGGGGCTGCGGCAGGTCTTGCAGGTGACGTATTCGACTGGGATTGTCAGTATTGAGGAATGATGGGGAAGGAGGGAAGGAGAGATATGGTAATGATGATAAGGGAGGGAAGATAGTGGTAATAGGGAAGACATACCAATGTATCTTCTCAACACGTTCTCAATCTGCTTCTGCTGGAAACGACCCTTGATAACCAGACGACGACTACCGTCAACACTACCACTGGTACCCAATTCGGCGAAGAGGAACTGCATGACGTGATCGTCGGACCGCTTCATGCGCTTGCAGATATCGGCGATGTTGGCGAAGATGGTACGACGGTTACCTTCACGCAGACACTGGGGCGGGGGGATCTTGTAGGACTTGGTGCCGCTGGACAGCAGATCGGGGTGGTGGCTCTGGATGAGGGAGAAGAATCGGGACACGAGCAGCGAGTAGGGGATGGATTGCGTGGCATCGTGGGCCCAGATGCCGGTTCCGGCCTCGTGGTCGCCCTCGGGGATCTCGTCCTCCTTGGTGTCGTCGGCGGCCGCGTCGGCGTCCTTCTCGGCCATGCCGGCCTCGGCCAGCTTGGCCTCGAAGTCGCCCGGGTCGGCCTTCTTCGTCTTCTTCTTCTTCTTCTTCAGGGCCGACGGGTCGAATTCGCCGTCCGCCGCGGGCGTCTCGTCGTCGCCCGCCGCCTCGCTGTCCTTGGGCTTCTTGGTCTTCTTCTTTTTCGACAGCCCCTTGAACATCTCGGTGACTTCGTCGACGGACTTGTCTGTTGTATGGTGGTCAATTATCGGGTCGTGAAATTGTTGAAAGAGGGGGGGGGGAGAGGGGGTATACCCTCAGCATCAGCCACGACGGGCTTCTCCACGGCCGGAACGGCCTCGGTCACTTCGCCGTTTGTATCCATAATGACGGCGCCTTCACTGAATGCGACGGACTTGCGTTGCTTCGGAGGCGCAGGTGTATCGACCTGCTGATCCGGGAGGCGTTAGCGGGGGATTCTTTCGCTCGTCTGGGCTGGTCAAACAAAGCAAACAGGCGACAAAATTTGTCGAACAAAACAAGACAGAAAAAAAACAACCGACCGAGCTCGTACCAGTTGGGTCTCTCACTTACACTTCGGGGGAGGGGAGGGAGAGAAGGGGGGGGGTAAGTGAAGGGGAGGAGTGGTGGTTCGAGAGCGAAGCGGAGAGTCCAAGGTCAGGTCGAGCCCGACAACAGCAGCGACAGCGAAAAGAAAATGTGGGCAGAGAAACCGATCGGTAAAGGGAAAACGGGGGTGTGACGTACAGTCTCCGCCATGTTGGGTGGCAGTTTTGTGGTGCTGACTTTCTTCGGGGATGGCAACGCCCACGGGTTTTGGGACGGGAGTTAGCGGTGCAGCGACTCGAAATCGAGTTGGTGATGCCGTTCGTTGCTCTTCTTTTCTTTTTGAAACTCGTGAGGGGGTTGAAGGGGGAGGGGGAAGAAGGGGAGAGAGCGCCTTCTTCTCGTCTGGCTGGTTATCGCGGTTCGGGTCGGTCACGTGGTGAGGTGGTGTGTCTTTGAGTCACGCTGTATTTACCGTGTCGTACGGTATTCTTATGATGGAGGTCACGTGAGCGGAGAGCGGATCAGTCATCAGGCTTAGGCTGTCCTGAGGTATCCGGTGCTATCAACTGACTAGTCCGGACTACGGAGGAGTACCTCTAGTGATACTGTCTTTCTATACAGCCTGCCAATCAATCAACCACTCAGTCAATCTATGCCACTCTCTCTTCCTACCCGGTAGGCAGGTCCTGCTTGATCACCATCCAACAACAAAACATCACCACCACCACGCCACACCACACCACCACAAGCCCATCCCAATCCACCCCCACCACCACCACCACCATGTCCTTCTCCTCCGCCTCCCTCACCACCTCCGCATACATGGTCTCCTCGCACGACAAATCCTACTCCTCCGGCTCCGACGACGACATCGCCTCCCTCCCCTCCGAATCTACCTCCGCCTCCGACCTCGATTCGCTGTCCGATTACTCCGACTCCGACGCCGAGGAGGAATGGCGCGAGAGCATCGAGCAGCTCGAGCTGCTGCTCACCATGGTGCTAGTGCCTTTTGTCGGGAAGTTTCTGGGTAGAAAGTGTGCTTATTGGAGTATGTGTTCTTCTTTCTTCTTTCTTGGTTTGGTTTTGGGCATACTGTTTGGGTGTGGTGGGGTTGGGATTGGGGTTGGTTGAATAGTCTGGACTGGACTAGTCTGGACTGGACTGGTGTGGACTGGGACGATGTGCATCTGAACCATGCTGACAATATCTTCGCAGGCTGGACGCGCTTCATGCAGTGGAAATACCCGGTGGAGGTAGTGGTACGGAATAAGGCGCTGTTTCGGGGATCGGGGGCCGTGGGGGCGGCGTCGCCGTTATAATATACTAGAGAGGTTGGTCGTGGTATAAAGAAGGAAGGAAGGAAGGAAAGATTGTCGGATGAGGACTGGGGCTGGGGCGGGGGCGGGGGTTGGGGGGTGTTCATATTCTGATTTCATATTCATAGAGGGAGTTTACATGAGGGTGAGGGTTGGTTTGATTGCGGCATAGCATGTTCGTTTGATTTTGTGGTTCCGTTTGTTTTGTTTTGCTCGGTATGGGTATGTTTGTCTACCTACTACCTGACTACCTACCTACCTACCTACCTACCTACCTACCTACCTACCTACCTACCTACATTTACAGATGCGGTGCAGTTGCAGTTGCAGTTGCAGTTGCGGATATAGTGCAGCTATAGCTGCAGTTACAGACTTACAGTTGCAGTATACCCGAATAGTACGTCTGAGGTGGTCATTGTGGTCAGTTGGTAGATTGGTCGGCATGCATTCGAGATGCTGCCAATCGACATGCTATGAAAATAAGATAGTATCTTGCCGTGTCGGATGGGGTTTGACATGGAAGTGGAAAGAAATCACCCAGCCCTCCTCGATACCCCGATGAATCAGGCAGACATGTGAAAGAGAAGAAACAGCCCAGTCCAGTCCAGTCCAGTCCAGTCCGACGCATTGGTTGGTCAAGGTATTAGCATATGCCAGCTGTAAACGAACCAACCCTCTACACCACTCATCAATCAAGCAGACACATGAACGAGAGAACCATCACAATCAGCCCTGACAAACCAACCCACCTCTCCAACTCTACCTCTCCATCTACCTCTACCTCTACCTCAACTCCACCCCCTCTAACTCTCCGCATCCCTCCTCACCATCCTCGCCACCTCAACATTCCTCTCCGCCATAGCCCTCCTCACCCCACAGCTCTCCAAACTCCCATACTGAATGCCCACCGCGGCCAACGCCATCTTATCAAAATAGCAGGGCTCGCAATTCCCCGGGGTGAGGAACCGCTCCAGGGGCGTCTCGCGGTACAGCACGCGGTCCGCGGTCTTGGGGGGCGCGGTGTCCCACAGCTTGGAGGTGTAGAAGGGGTGGGTCTTGGGGCTGGTGACCGTGATAGCGTCCATGATGGCTTGAATGTCGTCGGGAGAGATGTTCTTGGGGTTTGTCGGGGTGAGGGCGTGCTGGGAGATGGAGAGGCGGATTCGTTCTTCTGTTATGAGTTCTTCGACCCATGAGGGGATGGGGTGGGTGTGTTTGTCCGTGTGGTTGTGATTGTGGGTGTGCGTGTGGGTGGTCTGGGTTGAGTTGGGTTGGGTTTAGTTGGTTGGGTTTGGGGGGGGGGAGGGGTCTGGATGGGACTTACGGATTCCATTTGCTGGGTATGTGCGGAGAGGTTCTCCTCTGTTAGGGGGAGGGGGGTGGACATGGTGGTGGATGGTGGTGGATGGTGGTGGGTTTGTATTGTCTGATGGAGAGGTAGACAAGGGAGGGAGGAAGGTAGTAGGTAAGTGGATGTTTGGCGATGAAGGAAGAGACCGGTCAAGACAGTTAATCTGCAAGAAAGGTCTCAGCGATCCAGACCAACCCGGTAGATGAACAACAACTCGTAAGCAGGCGCTCGTTAAGTCTGTCACTGTCACTGTCACTGCCACTGTCACTATCCCAGCACCACAAACACACACCACACAACCGACCAGGTTCACCCGCTCCTTCGAATCCCGGACCGGACAAAAGCACCAAAAGACCGGGGTTTGCAAGCAGGACAAGGATCTCGACCAATGCAGGAGGACGAAAGGACGAGGGGTTGGGCTGGATGCATCCAACCTTGCAAGAGCCAGAGCCAGAGCCAGAGCCAGAGCCGAGAGCCGGTCTATGTATGTACCTTATGTATGTATATACTTATGTGTATATCAGCCAGACCGTGATCCCCGTCCGATGACATGATACGATGCCCCTCTCTCTGCTACTTATGGACTTGGATGACTTACGTTAGTTCTGCTGATGATAGCCCTCTCTCGTTCTACAGATCTGCAATACCACCAGCAGCAGCAACAACAGCAGCAACAACTCAATAAAAGCCAGCCCCCAGACCACACCACCGGGACCCATTTCCGGTAACACCAGTCACCAGTCACCAGGAGATCGGGATCGGCGGGGAGCAGCAGATCGGGGACCAAACACTGACACTGACACTGGTACCGACAGAAGAAACTACCAGAAACAACCCATACACCACGTCCTACTCATCTTGTCCTCATACGGAGTAGATAGCCCGTCAATCTATCAACTGCATGCATGCATCTTCCGGGCTTTCGGGGCTGAACACGAACACCAACACCAACGGCCATCTACTCCGGGCTATTGAACGGCGCAGCTCGGTCTTTCAGGGGAGGGGGGACGGGGACGGAATGGAACGGACGGCCGGACGGACGACGTTGCGAGGGCCCGCCGAGCCAGATCGTCGGGTGCGGATGATCGGCGTGACACTGGCAGACTGGCTGGCTGGATGACTGGCAGGGTTGGTTGTGGTTGTTGTGGTTGTGGTTGTGGTTGTGGTTATGGTCTTATGGTGGATCTAGTTTGAGTAACCGATAGTAAAGTATTTACTACCTACCTACCTACTATCTACTAGTTACCTAGCCTGACAGACCGACAGGCAGACAAGTAAACAAGCCCAGCCACAACCACAAAATATAACACAACTACCGAGAAACTACAAACGAGAAACAGAGCAACTCAAGAACGACACGACAAAAGTACCGACACCCAACCCAGCCCAACCCGTCCGGTAGTCAGGTACCAACGACGCAGACGCAGATCTAGATGCAGATCTATCCGGACGATCAGATCGGCATCAAAGTGACAGGCCTACCCACTCCAGAGTACCTAGGTGGAAGCATGTACTATACGTATGTGGGTAGGCAGACAGGCAGTCCGACATCGAGAAGTATCTGTTCGCTTTCGCTTTCGCTTCCGTCTCCGTCTCCGTCCCCGTCCTTCGACAGACAGACAGACAGACCCGAGAGATCGGTTCTTCAGACTGCAGACTGCAGACTGCAGTCTGCACGATCTAACTGATCCAACCAACTAAGTAACTACCCACAACAACTACCTATCTAACCTCCTAGTCCCGCGGACACGGCACACGGCACACATACCTACAAGGTTCCAGACTGGCAGATAATAAATCATAGACAGAGCTTCGCTCATGCTACTGACTATACGTACTATACTTACTATACCCTCTCCATTTCAGACCGAATACCATACGTGCGCACCATCAACAACACCCACCAAATCAACTCAATACCCATTATTTAGATCCTATGATGTGCATACTGCATATGATACCACACCACACCACACCACTATCTACACTATTATCCCCACTAGTAGTAGCACCTACATATTCCTACAGTAGGTACTAGTTAGGACCTAAGGTAGTTAACCCGTAACCGGGGCCAGAAAAGCATTTCCTTGTCGATCATCTGTCTGTCTGTCTGTCTGTCTGTCTGGCCGGGTGAGGTCTGGGGGGGTGGAAATAAACCTGTAGATTAGGGTAGAATGGTATGGGATGTAAATGTAAACTGTCAATTGCTAAAAGGAAAAAGGGGAAATAATCGTTAAATAAGAAGGAAGAAAGAGGGAGGAAAGAAAAGAGCACAGGGTAAAAAGCAGTCATCGTCAATGGGCTATTACGCTCACCATTCACAACAGCTAGTGATTCGATGACTGCAAATTCCACATTTATAATCCTAGCGGAGGGATGATGCACCGTGAATGTAGTAGATTCTGCTGGCATATCCTAATACACCAACACCACACCATGGCCCAAGCAATCAGAGTACATACTAGTCTCCAGCCAAGCAAGTCCCAACAGCAATCGAGCAATCGTACCCCAGTATCCCCCTCCAACAAGTTCAGTATAGCCGCCTTGGTTGCCAAAATTCTCCAAGGCTATCATTAATATCCGTGTCCCAGCCAGCCGTGTTGGCTCTATCCCGGTAGAGGCCTCGCACTCTCGTCTCGAGCCATGGCGTCGAAGAGAAGTTCGCGGGCGCGGGTTCTGCTGTGAGTTCCTGCGCCTGCTGGGAGTGCCCTCCACATGCATGTTCTCGAGAATTCGGATACATTTGGTCGGCTGCTAGGTTCATCACTCCCTGCATTGTTCCTTGGGGGCTCGCTAGCGTCTCATGCCCATATATGGCTGCCTCCAAATCCTTCAAACAATCCTCGGTGTAGGCACCGGTGTCTGAGACAACACTGGGATTGGGAGCATAAGGCATTTCACTCAGTATATCCTCGATACCTAGAGAATAGTATCGGTCTTCATGCTGCGGCGTTCCGACGTTCAGAGTGGGGGATGTATGGCTCATCTGACTCGCCTGGTGTTGCCTGGTGTTGTCCACGAACAAAAATGAAGACATCGAAGAGTCGCTTTTGGCGTCGATCTGGGAGAGGGGGCTGTAGCAGTCAGATTTTGCGAAGTCCCACTCGCCATCACTGAGATCCATGTCGCGGCATCTGTTTTCAACAGAATTGTGAGATTCTCTTTCCAAAACAGGGTTCGACTGCCAGCCCGGGTTCGGACTCAGTAACCCAGATCGGTCAGGCCTAACTTCTTGCTCGGGGAAACTCAGGTTCTTTCCGGGAGCTGCCTCATCAACCTGCTGTGTGTGCGCTTGTATGGCGTATGTAGGGTAATTCTGTGGCTGGACTTCTGAGCAAGGGGAGTTTCTCTCCGGAGCAGTACGGCGTTGAAAGCTTGCATCTTCGCCCATGTTATCTGCCTGGGTCTGACGTGGCTTCGAATCAGTAGTCCTGGAATGGAATTTGAAGAGCCCAGGAGCTGGATTTGGCGGTAGCTTAGAAGACCGACAGGCTGCTGCAGAAGCTTTTGGGGTTTCATCTTGCCTCCAGCCTTGGCCCGACGACACCACCGGAGGCCGATAGGTTGCTGCGGCAGCCCTTACAGCTTCATCCTGCCTTTCAACCCGTTGACGCGGCTTGTCAAAACCAGTCGCAAGTTCCTCATACGTCGGAGCCCCTGTCTCCTGCCACTGCCCAGAAGACACACCACCTCTAGCTCCCCAGTCCTCACTATAAAGATAGTCCACCACCGGGTCCGCAGCGGACCTCGCATGAAAGCCCGGATAATTGCACCCAACACCCCCCTCCATAGATTCATCGACGGAATCATTTTCGTTGGGTGCGGACGCCTCAGATCCCCGTAGAAAGCACCTCTCAGAGAACCCCGGGTCAGGGAGTCGACGAGGCCCAGCATATGAATTCCAAGATGTGCTGAAGCCGACGAGATCTGGTGTTTCGGTGGGGAGAGCTCTGATGGGCGGCGATGCCTTTCCCTTGTTGAAAATGCCCCGGGCATGCTTTGGGTTCAACTAGAGTGGTTAGGATTAGCATGATAGTTCCTTGATGGTTGGGAAGACGTACGGTCAGTCGGTCACAGGGCACGTTGGCAGCGTGGAAGTTGTCGTTGGTGACTTTCGTCCCTCTCTTCGAGACACGCTCGCCCTTCCCAGGACCCTTTCTCACTTTGTACTCGTACCGGTCCTCTTTGGTCTTGTGGCGTGGCCGACGTTCGTATCCGCGGTGCTCATTTTCTGGGAGCGGAGCTGGCTGCTCGATGGCTTGGTCGAGTTGGCGGAGAGCAGCAAGGGACAGCGGTGCTGGTTTGGCTGCTACCTAGTGTGAGTGTTCTCATTCGTGTCGAGGGGTATCGGTGAACTTACGTGGATGGGAAACGAGCACTCTAGACCGGGGGTTCTCATAATGACAGTTCGACATCCACTCCTCGATCCTTCTGTGTACAGCCGGGGGTAACATGGACATGGTGGGTTGGAGCGAGGGGCGACCCCGAAGCAAGATCAGGAGCAATCGAGTGGAAGAGAGTTGGAGGGGGAAAGGACACGCAGTGACTGCAGGACGAGCCAAACTTGCCTCAAGATGATGTCGTGGTTGCCGAATCCGCCGGACTTTCCCAAACCGAAGGAACTACTAGTGCAGTACGGAGGACAATCACACGTTTTTCTCATTATTGTTCTTATTATTATTATCACTACCTACCAGCAGTCTCTGGGTACATGTTGGCTCTGCACATCGCGATGACCATCCCAGCAGACCTCAATTTAAAATGTCACAAGGTGCAACGAAGATGGGTCACGTCGATCAAAGACGGTTCATCCTGCAACGAGCACACGCGCGTAGGTGGCACTGGCGACATTCGAGGATGAAATCGGGAAGGTAGTCGTGACACTCCTCGCACTGCTGTCCCTGATCGATGCGCTTCCAGCGGCCGTTGTGATCGCACTCGTGTCGCTCGAGCAGGTTCTGGGCGACTCGCGCCACTTCGACCTGAGCAGGAGGCTCGACCTGGTCCCGACCGGCAACCTGCTGGGCACGCAGCAACAGCCTCTCCTCGTCCCACAGCTCGCACGTGCAATCTTTCCACTCCACCCCGCAAACGTAACAGAACTCATATCGACAGCGGCACCTGGTGCCGTGTTAGAGGAAACCGTCATCCTTGGATACGGCGAGGGCTACTTACGTGATGTGGTTGCAGCCAATTCCCAGCTCGATGAGGTTGCGGCATCTTGCACATCGCTGCCATCCCTGCTCTCTCGCAAGATTCAAGACTTCGCCGTGCTCGTCGACGCACGGAGTACCGGGATGAACCCGTCGCTTGCACAAAGTACAGGTCTGTCGCTGGCAATGTCTGCATGAGCCGATATATCCATACACCTCGTAAGGCATGAGATATTTGGCGCACGCGGCGTTGGAGCAGTAGGTTCTATACGGGTCTTCGCGTTCGATCGACTTCGCCTCGAACCGTCTAGCAATATCATGGCCCAGGGAAGCACGCACGGACGACAAAGGAATATGCAATCGGCAGCAACGGGGAGGGAAGAGCGACTCGTCGACGAGAGAGTCCTCGATCAGTTTGGTGGTGCAGTTTCGACAGTAAAGGTGCGCGCATGGGGCCTCGATCATGTCAGAGTGAGGGAAGGAATCCACGCACGCAACGCATTCCGACATCGGCTCGTTTTTGAGATGACGTCTCGCTGCGTCCTTGGAGCTCTCCGCCGTACAGCTTACCGAGGCACCGTCGAGGGACATCGCGTCGTCCGGACGGTTCGTGGCGTACCGGGACTCGAGCGCTCTGGTCGCCTGGTGGGCCATTTCCGCCGCGAGACGCTGCAGGGGCTGTTGCTGAGCGAGCTGGGGCTGGCCTGCCATGCGTACTGCGGTCATCCTATCTGCCAGGGCTCTGTTCTCTTCCTGGGCTGCCACGGCGAGGGCCACACCGTCGTTGTAGATCGCTTTTGAGATGCTGAGAGCCATCTTACGATCCTGGGTAGTCTGGGCGCACTGCTGCAGTTGAGATTCCCAGACGCTGATGGCAAGTTGTCGATCAATCAGGGCGCCCTCCCTCTGCTTCCCCTTCCACCTCCCCATCTCCGCCTCTGCGTCCTCATGCAGGAGTTTCACAATCAGCTCTCCGGAGTGCTCATCCATCCTGGTCGTGCTGGATGCCAAGTCCGTCCTCGGAGAGAGTGGAAACGAGAGACTTCACATTCCAGATCCACTGCGAAGTGAGAGGAACACTTCAGATGGAAGATAGGACGTGGGGGGAAGCGGCGAGTAAACAACACTCCTGGACCAGGTGCCGGCCATGACTGCGCCGGCCAAACGGGATTAGCCTCGTTGACAAAGCGGAGACCATTGCAGTGAAGGTGAAGGGGGGAGGGAGGGAGGGAGAAGGGGTGAGAGAAGCACTCCAGCTCATTTACAATGAACATCCCGCAGCCGGACTCTGGAACGCAGGATTTTCCTGTATACACTCATTGGGTAGTGACATGTGACATGTTTGACTCCGGATTGCAGCTGCAGGGGACAGGCCATCAAGACAATCACATCACGGCAATCACAAAAGGTACAGATCCCGGACAGACACTGATCGACATTAACGTCCATCTACTATACGGTGGTAGATAGCGAGAGATGCCAGCAGTGGGGTGGCTACTTAAGGGTCTAGACAGCAGAATGGCAGGCCGAGTGGAACACGGAGTCCGTGCAGGCAGGGAGGGTTGACCAGCCGGATTTCTTCAGCAGCCCTATGGAGCCATGGCGGTGCAGCACTGAGACTAGGAGTCTCAGACTAGGAGACTGCACTAGGAGACTGCACGCCTCGAGACGAGTCGATGCTGTTCCGTCCGTGCATCCAGACAGACAGTCAGTCGATCGATCTCTTCAGTCGTGTCGACGGAGGTAAGTAAGTTGTTCCTGCAACTGAACGCCTGCCTGGCTGATCTCACTTGATGTACTCTGTCTGTACCGTACCAGATACCAACTATACGTGCCTCGGACAGTACGGCCGAAGGAGGTCCGCCAGCCACTAAAGGGCCGGACTACTGATTGATTGCTTGATAAAAGCGACCGGGCCAACCCCGTGGAGGAAAAAATCAAAAAGAGGCTAGAAGGGCAGTGGGCGCAACGCGTGCAAAGAGGAGCCCGAACCACTGGCCGTGTGGCCATGGCAGGCCCGCCTTGACTGGCAGTCTGGCACTGACTGACTGGGACTCGGACAGTCCCTCTTCTTTTAATTTTTCTTTTTTTTTTTCATTTTTTCTGCCCCGCGAGGAGGGGAACGGAGGTGCGCGCCGACCATGAATGTTTAGCGCCTCCAATCCAATGGCCGGGTTTCCCCCTCCCAACGCTGCTCTGGACCAGCTGCATTATTAAGGCAAACAGAGAGATCCTGCGGTGTCGCTGTCGGTCATCAGTAGAGTAAAGTGGTAACTACTAGTAGTCAGTCAGTCAGTCAGTCGTCAGTCAGGTTATCGGCCCTTGAGCCTCGAGCACGCCAGTCCAGTCCCAGGCTCCCCCTTCCCTTCCCAGTTCCCCCGCTTTGCCCGGCCGTGTCCTCTCGCCTCTTCTCACAGCATAATCTGCCCCTCCTCCTCTCCTACTTACTTACACTTCCTTCTCCTCCTTCCACCTGCCCCGATCTTGCAGAACACCATCCTACCCTACCCTACTTCCTCTCCCTGCAATTCAATTGCATCGGTATGTAATTCTTTTTTCTCTCCGCCCATCGCCCCCTCCGTGGCTCGTGGATGGTTTCCTTCGCGGTCTCCCACCTGAATCTCCGTCGTGGAGGGAGGGGAAGGAGAGCCTCTGCAGAGTCTCTCTCGTCTCAGGCGCACCGCACCACCGCTGCTGGGATCTCTCCCTCCCTGCTTTCTCTCCCACTCTCACTCTCATGCTCACGCTCTCCTCTCCTCTCCTCTTCCGTTCGCCTCCTGGCTGCAACGAAGAGCTCACCATCCTACCTCCTACCTCCTGCCGTCCTGTCCCCCGGGTACTAACCGCCAAGACAGCCCTCATCGCGTCGCTTTACGAAATCAAAATGGCCAAGCTTTTCATCGGGTTTGTTCATCCTTCTCTCCTGCTGCCAGTCCCCGGCTCTCCGACTAACCCTGCTCAGCGGCCTTGCCTGGCACACCACTGACGAGACCCTCCGCGATGGTTTCCAGGCCTATGGAACCATCGAGGAAGCCGTGAGTCACCCGGATCGTCCGTTTTGCTCGTACTCATGCTCACCTCCCCAGGTCGTTGTCAAGGACCATGACACTCTCCGCAGCCGTGGATTCGGCTTCGTCCGCTTCGCCAACGAGGGCGACGCTGACGCCGCCATGAACGCCATGAACAACCAGGAGTAAGTACTCTTTTGATGCTCCGTTCGGACGCCGCTCACCCGGACAGATTCGATGGCCGCATCATCCGCGTGGACAAGGCCTCGGAACGGCCCAGCGCCCGCAACGGAGGAGGATTCCACGGCCGGGGTGGTTACAACCGCGAGGGCGGCAACGGAGGCTACCGCGGTGGATACGGTTCGTGATGCCTTTACCGTGTGGGATGCGAACGAGCCCAGCTGACGAGAAATACAGGTGGTGGTGGCGGTGCGTACGGCGGTGGTGGTAAGCCTTCTCTCCCCTCAGATTTCTCTCCAGGACAACCACTGATTTGAATCCAGGCTGGCGCGGCAACCAGCAGCAGCAATCACCGGGCGGCCCCGGCGAGCCTGCTGCTTAAGCAAGCAATCCAGTCGCAGCCCCCGACGGTTCTTCGGCCTTTCCTTCCGGATTCCTTTCGTGCCTTTCCCCCCCGCCAGTTGCTGTAGTCCATCCATCCCCCCTTCGGAATTGTAAAGTTTGGGAGAGAGAGAGAAGAAAGTACACGAGCGCAATGAGCATGATGCCCCAGGTTTTATGATGGTGACATACGATGAAACGACTACCCCTGCTTCCTCTTCTTCTACTTCTACTTCTTTTTTTACTTTCTTCTTTTCTGTCAACCTTTTCTCTCACCCTCTTCGATGCGACATTCATGTGTCTTCTCCTCTTGATGAAATTTAATTTCGCATCGCGTTGGCTTCCATTCTTTTTGTGTTGAATCCATACCTACCTCCCACACACACACACACACACACACACACACACACCTCTCACGTCTTACTTGATGATGATGATATGTATGTATGTAGCTGTACGTACCTGTTTTTTCTGCGGCGGTGTCTGGTAAGGTCCTCAGTGTGTATTTTGTATCACAAGTATTTAGTCACTGCGAGTGATTGAGCACTCACGGTGTAGTTGAGCTGTCACGTACACCAGGATCTACTTACTCCCTTCCCTCGCCCTTTACCGTAGTTATCTTGCAGTCACCACCTCCATCGGGATATCCACAACAACACAACTAGAAAACAGACAACCAACAACCAACTAATTAACCAACAATTGAAATCAACAGCTCTCCGTCTCCATCCACCGCCTATCAACACCAAAGTCCAAAGTAAAGCATAGGTACCAGTGGTCATCTCGGATAACTCAACTACTAGTACAAATCGAAGACCCGCTCCCACAAAGCTCTAATCATAAAGATAGACAGGTAGGTAGGTAGGTGGGTGGGTGGGTAGGTGAGTGGGTAGGTGGGTGGGTCTACTCCTCCTCTTTCTTCTTCTACTCCTCCTCTTTCTTTCAGCCCAGATAATACCATACACGTTAGATCTTATCGGCGAATTCGACTTTCTTATCCCTATCCCTATTGACTCTCGCAAGTATTTCTTTCATAGCTCAGCTTAGCTCAGCTCAGTTTGCTGATTGATAAGTGACAACTGAAATCACGGACTCGAGTCCGTCATCGCCGCATGTGACCTCGAAATTTATCTAATTTTTAAATTTGTCAATATAATCTAGGTCCTCCTCCTCCGGGCCTTATCTATTCTCTTCTCTCTATCATCCCATTCTTTAAGGTCCAACAATCTACCCCATCATTTCCTTCAACTTCAACTTGTCCATCACCCCCACAGGGCCAAACCAAACCACCTACTCAGCCCCCCGCCACGCCCTCTCCATCTCCCTCTGCGCGTCCGCCTCCTCCCGCTGCACATCCTCCTCGCGCTGCAAGGCCTTCACCCTCCTCACCAAATCCACGACATGCATCTCGGCATCCCCGAACCCCAGCCCCGTCAGCGCCTTCTCCAACATAAACAGATACTCGGCGTTCTTGCCGCTCGCGCCCTCGCTCCGACTGATCACCTCCGCCACGGCCTGCTGCTCCCGCTGCGTCGGGTCGCGCAGGAACTGCGGGTTGGTGGGTTGGCCGATGTAGACCATGCAGGATATCGGGGATGAATCTGCGATGGCCCCCTTTGAGGTAATAGTGATGCTGGTGCTGGTGCTGGTGCTGGTGCTGGTGCTAGTAGAAGAAGAGCCCACCACCGGGTGAAACGGCGTGTAATGGTCCGTGTAGCCGTCGATTTCGCGGTCGTCGAGATACTCACGGACTTCGTTGGCGTGGGACGCGGGGATGTGGTAGGCTGCGCCCCAGACTGTTGCTGTGTCGGTGGTGGAGGTTTCGTGGTGGGAGAGCTGTTGTTTATGGATATCAATTGTCCGGATTGGGTTTGGGTTTGGGTTTGGGTTGTGAGATGGGCTCTGCCCGTAGGATGACAGGAAAGGAGGGAGCATGGGGATAAATCTGTCTAAAATCATAGGTACTTACCGGATCGTCCAGCGTCTCCCAGAACTCCCGGTCAATCACCGTCAACACCCGTCCTGGGTTCTGGGGTGTGCCGCGGTGGTCGGTACTGTGTGTATGTGCATTAGCTTGGGTATCTGGTATCTAGGTGGGGGTAGGGGCAGGGACATGGCTCAAAGCAAAGGGAGGCGGCGGTAGAGGCCCGAACCCACCTAGCCTATATAGTTCACGCCACCATCACTCATCGGGTCAGCCTCCAACATCCAACAAGCCAGCAAGCGCGTCGCCTCGTCTCGCCTCGGACACTTAGCTTAGCCTAGCCTCTGCCTAGCTCAGTCCGGGAGACGGGGACAAGACAAAGAACAAAGAACGACAGACGGAGATAACAGAACAGACAGACCTGCCAGAATCGCCGTACATAGCCGTTGATGTAGCCGGGGATTCGTTGATCTGGGATTGATTGGTATTAGTTAACTGCCGTGGCGCCCGGGCTTAACCTATGGAGGATGGGAGGAGGCAGGGCAGTGCAGTGCAGTACAGTCAAGAACTTAAACATACCATAATGCGGTGGGGGCTTCCAGATCAGACTCCTAGAGGGGAGGGGAGGGGAGGGGGTCAGCCACCGGTGTCACGCGTGCAGTGACCAGCCATGGGGGTTGGGGGTTGTTATCCCTATGATAGGCAGGCGTCTGGCTTACCCATAACCAAACACCCAGAGGTCGCCCTGGGGGAAGTTCTGCCGCCAGTTGGCTTCGGAGGAGACGCCGTTGCCGTTGGGTTCGCTGGAGACCATATTTTATGTATCTCTCTTTCTATAGTTTTGGTTTTGGTTAGTCCGGCTAAACCAAACTGTGTGGGATTTATTCATGTGGTGACAAGTTGTCGGTGTACAGATTTGTCATGCGGGGTGGATTAAATATGAGCGTGAGCATGAACATGAATGTGAATGTGAACGTGAACGTGATAAAGATAAACCCCAGCTAGGGAGGTAGAGGTAGAGCCAGGTAGTAGATAGATAGATAGATAGATAGATACTTACATGCTTATGTGCGGAACAAACAAACAAAGCCAGATTCGATTCCGTTCTGAATCCGATCCTGTGGCACAAACCGTCCCCAGAATGACGAGATCCGAACCCAAACCCCACTGCTCGTAGCTTCGGCTGTCTATCTAGTTAGTATCTAATACTCTGTATCTAGTCCAGATAAGTAGGGTTATCGGTCCTAATAATCATACCTACCGACTGCTTTGCAAGGGTTGGATCCTGCCAGGCTGCCAGGCTGCCAGCCAGAGCTCCCTCTAACTATCTATCGTGTCCCACCTGTTTGCACTGTTTGTCGCTGTATCCCTGGCCGAGAATTCCCTGGCGCTGATTTGCCGCAGGGGCCGGAATTAGACTCCCCTTCAGCAGTAGCAGGAGTAGTCTAAGGACCCCCTGGTTGTAGTAAGGAGTAAGTAGTTAGTGACCTCATACTCTTCACGTCGAAGGATTCCAGCCAAGCTACCTAACCCAGATCGACATCTCGCCTCGCATCGCATCCTCACAGCTCCCTGCAATTAAGCATAAGCATAAGCATAAGATTCTGAACCTTGCCGGTTCCAGAATTGGCAGGATTGGCAGCTCATATCGCCGACTCGGTTACAAATCACTGCTTAAGGGAAAGACTATGTAAGGTTGACTGACAGCTTGACAAACCTCCTCGTCTTGTCTCGGTGTCGATGCAGCGGGGCGGCCCTAACGGACCCAGTCTAGCCCCAGCTCTTCTAAAGACTTAGGACAGCCAGTACGGAAACCAGCCATCATAGCTAATCGCCATTATCGTCTAGCCGGATCCAATATCTTTCAATTTATACAGGTGCTTAGTCGACACCCCATATCCACACGAAATCTTCAAGATACACACACACACACACAGTAGCGACACCACCCTCTCAACACAACCATGACATCCCTTCTCCGCCTCCTCCGCACCCAATACACGCCCCCCAGCGAACCCACCCTCTCCTTCGCGGGCAAAACCGTCCTCCTAACCGGCGCCACCTCCGGCCTAGGCTACGAAGCGGCCATCAAACTCCTCAACCTAGGCGTCAAAACCCTGATCATCAGCACCCGCGACCCACACCGCGGACACGCCGCGAAAACCGCTCTCGAGAAACTGACCAACCGCCCGGACACCGTCCAGGTCTGGCAGCTGGAGATGGGCAGCTTCGCGAGCGTGCAGAGTTTCGCGCACCGCGCGTCCACAGACCTGAAACGCCTGGATGTCGCGCTGCTGAATGCGGGGGTCTGGAATCGGGATTTTGCGCTCTCCCGCGAGGGCTGGGAGGGGACGATCCAGGTTAATGCGCTTTCGACGGCGTTGTTGGCCGTTTTGTTGGTGCCGGTTTTGAGGAGGGGGGTGGTGGGGGTGGTGGTGGGGAGGAGGAGCCGGGGCATTTGAGTGTGGTTTCGAGTCAGCAGTTTGTTCGTGTGAAGGCGGGGGGTTGAGGGGTGAGAATGGAAATGAGGGTGGGGAGGAGGAGGAGGAGGAGTCGCTGCTGCAACGACTTAATAGGCCCGACTTGTTCAGCGGGCCGAAGCAGTATGGGATCTCGAAGTTGCTGCTCGAGTATGTCATGAAGACGGTGGCTGGGTTGCTGCGGGATGAGGCCGGCAGGGTGTCCGTCGTGGTGAATACCGTCAGTCCCGGGTTCTGTGTGTCGTCTTTGGGGAGACAGTATACGCGGTTTTATGAACGGTGGGCGACCTGGTTGGCGTGGAAGCTGTTTGCTCGGACGACGGAGCAGGGGAGTCGCTCGTTGGTTACGGCGACGTATCAGGGCGTGGAGTCGCATGGGAGGTGTTGGAGGAGTGATGGGTATTTGGAGTGAGTTTTTTTTTTTTTTTTTTTTTTTTTTTTTTTCTACTTGTTGGTCTTGTTGGTCTTGTCGTCTGTGTGGATTGGGTGTATCTGGCTAACAATATACAGTGAATCGACGGCATTAACGACAGGTCCGGAGGGAAAGCAACTCCAGGAGAAGGCATGGGAGGAGATCTTGGATGTTCTGGAGGAGCACTGTGAAGGGCTGAAGGAGTCGATCAGGAGGTGGTAGACAGTACGCTAAAACATTATCTCATGTCGGGTTGCGTCTGGAATATATCTCGGATGGCCGTGCAGCTTGCCGGTCAGACATACTACTGTAGCTAGTAGTACTAGTATACTATAGATACCCAATTGGAACATTTATGTACTAACACTCATACAATTCACTCTCCTACAGTTTATTATTCAGGACATATGAAGCAAGTAAAGTATTTGATTAGGTAACTCGAACATGAGTGCTGTGTTTCCAGACAGACAACCCGGTAACAACCTCCCTTTGCCGAAACATGATATTTGTTACATCTCGATCTATCTTATAACCATTCCGCTCACCATACAGAGACATACATACATACATACATACATACCGGTCAAAGCCGCCAAAAAAAAGTAAAAGGAGAGGGAGAAAAGAAAAAGAAACCGTTTTATCGATGCGAGTGTACCTGATATGAAAAACATAAAAAAAAAGATGGGGCCCGAATCGGGATTCGAACCCGAGACCTCCTGCATTTCAATCTTATGTAAATAAGAGGAGTATTCCACATAGACCCCGAAGCAGGAATCATACCACTAGACCATCCGGGCTGTTGTGATGTCATGCTGTTGTTGGAGGGGTATATACATATTAGTATGGGTAAAAATGTGAGGATGTTTCCTGTGGAGGCTAGTTATGGGGTATACATCGGAAGGGGGGGGGGGGTATTTACCATCGCGAGGGCAAGATTGCTTGCTTGCTTGCTTGCTTTGCTTGAGATAAATTAATTTGGAAGGGTAAATGATATTTTGTCAGGTACTGTCTCTGATTTAGTTTGGTATATAGTAGTAGTGTAGTAGTAGTGGTAGTAGTAGTAGATGTAGATAGTAGAGTCTGGTTGTAGATTCAAACCACCCCCCCTTCTTTCAGACATCTCCAGTGGCTGCAATTCAGCAGAGTATCGGGTATAGCCCGATCTAACCCCAACTCTGTCGACAACCAGAGATATATAGCGAATTCCCACACTGTGTGTTCTTCTGTAGAATCAAGGACATGCATGACGTACTGTCGCGCCCGCATTCGCTTATATCATTGGGGCTATCTCGGGGCATCATCATCATCATCATCATCATCCCCAGGTAGTATTTTCATTTGACATGAAACGGTAAGATTCGGATCTGGTGATGGTTGATAAGCTGGCGACGGACGGATCGAGTGCCGTATGGCGGTGCATTGAGGTCTCAGCCTTACAAGGCGCACGTAAGGCTTTATTTGAGTCAGCTGTTTGGCGTATCATTACAGAAGAGTACCACTAGTGGGTAAACATGGCTCATTGTAACTTCTAGACCGCTAGAAATGCCTCATGAATAAATAGGTAGCAAACAATACAGATAGTAACTTCTACCTTGTACATATGGAGTGGAGAATCTTGTTGATATCATCTGACGGACAGGGTACAAGTGATCGATCTATCTATCGATCTATCTATCTATATCCGTCATTAACAGAGATAGACAGTTAATCCGGTCGCCTGGACATCTATGTTAGTCGTCTGGCAGCTGCTCCTGACCCCCCAGGGCGGACAGTCTCAATTATTGCAACTGGTCGCCGGTCGAAGGAATAAAAGAAGATGGCATAGGGTGAAAAGGAAAATGAAACCCCCCCGGCCGAGTGGAGATGCAGGATCGTATCCGTAGTATTCTGCGGCCCTGTGCAGCCTAGTAGTTCAGCACCCGGCGCTGAAGAAGTTGTAGCCTGACTGATAGAAAATAGAGTAAATACCATGTGGCTTCACACCATATCTGTCTGGTAGAGAATTACCCCTTCAGAGCCAGACACCAGGTTGCCAGCAGCATCACTGGTAGATTCAACTCCGTGCATTCTCTGTGGGGAGGACGACCGACTAGAGCCACCGGGTGGACACCGCTTGCGAGTCCGCGCAAAAACCATCTGTTCACAATTGACCGAACCTAATCAGCGCCCTCCATTCTTCTTCCGATTATCCCCCCTGACTTGACCTTGACCCGCCCTCCGTTTGATTCCCATATTCCCCTCCATCCGGCCTTCTCTCTTCTTTTGCCTCCCGCCCCTCTCCCCTCTCCCTCTCTTACATCCTCCCCCCTCGACCCCTCGACCCCTCGAACCGCGCCCGGTGTCGGCCTCCAGCCTTGCGCCATGGCATACAACCAGTCCTACAACCCCGATGCGCTCCCTGCGTAAGTCCAGCTCGACCCTCACCTGCAGATCCGCGCGAGAAACGAGTCGCTAACGCGCGAGCAACGCGACAGCCATGCCGAGCCAGAGCAGGTACGTTGAACTTGGACTCCGTGACGTGACGTGACTCGCCCATTGCCCCGCGGCTCTCCTGACTGGATCGCCCCGACAGGCCGCGCAGATGATCGGAGCCATGCAGTCGCAGTCGCAGTCGCAGTCGCACGCGCACGCGCACTCGCACCCGCAGTATCCCAAACCTCGTCCTCCTCAACACTCCTCCAGCGGCCACTCGATCGGCGGCGTGCCTCCCCGAGTGCCCGTCTCCAGCGCCGCCAGCCCCAGCCCAGCCTCAACCCCAACCCCCAGCGCTACACCCCCGTCCAGCGCCCTCACATGTCCTCGCCCGTGAACGCTCCTCTCCCCAGCCAGCAACGCCCTCACCCCCTACACCCGTCGCCCCCGCCTCAGAACTACGGCTTCGGCCCCCCGCCCACCCAACCGGTGCGCAATCGGCCTCCGCCCGCGTCGCGCCGCCCGCCGCACACCCGGCGCCGCCGTCGCTCCCCGACGATGACCCGCAGCAGCTGTTCCCCCTCTTCCGCGCGGCCAACTCATCGCACTCGGGCGCCCTGACGGAGATGGAGCTGGGGTCGGCGCTCGTGAACGGCGACTTCACGGCGTTCCACCCCAAGACGGTGATGATGATGATCCGGATGTTCGACCGCAACAACAGCGGGACGATCTCGTTCGACGAGTTCGTGTCGCTGTGGCGGTACCTGGCGGCGTGGCGCGAGCTGTTCGACCGCTTCGACGTCGACCGCAGCGGCCGCATCAGCCTGCCCGAGTTCGAGAACGCCCTCGTCGCCTTCGGCTACCGTCTCAGCCAGCCGTTCGTCATGGTGCTCTTCCGCACCTTCGAGAGCAAGGGCCAGCAGCTGACCGGCCACGGCTACGGACACGCCAAGCAGGGCATGAGCTTTGATCTGTTCGTGCAGGCCTGCATCAGTCTGCGCCGCATGACCGATGTCTTCAAGCGTTACGATGACGACCGTGACGGGTACATCACCGTCAGCTTTGAGGAGTTCTTGACCGGTGAGTTCCTGCCTCGGGCCCGGCCCTAGCATCTGATGTGATATGATGTGATGCGTTGAACGCGACTAATATGATCGATGACGCAGAAATCCTACATCTTGGCGATTAGACAGGGATTAGACAGCATGGAATAGATGAGAGTAGGAGCAGGAGTAGGAGTAGAAGGGGAGGGACGTGCGCATCCGAGATGCTCTGCTCTCTGGAGACGTCCAGAGTGGTTGACTTATACTGTACATTAATTATACCCTTTCTTCCTTCTAGCAGCATTCCTCCCGCTGTGGTGACCGTCCGAAGGTTACACGACGAACGTAGAGCAGGCCAGGCATCCTGGGCCGACGATGCGGTGAGTGGTGAGCATGCCATGCTGCTAGTGCATAGTGCATAGTGCATACTCGGGGCTGCAGCACAATGGCCATGTCACCAAGTATGTATGTACTCTGGATGTTGTATGTTTGCTGCATGCCTGCCTGATGGTGTTGGTGTGGATGTGGATGTCTCTAACGGCCGGACGGGATCAGCCTGGAATTAAATCCCCGAGCGCCTCCCAACTCGAGTCGACTCGTGGTGCCGCGTGCTGCTTTCGGTTAAATTCTCCTGACTTTGGATGCGTGACTCACCGTCACATCATAGTCTAGTTACTGTATGTATACGACAATAGTCAATCAACAATACTGAGATGACTGACAGTATAGAGGTAGTCCAGATATATAGTACAGAGTAGTAAATACAAGGAAGATCCACCGCGCTCAGATTTGCCTCTTTGGGGGGAAAGGCCCTCGGGGTCGAGGCCCTTCCCCAATCCAGCCTTATCTCCGACTCTTAAAACCGCCAGGCCTGAAGGGAAAAAAATCCCCTTGTTTCTGAGTCGCCCTTAGTTTGTTAGTCTCCGTTATATGTAGTTAGTTAATGCTCTCTCCTACAGTTTGCTGGTCTGGTCTGGTTTGCTCTCGCCGATCTTGACTCCAACCGTCGGTTCTGCCCGCCACTGCGAGGGGGTTTGTCTGTCTCTCGTCTATCACTCATTCATTCATTCATTCTTTTCTTCTCTTTTCTTTCCCTCCCTTCATTCGCTCACTTGCTCGGTTCTGAGATGAGTATGACGGTCTCCCAGAGCGCGGATAAAGGTCCGCTGGTCGATGCCGAGGGCTCTTCCTCCCCCTCCAGAGATGGCTCGGAGAGGCCCGACGGCCAGTCGCCATCGCCATCGCCATCGCCATCGCAGTCGCCCTCCCAGGCCTCACCGTCTGCCGACGCCGACGACAACGCCAATGGGGCCCTGGAGAAATCCCCCACGGGTCCCCCGCTGGACCGCGTGCCTTCGCAGGCGCAGAAGCTGGGGAAGAAAAAGATCATCGTGGTGATGACCGCGCTGTGTGTATGTTACTTACCTTACCTTCTTTCGAACTTCGCATCGCATCGGCGCTAACCGGGTCCACCCCCATATCCAGCTGGTATTATTCCTGGCCGCTCTAGACATGGTACGCACCCCCCCCCCCCTTAACATCCATCCCGCTAGCAATGTAATATGTGTATTATACTAAACTAAACCCCCAGACAATCGTCTCAACCGCCCTCCCCACCATCGCCACCCACTTCCACGCCTCGGAGAGTGGATACTCATGGATCGCCTCGTCCTACATGCTGGCCAACGCCGCCTGCGTGCCCCTCTGGGGCAAGATCAGTGATGTCTGGGGCCGCAAGCGCATGATCCTCATCGCCAACTTCTTGTTCCTGGTCGGCAGTCTCGTCTGCGCTCTTGCGATTAACCTGCCCATGATCATTGCGGGGAGAGCGGTCCAGGGTGCCGGTGGTGGTGGGATCATTGTGTTGGCGAATATCTGTGTCTCGGATTTGTTCAGTGTTAGGTTAGTGGATAGGAAGCTGTGCTGTTTGTATTGCTTGGTGTCCGCTTACTCACTGACGCTATACAGAGACCGTCCGATGTACTACGGCCTGTTTGGCTCGACGTGGGCTATTGCTGGTGCGCTGGGGCCGATTGTTGGTGGCGCGTTCACTACGGATGTTACATGGCGGTGGTGCTTCTATCTCAACCGTACGCCTCTCCCTCTCTCCCTTCAAACCTCATCTACGCACCCAACCCTTAGGCTAACATCTTCAGTCCCCATCGGCGGCATCTCCCTGGTGATCCTCATCTTCTTCCTCAAAATCGAATCCAGCCAAGTGCCCTTCCTGGCGGGCATCCGGTCGATCGACTGGCTGGGCAACTTCCTCATGATCGGGGGAACGCTGATGTTCCTCTTCGGCCTCGAATTCGGCGGCGTCAACTACCCCTGGTCCTCCCCGACCGTCATCTGCCTGATCATCTTCGGGATCTTCACCTGGGCCCTGGCCTTCCTCAACGAATGGAAACTGGCGCGCTACCCAGTCATCCCCATCCGGCTATTCCAAAACACGCACAACGTGCTGATGCTCCTCATCTGCTTCTGCCACAGCTTCGTCTTCATCTCCGGCTCCTACTACCTCCCCCTCTACTTCCAAACCGTGCTCCTGGCCACCCCCATCATGAGCGGCGTGTACGTCCTCCCCACGGTCCTCAGCCTCTCCATCTTCTCCGCCTTCACCGGCATCGTGATCAAAAAAACCGGCCGATACCGCGAACTCATCATCGCGGGTCTGTTCCTCATGACCCTCGGCTACGGCCTCTTCATCAACCTCCAACCCACCGCCTCCTGGCCCCGCATCATCATCTACCAGATCATCGCCGGCATCGGCACCGGCCCCATCTTCCAGGCCCCTCTCGTCGCCCTCCAAGCCAACATCCATGTCTCCGACATGGCCTCCGGCACCGCCACCTTTTCCTTCCTCCGCCAGGTCTCCGCCGCCATCTCCATCGTCCTCGGCACAGTTATCTACCAGAACGTCTTCCATCAGCAGATGCCCACCGTCACCGCCGCCATCGGCGCCACAGACGCCGACGCAATCGAATCCTCGTTCTCCGGCTCCGAGGGGGATCTCATTCGCTCGCTGCCCGAGAGTGAGAGGAGGGTCGTCCTGGATGCGTATACCTTTGCGCTGAGTCGCATGTGGATCTTTTATACGGCCATGGCTGGGTTGGCGCTTTTTGTCAGCTTTTTTATTAAGCCGGTCGTGTTGAGTAAGGCGCATGTTATTAAGAAGACTGGGTTGGAGGAGCAGGAGAGGGCAAGGTTGGAGGTTTTGAGGGATAGAGAGGGGCAGGCGAGGGAGAAGGAGGGAGAGGTGGTTTAAGATATGGATATGTATAGGGTATTAAGGGGGGGGGGGGGGGGGGGGGTTGGTGGTTCCGTTGTCTGTCTACGACTACGACTACGAGTACGACTACAACTACAACTACACCTACACCTACACCTACGCCTGCTTTCTTCGCCTCCCATCTACTACCCACCCTACCCACCTCCTACTATCTCCTATCTTCCTATCTTCTATATCCTACTATTTCCTACCTCCTACCTCCTGCCTCCTGCCTACGCCTACTAGTAGTTCTTACTACTACATACTTACTACATACTTACTACATACTCACTACATACTTGGTATATGGATTGCTAATATTGCATTGCATTGCATTATATTGTGTTGTATCGCGCTGTATTGTGTTGTATTGCGCTGTATTGCGCTGCATTATGTTATTTTATGTTATGTTATGTTCTGTCATGCTATGATGCTATGTTGGGTATATTATGCTATGTTCTATTGCGCTGGTGTATGTATGTATGTACGTATGTATATATGTATGCATGGAATGGAATAGATGTTTTATGCTTTGTGTTTTAGTGTGAGAAAGAAGTGGGCCAGAGGGGGCGGGGGGGGGGGGAGGACAGAGAATCACGAAAAGACGTTTTTGAGGAATTTATTGGTTGGTTGGTTGGTTGGATTCTGGTTTTTGTTTCATATTTATACTTACACTCCATATTCACACTTATACTTCATATTCATACTTTCATATCCATAATTCATACTTGTATTGCATACATACTCCATACACCAAACTAGCTACTCTACGCCGTAGTTGACTAGTCCCTAGCTGCCATATAGATAGTAGTTAGTATATACAAGCCAAGCCAAGCCAAGCCAAGCCAAGCCATTGAAGTCATTGCAGAACCTAGATAATCACCTACGGAGTAATAACTACTAGGTAGACACTACTTATACTAGTTAGTTAGTTTAGTAGTTAGAGCATACTGCACTACACACTACACACTACACACTACACACTACACACTACACACCATTATCAATCAACCAACCAAACCCAGAACCCAAAATGCAATGTAAATCCAAATCCAATCCAAATCCAAATCCAAATTATCCTATTCGCACATCCTTATTTACAGTAGTTCCAATAAAAAAAATAATAAACAGCGAGAAAGCCACCCGTGCCAGTAGTAAAAAAAAAAGATAAGATGAGGAAATCCACAACAACAATCACGATCACAATCACAGCCAATTAAGCGATTCAGCAATTAAGCGCTTCTGCCCAGTCCCAGAACAGGCGTAGTAGAGAGAGAGAGAGAGAGAGAGAGACAGAAAAAGGAAATATACCGGACCATTCTGCGAGATTTTAAGTTGAATAAGAGAAAGACAGAAAGAAAGAAAGAAAGAAAGAAAGAAAGAAAGAAAGAAGGATGGCCACAGCAATAGGTAGGGAGATGGTAAAAAGCCATAGCAATAAGGTAGTAGATAGAGATAAAGCCAAGACAGGAAAAGAAGGGGTATAAAGTTGAAAAGGAAACAAGGAAGGAACTTCAACTTGCTCAGAACCGAGACAGTCTTCCCGTCCGAAGAAACCAAAACCCATCAGGAGCTTTCGCTTTCGCCAACGCCATGAGATGCCATATTATGAAACATGGGGGGACGGACCCCAACGGAACAAAAACACCACAATCATCAGATCAGTCTAGTACTAGTCACATGGCTGGGATTACGTCTTGGGCTTCTTCATCACCCCCTCCGCGTTGGGGCCGCTGTCCGGGCTCTTGCGCTTCTTCTCCTGCTCCTCGTCCCGCCCGAACCCCGGGCCCGACTGCACCGCCGGCGTGGGGAACGTCAGTGGGCTCGGCAGCATGTTGCTGTCCGGCCCCGACCGCCCGAAACCCCATTCCGGGAAGAAGCTGGACGGTGACGGGAGAAGCGCATCCGACACAAACCGGCTGGGGAGCGCCGAGATCGGCGTGTCGATGTTGCTGTTGTTGTTGTACGCCGTGTTGTTCTGCGCCGCTGCCCCGGGGGGCGCCGGCCGCGCGAAAGGATTCGGCGGTCCCTGTGCCCCCGCGCTCAGTATCGCTCCGGCCGACGGCGACGGCGGCGGCAGTACCACGCTCGAGTGGTTGGCGTCCGGATTGGCCTTGGCCGGCGTCAGCGTTTTGTTCCCCGCCGAATCTCGTGACGAGGAGTCCGCCGTCGCACTGCCCCGATCCGAGTTTTCGCTCGGGATCTGCACTTTTAGCTGCGGTCGCTTCGGCGGCAGCTGCCCACTGTTCGTTCGCGAAGGCGGCTTGAGGTCGACCGGCTGTGGACGCGGAGCCTCTGTTGCCGCTCGAGGGGGCGGGGGCACTGGCGCGAGCCCGACCCGCATCTCGCTCAGTCCCAGGGGTGCCTCGGCTTTCAGTTGCGCGTTCTCGCCCGCTTCACACGTCGGCGGACCTACTCCAAAGTGCCGCGCCAATACGGACCCCCGATCGTCAATCGGCGTGAAGATACTGCGCGACTTGGACGACAGAGATCGCTGGTGTGGAGGCGACGGACTCCCCTCCGTCTTTAACGGCCCCGGTATCGCTTCTGCCGCGCTCCCATCCGGCAGCGACACCGTCCGCGGCGGCGGTGGCTGTTGCTCCGTCGCAAACGTCGGCGGCATGGAGTTTCGTCCCTGTTCCGGTATAAACGCTTGCGCCACCTGCGGCACAGCGGGGTGGGGCGGTTGTGACATGGCCATCGGCGGCGGTTGCGGAGTAAGAGCGTGTGGGGGATGTTGCGGGATGTGCTGCGGAGGGGCGTGGTGGATGATCTGAGGCGCCATTGTGTGCGGTGGCATAGGCTGCGGGGCCATGGGCTGATGCTGCGGCGGAGGCGGTCCGTGATGTGGCCCTGGAGGCCCATAATGTGTGAACTGCGGGGGACGAGGTTGACCCATGGCGTGAGACGCGTTGGGGTTGTAGACGGACGGATTCGGGATGTATGTGAAGCCATTCTGCGGCGGAGGCGGCGGGGGCGGCGGGGTGGCATGGTGCTGCTGGGGACCCATGTTGGAGCTCACTCGACGAAGGTGATTCCGTGAGGACGGTCGGGAGACAACCTGCGGTTGAGGGGTACCATGGCGCGGGTCAAAGGGCATTCCGTTGGGGATCGGCGGAGACGCAGAGGGAGCATGGTTGACGTGTTGGAAGCCGGGATGTCCAGGCAAATGAGCGGGGATCATGGGAGGATGGGGAGGCGTCGGGTGCACATCTTCGGGGGCGGGTGTCGTCTCATCTTCGTCATCGTCATCGTCGCGCTTACCGTTGAAGTCATCGGGGCCTTTGTGCTCATGTGGCGGACCGAACTACAGGTGGGAAAGCGATGAGGTTAGATCAATGGACCGAGTCTAGGGTAGGTGGGGGAAACGCACGTATTGATATCGAGCGAGCGTCTCGCGCATATCACATGACGAGAACTCGTAGAGCTTCTTGTTGTGGCCAAAGATGATGACGGCGACGTCGACGGAGCACAGGACGGCGAGCTCATGTGCCTTCTTGAAGAGACCGCCCTTCCGTTTCAGAAAGGTCCTAGACGCGCACCGGGACGTTAGTGTGCTGCGCTGTTCCTCTGGGGCAGGCCCACCGGATCAGAACCTACACTGAGCGGTTGCGGTCATCCTTGATCGCCTTGATCTCGATCTTTCTCCGACCCATGAGGGATAACGTGTGAGCGGATCACACAGGAACGAGCGTGCTGAAACACCGATGGGCAGGCAGGCAGAGCGTGGGCGGTGGAGTGGTTCGTCCGCGTCGAATGGCGGCGCGAGCTGAAACCCAAGGAAGCGCCGCCGATGAAAGAATTTCCAGAACGCGATTAGAAAAAAGACGGCGGACGGGAGACTCCAGACTGTGGCCGGGCTATTTATTTAGTATTTGTTTGGACCCGCAGACGCAACCATCGCATCATCCACACGTAGAGAATGACGAACAGGGGGGGGGAAGGGAGCAGAGAATGGCTATGGGGAGATGGGGGAGGGGGAGGGGGAGGGAGTGAGCGAAGGAGGGGTGAGATGGAAAGCAACGGCCTTGGGAAGTTAGGAAGAGGCGGCGAGGCGGCGCCTTTGGACGGTCGGGGAGGAGGGCACGACAAAGGGGTTCGCCCACACCGCGAGTAGAGGGGACAAAGGACGGCGCAGAATAGCAGTCTCAGGGGACCAACCTTGCAACGAGAGACGAGAGAGAGGCGAGGCGATGGAGCCAGGCAGATCTGGGATGAGAACGGGAGGGTTTGGATGGGATGGAAGGATGATGGATGGCTGGAGCGGCGACACGCGGGCGATGCAGAAGATTATTCTAAAGATAGCCCGCCGGTGGGAAGAGCTGCCGCCCGCGCGACTTCTGGCTGCTGGCTCGGCGGCTACGCGCTCGCCAACGGCGGTTGTCCACTGCCGCCCGCCCTATTAATAGATTAGGGCTACAGGCTACTTGAGACGGAAGTACTCAGCAGTAGTTGTAGTAGTAGTAGTGAGTTTAGTGACTACTTTATCTACTGGAACATCCCCTCTTTCCTCATGACAATTCTATCCTCTCTGGCATGAACGACATCGCAGCATTCCACCCCCTCTCACACATAACTCGGCACCGCCGCACTTGACAGCCTGATGGCCTGATTCCCGATCGGGTGCCGTGGAGCGACCATTCCGGATGGGGAGGGTTACAGGCATCCCACCTCGTACTAAGCAAGCAATATGACAGACGGACAGTTCCCTGGGAACCCCCGACCATCCCCATCCAGCAAAGATGCGCTGTTGGAGGTTCTGGCGTATCGCTGTCAGCGGTGGCACTAAACCCAAACTCAACCTTAGGCAGATATCCCATCTGCCGGGCGATCCCCAACGGGGGTTAGCGCGCGAGCCAGGGTAGCGGCGATGCGCTAAGCCCGAAGGGGCCAGGCGGCGAAGGATCACCTTCCTGTCCCGGAAAGCTCAAACAGCGCCCGGCTCTGCGCCCTCCCATTGGACCCATGGCGACTGACCCGTCACTCGGACCAACTGGCGGATTGGACCTGTCCTCAAGGGCGCCGCCAAAGAAGCCATGCCTTGAGCAGGCTAGACGCTTCGTACATGAGGCTAACACCACCCTAATCAAATTATCACACCCGACGGCTCGCTTGAGGAGCGGTATGCTTCTCATGGCGGAATTATTGCTTCTGTACGACGACCGGGTGCGTGTGCAGTCAAATGATCCGACCTGAGGCTTTCGACTGACTATCTACTGACTGACTGACTGACTGACTGACTGACTGACCCTTCGCCGGTGAAACAGCATTGGGCATCGAGTGAATTGTCAAACGCAATGGGGGATCTGATTCGGAGGCTGGATGGGACAGGTAAGAGTATAAGTATATGTGTCGTATGATACCGTACAACGGTACCCATACCATCCTATGATCCTACAGGGTACACAGTGTAGCAGGTACCCATGGTGTTGATCACCACCTTCTCAGATCTTGACACCACCGGGGGAACCACGTTGACCACTGTTGGTTTGACCCTCATGGAAGATTGATTATTCAGAACATAGATAGATATCCATCTCCATCTGCTCCCCTGGCCCAATGGACAGACTCCCACGGGTACACTGGGGGCCAGCGAACCATGGCACCGAGTCACGCTGTTTGGCGGCGTACTAAAACTTCCACCCCCTGAAACGGCAACCGCAGTAGATCCTCATCATCGCCGTCCTTTTTCATCTCGTTCCACGGCTTCATTGTTCTCTTCTCCCCCCCCCCCCCCCCCTATCGCATTCCTCCCCTCCATCTCTCCCTCCCCCCCTCGAGCCTCTGCATCGTGACTGTTGTTTCGTTGCTTGTTCTCACCACGTTGCCGACTTCCGACCTCCGTGTCACCGTCGCCTGTCTCCATTGCTTTCCTACCTGACTGACTGCCTTCCTGCTGCTGCACGCTAGACGTGCTGCCCCATCCTGGGCTGCAGGCGGTCCTCGCTGGGACTCTTGGATGGTCGCTGCGTCCTTCGGGCCTTTTTTCTTTTTTATTACTTCCTTATTTCCTTTATTACTATTTCTATTATTTTTTTCCCTGTAAGTCGGGTTTAGCCTTTATTGAGCTATCGGATTGAACAATCCGGTTTTGGGATCTGGCTTCCATTCCGTCCCTCCTTCTCGATTGTTTCCTTTTTCCTTATTACGGGTCGCCGTCCGATTTCCTCCCCGTTGCTTTGCGGTGTTGCGAATCTTCTCACGATCGACCCAACGTGACGACGGCTCGACGCACCTTCTCGACTCCGCCGCCGTCGGGCATCGCCTTCGACCCTGATCAATTCCCACTCGATCGCGTCTCCCCCCCCACACCTCCTGTCCCCTCCCCGCCAGAACCCTGGCGTGCGCTCTCTGCAATATGCCTTTCTTCACCCGTGTCTTTCGCGGGAAGGACGCCAATGCCGCGAAGAAGAAGGCCCCCGCGGTGGAAGACAAGGGGCCCGCAAAGCCCACATGGACCGACGCGTGGCAGCGAACCGAAGTCGCCCCGGAGGAGGTCCAGGGCCTCTTGCGAGGATGTACCCAGGAACTGAAGGCACGAGGTATGTTTGTTGCTGACGGCTCCGCCTCATTGTTGCTATCCTGGACGGCGATCCGCTGCCCCTCCTCCCGCCTCCAGGTCAAGCTTCGCACATTCCTCCCTTTGCTGATCATTGCCTTCTTCCCCTGACAGCTCTGCAAACCCCCTTCTTACTGCTCCCCTTCCGCCCAAGCTCCGACGCCAGCGCGGCCCGCACTTTCATCCGGAACTACTTCAATCAGTCAGTGGAAAAGGGTTCGCCTGTGGACGGAGATGAGTTGGCGCAAGAATTGCGGCTGTCGGACCCCATGGTGAGCCAATATATCCGCGTCCTCGTCGCTGTGAGACCCTTGTTCTGACCAGTCTATCCGCGTTCGTCTAGGTCCTGTGCAGCGTGTTAAAATGGTGCTGGAGCAGACTCCCTGGAGGAGTTGTCACCTGGGAGGCATATGAGTTGTTCAAGGTTGGAGAGCAAGGTACGTTCTCGAGAAATATGGGGGAAACAAGGCGCTGATGACATCCAGATTCTCAATTTGCCCGCGATGCCTTCTCAACATTCATTCCGATCAGTGTCGACTCGGATGCCCGCTCGAAGATCGTCTTCGACTTCTTCGATCTCCTGGCTGCCGTCGCAGCACACGGAAAATCGAACGGACTGGGTGGGCGGAAGCTCTCTCGGTATGCCGGATGGTGGGCGTTTGAGCACTCGGATACGGGTAACGGCTTCGAGGCCGCCTACAAGAATTGGGCCAGTGCGGCGGATGCCACGAGTCATCTGTTTTTCTCGTACTTGCGTTCCCTATCACCCGACTCTCGTGTCAACACCATCTCAACTCTTCCAATCGCGCTCCAGAGTCTAGTCCAGGCTACGGAATACCCGCCGGAGACGCCCACTCTCCTGCAAGTCTCCACCACCAAGGTCGTGATGATTGTTGATACTGTCTCCCCGACCCCGTTTGCGCTGTTGCGGCGCGCAAAGAACTTTGAGTATCGAGACAGTGACCACCACCTGCAGGAGTTCGCCAGTTTCGAGGAACCCACCAAGGCGCTCACGGACGAGTGTCTCCGCGTGCTAAAGTGCATCTCCTCCACAAATCAATTCGTCGAATCAGGTCCAACCACGTCGACCCGGGAGGCCTCATGGTCAAGATTTGAGGATATTGGATTTGGCGGTGCTCTGGACTCGGATCTGGACGATTCGAATGCGGCCAGTTTGGCCAGGAATGAATTTGGAGGTGGCTTGCGATCTGCTCCACAGTCCGGCCCAGGTAACCTCGGCCGACCCACGACCCCGTCATGGGCAGACTTCATGTCGTCCGGCTTCAGTGAGAACGGTTTGAAGGGCCCGGCCCCTCTCCTACTTCCCCCCGACAAGGTTCTTCCTCCTCTCGCCAGCGTCCGCGGCCAAAGCTCGCAGTCCCACAGACGCAGTCTTAATGACGAGCCGTCCACAGAACCGGGGGAGCTCGCAAGCATCACCACTCTCGATCTTGATGACTCTTTCTGGTGGGTCTGGATCAGTAGTCTGGCCGGTGAAGAGTCCTCAGCCCGGAAGGCCGTGTTTGGCCGATGTGCGTTACTGGAAACTATCATCAAAGATGCCAAGTGGCTGGTCCTTGAGGAGCAGGTTAAGGGTGCGGCGCCGGAGCCTGAACCTGGTGCTTACCTCGTAGAAAAGAAGCGCTTCTTCGGCTTTTCGACCCGTAAGAAGGGCGTCAGCCGCCGCAAATCTTCTGCCAAAAAGGTCAATGGGATGGAGGACTCGTACAAGCGGCCGGACAACCAAGCACCGCAGAGCAAAACTAGTATCGCCCCGGACCAGCACGCGCGCATCCAGGCTGCTGCCGCTGCTCTTCAAAAACGACACCGAGAGGAACAGGAGGCCGCTAATGAACCCAAAAACGTTCCGCACCATGCCAGGTACTCCACAAAGACGAATTCCATCATGACCCTGCAACCGGCAATCCTGAATGAGGCGTCTCATGCCATGAAATGGGCGACTAACTACGATAAGAACACGTACAGAACCGCCTATCTCAGTGACAATCGTGCAGGAACAGGTGCTGGAGCAGAAGAGGCGGCGAAAAACTTGCCCAGCACACCAACCTCCCCGACTGCGAGCACCAGACAAGCACCGCCACCTCTACCGAAAGACACGCCTACTGGCTCCCCGGGACCCGCAGTACCTACCAAAGAGAGTTCTGTTAATGAGGAGAGCATTGTGAGAAGCGGCAGGGCCAGTCCTGCAGCCGACTTGTCGACCACCGAATCGCTCCCCAAGCAGTCTATGGACTCGGACCGGAAGATCAAGAAAAAGGCGGGCAACGGCGGCTTCAAGAGTATGTTTGGAACGGTCAAGAAGAAGAACGAGGCCGAGGCGAAGCCCCCAATGAAGCCTACCGGCGCTGAACGCTCCGCTGTTGCAGCTGCTCGTGCTGCTCTTGAAGACAAGGCGAGAGCCGCCCAGGAGCAGTCCCCACGGCCCTCGACGAATGGCAAGGCGACTCTCAAGAAGAAGCCTGTGCCGGTGGCAGCGCCTGCCGAAGCCACTGCAGCAGCAGCAGAGGCTATTGCGCCGAAAAATGTGCCTGAGCCAGCTGAAGCCAAGCCTTCCTTGGATGTGCCCAAATCGGGGGCGCAGAGCGATGAGCCCCAAATTCGCCGTCAAGCCGAATACGATGCTCTTTCGCGCATAGACACCAAGGAACGGACCGCAGCCGACCAAGAGTTCTCGCGATTTGACCAGGGACCGTTGTCTGACCAGCCGGCATTCGTTCCAGAGGACTCCCCTATCTCGGAAACCTTCCCCGAAAAACCCGCCTCGGCGGTTACTACTTTTGAAGAGGCTCTCAGCGAACAACAGAGTGAGCCCATCACTCCCCCGAAGCCGGTCACCTCCTATGACCGCTGGGCCCAAATTCGCCAGAATGCGGCGGAGCGAGCGGCTCAGATGGAGGCACAGGCTGGTGACCACGGTGACGATGACGACAACACTAGTGAAGAAGAAAGTAAGCGAATCCGTCAGCCTATCTGATCGATCAATTATGTTAACTGAATGTTCCAGGCTTTGAATCTCGTGCTGCCCGCATCAAGGCCAGAGTAGCCGAATTGACCGGCAACATGCAGGCCGCCAGCCAGTCCTAACCACCTTCGATTCCCCGTATCTAATTCCGCTGCTGTCTCGACTTCTTCGGTGCCTGTCATTATCACCCATATACCACTGTATCTGACCCGTTCCATGTTCCATACGCCCTTTAATGTACTACTTTTGCACCCATCGCCGCGTCCAGGTTGACTTTCCCGACCCTTGCTTGCTTCCTTCCTGAGCTCTAGACCCATGACGGGGTCTTGAAAACTCGCAGCTCAAACATGACAGACGTACGCCGTGATGCCGTTCTACGCCATGATTGATTTTTTATTTCATTTTCCATTCACATTCTGCTTCTGTGGCTGCTGTCTGCTTATTCATCGTATTAATATGGACAGTGGTCACGTTGTTTTCTTTACATTACATTACATTACCCTTTACCACTTTGTTTGCTGCTGCTGTTGCTGTTATATTCCCCTCCTTGTTACTATCTATTCGGCCGATTGATTGATTTACGGGTTGGTGGGCTGACAGGTTGATTGATTGATTGATTGATTGATTGAATTTCCGTTGAGTTGCTTGGACTTGTTTTCGCAATATATCCAATATACCTCAGCCGTCTCTCGCTATGTATTCAGCCAGTACTGCTATTTGAAGTTGATTTTTTGTTCCGTTAGACATGTTTTTGTTGTAGATTGCCAGGTGATTTCTATCTTTTTTATATTCTTTTCTGGGCAGGTAGTTAGTTACATAATAGTCACATCTAGGTTGCTTGGAACTTATGAATGGATGGATGGATGGATGGATGGATGGATGGATGGATGGATGCTAAATCAATCACAGCCAAAGAAAGACGAACTATTTCCAACCACCACCACCACCACCACCACCATCTTCTATAAAGCAAAAGATAATAATAACAATTCTGAAAAGGTAAATAATAATAATAATAAGAAGAAGAAAGCTTTAAAAAAAAGTAATATATAGTATATCCATCGAAAATTAGTATTACATAGACATATAGATAAACATAAACATAAACATAAACATCCTAGGAAAGGCAAGGTAGATCATCCAACCAACCAACCAACCAACCAACCAACCTATTACCTGATTTATTTACCCAGCCACCCAGCCACCCACCTGCCCCATCAAACAAATAAACAACCGACCAACCAACCAACCGACCAGAGAACAAAAAAATAAAGAAACAAACAAACAAACAAACAAACAAATCAGTGTGTATGCATGTGTGTACCTATGCAGGTTTGCATACTATGCGGAAGTGCAGGTAGGTAAGTAGGTATGCAGGAGTGCAGGTGTATATGTATGTATGTATGTATGTATATGCATACGTGCAATCACGGTCAAGTATCACAGCTGGAATTGGGGGTGGAGTTCACCTTGTTTCATCTTATTTCATCTCATCTCATCTCAAATACTTACCAATAGGTGGTGGTGGAGGACCACCGACCAGATCAGTAAGCATTCAATAGATGGATGGATGGATGGATGGATGGAGAATGAATGAATGGTGCCTTCATTCCCAACTCAGCGAGCGCAGCAAAACAGCTCAAACCATGGGTAATTCCCACACACTGCACCACACTCACACAACGAGAATATGTACCAGGGGGGTATCGAAAACAACAAACGCAACCAAACCAAACTAAGCCAAACCAAACCAAACCACTGTAATCGCCAGGACGATAATCATCTTCATCATCTGTAGATGTATAGGGCCTCGAGTCTCAAGTCCAGAAAGTCTAGAATCTAGAATCTAGAATCTAGTCCTGGCAGAAAGTGAAGCAAAAAAAGAAAAGAAAAAGATAGAAATTGGAACAAATGCCCCGAAGAAGAATCCACGCACACATCAATTGTGATTAAGAAGTATACCGCATTCGTCTTGTCGCCTCAACAGCGACCAGGGCACTCAGAGCGCCGATGAACAGACAGATCGAGATGGCGTTGGGGGAGCTTTTATCCAGGTTCATCCACTGGGAGTCCTGGGCGGCGGAGTCATCCCGTTTGGTGCTTCCGGGCTCGAGGACGCTGAAGACGATCCAGCTGATGAAGGTGCCGACGAATTGGGGCAGGGTGGTGTAGACGTTCAGCACGCCGAGGTAGATGCCGGCGAGTTCGCCGGTGGAGGGAATGTTGGAGTTGGCGCCGCCGTCTTCGACGTCGGAGTCGCTGTCCGGGTCGTGGTGGTTCAGACGGAGGACGTCCATTTCGGTGGAGTCTGCGGTTGAGGCGCGGTCGGAGTAGGTGCCGAAGCCGGAGGAGGTGATCATGGTGACGCCGCTGGAGCGGGAGGATTGGGAGGGATTCATGGCGAGTTTGTTGATTTCGACGCCCATGAAGGCGAACGGGGCCCAGCAGCTGACGGCCCAGGGGATGCCGCAGAGGGCGACGAGGAAGGTGGCGAAGGCGCGGGAGCGCGCCAGGGGGGCGAAGATCATGGTCGCGGCGAACATGACGTGGGAGATGAGCCAGGTGGTTTGGAGGTCTGGGCGGATGGCGGTGATTTTCTTGAGGAGCGAGGCGATGCCCGGGGGCGGGCGTGGCGTGAATCTGGGACGCTTGCTGTCGGGGGGCTGGACGCAGAATGGCAGCAGGACGGAGCCGATGAAGGTGATGGAGGAAAAGACGACGAGGGATAGACTGCCCACTCGACCGACTTCGCCCAGCATGTCGCTTGGGTGGATTGCATCTTTAGGGACTTCGTAGCGAAAGTAGGTTTCTCCGACCCACGTGGTGCTGTAGAAGAGGAAGGGGAACCAGCCTGTGGGATTTGGTTAGTTTGTTTGGGACTGTTGGAAGCAGGGAACTATACCGATCCAAGCCCAGAATTGAGCCCAGCAGATGGCCTGAATGCGCGGTGGCAGATCCATTGTGGTCTTGACAAGTTGAGAGATCACCTGTAGCGCTCCGGCATTGCTGTCGGAATCTCTGTTGACGCGAGCATCAGTATTATTTGCGGCTAAATCCTCCGTCATGCATGATCTCACCTGGCAGTGATCAGGACCCTCTCCTTAACAGCGAAGCAGGTAACGAAGACCGCTCCTATCAAAGAGAAGGCCGCAAATACAGTCATTTGCTTGAACTGCGTGTCGCCAATGATGGCGCCAAATATGCTGACCGTGTCAATGGAGCCAATGACGTATCCAATGAGTTGGCCAATTGCTGACATCCTCGTCGCTATACGCTGTTAGCCGCCATTCCTGGAATCTAGAGCAGGGAACATACCCCATGCTGACCCGGTCTGCTGTAGAGGGATGGGTAATGTATCGACAATCAAACTGCGACAGCACGCTTGAACTATATAATGTTAATCCAACTAAAAACAACACAGGACGATCAACCTACCAACATTGATTGCAAAGTCGACGGCGTAGATGCTCAGGACTGCGAGTGCAATTGTAGCATTTTTGGCCTAACGCAATAGATGGTCCCGCGGTAAGTTGCCGAGCAAAAAAAAAAAAAAAAAAAAAAAAGGCGTCACGACGTTTCAGAAGCCATCAAATACCTTTTCCGGTTCCTTGACAAACATGTTCACGATTTCTGTCGTCCAACCAAGAACAAGCAAGCACAACGCGACCAGGAACGATCCCACAATCATGAAGGGTCTGCGCCGTCCCCATTTCGACCGGGAGCGATCCGCAATAACACCGATGAGCGGCTGGATGATCAAGCCGGACAGGGGGCCGGCGATCCAGACAAGCGAGGTTTTGGATTTCGTGAGGCCCAGTTGGAGAAGGTATGGTGTGCAATCTGCAGCGCAGGGATAGTCAGAAACCAGCGCAAAGGCTCCTCCGCGGCCAAGGAACACACATACAAGTCATTTCAATGCCCCAGGTAAATCTAATCGCAACAAGAAGCAAGTCAGTCCATTTTGATGCGCAGTAACAATAACAATACTCCGAGACCACCAAAAGAAACGAAGGCCTTTGGCGAGGGTAGATAAAGTGAAGACGAGAAGAGAAAAGAGTAAAAAATACAGGAAAGTAAAACCGGGCAAAGGCAATACATACTGTAGTCCCAACAAACTGAAAGTCAACAACACCATGCGCACCCACTCCCTCCGTCCCTTGATCGAGGGCGAGCCCACCCATCTTGCAGCTTGTGGCATTTTCCGAGTGCAAAAAATGCGCGCATGCGCTTGGCCCTTCTCACAATTCCGGTATGCTTTCCATGAACCGCGCGCCGGTTCACCTCCCTCGACTCTCGCGCCTGCGATCAGGCGTCAACACGGACGTGCAGAAGCAGTCAATCGGTTCACTGTTGGCGTGGTTCCGGCTGTTGGAAAGCGCGGAGGTTAACTCCAGAGTTCCGGGGCAGAAGGGAGTTCAGGAACAGGTAAAGGTCGTTGGGTCGAAGTCAAGTCGTCGCACGGTTCGTTGGGGATAAAAATAGCCGCAGGGATGTAGTAATTGGCTCCACGATCCACCCGGGGTTCGCGGGAGGGGTCAAGGGGGGTTGTTGGAGCGCTAGTAGTATAATCGACGGTCGGGGAGAAGGAGGGTGTCTTTGCGCAGTGGGTAGATGTTGAGGGTAGGAAGAGGAGGAGGAAGAGAGGAAGGGAAGGAGGAGGAGGAGGGATGGACGAGGCCGGGCAGTGCGGGCAGAGCAGAGCGTACGCATGCGGGCCCCCGGCCCGTCAGGACTCAGGGCAACTCGTCTTATCCGCATCGGCAACCCCAAGACCCACCACCGCCACGGTATTTGGTTGTTATTAATAGTGGATGTGGATGGGTGGGAAATGAAACCGCTTAAGATCGGTCTCCCCTGTCAGAGGCCGTGTGAAACTGGGGACCATAGAATTTTCGATCGAAAAAAGTGCGCGCGTCTGACTGTGCATCTTCTAGAGAATTACTTCTCAGCTGGTGTCAGGTGTACGTATGCCTACCTAGGCAAATACATCCCATTGGACCCCCATCCCTGCACAAACATAACATAATAATAATAATAGACCGAATGTACCTATGCTCTACGGACGGTCACGCGACTGCGCCCATCCCACCACTCGTGGTTCGTAACGTTCTCTGCATTCGTTTCTAAAGGGGTTGCCAATAGATAACTCCAGTCATTTCCCGGCCGATCCGTAGATACTCGTACCGAGTGCTTCATTTCTGTCATATCATCCCAGATCCCCGATCATCCCGTGATCCTCGAACGGAAACCAGTCACATTAACATTTTTTCGCCGTTTTCCTGCGTTTTTTTTTTTCACGCGTCATGGCGCTTCTTTATCTCGAAATACCCTCCTTTTCCATCTACAGCCGGTTGGGGGTAGAGGTCAAGGGCCACTGGTAGCCAGCAGCATCGCTGAACTTGTACCCGAAAGACGCCGTGAAGTCGTCAAGGACGGCGGGTCCGCGGGAGCCTGCACACGTCGTTAGTGAATGGACCACCACGCAGGATACGACAGGGGCACGTACCATAGGGGTATTCCATGGGGATGATCTCCTTGTTGTCGTCAAGGTAGTGCAGAAGAGGAGTGAAGATCCTCCAGCTGGCGTCCAACTCGTCATCACGGACAAAGTTGGAGTGGTCGCCCTTCAGAGCGTCCAGGATCAGGGACTCGTAGGCCTCGGGGATCTTGAGGTCGGAGAAGCGGCGGCGGTAGGTGAGGTCGAGCTCGGTCACAACGGTCTGCATGGACAGACCGGGCAGCTTGGAGTTCATCTTGATGTAGACGGACTCGTTGGGCTGGACACGGATGACAAGCTCGTTGCGGGGGATGTCCTTGAAGATGCCAGAGGTGACGTCACGGAACTGGATGCGGATCTCGGTCTTCTGCTCGTTCAAAGCTGTGAAGAATAAGTATACCAAGCCGTGCCGGGATCGCGCAGAGAGTGCATACCTTTACCGGCCTTCAGGATGAAGGGAACGCCGTCCCACCGCTCGTTCTTGATGTAAGCGGCCATGGCGCAGAAGGTTGGGCAGCGGGAGTCCTGGGGGACAGTCTCATCCTCCTTGTAGGCGGGCTTGCTGCCATCCAGGGACTTTCCGTACTGGCCGATAATGACGTTCTTGGGCTCGATGGCGTCCATCGCACGCAGGACACGGACCTGGCAGCGCGTTAGTTACGGAATCCTACGCTAGCCAACAAACACCTTACCTTCTCGTCACGAATGTCCTCAGCAGAGAAGGAAATGGGGCGCTCCATAGCGAGCAGCGTCAACACCTGCAGCAAGTCTATACAAGTATCCAGTCAGCCTTCCCGTCGCGATCGAGTGAAGACGTGCGACATACGGTTCTGCATGACATCACGGATGATGCCGAATTCGTCGAAGTAGCCACCGCGTCCCTCGGTACCGAAGGGCTCCTTGAATGTGATCTAAATGGCAACAAAGGACTTAGCGACCGTCAAAAGGCTATACAGAGTAGACCATCCGTACCTGAACGTTGTCGATGTGGTGGCGGTTCCAGGTGGCGTTGAAGAACTCGTTTCCGAAGCGCATGATGAGGATGTTCTTGACCATCTCCTTACCCAGGTAGTGGTCGATACGGAAGATCTCATCCTCCTTCCAGTTGGGCTCGAGGGCCTTCTGGAGGTCGCGCGAGCTCTGGAGGTCCTTACCGAAAGGCTTCTCGACGATGATGCGAGCAATGCCGTTCTTGGGGTAGCAGTTACGCTTGAGTTGGTCGGAGACGGTGGTGAAGACACTGGGGGGCAGCGCCATGTAGTAAATTCTGTTCTGTTCCTTCTGGCCCTTCTCGATCTCCTCGAGGTGCTTGTTGAGGTTGATGAACGAGTCATCCTTGTCATATTGACCGGAGATGTAGGTGCAGAACTGGCAGAAGCTGTCCAGTTGCTCTTCGATTTCCTTGGTGGGGGTCTTGATGTATGAGCGCACACGCTTCAGATATTCCTCGTGGTCCATGTTTGTCCGGGCATATCCGACGATCTTGATGCCCTTGGGCAGGAACTTGTTGCGGTACTGGAGGCGCGATCAGTAAGGGGGATGGGGGATGGGAGTACAGCCATTGGGTGAGAGTGGGAACATACAAGGCCGAAGAGAGCCGGGAACTGTCGAGAGTTAGTGAGCTTCCGATCGCGGAGGTGGGGGGTCCATAGGGGGTCGAAGTCACTCACGGTCTTCTTCTTCGCAAGATCGCCAGAGGCGCCTAGTACTATGATGACGGTGTCATCTTTGAGCTCCATGGTGCTACGCGCCATGTCCATGTTAGCCGTACAGTCGACAGATCGGTGGGAGGGATGTATGGTATGGATTCGAGGTTAGAGGAGGGGCCCGCGATCGAGTCACGGGAAGGAGGGGTAGTCGGTTTCAAGAGGGAGTCGGCCAGGAACCCGGCAGTCAATACTTCAAGCGAAGTACTGGATGCGAATTGAAGACAGGGAAACGGAGGGGCTTGCAGGTGTCTTGTGGGAGCGACCGGCAGGGAATGGCGAGAGTGGTGAACCCCCATGTCTGGGCGGGCGGACACCAGAGGGACGGGGAGGAGGGGTGTGATGTCAGAGAGGGAGGCCGCAAAACTCACCCAGCGTTCTGGCGCTCCTCAGTGCGGGCTATCGTGTTGGCCATGTTTTATCGATGTGAAGGACCGCAGGGACGGCAATGGGGTGCAGGGGACAGGCAAGGAGGAAGAGGAGTAGAGAAAGAGAGCAAGATGTGGTAGGAGAGGCAGCAAGGTCAGAGAGGTTTGTTGGAAAAATCCCAACAGTTCCGGCGGAGCAAGTACTTTTTAACACCGGAGGGCTCCTCTCCTCGAGCTGCTGCTGCTGGCTGCTGCAGGCCAGGTGGGCGGGCTCTGAGCCCGGGTGGGGCACTGGGAGGGCCGGCTTGGGTTCTTCCACTACGTCGATGCTGCCGCGGGACCCCGTGTGAGACTGTGTGAGGAGGCTTTCCGGGCGGTCCTGCGCGCCCTCGCTGACTGGCCACCATTCGTGTCCTCCTGTCCTCCATCCCCCATTCCAGTCTTCGGAGGTTTGGTGTGTCAAGGGTGCGACTGCTTGAATGCCATCCATGCCATCCCAAGGAGATTGATTATTCCCGGGCACCTCTTCCCTTTCATCCCCTCGTATCTGCCGGCCCTTCCACCGGCTTGTGGCAATATCTCTTATATCATCACTAGGTAACGCGACGAAACCCTACTTCCTCTCTCACTAAACACCGACCACCCTCCTATACAGTATTGTATTGTATATAGTATGTAGTATCGATGCAGTATGAACTATCGATATCTCTACAGCAGTGTAGCCTGAACAGACAGCTCATACTTGCTTCTCTTTATATTATTCACTGGCCGACTGATTTATCCGAGCCAAGTCCGTTGTAAGTCCCCCTCTCCTAGTCAGCTCCACTGCGAACCACACCTGGGCCGGATGATGCTCTTTCAAAGGCGCACACCATCCAAGTCCAACCACCACATGCGGAACCCCCGCGTCGACGAGTCCAATAAATCTTACCCTCCGTCCCCTCTCTGACAGCATCATCCCTCTTGATGAAAGACACATAGGAAATAAAAAAAGCAATATGAAATATAATGAATGGTTGGCTTCTTGCGGTCTGGCATCGCATCGTACTACGTCAAATTATCCGCGGGGCAGCAGACCAGTGGAGCTTCCAGCCATGCAGGTCAGCTCAGGGCCTCCCTCCTCCTCCTCCCTCCTCCCTCCCTCCTTTTGTGATAACGATGGATCATGTCCGTCCCATTGATTCATTTCAAGACCCGGTAGATAGATATGAACTGACCATCCCAACTCCGGCAATCAGGCCGAATGATAGACCCGTGCGTCGCGTCGATGATCACTGCAGTGCTGTTATTTACTTCTGTCTAGTGCCCGCATTTTACAGATCCAAGGGTGCACCGGGGGCGTACTATGCGAAATGATGCGGTTTCGGACCATTCCACTATTCCAGGGCAGAAGCGTAGCGATCGCGCCAGAAGCAGGAGCTAAATTGAAGACTCCTGAATCAGCGTCCCCGGTGACCAAAACGTCGTGGGGATGGATGGATCGGCCAATTTGTCATCTGGAAGGACGATACGGATTCTATTTTCCCGTGGAATAGGCGCAGCAACCATGTATCAGACCGAACTTTCGGCCCAGACAAGTCCGGAGTTAATGCTTACCTACGATCCCGAGACGAAGGCGGACGGGGCTGGAGTATCTACGGAGTATTTATGACCTTCGCGTTTATTCTCACTACACATGCCTGTTGTCTTTGTTTTTTCATTTTTTTTCTTTCTTCTGGGGTTGGGCTTGGGAATGTTGGTATCAACCGGGTCCCAGGCCCTCAGCAATTTTACCCCTCCTTTGGAAAAATAGGCGTAGATTACATGGCGTGCTTTATGGAGTCCCCCGAGAGTAAAATCATCATGGCAGGTTCGTTGCCGACTTCCTGGTGGGGCGGGATGCGCTTGATTTCCAAATATGTGTCCCGGTCTGATCGCTCTGGGATGGAGTCATTCCTCCCCGTTATATAGCCTACCAGTCAGTCATACACAACCCCCCCCTATGACTTTCTGGCTGCGCTACCCTGTCTGGGCATTTTAAGCGCCATGCGAGGTCTGCAGCTACTTGATGCTTAAGATATCCGACAAAGAAAGTCACGAGATATCGAAAACGCTTTGTTCGCCAAATCCGGAGTCTCCTGTAACCGGACTGCAGGGCCGGCCAGGGAAACCCAAAATCCCTTATCAAGATCAGGGTGATGATGATGGGGCGGGTGCCGTCATGGGTGGGAAGAATCCGCAAGCTGTTTTGTCAGCTTGGGGCGCTCTAGCCAAAGGCTCCTCCGCCGCCGCTGCAGAGGAACCGCCGGGCGGCCAGGAGTCTTCGGACTACAGTAGCCCGACGGCACCAGAATCAGGTGGGGTGGGCTGAAGAAGGACTCCTCTCTTTCCAAACAACAAACTTCTCGAAAGCGAGCCTCGGGCGACCGTGACGATGATGATCTATCTCGGATCCCGGGGAAACGGTATCTCCGGGAGCCACCCAAAGCGGACTAGCGCCCCGTGGTCAGCCCGATCTTCCCCATCACGGGACTCGGGCTTGCCCTGGGGAGTCCGGCTCGCTAAGCGTCCCGTTTGGGGTTAGGGCGAGCCGCACCGAACACACCTTGCAATTTGTGAGCCTTGTGCGTCGTCCCGTTACCCTATCGAAGCGACGACAACCACGACAACCCGGACGACTTTTGCGGGTCACATCTCCCTTCCTTCGACTTGTTTGCGTTGCCCGCTGCTCAGAGAACCGCCGTCAGAATGCCTTCGGAACAAGGTCACAGACGTGAGTTGCAATCTTTCCGGCCATATCAGAAATCCATGTGTGCGCGATGGTTGGAGATGGGGGTTCGGGGACGGGGATGTGCGGGCGCGCGATATGATATGGGACCAACCCCATGGAATGACTGGATGAATGAATGAATGAATGCATGCTAACTGATCTCTTTGCGAATCACAGTCTACGTCAAGTAAGTTGCCACAGCTATCCGTCGTTGTTCGAGAGTCGCGCACATACACATTCGGAATGATATCGAAATCATCAAAATCCATCATCGGGGGGACATTGGGATCCGGGTTGAAGCGATAGATTTGCAAAAACGCAGGACAGTCGGGTTAATACGAATTCTTTCTACAGGGGTCGCCACCTGAGCTACCAGCGCTCCAAGCATGCTGTCAACCCCAACACCAGGTACGACGATTCGCATATCGAGAAATTGGGAAAAATGTGAACGGGAAAATCTGACGCATGGGAAATATAGTCTGATCAAGATTGACGGTGTTGACAACACCGAGTCCGCCAACTTCTACCTTGGCAAGAAGGTCGCTTTCGTCTACCGGGCCAAGCGTGAGGTTCGGGGCTCCAACATCCGGGTCATCTGGGGCAAGGTCACCCGTCCCCACGGTACGTGATGAGAACCCGCTACGCGACACCCAGCAGAAGCAAACTTGATATCAGCAATGCTGGGGTCATGACGGGAAACAAGCCAAACTGACAAATCTCGTGTATGAACAGGCAACTCCGGTGTTGTCCGCGCTCAGTTCCGCCACAACCTCCCCGCCAAGTCGTTCGGTGCCACCGTCCGTGTTATGCTGTACCCCTCCAACATCTAAATGACGCCCCTTTTGTTACGTTAGTTGGCACTCCGGATTCTACGCGCAGACGGTCGGGCAATGGAGTCGACGGAATGAGCCGATGTTGAGATGGGAGTTGGTGGGTTGATAATGTTCGTGGGAGAGGCAGGGCCGCTCAGCCCTACGAATCAAAATAAAAAAGAACTCTTATCTTCTTTTCAGCATGGTTAGGCATATAAGACGGGCTTGCTCAGGTTTCAGTACCAATGAGCATGCTGTGCCTTGGCTGATATCATGGCTCCCCGTGTATCTGATGCTCATAAACAATCCATACCATTTCAACATATCGGCACTTTTTTTTTGCATTCGGGGTAGTAGGACTGGCAGTTAGGTTCTACTTTGCGTATGTCGGCTGCACCAGACTACTGGTTCTATGATAGCGGCATCATCAGGGAACGTCAACATCCTTCCAATGCAACAACCCTTCAACACCATCACCTTACCTCCCGCTCGCGTCGTTCTGCTACCCATCATATGCAACCCTTCACCAAACTTGGCCATCGGCCCTATCGAGGCCAGAACCAGCCCGCACCGCACTGGCGAGCCTGTAGATATTAGCACTCAGGTACCCTATCCGTGACAGTGGTCTCGTCGCCTTGATAGTTGATGGGCACCACCGGGCCCCACACTTCGTAGCTCTCCACCTCCATTATAAATAAACACCCATGAACATTCTCGTGGAGATAAGATCTTACCAAGTGCACATGCGAGATTAGACACGCATACAACCAAAAGAAGAATATATCCTTTTCCCCCGAACACCCACACCTATTAATAATATTTATCTACCTTTACCCGCTCATTTTTCTACATATCGACTTATCCTGCCCGACTACCAGTATGACTTGAAGCTTGAGTATTACTTGTGCAATCTGCTAGGCATTATTTCGACTAATGCGCAACATAATTAATTAGTTCCACCACCCCGTTCTAGGGAATGGATCTCATCCGTTCTTCTCTAATCGTGTTTCTGTGGAATAGCTGACATTTCAGCTATATATACCAAGCTACCCACCATCCTACCTACCTGCCTGCCTGCCCACAAAAGGAAGGCACCTTTTAAGTCAAGTAATGCCCATGGACGATAGATCATGCCAAATAGAGACCACTAACCTACGTATATCTCTATATTCTGCTCCCAACATCGACGATATTGTCAGCGATGATACTATCACCTATACAAACTATGGCTTGCGCGGTGTACACTCTTCCCTGTTCCTAATCCCCTTTATTTATTAATTACTTCCTCCTCGGTTTAAGTAGCCAATTCGTGAATCAGGCTTTAGTTTTATTTTTTATTCTATTTTATTTTATTTTATTTTTTTGGTATCTACAGGATCACTGACTTCTGTCGATCAGTTCAATTTCCCTGGTTTTTGTGGGATAGCGGGCTTATATGTACGCGAGCTATGTGGTTATATATATAGTATATATAGTTAGGTCTCATAGGCAATAGATAGTATTGGTATCTTGTGCGGAATTTTGGATGGGTTTGTTATACTAGGTTGATAGATATATCCCTAGGTGCGGTATAACAGGGCCTTTTTTTAGAAAGAATAAAAAGAATATCCATTGACTTGGTGATTGTTCTTCTGGTTTGTTCAATTGGTAGATCGTTTTTGCGTCAGGATAGGACAGCAGGGTAGTAGGTGGATATATGTAAACTTCCCTAAACATATAAACAGAAACAGACAGGTAAATCGGTCAGCCCCTTATTCTCACACTTCCAATTCTCCTTCGACCAAATACATCACCCCACCAAGAAGAAAATAACACCAAACCAAACCAGGTAGGTAGATAGATAGATAGATAGGTAGGTAAGTTATGTGGTAAAACTAGTCCGCTCTGACCAGATACAAAACCCCCCAGGTATGAGTGACAAGTCCTGTACTTCACCCACAACACAATTAATATAAAAGCTAAAATAACGTCATCTTCTCTCTCCCTTGCCCGCATTAGCCTTACACAAGCTGGCTGTGACCGAGCTAGTCCGGAGTAGAGTTCACGCATAGACCACATGTCGTAGCCATCTATCCCTTGTCTGGAGTGGGGGGGGGGGTGGTGAAACGACGATTCCATGCTAAATAAATGGTCCGAGGGACCCTGGGCCGGGGGACATGGGGTTTGGGCTGGGGGGTTACACGGGTATGATGATGTGTTTGAAACAACTGAAGTGAGGGTGGGTGGATGGATGGATGGAAATGGGATATATGGGGGTACTAGGTAAGTACTAGGTAATTTTAGAGGGTTGAGGGGCTTGATCATCATAGTAGCTGAAGATTTCTGGAGAAAAGTTTCTGTTTCCAAACAGGTACAGTTTATATAAGTATCGATCGGTATGAACACCCTACCGAAAGACCAGATATATAATATGATATATATAAGTCTTAGATAAGACTAGAAATATGATGATATCCGAACCTCACACCCGGGGAAGTAAATCAATCCGACCCCACAGTCGAGCGATAAGGCTGAAGGGGGAAAGAAAGAAAGGTTCTGGAATGAGGGCGGTCGACCTCCTTGCAGGAGTTGCTGTCGCGATCCCGAGTTAATAGGAATTAAAGTAGGCGCCATCCCCGCCCTGGATGACCCACCAAGCAACAAACTGATGGAGATCGACAGGATCCTCTCAGCCGGGCAGGCTTGGTCCTCTTGGAAGATGCGAGCGGTTGGCTTACTACTATGTAGCTTAGGCGTTCGTGCATGCAATCCTGGACCACACCGATCTTGCTGCTTATGTATAGTTTTTATTTATCTTCTTGCCGTGCGCTGTACCTTGCGTAGTTGAGGGGTGGATTGTGATTTTTTTTTCTGGAAACTTCCGGGGATGTACTAACCTAGGTACTGCCTTAGGTAATGATTAGTATTAGTTACGTACTGTTGGACATGGAAGTTGTGCATTTTGGCAGTTATGCACGGAGGATAAGTTGGTTGGTTTCTGCTGGTCTTATAAGACTGACAAGTCTCCAGCCAAGACACACCAAACTGTGACAGCGGTTGTGAATGTCTCAGTCTGGCTGGCTGGCTGGCTGATAATCAGGTGCATGCAAGAATCAGCAGTGCGATAGGCAGCGACCTGTTACCATCGTAGCGTTGAGACAGGCAGACATATTAATCTTCCATGTTTCATTCTGGTGAGATGGGCGAGCCAATTGGAAGACCACGGATCGCATAGTGCACATCCTTGGTGCAGCTAGAGGGACCATGGATAAACAGTCAGGACTCAGGATAGCAACTGTTATGCCAGGTGTTTGCCAGCCGTATTGCGTATTGCGTATTGGGTCGCGGTTAACAATACCGCTAAGGCATTGGCGTGGCCGAGATGTGGATTAAAAATAACAACGGCCGGGAAACCCACCCGGACTGAGACAGACTGATAGTCTGATAGGTTATGGGACTGATGGATAGATGGATAGATAGACTCCGACTCCGAGCGAGAGTGAAAGTGGGATGCGGAGTGGCTTGCCAGCCAGGCCCATTTTTGGGGGGGGGGGGGGGTCATGATGTCGACAGCAGCCGATCTCAGCAGCGCTCTTCGTTTTGATTGACTGTTAAAAGAGCAGATCGCACGGGATGAGATGAAGAGCGGGTGTCAGACTGGACAGCGCATCCTGGTTGACAATTCATCATCGCACAACCGTTCTTTTTTTTACTCTTCTTTTTTTTTTTTTTTTTTCTCTCGCCTCGTCCCTGAGACGACGACGAAAGGACCATGGGTTGAGGCCAACGAGAGGCTGTTCGTTAGGTGGCTGGGCCGGCGGGCAGAGGATGATTGGCGGGCGGGCGACGAGGGGGGGAGGGGGAGCTGCGTAACACTATCGGTATTTTTATTTTTATGCAGTCGGGGGGCGTTCTTTATTCCTTGGATATACGGTAACGAGGGTAATTCTATTTCCAGTCGACCCTCGTGCTTGTTTGACTTTTCCCGCTGTCTGCCTGCCTGCCTGTCTGCCTGCCTGCCTGCTTGGTGGGGAAGTCCAGAAGAAGACAGCGCAGAGTCGGTCTATATCTACGAGGGTGATGGTGGCAGTCTTTAGGATACTCCGTAGATATCAAGATTCCATGTAGAATGTAGATACGGAGTACATGGATAGACACATGCTTCAGTCCGACAAGAATCATAAATAATATGCATGGATTGACAGCCCCAACCCGTCGGGATTGGATGGGAAGCCGACCACCACCCGGTGATGATCGTCTAGATTCTTCTGGCTGAGTGGCTCTGGGTATAACGCCATCGTCCAACCCCAGCTGATAGGACGCGTTCCAATCGCCATCCATCGGGTCAAACAAGCGTTCCCCTCTGAATTGCGTGGCGCCTGTCGTCAATCCCACTGGCCCTTCCAGTCAAATAGCCTCAATGGCCCTCCTCTGCCGCTACAACTGTTGTTTGGGATTTCTCACTTTGAGGAGGTACTGCTGCTGCTGACTACTGCCTTGTCTCTCTTCACTTCCTTCTTCCTTCCCACTTCCTGTCGATCGCTGTCTGCCTACGGTTGTTTCCCAATTACTAAGAACGGACTGCCTGCACTTCACTCAGTTCTACTAGTAGTACTTCTTTACCTACTCACTGCTAAAGTACTATCGCTGAAAGACAGACGCACGGTCCAGCTTTGTCTTTGCCTGCCCGCCTGCCTTTCTTGCCTGCTTGCCTGCTTGCCTGACAACTGCTTACTGGGTCTGATACATACATACATACAGCGTGCTTGCTTCCAGACCCTCCATCGTCTGCAGACCTTCGCGCGCCGGTCCACCCTTTCTGCTTTCTTGTCTCTGTGTGTGTAAAGGCTAAAGACAGCTTAACGCTTGACGCTCGACTCGCATCCGTCCCACTTCCGAGTGGCAGTCGCAGCAACCACTCCAGAATCGTCCAGACAATCGAACAGAAATCTTCCCCGGAATCCCACGTCCAGACGTCAAATTGCCCCCATCCAGCTCGTGGATCCATCAAAGAACGACTAGCCTCCCCACGTTGGCCGCACGCGCGAGTCTCGTTGGCTGCCTCCGGGCTGCATTCTGAAACTGCGATCCAAAAGGCCCGAGAATCGTCGCGCGAAGATCAGCGTTCATTCCTTGGCGGTTCCCACCGAGATCGTGGTTGCGCTCCACACCGGCCGCCATAGTTCAGAGACAGCGTGCTGCGAAAACCTGCTCCAGCTGTTGGTTATCAGGCGCTAAGGGCGACGGGGTGAGAAATACATAAAATGGCGTCCTCCCAGCCGGTCGCGTCTCCCAGGCATGGTCGGGGTTTCAGTTTTGGCGCAAAGTCAGACCACTCCCAGCAGTCCACCACCTCTGGCAACAGCAAGACCAAGAAGCTCCATCTCACGGAATCCTCTGAAGAGAAGCATCGCCGCAATCTACATTCCAAAGCCGATCCGATGGTTGCTATGAGCGAAGCCCAGCCTAGTACGTATCCGGCTCCCCCCCCCTTTCTCCTTATCGCTCTCTCCCTCGCCCTCCCTGAGTTGTTGCTGGTTATTACTAGACCAATTCAACCCGAGTCGTTGGATTCCCGCCATGTTTTCTGCGTTCCATAATTGCTTCCCCTGGCAAGCCTCCGAACTGACTCGTTCAATCTAGACCTGGTTGCCCTCGAACAGTCGACGCTTGGTTCTTTACGGACCATGCAACATAAGGACCAGTACGGAAACGTGATCAGTGCGTCTCCCGTCGTTCCCTGGCCGGAATGACCCCCTATCCATGGCCTCTTTGCTGATTGCCATCCCCCTTTCCCAATAGCCGATCCCGATCTCTCCAATCCCACTCGCCCCCGGTTTGAGCGCCCGCTCGATACCATCCGGTCTTTCGAGGCGGCGATCTACGGGACATACAGCAGTAGACCTGCTTCCTATGTAAGGACCGGTGAGTCACCCCTTACTCCGGATCACTGGTCCCGCGGTTGACTGACGAGATCACTGAAGATTCGACTCCGGCGACCCCTGGGCCAGATTACAGTCGACGGGGCAGCTACTACAATGGAGGTATTTACTCCGCGACTCCCTTGTCTTGGCGTGCAGTCGCATTGCCAATTGCAGCACTCCCGGGAGGTCCTTGCTAACTCGAGTGATTGTTGCAGCTCAGAATGGTCATTCCAACCGGGGCCATCACGACCAGGGCGGTTATCACAATGGCCGCGGGGCCTATTCGCGACCGGACAGCTATGCCGAGAATGGCAATGGGCAACCTGAGAACTACTACCCGTACAACCAGAATGGCAGTCGACCCAGACCACGCCACCACGCACGGATGAACACTGACCAGAGTGGATATTCGCAACACGGCTACCAAAAGTCGTATGACAACATCACCGCGGCGTCTGGCTCGGGCTCTGGCAGCAACACCGACGCGTATGGCAATTCGACCGATCCGAGCTCTGTGAACAGCTCCATGGACCAGTTCCAACAGCAGCAGCAACAATACCAACAGCAGCAGCAAATGGCAGAAAGCTATGGCTTCCAAGGATTTGGCGGCGGACCCAATCTCGAGGGCCAGGCCAATACCGGTGGACGGATCAACTTTGGCAGCAAGCCTCCCGCGGCAGACCCCAATGCCGGGGGCCCTGTTGGCGGTGGTGGTGGTGCGGCGGCAGCGGCGGCGGCCAACCGTCGTCATCTGCGCAAGGCTACGAATGACTCCGAAATGAGCAACGATAAGAGAAAGAGCTGGTTCAAGCGACGATTCAGCAAGAACTAGCCTGGTTGAGCTGTGCTCCTGACCTGTTCGACGTTGATTGCCTATGTTTCATTCACTGCGTTGTTTTCTGATCATAATTGTATGGGTGTATTACCTCCACGGCGTTCATGATGCTTTTTTTTCCCCCTCCTTCTCAAGCACATTACTGGGAATTCGGCACGGATTGCGTTTGGATTCGATTGAACATTTTCTTTTTTTTTCCATCTTCTTCTTGCATGCGGTTGATGGGTTCATGAGCCACGATACACGGAATGCGAATGCTGCTTTTTGAGTCTTCCCCCCCCCACACCTCACCTTCCCCCCCCCCTGCAACCCCCCCACTCAACCTTGTAACCTTGACGGGACAGGACAGTCTGAATGGTCTGAATGGAATGGAATGGAATGGATGTTTAGTGATACGGGTGAATTTACCGTTCTGAATCATCGGAGCTTTGCTCTGCTCTGCTCTGCTTTACTTTGCTTCACTTTGCTTCACGCTTTCATTGTTGATAATTATGAAACTGGTAGATACAGTATTTAATAGGCCCGTTCAGTCTTTCTTTTCCTGTCGTATCATATCCTATCCCATCTGTTTATCGAGTACGGAGTAGACGCAGACGCAGATGCAGATGCAGATGCAGATGTAGATCCCATCCATCCCATGGGCCGGGCCCGGCCCCTGGCCATCCGATCGATCCTTACACCTATCTAGTATCTACCCAGTACGGAGTACCCAGTACCCCTAGATAGTAGATACCCCTGTCGCTGCCGCTATCCCTGACCGACCCTGACCCTAGCCCTGGCCCTAGCCCCGTGCAATGTGCAATGTGCAATGTACATTATCTGGAACCACAATAACAATCGACACCCCAAAATTGAGATAACCCGCTGATAGCCCGACGCCCAGTCAAACTAGATACTTACCTATCTATCTATCTACCTACCTACCCAACATCTGGCCAAAAGATAAAATATCCCTCAGAGGTCCATGTATGCATGCATGCATGCGTGCGTTTTTTTTTTTTTTTTTTTTTTTTGTTTCTGCCACGCGTCGAGTCAGGGATTGCAATGCAATGGAATGAATGCAATGGAATGTAATGAGTAGACGTTGTTCTATCGCGGTTGATAATTTTAGGGTTGACATCGCATGGATCGGGATATGGATGTGGATATGGAGGTATATATACTAGTAGGTAGGCATAGGCATCGCCGCACCTTACATATGAACGATTGAAAGATGGAGGATGGAGGGGAGGCTTCTAATGACCGGATCTAGTAGGTATTTCAAATGCTTTGTGTTGATGAGATGAGATGAGATGAGATGAGAAATATAGAATTCATGGTCGAATGTTAGATTGTTAAGTAGATAGATTAGATCATTGTTATTCGGAGGGGATGTGGTACTGCTGGATGAGGTGGATGGTATTATTCTCAAGGGATGGATAACTATAGTTTATAGAAAGAATATAAGAAAGGATTAGAATGAGTTAGACTTTTAATTCATAGGTAGGTAGGTAGGTAGGTAGGACCATGCTTCTCATGTAATATGTCCCTAGGTGGCCTACCTAGGTATACGGTAAGTATGTATGATATAGTACCTACCTAGTAGTTAGCAGTATCTAACCCCCCACCCATCTTAAATCATACACATCACATCACATATTGCAAACCATAAATTAACCCTAACCCAATAATAATATCATAAGTAACCATAAACCAACGACAACAGGGAATCATAACATAACACAAAGCCAGCGAAACCAACATTATCCCCCTCCCCCCTTCCTCCTCCTCCTCTTTCCCCCTCTTCTTTACACCTCCTCCACTCCACCCAATTAATTACCTTTCCACCCACGACGGGATGGGATGGATCAGATCACTTCTTTCCAAAAAGCTTATACTTCAACCGATCCGCCAATCCATCATGACCAGGCTTGTTCTTCCTCTCCTCCTTCTCTTTCTGGTGCTCCTCGTCTAGATGGACGTTACCTTGTCCGCCGCGCTGGGAACATTGAATTCGAATCGCGTTAGCGTTTTCTCTTCCGAAGCCATACCCATACTCTTTGTAACGTAACGGGGGTAGGAAGAGGGCCATGGGAAGGTAAGGTAGGAAAGACAAACCCCAGTATGATAATCCCCGTCCACGGACGGTCGCACCGCCAGTTCGGGGATGTATTCCGCGTCGTGCGGGACCTTGGATGTGGGCCGGACGTGCGGGGAGCCGATGTTGCCGGCACCGCCGCGCTGGGGGGGTGTTAGTTCACAGTTGTTTATATTGTGTGGTTTTGTCTGGCGTTGTGTGGTGCTGGGTTGGATTGGGGTGGAAGATGAGGTGGGCTGGCTGGGATAGAATTGGGCGCTTACACCGGCGGAGTAGGCGCCGTCGCCTTGGTCACCGTAGACGCCTTCGCGGACGATGCCGCCGTCGACGTATCTGGGTGAGTTAGTGGGGCGTTTTGTAGATGGAGGGGGAGGGGAGACGTACTCGGTTGGGTCGGCACCGATGTTGCCTTGGCCTGCGGGGTGATAAGTGGGTTAGAGAGGAGAGGAGAGAGTGGGTGTGGTGATGGTGGTGGTGAGGATGAGATAGAGGGTGGGATAGGGGTGTAGATAAGAATAGGATAGCAGTTTGGGAATAAGAAGGTATGGAAGATGGAGAACGCGCACCTCCTCGGCCGTGGGAGACGATGGGCTCGTGTTCGCTCATGGTGGGTCGTAGTTCTAGTTCGGAGATGACTAGTTAGTAATGAATGCGATAGTGGTGTTGAGGGGATGGAGAGGAGACGGCGCACGTACGTCGTTCTGATGCGATCAGCAATGCGCCTGTAGTGCAGTTCGTCGCGAGTCCGAGTGGATGAGAAAAAAGCGCGAGGTGGCGGGGATATGCAGGGGAGGATCGTATATAAAGCGAGGCCGTCAGTGCCTTACCGTCTTGGGTTGGATCGCAGCCACGGGGGGCGACCACGAGACGGGCTAGAGCGCCCTGGAAGACCAACTCAATAATCCATCCCTGCCAATTCTAGCCATCCTCACGAACCCTTAGGCTTTATCATCCGCTCCACTCATCCATCTATCTATCTATCTACACTCCGTAGATACTCCGTGAGTCCAGCTGCTGCCGATGACGTCGGAGGGCTGATAAGATGCAGGCCCGCATTGGTCCGAGGCGTGACTAAAGGGTTCGCTCGGCTGGGCCCGCGCGTTTATCACCGGCCTCGGGCGTTGCGGTGCGTTCAGGGGTTTCCGCGGGCTCGAGTCTTAGATATAGATATAGATATCTACTACCGGAGTGTGTCTGTGAGACGAACTCAAAATCATGCTACACAATAATACCTAATGGCTTGAGGTACTTTACGGTACACAGCTAGTGTGACCTCCCACATTCTACAGCACCCGCTTCCGGATCTACAATTTCGCGACGGATCAATCGCTACCAGAATCCAGATCACTTCGATCATTTCTTCTCCGCGGGGGGTCCTCCGCCGGTGGTTGGCAGACCCATGAAGATCTTGAATGAGTCGTAACTGTCAAAAGTTAGCCACTGTCTGCCTATAGAGGGAAGCACCGGGGCGGGGGCCAAAAGCGATACGTACATCATCCACTGCAGTCCGGTCTATAGAGAAGTGGTTAGCTACAGTTCATGCCCCAGACAGGGACACACTTACCAAAGTTCCAACCATCACAATACGGACCGGGAGGCCGTTCCAGAGACCCCGGAAGCCAATGTCCTTGTAGATCCGGCTTGTCGCGGCCCCAAATGCCTCGCCAGGCTTGCGGTTCGCATTTAGCTTGCTGACCATCACGTCGGCCGGGTGAGAGATGGCAGCGCAAAGAATACCCGCCAGGTAACCACCCGTGAAGGCAACTCCAGTCTGTGCGCCCTTGTTGTAGTCGGACTTCTGGCCCGGCAGGGCGTTATAGATCATCTCGACGATGGTTTCGAAGGAAGCGAACTTCATCATGGTGTACGGAATCTGTCGTCCCCAGAGAGGGTAAAGTCCTTTGTAGAGACTGTTCCGGTCAGTGGCTATTCCCCGTCTGTCATGACTGACCTTGCTTACCCGGACACGCCTTCTTTGCTAACAATGCCCGAGATTCCAGTGAAGGTTGACCGGATATCCGGCGGAATAGTCGTCTGCATGCGCACTTTGACGGATTCAAACGGGCAGAGGGCTACATCGGCGATGATCTCCGCTGATGCACTGGCTGCCAGGTACAGGGACGTCTTCCATCGAGCCGCATTCTCAACCCCGACAAGGTCGCTGTAGAACTTCTTGAAGTACTCATAACCACCGTACTTGAACGCTCCTTGGGCCTTGGGACTAGTCAGTAGGCAGGGTTGGGATCCAGTTGCCTTGGCTTACGCTGTATCCGAAGAAGGTTGGCCCCCAACCAGTGAACACGCCTCGAAGGCCCTCTGCACCGCGGATTTTACGGAACGCCTCCGCATTGCTCTTGTAAAGAAGAGGGTCGACCTGGCGACGGCACTTGATCAGGTCTAGGGGGGTCACAGCAGTGTGAGTGATACCCTATAAACATACAAGCTATTAGTACAGACATGCGACGAGCTGGTTTGATAGTTCTCAGCAAATCACGAATGGTGACTCACGCAGGCCAGAATTCCACCGAATGTGCAAGCCGCATAATACTTGGGAGTCCATGGTTCGATCTTGCCGGCCTTCGCTTGGGCTTTTTGGCTGGCAGCATCGATCTCCCGGGTCGCTTCTTTGGCGATAGCATTGGCCTTGTTCTTGGTATCCTCAACAACGTTCCAGGCGGGGAACAGCTCCCGCCTCTTTACTCCCGCCGCTTCCGGTGTCTGGGGCTGTTTGGGCTGACCCAGAGGATTCTGGGGCGCGAACGCGCTGGCGATATCACGATCGGAGGGAAACATGACTGGCAGCAGTTATCTAGGTCCGTCCGAAGCCTGTTAGAACATTTTCAATGAAGTATATGTGTGTTGGGAGATGATGGGGACACTGTACCCACGTCACTGATCTATACAAGCGGGTCCACTCTGATAGCCGCGGGGTGACCGTTGGAAGCTTGGAAGACGATGAATGCACCGGATAGTCAAACCCTTTTATACGCTCTTCGATCGATGAGCTTGATCAAGGACAGCCCAGCTAGCAGTCACTAGTCAAAGACGTGATCAGTGGCTGTGATTTGAAAGGGAGGAGACGGACGGGTCAGGCTGCAGTTGGATCGATCCTTCATGACGTCGCATACAAATACGCCGGGACTAGCCGCTTTGGGGCATCCCACCAACTGGCCGGTCCGCAAATTCGGTCTAATTGGAGCTGTTCTTATGACTGAACTCGGATAGTCGGAATCCATTGTCTCCTGCAAAGTACTAACTACTAGCACCACTACCTTGCGAACTACCTCAGAGCAAGCAACCATCGCGTCTCGCCTTGTTCAATTCCACTTTCTCCTGCAGGATCGAGCTAGATCGATCGCTTCACGGCCGTCCCGTCCGTCAATTGAGCGCCCGCCTGAAACCTCACTTCCCGTGCCCCTCATCGAGTCATCCATCGCCAGGTGATCACAACCACAACCACCACAACCAAGCAACATGGCCTCCTACTTGACCGCCACTGAGGCGCTGTCTCAGCAGCAATTCGCCCAGAACGCAGACCTTCCTGCGTCCCAGGCCACATGGGCGAACAAATACCGTGGAGTCAGTGCCCGCACCCTCCTGAGAACCCGCCCTTGCCCCGAAGACCAGCTGCTAACTAACCCCCCATCTAGGCGACTATCGAGGACTTGGACCCCCCTCCGGCGCTGTCCGTCTCCCCGAGCGATCTTATCTCCACCGCCATGCTCGCCGCTTACGAACGTGATTACACACACCTGACCGTCACCTCTTCCTCGAAACGATCCCTTCTCGGATACCTGAGCATCCCGCGGCTAAAGGAGCTGCTCAAGGAAGGCGCCGTGAAGGAGAGCGACTCGGTGGCCGTCGCCATGCAGCGCTTCAACCGGAAGCGGGGCACTTACCAGGTCATCACGATGGAGACGCCCCTCGAGGAACTGGAGCGTTTCTTCGAGAGCGAAACGGGTCCCAACGGGGAGCAGCGCCCCAAGCAGACTTTCGCCGTCGTCACGGATGCGTCTCGGAAATTCGTGCTGGGCGTGGCGACCAAGGCGGATTTGGAGGAGTTTGTCAAGCGTAGACCGGCGTAGTGGGCTGCTGGTGGATCGGGTCTCCTTTGCTTCTTTTTGTGTCTTTGCATCTTTATGGAATCCTGCCTGTGCATTTTTCTAGGCGCAGCTATTGAACATGAACTGAATATTATTATTCCCCTTGAAGGTCTTTGAATCGGAGTCTAGTTTATGAAATATTATTGTCGGTGACTTGGTGGCGTCTGTCATCCTGTACATCTATCTATCTCTAAACCCTTTCTGGTTACGTTTCGATAAAAATGGATAAAATATCTCCAGGTCCGAACATCTGCAGGATTATTGACATCATACTCTGACATTTTGATAAAACCCGACAACCGCACCACATAATCAGCTGTCCATGAACGCCCAAACTAAAACAAACACCAGGTACTGTACGCAAAGCAAGTTGAAACGGCAATACATTACCAGACATCGCGGACGCGCTGAGCCTTACTGCGCTTTCTTCTCCTTCTGCTTTTGCTCGGCTTCTCTCTCCGCCTGGTCATCCTTCCACGCGACAAAGATGTATGCGACGAGGACCACATTGGCCATGATCGCAGCAACGATACCGCCGACAGTTGCGCTCGCTACACCGTTTCGTCAGTACAGCTGGGGAAAAAACGGGGAGACAGCGAACACAGGGGGGGGGGGGGGGGGGAAGTAGTTCCGAGGAGGGATGAAGGGATGGGATGGGATTGCTTACTACCACCAACGTTCACAGTCACGAAGTACATCCCAATAGGCACAAAAATCATAGCCACCGAGAAGAAGGCCAGTTTCATGATCACATTACTAGATACATAGGGAGTCAGGGAGTCAGTAAACAATGTTCCGCGTGCGCGCGCGCTAATTATAGAAGTATTATTGTCTCTGTCGTTGTCTGGTATATCAACTTGGGCTGAGTTGTCAATGGATAGATAGACAGATCCCTTGGTTGTAGCTTCCCAAGTAGCGGCCACATGGCATGGTGCTTCCGCCGCATCAGACGAATAAGACGCACTTACGTGGGAACTGCAGGGGTCACATCTGAGTCAGAGACCTTCTTCCCCGAGCTGGAAGGGGCCGCAACCTCCTTGGGCGGGGTCTTCTCTGCGGAGCGACGGCTGGCCATTTTGATACACGATGGGGAGGGTATCTGTTTATGCAAACAAGGGAAAGAACAAGGCGCGGTGTTGGTGGGGAACTCAAACCAAGGGCGGGAATTTGGTAGTTGGGTTGTTGTGTATCTCGGACACGGCTCCTGGATGGGTCCTGACGGGGATTTGTGCTAATGGTACTCTGTAGTCGTGATGGCATAACATTGAGCTCGGGGGGCTTTTATACAGCGGATGAAATCATCCCGACTCGAGTGAATGGCGGCTGCTGATTGGTCCGTGCGCGGAGGGGTTTCTGCCCGGGGTTCGAAGTAGATACTCGATAGATACTCGATACTCGAGAGAGACTACTACTGCTAGTATATTGGAGGTGTCAGTGCTGCTGCTAGGTGCAGCCTTGCTGGTTCTTCCGACTAAAGGAGTATAAAAGGGCGTCTCTCCCTTGCGGGCGCCACTATAGTCTCAGTATTATAAGTGCAACTGCCTTCCTCGGCTTTAATTGAAGCGCCAGGCCACGTGACCGGTCGCGTCCCGGGCGCGTTTGCGGAGAAAATCATCGTTCGCTTCCATCTCGAAGGAGCAGTTCGTTCGCTCGTTCGCTCCCTCCCCTTGGCTCCTGTCCCCGGGCATGACGCCACTCGCTCGTCCGCCTGCCATCACTGCCTCCCCCCGACCATGGACATCGACGACACTGTTCCCGACACCCCCGTGAGGGACAGAAAAGTCATCCACAGCACCCCAACCAAGGACGAGGCGGAATATGAGACCGTTGCCACCGTGCCTGTCCCCAATTTCCAGCCACTCGCTGCAGCACACGCCCAAGCACAATCTTTGACTCCTGCATCCCAGCAGCGCTATACCCAACCCACCCAACTGCTGGAGGTCCCTTACTCTGCAAAGAGCAATTCCGTTGTACAGGTCGCCGCTTCCTCCCCCCCAGCTCCTACCTCCTCCCCCTCTCGTCCCACCATGAGCGGCGGTCATTTCTCCAATATGATGGCCCCGGCCGGCACCAGCTTTCGCCCCCCCGCCGCCTCAGGCCCGGCAAAGCGTGCCCCCGTGATCGACCTGGAAGACGACGGCCCGACCTATCGCGGCGGTTCGTCCGACGAGGACGCTCAGATGCTCAGAAACACCGACATCAAACCCGCCATGTTCGCCAAATCCTCGCGGAGCCCCGAAAAAGTGGTCGATTCCCCCATGGATAAATTCAAGGAGATTACCGCTTCCGCCGTTTACAACCCCTCCGGTGTCAAACGCTCTGCCTCGCAGATGGACCCGGCGCCCAAAGGCGTGGCCATGAAGAAAGCCCGCCAGGATGGCCCCTCGCGCGCTCAACCGGTCGGTACCACGATCTCGTCGCTACAGGACATTGAAGACTACCAGGTCAGGGTCAAGGTGGAGAGGATGTTGAAAGTTTTGCCGCAAAAGTCTGTTCACGCATGCGTGCAGGCGCTTCTCTCGAAACGCGGGAACTTCGAGAACGCCCTGGAACACCTGGCGGATTCAGACGAAAAGGGTGTCTCTTCAGAGGACGAGTTGAACAAGAGGACATCGCCGGTTGCGCCGGCGAAGCAGCAGATTAAGGCTCGCGGGACCATCCAGGACAAGTGGTCAGCTATGAACATACAAAGGACACTGTCTTCTCAAAAGCAGCAATCGCAGCCCGCGCAAGCTTCGGACGATGAGTCCAAACCGCGGCGGCGATTGATGAGAGGGCCCAAATCCCGTGTGTCCTCCCCTAGTCCCGCCCCCAGTCCGGCTCGCGCTGCACCTCCTTCCGAGACGCCGGCCAAGAAACCCGGTCGCCTGGTCCAGGGACGGAAGCCTGTATCGCCTCAGCGGTCGGAGTCCCCCGAGGCCGCAATTATATCGGATGACTCTGATTCCGCTATGGAAGAGCCGCAGGAAGATGGGGAGCTGTCGACAAAGGTTTTGAAATTCTTCAACACTTGCAGCATTCTGGAGCTTGCTGATCTTGCTGCCATCACCGAAGATATTGCTCAACATGTCATGTCGTTTCGACCGTTCAAAAACTTGGAAAAGGTTCGCGCTGTCCCGCCCCCGGCAAAGGAGGAGACGAAGCCAAAGGGTAGCCGTGGCCGTAAAACGCCAAAGCCGATCGGTGATAAGATCGTTGATAAATGCTGGGATATGTGGGTGGGCTACGAAGCGGTGGATTCTTTGGTCGCGCAATGCGAGGCTTTGGGAAAACCAATTGCGGCGGAGATGAAGAAATGGGGTGTGGACATGTTCGGAAAGAAAGACGGGGAGCTGGAGCTGGTATCCATCAACCCCAGAGATACTCATTCCCAGTCCCATGACTCCGGGATCGGGACTCCTGCTAGCCAGCGTTCGGACGAAGACAGCGATGGGCCTGCGCCTGGGGCGCGAAAAAGCCGTTTCATCGGTCAACCTGGGATCATGCGTGATGACTTGAAGATGAAGGACTATCAGATCGTGGGTATCAACTGGCTGTCTCTTCTCTTTGAGAAGGATTTGAGCTGTATTTTGGCCGACGACATGGGTCTTGGAAAGACCTGCCAAGTTATTGCCTTCTTAGCGCATTTGTACGAGAAGGGTATCAAAGGGCCACATCTCATCGTTGTGCCATCGTCCACCATCGAGAACTGGCTCAGAGAGTTTCAGAAGTTCTGCCCGACACTCTCAGTCATGCCTTACTATGCCAACCAGAAAGAGCGGGCGGAGATTCGAGAAACGATCGAAGACAACAGAGACAGTATCAATGTTGTAATCACCACTTACACCATTGCCAAGGGCAAGGTTGATGCGCACTTCCTCCGCAACATGCACTTCTGCGCCTGTGTCTTTGATGAGGGGCACATGTTGAAAAGCAGTACCTCGGTTCTTTACGAGAAGCTGATCAGAATTCGCGCTCGTTTCAGGCTGCTTCTGACAGGCACACCTCTGCAGAACAATCTCCAGGAATTGGCATCTTTACTAGGCTTTATCCTCCCGAAGGTATTCCAAGAACGCAAAGAGGACCTTCAGTATGTCTTCGCGAACAAGGCAAAGACAGTCGATGAGTCGCACTCGGCTCTTCTTTCCGCGCAGCGCATCGAACGAGCCAAGTCGATGCTGAAGCCATTTGTCTTGCGACGAAAGAAGCACCAGGTCATTGATCTGCCTGCAAAGATATCACATGTGGAATACTGCGAGATGAACGCTGCGCAGCAAGCAATCTATGATCACGAACAAGAGGAGGTGCGCAAGCTGTTGGCCGATCGAGCGGCCGGGAAGAAGACGGGCAACAAATCCGCCAACATCCTCATGAAGCTCCGACAGGCAGCCATCCACCCGCTGCTGTACAGGCGTCATTACGACAACCCCACTCTGAGCCGCATGGCGAAGGCCTGCCTGAAAGAAGAGCAATGGTCACTGTCTGATCCTGATGTTATTTACGGCGAGCTTCAAGCATACAATGACTACGAATGTCACAGCATGTGTGTTTCGAATCCCCGTTCGCTGGGCAAGTTTGCACTGAAAAACAACGAATGGATGGACTCCGGGAAAGTCGACAAGCTCTGCGAGCTACTTAAGCGGTTCCAAGAGAATGGTGATCGGGCATTGGTCTTCTCGCAATTCACGTTGGTCATGGACATTCTCGAGAACGTGCTCGAAAACCAACACATCGGGTTCGTCCGGCTCGACGGAAGAACGAACGTCGAAGACCGCCAATCGATCCTGGATGCGTTCCACGAACGAACCGAAATCCCAGTCTTCCTTCTTTCGACCAAAGCCGGCGGTGCGGGCATCAATCTGGCCTGTGCCAACAAGGTCATCATCTTCGACTCGAGCTTCAACCCCCAGGAGGACGTCCAGGCCGAGAACCGCGCCCACCGCGTCGGCCAGACCCGCGACGTGGAAGTCATCCGGCTCGTGACCAAAGGCACAATCGAGGAGCAAATCTACGCCCTCGGCCAGACCAAGCTCGCGCTCGATCACGCCGTCGCTGGCGAAGACGCCGCGGACTTGAAGAAGGCCGAAGACGAAGGCATCAAAGCGGTCGAGAACATGGTTCTTGCCGATATGAAAAACGAAAAGAGCGATGACTCTTGAAGAATTGCCTTTTTTTTTTCTTTTTCTCATGTTAGACCATAAAACATATACAGGGCTTCCATCTAGTTCTTTTTCTTTCGTCTCATGTACCCCTCTCATGTATCCTCCATTGTATCTGATCTTTTTTTTGTTACTCTCGTGGCATCCATCTAATGCACATGGCGCCAGCGATCTGTTGATTTGGTTATTTTGACTTGACCCCTTTTGAAATAACCTCTTCAGAGCGAAAAGATATGTCTTCTTCTATAGATGTTTGGCCATAGGGGTGTGGGGTTGGGTTGGGTTGGGTAGAGCTGGATAGAGTTGGGTAGGTCGCGAAGGGGAAAAGCCCATCTATCATCGTTTCGTGTCGGGATAGAACATCATCATATAAACTGCATTAATCTTGGCTTGTTTACAATGTCTTGTTGTTTTTATGAGACTTTCTTTCTGTTTAAATGGGAATGATAGGTCGGTTTCAGATACTTTTCTTTTTTGGACTATGTATGTATGTAGCCTTTAGGATGGGCTCCTCCCTTCTATCATGAACACTCCACGCCGTGGGAATCTATAAGAAATGCAAAGACTTGACCAAATCCAAAGAAGGAAGGAAAGAGAAAAAAAATTAACACCAGATAAATGCAACACTTGAGGATCAAGGTGTAGAAGGAGTGGTCATAAAAGGAAAGAAAGAAGAGAGAAAAAAAAATAAGAAACAGCAAGAAAAAGTATGCACATCAACGAACTCATTACATCAGCAGTGAGAAGATCAGAATATCGGTGTCCGTAGAGAACTAGGCCGCCAATTCCTGCTTCTGCGCGGCCTCAGGAGCGGGGATAGAAGCATCTACCTCCGGTTCGGTTTCTTGAGGCTTCGACTTGGTAGGGATGGGGATGTTGTTGGTGCGGATAGGGCCTCTGCTGACAGCGGGAGAGGTAGATTTCGACCTGGACGCACCGCCCGCCGCGCGGGCAGATTCATTGTTCTCGATTGCATTCTGCACGGCCTTGCTGCGGGCATCTTGGAGGTTGAGTCCCTTGGTGGTGACCGACTTATCAGTGAGGTCGAGGATCTCGTCCACGCGCATAGCAGCAGGTATCAGATCGTCGTAGCCCAACGCATGGCACGCATCGGCGTACGACCTCGCGGCCTTCGCAATCTTGCCCTCCTCGGTTTTTCCCGGGACGAGGATGTTGAGAAGATACTTCGAGTTGCCGAACCGGTTCTCCGACTCCAGACAGAACTTCATGTACTGATGCACGACCTCCTTCCAAGGCAACAGACCGCCCTCGGCCTCCGTGCGAAAGCACGACGAATTCGCCTCCGCAGCCGTCGCAATCATCGCCCCGTCGACCCCGTACTCTTTCATGAACGCCAGCGCCTCGTCCTTCGACGTCACATCCCCGTTCATCACACACGCCACCCCAGCATCGTGACAAATCCCCGCGATCATCCGTAGCTGGTCGCGGATCGCGCGCTCGCGCGGCCGCATCGGCGTCGTCCGACAATGCACCGTCAACCCGGTGATCCCCGTCTTGACGAGCCGCGACACCAACGCCTCCGTCAACTCGGGCTTATCCAAGATGCGAATCTTCACGGAGATGCCGATCTGGAACGGCGTTCCGACCTCGCGCACCAGTGACTCCAAAATCGCCACCAGTTTATCCGGCGTCTTCAGCAGCGCGGCGCCCATGCCCCCGCTCGTACTGAACGGCTTCGGACACCCGGAGTTGACATCGATGCCGGCCACATCGCCCGCGACGAGCTTCGCCGCCGCGACGGCGATCTCGGGCGTCGCGGTGCCGATCTGGAAGATGAGTTTGCCTTTCTCGCGCACAGGATCCAGGCGGTAGATGACGTTCTCCTGGATTGGCTTGTCGTCCTTACGTCCGCCGTTCGACGGGGTACGGGTGAATTCGATTGTGCCGTTGCGGGGGTTCACGCGACGGACGGCGCCGGCGATCGCGCGGTCGATGGTTTCCGGTCCCCAGACTAGGTCGGCGCCGTATTTCAGTGCCAGCAGTCGAGAGGGCAGTTCGCCCGACCGTACCATCGGGGCGAGGGCCACGACGCCACGGTAGTCGACCCCGTTCGCGGGGATGGGGACTCGGGGGTTGGTCATTGCGGTACGGAGAGCGGTGCGGAGAATTCTTAGCATAGCATTATTGGGTAGAGAGGGTTGTGGAGAAGGTTTCTGGTGGGGGGTGTTTGTTTGGTGCGTTGAGTGAGTGTGGGAGATGGAGATGCGCCTTCAGTGTTGGGAGTATGGGGTTGAAATCGAGAATCGAGATCGCATACTTGGGAAAGCCGGTGGAGGCGAGGCGAGGCGAGGCGGAGACCAGCGAAAAACTGCCGGGGTCACGTGGCGATAAGAACTTTTTTATTCTTCTCGGTTCTAGATAGAGATGTGTCATGTGACCTAGGGGAGTTGAACACTCTCGGAATGGAATTTGCATCGAGCGTTCAAGCTTGACATAGGCAAAATTGTCTCTTTCTGGGAATTAATATGGCTTCATGTATGCTTCTCGCCACTGGCGCTTTCTCTGGGTTAGGCGTGGGACTAGTATCCAGGCACTTACTAGTAATTGCCTGAAAGCCTCAGGTTATTAAATCAGGTTTGACCTCACGAACATGAACACTCCTGAAAAACAAAGTTGATCGAGCGTTCAAGCTCAAGATAGAGAGAAAGTACTATTCCTGGAATTTGCTATAGCTTCATGCAGCTCCCTTCATACCAGAGCCTTGTTTGGAGTAGGCCTGGGTCCAGACTTGGATGTTATGGTGTAGCCACTACTACTGACGGCCTGAGGCCGAAATCAGGCAACCCCAGAGAAACCAACACTCCTGAAAAGTAAAACTGATCGAGCGTTCAAACTTGAAATAGCCTGAAATCTCCTTCTCTGGAGGCCACTTGGGCTTCACGTAGATTCTTCACCACTGGCTTTTGGGGGGGGGGCAGACTCCATGTTTTCACTACTAGTCACGACGCGCGTGGTCATGGTATAGAACCTGGTGATCATAACAAAAGAATATTCTTGAAGAATAATTTCCATGAAGTATCTAAACTAGAGATAGCTAGTCTGTGCTATTCTTGGCAGGCAATTTTGGATTTTGCACATCATCCCCGACTCTTCATCTGGATGGACTATACAGGGCCTCTGGTTGTCAGTATACAACCAGCGGACCTCCGGCGTTGAGACTGTTATATAACCTGCAAACCAACACCCCAGAAAAATTTTTTCTCATCTAGCGTTCAAAACTGGAGATAGACAATTTACACTGTTTCGGGGAATCAACTTTGGCTTCACCTGCTTTATCATTGCCAGCTCTTCATCGCCACCCAGCGGGCTGGAGGGTGTAAGTTAAAACCAGGTGATGTATCTCAATACTGTTATTTAATCTTAATCTCCACAAAAACAAACACTCCTGGAAAAAGTTTCTGATCTAGCGTTCAAAACTGGAGATAGGCAGATTACACTGTTTCAGGGAACCAACTTTGGCTTCATCTTCTTCATCCCCAGCTCTCGTGTGGAAGGCCGGCAGGCTGTAAGTTATTATCAGGTGACGTGTAGTATTACTGTACTATCACCTAAAAAAATAAACACTCCAGAAAATAATTTCTGATCGAGTGTTCAAAGTTGGAGATAGCCAGAATACACTATTTCGGGGTGGCAACTTTGGCTTCATCTGCTTCATCTGCTCTATCCCCAGCTCTTCGCCTGGGCGGCTCGCAGGCTGTAATATTATAGTCAGGTGACCTGTCTCATTACCGCCACGTGACACCAAAACACGAGCATCATAGAAGAGAATCCCTGATTATCCTGGCAATAGGTAATATTTCATACTTCAAGGCAAGCGAATTTGGCTTCATCCGCGTTTTCTCGTCCCCAGTGTCTTCATTAGCATCTTTAGGTGGGCAGAAAAGAACTCTAGTCGGAATCAAGTCGATACTGAGGACTGTCATGTGACTGGTAAAAAGAATAAACACTCCAGAAAAAGATTTCTCATCGAGCGGTTAAGGGTAGAATTGGCCAGAATTGCTGTTTTAGGCAGACAGTCCAGCTTCATGCTTTCAATCTATACAGTCAACGGTTCAGCTATGGGATGAGGAGTAACTTCTCTGTACGGAGTACAAGGCCGCCCTTTTGAGGGTGAAGGGGACGACAGTCTTATGTGACATAGTAAACAAATGAACACTCCAGAGAAAACTTTTTGATCGAGCGTTCAACGCTGGGATAACCAGAAACTACTATTTCTGGCAGTTCGTATAGCTTCATGCTACAAGCTATAGGGTCAAAAGTACCAAGTTTACTTCTGGAGCCAGTCATGAGGCCGACAAAACAGGCGAACACTCCTAAGAAAACCTTTTGATCAAGCGTTCAAAGTTGGGATAGGCAAGAATTACTCTTTTTGGCAGTTACTACGGCTTCATGTCTCAAGGCATGCAATATGACTCCAACAATGGATGTCAAGTCATGCTCTGGGGCCAGTCATGAGGCCTACAGAATGGGCGAACACTCCTGAGAATTTTTTTGATCGAGCGTTCAAAGTTGGGATAGAGAAACATTCCTCTTTCTGGCAGAAACCTCAGCTTCAAGTATTCAATCAGCTGAATCCTTCATGATAGGGCTTACCAAGTTGATCTACTTGCTGGCTGTCATGTGACCTATGAAATGAACAGACTTGAGAAAAGTTTTTGATCGAGTGTTCAAAGGTTGGTATAGAGAAAAACCACTAATTCTGGTAGTAACCTTGGCTTCAGGATCAATGGGATGACCAAGAGGCCTACTGGGTGACCGTCATGTGACGTAGAAAATGAACAGACCTGAAAAAAGCTTTTGATCCAGCGTTCAAAGTTGGGATGAGCAGAATTTGCTGTTTCTGGCAGTTACTTCGGCTTCATATCTAAGCCATTGGATGCACCCTCGGTTGCATGTGCCAAATTGCCCGCGTGGACCTCTCCTCTCAGGGGGATCCTGTGACCTCGAAAATGAGCATACAGCAAATGAAAAGCTGGTCGAGTGTTCGAAGCTCGAACGGGTGGAGATGGTCCTCTTGAGGAAATGTCTTCGGCTTCATATTCTCATCCCTAGCCCGGGTCATGGAGGAGAAACGCGCTGATAGAAGCAGCCAACACTCTGAAAAAAATCTTTCTGATCGAGTGTTCAAACTGGAGATAGCCGCTGATTTCCCTTTTAGGAAGTGACATCAGCTTCATCTACTCTGTACACTGCTGACGAGTGAATATGGGGCACTGCTTGTCTGTGTTGTCCCTGGTCACGTGATGGCATTAGGTGGTATTTTATACAATGTATTGTCGTTTGACTGTACGGGTACCTGCCAAGACTGCCAAAACCCCCGGTGTCGCTATCAAATTGTCTCTGGTTCAGTCGATGGGGTTTCATGGTATCAAAGTCTATAAACTACAGTTGTTACAGTAGGCTTCTTGCAACTTGCAAGAATATCTCTTTGTAAGAGTATCCCCAAGGGCTCCGATCGCAATCCACTATGTCGCAATCACCGGCCAGTCAGATCACGGAGGGAAACAGTTGTGGGAACGCCTTGAGTGGTGGAGTCGATCCAGCCAGTAATTCTTCACCGAAGAGTCTGGATTGAAATCAACCCAGATGACGAGAAACGCAGGTTGACTGAAGTCTCTGTCGTATGATGCTGGACGTGTGTACACAGTATACGCAAATCTATCTAGGTATCATGCCGGGAGTGACTCTGGCCTGAGAATTGGATGTTCTCAAAGAAGAGGAAGCCGACCGAGGAGGGTCAGGGGGGAAGATCTTCCAATGCGTCCAGCGGTAACCGTAACAACCCTTCAAAATACACAACCGTAGCAGCAGAACCCGAGGTCGTCTGGGTCCTTTCCCGACCGATTTTCCTTCCCGGCCGTCCCATCCCCTTCCCTTTTATACCTCGTCTGCTAGAGTCCGCTGTCCGGCGAGCCATTCCACCCTGCCAGGTTGCCAATTGAACCACTCAACCCGGGGCTCGTCTCTTGTCACCGTCAGACGGTCAGACTTCAATGATCCGGGGTATCTGGAGCCGTAGCAGCAGCCGCCACTGCAGCCCCATTGCGACCAAGGGAGGCCGTCCACTGAGCCGGTCGCCCACCGCCTGTCCGATCCTCGCGCGCACTGGCTGTTCGCCCGTCCTTCGCACATCCGCAACGCTGGCTCCCCCCACCAAACAAGCCCCCCCCTCCCCTCCCCTCCTCTCTCTCTCCTTCTTCTTCCTCTCCTCTCTCTCCCTCCCTCTCCTCCCCAGCTTTGTCTCCCTCCTCATCTTGTCGAGTTGATCGTTCGGTCTCGTCCGCCTCAACTCGTGCCGCTCTTCTTTCTAGACACTTTGCCACGTCCGCTGCCCCGCAACCGCCCACCATGTCCTACACCGTCCGCAACATTGGCCAGGCCAACACCCTGGAGAACCGCGTCTACATCGAGAAGGATGGCCAGCCCGTCTCCCCTTTCCACGACATCCCCCTCTATGCCAACGAGCAGCAGACCATCCTCAACATGGTCGTTGAGATCCCCCGCTGGACCAACGCCAAGCAGGAGGTACGGGTGCCCGAAGCCCCGCGGAGGGCCTGCCTTGTCGCAAGACTTCGAAATACTGATTCGCGATCCAGATCTCCAAGGAGGAGTTCCTCAACCCCATCAAGCAGGATGTGAAGAAGGGCAAGCTCCGTTTCGTCCGCAACTGCTTCCCCCACAAGGGCTACCTCTGGAACTACGGTGCCTTCCCCCAGGTATGTGTGGCGTGCCACGGTGTTCGAACACCCCCCCTGTATGACCTGTGCTGACGGTCAGCGTAGACCTGGGAAGACCCCAACACTGTCCACCCCGAGACCAAGGCCAAGGGTGACAACGACCCGCTCGACGTTTGCGAGATCGGTGAGCTCGTCGGCTACCCCGGTCAGGTCAAGCAGGTTAAGGTCCTCGGTGTGATGGCTCTGCTCGACGAGGAGGAGACCGACTGGAAGGTCATTGTCATCGACATCAACGACCCCCTGGCTTCCAAGCTCAACGACGTTGAGGACGTTGAGCGCCACCTCCCTGGTCTCCTCCGCGCGACCAACGAGTGGTTCCGTATCTACAAGATCCCCGACGGAAAGCCCGAGAACCAGTTCGCCTTCTCCGGCGAGTGCAAGAACAAGAAGTGCGTTTTGCTGCTCCAAGAATTTTCTGTCAGCGCACATCCAAGCTAACGTGTCAATCTTGCAGGTACGCTCTGGACGTCATCCGCGAGTGCGCCGATGCCTGGGAGAAGCTCATCTCTGGCAAGTCTCCCAAGGGCGATATCAGCATGTAAGCACTCTTCATTTTTCCTATTACTGAGACATCTTTGCTGACTGATCATAGTGCCACCCACGCCGCTGAGGGTGTTGAGCGCGCTGATCCCGCTAAGGTCGCCGCCATCCCCAAGGGCGAGAACCTCCCCCCTGCTCCCATTGACGGCAGCGTTGACAAGTGGTTCTTCATCTCCGGTGCTGCTGTGTAAATTTATGCCAGATCAAAAATTTAAAATACCACTTATCACCTTGGGGTGAACCTTTTCATATACCTCCCTCTGGGTCTTGAGCGTACATTACCGAAGACGCAATAAACATGTGGGCCTCTAGTGTTTCGAGCTCCGATGTTAAGCTGTAAAACCAAAGCATTCCTCTAACGAGAAGAGGGTCTAGTGGAAAGGGTCCGGGCAGAAGCCATGGTGAATAATCCAAAACGAATACAGTTCTAAGGTCACCCTACAGTTTGTCGAAGGGTCGTACTTTGTACTTCGTCCTTGTGTACTACTATTAAGCTGATACGGGCGAATTTCCTGTCAATCGCCTTGCTATCAATGTGAACTCGACAATCCTCTTTGTATTTCCAGCAACTTCCACCCACAGCTCTATCAAAGACTGGAGAATACTCGACACCAGCGGTAAGTAATGTCATTGTACAAGCTTGTGGTACAATTTCACCTGACAGCTATTCTGTAAGCGCAGTCTAAGTTAATGCTGAATACTTAGGTAGATATGCACTTCAGCCTGAATGTATGCAAACGTGCCCTACCTGACCTCTGTCACCCCGCAGCAGTGCCAACTGATTCTGCCAGCATGAAGTCCAGGCTGACTATAAGAAGAACAGTTATAACTCTCCATCGGAGCAGCTAGCTCCGCCCCAGAGGCCAAAGCCCATCATAAATCCTAAACGTAACTACTATTCGAGGGGATTTCCCGAGTCCCCGGCGCATATTCAAGTCCATGTATAGACCAAGTGACCAAGAGTACCAAAAGACGCGAATAAGCATTGTAGAAGATGGAGTATCACTCAATGGCTAATATATACACATACACATACACATACAAAAACATGATAGTACAGGTTGACAGACCAACACATCAGTCAATCAATCAATCCCTCTCAAGACCAACATCCGGGTTTCCTGAGCAGTAGCACCGGAACCAACCCGATCTCTAGGTACCTCTCTCACTGCGCCGCTGCAGACACCCACCCACGCCACACCCCAAGCAACATCTATGCAGCTGAAGGAACAAACAAAAATCCAAACCAACCCAGCCCAAATCGTCCGCAATGACGCGCACTCAACCCTTCAACGTCTCCTCTCTCTCAATGGCTCGGCCCACACGCGCAATCTCCTCAATGACATCGCCGATCTTCAGCTGTCGCTGGCCCACGTCGATGTTCAACTCCTTGCCGTTCTTGAACTTGACCATCAGCTCCGGCGGTTGCGTTGAGTGGCGCGGCAGCTGGGTGACCTTGATATCGATGTGCGTGCCGCTGGAGGCCGGGACGGTCGAGGGGGTGCGGAGCAGAGAGAGGAGAAGTCTGCAGGGACGGGCGGAGCGGGAGAAGGGGTTGAAGGTTGTGCGGAGGGTCGAGATCGTGTTGACGGGGATGGTCATGATGGCGGTGTTGGTGAGGGACTTCTGCAAGTCGGTCTTCTTTTTTTTCCTGCTATGGGAGAGGGTTAGCTGGATTGAAGGGAAGGATCATGATTGATTTTGAGCTGGGTGACGTACGAGAAGGGTGGGAGGTGTTGATATTGTGTGGATGTGTAGGTTGAGCTTGCCCGAGTCAAACCAATTGGCCGCAATTGAGAAATGAGTAGCCGGCGTGGGGTAATTTGGACTTCAAGCCGGAGAAAATAATCATCATCACTTTTGGCTCTTCTCCAGGTCCCAGAAAGGCGGATGCGCGGCCGTCGTGTGTTTGTCTGTGATGCAAACAGAACAGCCCGGTCGGTGTCCCCCCGGCGCGGCGGAGTGCCTGCCTCAGGAACAACGGAAACCGATGACGCTGTAAGTATTAGCGGACAGATTGACGGTCTCCGCTTCCCCTCATACATCCTCGCTTTTTTCTTTTAAACACTCTACTCTTCTGCTCCGCGGCATCGGTGGCTTGGACGGAGTGGGCTCAGAGAAGTGGCAGACTGGTTCTCTTGTATATATTTGACTCTGACACTTCGACCATACCATACCGTCTTTGTTGCAGCACAGCACGCAACATGTCCTCCATCGCGGATCTGCAATCGCGCCTGAAGGAGCTCTCGGCAGCTCTGGCCCAACTCCAACCACTGGTCTCTCGATTAAGTAACTTTACGACGGCGGTCGGTCAGGGCGACCAGGCTCGCTTGGAATTGGGGACGGAAATACACACTCGACTGAAAGAGGCAGAGGAGCAGTTGGAGCTGCTGAAGGTCGAGGTTGAGGCTCTGGAGACAGGTCAGGATAGCAGGCGGAAGGGGATCGATAGTGAGAAGGAGTCGGAGAGGGAACGGGTTCTTGCGTTGGCAGGGAGGTTAACTGGGGATCTGAAGAGGTTGGCTGATTTCTCCTTTTTGAGCTGTGCTTTCTGGCCCTGCACTATTTGTTCTACGGCATACTGACAGATGTGGTCTCCTGCAGAACGAGAGGCGAGTTTCGCAACGCACAACTCCAGGCGAAGCGCAATGCCGAAATAGCCCGGCGGAAGGAGAGAGACCTGCTGTTTTCGAGATCGCAAAGCGCCGAGCGGAAGAAGCAGTCGACCGAAAAGCTCACGCAGGATGATATCGTGAAGAACGCTTCGAACGATGTCACGGCTGCGCTGAGACGGACGCATCAGTTAATGCAGGCGGAGCTTTCGCGGAGTCAGTTCGCGCAGGAGACACTAGGTTCGTCGTCTCCGTGGAAGTTGTGGATGTCGTGCTAACCGTGGAGGATAGAACAATCGACCGCTGCCCTGTCATCTCTGTCGGAGTCTTACACCGACCTGGATTCTCTTCTTTCATCGTCGCGCAACCTCATCGGCTCTCTACTCCGCTCGCAAAAGTCAGATACCTGGTATCTTGAGACGGCGTTCTACATATTAATCGGCACGATCGTTTGGCTTGTTTTCCGCCGGATATTATACGGTCCCATGTGGTGGCTTGTGTGGCTGCCATTGAAACTGTTTGGGAGGTTTACGTTTGCTATCTTGGGGGTTGTGGGAATCACGGGCAACGCTGTCCAGTCTTCTGCGTCTGCCACTGAGGTAGAACATGTGGTGCAAGGAACACCAATCATCGAACAGAAGGTGGAACCCAGCGTTCAGACTGCTAGCGGTGAAGCGATCTGGGACCAAGTTCCGGTGATGGATGAGGCGGAAGAGGATCGCTTGATCGATCGGATTGGTGAGATGGTTGAGGAGGGGGGAACGGAAGAGAAGGGTGAAGGCGGAAGAGAGGAAGTCGTACAAGAAGGTGTCCCACAAGAAGATGTCGAACAAGAAGTCGAACAAGAAGTGGGACATGAAGTCGAACATGAAGCCGAGAAGGTGGGGACAAATATTGATGATATTTCTCCGGAGGAAAGACAGAGACAGGCGGAGTTGCCTCGGAACCCCAAGAAGAGGATGTTTGAGGCAACGGATGTACCGCCGTTGAGGGACGAACTATAGATAGATAATTAATGTCTGATGATACTGTGCACGATAGTATCTACCTCGGTCTCGGGCGATCAATAAAGGTCTTGGCGCCGGCGCGTATCACGTGGGGACGCGTACCGACACGCTCTTCCGCCTGCTGGAGCTCCGCAGTAGCATCCTTTAGACCTTATCGACCTACTCAATTCGAATACCATGGCTGCCAGTTTTTTCAACAATAAAGCCCGGGCGGCTGCCGCAGCCTCGGGCGCTTCCAAGCAGAAGCCCACAGATGGAAAAGAAGAGCAAGCAAAGCAACAACCGTGGGTTGAGAAATAGTATGTCCCACCCTTGACGAACTCACACGAACAGCGGATTCTGACAGTCCAACAGCCGTCCCAAAACCCTCGACGATGTCGCCGCCCAAGACCACACGACAAAAGTCCTCCGCCGAACATTGCAAGCTTCCAACGTACGGGATCCCACGCCATGGCCATGGACATGCTGCTAATAGAACCAGCTCCCCCACATGCTCTTCTACGGACCTCCAGGAACCGGAAAAACATCTACCATCCTCGCGCTCGCTAAATCCCTCTTCGGACCCTCCCTCTACCGCTCCCGTATCCTCGAGTTGAACGCCTCCGACGAACGTGGTATCGGCATCGTACGTGACAAGATCAAGAACTTCGCGCGGGCCCAGTTGAGCCAGTCGACGGGGATGGATGCGGAATACCTCGCCGAATACCCATGTCCGCCGTTCAAGATCATCATCCTTGATGAGGCAGATAGCATGACGCAGGATGCGCAATCCGCTCTCCGTCGGACCATGGAGCAGTATAGTCGGATTACCCGGTTCTGTCTCGTCTGCAACTACGTCACGCGCATCATTGAGCCGCTGGCCAGCCGATGCAGCAAGTTCCGGTTCAAGGCGCTGGATAACTCGGCGGCTGGGGACAGATTGAAGCAGATTGCCACGTTTGAGAATCTGACTTTGGAGGATGGCGTGGTGGAGAAGTTGATCACTTGCAGTGAGGGTGATCTGCGACGAGCGATCACGTACATGCAGAGTGCGGCGAAGTTGATTGGGGCTGGTCGCACAACGGGCAAGAAGGATGAGGATGAGGACGAGGAGATGGCGGACGAGAGCCCTGAAGTGGTTACCGTCCGGACTATTGAGGAGATCGCCGGTGTGGTTCCGGATGGTGTGCTGGATGCTCTGGTGCAGGCCATGCAGCCGAAGAAGATTGGCTCTTCGTATGAGGCTGTTGCGAAGGTTGTTACGGATATCATCGCGGACGGATGGAGCGCGACACAGCTTCTTGTGCAGGTAAGCGGTATTCTTGCCTTGTCTTTTGACCCTGCGCTAATCCCGGACAGCTGTATCGACGCGTGGTCTACAACGATGCCATCCCGGATATCCAGAAGAACAAGATCGTCATGGTGTTTTCGGAATTAGACAGACGCCTAGTCGATGGCGCGGACGAGCATCTGTCCATCTTGGATGTGTCCCTCAAGATTTCCGGCATTCTGGGTGGAGGAGCTTAGACGGACTGTTATCGAGAACCTATCCCGGGCACTCTATTCCACGCGGCATACACTTCAAGCTGAGGCTCTTCCGACAGTATGTGACAAGATCTACGGGAATCTGCGGGAAGGCGACCATATCCCGGTGTCCCTTCCGGGATCTGGGTAACCTCACCGGAGGCCATCCACGGACGTCCTCCAGCATCCGGCGTCTTGCAGATACAGCCGAGCGACCAGTCTCCGCGGGAAACCCGGAACGCTGCTCGCATTCAATTCTATCACTTGGAGTGAAGCCTGATTTACGACTGTATGAGATTTAATGAATGAGCAAAAGCATCACCAGCGCAGTTTAGACTTGAGAGACTCTCCACCGTAGTAAACCCAATGAGTTAATAGCCCATCGTGGTATATCCGCCGCCCCGCCCCCACGTGCAGCGGCCCGCTCGCTCTTCTCACCGGGACTCGGACTTGCAATATTACGCCGCATTATCCCTCCAGTCTTTGCTTAGGATACTTCTTCTTCTTCTTCTTCTTCTTCTTCTTCTTCTTCTTCTTCTTCTTCTTCTTCTTCTTCTTATAATTTGTCCAGCGTCTCTCTTAATAGATCTGCTTTAAAGACCCCCGCGATAGACTCAAGACCATAGACAGCAACATGGCCACCCCCGTCCCGCCCCAAGAGCACCCCGCGTCGACGCACACCCCCCGCTATCTGACCGGCGACGGCGCGGGCATTCGGGAGTTCATCGACAAGTTCGATGTGAGTCAATCCACACTGATCCTCTCCAGATCCTCTGTCAGGAAGCATACAAAAGCAACAGAATGGCTCACTTTCCTACCCTACTAGGTCTTCCTGTTTGACTGCGATGGTCCGTCTCCTCAACCGGTCACCCCCCATGCCACCTCCGCGCAGACCCGGTCTATACAACCAGACACACTGACATGAATACCCCCCCACACCATCCAGGCGTCCTCTGGTCCGGCGACCACCTCTTCCCCGGAACGAACGAGACCCTAGCGATGCTGAAGAGCAAAGGTACATTCCGACGACATCCACCTACCCACCCACTCTCAACTCGAACAGGACTAACCCCCCCTCAACAGGCAAACAAGTCGTCTTCGTAACAAACAACAGTACCAAATCACGCGCCGACTACAACAAGAAACTCGAAGGCCTCGGCATCCCCAGCACAACAGTCCGTCCCTCCCTCCTCTTCCACCCCCATGCCCCCATCCCCATCCCCATTTCCATGTCCAACCGCAACCGCCCAACTAACCCCCCCCGCACCCCGCACCCATACAGGAAGAAATCTTCTCCTCCTCCTACAGCGCCTCCATCTACATCTCCCGCATCTTGCAACTGCCGGCCAACAAGCGCAAAGTCTTCGTGATCGGCGAAACGGGCATCGAACAGGAGCTCCGGTCCGAGAACGTGCCCTTTATCGGGGGCACCGACGCGGCGTACCGCCGCACCATCACGCCGGAAGACTACAAGGCGATTGCGGCGGGCGACGCCTCCCTCCTGGACCCGGAGGTCGGCGTCGTCCTCGTCGGCCTGGACTTCCACATCAACTACTACAAGCTCGCGCTCGCGTACCACTACATCCGGCGGGGCGCGGTCTTCCTCGCCACGAATATTGATTCCACGCTGCCGAGCTCGGGGTCCTTGTTTCCCGGCGCGGGGTCCATGAGCGCTCCCCTGATTATGATGTTGGGGAGGGAGCCCGTCTCGCTCGGGAAGCCCAATCAGGCGATGATGGATGCTATCGAGGGGAAGTTTCGCTTTGACAGGAGTAGGGCTTGTATGGTGGGTGATCGCGCGAATACGGATATAAGGTTTGGCATTGAGGGGAAGCTCGGGGGCACGTTGGGCGTGTTGACCGGTGTTAGTAGTAGGGAGGATTTTGTGGAGGGTGATGTGAGGCCTACGGTTTATTTGGATAAGTTGGCGGATTTGTTGGGGTGTGAGTAGGCGGGTTGGGGGGGGGTATGGGGTATGTATGTACATACTATACCTCGCTTGCTTCTAACTACTTACAGATAGAGTACATGCATGTGTGGTGGGTATCGAGATACTATAGACAGACAGACAGACAGACAGACAGACAGACAAACAATATCCATCACTTTTCTGGTGATAGCTGTTCGGCTTGAGTTAAAAGCTCTAGGATATGCCGAGTCCTCCAGATGCTGGGCGGTTTGTGGTGCCGAATCCGCGGCGGCTCGACTACCGGGTCTTGGTATATCAGGCCCTTGAGCTTCCACAGCAGCAGCATCGCGTTCACCGTGGGTTTGCTATCGGGACGGAACACCAGCACCATGTTGTCGAACCGCGGATGGTGCGCCCGGAGCTCCCGCAGTTCTGCCTCGGAAAACATAACCGTGAGATCAAACACGGGGACCCTCTTTCTCTTGTGCGAGATGAACACCGTCGTCGGAATCTTGGGTAAAACGCCATGCGTGGAACTGGGCTTGACCCCATTGCGATCCAGTACCAACACCGCACTGCACCCCATGCGCTCAAACGGCTTCATCTCATATGTTATACTTGAAATCGCAACCCCGGCGTATTTCACGTCGGGAAAGGCCGTCCACACCTTGCGATCCAACCGGTGCGATGTATCCGACGCCCACTTCAGCGCGCGGACCACCTCCTCGCGCATCATCCGGAGGGCGAAGTCGGGCATGTCCTCGCGCCACACCGTTTGCCCCTCCTCTTCCACCGTAACCGGCCCGACCGGGTGCTTCCACCGATACGGGATCAGTTTTGCCAGCGGCGCGGTCTTGCGGGATTTCTTGCTCCTGTTCTTCCAGTATTTCTCCGTGATGGTTCGGAGGAGCGGGAGCCGGTCGACAATTCGGATGGTGAGCTGTCCAAGGTTCTTGTACTTGTTCTCGTTTCGGTTGCTTGGATCGTTTGGACCGGGGGTGGTACGTGGGGAGAGTTTGTCTTTCATCACCCCCACTGGGACGAGATACATATTCTCGTCCTCCTCGCTGCGCTTCACGAATCCCCATTTCGTCATCAGCGCGCTTGGCATGCGTGTTCCTGTCAGCTTGCAGGTGCGGACCGGGGACGCGAGGGCCTGAGCCCAGGGGTTGAGGTGGATGTCGGATTCGCCGGCGACCGGGCGTCGTTTGGGCTTGTGAAGTCGTGCGTGTCCGGGCTTGGGGTGGGTGATGAGGGGAGAATGGGGGAGAAGCTCGGAGGGGCGGCGGGGTGGATGCCTCTCATTCTGAGGGGTGGGTTCTGCGGCATTGTCGATGGGGGCGGTTTCTTGGACGCTGTCTGTGGGGGACGCGTTAGGTGTTGATGCTTCGGGGGAGAGAGGTCTTTCGGCTGCCGGGGTGGAAAAGGCGCGTACGCGGGAAAAGGCGACCCGGGTGGAGGGATTGGGGCGGAATAGTTCGTGGAAGACCCTCAGACGCCATGAGGCGTAGGAGAGATGAGCCTGTAGACAGACCATGACTTGGGGGATGGGGAGGAGAAAGAATCACCAGTCGGGGTTGCGGGCGGAGCAGAAATATCGGGCGGAGAGCGAGAGGCTCGGCGGCGCTAGGCTTTCGGCGGAATTCTGGAGCTCCGGCGGTACGTCTTATCCTTCATTACTATCATCCTGCATCCCTCCTTCCTTTCCCTTCCCTTCTCTTTTTCTCCTCTCCTCCCCATTGTCATTTCTTCCCGTTACACAATGAACCCTGTCCGTCCCCTTCAGCGATTAGCTCGCGCGGTCGGCCGTCCGGCTGTCGCTCCGGCGCTGTCCCGCAGCTTCGCCAGCTCCATCCCGTCGCTATCATCATCGGCTGCCCGGCCTCCGCGGGGCTGGACGCCGACGCCGTTCATCACAGAGACAGTGGTAAGCTCGCAATCCTTCTCTTTGTTGCGACTATATGCTAACATGATATACAGGGAGGAGGCTGGCACACATGTACGTGACACGATCATACCCAATACCCAAACATAGATTAACCTCCCATCTCCATCCAGACGATATCTTCTCGCGCCTCCTCAAGGTACACCACACCACCCTCTCCACGAGCCTACCAGAAACCCATATCCACGTGCAATACACACCTGCACATACGGAACATGCTGCTGACCTTCTTCTCAGGAACGAATCATCTGCCTAAACGGCGAAGTCGACGAAACCATGTCCGCGTCCATCGTCGCGCAACTCCTCTTCCTCGAAGCCGACAACCCCCAAAAGCCCATCCACCTGTACATCAACTCGCCCGGCGGCTCCGTGACAGCTGGTACGTCCTCATCCATCCACCCATCCGTCTATACCCTCCCCCCCCCCCCCCCCCCCCTTTCACCTCCCCTCTCCTCAAAAACCAACCAAACAAACTAACCCCCTCCCCACCCTCAGGCCTCGCCATCTACGACACAATGACCTACATCGCCTCCCCAGTCAGCACGATCTGCGTCGGCCAAGCAGCATCCATGGGCTCCCTCCTCCTCTGCGGCGGCCACCCAGGCAAACGCTTCTGCCTCCCGCACTCCTCCATCATGATCCACCAGCCCTCCGGCGGCTACTTCGGGCAGGCGAGCGACATCGCCATCCACGCGAAAGAGATCCTGCGCGTCCGCAGCCAGCTGAACAAGATCTACAAGCGGCATTTGACGGGCAAGAAGGAGCTGTCGCTGGACGAGATTGAGAAGTTGATGGAGAGGGATTACTTTATGGGCGCGAAGGAGGCCCTTGATATGGGCATTGTGGATGAGATTCTCGATCGTAGGGTGCAGGCTGAGGGTGGGGAAGAGAGGAAGCCTTAGCTGGTTGGTTGGCTGGTTGGATGGTTGATTAGTTGATTAGATGGTGGATGGTGGAGGGTGGGATTGGTGTTCATACCCCGGTTGTTCTTTTATTTGCTTTTTGGGCTGGGCTGGGTTCGTTTCGCGCTAGATATGTATGTGTATGTGTATGTGTGTGTGTGTGTGTGTGTGTGCTTTGTACTATGTGCCATTAGCCCTGTTATGATTTAGGGTTGAGGTCTAGGTACAGGTACAAGTACAGGTTCAAGGTAGATACAGACGAATAGGCAGGTAGTATGCCGTTGCGTACTGAGAGGTTATTTATAACCTACTAGTAGGAGTTATAAGGCCGAGCTGGGTTCATATGTATGGAATCATCCGTTGGGTGACTGATCGGTCAGTCGTATGTACAAAGAGCTAGGTAGATGAAGCAACACCCCGGTCTACAGACAGTCATTACGTGGGTCCAGGGCCATCGTCACCATCATCTTCATCATCATCATCATCATCATTATTACTCGGGCGCAATCCGCTCCATGCGTCCATCGGCCCCAACCCGGATCCCGAACCGCTCGCGCAGAAAAGCCGCCGTCTGATCCGACGGCACATACGGCGACGACCGCCGCACCGCAGTCGGGCTATACCGCCACTGGTCCCGGATGACATTCAGCAGTCCCACATCCATGATCACCGTCTGGCCGGAGACAAACGGATCCATCGGATGGGTATCGCGTGCCGGTGCGCCCTCCGTCGGATCAGCCAGCAACTGCGTCCGCTCCTCCAGCTCCACATCCGTCTCCGTCTCCATCTCCGTCTCCATCCCGCGAGAGTCCAGCTCTCCCAACTCAATCCCGTTCTCCGTCGCCTGCGCAGAAGCCGATCTCGCGTGCCTCATCCCCCTCTCTTCGAGATCATGGTCCTGCCCATCGCCATCCCCATCCGCAGACGGAGAAGTCTCAACCGGCTCCAACGCCGCAACCCTCGCCGTAGCCGGCTCGACGGTCTTCACCCGCTCAACAACCAGCCCCAGCATGATCAAATCAAGGACCAAGATCAGCAGATCCAGAGATAAGAGGCGGGCCAACGAGACGGGCGCCTTCTGGCCGATGAAATCGATCAATAGCCCCCCGTGCAGATACCCGCGGGTCGCCTCGCCGGCTTCCGCCCGCGTAAAGAACTTGTGGAATATCATGCACAGGAGATTACTGCCGAGGATGGCGGCCACAAAGGGTTGGTTTCGCGTGGGGTCGAAGGGGGGCGCTTTGGGGGTGAAGAAGATTAGTTGTACGATGGCGCGGATGGCGAAGAGGATTATTGAGCAGCTGGATTGTGAGGAGAGGGGGGGGAAGTGTTAGTGTGGGTGTTTGCTTTGGGGTTGGGTTGGGGGGTGGGGTGGTATATTGGTTGACTTTAAGGGTGTGGGTGTGGGTATGGGTGTGTAATGTGGAGAGAGAGTGAGGGATGTGAGAGGTGAGAGTGAGGGGAGGGGGGATGGGGGATGGGGGAGGAAGAGGTGAGATGCTCACTCCATATAATACAAGGCAGACAGCTCGCAGTAGATGAGAATGTCGAGATCACGGAGCAGTCGATCGATGAACGCGACCTTGGCGGCCGTCTGCACTTTTTTCAGGCGCTCCGCATGGCCGCTGGAGCTGGAATGGACCGGCGCGAGCGAGCCAGCGCCGCCATTGGGGATGCCGGACACGTCAGCGATGTATTCCGCATCTCGATAGACGTCCGGAGTGTTCATAGAGGGTCATGAGGACATGGGTGGTGGTTGGGGAAGAGCGAGAAGGGAAGCTCAGGGGTGCCACGGCAGACCGGGAGGGTGTGGTGGTGATAGTATTTTGAGGGGGGGGGGAAAGAGGACTGACTGGTGGTCAGTCTAAGTAAGTATGGGGAAGGAAGAGGGAGAAGTGGAGAGACTAGAGAGACGATGGCCGATGATGGCCGATGATGTGGGCGCGGACGGACTTTTCTCGGCCCGCGTTCGCCGCCTTCGTACTACCATCTAGATACTATCTATCTATAGGAACTACGCAGTAGCCTAGATGGTGACTATGACAGGAAGATGGGAAGAAAATCAACTAGTACTCCGTATAATTGTTGGTTCATACGTGCGTTCGACCTATACACTAATCCACAAAGATGGTCTTGGCCACACTGGCGTAGTGCTTGAAGAAGCTCTTGAACAGGTTGATCGAGTGGGCCACGTCGTAGGTACCGGCAGTCTCGCGGATACTGTGCATGCTGAGCTGCGGGCTACCCAGATCCAGAGTTCTAGCTCCCAGAGCTGCCGACAGCATGGGTCCGATGGTGCTTCCGCAGCTGGAGTCATTGCGGACAACGAACAGCTGCAGAGGGACACCCTCACCACCGTCCTCGGCAGCTTTGCGGGCCACTTCCTGGAGAAGAACAATACCGGGGGAGTTCGTCGCGTAGCGCGCGTTGGCATTGATCTTGATCACAGGGCCCTTGTTGATCTGGGGCCGGTGGTCGTTCTCGTACTTCGCCGAGTAGTTGGGGTGGACGCCGTGGGCCATGTCCGCGGACACAAGGAAGGAGGTAGACAGGGTCTGCTCGTAGGCCGTGGCAAGGTCGGCATCACCGGTGCTGGTCGAAGGTAGCACGGACAGGCGACGAGTGATGGCGGGGAGGATGTTTGAGTCGGCACCCTGGGCGGTACGGCTGCCAATTTCCTCGTGGTCAAACAGTGCGATGAGACGGATGGCAGGCTCCTCGTCCAAGGCGGACGCCTCAGCCACAGACTCAATCAGTCCAACGGTGGCACAGAAAGTGCTGTTCAGGTTGTCCATCCGAGGAGCGAAGACGAACTCCTCAAGCAGACCGCCGAGGTTCGCCTTCTGGGTATCGAACAGAATCATCTCGAAGTCGAGGATATCGACGGGCTTGACACCAGCCTCGCTGGCAATGAGCTCGACCAGGTAGGGATGGTGGCGCTCGGTCATGGCCTTCAGGGGAGCGAATTCTCCCTTGTCCTCTCCAGCGGCGGCGGCCTTCTCACCGTTCTCCTCGGAGGCACCGGTGCGGTTCAGCTCGGCAGCGACGAGACCGGCAATGGGGAACAGCTGGGTCTCCTTGTTGAATGCAAAGTTTTCCTGACGGTCGAGGTGGATGGCCAGAGTGGGAATGCGGAGAACTACACGGATGTATGGTCAGCTTAGATGATTTGGGTGGTGCAAGGATGCCATACTAGGCCGGTCAACCTTGATCAGCTTCTGCACAATCGACCCATCGGCTTCACGGACCATAGCCCGACCCGCGACACCCAGGTCGCGATCAAACCCTAGAGGCAGTCAGTGAGGTTCGTTTGGGGGGGGTATTTGGGAGAGACGGACATGTGTGCCATATGCCGCCACCGTAGGTCTCCACGCCCACCTGGACGTATCCTTCCCCGCGCTTGTTGCTAACGGGCTTGACTCGCAGAACGGGAGAATCCGTGTGGGCTCCAATCATGGAGATGGGGTTACCAGGCTATCTCCGTCGACTCGGTTAGTATGGAAAAATAACCGACAGGCCACCATTGCATCAATTTCATACCTGCCATTTCTTACCAACAGCAAAAGCGATGAGGGTCGACTGGTTACGGGTCAAGTAGTATTTTCCACCGGGGCGGCATGTTGACGCCCAGGAGTCCTTCTCCTGCACGGGTTATTAGACGCTAGACTGCATCAGAATGAGGGCAGTGGCACGGCTACTGCATACCTTGATCTCCTGGAAGCCAGCCTTGGCAAGAAGGTCCTTTGCAGACTGGACGGCATGGAAAGCTGCAACGCAGAGTTAGGAACGGTACGCGGGGCAGAAAAAACCAAAGCAGGCGGCAGCATTACGGGTAGGGGAAGCATTGACAAAGGACAGAAGGTCCAGAGCCGGCTGTTTCAGGTTTTGGGCGAGTTTGGAAGCCATTTTGGAGGACCCCGGGAGCTGGTGGACAAGGCGCAAGAGAAACACGGGGATGGATCACGGGGAGAGGAGGAGCAAGAGGGGCGGGCAACAAGGATGGATGAGATCATAGCAAGGCGGTCAGATGGGCGTACACATGGTGCCTGGTCTAGTGTTATCTGGTGTTTGACAAAAAGAAATTCAATCCCCGATAGGAAGATAGATCTCGCGGCTGGAGACGGATAATTTTACTGCATAATTTAGTAGGAGAGGGTAATTGAGCGCATAATAATAGGTCTATCTGGGTTCAATATGACTCTATCCAGATCTTTCAATCAATGGTTGAACAGAACATAAGTATTATAGCAACCCTGGTCTTATTTAATTAAGCTTCCGGTTTTATTCTGTTTTATTCTTATGTCATTTTATTTCCCATATTTTTTTTAATTCCACCTTGCTCTTCTCTCTGTATAGTCTTGGAGGTGAAACATTCACGATCGCTCTTTTGCATAGCCAGCCAGTCCAGTCCGTAGGATGGTCGGAGATATCAACCCGGAAGAACTACTCATAAGACTCTGGTCTTAGGTAGGTGGCTGAGGCTGCCTGTCGGCAACTTGAAACATGACAATTGCCCAGTGGATCCGAGACACTGAACGAGCTTGTCGGAAATACTACCGTTAGGATCTGACGACGAGGACCGCGGTACGGAGTAGATAGTTCAGGATCGCCAGCTTACCCTGTAACACTAACCCTGGGCCAGGAACATGGGGAAATCGGGCGCCACGAGTCCAGCCGTTGTGCTAAGACTACTAAGCAGAAGCTAATGCTGTACTGGGATCGACGCAGATGGGGACGGGAGGGAACCAAGATTGGTTTCTTTGGCTGGAAACTCTCCTGCCAGCAGTGGGTGTACTATGTACGGAGTCGATATGGCCCAAGCGTTCCTGTCGCGTTCACCAGGGCGCGTGGAATGAGAGGCGGTCGCGACACGGCGGAGGAACTCGTCGTACGTCTGCCTGCCAATCTGATGCTCGTGGCTCTGCGACAATCGATAACTCCCGGTCGGACGCGCTGCTCCAATCACCGCGCGGGCGCTTCGCGTTGCAATTCTTCAGTTTCACGGTTGATAAGATCGGGAGTCAATTCCATGGGCAATTCCAGGCCAGAACTGGTCATGTAGGACGTATAGATCCGAGACGGAGGGACAGATGTGCATGGGAGGCACAGGCGATACATACATCCTGCTGATAAGTAAACAATAATTACCGTACGGAGTAACATGACTGGGGTTGGCGGATGAGCCATGCCCACACCACCACACCCACCCCCATCATTATCCTCCTCATCATATCCATCATGACCACCACCACCACCACCGCGCGGTGAATGAATCCTCTGCTTGGATACATTCACTGGGCGACGCTGTCCCCCAGCAACAAACACCCAACCATTCCTTCTATACACCTCCCCTAACAAACTTCTCCCAGCAGAGGCATAACACACCAACCCCCCCCCTGTGTCCCAGACCGGTTTAGCGCGCCCGACGCGTGACCGCCGCCGGGCTCCCCTTCGAACGGGCGAGCAAGAGGCCCATCGCCAGCCCTTGGATCAACTGTCTCAATCCTCCCTCCCTCACCCCGATGGTGGTCAGGTCGCTCTCAGATGACCTCCACACACTGCGTCTTTCCTCCTAGTCTGCCCTGGGTCTGGTGAGAGACTCCGTGTCTTCACTCTTCGCTCCCGCCTGCTGCCCGCCCTGCTCCTCGTTTCCCTGGCTGGCTGTATTTATTGATCGGAGCGGAAAGCCAAGGGTTTGGGTTGGCTGTTGTCATCAGCAACCTCTGCAGTCACCAGCGCTTCCCCAGCTCAGAACCCCCGATTGCCCCGAGATACCAGTCATTATCAGACCCCCATATCCCCAAGCCGACGTACCTCGACCTCCTCCCCCTCTTCAATCGACCGCCTTTGCGACCCGACCACGCTCGAGACCTGTCGCATTGACCCTACCTTAGTTGATCCCGCATTCGACCGCCATTTGCACCTCGTGAGGTTCGCCCCTCCGGACACCATGGGCGACCCCCAGAAATCAGATCGTCCGACCACCCGCAATGCAGCTGCCGGTGCGTCGGCGGCGAAGTCGTCCGAACGTGCTGCACCCAATGCGTTGACTATCGCATCCCCTCCTGGCTCCCGAACTCCCCCTAGTATGCCCTCGAAGAAGACGCTCTTCTACCCCGAACCGCAGGGGAGACGTCAGAAGAGTGAAACCACCTCCGATCCCATCGACCCGGGTGCGCTGGCGAAGGCCTTGAAGGAGTATGAGGATGCTGGAAATCCCCGCGAGAGAACACCTGGAACCAGCCCCAGCCGGAAGAGACAGCGGGTGTATGGTGATAGGTTCGTGGTCTTCCGAGCCGTGCTTTAAGGGAATACCTCGTCCGGATCGACCAGACGCCGGGCTGCTTGAGGTCGTGTTTGGCTAACTTGTGAATGTTAATTCCAGATTCATTCCTAATCGTGAAGGGCAAGACCTTCAAGCAACCTACAGTCTGCTTCACGAGGATGGCTGCCCTTCCACCCCATCCAAGTCAAAAAGACGCGCCCCACACTCAGAGCTTCATTTCCAGAAGAGTGAGTCGCTCCTGTCCTGGTGTCTGTGTTGCGATCACTGTAGCTGACCTCACTTCCAGCGGAGGAAGCAAACCGCATGTATTCACGGGTGTTGCGAAGTGAACTGTTTGGCAACACGGTTCCCCAGGCCGACTTAGACTCCTTGTCACCAGACCCGCTGATGGGAATTGGCCATGGGATTAACGACAAGACCCGCTCCCATACGCCCCCGTCACACGTAGTATCGAATATACCTCCATCGAGCATAACACCCTCCACCCCTCACAAGAACCTGTTCAACTATGCCTCTCCCCGCGCTGGCTCAGCCCATCCTACACCATCCAAGACTCCGCGGAGCCAGCACGGTCCGAACCTCAATGTCCGATCGGAACTCTACAGTCTATCGCCGATCCGTCTCGATAGCCAACGCATACTGGAGACCCCGCGTAAACAGCCTCGCTATGTGAACAAGGTTCCTTACAAGGTCCTTGACGCACCTGACCTGCAGGATGATTTCTACCTGAATCTAGTTGATTGGGGCAGCAGTAACGTTCTCGGTGTTGGGCTCGGAAACTCAGTCTACATGTGGAACTCCCAGACGGGCCGAGTGACAAAACTTTGCGAGCTTCGAGACGATAATGTCACGAGCGTCAGCTGGATACAGAGGGTAAGCCGATGACATGCTGGATATCAACGGTACGAAAGCTAACCGGACCAGGGCACGCATCTCGCAATAGGCACGGGGAAGGGTCTGGTGCAGATCTGGGACGCCGAGCGCTGCCGCCGCCTACGTACGATGATCGGACATACCAATCGCGTGGGTGCGTTGGCCTGGAATGATCATATTCTGACATCCGGCTCTCGAGATCGTTTGATATTTCACCGTGATGTCCGCTCCCCGGATCAATACCTACGTCGCTTGTCTGGCCATAAGCAAGAGGTTTGCGGTCTCCGCTGGAATACAGAGGATGGTCAGTTGGCCTCTGGTGGAAACGACAACAAACTGCTGGTGTGGGATAAGCTGAACGAAACTCCCCTCTATCGCTTTTCCGATCACACTGCCGCCGTCAAGGCGATCGCTTGGTCACCCCACCAGCATCATCTTCTTGCGTCCGGTGGCGGTACGGCCGATCGAACCATCAAGTTCTGGAACACGTCGACAGGGTCTTTGATCAAGGAGGTCGACACCGGCAGTCAAGTCTGTAACTTGGCGTGGTCGAAGAACTCCGATGAAATTATCAGCACCCACGGCTACAGCCAGAATCAAATTGTCATCTGGAAGTATCCACGCATGGAGCAGATTGTGTCCCTGACTGGACACACCTTCCGCGTGCTTTACCTGGCAATGAGCCCCGATGGCCAAACCGTGGTGACTGGCGCCGGCGACGAGACCCTTCGATTCTGGAAGATCTTCAACAAAAGACCCGGACGAGAACATGGACGCGAGGGTAGCAAGCTCGCAGAATGGGGCACCATTCGGTGACGGGCTCACGGGGTTTCAATGGATTTGGTGCCACGGCGTCCTTGACTTTTTCCGGGGTTTCCGATAATGCATTAGATGTGGCGTTCCAGGGATTTGGCGTTATTTCGATGCTGGGTGGTCTGTCCTTGGACGGTCTGGAGGAAAGGTTTTACGTTCTAACTTGGCATTTTTCGCATCTCACGGGTTCGCAGCATTTCCAGGGTGACTAATGGTCTGTCTTTTTTTCTTCTTGTTTTTCCCATGTTTCTGCGTGGCCTACATCTCATCCGATTTCCCCCCCCCATGTATTTGGCCTCTTCTGTTACTTCCTTCTCACTTGTCCTTTTGAGCCAGTTTCTTTTCTTTTTTCTTTTTTTTTTTTTCAGCTTGCCAGGCCTTGTGCTTCCGCAGGCGCTTTCGAAGGTTTTCTCCATGGATTGAATTGAATCTCAGCGGTGGCGCTCATGGTGTTCCTCAGGGTGACCAGAACGAGGCGTTGTTGCTCTTACGCAGGGCGGTTGGACTTCTCTCGACCTCAGGATTTGTCTCATCTCACCATAATTGCCCGATGTACTTGATTCTTTCTTCCCCCCGACTTGTGTCAATTTTTTTTGTTTCTCTTTTTCATTTTCATTTTCTTTTCAATTGATGATGAGACGATCCTATCCGCTCGAAGCTTTGCACCAGGGAGATTTGCATGACTACAGGGCACTTACTAGCTAGTCTGTGGCATTTGGCGATTTCCAGAAAATACACAAGAATGAATGAAAATATGCAACATGTAATTTCGACCAGTTCCTATATCGTAGTGGTGACACAGTGTAGTGGTGATGGAAGTATAGGCCGGTCCACGTGACCCTCCGCAGCGCGTCCCCCCCAATCAATCAATCAATCGAGCGGCCGGTCCGTGACGCGACTTCGAGAGATCCCCATTGCGCGAGCCCCTCCACAACACCCTTTGCTCTCTCGGGCTGCTCCAGCCTTTCCCCGCCTTACCCTTGAAGGTGAAATTCCAGTTCCAGTTCCACCATTCTCAACAACCTTGACCCGCGACTTGTGTTCGCTCACCCACAGTCGCTGGAACGCGGCTCTCTCGTCGCAAGATGGGAAAGCTCATTCGCCTGGAGCTTTTTAGTATGAGGCATTCTCCGCACGTCTCCGACCGATCCCTACTGATCTCCTAATCCCAGACTTCAAATCATACAAGGGTCACCATGTGCTTCTCTTCGGTGATGCCTATTTCACCTCCATCATCGGGCCCAACGGGTCGGGCAAGTCGAACTCGTATGTAACCCCCCCTCCCCGGGACATGGCGCGGGGAGTCGCGGTGACGGATCTGGCGCTGACATCTTCGCCTCGCAGCATGGACGCGATCTCCTTCGTCCTAGGTATCAAATCGTCCCACCTGCGATCCACGAACCTCCGCGATCTCGTCTACCGCGGCCGCGTTCTGCGCACGTCCAAGGTGGACGCCAGCGGCAACGCCATTGAAACAGAAGCCAACGGAGACGACCAAGCCGAGGACGGAATCGATGGCGAACAATCTCAGGATCCCAGCGGATCGGGCGACCCCCGAACCGCCTGGGTCATGGCGGTGTACGAGGACGATGCGGGCGAGGAGCAGCAGTGGCGCCGATCCATCACGAGTGGCGGCGTCAGCGAGTACCGGATCAACAATCGCATCGTCACGGCGCAGCAGTACAACGAGGCCCTCGAGTCCGAGAACATCCTGATCAAGGCGCGTAATTTCCTCGTTTTCCAGGGTGATGTCGAAGCCATCGCCTCGCAGTCTCCTAAGGACTTGACCCGCCTGATCGAGCAGATCTCGGGCAGTCTGGAATACAAGGCGGAGTATGAGCGCTTGAAGGCGGAGGCGGAGGAGGCCGCCGAACAACAGACCGTGCAGCTGAACCGCCGCAGAGGTATCAACTCCGAGATCAAGCAGTACCAGGAACAGAAGCGCGAAGCCGAGAACTATGCCCGGAAAGCGGAGGAGCGCGACCAGGCCATCATCACCCATATCTTGTGGAAGCTCTTCCACTTCCAGCGCCTCATCGACGCGTCCAGCGCAGACATCCTGAAATACCAAGACGAGCTTAAGGAATATCGCCGCGGTGTTGAGAAATACGAGAAGAACGTCGAGGATGCCAAGAAGGACCATGCGAGAGTTGGAAGGGATGTCGCCAAGGCCGAGAAGAACATTCTGGCCAAGGAGAAAGACATCGAGCAGTCGAACAATGCTCTTGTGCCGGTAGATGAGAAGGTCGACATCACTAAGAAAAAGGTCGAGCGCTTCTCATCTCGGATCGCGGAGATCACTAAGGAGCGGGAGGGCCAGGCGGCAAATGTCAAACAGTTGGAAAAGAACCTAAAGGTCGTTGAAAAGGCCCAGGCTCAGTGGGAAGCTGAATGGCTCAAGAGCATGAGCAAGCAGGGTGGTCAGCTGAGCGAAGCCGATCTCCAGGACTACAAGCGGCTGAAGGAAGAGGTCAACAAGCGGTCATCCGCGGAGCAGCTGAACCTGGACAACCTGCGTCGTCAGCGAAAGACTGAAGCAGAGGCCTTCAACGGTTTGAAGAGCAAGTTCGAAGGCACTGAGTGGCAGCTGAAGACGCTGGAGTCCGAAACGCAATCATTGGCTGAACGCAAGTCGTCTGTCACCGATACCGTTAAGACTACGTCGAAGGATATCGAACGCAAGAAGAAGGAGCTGAACGCCCTCACCTCTGAGCGCCTTCGTGTGTCACAAATGAGGACGGAACTCGAGGAGAAGCTCCAGGTGGTGTTGAAGAAGCTTCTTGAGGCTGACGACGGCAGAAAGCAGTCCGAAAGGGAGATCAGAGCCAAGGAGCTGATCTCAACTCTCAAGCGCATCTTCCCGGGTGTCAAGGGCCGTGTCAGTGATCTTTGCAAACCGAAGCAGAAGAAATACTCTGATGCTGTGAGCACTGTCCTTGGTCGCCATTTCGATGCTATTGTTGTGGACAATGAGAAGACGGCGAAAGAGTGCATCCAGCACCTGCGTGATCAAAGAGCCGGGCAGGCCACATTCATCCCTCTGGAAACAATCCAGGTCAAGGCTTTCAACTCAAACCTGAAGGGTCTGCATCGGGGCATGCGTCCGGCGATCGAGACGGTCGATTACGACGACTCGGTTGCCAGAGCCATCAGCTACGCTTGCGGGAATGCCATTGTCTGCGATGACCTGGCAACTGCGAAGTATCTCTGTTACGAGCGAAACGTTGATGCCAAGGCCGTCACTCTCGACGGCACTGTGATCCACAAGGGCGGTTTGATGACTGGTGGTCGGGGCCCTCAGCAGAACTCGAAGCGTTGGGAAGATTCCGAGGTGGAAAACCTGTACAAGCTGAAGGACAAGCTGATGGCTGACCTCGGCAATCTCCCCAAGGGTCACCGACGTGGCACCGAAGAGGAAACTCTGCAAGGCGAATTGGTTGGTCTCGAGCAACGCCTCGCCTACGCTCGCGAGGAACTCAAGGCGCTGGAGAGGAACCTCGAAAGCAAGCATAGCGAACTGGACTTCGTGAAGCGCCAACTTGAGGATGTGAGGCCCAAGTACTTCGAGCGTCAGGAGGGCCTGGAAGAGCTCGACCAGACCATTGCCACCTCCCAGGAGACCGTCAGCAGTGTGGAAGACGAGGTGTACCGGAAATTCTGCAAGCGCCTGGGATACAGCAATATCCGTGAATATGAGGTCCAGCAAGGGTCCTTGCAAGAGGAGGCTGCTCAGAAGAAACTCGAGTACACGACGCAAAAAAGCCGGATCGAGAACCAGCTTAGCTTCGAGAACCAGCGTCTCCAGGCAACTGCCGACCGTGTTGCCGGTCTCCAAGCACAACACCACCGCGACGAGGAATTGATCGAGGAACTTCAGGCAGAGCAGGAGAGCATCCGGAACCAGCTGGATGAGCTCAACGCCGAGCTTGAAATCCTTCGGGAGAACCTGGAGGAGCAAAAGGAGGTTTACGCACAGTCGGGTGAGAACCTGACGCAACATCGCAGAGAGCTCCAGAAGCGCAGCAGAGAAGCCGAGGGCACGATCAAGAGCATCAATGCTCTGGAAACGGAAATGCAGCGCAATTCGTCCAGTCGATACGCCCTCCTCCGGCGTTGCAAGCTCGAAGACATCGACGTCCCATTGACTGATGATTCGAATCCCCTGGACCAACTCCCCATCGATGAGCTCGTCCAGGCTGGAGACCCGGATGCTATGGATGTGGATGAAGATGGTATCGGCGGCAGCGGCCAGACGTTCGAAGACTACGGTATTGAAGTCGACTTCGACTCCTTGGGAGAAACCCTGAAGGAGGTGAGCACTACCATTCAATCCCCGTCTTATTCCCACCTACTAACCATCCACAGGAGAGCGACGAGAAGTTGGAGGAGGAGCTCCTCGACAAGGTCCGGTCCCTCAACAACGAGCTTGACAAGATGGCACCGAACACACGTGCCATGGAGCGACTCGAGAGCGTGGAAAACAAACTCAGGGCGACGGAGAAGGACTTCGAGGACACCCGCAAGCAAGCCCGCAGAACCAAGGAGGACTTCGAGGATGTGATGCGCCAGCGATCGGATCTGTTCAACAAGGCCTTCTCGCACATCTCCGAGCAGATCGGTCCGATCTATCGCGAACTGACCAAGAGCAGCAACTATCCGCTGGGTGGACAAGCGTAAGTCTTCTCCTCCTCATAGACCAAACCCATCAAGAAACACATCGCTAATATGATTATCCACAGCTACCTCGACATCGAAGACTCAGACGAGCCCTACCTCGACGGCATCAAATACCACGCCATGCCCCCCCTTAAGCGTTTCCGAGACATGGAGCACCTTTCCGGTGGCGAGAAGACCATGGCCGCCTTGGCTCTGCTGTTCGCCATCCACTCCTACCAACCGTCTCCATTCTTCGTGCTCGACGAGGTCGACGCCGCCCTGGATAACACCAACGTCGCCCGTATCGCGAACTACATCCACGACCACGCTGCGCCCGGTATGCAGTTCATCGTCATCAGTCTGAAAAACGGTCTCTTCCAGAACAGTGAGGCCTTGGTTGGTATCTACAGAGATCAGGTTGAGAATAGCAGTAAATCTCTGACTCTTGATGTGAGTTCCCTCTTCTTCATCTTCTCTTCCACCTTCCTTCTTTTCTTTTCTTTTCTTTCCTTTTCTTTTCTTATTGTTATGCAACCCACTTTATTCATACATCCCCGACTAACTCTCTCTTTTCTCCCTCAGCTCCGTAAATACAACTAAACTAAACTAAACGAATGAATGGCCGGTTGCCGTGGCGTTATCTTATCCTATCTTATCTTCTTTCTCTTCTTCTTTTCCCCCTTTCAGTTAGTGCTTGATTGATGGATGTGTAGAATACGCTTTACTGCTTGCTCTGCTTGATTATGGCTGGCTATTCTGGGCTTGATGGGCATGCTAGCATGTTTTTAGTCCTTGCTTTGTTTGACTGTTTTGTTCACGTTTACGTTTTACTCACGGGTTAATGCGAACTATCTGCTTGGCGTTTGGGATTCTTACTATGTACTGGCTGTACGGAGTACTTGGGTGCCTAAGATAGTAAGTAGGTTAGGTGCCTAGTAGTAGTGGTAGGCTAAGTGTGACTCGGTAGTTTAATCCCGAGCATGAACTCCCTGGGTCTATATATATATATCTCTGTCTGTCTGTCTGTCATCCCTTTACTGGCTTTTCTGCTGGCTGGCTGATTACTTACTATCTACTTACTACCTACTAGTACCTAAGTATCTACCTGGCAAGGGTCTGATCTTGACTAAGTAGGTACCGTCTGACATCACACCAGTACGTACCTACGTACCTACGTACCTACCCAAATCCCCAAACGCAACCAGAACCTGCCAAAAACTCCCCAAGTAGTTACTCTAGTACATGAAAGTACCCCTACCCACTTGATCGACCACCGTACTGACGGATCATATAGTTAACTAGTCGGTTAGTTTGGTGAGTCGGGCTATCTAGTAGTCTGGTTACATTTCCAATCCCTCCCCCGCACCCCGGAGGAATTAATTCATGCCACCCCACTCCACCCCACCCCACCCCTCAATTTCGCTCCAATAAATGTGTCTACAGCGTAGCAATCAACACCCGGCAACCATGCTTGATCTCGGGGGCTATTCACCCGAGCCTTTTGGACGTGGGGGTAAGTAAGTATTTATAGCGTGGCACGCAGGGAAGGGAAGGGAAAGCTTGGAAAGAAAAGAAAGCTTGGAGGTGAATTTGAATCGAATTGAATCGAATCAATCGAATCAATCGAATCAAGCTTGGAAAGTGGATGATCTAGGTAGTATACTACCCTATCCTGTGTCTGTCTGCTGTCTACTTTCTACTCTATAGATAGCTGGACTTTGCTTTTGCTTTGATTGAACGTTGACACGGAGATACGTGATAGCAGAAGCAGCAGCAGCAGCAGCAGAAATGTATCGTTCACTCGCAGCTATTATCCTCGGGGGTGCTGTGGGCATGGCAGCGGCAGCGGCTTCGGTGGATGATGGCAATGGTAATAGTACGTCCATCACGCTGAGCCAAACGGTTCCTGGGACGGCAGGGGTGCCGGTCCTGCATCCGTTCGTGTCGTTTTCGATTGAGTTTGCCTTTTTTCCGGACTATGCGGGTGAGTTGCATCTATCCATATTCCATGGGTGTGAGGCTGGGGAGGTTGGGTTGTTTGGGGACGGGACGGGACGAGATGGGGCGGGATGGCAGGGGGTCGATTTGTTTGTTGGACAGAAGAAAAACAAAACAAAACAATCTGGTTCTGATTGATGTTTTATGTAGGGAATCGGTCGCATCCGAACTTGTTCTCGAACCAGCTCCTGGATAATCTGGCTGTGCTTCAGGGGGCGAAGCCGTATATTCGGGTTGGGGGAAATACACAGTATTTACTTACCTACCTACCTACCTATTTCTGGCTTCTGGCTTGTGTTTGTGGGGAGCACTTCAGAGCTAACAGGTGTGTCGTCAGGGATTATGCTTTGTATGACAAAGATCTGGAGTCCGCAACCAACGCCACTTATATCACCAGCATCGCGACGGATTATCCCCTGATCCTGTCGTTCGGGCCGGCGTTCTTCGAGTCGTACTCCACCTGGCCCGGGACCAAGTTCATACACGGGTTCAATCTGGCGAAGAATAGCTCGGCGGATTTGGAGCTCCTTATCGAGTCCGTGCCGTTGGCGTGTCGGGCGCTCGAGGGGGGCAACCTGGCGTATTGGGAGCTGGGCAATGAGCCGGATCTGTACAAGACGTCAGCGCAAGGGATCGTTCGGCCGGCTAACTGGACGGAGCAGGACTATGTGGATGAGTGGGTGAACAAGACAGCTGCCATCAAGCAGAAGATGGCTGAGACATGTCCGGATCTGGCGGCGGACTCCAAGTATATCGCGCCCTCCTTTGCTGGGGTGTCGAATAGCTTGAATCCCGTGGTGACCTGGGAGAAGGGGTTCGATAGGAAGCGGAACATCGCGCTCAACTCCGAGCATAAGTGAGTCTGTGCCCTGTTGGCCCCAGTTGTACTGCTGTGTGGGAGCATGGAGTACAGGCGCAGATGGTTGTTGGGTTGCTGGCTTGCTGACAGGTTGTGATTTGTGCCTTCGACGCAGTTACATCGGCGGTGCCACCCAGCCGGGAGTGACACTGCAGCACACGCTAATGAACCATTCTATGACTGTGCAAAGCGTCGCACAGCAGGTCAACGTCTCCCGCATCCTATCCGCAGAGAACCTTACCACGGGCATCCCCTATATTCTGGGCGAGACCAATTCCTTGTACAACGAGGGCGCGTCTGGACTGTCCAATTCTTTCGGAGCTGCTCTCTGGGGCGTTGATTTCAATCTCTACTGCGCCTCACAGAACATCCGACGATCACACATGCATCAGGGAAGCAACTATCGTTACATCTCCTGGCAGCCGGTTGGTACCAATCGAACAACGATAGGTACCAAGGCCCCTTATTACGGCAACGCCATGGTGGCGGCCATGCTCCACGGCGGCGAGGATGTCCGGATTGCCAATCTCCCGCTGGATGGGGACACGGAAGCCGCATATGCCGCGTATGTGGATGGATCTCTGGCCCGAGTGGCCATCATCAACATGGTGGAGTTCAATTACACCTCGACTGGTTCGACGGTGGGGGCAGTGGAGAGTAGACTCAGCGCAAAGTATGTGCTCCAGTTGCCTTCGTCTCAGTCGGCGTCCTCCGCTTCTATTTCGGTGCAGCGCCTGATGGCGAATGGGAGTAACGCCATCACTGGGATCACCTGGGACGGATGGTCCTACAATTACGAGCTGGACCAAGGTAGGCCAGTTCGATTGCAGAACGTTACGACAGGCGAGGTGATCCCAGTGGGTAGTGACGGGACGGTAGAGATCGAGATCCCCTACTCCAGCGCTGCGATCCTCAATTTGTAACGAGTCGTTGGATGCGGAGTGAAGTGTACTGTTACAGGAAAAGTATGCGCGGTATATGGATGGCCTTCTGCGGAATCCTTGTCTCCGTATGAATTAGTGATGCGGCTCCCATACAATAACATTCATGGACGGAAGCAGTTGACCTGGACCCTGTCAGACATAGACGTAGGTAGTCTGTGATAACCTTCCCGGCGAAGAACAGAAGTGGGCTTGACAGATTTTCACTCAACCTACAGAGTACACAGCAATCAGCTTGTTTTAAGCACGGATGTGTGGCTCGAATCCGAGTATCCACTGGAGTACGGTGTTTTCAGCGGCCGTGGGTCCATATTCTTTGCTTTAAGCAATATGAGATCGAAGTCGAGTTGTTCTCTCAACCTCGCGATCAATTCCAGCTGCCATTCACGGGTGGAGAACTGTCAGATCCCGGTCGGCTCCATAGTGGGATTGGATGATGAGTTGAGGCGTCGCCTCATTTAGCCTCAGCCATGAGTCTCGTCGGATGGAGTGCGAGGATCATACGAAGCAAGGCCAGCGTTTCGGATTATATCCTCCACTATGGGCAAGCGCAGAGCAAATAGTTCGCCGTCAGTTAAAAATAAATGCTGCAAATGGTGGCAAACTTGCCCGGCCCAGTGGGTGCGAGAGACCTATCGAGTCATGGCAGGACGAGTGTAACCTTGATGGGGGTCACTATTAATCGATCATTGCACCATGTCTGCCGCAGCGATAAATCTCGAATTCTATTGATCGAGTGATCGGTGTACAGCAGTCAATGATCTGCGTTAGTGGGATTAGTGGGATGATACGTAGGTTACCCCGTAACTAAGCCATGGGTCAATTGGCCAGGCTGGCAAATGGCGCGAAGGCTCTCTCACTTGGCCCGGACGACCCAGGACTCACTTGATGGATCGATTTCTGCAGGTGCTCGGACGCTGATCTAGCGCCGACTCGGTCTCCCAAGGGCGAAATGCGGGCAGTGACTTCTTCCCCGTTCCTTGTCCTTCAGGCAGAAATGATTTAGTGGCATTCTGGAATGGATGTCTGATATCAGGACACTGTCAGGTGTCCTACGGGAGGAGAGCATCCGCTGTTTGGATGCCCACTCCCTTCATCCTTGCCACCTCTACCCCGTAATCACAGTCCGCTCGGATTCAAATCCTGTAAGCCACCCTGCAGGGTTTCCTGGAAGAAAGCACATTTGCATCACGATGTACGTATGTGGATGGTGTGCTGTCTGCACATTCCCTGCTCCGGTCATAATCGTTGATCATTTGGGCATTCAACGAACTGGGGACTTTGAAGAAGTGTCACCATGGGATGCAAATCCTTGGTAAGAGTATACTTAGAGGGGAGTATCGGTCTCTCCGCATCAATGCAAGTCATTATGGTGGTTCTCCATTGTTTGCTTCTTTCATCTGGAGCCTATTCCCATCGGCGATGGAGGTCTGCGACAGCCCACCCAGCTCGTAGTGGATAGATGGCGGCCCGGGCAGGCACTGTGGAGATCGTCGAAGGCTTGCCAGGCTGGTCCGGATCGCAGGACATTACAGCCAAGGGGTCTGTGTGTCACATACTTGCTTTTCCCGGCTAGCCGTTCGTTCTGGATGCCAACTCCGTAGGCAGAGGAAGAAGATGGGATCCAATCGTCTTTGATGGAAGATTAATCCGCTCAAGACATCGACTCAAGGACTCCAGATGGCAAGAATGCGTCGCGCCTTAGATCGCTGCACATTAGCGAGGGGTTCCTCTCATTCAGAAGGTCTTTGGGCCTGGGAAAGTGTACGGAGGGGCCCTAGCTCTATAGCACCACCCTTGTCTGATCGTTTCTCCACTCCAACGCGATACAGTTGAACCTTAATGAAAAGACTAATATGGGTACCGTTGACACTTGACACAGTATGGCTCTGATCGGCGGTCAGGCTCTGGAATGGATTCGAGGTCTTACGCCCAAACTCCGCAATTTCCGCACTGCCTGCAAGAGGAGCAGCGCCGGCAAAGTCAAATGGCGATGGGTTTCACAAAGGAATTGTTCCCACTGGCGGAAAGTGAACCCAAGACCAAGTGTCGCCAGGTCCTTAGGCAACCCAATCTAGCTGTCACTCGGAGTTCAGACTGACTTGCGGGCTTTGGACATGACAGGCAGGAGGAACCCCGACGCTCTTCCCATGGCTCGCCGTACGACTATGAGAAGCTAGCAACAAGCCTGCATTTGGCCTATCACTTCTCTTCGATTGTGAATTCCGAGCTCTTCCCGTGCCATGTGATTTTTTAACCTGTATGGCGTCTCGGCTCCTATGAAATCCGAGTATACTGTCTTCAAGTATCAGCCCGCTGCACCATTGCGTCAATAGATACCCACAACTACGATGGCCAGCCTGCAATTGGTAGATCGAGCCCATCTGTGCCTTGGTCAAGGTCGTCGGGTGAGGGGACTGTGGCTTGGGGGTGCTATTTCTGCTGAAACCTAACCAGGTCGAGTGTACATAGGTAATGCATAATCCCAGGAATGCATGGCTGTCACTATCTTTCGGGGCCCAATCAGGTTGATCTGTAAACTGGAACTCATCAACAAAGTAGATTCTTAGGAGAAACTGACCCTCCTAGCCCCCTTGTAATCTAGAGTTCTCGGAGAGGGTCTAGATCACCCACGGCTATTGGTCCTGCAAAAGCAATGACACACGCGCGTTAGCCATAGCCACCTTGTTGAATTTACGGTAATTTTTCCAAGGAGTAACGTACTATGTCTCCGTATGTAAGTATGTATGCATGGCTAACTATTCGCCTGCTCTTCAAGCTCTGTGTTGCTCGAGTTCTCGCGAACCATAGGCGGGTTTTTTAGGGGATGGCAAGAGTTAAGGCAGCCAGACGTAAGCCTCCAACGAAGAAGCTCGGGAGTCTCGAAAGAGGCAGGCATAACAAGGCTTCATGCATGCGGAGCGATGAAGACAAGCTAGACGATAGGGCGTTGCCTGACATAGGTTATGGTAGCTCTCTGTATGTATTTGTTTTCCTTGCATTAGTTTGCACGTCACAACCGCCACAAGGCCGCGTTGAGCTCCCATGACAGGATCCAATGGCCTGGGTGTTCGCAACGTACTTTTGTTCGCATCTGTGATAGCCCTTCGGCTGTTAGGTCCGATGGTAGGTCTTTCTTTTTCCCTCGGCGTGATATATTTGGGAGTCGAGACCTATATAGCCCGTTGCCTGAACCTTAGAGGCCAACTCAGAAAACTTCTTAAGCCATTAACTACCCATTGACTCTCGTGAACCATTACTCTTCGCAGTGTCGAAAACATCGGCGTGAAGCGATTGTATCTGGATCTGGTCGTTCTATCCCGTCTTCTGTCGGCAGCCAGCGGGAACGGACGCAAGCGACTTGGATTTTTGAGACTTTCTTCCTAGAGTAGAGTATGACGAGTCCGACTCGTGTTATTTGTGCGATAGGTCAGTCGATGAAAGCTAATAAAGACCAGCAACAGATGTTATCATATCACGATATGACTGCTCAGGCGAGCCACACGGTAAGGACAAGATCCCTAACCAGACCTAGGACGGGTCATCCAACTGACGTGCCCTGAGCAGGATATGCAACGTGCATCAACGGCACTCAACTTCCGTTACACTCACTTTGCGATGTTGTGTATCGACCACAATGGACAGCTGCGAGTCGAAGCCTCGCCATCCATCGCCGGCTGTGAAAAGGCCATATTCACCGAGGATGTGCAGGAACGATTCTTGAAAACCGTGGCCACGGCATGGCAGCCGAACCTGCAAAGCCTTCATGCGAGTAAGTGAGACGAGGGAAGTTCGCCGCGGGACGAAGTGGTAACCAAGCCGGGGTTTCCCCCAAACAGACACCCTGGGTCACATGAACGGCGATGTCACGGGAAAGCCAATGGTTCTGTCCAGTCCGTCGATGGGACTGCAACCCTCCTGGTACCAACACGGCCTCCCCAGGCAGACAGACCTCATCCCCTGCGAATGGCAGTCCCTGCAAAATAAGCGTCACCGGCGAAGCCTGAGACATGAGCTCTCGGGCCTGGGACTGGACCTCGACTCCGCTTCTCCCAGTCCAACCCTCCGGCGAACCGCGCTTCGAATCGGCCAGACTGAGCTCGTGCGGCGATATTATGAAAAGGCGTTCGAGGCTTTCCAGCAGCTGAACTGCAGGGTTGTTGCCAAGGCCTACGTCAAGCTGGTGGAACCGCGCAAACAAGTCAACCATCCGTACAATGGGCGAAGGACCACCGGAGCATCGTCGCAAAAAATGGACCCGGAATTGACAAAGCCAAAGTGGTGGCCTACTGGAGTAACGCACAAGGAGCCTGATCATCTGCAAAAGGCCGGTATGATTATCTGTCTGCGCTCTTGAATCGGGCTTACTCTCCTTGGTTTGAATCCTCACTGACTCCGTATTTTCTAGAGAGAATCCGGCTGCTCGTGCATATTCTGTGCGAGCTAAGAGAGAGCCGAGGAATCACTGCTGAAAAGCTCAAAGATGCCGGGCAAGATGTGCGGCGTCAAATCCAACCCGAGGGGCGTCTACATATCTTGGATGAGATATACTACGTGCGGTATATGGAAGAATTGTCCCTGGACGGAAAGATCAGTATGTCTTCGCTGCCATCTTCCACGGGAGCCGCAGAACTTATTCCGAAAACTAACGGCTTTCAATAGGCGAGGATACCATTATCCACGTTTCCCATGTTCACCTTGACGAGGAGTTCTTGTTTCCCGAACTGCGAGAACCGACAACCAACGCCAACCCTCGCGAACTCTCCCTTCCGATCATTACCAGCAAACCGGATGCTCCGAAGCCGACCGATGAGGGCGACAAAAGCTCTGGGAATGATACGAATGCACCAAGCGACAACGCGCACAATGATGTAGCTGCACCCTCCGATGAGCGCCGCCTGCCCCCCATGGAAGGGAGCCAGTCAGGGAAACGTCCAGCAGCTCAAGATGGCGGCTATCCACCTTCGCCAGTATCATGTCCTTCGATCAGCCGAAAGAGCTCATTGGAAAGTGGTCTATCCACATATTCGGCCGATATGGCCTCTGCGCCAATGCTACCATCAAGTAAGCCCACCCGAGGACCCATTACTTCCAGGGAACTTCATCCCGCTGACCCTTAATGTGTATCAGATTACTATGGCCAGCAAATTGCCCCATCATCCGCTGGGCAAAATCCTCAGTCCGGGTATTGGAACCTTGCTCATGGACATGCGTTCAATGGATACTGACTAGGGGAAACGATAAAAAAGAAAACACGGTCGAAATCCTTTCCTACTTACTCATTGTATATACACCATGGTCTCCTTTGTACCACGACCTGGCTTTCCTGAGCATTGCACTCCCTGTTCATTTCTGGTGTCTCTCATTTTGGGGTTTTCTTATTTTTTTTTTAAAAGACAGCTGCTCTTGATGTATAGAGGATTCTGCAGCGTTAATTGACTCGGCTAAATAGCAAATCATACTATTCCTAATAGAAACCTATCACATTATGTTATTATCCGGAGCTATCTAGTCAACATGGAAGTGAATAAAGGGGATTTTCTTCGCTCATAAATTGACCAACATCATGCCACGTTGTTTACATGAAGGACAAGGGCTGGGAGGCCATGCCACGGTTTGTCCTGGGTGCAGTGCACAGGGATGCTGAAGTGGAAGCACTTTGAAGCCACTGTATCTCATTCTCATTGGGGAAAATTGCTGTGAGCTGGTGTTTGGGCCAAGCTGCATCGTGCGGGGTAGTAGGGCAGTAGTAGCCAGCCGCCAGCTGTTCCAAGCTTCGTGGAAATAACAGCGCCATCCATGTTATTTGATATGGATTTGATCTCGATCATCGCGTCCGGTTGGACATTTTCCAGGTATGGAGGGCATTAGACATACTTTTACTAAGAAACCGAAGGGAAAGAAGATCGACTCTTCCTAGGAGAAATGTACAAAAAAACCCCCGCCATCTAGTCAGGCTCGGGAGTCGCTGAGTGCATGAGAGCCAAAAGCCATTCAAGGACTAGAGCTAGAAACGGTAAAAGTATCCTGAAAGTGGTCTAAGCAACATACTGGGTAGGGTACAGAGTCCAAGGATCTTCCGAGTCGCTACACTTGGTAGTACCATCATGTAAAAGGGACAGGGGCAACTGCATTAATGTAGTACGAAGTACTCCGATTGAGCCCGTAGGTGAGGAATATAGATATAACCAGCTGTTTGCCTTTGGAATAGGATGACTACTGCAACCCAAAAAATGCAGCATTCATACCCCGTACCTAATGCCCCACTACTCTAGAATCTGAACCGGCAAATCCTGAGGGACTACTGTAAGGGAAAGGGAGGGAAGGGCCCTGAGCCTCCAAGGCGTCAAGGCCATCGAGACATGTGCCTGAGGCAGAGTCACGGTGAGCCATGGATCCAATGGAGGCGAGTCATGTGGGGATGGGGGCGAGGCGTGATTGGGCGGGGGCGTGTACGGCTGTCGATCCCCGTTCTGGAACCCCAAAGACGCGACAACTCAGCTGCGGCCAACCAGAAGCCCCGACGCGTGCACACGGAGCACCTCATTCTTCCAACTTGCTCTCAACTCTCTGCATCAGCTTCCTTCTGCTCCCCAACTTTAGGGTCATGCGCCGGGAGCCTTAAACAAGACTGGCTGAGCTTTATCGTGCGAACTTACCCCAAAGCCAGATAGGACATCACTCGCCGCGTTTCTCTGTAAGTCAGCCAGTCACTCACTCACTCACCCATGGATTCATCCATCCGCCATGCCTTAGATTGATAAGGATGCCGCTTCCCCGGAGACCCTGTTATCCCTCTCCCCATTCATTCCCTCGCATCTTGCTTTGCCCAAGCTCGATCTGCCGCCGCGCAGGACCGCTCTTTTAGCTCAAGATTGGCTGTTTACCTATACACAATATGGGAATGCTAACCATAGGACGTTTTCTCAGCCGGCCTTATCCGCACACTCGTGACGGCCCTACGATCTTCTCCTTCCAGCAGAAACTCATCATGGAAGACGGTGGCTCCTACGATGCGACCAACCCGGAGTCGCTTGCTGGCGATAGCTCGCCTGTCTTGCAGCCGACGGGAGACGATCTGTCGGAAACGGAAGAGGTCCTAGCTGCGCCTGATACCTTCTACTCGCCGCCTGCCTCGCCCGGGCGTCTGTCGCGCAACCCTTCCTTCTCTTACCATGACGACTGGGAAACGTTCCCGCCTCTGGACCAACTAAGCGTGTTTGATCTGCTCGATAACCTCTCTCTGTCGCAGAGACTAGAGAAGCTGCAGCGAGCTCTCAACGCGCAAAAGGAGAAAGTGAGGAAGCAGCGCGAGAAGCTGAAGTCAACCTCAATCAATGCCAAGGAACGCGTGGTGGGAGAATGGAGAAGGCGAGTCCCGACGGCCGACGAAAGACTGGAAAAATACCGCCATCGTATGAAGGACGGGGTCGAACGCCTGGGAAAACAGTGGAGTGCGACCGCAACTGTCACCCTGCGCGAGAAGGTCTCCTTCATCGCCGGTGTTCTCAATATCTTTGTCAGTGGCTATCTTCTCGGAGGGCTGCCGGAATACTTTTATATCTGGTTCAGCGCGCAACTCGCCTACTTCATGCCCATCCGGTATTATAGATACCATAAGCTTGGCTACCACTATTTCTTGGCCGATCTCTGCTACTTTGCAAACATGCTCTGCATGCTGAGTATATGGGTCTTCCCTGGGTCGAAGAGGCTGTTCATCAGTACGTTCTGTCTGGTCTTTGGCAACAATGCAGTTGCGATTGCCATGTGGCGGAACTCGATGGTCTTCCACAGCATGGACAAGGTGGTCAGGTAAGCTCCCTTCATGGGTTCAAGCACGGTCTGGGCGCTCATTGACTTGATCTTAGTTTGTTTATTCATATAATGCCTCCTGTGACCTTACATTGTCTGGTCCACCTGACATCTGAGGCAACTCTGCAAGAACGGTTTCCGGCAATCTACGAGATCAAGTTTAGCGAACCTGGTTCTCCCAACCATTTTGGCCTCCTGAGGATGATGGGATGGGCAACTGTCCCCTATATCATCTGGCAGTTGGCGTATCATTGCTTTATCACAGTACGTCGGGCGGAGAAGATTGCTGCCGGACGTCCGACCAGCTTCACGTGGCTTCGCAAATCCTACGCCAAGACGTGGATCGGCAAAATCGTGCTCAGTCTTCCGGAGTCCCTGCAGGCACCGGCGTTTATGATGATCCAGTACCTGTACGCGATCTTGACGATGATCCCGTGCCCTTTGTGGTTTTGGTCTCGCTGGGCTAGCGGAGCATTCCTGACCGCTCTCTTCGTCCTGAGCATCCACAACGGTGCGACGTATTACATCGACATTTTCGGAAAGCGCTTCCAGAAAGAACTCGAAGAACTGAAGAAGGATGTCGCGCGGTGGCATTCCTCTCCCGAGGGAGCAAACAGCCCGACACTCGCATCTGATCACGGCGCGCCATCGGAGACTAAGCCCCAGGACGAGTCGGGTGCTTCCCACAATGATGGGTCCGACAAAGCCAGCATCGATCGGATTCCTCTTCTGGATGCCCACTCGACTGGTGTTGAGAGCAGCCGTGTTGCGGATAATGCCGTGGCTCGAGAGAGATCTTGAGCATGACCCAGAACTCGAACCCCTCAATTCATGAGCGTTTGCTCCCTCCTCCCTTCCTTCCAGGGTCTTACCTCTCTCTCTCTCTCTCTCTCTCTCTCTCTCTCTCTCTCTCTCTCTCTCTCTCTCTCTCTCTCTCTCTCTACCTTTGGCACCTGGCCATGATTACATTGCACTTATTCTCCACCGATACCCAACTTCATCTCTCTTTTATGCCTTCACATTGCCCATGTGCCCAGTCTTTCGATCCTTTTATTTTTGGCCCATTGTGAATTGGAGTTAATAGACCTGCGTGATGATTGACCATGAGATACGTGCTGTGTTAACGATATCGCTCTCTTTACTGTTTTTTTTTTTCTGCAACATAATGATCGGGTGGAGCGGATGATTGTTTGATTCTTCTTAGAACGTCTAGTTTATTCTAGTTTATGCGAATCTAGAACTTAGTGACTCAGAACGGAGCGAGTAAATTGTTGGGGGGCGAGCGGGAGCCAGTCGGAGCGTCGAGTAGTAGCGATGCCGGCCGGTCGGCGGCGATCAAACCTTAAGTCCGACACCGCGGAAGTCACGTGCGTAGCCACCTCTGCTCCAGGCCCTCGGGGACGACGACACTTTGACGACATCTCACCGTCCCTATTTTGAGGTCCGGTTTTGTATCCATACTGTCCCATCAACCTGGTGTGTTCCGCCCAGTTATACCATCCGCATTTGACTCCAGACTGTTGTTCGTTTTTTTCTGCATTCGCTCGTTCCCCCGAGCATCTCGATCCCCTACTAGCCTTCCGCAATGTCCGTTACAATGAGGTCCGCAAGCCTGGTGCGCGGCAGCGTAGCATTGCGGCCTAACCTGGTCGGTGAGTTTACCTGCAACATGCGTCCTTACAAGCCGTGATTGCTGTGGTGGTTGCTAACCTGCTGCTTTTTTTGCGTACCAGCCCGGCCACGATTCTCCGGTCCATTGGCTGCGACCACGGCCGCAAATCTCCGACTCAACGGTGGCGGTCTCCTCCCATCCCGACTGTCGGCCATTGCGATTCTCGTCCCCCATCACCGTGGATATGCGACCGAGCAGCAGTCGACAAACTCCTCATCGGAGTCTTACCCCCCTCCCGGGTTCAATGCCGCACAGGCCAAGAAGCCCATCCCCGCCGATGCTGCGCACCCCACGGATAACACCAGTGTTCAGAAAGTCGCGTCTAACTCGGACCAAACAATCTCATCTCAGATCAATGCGCAGAACAAGGGACAGTCGGTTGACCTGACGGCAGCCAAGACCGGGGATGTGGAGGCGAAGAAGGCCGATGACAAGAAGGAGGCGAAGAAGCTGACCATCGGCCAAAAAATCAAGAAGGAGGCTCAGCATTACTGGGATGGCACTAAGCTTCTGGCCACGGAGGTTAAGATCAGCTCTAGGCTTGCGTTGAAGATGGCCGCGGGCTATGAACTTAGTCGGAGAGAGCATCGTCAGGTGAGCGCATCCTCCACATGGCCCTTGTCCCTCCCTCTGGATTCCTGCTAACCAGGTCTACGTGTGCAGCTCCAAAGAACCGTCAAGGATTTGGGTCGCCTTGTTCCTTTCTCCATGTTTGTCATTATTCCCTTTGCCGAGTTGCTGCTCCCGATCGCCCTCAAGCTATTTCCCAACATGCTGCCTAGCACCTACGAGGGCCAGAAGGCGCGCGAGAAGAAGGCATTGAGCTTGAGCTCGACGCGTAAGGAGGTCTCTGCTTTCCTGAAGGATACGTTGAAGGAGTCTGGTCTCCCGGTCACCGCGGCGACCGTCAAGAACGAGGAGTTTGCCGAGTTCTTCAAGAAGATCAGAACCACTGGAGAAACGCCTACACCCGAGGACGTCATCAAGGTGTGCAAGATCTTCAAGGATGATCTGACTCTCGACAACCTGTCCCGGCCCCAGCTGGTGGGAATCTGCAAGTACATGAACCTCAACTCGTTCGGAACGGATGCTATTCTCCGGTACAACATCCGGCACCGGATGCGCCAGATCAAGCGTGATGACCGCGCCATCTCCCACGAGGGAGTCGACAGTCTGTCCGTTCCCGAGCTGCAGATGGCTTGCGCCTCCCGTGGTATCCGCACGCATGGCGTGTCTCCGGCTCGCCTGCGCGAGGACATGTCGATGTGGCTGGACCTGCGTTTGAAGCAGGGCGTCCCGTCCACCCTCCTGGTCCTGAGTAACGCCTACGTGTACGCCCAGGGTGGCAAGGAAGCCGAGATGTCGTCCCAGATTGAATCCCTACACGTCGTCCTGTCCAGCATTCCAGAGGAGCTGTTCCACGAGATCGAGCTCGAGGTGCACAACGCGGAGGGCGCCGCCACCAACAAGCAGCGCCTAGAGGTCATCAAGGAGCAGCAGGAACTGATCGAGGAAGAGAACGAGCAGAACAGCGAGAACGAAGAAAAGGGTGTCTCAGCCCCCAAGGACATCGAGGACATCGATGACACCGACGACGCGAAGTTCGAGGCCAAGTACAAGAAGCAGTCTGGCGAGGCCACCGAAGCCATGCAGGAGGGCGAGAAGGTCGAAGAGACCCCCGCCCAGGCCAAGGACGAGAAGAAGTAAAGGACCAACCGTTTCCCTTGTGTTTCTGTTGCTTGAACGAGGGCGTTACGAGCCGTGGTATAGATCTCCTTCCCTCCCTCCCCCCTTCCCCAAATCCCAAATCTACTCTCTACTTTCTCTTTCTCCCCCATGTGTTAGTGTGTATACGATAGACTTTGTTTTCCTGTTTGTTATATGGCCTGGGCGACAGCTGGTGGGACTTGCTTCCGTCCTGCTCTCTTGCCCTCTTTCCCTTCCCTTCCCGTCTTCTTTTTGTGATGTACCGGCTCGACTTGGGCCCAATAGACACTTGGACGGTTGATCTGGACAAAATAATCCTGAAATATTAATGGACGAATTCAGTCATGTTGTACAATGCGTCGCTTCTGTTCAGTTCTGGTACTATCCCACTCGTAAACCACCCGGGAGTGCTCCCTCCATCTGCAGCTGTAGTAATCAACTTAATCCCCCGGGAACCTAAACTTTACTTACCTCGGCAACCCTGCCGTACCGACCTGTCACTACGACCACCAACAGTGGCCCAATAGTTCATCTCATCCCTCACTACCTTACCTTTTCTCCCTCTCTCTCCCTCTCTCTCTCTCTCACACACACACTCATAATCCTCATAATCCTTCCTTGCTACCCTAATTACCTACCTATCCTTCCCCCCTGCGATGCGAACCCGTCTGCTCCTTCCCCCCGCCAATATTCCCCCCCGAATCCGAATCCGGTCCCTCGCTCCCTCGGCCTGCGTCACCACCACCACCGCGCAACCATGCCGCGCCTCAATCCCACGTCCCAGGTACGTCCATCTCCATACCATACTTCAACTCACCCCTCACCCCTTCTCAACCACATCTATATCCTACCCCCGCACCTCCTACCCCACACACCCATACATTACTACCCACCCACCTCCTCTACACTCCTTGTACTTCACTCAATACCCCACAAACCCACCTACCTACCTACTATACCTACCTACTAGTACCTATGTTATACATACATACCTAATAACACACCTCAATCCCCCAATCCCCCGATCCCCCGATACCGATGACGTAACCAACCAACCAACCAACCAACCCAGCTGCTATTATCTAACCACCCAGCTAACCAAAACAACTATATCCACCTATCGCGCAGAAAGCCATTGAGCGTTTACGGAGCTATACCCCCCCACCGACGAGCTATGATTCCGTTCCGCTGTCCAGACGCGCCGCCGTTCTGGTCTTGTTGTATGCGGATCGGAAAGGGGAGTTGAGGGCCGTGTTGACTATGAGGGCGATGACGTTGAGTTCGTGTGAGTTTATTTTTCTTTGCTGGGAGTGGAGAGGAGGATGGATGGATGGATGGATGGATTCTTGGGGTTTGTTTGTTTTTTTCTCCAGATGTGGGGAGGAGGGGGCTGATCAGGGGTTGATTAGGGGTTTGCTTGCTAATGAATGTGATGTGATGTGATGTGATAGATGCGGGACAGGCTGCTTTACCTGGGGGTATGTATTATCGCGTCACTGGCTATTGTCGTTGTCATTGTTGTTGTTGCTGTGGTTGTCATCTAACGGGGTGGTTTACATTTGCTGGATGATATACATACAGATGCTATTTCGAAGAATGAACAGTGCTAAATACATCTACAGGACGAGCCGACTCGCTTGAGGAAACCCCCTTCCAGACAGCGCGGCGCGAAGCAAATGAGGAAATCGGTCTACCGGACCTCAACGAGCAGCTTCCGCGGCCCTTTACAGTCGAGCATCTCTGCGAGTTTCCCGCGAACCTGGCGCGCACGGAACTGGTTGTGCGGCCGTGTGTGGCGTTGCTGCATTCATTTGACGAGACGACGGGCGAGAATGCCGACCCTGAGGTGTCGCTGATCCCTAGGCTGGATGCGCGGGAGGTCGCGGCGGTGTTTACGGCCCCATTTCGCCATTTTCTACGGATGAAGGATGAGGAGGATTGGGGTGGCGATCCGGAGGATTGGTATAAGGGGGCTTGGACGGAGTGGCATCAGTCGACTTGGCGGAGTTAGTAATGTCCTTCCTGGCTTTTGTTCTTGGTCTTGGCTTCTGAGATGGAGGGGGAGTGCTGACGGGTGGCATAGTGCATCAGTTCTTTGTTCCGGTTCGTCCGAAGGAGGTGGTGAAGCCGAAGACGGGCAGCGAGGAGCAGCGACAGGCAGTCAGTCAACTGGAGGAACAGGAAAAGTCTTCAAAGGTGACCCGGTACCGGGTATTCGGGATGACGGCACGGATGCTGGTCGATGTGGCGCGGGTTGCGTATGCGGAGGAGCCCGAGTTCGAGCATAACAGCCACTTTGGAGATGAGGAAATGATAGAACAATTGCGAAAGATGGGCCGACTGAGTCCGATCCGGCGGAGAGGGGACCGATTAACCAGGGAGGATATGGAGACGGCTGCGAAATTAAGTTGAGATTACTACATCTGTATGTATGTTAGGATAGACATGTTTGGCGTCAATGTGGGCTGGTTCTGCTTGCACGGAGGATAGGAATCGTGCCATGATACCCACATTCATCACACCCGAGCCGAGCTAAGTGTCAGTAGCATCGACACCCCGTGTCAAAAACACCAATGGGTGTCTCGACGTGGGACAACACCACGCGAGATCAGTGTCACTCGATCCAGATGACAGATACACGGACTGGACTGGTGACTGGTAGGACAAGCCCCTGAGCTGCAAGAAGCTACCTAAGCGCGTAGGTAGGAAGCTTGCCTGCATCCATCCCATGTTTGCTCATCTCCATACCTACATAAATACCATGTCGGACTGGGTTGTCTCGGACTCCTTCGTGATTGACCATGCATGACTCGCCAGCTGCTGCAGGAGCCCGTCCCAAGGCGCTACGGGATGCTTGATCTCCATACATAATATTCGTTATGAGGCCTCGCGCCCTCACAGTCGATGTTGTGCATTCGCCCGTCAAGCATATATCTTCCGACCAAAGACCCCACGCCAGTGATGGATATCCGAGGGTATTCGTGGTCTTCTATTGGTAGCACGAGGCAAAAATCTGTTTTCCTGCATCTATCTTCGACTGTGGGTGGATTTTCTCCTCGGGTGGTTTGGACTTTGGACTGCATGTGTATTGTGTATGTATGTATGTATGTAGGTAGGTAGGTAGGTAGGTAGGTAGAATCGTCGTCAGTAGCTGCAGTCGAGATTAAGTATTCTAGAGGATAGTCTCTAATTGTGGAACAGGACTGGCGGCATTTCATTTTGGAATTTGGCCAACCTTTGACTTACAGAAGCGGTTATCTCGGGGGAAGATGAGATCCCCTAGATGCAGTAGATTGCAGCGGGAAACTTGTCGTGTTTGACTTGAGCTAGTCTCTTATCATGACTTCCCATGTCGCTCTTGCAGCTCTCGGAGGCAGGTGGGCGAATGTAGAGACGTCTATCGGTAGCAAATTTCTGGGAAGAAGGGGAGAAAGGGCTTTCGGTCCCCCTGATGATAGCGCCAATCCAGTCTGCTGGGAGCAGTGGTGCAGTGGCGCAGTAGTCGAGATGGGGACTGGATAGTTGAGGGGAGGGAAAGCAAGGAGGACAGGCCGAGTTACAAAGTAAGTGCTTGACTGCCGCTGCACGTGGCCAGCCAGACTCGCGCTCGCGCTTTCGAGTTTGTCCTCTTCTACCTTCTCATCGCCTCTGCTTAATTCCCCATTAGCATGCACTCTGATGCCTCCAGCATCGAGCTGGATGTGCACATGGTCTCTACAGACCTCGTACATTTTCATTTTCGAGCAATCGCAATGATATTGGGCCGAGTATACTTATGCAAGTTATGTCACGGTCCAGTAAGGTTGAAGCGCGCTTAATATTGCCTATACCTCCGTGCACACGATGACATATTACCGCTTGATCAGGGATCCGATCTACCTACTTCCCAGACCGACGCGCTCAGACCTTTCGGCTATTCGTCTGATGGCTACTTCCTACCAGCCATGACTGATTCAAGTATGCACATGAGCATTTCCCGTGCTATCGCAGCTATGAAAACCTCCTATTGGGCAATCGGGCCATGAACGTATAGTCTGTGCCACGTCCGCCGCAACAAACATCTGGGATCAAACAGTAAGTAGGCACCGGCCAGTTCGCTTACTGTCAGCAACAGGAATGTTTCCGAAGCCTGCTGTTAGGGTTGGGAATGCGACGGAGTACCTGCTGCTTAACCTTGTATGCTTGCAAACCCTGAACGGGACAAACTTGAACCACGATGTTTGTTTGGGGTGGTATGTGCCACAGGAACTATGCTATCTCGGTTTTTTTATTTCGATGATGTCCCGGCAGTCCGGAGACTGACCGTCCCGTCGCAACATCGGCAATTCGGCGGATAAGATTTGGAATCTATGTACCAACCCACCACCAAGATAGGCTTGCATAACCGGCGGTAACATGGCTGGGCTACGATTGGAGCGTATGCCAGCCTCAGTCAGGCCGCCATCTGAAACAAGTCGGGTATGTCCGTGAGCGGGCCTTCTGGACCATTCTTCTGGATTGCGGCCGTAGGAATCTTCTGTATGATTCCCAGCAGGCAATCGTGGCTCCCAGAAATGCACTCCGTACCTACACCGTCAGTCAATTGATCATATCCACTCCACCGCATCGCTCGGGCGTGCAATTGTCTGTGTGGATCAGACGAGATTGGCATGAATTCGGCGGATACCGCGACTATCTAGTCGCCCCATCATCATCGTCACCGTCTCTTGAGGGATCCTTCCACGCGTCCAGTTGATCCACTATCTTGACTCTGCCCGAGAAATTCCCGCCTCAGCCCATCGCAAGACACCTTATATCCGCTGGGCAGGAGAGTGTGGCGCTGCTGTGTTGACCCATCTGCCCTGAGATTATCACTGGTTGGCTCAGGTTGACAGGGATACTTGCCAGGGCTCCCGATGGGGCTGACAGACTTGACCACGCAGATGGGCCCCGAAGCTTAGGGCGAATGGTGGAGGATATCGGGAACGAGGTGCATTCCAGCGTGGCCATCGAAGGCTGCTGGGTGTGATATATCCACGAAACTCGGGTCGATAGCACGTGGCCAGCCTGTACTGACCTGTCATAGCATGAATGAGCACATACTGACCTCACATGAGTGCTTCGACCCTGAAACGCATGGCTGGGGCGGCGGTAGGATGGCCAAGAGAAGGTAAAGATGGCAATTGCCTTGTCCTGCCTTGTTTTGGCACTTGCATTGCCATTGAGCACACACAATGATCATTATAATCCGTCCTGGACATAAAGAGGGCCAATCTTGGTAAACCGTCCGTGTTACATGTCACTTAAGTATCTCGCGGCCAAGCTGAAAAAAGAAAGGACAGGAACGCAGCTAAAGCACTAGGGCCAAGCTAAGCGTGCAGAGAAAAGGGACGGAAGGCAGATCCTCATACCGCAATATGACCCGTCCCAACACATGTATGTCATAATTGAACGACGGCTTTTCTTAGCAGCTTCCATCTCCGCAACCATGGAAGCAACCAGGTCCAGACTGGCTATCTTTGGAGCAGACGTGAGTCAAAGAGAACCGGCGGATTGAGGAGGGTGATTTGACGATGATGACGGAGCTGAAGGGCTGAGGGCAGCCAGGGATAAGCCCGACTTCTTTGTTTGAAAGAGGGAAATGGCGGCCGGTGAGTGGCGGAAAGGCCACAGTGGAGTTCCCAGATCTGCTCTGGAGTCGCTAATTATGGATCCGACTCTTCCCTGGGCTCCCCCCTCGGCCTCTCGGGCTTACGATCATGATGGTTCTGGGTGAGCTAAGGATCGACTCCGGGGTCCTTTGGGTTTGGATCACCCCGGTGCTGGTGCGGTTCGTATTCCCATCCTGCATGCCCTAATCCTGTTGGTTCGACGGCCACCACCACCACCACCACTACCAGGAAGCAAACCAGCAATGCCATCCAGGTACTGGCCACGCGCACGCGTCCATTCACCTAATTCCAAAAGACGATTGGGATCGAAACCTGGAATGGATCAGGGCAGGAGTAGGCGAGCACGGAATCGGCCGGCAGGGCCCATCTGCGCCCAGCCATCCCTTGCATGAGGGTGTCACTCTCATGAGGCTATTCCCGCCCATGATTATGGCCACGACGATCCTGTGGCCGACCAGGAACCGCCCTTGAGATATATCGGGTTTTACTTTTTTTTTTTCTTGTTTTTCTTTTTTCCCCCTCGTCGCTGTTCGGGGCGGAGTCAGATCCTCCTTGGGATCGATCTAGGGATGGCCGAGGGACTGAGGAGCAGCCAAGCGGGCTCGTTTAGCTGCATCTCCCCCCTTGGCTGGCGAAGCCCGTCAGTCCTATCGGGCTATCACATCACATCCGCTTCTTCTGTCCTCGTTCTGCTCTCCTCTCCTCCTCTTCGACCGTCCTATCTGGTTCCCCGTCCGATTTATTAACCCCTCCTTTTCTTCCTTTCCGCTCCCCCCTCCTTCCTTCTCCTTTCTCTTCCCTTTCTTCGTCTTGCGCCGCTTTCTTTCTCCCCCCCCCTCCCAAAAACATGGTCCGGGCCTGTTCTTTATCAGCCACGGCCACCTGTCTGCAACCCCGGATAAAGACATCGGCAACAGGCTGACCTCGCCGGGAACGGTCGTGTGATTACTAGTGGCCGGTCGCTTGCTTGCTCGACTGCGTGCTGGGCTGTCATCCTGGACGCCATAAAGGTTAAAAGAGCATCGCCGACAGCGACTGGCGATAAAGAAAAAAGAAAAGTGTCTGGCCGTATTCGGGTCACAATTTTGGTACTTCACAACTACAACAAACCATCTCTGCCCACGCCGGCCATCTGCCATCTCGTCTACTTTATCCGATTTGACCCAGCTGGAGGCCTGCGGTTATCTACTGCTGCTCGCCTCTCTTCTCTCTTCCTCCGATATCTCCCTGCTTTCCTGCCTGCTTGCTTGCACGCTCCCCTCCCCCGTCCCCAAGGAGGGGGAAGACACCGCGGACCCTCCTTCCATCCCTTCCTGCTGTCCCATTTAATCCACTATATCCCCGGCCTGCCCTGGCCGCAACGCCAGCCGCCTAACCCTACCTACCTCTTTGTCACCACCACCACCACCATGCTTTCGCCCTCCACGTTGGCGCTGGCCCGACAGGCGCCCCCAGTGAGGCCGTCTCGGTCTCTGGAGGGACTAGAACAAGTGATCCCCCCGCGAGTTCCCCAGTCTCCCGCTCGCCCGACGCCGCACTTGGACAAGCCGCTCCCCGATCTGCCTGCCCACTCCAAGCCTCTGCCCGACACCCCCTCCATGGACGAAGGGTCCGCCGCCTGGAGTGACGACAGCAGCACCCTGTCCAGCATCTATGACCGGCGCTTTTCCTGCGATTCCACCGAGAGCTACCCCGTCTTCGTCCGGTCAGGATCGGACGACCTGACCGAGTTGGCCGATCATCCTCCCGCTCCCGCTCCCGCCGACCCATATGGGGCCGAACCAAAGTCCACGCCGCTGCCCATCACCGCAACCTTCCTTCATGACGACTCCTCCGAACGCCCACCGGCCTGGACGGCGCCCCGGGCTGGTCCCAACCACTACTTCCGGGAGAAGAAGTGGGACTTTTTCCCTGAGCTGGCCGACCCCTCCGCTGTGCCGTCTTCCCCGCGATTCCCGACGCAGCCCCCGAAAAAGAACAACAGTCGACTGAATCTCGCGGTGTTCGACTTCTCCAAGGGTCGCAACCGTTGGCATTCATCGGACAAGGGCGGTCGAGCGATCGCACACGACGTGCGAGACTCGATTCGCTCCTATGTCCAGCGGCGACTGTCCAAGAACTCAATGGAGAAGGACAGGCCTCACCAAACATCGCGCCCAGCGACAGACCCGCCGGAGTATGTGCGCAAACCCACACCAACCCCTACCACACCGCGGACCACCCCGTCCAAGGAACTCTCCGACGCTGAAAGCCCGAGACCTCTTCTGACTCCGCAGACTGCCTCGCCTTCGGGGAAGCGCCTATCACGCATGTCCACCCGCTCGACGGTGGGCCCCCGCGGGAAACGCCCACGCTCTGTAGCGTTCCAACGAACCAAGCAACCGGCCGTGCCCATGTCGCCGTACCAGAAATACGGCTCGGCGCTGTGGGAGAACCCCGGCCGCGAGAAACGGATCAGCTACCGACAGAACCATCGTGTGCGGTTTCCCCGATATCGAAAAAAGGGCACCTCCTCGAAGAAAGGCTTTGTGTCCTCGGCGACACCGCCGCTGACGCCACCCGCGCGCTCTCAATTGCAGCAGAACACGCGAGACTGTGTCCGGGCGTTGCAAGACAGCACATACCACCTGCTCGGTGCTCTCGACGGCGCGCGGAAGAAGATGATCGGTACGCGAGTCGATCGACGGCATACGGAGCTGAAGTCGCAGATCCGTCTCGTTGGTCCGGTCAGTCCGTATAACAACAACTATGGACAGTCTGATCCGTGGATCTAGTGAAGTGTAGACTCTCTACTCCAGATCGTTTCTATTCCATTTTTTTTATCTTTGTTTTTTTTCTTGTCCTTGTTTTTCTATTCTATTCTATTCTATTCTTTTCTATTCTATATTCTCTGTCGCTAAAGCCGATTCCACCCCGGTCACTCGCTACATTTTCATTTTGTCTCTGGTCTTGTCTTGTCCTTTACACCGTGATATCCCGTTGGTATTCTGCAATTCTCGCGAGGCGTTGGGGCATGGATGGATGGTTGGATGGATACCTTCCTTTACATTTTAGCTTGTTTATTCAGCTTATCTTATTTAGTACCTACTTTTACTACTATTATTATTATTATCTATATTTACTTCAGACATTGCCAGCATTTCTTGATAATTTTACCCGTGTGGATATTGTGACTACGACACCCATACTCAAAGGAGATTAAATGACCACAGAATACCTACTACCCAATCCGGACACACTACTTACCTACCCAAGTAGGTACTGCAGGGTACATGATGCACTCCATACAATCTCCTGAAGAATGTCTCCGATCCACCCACCCATCCCCAGTTAATAGGTACCTACCCAGTAGGTACCTACCTACCTAGCTAATAGCTAATAGTACGAAGTACCGGAAATTAACCAAACCCCTGACTCAGGAATGTACTCATGAAACACGTGTGCAAGACATCCCCCCCCCTCCCCCCCGGCCCCCCCTTGCCGCCGCTCTTAGATAGTACCAACCGGTTGTCGGTAGACAATAGCCACTGCGAGTGTGATCACACCGCATGAAAACCCTGTAGGACGGAGTATTTTCTATTAACTTAGTATTAACTAACTACAGCATAGGTAGTGTAGTGTCCAGATCACCCTGGTGTGTATGTACGTTAGTACTCTGTACCTATGGATGTAAGCATGTAGGTGTGTAAGTATGGATGTAATTAAGTAGTAGTAACTATCCCATCCGCATGCATCCATACTACCTAGGATAGGATAGGCAAATAAAAGTATCTCCTAATGCGGTGATATCGGAGCCCTCTATCCTCCATCCCTCCCCATTCATCCCCATTCATCCTTATTCATCTTTATTCATCTATCCATCCCTGTATATATGTACGTACATATGTACAGCAACAACCGGCCCTGTGCGACCTTGCTGAAATTACTTTCCTGCTCTCTATTTAGTAGTTACCTTAGCAGTTATGCATGTATGTATGTATGTATGTATGTATGTATGTATGTACATAATATATGTTAATGTACTTCCCGTCAGGATATTCATGGAGGACCGAACCAAGTACTATACCGAGTTTGCCACCAAGGGGTGGATTATGGATTTTGTAGATATGTACATGTGTACATAAAGTACATGATGGGGTACTTAGGGTCAGGGTCAGTTGATTGATTGATTGATGGATTGATTGATTGATTACTCTTGGGGATTGGGGGGGCAGGGGGTGATTTGTCATGATCATGATGGTTGGTCAGTGTGGTATAGGTACATAAGTAATAACTAAGTATGGATTTGTGTGACGGGGGGGTAGGACTTATATACCCAGGAGGGTAGGACAGAGTGAGCGGGTGATCGATGGGGGGAGTGGAGTGGCTGTGTACAGAGGGAGTACTTCAGGTAAGTAACTAGGTACTAAACTGTAAGTGTGTACTTTATACTCCGTACTGACTAGATACCTAAGAGGGAGGAGTGGGGTTGGTTTGTGTTTGTGTTACTTTGCGATGATCGGGTGAGGGATTGGATGTCTGTCTAGGTAGTTAGCCTACCTCAGTTATTAGTAAATATACTAAATGTACTGTTACGGATTACTCTGTACAACATGCCAAGTTGATAAATACATATATAGAGACTGAGACTGAGACTGGAGAGGCACGTATGTACCTAGGATGGATGGATGGATGGATGGATGGTTCAAGCTGCCGAGTGCGAGTGCTTACTGTTTATGATCGGACCGGACGATTACCATTCCCAGATAGCGAACCAGGCCAGATGGAAATCAAACCAGGATTAATCGGGATATTACTATGCAGGCGTTATGCAGGTGGGAAATGAAATGGATGGAAATGAAAATATCGCAGATATTCATTCTCTGTATACCTATTTACCTAGGATAGGATAGGTAGGTAGGTAGGTAGGTAACGTAAGTAGTAAGTAGTAAGTAGTAAGTAGTAAGTAGTAGTAGTAAGTAATACGTGGTAGTCATAACATAGCTAAGGTATTCTATCTATTTTATCCTGTTGCCGACACGCCCAATCCTCATCGCCAATATGGAACCCATCAATGAACCCGAAACGAAAGAACCCCAAACCCAATGAAAATAAATAAAAAAAAAAAGCAGACCCTTACAATTGCGCGATGTTGTCCAAAATCTGCACCTCCTGGCCCGGCTTGAAGGCCGGGAGCCCGATGAACGGACACCCATCACACCGGAAAGCATCGCCCAGCGCGCAGTTCCCGCACGATCCCGTCTTGCCCTGCACCGTGAAATCCAGCTCGTTCAGATCGTCCGTCTCCAGCTTGAGCACGTTCAGCGCCTTATCTGCCTTCTCGCGTTCGGCCTGTTCCTCTGCTTCGAGTCGCGCCGCCAGACCGCACGTGCAGTCCTTGCAGGCGCGTCGCCGCCGACCGGGCTTGGGTTGACATTCTAGGGCTGCGGATTCGATCGTCAGCATCTCCATCCGAATGGAAGGTAGAAAGATGGCACACTCACGCTGTATGGGTCTCTTCAAATCCTCGTCCGACAGTAGCGTGTCCTCGTCAATCAATTCATCATCGTTATCATAATCATCATCATTATTAATCAAGCCCACGGACGCGGACACGGGCTGCACCGGCGGCGCGGCAACGGGGGCGACAGTTTCTGTCTTGGGCGCCGCCGTCGCATCCTTGTTCTTCTTTCCACCCCGCCGTAGAGGGATCGCGAACGCCTTGACCTGCTCCACCTTCTCGAACCCGCTATCCGTCTTGACCAGCCCCGCCAGAACAGCCTCGCGCTCCTCCGCCTCCCCGAAAAAGTTGTCCTGGGTCTGCAGCTTCGCCCCGGGCTTCATGCACGGCACCAAGGCGGTGTATACGTCGCGACCGAGGAGGTGGAGCGCCTCCGACCGCCGCGTGCCGTCGGTGTCTGTGAGGACGAGAATGAGGTCATATGAGTTCGAAGGGAGCGAGACGAAGCCGGCGGAGATCCGGTCGAGCATCTGGAGGTCGGTCGTAGAGCGGTCGAAGGTGGTGAAGAGGTCCCGCAACTTTTCCTCTTGGGTGGCGATGGAGGGCGGCGCGAGGAGCAGGGTGCGCTTGGAGGGGTCGGTCGACTTGGCTGGGAAGGAGGGCGCGGGGGCCATGTCGAAGTCGGGGGTGGTGTCAATGGTCACGAACGAGGGAGCCATTGCGTCGGTCTACCTGATTGTTCGGCCGTAGAGAGGAAAGGAGGTGGAGGTGGAGAGGGTTGTGGTTGTGGTTGGGGAGGGGAGGGGTTATGAATATGAATGAGACGGTTATGGGAAGGCGAGATCGGACGCTCGTTTTTGGGTTTCGCCTGGCTGACTCAATTGTCATCTGACTGCGGTGTGATTGGTGGAGGGGCTCGGTGGCAGGTGTTATCAACGTAATTTTTTGGGTTATCAGGTTACTGGGGATTACAAATCTGCGTGCAACGGGCGCATCCCCGAGGAAAAATCCTCCATGGCGAAGGGGGTGTATCAGTGCTAATGGGCGGGTCGTGATAGGCCCTGCTTATTCTTTGGCGATGCACCATTGGTTTCCATCGCACTCTCTCTCGATATCGACTCTGCTAACGATGACTTCGGAGTCATCCCCCCCCTCCAATGCCCCGCACTCATATTATTTCGGCCCCATTGTTATTGATTAACAGGACTTCTCGAGGGAAGGGAAATTGTCGGACGGGATTTTTCTGGCCCGTTGCGGTTTAGCGCCGTACACCTGGCTGCCCAATGCCGGATGACTAATGCTCATTCCTCTGTTAACTAACTAGTTACCCCGCTTGTTCAGATGACTAAGCTAGCAGCACGGGCAGCATGATGTCACCCGAGGAGCGGGTGAGGATGGATGGATCAGTCGACTACAAACAATATCCGCAGGAAATAAACTAATAGATAGCTATCTGCATCTGCGATTTCGAGAGCTTTGCTGTCGGCGAATCGGCAGGCTCTTTGCCTCGAAGCCACTGCTGTCTGTCCCAGATGCATTCCAACCTTAATCGTACGGCTGCGGCCCCGGAAACAGCCACCAGACCGGAAGGCAATAGATGCATTCTTGGGATTTACCCCTGTGTGGTGTGAATGTACATCGTGAATAATATCTGGGGTGAATCTGGGGGTATCTAGCCTGATAGGAAGCTCCTAGCTGCTGTGTGCTTGACCAAATACTACACATGAGTGTGTCAAACCCTGGATCCATGGGACCACTGACAGGAATAAACATTCCGACTGTCCCACCCAACTCAAGAGTCTAAGATCAGTTGGACGGTCAACCTCCTGTACCACAGAAATTAGCTATCTACAGGCCCCTACCGGATGCGAGTACTCAACATCGAAGCCCTCTGATGGCCTCTGTAACCCCAAGCGCGACACGATGCCGTGGCTGACATAACCGCGTGCCGGATCAGCAGGAATGGCTGGATGCATCGAACGTCACCTGCCCTGTCGTGGTAAGTAATGTTCCTGGCCGTTCCTGGCGACTCCTCACTTCTCCTCACTTTCACTCACTCCACCTCATTCCCTATTCCATCTCCATTCCATCAATTCATGCCAATTTATTAAAAGCTTCATCGCCCCCCCCCCCCCCCCCCCAGCCTTCCATCCCAACTGTTGTTCCTCCAACCTTCCATCCTAATCTAGACCCGCCACGATGGGTGGAGACGTTCCCCGACAAGCTCCCAGCGCCCTTCCCCGGACTCCCGCGGGCCCTGTCGGGCAGCGCATCAAGAACATTTACACCGACCGTCTGAAACAATTTACCGCCACCGGACAGTACGAGGGCCAGAACCTCATCGCGTACGTCTATCCCCCATTATAGATATACGGATTGGACTCCTGGTTCTACCAATGGCCTCTTTATGTATGACCCACGCTAACGCCATACTAGCAAGCTGATTGAGGGCGCCAACTCCGACGAAGACCATGTCAAGCTATCGGTGTATTCTGTCCCCAACCTGCAGCGTCCAACCTTCGAAGACGCTACGGCCAATGAATTCAAGCCCACCCATATCGGTGCCTCGTTTGGCCCAAGTTGGTCCACTCATTGGTTCCGCATCCGCCTGACTGTCCCCGATGATTTGCGTCACAAAGAGCGCCTGGAATTCCACTGGGATGCAAACAACGAGGGCCTGATCTGGTCTGAAGATGGCCAGCCCCTCCAGGGCCTCACTGGCGGCAATGAGCGCATCGAATGGGTCATCCCCGATGCCTGGCGTGATGGGGAAGAGCATACCTTCTACATCGAAATGGCTTGTAACGGCATGTTTGGAAATGCTCCGGGCGGAGATTCGATCCAGCCCCCTAACCCTAATAAATATTTCTTTTTGAGCAAGGCACAGATCACGGCCATAAATGTTGAAGCACGGGCGCTATTTTACGACTTCTGGATTATTGGAGGCATGTTCCAACGCCACGCTGCACTAGCGTGGAGAGAGAAGCATTATGTCTTTGACCTTGGCTAATTCCTTATACCAGATGCTGCCAGAGAGTTCCCGGGTGATTCCTGGGAGTCTCACGAAGCCAACATGGTAGGCAATGCCATCATGGATGCTTTCATTGCGGGCAATGGAAGCGATGAGTCCATCAAACAGGCACGAAAGATCGCCCAGAAGTACCTGGGAGACAAGGTTGACTCCCCGGACGTGTACGATACTGACACCGAGCCAATTGTCTATGCAATTGGGCATTGTCACATCGACACTTGTTGGCTGTGGCCCTGGGCAGAAACCAAGCGCAAGGTTGCTCGGTCATGGTCGAATCAGTGTGACCTGATGGACCGATACCCGGAGCACCGCTTTGCTTGTTCTCAGGCGCAGCAGTTCAAATGGTTGAAGCAATATTATCCGACTGTTTTTGATCGTGTGAAACGATGGGTTAAGAAAGGTCACTTTCAGCCCATCGGCGGCAGCTGGGTTGAGCATGATACCAATATGCCTAGCGGAGAGTCCCTGGTGAGACAATTCCTCTACGGTCAGCGCTTCTTCGAGAGCAATTTCGGGGAGCGTAGCACAACGTTCTGGCTGCCGGATACCTTTGGCTATTCTACTCAGATCCCCCAGATATGCCGCCTTGCGGGGATGAGCCGTTTCTTTACTCAGAAGCTCAGTTGGAATAACATCAATAACTTCCCGCACACTACCTTCCAATGGGTAGCACTCGACGGCAGCCAGGTGTTATGCCATATGACACCAGCAGAAACCTATACCGCCAGTGCTCACTTTGGAGACGTGAAGCGCAGCGTGACTCAACACAAGTCACTGGATAATGACAACACATCGCTCCTTGTGTTTGGAAAAGGAGACGGCGGCGGTGGTCCGACATTCGAACACCTGGAGAAGTTGCGTCGTTGCCGTGGCCTCAGCGACAAGAAAGGACTGCTCCCCCGAGTGAAAATGGGAGAGTCCGTCGACGATTTTTTCACAAAGCTTGAGAAGAAGGTAGAAGAGGGCACCAAATTTGCCACGTGGTACGGTGAGCTTTACTTCGAGCTGCACCGAGGCACATATACTACGCAGGCCAACAACAAGCGAAACAACCGCAAGTCTGAATTCTTGCTGAGGGAGATCGAGTATCTTGCAACCCTCGCTACCATCACGAAATCGAGCAATGAGTACAAGTATCCGAAGAAAGAGCTTGATGACATGTGGGAGGATGTGCTTTTGTGCCAGTTCCACGACTGTCTACCTGGTAGCTGTATCGAAATGTGCTACGATGACTCCAATGAACTCTACAAAAAGGTTTTCGAAACCGGCCAGAAGGCGCGGAAAGACGCCCTTCGGGCTCTAGGATTCGGAGAAAAGAAACCCAAGGCTCTCATCGCAATCAACACGCTGCCATGGCATCGTTCCGAAATTGTCAAGGTGCCCGCTGAAGTTGCATTTGCAGGCGAGCCTAAATACGCACTTGTCAGTGGTAAAACTGGCCTCGTGGATTGCATGCCTCCTACCGCCTGGACGACACTGCCTGCCGTGAGCGTTTCTGAAATCAAGCGCGGTGTATTCCGCCTCCAGAATGAGAAACTGCGCGTAGACGTCCAGGATGGCGTTATCACGTCTCTCTACGACCTGGAGGCCCAGCGTGAAGTCGTTGCCAAGGGCGGGAAGGCTGGACAGCTTGTCATCTTTGATGATAAACCACTCTATTGGCAGGCGTGGGATGTTGAAGTCTTCCATCTCGACTCCAGGAAGGAATTGCAGTCTGGACAGACATCCATCTCCGAGAAGGACCCATACCGTGTCAGCGTCGTCACCGAAACCCGGATCAGCGACAAGAGTTGGGTCAAGACGACCATCAGTCTGGCTGCCGCCGTCGGAGACCAGCCATCATACGTGGAGATGGAAAGCGAAGTTGAATGGCGAGAGACCATGAAGTTCCTCAAGGTCGAGTTCCCGGTAGACATCTCGAACACGGAGGCTTCCTACGAGACACAGTATGGAATCATTAAGCGCCCAACACACTACAATACCAGGTAAGTCTAGCCTAGCCGATTAAAAGAATGACGCTAACATATCCCAGCTGGGACATGGCCAAATTCGAGGTGTGCTGCCACAAATGGGCCGACCTATCCGAGTACGGTTATGGTGTTTCGGTCCTGAATGATTCCAAGTACGGATTCGCAACCTGCGGTAACCTGATGCGCCTTTCTTTGCTTCGCGCCTCGAAGGCACCCGATGCCCACGCAGACATGGGTCGTCATCATATCCGCTACGCAATCCTCCCGCACGCAGGGTCTTTGGATGCACGCACCATCCGTGCAGGATACAACTTCAACCACCCCCTTGTTCTTGAATCTGGATCTCGCCATGGCGTACAGGACGTATTCAAGTCAATTTCGGTCAGCGGCTCTCCGTCCCTTGTACTCGATGCAGTCAAGCGCGGCGAGGACGACGAAGACGTGTCCCGGGACAACCTGCCCCGGCGTACGGGCCAGAGCGTCATCCTTCGCATCTACGAGTCCCTGGGCGGCAAGAGTCGTGGGACTATCAATGCCAAACTCCCGGTCAAGAAGGCATGGAAGTGCAATATCCTGGAGGACGACCAGGAGAGCCTTACACTGTCCCAGGGTGACGACGGCACAACCAGCATCGACATCGAGTTGCGGTCTTTCGAAGTCGCAACGTACAGACTGCAGCTGTAGATGCACTCCATCCATCATTTTCATCCCACTGCATCGAATAAGGCAAATAGTCCCATAGTATTCAATCACAAAATGGAACATATCTTTTGAGATGTATAATCTAGCAACCCCATGCGCGATGCAATCTAGTAGTACAGAGGATATCACAACCAACCATATGATCATATGGAGAACCGAACCGAGCCAGAGCCAAAGCCAAAGCAGCCAGCCCTCAAAACATCACATCAGAAACTTTATACGCCCAAGCCAGCCAGCCAGCCAACAAACCCAGCGCGCAAACCCAAAACCAACAACCAACAACCAGAAAAAAAAATAAAAAAGACGAACCCATCAACTCCAACTCCAACCCGCAATCAAGCTCTCAAGCCTAATCTCAATCTCGCCCGTAAGTAATCTTCAGTCGCTTCGTCGGCGGCTTATCCCCATCCGTCCCATCATCATCTCCGCCTTTATCTTTGTTACTCCCGCCGCTGACACTCGCTTTCTTCTTGTTCTTGGACGGCTGGCCCTTCACGCTATTTGCTGCTGACGACGCCTCCCCGTTTCCGGGCTTTCCTGTTGATCCGTTATATGTTGAGTTTGGGGTCGCGGCGTGTGAGGGTGTTGTTTGTGCGGATGAGGGGGCGGGGGAATCCTGAAAAGTGGTTTGTTAGTTATACATACTATACTCCATATTCTCGCTCACACACAAAGACTGATAGATAGAGGGAGAGAAAGAGAGAGGGGGGGGGGGGGAGGTTGGGTTAACGAATAAGAACGAAGATAGAAAAAGAAAGAAAGAAAAAAACATACCCTCATAAAACTTGCCGAACTCCTCGAAAACACCCGATCCACATCCGTCACAGGGGCCTTCCGTCTCGTGGCCCCGCCACCCACGCCCGTTGACAGCGCCAGGCCCCCAGCCCCGAGCCCCGCGCCGCTCGACGACCCCTTGATGTAGTTGTCGAAGCCCTTGATGATGTTTCCGGCGGTGGTTTCTTCGAGGTATGATTGTTCGAAGCGAAAGATTTGGTCCTCGAGTTGGGCCTGTGTTGGCACTGGGTAATTAGTGGATTGATTGATTGTGTGTTTGGAGAAGAGTGAGGAGGGGAGTCCAGAGGGGAGGTGAAGTACCATGCTCTTATCCATAAGACGCTTCTTTTGTAGGGTGTCGCGGAGCTCGCGACGGAGTTTCTCGTAGTAGGGGAGGCCGCGACTTGCGGCGGATTCGGCTGTCGGGGGGTTGGGGAGGGTGGTGGTGCCGTTGCTGTTGCTGCTGTTATTGTTTGTGGTGCTGATTGTTAGGGAATTGGAGCCGTTGGTGGTGGTGTTGGGGGTTGCGCTGGGAGTTCCGGCTCGAGCTGCGGCTGCGGACGGTGTTGGAGGGGCGGGTTCGGCCATGTTGGATCCAGGTCGCGATGGGATTCGGAGGTCGGTGCGGAGGGGAATTGGATCGAGCGGGTGTTGTGGGTTTGGGAGTAGATAGTAGTAGAGTCGCGAAGTTGGGGATGGATGAAAGAGACAGTTGATCGGCAGATCTTATCGACGTGTTTGGCTGGTTTGCACCCTGTCACATTATCCGCTTAATTAATCATTCCCTCCCTCTCCTCTCTCCGCAGCTGTTGCTTGTCCCGTCTCCTCCCTTGCTGCTGCTCGTGACGTGGATTTCTATATATTGGTGTTTTGCAGCTCGCTCTTCTATTTTCTCCGATCTCATCTCTACCCGTCTATCCCCGACCGCACAATGGACCACTCGATGCATCAGATGGGGATGGACATGGACCATGGTCATGACCATGGCGATATGGATATGGGCGGACAGTGCAGCATGAATGTGAGCTCCCCTTTCTCTTCCCAATCTCTCTACCGTGCTTCCGGATGGTGCTTTCCACAGCTGTGGAGATGCAGTAGCTATAAGCCAGATTCGGGCTGCTTGGCTTACTCCTGGCTTATCGGTCCTAACTCCTTGTTGCTAGATGCTTTTCACCTGGTCTTCCGAGAACCTCTGCATCATCTTCTCCCAGTGGCGCGTTACGGGCACTTGGTCCCTCCTGGGCTCGCTGGTGGTGATCGTGCTGCTGACGGCGGGCTACGAGGGGATTCGACAGCTTACAAGGCGGGTGGAGGCGGCTCACGCGAAGAGGCTGAGCGCGTATACTAGTACGGTTGCAACGGGAGGTAGGTTCTTCTCACTTTGGATTCTTCTGGGGGTATCTTGCATGGTGGGGGATATTGGCGTCGCGGTCCCTTCCTCATCTTCCAGCGTTGGTGATGGGTTGTCCAACCCCTGCTGAGACGAAGCGCCTGACATCCGCAAAGGCAGCGAGATCCACGACGATTCTGCGACGGCCAATATCCCTTCCAGCCAGGCTCTGCCGGTCCCGAACACCAGCTCACCGCTAGTTGTAGGCAGGGATAGCAGGAGGGCAGTCGAGCAGAGAGGGAAGATCACCTTGGCCGCATTGTATGCCGTCCAGGTCTTCTATAGCTTTTTCATCATGTAGGTCTCTCCCTCTCCTCTCGCGCCTTCTGTGTGATGAGTGAGTGTACTGACTGGCCAGGCTGCTCTTCATGACCTATAACGGCTTTGTCATGCTTGCAGTCGCTGTCGGCGCGTTCGTAGGATACCTGGCCTTTGGAGATAATACGTCCGCCAGCAAAACAGTTGCCTGCCATTAAGTGGACTGCAGGCAGTCTCACCCTGGGTCCTGGGTCGGAAACGAGTCTCGGCTCAGACTCGTTATAGGCTTATGGCATCGCAGATGCCCGTGACCGCGGATCTTTGGAGGATAGCATCAGTTGCACATTGAGTCGAATGAGCATAGAGAGCATTGCGTTCACTTGTCAGGTAGTGGGTAGTGTGTAATTAGGGAACTTCCACATCGCTCCCGTCATCACCAAACCCAAAGCTGAACCCACCTTCGGCGCCTTCTGCGTCTTGCTCGGTCTTGCCGTGGACGATCTCGTCCCATTTCCTCTTCTTCCCCTCTGCCTTCCTCTCCAGCTCGCTCTGTGCCTGTTCCAATAACTCCGGGTGCGACTCCCGCATCTGTGCCACGAAGCGCTCGTAAGGGTTCTGCACATCCTTTCTAAACCCCGAGATCTGGTCCGCCTTGTTGGACAGGAAGTCCAGTGCCGAGCCCAAATGCGCACGGGGGATGAAGTTCTGCGTAATGGCGATGGCGGGTTCGGTATTGACGACCAGATGCCACCAGCCCGAGGGGACGTGGAGGATCTCGCCCTCGCCGCAGATCCCCTCAATGCAACCCGGAGTGCGTCGCGCCTCCGCATGGAAGCCAAACAGCCACTCCGCGATGCTGAGTGGGGATGTCACCTCACTCTGGTCGTCGGACACGAACACGCCCGGAGGCGGGGGGAGCTTTGACGACGACGGGAACATGATCCAGTACTTCGAGCCGCGGATGACCGCATTCCATGCGCTGGTCGCGTTCGGGTCCTTGTGAAAGGTGCTCCCAGACCGCTCAGGTCCAATGATCAACCACTGTCTGTCCGGACGATCCTTCCCCAGCACAGAAAACAAATCCTCCCCGAAGCACGGCGGAGGCCAATAAGTGGCCTCGGGGTCCTGGCCCACCTTGAGACCCATCTTGGACACAAACGCCCGGTCGAACAGGTAGAGAGGGCTCTCGTCGGAGTTGTTTTTCATGTATTCGACATAGTTGTAGAAATGCCAGTCCACTGCCTCGGCACGGAAGACTGCCTCGCCGTACTCGGCCAGGAGCATCTCGACAGACCAGGTCTTGTACGCGGGCCACTGCTTCACGGGCTCGGTCAGAATGAACGGTGTGTCGCTCCATTTCTCGTTGAATTCTTCGAAGGATAGATCAGGCAGACGGGCGATTTGGTTCCGGGCAGGGATGTTGTTGACATAAGGCTCTAACGCTATGTGCGCACAATGGAAGGGACGGTGCAGAGCGTCCGAGTACAGGCTCGAGCAATCCAGGATGCACACCTCGGACGGGGGAATCTTCAAGTAGGTGGATCGCCATGTGCCATTCCAGGTGAACGAGACAGGAGGAGACCTAACTAGAGCGTCAGTGTGATGCTCAGGCCATCTACAAATGCCGATCCGATCATATACGACTGTACGGGGGAACGGAGGAAGCCATTGCCCAGCAACACTAATTGCCAGCAGTCACCACGCCCGATGGCCCTCCCAGGGAGTGAATGTAAAACGACGAAAGCCATCAATCTAGTTCTTACCCGACAAAAAGAGCCTTCCATAGATCCTCGGCTCTAGTGAAAGCATAAAACGCCTTACAGGTCCGTCCCACGCTCAACAGGCCGGCACCATCGAGATGCTCCAGGAGCATCGAGATCAACTCATCCGGCAACATGTTAAAGATGCCAATGGCATCGCGCAGGTTTTGTGTGGCGAGCAGGGCATTGCCACTGGGCTTGACTCCCAGCGGATGGCCGGGAATAACATCATCGGGAACGGAGAGATCCTCGACGCTCGGGTTGGCATGCACCGAGTAGCTGCGCGAGACGGGCGCAGCCTCCATCTCGCGAGGATGGACCGAGTCCAGGGAGTTGACGTCGGGCATTTTCATGCTTGGAGGGAAGGCAAAGCAAAGCAAGTGACGAACTTGCATCCAGGCTCAGGGCTTTCCTGCCTTCACTCGGTGGTGGGGAAGAGGCTAGTCCCGATGGGGGCTGGCGTCGTACGGTACACAGTACCAGTGCTGTACGGACTAGTAACGCCCACCCACTCGCCCACACAGGATGTTCTGGTGAGCAGCAGCTGTGGTAGGGCAGTCACAGATAACACCGGATCCTGCCCAACCCAGGCACCCGGCGTGGTTTCCAAACCGCCAAACAGCCAAACGCTGGGCGAGTAACACAGTGACCAACAGTGACCACCAGCCCATACGCGCCCATACCAGCCTAGTCGCCCCGCCGTCAAATCACAACGGGAAGGGCCCAAACCCACGCGGCAGAACGTGGGCAGATTGCCCAATGCAGCAGGCGGTGGGGATCGGCTAGACTAAACAGACGCTAAAAGTCAAAAATTTCACGGCGTCAGAATGAAAAAAAGGCCGAGCAGGGAAAAAAGCGTGTAAAGAGAGAGGGAAAGAAAAAAAAAAATCGGACCGCCGCCGCTTCTGCTCTTCTGCCCCCCCCCCCCCCATTTTCCACACCATCGCCGGGCATTCATCTTGATCTTTCTTTCTCTTCCCACCCCTACGACTCCTTGTAGTCTTCGTGATATCTCTCCATCTTGAGAGTTGTGTTCCAAGGTGCGTCACTGCAAGCCCAGCCCTCTCCTGCGCACTGCGGCCAACCCCACCCCCTCCTCGCCTATCGCTAATGATTCTTTTCAGTTTTACTCTTAAAACCCCACCGTCTCTTTTGATCACAGAGCCTCGTCTGTGGTCGCTTCTATAACAACACTCGCAATCATGGCTTCTAACGACAAGGGTTTGGAGGAGGTCCCCGAGGGTATGTTCTTCTCCTCTGCTCTTTTTCTGCTTTGAAGCGCTGCTTCTGTCGATGTCGTCGCTGGGCGGTGCCCGTGTTCCTCTCAGGGCGGCCGACGAGGAAGATGAGAAAAACAGCCGCCGCATCGCAGGACGGAGCGCCAACACCAAAAAAAAAAAAAAACTGTGCTGACCAGGTTTTTCAACTCACAGGACTCATCGAGTCTAACTACGATGAGGTCACCGACTCCTTCGACTCCATGGACCTGAAGCCCGAGCTGCTTCGCGGTATGTGATACAAATTTTATCCTCCCACCTCCCCCCAGGTGGGGGGTCTGTGCCAACACATTCTGACGACCTCCAGGTGTCTACGCCTATGGTTTCGAGCGCCCCTCTGCCATTCAGCAGCGTGCCATCATGCCCATCATCAAGGGTAGGTTTCTTCCGACTCTCGTTTGTCTGGCGCGAAGGGCGACGCTAACGACGACATGCTAGGCCACGATGTCATTGCTCAGGCCCAGTCCGGTACTGGAAAGACTGCCACCTTCTCCATCTCCGCTCTCCAGAAGATCGACCACAACCTCAAGGCTTGCCAGGCCCTCATTGTCGCTCCCACCCGTGAGTTGGCTCAGCAGATCCAGAAGGTCGTCGTCGCCATCGGTGACTTCATGAACATTGAGTGCCACGCCTGCATTGGTGGTACCAACGTCCGTGATGACATGACCGCTCTCCGCAACGGTCCCCAGGTCGTTGTCGGTACCCCCGGTCGTATCCACGACATGATCGAGCGCCGTGTCCTCAAGACCGACCAGATGAAGCTCTTCATCCTCGACGAGGCCGATGAGATGCTTTCCGTAAGTGCATGCCGCACCGGGTGAACGAGGCGAATGCTAACCGGACCGATCAGCGTGGTTTCACCGAGCAAATCTACGACATCTTCCAGCTCCTGCCCCAGTCCACCCAAGTCAACCTGCTCTCCGCTACCATGCCCCAGGATGTCCTCGAGGTCACCACCAAGTTCATGCGTGACCCCATCCGTATCCTGGTCAAGAAGCAGGAACTTACCCTTGAGGGTATCAAGCAGTTCTACATTGCTGTTGAGAAGGAGGACTGGAAGCTCGACACCCTGTCCGATCTCTACGAGACCGTCACCATCACCCAGGCTGTCATCTTCTGCAACACCCGCAGAAAGGTCGACTGGCTCACCGACAAGCTCACTGCCCGTGACTTCACTGTCTCCGCCATGCACGGTGACATGGAGCAGGGCCAGCGTGATGTCATCATGAAGGAGTTCCGCTCCGGCTCTTCCCGTGTCCTGATCGCCACTGACCTTCTGGCCCGTGGTATCGATGTCCAGCAGGTCTCCCTGGTCATCAACTACGATCTCCCCGCCAACCGTGAGAACTACATCCACCGTATCGGTCGTGGTGGTCGTTTCGGTCGTAAGGGTGTTGCCATCAACTTCGTCACCGCCGACGATGTGCGCATGATGCGTGAGATCGAGCAGTTCTACAGCACCCAGATCGAGGAGATGCCCATGAACGTTGCTGGTAAGTTTGGCCGAGCAGATGCGTCCACTAGATCCATGCTAACACTGTCGGACAGACCTCATCTAAACTCCCTAATACCATCACCTTACGCCCCTCGATGCGGATTACGAATGCAGTTGCCAATAACGCTCCAAGGGTGAGCTGCGGTGGGAAAGACGTTTTGACATCGTTGCGCTTCTCTTGGTAAAGGAGAATCCTTCAAAAAGTGGCTTCCTGTGTCTCCAGCATTTTCTTCTCTAGCAGTGGCAGGCAGGGCCCGCGGACCTGCGGCGTTCTGTCGACTACTGGTTATGGTTTCCTTTGTCTTTTGTTGCTTATGGAGATGCGACACGCTTGCGCGATTTTTACTGCTGTAATTCATGGTTCTCTTCCGGAAACGCTTTTTCACACTTTTTTCCTTTGCTCTGTACCTAGCTCGCACTGGTTGGTTAAGGATGCTGTGCTCATGGTTCATCATACTTAATCAAGAGGTCGGGCAAAAAATGTGATTCGTGCAATCAGGCTTTCTTTTTTCCTCAAGGCTCTTTGGGTGGACGAAGATATGATCATGGTTGTATACCTGTGTTCAATTTGATAGACAAGCGAGGTACATGCTGGCTGTAGTGTACGTCTGTACGTCTCCGTAGTTGTGTATATCTACTCCGTAGTATTGCGTGGTATACATCTGCAGTATAGTAACGTACCTTATCCGTACCCCCTGTCTACTCTCCTCCCTCTTCCACCCCCACTATCACCATCACCATCACCATCCCCATCACTATCCACAACCCATCCACAATCCATCCACAATCTATTCACATTCATCTCCTCAACCTCAACCTCAACCTTAAACCCAATCAACCAAATCAACACATCCCATCCTACTCCATCCTAATATACTCAATCAATCAATCAACCCAACCCAACCCCCCTCAAACAATGACTGCCACTCCCACCCCAGAACCCCCCACCCCCCCTCCATCCTCTGGGCCCACGAACTCCGCCGCGAAAACATCCACCTCGTGAACCAAATCGACAGCACGCGCGCCGACCTCGCCGCCGCAATGGCCACCATCCAGACCCTGCAGCGGTCGATCGAGGAGCTCGCGCAGCGGGTGTCGGGTCCTGATCGGGCGGAGCGGAGTTATTCGGTTCCTTGTCGTTGTCGTTGTCGTTGTCGGTGCTGGTGTTGTTGTGGTGATGGGGATGGGGATGGAGGTGGGGGTGGAGATGGGGATGGAGACGGAGATGGAGATGGAGATGGAGATGGAGATGGAGATGGAGGGATCTACGGGCAGATACGAAGAGAGGTGGAGGGACAGGTAGAAGGACGGGTGGATGAGAGGGTCGCCTCTTTGGTGAGGAGGGTTGAGAGGTTGGAAAGGGAAAAAAAGAGGGAGAGGCTGGATAAGTTGGGGGGAGGGGGAGGGATTGAAGGGGAATGAGGTGGTGTGTCCTGCGTCTGATGTGTTGGTTCCGGATTCGATGCCTGGGGGGGAGGAGGATGGGTATGAGCATGGTGGTGTTGTAGGGAGGGAACATCTGTCGATGGTGTCAGATACGACGTGGGGGTCTGGGGGGCCGGAGGAATTGGCGATGGTTGGTGATGCTTGTGTTGACGGCGTTGCTGCTGCTGCTGCTGCTGCTGCTGCTGCTGGCGATGAAGCGGATCTATACACACTCATGAGACAGAATGGGAGACCGCTCGGAGAGTATCTGTCTGCTGCGGAGCAGATCAGGGCCCGGTTTCTGCTACGAATGCCGGAGGGGGAAGTTATCCGGGCTTTTGTACGGGGCTTTGATGATCTGGGGGTGCAGGTTCAGGTCGAGAGGGATATGAGTCTGGGGGGCGGGTCCTCGTGGGATGAGGTGAGGGGTGTGGTGGAGCAGGTCATCCGGAGAATCACCGGTGGTGATGATGGCGAGGGAGAGAAGACGGCGAACGAAAGACTAGCTCATGGCGTTGACCAGACGACTGTCAATGTCCGCAAGCCGCGAAGGCCAAGGAGATCCATACCCATTGTTCCGGCGGATGAAGAGGACTCTGAGTTCATGGCGGCGATGATGCGTCCGCATTGACCAGTGCACCATCCGCAGTATGCGTCATATCATATCCGGATCGTCATGCCATTGATATCGATTTCGGGTATGGTATGGTATGTATATACAGCGTGCAGATGATATACCTACACATGGGCTTTTTCTATCCAGTATCCCCCCGTTTAGGTCTCGCTGTACCGGTACCGGCCCTCACGGTCCTTGACCTCCACCTCGATGCGACCCTCCTCGATCTCCTTTCCGTCCACCTCGATCGAAGCCTTCATCACATCCCCGGACTTGACCTCGCCGACACCCTTGGGGGTACCGGTCAGGACCAGGTCGCCCTTCTCCAGGGTCATGACCCGCGAGATCTCCGCCAGAAGTCTGGGGATGCGGTACAGCATCAGGCCGGTCGAGTCGGCCTGGCGCATCTGCGAGCCGACGCTCAGGCGGAGGAAGGCATTGTGGGGGTCGGGAAGACGCGACTTGCTGATCGCCTGGGACACAGGCAGGAAGGTGTCGAAGCCCTTCGCGATCGACCAGGGCAGGCCCTTCTTCTTGGCTTCTTCTTGGACGTTGCGCGCCGTCATGTCGATTCCGAGGATGTAGCCTATGAGATGATATTGCTTAGCTGTCATTCAATCTGTATGATTAGGAGGGGGGAGACCCACTGTGAATCGCATCCAATGCGCTCTTCTCATCGTTCGGGTCCAGATCCCGAACCGTCTTGCCCATCACCAGAGCCAGCTCGACCTCATAGTGCAGGCTGGTGCCCTGGGGACGCAGCACGGGGCCCTCGCCGGGGCAGAGGATCGCCGAGGCGGGCTTCAAGAAGAAGAAGGGCTGCTTGGGCGTGGTGTTGTTGAGCTCGGTGATGTGGTCGCTGCGGAGGACAGGCTGCGGCGTTAGCGGGCTCAGGCCCATGGTCGTACAGCGTCATGTCAGGGGGAGAACGTACGCATAGTTCCTGCCGATGCAGATGACCTTTCTGCAGTTGGCCCTGATTGAAGCCGCCATGGTTTCTGTGGAATTGGGTCTGGAGGGAGAGAGGGAGGAGGGGAGGGGCTGGGGAGGAGAGGAGAGGAGAGAGCGAGGCCGCAGGCGGGTAATATTATAAGTCGGGAGCTCGGCCGATGCGACTGACGGAACCCTCCTCCGGAGCCCTCCTCCGCGCCTGCGGAGACCTCGGATCCGCCGAGCTTCGGAGCGTTGGCCCGCGATAAGACGATGTTTTCTATTTGATCGATGCGCATGATGAATGATGACTCCGGCTTGAGGACCCGGATTGCTGTCAAGGTCGGAAGGTGGACAGGAACCATTGTCTGTCAATGATAGACCAGGCCATGCATGATCTCCAACAAGATAAGATTAGTAAAGAGTGATGGACTCAAAGGTAGACACCCACAAAAGCCAGTATCTATAGTTATGTAACAGTAGTCTCCCAGGTAGACCTCGGTGTCACATACCATCGCCAAAGAACAGCCCAGCAACCCAGCAAAGCAAGGAAGTCACCCTGTCAGGGTCACGGTATTATCGCAATGACGTTGGACTCCCGCCGCCCAGATTCATCTGCATCGTGAGACACCGCGAGTAGCAGCCCATCAGCCGCATTCTTTCCTCCCCTCCATCGACTATCCATCCTATACCGCACAGCGCATACTTACTGCGGAATACAGAACAACACCATCCCACTCACCTCCAACAACCAGAACAGATCCCACCCTACCGACATCATGCAAGTAGCGGAGATCCTGTCGGATCTGACCTCCCTGCGCGTCTGTGTACGTACCGTGCCTACTTGACCTGCCAGTCCTTGATGTTCCCCTGTTACCCTTCCCTCCCAAACTTCTCTTACCCAATGAATAGACTGGGCCTCCAGCTCTATTTATTCTTCTCATTCATGCGACCTGAATCGATCGCACGCACGCACTATGCAGACTAACAAACAACCCCAAATACAGGACCACCACGACGCCCTCGCCCTCGTCACCGTCCATGAGAGAATCCCCCACCCCACCGAGCAACCTCCCCTCGAAAGCATCGAGATGGACTCGAACCTGACCCTGGACCCGCAGGCGAACGAGGACCTCCGTCGCGCGAAGGAGCTGGTGGAATTACATTACGAGATCAAGGCGCGACATGCGCAGGGGACGGTAGATGAGGAGTTGGTACGGGCGCGGGAGGAGGTGAATCGGGTGCTGAGGGAGCTGGGAAACGGATGAAAATGACGATGGCCAGGGATGCATGTGATTGATTGGTATGGAGTTTCTGGTGTATTTTATGTGGTGGTGGGTGGTTTCTTTGGGTGGGTGGGTTGGGATACAGGTGTATTGGCGCTGTCATAAGAACGACGGTTACTTGTCTATGGAATGCAATGGTTAGTTATCTTCGACGACGTGAAGGGGGCCGGCCGGTAAAGCGAACCTTCCCAAACAGGCAAGATTGAAGCTATCCTCGGCCCGACCGGGCTCCGGGCGGCGGGCTGGGGCGGGCGACAAGAGCCAAAAAGGCAGGCAGGGTGGCCGGCGGGCTTCACGACCGCCGCATCAACGCGTCACTCGCCGCACCGTTTCCACTCCCCTCTCCGGCCGCGAGATCTCGCTCGAACTGCTCGCAACCATGGCGACAAGCGTGGATGCCAAGATGCTGCGGCAGACCAAATTTCCCCCGGAATTCAGCCGCAAGGTGGACATGAACAAGGTCAACATCGAGGTCATGAAGAAGTGCGTCCTCCGCCCTGGGGATTTGAGTGCGACTCCGATATGCGGTCGGGGGTCACCATGCTGATGGAACCGTGCTGCAGATGGATCGCTAGCAAGATCTCCGAGATTCTAGGCAATGAAGATGACGTGGTCATCGAGCTGTGCTTTAACCTTTTGGAGGGGTCGCGCTTTGTATGTCCTACCTCCGTCCGACTGATTCGCCATGTCTTACCTCCCACAAAAAAAGATAAGCCCTGCCAACTGACTTGTTTTGTCTGCGCCTAGCCCGATGTCAAGTCCCTCCAGATCCAACTCACCGGCTTTCTCGACAAGGACACCGCCAGGTTTTGCAAGGAGCTGTGGTCGCTTTGTCTGAGTGCCCAGGAAAACCCTCAGGGCGTCCCCAAGGAGCTGCTGGAAGCCAAGAAGCTGGAGCTGATACAGGAGAAGGTGGGATGCGTTTGGGTCTTGTTGCGTTCCGATGCGCTGACGCCGTGGCTAGATCGAAGCGGAAAAGGCCGCCGAAGAGGCCCGCAAACAGAAGGAACAAGAGCGCGTCCGGGAGCGCGAACTGGAGGACATCAGACGCAGAGAACGATCGGATCGACCTCGCGGAGGAAGAAGAGGTGGCCGTGGCGGTGGTCGCGACTTCGAGAGACGTTGGTCGCCTCCGAGACAACGCAGCCGGGACCGCTTTCGCGGACCGCCGCCTGGCAGACGGGAGTTCGATTCCTATGTCCCCACCGGTCCTCGTCGAGGCCGTCGACCCTCCCCATCGCCCAGTCGCTCTCGTTCTCGCTCCCCGTCCTCTTCTCGCTCGCCCCCGCCTCGTCGATCACGCTATCCCGCCAACGACCGCCCCCGACGACCTCGCTCGGCGAGCGGCTCCGTCTCCCCGGACCGCGGAGACCGCAGGAGGCCCCGCCGACGCAGTCCTGATTACGGTGATCGAGCTCGATCCAAATCCCGCAGTGAATCCTCCCGCTCACGTAGTCCCAGAAGAGACCGACGGAGACGGCGATCCGTTTCGTCCCGCAGTGCATCGCGGTCGCCCGCCTACAGGGACCGGCGCAGAAGAAGAGGTTCCTCTGGATCAAGGTCCCGTTCCCGGTCTCCTCCCGGGTCGGATGATGGCGGCGCCAGACGCAGGGGATCATCGCGTGCTTCGAGAGACCATAGACCAGAGTCCACTGCTGATATTACAAAGGCCCGCAAGTCCCGTGACGACCGCCGCTTGAGTCGCAGCAGAGACCGCGACGACCACCGCCGACGCCGGTACTCATCCCGGAGTGTCAGCCGCAGCCGCAGCCGCAGCCGCAGTCGCAATCGCAGCGCCAGTCAGGATTCCCGCAGTCGCAGCCGGAGCAACGCGAGAGACAGAAAGCGACGTCGCTCCCTCCCGAGATATGCCCCTGCCGCGCGCAGACGGCGCAACACCTCCTCCGTATCCGTCCGCAGTGACAAGCGACAGAGGATGGCTGATGAAAACGAGGAAGCCCCCCGACGCGCATCGCCGCGACCCGAGAAAGCGAGCTCCAGCGACCAAGAGATGAAAGATGCCACCGAGGTGGGTGAATAAATTTTCGAGGGTATCCTCCACGCTATCCCCATGGCTCTTCCAAGTTCGTTCAATATCCGCCGTCCCCGGACCTTGTCCCTCCCTATCTGACACAAGACTAACCCCATCCCTGCCCTTCCGCCAGACTACCACCTCGAATCCTGCCCGCGCACGAATCTCCAGCTCGGAACTCCGCGAGAGACTTCTCCGCGAGAAAATCGTCGCGATGCGCCGGACCGCCTCGAGCGACAAGGTAGGTAGCACCTTGACGCCTCCTTCCAAGTAATTCAACACAAACACCACATCAAACATATCACATCACACCACCACCACCACCACCACACCCTCTCTCCCAGTGAAGAGCGTCTTATTGAACCGGACGACCACGACCACCCGATGTCGCACCCCCACGCGGTACAACGGTTCAATATCAAAAAGAAATGATTTTAAAAAAAGGTTACCCTTGACAAGAAAGACAAGACAGACCCCAAACCCTTCCGAGCAATACCTCCGTCAATAGTATCTTCGATAGTTTGCGTGGTTGAATATACTTCACTCGCGTGTCCAACTCAGACTCTCCTCCTTAACCCTATGGTAATCCTTATTCTAGTCTAGTCTAGTCTAGTCTAGTCTAGTCTAGTCGAGTCGTAGTAGGAGAACTCTCCTGATTTTCAGGTCAATAGTCATCTATCTAGTCTCCCAAGGACTCAAATATTAGTCCCCGACAGACAGAACAGGACTATTTAACCGTTAGCGCGCAGGAGTACCTATACCTAGATACTTACACCAGCCCACCCAGCCAGAGAACAAAGTTTCCCCCGGTTTCGACCGTTTTTTTGAGCCCCACAAGGCTATGACTAGAACAATTAGATTATGAGATTTAAGTTAGATTATCAGCCATGCTCGGGCGTCCGGACTATTGATTTTGGGTTCATTGGAATTTAGGTCTACAGACAGTGGATAGATAGTATCTGTAGACTAGATAATGGATCCGAAACTATTGATTGCTAGCGGAGGGAGGGAGTGAGTAAGTGAGCGACCGACCAACCCGTTTGCGCTATTGGCCGTTAACGTTGGAGGAGCCCATTTTCTGGGTGATTTAGGGCTGCGAATGCGATACGGATGAGCGTCAACATTATTATAATTAACCCCTGACTCTGACTCTGACTCTGACTCTGATAACATGGTCGAGTATCTGGATTTGGATTCGAGATATTAGGACTTTTTTTCTTTTTTTTTTTTTTTTTGCTAATTTGGTTTTAATTATACCGAGGGATGGAGCATGATATGATTATCTTTCTATTACTTACTAAGCTATTGTTTATTTTCCTGTTTCGGTTGTATACAGTCTTGCAGGATTGTATATAGCTGGCATGTTATTCGGGGATAGGATATGATAGGAGATACTAGATAGGAGAGGGAATGAGATGGGTGAAGGACCGGGACAGCAGAGCAGGAGACTTGTCCATTCATTGTCCATGCTTGATGCCTGGCTGCCTGGCTGCCTGGTGACTATTCTTCCTTGATGTAGTAGTTAATACTATGTAACTAAGACTATATGTACATACTAGTAGTTAACTAGTGGCAGATAGACAGTCCATGCAAGTAAAAGTACATGGTTACTTACTACCTTAGAGTTAGGCGTGGTACGTACCTCCACCCTCCAAACCCCCATCACACGATATTATACTGTAAGCTAGGCGATGTCTATCTATATTCTATACCAGCAACTAACCCACTACCTATGTATCAATCTATTATGTAGAACCTACGCCCCATACCTAATAACTGTATCCCTCCTGAACCCGGAGTTTAAACTCAAATAGAGTGATTGACAGATAAAAAATAGATTATTGATAGACCGATAGACTGACTGACTGATTGATTGATTGATTGATTGATTGATTGATTGATTGATTGATTGATTGATAGATAGAGGGATAGTACCTCGTTAAAAGTGGAGGGGACCACTATCTAGATAGATAGAATCGACATGCGTCACCCCGATCCACTCACCCCTGCCGTGACGGGACGGAAGAAGTAAGTGCAGGTTCGGGTACGGCAGTTGTGACTTGTGAGTCTACCTCAGTCTAGGCCATTCCTTCATCGTGACTGACTGACTGTCTTCCCGTCTGACGGGCGGACGGATGTGGCTGCGCTCGCTAATTAGGATCGGCTCGATCGGACCTCGTCTGCAGGTTGGTGGGGAGTCATTATGATTTTTATTATTTCCACCAGAAGAATCAAGAAAAGAAAATGGTGAGGAGAAAAAGCCTCACCGTCCGTCGGAATGATCATCGCGGGCGGAATGCGATCTTACCTAAGCGATCATCAGGGGGGGGCGACGTTAAGATTACCCTCAAAGTTGTCGGGCTACGAGACAGATTTCTAAACCCTAAAAAAAGATACATTCACAGGCAGGTCAGCTGACCCGCAATCGTCAATATCACGATCAATCAATACTATACAGGTAGGTGGTCAAATAAACACATCATTATATCTGCAAGAACGAATGGACTCCATTAAAGGAAACTCAAAAAAAATGGTACACAATATCAAAACAGTCAAAAGCCAGAAGAATGTAAAGAACTGCATCGACGCGGCCACTATACATGTCCTGCTTCCCTCCACTTCACACAAAGCTCGAGTACATAGTCCAGACAATCTTCACACGAATTAGAATTAGAAAATTAGGTATATACAGGAGGATTTTTCACCATGGATGCCGTTGCTATCGTCTCGTAACTTCCGCGTGTCTGCTGCGAGCTTACCAGTCGCAAACAGAGACGCTGACGGTGGCGGTCACAGTGACGGTGACCGCCTCGGAGCCGGAGCCGGAGCCGGAGCCAGCAACCGGGGCAGTGGTGATCTGAGGAGTGATGGTCTCGGTCTTGGTGGAGACGGGGACAACACCCTCAGAGGCCGCACCGGCGCCGGAGGGCACAGCGGCGCCACCGCTGGGGGAGGCACCGTTGCCGGCACTGGGGCAGTCTCGGCGGGGGCGGAGGCAGTGATGGTGACGGCGGGGAGGGTGATGGTCTCGATGATGGTCGAGGTCGAGTACACAACCGAGGGAGCAGAGCCAGCCTCGGTGATGGTGGAGGCGATGACGGTCTCACGGGTGGTGGTCTCGCAGGGGGTCGTGGTGGCAATGGCGGCAGCACCCTCGGGGACGCTGGAAGTAGGAACAGCAGTGACACTGGGGGCGCCACCGGCACCAGCACCAGCACCAGACTCGGCGGGGGCGGGGGCAGCGGGGGTCTCGGAGGGGCTTACACCGCTAGGGGCAGCACCAGATCCAGCGGGGAGGGTGACGGTCTCAACGAGGGTCGAGGTCGAGTAAGCAACCGAGGGGGAGCCAGCCACGGTGATGGTGTAGGGGACGACAGTCTCGCGGGTGATGGTCTCGCAGGGAGTGGTGGTAGCAACAGCGGCAGCGCCGGAGGGAACAACAGCGCCGGAGGGGCTAGCACCGCTGCCAGAGCCAGGGACAACACCGCCGGAGGGGCTAGCACCGCTGCCGGAGCCGGGGACAACACCGCCGGAGGGGCTAGCACCGCTGCCAGAGCCGGGGACAACACCGCCGGAGGGGCTGGAGCCAGTAGGGGCAGAGCCAGCGGGGGCAGAGAGAGTGATGGTCTCGACGAGGGTCGAGGTAGAGTAGCCAACAGACTGGGAACCAGCCAAGGTGATGGTGTAGGGGACGACAGTCTCGCGGGTGATGGTCTCGCAGGGAGTGGTGGTAGCAACAGCGGCAGCGCCGGAGGGGCTGGCACCGCTGCCAGAGCCGGGGACGACGCCGCCAGAGGGGCTAGCACCGCTGCCGGAGCCGGGGACAACACCGCCGGAGGGAGATCCAGGAGCGGCGGAGCCAGCGGGAGACGAGGGAACACCGGAGGGGCTGGAGCCGCTGCCAGATCCAGGGATCACACCGCCAGAGGGCTTGGAGCCGCTGCCGGATCCAGGGGAGCCGCCGGAGGGGGAGCCGGACTGAGCAGGGCTGGAACCGCCAGCGGGGCTGGAGCCAGTAGGGGCAGAGCCAGCGGGGGCAGAGAGAGTGATGGTCTCGACGAGGGTCGAGGTAGAGTAGCCAACAGACTGGGAGCCAGCCAAGGTGATGGTGTAGGGAACAACAGTCTCGCGGGTGATGGTCTCGCAAGGGGTGGTGGCAGCGGCGGCAGCACCAGAGGGAACAACAGCACCGCTAGGGAACCGGCGGGGATGGTCTCGGTGACGGTGATGGTCGAGTAACCAGTGGACTCAGAACCGGCCTTGGTGATGGTGTAGGGAACGACAGTCTCACGGGTGATGGTCTCGCAAGGGGTAGTAGCAGCAGCGGCAGCACCGGAGGGGACAACACCACCACTGGGGAAACCAGAGCCAGATCCAGAGCCGATAGTCTCAGTAACAGTGACAGTAGAATAGCCAATGGACTCGGAGCCAGACTTGGTGACAGTGAAGGGAACGACAGTCTCACGAGTGATGGTCTCAGTTGTGGCAGCACCGCCGGGGACAACAACACCGCTGGGAGAGCCGGACTCAAGAGGGATGGTCTCAGTGATGGTGGAGGTGGAGTAGCTGACGGATTCGGAACCGGCCTTGGTGATAGTGTAAGGAATGACAGTCTCACGGGTGATGGTCTCGCAGGGGGTGGTGGTCACTGCGCTGGCGCCTTCAGGGACAGAAGCAGTGGGGACAACGCCAGAGCCGGAGCCGGAGCCGGAGCCGAGGGTGATGGTCTCAGTGATAGTCGAGGTAGAGTAGCCAACAGACGGGGAGCCAGCCACGGTGATGGTGTAGGGCACAACAGTCTCGCGGGTGATGGTCTCGCAGGGGGTGGTCGAAGCTCCGGCGCTAGCACCTTCGGGAATGGAGGCAGTAGGGACGACAGTGCCGCTGGGAGCGCCAGGGTAGCCGGACTGAGCAGGAGACGAGGGAATGACACCAGAAGGACGAGGGCCGTTGCCAGATCCAGGAACGCCGCCAGAGGGCTTGGAGCCGTTGCCGGATCCAGGGAAACCAGAGGGCTTGGAACCGTTGCCAGATCCAGGGAAACCAGAGGGCTTGGAGCCGTTGCCAGATCCGGGGAAGCCGCCAGAGGGCTTGGGGCCGTTGGGAGAGCCGGACTTGGCAGGGCTGCTAGGGCTGGAACCGCCGACGGGGACAGTACCGCTGGGGAAGGAGCCAGAGCCAGAACCAGAGCCAGAGCCGCCGATGGAGCCGGAGCCGGAGCCAGAGCCAGAGCCAGAGCCGCCAACAGAGCCGGAGCCACCGATGGAGCCAGAGCCACCGACGGAGCCAGAGCCGCCAACAGAGCCAGAGCCACCGATGGAGCCAGAGCCACCAACGGAGCCAGAGCCACCAACGGAGCCAGAGCCGCCAACAGAGGCGGAGCCAGAGGGAGAAGCAGATCCAGAGGCGGAGGCAGAGCCAGAGCCACCAACGGAGCCAGAGCCGCCGACAGATCCAGAGCCGCCGACAGATCCAGAGCCGCCAACGGAGCCAGAGCCGCCAACGGAGCCAGAGCCACCAACGGAGCCAGAGCCGCCAACAGAGCCAGAGCCACCGATGGAGCCAGAGCCACCAACGGAGCCAGAGCCGCCAACGGAGCCAGAACCGCCAACGGAGCCAGAGCCACCAACGGAGGCGGAGCCGGAGGGAGAAGCAGATCCGGAGGCGGAGCCAGAGCCACCGGTACCGATGGCAGCAGCGCCAGAGGGCACGGCAGAGCCAGAGGCGGAAGCAGAGCCAGAGCCGCCGACAGATCCAGAGCCGCCGACAGATCCAGAGCCGCCAACGGAGCCAGAGCCACCAACGGAGCCAGAGCCGCCAACAGAGGCGGAGCCGGAGGGAGAAGCAGATCCGGAGGCGGAGCCAGAGCCACCGGTACCGATGGCAGCAGCGCCAGAGGGCACGGCAGAGCCAGAAGCGGAAGCAGAGCCAGAGCCACCAATGGAGCCGGAGCCGGAGCCACCGAGGGAGGCAGAGCCAGAGCCGCCGAGGGAAGCAGAGCCGGAGGCGGAGGCAGAGCCAGAGCCACCGAGGGAGGCAGAAGCAGAGCCCGAGGCGGAAGCCGAGCCCGAGGCGGAGGCGGATCCAGAGCCAGAGCCGGTGACGGTAGTGAGGCCGGGAGCGCCAGAGACGCTGCAGCCGGTGAGCCACTCGATGATGATCAGCTCAATGGTGGTGCTGATGTCGATATTAGCGGCGCCACCAATGACGGCGGCCAACTCGGCGCGAGTGTCGATGGAGAGGAAAGCCAGGCTCTCTCCGGAGAGCAGGAGAGAGAGAACACCACTGATGTTGATACCGAGGACGGTGTCGATGGTGCCGGTGATGAAGGTCTCGAGCTCGGTGATGATGTCGGTGGACAGGTCGACGGTGACATCGGCGCTGAGGGAGAAAGAAAGCCAGAAGAAGAGAACGGACTTCAATTCGACACCGAGGCTGCAGCTGGAGCCGGAAAGCCACAGAGCCAGGGCAGAGCGGGCGTCGGCGCTAACAGCAGTAGCGAGCTTGCCCGCGATACAGGCCTCCAGAACAACCTTGACATCGGCGTCAATGTCGACGGCGAGGCTGGACTCGAGGAAGGCAGAGAGGTAGGCCTGGGCGGTGGTGGAGAGAACACCGGAGGTGTCGACCAAGGCAGTGATGGCGGAGCCGACGGAGATGGTGGTGAGGCCGGCAGAAGGCACAGAGCCGATAGAAACGACACCGGTCGAGACGGTGCCCTCCAACCAGGCCAGAACAGAAGCCTGCAGAGAAGCACTAAGGGAGCAGTCGGAGCCGTTGAGCCAGACCTTCAGGGAGGCCTTGATGTCGGCATCCAGGTCGCCGATAACACCACCACCGGCGCAAAGAGCGAGACCGCCGCGAAGTTCGGCATCCAAGTCAAGGCCGACGGATCCGGAGAGGAAGGCGGACAGGGAGGTCTGGAGGGAGGAGCTGAGGACAACACCGACTTCGAGTTCTGAGGAGGCGAAGATACCGTCGATGGTGACGTACAGTTCGCCCTTGGCGGCCACCTCGGCGCAGGTGGGGATGAATAGAGCCAGGCCAGCACGGACATCGGCCGACAGGGTAGCGGAGGCACTGCCCTCACACCAGGCCAACAGCGACGTCTTGAGAGAGGCCTCGAACGAAGCGTGGGCACGGATCCAGGCAGCCAATTCCGCGCGGGCGCTGGCCTCGATGGTACCAGCGGTGCATCCCAAAGCACTACCCTCTAGAACAGCAGCTGCCTGAGCGCTGATACCAGTGAGAACGGATGCCGAAGCCTCCACGCCACCGCCGAGGAGGGTCTCAATGATACCGGTCAAGTCACCACCAATGTCGCCGAGGATTTCGGCGATGAGGCCGAAGGTACGGGGGTCCAGTTCCTTCGTGGGGAGGGCGACGGCGTAGCTCGCCAGAGCGGCGAGCGCCACAAGGTTGTTAGAACGCATTGTGCCGGAAGGGCAAAGAATGTGTATGTGGAAATCGACAAGGACGTCAGCGAATGTCTAAATTGAACCAGTCAAGAAAGCGAAGAAAGGAAAAGAAAAAAAAAAGGAAGTACGGCTGGCTCGAGGCAGCCCAGTGGGTTAACGACAGACTGTAAATGAGGGTCGAAAAGGAACGACAGAACCCAAATAACAGAACAAAACAAAGTGATGAGAAAAGATAGATGTCCGTGGGGAGAGGTGATCATCGTCGAGGTATATATACCCCTGAGAGGAATTTCCCTGCCGTGCCGATGGAGCCCTCCCCCAAGTCTGGAACCCACGAATGGAGCAGCGCACCCAGCCGGGAGCATGTTGGCCATCTGGGATCGAGGGACCCGGATCTTCGAGGCCAAGCTAGCCAAGTGGATGCGCCGGGTGCCAGTGGAAACTAGGAGGCGAACCAGCGTTGTAGGTGGGCACATCCGAAACAGACTAAGCAGAACGAGAATACTATTTCAGGCAACGCGGTTTACTTGACTGGGAAGGTATTAGTCCCGAGCTGTGCGGGTCGCTTCCGTCTGGATTTGATTAGGATTATTGTTTTTTGTCAAGCAACGGACGCGCTGTAAGCCTGTAAGCAGGGGGAAAAGGCTAGCCCGGGGAACCACAGACCAGGCCAGCCACCAATTAGGGGTCCAGTGCTCTCAGGCCGTGGTGTGGTGAGAGGCTCCGTTGTCAGGGAGAGGGCTAGTGTCCTCGAGCCGTCATCAATTCTGAGGACGCTAAGGCCAGCAGCATTATATGGTCAGACCGTCCGTGAGGGCGCGAAGTGGATTATACTATTGGCGTTAATGTGCTCGTGGGTGGGAAGACCTTTTGGGGGGGGGGGGAGCGTAGCAAGGTCGACATCGGCATCATCATCGACAGCACCACATCAGCAGTCGGCATGGATTCATCAGCGGGGGGGGGGCATCATCTTCATCATCATCATCATCGTCGTCGTCGGGTCACCAGTGGAGTGGTAAGCAAGAATGTGCCAACCACAAGGTCCAGAGCGACGGATGTTGGCCATTGTGATCGGACATGCGGGCCAATGACAGGCGGGCTATGCAGGCCGCATAGGGTAAACAACAGGATAATCCCAGAGCCGGGCACCCGTCGAGGTCGAGCCATGGATGATCAACGCGGCCGGTGTTTTGTCCCTGAATTGTTAGCTTGGTCCAGTTTTCCCATGGATGAGAACATGAAACTTTAGAGTTGCTTAGGTTCCCTTTAAAAATGTGATCAAACAGCTAGGGAAACTCAAATCTCATCCAAGCTATTCAGCTGTGGACACCGAGGGCAGGCACTGGGGCAGGGGAGCAGGGAAAAAGGCGGCGAGAACTGGTAACAGCAAAAGAGGGGAACCTAAAACAAAAAAAGCAATGACAAAGGAAAGGGAAAAAAAAAAGAAAAAGAAAAAGAAAAAAGGGCGTTAAGATTTTGTGACATATGTGCGTTGACTGATCAACTAATTCCCGAGGTAGTGCATAAATCCAGTTCCGGGACGTTAAGATTCAAATGGAAAGGGAAAAAGCAAATAGTCAACTATGGGCGCGCAGAGAAAATGGGTATACAAAGGAAACTGTCACCAACTTTCAAACAAACACTGTTCCGAAAGACCCATGGCAGATACTCTAATCAATTATTGAAGGAGCACAGATCTTATCAGTGCATCATCGCCATGAGACTGTGAGACTGGTGTTAAATCTTGAGTCTCTGAATAAGAATAGTAGTGTTGAACAGGGTCGGACTCCATCAGCCACCCACTGTGATGGCCAAATATAGAAATCGAATTTCCCCAAGGGCGGCCAAATACCTCATTCCAAACAAGCGGACCGGGGTTGCTAGCCTGGACGAGTTCCGGGGGGGGGAAGGGGGGGGGGGGTGAAGGAGGGGGCTTACTCGTAGCTTCCCTAGGCTGAAGAGTGAGAGGGCCGGAGGCACAGAAAGCATATCCTCTGTGCACAACCAAATACGGTGCTGTGGCCTGGTGGGTGTGCCGCCTTAGCCCGCCAGACTAGTGGGCTAGCGTTGCCTTTAGTCAGGGACAAAAGCTGCGGGTTCAGTAGGCATTGCCTTAGCGTGTCTGACGAGAGTCTTTGAGGTAAAGTGCCTGGGCTCTAGAAGCAGAGAATTCAACGGAACCCCCATGGCCAAGCTGCGCAGCATGACTGTAGTAAAAGTCACACAGAGTGTACAGCATTCCAGTCTAGACTGCTCCAGGACACCAATATTAAGGCCTGGTTCTGGGACAATGGCAAGGAGGTCAGCGGAAGGCAATCGTTGCCAGAATCGGTGTTCCTGATCCAAGAGGCTCGCACCCTTGGTTCCTGAGGCTCCACCGCCCTCTTGCCCCAATGGCCTGAGCTGCCGGCCGCCCGCTTTAACCGAGGATTACCGTAGTTAGCAGCAATAACAACAATGAGGTCAAGACTAGCACTGCAGAGTAGATACACACTAGCGGTGCTCCATCGACGGAGGATAGTGCCCCTCAGGTCTCAGCCCGGGCGAGATCAAGGCAGTGGACAGTGGACAGTGGACATCGGGTGTGGTTCGGAGCAGAGGGGATTGGGGGAGGGGGAGGGGGGCGTCTGCAAGAAGGCTTCGTGTGTCTCATTACTTGCAGGTTCAGATTGGCTCGATCTAATCGACCTACCAGTTAGAGTTGACCGGGATTTGAGGCAGCCCTCGGGAACTTTCCTGATTGCATCCATCTCGCAGTGATGATTGACTCGATCAAATAGGTTGTACCACAGGACAGCTCTGTGCCACACGGTCCCTAGCCACCGACCTACCTACTAACCTAGGTAGGTGGTACTCCGGACTGTCTGTAGCCAGGCACGCCGGCACCCGAAAATTGGGCGAATGGAGATTAGAATCGGCTACTATTACCGGTAGGCTAAAAGCAAACGAGGTAGTACTTTTGAACACAAAGCAGGTTGGAGGTTGGCCTATGGCTGCTGGAAACCTCACCGGCGAAGCCAGTACGACGACGAGTGACGACGAGTTGACGACGACGACGACGACGGCAGGGAAGAGGAGAAGTTCAGTTCAGGGCGGCAGGGAAACAAAGGGAAAAAAACAAAGGCACTCGGTCTGGTCTGCCTCTTTGGGAAGGCGCGAGGCGAGCCATCAGGTGATGTCAGGTGTTTCGGTTCTTTGGCTTCTGGCAGGTCCCGTCAATCAACGTCAACCTCGTCAATTCCCATCCCTCCGGTCCTCCTCCGTGTTTCACGATCTCCCTAGTCCTTCTGGCAGAGACCACTACTATTCCACGTTCTATTTTTGACGGTGATGATCCACGTCAAACCACGCACTAAGGCCGCAAGGCAAGATCCCCAGCAGTTCGTTGACTGACTCCTGCAGAAGATAGAAGATTGGGGGAGCCATCCCCTATCCAGTCTGCTCCCCCCTCCCCCATCCCCCGTCGATCGTATCAAGGTACGCCACAGAACTAACGAGTCAGGAATCACAACTAAGCCCTCCCCTTCAAACCGCCACCGCATCACAGGTTGGAGCTTATGAGGAACGGCCTCGGTGGTCACCTGGTGGCCGTCGGTTCAAGACTCAGGCAGATTCCAGGGGATGGATTTTGTCAGGCAGGCAGAAAAAAGATAGATGGATGGTCGCTGTTCGAACATTGGAGGCTGATTCGAACTGGCTGACAACGCCAGTTGATGCGATGTCAAGACGCAAAGCAGGAACCAGAACTGTTTCTGCTATACATAACCTTAAACCTCGATAATCCTGACGGTCGTTTCAATATTCCGCTTAAGGATCCGCCGAAAAAGCTTAAGGATGACATTATTTATTGCCGATGAGCCCACATTCCTACCGTATACTCCGTAGCTGCTCATCGTTCCTACTGACAAGGCTTGCAGAGAAAGACAAGGGGTCATAGCCCATGCCAACCACGGTCTGCCTCGTTGGACACACTCTTGGTTTATTGATCATGTGAGCGAAAGACGAAGAGAAATATGACCTGTCTGGTATGGTCTGTAGCTATTGCCTGTCTTCCATACGTGGCGAACGCCAGTCTTACTGCCTCGAAGGTCAAACATGGGTATTGCTTGGTCCATCCCCAAGAGAATTCCCGTAATCGCCTTGGCCAGCTGTGCTATCTACAATCGTTATCTACTCTGCTCTCTGGGAAACGGAATACTTAATCCGCGGTCCTCGGGCTCTGTCGCGGTAAGATCAGATTTGTCTCTTGAGCAGCACTCAATAGATTACAATCCCTCTGGAGGCTGTCATCAGGTCTATCAACCTATGGACCTGTTATTTAGCCATATCTGGGTGTTTGCGGTAGCGAGAGCTTGTGGTAGCGAGTGATTTATCTGTATGTTGGTACATCATCTTGATCACCTACAGGGACTTGGGGGCGGTAACTACAAGTGTAAGCACAAAATCTCTAGATATGGGTACACCCGGGGTATGTGAAGAAGTTCTAGAAAGATTACTTGAATATAGTTATTAGGTAGTCCAAAATCCAAGCTGATTAGTATATGGAATTGAATACGTTGAGTTATATGTGGTGCCAAATATTCTTCGTGGACGAGATTGCATTCCCAGAGTATATATTAGTGGACCGAGCTCTCACCCCAGTCGGAGGAATCCAATCGCGCAAAGAGTGTCACACACTGATCAATTAAAGACCCCCTCTAAAAGCCCGAGGTACATCTACTACCCAGATCACCACTGAAGATCACACACGGCCCAGAGAAACCCCTCACCCCCGCGTTGATAAAGAGGTGGTGCAGTATAGATACTCCGTGGTAGTCGGTGATTTGCGCGAAATTCCCCGAGGGACACCGGTTCGAGTCCAGACGACAGCTGGCAGCTGGGTTGCATGCTGACGGGAACGCAATGCAGAGTTGTATGCAGTGAATGGTCCCTCATTCCTCGCCCCCAGAGGGAGAAGGAAGTTATTCACTCCAGTGCCTGGAAGCAAGGAGGAGTTGTGTTGTGCGGGCGCGATTGCCCGGGGCAACGGGGCAGTTCACGTGACCGTGGGGATCCCAGCCACCCGCAATTCAATTCCCAGTTGGATGTTTCGAATCGACGAAACTACAACACGCCAACGCCAACACCGACTCCAACGACCTACTAACCCCAACCACCCATCCCCCGCCCCCCGCCCTCGCTGCAGCCGACATTGGGGCCAACTGGGCTGGAACTTGAGGCTGACACGTCCATGTGGCCTCGCCCAGCTCTGTGATCATGCCCTCGCCCCCTGCCCTGCATCGCCAACCCTCGTACCGTGAGATGTCCCGCGCCGCGACCTCCCGCGCCGGGTCCAGGCGGACCTCGCCAGACATCCAGAACGCGACCGCGTTTCGGTCCAACTCGTCCGCGGCGAGACATTACTCGGCGGGCGACAGCTCCGACGACGAGGTGCCCGAACCCAAGTTCAGCGCCTCCGTCAAGGCCCTGCTCGACGAGGATGGCCTCGACCTGTCCCCGCGTCTGCGCGGCGAGCGCATGGGCTCTGCAGCCTCCAACCAGGAAAGACGATCTCGCACGACTTCTCCGAATGATCACTCGACCGGAAGCCCGGCGCCCCGCGTCGTTCGCATCGCGCCGTCCCTGAATAGTAGCGGTGGAAGATCCCGGAGGGAGGGTTCCCTCCTGTCCAACAGCGAGAGTGCAGAACCGGAAGTCAGAACAAACTCGAACGATTTCATCACTCCGGCCCCGAGACCACGCAGTGTGCGCATCAATGGCTCGCGGAGCCATACACGGTCACCGCCATCTATATCACCGTCTCAAAAACGATCGGAGGAAAGGAGTTATCTCGACGAACATGGGAGTGCGGAACGCTCAGAAGATGAAAGAAAGTCGCGGTATGAGGATGATTACGCGCCTCGCATCGGCACGTCTTCGGTCCTCCGAACCCGCAATCTCGATGATATGGGCATGCAAAGCTCATTGCGGGTGAAGAGGGTCGGAAGGCTCACGGGAACATTTTTGAACGGCCCCGCAAGACGGGGCGTGTTACGACGACAGAGCGAAGAGAACAACGAAGATCGAGAACTAGACGCACACGATGACAATGCCGATTACCACTACAAGACCACCGCGAAATCCTCCTCCCCCAAGGTGTCATGGGCGGACCCGAGCCCGCCACAGAGGTCCGACGAACATCGGTCCTATTCTCGGACTGACGGGCCATTTTCCAGGTCCTCATCGCCCAAGTCCTATGGATCCTACTCCAAGTCGACACCCGGCTCTTCTTCCGACGCGTCCTCCAAACCTTCAAGTGCAAAAGACCAGCCTTTGTTCAAGGTGCCTCCTCCGCCATCGTTACCTTCGTCTAGGGACCAGGAGAACGAACCGCCACCGACATTCAAGCGTGTCAAGCCCCAGGGCTTCAATCTACTGGACCGACCGGATAAGCCCGCGGTAGTCTACGGGGAGGGGAAGAAAGAGAGTGCGGAGACGCCGGCAGGAAACGGAAACTCGCCTCGACAGATCCTCGCAACACGAAGCAACAACACCCCTCACAGACCGGCCCCTCCCCCGCCCAAGATGTCCGTTCTCGAGACAGCCACCGCCACTGGAGGGGCATCCACCGCGTCACAGTCCCGTAAAAAGCGCAGCCAGGTCTCGGTGAACCACAAGCCCTTCACCCGGCTGGATTGCATCGGCCGCGGTGGAAGTTCGCGGGTCTACCGGGTCATGGCGGAGAACTACAAGATCTTCGCCTTGAAGAGAGTGAATCTTGAGGACGTCGACCCGATCACCTTGGCTGGTTACAAAGGTGAAATCGACCTCCTAAAGAAACTAGAGAACCTGGATCGTGTCGTGCGCTTGTTCGACTGGGAGCTGAACTCAGACAAGCACACCCTCAGCGTCCTGATGGAAATCGGAGAATCCGACCTGGAAAAGATCCTCACCTATCGGCTCAACGCTGAGGATGCCCGATGCGACATCAACTTCACCCGATACTACTGGAAAGAGATGCTGGAATGCGTTCAAGCCGTACACAACCACAACGTCGTGCACTCGGACCTGAAGCCTGCGAACTTCCTCCTGGTCCAGGGCCGACTGAAGCTGATCGACTTCGGTATCGCGAACGCCATCCAAGACAACACGGTCAACGTACACCGCGAGCAGCAAGTTGGAACACCAAACTACATGTCCCCAGAAGCGTTGGTCGACTCCAACGCCTCCCTCGGCCTCCCCGCCAGCGTCGGCAAGATGATGAAGCTCGGCAAACCCAGCGATGTCTGGAGTCTGGGCTGCATCCTCTACAAGATGGTGTATGGCCAGCCCCCCTTCGCCAAGATCCCCAAGTACTACGAACGCATCCTGGCCATCCCCAACCCCAACGTCAAGATCGACTTCCCCGCCTTCGGCGTCGGCGGCGTCCCCGTGCCCCCCGGGCTCGTCCGAACCCTGAAAGGATGTCTCCAGCGCGACCAGACCCTCCGTCCCACCGTCGAAGAGCTCCTCGCCCAGCGAGACCCCTTCCTTTACCCCGACGCCCAACTCGACGGCGCCGTCCCCGTCACCCAGGACATGCTGAACCGCATCCTCGTCAACGTTGTCAACCACTGTCGCGTCCGCGGCATCCCCAAGGACGAGGAACTCGCTGCCTGGCCGGCCGGGTTCTTCGCCAAGATCAAAGCCGCCCTAGAAGAAACTACCTGATCATACATATTCATGCATATACCTCGTTGTCGATAACCCGACCTTCCCCTTTCCTATGTCTCGTGTGTCTTCTTCTTCGTCTTCTCGCCTTGATTGCGATTGATATCCTGGATCCTTTCCTCCCCGACGAACCGAACCCGGCGTTCCACCTCTCTCCACACCCTACCTACCTACCTATCTATCTATATCCATTTCATTCATTTTCTTTGTCCGACATACCTCTACCTCACTTCTCTCCTGCAATCCTCTTCACTTCTTGTTCCTTTTTGGATCCACCCCCCTTTTTGTCCCCTTCCTTTCTCATCTTCTCCCACTTGGTATAGGGACCTGGAATCACGGTGTTTGTGTCTGTCTGTTTGTCTGTCTTTCCCGTGTATGTGTTCTTACTTGAATCGCGTTTTAGCCTGGATGAATTGATTGATTGATTACTTGCCTACCCACTTCCCCGCCCCGCTTGCTTAACCTGTTTGATTAACTGATTGGTTTATTGATTGACTGATTGACTGATTACCTGATTGTGCGTGCATGTCTTGCATTGGACGGACGCTGTGTGGGCATCAGCAGCATGGGTATTTGGAGTTTTCTTTTTGACTTTTTGAACTATAAAGCTTGGAATATACGTAATTTATTTACTTACAAATATTTTGGATACTACTTACTAGTAATTTCTGCATAGATTTGATATTTATTGGTGTGGTGTGGTGTGTTGTGTTGTGTTTATGGTAGTGGTAGTATTCGTGGTAGTGGTAGTGGTAGTGGTATCTAGGCTTTGTGTGTTGTGAAGCATATGCTTGTGCTAGGAGCAAAGAAGATAGATAATCAACTGTGAAAGACTACTGCCGCCGCTGCTGCTGTTGTTTCTAACACTACTACTCCCGCTACTACCGCACTGGATAAACACCGACTACTGGAATCGAATCAATTCCACTCAATTTCTAAGCAAGTAGGGCAAGGTAGATAGATAAGGTATGTACCAGGTAATATACATACGAATGATCCGCTCTCTCGCACCAAAGCGAACCAAATCCACAGCAACAGCACAAGAAACCAACAAGAAACCCTTTATTTATTTTCATTTCTGTCTAAAAAAAAACAAAAGGGAGGGAGGAGGAGGAGGAAGAGGAGGAGCAAAATGAAACAGGAAGGAGACTTTGCGCGCCGCTAACGCCACACCCACTGATATAGTCTATGCAAAGACGGACACAAACCAACGCAACCGGGCATATTTTGAGATTGAGAGATAGGTAGGGATGGTGATGGTGATAGTGATAGTGATATGGTGGGTAGGATAGATGTGAAATATGAAGGATGAGGTGGGGAGGGGTGGGGGAGGTTCATGATCGATCATTGATGGGGGTGAATGATGTGATTGATTGATTGATTGTGATTAGACGAGTAGGACGGCGCTGGATTGGAGGGACGTGGTTAGTTTGGGCTGACGCTGGGTATGCAGGGAGAGACAGAAGAAAGAGCGGAAGGTGAAGATGAGGGAGGAGGCATAAAAACTTACTTGACCGTGCCATCCATGTCGGGATTGTTGGTGATCTGGGCCCATTTACCCCAGACGACCTTTCCGGAGGTGGTGACGAGACCCAGTTCGGACACGTTGACTTCGATGATGGTACCCTTGGTCAAGACACCCAGTTGGGTATACAGGGGGTTCTGGGGGTTCTTCTTGACGGAAAGGATGGGCAGCTGGACGGTGACGCCGAGTTCGGGGCTGGAGAGGCGGTTAGATATCAACGCAACTCGACAATGCCACCGGCTTCATTCACACAGAGCCAGTGAGAACCGATAGAAGAAGGGAAAAAAAGAAACATACTGCGTAACATTGGCCTTCTTGTAACGCAGACCCATGGGACGGATAAACCGTTCGTACTTGACGGGCCGTCTGGTGAAATCGCTTCCAACAAAAGTGGGCTTGGTGATCATGCGCTTCCACGACTTCTTGTGGGTCTTCTTTCCGGTGTTGACGACCTTGAACATCTCCTCCTCGCTGATACCCTTGACCTTGGGCAGGGGCACGGCGAACTTGGCGGCCTTCTCATTCCGCTTGTCCTTGATGGCGCTGGAGAGGGCCTTGGCGTTGGTGGCCTGGGACCGGTCGAGCAGGTACTGGGGCAGAGGGGTGTTGGAAGGCTCGTCGGGGGCGGACGACTTGACGTTCTTCTCCTCCTGGGCCCGGATGCGCTTCTTCATCTGGATCTTCTCCTTGTGGCGCTGCTGCTGGTACAGCTTGGCCCGCAGGCCGCGCAGGTTCTGCGCATCCTTCGACTGCTTGTGCGAGTCACGGGCCTGGCGCTTGCGGGTACGCTCATCGTGATCCAGCCGCTTACCGTGCTGCTTCTGCCAGCGCTCGATGTACCTTGATTTCCAGTCAGTTGCTGCTGCTTCTATTCCCGAAGGAACTCTCTTCTAGCTCGGGGGCGTGGGGGGGGGGAGTGGTGGGTGGGGAAGAGGGTTAAGACGAACTCGTTCTGAGGCTATATGCGAAACAATCCATTAGCAAAATCCCCCTAGCAGACGCAGACAGCAAGATGACATACCATGATGAATGAACGGGCGATAAAGCAGCGGCGAGCGAGGGGATATCAGGATCGGGCAGAGTGAGGGATCGGAGGAGACAAAAAAGTTCGACGGCGGCGCAGGTCTTGGCGCCGATAAAACCCGGTCACGTGGTGCACCGTATCGAAATGGGCCCGTCCGGAATTTCATCCTCTCCTCCAGCAGCAGCAGCAACAACAGGGGGAGATCACGCCAATTCGTCCTCCATCTCCCGAGCTACTCGTCTCTCCTCACCATGCTTTCTCGGACTGCGCTCGCCCGGGCTTTTGCCCTGCCCCTCGAGCAGCTCCCCCGATCCTCCATCACCACCACCACCACAACCTTCCGGGCCTGCCTGCACCAAGCAACCACGACAACACCATCACACAACCACCACCACCACCCGGAGGCTCCCCTCAGCGCCACGCCCCGGGCCCATACATCGACCCCCTTCCAACAACCACGTTTCCGGACGGCCGAGGACGCGATCCCGCAGACGCGGGCGGACGTGCCTCTGAGCAAACAGCCCGTGGCGCCGACCTTCGAGGCTCCCTTGAAGGTGTCCCAGAGCCTCCTCGACATGCTCCCGAACCTGACGTCGCAAAGGCCGCACTACATCACCGCCCACCTCCACGATCGACCCTACCTGCTCACCGCGGGCGATCAGCTGCGTTTGCCGTTCCTGATGCCCAAGGTAAAACCGGGCGATGTGCTCCGGTTCAACCGCGCGTCACTGCTGGGTTCGCGCGATTTCACGCTCAAGAGTGGTGCCAAATACCTCGATGAGCGGCTGTTCGAGTGCCGGGTTCGCGTGATGGGCGTGGAGTCGGAGCCTCTGCGCACGAAGGAGAAGACTAAGCGGAGACAACGGCATGTGAGGACCGTGACGAGCAAGCATCGGTACACGATTATGCGCGTGATGGATGTCAAGGTCAAGACTGCGGAGGAGTTGATGGAGGAGGGTGCTGTTGTCGTGGAGAGCGCTGAGTCGGCGGCTGATGTGGGACTTAAGGAATAAGTCTTAGAACGGAAAAAGCGGAGGGACGGGATCGGGGAAGTAGGCATCCTCGAAAAGTGATCGAAACGTCTTCCTCAGCCATTATGGGGTTTATGCTGTGTTATATCCATTGATTGGAGCCGTGCAATAGCGGTGGGCCATGTACAGATAGGACTTTCTGTTTTGCACGTCGAGGTGTGCAATCGTACTGTATTCTATAATTGGGTTTCGAATGTTCAACTGTTTCTAGACGGCCCGTGTTTACGTTTGTCGGATGACCATATATGATACGGCAAAGTCATCTTGACTGAAGACTTCAGAAAAGGCAGCACTGGCATGTCTACAGGGTTCTTAGCATATTCGGAAGGACTGATAGCTCTGGACCGGTTGAAGGCTCCACTCTTTACCAGAGAAACCTGCTTTTCAGTAGACTGTTTATTTAGTAATGCCAGTTAACAATGGTACATTAATGATGGTATATATGCAGTACACGAGACACCGCACGCACTGCATTCATTGCCGTGGATCCGGATTGATTTTTTCACTGTCCTTGCAGAATCCTATCCGCGATCTTCTCCGCAAGAGCATAGACTGTCGCCTGCGGATACCCTGGAGGCAGGAATGGGAAACTGCTCGCATCGACAACCCGTAGACCTCGAACCCCATACACTCGCGCAGAACTATCCAACACTGCCAATGGGTCGCCTTGCTGTCCCATTTTACAGGTAGAGGAGGCGTGCGAGAGGGTTGTTAAGGTTCTCTGCAGGAACTCACGGATCTGCTCGTCTGTCGTCACGTTTATCCCCGGGGAGTATTCCTCGGGATGTGCAACTCCCAGCTGGACCAGCTCCTGCCAAATCAGGCGACTTCGCCTGAACGTCGCAATCATGAGCTCCATATCTGTAGGGTCCGCAAGCCATTGAGGGTCGATGATGGGGGGTGTTGTCATGTCCGGACCTGCCAGTGAGATGGAGCCGCGCGAGAAAGGTGCAATGATTGAGAAACTAATGGTGGCATAAATATAACCATCAGAGTTGTTGCCAGGCGGGTTGAATCCATCAGCGGTATATATGGTTTCTGGCCAGTCGCCCGGCAAAGTCGCAAGGGCCGCGAGTGAGTCATTTGACAGCCGCCCGCGGTATGGGTTCGGCAGTTTCTCGAAGCCAAAGTATCCTGGCCCGACAATAGACATTGGCCCGGTTGCATCCTCGATATATTGCCTGATAGCGAGCTCCATAACCGTGGCGTTGGGGTAGGAGCCTGCAGTTGGAACATACACCCGGTGTATCACTCCGGCCCTAGGATGGTCCTGTAGGTTTTCACCAACGCCTGGCAGGTGACTGATGCAGGTGATGTTGAATTGTGAAAGATAATGGCATGAGCCGATCCCTGATACCATCAACAACTGGGGTGACTGAATGGCCCCCGCTGACAGTATTATCTCTCTCCGAGCGCTGAGCGTGAAATTGATAGACGGGGTGCCGAACGTTCCGGCAGTCTGAACCTGGACACCAGTTGCGACATTGCTTATATCGAATAAGATCTTCTGCGTAAGGGTCTTCGTGTAGACAACGGGGCCATCCCTGCTCCTCAGTGACGCTTGCAAGAAGCTAGTTGCGGATGAAGAACGGTGAGCGTTTGCGGGATTGATGGTCATGGTAAGATATCCCGAGCCCAACAGCCTGCCACTGTTGAATTCAGTTTGGTTTAGCCCTAGTCGAAGGAGTGCTGTGCGCAGCCATGTCCCAAAGGTGTCGACGAAGTTTCCCGACGAAACCTCAAGAGGCCCGCCGGTTGAGCTGAAGGCATCCGGATTCTGTATGTTCGTTGAGTTTTCGAATAACTCCTCATCTGGAGGAGTGAAATGGACCGATCGCATGTAGTACGGAGCGATGTTGACTAGATCGTAGCTGGAGTCATTCGCCTGTTCCGCCCATCTGTGCAGGCTGTCTCTTGTAGGGCGATGGTAGAACATGTAGTTCCTCCCTGAACAGCCCCCGAGGGTCTTCCCACGTGCATAGTGAACGACGCGGTTTCCCAGAGTCTGCTGTAGCTGGGTTCTAACCCCCCAGTCCACCAAAGGCTGGTAATCGCTGAGACCAGGCCCAGCAAAGTAGGTCGAATGCCCGGGGATCACGGAAAGATCGCCGCTCTCAATTTCGTAGAATCCGCCTGCCTCCACCACGGCCACCGTGAGGTTTCCGCTCTGGGCCAGTCGGCTGGCAACCGTCAAGCCAGCAGTGCCGCCACCTATGACTATGTAGTCGAAGGTGGCATGCTCCCCGGGTATGCCCATCCAAGTCCCCAAGAGAGGTCCTCGTTGGCCATAATCGAAGAGATTGAGACCGAGTCCATCTTGAGCCGACACCAGAGCTGCGAGGCCCAGAATAGACCAAAGAACACGCATGATGAGCATTCGATCCCGGACCAAATACAAGCTAGAAGAGAGAAGTATCGAAGCTTGCTGGGAGCATGATTTGCCCAGCAGCACTGGGGAAATCAAAGGAAGGACCGGGGCAGCAAACTAACCAAATGAGTGGAATAAGGTCGCCCGATAGAATGAGTAGTCGATAAATGCTGATAGCGAGGGAAGGGAAGGAGAGAGACAGAGAGACAGAGAAGAGGGAAGAAGAAGTCGGGAAGACCAGTTGATGCAGAAAACCGAGAGAATTCCCAGTCAGGAAGGAGGGAGGCAGTGCCAGTTGCCAGAAATACCACGTCACTACAACTTATACCGTACATAACAATTCATCATTCACACAAACAGGCTTACTCGCTAGTAGTAACATATCAACATGCAATGCAGACAAGAAATCCGGATATCTACACAACAATCTCCTCCAACCCGAGCTGGACCCGGCAGGTCTCGAGGCTGTCTCTCTGCATCTGCTCATACAGACTGATCTCGTCCGTCGCAGGGGTTCCCATCATCTTCTGGAACCCATCCAAGTCCGCCTCCGCCTCCATAATGAGACGTTTGGCTTGGGATTCGCTGCCCAGGTTCGAGTTGAATATCCCCCCAGCAGATAGGGGAAGGAAGTCCTCGTACGTGATGGGTTCGTACTCAAGGACACCATCCTTCAGGAGTTGGCTCAGGCTGGCCTTGGTGATATCCAGACCCTGTCCGGCCTGCGGGGTGAGGTGGTAACAGAAGTATGCCAGCTCCTGCTCCTGCAATTGACGCAAGTCGTCGGGGAACTCCTCAAAGCCCTGTTCTAGGATCTCCTCATACTTCGTGGAGTCGGCTCCTGTCTCTGCAGCCGTGGTGTTGACCCGAGCGAGGATGTCATCATAGAGCTTTCGACCTTTCCGTGTGAGAGCATACCCCCGCTGCTCGACCTCCCCGAATCTGGCGGTATGGGAGCCCTTGACGTATGCCTCGTTCGAATCCCGGAAATACACCGTCTCCTCTAGCGCCTTGAAGCTGGTCTGGCGGAGCAGGATTGGGTACTCCCGGCGGGGCGGTCCTTCGATGCGCTCCTTTGCCGGCATGCCGCTGTCCTGCATCATCTTCTGGACGAGGTCGATGTCAATCGTCCGGGGAGTTAAATGGTTAATGTGGCAACTTGGGAACGACACGATGTCCGCAATTAATGGGTGCTCCGCCTTGAGAATCTTGTACTCGTCCAGGGTCACCGTCGCCTTGGAGTGCCATCGGAAGGTCTCCAGGCCCTCCGCAATGAACTCCTTGCACTCGTCGGGGGTAAGTCGACCTTGTATCTCCGCGTGGTCTATCAGTGCCACCAACCGATCGGTGAAGATGTTCCTCTGCTTCAGGGCCCTCTGCGCCAAGTCTCGCGTCCTCTCTGTCAGAAGGTCCATCCGCAAAACCGTCGTGAACACCCGGAATGGGTGTCTAGCCAGAGCCTCTCTGCTCTTCGGGCGAAACGCAGTGGCGTGCATGGGGAACCCGGCCACACTCAGATCGTAATAACCCACTGGAGACATGCCCATGACGGCGAACATGCGGCGGATAGTGGACAGCTCCTGTGCAGTGCCCAGACGGATGGCACCATGTCTCTCGACCCGGTTCCTGGACGGCAGGACATCATCTGGATCGATAGCATTCGCGCCACCGAGTTTCCTGCTCGTATTGATCGCCTCCGCATCTGCCTTCCACACCAGGTCCACCAAATCCCCGTAAAGGGGGACCTCGCTCTTGTACATCTCGGAAAGTGCATGGCAAAAACCAGCCCTCAGGGTATCCTGACCCCAATCCATACTGGAATATAGCCGTATATCAAGTCGTCGCGGGGGGGTGTATATCGACTTCTGGAGAAGACGGGACGGCGAGCGGGAGAAGAGTCGATACATGAACGATAAAGGAATCCGAGGGGAAGCAATTCGCCAACACTGGCTCAAATCATGAATTCTGTTCAGCACTTGATGCACCACGGTTGCTGGCGATATATATCCACGGGGAACCGACCACTTGCCCCAATCATCCTATATACTGGCGCACTGCGCGACCCCATTTGCTATCACGGCCGATAAGCCCGGGGTCGTGGCCCTCGTGGTATCAGGCTATCGTGCCCATTAGCAGGAATCCCCGGACTCCAGCACTATCGTCATCGGCCGTAGCCGTGGTTATCCGTCCGGGCTGGCTTCGGGGCTCCATCCGTCGGAAGCGCTGGCCTCTGCACTACCGTGAGACTGCAGCAATCTGGCGGCCTAGCGCCCACCACCTGGCGCTAACGAGATGGGCCTCGGAATTGTATATCTGTCCGGATCCTGTCATGGCCATGACTTCATACTGGGGCCTGCACGGAAATGGCCCATTAGCACAGTAGTAATAGCAGTAATCCGAGTCTGGGATTCGCAACCCAGTCACTCTCGCATACCTCACACCGTAGAGAAGATCGATTCCCCACTTACTTGCCCGCCGGATCAAGATCGTGATCCCAGAATCTTCCTTGTGGCGCATCACTGCACCCTCAATCCCGAATCCTCAATCCGGGGAAGCTGACCCGGACAAGCCAATCGGATTGAGCAGTGAATAACCGAGACGAAACGAAACCCGTCGGATCTGGGGCGTTTGTGTCCGGAGTATGCAACGATGACCGGATGGAGAGAAGCGTAGCAGGGGAGTGGATATGGAAGTGAGGAGTGCGGAGGAGGAGAAGGAGGAGGAGGAGGGAGAGACCAGAACCCGGTCGGGGTCGGGGAGGGAGTAGTGACTGACCCGGGAGTCGGGGAGTCAGAGCACTCACTCACTGGCAGTCTGGCTGGCTGGCTGGCTGACTGGCATCGATCGTAGATCCTGATCGACGTTGGGAGATGGACAATGGATGTGAACATGTCCGATGGTAAAAAGAAAAATTGAAGTTCAGGTTTCTACAAGGTCAAGAGCATCTCCGTGCCAGTTTCAGTTACTACTTAGGTTCATGTTCTTCCTTCCCAAAGACCGTTATATATATACTGCTTACTACTACAACTCCCACACTCAGAGACCATTCTGCTCCATCATGTTACTATAAATCTAACAAGAAAAAGGGTTCATGTATATCAAACAGATTCACATTCATATTCATATCCATCCCGCTATCAAGACCAGACATAGTATACTTCAAGCTAAAAACACACATCCACAAACCCCTCCATCCCCCACAGACTAACCCAGTTATCTATCTAATCCAAATCTTCCGTCTTCCTCGGCGGCGGGGGACTCTTCTTGACAAGGACAAAGTCCTGATCCAGCAGCCAGAAGCCCGTGGATTCGCGGCCATCGATCGTCCGCACCATGGGCTCGACGTTGTGGGCCTTGGCCAGTTCCAGGTCCTCGCTCCAGTTGTAGTCCACGATCAGGCTCTTCTTGACCCCGAAGACGGTGTCGCTCTCCACGAAGTTGCTGTCGCGGGAGTAGACGGCTGTGATGAGTTTGGTGTATTCCGGGTGGGCGATCATGAAGTGCTAGGTTATTCTTATGTTAGTGCATATGGAGAGGGTGGTGGATATAAGTTTCCTGGAGCGTACCATGTGAGCAGGTCTGAACCAATGGCGCTTCAGCTTGCGCAGGAGTTCGCCGACAGGCCCATCGTTGGAGATGGGGTAAGCCACGGGCTTGACGCAGGCGAAGAGGTAGTGGCCCTTTTCGTCGGAGAAGATCTTGCCGCGGCAGTTGGGGTCCTGCGAGCCGTCGTATTCCAGGTCGTAGACGCCGTTGCCGTCGGTTTCCCAGACGTCGATCAGGGCCTTGGACACGGTGTTGCCGTCGGTGTCCTTGACCCAGCCGCGCACGATGGTGGGCTCGCCGGGGGTTCCGGCGGCGGAGATCGACTCGCCGTATTGGAACGAGTGGGCTTCTTCGTCGTGGAAGGGGCCCAGCACGGACGACTCGGTGGCTCCGGGCACGGCGGGGTATGAGAGGGCGTCGACCAGGGCGGAGATTCCCAGGATGTCGGATAGGAGGACGAACTCATGGCGTACATCGGTTGAGATTTGACCGACCTGGATGGGTTAGTTTGGAGGTTAGGGGAGTGAGCTTGGGCTGCTTGGGAGGTGTAGTTATTGGACGCACTCTGGTGAGGAATTGCCAGGCTTGCTCCCATTCGTCGAACTGCAGGCCAACATCGCGGATGTAGTCGTGGGCAGTCTGGATCAACTTGAGGATCAGATACCGCAGTCGAGGGTTGTCGCACATCGAATTGATCTTCATCACATTCTCGGTGATATTCTCAATGGTCAGATCGAGCATCGGGGGGAGGTTGGCGGCAATCTCCTCTGGCGTGGATGCGGCGGCCCATTTGGCGCGAGTGTGTTCGCTGAGGCCAGCGACGCTGGGGACGCCATTGGGCTTCTGTTCTGGCTTCTGTTCTTGAGACATTGTGTGATTGGTAGGCTCTGAGAGGATTCGACTGAGTAGCAAGCCGTAGACACAGATGTGGTGGTCCGTCTCTTATACTTCGCCGGCGACCAAAACGCCTCGGTTAGAGCCATTGGGGACACAGCGACTTGTTCACTTGCGTTAATGCCCGCCCCCGCACTCCATAACGCGGGGCATAAACAATCCAGGTGCTGAAACGTCATACTGGGTGTTCGTGCCGGGAAGCGCAGCTGAGGGCTTGCTGTAGCCTGTAGCCTGGACTTGGAGAGGGAAGACGGGGGGGGGATCCGTCGGAGCGGATATATGAGTGTGGCTGTTTATCCGACGGAGATGCCAACCAAACCCGCCAAACCATGGTCCACGTCTCTGGTGGTTGCCGAATATTCGAGATGCACGCGAGCCCTGGAAATCTTATTCCGCACCATACCGTGTCCTGGTTCTTGAGGCGATTGAACCGCTGCAGTTGCAGGAGACGAAGACTTGGTTGTGCAGGGCCATCACAAAGCCGTTATTCCGTCCAGCCAGCCTCGCATAACCGGTTTGGAGTTGTGATGCATGCAGTCGTGTTGCACACACTCCCAATTGGCGGGCATTATTGTGACAAGTTTACCGGATTGACGAGCAGGTATGTCTTGCAAGGCCTGATCCACCACGGGTTGAGTGGTTCTGCAGACCAAGAGGCTGGCTGCTCTGCAACTCGCCCCTGTTCTCGAACCATGACGCACGGATTGTCGCCCCATCAAATGCGGAGGGACCAGAAGGGCCCCATTGCGAGCATCATGAGCTTGTTTGAACTTCAGACCGGCAAGCCGTGGAGATCCACACCAGACCCTCCTCATGCCATTATTCCATCATTGCCGGGAATCCTGAGAGGCCCGTAGTAGTCGGCCAAAGGTGGCGGATGAAAGGCGATGGTAAATCCGGGCCCAGCAGCACGAGCATTTGGCAGACAGGCATTGCGGAAACCAGGTTTCGGCCGTAGGCAGCAATCAGCATAGCCGTAGCTGAGCCGTGCGAGGCGGTTATTTCCGAGAGTTGATCTGGAAAGTGTCTGAGCCTCTTGTCCTGAGGACTGGAAGGAGGACCCTGACCCCGCGAAAACCCCAGACGCTGAGCGAGTTGGTTGATTATTATTGTTGGGCCCAGACTCCAGACTCCAGATCCCGACCCCCGAGTGATCTCCATCCCAATTGCGTATGGCATCATCGGCTGGTGGCGATTTAAAGCCAATCCTAGCGGGCCGACCGAGTCGGGTGGAGCTGGGCTAATCAGCTGAAGCCTGAAGGTCCTGGCCAGGCACATGGACAACAACACTTGCCTGACCATCCCAATCCCATCCTCCTCGTCCGACGCGACCGTGCAGAATGGATGGAGCAGGAGAGAGCGAGTCGGGGCCGGTGACGGCGAAGTTGCGCGCTTCTCGCCGCCGCCCGCCGCGCGCCTCCCGAGCGTGCGAGACTTGTCGAGTCCGCAAGACGAAGGTTGTCTTCTTCCTCTCTTCTTCCTTCCTTCCTTCCCCTCTGCCTCGAATCGCCTCGCATCGCCTCGCATCGCATCATTCAATTCCTATCCTAAAATTTGGACAGCTCATACTGACCATCTCCATCGCAGTGCGACCAAGCTCAACCGTGTTCCTATTGCGCCTGTACAGTTCCCAACCCCCCTGGCATCGCACAAGCGATCCCTCAATTGGATCACTCGCTGACTTCTCCCCCCCAGATCATTCCCTCGATTGCTTCTATCGTGCTGCAGGTCCGAATGAGAACTCGTCCGCTGCAAAGAGGCAGGCGCAGATCCGCGAGGCTCAGAGGTCCGTTTCGTTCTTCTATCACTTGGTTTGCCCGCTTCTCATGCAGGTCTCTGACTTCCCTGGCTTAGGAACAGACCGAAAACCCGTCCATCGCCATGGCCAGATGTGTCCCAGCACGGTGAATCGCCCGACCATTTTGCCCGGGAGGCATCTCGTTTCCCCCGAAGCGCAGGCATCAATATTAGCTCGCCCAGTGTCTTCACCCCGAAGCGGGATGATGACAGCATTGCCGGTAAGCCACCTGCCTAGCTACTCCTTGGTGGCTCATGCTGAGAATCTTACAGCAGCCACGCCCGAGCTATGCGACTCCGCGTCCAGGGACGGCCTGAGTGGGGTGAATCTGCATACAAACGGAACGGAGTTTTACGGGACTTCCTCGAACCTCGCCTTCCTCGGGAACTTGTATGCCCGGGCTCGCAACCAGGCTGAGACCAAGGCCTTGACGATACCCGACCATGAACCGGCCTTCCCTCCGAACGGGGGTCCGAACCCAGCGCTCAACTCGTTGCCGCCAGAGAAGACGGCCTTTCATCAGTTGACGCCAAACTCCCCCGCGGACAGGCAGTCCGACAGCACGCAAACGAACAAGGCACAGCTGTCCATTGTGAACCTCCTGTATAACCCCAAGTACCCGAGTCACTCCCCGCCTCAGGTCGACGGCAGAGTTGAAGACGATCGGCAGGGAAGGGCAACGGACGCCGAGGGGCCCAGAGAACACGCCCATGATTTTGCAGGTAAATGGGAATCTCCACCCCATCAAACACACACACAGACCACGAGCTTAAAAGTACAATATAGATCACCGTCATGAGATGTCTCCACTGATCGACAAACTTTCGGACGAGGCGCAGCTTGGAATCGAGAAGATGTTTATCAGCAGCTATTTCTCCAACAAACACTATATCCATCCGATGCTGTGCAAAAACAGCTTCATGCAGCGCTGTGAGCATGAAGCGTTTGGCTTCTCGCGACGGCCTGGCTTCTACCGCGGCGTATCGAAATTCTCGGGGCTGTATTTTGCCGTGGTGGCCTTGGGGGCCATCAATGCCAGCCCGCACGAGACGGCTCTTCTGGACCATTACTGCAATTATCTTCCTCGGCCAGTGAAATCGGGTGCTAGGGACAGACCCTCGTCGTTGGACTTTGCCGATTACTACTTTGGCAAAGCAAAACAAGCGTTGGGAGATCTGTTTGAGAGCTGTAGCCTGGAAAGCGCGCAAGCTCTGTTGCTCTTGGTTGGTGTCAATCGCGTTCCCGAAGGCCCGTTACTGATGGACTGGCCAGAGCGTCTTCTGCCAAAACGCGTTGCGGCCGCATAGCTGCTTCATGTACAGTGGCATGGCTGTCAGAACAGCGGTGGCCATAGGGCTGGCATCCGGGATGTCGTCCCTGTCGCCCAATACACGACGAGAAGGCAGACGGACCTGGTGGTGAGTTTCTTGTATCTTTCATGCTTCCACTGCTAAGACTCCCTAGGTGCATATATTCCCACGAAGTGTGCGTATAGTCTTTTCGCATATTATTTGAAATTACTGACCCAGCGTAGCGAGATGTGCTGTTCCTCCGGCCGATTAGACAGCATGAAGGATCTTCACTACTACCATGTGCCGTTGCCAACCTTGAGGGTAAGAAACCACTGTGGACGCTCCATTCTGCCAATCTGATCAGCTGTCTAGGCTATGCCCGGAAAGATACTCGATCCTGACGCAGAGGACGATCATGTCGGCATGATCCCCGCGATGGTAGCCCTGGCACAGATCATGTCCGAGGCATCTCATCTTCTGTATCACTCCCCGAAGCGTTCAATGGGTGAGATGTCTCAGATTGCCATGAACCTAGACAATAAGTTACTGGCATGGAAAACGACGCTGCCGCATTTCTTGCACATAGATGCTGCCTCGCTCAACGACACCGAGTGGGCTTTCAAACAGAAACTGGTGTTACGGCTACGTGAGTACTTGACCCATTCCTGCTTGTTTAGGAGACGGGCTCACACAACCAGGGTTCTATAATACACGAATCCTCATCCATCGCCCATTCCTCGCCGCATCGGCGTCTAGCACCGAGTCATCGAGCCGACTACAACACCTCCACACCTGTCTCGATGCCGCGAGAACCAGCATTCAGATGCAGTATGAATCCTTCCTGCACCGGATCTACATACGGACCTGGTGAGTTCTATCCCCGCAATACCTCCAACCCACACTTTCTGACCTAATCCAACAGGTGGTACAACACCACATACGCACTATACGGCGCCATGATCCTGCTCCACCTCGTCCTCTCCGGCTTCCCGAGCATCCGCGACGACGACCTTCTAATAGACGTCGAAAAAAGCCTAGACATATTCGAGTCCATGAACAACATCGTAGTCGCCCGCCGCTGCGCAGAGATGATCCGCGAGGTCCTCGAAGTTGCGCGCGCCTGCGTGGTCCGACGCCGTTGCATCACCTCCGCGCCGACGACATCCACGCTGGCCGCCGAGTCCAGCACCCCGTTCGGGCTGGAGGCCACGGACCCAGCAGCCGCGAGCCACAACACCAGCCGAGACATCCCCGGCATGGTTCCTTCGGGCGTTGATAGCGATTTCTTCTTCTCTCTGTTCAACCAGGATTCCCAGCCCGACACCCGCGCCGAGATCCTGGCCAATCTGGTGGACCCGACTATCCTGGAGGACTTTGCCTTTGGGAATGGGGCGAGTGACTTTTCGTTCTTTTTGGGCTCTTGATTTGGAATTTCAGGCGTAGTTTGACTCTAGCCGTGATCTTTATGAAGCCGCTCTTTTTTTTTTTTTTTCTGCCTTTTTCTTATGATACTCACTGTACATTATTCTCTACTACACTTACTTGAATGCAATCCATAAGATACGATACCTCTTTAACATCCGCACTCTGTCCGAAGACAGATAGACAGATAGACAGACAAGCTTTCTTCCTCCCCACTAGATAATCAACCCAATAACCCAATAACCCAATATGCTAGACGATTGAACAAAACGCCACCTTCCCCACCGACCACCCAGCAATTCTATTTCCAGTGGATCGTTTGAATATTTAGAAATAATAATAAAATAATAAAATAATAAATAAAAAATAAAGAATAAAGAATTTCAAAAAAAAAAAATTAATTAAAGTGAAAGGGAAATAATAAAGAATAAAATAAGATTAAAAAAAAAACGTGTCCAAAATATAAGCACCACCTACTTATATCTATAACTAGCTGGATCCCCCCGAAACCAAGGCAGTCCCGTCCACTTTAGCCCGGCTAGACTCCGGACTCCGGACTTGAGCATTACTTACTTCAATATTCTCTACTTTAGTACGGAGTAGTTACTGCGACTTATAACTAGTAGATACGGAGTAGATAGATAACTATAGTAGGTGAGCGACTAAGTAGATATTAAGTATAGTAAATCCCCTGTACTCCACTCGCTCCGTATTACCCCGTAACTATCCTATCTACTCCGTCATAAGAAGTAATTTAACTGAATATCCAGAGTCCGAGGGCCGAGAGAGGGCCGAGAGTCGAGACAGTTAGTTTCAGTTTAGGGTATAACTAGATAAGTTAACCGTAGCTAATAAATACTAGTTAGCGGAACATGACTTCGTACGCCTCTTACCCTGGGGGGCTCTAGATGCCTTGGTTAGTTAACTAGTAGTACTACCTATTTCTCTTAACTACCTACCTATCTACTCCGTACTCTAGTTATCCACTTCGCCGACCTTATTGCGTAGTACGGAGTAGATGGTAAGGTAAGGTAAGGTAAGGTAGATGGTATACTTGAAACCAAACCGTAAAATGTTTCATGACCGTGACCATGGCCAACGGACCTTCCATTTTCATTTTTGTTTTTGTTTTTGTTTTTGTTTTTGTTTGTCGATGCACATACCACTTCGCAGCCCGTATGATCAATCTATTACATTTCACGGAGTCTATGCCAGATAGATGGAAGGATAAATGGATGGATGGAAGGACCTCCAGTGGGTACTCCGTGCACAGTCCTACACACAGGACTCCGTCCTCCGTACTTGATACATAGTTAGTAGGTACCCCCCAGTGTAATTTCAGCCAGGGTTATGAGGAGCTGGTGGGGAAGGGGGGCGAAGGGGGATGGTCCACTTACTTCCCTTCGAGTCTGAGTCTGAGCTTAGAGGGGTGAGTGGGCGTGTGAGAGATTGAAGGGGGTAAGTAGGTATATGGGATATGTATGTGTTCTGTCTACGGGGGTTTGATGTTTGATTCTATGCAGGCAGACAGGGAGGAAGGAGGAAACTTTCTATCTAAGAGAAGGAGGAAGGATTTGTATGACGTGGTGTGCTTACTATTCTATCTATACTCCGTACCGAGAGACTAGTTATTGTTGATGGGCTGGGGCTAACTAAGAGGACGACAGGTGTCTAGTCTAGTCTAGTCGAGTCGAGTCGAGTCGAGTCGGTGGGTGCTAAGGATCTATCTTGGGAGTGGGCTGGATTAGATGAGATGGGAGACTATCTACGGAAAGTTTGGCTTGGATGCTTAGATGGTGCTTGGCTACTCATACTCATTCATACTCAGTACTAATCAATATTCATAGGCACCTGCTCCGTCCGGGAGACACTATGCTTAGGTTAGGGACATGCGCATTTCCCGGGTCAAGGGAACTACTAACTGCTTACTTACGTACCAGTCTGGGTACCTACTCAATCTCAAAAGTATACAAGACAAGATTCATAATCCAAAGTGATGCAATTTTAGGTGTGACCAGGAGTAGCAAGATAAAAAAAAACAATCCACGCTACATATCTATCCATCCCAAGGCCAACCCAGTCTATATCCAGCCAATCCCAGATCCATCATAAGAAGAAACACACACAAACAAACAAAGGTAACAACAAACAGTAACACTCGAGTGCATGCAACCCATATATACATACAATGCATGCCGGAAGATCAGATCAGTCAGTCAGTCATTCATGCGTGCGTGCATCCATCCATCCATCCATCCATCCAGGGAAATTAATTCGTTAAATCGGCAAGGAATCATCATCGGGCGCAACACCGAACAGGAAAAGAAAAGAAAGGAAACCGAGGTATCAAGAAACCAAGACCTCCAGGGCTCTGAAGGCAAGTAAGGAAAAATCACGCAATGCGCCATGATTGGTAAACGAACAGAAGTCGGAGAAGGGTCATCAGGGCATCAAGAGGTAGGTAGAGGAATAGATGGACCGGTGTCGTAGTATGTCCAATGTACAAGGTAGAAAAGAGAAAACACTGCGCTAGAGCGGTGGAATCGGGGTATCCTGTAAGCTTTCATCGCTAATGGAAGTGGCAGGAGATGCGAGGCCCGAGATCACGGATGAGGTGCCCCCAAGGCCGTTATCTCCAGGAGCGTCGATCTCGAGGATCGATTCGTCCAGCTGCGTGACTCCGCCCAGACGGGGAGGGTTGATCGTGGGTTTGGCGGAGCTGGTCATCAGCTCGTCGATGCCGGGTTTCTCAGGCACGTAATGGTCTAGGTTCGTGGCGTTGTCGAGGCTTTCCAACGCGAATTCCAGGAACTCGGCGTCCTTCTTGCTCACGCTCAGCGTCCACCGGTACTCGCACAGGCGCAACCGGTAGAATTCCGATTCCTCCTTCGCCGGGGCAGTGACCCGGAGAAGCACCCCGAAGGATCCGATCAGGGCGAAGTTGGTCCGCGAGGGTGCGGGCCAAAAGGATCTCAGGTGTGTGGGACGAAGTCGGTTCACAAAGTCCATGGCGGAGATCAGACGGGTCTTGGCCGCGGAGCGGCAGATGTGGGAGAGGTAGGCGTCGGCGGTAGCCGGGGAAAGCGATCGGATGATGCAGCGGTGGAGCGTGATTTCCGTGGCGAAGTAGGCCAGGTGCAAGGCCCCATTGCGAGCATTGTCCTCGTTGATAACCTCATAGAGGTCATTTCCAGAGTCCATCTTCAGCTGGGCCGGCAGACGACCGAACCACTCCTTCAGGCGGATCTGAGCCGGCTTGGCACGCTCTAAGATCATGCGAGTGCGGTTGTTTCCAGCCGCCCTGAACTCCTCGATCGCCTGCAGGGTGTAGAAGCGGTCCAAGATATCGGACAGGATGGTCGTCAGGGCCACCATGTGGCAGAAAGAGAGCGGGCCATGACCCACGGGCGCATCGTCATGATGGGACGTGCCGGAGAACGCGTCGGAGAAATCCTGCTCCACCAGATCCTGCACCGTCCAGTTGGACGAGAAGATGTGCGACGGACGGCCGTGCACGAGGGCAGACCACTTGTCCTGCATATACAGCGCCCAGGCCAGGCGCTTCCGGAGGCCCTTCTCCCAGGTTTCCATCCGCCAGTGAGAGCAGTCTTGGTGCAGGCCCAGCTCGAAGCCGGCGGTGACGAGCTGCGCGTTCAAGGCCGCCGTGGCCAGGTTGGACCTCTGCATCAGCAGCAGGCCGGCCTGGACGGTCGACATGGACGGGGCCGGCAGGGACTCGATCAGGAGCTTGAGGGCGGTGCTCTCCAGGCGGTTCGCATCCGGGCGTCGGACGGACTGCGAGATGGGGCCCACGTCGACAAACTTCAAGGCGAGGACGTAGACGGCGGACAGGAGCAGCGGCGAGATGCCGGTCCGGGCGCGGTAGGACTGGCGGAAGCTGTCCTCCATGAGGACAGGGAAGGTGGGATGAACATTCTCAAAGAACTTCTCCACCAGTGTGGAGCCATAGGGGGCAACCAGGCTCTCAATGGCATCCAGGGTGGCGGTTTGCGGGGAGTCCGCGTGGGATCGGGTGTTGACCACCCGCATGAAGGTGCCGTCGTCGGCAAACTTACGCACGCGAGACGTGGCGACGCAGCCTTCGTTGTTCTGGTCCAGCGGGAGGAACTCCAGAAGGGCAGGCTCGAGCTCGGTGGTGAGGCCGATGTGTTGGGTGGACTGGGACCAATATGCGGATGGGATCAGGTGGTGAGGGTTCAATTGTGGGCGGGAGCTGTCTGGTTTGGAGACTGGGGGGAGGGTAGATTGTCTGGCAGCGGGGACCCAGGTTAGCGTTTCAACTGTAATCTGCTACGTTCCGAGATCGGCCGGGGCGTCTGGCAGCCTGGCAGGCCGGTGAAATCATACCTCTTGGGGGATTCCACCTCCTCGGGGTCGGTGTCGTCCAATTTACGTTTTTTGAGCTGTACATCAGCCGTGCCGGGCCGACTGGTCACGGACAGGGTGAAGGTGCAGTCCTGGCGGTGGAAGTCACACGAGTAGCACTTATTGACCATTTCGTTCATGGCACATCGACTCTTTCTGCGCACACAGGCGTCGCAGGGCCCATCCCGACCTGGTGCGGCAGTCACACGGGGCAGGGTGGCAATCGACGAGGCGGGCGAGTGAGGCGTGGAGGTGGTGGTCGAACCGGGTTGGAGGGGAGGAGACAACTGGGACAGGGACAGGGACTGGGATTGGGATTGGGGTTGCTGCTGGACCCGGGGCCGAAGTATTTGGTGGTGGTGGTCAGAGGGCTGATGGAAGGCAGCGGGCGAGGGGGCCGTCGGCCCCGTCGTCGTCGAGGACGACTGGAGGGTGATAACGGCAGCCATTCAGAGCGGCCAGGGTGGACAGGCGAGCAGATAGCGACGGGGAGATAGACGGAGAGAGAGAGAGAGAGAGATAGGGAGGGAGGAAGGGTAGACGCGGGCAGGAGGGCTGAGAGCAGGCAGGCAGATAAACAGGCCTCCTCCGTAACAGAAACAATAATGGGAATGGGATTGATAGCGGATGAGAATCAATGCGATTCGGTCACGTAAACGAACCGGGTGGCCCGGAATGTCCGCCGAAAGAGAGCTCCGCAATGAGAGCGCGCGCAGGGCTCGATCGAGCCAGGAGGGTTTATCTGGGGTTGATACTGAGTACTGATAGAGGGAGGAGATATTGTAGCGCTGCAAGTCGCGCGGTGATCCCGTCGCGCGCACCGACCAATGGCTGCACGGTCTGACCGGGAAGCTTATCAGGGACTCGACGGAACGTCAGAAGGAAGGATGGAAGTCGTAGATAGAAGGAATGGACGATTGAAGTGAAGGAATGGATGATGATGTGATGGGGGAGGAGGGGAGGACGGTGAAGACCCAAGCCAGGAATGATACGTCGGGGAGTACAGGGCAGCGGAACCGGAGCCGCCAGATGGAGATAGACTCCAAGATATAAGATGATGGATATATCTTGTTGAAATTAGATCAGTAGATCGGATGAATCTGATGGTACTCTTCGTAGATGGTCTGTGACTGACTGACTGACGGACTGACTGACGGACTGTGACTGTTGCCCCTTCAGAGTTTCAGACAACTGACCGAGTGAAAGGCAAAGGATGCAGTCCCTCGCCGTGATTATAATGCTCTCATCCGGAGTCGATGACTCCAGCCCGGGAACAGTCATCAGGATCAATAAGAGAATCTCCGGATGAAGCGATCGATCAGCGAGGCCCCCTTCCCACTCTCCCCATCGCCCGGTTTCCCACACGTAACAGATATGCGCCTGGATGGTTGTCCGCCCTTTCGGTCTGCTTTCGCCTCAACTTCCTGCCCTTCGTCCAGATAAGCTACGCCCGCCTGATTGGGCCTGCCATCGGTTGGCTGCCGACCGGGGCCTTGGTATTACGTACAGGTTTGCCCCCCGACCGCCCGAAACTTGGGGGGAGGGGGTTTAAGAACCGCCGCCGGGTGAATGTTAAGGTTCCCTTGAGGTAATGGAATTGCCCTTCGAATCCTGCGAGAGAATAGCTGAAAAGGAAGAAGAAGAAGGAGGAAAGAGGAAAAGAAAAAAAAAATAAATAAATAAGGTGCAAGCGCGGTGCCTGTCTCGCCGTGAACTAACTAGCCCATCCGGAGACATAGTAGGTACAGTAGTGAGTGGCCATCTGGTGCGGCGTGCCTGGGGAAAGGCCATCGTCAGGCCTTCCCGACCTATCACGGGCCCGCGACCTCTCACCAAGCCTCGATTACTCAGGATCGTTGCCAATCACATCATCCCGATAACGCCATCGCGCGGCCAATCATGACCGGGGAAAGCCAGCCAAAGCGGTCTAGCGCGAGCCGGCAACGGGGATCGGCCCTGCAGCTGGCGGGTTTCCCCACAGCCTCAGCAGCCCCAACAAGCCCACATGGGGGGGGGAAGAGGGAGAGTTGGCTGCAAGGTCGTCGGGAAAATCCCCGGGGTGGTGATTGGTGGGCGTCACGCCCTTGGGCAGCTCTGCTGACCGGTCTTATTAATGGCAATTACTGCCTCGCAGGCCGCGATTCGCTTGAACGGCTAAGGTTCGACGGGCGCCGGGGTTGAGCTTGATTCAGGTACCGGTACTTGGGGTCTTGTTGGCCGCGCTGGTGTCCTGTCGTACCCAGTACGGAGTCTCTATCTGATCCTGAAGTCTGACTGATGAGGTGATGATCTGGGGATACTTCGTCACCGTCAGATCTTCTGGTATCTCTGGGGAAGCCGTCAGTGCTTATGCCATGCCCCATAGAGGCTTGCTACTAGCACGGTGCACTACTACCAAGTTACTATGACTACTGTTATAACTTATAACCGAGTTAATAATTTAATATTACACCATCAGAACCCTCTAGCCGGCACGCATGCAGCGCAGCCTCTCCTCGGCTGATTCCCATTACTTAATGCAAAGGTACAGCGCATCATGGCCTGAGGATGCGAACACTACCAGAAGCAGCAGGTAGGAGAAGGAGTAGGTAATAGTAAATAGCAGTGTGTTACTATAACGAGCGGGAGGCCCATGGCGTGCTAGAGCCATATGATCTGGCCCAATCCTTGGGGTTTCGATTATCCAACCGATACTGCTTTTAGATCTAGTGCCTCGCCGCGCCCAAGGATCTCGTTAAGTTGTCCGAACCGCGACCGCAACACCCTCAAGCATTGACCGGTTTCATGGTATCGGCCGACTGGCTCTCCCATCCGCGGGAAACTTTACTGGGGGTCATTAATAATAATAATAATAATAATAATAGCTCCCAATGGATGGATGATTGGAGTTTGCAGCAAAGTACTTTGATTTTTTATGACGACATCAGACAGCAGATGATCGTCCGAAATGCAAGAAATACACACAGCGCTTGAACCTCCATCTATCCATACATAGATACATACAGTGTACCATGCCATTTTTCTGTTCTCCCCACCGCATATGCATCGCATCATCCACCCACCATAGTTGATTAACTCCAAAACTCCATGCTATCCCAAACCAAAGCCAAACAGCCCTCTCTCCCACAGCGGAAAACATTGTACGTTGGCGCAAAGCCAGAGGAAGAAGTTTTGGGACAGACTACTCCGTAAAATTCCGCAACTTGGTCAACTCATCCAGCAGCTCCTGCAGATCCCCGTCGGAGATCTTGTGCTGCAGACTCGGGATGAGTGACTTGGCTTCCTCCGCGTTGTCGCAGCATAGACTTCCTAATTGGGTATCAGCGCATGGACATGGTATGCATGGCGTGGCGTGGTATGGGAAGTATATCGGCGGGGAGATGCGGAACACCCTCAGCTCGAGTAACAGCATATCCCTCATCCTTCTCACAACTCAACACCCAACTCCCCGTCTCACCTGCACCCAACAAAAAAAAGCAGAAGAAAGAAGAAAGAGAAATGAAAACCTACCCAACTGCGATCTCTCAAACATCTCCAACTCGGTATGCGAATTCAACAACCGCTCGACGGCCTTGATATTCTCCTCGTCCTTGAACCGCGCAAACACCTCCAGATAGTCGAGCGTCTTGGTCAGGTTCCTGAAGGCAAGAAGAGATACATGTTAGCACTGCACTGCACTATTTCTTCTGCATCTCTCTCTCTCTCTCTCTCTCTCTCTCTCTCTCTCTCTCTCTCTCTCTCTCTCTCTCTCTCTTTTGTTCTCCTTTCCACCCCCCCACCACCAACTAGGACAATAATCCCACCACCAACTCGCACAGCAACCCCCCCCACAAAACATATCCAGTAGATAAATAGCCAGAAAAATAGACAAATAGGGAGGACAACTCACTCCGGCTCCTCATACTTCTTCCCCCCTCTCCGCTTATTCTCCAACACCTTATTAATAACGAGCCGCGCCTCGGACAGCGACAGCGTGTGTGTATTCTGGTCTGCGCCGAGACGGAGGGTCGAGGCGGCTTCGAGTTCGCCTTGCGGGAGGGCGCGCTTGCGGTGGGTTGCTGGGGGGAGTTGGACGCTCATGGTGATGGTCTGTTCCGTGGTTCCGTTCCGCGATGCGTAGTGAATGTCAAAGGCCCCGTGGGGGGAGTAGGGGGATGGGATGGTCGTCAGGGTTTGAGTGAGGGAGGTGGCGGAGTGCACTTGACTAGACCGGAATATTGACGTTGGATTGATGTTGATGGTGATGGAGCGGAACTGAGCTGAGCTGGTGCGGGATCGGGAGTGCGGAGTTTTGCACCGGCAGGTTAGGGCGGTGAGGGGGTTAACGGTAGCTTACCGCCTTGGGATTGGGTGTGGGTGGTGAGTGCATGTGATGTACGGAGTGAGTACTACTTTGTGAATCTTTCTTTCACATTCGGTTTAGCTACGCTTATCTAGTTGGATAGACTATTCTCTTTGTATTTTGGATGGCGGGCGGAAATGCGCTTTACTAGGTGGGTTACAAGAACAAGCAAGCAAGGAAGAGTAGGAAGGGTATCAATTCGACATTTATCGACACGTTTCTATATCCATAGCCAGAACGCCCAAATGCTATGCGATAGATGATCGGATGGGGTGGGATGTATAATAACCAGCATCATCAGGTGGCAGAGACAGAAGTTGTGCAGCTGTTTGAAAGCTATAGTTGTTTGACAGTTCTACACCTGCTTGAAAGCCACCTCCTTCGGCAGACGGAAGCTCGCGCAGAACATCTGCTTGTTGGGGCTGACCAGTCTGACGTTGTGGATCGCCAGCTCGATCTCCTGGTTGCCGGAGCCACCGACGCGGTCCTCGGTGGTGATGGTGTGGCCGATGCGCTCGGAGATGCGCTGGCAGATGTCGACGTGGTCGTCGTGCTCGTCGTCCGAGTGGCCGGAGAAGCAGTACACATGGACGATGGGCAGACGCTGGGAGGTGTGGGGCGCGAAGAGGGACTCCTTGCCGGCGTAGACACCGACGAAGGCGTCGAGGAACTCGATGGCGTTTCCGGGGAGGTTCATCACGTAGTGGTGGAAGACGGTGGGGCGGTGGAAGACCTCGGGCTGGGGAAGGGCCAGGCCCTGCTCCTCGGCGGCGGCCTTCTTGCTGCGGCGGATCTTCGGCTCGACGGTCACCGTGAGCGGAGACTCCAGCAGCTCGCGGGCAGACCAGCGGATGAAGTCCCGGCCGTCCTTGTTGAAGGGGGTGACGAACTTGTCGGCCTTGTTGTGCTTGATGGCGTCCTGCATGACCTCGTATCCGTGGGGGTTGAGGTCGTTGGCCCACACGAAGATCTTCTTGCGGCCGGCGGGGACGGCGAACGGTCCAACGCCCGCCATGACGTCGCAGACCATCTCGCCGGGGCGGAACTTGTCCACCAGACGACGGTGCTCCGTCTCCAGACGGCTGTTCCAGTACACGCGGGAGTAGTCGAAGCGGAACTCGCAGTTTTGCTCATGCTGGATGACGTTCAGGTCGTTGTCGCCCGCCAGCAGCTCGAAGGGGAACGTGCGGAATTGGCTGTGGGAGCCCACGTCCTCGGTCTTGCGGATCACCGTCCGGATGTTGGGGTTCTTGTCCAACAGGACCTCCGCGATGAAGGTCTTATAGGGGAGATATTGTTCGCGGAGGTTCAGATGGGCTGATCCGTCAGCTCCCCACCACCCATTGAGTTGACATGGAAGAACTTACAGACGTGACCGACCTGTGTGAATCCCTGGGGGATCTCGTCCAGCATTTCCTCCGGGAGAATGGCGGCCATGATATCCGCTGTGCTCATTAGCCTACAAACAGCCAAAACAGCGAGACCAGAGAAGAAACCCACCATACGTCCAATAATCGTACTCCAACGTCAGATCATACGGCCCAACGCCAACCAGTCCCTTCTCCACCAGCTCCGTGACCGTAGGCGACCACGTCGCAGCGTCTACACCAGATGTCAGCCCTTCCTATCCCAAACCCCACACCGACGCAACCGGATAGACCAACGAACCATCATGCTTGACCTCCTCCTTCAGCAGCAGACACTTCCGCACGAAATTGTCCTTCTCGATATCGCGGATGGAGCTCAGCCTCGGCAACAGCAGCAGATCGCGACTCTTCTGCAGCTTGGCGCGCACGCTGGAGATGTCGGAGGCCTTGTAGATGGTGGCCGCGGTGACGGGCACGGTGGTCTTGAAGAAGGACCGGTCCAGGACTCGCATGGCCCGGTTGACGGGGGGTCGAAACATGGCGGGGACGTCGCTGCGGAGCGGTTGGGCGGGCGCGGAGTCGATGTCCATGGATAGGGGGGCAAGGTATCGATACCTTAGTCGAGTAGTGGGGGAGTGGGTATTGGGTATTGGGGTTAGAGCACGTAGAGGGAGGGAGGAGGCATTGACTGGCTGGAATGGGTCTGTTGAGTCCGTCTGGTGGAAGAATCCGAGAATCTTCGACGCCGCCGGCATTTTTTGACGCGCGATTTGGGCCGTCACATGGCAGGCTTATCGGCACGTGATCTACGCTGGACTGGGAGAGAACGAACGAGTGGGATCAAGGACACCAGCAAGCAAGCAAGCAAGTACAAGTAATTCACATAAACTATATACATACTAGGATGCTATTACCACTACTGCCACAGCTAACTACATCATCCGTCCAGCAGACGCGAACCCAGCGCGAGTCGATATACAGTGCAACCTCGTAGATGCGCGCAAAGATCCATACTATGTAGATCAATTGCCTCATCCTCAGCCTTAGCCCTCCCTCCGAAAGATATCCTCTCTATAGTCCCCGTTCCTCCAACATCTTCACCCTCTCATTCAACCGCTCAATCTGCTCATCCTTCTTCTTCAACGCAATCCTCGAAATATCCCTACCCCGGACAATCCCCTTCATCTTCAACTCATACTTATTCAGCAGATCCACCAGCTCATCCCTCGCCTGCTTCGTCAGGACGACCTGATTCTTCTCCAGCGCTGTGATCGCCTGCGCCGCCACCTCGGACGACTCCAGCGATCCCGATCCCGATCCCGATGCGCCGCCCCCCGGTGTTACACCCCGGAACCGCGCCGGCGTAGGCGTAGTCGAGAACTCGATCGACGACGGCGGCACAGACGAGCTGAACGGCGCAATGCGATGGTCCGTATAGGCCCGCTTCGCCGACATCGTCGCCGGGGGCGTAACCCCTACCGTCCGCTGACTATCGCCGTCATCTTCGAGATCCGAGAACTTTCTCTTTCCTGGTGGGGGGAACGATGAAAACGAGGCTGAAGACGACGAGCTTGATAGACTGGGGATGCGTTCTGTGCGGTGGGGAGTCTTGGGGAGTCCGAAGTCTGGCTGGCGGAGTGGGGGTTGGGGCTGGGGCTGTGGCTGTGGCTGGGTCTGCGACTTCGTCTGTGAGTGTGAGTGTGACTGCGTCTGCGTCTGCGTCGGGGGCAGGAGTTGCCCCACGGCGACATCGTCTTCATCGTCCCATTCGAATTCGTCCATGTCTTCGGCCATCATGCGGGCTTTGGCGCTGTGAGGGGGCGATCCGAAGCTGCCGCAGCCGGAGGGCATGGCGGTGGTGGAGAAGGAGTTGTCGTTGGAGGCGAAGCGGACGGTGCGGTCGGTTTGCGGGGTAAGCAGGCCGCCGGTGGAGGAGGAGGAGGAGGAGGAGAGGCGGGGTTTCTTGGTGGGGGTCTCGGGGGCGAGGGAGGAGGAGTTGCTGGCAAAGCTGGTGTTGAAGGTATTGTTGAAGGTATTGTTGTAGGTGGGCTCGGTGTGAGAGTTGGAGAGCACAGCCTGTTTCTCGCGGGCTTCGGCGTCGCTGGCCCAGAGGAAGAAGCGGCACTGTTGCATCCCCGATTTCTGGCAGGTGTAGACTGCGGGGGGAGGCCTTGGTTAGTGACGTCTGCGAATCCAGAACAGAACAGAGCACAACGTACACCATCGCCCATGGTGGACGCCGTGGTTTTTGGTCTGGCGGCGCACGGCTGGCGGCCGTTCGGCGCAGTTGCAGCGCCAGACCCCCTGGGCGAACAATCCCCGCAGAGGCACCGCCTTCCTGGGCGAGCCGGCATTCTTGGTGAGTGGCAGCATCTTGTGGAAGGTCAGGAATGTGGGGGAATGGACTCGATGGGACTGCCAGTCCTCCTGGTTGTGGTGTTTACTCGGGGTGGGAGAAGACCGGCGTCGATTGTCGCCATGGAAACTATATTAACGTCAACTAACGTTACGTTCACTCCTACGGTGACATCCAGACTGCCGAACACCTTAATAAGTAATCATTCCTGGTTTATCTCTATAATAATAGTATGATGCAACATTCAGGAGGCCCCAATCATTAGCAGATCTTGTCTATCCCCCCCCCCACCCTCCAGCAGCAAAGCCATCAAAGCGTCCCAAAACCAACGATGTATACGAGGCATGTGTATAGACTCTAGGGTATCTCAACAATGCAACCGCACATGCACCCCCACATTACTCCGCCAGCACCTGTCGTAACATGACCCCAAACGAGTCGGACAGCTTGAGGATCTCTTGCACCTCCGGCTTGACCGGCTCGCCCGCCGTGCGCCGCAGCTGGTCCTGCTGCTTGACCCGCCGTCTGCGCTCCGCCGAGATCGGGTCGAGATCCTCCTCCTCGTCCAGCTCGTCTGACGGATCAGACTCCGCGTCCGAGATGCTAAGGTCTTCGAGCTCGCCCTTGAAATTTCCACTGTTAGCAGGTCGCCCATTGGTAGATCAGTCCCGGGAAATCACATACCTCGTCCAGACCAAAGTCGCTGCCCCGGAAACTCGCGTTGCCCACGTAGCCTTCATTGCCCGTCCCCTCCGCCGCCATCTTCTGCCGGGTCTTGTTCAGATGCCACCGTTTCCGGTCCTCGTGCCATTGGATCAGAGCATTGATCTCCTCGAGGGCCTTGTCCTTGTCCACCTGTCCAACATCCTTGGCGCCGAGAAGCAAGGCGTTCATGTCCAGCTCACCTCCGCGCGGCCCCTTGCGCAAGAACTCCAGGATGTCCTCAATCCACGACATCAGAGAGCTGAAAAGTCCGTTGTCGTGCAGATGCACCTCATGCACAAATTTATAAAAGCTGCTCTGATGACGTTCGCAGAGGTCGATGAACGCCTGCACCGTCTGGTTCGGGTCCGCCGACACATCCTGCCGCTGACATTTCTCTATCACCGAGATGGCGTCGTCGGCAAAACGGGCGAAGTCGGTGATGCTGCTGTACACGTTGGCCGACTTGTAGACGCGGACCAGAGGCTCATAGAAGATGGTGAACAGGTCGCGGAAAAGCTGCAGGGTGACGGGTTCTTCGACAATGCTGAGCATCATAGCCTTATCGCGTTGACGAGTGTAAAGCTTCAGCAACTGTTTCAGGTTCGCGAACCAATGCGCACCCTCCCGGAGCTCCGCCTCTACATTATCCACGGCCTGGGTCCAGGCGACGTAGGCATTAAACACCTTGCCAAATTGCTCCGGGGTCAGCTCCGGCGGCAGGAGGTCGGTGCGCAGGATGGCCACGATGATATCGACATCTTCAGCAGCAGCCTCGGCGCGAACCTCATTCTTGAGTTCTTCGTCGGCATCCGTAAAGGCCTTCAACTTCTGGCAGAGGATGGGATCTTCCACCTTCGCCGCCAGTGCGTCAATCGACTTCTGGAAGGCCTTAATTCCATCATGCAGGGTCATGGAGAAAATGCGCTGGAGAAGCGATCGCGAGCCGAAGGGCTGAGCCAGGAAGAGGTCCAGCACGCCTGCCATGACGGCCGCTGGGTTGGCAATCCGAATCACATTTTTGAGAAGCGTGTACGGGACCAGGGAGTGTATCCTCTTGGCCTGTGCGAACAACTCGGGTGAGTTGTCTTCGGCTAGGAATAGATGATAGAGCGTAGCAGCAACCCTAGAGGAGCGTCGGTTAGTCTGGCAACCCGACAAGAAAAAAATGTGCTGGTCACGTACTCAATCCGAAGCCACTCGGCAAACTTCTGGTATGGGGGACTGAGGTCCTGCACTGTTGGTTTCTCCTTGATTTCAGCGAACAGCTTTGTCAACCCGTCTAGAGTGCAGTCACCGTCAGCACGATACTTGCGAATCGAAAAGTTCGCTTTACTTACTGCTCTCCACGATATCTCGGCGGAAGTTCTCCATGTACACGTCCAATTCAGCCGCGCGTGCCCTGGCGATTTCGTAGAATCGCTTTTGTTCCTCGATCCTGATCGCATCGACATCCTTCCTCCGCTGCATATCCATCTTCTCCTCCTCGTTCAGGGTGATGGGGTCCGCAGTGAGAAACTCCTCCATAGTCTTTGTCTCCGCTATCCGCTTGTTTTGCAGCAAGGTGCGAAGGAACGCCCGGAGGGAGACCCTCTGGTCTTCCCGGTAAAGCACCGTTTCTCTCAAGCCTTCGCCCGATGCTCTGGGCGATCTCAACGACCGCATCGAGGATCGGGACAATGAGCGCTGATGGTGATTCCCAGGGGCCAGGGTCCGCGGTGAATGGCCGTCTTCCACGGCGTTCGTACCCACTGTTGACACGGAAGAGACCGAGGACGCTTCGTCATCTGCGGAGCCGAACCAGCTCGTGGAGGAGGATTTGTTCTTGCGCGGGAGGGGTGGGAGGGGCTTTACGGGGAACTCGGTGCGCAGTCGCTTGTGAAATCTGGCGAAATCGCCGTAGCGACGGGCCACGAAAATGTCCGACTGTCCTTCTCGTCGCACTCTCAGGATGAATTCCTAGCTTGCGTATTAGCAAGACTGCCCGATGAACTGACCGGTCACGGATGTCACCTACCGCATGTTGATGATAGCGCACGGTGCGCCGGACCGAAGTGATTCGTACGGCAGCGACATTGATATCCCATCCATGGATTGCATTCCCTTCGGGCATGTTGACGAGCAGGCCCGTTTCGTTGGCTCCGCGATCGACGACCTCCATCTCGGAGAACTGAATGCGCTCCTCGTAGCCCGATGCCGTCGGGATGCCCGAGACCATCATGAGCTCGACGAGTTTCTCACACTTCCGCGCTAGTTTCCTGCGCTTCGTCTCCTCCAAGCGATCCTCCGAGGACGACACATGCTTCTTTGCAAAGGACTCCAGGAACTAGATTCGATTCCGTCAATCAGCGTCACGCGCTGCAGGGGTGGGGTTGTTTGCGAGGGCACACGCACCACCTGCAATTTATCTTGCCAGAACTCCTTCTCGCGCGCCTGGTCGAGGAATGGGAAGTTGCGCACATGGTGCACGAAAATGTATCGTAGAATGGGGAGTTCCGAGTCGACGGGGGCCACTTCCCCAAAGTCCGACTTGAAGGGGGCACCGAAGCGCTTGAGCGCGGTGGGCGAGTTTAGCTCGGCGATTTCGCTCTCAACCTGGCGGGAGATGAGTTCGCGCTTGAGGTCTGCGGCCGTTGGTGTTAGTTAAGACGGGGGATAGGCGGAAAAACACGATGCGGGGAGGGGCACTGACAGTGTTCCTGCTTGCCGGTGAGGAATTGACCTGGAGTGGAGTTGGAGGAGGTCTGGGAGGGCGCGGGGCGGGCGGGTGACTGAACTCCGTTGAGGAGAGAGGGGTCCGTGGAGGCCATCTTCGCGATGAACGAGGGACCGATTGAATCAGTCGAGCACAGGGGTGGGTTCACCGTCGTTGGGCGCTCATGGATTTTATATAAACCACCGCCAAAACGGGGCGAAGGTGGAAATGACGATGGAAAGCCCGCGCGGTCTAATCCGTCTGCCTAGCGCGGCCAAGGTTTGGGGCTGGAGACGATGACGTTTTTGGGTCCAGCGAAATAGTGCCAAGCTCAGGTGACTGGCCCTCCTGAAGAGACGGGTGACGGGGACGGGGAGAGAGAAGGTGACGAAAAGGGAAGAGAAGAAGAGGGAAGGGGAGGGAAGGGGAGAAAGGAAAAGAGAAAAGGAGAAGAGAGAAGAGAGAGTAAGAGCAGGAGGGGACCGAGAGAGAGAGGGAGAGGGAGAGGGAGAGGAAGAAGAAGAGGGCGGGAGAGAGGAAGCGGACTAGTTAGTCCCGACTCAAGAGGGGTTCGGCACTGTCAGTCGTCAGTCAGCTGCGCTGCTGCATGTCTTCTGCTGCTCAGCCCTGTGGCCCCGCCCGATCCATCCCGCGGATCGCTGCCATCCCTTATTTATTTCCACCGCGTACTTTCGAAATATTTCTAATTACTACTCGTTACTATTTTCTCTTCTCTCTCCTGCCCCCTCTCCTCCCAGGGAACCGGCACGCACCCGTCCCGTCCGCCCGGAAAAAACAACCCAAGCCAATAATGGCTCCCTCGACTGCTGCTATTCATAGTATTCATTCATTCATAGTCCGCCCCGAATCCGGGGTAGACCAAAGCACCCCCCCCCGACTGTCTGCATCCTCACCATCCAGCAATCCTGACAATACATGGCACGAACGTTCTGGTCGGTTCCCGAATGATCTATGTCTTGCGCGGTGTACTGACTACCATGATCGTATCCAGTCCGACTAGTATCAAGGATATCAGCAGATGGCAGGCAGCATGGCCAGACCAGACAGGGGAAAGGAATGACTGTCTACATCGACAGCCCCTTGTGATCATCCATGAGAACGAAAAGACCAGACTTGACCGAAGAGAAGATTTCAATACAGTACGGATACAAGAAGCTGTCCCTCGGGGCCTCGAGGACATCATGACGATATGCCTCTGTCAATCCGGTCACCATTCCAGCACGCCAAATCCTGCCCCGGCCAAGACAGAGAAGACGTACTCCTTTGAGATCATAAAGATGGACTTATCTAGGTCCATCGTTTGCATATGAAAGACGTATCCTCATGGAAGTTGAGCATCTGTCCCTGTGTCCGGAAAGCTTCAGCAGTGCAAATGCAGTCTTCAGTTGGCATCACCATCGGGCAAAGGAGTCGCAAGCAGCTATTCGTTGTAAACATGACATCGACACAGTCGGCATGGTTTGCGTCTATACAGACAAGCTCCCCGGCGTCTTCTTCCTCGCCAATGGTTTCGGGGGAAGAAGCTCGGTTGGTTCGTCACTTTGACGACAATTTCAAAGTATATGATCCATTATTCCATCACAAAACGGTATTCTTGACGTTATCCATGCCCATGATGGGCTATAAGAACCCCTGTGAGGCCTCTGCTCTTCCTCCCTTCTCTTTCCTCCGTAGACCGTCTCCTCCAGCGTAGTAGAACGCCTCTCGCGCTACTCACATTCGACTAAGACTTCGAATTTCCTCCTCTCGTTAAAGACAAGCAAGAAGCTTGTCCTGATATACCAAATCGTCCTTTCATTCAACCAGAGCAAGAGGCTGGCCCTCTAATATCTCGAATCCTCCCGACGCTGTCTACCAAACAGAGCCAACAGCTCACTAACTACCAATATCGACAACTTCAACAAGCCATCAGCCAAAATGGTTGCCTGGCTCAAGAGATCAGTTTCAGCCTCGACATCGACCTCCCTCCGCAGGAGTAAGGAAACGCGCCGCAGACGCCAAAACAGACCGGCCGTATACGCCACGCCATCTACTTCCGCTTCTGCGTCGATTTCGCCCTCCCCCTCCCTTCGCAAAAGTAGCGCCAAGCGCTTCAACCCGAAACCCCTCCGCCTCACCGACTACGCCCACCCTCTTCCATGCATCTGCAACGATATCTTGTCGATTGCATTGGATGGGGCTCTGGGCACGACGTCCATCTCCGGGAGGGAACCCACCAAATTGACTCTCGAAGACCTCCAACGTATCATCGACCCAATCGAGAGAATAAGCCGCTGCGACAAATGCACAAAGGAAGAAGCTTACCTGCACTTCTTCCACATCATCTGCAACGGCACCATGGAGCAATACAGGCTCTTCTACCACGCCTTGGTGGACGACTTTCACGGCCTCGAAGACGAGACCGACACCGACGACAGTACTGAGCGCCGTTCCAACGGCATACGACCCCTCCATCCTACATGCTGCCAGTACATCATCGAAGGCGAACGCATCATCGCCTGTATCGACCGATTCATGAGAATCGTTGATGGACACGACACCTACGACTACGACACCTGGTATACGGTACGTAACCAGGCGGAACAGCTAGTGAACGCGACGGAAGAGCTGGGGACGGGAGTGAGGTTTGGGGCCGAAATGGATGTTTGAGGGAGTGATGCCTTTAAAGGCACACCCCTGTGTATATAGGTATACTATATATAGGGAAGTGGGAGGGACAAGCCCCTGGCCCGTATGGCCAGTCGCACTCTTTCCCCCGTTTTCACCCATTGGGTTTTAGGGGTTTTAATGAGGCGATCCCCTCCACCGTTCATGTCAGAAGTGATTCATCTGTTGGAATGAATGAATATGGCATTGGAAAGGCCTGTGTCTGCTCTCACGTAGTACTCTTCAAACATGGTCCCGAAAGGACCGTCAATAGGGTTGAATAGGCCGAGCGATTGATGCCTCGGGCGCCAAGGCCGAATCCATCCCTGGCGCGATCTGCTGCTCTTCTGCGGCGCCTCGCGTTTCACCTCCAAGTCCTCCTTTAACCCCCGTGAACCCCGAACCCGGAACCCCTCGAACTCCCATGACTATTCCTAGGAGCTGGCTATCTTGCTACCATCGAGTTCCTCCCATTCTGCATTGACTTCGAGGTGCGAGGGCACGAGCTGGTTCTCCTCATCGACCCACCGTTCTTTGCCGACGCCGCCGATAACGATCGCTCCTCCGCTCTTATCATCGAGGTGGCCTGCGCGTTGCTCCCTTTCTCCTCTTCCTCCTCTCCTCTTCCTCTCTTCTCCCCCCCCCCCCGCCTGATCGTGGGTGACACAGACACCTCCTCCCCCGATTGCTTTCCTACACACCCCATCTCCCATCATGGGGAAACCCGACCATGAAGATGACTCGGAATTCCTTCCTATGAGCCGCCCCAGGCTATCCTCGTCTGCCACGTCCTCCGACTCAGGCCTGTCCATCGGTACCACGACCTACCCGGACGAAGCCAAGTACAACGCAACCACCCCGGAAGTTAAACCATCAATCGAAGACCACAGATATCGCGATGTGGAAGAGGGCGAAGCAGGGGCTGACGAGCCGTTCCTCCCATCCTCCAAGAAGGCCGCCGCGGCTTCCGGGAGCCGGGCGTCTCGTCTGATCTGGGCCCTGATCATACTCTGCGCGGCTGGCTGGCTATGGGGTCTGGTGTTGTTTGTGACCCAGGGGCGTGCGAACCACCAGAGTGTCTCCGAAGCGTTGCAGTCGCACGATTCTGATTCGATCTCCGGTGGTACGAGCTCGGGGAAGCCTGTCACGCTGGAACAGGTGCTCACCGGACAATGGATGGCTCGTTCCCATGCGGTCTCCTGGATTGCGGGACCCAATGGCGAAGATGGTCTGCTGGTGGAGCAGGGCGAAGGCCAGGTCAAGGGTTTCCTTCGTGTCGAGGATATCCGCAGTCACAAGAACGGCGTTGACGCCCAGGAAAGCAGGGTGCTGATGGAGAAGGCGGTTGTGGAAGTGGATGGACGGGCGGTCTATCCCGTGGCCACATGGCCTAGCCCCGACCTGAAGAAGGTGCTGCTCTTGTCCGAGCGTGAGAAGAACTGGAGACACTCGTTTACGGGAAAGTACTGGATCTTCGACGTGGCCACCCAGACGGCGCAGCCTCTGGATCCTGCTAACCCTGATGCGCGGGTTCAGCTCGCCGTCTGGTCGCCCACCTCCGACGCGGTCGCTTTTGTGAGAAACAACAATATGTACCTGCGCAAACTGTCGTCAGAGACAATCGTTCCCGTGACGAAGGACGGCGGCGCGCAGCTGTTCTACGGCGTTCCCGATTGGGTGTACGAGGAGGAAGTCTTCTCGGGCAATAGTGCAACATGGTGGTCCGGGGACGGAAAATACATGGCGTTCCTTCGAACCAACGAGTCGGCCGTCCCTGAGTTCCCCGTGCAATACTACCTGTCGAGACCGTCTGGAAAGAAACCCCTGCCCGGGCTCGAGGATTACCCGGAAGTCCGCCAGATCAAGTATCCCAAGGCGGGGGCTCCCAATCCTGTTGTCAACCTTCAATTCTACGATGTCGAGAAACAAGAGGTCTTCTCCATCGATGTGCTCGACGATTTCGAGGACGACGATCGGATCATCATTGAGGTCATCTGGGCGAATGAAGGGAAGATGCTCGTGCGCGCAACAAACAGAGAAAGCGACGTACTCAAGGTGTTCCTGTTCGACACGAAAACCAAGACCGGGAAATTGGTACGACTTGAAAATGTCACCAGCATCGATGGTGGCTGGGTCGAGCCTTCGCAGTACACCCAGTTTATCCCAGCAGACCCCAACAGCGGCCGATTGCACGACGGATACCTCGACACCGTCATCCACGAGAACTACGAACATCTGGGCTACTTTTCGCCTCTCGACAACTCGGAGCCCGTGTTGCTCACCCAGGGTGACTGGGAGGTCGTGGAGGCACCCTCTGCCGTGGACTTGCGCAGAGGCGTCGTGTACTTCATCGCGACCAAGGAACACCCCACTGAGCGCCACCTGTACCAGGTCCAGCTGGACGGGTCCAACCTGAAGGCTCTCACAGACACATCCAAGCCCGGCTACTACGAGGTATCTTTCTCCTCCGGAACCGGATACGCCCTGCTCAGCTACAAGGGCCCGTCCGTCCCCTGGCAAGCGATCATCAGCACCGAGACCGACGAGATCAAGTACGAAGAAACCATCGAAGACAACGCCGCTCTGGCTCGCATGGTCGACACATACGCCCTCCCCACAGAAGTCTATCAAAACGTGACGATCGACGGCTTCACCCTGCAGGTCGTCGAGCGTCGCCCACCGCACTTCAACCCGGCCAAGAAATACCCCGTCCTCTTCTACCTGTACAACGGTCCCCGATCCCAGCAAGTCGACCGCAAATTCACGATTGATTTCCAATCCTACATCGCCTCCAGCCTGGGCTACATCGTCGTCACCGTGGACGGCCGAGGCACCGGGTTCATCGGTCGCGAAGCCAGATGCATCGTCCGCGGCCGCCTCGGCTACTACGAGGCCTACGACCAAATCGCCAGCGCGAAGATATTCGCCCAGAGACCCTACGTCGACGAGACCCGCATGGCTATCTGGGGCTGGAGCTACGGTGGCTTCATGACCCTCAAGACCCTCGAGCAAGATGCCGGAGAGACCTTCCAGTACGGCATGGCGGTCGCCCCTGTCACCGACTGGAGATACTACGGTAAGCCTTTCTCAAAACAATCCAAAACCCATGCCCAAAACCCAGCATCCACTTAACTGAACCTAACCCATCTCATCTCCACCCACAACAGACTCCATCTACACCGAGCGATACATGCACACCCCGCAACACAATCCCGGAGGCTACGACAACACCTCCATCACCGACATGGCGGCCCTGCAAAAGTCCGTCCGTTTCCTGGTTATGCACGGCGCCTCGGACGACAATGTCCATCTCCAGAATACCCTCGTGCTCGTCGACAAGCTCGACTTGGCGAACGTCCAGAACTACGATCTCCATTTCTATCCCGACTCGGACCATAGTATCTATTTTCATAATGCGCATACGATGGTTTATGAACGTGAGTTTTATTCTTTTTTTCCCCTTCGTTTATTATCTTATATCTTATACATGTACATACATGTATGTATATATATATATATGTGTGTGTGTGTGTGTGTGTGTTTAGGATGTGGAGACTAACAGCTACTGCCATGTCAACAGGTCTGTCGAGCTGGCTCGTCAACGCGTTCAATGACGAATGGCACCGCATCGCGAGCCCCGTCCCCGACGATTCGATGTGGGCGCGGGTGAAGCGCTCTTTGCCTCTGACTCTCCTTTGGTAGTAACATCAACATCAGCCTGTTTTCGTTTTTGTATTCATTACCTCCGTAGCTAGTTTTATATATCACTGAAGACCACGCGTGGCATTTGTACAGACTAGAGAGTGTCTGTCTGTTCTGCTCCTCTTTGGAACGAATACAGTATCTTGGATAGGAGAGTGCTGGAAACACCTCGTAGGACACACAGGAGAGAGCCGGGGGATGCAGGGAGCGTAGTAATCCAGACATGGTATTCTCACTATTTATAATTATTTCCCATCGATCCGAATGATAGTTATAACCTTATTATATGTTCATATTTATTATATACTTACTAATTCACAATTACCTACCATCCTCACCAGGTTTAACAACTCTCTATCAACCATGAGACAACTATTTTAACTTTTCCAGCATGCCAGCACACGGGGATCAGACAGCAATAGTATATATAGTCTAGTCCTTGGCTGCATGCAGCTCATCGTTCTCTTTCAATTCTTTCTTGACATCCTTCACCCTCCCCCCTCACCCCTCCAACCAACCACCACCACCATGACCCACCCGTATCGGGGGGGGGGGGGGGGGGGGGTGTTCACCTGCATTCCTCGACCGCCCCCCTCGATAATATACCCGACATTGTTAACGAGGATGGAGACCCCCTGTCCACGGAGGCCCAGGTTATCTTTGAAAGCTCTGCCTGGGTCTCGTCGCCGCGAAGGCCGTGAAGTCGCCTTCGCCTGCTCGACTCGCCCTGGGTCGCGTCGCGACGCGATGCGTTGGTCGCTATTGGTGCCAGCTTGGCGCGGGAGCAGACAAAGACAGACAGAATATGCCGGACAGCTTGAAGGGGAGGGATTGTTGGTTTTACGGACTTTATGATGTCGAGGTTGGGAGGGGGAGGGGGAGGGTTTCGTTGGATATTCTGGTCTGGTCTGGTCTGGTCACGGCTGCTGTTATTACAACCTCCCCGAGTCGGAGCCCTTTCCTGATGATGCACAAAACGCTTTTCATGATCGCTCAGGACATGCACTTCTGTGCTCGCCCCACGCTCCGGGCTGCTCGCTCAGCGAGGCTGGGAGTAAGCAAGTCAAAAGCGGCGCTAGGTTGGATCTGAAGCAGAAAGGGAAAGTTGTTCGGTAGGCTTTCAATGAAACTCGATGATTTCCGACTCGTTTTGGTTGAAATGTAGAGGGATAGATCTCAGTAATCATAATCCTTGGTATCAGTCGGTAGTAAGCCCCCTCTGTGGGCTGTAGGCCCTCATTCATTCTCTCTATTCAAATTTTTATGCTCTAATTAGTTATTGACCACGTCCGATAACAGACTGACTAGCCAACCAACCATTCATCCATCTGTACATGATACATCCGACAAGACACTATAAACAAAAGTCCAGGGTAATCCCAAACGAAACACCACCAAGAATTAGTCCGACAGGAGAGACTGTCATGTCATGTCATGTCAGGTAGGTAAGGTAAAGGAAAGTAAAGGAACGGCTCACACGAGGTGTATGTACAAAAGGAATGATCACATCTCGATGGAATGGAGGATGACTATAAACACAGGACCAAACCAAAAGGACAAAAAAAAAAAAAACAGAGTGGGTATATCTTCAAAGGGAGAGAGAATGGGGGGGGGGAGACATTCAATCAAACAGCATTGCCACCTTCAAGACCCCTGAAAACGCTGGATTGGAGAAATTCCTCGCGCATGATGGTGCTGACGTCCGAGTTGCGGTACTGGTGCAGGTCCTCGCGCTGAAGGCCGCGCAGCTGCTCTCGTCCTGCGGTGGAGAGGGAATGAGAGCGCGAGCGATGGCCAGGGCGACTGGTCACGGGGGAGAGTTGGCCGGGACCAGACAGAGACAGATGGCTTTTGGGGGACTTGCTGCCGGGCATGCCGGAGAAGGAGAGGGTCTGGCGGGGCGCGAAGACGGGCAGAGAGGCGCTGCTGGGGAGAGGCAGGAAGGAGCTGGCGTCGGTCGAGGCATTGCTTAGGCTGGAGCGGATGGACGAGGCGTGTTGGTTGGCGTTCAGCATCGGGTAGTTGGATACAGAGCTGTACAGGGTTGACATGCCCGATGCAGCCGATGAGCGCCATGAGTTGACGGCGCTCCGGGGGATGGTGATGACTTCTTCGTCGATCGGCAGGGTCTGTTGCAGGGCTGTGGCAACGTCCGTGGCCTCGGTGAGGTTGCCGGTCGGGCGGTTGGCCATGATCTTGGCCGACTTGCCGATCCAAAGCATCTGCTCGTGCTCGCGGAGGTACCGGTCTCCACTGAAGGACTTCTGGACGATCTTGCGGGTCATCATGCCAAGTTTGCGGCGATGGTCGCTCTTCTCGTACATGCGACGTGTGATCGCGGCAACTTCCTCGGGGGTAGGGGAGGAGGTGAGCACAGGCGGTGGTGCCTCTGTATCCTCGGCGTATTTACTCCATTCCCCGAGAAGGCCGAGCATGGTGATCTGGGCTCTTGCGAGAGCCAGAGCGTCGTTCGGCGCAACCACGGCGCTGAAGCGAGAGAAGTCATCGGGGTCACTCAGGACTCGGAGAGAGGCGCCCACGTCGGTGCAGACCACAGGAGCACCGGTCAAGGCGGCTTCTCCTAGCGCCAACGGCAGACCCTCGGACAGAGACGAGTTCAGGAACAGCCAGGTGTTTTCCAATACCTTCATTGGGTCGGCAGTACCCCGGAGAGTGACTTTGCCGCGGAGACCCTTGGAAGCGATGATTTCCTGGCATTCAGTGGAGTATGTGGGTGCCTTGTCGATAGCTCCGTAGATGTCGAGGTGGTAATCGTCGAACTTCCACTGGTTGATGATGATATCGGCGGCGAGAAGCGCTGTCTTGATGTCCTTGGCATACCAAACGTGGGACAACATGGTAACCGTAGGGCGCTGGGACTTGATTTCCTTGACAGGGGCAAACTTCTGCATGTCGGTGATGCCATTGACGACCGGGTCGACCTTTCGACGGAAAACGTTGCGATGCTCAATGGTTCCCTGGCAGGTACCAATTTCGACTTCCCAGCCCGGGTTGAAGAAATCGGCACATGGCAGGATGATATCGGCGTGATGCAAAGTCAGAACAGAGGTGACTCGCATCAACCCCAGCAGGGCATTTCTAACAAAGGGAGAAAGCTTGCAGAGTGCAGAAGACAAGCAGAGATTCGTTTCACGCCAGCTGATAGCGTGATCCCAAATTTGTAGCGTGCAGTTTCGCTTCATCTTGCAGACGACCCCATAAGATGCGCTCACGCTGTGATGCGATGCCTGGAACACGTTGGGAATCTTCTCAGGAATAGGTATAGAGAAAATGAACAGATAGCGATACCAGAGTTCCAATGCGATATCAAGAGCCGCCAAGGTAGGAAGCTCGGTGCGGAACCACTCGGACGAGGGGGTGGTATTGGCCATTTCTTGAGTCAGCCAAAGGTCACGCCAGCTCTCCTTCACGATCTCGCTGTCCCAAACTTGGGACCAATGCCGGGAGTCTTGGAAGTACGTGTTGAGATTGACCAAGGCACGAGTCGCCTGTTGGATGTCGGCCTTGGAAAGGTGGATGGCACGAGCTCCCTTGACCAAGGCGGTTAGGATCGGGATGAAGTTCATCTTGATGTCCATCTCACTGGCAGAGGTGACGTTTTCCACTTCAGAGTCAAGCTTGTTCCGAAACAGACCGTGCGTCGGAGTGAGGAAATCAAGACCCCAAAGAGGGATGACCTTCAAGGACAGGATATTCTGCTCCGTCTGGTGCTTAGGAACGCCAAAGTCATTTGCTGACTCGCAGATCATATGCCACTTGATAGTCCTCAGCGAGTTGATCATATCACGGCGACACGCAGAGACACCACCTCCTTCATTCGGCCAGGTGCCGGTGTCAGCAGCCATAACATGCAGCGACTTTTCCGTATCGGCGCCGAAGTCCTTCGACCTGGTGTTGACCACAGCATCGCCGCCAGGCCCGAAGTTGAACAGATCGCTGATCTTCACGGCAAGCGGAGTCCAACTGGAGATGTTGTCGTCTAGGTCTGCACTGGCGGTGATGGTGTCTGCGCGAATGTCCAAGTACTTCTTAGCCGACGCGAGGTCACCACGGTCCCGGCAGCGCCAGTAAGGAGCAAGTGTCTTGTCTCTTCGCAGCAACCGCTCGTCCATCCAGCGGACGATGATACCGTCAAGGTCGACACGTTCCTTCCATCCTTTCCAAATCAACGAGCGAGCACGAGAAGTTGACACGGGGAAGCGCTTCTTGGTCAACCCAAAAAACCTGGTGAAAATGCTCGAATTGAGGCTGTCGCAGTACAGAAGAGGATTATCGTGAACGAATCCGGTAGACTTGGGCTTTACCAGCACCGCAAGATAATCATGTTCGATCATGGGCGGCGTCTGTACCTTTTGTCCATTGAGGGTGGTGAAGATCGTGGGATGGAACTTGTGGTCGTACAGCCAACGAGCCTCGTAGACATCGGCACCCTGGACGAACGTCGCTTCTGTCACCTTGGAATGAGGAATCCACCGGTCGACCTTCTCGGGATGGCGAAGAGGCGGAGCACACCATGACACGGTGCAAGTGATGTGCGAGAGAGCAAATTCAGCTCGAAGCAATTCATCACCGAATCGGGGGTTTTTGCGGTAGTGGTACTTGAAGCGGATGAGATTGCCATCCTTCATATACGATCCTGCTTCGATAAGCCCTTTCCGATTGTACTGGATGCTCTGCAGGTGATTTTCTCCGCGGACACAACGGCGGCCCATTGGTATCTTTGCCTGCGAGGACTTGGACAGGGCAAAGCCTTTCTTTGCCGGAGCACGGTAATCGTAGTGGTACTCGTTGAGCACCTTCCCACCCTTGAACTCCTGACGGACCAACAGAAGCATCTCCTTCGAGTAGACACAGACGTAACTGAGGTTTTTCGTTCCTTCGGGTTCTGTCTTGTGTTGCCCGGCGTAATAGTAGACCTTGAAGCCTCCATCTGGCTCATCGTGTTTGAAAGCAGCAAATGTTCCGTCCAAACTCTGAATCACAAATCTGCTCTTCTTGATGCTGATAGTCATTCCCTTTGTCTCGTTCCAGAGCCGCTTCACATTGTCACGGCCATGAAACAAGAAGAAAGAGAGACCAAGATTCTGCATGATCCGGGAATACGACCAGAGCAAACTCAAGGCTAGGGTTGCTGGTACACGAATGATGCTATGACGTTGGCTCATTACATGGTTGAACTCGCGCTGAAACTCGGGATCTGCGACCAAAGCAACGACGATGAACTTGATAGTTGACGCCATTGCATAGTAGAAAGTGTGCAAGGGCTTCGTGAAGATATACATGGCGGCAGAAATCTTCTTCGGCACATAGGGAATGTGCTCCCGGGTTTCGGGATCTCGGAAAACAGCAGCTTCGCCAGTGCCGTAGTGTGCATAATCGAGGATACTAACAGCACTGGCAGCCCCAAGATTGCTCCGGGCAACATGCACATCAATGCTATCGGTATCAAACCGACAAAGATTGTGTTCGAGCCACAGTCGGCTTTCTTCGGAGAGCTGACAAGGCTGGCCAAGACAACGGTTAAGCAGGGCGTTTCTGATGTCTTTGGGTAGCCGTTCCCAGTGCGAGTCACATTCAAATCCAAGACACAAGTGTTGCAGAAGTTCTTTCTTGGCCCAGCGTATGACGACCGAAGTATTGGGCTCTGAGCGGAGTTGCCGTGCCATGCCCTCGGTGACACCTGCGGTGACGAGAGATTCAGCAAGCACGGCGTACTCATGTGGAATTTGCAACATGGATTCCGCAACTGCATGAAGCAGGATTTCGGCAATGACTTGGCAATTTGCACTGACATCGATCCGTTGATCTAGCCCGCGTCCCACACAGACGGCAATGTTCAGATGCCCTGTTGTGCTACAGCTGAGTGCGTGAATACCGGGGCCAAGCGATCCAACGGGGACAAGCTCGAGGGAAATTTCCCCTTTACCCCATGTCTCCAAGGCTAGGTGCACCAGGGCTTCCGAATTCGGGAACGCCTCTTCAATTCTCGGCTCCTTTCTGCGTGCGAGCAGGATCTCTTTAACCTCGACTCCAGGATGAGCCTGGGGGTCCAATTTCAAGCGAGCATCGGAAGGAACGAGGGATATTTTCTCATGGAAGGTTTGCAGTTCCTGCTGAGACCAGTCGGGATCCGCCCACGGAGCAGTGTAAGCATGGAAAACCCTTCCAAGTTCCACGGGAGAGGAGACCTTCTTCGGCATGCCCATTTTCGCAGAGAAGAGCGAGAGGATGGCGACGCTCCATGTGGCAGACCCAAGGCCAATGACTTCGGAGTACAGGAAATGCGGCAGCCGGACCTTCAGGGCAATACCGACCGGTAAACCAATAAGGCATCCGATAAGCAGTGTTTTGAATGCATGGGGCCCGGTGAAGATTTTCGTGTATTGATACCACAGAAGCCCTGTGTACGCCAGGACGTAGGCACAGAATATGATCATGGCTTCTTCTGTTGACTGGAAGGTCCACAGAAGGGCCGTGGCGAGGGCAAGACTCCATACATGCCACATGAGGAACTTGAATAAAGTCTTCCAGTAGACCTTCCTCTTGTACCTCACATCCCGCTTCTGCGATAAGCGTATGTCCTTCGACTTGTAGACTGGGACAGAGGTTTGCTTTCCAACGAGATCGTGGAGCTCTTGGGCCTTGGTGTCGATAAGAACAGCACCAATCAAGTAATAAGCCAGTCCAAATCCTACTGCCATGCGCTGAGAATCGGTGACAGAGGCAGACAGGCCAATTAAATGGCCACCTGTGAGGAGCTGCACCCATTTATCTAGCAGGGCTAGAACGAAGTACAACACCCCACATCCGATTTCCCGGCTTGACTGCCGCCACTGGATAAAAGCATTGTGGAGTCGTATGCCCTTCTGGGAGCTCCGGAGTGTATCCAGGGCGACCTTTGTTTGGATGTTCCAAGACGAGCTGAAGGGGATTGGTCTGGGCACATCGGCATACCTGCAGTACCAGTCGAGGAGGAAGTTGGTCGCATCCCAGTCCCTGGCAAGCTCGAGAACTAACTGGTCGGTGGTAGGTTTTGTCCAGAGTCCGCGTTTCTTTTCAGCTAGAACGTCCTTCAACAGCGCTTCTCTGGATAGCTTCAACACAGCCGGGTCACTCAGACTTCCAAACACCTTCTCGTCGTTGTTACCATAAGAGGCAACATACCACTTTCGAATCTCCGTGTCATCGGTCCTCCTCAGGCTTTGATACCAGGTGACCCACTTCGAAGCGACAGACCGAAGACCAAAAAGCAAGGTGATAATAAAGACATATATGACTGCAAGGTAGACAGCCGAGTCATGGCCTGTGAACGTGGTAACAATGGGGGAGATGAAAAGGATCGGAACGCATGCGAAGATGATCTTGCGCCCAGAAAGGAAGGTGGACCCAGGATAGCTGAAACTCGCCAGAGAGGCAAAGGCCGAAAAGTAGATCGTCAACGCAATCAGGTAGAGGTAGAAGATGATTCCAGCGCGTGCACTGTGCGTGGCCGAGATAGCAATAAAGCCAATGAGACCTCCAGCGACCGTAAAAGCGATGCCGGCAATCAGTCTGATGAGGACGAACATATTCGCGGCAGCGAAGGCCATTGAGATGAGATAATAAGGGCCTCCGCAGGCAATCCACGTGCCAATCGCACCGGATAGCAGTAGCGAGATCATCAGGGCAATGGTCGCACTCTGCTGCTCATCGTATGTCATGAAAGCCGAAAGATACAATCCGCGACCGATGATCGTGAGCAGAAGGATGTCGATCAGAGCTGGAAACGCAAAGACGCTGAGGAAAGTGAAGCGCTGGTATCCGCGCATTGGTTTGACTTTATCATCTGGATTGACATCAATCTGCGCGCCAGCATACGACGTGGCCATATCCGGAGCCCCGTTGATCCAATTCGGCAGCTGCTCGTTGGTGTAGCTTTTGCGGAAACGATTCGACAGCAGCTTTCCAAAGGTGCTAGGCGAGACATCGAAATAGGCTTCGCAACGCGATCCAAGAGCAAAGGACTCCGCGAAAGCAGCCGCCTGGTCTGACTGGTTATTGAACAACGGGTTTCGATCGGTAACCTCTGTGTAGATCTCGTCCAGAGCACCCTTTCGCGCAGCGCAGAACAACGAAAGGGCCATCATGTCAGTGTAAGCATCGACAGGTCCACTCTGTACCAGCTGGCAAAGACCGGTGGAGATACGAGCTAGGTCCTTCTCTCTCCGATCACGAAGGACCGTGGTCAAGACAGATTCGGTCTCATTGAACAGAGCAAGGCAGGAGGCAGCGGAAGGATGTAGGCAGCCCTGTTCCTGATACCACTTGACACGCGTTTGAACTAGCATCTCAGGTGAGGCTGACCCCTCCAGGTAGGAAACTGTGTTGAGCTCCTTGAGCTGGGCCATAGAAGGTGCATCAACCAGCTGTCGTCGGATGTACGCACAGATTGCTTCCGACAGGTCGCTTTTGGCGTCTGTTAATGACAAGTGCTGCAAGAGCAGGAGTCGTTCCTCGGGACTCAGGACATCAATATCCTGGATGACCCGGCCGGAAAGCCCAATGTCCTCGGTGACATTCTTGGACCATTTCGCTAGGGATGTTTCTGCCTCGAAGCAAAGGTGACGTGGGTAGCCTTTGGCCGATAGGAAAGTGTGTAGCACAGTTCCTGCCAAACCGTGAGCATTTTTGGAGGCAAAGACATCAAAGCCATCCGTATCCATCTGATACACGGCCCAGAACCGTACATCAGTACTCTTGCGGAGTCCAGAATCCAGCCCAAGGTAGATCCGCAACGTATCATTAGATGCCATGGTGGATAGTTCTTTGATTGAGGCGGCGAAGTGATCAGAAGGGTTCCAGGTAGAGAGAATGCACTTGTCGTGAAATTGGCGAAGAAGCTGGCCGATGCTCTGAAGCTTGGACGACGGTACTGGATGGAGCAAGCCAAGGGACTTGAGCCGTTGCTGCGACTGAAGGATCTCTGCAAAAGCAACCGGTGTTGCCTCTGAACCAAGTGGGAAACAACCGAGTTCCTTGTACTCAGAACCAGCCATAGATATAGAGAGCGGGCTACCCTGAGATTTGACTTGCGCAACCCATTCCGGGGGCTCACGAAGCGTGCTGAGTGGCTTCTCGTTAGTCTCTACATGACGTTCCGACGAAGCCAGCAGAGTGTCCAAGGATGGGAAGTAACGAAGGAATGTATCCCAGGTATCGTTGAACTCAGGGTTGCGTGCAATGTGTAGATTGGAGCGCCAACGATCGTGGACCTTCATGATCTCAGCATCCTTGAGCCACCCGAAGGAAGACAGGGGCTCGGGAGTTTTGACGTTCAGAGCGGCGTTCTCGAGGGCAGACTGGCGACCAATCCAAGAGATTGCACTGTAAAAATTGCACCATTGCATAGACCTCTGGACAACGGCATTGGAAAGAGAGGCATTGTCGTCAACAGTCTCCCAGGCTATCACCGAAAATTCTCTCATGCATGCCTCCGACACAAAGGCTTTAATTGTCGACTGCAATTTTCTCAACTGGAAATAGTCCCGCTTCTGGCCGTCAGGAAGTATACTGGCATTTCTGATGACGATGCCGGAGATTGCAGTGGTCTGTAGGATGTTGCGATCTTGAAGAAACGTGGGTGGCCCCGTCTCCAGATACACAGCGAGGCCCAACCCATGAAGCGCCTCCGCCACTTTCGTCAGAACTGTGGGCGTGAACTTATCCTCCCAGTTCGCGAGCACGATTCCGCTGAAGGCAGCCCCGTGGAAGTTACCAGACAGGACATTGTCGATCTTCTTGATAGAGGCTAGGGCCAAGTCCTGCTGAGAAGTAATCAGGGCAAGATCGACCCGGCCTACATACTGCGTCCGCTCGGCATGTGACATGGCCTGGGCCACGCCAGGCTTGGAAGGATCCACGATCAAGAGATCCCATCGGCTGAGAAGGCGACGATGGGCTTTGTCCAGTGGACTGCTGAAGGCACCGAGATAAACACCCACAGACAACGGTTTCTGTTTCGTGCGGTGCGCTGCTGTTAGGGTAAGCTGCTGTCTCGCAAGCCTGTCGAGTTGTTGCGAGACATTGGCCGGCACGACCTCTGGACGTATTCTCGACTAGATGTATCTATTAGAATACGTCCCCCTTCCAGAGAAGGCCGGGTTCAAGAGAAAGACATACCTTGTACCATCTCAGAGCTCGCCAGGTGCCGGAGTAGATGAGATACAGACATCCGCAGACCACAGTGGCCAGCAGGATGGCAATCAGAACCTATTACATGTCAGCGCAAGGGACCTTCCTCAGTCTCAATGCCGCCTGCGGTTTGTCAATGAACAGCAATCACATACAAACTGCCACCAGTGGCTAGTCATCCCACCCCACCCGATGGGCGAGACGTGGAGGATCTCAGCCATGGTGATTATAGATTAAGTAGGTGTTATAGGAGGAAAGGCCGAAACGAAGGACATGTAGAAAGGCGAAGAAATCGAGCCAGGATGGTGAAACTACTATTGGTTGCTCAAATTGCTCATTGGGCCAGATTCGACGGTCCTCCTAGGCCATGATTGTCTGGGCTCGGTGTACCCAGGAAAAATGGTGCCAGATAACTTTTTGAAGTATATAAACGAATGGAGCTGTAGCAGAGATAAAGGCTACCTTCAAGAAAAAAAACAAAAAAAGTAAGGAACAAACGAACGTCAAGATATACGACAGATCCAATGGTTCAAGGAGGAGAGACCCAACAAACCAACAGCCAGCCTCTGTACTTCTGACTTTTTGATTGACGAGAGAAAGCGCGCGTTAGGTCAGCCGCTGGGAAACGTCAGTAAAGGGAGGTCCCCTCTTTTTTGCTTTCTGTTTTTTTTTTTTTTTTTTTTTTTTATTCTCTGGGTCATATGGAATCGGGACCACCGGTCTGATGCAATGAGAGACCGGTGGCGGCCAGCGCAGTAGCTCCGGCCTCCAGGCCGACAAAAATAGCAAGGCGTCTCAGCTCTCCCAGCTAGCCTGGCGCTAGAGGGCTGGGTCTGTTTGAACATGGAAGACAGGCAGGCGGTAACTCGATTTGGTAAGTCAGGTTCGGGGAGATGCAATGCCATGAGGGTGGTGGGGGGAGGGGGGAGGGGGGAGGTTGAGCAGAGGAGGAAGCATGGCAGCCATTGGGGTTGCTCTGTTGGATTCCCGCCTGATCAGGCCAGGGAAAAGAGCAATGACCAAATCAGAAGACTGGGGGATGGGACGGTTCCATCCAGGGTCGGGTTTCCGCAACCCGACAGAGTAGCAATGATGGAAGCGGTGGTGGTATTGGATGCATGATCATTGTGTTGCCCACCAAACCGCTGGGGCTGGCCAGACTCACTCCCCATTGGCCCAGGAGGGGTTTCTTTTGTTTTTTTTTTTTTCAGGCTGCAAAATGGGATTCTAGGATTTCTGGGATGCCCAGCTCCTTGCTTTCTCCGAACCAAGTGGACTGGACTGGACTGGACTGGACTGGTTGAGGGGATTGGAGAGGGGACCGACTGGGAGCAAAAAGCTGAACGAAGCACGAAATCGAAATCATGGGCGGCGGTGGGGAAGGAGCCATGCATGCAGTCGCTCCCAAACCGGGCAAGTGCCGTACCCGTACGGATACCACCAGCCGCCCGTCGTGTATCCGTGTATCCGGGTATCCGGGTATTGGTGTATTGGTGTATCGTTGTATCAGCGTATCAGCGTATCTGTGTATTCGGGCGATACCGTACGGCAGGTTTTACAAAAACCTTTAACCCCCGGGGTAACATGGGCCGCAGGGTATTACGAGGCCGGTGTAACGATGGCCATCCAGTCAGTCAGTCACCAAGTAAGCCCTCAGTGGGTGCATGATTGCATCAAGTTGCCTGGGCCGCAAAGGGCCATGGCGAGAGTTCGCCAGGGCCCTTTATTCTTTATTATTACCCCACACCGGCTCCCCTTTCTCAGGCTGCGAGTTTGCCAGTCCGCCTGAGCGCTGAAGAAGTTCAGTTCTGCCAACCACCAACTCCGGGCCCTGAACGGCCCAGGCGTGGCGCGCTAGCGGCTGTCCCTGGATCGGTCCCTGGACCGTGTACATGCCTGGCCTCGAGGGGGATATCCCATCCGTGCCACAAAACCGGTCAAGCTAAGTTTTTTTGTGCCTCCATCGTTCGGCTTGTCTGCGGGTCTGCTTTTCCCTCGAACGGGCTTCCTCCGTTGGAGAGATGGAGAGATCCAAACAATGAATCCAGCCCAAGGCAGGGTCCGGGTCTCAGGCAGGGCAAGACAGGGCAGGGCAGGGCTAAGTTCACAATTTCCACCCAAGCAAGCCATCAACATTCCTCTCACGGATCGGTCGCTAGTCACAAGCTTCACCTCCACTGTCCACACAACAGCCCACCTCTGGCTCGTGAAATAAATAAATAAAAAAAAAAAAACAGCCCATCGAGGACGCCAATCTGCAAGCGGGGCTGCATGTATCCAGTAAAGGCGATGGAATCCGCCAATCTGGCCGCATCGTGGAACCATCGGGCTCGGACATGGCGATATCCTTCTGTTCTTCCAGAGTTCCAGAGTTCCAGAGTTCCAGAGTTCCCAGGGCTAGGGGGTATCTAAACGATAGGTTGCCAGGCATCCCTGGGCTCCTTGGAATTCCCCCCCCCGGCAAGATAAATAGACATACATAGTGTGATTGCACGCGCAGATGACCTGACAGGCCGCTGATCTTTAGTCCACAGCTGACGGCGTTTCCAGGGGTCCTAAGCAGGTCCACCTCAGTCATTCGTTATCATTCGTTTTTGCGCGACGCTCGTTCCTTTGCTTTGTGTCAGGCCCTGGTTCCTAGACGGCCGGAATCGCAATGGTGCTTCCTTGGCTCCTCAGTCTGGGGTGCTATCTCGGGTTTATAACCTGCAAGACTCGCCCTGGGGTTTGGACTGAGAGACCAACCGTCATTTCCACGGCTTCTGTCTCGCCCATCAAATCGTCGGCTACAGTCGCCGGGACTCCAGTTCCTGATCCTGCTTCTTCTTCTTCTTCTTCTTCTTCAATTGTTCATTCGCTGACCACTTCTGCCACTTTGTCTTCTACTACGGTATCTGCATCCTCCACCCTTGCCACTTTGGGGATTTCGGCTGGCACGTTGGTGGTCTCATCTTCCAGTGCGTCTCCCAGCCCAACCAGCACCATGGCTCTCAGCTTGAGCGCTGTGGCTTCGGCTTCGGCCTCTGTAGCCCCTTCGGCGGCGCCCATCAGCGCGGGGTCGATCGCGGCAAACATCCTGGTGATTGCGCGCGACACGGCCTCTGCTAAAGTGGCCTCGTCGGGGCTCAATGCCATCGGCATCCCCTTCACCACCCTGGTGGTCCCGCAGTCGGGAGCCAGCTTGCCGGCCCTAAACGGCACGGATGGAGGCAACTTCGGCGGCATTGTGGTCGCCAGCGAAGTCAGCTACAACTACGGCAATGCCACGGGCTACCAGAGCGCGTTGACGACCGACCAGTGGAACCAGCTGTACGCGTACCAGCTCGCATATGGCGTGCGCATGGTGCAGTACGACGTGTATCCGGGACCGAACTACGGCGCCAGTGCGGTGGGCACCGGATGCTGTGCGACGGGGGTCGAGCAGCTGCTGTCCTTCTCGGACACCAGCGACTTCGCCACGGCTGGGCTGAAGACTGGGGCGGGCATCAGCACCGAGGGCCTCTGGCACTACCCGGCCAGCATCACCAACACGACCACGACCAAGGAGGTGGCGCGCTTCGCCGCCAACTCGGTCTCGACCAGCGACACCACCGCGGCCGTCATCAACAACTTCGGCGGCCGCGAGCAGATGGCCTTCTTCCTCTCCTTCGACACCAGCTGGAGTGCCACCTCCACCCTGCTGCAGCACGCCTGGATCAGCTGGCTCACCCGGGGCCTGTACGCGGGCTACCGCCGCGTCAACCTCAACACGCAGATCGACGACATGTTCCTCGAGACGGACATCTACAAGCCCAACGGCACGACGTTCCGGATCACCCCCAACGACCTGCAGGGCATCTCGACCTGGATGACGACGATCAACGGCCAGATGAACGCGGGCAGCAGCTACTACGTCGAGGTGGGCCACAACGGCAACGGCAACATCGAGACGGCCTCGTCGACGGATGAGGGCTGGACGACGTGCGACGGCGGGGGCATCGAGTACGAGTCGCCCGCGGACACGGCGCTGGAGTTCAAGAAGCCACTGGGGACGGGCACCAACCTGTGGCCGGCCAGCCCGACGACGTACAACTGGACGACGGCGTGCACGCAGATGGACCCCCTCCTGGTGTGGTGGACGACGCCGGCCAACCTCAACCGGTTCGGGCACATCTCGCACACGTTCACGCACGAGGAGCAGGACAACGCGACGTACTCGGACGTGTTCAAGGAGATCTCGTTCAACCAGGCGTGGCTGAAGCAGGTGGGGATCTCGGGGGCGACGCACTTCACGTCGAACGGGATCATCCCGCCGGCCATCACGGGCTTGCACAACGGCGACGCGCTGCAGGCGTGGTGGGACAATGGCATCCGCAACTGCGTGGGCGACAACACGCGGCCGGTGCTCCTCAACCAGCAGAACGACATGTGGCCCTACTTCACCACCGTCGCCTCGGACGGGTTCGCGGGCATGCAGGTGAACCCGCGGTTCGCGACGCGCATCTACTACAACTGCGACACCCCCGACTGCACCGTACAGGAGTGGATCGACACCTCCGCCGGCAGCGGTGACTTCGACTCGCTGCTGGCCACCGAGAAGGGCGAGGTGATGCGCCATCTGTTCGGCCTGCATCACGACCCCTACATGTTCCACCAGGCCAACCTGCGCAACGCCGACACCACCCCTATCACCGTCAACGGCGTCACGGCCCAGTACTCCATCTTCCAGGCCTGGGTGGAGACTCAGGTCCAGGAGTTTGTGCGCCTGGTCGACTGGCCCCTGGTGACCATCAACCACCAGACGGTATGCACGGCATCCACCTTCCCTGGGGACTCACTGCTAACTCTCCCAGATGTCCGACTCCTTCCTCGCCCGCTACACCCGCGACGCATGCCAGTACTCGCTGCGCCACACCATCTCCAACAGCCAGATCACCGGCGTCACGCTGTCCGCCAACGGCAACACCTGCAGCACCCCCATCCCGGTGACCTTCCCCGTGGCGCCGACCAGCACGCAGGGCTTCACGACGGAGCAGCTGGGCAGCGACCCCTTGACGGTGTGGGTGACGCTCTCTGGCTCGCCGGTGACCTTTACCCTCTCGACCCCGATTGCGCTGTAAATGAATGGAATTCGGGTCAGGTCAGGGACGGACGGGCTCGTAATTCTGGATTTGGACATAATAACGTGTAATAGATAGTACAGTACTATAACTACTAAGGAAATAGGTATGAAATATTGACTTTGGGGAGAATTACTCCATTTACCGTTACCGTCTACATCACCTATCTAGATAGATGCCTAAGTACTACCTCCCTGGCAAACATTATGCCCGTCAGACCAGGGATCCCGAAACCAGCCCAATCAGAGCCTCCCAGGGGCCACCAGCACCGCGGTGCCAAACGCGGGACGTCAAGACCCTGCATGAGATAGTACTATTATTATCATTATCATTATTATTCTTGTCATAATTATCCGCAGCACTAACAAACGCTAAGTCTGCAGGCCAGTAGCCACTGTACTCGTAATTCTACGAGATGGGAGAATAACATACATACATACATACATACATACAATCTGTCAATGACAGCCAGCCAGCCAGACAGACCACCCGATCGAATTGACGAATGACTGAATGAATGAACAGCTCGGACCCTTTCCCCGCGCAGCCACCGACTTCACCGCCCAAAGGCGAAACGAAACAACGGCCCTCCGCCCCACGCACCCACGAACACGACAGGGAGATCTTGGCGGGTGGCCACCACCCGACCGATCGATCCACCACCCCATCCCCGGATTTCTCCACTCTTACACTCTGATATACTTTCTCCTACACGGTACTCTTCCTTGGACTCTCTTTCTTTGTTTCGTGCGTCCATTTTCCTGAACAGGCTATACACACAGACACGGGGAGAAAAAAAACTTAACCCAATAATAAGGCAGATAGGTACGAAGTAGTACTACTGCAGTATGTAAACAAAAGTAGTTAAGTTTCATCAGGAATGTTCATCCTTGGCAGCAAACCAAACAGCCACAACCCAAACAAACAAAACAAATCAAAACAAAACAAAAATCATCCATAATATCCAGCCCAGCCAAGAGGAGACAAGCCAGCCAAGACAAGCCAAGCCCAGCCCCGCCCAAGAACGAACGATCCATATCACCGACCCTAACTCCGCCGGACTTGCCTACTCCGTACCTTACTAGTTACCTGCCAGTCAACTGCATCATGTCACACATACCAGAACATAAATTTAGAAACACCATGACCACATCAGTCCAGCTAAGCATATCTGCCAATGCACCTACATCGCGTATATGCACAAGATGTCTTGAATAAAAAAAGACTTTCTTGTGCGACACTCACACTCACACTCACACTCACTCACTGGCCAGAGACAGAGAGACAGAGCTCGAATGTTCAGTCCATAACTACATAGTACCCATCCATTCTTCTACAGGGGAGGAGAGGGAGGGGCGGCCGGCGCGCGGATCCGTACGACCCTACATACCAGACATACCAGACCGTCAACCCTCGACCCTCGACCCTCGCAGCTCACAGCTCAGCTCAGCTCAGCTCACATTTAGCTTTGACACTGAATCTGGATTTGAATTTAGGTTTGTATTTGGATTTGGGTTGGGCTTGGTTTGCTTCGCCTCGCCTCGCCTCCCTTCGTATCGTATCGATCCATGCTTGAATAGCACAAGGCGGGTGGGTTGCCAACTCGACCGACCGGCCGAAACGACTGACTGAGCAACCAGGACCATATCCATGACCATGATCGTGGGGCAGTAGGCCATGCCATGCCATGCTATGCCGTCTTCTCCATCCCATCCGACTTATCCATCCCATCCGACTTATGTTATCCATTTTCCATCCATGCTATCCATGCTATCCATCCATCCCTCCATCCATGCATGTTACTCCCAATGCTACAGTGCTACAGTCCTACAGTCCTACAGTGCTACAGTGCTACAGCGCAACGCATGATGTAGTCGAGAGTGAAATGGACCACGGGAATAGCGACATCCATCGGGGCAGATTCCCGCTTCCAGAACGGACATTGAGGGAATGGAATGACGGGGCGGAGTGATCATGCTGCTTGCTTCCGGGACATGGGGTTGAGGTTGGGGTTGGAGATGGAGATGGGCATGCGGATGGGGATTTGAGTTGCCACTACCACTGCCACTACCACTGTCCCTGCCACTGCCACACACCTCACCACCACCACCACCACCCTCGTCGCTCATTCCGGGAGTTGAGGTGGTGTCATTGGGATTGGGATTGAGTTTGACTGCCTGAGTGATTATTCACCGGACGCGAGGGAAAAAAAAAAAAAAAAAAAAAAAAAAAAAAAACCGTCATACAGCAATATCAAGCTTTGACAGCTGCCAGGGTCAGGGACGGGGCTGGGTTGGTTGGTTGGTTGGTTGGTCGGTTGGAATAACTAGGGATTTCGTTCTGGATGACAGATGACAGCGGTTGAGTTTGGATGATGTGCTGGTTGCTGGTTGCTTGAGGTATCCATTCCATCTCCATCCCTGTTCGGAATGGAATGAAATGGCGAGATGAGATTGTGATGATGACAAGAGAGGAGGCGAAAGTTGAGTTGAAGCCGTACGGACCCGGTCCATTGGGGATGATACGATGCTACCTACCTACCTACCTACCTACCTACCTTGCCTCGCACCTACGTCGATTACTCGGAGCGATGGGGTCATGAGATCAGTCGCGTATAATATCCGTAGACGAGAGGAGAGATGTCTTCATGCGGTTAGGTCGTATCCATCGGACTTGTGCACATAACCACATAGCCGACGGAGGATATGGTGCAGATTGCAGCAGAGGACAAATCTTCCCCCGCCCCGGCGACAACGTGGTGGACGGACGACCACCTGGGAGCAGTTTCCACGCTGGCCAAGCCAAGCCCAGCCCGCGAGCTCGCCGCATCCGAGCCATGTCGTCCGTCTCCAGTCCAGACCCGGGGGCCTGCGAGTCATGGCTGCGGCTCTAGGGTTGCTGCCAAGAGGATATACGAATTGCGAAAGGGCCGGATTGGGAACTGCTTTTCCCGATCGCTGGTCCGAGGCTGGGCGGAATCTTCAGAATCCGGCGAATGTTTGATGATGGATGGGCGGATGGGCGGATGGGCGGATGGCTTGGGCCCGCCAAGCCCTACGTATCGCAATTTCCGACGTACGGAAACGCCAAACCGCCCAGGCGGCGGATTTACACACCCGCGTAAATTACCGAACGGAGGAGACGGGACGCGGTACTAGCGCGATACGGGGGGAGGGGGGACAGTACTGGATCTTCGGGGGTTGCGTTTAGTTAAGGTCCGTGGCCGATGCATCACCTCTCGATGGGTTGATTGGCAAGGTTCCGGCCCGAGGGAGCACAAAAAAGGACAACTCAACTCTGACGATGGAAAGGGGAAAAGAAAAGGAGCCTTGGTGTCGGACAAACTCCTTCGCCGCGGGCCCTCGTCGAAGTTTCTGCAGCAGAAGAAAGAACGACGGGCGGGGCGTTTGAAAGGAACCTTAAAGCGCCAATCCTCCCAGCGTCTCCATCGGCCATCGCCTATTAGGGCCCCGTTAGCGTGGTAATTAGCAGGCTATCCTCCGTAGATACTCTATATATACACCACAGACCTGGATACCGGTATACATCATCCAAGACCAACGCCAAGGCCGCTTGGGAGACGGGAACTATAGATACCTTTGCTGCTTTTGCTGCCAGGATCCAGGTGCAGTCCTCGGTACCACGGTTGCCAGTGGACATGCCCAGCGAGTTCTCAATCTCTGGCTCCCCAATTTGTGGATTGGACTCCTTGGCGACGGCCTCAGCTGTAGCCGGTAGCTTTGTCTGCGTCTTTGTTTGTTTCCCGATCGCCATCGCTTTTGCCCCCTCGTAATTGTCCAGCTGCGCGACCCGGACGGCGGTCAAGGCCGCGACCCCTTAGTCAGACATCCAGACCGGATGAGGGGAGAGAAACCTCAAGAAACATTCACGATGAGGAGGACTGAACAAACAGACCAAAATGAAGACTCACTCCCCAAGGGCTGGGAATAGTTCCATTCTAGACTGTTTAGGCTCCCGGATTTCCCCTCTTCGTCCCTGCAGCCCCTGGAGCATTGGACCCTTAGGGTTGCACAGGCACGGCCGGTGAGTGGCGAGGGATTTGCAGGGTCCGGTCCGGCAGCCCTCAAGTCAGCCTTCCGCCTTCCTTCACCCATCTCCCACCAGCCGTCAATCAGCCAACACCCAACAACACCCGTCGCTCTTCACTTTCCACTGGTTGCAACATGAAACTGCGCACCGTGTGACGCCGGGTGAAGCTTTTTTCCCACACCCCATCACATCTTCAGGCAACTCCATTTCGCCCGCGACCTATATCTTCGTGTCGGGGCCTAGACTCGACCTGCGTCGCTTCTGCCGCACCTCGTCTGTCCGATCCCGCGGGATAATCTTGACTCCTCCTCTTATTCCCCGTCGCCCCGGATCTCGTGTCGCGCTCTCGCACAGATTACCTGTGCTTCCGATCTTCTCTTTCGTGTGTTCTCTTGGACAGTTCACCACCCCTCCGCGATGGACACCGCCGACGACGCGGTCCTCAAGGGCCCCGCCCCGCGGGGATGGAAGACATGGACCACCAAGAAGAAGCTCATCATGCTCGGGTCTATCCTCACCATCATCATCGCGCTGGGAGTCGGACTGGGGGTGGGGCTGGGAGTCGGGCTGGGAGGCAGCAGCGGTGGGGAGGAGGAGGAGGGAGGCGGCGGCGGCGAGACCCCCCCGTCGACGTCCGGCAACTACACCACGGCCAAGTGGCAGCCAGCCGTCGGGACGAGCTGGCAGATCGTGCTGGAGTATGCGCTCAACGACACCTCCGTCAACGCGACGGTCTACGACATCGACCTCTTCAACAACAACCAGTCCGTGATTGACGAGCTGCACGATGCCGGCCGCAAGGTCATCTGCTATTTCTCCGCCGGGAGCTATGAGAACTGGCGTCCGGACAAGGACAAGTTCGACTCGGACGATCTGGGCAAGGACCTGGAGGGCTGGCCCGGTGAGAAGTGGATCAACATCAGCTCGCCGCGCATCCATCAGATCATGCTCGACCGGCTGGATCTGGCCGTGAACAAGAGCTGCGATGGAGTCGACCCGGACAACGTCGACGGGTACGACAACAAGAACGGGCTGGGCCTGACGGAGACCGACTCGGTCAACTACGTGAACTGGATGGCCAACGAGGCGCACGCGCGGAACATGTCCATCGGCCTGAAGAACGCGGGCGCGATCATCGGCTCGGTGATCAACAACATGCAGTGGAGTGTCAACGAACAGTGCGCGCAGTACGAGGAGTGCGATACCTACGCGGTCTTCACGGAGAAGAGCAAGCCGGTCTTCCACATCGAGTACCCCAAGGGCGCCGACACCAACAATGACGATTCCGTCTCCACGAGCCAGAGGCAGAGTGCATGCGACTTCACCGACTCGGGCAACTTCTCGACGGTGATCAAGAACATGCTCTTGGACAACTGGATCGAGACCTGTTGATCTAGCACCGGACTCGGGCCGGGGGGAGGGGGTGATGATATTCTGTGATCTTGAGTCGTTGAACGAGCAAGGGCGCCAGGAGTTTGGACAGCATAATTCTTCCTGTAATTTAATTCACTTGCTATGGTGTAATAATGTGGCAATTCAATAACGATCACATATTGTTTATTTACATGCGAACGAATCCTTGTCCGTCACATTCTAACATTCTTCTTTACCTTGCTCAATACCCAGTAGGTGATATCTGCTATACCGGCAGATAGATGATCGATACACCTCCCGGACCCCCAGCTCGGTCGAGTCCCACCAATATGCTCTCGTCTCAGAATGTCTCAGGCAGGTCGTCGTAGCACGAACTCGATCATGTCATATCGGGACTAATGCGCGCTATGCCTCCTTCCCTGATCCAATCCCTCAAAAACCAGGACTGGACGTCCATATCCGCCGTCGAATGGCACCACGCACCGGCCAAACGCACCTACTGAAACAAGACCACACAGGGGACAGAGAAGCAAGAACGAGCCCCCGAGACTTCCCCGAGATCCTTCCCTCCATTGGATTTCCTCTCGCATGGAGATCAAACGACGGTGCCATCCATGGTTCGAGGGCAGGGAATCTCACCAACCACGCCACGGGATCGACGACAGCGACACCGACCGAATAGCCATGACAAATTGGAACGTGCGCCGCTATTTATAAGCAATTGGCTCTTGACAATGGACAGACCTGCGATCCCGCGTTCTGCCAGTGGTGTACCGGTACCGAGGCCATCCATGGTTGAGCGGTTCCAGAAATCAGGCCCGCCGGCTGAGATTTGCGTTTAGTGAGGTACTCGATCCGGATCGAGAACCAGAACCAGACTTACGTAGAAAGAGAGCATGCTCCATTGCTCGTCACGGATGAACTCCACCGGAACCAGAGAAGCAGAGATAGACAACCTACATATAGTACATACATACATCGAACGGGGGCCTCTGTCGTTGCCGCTAGATACTAGTACTTAGCTCGCTTTTGTGTATCCTCCTTCCAGATTAAGATTATGAATCTGATATGCGCTAGTTAGGGTACTGGCCTCGAACGCCCAATCTGACCTGTGGATAGCGACTAGAGAGACAGACTAGAGACTAAGGGCCTTTGGGTGTCCACGATCGAGACGGGATGTCTGTTTGCGCTCTGCTATCACTTGCTTTAGTACTCCGTACTGTCTGCCAAGTATTATCCGGTAATGCTGTTTGCGGTCATTATGGTCGGTTTCGTCGAGACGTCATGACGGGCTGGTATGGTAATTTTCAATGCCATCATTGCCGTACCTAGTCCCTGTATGTGGTAAGTACATACCACATCCCTCCACTGCAGGTACACACGTCCGTTGTCCAGGGGACGGTGTATATACCCCGAAGAAGTCTTCGTACCTCTTCATAATCTCCTATAGAGGGAAACTCGTATGGGCGCGAGCGATCCCATCCCGCCAGCCTCGTATCTGTACCAACTATTGTCGGAGTCGCCTTCTCAAAAGTCACATTGACTTCCATTGACCCTCGCAGGTGTAGTTACACAAAAGCCGCATGATGCTTTGCCCCACCGTACGCATCAATGCCGTATATACCGAAATAAGTATCTCCCTTATATGTCTGTACGGTATGACATATAATGTAAGGTGAGTATAGTATAACGTAAGGTAATTATAGTATAACGTAAAAAGTTACCCGGCCTCCGGAGCCAGCCTACTACTAACTAGAGCAGAGTAAGCGCACAGTGACAGCGCCAATCCCAGCAATCCCACCACCACAACAACAAAATCCTTCTCAGGTCCAGTACTAGTTTTACTAGTAGTAGTGAGTTCTCACCTGCAGATCCGACGAAGAGATAAACTTTGACACACCATGATTTTTTTCCCTCCGAGTTTCCGTCTTTGCCTTTTTTTTTTTTTTTTTTTTTGGAGTTGGATCCGCCGAACCGCCGCCGACCGTTCCTGAAGTTTCCCCCTTCTTTTCCTGTTCCTGTGCCTGAACCGGACTTGGACCACCCGCCCGCCCAGCCCAGCCCAGCCCACACCGTCCCACGTCGATTTTCCCACCCACCCCCGCCGCCCGGCCGCCCAATTCGGGCCAAAGATCGCCGGATCCGGTGGGGGGCGGCGCTGCTGGGCCAGGAACCGTCGGTTTCGCGCCAGCCTTCTGACTGGTCAGGGGCGTGGACTTCCATGTTTTTGACGGCACTAAGAAGATAATACTCAGCCCAATCTTGCTAGAGGGATGGGATGGGGTTCGCGTCGGAGCTCATTCCCTCCTCTGCATGGTTCGCCGTCTTTAGTCTCTCTCTCTCTCTCTCTCTCTCTCTCTCTCTCTCTCTCTCTCTCTTTCCTTCATCCAGTCCGGACAGGAAAAGAAACAGAAAAAGCAAAAAGCAAGCACGCACGCACGCACGCACCTTTCAATGTGCTGGTGTCGAAGCGAGGGCTGATTCCAAATTCTCTCACCTTACTGATTGGGCTGGTCTGGTCGGGTCTGGTCGGGGTCTGGTCGATGGATGGACACTGGACAGTGGGCAGATGCGATGCGCCAGAGTGAGACGGCAGGCTGCAGTGCTGGCCGTTCGTGGTGGGATCCAGCCTAGCCGGGGGAAACAGACGGACTCCGTACCGATCGAGGGAGTAGGCAAGCGAGTAAGGGCGCTGGTTGATCGAGTGTAGTCTATCTACCCCGTACTCCGTACCTAGACTTTAGATAGGTACTTTCTAAATGTCTAGACAGGCACTGAGATTAATTACCATTGCATTGACCATGTCGCTCTAATCTATGCTTAACTATATGACAGTCCGCTATACTGTCTATGGGTTTGAGGTAGATGGATCTGACTCGCAGGTCTCACCCGGTGCACTGTGTGTTGGGCCAACTGCTAAATCGATGGAGCCTCTAGATATCCGCTCGGGTATACGTTTTGCAGCCGACCCCTCCACTACTCCACTACTACTACTACTATGAACTATCTATCAACTGTCGCAGGCTCAGTATGACCCTCCCTCATCTGATCTGCTGATCCTGTAATCTCCCAGGCCATGACCTATGTCGCAGAAAATATTGGACTCTACTCTCGTCGGATGATCGCCTTGCCAGATACAATCCCCAGTCTGATAGATATATATTTCCCCGAGACGGTCGGGGATGGCACGGCTGGGCCGGAGACGGTCGCGTGAGAGACATGGATGAGTCTGTCACCCGAATGAGCTTTCTATAAAGAAGAAGAAGCAGCAGCAGAAGAAGAAGAGGAGATGCTGAATTCCCCGGATTTCATGGTTAACGACATATGATGAATGAATGCTCTGTCGTCATGAAGTTGATTGAGGTCATTTGATAACTAGTTAGCCGTGCGCCTTAGTCACCCATCGACGGCGATCGACACTCAGCTTAAATTAGGCTGACAGGCGATCAAGCTTAGCCCGGTTGACACTCGATAGATAGATTGATTGATAGCCCGACACGCAGTCCCTGGCTTCTCAATCCCCCCCAACTTCGAGTCGCACACCGCGAAGAGCAATTGCATCTTCATCTTGTAAGGCCCCCCCCCGTCCCGTCCTACCCCCCTCGATCTACTCCGAGGCGATCGCAGTGAATGGCCTCGAGCCAAGTGTACAACCCATCCATTCCATCAGGAGAACGGCGTCGGGCCTTGAAGAAATAACTCCGAATGCAACCTGAGTCATATTGTATAGCATCGATCTGATGGAACTCTCTCCGCATCGCCCCCTGTCCATTCTTCCGGAGATATTTCCGGCCAGGTAAGGCTTGAGACAGAGTGCGCTCGATATAAGCTCTGCTGTCCATCAACGGTATCGAAATCCGCGCGCCATGAGTAACTGTAAGCTTATTGCCCGGCCGCCGCCACAAACGCTCTATAAATAACAATCTTACTTAAGTACGGAATCCCATCCCTCCCTCCCTACTTGCCCTTGCCCCGTTTCCCCCCATGTATGTATGTATGTCTGACCGGGAACCCCCGTCTAGACCCCTCCGACCGGAACTTTTCTGTGCGCCCCAGCCAGCGTGAGGTGATCCTAGTCGTACATATGTATGTACGCCGTACATCCACCTTGCAGGGTACAGGCTGCACCACCTTCCCCCCCAAATGGATGAAATGGGGTGAGATGGTGTGGATTTATCAACGACTGACGGAGTACACCTACCCGTGTCACGTCTTCAGGGATGATTGCCCTGGACGGAGTATATGAGTGGGATGTTGAACCAGCCAGCTGTGGAACTCTGCCCTGTCCTGTACATCACCCGCTAGAATGTCAACAAGGAAGATGGAAGATAGGTATACTAGGTATACGAACGACTCTGTACAACTTAGATGCAATGTCCACCTGCAGTCTTGCATCAACGAAGTGAATGCGCTCTGCGCTGTCAATAGATCAGCATCGGATTCTAAGCCCCGACGAGTCCCGTTCATCGATGCTTCATGTACATATCTGTATGTCGATGCTGTTGTTCATATGCAGGTCTCAGAATAACCCGGCCAATCAGGTCAGCTCCGCCGGCCAGCCTTGTCCTAGACTTTCTAGTACAGTACCAGTGAGTACAAGAGTATCTATCTAGTATCGATAAGTCTAGATAAATATCTGAGGTAGTTTAGTTACTAATCAACGCACTCCATCCCCCTGCCTGAATCACCCAACCCATGCAATTGACCAGGTACAATGTACATTAGTCCACACGCATACCTTAACATAACTACCCATACTACGCCAAGCGATGAGTGAGTAACTCTTGACCCCCCTCGTAATCACATAGTTAGTTACCTCATGCTTAGATCATTACACCCCGTCTAAGTGTCTACGATATATTAAGGTGCTACCTATATAGGTAAATGCATTTCCTACTTCCATGGATCGGGCCCCGTCGTATCGTATCCCACCCGGTCCGGTACATGCCTACCTACTACCCTAACTATTTACTTATACTGTCTGTCTAGTCTGGGTGTTCTCGGAGTACCCCGTTTCATTTCAGGGACTTAGTACTTACGTAGGTGGCTACAGGTAGGTGGTATGTCGTGGTACCGCGATCCCCACCGAACCAGATTTCAATTCCCTCCTTGCCAACCAACCAACCAACCAACCACCTTATACATATGAATATAATTAGTATATGCATTCAGACGAAGTGCCTACCTACCTACCTACCTACCTACCTGCCTCTACTACAGTAGGTAGATACTTACGTACTGCTCATAGCAAGTAACTAGGTAATAGGTACCTACCTACCTTACCTTATCCATGCGGACCACAACACAAGACACCTCACCACCTCACCACCGCTCCCCACTCCCCAAATCCCAACCCAAATCCATCCTGGTGCGACCTGTAGTCTGTATTCTGTACCTACTGTAGTCTGCTGATTCCAATGACCCCCCCCCCACCCTAACCAAACCAAACCAAACCCTTCCAGTCAGTGATAGACATACAGACCCGAAATATCTAGACCAGACTAGACAACTGCCATCAACCAACCTAAATCTCAGACTTTTCGCGACCAGCCTAGTAAAAATGATAAAATTAGCGTGGGTGCGGATGCGAGCGGAGTGGGGAGGGGAGCAAAAGTGGATAGATACCCACTTAGGTTCCTTCTGGATGAGATGGATTATCCGTGCGGTCGTGCACTTGATCTAGGGGAGGGAGTATCGGGGTACGGATCGGTACGGCTTGCCCAGCCCAGCCCAGCCCTTGCCATGGAGTGGGAGGGAAGGGGAAGTGAAAATTACCACTTACGATCTACTTACTACCTTACCTACTAAGGTAGGTACTATTGCTTTACCAGGGAGGGCGGGCACCTTACATCTGTGGTACGGGGGTGGGGGGGGGGGGGGGTGTACCTTTTGTATTTTATGTATATATGTATGTAAGGTATGTATGCATGTATCTGTGTATCTGTGTATGAAATGTATGCAAATGCAATGTATACACAGTACTGGTATCTGTGGTTTGCGGTACCTGAACGGATGGCTGGGGTCCATGAAGAAGAAGAAGATGATGATGATGATGATGTAGGTCGTATGAAGCAATACGATACATGAGAAATAGGCACTAGGTACTCCCAACAAGAACACGAACCAGCAGAGCTAGCGGAATCAATCAATTTAGCCTGTACTTCGCAGTTGTTAACCATATTAGCATATCTAGGGATGGTTTCTTTGTCTCTTCCCGATCTTCCCCTCCTCCACGTCCGTGGGAATCGTGGATGGCGAATTGCCCTACCTACCTGAGATAGGCAGGTAGGTAGTTAGATACGGAGTAGGTAGGTAGGACCTTAGGTAGGAAATGTAAATCAATTGCCCTGGAGTACTACTTACTCACCTTCCTTCCTAGGCGTGCTTCCGGATCCAGCTAGTCGGGACTCTTACAGTAGTAGTCACCCTGGCCGGGATTGAAAGTCGGAAGTACGTACAGTAAGGCAGCTAACTATCGCCTAGAATGGGTTGTTGATAATACTATCATATACGTCATTAATATATACCAAAACAGTGCACTCCCCCCTCCTCTCCCCTCCTCTCCTCTCCCCATCCTCAACCTCAACCTCAACCCCCCCCCATGTCTCCGGAAGCAGGCAAGCTAGCCTCATGATTTCGCCATTAGATCCACAAACTCCTGCCACTGTCCCCCAAAACTTGCATAGTAATCCGTGCTCAGGTGAGTGATGAAAATCTCATCTGCTACCTTACGCATTTGCTTCACCAGGTCCCGGAACTGGTGGCCGTCCACACTGTCCGGCACGGAGTGGAGCACCGCGCAGAGCTGACTGCGGGTGCTGTTCGGGATATTCTCAAAGAGCCTAGCCCCCTGGCGCTCCAGGAACGTATCGTAGGTCGCCTCGAACACGACGGTCGAATCAGCCGTCGGCAGGTAGCGAGAATCAGGAATCACGCCGGGGTTATGGACAACCTGGGTTTCTGATTAGCCGTGATCTCAATCGCCCCATACATCATCTGGGAGATCTATCCGGACGATCCAAAAGATAAATCCGGTCCGCCTCGGATAGGAAATAAATAAATGAGAGAAAATCAATCAAGTGGTCGCCAGGGTAATTGGGTGGTGCATGGGCGGAAAAAGCAAACGAAAGGAACCATGCATGCATGGCATCGAAGGGGGAGGAGGGGGGGAGGCGCTGCCGAAAAATTGGTAATCCGGTAAATTACCCGGCGGGACCCCTGGTAATGAAAATACGGGAAACCGAAAACAACAAGCGCAGCACGTACAAAGTGGTCCGGACCCAGGCCCGAGGTCGTCTTCACGAGAGCAGTCAGCTCCTGGAGATATGCCAAGGTACTGTCGTCGTATTGCTGGGGAGTCTCGTCGAAGAATATGCCCCGAACCGCAAGGTCGGGGTTGGAACCGTTGGTCGGCCATGCTGCGTAGGTCTCGATGTCCCGCCGCACCAGCGAGATGTTGCGCTGCGCGTACGTGGTAGCGACATATCCCAGGAGTCGGACATTGCCATATGACGCCAGCTTGGGTATTTCTCGGGTGTAATTGGCGTCAGGCAAGGCGTTGGGCCCAGGGCCACTACCAGGGTTGATCACCACGGTGAAGTTGACGTTCCGATGAGCAGAGACCCTGCGTCGTTCAGCTGTGCCTTCCATAGTACATGAGGGTTACGGGTGTATCAGGCCACGGCACGCCCGGTGGCTGACATAGGGCGTAGGCATGGAGAACCACACAATGTGTGGTTGGAGGGGAGGGGGGGGGTGTGGAGGAGGAGGAGGAAGAGGAGGAGGAGGAGGAGCAAATCGGAACAACATACACCTTTTCCAATGGCTCCCACGCCCCTGGAGCCGGATACACATAGAGAGGCACGAAGACCGAGGCTTTGGGACCCATGGTGGAATTGTTGTGCAAAGTCAACACAACCGCTGGGGGGATCACGATGGCAAGAAGGGCAACAAGTACCAGGGCAACCGCGACAAGTCGAGAGCGCCGGCTGCGCAGACAACGCCGGTCCTCCCTCACGTGTTTGCCTTGCCCCATCCTGATGGGCCTGCGAAGATGTGATTGAAACCGTGCGCGTCGAATAGCGGGCGAACCGGGCTAGCCAGTGGGTTTCTTCTGGCCATAGTGGAGGCGAGCTAGAGCCGGTGCTGGCAGACTAACAATTAAGTAGCCCTCAGCCCTCCAGACAACCCCGGCGCTGGAACTTGGAAACCCCGATAGAGTAGGTTGGAGGGTTGTAGGGAACCAGGCATTCAGTCATTGGCAATTGGCAAATGGCAAATGGCAATTTTGTCAATGAAAGGGTGCCGCGCGCCCAAAATAGAGCGGGGCAGGGTTTCGACCATGCATCAGGTCTCGGATTCTCGGATTAGCTGGGGGAGCAATGCATTTTTTCCCTGGCCTAAAGCGCTTTTTGCTTTCCGCGTCCCAATTGTACATCCTGCAGCTCTGGTGGAGGCGTCCAGCGTTCGTTCCATACGTACCTTACTACTGCCCTGACGAGCTGCCCCCAACGGAGGCAAATCTGCTGGCGAGGAGGGCCCAGTAAGCCTTCTAGGCCCTGTTTTTATCCCAGAGCAACCGCTGACAACATTAGGTCGTTATATTTGCTTTTTCCCTTTATCTTTCCCTCGTTTCTTTTTCCCTTTCCCTTTCCCTAACCCTGGATCCTCTCTTCCTCTCCCTCTTTTTTTTTTTTTTTTTTTTTTTTTTAATCCCTCTTTTATGATTAATATTCCGGGTTTATTTTTTTTTAATTCTTTCTTTCCCGTTGGATTCCCACCTTCAATATATTTTCTTTTTCCTCGTCATCTTCGTTTTACCCTGAGTCTATTCGCTTCGGATGGCCATGGTTCGTTGTAAATAAGCCAAGTCTCGAATCACGATCACGATATCTTCGCCTGACCTAGCCGGCCAGATACGCGGCGACGCCAGTTTGGGGCCGGTCAAGAAACCCAGGACTGCGGTTACATCGGCGAAAAAGTGGTAGTGCCTGTCTCTCGTTTCGAGCAAATATAAGATTTGTGCACTCCTGTTCCTCGGGTATCCCATTCGGAGTCACCTGCAGTCGTTATACCCTTTCGAATAAAGTCCTCCGTTTCCTTGGTCTTGCCGTTGTGCTGGAGCAAAGAACGCTCTTCGTCTGTCTCGCCATCCACTGTGCCTCACACCCTGAAGCTACCAATTATGGAGAGCCCTCGCCAGTCCGATGCCAGCTCGCCCGTGGAGCCTTGTTCCCCCGGTTGCGTGGATACGCCCGCGACGCAATCATCCGTCTTGTTTGATGGCAACCTTGAAGAGTTGCTGCGCAACTTTCCCCTCGATCAGTACATTCTCGTTACAGGGGGTCTTGGGTTCATCGGAAGTCACACAACATTGGAGCTACTTAAGGCCAATTATAATGTAATTGTGATCGACAACCTCAGCAACTCCTTCCAGGGCGTCTTTGACCGCATCAAACAACTGGCGGCCCAGCACCACGAGCAGCAGGGCACATGCATGCCCTCATTGCATCTGCACGCCCATGACTTCCGGGATACTGTGGCTCTGCGGGGCCTGCTCGACCAGTATCAGATCCAGTCCCGATGGGGAACCCCCAAGTCCAAGATTGCCGGCGTCATTCATTTTGCGGCCTATAAGGCCGTCGAGGAGAGCATCCGGAACCCGCTGAAGTACTACGCGAATAATGTTAGTGGTCTGATCGACTTTGCCACCACGCTGGGAGACTTTGGCATCAAGACGTTCATCTTCTCCTCGTCTGCCACCGTGTACGGGACCTTGGCCACGTCGGGTCAGCCCCTGAAGGAAGAGCTCTGTGTCCACAAGGAGGAGGTCTTGAGGGACCAGGATGGACTGGAGAGGGCCGTCAAGCCTGGGTGCACAGGCATTACGAACCCCTATGGGCGCACAAAATGGATCTGCGAAGCGATATTAGCGGACCTGGCGGCCTCCGATCCGGAGTGGACCATTGTAGCTCTACGGTATTTCAACCCTATAGGATGTGACGAGTCCGGACTCTTGGGAGAGGACCCTAGGCAGACGCCGACAAACCTCCTCCCCGTCGTCGTCAAAGTCATGATCGGGCAGTATGAAGAACTGCAGATGTTTGGAACGGACTGGGACACTGAAGACGGCACCGCCGTGCGAGATTTCATCCACGTCACCGATCTCGCGCGTGGACATATTGCTGCACTGAACACCGCCAACGGTGGGAAGTTGGTGGAAAACTTCCGGACCTTTAACCTGGGAACGGGTCGGGGCCACTCCGTGATGGAGGTGGTTAGCACCATGGAGACGGTGTCTTCCAAGCCCATTCCTAGTAAGGCTGCCGGTCGCCGCGCTGGAGACGTTGGCTCTTGTGTCGCCGTGGCCACCAGATCGCACGAGGAACTTGAATGGAAGACTGAAAAGTCCTTGAAGGATGCGTGCGTGAGCCTGTGTAATTTTCTCAATGTCAGTGGCCTGTCATCCTAGGCGTTGTGTGGTATGGTTTTGTTTATCATTTGGCGCCTGGTGGGACCTGTTTTCCCTTCGTGTTTCCTTTCTTTCCATATTTTCTCTGCTGGCTTTTGGATCATCCCCTAATAAGCTCTCCGTTCCCGCTTGTTTCGATATTTCACTTATATCCTTTCTCTTCCTGGTCGCATTTGGAATATTTCGGCCGTCTCGTAACACCCGTGTGCTCTTTGCATGATAGAGTCGAATTCATTCGAGATAAGTTTGCCAATAACGGAGCATGTAAGGAGAGTCATCGTACACCGGGCTCGTGATCGATGACATTGAGGGGTAATCTTATCCGACACATCCCGGCCGCGTCTTTGTAAGAGCCGATTCAGTAGAACCTGCACGACGACGGCTCTTGATTGGGGTTGGCCTCACCTCGAACCATTGTCGCATACTATGGTCAGTCGGTCAAAAGCATTCTGGCAGGCATGAAGTTTGAAGGGCTGGGAAGCTAGTGTCGCCAGGTGGACTTCAACTGATGAGAGAGCAGGATCAGTAGGTGGAGGTGATTGAGGAGAGTAGCAAGAGCCTTGTTAGCTGGAGAGGAAAGAGGGGAGTGCCGGCAGACCGATCGGGAAGGAACGGGTGTGCCGGGACAGGCTTAGTCACGCAGACCGGCATCTCTCTGCAACAAAACCAGAACAAATCCAAATCCAGGATGCCGTTCCTCTGCCTGTTGGACGACGGGGTCTTTATATATATATGCATGGACAGGTAAGCAGACGCCGTCTCCAGGAAAGGCCGTGCTGCTACCTGCGCTCAAAGGCTAAATATATCGCCGAGAGGATGATCATACGGGCATAAACCTCAGAAGCTAGCGCTGATTAGAAGGGTGGAGGGCCAATGGCGTGGTATCTGTCAGACAAGCAATATATCGGGCTGGTGGAGACTTGCGCGGTTTGCTTTATCCCCCTCGCTGCTGCCAGTAGCGTACTTCATCGCCCGAGCACAGGCATCTACCAAGCGCCACCGTTTGAGAAACAGTCTCATGCTCGATGTGGTGGAATGCACAAGCTTTGCGAAATCGAGGTGATAAGGTAGCCGATACTGCAATACTTGTGGGGTTGCGCCGTATTGCATGTAGAGTGCTCCGGCGGCCAACCCTGCTTGCAGGGCGGCAACCAACCAGGACGAAGTCGGGCTCAGCAGCAACGCCAGTGAATGCCGCTCAGAGCCGGGGTTTCTCACGTCTCCAGTACATTTCCAGATCCCGATGACGAGCCATGTGCACCGCATCGGGGATTTGGCGGGCTTGGCCTCGGTTTTGGCTGGTGAACAATACACGCAAGATGGCAGTGCGAATGGGATGGCATCGTTTGGCTGTGGACATCCCGGCAGTAATTGCAGATGCTGATGTGGCTTGCAATGGGAGTACGTAATGGAGTATGTCACATCATGACAATCACGGAGTCGGTTGGTCGGCTGGTTCTCCAATTCTTTGCCGAATTGTACTTTCATTGTTGCTCGCTGACAGGCTCGGGCATTTTTATATTTCGGCGGAGAAACGAGAGCATCAGTCTTGGATGCTGTTTAGCCATTAACAAGGCCGAGTTGGGCGGGAATAAAATCCATTAATAACCCAACTAGAGCATTGGCCTAGTCAGACAAGTATGGTGTGGCATGGGATACAAGCTTTCTGTATGCTCGTGGCAAAATGGGCGAAGAGGGAAGTCGAGACTTGAATGCAACACTCAGGCCAATCAATACATCATGATTATATTTAACAGAAAAGCCCTGCATATTTAGATTCAGATCTTGGAGCCGGAGCCTTTTAGCAGATATAACGGGATCTAGGGGATCAGAAAACCTCTTGCTCTGTGGGCGTGGCCACGAAGGTGTCAGGATTCAATATATTATGCCAAATCACCGAGAATAATTCCCTGAGAGCTGCATAGCACTAGAGAATTGCTTCCATCTGGAGGAGCAGAGAAATTTTGTTTAAAGAGGAGTATGGAAGAGGGGAGACGTTGGAAGATGAAGTTGCGGGCACTTCCCAAAAAGGCAATTTTCAACTATACCCGCTTTGGATGCTCGATCAAATATGTATAATGTCACATGATCAACACTATCATGTGACCCGTGGCCACATGGGTGTTTTGCAAGAAGATGGTCTCAAAATCCCTGGATAAAGGCATTGGGCAGACATTATACCAAAACGCTCAAACATAGCCATTTATACATCAGAAGCTTGATAACGATGAATCCATGAGAGCTTTGGTGTCTCTACCAGGTCGTTCGAGCCTATGGTAAGGTGCGGCAGTGGCGAACAAAAGGTTGTCTACCTGATACATGAGGGAGGATTTCATGTGCTGAGGTCTGATCTGAGGTAGTTCACACTTCCTAAAGGGGTAATTATCGACTATCACCAGTTTGAACGCTCGATCGAAAACCCTTTCTGAGAGCGTTTTTGGCAAGTCACACGATGGAACTTCTGAGATTGAGCATGAGAGGCCAAATGTTAAACATCCACCCTGAACTGTATTCTCCAGGGTGTCTATTTAGATGCCACATAACTAGGCATGCATCCCTCTTTTGAACACTCGCGTAAAATCATATCTCTGGAGTGTTTATTAAAGTGTGATGTAACAAGAGTACCAATACCATGCGGCCGTAGCCAGTTGAAACTCCCGAAGGTTCTCTGGAGAGACTTTGGACAACATTATTAAATGAAGCCGAATATACTTCCTAGAAAGGAAAATAATGCCCATCCACAGTTTGAACGCTGGATGAGTTTATTTTTTTGGATGTGTTCTTGTGAGATCACATGACCTTTACTTCCAGACCAGGACATGGCCGGCCCTTGCGGGCGTAATGGTAGTCGATCAAGGGATCTGAACTTCCAAATACGGTCTCAAGACACAAATTACCATGTATGAAGTCATCCCCTTTCCTTTATTTAGAATATACCGAGGTTTGAGGGGTTGAGGCTCGATCAATTCGGACTTTTGATTCAGTTCAACTAGAATCACGTGACTCCGACCTCCGGCTTGGCATCAAATTCACGCCGCAGTTTTCTCGAACAAGTGCTCCGCGTCGGCCACCTTACTCTCGTATCCCACACTACGTTCAATTGACAGCGAGCTGTGACCGAACCACGAGCGTCGAGCAGATTTAACTTATTCATCCCCATTCTGAGCTCAAGAAACCAGATAATCCACGCCATAATGATCTGCCAACGGTGCCGAACCGGCATTGTCTCCCGGCTACAGCAGCAGCACACCATCACGCTGTCTGCCTCATCGTACGCGCGCCAGCTTCCGATCCAGCGCAGCCAGTTCCGCAACTACAGCGATGGAAAGCCTACAGTATCAGCCACACCGCCGCCGCCTACTCCCCGACAGCCTCTTGTGGGCGATATCACGGTCCCGTCCGCAGTGTCCTCCGCGACCCCTGGTGTGTCGCAACCATTGAGCACCCCAGAAGGTGTTCATGTTGATGTCAACCCTGGAAAGCCCACAAAGACAGCCACCGAACGCGCTCCGAGCAAGCTCACCGCCGGTACAAAGATGAACGGGCTCAACTACTTCAAGAACAAGCCTGAGGTCCTCGCCCTGGAGGACTCGGAGTATCCAGAGTGGTTGTGGTCATTGTTGGACGATACCAAGGGCAAGACTGAGAGGGGCGGAGTTGATCCGAACAGTATGGAACCACATCCTCCCGGAGTTTCACGGTCGAGTTTGGCGCGCTAACTGATACTCGCTTATTTAGCCCTGAACAAGAAGCAACGCAAGCGTTACGACAAGAAGATGGCCGCTCGTGCTGCTACCCTCCCTCCCATGATCCCGGTTCATCATCACGCTACCGACATCACACCTGCCTCGTACAACCGCACCGAGGCAGCGCCCGAAGACCCCCTCCAGGCTGCCTCCGAAAGTATCGAGAAGCGCACCGAGATCACGAGAAGTGCCAGAAAGGAGCGGAGGAAGGCCATCCGCGAGGACAACTTCCTGCGCGGTCTCTAGATTATTTTCCTGGTCTTCTGCGATCCGCCTTCTTGGGGGGCGTTCTCGCTGGGTGGTGTCTCGACAAGCTGGCAATGTACAATGGTGTTGGCTGACCTAGTGTAGAAATTCCTTGGGATATGTTCAATGTATTTTATGCGACTTGTACTCATATTATTTCATCAGATGAGGCGCTGAATGGGCTCTTTTATCTTTCATCTGACCATATGTTTCTGGCTACATTGGAACTTCTTTCTTGAACAAGTGGTTTATGGGATACGCTGGGATAGCCAAGGGTTGACTTCGGTTTTGATGTAGTGGTCTTTTATTGGAAGGACTACTCCCAATGTTTGTGTCTGCAATATGCCTTGATGCGCGAACCTGCGATTGTGTTTTCCACCCGACCGTGAGCCCATAGGGACGGGTGTTGCCATTTTCAGTCGCAGTTGTTCCTAGGATACGATCGAGGACTGGGCTGGAAGCTCTAACAAACAAAGAGCTTTGGCTATCCGAAGAACCGAATCTGTTCTTCCTACCCGCTGTTCACCATCTCGAGTATTTAGATTCCGCCCGTCTCCATCGCAGCTTCTGTCCGGGGGCATGGGACCCCTTCTGGGTTGTGCTAGAGGAACGCCTCGAGATTTGAGTAGATGCCTGTAGTTCCGGAGCGTCTCAGTATCGATAGCATGGATGGGTGGTTGGCGGAGAAAGCGAGAGATTATCGGCTTGGTGTCGAGAAACGGAATGAGAGTAACCAAATGAACGAACGGGAAGGGTTGACCATGGTCGGCCTGTCGACCATCTAGCACCCATCTGTGTGGTGCGGGGGGGATTGATCTCTCAGCCAGCGGCTCAACCAGATCTGATCTGGTCCAGGTCTCGGTCGGAAAACGAAGCAGCGGCAGCAACAGCCACCACGTTCAGGAACGCGCCTTCCCGATGACATCACTGTTTTTGGGGCTGGAGAACAGCTTCAAGCCGGCGACGGAACTATTAGGAAGACCTCCTTCACCTCACCTCACCGCTACCCACTTTCTCATCAGTCCGGATGGATCTCGAATCAACTGCCTACTTCTGCGTCCTGGGTGTCGCCGTCAGCGAGGGAAGGCCAGCAGCGTGCGTGTGAGTTTGGATGGATCGAGGAACTGCCCCGCAGTGGAATTCCCTCTCTCCATCGCCCGATCTCGTCTGCTGCGGATCTCGCATCATCGGATGCCTACTTTTAGCAACAGATATGGATCCCAGCTGGGAAGTCCGGTTACCATGGCCAGGCGAAGGATGATCAGGAGCATCCACTGAGGGAGCAGATGATGTAGTCACCGCCACAAAGCAAAGCCTTGTCCGGCCAGCGTCCAGAAACTCCACGCGGAGTGGAGCAGGGGAAAACTCAGCGGACAACGAAACAACAGCCCGACTTTCGACCGGCGCATCTGTCGAGTCCATGAGTGTCATCAAACCTGCTCTTGATCCTTGACCTCAGTCTCTCTTGCATCCCCTTTCTGTGCTTGTTGCGTCTCGCATGCCGTGTAGAACAAGCGCACTCTACGTTTCTCCATTCTCCAGCCTGAAACGTGTGGCCACCACAGCCGTCGATCATCCAAGCCCCTCCGTGTCAACTCCCTTCGGCCGTCGTCTTGACACCTGGTCCAAGGCGTGCATGCCTGCTACCCACTGTGCTTAAGAGTCACAAATTTTCAGGATTTTCTTCTCTCGTTCTAGCTGGCAGGTGGCTATCGTGGAACAATGGACAAGCTCACTACCCAGACTAGTCGCATGACCGTCGACTCCACCAACTCCGATGCGCCCAACACAGAACTTCCCTTTTCACCGTCGTTTCTCTCCTACTTCGACAAAATCTACGCCTCTTTGACGGCTCTGACTCAACATGATTTCCTCAAAGACGTTCAGCGTGAAGGTGGTCAGGGAAAATCCGATCCTCTGGCCACTTTGGCGGAGCTTTATGAGTATATGGCTAGCCCGGAGGCTGCTGCCATGCGACCAGCCAGTTCACTAGACCTTTCGGCGCCTATCACGGACTATTTTGTCTCCACGAGTCACAACACGTACCTGACCGGGAATCAGCTGTACAGTGATGCGGAGGCTAGCTCTTACACCAATGTAGGCTCCACCCCTTATATCCCTCACTCTGTACCACAAACATTACCCGGGGTGCCCAAGTGCATTGCAGCGCTGGTGCGTGATTATATCACTACATGGGCATGTTTATCTGCGAATACATGCAGTTAAGGGCAGGAGAAAGTTTAATAAGAGAGAGAGTGTGTGTGTGTCGGCTGAGGGATGAATAGAGGCATTCCACTGCATGCGCAACACCGACGGTGTTCGAGTGCTGCTGCACCACAATTCATGTCTACTTCTCAAGAAACCTGCATAACGGTGGCTAATCATCTCAGGTCCTACTAAGCGGCTGCAGATCCGTTGAAATAGATGTTTGGGATGGAAAAGGAGAGTCAGAAGACGATGACGTGCACAGTAGCAACAGCGACTCGGAGTCTGAAGAAGAGAAGACTGGGTCCGTCAAACCCCGTCGCAGGTCAAAAACAGAAAGATTAAAGAGCGCAACCTCAGGCCATCCGCGACTACATGCCATCTCCGAGGAGTTTGGAAAGCTGGAAGGCTTCCTGGGCCACCACAAGCCGTCGATTGGTAGCGGGAGCTCGGGCAAGAGTGCTGGACGCCCAGAACCTAGGGTGCTTCATGGCCACACGCTCACGAGAGAGACGAGCTTTCGCGAAGTATGCTATGCAATCCGTGACAGTGCTTTTGTTACAAATGATCTTCCGGTGATTGTCAGCTTGGAGGTTCATGCGTGTCTGGAGCAGCAGCAAACCATGGTGGATATCATGGAAGAGGCATGGGCTGGGATGTTAATTCAAGTGACCCCCGAAATTGAAGCCCGGGTAATACCCCCACCTCTAGAAGATTTAAAGCGGAAAATCTTGATCAAAGTAAAACACGTGGACTCCGCGGATGAAGACGATGATCGAGAGGCTAAGGAGAAGGCCATGTACTCGGAGCATATGCAAGCCCTGAAGCAGGACCGAAGCCCGACAAACTCGGTCGATCTGGCTAATTCCACCGCCTCCCCGCCTCCCCGCAAGCACTCGAAGATCTCACAGGCACTCAGCAAGATGGCCATTTTCACAAAAGGATTTCATTTCCATGATTTTGCATCGCCAGGTACGTTCTAAAGGCGAATCAATTATATGGGACTGCATTACTCACTGCACTGCAACAGAGGCCAAAGTCCCCAGTCATGTGTTCTCTCTGTCGGAGAGCGCAGTCCGAGAAGCCCACGCAAAGGACCGGGAGGCCCTATTCGAGCACAACCGGCATTTCTTTATGCGTGTGTATCCAGCCGGCATGCGGGTCAACTCCTCCAATATGGACCCCAGTTTCTTCTGGCGACGGGGCGCACAGATGGTGGCCCTGAACTGGCAAAGCCTCGACAAGGGAATGATGCTTAACCGAGGCATGTTTGCGGGCGGGCTAGGCTGGGTGCTGAAGCCGCCTGGCTACCGAGGTGCCGATACGGAGGTCATGGCCCCTACTCTTCGACAACTCGATCTAACTATTGAAATCCTCGCCGGCCAGAACATCCCACTGCCTGCTGGCCACAACAATGAGCAGCGATTCCATCCCTACGTGACTTGTCTTCTGCATGTGGAGACGCCGGATGACGAGCCTGCAGCAGCAGATGAGGACTCGGAGTCTGAAAAGTCTGGCTACAAGCACACCACGCAGAGTGCGCATGGGGCCAGTCCAGATTTCGGCGAGCAAAAGCTTCAGTTCCCGACAGTATCTGGAATTATCGATGAGCTGACCTTCGTCCGGTTTGTACCCCTTTCCAACCGTACCAGTCGTCTCGGCTAATACTGGGCAGGTTTAAAATCAAGGACAACGAGTTCTTACGTGATGCGCTGGCCGCATGGGCGTGCATTCGATTGGACCGACTCCGCGAGGGCTACCGACTCATCCGCCTGTATGACCACTCCGGGTTGGAAACCGAGGGTACTCTGCTAGTACGTATCACAAAGGCCTATGTCTAAGAGGGTCTTGATGACCTCAGTTCGCTTGTCCTGTTTCTACATGGGCCAAGTAGGCATGAACAATTCCATTATTTGAATCTATTGAGCGGGCTGGTGAAATTCGAAAGTATAGAACGGGGCTGTCATGTCCAAAGACCGTGTATTCCTGCGTTGCTGTTATTTACAATTCAAGCCTGCCGTGAAATTTGTTCCCACGCAATTTCATCAAGAGCATGGAAGACCCTTCGTATCGTATTGCAAAAGGGTCAGATGGTGGTAACTCATTTCTGATGTCAATACATCGTAGGCCGAGTAAATAGTCACTGGAATTCAATAGATAATAGCCGTATACAAGACGAGTGGTCAACCCTCCAAACATCAGCCTCAACTACCTTGGAGAAATTGGAATGAAAGACGGAGAAAAAGAGAATCAATACGCAGCAGAACCAACCATCCTTTCATCCGCCACAACCAACAGGGCAATGTATAGTGGCTAGCTCATACCAGAAGCCCTTCCTTCTCCTATACTAATCACACCATGACGTCAACCCATCCTCGTCCCGTCAAGTCCCAACCAGGAAACCGCAACCGCGCGGTTGCGCTTCCCGGATTGGGCGCCATTTCCTCATCTATCTATCTATGTACCTGCCAGGCCAGCAGCTTAAAACCCCGTAAACACACCCCCCCCCCCCCCCCCTCCCCTCTTGGAAGGGTTACTGATTGATCCATCTGGGAATTTACGTTCTACCAACGTCCATATAGATGACAGGACTGAGGCGAGGAAGCTGGAACTTCTGCGCCATTATAGGTACCGAATTGCGCCTTGGGTGAGTCCAACGCTTTCTCAGCAAGAATCCTGGAGGTTTAATTGGTCTTTCTACAGGCTTGATATCTGTGACCTGAGCCATCCGGTTGGGATAACTGCTGTACAGATGGTATTGGGTTCTGAGCCGCCGATGACAGCTCTGCTCAGGCTTTCCGAGATATTCAAGACCCATAAGGTCTCTGAATATCGAACGAACTTCGGCTCTGTAGGGTCCTGGAGTGTTCCCCGGCGACAGTTGCTCTATTTCCTATTTGATAGCACCGAGCTAGCTCTGCTATCAACATTACAAGAACTGGAATATATGCTCTCTGGTATCCCGCGGGCTTGGAAAGCGATGCACAATCATGATATCAGAGACTTAGAGCCCCTGGTTCACCAAGCATTGCATTTCGATATTGGATCATCCATATACTGGATGATTCTCCGCTTAGGTTTGTGCTCAAGAGAACACCATTGTGTGCACTTATGCCATAGATCTGGGCGTGGTACTGGCCAACGACATTGCCATCTAGGTTCAACTACCCGTGGGGCATATTCCCAACTTAGCACAACTATCATGCACAGAAGGTACCTGAGACAGGATCCTAACATGCGCTCATATACTTCTTTGCCTGTGCGGGAGATCCCTGAGAGTGTATCATCGTCAGACACACCCCGAGAGCCTTGAAGCTCCTCATCATCCACCAAATGACTGTATGCAGGTCTTGCAGGAACTTGACGAGTGGTACCGTCTGCGACCACAAGAGTTCCAGCCATTAGTGGACACGACTGACGATGACAAGCTTCCACGGACGGGGAGCGGCTTCCCGATGTTGTTATTTGCGAATGGGGCAGGTACGTCCTGCAACCAGCTATGTCACACAGCCATGATGTTACTGCTCGAGTGTAAGCCACGTCGCGCACTTCTCAACCTCGAAGCATTAGCCCTTTCCCCTTTGTGGCATTCTCGTCGTGTCTATGGTATTGCGCTGAATAATAAGGGTCGGAACCGCTGGGACCCCTGTCCCCTTGCCTCATTGCTTATGGCTGCAAGGGGCATGACGCATGATTCCCAAAAACATGAAATATTGGAGGGATTTGAGCACATCCGTACGATCACTGGCTGGAGCCTAGGCGAGTATCTAACACAGCTACATGAGGACTGGTCTTTCCTCAACGGCTTGTGAGATGTGTGGAAGCAAGGCCAACAGGTTATCACTTCCTGTTAGTGTCATCTACTGTTCGCTCCAGAGCAACCCCAGGCAACATCCAGATCACGGATGCGCCAGGATGCCCCCCAGCCGGTCTAGACCTCAAAACTCTGTATTAGTTTGATGATTTCTTCATGTTCCGCTTTGTGACTGAACAGCTGGCCCGCAATCCAGAGGGGCTGTATAGAATTGCTCAAGCACCCTCGGTGCGACTTTGCTAGCGAGATCCCCCATGTCCGACGTGCATGCCATAGAGGAGACAGAGCTGGCGATCGCGGGAACCTTAAGCTTTTCGGTATCATTTTCAATAGCAAGATACACGCGGTGTGGTACAGTTGGTACGAAGAAATAGCGGCCCAGTGGACAAATAAAATATGCGGGAATGGTTCACAATTTACTGTCTGCACTGGAATCAGCTCACTGGGCCGCTCCGACAACTAGCATTGCAGGCCAGTCCAAAGACTAACTCAGCGGGCGCAGAATCTGTCGGTGGTGCATCCATTCTCTTCACCCAGCTCGAGGGACTTTGTTCGATCCGGAAACAAGTTCTGTCGCTTTAACGCAAAGATAAACAGCGTAATTGAGTGGTATGCATCCTCTGCCTAACAACCGGGGGAAGCCATTTGGATGGATGCAGCAGAGTGGTCTGTGTGCCATCGGATATAAGTGCACCACCACAATGATCTGCCATTGACATCAATATATGTACCCACGTTAGAAGAAGATGGGCTGCCATTGGGGCGAGGACTCACCCATCCTGGCATAACACCAGAAAACAGCTTGTAGTAAGCCCTTGCTGAAGCCGTGAATCCCAGACGCGTCAAGCAAAGCCGCGCATCCCTCTAGATGGGGACGCCTGTCTTGTGCTCGCGCCGACATCATCTCTAAGCAACAGAGGAGCACGCGGGCAGCGACAATCTTGGGATCGCGCAAGTGAAGAAGCGGACCCAACCGTCGAATCGCCTCCTGGTATAGTTCGAGGCCGTCAAACCAGTTCCGAATGCCTTTCTTCCGTTCGATCTGCCGCGCCGAGATGGCAAGTATGGCATACGAGAGCGGAGGGAAGGTTCGAGCCAGCGCGGGGACTTTCTGACGCAAGGTGCATTGAGAGTCAAACATTCGAGCTAGTAATAGCGATCGTTGTGCCTTCCCATCAGCCCAATTGAACTTTATTGGCATGCTGAATCGAGACACATAAGTACCCAAGGCGCTATCTCCGCCACGTACTAGTTCTTCAAATCCGCAATGTGCGTCCTGCTGGACAAAAGTGGCTGCAGGTGTTCGCCTCTTTGCTCTGGTCGGTAAGACTTCAATTGCCGAGCTTGCTCCGACCCTTCCTCTTCTCGAACAGTGTCCGGGCTCGAGACTCGCGTCGGAGCCGCCGAGTTTGCTAGAGATAAGATGACGCATCGCAATTCTTCCTGCGAAGCAAGGTACCCCGGATCCTGCGAGAAGCCATCTTGGGTCCAGCTACCCGTCGCGGGAGAGTGAAAGGGACCGCCATCGCCGCCCGATTTGGGAGAGGTGTAATTGTTGTGCTCGTTCAGGTCGACTGAATGGCAAGGATCGGGCTGCAAAGGGGGCCAGCCTGGCGGGTCGGATCTGGGATGCGTAGGCGTTGGCAGCACATGCTCTTCGAGGGAACTGAGGGAGAGTCGCTGGCGTTTCTGTGGGGGGATGGGGGGGGGGGGGGGGGGGGAACTCGATGGGATCCATTCATGAACAACGGCGGGAAGGACCAAGTCGGAGCCACGGAGGGTGCCTGGCAGCCTGGGGCACTCGGTGGTGCGTGCCTTCCTTGGTGGGGCTCTTTCTCTCTCCTCTCCTCTCCTCTCTCCTCTTTCCTCTTTCCCTCCTTTCACTTCTTACAACTCCTTCCCACCCCACACCTTGGGGCTGCTTCTCCAAACTCGGTGTTTCATCCCGCTCTACCTATACATCTTCACGACCAGACTGATTCCAAGGGTCAATGGATGCTACGGTCTCGCGAAGGCCCTCTCCAAGCTACCTCGCAGCGCCTCATTGGCCTCGATGCTAGAGACCCGGTCCCCGGACATTTGCCTCCCCAAACAAATTAGAGCCCAGAGCTCAACGACATCAAGAAAAGGGACCAGATCCAGCCACTATGTGACCCTACAAGCCCCAATCCCAAAAGAAAGGCCAAGAGGTACAGGGAAGGGAGCCGCCGCAGCAATGGCCGTGCTGATCCCCCAGACGGAGTGAGCCGCAGTGCGGGGTCGCGCGGCAATAATCAATGGCAATCGGTGACTCGACTTGCCGCTTTGGGACATATCCGCGAGGGTAACGAGGAACAGCCCTGCGACCACCCGTCTCCCAAGAAATGTATGACGATGCTCTCTCGCCTCCATGTCGCCGGATTGGACCATCTCAGCTCGACTGTCGTGATACCACCTCCCGTTCAACCCGATCTCGAACCGGCTCCGACGGGGTTTGTCCGTTCACCCCCCCCCCCGCAATCGGTGTCTCATCCCTACTATATATCTGCACATCTCCTCCACGATATCGTCATTATGGCTATGGACAGCTGTGTGAGAGCGAAAGAACAGCGTCAGACACAACAAAAAGCGCGATACAATGGTGAAGGTGGACATGTTCGGGACGGGTTTCGTCCTCCAAGCAGCCATATGGGCCGCCTGCGGGATGGCCTTTATCCTCTTCGGTCAGTCTCAATCCCCTCCTGACTCACGCGGAAAGTTCCTCAAGCGCATTCGCTGACTTGCCAAACAAGGTTATGACCAAGGCGTCTTCTCTGGCATCGTGGAGAACGACGACTTCCTCGATACCATGAACCACCCCAATGACAGCCTGGAAGGCATCATCGTCTCAATCTACAACCTGGGATGTTTCTTCGGCTGCATCATTAACTTCTTACTAGGAGACTGGCTGGGAAGACGCCGGGCCATGTGGTTTGCCATGATCTGGGTCATTGTGAGTGTCTGTCCGAGTAATGTATCAGAACCGAGCTCAAGCTAAGAACCAACCCGTTGATGCAGATCGGAGCAACCCTGCAATGCTCCGCATTCTCGGTGCCGCATCTTATGATCGGTCGGTTTGTCACGGGCATTGGTACGGGAATTGAAACGTCCACCGTGCCCATGTACCAGGCCGAATTGTGCGAGGCCAGTAAGCGGGGGCGACTCGTATGCAGTGAACCCTTGTTAGTCGGCGTGGGGATCGTCATCAGGTATGTACCAAGCTTGCTTTTTATTGGTACTATCGCTCCTCGCATTTACTAATGCATGATAGCTACTTCTTCGACTACGGTATGAGCTTCGTGGGAGGCCAGATTGCCTGGAGACTGCCAATTGCCTGCCAGATGGTCTTTGCGTTTGTAAGCATCTTGCACCCGTTTTGGCCGTCTGGTGGTTTCTAACTTTATTCAAGGTGGTCATTGTTCTTGTTTTTGGTCTACCAGAGTCGCCCCGGTACTGCTACAAGGAAGGCCGCAACGACGAGGCACTACAGATCCTCAGTGATGTCTACGGACGACCAAAAGATGATCACAAGATTCTGGCGGAGCAGGAGGAAATCCTCGAGGCCATTGCCGTCGAGACTAAACATGGAGGGTACAAGTGGAGGTACATTCTTTTCTCCATCTACGCCGCTCAGAGCCGGCTGACTGACTGTGTCAGGAATATCCTCAAGGGTGACGAAGTCTCAACAGGCCACAGGGTGTAAGAAGAGGCTCCCCACAGTTCATCCCTCCTCTCTAACAGGGTATAGTCTTCTCGCGTACGGAATGCAATTTATGAACCAAGTCGGAGGTATAAATCTAGTCGTGTATGCTGAACTGGTCACCTACCTTCATAAGAGAAATGTGTTGCTGACCCACCCAGATACTACATCCCTACTGTGCTCACCAACAACGTCGGCCTTAGCAAGAATCTCTCCATGATTCTTGGCGGATGCGTACAGGTTATGTTTGTAGTGGGCAGTATATTTCCTACCTTCTTTGTCGATCGAGTCGGTCGCAGAGCTCCCATGATCTGGGGTTCGTTCGGCTTAGGCATTTGCATGATGATGGTGTCCATCCTGCTCAGCTTCAAGGGTCATGAGAATGAGCACGTCACGTCCTCTGCCGCCGTCGCATTCTTCTTCCTCTACATGCTCATCTTCGGCGCATCGGTCAACTGCATCCCCTGGTGCTATGTTCCAGAGATCTTACCTCTTCATGCCCGCACCAAGGGAACGGCCGTGGGCATTTCGTCCAACTGGATCTGGGTAAGTACCTCTCACATCTGAAGCGTACCGGGTCCCTTTTACTGATAAGAGGGAAAGAACTTCTTCGTCGTGATGATCACTCCTGTGATCATCAACCGCCTCCAGTGGAAAGCCTACCTCATCTTCATGTGCACGAACTTAGCCTTCGTGCCATTAGTCTACTTCTGTTATCCTGAAACGGCGAATATGACGCTCGAGGAGATCGACTATCTGTTCACCAACCCAGGAAGGGGTGCCGTGCAAAACTCGAAGGAGCTGGTCAAGGAAAGGAAGCAACACGGCCATGTTCCTGGCCAGCGAATTGCCGTCACACGTGCCGGTGGGGCTGTCCAGAGCGATTTTGAAAAGAAGGAGATCGGTGCCATCTCTAACATTTCCGAGGGGCAAGTCGAGCAAGTCGAGCAAGTCTAGTATTGGCGATAGCTAAAAAAAGGGGGGTGAGTATTTTAGGCGCTTGTGCTTGTTTGTTTGTATGGTGAAACGTTGGCAGCTGTATGGCGTCTGCATCTCGGAGAGCTAAGGCCAGTGTGAGTGCTGTGCTGGCCATAGCGCTTTCAAACAGAATAATGTCACATCGCTGGGATTAGGAGTCGCTTCATGACATGGTTATCAAAATCAATATGCCACTGCCGGATAGGAAATCCAACCAACCAACCAACATGATCGTCATTCTGTCATCCATGGTCCAAGTGCATGGGCGGTCGCCAATTAGGGGGTAAGCCCAAATGGTGCTAATGCCGCTCTTAAGTATAAAGGCTGAGAATATACCCTTGGCTTTGCCATCAAGGTGCCGACCAGGAACGGAGGAGCATGGTTTTAGATTGTAGCCTACCAGTGCGAGAAATAGCCCGATGATCTGTAGGCTCAATTAGGATGATGTATACGGAGTACAGAGTACATCATGCAGGACAGAGCGTGGCGAGCTGGCGCTGGTTTGCGACTGCCCGAGCTATGCAAGTAGTGGTGGTGTATACCATGCCCGAGTCCCCACCGCTACGGTCATGTAAGTAAGTGCATTCTGATGACATGAACTAGTCAGTTGATGCCGCTTACTCAATATGCAAGATGCAATGCTCATGCGGCTATCAATCTCAAGACCAGACCGTCCATGGTCAACATGGAGGACCGAGGTCGTAGGTAGGTAAGTGGGTATGTGCGGAGCAAACCTTTCTGAGAAATAATGCACCAGTCAACATTGTTCTCACCGTGGGAAAAATTGCGGTGTGGAGCTTCCAGCCCCCCTCGAACACGGCCTGTCTTGGCCCGGCTGAGCAATTGGGTTGAATTGCTGGAATGATGGCGCGGCAAGATATATCAACGTTGACCAATCTGAACCGCGATTGATCAATCTCCGCGAGGAAGGAAGCAAGCAAACAGGAAGAGGGGAAATGAGGGCAAAGGGCGGGGGGTGGGGGGTGGCGATGGGGGGTGGAGCCTGTCGATGAGGACAGACGACAGACCGCAGAGTTGTGCTGCAAATGGTAGATGGAATTCGACCCTAGATGGAACTGGCAGTCTGGCACAAAGCGCCATCGCTGTCTGACAGGAGCGGGTCCCGCCCCGGAGGTGACAGGTCACATTCGATGAATATCAATCTGCTTTGAGGGGCTCCTGGGCTAGCGTGGTCGCGCTGCGCTAGTCTTTGTGCCGACCAATTCGAAGAAGCGGGTAGAGGAAATAGGAGCGCCGTCACCCGGAATTCTCCTGGACCGACTCTCGCTGGATGAAGTGGCATCCTGCTAGCTAGTGCAAGTTGCAGGCCGTACTCCGTAGGCAGCGGTCGAAAACAAGGTCGAGCAAGAGACAAACAGCGAAGAATAACCTCAACCAATGAGCACCTGTCGTTCTATGGGGCGCATTAATTGAAATGGATCGAACTTCAGCCCAACAAGCGAGGGTGGGCTCCACAGCCCATGTATCCATTTCCACACAAACCCCATCACATTAGTTGCGCATCCCCGACCATGCATCGCTCAGAGTTCACTGGCCAAGATATGAGTGATAGACTGATCAACGTCGGCGGGGGTTTCGATAAATCCCCCGAACCGTGATAAGGTTCAGCTTCACCTGTCCAACAGTCAGCCTGGAGACCGCGTCCAAGTTTGCGTCGGGCCTTGGGCGCACCCACCGGCAGGAGAAGTTGTGTATAAAACAAAAGCAAAACTGGCCAAAAAGCAAGCGGGCAAACCTAAGGATCAGAAGAAGAATGCCGCATGTTGAAATCCAGGGAGCCTCGCACGTTGCATTCGCGGCACTGGTGCAGCTAGCAAACCAACCAACACCAAAGCATTGACATAGATCTGTGCAGAACTCAGGGTCCCAACATCGACAATATCGTACGTGGATTTAACATCGACTGATCCAGCCCGATCATTGGCTCATCTATGCGCGTTCCCTTTCCCTAGCACTCGGGGCGACAGTAGATAGCGGGGGCTGAAGGATGCCGAACAGTAGCGAGCAAACACAGCTCCATCAACTGGATGCAGTAGCCTTGAGATGCCCCCTTCCAGACTGTCGGCATCCCCTCACAGGACGGAGTTCCCAAAAAGAGGCGCACGGAGTAGCTTCTGAACTGTATGGGGGTGGCAGAGTTGCATGGCCTGGCCTGGCACCTTGGGTGGGTCCCGGTGTCACAGATCAGATCTCAACCAAGTAGATTCCTTGACTGGTAAAGGCCCAGGGTAGCCCACCTGGGAGGGCTGGATTGGGGATTGGCTCCCTGCAATTGAAGGCTCCCCCCATTTTGCGGTAAAGCTTTTCTTTGAGCAATAAACAGGCTTCCATCTCAGACCTCACTTATTCGCCTGTGATATTGCATGGTGAAATGCAGCCGGTAAACGCCGTGATTGTACATACCGAGTACGGCGCACTCCATATGGGGCGACGGGCTACAGCCGGCGCTAGTCTGTGCTCGCATCAGCACCATTTTAGATTAAGTGTGACCTATATATCGTTAGCATCATATGGTGAAATGCCAGAGCTGATCACTGTTGCGGCAGCCCCCCAAACACTGGAGGCAGCGGTGAGGTAGAGAGATTTTGTCATCCCAGCGTTCAAGACCGGTCACATACATATGATCTCTCCTTGGGCGACAGAAAGAGCCCGATTACCGAGTCCCCTTACCTGCATAAACGGTTTCTTCTATGCGTCGCTTCTCCTGCGGCCTTTCCAGGGATGTGATGCTGAGGTGCTTTCTCCGACACTCCCCCTTTTTTTATCCACCCCCCTCTTCTATTTTGGTCGTTCCTTTATCACATTGCAGCTCTGGTAGCATACGTCGTCCACTATCACAAGCCTAGACATAATTGGGTTAGCTGAACACGTATCTATCACACGGAAATTCGAAAGCTGAAACTCACCCTCTAGCTGGGACCCCGAATGCAAGTCATCGAGGCGGGAAGATCCGAGTCATCCGAAATAAATTCTGCGCCGACATGACATGTTGGCTAACCAGGGTCCATGTTCGATTGACCTTTGGATGCATTGAGTCGGGTGGTCGTGTCTCCAGTAGACCGGTCCAAGCTAAGATGAAGATCTCCCAATTGTAACATAGGTCTCCGTCATAAGTGATACAAACAACCACTCCCGGGCTATATATAGATGGAGAGCTCGGGACCGAAGAGATTAAGTTCATCGATCGAAAAAGGCGTGCACCGGACAAGTCGAAAGTCTGTTGATGTCCAAAGTCTCATAAGCCTTGGACCACCATTAAATTTCCCTTTCTCCTTCGAGGACGACTCACCCAGCTCGAAGCTACCCTTCCATCCTCCATCCAGTGAAGCCCAGTGTTGACTTTAGTGTCGTGTTTTCATCATGCCTGTGAGTTCCTGCCGCTGTGAATACCATCGCGACCGTTACTGATGAGAGACCCTCGTGTGCCAGATGCCAGGAATCAAGTGTCCCAAATGCGCCGCCCAAGGCGAGGAGGTCTGGGTCATCCCCGGCAAGAACTGCCACAAGTGCGGCACTGCCGTCGGTTGATCTGAGTACCCAGTGAGTTGGGATCCACCACGATCATTCCCGTCGGAAATCACTGCTAACGACCTCTATCAGCCGGCCTGAAACTCTTCATCACCTCCCAGGAGAGAATACCCAACTCCTGGGAACGGGGAAAGACCAGGCGCTCTTCACTTATCCTACCTGGATTGTGTCGAGCCTGGCTGCCATTCTTCCCCTGCACACGCCATTTTCATCTGGAGGGCTGGTCGATGGCAGGATCGACAGGGAGAAGTGGAAGCGACATCCTAAGCCTTCCGGAGGAGAGCTCCTTGGTAGTTGGTTGGGGTCTACCGTGGAGTTGGAGGAAGAGGAGAGATCATCGTGTACAATAGGGAATAGGGGGAAATAGATTAGAGGCGAGGAATTCAATGAGGATCCGGACGAGTGAAAAGTGTCAACAAGCGCCACCACGAGAAGGAGCGACGCGCTCCTTCGTTCGTCGCTCCTTCCTGTATAGGACCCGTCGATTTGCTGCCTGAGGCCGGAGGGGCAGCCCGGCTGGCCTTGAAGCCTCAGGCCACCAGCCGTCCCCTGTGGTGATTTCTTCTGCCCTCAATTAACTAACCATCCATCGGCTGCCAACCGCCAAACCCCGAGCGACTCCGATCAGCCCCTTACAGCCCTTCGAGCGCAAGTCGAAATTGTACCAGGGTCCACACTCCACGGTGCTGCCTGTGCTGCTTAGGGGCATCCTAGACTCAGCTCCTGTCTTCCCGATCCCGGGGCTATAATGCACCAGCTAAGAATAACATAGCAAGGGGAACAGCAAGCTAGTAGAGTAGATACGAGGAGCCCCAGCACAGATGTCAAAAAAAAAATAAAATAAAATAAATCCCATACATAGATGCATGGTGGTATCTTTTCTGGATACTAGTAAGAAGCTGATAGACCACAAAACCACCCAAAGCTAGGCCCGTCATACTTTTTGTTCATGTCCCCGACGCCAACAAACGCCCGGATGCCGCATTAATCAAAGCCTTTCATGTGTAACAGTGTACTCCACGTTCTTCTTGATTATCATCTTCGTGCTCTCCGTACTGGCCACACTATCCCTGTCCGTCCGGCTTCCCCCGTCGTACGCAGTCGCGGTGGCCAAGCCCCCCGAGAGATCAGGGACAAATGTCGCCTGCGAGGGCTGCGACCGACGGTTTCCGTAACGTGCCTCCTCCGCGTTCTCGATCGACTGCAGCGCGTAGCTTTGCGACTGTTTCGAGCGATCCTTGGCGTATTTCGCGGATCTGGAGTTCGCACTGCTCGTTCCCAGTGTGACCTCTCCCGCGTTTCCATATGTGACACTGATGGCGCGCATGAACGGTGCGAGACAGAAGGCGGTGCAGACTATGAGGGCGTAGTTCATCTCCATCTGGGTCCAGACGTAGCCGTCGATGATGTCGAGGGTCGGATTCTGAGAGTAGGCGTAGAGGCTCAGGTGATACAGATGTAGGGAGGCAAAGGCAATGAGTCTATTGCGAGGCTGGGAGTCAGAATGTGTAATTGGCTAGATAGAATGTGGAATGACTTACGGGAGTCGAACGGCAAAGGAGGAGAGAACAATCAATTTTCGAGACACGGCCATCTGCAGGCCTTTGACCAGATATAAAGAGAACACGAACAATGCCATCTCAATGATGCTGTCCAGGACCGTAATATATTCCCATTTGGAAAACTGAATAGCATGAGAATGGGTGTGGGGCAAGCGAAAGAGGATAGGAGTTGGAGCTGGAACATACCAGGCCACTGCAGTGATCCACTGGCCTTGCCCACGGCCTGTTCAATTCACAATTGATCAGAATGATCAGGGTGGAGGTGAGCACCCAGCATATACTCAACCCCAAGATCCCGTAGAGGACGAGGTGGTGCATTCGTTGCGGCGTTAACCTAGAGAGCATTCCCAACACACAGCACTTGGAGAGGAAAAGGGTTATGAGGTATAGGACATCGGTGGCAGCCGTGGTCTGCATCAAGAAATTGCTTCGTTAATGGCCCGAATCTTTCCCTGGATCGCTTCTACGTACCTGTTGGACTTTCACGACCTGACTTGTGGTGAGAAGGTCGATGGATGTCCCAAACCCCTTGGCGGAATTCGACATGACCAACGAGGTCTGAATAACTGCAAATGACTATCGGGATCAGAATTTCAAACCACTGGGATAGTGACGAGGGGGCTTGAAAGCTTACTGTCGCAACGAAGAACAAGTAGTCATCGCGTCCAAACCCCGGACTGAGAAGTGTCCTGACATATACCCGAATGGCCAAACAGATCAAGGACATGATGAGGGCCAAAGTCCCAACCACAATCACGATGCCAGCATGATGGCTCGCATCAATGACCACCAAAGGCTTCCCCGAAGTCGTCATGACCAAATGGTGAAGAGAGCGACCAGCCACCAGATGCCAGGCCAAATCCTCTCGTGGTCTCTGTTCTGTCCACTTGGAAGAACAAGCACTTTAGGGTAGCATCTTAATGCAGGGATCACCCGGTTATAAGATCGATTAGGCGATGAACATCTGCACGCACGGCATTATGTGCTTCCCATATAAGGGCACCACATCGTCGGGTCCAGGGTCACGACGACTGGGATAGATAGGCTATCAAGGGTGACTGGGTTGTACGGAGTACGGATTTGGGATTGGAGAAAGCCGGAATTGCCATTGGCCGAGAACCTCAACCCAAAGGAGGCAGCGGTCCAGATAGCCCTGGCCGGAAGGAGGGGGAAGGATTCACAGCCCAGCTTCAAAATCGACTAGGGCTATGCTCCAGGCTGATGGAAGGTTCGAAATTTTCGCGTATCGGGCTGATGTTCCGTTCGGAAAATCAGCAGCGTCGGGGAATCGGGGTAAGTTGCTTCCTTTCAGAAGAAAAGTTTAATTCAGTCAGGAGAGAATTTGATATTAAATGCAAGGATGTTGATTACCTTAAGATTTAGTGTGATTTCCGCGGGCAATCACAATGCGAATGTTCCCCGGCACTACGGACTAGCTACAGTAGCCTCGAGTAGGCCGACACTACTCAGTGCTAGTCATGAGTCCAAGTATTCCTCGGCGTTCGAAAAGCGCGCGATGTCGCGTGCCTCGCGAGAGTGAGGAAGAAAAGATGTCTCGCGCGCAGAAAACCCGAGGGATTTCGAATATGATAGCCTGACTGTAACCCCTAGCACCCAGTCAGAAGACGGATAGCATAGATCGTGCAATATAGACATGCGGAGTGCCAAGCAGCGACGGACGTCCTTCGGGGCCCGCTCGAAAAAAGGCTTCGTATCGGGCCTATCGGCGTCTCCGTCGATCGCCGGGGATACTAGACCTGTTAGGGTGATGTCTGGTGGGCCACGGCCGGGACCGTCTGGCGGCTAGGATCTGACTAGGACAGCCGGCCAGACGTGAAACAGGGAGAGTCATGGTTCGGTTCGTGGCATCCGGAAACACAGTCAATCAATCATAATCCTTTATAGCACCCTAGGTGGCTGAATGCCTGGAACTTTGAGTTTCTTAGCCGACGCTGTGGGGAGCAATATCAAATGATTCGAAGGAGCCAATATCATACGATAGTCTTGTCTTAGAGTTGAAGCTTGAAAATAAGTAATCTCCGGCTCGCTGCGCCCGCAGGTCGTGCAAGGATCACAATCCCGGTCGCTATCTATATTTATAAGAAAAAAAAAACGTTAATTAACAGCAAGTCAGCTTCTTCCATCCGGGCCAGACACCCGCCCATTTCGTATCACTTGATCCATTAGCTTGTTGGTGTAGTGGAGACGGCCGACGTGTTAGTAACGGCGACATAAATGGAAAGAGATAACGTGGCCACGCACGGGGGGAAGAACGGCCCCCATCGAGAATTCGCCACTTATATTTCACGTTTGACCAAGGCAACCGGTGGGACGTAAGTCTTCCGTCCGTATAAGATGTAATAAATGATGGAAAAGATCAACATCGCGCCATACATGAGCGAGCTCCAGTTCATAGTCGTGGGGTCCACGGTCGAGTAGAGAGGGAACATGACAAAAACGAATTCCGGGATGAGGAAGGCTAGGGCTCCGAGGTTGACCCAAAGGCCCCACCGGCCCAAGGACCAGCGATGCGGAGGGAGGGGCTCTCCCCGGATTCGTTTCAATGCCACGCAGGAGACGGTGATAATGTAAGAGTTCAGCAACGCTCCCACAGTGAGCGTGATCAAGGCATCGAGAGCAACTGTTGAGCCAATGTTGATGAGAGAGAGCAGGATCGTGAGTACGAGGGATACGATGACGGCGTTGAGGGGAATGTTCCAGTTCGGGTTAACCTGCATCAGGAGTGAATTAGTACTATTAAACCTCCAGGCTAAAACAAATTGGCGGGTGGAGACTCATACATGGCCGAAAAACCTAGCGAGCGGGACGCCTCCGTCTCGAGCGAAAGACCAAAGCTGTCGTGAAGCAGTGGCCACTTCAGTAATCACACTAGCAATGAGAGACATGGTCACGACTGCAGTCATTGCATTTGTGGCCGCGTAGCTTTTGGTGGCATTGAAGAAGACCGCGATGAAAGGGTATCCGGTGTTGGAGCTGAGAACCTCATCCACATTGCCCAAAGTAAAGCACAGAGTGACCAAGACAATGAAGGCCAGGATGCCATTCAAGCTGACTGCGACCATGATCGCCTTCGGGATTGTTGTCGCAGCGTCTCGGACTTCCTCGGCTGGAATTGTCTTCATCAGTATGTCTGCCTAGACCTGAGAAGGCAGGCCCACTTACACATGTGGACCGTACAGTCGTATCCGATCATGGCAGTCATTGCGGTAATAAGACCGACCATCGTTGCTGTGCCATTACTGTTCCAGTCGCCGCCATTTGTAAACTGCGTAAAAACCGTCTTTGCGTCACTGATTGGCGCCAGCACCCAGAGCGGAATGATCACAATGAAGAAACCAGCAACGTGGATGATCAAGATAAAAGCCTCCACGAGAGGGAGCTTCTTGGCCAGAAAAGTGTTGAAGAGAACCGAAAAGAGAGTAATGGCAATGGTGATCAGAGTGCCGTGCCACGGTTCATAGACATAATCAGGGTAGTTAAGAATAGCCAGTCCTTGGATGATAGTACCTGCCAGAAAGGCAATCGACACAATCGCGCATTCCCAACCGGTAGCGCATAGCCAGCCTAGATGCGATCGGGGTTGGTCAGTCCAAACTCGATCAATGACCAGTGGAAGCAGCGCGTACCAGTGATATAGCTCAGGAACTTCTGGCAGCTTCTGGGAGCAAACTCCGAGACCCAATGGTACTGACCACCTGCAGTAGGCGCCCTGGTGAAGAAATAATTATGATTCTGACATGCATGAAGATTAGGGGGGCTGCACTTACATGGAGGCCATTTCCGACAGACTAGCGAACAGCAACAACACGCCGACGGTGACCGCCACAAAGCCCCAAATAAAACCGGCAGTGCCGCCATCGATCAAAGGCGAGCTCATCATTCTGGTGCAGTGTCAGCAAGTTGGGTCCCATGGCGAGGAAGGTCAGGACATGGCCTACGTTAGGACGACCTCCCATGATGCAATCAAGGTGCACCCGAAGGCAACAATAGAGATGAATCGGAAGTTTCTCTAGAGAGGTAATCAGAAGCCATCTCCCTATTCTGGAGCGGAGGGAGATCGAACCCTCAAGACCTGATCCTTTCCCAGCGCCTGCATATCTCTTTGATCGGCCAGAGTGCCGATATACTTCTGGGCCACAGGCCCTTTGTGAAGGCCATCATCACCCGCAAATGAGGCGGAAACACTGTTCCCACCCTTCGCGGTCCCCATTTCAAAACTCTGCGGCATTCTGACGGTGTCCTATGTGGAGGACCTTTGTATGTGGCTTTGGTTTGGCACGCAGAAAATAAAGCTGCTCAAGAAAGGGATTGCCCTGTTATATTTCAACTACCTGAATGACCATTGATCATGCCTCCAAATTAGCCAACCCACCATGACCCTGACGAAGTCTCAAAGGGGAAACTCTGCCCTTCACTCCAGTCATCAGCAGGGGGTCTCGGGTGGCCTAGAAGCGACGCATGAGGAGGACAGGCTTCGGTGGCCAAATACAGCACGTTCTAAGGCGTCTTCGGCTGGCCGTGATAAGAACAAGGCCATTGAATCCTGGGTGTTCCACTATAAAGTTTGGCCCACAGCGTGTTGGGGCTAAAGCGTTGGCGTGCCTTAGGGTGGTTGGTGCTAATGTAACGCTCGGTATTAACCACCATTCCGCGTAGCTCGATGGCAAGGGCTGTTTACTCACGCGAAAGGATTTGTCTAAGAGGCTAGAGGCACTGAAACAAGGCATTTCGGCTGAACTAGGGCCCTGCCTCTTCCGCGCGACTGGAGCCGGTTTGGCCAGTTGCAAATCCGCGGCAAATGTTATAAGCTGCTGGCGGGGTACATTCTCGAGATCCCGTCCGTGGTGCATCGTAGTCAGGGGTGGTGTTGAGACTACTAAGCAGAGATTTTCTGGCGAGTAGCCGAGGGAATTTCCATGTAGGCCCATTCAGAAGTGACCATAAGTGCGTTTCCAGGGTCAGTCACATAAGATCCTCGGTTTCAAGAGCTGTCTTCAGTATCATGGCGTCTGTCAAGAAGTAAAACCAAACCAAAACAAAACAAAACAATCAAACAGCGCATCCCCGGTGTGATTACTAACAGCCCCAATCCGGTCTAGCGTAGAAACTGACCCCGCGACGTCATCGCTCCTCCCCACAATTTCCCGGTGCTACTGTTCTATACTTTGCATACTTCGTACCACTCGCCTGCGACATCTTCCCAAGTTCAACCCAACCCAACTAACCAAGCCCCTTTCGCTCCCCGAGAACACAGAAGAAAAGGCTACCAATGACGGAATCATACCCCATCGGATCGCGCAAAGAATGCGAAGCTCTCGTCCGAGACTGGGGATTCAGGCATGTGTTCACCTGGTCGGATGGGAGGTAAGTTGAGAATGAGAGCCGACGATCTTGTGAAAAAAATGCAGAACTGGAATATCTACACCTGAACTTCCCCTCTGTTTGCTCTTGGCTCGACATTCCCTGCTAATAAATACGGGACACGTCCAGCAACGCGTACTACTCCCCGCACTCGCACGATGGGCCCACCACGCATCTCATACGCCGGGGCAGTCTAACGATCACCTACCCAGATGATAATACCCGGCTGTACGATGGGGACTTCCGCAAGGAGACGTTTGGGGTAGGTGCCAGGGTGGATGTTCCTGCCGGCAAGCTGCATGAGGTCTGGATTGGGGATAATGGGTGTGAGTATGTTATTGGGGAGTGAGAAGGTAAGGATTGGACTTGACCAGTGCTGTCTGTCTGTCTGTCTGTTCTCTGTTTGATGTTGGTTGGAAGGCGTTACCAACACATCCGGTCCGGTACTCCCTAATCCCAAACAGGAATCTGGAGTGGCTGGAAGGGGTGTCCCTCCAGCCGGGTGTGGTTGTAGCGTCTCCCTCTCGGATATCGTGTACATCTTGTTCATTTAATGTATTTTGCTGAGAACCCCGCATGTCTTACGATGAACAGCTCTTTATGACTCTTAATACCGACTATATATATATAGTAGAAGAAGGGGGGAGCGGGATTTGTAAAGCAGTTATAACATCGCCCTGCACACAGTACTAGAAAGACGGAAATCGAGAATGTGAGATATAACAGCCAAACCAACATTAAAGCGACCATCCTACAAACTGAGTCTCTAATAGAGTAGCCACCATATCATAATTTATCGTTAATACTGTCTGTGGTGTGCTTCTAAGATGATTGGGAATGGCCATGGCATACATAATTGCAATTTGTAAACCAGTTGCGACATAACTATTTTTTCCAAAACCACCCGTAACAGCAACCGCCATCTCACAAATCCCTGCCCGCTCAGTAAAGGTCCCGGGCACTTTTAAGCAACTGAATAGCTATATATTCTAAGTATGTTGTCGATCTACACTCTACGATTGAGGGGAGAGGCTCGCAACCATTAAACACAGGCCGATTTACCCTTGAAATAGGGCAAGGATACAGTTCTAGCATGATTCTATATCCATCCTATAAAGGTCGAGAAAATGATTGCACTGTGGTATGACCGAGTCAAGCCAATAGTGCTAAGGCTCTAGGAGGGGCTGTAGTGCATTTAAGCTTATTATCATATTACTGCTTAGTACTAGATAAACTCGATCGATCGATCGATCGATCCAAGTGTCATCATACAACATACGCAGTAGGACCGAATTGAAGCTCCTCTTCGATTAAACCGTTTTGTGGTCATTTGGCTTACTGTCCTACTCAGGAATCACTGTGTTAACGATTCCAGATACATCGTTTAAATCGCCATCACAGGAGGGCCATCTGCGATACAGAACCAAGATATAGACTACGTGTTACTCCGCCCGCATCCATGATTGTAATGTATATATTCATTTTCATCGGATTAGATTGTTCTATTGATACTTTTATAGACATCAGATGAACCCCTCCGGGGTGCCCATCGGGATCTATGTTCAGATGAATCATTATCTATGTGCAGACCACGTGGTATTCATGCTCTAGTGCGTAAATCGGAAATCGAGTCTGAAAGTCATATAGTTAGACGGCGAAAAAGGAGAGAGTAGGCGGAAGGACTCACCGTTTGTTTCCAAGGTCTTTGTTAGCTGCAAGGTACTCTTCTCTCTCGGAGCTGGACATGTTGTTCCAAATAGCAGCATTGCGCCTGAGAAGTATGGTCAGTTTTGAGGAGAAAGAAATCGATTTCAGGGAATCGTACTTGTTGCGCCAGATGTAGTAGAGCTTGGCGCCAATGAACAAAGCCATGCTGAATATAGACAAGGCAATCAAGACCTTGTTACCAACACGGTAGTATGGCTTATCCTTGTCTTGATAGATCTACAGGAGACAGTCAGTAACGAGGAAAGGAGCAAAGCAGATGCAACGCGGGGGATTCGCTTACCTGACTGGCAACAATACTAGACACTTGAACCATCATGTTGTACACAGCACTGGCAACCGTGCGCGTGCGGACAGAACCAGCGTTTCTGGATGTCATGGCTACAATGATCGCATGCACGTAAGGGGCTCCAATCAACAGCGCATTGATGATCCATCGCGCCCACGAACTGGCCCCGTCCGGCAGGACCTCAAGAGTGATGAGCAAGATCAAGCACCAGAATTCAGAAACAACGCCCAGCAGTAGACGCTGGTTGAAGCGCTCTGAGATCCAAGTCCAGAAAAGCAGGTTGATGATGAAGATGACGTATGCGGGAATGGTCAGGAGGTTGGTCTCGAAGGTGCCGAATCCAAGCGACTTCAACTCGAGGGTGATGTAGTTCGTGGCAGGCGTGTTGGGAATCATCCATACGAGGCCGATAAGGTAGATGGGCCACATATCGTAGTCGCACAGGGCTTGCCAAAGCATCTTCGGCGTGACTGCCTGGCGGTTGTGCATGCTTCCCTTACTGGGGTCGTCGCGGAGCACACGGTTGACGAGAATCTTTTCCTCGCGTTCGTTGAACCAGCCGTCTTTTCCACGGAAACCACCCTTGGTCTGAGTGGGGGACGCAGGCATCCAGAAAGCAGCGATCACCCCGACGATTCCGGTAATGAGGCCCTCGAAGGCAAAGAGATACCGCCATCCACCGGTGCCATCGGCGTTGTGAATGCGAAGAAAACCATAGGCTAGGAAAGCGCCAACGATGGAGGTGGCCTCATAGGAGACCCAGAAATAACTCAATCTTGCCGGGAGTTCCTTGGATTTGTAGAAGAACGACAGGAACAGAATGGTATCGGCAATGCTGGGGGGCATTATTAACACGGCGAATCTCGTCGGTCGGAGACGGGACAAACTTACAATCCTCCCTCCAAGATACCAAGGAGCGCTCGGCAAGTGAAGTATCCAGCGCGGTTCTTCAGAAACGCCTGGAACGCAGCGACAAAACTCCACGCGACCATTTGAATTGGAATCCAGCGGTCGGGACCAACTTTCTTGGATAGCAATTGAGACGGCAGCTCCGAGAACAGGAATGTAAGATAGAAGATCGTTTGACCGTTGTTGTAGTCGTCCGTAGTCATGCCCAAGTCTTCGAGCATGTTATCCGAGTTTGCTTGGACGATGTTGCCTCTATCAAGCTGAAGAGCAAAAAATGTTATGCATGCGAACGTACAGACCCGAAAGTCGATCTGTTGTATCTGGTCAATTTCCCTTTCCCGAGAAAGCGAGCGTTGTTGTCATTACCTTTCTGATAAGCGCCTTTTCCTCCTCCTCGGACCATTCGAAGTATGGATCCCAGCGATGCGCGCTTTCATATTCCGGGATAGGCTTGTAGAACCTGGGATCTTCCGAAGTATCGAAGGCGCCGTCACTAACATACTTAATCGCCCGATGATCCGAGACAGCGAGAGAAGAGGTTGATGACCCTGCCTTCAACCCAATGTCGGGTGTCTTCTTCGTGTCGTCGTCCGTGGGCGCAGCGCCCGCGGGAAGCTCCCTGACATCGTCCGAGCCCATCTTGCCTGTGTCGGAGACTGATCAATTGCAGGTAGATAGTGGCAGCCCGTGTCCTTGATAGCAAAACTTGGGAGACAAGAGATGTCGGGAGGTTCAGCACCTTTTGGATGTTTCTCTCCCAGGTAGCCCGACTATAAATCTTTGTCACGCCATAGCCCGGCAAATTGTCAGTACAGTGCCCTAGCTGCTAGCTCCAACAGTGTGGATAGCTACATGTAACCAATCGTCGTGTCGGCAGTACGAAATCAAGGCACCTAGAACGTCAAGCCCGTCGATGTGCGACACCCTGTGGCCGATATGATGGGACCAACGTCACCAGCGGCCGAGGGACCACACCGGGTACTGGACATGCGATGCGCAGAGGGGCGCGAAGTGAGATAACTGTCTCGTAAGTTTTCCGGGACGCCTCTTAGTCGATGGAGACCTTTGCCTCTTCCGGAGCATGAGTGCCGGGAGGTGGATGGTATCACGCAAGCGCAGCATAACTGACGTTATGGAGGACAAGTCATGCCGGGGGCTTCATTAGCGTCGACTTCAGATCTCCGCCGGGTCCTGCAGCGGGGCCAATCACCAGCAGCGATGGGAGTGTTCCAGGGTTCATAGAGTTGATCTCATCATCTTGGGTTATGATGGTATGCTTTGGCTTTGACATCGCAACATCGAATTCTTTGGTGATTGGCGCTGACTCCTGCAGGCCGCGAGTAGCGCCATCTGATACGATCAACCCTTTCGCTTGAAACCTCGAGAGTCGGCGCAAAAACTTTCCTCTCAAGTTTACATGGATCCAGGCGCGCTCTATTCACCGGATACGGGCGACACGAGCGACGTGGACGGAGGAGAGCGGGCGCATGCGATTGAGGAAGGGAAGTCGACGTCAAAGCCAGGGACCAGGGGGGCAGGTACCCGGGCCATCCAGTTCCTGTTGATAATCGGAATGATTTGTATCGGCCGAGCGATGAGAAGTGAGAAGGGAAATAATACTGCTAATGGGGGCGGGAGGGGGTCCTGCGGGATCCATTGCAATTGATCGACCTTGGTGGGTGAGCTTATTTGGGGCGGGTTGCGCGAACAGCAAGCCCTAGCACGCCATGCTTGGCCCACTGGCGCAACCTCAACACCAACGTGTCGCCCTCGTCGCGAGTGACCCAAAATCAGAGCCGAACACCCCTCACTTCCTCTGCCAGATGTCCAAAAATAGCTAGGAGCTTTGACAACCGACCATTCAGTCCCCCCCCTTTGCGCAACGTTCCCTCCTCGTCCCCGAATCAGCAGGGCCGATTGCTATCATCGCGGATGATGCTCATCCTTATTATCGTTGCATTATTATTGCACCATTGGTCTCAGACCCAATCCACGAGTCAGGATGGCCTGCTATCCCGTGGCTCGCGTAGCAGACTTCGGGGATTTCAAGTACATCCGCGATAATATGTCTCTGCCCCCAAGCCCTTGTAGACACGAAAGATGATGCTATCGAGACATACCCCGCAGCAATTGCGTGACCACTGAACGGATGTTCAGATATTGTGACGGGGAATATATATGAATGATGTAGTAGTCGCTGTATCTTGTCTTTGACGACAGGAAAACAGAATAGGTCAATCAATCAACCATCATATTCACCGTTACACACACACACTCACTCACTCAGCACTATGGCTCCGTCGCTGGTCGAGACCACCAACCTCTCTCTCCGGGCTGCGCCCGTGGATCCCCTGAAAACCGATGCCGGTCACAACAAGGAGAACGTGATCGGGTATGGAGAGGCCTACAAGCATGAGAATGAGCTGAAGGGCACCGAAAAGCAGCCCCCGGCGTCATTCCCGAACTACCTCCCCGTCTGGGACAATGAAACAGAGAGGTACACACGCCCTGTTGTTGCGGTATCCCCTTGCTCGCTCAACTGACCACCGTTGTAGATACCCGCCCCTTCAACCTTTCGAGCACTATGATCACGGAAAGGACGCCGACCCGAGTTTCCCTGACCTCTTGCCGAAGGATAAGGCTGTATTGGACGATATCACACCAACAATCGGCACTGAAGTGCGTGGTGTCCAGCTCAGCCAGCTGACCAAGGAGGGGAAGGACCAGTTGGCTCTGTATGTCGCCCAGAGGAAGGTCGTCGGTACGTCAAGTCATAGAGCAATGGATCTTCCCACGCATCGGGCATATACTAATGCAGAGGACTTTAGCCTTCCGTGACCAGGACTTTGCCCATCTTCCCATCGATAAGGCGCTCGAGTTCGGGGGTTACTTCGGCAGACACCACATCCACCAAACGTCAGGAGCCCCCAAGGGCTACCCAGAAATCCACCTCGTACACCGAGGAGCTGACGACAGGAGTGGCTCGGAATTCCTGGCTCAGCGCACCAACACAATCACGTGGCACTCTGATGTGACGTTCGAGAAGCAGCCTCCTGGCACGACTTTCTTGTACATCCTGGACGGCCCCACAAGCGGCGGAGACACCCTCTTCGCCGACATGGCCCAGGCGTACAAGCGCCTGTCGCCTGAGTTCCGCAAGAGACTGCACGGGCTCAAGGCCGTTCACTCCGGGATTGAGCAGGTCAATAACAGTCTCAACAAGGGTGGCATTGCACGACGTGACCCCATCACCTCAGAACACCCGATCGTCCGAACTCATCCAGTAAGTCTCCACGCCATGGCCTGCTTCGGGTCGCGGATCTAATATTCTGCCAAGGTTACCGGTGAGAAAGCGCTGTTTGTCAATCCGCAGTGTAAGTGATAGAGAGCTGCTTTCTGTTCCTCCATGCAGGAACACCTCAGCTAACAGCCACTAGTCACTCGATACATCGTCGGCTACAAGAAAGAAGAGTCCGACTACCTTCTCAAGTTCCTGTTCGACCATATCGCCTTGTCCCAAGATCTACAGGCACGAGTTAGGTGGCACGCGGGGACTGTGGTCGTCTGGGATGTATGTGGTTCCCTCGTGGATTGTTGGGGACAATGCTGACCATGCTAGAACCGGCTTGCTTCGCACTCGGCCCTCTTCGACTGGGAGGATGGTCAAAGACGACACCACGCCAGAATCACTCCGCAGGCGGAAGCTCCGTACGAGACCCCGTTTGAGGCATAAGTAAATTGGGGCACATGGTGCAAACAATAGGTATTCTATCAAGACATGAGCATGACTCCACGAATCATAATGAGCTACAATAAAGTGAACCACCATCCGATGGCTGGCTTGACTCCCAGTGCAAGCACAGGTGAATAGAACAAAACTAAAGTGCCTTATCACCGGGTTTCCCACTGCAGACCAGCTGTAGATTCTTTTTGGACGACACGAGAAACCAGCCCCTCATCGATACTTCTTATCGACACCCCTTGGAATGCTGGTTTGTAACCAAAGGCCGGTCCTTTGATTCAATACTCCAAGAGCCACATGCACTGTCGAGAAACATCCAAAACACAGACAATGACCCAGCACCATAGCTATGGTTCACTTCGGTTGGACCACTTGAGGCTCTTGTGTCTTGTCAGGAGGAGGAAAGTCAGGCGGAATCACACGAATCGTCGGAATCGATACTGATGATGTATTCCGGCTTTGTCTCCGAGAAAGCGGCGTAGGAATCGCGGCGTTCACATCTTCGATATGGCTGACTTGGGGCCGTTGTTCATGGCCCCGTCCGGAATAAACGATGCCCAAAGTTTCCAGGAGGCGACGAACTGGCAGCGGCAGAGTATTGTGCCTTGTAGAGGATGAGGGTTTGTGTGGCACGTCCTCCACGTGCTCCCAAGTAACGACATCGTGGTCATCGTAGACGGTCGGGGATTGATCTTGCGAGTTGAAGGCTGGAGCAGCCATGATATACGGGGGGATGGTGTGAGAGATGAGCTGGGGGACGACGTGTTTAGGAGGGTAGATTTGATCCGCAAGCAGCGATTAAGAGCTATAGATAGAAACCTAAAACATTAGATCCGAGGTCGAAGTGGAGGAAGGGAAACAAGCAACTCACGAGAGACTGGATAGAGAGTGAAGTGTTGGGTTCTGCCGGTCGGATTGGAAATTGGAATCCAGGCTGACCGGGCCATCCCCCCCAAACAGGAAGGCACCGCTCACTGCCTCAGGTCTGCTGCACGCTGGGCCGCTCGAAGCGGTGCAGAATGCCCACCTTCCACTCGCGGAACTCCCGCGCAGACACGGGCAGCATGGCGTTGCTGCCGTCCAGGGCAGCTGTCAACGCCGCAAAGGAGGCCGTGGGGAGCTTCAGTTCCTCCAGAGAGAGAGACGACGCCTTCCCGCGATCGGGATGGAGGGTCGCATCAGCATCATCGAGACGCTGGAAGAAGACCTTCATCGCCCGCTGCGCAGCAATGCTGTGATGCGCACTCGAGTTGGAGTACCGCAGGTCCGGGTTGAAGACCCAGATCTGGAATGAATTGGTCAGTTACCAGGTTCCCAGCACGAGGGAAATAGAGCAAAGGAGACAGACGTACCAGAATTCCATCCTTGCATCCACAATGAACCACAAATCTTCGCGCGCTTTCTCTCTCGATGAACTCGAGCAGCTGCGCAGCCACCACCGTCTCAGTCGAATGGCTCTCCCATGCAGACTCTGGGACGGCCTCTCCCTCCACGTTGGCAGCGAAGCTGGTTTTGAAGAGTCTCCATCCGTGGGCAACGGTGTCTTCCACGCCGACTGAACTGTCACAGTTCACACACGTTACAGTGTCGGGCTGTGAAGAGCCATCTGCGTCCCCACTTTGAACCTAGTGAGACACCTCATCAGCAACCTGCTTGATACAAAAGGAACGTATGGACTCAAAAGGACCAATGTGCTTGAAATTGTTACACGGATGGGAGGACACTATGCTGCACTACTTTTTTCGAATGGCCCCTACAATCACCAAGTCTACCAGAAAAGCCCCCAAATGTACCGCGTCGGAATCGTATCGAGGCCATCATACCGGACCAAGACAACGGAGAAACAAGCGAGGCGCAGTCTTGACCACAACGCCGGGGCAAGCTCGAAGCCACAACGACACATGTCCGAGACGGCTGTGGCGTGAAATCCATCTACTGGAGAGGATAACTACGCCAGACAACCACCCAAACATATAGACGGCGTGTCCCCGCCCAGGCCATGACGTATAGAGCGACCAAGACCCTGTAGCTATAGGGCAATTGTATCGAAGGCCTCGCCATAGACTGGCCCAGGTCTCCTTCTTGTTGCCCGCAACATCATCACACAAGATATTACATCGAACCAGCGAGCAAAACGCAAAATAACCAAGAACAACCAGTAGAAAAAAAAAGCACAATAGCCTTACCTGCATCAGCCCCTTGCAATCCGTATCCGCAACCAAAAAGGTCGCCACATCCACCAAGACCGTACCGGGCGTAGCCACGACCTGGTTCGCAGCGCCGTAGCCCTTGACCACAGCATTCGGGTCTTCAGATTGCGCTTCCCCAGGAGGCGGGTCCGGTTTATGGCAGTGCCAGAAATCCATCATCTCGGCCCAATTCCCACTGGGCAGGTCCTTCCACACCCAGCCTGCCTGGTTATGTTTGTCTTTATCGCCCTCCAGCACAACACGCTCACACTGTAGACAACGCAGCCGCGTCACGGGGGACAGATCTCTCGCCGTCCAGGGCACAAACCCACCCGTGAGCTCATCCGTCCCAGCCAGCGTCTCCTCCCCGTCATCAACCTGCATCCGAAACGAATATTCCCGCCGACCGTCCGCGCCCGCATGGCCCTCTCTCCCGGCCGCCCCGGCACTCAGAGCCCGTCGGGATGCTTCACTCACGCGAGCAGGCAGCTTCATTGTCTCTGACAGGTCGTGTTGGGGTCCCGGGAGAGAGACGGACACGGCGCGGCGGGATTCCGAGAGCGAGATCTGGAGTCCGTCGGACGCGACCCGCGCAGGTAGGGAGATGTAGAGCGTGATGTGGCGGATGTTGGGGAGGAGTTCGGCGTGGAGATAGAGGGAGTCATCCTCTTGGGAGGGTGGTGGTGAGCCAGCCATGTGGATCTGCTTTCTGCTTGGTTGGTGTTGTGTTTGTCGTTCCAAGTCGCGTCGAGGGAAGCAGCTGGTGGAGGTGCAAACGCTGCAAACTATCTACATTGCCTAATGGGGGAAAGCGCATTGCTGTCGCGTGTCGCGTTACTATTCACAGGTCTGTCAACTGTCAACTCAACTTCTCTATTCCTGTCAAATCCTTTGGAGTTCAAGCAGTTTATCTACTCTATGATTATTGTACTGGGCCCATAATACTACCCAATGAGCTTCTTGATATACTTTAACGGACCATCCACCCTTTTATTCAACCCCCCCACCCCCCCCCGCCAAGCTCCTAGATATCTAACCTGATATCCCCCCGTGGTTAAAGCTCGTAGTGAGCAGTCGTCACGTTTCCGGCCCTAACACTGTTGCGTTGCCATTGCGATACCCCGGGAAGAAGAATATCCCTTCTCTTCTGCAAGTCAAGAACATCAGTGGGTGTTTCTCGGATTGTGTAATCCCCATATTAACTAGTTAATCAACTTTCCTTTCCAGCGGCTCCGTGTCAGAGTTCCCAAATCTTGCTAAACCTTGGTCGGACCTTTGTCCCCATTCCAATGCAGGTTTGTCTCGAGGATAGGGCTGATATTTGTCCTAGCGCCCACTGAAAGTCAATGACTCAGTAGAGCACCACATCACCACATCGGACAAGATGACATGACATTGACGAGGGGCTAGAGACGCGACCGCGATCCGATAGGGCTCTGGCCTCTTCACCGAGCATGAGCCGTTAGATTCCTCAGTATTCGCTCCTCTTTTCCGCTGATGCCAATAGTATATGAGAATATATGCGCCATCGCATTCAGTCCCCCCAGTACGGTTCTTTCCCGGGTGTCGAACAAGACATTTCTATTTTTGGATATGCCATGGGGATCAGATATGGTCCATAGTCCATAGTCCATATTATAATATCCTTCGGGTCAATTCATTCGTCGGTTCTGTTTATAACCGGATTATCCACAGAACCAAGGACGGACTGTGCTTGAAACTTCTCAACAATCTCGTTCGTAGATCAAGTATGGTTTCATACTCCCAACCGTGGTGCATGCTCGACTCGACGGTGTCTATCATATACAGTGTCTATGCCTTTGCTATGGTCTTCTGGTACCCCTTTGTTGACTGGCGGACCTGACAGAGGAGTTTGAGTGGGTCTGGACTCTGGAGCCAACCCTACTCGGGGACTGCAGATTTCAGCTGATAGAGGATAGTAAGCAGGCAGCCGGCTGTCGCTTTCAAGTCGGCTGTCCTCTTGGAATAAATAAATATTAACTGTGCCTGCCATTGTAATAGAAAAGAAAGTATAAAAGGCCGCGCTCAGGGCGGGCGAAGTGTGGCGTGGAGCTGTCTGTATAATGTCGATTTGATTAATGGAGATCGGTAAAAGACGGGTAAGACAAGGAAAGATCTTGTGTATAGCATTGATAAAGATGGCAGGTGATGATGGTGCAGAGGATGGAAGAAGGAAGAGGGAGAGAGAGAGAGGGATAGGAGGGATTATATAGAAGAGGAAGGAGAGAGGTTGCTTGAGTGCGCTGGTGAAGGTGGCATGGCATAGGTCATTCATTCATTCATTCATGAAACAGGGAAGAGCAGAATTCTTCGTGTACGCATATTCACCTTGATAAGTAACTGCCAGAGCTGCCCCGGACTTTATACTCGAGAAGAGCGAAGATATGAAAGAAACCTTGTCTTTGGGAATTAGAGCTGTCAAGAGGGACAGTGAACCATAACCATACAGAGACCTAATTAGTAGAGCTACTGCCACCGTGTAGTAAATATTGCAGAAATCTATTCTCAATTATGCCATGTTATATATACAAAACGTTCCACTGCTATATACCCAAGCACCCGTGCTTGATAGTTCGAGGCAGGGTTCACTTCTCCTGAAGATCATTCTGTTGGACCACCTCTTCAACGGGGTCACTGCCCGCACCAACCTGCCCGGACAGCACATCCACGTCCATCCGCGGCCCGGTGAAGTTCTTGCGGCCGTCCACAATCCACTGGAACATTGAGATCACAAGGATAATGCCGAACACAGCCACACAGTAGTCTATAAGGAAGAGTCAGGTTAGTCATAGTCCTGGCGACAAGAGTATAGGGTCAGTCAAGCTTACTCATGTTGCTGCCAGTGACCGGGTAGTCCGGGGGGAAGAGGAAGAGCACAGTAGTAAAGGAGATGTAGCCCAGAGCAACCTGTCCAGCGCATCATCGGTTAGTATCTCTGACAGAGTAAGTAATATCAAGCAGACGTACCAGGTTGGCAGTCCATCCAACTGCGCTGGGAAGCACAAATGAGCGTTCGGGCAGCATCTTTCGGCCCCGAAGGCAGTTCACGGCAATCGGAATACCATACGCAATGTCAAGCATGACAACGGATGCAGAAACAATCGCGTTGAACGCACTGTCTCGGTGTTAGTACGACCGTCGTATCTATTAGGAGGTTAAGTCGGCTTACCTTGAGGAGCCCAAGAAGATGCATCCGAAGATGATGACCAAGATGTTGGTTAGGTACAACGCGTTCAGCGGGACCTCGAGCTTGTTGTGAACCTTGCTGAAGAAGGGGGAAGCCGGGAGACCGCCATCTCTGGCGAAGGCGTAAATCATACGGCTACTGGTCGTCATGATCGTGATGGAAGCGAAAAGGACACAGACTAGGGGGAAGCTTCGATATTGTCAGCATAATGAGTAAACAAAACATGGTAGATATAAACATACATCAGAAGGCAGATGGACCCGGCATTGCTCCCAGTCGCGTTGACGAAGATCTGCAGCAAAGGAGTCGCAGTGGAGCTGATGTCGTCGTAGATGTTGCCAGAAACAAAGAGCAGCACGATCAAGAAGATCGTACCAGTAAAGGTTCCAATTAGAACACAGCCGATCATGATTCTAGGTCCGACAATGGAAGGGTTGGGGATTTCTGTTTCGGATGTTTAGTATGCTATTCTCGGGTGTATTTCGTCCGACAGCCATACCTTCGATCATGTGCGCAACTCCATCCTTTCCGACTGTTAGTATACATATGCGAACGACGGTAAAGGAAACTTACGAATCCGGTGAGACCGAGTCCTCCTTGGAGCAACTAAATATCAGTCAGTACTAAGATCTCAACGACCGTTCAGTGAATGGAGACATACTCCAAGCAGCCAGGCAAGACCATCGGGCCCTGGGAGACGTTAGCTCTAAGTCATAACGAAGAAGATGGGGTAAACATACAGCCTGTCTCGTTGATAAACTTTCCGAAGACGAACCTGTTCCAATTAGTAACGCTTTCTCCATGGCTAGTAGTCAGCCATTTACTTACTCTCCGGAGCTGTAGTTGGGCGCAGCGCATGCTAGTAGCGTGATGCAGATGACGGCGAAACCAGTGAGAGACCAGATAACTTGAACAGGATTAGCATCACCACCCAGCTCACGAGGGATACGCTACTTACAAGCACCCTTGGTAAACAACGGAAGCAACGAATTCATGAAAGCGTTGATGAGGAAGGCAATGACGTTGTAGGCGATGTAGATCAAGAATTGGTGCCAGCGTTGCGACACATACGACTGTCGAATGCATTAGACGGTGCCAATAGAGGGATATGTGGGAAGGCCTTACGGGATGCATCAACGAAATCACACCGATGATCAACTCACTGCCGAGCAGGCCACCCGTTGCAGTCAAGGCAACCTATTGCCATGAGTGTCAGCTTTGTTTTGCAGCAGCGGAACCCTATCGACGTACCCATCCCGATGCGTTCGCCCAGCCCGTGATCCATGAGAGTGCGGGCATCCAGTTCTCCCAAGAGACTTTGAAGGTCAGTAAGGATAGCGAAGGAGGTCTGGTTATCGATGTACTTACTCACTGTGGACACGACAGATGGTTAGCAATGCTACAATCGCAGCCATGAGACAGAACAAGGAATGCCAGCTTACCTGCGACCCAATGGTATTGTCCACCAGCGCTAACCCACCATCAGAACCAGTCGAAGACAAGCACGACTCGCAGTACTTACGTAGGATAGGCGGACAGGAACTCAGCCAGGGAGGCCGACATGCACAGGTTACAGATACCGGCGGTGATCAGACCTGCAGGGAGAACGGGTCAGTTCCGTCACCATACCACACCACACATACCACCAACGAAGCAAGAAGTAGGATGGACTCGACGCAGCGCCGACTTACCCCAGATGACGCTTACGCAGCCACCGGAAGGTAGACTGATCGATAAGCTCGCCGATAGAGCGGTCCAGGACTGTACAAGAGACGTTATCAGCAACCTAACTTCCTGGTCTGGCCTAGCACGACGACGGTGTGATGGGGAATGGACCGTCCAGCCGCCCGAGCGCGTTTATTTGCCGACGTACATTTAAAATGGCGAAGGCTAAGCCCAACATTGACCTGCATCAGTGGCATCCATCGGTTAGTAGCTTTTTTGGCCTGCACGTGGGACCAGGGAGGGAGGCCCCAGCACGATTCGGGCGACGTACAGCATCGAGAAGTTCCGCTTCAGCTCGGCCTTGTGGCCCATGGCGGCCAACTGCACGTCATCATCTCCCCGGAGGTCCTTCATTGTGGGTGGACGTATGAATTGATTGCTTGTCGATGATGTGCCACCAGGGAACAATCAGGACGAGCGAATGGGATAAGGGAAGGAGGAGGGGAGGGGAGGTGGAAAGGAGGAGGGAAGGGAAGGGATGGAGGGATGGAGGGAGGGAGGGAGGGAGGAGAGAAGAGGATTTGAAGGGGGTCAAAAGGGACGAGAGGAGGAGCAGAACGTCAGAGTGTTCAACCAGGACGAGAGGGAGGAGGAATTACTAGTACTACAAGGGATGGAGGGTGACGGAACGGGACAGAGAGGACGGAGAGGGAGGACAGGGACCCCCAGGCACCAGAAGTTTTGGGTTGGCATCCAATCCCAAACCATGATACCAAACTATTATTTATCCACCACTCTATCTAACGAGGAAGAATTGCGGGGAAACGAGTGGCGGCGGTTCTCTGTCGCCAGTTTTACCTAATGGATATGGGGTAATGCGAAGCCGCTGCGACGGGCGAACTGATAACCCTCAGCGAATACCTAATTGATACCGATCGGAGTCGGTGCCAGCCTTAATTCAGCCTGGCCGGTGATAAGAATTCCCCTGCTGCCCCCTGATTCGCTCCGGGCGCCGAGCGCCATCGCCGACTCCCAATCAGAGCCCGGGCGGTGGGTGATCTGCTGGGCGGACCCCACGCAGCTAACCGCATCCGGGGGGAACGGAGACGAAGCTTATTTGCCCGGTGAGCCCGTGAAACATCAACGCCAGATAAGCGCCCTCGCGGTCCTGCAGGCATGATGGCAAGTGGCGAGCATTAGGGGATTACTTGACTCACCTCATGCCCTACACCGGTTTATCACCTCTGATAAGAGATACCCTTCCATGCTTTCCGAGATACTATTAGATACACAGTACGCAGTAGCCAGTCATAATCATCAGTTGGTCTGTCAGACAATATGAATCGCTAAGCAATAATTAAGGTGGCCAGCGGACCACGCCTCCTACGCTGTCTAGGCCGCTCCGGGTTAGTCGGGGAGGTTAATTCCCGGCGTGGAATTGGATCGGGTCTCGACTGCGAACAACTCTAATTTGCTACCGCGTACTCCGTACATCTATCTATCTACTGTGTACGGAGTACCCTGCGGCTAATTCTTCCCAGGTACTGCTGCTGTGTACAGTACTCCTGCAGAGCACGAATCTACAGTCGAAAGTATTACGCAGGATCTGATCGGCACCAGAAAAGATGGTCACATGATTGCATTGATTAGGTTATCGGGTCGCTTCACGTGGCATGCAGTCATGGTAGTAGTAGGTTAGTAGGTAGTCAGTCATATGTATATATGTACACCAGCCCTTGCAAATGTTCCTATACACGTCGTCCTCGTCCGTTCACGACATCAATCATCACGAGCTCCCCCGGAGCCTCGGAGCAGTCTCTCTCCACAGGGATCCGCCGGTCTAGGCGAGATGGTCGGTCCGGACAATATATTCTTCATCGCCCCCATTGACAATTCCGTCGTCTTCCTCCTCCCCAACATCATCGTAGCCGCGAGACATGCCTCGGTCAGCAGTAGGCCCGTCCAGGGAGGAATCAGAATCTCCATTCTGGATCGACATGAGCTTGTTCTTCGCCGTGCCTCCCGACCCCGCAGGGTTCTTCCCTTTCCCCTTGCTACTGGTCGACTGCCCACTGGCGCTGCGGCCCAGGGGCGGAATGGGCTTCCCTTTCCCCTTCCCGACATTCAGATCACCATTATTCACCGGTCCGTCCATACTGAAGTCGAAATGATCCCCAACGTTAAGACCTTCGAGGGCATCCGCGATGGTCCGTGGAGCCAGGTGCTGGGATGTCGAGTTCCCATTGCTGGACTCTTGCTTTTGTTTGTCGACGGATTCGAACGACTGGCGGATCCGCTCGAAGTGTTCCAGTTCCTTGGCACTGCAAACCGTTAGAGAAAAAGAGCGGGCAGGGTAGGGGAAAGTGTTACCACTATGGCTTACCTAACACTCGGAACAAGTTCATCCTGTGCCTCTTGGAAATCATCCTCGGTAACCGTCACGGCCACATCATCCGGCGTGGCCAGGTGATCGAAGAAGTATGCAGTGCTGATGGGCTCTCCGGGGAGCTGCTTGATCTTCTCGTCGACGGCCGTGGCTTTGCGCGTGATGGCTTTAAGCATGGCATCCGAACACAAGGCGTACAGGTCGGCACCCGTGTAGGTCAGGGGCAGCCGGTCGGCAACCCGGCTCAGCGACACTTCGGGGTCAAGGGCGAACTTCCGCGTCAGGGCTTCCAAGATCGTGGATTGCTTCTCGTGGGTGTCGGACACTCCGAGGTAGAGCATCTTGTCGAACCGACCAGGTCGAAGAAGTGCCGTGTCCAGCAGATCGGGACGGTTGGTGGCACCAATAACAAACACCCCGCCGCTGTTCTCTTCACCACCATTCATGCCGTCCAATTCTGCGAGCAGCTGACTTACAATACGGTCCATGACACCGCCACTGTCCCCTTGGTTTCCTCTCTTCGGCGCAACGGAGTCCAACTCGTCAAAGAACACAACACAAGGCCGGGCATCCCGAGCACGTTGGAAGACCCGACGGACATTCGCCTCGGACTCACCAATGTACATGTTGAGCAGCTCAGGTCCTTTAACGGAGAAGAAGTTCAGCGAAAACTCAGTCGCAATAGCCTTGGCGAGCAGTGTCTTGCCGGTTCCTGGAGGGCCGTAGAACAGTATACCACTCCGTTTCTTCATGCCTTTAGCGAACAGCTCGGGTCGTTCAAGAGGTAGCTGAATGGTTTCGATAAGGGCGTCCTTGACGTTTGTCAGACCACCCACATCGTCCCAGCTGACGTTAGGGATTTTCGGTGCGCCAATCGAATCGGCGAAGTTCTTCCTCGCAGCATCAACGGCAGCATCGAAATCAATCTTGGTGACTCCGCGAGCTGCCTCCCCGCCGGATACAAGTATATCCCTGACGCTGACCTTCTGTCCTGCGCTCTTGCTTGCTGTCTCCGCCAGCTTCTCGAGACGCGCGGCCCGCGCCGCCGCGGCTCGTTCGACAACATCCACCAAATCCCCAGCAACAAGGGCTGCGGTCTTCAAAGCCACCGTTCCCAAATCAACATCCGGCGAAGTCTTGATGCCGCGTTCAGAGACAGCATTGCGAAGAATACCTTCGCGCTCCTTTTCCTCCGGAGCAGTCATTTCAAATTCGTGCGTAAACATGCTACGAATGCCTTCGGGGATCTGCTCGACGTCTGTCGTAGTCGCAATCACAACTCGTGCATCAGCCACGATCTCGGCCATAGCTGAGACAATCCGATCTGCAGTCAAGACCTCGATATGCTTGATGAGGAGCGCGGTGCACTCCGGTCCACAGTGGAAAGCACGATCTGCTCTTGCCTTCAGGTATGCTTCAGTCTTCACGTCGCCGCCGTTCGCACCGCCCTCCGTCAGAATGTCATACGCGTCGATAGGAAATGTATGCAGGCCAATATCAGCACAAGCCCGCGTTGCAACAGTCGCCTTTCCAATGTGTCTCTGTTGCGATTGTAGAAGTATAACGACGGGTTTCATGCCAAGCTGGATCGCGCGAGGACTAGTTGCCACTGACATTAGGTCTCGGATGCGTTGTTGTAGCGGAGATATAAACGACTGTGGTGTTTCAGTGATAAGGCCATGGGGAGTCGGAGTATCAACGGCTGCTTTTGGAACAGCCTTGACGCCGAGCCAATACTCCCATTCATTATCCATGGTTCCCGGGACTTTCCTCACATCGCTACCAGCTTGCACCATCCTTGTAGTGGCCGAGTCAATAACAGCCACACCTCCCCATTGGTTTTCACCCGCTTCGTCTTGTTCGTTGGATAGGTTAGGGATGACCTGGCCAACGCGAAACCAGGCGACTCCAACTTTCTTCGACGAAGCGTGATCGGGATTGGCAACTTGGCCTAATCTAGCAGTCAAGTCTTCATCTAAAGCGCCATTCTCACCGGCAGTCGTTCCAGAGAAAACAGTTCTGCCGAGGCCCTCGTCAACGCTGATTCCCACAAGGTCTCCGCCTTTGAGGAGTCGTCGTCGGGATTCAAAGTACTGTTTGAGACCAGCAAACAGAGCCGGTTGAAGAACACGATCCATCGAGAGAGGGGTGGAGACTTTGAGCAAGGTTACTTCCTTTGCTAAGGGGGGGTTTCGGATAGTGCTCGACTTCACTTGATGTAGCAGACCAGGCTTGGTTACGTTAGTGGCAACGAAATTCATCGGAGAGATTCGCAGGTACTTCGGGTTGTAAAGGTTGTTAAGAAGCAATGGAGGGGCGAAGACCGAAGGAGTCAAGCGCGCCGGGTTGCGTTGGGAGATACTCGAGCGTCGCTCGCCAGTTTGATTGATCGAATACCGAGGCTTAGCGGACGGAAGGCCAGGTAGCCCGTATATCTTGACAGCGCGCCAGTCTCCAGAGTCTTCTTCTTGCTCATTAAAACTTCCAAGCTTGATTGAGGCGAACATGTTGAGCTGCGGCTCATCTGTAGCCTCAATCCGAACCCAATCGCCAGAGAAACAGCCAACCTTTGCCAGTGTACTGATATCCACAAAGATGAATGACTCTACATCATCATCGTCCCTCGGTCGAGGATGCAAAAGATCACTTGGAACCCTGCGAAGTAGACTTTCCGCCTTGAAGACCTTGCCGCCGCTTGTCCGGCCAGGACGCATTGTTGCAGAGGTGAAATTGGATGCCACGGAGCCCGGCGTATGGGTCCCGTCCGCCCGTCGGCCCCCTGCCCGAGGCGTAGCAGCAGTCATCGCAGACATCATACCCGACGGGGGCTGGGGAAGTTCAGGAGCAGTAAGGGAGATCATATCATCCAGAGAGTCATCAGACGTATCACTCGCATTTCCTCCGGAACCCTCAGTCTCCGACTCGTCCGCTGTCGTTGTACCTTCGACCTCCGTGCTACTCTCGACGGGTTTATCTTCCGCGGCAGAGTAAAACTGCTCGTTGGAAGTGTCGTCAGCCTCGTCTTCCGCGACTTGCTTCAAAAGACCCGAGCTCGACCGTAGGGTCCGTTGTGCCCGGTGGCCTTGGGGTCTTGCTTGGACCAGAACCACTTTAGTGGTCGGCATCAGAAGCCCCTGGGACACGGGTTCACAGAATGAAATGCGCGCGGGTGGGGATGGAGCATAGGTAATGGGATGCGGAGGTAAAGGAAGTGGCAGTAAATCCCCCGCATGCACCACCTTCTCAGCCCCGAGAGCCTGCCTTACAGCAGCCGTCAGTCTATCTTCAGCATCTGCGGCCGCCTTCTTGGAGTATTTCTTCGTCTCGACGCCCTTTCCTCCCTTTGTCCACGGTCCGTTAGACCCGTTCTGGTTCGAGGTAAAGCCCCCGCCGAACTTGTTCTGGATATCATCGTGGTTTCGAAGAAGGTTCCGCTCCACATTCACATAGATCGTATCCAATGGCAGGGGCTCGACATCCAACAGCCGTATCTCAATAGCGCGCTGTGTCTGTAGATTATGGCGGGTGGGGTCGAGTTTGCTCAAGGTATCGACGAATGGTTGTAGGGATGCTGCCGACTGTGGGACAAGAACCGTCGAATGGGGGATTGGCGATTTATTGGAGCGATCATGGGACGGTGAACGGACCGGGATGATAGTCCAAGCCAGATCCTCGACCGCATTGTAACCCGGCAGGTACGGCGAGATGGCGATGTAATATACCTCATTCTTATCCCGACGACCATCTAGAGGCACAAGCAAAGTATAACACGTCAGCGGGGCAGTTTCGCTCTCGGGACGTTCCATTTCCACTCACCGGTCAAGCTGGAATGTTGGAAGAGGTCTCCGGCCAGATCATCGGACACAACACCGACATTGCCGTGGAGCTGGGGATCGAGAGAAAGGCGGGCAGATATAGGCACCCGATTGCGCGTTCGCCGTCTCACAGCATTGCGTCTCCGCCGCTTGGGTTGGTCTGAGTTGGAGGTGTGGTGGTCAAGGTCCATGATCGAGGAGCGCGGCGCGGCTGTGCTCAAATGCCGTGGGTTGGGCGGGGAGTGGTTCTATCTGCCGCGGTATCCGGGTGGGAAGAGAGAAGAGATGAGGAATTAGTATGGCAGGGTTGAAGCGGATAAATTGATCGTGTTCCTCTTCCAAAAGCGACCAAGGAAACGGGAGAAGGGAAGGAGGGAGCAAGAGAGATGGGGTAGGGGGGGGTAGAGGGGGTAGGAAGCAGAACCGCGGAGACTGCGATCGGCTGCGGTTGCTTGGAGAAAGTCCGGGGAGGAGAGCGAGGAGGAGCTGCTCGGCACCGCCCGCTCGTTCTGCCCCCTTCGCGGTGCCGAGGTTCGTCTCACCTGACCCGGTCGCATCCTCCGCCTGCTTTTGCGGCCATCTATGGATTCGATTCTTATCTGCAATCACTCCTCTGGAACGATATATTGGCCATGCTATCCAGTGACTCCCGCACCATCCAGCTCCAGTTTCCATTTCCTTCATCCACACATGGACAGTAGGTCCATATCCTCTCCTCTATTGCATCTTCTGCATGAACTATTCACCCATCATGGTCTTGGCAGGTAAAATCCCAAATGGGAAGTCATACTATCTACCCAGCCACGCCTCAATCGTTTGGGGATATCAACAGATAAGCCTCACCGCTATACTTACCGCCTCAATGCCAATTTCGTCAACCTCGAAGCTATACCAAACATCCCACCGTCGCTGAAACCGAAGACCTCAGAGGTAGACCGACACAAGTCCGTCTTACCCATGAGCCGGGCCAATACAAGCATTGTACTCTGGGTACGGACAACTCAGGCATATAGAGACGCGCAAGCTGAATGATACTTGCTGAGTCGTCGTCATCACGATGAAACTGTTTCAGAGACAGACTGTGTCTTGCCAACGTCTCCTCCAATCTCAGTGTTTGATAGGGTGTCCGACCGTTCCTTGTCTCTTCATGATTGATTACCATACTTTTGACACTTTTGGCTATATCGCTCAAGCGGCATGTGGCTGTGACTGACCCCAACAGCAGATGTCCAGATTTTCCCGACTAATCGTGAATGAGATCCCCGAGGTTACCTGACATATGACTTATCAATTGAAGTCAGGCCCAGACGGGGGATTGATTGGCGTCTCTTAGAATTATTCACATGACTCATTTAAAAAAAAAAAAAAAAAACCCTCGGTTCCATACAATCTACCCTCGATCGGGCGTAATGTTGTCTGGGACTGAAGGATACAGATTGTTAGACCAAATAAAGTTGTTTTGGTAGGTAGTACCTCTGTGTCTCCGTGTCTTGTGGCAGGGGAGCAGTGGATGCTTCCTCATGCCAGGTCCTGACCCGAGGTTCACAGAAAATCCCCAGCCATAGAATCTGACCGGAGTAAGTATATGATCAAGCAACAACAAAATTCACGAATGTTGTAAGCGACAGGCCTGGTTCACCGGTTGAGCCCCATCAATTCCAAGCTAGGCAGTTGAAAAGAGGTCACGCAAAAGGGCGAATGGTCTGCTGTCAAACTGGCTGCTAAGATTAGATGCCAACTACTTTGCTGCAGAGCAGAACCCACTTGGACATGTGCCTAACTAACTAGCCAACTACTAGATACCTTGTTGCAGTCCAAATAAAGCACTGATTGAGATCTTGACAAACAGAGTGCCTCATCCTTCTGCAGCGGAATTGTGCTGCCTTCGATAGCAGAGTAGATAGACACACGGCACGGTGAGTTTTTAGAACCGTCTGGAATAGGCAGCCCACTTAATGCCCGGCGTATTAAACCATTAAAGTTTCCGAAACCAGCAGCGTTTTGGCCTTGGACAAAAAGAGAAAAAAAAAAAAAAAAAAACGGAAGGGTTGGGATTACTCTGGGATTCGCTGTTGAGTTGTGTAGTTTGTGGCGCAGCGGACAGCCAACTTACTGTGTAGAGAAGGATGTGCCACCACTGCTTTGCACTGAACTGTTGGTCATCAAGGACTCCCAAGGTATCCGAGCTCCCGAGCTAGACACTGAAACACCGAGAAAAAATCCCTCTAAAAGCACGAGCTTGACGCCTCATCTCCTATGTGCTACTTCGGATACAAGAGACCAGGCCGAGAATCGATGCTCGTCACCAGCAACCGCGTCAGACAAGTCAACAGCCCTATCTGGGATGCAGGGAGACAGCGTCAGTGAACCAGTCCCACTGGTGTAAATAATTGGCCGCCGTCCGGATGTACGCGGTTAGGGCCGTCCAATGATCAGGGCTGTTAGCGGTTGCCATGCAGCTCATCGTCACCGCGATGAGGCTCATCCAAGAGCACCCAGGGGCCTACGAGTGGCAGGAGTTCCAAGGAAGAAGAATACTTACTCTAACGAAGTACCGTGACAAGGCTACGTGGGTGGCTACGAGGCCTGCGACGATTGGGCCAAGAACATCGCGCCTGTCAAAAAGAAGGTGCTTAAGGGCGGATAGACACAGTAGACAGGCCCAATAATGCTCTGTCGGCCAAGGTCAATGCGAGCCAGTCTCCTGCTCTTTGCCTGGGCGCCGTGCCGGACGGAGTCCGTACAGGGGACATGGGGGGACCTTGCTCAGTTAGTAGTTATCATATGATGACAGTAAGCCGACGGTGGCCTCGTGATTGGCTGGCCCGGCTGCTGGCATCTGTCGTAAGACTGAGCGTGATTAGAAATACGGAGAACGGTCGGCTAAAAGATGAGATGCTGTCTGGGTCTCTGAGATGGAAGCAAGGCGAGAGATGCGGGCTGCGTCCGTGAGTGGTTCGCCCGGAGGGAGTTTACCCCCGTGCTGCCGTACTCGTACTTTGTAGATGAAAAGGGAAGAGAGAGGAGGTGGAAGGTGGAAAGGTTAAAGGCTCTGGACTACTTTACTCCAGCAGAGTGTTCGTGACCCCCGTTGGTCTCTATTTTCGGCAGTGCCGGAGCCCCCCACTTGCCAACCCCTGAAATCTGAATGGCCGCCCCCAGCAGCAGTGGATCCCAGTCGGCGCGGAGAACGGGACTCAACGGCCCCGACCACGGGTGAATTACCAGCCGGGCAGTACCAGAGAGTACTGGGACCGTCAGGCAGAGCAATACAGCGATAAACTGGTCGTATGTAGTTAGTACGCTGTTACCGCCAGGACGGCCGAAGGGAACCGTGGTGGTGGGGCGATGCGAGGGCCCTCCGCCCAATCGCCGCCCCGAGTCCCTCCTGGGCCTTGCCCGTCCGGGCCTAGCTCGTCTCGTCTATCAGGCAGACATCCAAGACGACTCAGCCCGGATGAACAGCCTCAGTCTTCCCTTACCTTCCCAAGTTCCATGATCCATACTTGACCCCATTCTCTCCTGCCACCGACAACCTGCCATCTCCGCTATCGCGTCCGTCCTTCGCCCTTCGCCCACCCCCCCCATCCCCCATCCGGCTGTGTCGCTTCGAGATCATCTCCATCGCTGGAAAACATAGAGTTGCAGCAGGTCACGAAAAGGGTGACTACTTCCGCCAGAGTCGGCCACGGGGCATCCCGTCACCTTCCCCCCTTCTCCCTATTCCACCGAGGCCCCCTCCCTCATCGAGCGATCGTCTCCCCCGTCTCTCGGCATCCTGGCTCTTGACCACAGTAAGTCTGTCACGTAGAGCCTAGTTCTTGCGATTCTCCGCCTTCCTGGACTCCTTTCTCGTCTCTTCTTGCCAAGGTCAACAATAATCTGACGCTCCTCGAGAATCATCCACCGACCGATACGTCACTGGGATTGCATCACCAGTCCACAGCCAACCCATCGCCATTGAGTTTCCGTCCGTAACTATACCAAACAATACCGGCGAATCCCTCCGTTCTCTGCAAGTCTCGACAACATTGCCGCCTACTCGCCAATAATGATCGCATCGCATCAGCCCGAAAAGATGAAATCCCAAAACCCCCGCCGTGGGCGGGTGATCAACACACCACCTTCTCTGTCCTCGCCAGACCTTCACCTGTCAGTCCGGTTGCCTTTCCGTTTGAAGAAGGGAGAGACCTTCCACTCCACAAGCCCGTCCGATCGTGACTCGTCGCCCGTATCGCTTTCACCCCGCCGTTCGTCCACCTCCCCGGGAGCTCTGCAGGCCTTTCAAGCTGGTCAGGAGCGTATGGCCAAGATCCTGAGTCGCCTGGATCTGAACTCTACAAAAGCGCCTGCCTTTGATGATTATGACGATTTTCCGGTTCCCAAGGGTAGCTTGAAGGCCCTTGTTGAAAAGTCACAGGTTGAAAAGTCACAGCCGCGTAAAGATGACCTAAACAAAGACAAACCATCCCCACCAAAGGAATCCACCGAAAAGACTAGAAATGTGCACTGTCACCCTTCAGACAGTGGCCTAGGAACATCCGTCAGTAGCTGCCAAACCGCATCTTCACAAAAAGGTGGGTTTCTATCAATTTCATCTTTCATCTCTTTCAAAGCAGGCTGGTCTGATCCTGGTTGCAGTGAAAGTTGGTCCTTTGTCTCAGGACCGGTCGCAAGCTACCACCGGCTCTATTAATGCAGTTGAAACTGAAACCACCCCGGAGCACAAGCTCGGCCTGGGTACTTGCCTAGAGATCGAGAGACGCATCCTTACTCCCCTGCTTGGACAGGATACTTGCAAGCCGTTCCATCATCTTGTCGAAAGTGCTCGCGAGCAGATTGCGGGGGAAAAGATTCGCACTCTCCGTGATCTTGAAAAGGCACTGCTTTACGTCGCGGCTGTAAGTCGACTTGCAAAATCGACAACTTAATGTTGCTTACCAGTTCAACAGGACGTCGAGGTAGAAATTGGCTCATACTACCAATTCTGCAGTTCTACGATCTTGTGCCTGCATGAGACATACACCCACGTGAACCCACGGGATTTGTGTCTGCCCGCCGACAAGCCTTACAGCAACTCTTACTTCCTTGATCTTACCGCCCAGGTTCATCGCTTCAAGACCATGCGGGACGAGGCCCGTAAGAACAAGAAGGACATGTAAGTCTTCGCCGCTTGTATGGAAACGGGCTGGGGGCTGATTATTTTAGGGAGCCACAATTGATTCTCGAGGGCGGCCTGAGTGCCACCGGGCGTCCCCTTGAGCTTGTTGCTCAGAAGGATGGGGAGTCTATCTCCTTGCAGACCGGGAAGCCGTTTGATGAACTTGCCCCTCCCTTGTTCAAGCGTACCCTAAGCCTTGGGGACGGGGACGAGGGAGCCAGACGGTCTATGGCTCGCCGCAAGAAGAACGCACCCCCGATGAACATCAACACGAAGTGCTCTCACTGCGATAAGATTTTCCAGAGGCCGTGTGACCTGACGTAAGTCGTCTGAAGTCGCTGGTTCAATATCCGCTAACTGTTACAGGAAACACGAGAAAACGCACTCGCGCCCCTTCAAGTGCCCTTTCGAGGGTTGCAAATACTATGATCTTGGATGGCCCACCGAGAAAGAAAACGAGCGTCACATCAACGACCGTCACTCGACGACACCTCGCATGTACGCGTGCACATTCGGCGGCTGTGCCTACAAGTCCAAGAGAGAGAGCAACTGCAAGCAGCACATGGAAAAGGCCCACGGTTGGAACTATGTGCGTGCGAAAAACAACGGTCGCAATGGCAAGCGGCGGGCCACCCCGGTCGGTGCCAGTCCAGACCAAGACAGTTCGGTTGAGTCGAGTCCGGCGCAGTCGAGCCCCGATCAAATGGGTTCTGTTCCCCTCGCCCCGGCTCAGATGGCTTCCCTTCATCAGGGTTCAACCCAGATGAACCCGCTCCAGATGAGTCCGGACCAGCTCAATCTGCTGCAGATGAACGCCGACCATATGAGCCCGCTTCAACTCAGTCCCGATCACCTGAGCCCGCTTCATATGGGTTCCGACCGTGCGAGTCCCGTCGAGATGAATGCCCTCCAGATGAGCCCGGACCGAGGAAGCTCGGTTCAAATGAGCCCACCTCAAGTGAGCCCTGCCCAACTGAGCACTCCTGCGACCGGCCCCCTCCAGTCGCCAACCGGATATGTGAACAACTACTCGCAAGGCCAGATGTTCCAGCTGCAGGATCCCTACACACAGCTCAAGAACGAGGACTGCGTTCTGTACACTGACAATGATTTCGCGCCATACAACAACGGAGCTAATGACTTCTTCGAGGACGCCTCGTTCGGGTATGGCGAGCATCTGTACCAAACCGCCCAGATGGACATTGGTGGTATGGGTGGCTTTTGCGAGGAGGCTTTCATGAACAGCAATCTGCTCTGGGACGGCAACCTGACGGATGAGGGCATGTTCATTCTCAACCAGGCAACCAACATGCCTCCATTCTAAACAGCGCATTCCGTTTGCGGTCGAGATGCCGGGCAGTCTCGTTCGTCGGCTTTTGCCTTTCAGTCCCTCGTTTTGCCATGGTGTTGTCATTTTAGCGGATTTAGGATTGGTGTTTTTTTTTTTTCATTTTCACCAAAAGAACGGCCGCTCTTTTTTCTTTTTTTTTTTTCGCCTACGGCTACCTACAGCAGTAGTCTGGTCTTCTCTTCTTCACATTCCTGTTCATTCTAGGTGTATGTTATCATGTGGGGATAGATTGCCCTCTCACTAGTCACGATCATAGTCGAGAGCCTTCCGAAGCGCAACCCCCCGCCTTTTTTTTTTTTTTTTTTCTTTTTCTTTTCTTTCTTTTCTTTTTCCCCTCTAGGATGGGTGCATCCCCTCTTGCGTGAGCGAGTCCAAAGGCGCAATACTTGGTTAGGACAGAATATTAAATTCATGAGAATGAAATACATTTATTTGCCATTTCTCAGCTTCTATCAGTGATGAAATTGTGTAATCCGTATCTCTAGGAAGACTTGCTATGGAACTTTATACCAAGATGGCTCGGGTCTTTGGGCATTGCTCTTTGTCTGCGTGACTTGGGGGAGTGTACTCACCACGTACGCTAATAGTAAGTATGCTATTCCCATCGTCGTCAAGGATGTCTGAAAGAGACCAACCAACCAATGCAGCACCGCATGGCATCTAGATGGTTTCATCTTCTATCCAGGTATCCAAAGGTAGCCAAAAAAAAAAAAAAAAAAAAAAAAAAAACCCCCAGAACCCCAGTGATCAAGAGCAGGTAACCCGTCTTTTTGGCTCTTTCAGTCTAGAGTACTTAGATTCAGGATTATACGAACTCTGCTACGCGTGAATCCTCCGTGAGGGTGGAGAGATACTTAGATAGGTAGGGAGGTAGGTAGCTCGCGCGAGATATATACCCAAGTTGAGCGGCTCGAAAGGGAATGTCAGAGGCCGTCCTGAAGGCAGGCAGTAAAAGTCAGGAAAATCGGGCCTTAAGGAGTTCCGTTCCGTCTCTGGTTTCATGAGGACTTGAAACCCCCGTGCGGGATGAGCTGCATAATCGTCGGAAAGTCGTCCAGTGCAGGAGGAATTGATCGGGTTGGCGAGACAGAAGCCCACGCTCTCTCGGAAGCTTCTGAAGCGAATAACGTGGAGGGCTATATGATCAGACGAGGCAAAGAGAGGCAAGCCCCATCTGTTCATTCTGGGCTGCGGTGCTCTGTAGGGACATTTCATCCCCAGCGTTTGCCTTTTGAGTCTATATTTTGATGCTGCCTCTCACAGATTGGGGACTCTGTATAGTTGGGGTGGTGTATATCAGCAGGGCAGTCAGAAGATCGGGACTCTTCAAGTTTGCCTGGGGTGGTTGAGGGTCCGGTGGGGCATTTTTATTACTATATGAGTAGTAGGTAAACGATCGGTTTCCGGTGGCTTATATTTATGTCATGAGTGATGGTAATATGATGGGGTCATTTGCGGAAGGGGCAAGAGCTGAAGGATATATGTTGATACCGTGTTCATGCATTTTGTACTAGAGGGGAGGGAATAGTAATGTTTTGGACATGAGATCTCTCTCCATTTGACCTTAAGAGGCACATAGACAGACCCACCGGTTTGTTGACCACTTAGGGCAAGCAAACGCAGCTATCAAACAGGATGAGAGGCTGGAAGAAGACGGAGAAGACAGGAGAGGGAGAGGCTAGTTTATATAGTATGCCAGTCCGTCTCTGGTCGTCATTCACCGGACGCAGTGATACATCATCCCAGTCAATTCCTGTTTTTCACCATCCTCATCACCATCACCATCACCATGTCTGAACAACAAGCACCAACACCAACACCAACGCCCACCCCCATCACCACCCCCTGGATCTACGTCTCCCACCCAAACCCAGACCCAACCCAACGGAACTGGATGCTGTTTGTTACCCCGGATTGCGTGGATGAGTATTGGGCGAGGGTGGTGCGGGGGACGGTAGGAGGGGGGGAGGGGGAGTTGGGGTTTGGGGCGAAGGTTGTTACCATGTCTGTTGTTCCTTCTTCTTCTTCTTCTTCTTCTTCTTCTGGTGGTAGTGGTGGTAGTCGTGGGGATGGTGGTACTATTGGTGGGGAGGAAACACAGCAGGGAAGGCGAGGTTGATTGCAATCTATACGAGAGATTATGAGGGAGGAGGGTGTTGAAGCGGATGGGCGAGTTGGGGCTGGTGAAGTCTGGCGAACGCCCGATTTATTACAAGTGTGATGCGTATACGCATCTGGAGATCATGGGGAATAATCCGTATGGGTTGAGGGCGAGTTTGTTTTCGAGTCGCGATGTGGGGATGGGATAGTGCTGAGTGCTGACTGCTGAGTGAGTGGGAGTGGTTTGGGTTCTGGTTCTGCGGGTTGGTCTGGATTGGTGTGGTTATGATTATGATGATGATTATGTACATGGATAGGTGAGGTGCTTGTCCGTTTGGGGGTTGGCTTGTTGGCTCGGAGAGGCGCAGTGCTGTGTGTGTATCTTCGATAGCGTTGTATCTTGACAATAGCACGGCAAGCTGACTGACTGGCTCGAGATGCAGATTGTGGCAGTCTCATGGCAGCAGTCTGTCTTCGTTGGACGCGTGGTGTGTCCGGTAGATTATACCAGAGCTGTCCAATGCCGGATCAAGCCGACTTGTAGGACGAGCTGCCACAGCATGCAGTCAGCACGCATCATGCCTTGCAGACATCATCGTCGTCCGTCGTAGAGTTGTCCATCCGAGACTGCTTCCAGTCTACACGAACACGGTTCAAAAGCGAAAAAGCATCGCCATCCTTCAAGAATAATCTTCCTCCTGACTCTCCATCACCTTCTCACACGCCTCCCTTACCTCCACAACCCCCTTAACCCCCTCCCACTTATCCAACAACGCGCAGACCTCCTCCCAATCCTTCTCCGCCTCAGCCTCCTTCCCCTCGTCAAGCAAGCTCTCCAACCTCCCCGGCGCTGCCAAAACCCACTGCACGGTCTGCCGTTCCGCTCGTCTACGCTCAGACCCATCACTCGCCTTGGCCTCCTTCATCCGACGCTGCTGTTCCTCGCCCTCCTGGATCAGCCCGCCGGCCGTCTCGGCCACGAACGCAATTGCCGGCCCCAGCGTCTTGGTCATGGTCAACGGCGCGCCCCGATCATCCATGCTGCGGCGCATCTTGCCGATTGTCTCCACCGCCCGGATCAGTTTCGAGTAGTTATCGTAGACTAGGGCTTTGCGTTCGCTGTCCAGCGTGCGGATGTCCCCGACGAGGGTGTTTTCCGCTTTGAGCACGGTGGAGAGGGAGGAGGTCGCGAGGAGGTGGTTGACGTAGCGCTGCGGGTCGAAGTCCGGGCTGTCGAGCTCGGTTCCGGTCGTTACGACGGAGGGGCTGGTCAGGTCGCCTGCCTCGGTGATGGTGTGTCGGGATACGCTGCGGGACCGTCGGCCGGCTGTGGGATCGATGGCCGCGGACGGCTTCAGGTTGTAGTAGTCTCGGAGGGCGGCGCGGTTGCGTCGGGGATGGAGAGACGGGGAGACGGCGCGGGCGGTGGTGGGCGTCGACGAGGCGCTGAGGCCGGCGGTGTCGAAGGACGGGCGGTGCGAGGAGGTCGGGGTCGGGGAGTGGGCGCGCGAGGAGGCGATTGAGGGACGGGGGGAGGAGAGGGTCGACATGGTGGGAAGGGGGGGGTGTAGAATTGGACGATGAGCGGAGACAGGGAGGGACAGCCAGATGGTGAGTTGGAGAAAGCCAGAGTTGGGGAGAGAGTAGAGAGGAGAGAGGAGAGACAGATAACTAAGGAGAGGATGAGGTCAGGTGGTCCGTTCCCCGGATTTGCTCCGCATCCGCCCGTTGTTTTTCAAGCTTCAAGCTTCAACCACCACCATCAAGTCTACAGCCATCCACAATGACAACCCCCCAATCGCAAATCTCCACACATCTCCAAACCAACAAATCGCTCCACGTCTCCCCAACCTGGCTCCACAGCTTCATCACCTCCTCCACGACGCTCCAACGCAACACCCCCCTCTCAGCACTAACCCAAACGGCGCTCTTCCGGATCCTGGCCTCCGACTTCCGCGACTCCCTCACAACATCGACCCCCTCATCCCTCCTCCCAGCCGACATCTTCGACCCGACGGTGCAAGAACGCCGCCTCCCGGGCCCGGTAGCCGTCCAGGTCCTCGACATCGAAGACATCGGGACGAGTCTCTGGAGCCAGGTGGAGGCGATCGAGCGGGTGGCGCGCGGGGAGGCGATCCGAGGACGGGAGATCGTGCGGACGGTGAACGTGGGCGAGGAGGGTGAGGATGGGGGTGTGGCGAGGGGGCCCGATACTGCGGCTGGAGGTACGAGTCCTGGGCCGCATCGGTTGATTTTGCAGGATGCGGCGGGGACGAGGGCCGTGGGGGTGGAGGTGAGGAGGGTGAGTGGGGTGGCGTTGAACAGGATGGCTATTGGGGCGAAGATGGTGTTGCGGAATGTGACGGTCGCGAGGGGGATGGTGCTGCTCACGCCGGAGTGTGTGACGCTGCTTGGGGGGAAGATTGAGGCGTTGGATCAGGCGTGGAGGGAGGCGAGGAAGGCCAAGTTGTTGGCTAGGATTACGGCGGGGCCGAATGGGCAGAATGGGCAGTAGGGAGATGAGGATGGTGATGGTATGGTATGGTATGTTCAACGTCTTCGTGATTCGTTGCTTTCTAATATGTTCTGTCTAGTTTGGCTATATGAAACAGACAGCTATGTATGTATGTATGCATGCGCAGCACACGGCCTAGCTGGTCGTCGAGACCGCGTGGCTCAACCCCTCCCACCCGCTCTGCTTCCACGGCGCAACCATGATCGACCGCAGGGCGTCGCTGGCCTTTCCGGTCTGCGAGTATGCCGCGGAGAGATCGGCGGCGTCCAAGCGGCTGCGGGGAGGAATGCTCTTCAGCGCCCTCTTGGTGGCCATCTCGGCAGGGTACAGCTCCTGTGTGGCGGCCGACAATTCCACCCAGCCCTGGGCTTCGTACGGCGCCCTCATCACCGCTGCCGTGGCCTCTCCGACTCGTCGGATTTCCTCGGGGGCCCCAGAGTTGTCCGAGTATCCCAAGGTCGACACGGCGGTCGAGAGCTTGATCAGCTTGCCCCGCTCGTGGATCTCGATGTCATCTCTCGTGATCATGTTCCGAAGATCAGACTCCACCGCCTCAATGGCGTCCTTGTCATCATCCAGGAGGGCAACAGCCCCCAGGAGCGTGACGGCACCGATATGATCCGGATGTTCCTCGACACAATCGAAGAGTTGCTGGCGAGCCACAGCGCGCTCCTCCTCTCCGCCCTTGGCCCACAGCACCTGTGCAAGAAGGCACACCACTTCCGGTGCGTTGTCGGCTTCCTGAAGCGCATCACGGAACATGTCAATGGCGCTGTCCATCGACTTCAAGTAGTAGTGCGCCAGGCCGGCTGTCAGATGGGCGGACAGGCGCAGTTTCCGGTTCGTCTCGGGGTCGAACTTCTCCGCATCCTCTTCCCCGGACAGCATGAGCGCCGTTTCTGCCTTCTCCGCCGCTTCTTCAAACTCATGGCGTGCCAGCAGAACACGCGCGATGTCCGCATTCGCCTGTGCAAACCGGGAAAGCGAGGACGTGGATTCGGTCACTTCGTATTCCGCCTCCATGCCCGAGCAGACTGTCCGCAAACTGGATTCGGCGTCGGCATACTCGCCAATTCTTTCGGCCAGAAGCGAAGAAAGATGGACAAATGGCAGGTCGAATGGGTCTTGGCTGGACAGCTGGTGCAGTGCAAAGAAGGGCTGGATGAGCTGCGATATCTCGTTCGACAGTGACGAATCGGACAGGAGGTGGTCGAACAAGCTCATGCTATACTGCTTCTTGGACAAGCTTGACGAGGATTTGGAGATATCAAAAGCATGCTCGAAAAGGCCCCTGGCTTCCTGGGGATCTCCGAACAAAAGGGCCAGAAGGCCTTGGCCAACCCAAGCCTGCGAGTAGTCGGGGTCGGTTGACTGCGCCCGGGTGAAGGCCTCGTTGGCAAGCTGGATGTCATTATGAATGAGATAGAGCGTTCCCAGATTCGTCCAAACCTGCGCGCTTCGGTCATTGAGGTGAAGACTCCGCACGAATGCATGCTGTGCGACCTTCGGGCTCATACTCGTAGTCACAACTCCAAGTGCGTTCCAGAACTCGGAGTTTCCGGCTTCGAGTTCAATGGCCCGCTTGAAACAGCGCATGGCCGCCTTGAGGAATCTGCGCGACTGCTTTTTACTCTCCACGGTCGAGGTTGCGTCCACACACCGGTAAGCTCTATATTCTGCCCAACCAAGGTTGTACCAAGCTACAGCTTGGGCATGGCTGTCCCGCAGTGAAACCTGTATGGCACGCTTGTACGCCAAAATCGCGGCATAGAGACATTGGTTTGACGGGGTAGAGCTCTCATCGGCTGTCAGCGATGACAAGTAGTCCTGGCCAATGTTGTCAACCTCTGTCATGATATCCAAGGCCGTAGGTTCAAGTTGGGTCGCGAGCAGGGCTTGCAGCTCATTGATCGGCAGCCGGCCTGCCTTCGATTTAACGTAAGAAAAGAGGGCGCAGGCGTCTCCAATGCCCTTCCACAGGTTAAAAACATCTACTCTTTCAAGAGCGAGTGAGTTCGCCACCAAGATAGCTTTGTGTCCCAGCTCAATGCAGTCGTTAATAAGTCCCAATTCCAAACTCTTCCAAGCACTCTCCGTAAGCGTCTGTAGTAGCGCAATGGCCACTCCAAATTCGTTTGGTCGGACCTGCAAGACATCTTCGTATCTTGCAATAGCATCGTCGAACTCGCCAAGCTCCCGCTTGACGTTGGCCAGCATGTATCTGGCGAACCAGATCTGCTCTTTATCGGAGCTGGAGAGCGTGTTTTCCAACTGCTGCGCGTGCTCGAATGCCTTGGTAGCGGCGATGAATCGACCGGAATGGTGATAGCTCTCACCCAAACCAACCCACGAATGATAGTCATTCGGGGAGATTCTCAGCGCCGCCTGGAAGGAGACAATACTCTTCGGGTACTGCTGCTTATTAATTTGCACTGTGCCCAAAGCTGCGTAGGGCCAGCTATAGCCCTTGCGCTTCGAGCCGGGGGCGGGCTTAGCCTTTCCTGAATCGACAACACGCTGGGACACGGCCTCGACGAGATCCCATTCCCTTTGGTCGGCAAATGCTTTAGCAAGTCTTTCAGCGGCCTCGATTTCCGAGGCGGAGAGTTCGAACGCCTTGTGGAAACACCGGCGCGCCCGCGTCTTGTCTTTCTTGTAATCCGCATAGTAGAACCCAAGGCTGGTATACGGGGGTGCGAAGTTCAGATTGGACTGGATGGACGCGAGGAAGCTGGCGTAGGCGCCACTGCGGTCCTTGCGCGCGGCCGGTGAAGGGTCGATCTCCCACTGGCAGTATCCCACGCGGTACAGGATATCGGCCTTGAATTCCTTGTTCTCGGTGCGCGCCTCCTGGAGTTCCGCCAACACATCCTGGAGCCCGTCGAGACCAGACGCAAGGTCGCCATTGAGCGCTCGACACCACGAGAGCTCCCCGCGAACCTTGATATTCGATGGGTCTCGCTCCAGTGCGCGCTGAAGGAAGTTGACAGCTTCCGGGTAATCTTCGTCAACTTTAAGGATCAAACCAATACCCAGCAGGCAGCTTGTCGCCGTTGGCTTCCTCGTCAGAATCTCTTCGAAGATGCGCTTTGCCTCGGGGTGGTGTCGTGGAGACTGGTAGTAGATGAGCGAGTTTGCAAGCATTATGTTGAAGCAATCGGTGGTGTTTGTGCAATCAATCCCAGTTCTGCGAACCAAGTCTTGGATATTTCGTAGTCCCTTGCGACAGACATCCACGGTGCTGTCGTATTCTTCAAGCGATAGGTAAAGCTTGCTCACGATGCGATGTGCGACGATGGAATCAGAGGATGCTTCCAGACCTTCCACCATCAGGAGCAGATTATCGGGAACAGAGAGTTCGTTGTTCTCGCCGTTGCTGTTCTCCACTTCCTCGTCATCCTTTGCCAATTCCTTATCCTTAGCCTCCTTGGATTTCTTGGTCTCCTTCGGGAACGGAGATAGGTCGCTGGCCAGGAAGCCCTTAAGGAGCTTGGAGAGACCATCCTCTGGGAAGAATTCGATGAAGTCGTCCAGAAACACGCGATCCCACTCCGAGAACTCCTGGATATCCTGCCACTCGAGGACCATCTTCCACGCCAGCTCGAACGGATGCTTGATGATGACCATCTCACGAGCAGCCTGCAAGACTTCTGCGCGCTTGGCGTCCTTTTCATCCGCGGGGAGAACGGAGAGGGTGTCGTTTGCCCGTCGCAGCAACTTCTCCTCATAGGTGCGGCGGACCTGGTCGTCATGAGACCAGTCCACAATACCACGGTATAGAGGCTCCAGCTCGCTCCGCTTGAAAGCCTCCCTCTTGACCTCCAGGGTGACCTGATCAATCTTTGCACCCAGCCGGGTCCGGCGTTCTCCAATTTCCCGGTTGATGAATTCCTTCTCCTCCGCTTCGGTCATTTCGATCAGGCGGAGATAGGTGTGCGCGGGATGGGGCACTCTCCCTTCCATGAAGTTGTAGAGCGGACATGACGGCAGGTGTAATTCGAGGGCTTTCTTATATTGCAGGCGGGAACCGTTCTTCTTCGCGAAACCGACGAACTTGTCGACGAGGTCTTGGCAGCGGTGCTTGTCATCTCTGAGCTCCGTTAGCGGTGGAGAGGGGTAGCTTGGGGGAGAAGAGGGGAAAGAGGGCGACGCACGCTTCAGCGAACAACAGGCCCAGACCGATGACTGCCTCGCGATAGGATTCGAGCTTCTGGGCTCCCTGCTTCTCGTATAGGTTGATGAGACCCTGCCAGGCGGTCTTGTCGTTGTCCTTGACACGGATTGCTGCACGGTAGGCCTTTTCAGCATCGACGTTCTTGTTGAGCTTGTCCAAGGAGAGACCAAGGAAGACGTTTCTGTGAATGGGACGGGATGTTAGACAGCGCGCACTGGTCGGGGTGGTTGGGGGGGGGGTATCGGGATGGTCGGGGTCACCCACGCATGGTAGATCTGAGGGTCCTGGAGGACGATGGCCTTGGCCTTCTCGGCGGCCAGCTCGAAATCCTTGGCGTCGAGCGCAGCGCGCACCGCCTTGAGAGCGGACTTACTGGACATGCTAGGACAATTGCTTCATGGCCTGGCCTGGAGCGGCGGGTGGACAGCAGGAAGAGGCGCGGAGAGTTGAGCCGGTTGAGAAAAGGCCGGCAGGCTGTGTGGGGAAGGAAGCCCGAGCGGGTACAGGCAACGTCACTGGTTCCTCCCGCTTATCCTCTTGAACACATAGGATGGATAACCATCCAGCATGATTCATCCTATATCTACTCCTAGTAGAACTCAGGAGAGACACTTGCCTATCCTAACCGATGAAGAAGAGCATTCAACCGTTTTCCCCTGCCAACTGGCCAGTCCCTTTCACCGATGGCAGGGAATGGACATGTCCAGAAAATACATATATTCCAAAGAGAAAGAGGCCCATGGACGCCACCTTGCTCTGCTGTTGTTGTCTTTGATTTAGTTGAAGAGATCTGACACCCCATGTGGGAAAAAAAAAAAAGGCTAGAGCCGTATCTAACCATCTGTTTACCTCCGTTACCTAGGTAGTGTTCCTAAATAAACATTCACATTTTCACTACATAGTAGTACTACCTTGGTGAATAGAGAGACCTCTAATAGGACCGCTGTCAAGTTCTAGGCAATGCAAAAATCCACCTTACCCCACGAGCATATGAGGTGTAGTATGAGGTGTTTGTATCAGACCAGACAGAATACTAGCCATTACTAAGCCATGATATATTTCTTTGTTGTTGCACTTGGTGATTGACTGTAAGAGTAGTAGTCTATTGTTAGTAGTGGAGAGAAGATCAACCCCAATCATACTGAGAGTATCTACTAACTACTCGTCGTAGTACTCGTAAGCTAGATATAGACACCTAACAGAATCAGGAAGGGGCGACCGAATCGAGATGAATAGACTGATTAGGAAGGCGGGCGTGGCTTATCGATAGTGGAAGCGGTGAGGGAATGAATGAGCTGTTGGTTGTGGTGATTGGAGCGGGAGGCCGTGGAAAATTGCAGGAGACGGAGACTGAGCTATTTATCTTTCTCTCTTTCTTTCTTTCTTTCTGATCCCAAGACCAAGCAAGCATTATTGTCCCTCTCCTTCTTCCTCTCCCTCCCTTTTCTGCCTCTCCCGCCTCTCACATATCATATCACATAGCTTCCGGCCCCCAGCAAAGGAAGCAATCCTCCCCCCTCCCCCTCCCCCTCCCCCTCCCCCTCCCTCTCCTCTCCCGTTGACAACCACCCGCGCGCATACCTTAATCCCAAACACCCCATAAACCCTTTCTTAGGCAGAAACTCCCCCCATCCCCCAGCAGCGCGGCGCCGCAACTGCCCCCTCCCCCCCCCCCCCGACGGCGCTTGCCGAGTGTTGCCCGCGTCGCCCACCCTTCTGGAAATTGCCCGTGGCTGATCTCCGCACCCGTTCTTTATTTGCCCAACGCAGTTGTCCCCTGGTCCCGGTTTCCGGCCCAAGTTCCTGAAAGAGTCTCCGGCGTTGCAAGGGCCCTAGATCATGCCCGGAATTGGTGCTGCCACGCGAAATCAATTGAGCTAATCTATCTATACGGTCCGTTCGTGCCAACAATTCCCCCCCGCAGCTAGCTAGTCCCCGTCCAAAAGCCCCCCCCTCAATGGCGGCCGAAGCAGATCTATCGGAGGGCCGCATGGCCGATATTATTCGTGCCCTTGAGCTCATCCACAGTCCCTCCTCGACAAATGAACTGCGCAGAGAGGCTCTGACGTTCGTCGAGGCGCAGAAGGAGAGCAAATCCGCGGCGCGTAATGGCTTTTTGCTCGCGTCTCCCGACCAGAGCAACCCGCTGGTGCGCTACTTTGGCCTCGGCCTGCTGGACCACGTCTTGCGCCACACCTCCTTTGAGGCCTCCGACCAGATCGCCGCGCTCAAGGACCTGGTCCTGCAGCTGGCGGAGTCGATACGCCCGGAAGACCCGGCCTATATCCGCAACAAGATCCCCCAATTATGGGCCGAAGTCGCCAAACGCAGCTGGGGCCTGGACTGGAACGAGATGGACGCTACGCTTGTGCAGTTCTGGGGCGCTAGCCTGGTCCACAAGGAGCTGGTCCTGTCCATCCTGGAAACGCTGTCGGAGGACATCTTCTACCGCGAGGACACGGTCTCTTCCCTGCGCGGTACCGACCTCAACCGGGCCTTGGTGGAGATTTGTACGCCTCTGCCGGTCTTTGAGGAGGTCCACCCCAAGAAGGACCATGTTGAGCTGCGCTGCGGACCCGAAGGCTGGCTGTCTCGCATCTGCGCTTTTCTTCAGGACTGCATTGGGAACATCCAGGGCTCGAAGCAGGCCCGAGACTCCGCTCTCAAGGCTCTTGCGACCCTCAAGTCCGTCCTCGCCTGGTCAATCCCGAAGGCCATCCTCTCCGCAAACTGTGTGCCCAGTATCGCTCGAGCGTTCACCTGTGATGACGAGCAAGTGTTGCTGGTAAGGACCCCCCTTGCACTTATCGCAGAAGTTATCAGCGTTGACAAACTTGTTAGGCCGCGGTGGAAGCCCTCCATGCCTTATATAGCAGGTCTAATATCGATACCGAGAGCTTCCAACCACTGGTACATCTGATGTACGAGACGGAGTCCTTGGGCGTACTGCAAAAACTGTACGAGTGGTCGGTCGTTGGGCCCGACGATGTCGACGACACCAAGTATACGATTTGTAAAAAGTTATCCGAGGTATGAAGTCAATGCCATCAGCCTTGGGAATCCCATCCACTAACAGTTCGAAAGATGTTGTCATATGTTGCGGGTTTCTTGGAAGAAAAGGCTTTCGCGCTAGAGAGCGCAAACGGTCTCAATCTTCCGTTCTTCTTCCACCTCACCATCAGCGTTATCCAGAACCAGAGTCTCACCATCTCGATCCCTGTGCTCCATGTGTGGTCCAAGCTGATCGCGTCCGAAAGAATCGGGAATACGGACCTGGTTACTGGTCTCGTTCCCTCGCTGTTGGGAATCTGTACTGAGCGGTTGATTCGTTGGGAGTCTCTCCCGGCCGATTCAGACAATCCTACCGTTGCTTTCCTAAATGAGGACATTGACACGGTTCCGGAGCGGCATGCGTTTGTTGGTAACTACAGGCGCTACTGCTCATCTATCATCGAAACCATCGTCCAGAAGCGGCCACAGGAAGCGATCCCCCATATTCTGTCGGGAATCGATGCCAATTTGGATGGCCTCTACAATGGGGTCGAACCTTTCAGCGGTGAGTACGGCCCGGCAGTTAGTTGAATTTGAAATTGACGTGGTGAACTAGTCAAATCATTCTCGAAGAGCTCGATACCATTGATGCGTGCTGACACGCAGTTTGCGGTCGTCGAGGCAACTTTGAAGGGATACAACAAATGGGTCTCTGCGCATGGAAAGATGCCACAGCAAGATGTGCGAAAGATCGAGATCCCACCCTCCGAACCCAGCTAACATCCAAGCAGGAACAGAAGCGGAGTGACCTGGAGCAGATTTTGGAGGCGTGGGCTTTCAAATTGATGCAGCGGAACTTTGAGGTTCGATTGCGCGGCTCATTGCATTCCGGTACACCTTGCTTACAATTTGTTACAGGACCCCGTTCTCAAGCAACGCGTCATCAAGCTTGTCGTTGATATATCCGCTAAAGCGCTCGATAAGACCCCGAGCTTCGCGCTCAAGGCTCTCGAGTACATCCTTATGACACGCCTGCCCGACCAGCCGGACTACCCTGTATACTCCGAATCCGTCAAGGAACTGCACGGCCTGGCCAGCCATGAACTCCGGCGGCTTGCCATGCGCTACGCTGATTACTTTGCCGTAAGCAAGGCCTCACATGCCCCCCGGACGGTGCTAACTCATGTGTGCAGACTTTTTATGACCTGCTCGAACCCAAGATCAAAGAGATCTCGATGGCCAACCGGGTCGACGACAAGCTGCAGATGGAGCTCACTTCTATCCTGCTCATTATCATGTAATACTCTACCCTGTCCGGCCCCAAATTAATCAATCGCTGACGCCCCAAAGGCAACGCGCGAACAATGTTGAGCCGTACCAGCGTCAGTCGCGATTGGTGTCCTTCGTGGAGCCCATCAAACAAGCATGGCAGGAGGACGAGCTCCGTAACATGAGCTCATCCTTCGAGGGGTTCTGTACTATGCTCGGATTACAGAGCGTTGGGCCGTATATGCGGGCGCGAAACGCGCCAAAGCTGGCGGATTGGGCGTCGGTGCCTCTGGACAACGAGGGCAAGCTCATCCAGGAGGAAATGACCCGAAAGTTCCAGGTATATTCGCATGACTCCCAATATCAAGCCCATATTCTGACTTTCGATCTAGCAACTACCTTTGCGAGGCACCAAAACAATGCTGGCAGTTTCCTCGGATAAGCTCAAAAAGGCCGAACCGGCATATGAGCTCGCCTGCAGTGTGTGGCAAGACATTATCCCAATAGTCTTACCAACCCTGCTGCAACTGGTCAGGTAAGGCTTTCTCCACCTCGCCCAAGACTATCTCACTAAAACACGTCGCAGCCATGCACATGCGTTCCACAATCCGGAGAACTGGGGCGGCATGCCCGATGACATGCGAGGTGTTGTCGAGCGCATCCTAACCGATAGATTCTGGCAAGCTGGGATATCCACCGGAAGCCGTGATGAATTTTATGCCAAAATCACCGCCTCACGAGCCTCTCTTGAGGGATTTGCATCCTCTGTGAGGGGCAAGATCCGAGCGGTCCGGGAATCCTGCTACTCGATGCTGTTCAGCATGAGCAGGCTACGCGAGCATTTCTACAGCTTTACAGAGCTTCCCGGGCCCCTCGCCCAGGCCTTGTTTACGGATTCTCCCCATCTCTCCTCTCACCAGTTCTCCGTGCTTCTCAACATCTCGAGGTGCTTGATTGATGACTGCCCGGTCCGGTTCCGGAGTCACTTTTTGCCCCCGATGCTCGCCACGCTCTTCACCAACATTGACAAGAAGGTGACCTCGGAGTGGGACATCATTGAACGGCAAAAGGAAGCACTTGCGGCGGAGATCGATCTCACAGACGAAATGAAGTCGGAGAGCATCCTACGGCAACTCACATATTCTGCGGTGATCTTTGTGGCAAGCCTCCTGGACCCACAGAGAGGAGGTAAGCTGCCCGATAAGTCCTTCACCAGTTGTATGCTAACGGGCCAACTCTAGACCCAGACGATGAGGCGGCGGATCCCAGCGCGCCCCAGGCCGCCCCGGCTCTCTCAGACTCGATCCGACACTTTGTTCTTTCGTCGCCGGAAATCTTCGAGCCGGTGATGCTCTTCTGCACGCACGCACTTCGTATGCGCGACACCCGATGCTGCAGCATCATCACTCGCGTCATCCGGTCCATCTTGCAAGACTTTGCCCCCCCAACAACACACCAACCACGGTAACTATCCGCGAGTTCATCTCGTCCGAAGTCCTCAAGGCGTGCATCACCTCGGTGCACGAGCCTTATTTCGTTGACATGCAGAAAGATCTCGCTCAGCTCATTGCATCGATTTGGATTCTCTACGGATCCACCAGCCCGACTCCGCGGGTCGTAATGCTCAGTCTTCCCGGGATGGACGAGCAACGGGTTGCCAACGCCGAGGCCGCGCTGGTCCGGTCCACGGCGGCGCGCCAGCAGCGAGCGCTGATTTTGGATCTTCTGGAGGGATTAAGAGGAGTTAGTATCGCCGAGCAGGGTAAGATAATGGGCTCTCGGGAGGAGCGCCGAAAGGCCCGGAGCGCGCTGCAGGAGCGGTACATGAGCACCAACGAGATGGACGGGCAGCAAACCCACAAGGTCGACATCAACGACGGACCGGACCTCGCGGGCGTCGCAGATCTGTTTGGTTAGGGGGCTTCCTTGGTGGGTTGCACCGTGGGTCTACTTTTGTATAGTACGGTGGCTGGACATAGTGCCTTTGCGTCTAGATCGTCACCACCGATTGCGGGATTGGCATTCTCACATATAAAGGAAAGAACATAGACAGCAGCAGGAGGATTGGATGCCACGCGGTATAGTACGAGGCACTTGATAGAAGCATGAGTCTTGCAAGAAGATAAAATGTAAAACACGCATTGCACAACTAGCGGATCTCCTACAGTCGGTATATCTACAAGTACGGAGTAGAATGTAGGGACCGGTGGAGTCGACGCAGAAAGTGGCAGCCTTTGGCGCCAAAACCGGGGCCCTTTCCACGCACCCGTAGCGTCTGGCAAGTCACTCCTGACCTGCTAGGGGGGAAATGTAGGTCAATTTAACGTAAATGGTTTCAGGATGTGAAACCGCTCTGTATGATGAAAACGATAGTAAAACACCTTGGTTGAAATTATCTAGAGGTCTACGAGTAACAGGCATCAGAGAGATGCAGAAAAAAAAAACTAGAACAACAATACACAGATAGAGAGAGAGAGGGCGGTGGTTGGGATGGTGGCTTTTGGAAGCCACCAGCCAGGCAACAACAAACGCTTAACACATAACTGGGTGAATATCGTCATCACTTGCCTTTATAGCTCAGTGGTAGAGCGCTTGACGTACGTCATTTTCCCAACTTCCCTTAACCAGTCTTTATCTAACATTTCCAAAGTTGTATCACCTTAGGATATCAAGAGGTCCGTGGTTCAATCCCGCGTGGAGGCACATTATCTTTTTTTTTTCTGTTCTTTGCATTTGTTGTCTATTTAGGTGCCTGGTTATTACTTGTCGTTTCTATCTCCTTGACGAATATTCATTATTTTTATTATTATTATTATTGTATTTTCCCCCCCGTTTCTTCGTATACATCTTCGTACTTCGTCTGGCCTTTTCAAGGAGTAGTCATGTATGTATGTATATTATGCTAGGATTGTATCCTCTAAGATAATAGAAGAGCTATACTTCTGTAGCATTTACATCGTCGCTAATTCTGTAGGCCATCTTGTCCATAGACACACACTCTGTACCTCACTATGATGACGTTCATGAGGTTGGAGGGGGGTTCAGGGTTACCAACTATACTATGTATTAATTTGCGAAGTAGATGTGGAAGGGAGACAAAAGTAAGTAGACGACGTGGAGGGATGACCCCAACTTTCTTCTGCCTTGCCCCCGCCCCTCAGACTTGATAACCTTGTTAAACTGCACCCTTCAGCTTTTATTATTATGTTGAAACAGCTTTGGCTCGTCACACTTGATTCGCTCTCCTCTCTTCTCTTGTTTACTTTCTTGAAGGTCTTTTAGACCATTGACTATCACCGCCTGTGATTGCGAGGTAGCCCCTGTTCTGATCTCACAAGTTGCCTTATCGCCCGGAAAGTCACCTCGCTATTTTGAGAGCCGGGGACAGCAGCATTTAGTAGCAGACGTGGAAGAGGTTAAACAGGGAATTCACAGGTACCCGCTTTACAGTAAACATACAAATAGCTCTTTCCCTCCCTTCAGCTAGGTAGACTGCTCCGTGGGCTGGTATGGCACCTCCCGATCCATGCAGCACCGCAGCAACAGCCTACCCACACGCCCATCCATCCCGCACTTAAAATGAAAATACTCCCAAGACCCCGATCTCTCCTTTCTATCTTTCTTTCTTTCTTTCACAGGAAAAATCAAGTCCTCCCGGTTCCCATCCACCGGTCTCCTCCCTCCGCCCCGATCTATCGAGAAATAACGACGGGACCTGAGCCGGAGCTGGAGCCGAGGACAGGACGAGACAGGACAGGACAGACCAACGCACACCGGTCACGCATCTTATCTTTTCTTCCCGATCCCGGTCCCGATCCCGATCGAATCATTCATTTCGCCTATTGCGTAACCTTGGAGGGGGTGTACATGAAAGTAGGGCGGACGAAACTATACCCAAGAAACATATTAGAAATCGACTCCTCCTGGTCCCCCCTCATCTCATATTGATTGAGGAATGTAGAGGAGGGGATATGGGGGTATATGGGTCCTCTTACCGGTCAGAGTGATAGACCTTGTTGTCCGTGCCAAAAAGCTCCTTCTCGCGGGCCTTGTCGGCGTAGTAGCGGCGCGCTTGGTCGCGGTCTTCCTCGGCTTGCAGGAGGGGGAGGATATGCAGACGGCCCCAGAGTTTCTCGCGGGCGAGTTCGCTGTGGGCGGGTGGGTGTGTTAGTGGGATGTATATGCATATGTATATGGATGTATGTAGGTGGGTGGACATGGATGTGGACGTGGCTGGCTGGGTGGGGGTGTGTGTATTTCCGGGCGCAATGGAGTTTATGCATGCTAGACTAGACGAGGTAGGCTATGCCAGGGAGAACGTACTGTTGCTCACGAACGGCGTAGAACAGCTTGTAGTAGCCAAAGGCCATGACGAGGTGCATGCCGATGAGGTAGTGGACGGGGCGGAAGCCGCGGGCAGGGATGTTGCGCTGTGATTCGGGACATGATTGTTAGTTTGAATGGATTGGACTTGAATGAACGGCGCACGCTTGAGGGGTGGTTGATTGAGGTTGGGGTTGTTCGGATGGGATGGGATGGGATGGACTCGGTAGCGCGTGGATGGATGGATGGATGGATGGGCGTACCTTGTACTGCACGGGCGAGTAGCCCCCGACCGGGGGCATATCCTGAGGCATGGTGACGACTGACGAGGGCGGCAGCCTTCAATGCTTGTGTGGAATGGGAGGGGTGAGATGGCGGAGGTCGATCTGGATATGATGCTGCACTCGGACGAACTTCGAGGTGTCGGGTCACGTGCGACGTGCGGGTTTGGTAATGCGGGCTGCGGTGGCCGTGATTGGTGCGTGGCGGCGCAATCTTTGGCGCCGGCTGAGATGGGTGGAGGAGCAGCACTACTGTTTCTACTCGGGAACATTGTCGACGCTACCGACGACGTCTGGTTTCTTGCGCTACAGACATTGAGGATTCGCATCCGACACGAGATATTCCGTCACCTGCCTTGGTTATTACCCAATGGAGGACGAAGGTAGACCCCGCAAACTGCCCAAGTTGGATCACGCCGAGTCGCAGGACTCCGAACCAAGAATGACGGGCGCGCTGGTGAGCGAGCAGCCGGACACGACCGCCCCGGAGACCACGGCGACGGCGACGGCGACGGCGACGACAGAGAACGGGGAGTACGAGATTGTCGGCGCCAATGCGGCGGAGGAGTCCAACGCGGGCGACGAGCCCAAGATCTCGAAACGACAGATGAAGAAGCTGCGGCGACGAGAGCAGTGGGAGGACCAGCGCGAGCAGCGCAAGACAAAGCGCAAGGAGCGGGGGCGGCGCGGAAGGAAAGGCGCAGGGCAGCGCTGGAGCAGGCGAAGGAAGACGGGACGCTGGCGGAGCTGAAGAAGTCGTACGAGCGCACGCCAGAGCGGTTCCGCAAGTCAAAGCTGCTGCCCATGACTCTGGTCATTGATTGCGGGTACGATGAGTTGATGCTTGACAAGGAACGCATCTCGCTGGGTTCGCAGATCACCCGGTCCTACTCCGACAACAGCCGGTCGCCCTTCCGGTCTCATCTGGTGGTGTCGTCGTTCAATAAGCTGCTCAAGCACCGGTTTGATACGGTGTTGGCGGGGATGCATCAAAATTGGAAGGGCGTGCGCGTGCTGGAGGATGATTTTGCCTGCGTCGCGGAGAAGGCGAAGGAGTGGATGGTCGTTCCGGCGGGGGGCACCTTCGATGGAGTGTTTGCGAACATGGCCGACGCGAAGCCCGAGGATGGAGAGGTGGTCTATCTGAGCAGTGACAGTCCCAATACACTGACCGAGCTGAAGCCGTTCAGTACCTATATCGTGGGGGGTCTGGTGGATAAGAACCGGCACAAAGCGATCTGCTACAAGGCTGCGGTGGAGAAGGGGATCAAGACCGCGAAGCTCCCTATTGGTGACTACATCCAGATGGCGTCGAGACAGGTCCTGGCTACGAACCACGTGGTGGAGATCATGCTGCGGTGGTTGGAGCTGGGTGATTGGGGCAAGGCCTTCCTGTCGGTTATTCCCCAGCGAAAGGGGGGCACGTTGAAGGAGACGACGCCTGGGGATAGCTCCCGGGCTGAGAGTGCGGAGATTAATGAGACGGAGGATGTCGTGGAAGATGATGCTGAGGTGGATGACGTTGAGAAGGAAGAAGCTGAGGCTGTCAAGCAGGCTGAGCAGGTCACGGATCAGGCCATGGAAGAGGCACCGGTGGATGCCAGTGAAGCCAACTGAAGATATTCGATCACATCGTTGTACATATGCACCCTACAGCTGGGGTTTTGGCTACGATAACTCACCCCCTGCTTGGGGTGCCTTTGCTTTCTCATAGAAGATTGCCTGCGGCGTTGCTGCATCGGTGTTTCATACCGACAAGTGTCTTGTATAGCATGTCTTAAGCCTTTCCTTCCATTGGTTGGATACGCGACTGTTGTTCGTCCCATCCTGAAGTGAACTAAATCGACACCAGATTGTTTGAGCTATGCTACTTTCTTATGCTATTTTTTTTTGATAAGCACAACCTCGATGTACCCGGCACATGGTATCGATAACCACTAGTACTTTGTATAACTACTGCCTTCATCGGTGGCTGTCGGTATGCTGATCACCACGCCACTCACTCCATCTAGGCGAATGGCAGGCTCTTGATCCACCCTCCTTCATCACCCAATGTACTGTGCAACTTAGGGCAAAGAAGGAGGCCAGTATGACAACGGTCCGTGCAGCAAGCCTTCTCTCGCAGGCCCACGGTTGTAGATCCATGCGTCATACAGTAGCCGCTCGCAAGGAACCGATCTGTGTAACCCGATGCCTGACCCTTGGGACACCCGGAAGAGGCGTGAAGGTAGAGAGTTGTAGTCCATTGCGTGTCCAGCAGTAGCAGTATTTGTTGTAATCGATTCATAGTTCATAGCACTCCGTGGAGAACGCCAGAAAGAAGTCGTGTCGTGGAAATGGCAGCCACGAGAGAGCCCTCTTACCTAAGCGGCACCGCCACCGCGACGCCACCGGGTTGCCACCGGGCGATCGATGACGGCAACCAAAACAACAACAACAGAAGATCCAAATGAAATTATTTCCTTCCCTCTTTCCAGAAGCTCCACTGACGTTCCATCGGTTGCTCCCCCCCAGCACCCCGTCTCGCTCGAGCTGTTCTCTCCTCCTCCACCGACCTTCTCGAGTGAGGCCAGACCTTCTTTTCTCTTCTATTTGCGTTTTGTTTCCCCTCATCGTCCCTTAACTAATCCCTGCCCCCCCGGCAACCTTGCATCTCCTCACTAGGGTCTAATTAACAACTCGCTGTTGCTAAGCAGCAGCAAAACAGCTCCAGCCATGTTCATGCTCCGCAATGGTATGTCACCCTCCTTCCCCCGGCTGCCCACCTCACTCGTCGGGTGTTTGACTTTCGTCTACCCCACCATTTACCCCTCCGCTACCCCCCTCCCTTCCTCCGTCTTCCCTCCAACTGCCGCCTGCCTACTTGTACTGACGTAACCTCTCGGGACTCGTTTCCAGTGAGCAAGTATCTCTTTGGAGACACCTCCAAGGAATCTATTATCGAAATCCCCCAAGGAGAACTCTATCTCGTCCGACCTCTGTCCCCCAAGGGCTACTCCGAGCTCATCTTCAAGGACGCCGCCGCCTCCATCAGACGCACCGGGCAGGAGTTCCAATACCAGCTCGTCATCCAACGCGCCTACGAGGAAGGTGAAGAGGAGCTAGGGGAGGACGACGACGAACAAGGCGCCAGCGACAGTTTGGACAAGGACGAGAAGGTCTTCCTCCTCGACCAAGCCCTGCACTTCCGCTCCGAAGTCCGCGAGGGAGGCGCGAAGATCTTGGCGTGGAGGGATCTGAGCGGAGACCTGGGTGATCTCTTTGAGTTCGTCTGCGACCCCTCCGTTCCCTCCGAGAAGGTTTCGACCTTTGAGTTGGCCGCGCTCCAGTGCCAGTACGAGCGCACATATCGACGCAGTTCCCAGAACGTCAGCCGTGAGGACCTGAACGAGTTTTCTTTCCAGGAAGAGAAACCTATCCCGTCCGCGAGTCCTATCGCTTCCCCGACCAAGTCCCGCGCCCACTCGTTGACCTCCGGAGAGTCAGCTGCCGCCATGGTGAAGGACGTTGAATACTCTAAGTCGAAAGGGCTGATCAAGCCTGCGGCCTCTGAGGAAGAGGCTACAGTTGCTCCGCCCTCAGCGGCGCAGCCCGAGGCGAGGGAGGTCCTTGCCAAGGAACAGGCTGAACTGCATCTTTTCGACTTTGTCAGCGGAACGTTTGTCTTGCAGGCTACTGGTGTGACCGCGACAGTCTCGGAAGTCGGTGACTGGCAGTACTGGCTTCAGATCAGTGGAGACGACAAGGAGTGGCTGGGACAAGAAGTCGTCGCTGACATCAACCCTGTGTTCAACTTCGAATACCTGTCTTTCATCTTCAACGCCTACGGTGAAGATGGCGCGGCATTCTCCTGGCTACTGCGCTTTAAGGACCAGGAGACGGAGGAGAAATTCCAGGAGGGCCTCATGCAGGCGCTTTGGGAGCAGCTGAACGAGATGAAGTGGACCAAGGTTAAGGAGAACGAGCGGGAGTACGTGTTGGATGCCTTCCAGGAACTTACGATGGAGGCTGCAGAGGAGGCCGAGGCGGAAGCCGAGGAAGAGGAGGAGGAAGAAGAGGAAGAGGAAGAGGAAGACCGCTACGATGGCCAGCGTAGTGAGCACTACGACTCTGACGAAGAGGAAGACGACGTGGTCGTTGGGGACAGTGATGGAAACGTCAACTCCCAACTTGCCGTCGGTTACAAGCATGACCGCTCGTTCGTCGTCCGTGGCTCCAAGATCGGTGTTTTCAAGCACACCCCTGACAACAACCTCGAATTCTCGACCAACATCTCCAAGGTTGAAACGCCTGGTGGCAAGCTTTTCAGCCCCAAGAAGGTCATGCTGCACGCCGAAGACACCAACATGATTCTTCAAAATGGAGATGACCCCAACTCCCTGTACCGGATGGACCTGGAGTATGGTAAGATTGTGGACGAGTGGAAGGTCCACGATGATATCCCTGTCCACACCTTTGCGCCGGAAAACGTGAGTAACTCTTGAATTGCACGGCCCACTCCGCTTGCTAACTTGCTGCAGAAATTCTCTCAAATGACCGCCGCCCAGCCTTTCATTGGTGCTTCCAAGAACGCCCTTTACCGCATTGATCCTCGTGTCACAGGGAACAAACTGGTGGATACGGACATGAAGCAGTACGCCAGCAAGAATGATTTCTCCTCGGTGGCCACGACCGAGAAGGGCTATCTTGCTGTGGCCTCCAACAAGGGTGATATCCGCATGTTCGACCGCCTGGGCATCAACGCTAAGACCCACATCCCGGCCCTTGGAGAACCGATCATCGGCCTGGACGTGTCCGCCGACGGTCGCTGGGTCCTGGCCACCTGCCGGACGTATCTCCTCCTCATCGACGCCCTGCAGAAGGACGGCAAGAACGAAGGCAAGTTGGGCTTCGAGCGTTCCTTTGCCAAGGACTCCAAGCCGCAGCCTCGTCGTCTGGGTCTGCAGCCTGCGCACGTCGCCCAGTTCCAGCACGAGACGAAGAAGCCCATCGCCTTCACCCAGGCGCGGTTCAACACGGGTATCGACGCGACGGAAACATCGATCGTCACGGCCACCGGTCCTTTCATCATCACCTGGAGCTTGAAGAAGGTCGTTGCTGGACGCAAGGACCCGTACACCATCAAGCGGTACAGCGAAGAGGTGATGGCGGACAACTTCCGGTACGGTTCGGACAAGAACGTGATTGTGGCCTTGCCCAACGAGGTCAACATGGTTGCGAAGCGCAGTCTGATGAAGCCCACTCGCGAGAGCATCGCCGGTCCGCCGGTCACGCCGAGCCGTCGCCGCACCCAATGGGGCAGCCGGCTAGGACGCGACGAGGTCGTCAATTCCCCTTATTAGTATCTCGTGTTTTCTTTTCTGCGCTGCTGCATACCCCCCGTCGGCTATTTTCTTTTTTTTTCGGTTTTTGTCTCTTTCCTCTTTTTCAGTTCTTTCATGGTGGGATGTAATGTTTCCTCACGGCGATATGTATGATCTTCTGGCGGTTGATCGGATGGCGAACGGTTGCAACCACGACACTTGAGCATTTGTCCTTCTACTCTACTAGGTAGCTAGTAATAAGGGAATACGAATCACGACTGAAGACTCCACGATCAAGCTTTCACTCGATGCCTCATGGCAGTTAACGGCTAGCGTAGAGCATCAGCCCTCCTGATCCCAAGGACACCAATCAATGCATTGCACATATTATCGACCATTCTGCCAGCAGATGATAGTCACACATGCCTCCGAGCTCTATCCTCTCCATTCCGGTGTGCCCGCATTATACCTAAGAACCAACATACCACACCTCCACGCCAAGAATATCAAACTTGACGCCCTCATCGGAGAGCGGCTCATTCCCGAACGTCTGACAGGACGCACTCACGCCCTTCTCCAGGCTCGAGTCTACCCAAAGTCCGTAATGCCCATCCCTACATGATCGTCAGCTCCAATGTGCCTGCCCATTCACAGCGGTCACAGCAGCCATAGCCGTAAATCAAATAAACAACGAAAGAAAGAAGAAAGAAAGAAAGAAAACTCACCCCCCACCAAGACTCAAGAACCCCGTCTCACAAAACATCATATAATCATTGACGCCGCTATACGGAAACGCCTTGAAACGAATCTGCTCCGGGGTAGCAGTCCCACTCGTGCGTCCACTACCTCCGTCACCTCCATGGGCATACGCACCACCCCCCGACGGTGGCGCAAGCCTCTGATCCCCAGCCCCACTTCCACCACTCCCACCACCACCACCACGCAAAGTCGTCGACCGCCCCGCATGAGTTGTATCAGCGGACGGCGGCAACGGAAATCCGGCTTTCTCCAACCACTCGCCATTCTGATTCTCGTCGCCAGCAGCCAAAAGATCCAACCCGGCCATAGCAGACGACGGGGCCAACACACTGGCGCGCCAGAGGAAACACTCGCCTGTGCCGAAGTAGTGCGAGTCCGGGTGCGGGGGATCGGTCATGTAGGCGCCGAAGACGGCGGGGGAGGAGGCGGGCGAGGCGTCGCGGATGACGAGCACGTAGCCAGCGCGCGGCGAGCGGGCGGAGATCTCGCGGCAGTTGTCGTACAGGGTGGACAGCGAGGCGCCGTCGCGGTCGAGGCTGTAGGCCAGCTCCCAGGTGTTGATGAGCTGTAGGCGCGGGGGCACGAGCAGTCGGATTTCTTCGGCCAGGGAGCGTGAGAGGTGCGGGGAGGGGGAGGACAGGGTGAGTGGGGTGAGGGGTGGGGGTTGGAAGGGGGAGGCCGTTCGGACCGGGGTGAAGACCTGGGGGTTGTTGCTGTTGTTGGTGGTTTTGCGGCGCATGGTGTTGGTGTTGGTGGAGGGGGGGTCGGTGAGGCGGCGGTACAGACCGGAGACGACGTGGGTGACCGGGTACGAGAAGTAGGAGGCGGCGGATTGGTGGAAGTTGTTGTTACTGTTATCGTTGCTGTTGTTGTTGTTGTTGTTGTTGCTGGGAGGTTGAGGACGAGATCCTGATCTCGAGCTCGATGAGGACGACATGCGGACCTGGAGGGGGAGGAGGAGGGGGAGGGAGATCATGCAATGCAATTGAGAATGGATGGAAAGGAGATGATGAGATAAGGAGCTGCAGAGGAGCTGAGCTCCGCCCGCTTGACGCACTCTCGCCCTCAGGCCCTCAGGCCCTCAGGCCCCACTCCCGCCCTCCCGGGTTTCTGCCGTCCCTCGCCGCCCCTCTCCGCTCGTTGGGATTCTTTGCAGGAATTGACTCTTTCCTCTGGATAGGATTCTCTTTCATCTCTACGAGACGATTCCTCTTTCCTGGAAGTTGCAACAAGCTGGATCTGATAAGAATGCCAGACTCCCGTCTGTTCACGTGTCGACGGGAATGCCAATTGTCAACGTCAATGGATCCCCACTCGGGCCCGAGAGGCTAAGAATAAAGTCCCGGCTAAAGAATGAGAGGGAATGAGCTTATTCGTCATCGCTCCGAACCATCCAGCCTCTAGGACCAGCCAAATACATGGCTTTATAGGCTTGCACTTCTGGGTGTGGCACAAAGAGAGGATCGTCCCCCTGCCCATCGCAAAGACAAGCATTGAAGACGTCTTCGAGTATCGAAGGGTTCTACTTTATAATTGTGAGACAACGATACTACTCGACTAAAACGGTGTCCAGACACCCAAGATAGGTGCGATGCTGTGTGATACATGACTTAACAATAATACAGAGGCAGTGCACTAGGAGGGTATTAACCGTTTATTGGGGCGAATGAGCATCGCAGATGGAATCATTTTGCTCTCGAATACGGACAGAATATTCCGGTGAATACTGGCTGCGAAACACGCGGAAGGAGACATCAGTCTCAGTCCCCTCTGGATCGGGCTCCAACACAACCTGCGCGGCGGCGAATGCCACACCACCGAACAGGAAGGCCTTGAAGATAGAATGGGGTCGAGTCAAGGTGATGTTAACGACAGTACCGAATGAAGTGGTGTCCAGGAAGCAGAACCTGAAATTCGCCGTTGACTGCCCCCGCCATATTCATGTAACCGTCTGCCGGGATCCAATCCTGTTTGCCTTGTGTGAACATATCCCTGCTGTTTACTCCGTCAAAGATGCTCCTCCACTGCAGGAAACATGAGTCAGCCGCGACAAGGCTGAACAACTAAGCTATTTTAGTTCCAGATTCCAACTTCTTTGTTTGACGGGGACGGGACCAAACCTCCCTTTTCCCTCATCTCACCCCTGAGTGGAAGTGTGAGTATCTCAATTCCACATTATGGGCGCCCAGTTCTCCCAATTCTTCCCTCCCCATCCAACCTTCACGCCCAAGGATGTCCCCCATCTCTCGGGCAAGGTTGTCCTGATCACCGGCGCCGCCTCGGGCATCGGCTTCGAGCTTGCCAAAATGCTCTACCGCAAAGGGGCCAAGGTCTACATCGCAGGCCGGTCCGAAGCCAATGCCCAAGCTGAATATATTCGATATTCGTCAGTTGATACATTGGTGGTGCCCCGCCTGGAGAGAGGAGGGGGTGAGACTTTAGGCGGCTTCAGTTCCTCCTCCTATTCCTAACAAGAATCCTAAATGAACGCAGTAAACATGAAGATTGTGAATCCTCCGGACTTGAGATGTAATCTGAATCAGAGTTGTGAGGACAGTGAAGCTATATATTAAATAATATGAGTATACAATAACAGTTATTGTGAATCATAACCCTTAGTCATATCCACCCATCAACTAACTCGGGAGAATTATGTACACAAATCCAACCCGCGGCGCAACACCAAAACGAAATAATGAACGAACGACCACCACGCCAGATACTACTTTCTATCTCTCCACCATGACCCCCCAACATCCGCCCTCCACCACCACCGTCTTCCTGGACCAGCCCCCCAGCTGCCTCCAATTCCACCCGACCTCGCCGAACCACCTGGTTATCGGCACGTACCTGCTCTCCGAGCACTCGGACGCCGATGGCTCCATCCAGCAGACCAAAACGGGCAGTCTGCAACTATGGCATCTCGACCCCGCCACTCACCAACTGTACTCCTTCTCCCTAGTTACATATCATACATATCATACATATCTAAGAACCAAGCTAACACCCCCTCAGATCCCTAATTGAAAAACTGCCACTCCCCCACGCAGTCTTCGATCTGCACTTCCACCCCCAGGATCCCACTCTACTGGGTATCGCAACCAGCGCCGGATCGGTGTCTTTCTACCGCGTGGCCATCACTGCCACTGAGACGAGCAGCCACATCATCACCCACCTAGCCACCCACCAAGCCCACCCAACCCCCAACATCCCCGCCCTCTTCCTCGCCTGGACCCCCCCCGACTGGCCTCTCCCCAAAAACACTGACTTCGGCTTCGCCGTGACCTTCTCCGATGGCTCGACCACCCTCTTCGCCAGCCACGGGCTCAGCCCCTTATCCCAACCCCAACTCACCCCCCTAGGCACCTTCAACGCAACCCAGCCTATCGAGGTCTGGTTCGTCGCCTTGGCTACCATCCCCTCCACCTCCCCCTCCACTCCATCCCCCTCATCCCCCTCATCCACCCCATACCTCTTCACAGGCAACGACTTCGGATCCGTGCACACGCGGTCCTTCGACCCCACCGCCCTGACCACCACCCCCGATGATCAGGATGGCGATGGAGAAGGCGACCTAACCCCCCTCCTCAGCCACGACGACCGATCCCGCCACCACACAGCCGGCGTGACCGCCATCCTGCCCCTCCCGATCCCGCTGGATCTGACAGGCGGCGCGCCGTGGCTGCTAACTGGCAGCTACGACGAGAGTCTGCGGGTGTATTGTGCGTCGCGCCGCGGGGAGGTGCTCGGGGAGGTGGGGCTGGGGGTGGGGTGTGGCGGTTGCGGGTTTTGGAGAGTCGCTTGGATGTGAACGAGTGGGTGGGGTTGGTGTTGGCGAGTTGTATGCATGGTGGGACGAGGGTGGTGCGGGTGAGGGTTTCGGTTGGAGGGGAGGGGGAGGGGTGTGAGATGGAGGTGCTGGCGGAGTTTACGGAGCATGAGAGTATGAATTATGCGTCGGATGTGTGGGGGGGTGTTGGGGCTGGAGATGTGGCCGAGGCTACTGAGGGGGCAACGGGGCAGGCGAGGGAGAGGAAGAGGGTGGTGGTGTCGAGCAGTTTCTACGATCGGAGGGTTTGCGTGTGGATGGTTGATGTGTGATTCTGGACAGGTATGTGGAGTTGAGTATCGGGGGTCTTTATTGAAGGTGTAAAATATAATGGGAGGAAGATAGTAGACGGATAGAATAGATGGATGGATGGATGGATGGATGGTTCGTGAAAGCGCTCGATAGTGTCATGATGCAAAAAGCAACAACCGGTATACCAACAATGACAGCCCGCCCGAAACCCGAGAAGAAGAAAGAGTATAGACAAAAAAAGAAATCAAAACTAAACGATCGTCTCCAGCTCGCGCGCATAGCCGATGGCATTCTCGATGATCGTGCCACTGGCCACCAGGATATCCTTCTCGGAGCGCGCGGCCGACTCGGGCTCGACGGGGAAGTATATGCGGCCGTCACGCAGGACCCAGCCGCGCTGCTGGGCGAATTCGATAACGGCGCCTTCAGACTCCAGGAAAAGCAGGTTCTTGGCGTTGGATATCGGGAGCGAAGGGTAGGCTTTCTCGGAGCAGTCGGCGATTTCGCTGCGGATGGTTCCGACCAGGACCTGCACATTACGATTACACCAGTCAGTCATCCTTCCAAAGCAGCATATATGTTGTGAAGAAACAAAAACCCAGTTTCTTCCGCGTCCGCGTCCGCGTCCCGTGTCAACTTACATTCGAAAACAGCGCGAACTCCTCCGAGGGCACACGCTCGGAGTTCGTCTCACGCCACACCTTATCATAGCTCCCCTCCATGAGATTCCGCTCCAGCTCAACGGGATACTTAATGAAGGGATCATCCTCGACGCTCTTCCCCTTCAGACTCGCCTCCTCGACCAGGCCCTCCAAGACGGTATGGAAGCTCGTGCTATCGCCCATGCTCAGCAGCAGCAGCAGATACAGTCCGGTGATCTTGCTGCGCTGGCTGTTCTGAAAGGCCGCGGCGCCGGCGTTGTTCGTGCTGTCCCGCTCCAGATCGTAGAACGGCTGCAGCTGCTGGTAGTATCTCGTGAAGGTGGGAGCGTCGGTCTGGCGGATCGACGCCAGAGCGCCGAGCTCCAGCACCTCGCGCGCCAGGGCGATCAGCTCCGCCGGCGTCGAGGGCGTCGGAATCAGCGCGTTCTGCAGCAGGAGGGCGCGCTTTCCCCGGCTCAGCAGCTCGCTGATGGCTTCGAATTGGTTCCGGCTCAGGGCGTTGTGCAGCTCGGACACCACGGTCCGGAGGTCGTTGGCCATGATGGTGGTGTGTCTGTGTGTGTGCGTGCGTGTGAGATGGGGAGGTGGCGGGAGGAAGGGTGTTGGTAATGTGGGAGGAAGGGCTGGCGTGGTGTTGATGATGGGATGGTGTGGTTTGGTTTGGTTTGCAGATGGTGAGGTTGTCGGTCGTGACGTTGGCTGCGGCAAGCTTCCAGGAGCTTCGCCGGGCACGATCACGTGATACTCGGCGGACTGACTATTGGGGAGGGGAATTTAATGGTTACGCAGGAAGATATCTAACGGACCTTCTCTCTCTCTCTCTCTCCCTGTTTGTGTACCTGAAAGACAACGACTAACATTACTATCCAAATAACCGCTCCACAATTACTAACTACTCAAGCGGTCTGAGCAATCTTCTCCAGAGTCTGGAAGAACGGCGTCCCGAGGCCAGTGACTGGATCCCACCCCTTGGTGGCATTCCAACTCGCGTACGGAACCAACGCTCCAGTCAGCCCGTCGCAGCCAACCGATCCTCCGTCTACGATATCCGTAAACCCAGTCTGGTTCAGCGAATACAGCCACGGGTTGAGGAACCCCAGCTTGGGTTTCCCCTGCGCCAGCCGTGCCGCGTTGAGTCGCGAGACAATCGCCGCGAAGACGGGGGTAGCAGCACTAAAGATGTGTGAATTCATGTCAGGGTGAAAAGCAATGAAGATACCGACCTGGTGCCTGCACTTTGTAACCACGTCCCGTGGTCCAGGATAGCATAATTTCTTGCCTGAGCGGCAACATCTGGGATTCCACGACCGTCTGGATTGAACAGCCCGGCCCATTGGTCTCCCAGACCCTTAAGATAGCTCTCTACGCTCGCATTCTGGTACGGGGGCCGAGTGAAGACGTCGGAGAACCCTCCCCCCGAGAACCCTATGGCCTTTTCCGGGTCGAGGCCCTCGGTTCCGCCCACGGCCGTAACAAAAGGGCACGATGCCGGAAATAGGGGCTGGAACCGAGCTTGGGTGCCGTTGTTCGAAATGCACGATTCCCCCACACCGGAGTCTCCGCTGCTGAAGATTACAGAGACCCCCCGCGCCCCCAACTTGGCAAACAGGCTACATGTGGCTCGCATGTATTCCTCCGGGACGGTCTGTTCATCCTCGCCGTAGGACGTGGAGAGAACAGCGGGAAGCTCATCGTCTGGTAGATCCAGGAGATATTGCAGCTGCTCCAGATAAGGCTCGTTGGATGACTCCTCGGTTTCCGGGTCTCCCGATTCCGGTACGGAGGGTCCACGTCCGGCAGTGGTGTAGTAGATCGCATTGGCATCATATGCCACGGCGATAGCGTACTGGATGTCGAGGCTTGCTTCAGTGCTGGACTCGAGCGAGTTCTGCAGATTCAGACCCCCGTTGATCGACACAACAGAGAAATTGGCGTTCGTATCGTTCGGTGCAAGCACTTTCATGAATTCCTCAAGATCACTGTACCGCGCGTACTGGTCCAAGTAACCGGAAACCCCGAGGGTGTTGGCCGGATCAGGTGTCGCCTTCGTGTCATAGATCCCATAAAGTTGACGAAGGCATTCTGGCTTCATGATTACCGAACAATTTTTGCTGAGATCTTCGATGCTGAGCGTTACCGGTAGAAGGCTCGGGGGGCTCTGCTGCGTCTTAGGCTTCCCGAATCGAGTCGTTGGTTGGATCAGTTGAAGGTACGGATGAATGTCCGCGGGGACAGAGTACTCGAGTGTCCTGATCTGCGTCGCACCCGACCCCTTGTAGCGAAAAGTGTGGAAGTCGGTCCGCATCATTGCCTGGGCCTGCGACAAAGATACTGTGAATGTGATCCAATCTCCACGGTTTTCGATCGAGTCAGAGGGAACATGTTCCGACTCTAGCCAAGCAAGAACCTTTGTTGAAGCTTGATCGGATGGGCGCATGAATGCTCTGACTTCATCGCGCTTCATATGGCGTCCATACTTGTGATGGCCGGGCGTCGAGATCTCGATGACCTTTTGTTCGAACCCAGCCTTGTTGTCATGGTGTATCGCCAGCCAAAACTTCATCGGAGTGGATGGCGAGGGGTCAACGCCTTGTGTCCATCCATCGGGTACTCTACTCAGTTGTTCGACCACCACATACTTGGATTCAGCGGCCACGGCCGGGTGCAAGGAGGTGAGCAGTAGGGACAGAGTCCCTATTAGGTAAGTAATGAGTACCATTAGCGTCTAGAGTTCGCAGTCAGTATGTAAGGGAGCGATAGGTGTGCTCTTTCTCAGCAAGCAAAAGGTCACAGTATCTTCCATTGAGCCGCGAAGGGAGAAACGGACTTCTCGTAGGTCTTAAGCAGAGAAAGCGCCGCGATTGAATGAACCTTGAAGCCATGGTCACAAACTGAGGCGCCCACAAAAGGCAATGAACCAGAGCTCGCGATCCGTTGGAAGACGGCGCGAGGTCAAGCCGGCATAGCTTGTTGTGATTCTCGCGAGTCTGGTTGGAGAGACGCGATCAACTTATCGCGCAATCCAAAGGACTGCTAAAAATGTGACAGCTGGCCTATCATGGCGAGCATTCCAACATGACGATCCGCTGGTAGCTGTCGTCGTGGAATAGCTCGTGGCCTGCCCGCCTATGGTAACGAATTGGCATCTCGGTATCGGCGCATTGACAGAGTCAAAAGCGAACCGAAGGTGGTGCGAGGATATTCTACTCATGTTCGTGGGGAGGTGTGGTAGACCCGATGGTAGGCGGTGGCTATTCAGCTTCATTGAGCGTTTACTTATTCAAGCCTCCATCCAGTAAGGGACACCGAGCTGGCCGGAATTATCCAATCAGGATAGGCGAAACCTCGGCTGCGGGAAGACAACGAGCCTCTAGCCTCTTTGGAGCTTGTCCGTCAACCGAGGGTCCTGGATTGCCTGGATGGTGACGAGCCATAGCACGCGCACTTAGGATTGTCAGGCTTTTGTTTTGGCCAAAGTGGTTCCTTTCTTCCTTTTCCATCGGGCGTCGAACAAACTTGGGGCCACCTGTTCAGCAATCTTGACTATTCTCGATCAATGGGACTGCTTCTAATAGAGATTGTCGTTAGCTCGCGTGTCGTTTATCTCGTTCTTTGTCATCACCAGCACCCACGTCTGTCTCATCGACAGCTGATGACGGAGTGGAGAGGACGGACATGGTACCACCACGGTTCGCATCAACTATCTATCTATCAAGAGCTTCTGCCTGGTTCCTCGGCCGAACACACAGCCAACGTTGTGGAGAGCACCCGCCGCCTTAGCGTCTTAGTGTCTTAGCGCCTGGCACATGGTGTGTTCCCAGTGCGCCACATTGCTCGTGTCCCTCCGATGTAGTGCTCGCCTGCAGTATGGCGTCCCGCTCCAGGGTGCACACAGGTGTGTGGGCTGGCTGTGGAAGGGTACATGGCATCTGACGACCCCCAAAGGCAATGCGGTCCTTGGTGACAGGGTGATTGATAGGGGCGAAGAGCTGACAGTGACACCGGGACGAACCCGGGAGCCATGGCGCTCGGGTGTGGGACCCGTCAGGCCTAGACAGGGAGTAGAACCCGTGTCCAGTGCGCTAGATAGAGATTATGGGGACTCCGTGTTGGCGGGGCCGCGGTTGATCGCGCCCACTCCTCCCAGATTCCAGATTATTCCCAGTCCTTCTGGCCCCTTCGATGCCATGAGGCATGAGGGAGATATCTATTCCGTACGTTTGCTGTAGATTGTCGACTGCCTGCAGGCTAGGGGCACGAAGCCGACGTTCCTGAGTTAGTTCGGATTATGGTTGGTAACCATGAGAAAGCACCCCGACAATTCAGAGACGATTTGGCGAATGGGACATAGCTTGGCCGCTAGGTTGCAGGCGAGGCGGCAGCACCGTGGGGTCCAAAGTGGCCAACGGTCTGTATGTAGTCTGTTGTCAATATCCAGGAGTAGGAATCTAGTACCAACTAGGCAGTAGACTCAGACTCCGGCTGTCCGGAGTGTTAGTATCTAGTGCATAGTCACCTCGGCGCCTGGATGCCTGGGTGCCATGGCGGGGTACGGCCTGTCCTCAGGCACGGCCCCGGACAGCGTCCTCGACAGTCGACAGTCGACACGTCTTCTACTTCCTCGTCTTCCGGACATTTCCCCAAACACCACCCGGCATGCAGAAGCATGGAAGACCCAATAACTCCAAGGACCGGACCTCCACTCCGCGCACCCCGAAGGAGCCCTAAGTCGAGTCAAATCCCCTTGAGCCAGAGAGACCGATTCCATTGCTTCCTTGATGGGGGGAGGCAGGGACTCGGAGCAGCGCCTAATGCAGACCGGGGCCGGTACCTTACTGCTTCGGTCGCCCTCCTCCCTCCACCTCCCGGAATTGATCTTCCCACACTGGCTCTCTCTTGCGACTTGTGCAGGGATCCGACTTGAACAAGATCCAGCAGAGATTTCCACTCCCCCCTTCCCTCTCTTCCCCCGACCTGCAATGGACAACCATCACAAGCAACCTAATCATCCGCCGACGAGGCCGGTGCGTTTACCTCCCCTCCCGTGCCAATAGCGGGCCGGTGACTGGATGATTGGCAGGGAAAACCAGCAAGCCATGTAAGACAGACACGCAGCCTCGCATAAGCTGGCAAGAGAGAAAAGATTAACCCGGAAAAATGAAAAATAATAAATGAAAAAAAAAAAAAGCGGAAGACCACGCCCAGAAAGGTTGCAGCACACCTACATAAGGCACTTTTGGTCCTAGCACACGGCATGGGAGACCCCCAATCGGTCCGGGTCACCTGGCAGGACTGGTAAACAGTGCGCACAGCGCCTCGATCTGTCTTTCTTCTTTCCTTTCTCCCTCAACTCTGAAACGACAACCTCATTGTTGCTGCTGCTCTCTGTTGACGATCGGATCTCCTTGTCTTGCACCCCCCCAGCTCAGTCGTCTGCGATCCAAATTAACCTGTTCGCTCTTATGTCCGTGGCTTGCCATCCCTGGTTTCCCCATGTCACATCCGCTGGTGGCAGCCGTGTGGGAACAGCTAGGGCGCCGTGATCTCGCCAACATCCTCCGTGAAATCATCGGCGGGCATGCCTTGGATATCGCCCTCTTCCAACAGGATGCTCAGGCCTCGGTCGAGCCCCTCACCCGCGCCGTTTTCTGGATCAAGACCATTTTCGATGCCCAGCGAACCTACCTGCAGGGCGTGGGAAGCGCCCGCGACTGCCACCCGTACTTCTCGCCCTACCTGTTGCCATCCGAGACCGTCTTCTCGGCCTTGATGTACCTGCTCAAGGTCAAGGTGGAACTGTTCCCCTGCAGCAAGTCCACCGACGGGGACCTCATCCGGTACAGGCTCCTCATCGCGCACACCGTCCTTGCGGGTATTCGAGTGCTCCTGCTGCGCGGCGAGCCCATTAGTACCGACCAGAAATTCAAGCTGGAGCGCGCGTTGCGAGCGGCGTGGCGGAATCCCGACCTGTCCAATGTGGAGCGGTTCCTGATCAGTGACCTCCTGCCGAAGGCGATTGCTAGGATTGGGTCCTCAGATCTGTCAACAAGCCAGGCATTCCTATTGGACTGTGCCAAACCTTACATCCCACCTTTCGCTACGGGTCTGGTAAGTGCTAACGTAGTTGTGCCGGTTGTGACGGTAACTCATTGTCTCTTAGTATCCGATTTCGGGAGCGCCAGAGACGCTCATCACCGACCTCTTGACTGGTGTGATGAAGAATGATGCCGACCAGCTGCTATCCTTCTGTCTTCTGTTTGATATACTATGGGCAGTCGACTCCGCTCTCGTCCAATGCCACATCGATCGCCGTCGGATTTCCCAGGAGCAAGGCTACACGAGCGCGGCAGCATACCAAGTAGACGAGGCCTTCCACCAGGCTCAAGACGTCAAGAAGAAGCTGACGAGGACGGTTCTGGCTGCCTTTGATGATGAGTTCAATACAGCGCCTCTTCGAGTGTTTGCGACTACAATCCTGAGTCAGACGGCCGAAGAACACCCGCCTTTACAAACGAGGAGAATCCGAGATACCTGGTCCCAGCTCTTGCCCATCCGAGAATCGTGGGAGAGGGCTTCAGGGCAGTTCGTAAGATGGCTCATCAACCGCCGGGTCCAGATGTGGGACTGCAACGGGGAGCTGGAGGCGTTCTCGCACGATTACCAACAACACCTGACTCAGTGGCTACAGAGCTCCGCTGCTGCAGAGGTGGACCGAAATCAATCGAGGACGGGGCGATCTACTGCAGTTTACGTTGTGAACTGCCCTGCGGTACACCCCGTTCCCGGTACGTTATTAGAGGAACGACTTAAGACTCATGACAAGAGAGCTTACGAGGTGCGTTTCTCCGCTTCATGCCCAAGCCTATGGAGGTATTAACATCGGCGGTAGCAACTGCAAGGAAGTCCGGAGTTTCTGACAATGGATATCGCTTGCCCCCTATGCACGGGTAATGTAAGAATTCAGCACGCCCGAATGATCGAGCCACTCGAACAGCTATCGGATGCCCTGCATTATCTTTCGGACTCGGACACAGAGGGGCATTACTCTCTACCAGATTCAACCTCGAGGGATACCACTTCCTGTTCAAGCTCACTCAGCCACTCCACCAGTCATTCATCCCGGTTCGAACCCGCCGAATTATTAAAAAGTCCAGTCTCATCGCCACCACCGACTGCAGTGTCGAAGATTTCCACCAAACAACCCACTACAACAACGACGGAAATCTTCGCCCCAGTCCTATCCCGTAGCAGGACAGACCAGTCTCTTGACAAGCAATCGATTAAGGCCATCTCTAGAGACCTCAAGAACGTCAAACTGCCTTTTTCTGGTGGAGCATCTCTGTTCAGGAGGAGTTCGGCAAGAGGACACCAACTGCCTCGTCAGCCCCGCTTCTGCTTCTCGACATCAGGGAGCTGCCTGTTGTTTTGGGGCGCAGGCAGCAACTGGGTGATGAGGTTTGACGTTAGCTCTGGGGATAACAAGAAAGCCAAAGGCCACAAATATGATATTCCCGGTGTGCAACAGGCTGCTGCAGGGGACCAGCGCTGCGCCGTCATTGCTTCTGCTGGCCAGGTATGCAAGCTTTTGAACGCCGTTTGCCAAATGGTACTGATTGAGGTCTAGCACTACGAGCTCCTCGTGTTTGAGAATGACAGCGACGTCCCAGAAGCTTACCTGACGATTGAAACCGAGAACCAGTCCTTCCCTGTCAGCTGCATGGCGATGTCTCGCAATGATAGATATGTCGCGTTCACCCTCAAAGACCAGGTTCGAGTATACGAGATATGTACACGAACCATCCAGAGGGTGTCACTAGGTAGTGGGTTAGATGGACCGTCGGACCTCGGGGACAGATCTATGATGGGCGGGTCTTCAAGTAAGGGAACCGAGTACGACGGAAAGCGACAGGAAGCGGTCATTGAACGGAAGCTCCAGTTCTCCGCGGACGGGAAACAATTCGTCATCGCAACCCATCTTGGGGACCACTACGCGTATGTGGATGTGTGGAACTGTACCTTCCAACAGTGGAATATTGTCCCCGAAAGGTCTAAGTCGTTCAAGCTTCCACCCGTGCGTATGGCCGTCCTCCGTGCTAATGAGATTGAATTGCTAATAAGTCCAAGTGGACGAACAACGACGGAGACCTTACCGGTGTGTTCTATGACAGCACCCATGAAGCGGTCCTTCTGGCCGCCTTTTTCGCAAAGGAGTACCCATCGTTCTTCTCCATGGCGGACGACAAGACCGTCAGCGATTCTTTCAGCCCGCGAATCGTACATGCGGCACAGTCCCCATCCGGGAGTCGATTCGTGATGGCGAACGGCACGGGCGACATATATCTGTGCGATGACAAGGTCAACGGACGCCTCAAGCCTACAAAGGTGAAGAAAGCCTCATATAAGATCCACCCGTCGGTGTTCCGGCCGGGACAGCTGGCCTTGTCCTTCCCTCAAGAAACTGAGACGCTCGCCTTCTGGGTGAAAGCGGGCAAGTTGATGCTGAGGACGGTCCGGATGCTGGGCGGCACCGAGGCAGTCAGTGACTATGACCTTCGATCTGATTTCGACCGGCTAGTGGTTGAACGACCAATGGCCGCCGACTTCCATACGCAACGCCGGCGACACTCTGTATTGTCACACGGGCTGGTGGCGGAGATCGATGGCCTTCCCTCCATCCCCCGGCCGGACCTGCCGGAGCTGTCCTCGATATAATTCGGAGGTGGAGTCGGGGCAATAGGGTTAAATGAATCGGCGGCATTGTGGTGGAGGGTTCGGATATGGCACTGCCATCTATTTTGTATTTACGTGCGATGAGAGATGAGAGGGCCCGATAATAATGAGCCATGCCATGTACCACTATATGCGATCCACCCCGATCCCGATCCCGATCCCACCCGAGGGTGTGGGGCCTTGGCGCCTGAGGCAGATACGTCGCGGGCCGAAAACAGGCTAGTGCGGGGGAAGCGCGAGAATTGCCGGCGATGGTCGACGTCACCAACTCCATGCCCCCGTGCTGGCTCAAGCTTTCAAGCTTCCAAGCTTCCAAGAAGCCCCCCCCCCTTGAGAGTGCTGTACACACCGCAGACATACTGCCTAGAGTGCGTGACGACTCCCGATTCCTTCTTCCTTTGTCCCAGAGAGACCGGTGGTGGATCGCGGGTGATCGACTCGGCATTGACCGCGAGGGCGCCCGCCGGTGCCCGCCCCTCTTTCCTAGTGAACTGACTGCGTGTCTCGTGCGCAACAGCTGATGCTGATGCTGTCTGCTCCCTCTAGCCCCCTTTCTTTCGCACGGATCATCAGAGCATCCTCCCCGCATCCTCCTCTGAGCTCCTCCTCGACGTGCTCTGGACCAAATATCGCAGTGACCCGCTGAAGGAGAAGCGAGCTCGGGCCGACGTCATCAATACATCTGTCGTCCTTTCACCATTCTTGTCCGACCTCCTCGAACAGACAACCCCTCTTCGACATCCTCACCCACTTCGACTCATATCAAACCCGCAGCCATGTCCCTACCTGAATTCGACCCAGCCCGCCGGCCGTCACAGGCCGAGAACCAAACCATCCTCAAGTCCGAGATCCCGTTGAAGGAGCGGTTTTTCCGTTACTTCCAGCATGAGATCACTGGTATGGTTGAGCCGATCTAACCGATGCCTTGTGCTACTTCCTCGTGGTCAGAGGAATCTGACGCCTGACTTCCCTGTAGCTCTCCAGGAACAGATGGACCGGTTGGCGGATACCTCGCTGATAGGAGGGGAGCGGACGGACGCTACGGATCATTGCCTGGCTGGGATTGCGCGGCTGTCCAACGAAGTCAAAGACGCTGCCAGCTACATCCCGACCTACGATCAACGGATATATGCAGAAGTAGGCCTGTCGAAACCCTGTTGAGCCACCATATGCTGACGTCGCAGGCCATCAAAGCACTGCAAGACAAGCTCAGCGAAACCCGCGCGGCGGTTGAGCCACGCCCCAAGTTCAGCTTCAAGACCAAGAAGAACGCCTCCGCCATCTCCCTATCCGATGCAGCGGAGCTCGCCGCACAAGGTCGGCGCAGTATACCTGGGTTCCCTTCACCTGGGACCTCCTCCGTCAGCTCGTCCGCGACACAGACCCCCATGTACCCGTCCACACCGTTGAACGAGCCCGAGAATCGTCTCCAGCTACAAAGGCCAGAACTGACCCCGACGTCCATCCCGGCCATCGCCGTGCAAGAAGACGAAGACAAATTGAAACCTGAACATACCGGCGCATTCGCCGCGACCTCTGTCTCTTCCGTGTCCGTGAACAACCACCATAACCTGCACATCATGCTCCCCTCGTCGGGCTCGACCGCAACGGTGCCCGCATCCATCACGTCCCTGCGCCACTGCGTCATCGACATGTCCATCCCCACCGCCAACGGGAAACCGTACGCCAGCCTCACGATCAAGAATGTCAAGGAGAGCCTGCTGGTCTGCGGCCAGATCAATGGCCCGGCCCACATCACGGGGGTGGAAAACAGCATCATTGTGGTTGACTGTCGGCAGTTCCGGATGCACAACTGCTCCAACGTGGACGTCTACCTCAGCGCCTCCAGCAATCCGATCATCGAGGATTGCACCGAGATCCGCTTCGGTCGGAAACCCAGGGTCTACGTAAGTGTCTCCTCCCACGCTGCCTCTTCGTCGCTCTATCCTAATGCATTAAACCAGACGTTGGACCACGACCGTCGGGACGACGAAGACCGCTGGAACCAAGTGGAGGATTTCAAATGGATCAAGCCGGAGCCCAGTCCGAACTGGAGTCTGCTGGACGCGGAGGACGCGGTTCCGGAGGAGGTGTGGGCGGAGATAGTGCCCGGGGGTCCGGGCTGGTCTTTGGATGATATTCTCCGTGCGATCAAGATCTCCAAGGCTTAGTGGGTCGGCACTGGTTGCCCGGGGAGTCGGCGTCGGTTGAGCATGCGTGCATGTTGTTTCGGGTTTTGAGACCATCCAGAGCTCGGTAGTTGTTAAATCTGGTCTCGTGTCATTTCTGCTTGCGGGGGTATTTTATGATCTTATACTACGATGCAGTACGGCGTACTTTGCAGGCATATATGTAGGGGCTTGTTGTCCCGACACCCCTTCCCGAACGTGGAAAGGACTGGTCATGTGATATGATACATATGCTGTGGCTATACTTATTCCAGTTAGCCTGTTATAGCCGGCAGTGTGTAAGCAATCCAACCTGCCTGTCTTCAATGCTTGGGGGTTTTAAGGCTAAGCTACTTTGGGCAAGGGGTGTCGGCCGAACAACGCTGGCAGGTCACATGACAGGGGCCAGTTGACCAGGACCAATGGAGGTGCGTCTTCCAGACTCTTCAATCTCCAACTCTCTTCCGATTCTCTGTTTCCCCTTTCCGTTGTTCAGCGACTCCTCATACGCAATTGTCTAGCTATCAACTCGCATAAGCATCATGTCTGGCCGTGAGCTACTGCGGACGTCCGAAAAGATCCTGCTCGCGCAGTCCAAACTCGGGTACAAGTTCACCAACCAGTCCCATCTGTGTGAAGCGCTCTACATCTCTTCCGATGCCTTGAAGCCCCCCGTCATTTCTCCGAAGCAGGCAGAAGCCTATGCCAATACCTTCCTCGATATCAACCGACTTGGACACATGGCTTTCCGGATGGTCCTGACCGTGGATGGCTACAAGTTTAACAAGAGCCGGTGTAACAAACCCCCCATCCCATAGCCCATCCCATCTACCTCCCCACAATTGTGACGTGTTCCTAAGAGGTCTATCAGACATGGTCGAAAGGGTTCTCAGTACCCAAGACTCCCTCGAGACGCTGGTAGAGGTCGGCCGTAGGATTTCCCTGGACCGCTGCCTCATCACCGATCCGACCCAGATGGATCTTGTAGCCCAACAGCACCAACGTGTCATGGGGAAGACCGTTCTATCTCTGCTCGGCGCCGTTTACGCCGACAGTAACATGGACCTCGCGTCTGTGCGCTCCGTCATGGATACTTTGGGCTTGGGCTGGTCTGCTAAGGTCCTGAATCTGGCTGGGGCTGCCACTGCGTCTGGTCGGTTGAAGCCTGATCCTCTTACTTCGAAGCCTGGTCCTTCTACTTCGAAGTCTGGGTCTTCTTCTAAGTCTGGCCCTTCTTCCAAGCCTGGTGCTTCTTCCAAGTCTGGTCCTTCTAAGTCCAGTCCTTCTACTACGCCTACAAAGCCTGGCCGTAATTCTATAACGCCCAACTCCCCTGCGTCTGCAGCGTCTCCGTCTGGTCGGTCTGCGCCTTCGTCCATAGCGCTTCCTGCGTCCAAACCCTCTGCGTCTGGTCCTTCTACGTCTGGTTTTCCTACGCCTACGTCGGCCGTGGCTGGCCTTTTTGTGCCCAGGCCCTCTGTAAACGGGGCTTCTGAGCCCACCACTCCTGCTATGCATACGCCTCCATCGCCTGTGTCCGAATATTTTCAACCCAGGTACTCTGCGGCTGGACTTTTTGCGTCCAAGTTCCCTGCGTCCAAACCCTCTGCATCTGAATCAGCTGCACTGAAATCGTCCGTGTCACAATCGCCTGCAACGGAATCGCTTGAATCGCCTGCAACTGAATCGCCTGGATCGACTGGATCGACTGTAACTAAACCAACTGAAGCGCCTGCAACCAAGTCGACTGAATCGCGTGCAACCGAATCACCTTCAACCAAATCATCTATAACTGAATTATCTGCGTCTCTATCATCTACACCGGAATCATCTATAATAGAATTGCCTGCACCGGAATCGTCTGCAACGGAATCATCTGCAACGGAACCATCGAAATCTCCTGCAACTGAACTGACTGAAGCGCCTGTACCTAAGGCGCCTATAACTGAATCAACCAAATCGCCCGCAACTAAATCGTCTACAACTGAATTATCTGCGTCTCAACCATCTACACCGGAATCATCTATAATAGAATTGCCTGCACCGGAATCATCTGCAACGGAATCATCTGCAACGGAATCATCTGCAACGGAATCATCTACAACGGAATCATCTGCAACGGAACCATCGAAATCGCCTGCAACTGAACTGACTGAAGCGCCTGTAACTAAAGTCACTGCACCTGAACTGGCTGAAGTGCCTGCAGCTGAATCAACTGAATCGCCTGTAACCGAATCGCCTGCAACTGAAGCGCTTATAACTGAGTCAACTAAATCGCCTGCGACTGAATCAACTGAATCGCCTGCGACTGGAGCGCCTGCGACTGAAGCACCTGCGACTGAAGCACCTGCGACTGAAGCACCTGCGACTGAAGCACCTGCGACTGAAGCACCTGCGACTGAAGCACCTGCGACTGAAGCACCTGCGACTGAAGCACCTGCGACTGAAGCACCTGCGACTGAAGCACCTGCGACTGCGACTGAAGCACCTGCGACTGAAGCACCTGCGACTGAAGCACCTGCGACTGAAGCACCTGCGACTGAAGCGCTTATAACTGAATCAACCGAAGCTTCTGCAACTGAATCAGCTGTATCGTCTGCAACTGAGTCAACTGAATCGCTTGTAACCGAATCGCCTGCAACAGGATCGCCTGCGACTGAAGTGCCTGCAACCGAATCATCTGCGTCTCAATCATCTACACCCGAATCATCTACACCTAAATCATCTGCACCTGAATCATCTACACCTGAATCATCTACACCTGAATCATCTACACCTGAATCATCTACACCTGAATCATCTACACCTGAATCATCTGCCACAGCATCATCTACACCAGAACCATCAGCGTCTGGATCATCTTCCTCTGGGTCATCTGCATAGCAACGTCCAGATCTTTTTCGTATTCCAGATCACGTGACTTGGGTCTAGCTCCCACCTGGACTTTTCGGCTGGGCGCATTGCATGTGGAGCCATGAGATATGAGGCCTTCAGACCAACGAGGGTTCGCTAGTCCTGAGGTAGGACTGGTTGTCGGTCGGTTGGTCGGTTGGATGGGATTCCTTCGGTCGGATAGGGAAGATTTCAACGGAGAGAAGGGTTGATCTGGGGAAAACTTTACTGTATTATTAGAATGGTGTTTGTTTTTTTTTAGATTTTTTAGATTTTTTAGATTTTGTCGATTGTAGACCTGTCTCGGCTATACATCTTGTCTTGTGAATAAAGCGATATGATGGTTAGTACTACTAGTATATTTCGACTCTTGGGTTATCTGATCCCCGAACAGAGGTAGTATATATATGTCACCCGTCCGCTACAGACCGACCATCAAACCAAACTTACCTCAACTACTAGTAACCCAACATCCAAACCAGACAGATTCTCCTAGAACCGAATCCGAAACGCCAGCGCCCGAGTATCGAGACCGAACCCGGAGGCGTCGGCATACTGGAAACTAGGTGTCCGTCCTATAACCACTAGTATCTGTCAGCCACCATCACTATCACATCACCCCTCAAGATCCCAAAGCAACCCCCAAATCAAATCCAAAACACTTACCATCCTGCGTCACAAGATCGTCATCACTGATACTGAACAAGAAATACTCCCTCTCTCCCCCTCCCCTTTTACCATCACTATCCCCATCCCCAGTAGAGATCGTCAACCCCTCAAACCCCCGATTATTCGCCCTCCCGGACTCCGGCTCCGCAGGGACGGGGTCTTAACCCGGGCTGCCAAAGCGGGGGACTATCGGCACTGAAACTCAACAAATGATTCCTCCGTATGCGGTGGTTCTGGTTCTGGTTGGGGGTGAAGCCGTCGCCCGGGAAGGTTGATGCCGGGAGGGGAGGGAAGTTGGGGTAGCGCAGGGTGGTCCGGTGGGCGGGGGCGTGGTCGGGGCTGGGGCCGGTGAGGAGGAGAAGGGTGTCCAGGTAGGTGATGGGGATGTTGTTGTGAGAGTGAGGGTCAGGTTGAAGGTGTGCAGACGGGGTTGATATTAGGGTTTGGGATCGGAGGGTATGTAGTATATTGTCCGGGCAGGTGAATATAGTCACAGGCACATTGTATGGCTACAGATTGGGGATGATGGATAATCATTTGAGCCGATACAGACCATCATCATTATCATCTATCATATCATACATAACTTTTCCCATGGTGTCAAATCCCATACTTAGTGACCGTGCCAGGTGGTCGGCACTGCCGGGTAGTTCTTCGCATCCAATCCCAAATCCTCGTAGATCGTGTCGTCGCCTGGCTGATGCATTAGAATTGCCTGCCTGGCCGAAGACAAGGTGAACTCACCACGCAGTGCTTCGATCCGCTCCTCATTATCTTTCTCCAGCTTCTCCAGCTCCTCACCGGGTTGCTCCTCGTTGGCCTCCTCATCGCCATCTTCGACTGTCGCCGCCTTTCCCAAGCTGTCTGTGGCCGCCCCGATCATCAGGAACTGCGCGTTCGAATAGTCGATGAACTCGGGCTGCAACGGAACCCAGCGGTAGTCGCCGAATTTCTCGCGCACACTGCAGCCGGTCAGCACAGCCTTCTGGTAAACTTGGTGGAACCGGTTCTCTACCTGTCGGGATACTCTGGTTCCTGCTTGATCTGGGCGTGAGGAGGACCGGGGTGCTTGGGGTTCTTCGACTGAACCACCCAGCTGCCGCGGGAATGGAGGCCAAAGTCTTCCTGGATCGTCCCGATCGTTTTGGGGATAGTCAGGACGTACGCCAGGTGAGAAGTCCGCTTGCTGGACGTGATGGCGTACACGCCCTCCGCGTACGGCCTGGCTTCGGGGACGCTCCGCTCGCCCTGGGTGGCCGTATCGTAAGTCTCACCGGCGATGAAGCTTTCCTGCAGCGACTTTAAGCTTTGTCCGGCCTTCTCGACGAATCCCATGTCTCGCTCCTTGCCAGAGGTCGGGAATTTCTTCTTGGGCAGCATCATCAGTCGACACTTGGTGCCAAGCTTCACCGAGCCCTCGTGATCCAAAGTCGCGCCAATGGGCGTCGGTCGCAGCACCAGGAAGCTCCGAGCAATCTCGTTGACATTCTGGGGATCGGTCACATTGACTCTCGGCCGATAGAAGAAGTAGATGATCCCTTTCTCGAGAACGTTCGACGCAACCTTCTCTTCCCGCTCGTGGGAGGTCTTGACGCCAGCTTCAGCTTCAGCTTCAGCGGTTGGCTTTTCCTCGTGCTTCTCCTCTGTCCCTTCTGGTTTCTCTTCGACTTTGGTTTCAGCATCCTCGGACTTGCCGTCCGGCTTTGACTCAGGTTGTTTCTCAGCTTCCTCGGTAGTTTTCTCCACAGGCTTTTCCAGCTCGTCATCAGGTGTCTTCTCGGCCTCCTTTTCGGCGTGCTGCTCGGGCTTCTCTACAGGTTGCACGTCGGGCTTCTCCGGCTCTTCCACCGGCACTTATCTGATTAGCTTAAGTCCATATCTGCTGGAACACGGTCATACCCTCGGTCGCCTCCTGGTTCTCCTTGTCGTCCTTCTTGCCTCTCTTCGGTGCAGGGCCCTTGTCGACACTTTCCTTGCGCTTGGAGCCGGCAGGACCCCGGCTCTTGACATCAGGAGCAGCCGCAATGGCTTCCTTTGCTTTCTGAGCAGCTTGACGGGTGGATGTTCTGGTGGCCATGATATGGATATTGATAGGCCAATGGGATAGAGATCATTCAGGCAATATGTGAGCATTGAATGGACGAAGAGCGAAGATCGTTCCGCTGTCTCCATCGTCGTCGTCGTCTCAAGCCCCCGTGACGGCGATGAGGACCGCATGACGTCATACACGGGACAGCTCTTTCGGGACTAGCGTTGCATCAGCTACGTCACGTGCCGGCGTCTAGATCCGGCGGCCTCGAGCAGGACCCCGGATTAGCCAGCCAGGGTCACATCTGGTTCCTTTAAAGCGCTTCGTCAATTTGTATCCATACTGTCGGTCCCAGGATATCCGTCGGGGGTGGCCCCACTGGTGTCCGTGGACGGGGATAGCGAGGTGAAGCTCCCGGACGACCCAGTGTCACTGGTGTAGCGTTGCCACAGCGATTCTGATTGCTCTCTGGAGTGCCTGCTCCTCTTGGGAGGCCTCTTGGGGCTTCCACTGCGTTGTTCGTATTGGACATCGGGGGTTGTGCTAGAGGACGACCGTCGAAAGAGCCAGACTGACCCTGGGGTCGCGCCGGGGGACTTTCTCTTCTTGCCTCTCCTCTGACTGATGCCCACGCGGTGGCTGCTATTGTCGGAGTCGCAGTAGAGCCCCTCCATGGAATCCACCAGCTCGCCTTGCAGCCCATCCGCGCTGTCCCTCAAGAGTAGGTGTGTCATTGGCGTGCCCTTCGATCCCATCGATTGTTCGGTGTCGGTCGGCTCATCGTCCGGCTCCTCGATCGCATACGGGTAAACTACCTCCACGTTCGCCTCGTGTCTACAGTTGGGCGATTCGGCTGTCGAAAATCCTGAAGTACCCTGACTGGTGTGCGACTGAGATGTGAAGGCTTGCTGTTCATCGTGAGGCGGGACCTGTGTAGAGGCGCAGTCCTCAGATGAAAGATCGGTCATGATGCGCGGCCACTTGGACGAGTCCAGTGAACGTGCGCGGACAGAGTCATGCGTCGTGGTCCTGAATGTTAGAGGCTGTTCTGCAATGTTTGTCAGGTGCGCATGTGTGCTCGAATAGTAAAGCAGATTTCTCCAATAGCGACCACAAGGGTCTTTGCATTAAGATAGAAGATATAAACAGCGTGAGACAAAGGGAGATGAGAGCCGCGTATCGCAAACAGATCTTGTCGCAGACAGGAGGGGACTGCGATAGGGACATTCTAGAAGGGGTTGCAGAGTGGCTGGACTAAGTAATAATAGACAAAGTAATGGGGGAATAATGGGGGGGAGGAGCCAACAGTGGAGCCCAGGCGAAGCATCGAGAAGGAAAGGGTCACCCTCCTTCACTGGGTTTCCACCGAGTTCACTCTGGAACTCTGATGAAGACGGGAGAAGACCGCCGACTACCAAGAATACGGTAGTTACTGGCAGTACTACAGAGTCCTCCGTAGTCCCCCTGGCAGCTGTTCACCGCCAGGCCCATCATTGGCCCAAGGGGTTCGCTTACACAATAAGTCCACGTTTACCGCCATCGCTGGAACTACTGGAAGGCCAGACGGTCCGGAACCACCAGCTGTTGCCCAGACAGTCAGTCCCCGACGCCTCTTACTCCAGACTGTCCACTCTCCTTCCCCGTGCCTCCATCTGCTGTGCATGCGGTGGTCGCCTCTCTGATCTCTTTTGACCCCCCTCCCCCCCCCCCGTGCGGAGCTTGCTTCTCTATGGTGCGGCTCCGGCCTTCCCTCCTCCAAGATGCAGTCCTCCCCCAACATGCTCACCAAGGTCCGTCCCCTCAATCGACCCCCCTGATATCACCCTATCCCCCCCTCAAAGCCCTCGTAGCCAGAGCTGACCCTCATTGCGCAATAGTTTGAGTCCAAATCCTCCCGCGCGAAGGGAATTGCCTTCCACCCCAAGCGGTCAGTCCTCAATCGGAGGCTCCAGTCAACGCGTCGCAACCCACCAGTGCTGACCCTCGAGCAGGCCATGGATCCTCGTATCCCTTCATTCGTCCACCATCCAATTATGGGACTACCGCATGGGAACCCTCATTGATCGCTTCGAGGAACACGATGGCCCCGTCCGCGGCATTGACTTCCACCCGACACAGCCCCTCTTCGTCTCCGGAGGTGACGACTACAAGATCAAGGTCTGGAACTACCAGACCCGCCGGTGCATGTTCACGCTCAACGGCCACCTGGACTACGTGCGCACGGTGTTCTTCCACCATGAACTGCCCTGGATTCTCTCCTGCTCAGACGACCAGACCATCAGAATATGGAATTGGCAGAACCGCTCCCTGAGTAAGTCGGATCTGGCCACCTGGCCCGAGGCGTACTGACCGTCGATTCCCAGTCTGCACCATGACCGGCCACAACCACTATGTGATGTGCGCACAATTCCACCCGACCGAAGACCTCATCGCCTCCGCCTCGCTGGACCAGTCCGTCCGCATTTGGGACATCTCCGGACTGCGCAAGAAGCACTCCGCTCCGACGTCGATCTCCTTCGAGGACCAGATGGCCCGCGCCAACCCGGGCCAGGCGGACATGTTCGGAAATACAGATGCGGTGGTCAAGTTTGTACTCGAGGGCCACGACCGGGGTGTCAACTGGGTGTCTTTCCACCCCACCCTGCCCCTGATTGTCTCTGCGGGTGATGATCGTCTCATCAAGCTGTGGAGGATGAGTGGTACGTACAGGAATACACACAGGCGGGTAATGCCAATGAGCTGACGTGGATGCGCAGACACCAAGGCGTGGGAAGTCGACACCTGCCGGGGCCATTTCCAGAATGCGTCGGCCTGTGTGTTCCACCCTCACCAGGACCTGATTCTCTCCGTCGGCGAGGACAAGACGATCCGGTGCTGGGACCTCAACAAGAGAACGTCCGTCCAGTCCTTCAAGCGCGACGTCGACCGCTTCTGGGTGATTGCTGCCCACCCGGAGATCAACCTGTTCGCTGCCGGTCATGACACCGGTGTCATGGTCTTCAAGCTGGAGCGCGAGCGCCCCGCCTCCGCCGTCTACCAGAACCAGCTCTTCTACATCACCAAGGAGAAGCACGTCAAGTCGTATGACTTCGCCAAGAACGTCGAGACCCCTCCGATGCTGTCCCTGCGCAAGCTGGGCTCTCCGTGGGTGCCGCCCCGAACCCTCTCGTACAACCCCGCGGAGCGTGCCATCCTGGTCACCTCCCCCACCGACGGTGGTATCTACGAACTGATCCACCTCCCGAGAGACGCCACTGGTGCCGTGGAGCCGACCGATGTGAAGCGCGGCGCGGGCGCGTCTGCTGTCTTCGTGGCGCGCAACCGATTTGCCGTCTTCAGCCAAGCGAACCAGCAGGTGGACATCAAGGACCTGAGCAACTCCACCACCAAGTCCATCAAGCCTCCGGCGGGAACGACCGACATCTACTTCGGTGGAACCGGCTGCCTGCTCTTCATCACCCCCACTACCGTCGTGCTGTTCGATATTCAGCAGAAGAAGCAATTGGCGGAGCTGGCGGTCAGCGGTGTCAAGTACGTTGTCTGGTCCAATGACGGCCTCTACGCCGCTCTGCTCAGCAAGCACAACGTCACCATTGTGACCAAGACGCTTGATCAGGTGAGCAGCTTGCACGAGACAATCCGGATCAAGAGCGCGGCTTGGGATGACGCTGGCGTCCTTCTCTACTCCACCTTGAACCATGTCAAGTACTCCCTTCTCAACGGGTATGTCCCCTCCCCATGCTGCGATGAGTAATATATCTGACAATATCACAGTGACAATGGTATCATCCGTACTCTCGACCAGACCGTCTATCTCGTGAAGGTCAAGGGCCGGAGCGTCTACTGCCTCGACCGCAACGCCAAGCCTCGCGTGCTGGATATTGATCCCACCGAGTACCGCTTCAAGCTTGCCCTTGTGAAGAGGAACTACGACGAGATGCTGCAAATCATCAAGACTTCCAGCTTGGTTGGACAAAGCATCATCTCGTACCTGCAGAAGAAGGGCTACCCGGAAATCGCGCTGCAGTTCGTGCAGGACCCTCAGACCCGCTTCGAGCTCGCGCTGGAGTGCGGCAACCTAGAGGTCGCCATCGAGATGGCCAGAGAGCTGGATCGTCCTCAGCTGTGGAGCAGACTCGGCGCGGAGGCTTTGGCCCACGGCAATCACCAGACGGTCGAGATGGCCTACCAGAAGCAGAGAAACTTCGACAAGCTTTCCTTCCTCTACCTGTCGACCGGTGACCAGGAGAAGCTGTCAAGAATGGCCAAGATTGCTGAACACCGTGGTGATTTCACCTCTCGTTTCCAGAACGCTCTTTACCGAGGCGATGTGGAGGACCGGATTCAGATGTTCAAGGAAGTCGACCTTTGTAAGTTATCACGCTCGTCATTTTTCGTGCTCTTCTAATCACCACAGACCCCCTCGCATATCTCACCGCCAAGTCGCATGGCTTGACGGAGGAGGCCGAATCGATCCTTGAAGCCTGCGGACTCACCGAGGATCAGATCACCGTTCCCACGGGTGACGAGGCGCTGCGGGTGCCGCAACCTATCGTGCCCACATTCAAGTCTAACTGGCCTGTCAAGGCTGCCGGTCACTCTTCGTTCGAGAAGGCTCTTCTTGGCGAAGTTGGTGCTGCCGACGAGGACGCTGTGGCGGCCAAGTTCGAGCCCGAGGAAGAGGATGAGGCTGTTCTTGCATCCGAAACCCTCGAGGACGAGGAGGAGGATGTGGCCGGCTGGGATATGGGAGACGAGATCAACGTTGAGGAGGATGTTGACTTCGTGGATGTCGGTGGCGCGGAGGCCGGTGCTGCCAGCACCGAGGCTGATCAGTGGGCTCGCAACTCCCCTCTGGCGGCCGACCATGTGGCCGCTGGCTCTTTCGAGACTGCCATGCAGCTGCTGAACCGTCAAGTGGGTGCGGTTAACTTTGCCCCTCTCAAGCCCCGTTTCCTGGAAGTGTACAAGGCCTCCAAGACCTACCTTCCGGCGACTGCCGGTCTGCCTCCTTTGGTGAACTACGTGCGTCGTACCGTCGACGAGACGGATAGCCGCAAGGTTCTGCCCATTATCCCGAGAGACCTGGAGACGATCGCCAGCGTGGACCTACAGGAGGGTTACGCCGCGATGAGGGCCAACAAGTTGGAGGATGGTGTCCAGATCTTCCGCAACATCCTGCACTCCGTCCTGATCAACACCGTTTCATCCGACGCGGAGGTGGAGCAGGCGAAGAAGATCATCGAGACGGCTCGCGAGTACATTCTGGCGATGTCCATTGAACTGGCCCGCCGTGCTATCCCGACCGACACTCCGGACAACCTCAAGAGAAGCCTTGAGCTCTCCGCCTACTTCACGATCCCCAAGCTGGAGGTTGCGCACCGCCAACTGGCCCTGATGGCGGCCATGAAGTTTGCCTTTGCCAACAAGAATTACTCATCGGCCCTCAGCTTCGCCAACCGCATGCTGCCCAATGGTGGCTCCGCCAAGCTTCTGGAACAGGTAAGCTTTTTTTTTTCTTTTGTATACGTGTGTATGATCCTCACTAACACATCCACCAGGCCCGGAAGATCAAGGCGCAATGCGAGCGCAGCCCGCAAGACAAGATCGACATCGAGTTCGATCAGTTCGCCGAGTTCGACCTGTGCGCGGCCTCGTACACACCCATCTACGGCGGCTCGCCGAGCGTGTCGGACCCTTTCACCGGGGCCAAGTACCACGAGCAGTACAAGGGCAGCGTGTGTCGGATCTCGGAGGTGACGGAGATCGGGGCGCCGGCCAGCGGGCTGCGGCTGTTCGTGCCGGGGCAGTACTGAGCATGATGACGAGATGTGACGGCTTTCCTTTTCTTTCACGCTTGTAATTCCCCGTCTCTCGATGTGCAAACATGATAGAAAATGTATTTTGCGAGGTGGGCCGAGGTCCGTGGTGGGGTGGCGGTGGTCGTGGTGTCGGGGCCGGATGTGATTTTCATAATTCTCAGCGACGTTAGGTACATCTATTACTTTACTTCTTTTGATCTTTTGATCCTTTGATCGTTTCATTTATTTTGATTACTGCTGCCTGAACTGTACAGATAAATAAAAGGTGAGATGAGACGGTCCTTTGAGAGAGATGCAGAGTAGAGAGATTCGTCGCGCTATAATACAATACAAACCATCCCATGCTTCTATATGCATAGATCCAGTGCATCCAACCAACCCCGATCTAGTAACCAGAAAGAAGAAAACCCCCAATATATCCCAATATCATACATCCAACCCCAACTCAACCCAGCCACCACTCACCACTCACCAGGAAATCAATCAATCAATCAATCAATCAATCAATCAATCAATCAATCAATCACACCTCCCATCCGCCCACCCAGTCCTCCACCTCTCCTCCCAAAACCGACAATCGAACTCCTTCTTCCCCAGCTTCCGATTCACCTCGTTATGGGCGCGACACATCCAATCCCCGAACTCGGCGCGTCCAGCCACCCGCGGCTCGTTCGTCCCGCTGGGCTCCGCCATCCAGGTGCGGAAATCATCCGCGCACACCCAGCACGGATACAGCCGCGAGAAGATCCCTAGGAACGTGCGCATCTCCATCTGTTGTTCCGGGGTGGCGGAAACGGGGTACGAGGCTGTGAGTGAGTGGAGGAAGGTCCAGGTTGAGCGGCCGAGGGTTTCCACGTCTGGGGGACAGTCTTTTGTGTTTGTGTTTGGGTTTGTGTTTAGGGTGGTGGTAGATGTGGTTGTGGTTGGGGGGGCGGTTTTGGCTTGTTTGGTGAGTGCGCGCCAGGAGGCGGCGGAGGTGCAGAGGCGGCATCTGGGTGAGGGGGTTTGTTAGTTTTGTAGTTGGGTAGTTGGTTGGGTGGGGGGAGGGATGGTGTACGGTTTTCCGTCTTTGTCGAGGATGACGCCGCTGGGGAGCTTGGTCATGCCGTTGGCCATTTTGGTTGCGCCGGGGGGAGGGTGTCATCGTTGTTGCTGCTGGAGGGGTCTTGTGAGGAGGCGGAGGAGGAGGAGCTGGCTGTGGTGATGGGCTGGTGAGGAAAGAGGTGTTTCGGGGGAACTGGGTGTCTGTTTGGTCTGGCATGGTTGTAGCTGTAGCTGTAGCTTATGAGGGTATTCCGGTCTCGGTCTCAAGAAGGTAGGTAGGTAGGTCAATTCTGGACTCTGCGGGGTAAGGTATGTAGGTATGTATGTACAAATCGTAATGGGGGGAGGTAGTGTCAGTCCGGGAGTCTGATTCCGAATCTGCGTGGGTGTGTGTAAGGGAGTGTGTCTGTCTCCGTCTTCCCCGATGTCATAAAGTTGGTGTTTCGTGCCTCATCTTGCTTTCTTTCTTCCGCGGCGGAGACTTTATCGGGCTGCTTTGTCAGCGTCCTTGCCGGCCGATCGGGATGGAAGACGAGGGACGGATTGGATGCATGCCCTTCCTCCCATCTGATTACATCCCATTTAGGATTGGTGTGGAATAGAATTCCGTACCTTATCTTACCTTACTTTGTTGAAGTTGAATCGAATCCGAAGCTGAAGCTAAGCCGTTCTGCAGGCTGAGGCTGGAACTAAGTACTAAAGTACTTTAGCTGCCGGCGCGCGCGTCTTCTACCTCCGCGTTCCCCTCTCAGTCACGCGACGGTCCTCCCAGAAGCCTTCCCACGACGATTCAACATGGCACCACGATATGCTCTATCCTCCGAGCCTGAGTCAGATGGAGATGGGGATTCCGCCCCCGCTGTTCCGGCCGACAGTGTTCTGGAACAGGCGCTCCGCGACGTCGTCACCCGGGTCTACAAGTCCGGCAAGATGGAGGAATTGACCGTCAAGCGGGTACGCCAGGCGGCGGAGAAGGCCATCAATCTGGAGGAGGGCTTTTACAAGACGCAGGGGAACTGGAAGTCCCGCAGTGAGGAGATTATTAAGGATCAGGTGGTGAGTAGGAGGACTCTTGGTGTTCTGGATGCTACGGTGTGATGATATGGGATGACTTATTGCATGCTTGGCATTTCTAGGAATCGGAGGAGAATGAAGCCCCAGAATCAGCGCCGGAGGAAGACGCCGCGTCTGCCTCGGAAGATGTCGAACCTGCCAAACCCTCTAAACCCGCCAAGAGGTCGAAACCGACGAAACCTGCAGCATCGCGTAAGAAACGCAAGACGAGTGCATCGGAATCTGAGGATGGAGATGCAGGGGCCGAGGAACTGAATGGGGATGATGAGGAGGAGGAGGAGGAGGAGATAAAGAAGCCTGCGAAGGAACCGTCGCCAAAGACTTCTGAAGATTACGTGCAGGACGACTCCGAAGCCGAGGGCGAGGAGGCCAAATCCGAAGAGAAGCCGGACGAAACCCCGAAGGACGATTCCGAAAGTGAAATGTCGGTGGTGCTCGACGAAGAGCCCAAACCAAAGCCCACTCGCAAACGCCAGAAAAGCTCCGAAGCACCCGCGCGCAAGGCAAAGAAACCGGCCCCTGCAAAGGGTGCCGCCAAGGCGAAGGATGCAGACACAGATCCCAATCAAGCCGAGATCAAGCGACTGCAGGGCTGGCTGGTGAAATGCGGCATCCGCAAGATGTGGTTCAGGGAGCTGGCTCCGTACGACACGTCCAAAGCCAAGATCAAGCACCTCAAGGATATGCTGAAGGATGTGGGCATGGAAGGGCGATATTCGGCGGACAAGGCCAACCGAATCCGGGAGGAGCGCGAACTCAAGGCGGATCTCGAGCTAGTTCAAGAGGGAGCCAAGCGATGGGGCAAAGGCAGTGCCAGCGAGCAGGACAATAGCGATGATAATGCCCCGAAGCGGCGGCTGAATCGGGGACGCAAGAGCCTGGCGTTCTTGGAGAGTGAGGGCGAGGAGACGGACTGAGCGGTCGCCGATGATCAGCGTACTGGTTGTGTATGATTAAACTGTTGCGTTCTGCCTGGAGCAGACTGTGGATCGTAATGTTTTCGAGTAGCGTCCGAATCTTTGAATCCCCTCAACCCTATCTCACATTCGTAAGCGCTTCTATAGCTCATTTCCCCGACTTTGTCCCGCCCATGCGTTGGGCCACCAAACTGAACACGGCGACGGAGGAGATAAAGAGGACGAGGTTGTAGAACTGCATAGGAAGCCGTCAGTAATTACGATCACAATCCCAGTATTCTTTTGGTAGGGGGGGGAGGGCTACCGCTGTCCGGGAGTACTCGTTCTCCTCGGCCTCTGTGCGGGCCTCGACAAACAGGCGACGGAGATTGGGGAGGTTTGCCTGAGGAGAATTAGTCTTGACCTGAGGAGATTTGTTTCTCAGAACTCATACCATAGTTCTGTAGCAAAGGCGATCGAGTGGGAGGGATCAGGGTTGTGGGGGAGAATCAGGGATGAATTGAAGCCCAAGCCGGGGAAGGAAGAGGGAGCCGCCCGGTTAGTCTGCGATCGGGCGGGAGGGACAGTTGAGTGTCTGGACTCTCAACTCGGGCAACTCCCTGTTGTCCACCTTCCACTTCCACTTCCACTTCCACTTCCACTTCCACTTCCACTTCCACTTCCGCTTCCACTTCCCTCACTCTTCCTGTCTTCTTCTTCCTCCCCTCCCCTTGTCATCATCCCCCCTTTCTCCCGCAAGCCTGCCTGTCTTTACTTCCCATATCTCCCTCTCTGGATTTCCTTCCATCCCTCCCCCACTTGGCCTTCCTCGGATCCCCCGTCCCTGGTCGCCCTGAAGCTCTCGCCGCCTCGCGGTCATTCCCCGCAGTCTCCTGCATTCCACCCCCGACCCCAGTCTACCCTGCGGAGGCGCGACCCCGTCGTCGCTGAAGCTTGTGTTCGTCCACCATGGCTATGAGTAGGATAAGGGGGGCCTTCGCGGTCCCCAAAAAGGGCGAGACTTTTGAATTGCGAGCTGGTCTTGTGTATGGTGTCTCCTATACCGCGATCGCTGAATTGCTGCTGACCCCCCCGCCAGATCTCAGTATGCATATGAACGGTATGTCGACATGGGTTTTGTCGGGCCCAGGGACCGTGGGCGATCGGTGGAAGATGTCTAATGCGCGCACAGGAAGGAGTCCATCCAGAAGACCATCATGGCCATGACGCTCGGCAAGGATGTCTCCGCTCTGTTCCCGGACGTCCTTAAGAACATTGCGACCAACGATCTCGAACAGAAGAAGCTAGTCTATCTGTACCTTATGTACGTGGTATACTTTAACCCGCCACTGGATGGTTACTGATCACTGTCGCCGCGGAAAGGAACTACGCCAAATCTCACCCCGACCTCTGCATTCTCGCCGTCAATACCTTTGTTCAAGACTCCGAAGACCCCAACCCCCTCATCAGAGCCCTCGCGATTCGTACAATGGGATGTATCCGTGTGGATAAGATGGTGGATTACATGGAGGAGCCGCTGCGCAAGACCCTGCGCGATGAGTCGCCGTATGTCCGCAAGACCGCTGCGATCTGTGTGGCCAAGCTCTTCGACCTGAACCCCGCCCTGTGTCTGGAAAACGGCTTCCTCGAGATGCTGCAGGAGATGATCGGCGACCCCAACCCCATGGTGGTGGCCAACTCGGTCACTGCGCTGTCGGAGATATACCACGCCGCCCCCGAAACGCAAGCCCTCAAGGTCACGACCAACACCCTGCGCAAGCTTCTCATGGCCTTGAACGAGTGCACGGAATGGGGCCGTGTCACTATCTTGACTACCCTGGCGGAATACAAAACCTCGGAGGTGAATGAATCCGAACATATTTGCGAAAGGGTCGCTCCTCAGTTCCAGCACGCCAACCCAAGTGTGGTGCTGGCCGCCGTCAAGGTGGTCTTCCTCCACATGAGGAACGTTAACCCTGAGCTGGCGAAGACCTACCTTAAGAAGATGGCTCCCCCTCTTGGTGGGTATCCCTTTGTATCGTGAAACGGCAGCAGTCTGGCTAATAGATGTTCAGTGACTCTGGTGTCCTCCGCCCCCGAAGTCCAATATGTGGCCCTCCGGAACATCGATCTACTGCTGCAGAAGCAACCTGATATCCTGAACAAGGAGCTCCGGGTGTTCTTCTGCAAGTATAACGACCCCCCCTACGTCAAGTTCCAGAAACTGGAGATCATGGTTCGCATAGCCAACGACCGCAACGTTGACCAGCTCCTGGCAGAGCTGAAGGAATACGCGCTTGAAGTGGACATGGACTTTGTGCGCCGTGCCGTCAAAGCTATCGGCCAAGTCGCCATCAAGATCGAGAGCGCCAGCGAGAAATGCGTCAACACCTTGTTGGATCTCATCAACACGAAGGTCAACTACGTGGTGCAAGAGGCCATTGTCGTGATCAAGGATATCTTCCGGAAATACCCTGGCTACGAGGGTATCATCCCTACCCTCTGCCAGTGCATTGATGAGCTGGATGAACCTAATGCCCGGGCTGCGCTTATCTGGATTGTGGGTCAGTATGCGGAGAAGATCAGCAATGCGGGAGACATCCTGGCTGGGTTCGTGGAAGGCTTCAACGAAGAATTTTCTCAGGTTTGTTCCCCTCTTCTGCGGCTCACAGTTCGGACTAACACGCCTACAGACCCAGCTGCAGATCTTGACGGCAGTTGTCAAGCTCTTCCTCAAACGGCCCGAAAAGGCCCAAGGGCTTGTCCAGAAAGTGCTGCAGGCAGCGACGGCTGAAAACGACAACCCTGACGTCCGTGATCGGGCCTACGTCTACTGGCGCTTGCTATCCAACACCAGCGATCCCGAGGCTACCAAGAACATCGTGCTCTCCGACAAACCGCCAATCGTCACCACCATCCATTCTCTACCCCCAGCTCTCCTCGACCAACTGCTCACCGAGCTGTCCACCCTCGCATCTGTCTACCACAAGCCCCCGGAGCAGTTTGTTGGCCAGGGTAGATTCGGTGCGGATGCTGTCCAGAGGGCCGCCATTGCGTACGTTCTGTTCCGTTTCTGGTTTCATGAACCCCATGCTAACTCGTCTCCAGGGAACAAATCGAGAATGCGCGCGAAAGCCCGTTGGCAGCAGCAGCCGCCGCAGCCGCCGTCACTGGCGGTGCTGCGGCCCCCCAGGCTCAGAGCAACGTCGAGAACCTGTTGGATATCGATTTCGATGGCACCGCTCCGGCGTCCGCCCAGAAGGAGCCGGGCGATGGCATGTCCGGTCTCGAAGGCCTTGCCGGCACTCCCGTCCGCGTGGAATCTCCGGCCGTCGGGGCACCTGCGGGAAGCAACAACCTAGACGACCTCCTCGGTGTATTCGGCGATGGCGGCGCGACATCCTCGGCCAGCGGGAGCGGTGCTCCCAACGGGGGTGGCGCAGGAGCGGACCTGATGAATGGCTTTGCTGGGTTGGATCTGTCAGGCAACAGCATGGCATCTCCACCGGCAGGAGGCAGCCAACCGAAGAAGACCAACGAGGATATCATGTCATTATTTTGAGGCGCGACGGACCATGCATGATGTATGATGGCGAACGACTCCGTATGGCTGAACGAACGGTGCCACCCAGGGAGATTGGGCGGCGCGCCCACATAATTGAGTCGATGCATTCCAAAATAGATCGCCGTGTTGTTTTCTTTTTGGCCAGGGTTGATAATGTTCCCTTTCTTTCCATCTCTTTCTTCCCTGTCCCATACCGTTTCTATTTATCTGTATATCCCATGTTACCGGAAGCTTCTGAGCATCTACTATCTTCTACGTATCCATCCCATCCTGTCCTTTGTCCTTGTCTGCCAATTTTCCCGAAACAGTTGGCTTTCTACTACGCGGAATGTGTGCTATGAAAGAGGCCAATTGAGTCAGGTGATGATCACCGCATCGTTCAATGCTCGCAAAAGAGGGACCAGAATCTTCCGAATAAATAACAGAAATCAATCCACCCGGGAAATTGAGGCTGAGCTGACCCCGCCTGTACGACCATCAAAACTGTACAACCGAAGCGTGGCCTGGGACTGGGACTGGAGAGAACGGGGGCTGACTACGACTACTAGAGCGGATGCCGTATAGGAGAGCGACCTCGGCCCTCATTCCATTGCGGGTGGGCGAGTGCGTGAGTCACCGCAGCGCAAAACTCCCCCCCATAAATATAACCCCGCGGAAAACCCCCCCTTTACTCCCCCCCCCTTTTCCCTTTCCCTCAATTAAATACTTTGAGGCATCGAAGCAAGTGGACTTGGACTTGCGACATTGTTTAGCTACACAGCACACTCATAATGGACCATCTCAAACAGACCTTTGCTCAATGTCAACAGGAGGGCCGTCCAGCCCTAGTGACCTATGTCACGGCGGGCTTTCCGACAGCGGAAGAGACGCCGGACATCATGCTCTCGATGCAGGCAGGAGGAGCAGGTATTTCTATTTCTATTCCTTCCGTGCACGTTTCTTGCAATAATAGTCATAATGTGATTATTGTGGATTGATTGATGGATTGATTATGAGTGCTAATGGTTGGTACGTAGATGTCATCGAACTCGGCCTCCCCTTCACAGACCCCATCGCCGACGGGCCTACGATCCAGAAATCGAATCTGAAGGCGCTGGAAAACGGCGTCACCATTACCTCCATGTTGCAGATGGTCAAGGATGCTCGTCAAAAAGGGCTGCATGTCCCTGTCCTGTTTATGGGGTATTATAACCCGATCATGCGATACGGGGAGTCTGAGCTCCTTGCTGCGTGTAGAGAGGCGGGAGTGAATGGGTTCATTATTGTTGATCTGCCGCCTGAGGAGGCCGTTCGGTTCCGGAACCAGTGTAGTGGTGCTGGGTTAGTTCTTTCTTTCTTCCTTTTTGTTAAATCTGATCTGGCTATGCTTGGTCAGTTGCTGATGTTGATGTCTCCGACATGGTAGTCTCTCCTACGTCCCTCTGATTGCTCCCTCAACTACCCCGGACCGCATGAAGACGCTCTGCGGAATCGCCGACTCCTTTATCTATCTTGTCTCCAGAATGGGTGTCACTGGCGCTACGGGCTCTCTGAACAACGATCTCCCCGCTCTGATGAAGCGCGTGAAGGATCTCTCCAGCGGAGTCCCCGTGGCCGTTGGCTTTGGGATTAGCACGCGCGAGCATTTCCTCAGCGTGACTGCCATTGCGGACGGCGCTGTCATCGGCAGTGAAATCATCACTCAGCTCGCAAATGCCCCTGCTGGTCAGGGCGCGAGCGTCATCCGCGAGTACTGCTCGAAAATCACCGGGAGAACGGTTTCTCTCCAGCCTTTCACCTCCAACTCTGACACGACCACCGCCGCCTCCTCCATTACCACTACCACCACCGCTACCACCGCCCCTGCTGAGCAGCAACAACAACAAACCCCCAAGCCCGGCCGCTTCGGCACCTTCGGCGGGCAATACGTCCCCGAAGCCCTAACAACCTGCCTCAACGAACTCGACGCAGGCTTCCAATCCGCGCTCAACGACCCAACCTTCTGGGCCGAATACCGCTCCTACTACCCCTACATGGGCCGACCCTCCTCCCTGCACCCCGCCCCACGACTCACCTCCCACGCCGGCGGCGCAACCATCTGGCTGAAGCGCGAAGACCTGAACCACACGGGCTCGCACAAGATCAACAACGCGCTGGGCCAGATCCTCATCGCGCGCCGACTGGGCAAAAAGGAGATCATCGCCGAAACCGGCGCGGGGCAACACGGCGTTGCGACCGCCACCGTCTGCGCGAAATTCGGCATGAAGTGCACCGTGTACATGGGCGCGGAGGACGTGCGCCGCCAGGCGCTGAATGTCTTCCGGATGAGGCTTCTGGGCGCCACGGTTGTGCCGGTGGAAGCCGGTTCCCGGACGCTTCGCGATGCTGTTAATGAGGCGTTCCGCGCGTGGATTGTAAGGCTGGATACAACGCATTATATTATTGGCTCTGCGATCGGGCCGCATCCTTTCCCTACGATCGTGCGGACCTTCCAGAGTGTTATTGGGGAGGAGACTAAGGCTCATTTCCAGCAGGAGATGGGACAGCTTCCAGATGCGGTTGTTGCGTGTGTTGGTGGCGGGTCTAATGCCGTGGGCATGTTCTATCCCTTCGCTGCGGATCATCCCTCTGTGAAGCTGGTCGGCGTGGAGGCCGGCGGCGACGGCAAAGACAAGCACTCTGCGACTCTATCTGGAGGAACAGTCGGCGTGCTACACGGCGTGCGGACGTATGTGCTGCAGGATCGTCACGGACAGATCTCCGATACGCATTCCGTGTCTGCGGGGCTCGATTACCCCGGGGTTGGGCCGGAACTAGCGAGCTGGAAGGATTCGGGCCGGGCGTCGTTTATTTCGGCGACCGACGATAATGCCATGGAGGGCTTCCGGCTGTTGAGTCGGCTGGAGGGTATCATCCCCGCGCTGGAGTCTTCGCATGCTGTTTGGGGCGTGGTGCAGGTGGCGAAGGAGTTGGGGCCGGGGAAGCATGTCGTGATGTGTTTGAGTGGCAGGGGCGATAAGGATGTGCAGACGGTGATGGAGGAGAGGCCGGAGTTGGCGATGTAAAAGTTGTGTGTCTGTTGTGTTCTTTTTGGATGAATGTCCTATAGATTAGGAATACCGTGTACTAGTTAATTTGCATCAATCATGGCTGGGATATATGCATGCAGTATAAACTGGAGTTCCATCGGGGACATGCTCTCTTTTTGGATTGCAAATTTGACTTTTCTTCAGTCGATGTAAGCCCTCCTGTCCGAGTCAGGCCATGTTGGAAGTCAGTCACTACTATCTATCTGATAATTTGGCAGTTAGTGCGCGCCTGAGTCAGTCGATATACAAACCAGCCAGGGACCAGAGATAAAAAAGATATGCGACTCGGAACGTCGTATGACGGCGGACTCGGAACTCTGGCCGTTGAGTTCCGATCTCACCCGGTCAATCTTGAATCTGTTGCTTGATGCTACTGCGTAAGTGCTTCATACCCACCCTGCAATGATCAGGCCAGATGTTGTAAATAATAAGGCCATACATGTTCCTGGATGCGGAATTTGGTCCCGAAAATCCGATGCCGGAGATGAACGTCGACAAGCGAAGACAAGACACCTTATCTTTCTTGTTCAATGACGCCAAGTAACGGGGGCTGGAGAAGACCGCGGCAGTTGATCTCACGCTAGGGCTAGGGTAGGAATGGCCTTGACAACAAGGCACGGGAAGACATGAGCATATGAGCATAACATAACAAATGTGGAAATAACGGGAATAAGGGCAATTGTTAATGGGCGGATCGAATCTAGGCCTCCGTTTCGAGCGAATTGTCTCGGAATTTCCTGCATTATTTTGCGTTTCCGCGACGTTTCCGCGGTGGAGTCAAACCATCAACCCTAACGAAAGGAACTGCCCCTTAGCACTGTAGATAGCAGCATCCCTGTTTTTTGTGACAAGCAGAGTCGACGGGGTATGACCTGCAGAACAACGTAATCATACAGACCTGATTTATCTACCGGCATCCTACACAATCCATGGCAGTACTAGCGCTGATCGAGCGAGCGAAAGTCCTGCCATGCAGCCATGGTCCAAAGTCAGAATGGAACCATTGCCTTGGATCCGAAAAATGGCCGTCGGACTCGCCAGCACTCCAAGATCCCGGCTCCGGTAGCAGCACCTGTCAGCCCGTTAGCAGCACACTATCTAAGTGATGGTGATTGAATTGCGAAGAGGCCCATAGATAGATATTGGTCATCAGTCGGGATCGATAATAATGGAGAACCCACACCTCCACATCGCGGTTTCTGCTTCCTTTTCGGCTTATCTTTCTCGCACGAAGTGGGCCTCAAGTCCTACAAACCAGACCCCGGCCCGGCCGATGTGTCGTCCCATGGAATGCGATGCCGGGGGCGCATGTATAAGATTAAAGAGAGGCCATGCCCTGTTTACGGGCCTGTCACGTCACGCAAACATATCCTTTGTTCCCAGAGACAAGAACCTGCTCCAGCAGCATTCAATATGGCTCAGACCGACTACAAGTTCGAAGGGTGGATGGGTCTCGATAAGGACTCGGCCGACGGCAAGATGGTCTGGCAAGAATTCGAGCCCAAGGCCTGGGAGGAGACCGACGTCGACATTAAAATCTCTCACTGTGGTGTCTGTGGTTCGGATTTGCACACTCTTCGCAGCGGCTGGGTATGTCATCTTCCACCTTTGGCGTGGCCAAAATGCGACGAGGCGAAAGCTGACACCATTCTAGAGGCCAGCCTTGTATCCCTGCTGCGTGGGCCATGAGCTCGTCGGCACCGCCGTGCGCGTCGGATCCAAGGCCGTTGGCGGCATCAAGGTCGGCGATCGTGTTGGTGTTGGCGCGCAGAGCGACTCTTGCCTGGGCCGTCTTGGAGACTGCCCGGAATGTGCCATGGGCTGGGAGCAGTACTGCAACAAGAAGTTCGTGGGTACATACAACAATACCCATCTGAATGGCGGAAAGTCCTACGGCGGTTATGCTCTCTACAACCGTGCTCCCTCTCACTTCGTTATCAAGATCCCTGACAGCATCCCCTCGGCGCACGCAGCCCCTATGCTGTGCGGTGGTGTCACTCTTTACAGCCCTCTGAAGCACAACGGCTGCGGTCCTGGCAAGAGCGTTGGTATCATTGGTGTCGGTGGACTGGGTCACTTTGGTGTCCTCCTGGCTAAGGCCATGGGCGCCGACAAGGTCGTTGCTTTCTCGCGCAAGGCCGGTAAGGCTGCGGACGCTCTTAAAATGGGTGCAGACCTTTACATTGCCACTGATGATGAGCCCGACTGGGCTACTAAGCACGCCCGTTCCCTGGACCTCATTGTGTGCACCGTGTCCTCGTCCAAGGTATGCTGAGCCCATGGGTCGGGTTTCAGGAAGCTCACATGCTAACCGGGAAAACAGATGCCCATGACTGAGTACTTGGGACTACTTGCAACCGACGGTGCTCTGGTGCAAGTTGGGATGCCCGAAGATGGCATGCTCTCGGCCCCCGTGCCGAGACTGACCCGTCGTCTCAAGGTGACGAGCTCCCTGGTCGGAAGTCCCGACGAGATCCGTGAGATGTTCCAGCTCGTTGCAGAGAAGAAGGTGGAGCCGTGGATCGAGGAGATCCCGATGAAGAACGCAAATGAGGCGATTGTGGATATGGAGGCTGGAAAGGCACGCTACCGTTACGTGCTTGTCAACGAGGAGCATTAAATGGCTGGAACCATGGACGGCTCAGGGACGACGAATGATGATGAAGCATTGTATAGACTGTATGTGAATGAATATTAGATCAGTATGATACCCATGTGATGAAAGCAAGAAGAGGAAGAGGAAGAGGGAGAAGTAAACGAAGAATCACTCCGTCAAAGAGTATATGGAGAAGTGCAAAGTAAACAAACGGACGACCCGGGCCGTCCTTCCTAAAGTGGAAGGTGCACCACGTGATTTTCCCTGCCGCTGTCGGAGACGCTAGGCCCGATTGGGCGCGGTTTGCCTCTTTTGCCTCCCTTCGATCCATTATTCAGTGACTCAAGAAGATCCCCTCGTCCCATCTCTGGTCGCAATCATTGTTCTCGGAGATTCAGTCGTCTCAGCCATCATGTCGCACACTCTGTCACAAAAATACCTGAGCACGCGGGGTGCCTCCTACGGCGTAAGTGACTCGATTCCTCAACCTCTCTACTACCCCTCCACCCCTCATCCACCCTTCTTCGCCGCTCTCCCTCCATCCTGTCCTTCCGTGGCGAATCGATCGCTGACTTGCTGCCTCTGTCCTTCTAGCTCTCCTTCGAGGATGTCGTTATGAAGGGGCTGGCCGCCGACGGCGGTCTCTTCGTCCCCGAGGAGATCCCTGCTCTCCCCGCCAACTGGGAATCCGAATGGCGCGATTTGAGCTTCGAGGAGTTGGCCTTCCGTATCATGTCCCTGTACATCTCCGAGTCCGAAATCCCTCGTGAAGACCTCAAGGACATCATCAACCGTTCCTACGCCACCTTCCGCCACTCAGAGCGCACTCCCCTCGTCGAGCTGGATGGAAAGCGCAACCTGCACCTCCTCGAACTATTCCACGGCCCCACCTTTGCCTTCAAGGATGTCGCCCTCCAATTCCTCGGAAACCTGTTCGAATACTTCCTGGTGCGCAGGAACCAGGGCAAGGAGGGCAAGGACAGACACCGCATCGTCGTCATCGGTGCGACGAGTGGAGATACCGGCTCTGCCGCCATCTACGGCCTGCGCGGCAAGCAGGACGTGTCTATCTTCATCCTGTACCCCGATGGCAAGGTCTCCCCCATCCAGGCCGCCCAGATGAGCTCCATCCTGGACCCCAACGTCCACTGCCTCACTGTCGAGGGCTCCTTCGACGACTGCCAGGACTTCGTCAAGGCTCTCTTCGCGGACCCCGAACTGAACTCCACCCACAACCTCGCCGCCGTCAACTCCATCAACTGGGCTCGAATCCTGGCCCAGATCACCTACTACATCCACTCTTACCTCGCTCTGACCAAGACCCCCGGCTTCTCCAAGGAGTCCAAGATGCGCTTCGTCGTCCCCTCGGGCAACTTCGGGGACATCCTCGCCGGTTGGTTCGCCAAGCGCATGGGTCTCCCCGCCGACAGACTGGTCATTGCCACCAACGAGAACGATATCCTGGACCGTTTCTTCCGCACCGGCGGCTCCTACACCAAGGGCGACTCCAAGGGCGCGGGTGTCAAGGAAACCCACAGCCCCGCCATGGACATCCTGGTCAGCAGCAACTTCGAGCGTCTCCTCTGGTTCCTGGCCTTCCAGACCAGCGATGCCAGCACTGCCGACGAGCAGCGCAAGCAGGCTTGCGAGAGCGTCAGCAGCTGGCTGAACCAGCTCAAGACCGAGGGCGGCTTCAACGTCCCCAAGGCTGTCTTCGAGGGCGCCCAGGCCGAGTTCGAGAGCGAGCGCGTGAGCAACGACGAGACCATCGCCCAGCTCCGCTCCACGTACCAGACCTCCTTCCCCTCCAACCTTGGCCCCGGCAGCGCCAAGAGCTCCAAGACCGGCGGCTACATCCTCGACCCTCATACTGCCATCGGCGTCGCCGCCTCTCTGCGCTCCATCGAGCGCAACCCGGGCGTCAGCCACATCTCTCTCTCCACCGCCCACCCCGCCAAGTTCGCCAGCGCCGTCGACCTGGCCCTCACCGGCGAGGACGGCTACGACTTCTCCGAAGTCCTGCCCAAGGAGTTCATCGGCCTGGAGCAGCGCGAGAAGCGCGTCACCCCCGTCGGGCCCGGTGCCGGCTGGCAGCAGGTCCGCGAGCTCGTCAAGAACGAAGTCGAGCAGGAGTTGCAGGGTAAGAGGTAACATATGCTACCACAATAGAATAATCGTCTCTTCTTCCGTTGCATTTTCCTCTCTACAAATCCCATTACAATATCCACTTTCCAATTTCCGTCTTATAATACCACCGTCCAACACGGTGTGAGATTTCTTTTTGGACCGAACAAAAGCTATATCGATGATATGACACGATCTTCAGGTGTATCCACGCCCTTTCGTTCTCTTTCATAAACGCTAGATCATAGATACATACATGCTGGTTATCCCGTGTCATTAATGCATTTCTGGAATTTTCTTTAAATCACTCATCCACGGTGAGATTGCATTCGCTCGTAGACGTTTTGGGTAGCTCGTATTCGTGACTCGGCTCGGCTTTTGCCTGGGTGGGATAGTATCCCACCTGAACTCTCACTTGCCTTTCAAGGCTTTTCTGATCTCACGATCCGTTTCTAATTGAAGCTAAGCAATCTAGTAATACTATCATAGCAGTAGGATCCGACAGACATCCCCAAAAATACATACTATGCCCAGGATGAAGCAATCAGAATACGCGCAGCAGCGACCCGATTAAATGACTTGGAAGACTTTTGTTTTTCAATACCATTATGCATTACTATTACCGAATTATTTGACACAAAACAATACCTTGACCCGGAGAACCCTCCTTAATATCAGACTGCGTCAGCAGAATGAAATCGAAGAGGTACCCAAGGCGAAGGACTAAAAGACAAAATGATTTTCTAACCAACAAAAGCCGTAACACCGAAGAACAAGAACCCTTTTGAGCTGATTGTGGTGGTGATCACTGACTATCGTAGCCTGGTCATTAGATCACACCCTTGGGGGCGAACGGACTTAGAGGAGGGCCATGAGACCCATGACGGCGGCCAAGAAGCCAACGGCAGGCTGCACGGTGGAGGCGGCGCCCTCGAAGCCTGCGTTGGGGTGAGCTGGGGAGACGCCAGACTCGCCGGGCGTGGTGGGGTGCTCGGGGGCGGAGGTCTCGCTAGAAGTAGGAGACACGCTGCTGGGAGTGGAAGACTCGCCGGGAGTAACGTGAGTCACGCCGCTAGGAGAGGATGACTCGCTAGGGGAAACAGGGGACACGCCGCTGGGAGTAGAAGTCTCGGCGGGAGAGACGTGAGACGGAGAGGACGACTCGGCAGGAGAAGCAGAGGACACGCCACTGGGAGTCGAGGTCTCGCCGGGGGCGGCCGGGGAAACTCCAGGAGTGGAGGTCTCGCCAGGGGCGGCCGGGGAGACTCCAGGGGCGGAGGTCACGCCAGGGGCGGACGGAGAAACTCCAGGGGCGGAGGTCTCACCAGGGGCGGCCGGGGAGACACCAGGGGTGGAGGTCTCGCCAGGGGCGGCCGGGGAGACTCCAGGGGCGGAGGTCACGCCAGGGGCGGCCGGGGAGACACCAGGGGCGGAGGTCTCACCAGGGGCGGCCGGGGAGACACCAGGGGCGGAGGTCTCGCCAGGGGCGGCCGGGGAGACACCAGGGGCGGAGGTCACGCCAGGGGCGGCCGGGGAGACACCAGGGGCGGAGGTCACGCCAGGGGCGGCCGGGGAGACACCAGGGGTGGAGGTCTCACCAGGGGCGGCCGGGGAGACACCAGGGGCGGAGGTCTCGCCAGGGGCGGCCGGGGAGACACCAGGGGCGGAGGTCACGCCAGGGGCGGCCGGGGAGACACCAGGGGCGGAGGTCTCGCCAGGGGCGGCCGGGGAGACACCAGGGGCGGAGGTCACGCCAGGGGCGGCCGGGGAGACACCAGGGGTGGAGGTCTCGCCAGGGGCGGCCGGGGAGACACCAGGGGTGGAGGTCTCGCCAGGGGCGGCCGGGGAGATACCAAGAGTGGAAGACTCTCCAGGAACCGCGGGCACAACAGTGGTGGAAGAAACAGGGGCGGCAGGAACAGTCGTAGTACCCTGAGATCCAGGGACACTGGTCGAAACACCGGGGGCAACAGGAACAGTAGTGCCGGGAGACCCAGGCACAACGCTGGTTGAGACGCCCGGGACAGCAGGAACAGTGGTCGTGACACCCGGAGCGATGGGAACAGGCTGCGTGGTCTGGATAGACGGAACAGTTGTGGTGTTCTGGAACGGAGCGGGCGTGTGGGTGGTAACAGGTGCCGGGGGGATCACGGTTCCAGTTCCTGGGACAGTGCCGTGGCTGATGGTGGTAGGCTGCACAGGAGCAGTTCCGTGGCTGATGGTGGTAGGCTGCACAGGAGCAGTTCCGTGGCTGATGGTGGTAGGCTGCACAGGAGCAGTTCCGTGGCTGATAGTGGTAGGCTGCACAGGAGCAGTTCCGTGGCTGATAGTGGTAGGCTGCACAGGAGCAGTTCCGTGGCTGATAGTGACGGGAGCAGTGCCGTGGCTGACAGTGACGGGAGCAGTGCCGTGGCTGACAGTGACGGGAGCAGTGCCGTGGCTGACAGTCAGAGGGGGCACGGGAGCAGTGCCGTGGCTGAAAGTGAAGGGAGCAGTGCCATGGCTGATCGTGGTAGGCTTGATAGGAGCAGTACCAAAGCTGGTGGTGGGCTTGACGGGGAAGACAGTTCCAGTTGGGTTCGGCTTAGGCTGAGGCACAACACCCGTCGGCACAGGCTCTCCGGTGGGATACACCTGCTTGCCATCCTCACACCAGGTAGTGGTAAGGGTGACGGTGTTGGTCAAAGTGATGGGGACCGTAAGAGTCTTGTTGCCAGAGGTGACAACCGAGGTGGTCACTAAGTCCAGCGTTAGATACACTACTCTGGACACGGACTGATGGAGACATCATACCTGGGCAGTCGGTTGTCGTGTAGACCTTGGTCTTGGTAATCGTCTGGGGTTCGCCAGTGGGGAGAATGATCTTCGTAGTCACAGGCTTAAGAGGGCAGGGTTGTCAGTACATAGAAGCCAAAGCTTTAGAAGAGAGACATACCTCAGTGCCACGGACAATGACTCCAGCAAATGCCGGGCCGGCCAAGGCCAGCAACGCAACGCCTCCCTTAACCATTTCGTTGACCAGTTTTGTTTTTTAGCTGATGCAAAAGGCTGCAGAACGAACACTGACACAACTTTTTTAAGATCAAACGAATGAAAGAGGGCGAGCGAGTGACTCCTATGCGGCACAACTTGTGTTGGGAAAGGGAATGAAGTACATCAATAAAGCAGGAAGACTTGGTCTTAAATGTCTTCAAGGACAAATGCTCTTACCGTTTTCGTGGCCGTACTGGTGGATGGTGATAATGCCACAGTAGTATCCACTCAGGAGAGAATTATGGCGCGATTGATACACGACTCACAAAAGCTGCCAAGTCTCACACGCCATGAGGATGCGTGGAGCTACGGTAGTAGGTTAAGTTGAGAGAACCGTGGATAGAAAAGGGACCGATGTAATGAGAGTAGTTGAGCAGAACAGAATCCTGTGTTCAACCACGATGCGAATGTAACATCCCGCAGTATCATTTCGGGCTTGGCCCACTATCCCCACAAAAAGGCTTTCAAGGCCTGAGACCTGCCGATCATATGGAGCCCCCAATTGAGAGAAGGATAGCAGTGGTGGCGTCACCACTGTAATCCAAGATTCATGCAAACTTAATCATTGCCCCTGTCGGCGGACAGAACAAGCCGACGGTGCGGAGTGTATATGGTAAAAGTTCCATACCGTACTGAAGATAGAAGGCCGTTAGAGTGTGTAGTATTATCATTTGCATAGCGCCTAGTAGAGCTGTTCGCGAAGACGGACTGAATTGATGCTCAAGTGGTGAGCCCTGAACATCCCAACAGTAATTCAATGGCGAGATGGTCAATTACAAAGACATCCATTGCGGTGTTGGAGGCTACCCTGGAGCGGGGATACTCGTGATGGACACATAATGCATCTGCAACGTTGCACGTAAGCGAGGTTAAGAATCAGGGCAGGGGGCAAATTTGGCAAGAAAAGGGGCATCCCAGAGGGGAAGAAAGTAAGTCAAACAAGGAATTGAGATGCGCCGCAGCAAGATTCATCGACGAGGTAACAATCCAGAAGCTGTTGACCAGGGGAAATCGATGTCTGGGGCAGCAATTGTGACGGGGGAGCCTCCGAGTGGCTCCGAAGATCCAAGGAATGTGGTGAATACACCATTGACTCAGCGCATGATTTAGTAACAACAGGAACAGTAAGAGCCTCGTGCAGCCGGATTGGGCTAGGGTAGCTGACTCTCAGACTGTGGGCAGAGAGACATGATACGTCGAACAGATTCTTCAGGTTTCATCAAGGCTGATGGTCTTCCCCATGGATCAGGGCAATATACACGTCATGCCAGGAGGGAGATGAGACGTCCCTCGTATGCTATAGACAGGACAAGCCGCAAACGGCGATGCAAGCCCTGAGAAGTTCCTGGTGGCGCAGGGGTGGAACCGGCAGGAAAGTGGGAGTCAGTTGAAGTTGTAGACAGTCAGGAAGAAGCACGTCGGAGCACGTCGCCGCCCATACTTCGGTACCTTGCTGACTCATCAGCGCCGTTTGCGGGGAGGTTCCGGCACGTGATGGGAAGCTCTGCTGCTCGATCGGGACCCGCCGTCAGGGCTTAGGGCTGACGGGAAGCGGCGCGTCGGAAACGCGTCGGGCGCGTTAATGGATATCGATGTCCATCAACGCACCTCGTGGAAAGGACGCAATCACCACTCCACCACCCAGCATGCCTCACTCAACATCCTCGCAGGACTCTTCCTCCAAGCGCAACGATGAAGAGATTCTGCCAGACGCCCCTCCAACTGAACCAGCTGCAGAGAACGAGGAACCCAGTTCCCCGAAGAATGAGTCGACGGGCGTGAAACTCGAAGACCTGTTTGATGACGATGACGATGATGAATACCCCGCTTCAAGTGCGCCGGACACGAAAACCGTCCCTGAGCCAGCAGAGTAAGTCATCGCCAGGAATATAAAGGGGGTATGTACTGATTTTGGTCCATTCAGGCCTGCTGCTGCTCCGGGGCCCCAGGTAGACACCGAAACCATGCTTGCCTTCTATCAGCGCCTTTTCCCATTTCGCTATTTATTCCAGTGGTTGAACCACGGAATCGTACCATCGCCAGACTTTGGGAACCGTGAATTCGCGCTCACGCTTCAAAATGATGCCTATCTACGATATCAGTCATATGCGACTGCGGATCTGTGAGTAGGGAGGAGACCACAACCTTAAGAGACTCAGGGCCTAACAGGATGGGCTTGCAGGTTCCGTAAGGATATTCTCCGCATGAACCCCTCTCGATTCGAAATCGGACCCGTCTACAACACAAACCCACGAGACCGCAAGACGCTTCGAGGTGGCCAGATGAAACCGATATCCAAGGAGCTGGTATTCGATATTGATTTGACCGATTACGATGACATCCGATCCTGCTGTACGAAGGCGAACATCTGTGAGAAATGCTGGACTTTTGTCACAATGGCCATGAAGGTTGTCGATACGGCTCTACGGGAAGACTTTGGTTTCGAGCATATATTATGGGTCTACTCGGGTCGTCGTGGTGCCCACGCCTGGGTGTGTGACCCGCGGGCCCGCAGCCTCCCCGATGATCGCCGCAGAGCCATTGCGGGCTACTTGGATGTTGTGCGAGGTGGCAATTCGAGCGGCAAGCGCATCACTCTCAAGCGACCTCTTCACCCCCACATGTCTCGCAGTCTCGACATCCTCAAGCCGTACTTTGCGCAAACGACGCTAGTGGAACAGGATACCTTCCTGAGCTCCGAGCAGGCGCAACGTCTCTTGTCGCTGCTCCCCGATAAGAGCCTGAACGAATCACTGCGCAAAAAGTGGGAATCGGCACCGGGCCGCAGCAGTGCCAACAAATGGGCCGATATCGATGCCCTCGCCAAGACCGGCAAGAGCAGCACTCTCAACCCCACAACGCTGCGAGACGCCAAGCAGGACGTTGTTCTAGAGTACACATACCCGCGCCTGGATTCGGAGGTCAGCAAAAAGATGATCCACTTGTTGAAAAGCCCATTTGTCATTCACCCCGGCACTGGCCGCATTTGTGTACCGATAGATCCTCGGAAAGCGGAAGAGTTCGACCCTCTCTCGGTACCTACGGTTACCGAACTGCTGGCTGAGATTGACGAATGGGATGCGGAACATCCCAACAATGCAGGAGCGGAAGTCGCTGAAGGCGAGGGCAGTGTACCTGAGTCTGATGCCCGGGGAGGTCGTAAACTCCAGGATTACGAGAAGACAAGTCTAAAGCCGTACATCGACTATTTCCGCTCCTTCATCGCCGGGCTTCTCAAGGAAGAGCGGGTTGGCAAGCGCGAGAGAAACGAGGACGTGGCTGAGGCGAAACCGGAGAGCATGGAGTTCTAGTTCACCCTTTTCATGTGGTTCACATTGTCTTTTGGTCGTTGGTTCTGATGAACACCCGATGATGGTATGATTTTGGCAGCGGGTATGGAGTATTATTGACGGACTTGGACATGCGGGAGTTTCACTTATACTATCCACTTATAACCCTCTTCTTAGAATGCTTCGATCATATATGATCTTTGATGTAATTAATGGACGCTTTTCATTCATCCCCTTTGACTAAATATATCCCAGGAGAGCGATCACGAACCCTGTTTGTTCAGGCGGGGGACCGACGGGTGGCCGGTGCCTGGCTGGTGCTGCGCTCAGAAATAACAACACAACAGCGATCGCATCTTCCCGGCAACTCTGATTGATAGTCACCCAGGAATCTATTTCTCACCACATTCCCCTTTCCCATTGCCATTGCCATTTTCCCCTTCGCTCAACCATGACTGTCCGCAAGAGCACCGGCCCATTGAGCGGCAAGTTCGACCAACTCGCCCAGGACACACTGGATCAATGGCATGTTCCGGGCATGGCAATCGCCGTTGTCGACGGTGACAACACCTGGGCCAAAGTACTCACTACACCAACACCATCCCCAACAATGCACAAAGCAACCACAAAGCAACCTCTAACAACCTCTAACAACCCCAACTCCAGGGCTACGGGATGGCCTCCCTCCCCTCCACCCCGGTAACGCCCACCACACTCTTCTACGCCGGCAGCACCACCAAAGCCTTCACGGCGGCCATGATGGCCAAACTAGTCGAAGACAACACCACCTACCCGCAAGTCCAATGGGACACGCCCATCAGCAGTCTCATCCGGGACGACTTCGTTCTCTCCTCCGCATACGCCACCGAACACACAACCATCGAAGACGCCCTATCGCATCGCTCCGGACTCCCCCGCCACGACCAAGCCTACGGGGACAATCTACCCCGAGACACCGCCGTACGGACGATCGTCCGCACGTTGCGCCATCTCCCACTCACAGCCGAACCACGCACCACATTCCAGTACTGCAACCTGATGTTCGTCGTCGCCACACACATCATCGAGACCCTCACTGGCGAATGGCTGGGCGATCTGCTCGCCCGTGAGATCTGGACGCCCCTGGCTATGGCATCCACGTTCTTCGACCTGGATGATGCAAAGCGTGCGAATGACCATCTCGCGCGCGGATACGCCTACTCGTCTACAGAGACCGAGAACTCCTACCGCGAGGTCCCCTGGATGTCCGTCGCCGAAGTCTCCGGCGCCGGCGCCGTGATCACGAATGTCCTGGACTACGCTAAATGGGCCCGGTCGTTAATGACCCAGACCCAGACCCAGACCCAGACCGGCCCCTTATCGCAGGACATGCGTCGCGCGATGTGGACCCCAAGGACTATCATGCCCTCTCAGGCCCCGTATACGGGGCCGCGCGCGTATGCCCTGGGCTGGTGGACGGGCGTGTATCGGGGGGTAGAGTACTTCGAACATACGGGGGGCGTGAATGCCTTTGGGGCGGAGCTGATCTTGATCCCGACCCTGAAGTATGCGGTGATTGCGCTGGCGAATACAGCCGCCGGGTCGAATTATGCCGAGCAGGCGTTGGCCTTTCATCTAATCGATGAGAAGCTTGGAGTGCCGGTGGAGGAGAGGTTTGATTGGAATCAGAAGTACGTTTTTTTCTCTCTCTCCTTCTCTGCTTTTGGGTTCGGATGGGTAGAAGCTGAGTGGTCATATCGCCTTTTTAGGAATATGGCTTATATAGAAGCGGAGAAGAAGAAAGTCCAGGACGCCATCGACTACAGGCCCCCTTCTCCAGTCCTGTCTCCGGCCCTACCGCTAGTAGAATACACAGGGAGGTATGTACACCCCGGCTACCAGATTGTCGAGGTTTATCTTGATGCATCCACGGGGACGCTGCGTGCGGACCGGGGCAGGGCCACCTGGCCGGAGTACCTGAGCTTTCAACATAGGAATGGGGAGCACTTCCTGATAATAGCTGAGCATGATGGGGATCTTGGGGCGCTGTTTCCGGAGGTTTATGCGGCGGAGTTTCGGATCGGTGAGGAGGGTAAGCCGTGCGCGCTTGGGGTGGCGTGGGAGAAGGCGATGAACGGGGAGAAGATCTGGTTGAGGCGGGAGGATTAGGCTCATAGGTAGGTAGATGATAGGGCGGGTTGGATTGGGCTGGAGTTACGATACTTTGGACAGTTATGGCGATAGATCATACCAACAGTGTGACGTGATTGGGCTAGGCTAGGCTTAATGAAACATCTACTACGTACTAATATACATGCGCGCACTGGCGGGAGGGACAGCGGCCAAAATTAATGAAACATGATTCCGATATTTTCAAGACAGGGGTGTTGTCGTAACGTGATTAAACAAAAATATCGATTTGGGGGGGCATTCCTTGGGTCAACGCGGTTATTCAATCTTCCGCATCTAGGCAGCGATGAAGTTCTTGACGCCTGTGTGATATTGTTAGAGGCATGCTTGGGATGGGAATGTTGGAGGGCGACTTACTCTCGATCCAGCGAACGTACTCCTTCTGCTCCTTGACCTGGATGTAATCCGGGATCATGTTGGCAAGCTCGGCGTTGATGCCGCGCTCCTCGAGGTAGCGCTCGAGGAAAGACTGCAGCTCCTCATCGAGGTTCTCGAAGGGAGGGCCGGAGTACAGGCTCTGTCTGGCCCAGTCCTTCTCGGCAGTCTGGGCGTGGGCCAAGTCGGGCTTGCTGAAGAAGGAAGCCTCCTCGACCTGGAACAGGCCATCCTGAGCAACGGTCTGGATCAGAAGAGCGCCGTTACCGGGCTTCTCGATGGTGATGTTGACGCGGGCAGGGAAGCTGGGCTCCATGTCCTCCTCGGCAGCGGCGTCCCGGGAGCCGTTTCTGTCACCATCCAGCTCGTCCAGAGCCTCGTCACCGAATTCCTCCTGCTCGCTCAAGTTCTGGAGGTCGGCGACGGTGAAAGTGAGGCGGATCCTATCGATTGAAGGAGCTGTTAGTAACGTTGTTCCTACGGAAAAAGCCATTGCGGGTTGTTCTTACTCTTCGTTGCCGAACTTCTTGGTCAGGATGACTTCCTGCTCTCCGGGGACATCCTTGACCTGTACCCAAGCAGATTAGCACAGATGTAGCAGACAGTGGACGCGCATCGTTGATCGTACCTCCCAAGAGTTGTTTTGAAGAACATACTGGATGTTCTGGACGGAGGGCTCCAAGTCCTCAAGGCCGGAAGCCTGCTCGTGCTTCAACTCCTCCTCGAGCTTAGCGACCAGTTCGACATCACCTAGATTGAGCCAAAGGCCTCGATGTCAGAAATCCATTCCAACAGCTCGGACAGTCGGTAGTAAAGCTCGCCATATTGCCGGGCGAAGGCAGAAACTTCTTGGCTTTTTTATGGGCCAAAAAATTTCTCAACCGGGGAAAAACCGGTCCATTACATACCTGGAGCGGGAGACTTTCTGAACGCACTCGAGGTCGAGAAAGCAGCATAGGCGGGTTTCGTGGCCTGCTTGAAGGAGGACTGGAGGAAGGTGTTCTTGGGGACGGTGGAGATGGGGCGGACGGCGGACCGGGAAGAGGCGGCGACAGAGCGCGAGACAGTGCGAGGCACAGAGCGGGCAATGGTGCGTAGAGAGAGCATTTTGAGGGTGGGGGTTGTGGGTGATGAAGCTGGGAAGCAATGGAGGAAGAACAAGTTGGCGGATGATGAAAGATGAAAGATTGGAAGAGGCGAGCTGATGATGTCGGCCGCGCCAAGCCCGCCAGCTCTGGCGGAGGCCAATCAATGCGCGCGCCGGCCTGGCATCGCATGACGGACAACTCTACAGTATGGAGTATGGAGTACTCCGTATATACAAAGTAGGTCTGACTGAGTATGTATTTTGGTTCATATCATTCAGTCGCAGGAAACCATCCAAATGCAGATTTGAAATTATCTATGTGCAATCGTAACGCCGTTATGCCCGACACTTCCGCGGATCCCTCCATCCTGTCTTTCCATGCCAAAACAAAAAACAATTGAACCAGAAAAAGAACTTTTTTACGACATTCCCTTGGGCGGGAACGCCGACACCTGCTTGCCTCCTTCCTTGGTGATCCGGATGAACTTCATCGTGCTCAGTCCGGACCAGTCGCCGTTCCATGCGGCCAGGGCCCGAACCACATCTACCTCACTGAAGTCGGGCATCCAAAACCCGGTCTTGAATTCCTTGTTCTCGACATCGGTCCGCTGCAACAGCGCCTCCTCCCGCTTGCTGGGCGGCCTGCCTTTCCGGCGCTCGCTCTGTAGTTGTTCGATCTCGGGCACGCTGCGGTTGATATATCTGCAAGCCCGCGGATTAACATGCGGCAACACTTGCGATCGACATGGGTGTCACGTACCTGATGACTAGATCCTTCATCTCATCCTCCGACATGGCGCCGGCGTCCTCGGGGATAGCTTCGTAGAAGTAGGAGATGCGGTCGACTGGAAACAAAAGATTAGCCAACATCCAACGGATCGTCCGTTGACAGCAGAGGCCAGCATAGCATACCGTAGGTCTGTCTGCCCCGCGACATGTTGGCCGAGACACGAGTGATTCGATCATCACGGGCATTGGCCTTGCGCAGTCTCCTCGCATCTCTGCTGAACTCGTGCAGAGCCTGGACGGCGCCCCGCTTCTTGGCAATGTGCTTGTGGACTTTGGAAAGGGCCTTGATGGGCATGGTGGGCGGATGGGTGATGGATGGGTTCTGTCGAGAAAGACGAAGCGACCGTCGAAACTTCCTTTTCGTCTTTTGCGCAGGATTTCTTTTTTCGACGGCAGAATCCCGGGGCGGTGGGCGGGCCCTCCTGCACCGCCCTCGCGAAGCCAATCAGGGGATCGGACGGCGGGCTCGCCCCATCGCGTTCCTTGCGCGTCGGAGGGACCAGCGACGAGCATTCCAACCCTGTTGTCAAGGTCATCATCGTTTGGCCGCCATTCAGGGGTCGGTCCGGGTCGTGCACAACTTGCTGAGCACCGTGCTTCTATGTTTTCCATGCTCGCCGGCAGCATTGACTCCTAGGCACCCCCAGACTCCAACGGATGTCTGTTTTGGCGGTGCGAGTATCTACTTCGAGGCGTATCCTATCGACCAAAGGCGCCGACCATGGGCATTAAAGGTGATTCCACAGCCCCAGGCCATTGGGGGACATCCACAGGGCTGACACTCTCCCCATCTAGGACTCCATGGCCTGCTCAAGTCAATCCAGAAACCATGTCATCTGAAAAAGTTCAGCGGACAGACCCTCGGAGTCGACGCCTATGGATGGCTGCATCGAGGCACGGTCGCCTGTGCGGTGGACCTGGTCCTGGGCAGGCCGACCAGGAAGTAGGTGCTGAGATGCCAGGGATCTTCTGCTGGCTTGCTAACACCGCTCCAGACACATTGACTTCGTCCTGAACCGAGTCCGCATGCTGCTCTTCTTCGGAGTGACGCCCTACCTGGTCTTCGATGGGGATGAGTTGCCAAGTAAGGCTGGCACGGAGATCGAGCGCCAGCAGCGACGGCAGCAAAGCAAAGCCCTTGGGTTGGAACTTCAGCGGAAAGGCCGCATGGCGGAGGCATACCAGGAACTGCAGAAGGCCGTGGACGTGACGCCTTTGATGGCCCGCGAGCTGATCGAGGAACTCAAAAAGATGAATGTCCAATACGTGGTGGCTCCGTACGAGGCAGACTCGCAGATGGTCTACCTGGAACAGCAGGGGATCGTTTCCGGGATCATCTCCGAGGACTCCGATCTGCTGGTGTTTGGCGCGAAACGCTTGCTGTCCAAGCTCGACCAACATGGCGACTGCATTGAGATCAATCGGGCCGACTTCACGGCTTGTCGAGATATCAGTCTGATCGGATGGACAGATGACGACTTCCGACGCATGTGTATCTTGAGTGGATGTGATTACCTGCCCAACATTCCACGAATGGGGTTGAAGACGGCCTACCGCAGCATCCGAAAATACAAGAGTGTGGAAAGGACGCTGCGTATGCTTCAGCTTGAGGGCCAGTATAACGTGCCTACGGACTACTTGGATAACTTCCGGCAGGCGGAGCTTACGTTTTTGTACCAGTGGGTCTTTTGTCCGAAGGCGGGAAAGTTGGTGACTTTGACCGTGCCGGAGTCTGGTGTCAATGTCAAGGACCTGACCTTCATTGGTGCCGATATGGATCCGGAGGTTGCGGTCGGAGTCGCCCGTGGAGACTTGGATCCAATGACCAAAGAGCCACTCATCCTGAAGCCACCGGTTGCACTCGATAAGAGGCTTACCAATACCATCAGCCGCCGACAGACTCTTGGCTCATCTGCTGAGCTGAAGTCCAGCAAGCCCATCGGCTCTTTCTTCACTCCAAAGCGGGTTCCTCTGGCGGAGCTGGACCCAAACAGCCTCTCCCCTTCGCCGAGCCAGCAGCGACTCCTGCATCGCCATGCGAACAGCTCTTGGGAAGGCGTCTCTGCGCCATCACGCCCCGGCGTGGCCAGATCCGCCTCTTCGGTTGACCCCTCGCGGAGGCTTTCGAGCCCGCTGGTGAGAAGTGTCGAACGAAATTCTTTCCTGGCGCAGGCTTCCAGAATGTCGAATTTGCAACCTGCCAAGCGGCAACGGCTGTGTTCCGACGCAGATGAAGCCACCGAGCCCAGTCTGCCGGACTGTCGCAGCAGGTTCTTTGCCAGCCCGCTGGACGATTCCAGCCCGAGTGGACAGAAGGCGGCTCGCACGAAGAAGGCGCGCAAGTCTACTCTGGACGTCTTGTCCGACGACTCCACGGAAGATTTGATGTCGCAGATCCCAGATCCTGTCCAGGCAGGAACCAAAGACGAGCATCACAACTCTGGTGGTAACAGTGTGGTTCCTCGAGCGGACGCCACGCCTGTCCCTAAGCATGATACGCAAGATAGACCGGGGCAATCCTTGGGGAAGTCCAACACTTTGGAAACGACCCATACATCTGCCACCCCTAGCTCTACGTCTGATGTGCTTGACGAGCCTGTTGAGAAACGTAAGCCCGCGCTGCTTTCCAAGTTTGCCTTCAAAGCTGGAAAGGTCTTCACCAGTCCTGGGAAGGGGGGTTCTGGTGACAAGGACCTTCAACCGAACACCCCCAATGAGCCGCTGCAGACATCGCCCGGGGTGGGATACGGCGCGTTCCGGTCCCCTCCGCGGCGTCAACGGACCACACCTCTGCAACGTCTCGGACAGAGCGCCCTGTCTCGGTCCCGATCGTTCCATTGCGTTTCTCCATCCCTTACCGGCTTCGTGACTCCGAAGGGGCCGATCGGCAGATTAATGGGTGGCAAAAGAGCGGTCGATCCGGTGAAAAACGGCCCGACGCCTAGTCAAGGCAGCGAAGACATGATCATCCCGGATAGCGAAGACGACGAAGAACCGGAGGGCAGCAAGGTCTCCAGTGGAGAGGGACGGGCCTCGTTTGATATCCGACGATTCTCCTTCACGGGCAAATAGATCTTCTTGGGGGAAGGAGGAGAGCATCGCAACTGCATACATACATACATTGGCGTTTCTTTGGAATATCTTTACAAGTTGTGTCCCTGGTAGCATTGGGGTGATGGTTAGTGTTTTGAATTGTATACCTCGACTATAGGACTACTACTTACTCGTAGGTAGGTAGTAGGTAGACCAGTAGAATACATACAGGTCCATCAATGATAAAATGATAATACCTGCTGTGACAGTACCGGTACCGAGTACTCCGTAGGCTGGGCCGATAATCAGTGGGGGGGGGGGGGTGCCCGATGAGGGCTAGCGGCATCGGGTCCACGAATGGGGCCAGGCGGTGAGGGGGGCGTTACCGGGGAACGGGCGTGGTAAACAAAGCGCAGTTGGCCCAGCCTCCCGCAATTCGATCTATACCGACCCGTTCCTCCCCAGCCTCCCCCATTCTCACCACCACCACCACCATCATCATCGTCGCCCCCGTCGCTGCTGTTTGTGGTCACTCGTGGAGGACACTCAGGTTCTATCGGAGGTTTTTGTCTAGCTACAATCACTCCCTCACCCTCCCTTTCACTCCCCTTCACCTCTCGCCCTTCCCCAATCCATCTCCGCTTGCCTCTTTTCGGCATACTGCAATCCAATTTAGCCCACTCGACCAGTCCATTACCTGATTGATACCTTGTCTTTGCTCTCTAACCACCTGAGATATCTCCCAGGGTCCAACGTGCCACAACCGCTACATTCCTGCGATCTCTCCTGCATACCAACTCTATCGCTACATTCCTGTCGGCGTCCGATCTGTCAGGCACAAGGCCGCTCGAGTCACCAACTCGTCTCGTCGTGACTCGTTTCAACTTCACAACTACTCGTCGCTGGGGGTACTGGCCAGAGTGAGCCTCACCAACACTTCACACTCCTTCTCGGAGTTCCGAGAAGCGAGTCATCGTGAGAGGAGGAAGATACCAGGCCCCAATCGCCCACTATGCCTACATTTCGCGACCGGCTAGGCAGTAGGTTCCCCCGACCTCACACGTGCAATTGTATAAGAAGACGCTGACGATTGCGATGCAGAGTACCTGCCGATGATCGGGTACCACCACGTGCTCATGATTATCATCGCGGTCGCCATCATCTTGCTATGTGAGCTATCATATCGTCCCACTCGGAGGAGTGTCACTGACCGTCTTAGCTCTTCTATTGGCCGGCTGTTCATCGTCCTCCCCGCAGATCCCCGACATCTTCCTCATTTCCCTGTACTATGAGCGCTACAAACCTACCTTCAACCTCGCTCAGGTCGACCCGGGTGTGGTGACCGCAACGGCGAATATAGTGGGAGGAGCCCAGATGGAGGTCCGCGTGGGATACTTTGGGATCTGCGTGCAGCCCGACGCCGGGTCGTACATCTGCAATGCCAATGCGACGGCGCTGGCGGAGATTGTCACGGTCGACCAAGACCCGCTGAACCTGATCTGGGTGGCATCGACGTTCAAGGACGCAGTTGTCTTTCCGTACCTACTGTATGTTTCCTCGGTTCCTTTCGTCCTGTTAGCAAATTGACTAACTCCTCCAGCATCATTGCTGTCATCCTCGCCTTCTTTTGTTTTGTGCTCCTCGCTACCTTCCCCGGCTGGCACGAGGAGATCGACGCCAGTGGCTCGGAAGTGGAAGCCAAGCCGTTCCCATCGCGCCCCGTGTCCCAGGCCGCGTTGGCCCTGATCTTCGTGGCGTCGGTATTTGTGCTCGTCTCGGTATTATGGCAGCACACGGCCTCCGTCGCCGCGAGCACCATCGCCCAGGACATGGGCAACGGAAGCGTGAAGAGCGGAGTCGGCACGTCAGCCATGGTGCTCGGTTGGTTTGGATTCGGACTTCTGGTCGTGGTGACGATAGGGCTGCTGGTTATGATTCTCAGCATCAGCCTATTAAACCGGTTGACAGATGAAGCTTAGCCGGCCCTTCCCTGTCTTCATGACTTTTCTTTCTGTTTGTCTTTTTTTGTTCTGCGTTTGCTTTTTTTCTTTCTCTTCTGCGTGACACCCCGCGCGCACGAACTCACGTTTTACCCCAACCTGACACGAACACGTTACACGCAAACACGACCCCGCGACACGAATAATTACGAACAACTCCACACAACACCCCGATTACGCAATAGGATATGACATGATATGGACATGTACATGGACAGGACAGGATAGGATAGGATAGGCCAGGACAGGATATGGGAACCGGATATGGATTTGAATATGGATGACTACGACATGGATATGGATACGGATATGGATACGGATAAGATCTGAAATGGGATCATGAAGCAATGCATAATGAGCAACCAAGCAAGCATATTGGGCCATGAAATCCAAAACCAAACAGGAAAAACCATCGGAACCCCAGATTATATATGTTTTATCATCATCATCCAGGTCAGGATCTGCCTGACTGGATGGAAATCATGACCCCCACACCCACACCCGCACTTTTTACTCACTGAACAAACAAAACCAACCAACCCACTAACAAACAAGCAAATAAATCAAGTGATTTGATCTGATCTGCTTCATTTTCAGTGCATTGATTTTACTTTCACCACCTGTATATTGTGTAACTTCTGACCTGGTTTTTTTTTTACATTACTGCTGTTATTGTTGTTATTGTTGTTACTGTTGTGATTTGGTTGTTGTTGCTGGCGTTGTTGTTACATGTATAAAAGATATGGTGAATTTCGTGCTTTTTATGGCTTCTTCTATGGGGTTATGGGAAGATAGGGCTGGGCAGAACTGGGCTGGACTGGGCTGGAATGGAACGAAATTGGGAGGATTTTGTGCTTCCTTTTTTTTTTTTTGTCTGGGTAGATAGCTATACTTGGGGGCTTTCCTGTTTTAGAATGAAATAGCAGATGGATACACTCAATTTTTAAAATAGCAGTTAACATGCATGCCTCATAAATGTCTATACAGTTATATAAACAAACTTGTTTGTGTAGGAAACCATCGAGATCCTTTTAGTAGTAGTAGTAGTAGTAGTAGTAGTAGTAGTAGTAGTAGTAGTAGTAGGGTAGCCACTCACTCACTCACTCATAATAATCATAGCAACATGACACCGTGTAAATAACAAATGGGGGAGGGAGGGAGGAAGGAAGGAAGGAAGAAAAAGCTTGCAATCCCAGCAATCGGACATCAGACATCATATCAGACATGCTGATCAGATATCATGTCTGGCATACTTACTCGCCAGCCTCAACCTCTTCCCAAACTTAAGCAAAACAAACGGAAACGGGACAAACAGCACCGTCAAACAACCCAGGAGAGTACACGCCCACCCGACCCCCAGATTATGAAACATGGCGGACGCAAACAACGGAAACCCAGCCCCGAACGAGGATCTCAAGAAGTCATTTCCGGCAAGCACGGACGCCGCGAACTTCGGATACGCATGGGCCTGGTAACAGAAGATACAGTTGAAGATGAGACAGCCACCAACAGCAAAAAACATCGACGCGATGATGGGGACGATCCAGTGCACGGAGGCGAACTGGCCGGTCCAGCCGAACCAGAAGAGGGAGATGGGGAGGGCGAAGCAGCCGACGCAGGCTGGGGGCAGTTGCATCTCCGGGGCGATGTTCCAGTTCTCGTCGAAGTGCTTGGATTGGTATTTGTATTTCCAGTAGAAGTAGCACGGGATGGTGATGCAGCAGGTGGAGACGAGGATGCCGAGGAAGGCGAGGCCGCTTTCGCCGGTGTTGAAGCCGTGGATTTCGCTGAAGACGATGGGGAAGGCTTCGAACCAGATGTATAGGATGCCGTAGATTAGGGCGATGTAGAGGTTCATGATGAAGACGATGGGTTCGAGGAAGCAGAGTTGGAAGGGCCGGATGAGGGCTTCGAAGAGGACGTCCTGGTTGGGTTTGGGTTAGGGGGTGGGGGGGTTTGAGGGGGAGGAGGCAGGGGGTGTACCTTGGGCTTGACGTGGGAGATCTCGATCTCGGCTTCGCATTTGTAGCTCGAGTTGCCGGTGATCTTGCGGATGCGTCGGGCTCGTCGGTAGAGGATGTTGGGCGCGTAGGTCTCCGGGAGGAGGAAGAAGAGGAGGACGAAGGCGAACGCGGAAACCCAGAGGAGCTGCCAGATGGTCCATTTCCAGCCTTCGGCTTGGGCGGCGAACCCGCCGACGAGCGGACCCAGGACGGGCGCCGAAATGGCAAATGCCCCCCAGATGATGATCATGTAGTCGCGCAGCCTGGGGTTCCAGATGTCGCCCATGGAGGCGGCACCAGTGGCCAGGGCGGGCGAGCCGATGAAGCCGGTCAGAAAGCGAAAGGCGAGGAGCATTCCGAAGTTGGTGGCGTAGATGACGGCGAATTCGAGGAACACGAAGACAAACAGGGTCAGGACGTAGGTAGGGCTTCGGCCGATCGCAGGTAGTTCCGACAGGGGAGACCAGACCATAGGACCTGGGATCGGTTAGTTGTACAGTTCAAGTCTCTTCTGGGTTATCGAGCGCACCCAGGCCATATCCCAGCACGAAAAGGGTCAGTCCCAGCGTCGCAGCCACTTCGCTCACCCCGAATTGCTCGCAAACACCCGTGATGCCAGGGGTGTAGATGGCCGAACCGATGTAGATGGAGAAGGTGAGCAGCCAGATCAGGCTGCTGACGCCCAGTTTCTTGAACGTGCTCCAGTTTTGCGGATTCTGCGTCTTTGTCAGCTATCATTCTGTGACAGTCTGTGTGTATACGTACCTCGGGATCATCCGGTCCTCGCCAGTCAATGACCATTTCAGCTCTGGAATCAACCCGGTCTGCCCCCTCATTCCGAACCGTCGATGAAGACGACACGCGACGTGATGACCTTGATGCCTGCGACAGGACAGTATAAAGACCCAGGTTCTCCTGGTCGCTGTCCGAGACCGCCGCTTCTTCATCCTTGACCTGCTTCTCTGTTCTCAGATACTCGGTCCACATCCCTGTGTCGATCTCCTCGGGGTAGCGTAGCCATCTTCGACCACTGAAGATGCGCACCAGTTTCCCGAAGGCTGAGTCCCGGACGGTCTCCATTAGTTAGGGCTGGTCAAGTGTTCAATTGCTGGGCGGGAGGCAATAGCGCATGGGATATATAGCACCGGGATCCATCGTCGGGAGCATTGTGAATTTATACCAACACTGTTCGGTGGCAATGATACATCTTATTCAGGCCTTGGAGAAAAAGTCTAAACCCGGTTTGACAGCCGATTGCCTGGCCATCTCGTCGGTCGAGGCCTATAGCCGGAATGCCGGGCTAAATCCGTAAACCCGGGAGGAACGCCTGGGGAGCTTGACAGCTGAGTGGTCACAGATCCGTCGGATCGGAGGAGCTCAAATGATTTCATCATGGTCTGGACACTGGGCAGGAAGTTAGAACGTCACCTTTGACAGGCTGTTCGACGACTGCGATTATTCTTGTGACGTCACGACTTGTTGAAGATTCCAGACGCGATGCCGGTAGAATATTTATCACTCTCCGCTTCATCCTTGCGAGATATTCTCTCTTCTTGGACACCGAGAGGGTCTCAGCAATATCCAACGGCAAGGGTATCAACCCCAAGCATGCTATTATAGGTGTCGCGGTTGCCCTTGACCTTGTAGACCATAAGGGGAGCAGCTTCTGCGGTTAGTATTCTACCCCGAAGAAGAGGAACAAGCACATGTAGCGGAACAGCTGTTGAGTCGAGAATCAGAGGACAACGCAGGCGGGACAAAGACGCCGACAAAGTATCACCACTGGCCGCTGTCGTCTCCCGTACCGATTCTGCCGACAGAAGGCTGCCAGGCGGTGTGATCCCCGTCCCCAGGCAGCTCTCCGTAATCCCGCCTCATCCGCATCTCCACCCCACCCACCTCCAGAGCAGTCGGATTCTCATGTCCCAGGATGACGACCTGCAGCAGGAAATACTGCAAAGGACGCTACAAGAGGTAGCCCGCGAGGAGGATGGCGATCCCTGCGTGATCTGCCTGGAACCCATCTCCGAGCCCGCCATCGCGGTGCCCTGCCGCCACGCCAACTTCGACTTCCTGTGTCTGCTGAGCTGGCTGGAACAGCGGCGCAACTGTCCGCTTTGTGAGCTTCCCTCTTCCCCCTTCTCTTCTGAAGTGTATGTTCGGGACTGCGACTCTAACTTTACTGTCAAGGCAAAAGCGACATCACATCCGTGAAATACGATCTCGCCGGCCCTCATGCGCCCAAGATCTATCAATTGCCTGCGCTCCCACCTGCAACCACCACCACCACCACCACCACCACCACCAATCTACACAGATCCCCATTCCAGCGTGGCCCTCGTCGTCCCCGCCGACCCCGCAGCCCCGCTCCCCCCCAACGGCAACAACCCTCCGACCCGATCCGCCGCCGCCAACACATCTACCGTTACCAACTGTACTCCCTCCGCGTCGGCTCCAACCGTCTCTCGCAATACCGCGAGCTCACGCCCGAGCGCTTCAACCGCGAAGAAGATCTCGTGTCACGGGCCCGGAAATGGATCCGTCGCGAATTGCAGGTCTTTGCGTTTCTGAACCCGGAGTCCGAACACAACACTACCAGCACCACTGACGCCACCACCAGTGGGAGCAGAGGAACTGGGCCACGATCAGGGTCAGGATCAGGATCAGGGACTGTGGGGGTCGCCCGCCCCGGACACCAAAGACTAGAGAGCCGTCGGGGCAACAACGCCGAGTTTTTGCTCGAATATATCATTGCCATTCTGCGGACGGTGGATATCAAGGGCAGTGCGGGGCAGGCGGAGGAGCTGTTGAAGGATTTCCTGGGGAGGGAGAATGCGCGGTTGTTTCTGCATGAGTTGCAGGCGTGGTTGAGGAGTCCGTTTGGGGCGTTGGAGGATTGGGATCGCAATGTTAGGTATGATGAGGGCGGAGTACGTGCTGAGGCTGGGGTTGGGGTCGAGGGGGAGAGGACGTCGACGCCTGTTTATCGGGGTGGGGGGCGCGGCCGAGGGAGGGTCTCGAAGCCGGGGAGACACCGCGATCGCGATGCATTGGCTCAGGCGAGAAGGGTACAGTACGCGCGGGACCGATATATCCCGGATTGAAAGTGTTGGAAGGGCCATAGCCTTGTATGATGTATGATGCTCTGTAACTAGATATATAGACGTGCTTTCTTCGCTTGGACTGGTATCTTGAACAATAGTATAGTATGCATGCATGCATGCATGTATGCGATGCGATGCGGTATGCGGTAGTCGTCGCTCGTGATGTGGATGTGGATGTGGATATCCCTCCGAGGTATATCTATCTTCTGCGAAAGCGCCCGGCGCCTCGCCCCTTGGAGCCTCTATTCCGGATCTTCAACGACCGGTAATTCGCGTGGGCAGCCGGGTTGACCTTGCGGACACGGGACTTGGGATCTTCCTCCTCCTCCTTTGTCTCCGCCTTGGGCTTCTTCTCCTGGGGCTGTTCCTGCTGCGGCTTGCCGGCGGCGATAGCCTCTTTCATCTTCTCCGAGAAACTCTTCCCTCGAGTCAGAGGCTTCGAAGCCTCGTCGTAGTCGGGATCTGAGTCGAAATCCGGCTCCGACATGCTATGCAGGGACTCGAAGTCCTCCGGGTCCAGCATGTCCTCCAGATCTAGCATCTCCTCTGGACCCTGTGCAAGTGCATCCAACGCCTGCGTATCTGGGACCACGCTTTCGTCCAGATCACCCTCCTCCTCTTCTTTCTCTGACGGCTCCAATTCCGGCTCCGCCTTCGACTGGGCCTTCGGCTTCGAGACCACGGGCTTCATATGCACATTGCGCGTCGTGCGCTTCTGGCCCTTCTTCTTGTACACGCGGCCCGAATCACCATGCCCATGTTCCCCCGACGGCACTGCCTGACTGTCCATGACCTGGGCATTCTGCTCGGCCTCAATCTCATTCAACACGTCCCAATCATCCTGTAGCCTCTCCTCCTCCATGTCCCGTAGCCCCTGCACCAACGCCGAAAGCCCCTTCCCGACAAACCGCGGCCTCTTCCTCGCCGCCATCGGACTCAACCCCCCACTGCCACCCTCCCCGCCCGCATCATACCGTCCAGACGTCGACCGTCTCAAAAACGACGGCGTATCTGACCCCACCCCCACCCCATCCCCTCGCCCTGGGCCTTGGCCTTCTCCCCCTCATCCATATACGCCGGGACTCTCATCCCGCCCTTCCCGTCCCCATCCTCCATCATAGCCGCATACCGCCACGTCGTGGGCGTCGCGAACAGCGTCGAAAGCATCCATTTCTTCCCAGACGACGCGGGGGTCCGTTCCACCCGCGGACTGTCTTCCTCGTCCTCCCCCTCCTCCCCTTCCCCCCCTTCCTCGGCAATCGTATCCAACCCTACACCCCTCTTCCGCCGCCTCGACGGCGTCTGCGCCCCTGTATCCCTGACACTCGCTACCCGTGTCGCAGACGGGGTCGCCGTACTCCCCCCAGACTCAGACAGCAGATCAAACAGACCGAGTGCCTTTCCGTCGCGTTGCGGGGTGGGCCCAATTGCTGTCTTCAGCGGAGAGGCGGAGGGGAGGTGGGTGCTCGGGCTGAAGAGACGGCGCAGGACGGAGGGGGAGTCGTAGGGGTCGACGGTCGCGGGGTGGGCGGTTCGCGCTTTGGAGGGCGTTTCGAAGGCGTGTTTGCTCGCTTTCCGAGGAGTGGTGTCTGAGGGGTGCTTGCGCTTTTTGGGCCGTTCTTCGAGTTTACTCGTACTGGTGGAGGTGGAAGTGGAGGTTTCGAGGGCTTTCAGGCGGGAGTATTCTTTGTATTTTGCGGCTGGGGAGGGTGAGTTCCGTTTGGGCTCATGCATGGTGTATGGGAAAGAGAGGGGGTTGGGGGTTGGGGGTTGGGTTTACCTATCTCAGGAACCTTCTTGATATCATTCCGCGCGGCCTTTCTTCCCCCGTTGGCGTCGGCAAAGGCTCTCTCCCATTCTTTCAGTTCCGCGCGCAGGTTCGCGGACTGGGTGGCGATCTCCTGGATGGCGACGGTGGCCATGGTTTCATACTGATGTGAGAGGGAGGTGTGGGTAAGAATATGGGGACTGGGGATAAATAAGGATGGGATGAAGGGGAAGGGGGAGTCAATCGAGGCCCGGGCGGTGGACCGTCGCGTGCGCGAAATCAATTAACGCGGGTTGGGCCACGGCGGGTGACGTAGCGTGTCTCGGGCCGTCCAGGGACATTTCAAAGGCAGAAACCAATATTCTTCTTCTTATTTGCAGGATCATTGCAGTGGTGTCTTTAACTAAATAAGAAATCGGGTTTAAGATGAATCTGTCTACGAATGATATTAATCTTGAAGAAAATCACCAACTCGTCAACCCCCGACCGCGATCAAACCCCCCTCGCAACTGCGACTCGGGATGCACCACCTTGCCCTGCAGGAGCGTGTACTTGACCAGCCCCTCGCAGTGCTCGGGCTTGATCCGGGCCAGCCAGATCATCTGCTCCTGCTCCCGGCGATACACCAGCACGTTGGCGGAGAACTTATGCCCGCCCACGTGAGAGACGTAGAAGATGCCCACGCCGCCGGGCCGCTCGTCGTTCGCGTCGCGGTACAGCCCCAGGGGCCGGAGGTGGCGCTCGAGTTCTTTCTTGATCAGGGGCGCCGTGATTCCGCAGCGGGCGTCGCGCCGTTTGTGCGAGCACAGCAGCACCACGTAGTCGTACTGGCAGGGTCGGGGGGACAGCTTCGAGTCCGGGTCGGGGGGGATGGTGCCGTTATGCGAGAGCGGCGCGTCGATGAAGCGGCCGATGACTTCGTTGATGTCGCGGGGCTGGACGGCGTCGACGAAGGTGAATGAGGGGAGGAGCAGGATTGTTGTGCCTTCGGTGGTCCCCTCGGTTTGTGGCGATTGGAGGTTGGAGGCGGATATCATGAAGCGCTAGTTCGGTTAGTGAGAGACAGGCCCGGGGGAGGTACTGGGACGTACGCCGTGCTGCGACTTGCTCGAGGAGTCGTCAAAGGCTTCCATCAGCGAGCCCTTCTCGGTCTCGACCTTCTCAACCCAGTCCGACTTCCCTGTCGCAACCAGGACATGCGTGTGGAACTCCTTGATGTGTCCGTATAGGGGCTTCGTGGTCTCCATCTTGACCTTGGAGGGGAACTGCACCGTGCAGTCGGCGCAGTCCTTGCGACAGTCCGGACCATCCTCGCTGGGGTCGACGGTGGGGAAGATGTAGCTGTCGTTGCGGATGAGGCCGCCGCGCGACAGGAGAGATCGGAGCATGGTGTGGCACTCCCGTTTCGGTGATTTCACGAGGGATGGAGGGTTGGGAGTGTATACCTCGTCGACGCGATCGAATATCCGGTGTTCAGGTGGCAGGGGAAATTCGAATGCGACGAGACAGGCCCCATGCATGATACCTGACTGTTCCTTCATCTTATACGCCGTACGGCGTGTCAGACTCGGAGACAGCCTTAACCGCGAGATCCCCGAGGCCGATCCCCGAGCAGATGGGTCATGATCCTGCCAGGCATCGCGAGAAGTATTTTGGATGGGTCTGGGGGCTGGCAGGAATAGCCCTCCAATCAGGGGGTGGTTGCTGTTGTCAGTGTTGAGATGGAATCCTTTGCGGGAGCCCTGAGCCCTGGCATGTTCCACAGCAGGCAACACTCTATTCAGACTGACTCTCGGTGCTCTTTCTGGTTTCTACTCTACGGAAGTGCGTGCCTGTTGATCCATCGATTCTGGTCTCACCCCTCCGGGACACGTCCGAAATTCCGAAGAGCCGATGTCCGACTGAAAGCGGGCGGAGAGTGGATTGCGGTGTACAGAAATAGGTTCCCTCGTTCTGGGAGAAGTGATTCCTGGACCCTGCCGCCCCTCCACACTAGGCCGTGACAGGCAGTCTGGCTGCCTGCCGGTCCCTGCTGACTAACGGCGAGGCGAGGCGCAGTCGCCCCTCAGGGGGGAGATTCTTTGCTGCAGGCCTGCTGTCGAACACTCGAACACTCGAACACTCGATCATACGTATCGACTGCGACCCATTTACCCACGCCGCTGTCCCGTTGTGCCGTCCGTCCACGATGCCGGATAAGGTTGACGAATAAAGCATGCGCTAGTTTTGGTCTCTGCCTAAAGGGTCTCGGAGATCGCAGCAAGTCTGGGCAAGGCTTGAAGCCCCGCCGGGCGAGGCTACCGGAACAAGACAAGACGGCCGGTGGGCCAGTGAGGGACCACGTAAGCCCGCGCCCGCCGCCGCCCGCGTTTTGCCCGTCGCGCTTCTCTTATCAAAGTCACAACGCCCGAGGGACACGCCGCCCGCCCGACCACCACCACCGACCGCTCCAGTCGGTCAGCTCCCTCTCCAGCTCTAAACACTGCTGGCCTGGAATCCCTGCCTGCCTGCCTGCCCACTGCCTGTTCCTCGGAGAGAAGGGAGGGACCGCCGCTCTATCTCTCCCCCCCTCCCATCCCATCCGATCTATCCTATCCCATCCCATCCTATCCCATCCCATTCCATCCTATTCTTCAAACCCCCCTCCCACAGATGAGAACTTCTAGCAATTATGGCCGATATTCAACAGCCCTTGGGGGCTCCTGACTCGGACCCCCCTCAGCTGGATTCCCAGCACCAGCAACCGCGCGTGCGGAAGCGACGCCGTCGCACCATGGCCTGTATGCAGTGTCGCAGCCGGAAGCTGCGCTGCGATCGCGAGTATCCCATCTGCAGCCGCTGCCAGAAGAGCAAAACCCCGTCGCGATGCACCTACGAGGATGGATTCCTGTGGCAGCAACCCAACACAGTGGCCTCGCCCGTCTTTTCCGACCGCGGTCCCACAACCACGGTGCAGATGCCCCCAGCTGATCGGGCGACTGCCCACCCTACCCCGGACTCGGGGATAAGTAGTGTTCCGTCTCGGTGTCAACCCTCAGCGCCCGGCGCTCGCCCCGTCGAGGAGAAACGCGACAAATTCCTCGAAACCGTTCTCGGCGCTCCGAAGGCTGCCGTCAATCAGGAGCCGTATGTGACCGCCGAGATCTTGCGCCATGCCCCCGATCCTCATCATCATCATCATCATCATCTTCTTCTTCACCATTCCAGCACCCACCACTCCTCCTATCCGGCTGAGGACGATGACATCCCGGCCTCGCCCACACAGCAACTCGACGTCGCCCCTCGGATCATGATGCGAGGCAAAGAAACCAAAACCCGCTTCAATGGGTCGGGCATTTTTGCCAATCTCATCGCCCAGGTAATCCATCCTATTCAACCCCCCCCCCCCCCCCCCCGGCGCCCATCCCCGACCCTCGTCTGGTGCGTGGAATGGCTCAGGGGCGATCCGTTGACCATATGTTGACATCCCGACAGTTCCCTGACCTCCGCGCCTTCGCGGAGGAAATTCGCCAGGCCAGCCCGCATCTCTCGGCCTTGAGGCCCGACCTCATCAGGGTGAGAAAGGGCGTCTGGAAGAAGAAACCCCTGAACATGCCCTTCCCCGTCCCCACCACCGCCTCCTTGATCACCATGCTCCCCTCGCGGTCAGCAGTCGACGAGCTGGTCATTTTATACTGCACGTACATCGAGTCCACGCATCGCATTTTGCACGTTCCTTCGTTCCTGCGGGAGCTGGAGGAGTTCTGGGCGCAGCGCGAGTCGCCGGATATGATCTCACCCGTCTTCGTCGTGCAGCTGCTCCTGGTGCTGGCCTGTGCGTGGAACCTGGCCGATTTTCACACCTTGCAGATGAAGAATGACGGGAACCTGCAATGCTACACGGCGGTTGAGTGGGTCCTGCATGCAGAGAAGTGGATGCAGAATCACCACATCAAGCGCCCCGAGCTGACCAGTCTCCGTCTCGACACGCTGCTGATCATTGCGTTCAACATTCATGGCATGAAACGCAGCCAGGCGTGGCTGGCCACGGGAACCCTGGTTAAGCAGGCCATGATGGCGGGCTTCCACCGCGACCCCACCCGGTACACCCGGATCTCCGTGTTCAACATGGAGATGCGCCGACGGATATGGACGACCATCTTGGAGCTGGACCTGCAGGTCTCGCTCGAACGCGGCATGCCGCCGTCAGTCCTGGAGGAGGATTACGACACCCTTCCGGCGCGGAACATCAACGACAGCGACATCCAGGAGGACAGCACGGAGTGTCCCGAGGCGCAGCCGCTGAGCGTCATGACCGATTCGTCCTTCCAGGCGGTGCTCGTGCAGTCGCTCCCGCTGCGACTGAAAGCCTGCGCGTTGATGCACTCCCCGCGGATCAACTGCCGGTACGAGGAGATCCTGCGCATAGACCACGACCTGAACCACCACTTGTCGAAGATCCCGGTCTGGCCCGTCTCCGACGTGGACGATTTCCAAACGGCGCACCGGATCATCCTCATCCGCGCCCTGCTGGAGAACAAGATCGGCCACTCCTTGTTATCCATCCACACCCCGTTCGCCATCGAAGCGCCGAAGGAATCCTTGTTTGCCCCGTCCGCCCGGGCCCGCTTGGAAGTCGCGTCGATGATTCTGTCCACGCAGCGCCGCCTGCGCGAAATGTCGCAGCAGCTGTCTCTCTGTAACATGGGCGACTGGACCATGCAGGCGTACTGCACGATATGTCAACTCCTTCACGAGGGGCAGACCAGCGGTAAGGGGGATATGTCCACTGCTTTGCAACGCGTACTGACACTCCCAGGGTCGCCCATCTCTCTCACCCGGACCCTCCCGGGCCTTCCCGAGTCGTTGATCGCTCTGGTGGAGGTGGTCTTGACATGCCTCGAATCGCGCCTCCTCCTGGTGGTCAAGGGGGCGAAGGAGTACTTCTTCATGTCGACCATCGTCGCCCTGGTCAAGGTGGGCCTCTGGCCGAGCCAAGCGCACATCTACAAGCAGGAAGTCGTCGAGCGGGTGATCCTGTTCGCGCAGACGCTGTTCACGCGCCACGCCAACTGCGCCCACCTGGGCGACTGGGGGATGGGGAACTTCAAGACCAACCAGGTGAGTCCGGTCTCGAATCATCCTGACTGACCCGCTAACCCTCGCAGGTCCCCAGTCTCAACACCGGCCCGGTGCTGGTCGCGCCGCCGTTCGTGCCCGACGTCAGCATGCCCCAGGCCCCGAACTTTGGCATGATGGTAGGCCCTTCTCCTTCTCTTCCTTCCGCTGCACTATCACCTCTCCAAGTTAGACTAACCCCCTCGCAGCCCCCCGGCGAACTCGACCCCTTCCTTGACGCGTTCGACTGGGGAGATCTCACGGGGATCACCTTCCAGCAATGATGTAAGAATACGGAGACGTCCTTATGTCAGGACCTACGTAACGCCTACCTCCTCACCCACCAACCTATCTACCTTCCATGACGATTGTATGTACTGTACAGATACTCTATATCACATACTACCTGCGTCCCTCCATGAGAACCCCGGTCATAATAAACAATCCCCCGTTCGTCGATCATGTAATTCATCTCCACAGTAGTACCAGGTAGTGTTATTATTATTATTGTACAAAGTAAAAGTATGATGCAAGACGATAATCCACAAGGCAATGACGGCATCGAACCGCAGCAGCAGCAGCAACAACAACAAGGAACCAGCCGATCACGGACCGATGTCACTAGTAAGTCATGATAGACAGACACTGGATCAGGCTGGGGCGGGAAGTGGACCGCTGCCGATCGGGATATCAAATCGGCTGGCTGTGATTACATACCAAGTACAGTATAGTATGGCTGTGAGATAGATAGATAGATAGATCCATCATGTCAGGACTTAAGTTAGTATCTTGGGTAGGCAAAGACTTTCTAGCAAGGAATCGATAGATAGGGTGTCTGTCTAATTATAGATACCACTGTCGGGATCGGTATTGATATTGTAATCTTCCTAGTCGTACTGGGAGACAGACATTTTGTGTTCTGGAGTAGTCACTCCCAGAACCAAACAAACAATGCTGGAATGGATGAATTGGGGGTAGATGTAGATGTAAATTCAGACTGTCTCTCCTCGGTAAGTATTCCGTACTCCGTAAGTAAAACCGACATCAGACACATTATGGTCAGTAATACCTGTATTGATATTGATAGTGGATGAACTGAACAAAATCCTAGCCTGTTCTCGTGACCCAGCATTATTGAGTGAGGGATTTAAGATTTCAGATTTGAATCTGAACATCAGGCGTCTCGCCTAGTTATCTATCTAGGAGATTCCTGGGAGGAACATCGGGGGATCTTAATCATAATAATCTCTCACCGAGATCCTTGCTCTGTTTAGTGTTTCCTCTGTAGAATCTAACAACTGCTTCTTCTATGATTCTATCAATTAGACTGGCAGATAGTCTCTGCTCTCCACCTTAGGCAGGCACATTACCGTATGGAAATACCAGACGGTAAGGTAACGACGCAGGGTCAGCCAGCCCGGGGACGTTCGGGGCCACCGATCGTCAGGGATTGGCACTTGGCACGGACGGGTATTACAACCGAGACGTGACGGTCACAAACGCGACCCTGGACGGGGGAAAGTCAATTGGAAAGCTTGACTGGTACGGACCCTGTATGATGTATTCGCAGCATCTCTCAGTGGCAATCCCTCCGTCTGCTTCCTCCGTCTGCAACTCACTTCCCCTTCAAACCCACGGTGACGTTCGTGTCCTGCAATTCTTTCTCTCTACTTAGTATTACTTAGTTATTCCAGTTCTAGCCTCGCCATGCATCCGTCCACCTCACAGCCTCGTGGGTCGGTCTGCGCTGTCGCCCAGCTAAGCCTTGGAGCCTTTGGTTAGCTCGTCGCTAGTCGTCGTCTCTTACTGCCAATCAGCATGGGCACGGGGCCCTGCATGGACGCAGTCTAGAGCCCTACTGTGTGTGTATTATCAGCTTCGGCTTTCTGCCTCGCCCGGCCCCAATCCCTCAACCCCCCTACTAAGTACTATATACTATATACATACCCATGTCGGTCCCTCTCGCGCGCACCTTCGCTAGTCTGCTTCTATCATTCATGTCAGTTTGGGGATTTTCCTGCCACGCCACCTCCCCTCCCACCACCTGAGAACCTCTCTCTCTCTCTCTCTCTTTGCAACTCACCATGTTGCACACGGTCCTTTCCGTCTTCTCTGTCCTGCTCGCTGCAGTGGCGGCCCTCCCCGCAGAGGTGCATATCAACACCACCTCCTTTTCCAACACCACAGCCTACCCGCTGCCCAACCTGGGCAATGTTGCCGCCCACGACCCCAACATCATCCAGTACAATGGGTCCTTCTATCTCTTCAAAGGCGGCGTGCACATCCCCATCCACAAGGCCAGCTCCCTCGACGGGCCCTGGGAGCAGATCGGGACCGTCCTCCACGAGTCCAGCGTGATCACCAAGCAGAACCGCTCCCGTCCCTGGGCCCCGACCACCGTCGAGTGGGACGACCGTTTCTTCTGCCTGTACGCCATCAGCGAGTCCGGCAGTCGCAACAGCGCCATTGGGGTCGCCTCCGCCGATTCCCCGGAGTCGGGCAACTGGACCGACCACGGGGCGCTGATCAACACCGGCGAGGGTGCGCTGTCGGATATCGACCCGTACACCATCTCCAACGCCATTGATGGCGCCTTCATCGCAGACCAGAAGACCGGGAGCCCCCATCTCCTGTACGGCAGCTACTGGCACGGCATTTTCACCGTCCCGCTCGCGGACGACCTTCTTTCGGTCAAGACGCCGCAGCATCCCAACGCGACCAATCTGGCCTATGTTCCTAAGGAAACGGTCAAGCCCATCGAGGGGTCTTTCATGACCTACAAGGCACCGTACTACTACCTGTGGTTCAGCCATGGCAAGTGCTGCCACTTCGACCTCGAGAAATTCCCCCCCATGGGAGACGAGTAAGTCCCGAACTGCCTGTCCCAGGGCTCGCGCTAACTCGATGACAGATACAGCATCCGGGTCGGCCGATCATCGGACGTGACGGGCCCGTTTGTGGACAAGGATGGAGTTGACCTCCTCGACGGAGGCGGCACCGTTGTTTACGGGTCCAACCACGGAGTCGTCTACGCTCCTGGCGGCGTCGGCGTCCTGACGGGCAGTGGCAACGACGCAGACGTCCTATACTTTCATTATCGTACGTATCGCGGTTCCCCCTCTGGAAACCAACTAACATGAATTGGCTCAGTCAACACCACGATTGGCTTCACACAGGGAGTGAGTACCGCCCCTTCATCTTACTCTGACAACCACTAACGCGCCCAGGATGCCCAACTGGGATGGAACTATCTGCACTACGTAAAGGGATGGCCCGTGGCTCTCGAGGGGTATGTTCACGCCAACGGCAAGGACGACTTTTAGGAACAGAACAGGAACTAAAGGTGGAAACCCATTAGAAATAGCCTAAACGGAACGAGCGAAAGCATCGGAGGGATCACACGACCCAACTCCACGCTACATTCTCTAGCGTTGCTGTGTATGTGCTTGCTGCTTAACGTCGCCCCCATTCCCTATTCTGTGTCAGACACTTATCGTTGTCCTCGTGCGCGAAGTCATTGGTTCATTCCTCTGGCTGTGCCGTTGATTTCATCTAGCGTCGCCCGTTCTCCGCCACGCTGCACCCTGTTCCTGAGGAATGGGGCCGTTTTGCAACACTTGATCCTGCGGGATCCAACATGGGGCCGAGATCCAACATCCACGGAACCCGAATCAGCAGTTGGGGTCCAACAAGCCACGAGCCTGATTCCTGGATCGCACCGAGATTACGGCCCACCCGCCTTCTACACTCAACACCATGTCCGTGGTATGTGACAAGCATCGCTGGATGAAACAGCACCGGAAGCACCACCTCATCCGTCATCCCGACTCAGAAACACCGTGGGCATATTCCCCAGCTTACCCTGGATGGCACCGCCCGATCCAACCCAACAACAGGGTCTGAATCCTCCCGCTAACCCCATCAGCTCAGCCTCACCAACACCGTACAGAACAGCTAGAGAAACTCTCGCCCCCGCCGCATTGACTCGACTCTCCTGCCTAATTCTTGACCATACTCAACGCCTAGTCAATCCCACCATCCCATTCCACGTCTGGACGCCGAATAGCCTAGCCCGCTTGCAAAGCGGAACTCCACCCTTCGAATACTCGCTCGAAGACAATACTTCCATGCCAGTATTCCCACAGAAAATAAACCCACGACGACGACGGTGAGGGTGTTGATGGGGATGGCGTTGGCGTTGGCGTTAGGGTGGGCCTGGGCGGTGTCAGCCGCGAAGAGACGGGCTCCAGCAAGCAGCTGCAAGTCCAGCTGAATGAATACATACATACATACATACATACATACATACATACTGAATGAATAGATACATATTGAATGAATACGGCATATACAGATATTCCTGAGATAGGCATACTCATTCTTGTGTGTTTGTTTCTGGCCACGCACGGTCTGGATCCTACACCTGTGCCCAGTCCAGGTTGGTTTCTCGGCTTCGGATCAAACTACGCGGAATCAGGTAAATGCACAGGAGCCACTTGGAGGGATCTGTAGAGGAATCTCTAGAGGAAGGGCGCTCTGAGCTGCGAATACCGATCAACAACTTATGGACTCTCCCCCCCGGACGAAGAAGGCCACTGTCGGAGCACTCCCCGCACGACCCGACAGATCGGCCTGGCACGAATCCACCACCCCCCGATCATCCCATGTAAACCCGACCACTCCCCCACCCCGCAGTCTCAATCCCTCCATGCTGCCTCCCCCCCACGCCGCCGGGATGGCCGGGCCCAGGAGAACAGCCTGCGTGTTGCCGACATCCGCACCCGCGCGATCCAGATCCCGGACCAACATCGAGATCATCGCGCCCACGACCCCAAAGTTGGCGTCGATCTGGAACGGCGGGGACCCCGAGTACATGTCCAGCCCGTTGTCGGCGAAGTTATCCTGGATGGCGAGCGACAGCTCCGAGTATGCCTCGTCGGTGACGTTCAGCAGGGCCCAGCAGGCGCTGCGCCATACCTTGCCCCAGCCGGTGTTGGAGTCTTCGACGCCCGTGCCGCGCGAGTAGAGCGTCGTTTCGACGGCGTCGGTGATGGTCTTGTTGAACCCGTGCACCGCGGAGATCGAGTACCCCGGGTACCAGCCGTACAGGTTGGAGAGGTGGCGGTGGGTGTCGTTCTTGACGTCGATGTCGAGCTTCCATTCTTGGATCTGGCCCCAGTCGCCGATGTGGATGCCGGGGTCCAGGGTGGAGAATTTGGAGCTCACCGCGGATTTAAATGCGCCGTCGGTGTCGCCGGACGCTTCCCAGCCGCGGAGGACGTGGTCAAAGAGCTCCCAGATCAGCTGCTGGTAGTGGGTGCAGCCGAACGTCTGGACTGTTAGCAGTTGGGCAGTGAGATGGTGTGTTTGGGACTTACCGTCGGCCCATGCTCCGGGGAATTGCATGGGTTGACAACCAGGGTGCCGTCTTTGAAGTACTCGTCCTGGACGAGTTGAGAGAGCCAGAAGAGCGCCGCCCCCTTGAGAATCGGGTACCCGGTTTCCTGGTACCAGGAGGCATCCTGGGAGTAGTCGAAGTGGTCCCATACGTGGTGCGACAGCCATGCGTTCGTGGCGGGATAATCGGCCCATTGTGCGACGTTCTTCATTCTATAATCCCATTAGAAATGCGCTTGGTGCGGCAGAGTGACTCACGCTGTATGTCCGAATGTATTCATCTCGTCGTGCGTCACCCATCCTTCCGATGTGCCGTACAGCAACTCCGCTGTCTCCGCCCCTCGAGGCATCCATGTCTCGGCCATATAGGTCCAAAGCGGCTCGGTTTGCGCTCCGAGGCCGGTCTGTTCCACGGCCCAGTGGTTCATCTGCAGGTTGATGTTGGCATGGTAGTCGCTGCTCCAACCAGGGGAGTATGACTCCGTCCAGAGTCCTTGCAGGTTGGGCGGTAAGCCGCCTGGTCGTGATGATGAGATGAACAGATATCGACCGTAGTCGAAGAGCAGATTCTCAACGTATGGGTCCCCGGGCTGAGTGTAGGACTCGAGGAGCTCGGTGGTCGGCTGGCTGGCCGAGCCATTGGGATCCGGAAGAGACAGGGTAAACGTGCCGAAGATGTCTTGGAAATCCTTCAAGTGCGATGATTTGAGGGACGCATAGGATTTCTTTGCGGCGTCGGTGGCTGTTTGGAGAACCTCCGCATACGGATCTTCCCCTTTGAATGAGAAGCCAGCTGCGGCGTTCCCATTGGAGGCGTCATAGTCTGTCCCCGCAGCGAAGACGAGGAATACTTCCTTTTCGCCCTCGGGGACATTCACAGTTGAAGCCAGCGACGAGCAGAGATCGGACGAGTTCTTCGACCCCGGCACAATGACAGTCACCCTGGCATTGTAGATCATCCCGATAGAAGCTTGCGTCACGCCATACAAGCTGATACTATTTCCGTGACAGCTCACATTCGGAGCAGGAGTCGTGAGCTGATTCTCCAGACCAAATGTGATGGCAGGCAGCGAAGAATTCGACGCCAGTCGGTAGGCGCAGATATTATCCGGGTAGGAACAAAAGGCTTCTCTGTATGGGAGTCAGTAACTGTTGTGCCGTGGACGGGACACTTACCTTTCGATATATGTCTCCGCAGTACTGAAATGGTCAGAGTAAACCGCTGATCCTAAGTCTAAGCTACGGCGGTATCCATAAACATCGCTTAGTCCCTCCAGATGGATGGTCAGATTCGCGAGAACCTGATATGATCCGTAGTCCGGATACGCTCCCAAAAGTGCCGACACATTGCCTGTGCCGTTCTGGAAGATCCATTCCCTGATGCCAGGGAGAGCACCTGCTTTGGACACGTTCGGGTTCCCACCGATGTATTCCTGCACCAATCTTCAGTCCCGGTTCAACTGCCAAACACTTCGATAGTCTGTCTCACGCACCGGGTTTTCGAACGGACCTCCACGCCACAGCGAGTCAACATTCAGGTTGACAATTTCCTTGTCGTAAGCGCCTATGGGCATGGCTGATTGGTGTCAGTGCCCGACCTTAACACAACGGATTCTCTTCTCAAAAACCCACCTCCCAGTCGTCCATTTCCGAGAGGGAACGCAGTAGTGATGAGGCTACTGTAATTCCCAGGAGACTCCGACCATAGCGACCTGGCCGCTGCCAGAGGAACAGCCAGCAGGTAGACGTACGCAGACAGAAGCATGTTGTGTCAGAGTAGCTGATTGAACCCCCACAGCCAGCACCGGAGAGGGAGCGGAGTATTTATGGGCCATGTCTTTGCCCTGGGGTCTCACTCTCGCCGTTTAATATCCAGATGGGCAGCTCCTGTGGAGGGATCCCTGAGGGGGGATAGACTAGCTGCACTCCGTGCATGATGGCCGGGGCAGGAGTGACACCCATTGGAGGATTTATTCAGCAGGATGAACCAGCTGCAGATCGGCACGATGGGTTGATTTGCCAGGAGTTGAGGAACCCCACACGGTGGCAAGGGAGGGAGTCTGACTGTCGTGAAGGAGGAAAAGAAAAAGAAAATGAAAAAGAAAGAGAAAAAGAAATGGCGGGGCCATGTGACCGCGCGGGAGGGCACGGGTCTATCTATATAGGCTAAATGCTCCATGCTGGCTATGGTGTCTACTGTCCTCCTGTCTGCGATCTGCTACAATCGGCTCTTCGACGCCTCCTCATTCGCCTTCTGCCACATCCGGATCCGACGCTCATGTCCGGCATTGAACACGTCTATCCACTCCTGCTCGAATGGAGGCAGCCGGCGACCGGCCTCCCCCGGCTCCCCCGCCAACTGTCGCAGGGTCTCGAAATACTCTCGAAAGTCGGGGTTCACGGTGGTGAAGGCCGGTCCATCCCCCTTCTGCGCGATCCGATCTTGCTCCCATTTCTGCTGCTCCTCCAGGGACGGCAACTTCGCCTTGCCGGCCAACACTCTCGCCGCAGCCACGGCCTGCCACTCGAAGATCTTGAAGGTCAATCCAGCGCCAACCTGGATCTGTTAGCTCCAGTCCATGATGAATGTTCCACGGGTACATACCGCTCCCAAGAAGACCAGAGACGGATCCTGCTGGTGGAAGATATGCAGGTACAGATCAGGCACGCGGTTGTTCCTAGTAGGGATGCCAGGCAGGTACGGCAATGCCCAGGTGAAGCCCGTGCCAAAGATGATGTAATCGACGTCCGAAACGGAGGTGCCGTCCTCGAAGTGCACTGTCCGCTGCCCATCCTCGGAGGAGATGCGCGAAATCGGAGGCCGACGGTCGATCTGAGGGTGTCTAAATGCCCAGTCCCCAAAGTAGGGGTTGTACCTGCCACGGACCACCGCGTAGATCGGTGACTGGGCTGCCCCGACGAGGCTGACTGTGGTATCGGCAGCTGAGACCGACGCCCCGACGGTCACGACTTTCTATAGAGCATTAGCGTGGTTCGATGGGAGTATCACACGGTTCCCACCTTGCCGCGATACCGGTCAGGCCCACGGTACTGCTTCGTATGCAGCACATTCTCGGGGTACTTCTCGATGAATTCCTTCAGCCCCGGGATCGCCGGGACGTAAGGCACAGAATAATGCCCCGAGGCGACCACCAGTGCATCAAAGGTTTCGCTCCACCAGTAATCCTGCCCACCAGGCCCGCCCGCCCGCCGCAGCGTGAGCTCCCATTTTCCGGTCTGGGGGTTCTTGACCGCACGTTCGACAGTCGTGTTGTACTCTACGAGATCCTGGTATCCGTTCCGGTTCAGTAGGTCCTCGATATACTGCCGGATCACCGTGTGGTGACGGAACGGAGTGTCTGGTCCATGGAGGGCAATCGACCTTTGGGAACGGACCACCGGGACCGACTCCTGTGAGTACTCCATGGTTGAGGCATCCACATTGGTCTCCAAGGTGGGATAGATGTGGGAGTCGGTAAAGCGATGTTTCCCCAAGGCCGGCGTATACTGAGGCAGGCTGGAGGGAATCTGGATGGGGGCATCTGCTGTCCTCGCGGAGAGGCTGTCGACATCCAGGGGAATATGTTTCTCATTTCCCCGCGATACCCTGGTCCCGATTAATCATTGCGAAGACCAAGATTGCTGTGGGGAGAGGAAGTCGACAACATACCAGCATCCGCCGGCTTTCTCCTGTCTCTCGAACACACGGACCGAGTCAAAGGTCTTCTCCTGAATCAAGGCATCTACTGCGATGGCACCGGCGGGCCCAGTGCCGATGACGGCGACAGTTTTGAATTGGGTCATACTGGGTCTGTCTGAGCGACCGTTGGAAGTGTTGGTAGTGCCCAAGGAGGAGAGAGGAATCGAGGTGGCGGGATCAGTCAATCAAGTTGTCCTTAAGGTTTGGTTGTTGATCGGCCGAGTATCCTGATGCCAGCCATGCCGCCGATGGCGTCAGCAAAGACCACTGACAGGCGGGCGCATCTGCCAGATGAGAGTCGGGGGGATCTACTCACAGAATATCGCCCTGCTCTATGGTCTATCCCAATATATACAGTCCAAGCGGTGAAACTGCCCAACTAGTCGCAACTAACCATTGGGGTTGCAATTCCCGAGCACGGTTCGGGTTTTTGCATCGCATTTTTCTGGATCCTCCGCTCTGATTGGCCCGCCCCTGGTAGGTGCACGTGATTTGAGCTTACCAATGCGCGGAAAGCATTGCGATTGGACGGCGGCTCAAAAAGCCTGTTTATTTTCACCCAGGCTGGCCAATCACACGGCCGGATGGCATGCCTTTCTGAATCCTTTGCAGTCAGACAACTCTTCAGGTCTGGGACTGGATCACTCGAGTGGCTGGCTATTCTTGCTACTTTTGCCAGTGATGCCCCCATGTTCAGGACAATCTCGGTGCCAGTTGCCGGCATCCATGAGAAACGAGATCATTGGGAAGTGGTCGGCGACGATAAACTTCGTTTCCACGGCCATGCATGCCGTTAAAAGCATTCAAGCACTGCTCAAGCCTCGGGATAGCAGCTTGGAGGCCCGCTACATAAATAGGCCGAGCATATGAGGATCTAGGCTATGGCACGAGCACACACCCTGGCAGTTACAGATATATGACCTGCCCCGGGCCCCCGGGAAATGAGCACAGGCAATTGACTGACGCGCAGGATCCAGAGGTTCTAGACACGGTGCCCGTGCATAGGTGAAGTGGACATCCTGCCGTGGCGGTACAGCCTCAAAACCCTTATCATCTTAGCAACCGCCAGTAGATAGCAGGATGCGGAGTGGCAAGAGGGCCTGGGAGTGTTGAGTGGGCTCACCGTGTCAGGATGATACTGCATCGATTATCCAGGTCTTTGGGTCGCGCGCTTCATATAGATTATCCCGAGGAGCGTCATTGCCTTGAGACTGGCTGGACTTGAAACCTGGAATAGGCAGGGAGAGCCGAGGATCAGCCATCCTGGCAGATGCACGCATCGTGGCGAGAACTGGCTCAACAAGGTTGTCCATTTTCTTATCCGACATGCTTGACTCCTCCCCTCCCTTCGACGTCAGAATGTGAGGTCATCCTGCCAGGACAGTGGCACGATTTGAGATACTAGGGCAAGTAAGGCCGATGAGATCGACTGCCCCGAAGCCATTGGGCCAATGGTACTTTATCCATGGATTAGCCGAAGAACCTTACATAGTAGTAAGGTTGATGGACCTCCAGGACGTGCGGGAGTGAGGCCGGCTGTGATGGATCTGAAACGCTGGTGGGTTTGGGTTTCGACTTGGCTGGCATGACTTCACGCCCGAAAATTGGGCTGGGGTTATGGCTGCTTCGATCAATCTCGATAGAATGCGGCTGGAATGATGTCGGGGACTTTCAGCTGACACAGTTCAGGTCTGGAAATTGTACGACAAGGTCGGTCCCTTTCAACTTTAAATCGATGAACCACATGGATGGGGATTCCAGAAGGCGAAAGGGTCTGGACACATTTCTTTAGTGCGGCAGCTAGCATGGAAGAAGTGTCACGGCATGAACGAAGGGTCTATGTCGGGTAGATACAATGCAGGTAGTGAATGATCGATCCCCTTGAGATTGTCAGGGCCAGTATCAAGCCAGATGCTCAGCCACAAAGATGGCATGGGTGCATGGATCGCACCGGGTTGAGGATGAAACGAGAAGGTGAGATTGCACGGTTTTGTTGCGTGACCCGGCAGACTGCTCCTGCCTCAGGCAGCGAGGCAGCGAGGCAGTGAAGCAGCGGGGCACGTGCCCGGGGGCGGTAATGGACTCCGCTCTTTTCTTTTCCATCCCTTTTCTCCCCTTTCCTCCCAACTCTTCATCTCCCCGACGGAACCACAGACCCGTCCGGATCCACCTCGTTCTCACTTTTGGGTCTTCCGTTCTAAGACTAGAGCCGTTCCGGACAGATGACTTGCCCTCCTCCCCTCCTAGCTATACCTCCGTTGCAACTTCCAGCCCAGCGCACTGGCTGACGGACAAACGGTCCGGCTAGTTAGCGTCTGTTCCAGCGCCGTCGAAACCTGGAAGAGTCGGACAGGTCAGAAGGGTCAGAGGCATATCCATGGCGCCTCCGACAGTCTGCGACACCCGAATTCCCTCATACTATCTGTCTAGTTTATCCCCAACGCGACCCTGCGGATGATTCCTCCCAGGGTCTGTCCAGTGTCCAGACCAGCTCCAACGAACCCGATCAGCAGCATCTACCACTGGGCCAGGGCTGACGCAGCCTACCATGTCCCCGGCCTTCCTAGGGCTCGGATCAGGGACCCTGGATGCTTGAAACGTTGATCAGGGCCCGGGTGCCACACGCCGCCCCGATTGGCGGGTGATAATCTATCGGGGATCGGGGCTCCACGGCCACCTCAGGCAACATCTCAGGCCCATGGGACATCACCTTGGGGTCAGACTTGTCCCAGAAAGCCTGATATCCCTTCGATTACTGCTGGCACGGAGAAGCGGAGCACGTCACGGCCCATCTGCCGCCGTTAAAGTGTTAACCGCACCCTAACGGGGCATGCGCTGGCGGGTGTATGATTACCCTGGATCAATCCCTGGATCTCAGGGCTGAGGGCCCATTTTTGAGCACCCGGGTCAGCCTCTTGAAGGACCAGGCCCTGGATTCACCAGTGTTTCGCCCGAGTGGAAGATCGCGGCAGTGCGGTTGGGGCATCGTTCAGCAGGCCGGCACTCAGCAACTTGACTCGAGAACCGACCCAGACGTTCTGGTCTGCGGATCCATGCTTCATCTGCATCTCAGCCGTAATCTGCCGCTTGCATCATCTAGAAACGCGTATGCAGTTCCATCTCCAAGCCCAGGTCATCCATGACCTCATGCGATTCGTGCTCACGCATGGCGATGTTGAGATCCTGTCCGACCGTATATCCCCTCATAGAAAGCGATGCCCATCCAGGCCTATAAAGGACCGTGAAATCCCCCACGGTCTCAATCTCTCCCCAGGCTTGATCGCTTCTCTTCATTCGAATCTGGTATTCGCAAGTGTCTGGTACTTTACAATCATTTCCACAACTTTTCTTTACAACGTCAAATCTACAATCTCTTTAAAAACAATCTCTCAACAACAAACAACAATCATTCAAGATGAAGTTCACCACCGTCGCTCCTCTCTGCCTTGCGGGCTGCGCCCTGGCATACCCTACTCGCACCGAGGAAAAGAGACAGGATCTCTCTGACCTCAAGAACCTCATTCCTTCCGGTCTGACCCTGCCTACCGGCCTGACCCTTCCTTCGGGCTTGTCTGGCCTCACTTTGCCGACCGACCTCTCCGACCTCTCTGACCTGCTCAAGAAGCGCCAGGAGTCGGAGGGTCTCACCCTCCCTTCGGGCCTTTCCCTTCCTTCGGGCCTGTCCATTCCCTCGGGCCTGCTCCCGTCCAACCTTCCTGCCCCCACCGGCACCAGCGGAGGAGGAGGTCTGCCCGACCTGTCCGACCTGACCGACGCTCTGCCCTCCGGGCTCTCGAAGCTGTCCAACCTCTTCGAGCGCCAGCTCGGCGAGGAATCTGGCTCCTCTGGCTTTCCTTCGGCATCGGGCCTGCCCTCTCTCGGTGGCGCCTCGGGAGGCTCTTCCCCATTGGCCTCCCTCAGTGGCTCCGCCGAAGGCGCCGAGTCCTCCTCCGGCTCGACCCCTTCTCTCGGCGGCCTCGCCCCGTCCTCCAGCGGCGGCCTTTCTAGCCTCCTCGACAGCAGCGGCACCTCGACCGGCTCGGGAGCCAGTGAATCCGCCAACCCTCTCGAGGGCTTCAACTCCTTCCTGCAGTCCCTGGCCAGCGACATCCCCAAGTCCTCCGGTAGCTCCGGCTCCGGCGCCGACCTGTTCAGCCAGCTGCCCGAGTTCCTGAAGTCCATCTTCAACACGGGCAGCAGCGTCAGCGGCTCCTCCTCCTCTTCCAGCGGTCTGGGCAGCTCCCCTGAGCCCAGCGTCAGCGAGCCCACCCCCAGCTCCGGCGCTGTGTCCGGTGCTTCCGCCCTCTTCCCCGGCTCCCCTAACATCCCCGCCGGCTCTGCTGCCCCGTCTGCCAGCGCTGCCCCTGCCGCGGGTGCTTCCGGTCTGCCTTTCAAGGGTTAAATTGGCATTGCCATTGACCAATGACCCTGTGCTGTGGGGCTGTCTTCAGCACAACCCCAGCACAGGGTAGGGCCACAGACTACGCTGGATGGATACCGTCACGATGGTTAACCGGGTGGATGGCTGATTGTTTGGATTTTGGTTGATCATCGATTTGTCAAGCCACGATGGAACGGTCAGGATATGAGGATTATGAGTGTACCTAGGAGGTCAATGTTATGGATTTTATACTGCTTTTCTTTCCATCTCCCTGTACTCTGTAAAGAATCTCCCTTTAGGCCAGACCCATCGTATGTATCCTAAGTACCAGACAAGTAGTACAGTTAATGTCTATCTACTATCTTCCCAATCCATCTATCTATCTATTGAAATGCAATCCAGAAATGGTCTAAAGTATAATACATTATGCATAACGAGTTACTCTTATACTAACTACCACGCTAAACTCCCTGTCTACCAAGAAACTCAAAAACCATCTGAAACGCCGTCGGAGCCACCCGATGCAGATTAAGACTATGCCTATACACAAGTTAGTCAGTCATATGTTCAACACACATCACATCATATAGTATCATATAATATCGTATCGAATCAAATCAAATCAAATCACCAACGAACGAAGAAGCATGAGCACTTACCCAGCCGGCAAATCATCCACCCACTCCACGACCTCGGAACCATTAAACGTGTCCGCAGTAGCATTGATCAACCCGACACAATTCCCTCCACAAGCCGATAAATCGAACTGGCCCTGGAGGATATAAACAGGGGCTGTGATGTTCGAGAAATCGATCGTCGTGGCCATCAACGACGGGAGCTCGCCGACGGCGAACGGCTCGCTTGAGACTTCGTATGCCCATCTAGCCACAGACTGTTCGAAGTACGGCTCGGCGAAGTAGATGTATGCTTCAGCGTACTGGTCCGCGGAGATCAGGTAGGCCGGGTCCAGGGATCCCCAGCGAGTGGGGTCCTGGGTTTTGGCTACACGCAGGCTGGAGCCCGCGAGGAAGGGCCCGAAGTAGTCGAATGTGCCGCTGAAGCCGGTGAGGACGAGGGCGTCGACGGCGGTTTGGCTGGCGGATGCGGCAGAGAGGTAGGCGCCGTAGCTGTGGCCGATGAGCGCGACTTTGGTGGTGTGGGGCAGGGAGCGGGCGTAGGAGACCAGGGTGTTTAGGACGGCGGTCTCGACTTGGAATTGGGCGTCGTAGAGTGCGTTGATTCTGAGATGGTGGGTTAGGGGATGGACCACGGGGGGACTGGGCGTGGGTTTCTGTGGCACGTACTTGGATGAGGAGCCGACGCCGATTCGGTCGTAGTTCAACACGGAGTACCCGGCTGCGACGGCCGCGTCGACGAAGCTGTAGTTCTCTGCGTTGGGGAAGGTGGGGTCCCAGTATCTGAATCGGGCTGTCAGTGAGAGTTCTTTCGGTATGTTGTATGCTTGAACTGGCACTTACAATTTTGATTCGATGATGCCGTGCGTGAGCACTAGGATGGTCTCTCCGGTTCCGCAAAGCGTGGCTCCGACGGTATAGTTGCCCTCCACGGCGGTGGACGTGGAACCGGCAATTGGAAGCGGATCCGCCGATGTATCCGAGTCGCGTCGGGTGAGGTTGAATATCAATGCCGCTGCATCCCAGTCGTTGTCGATTGTGGTGTTGATGAGGAAACGCGGTGCGGCCACGGTGACTGGGATGTTGATGTCTCGACAGGCTGCTGCGGCAGGCGAAGGCAGTGCCCAGCTAGTAGCCGACAATGCTAACAGTAAATAGGAAGCGGCGATCATGACTGCAATTGGGGAGGAGATATGGTGCTGTTGATCTGGACTGAGATTCGCTCATCCTGACGGTCCATGGTCTTATTTATAGTCATTCCGAGCAGAGGTTGGTGACAAATCAATATGTTCCCCATCGTGCCCGTTTGCCACGAGAATTTAGCAGAAACAGAGACATCTATCGATGTTTTGCTTCGAGTGTTTTCCATTCTCATCTGTGCGGCCAGGAATGTTGTCATTGGCAAGCCCGCATTTCGCCGAGCTCGCCGAGCTCGGCCCAAGCGGACTCCATTTCGGGTGGATCACCACCCACCACGCCAAATCGTCTTGGTGGGGATCGATATAAGAAAGAGATTAGTCTCCGTCTCGCTCGATCTTCTGTCTCCCAGTTAGAATCCGACACTCTGGTCGAGGGACACCTGAAATTGCCCCCTCGTATATTGACGCAGCATTTTGCCTCATCACCCCTCCGACACCTTTCGATATTCTCACGTCAGAATCGTGCTGAGCAGCACGCTATTGACGATTCCCAATGCTCACAGAGAGTCCCGCAGTGGCCGTACGCTGCGAAGCCACATGCTCATAGACGCAGGTCCAGCCGCCGGCGACACAGCGCCCACATGGGTTCTGTTTGTCGCATTTGAGCTTCCTCATCTTGCAGATCTTACAGGGCTTCCCCCGGACGGTGAAAACGTGGACTCGGGCCGGCTTGTCTGTGGGAAGGGTCTGGGAAGAGCATCTGAATCCACCCTTGGCACAGTTTTCACAGGGAACGCCCTTGTCGCAGCGGATTCGCTTCGCCTTGCATTGGTTGCAGGGGGACATGTTTTTGTGTGGAAGTTGAGTCGGCTGTGACTCAGTCTCGATGCTTTGTCCTATCAGGGGGTAGACTTGGGTCCAGAATTGCTTCCCCGACATGTCACAGGCGCTGTCAAGCCACAGGAATTCTCGAAGCATATTTCTGGTTTCTCTCCACTCCGGTACCAGAGAGCCAGGCGCAACTCGCGATGCGGTCTCGACAAACCACTGTTGCTCGGCCGTGTCGGTTGCAGCGATGCCTCCCATGGTCAGGACCCAGAGCAGAAGGCGAACACCATGGGGTGAAGTAGACCAGGGACCATCTAACTCATTCTGCTGGATTTCGGCTTTCAGGGACTGCAGGAGAGCTGCAAATGGCGCCCCGACGCCAGGCAGGGGAAATGTCACACCGATACTGTAAATAATTGCCGCAATGCGACAGGCCTCATAGACTGGACTGACATCGATCAGACAAACGGCAGGAGGGAGAGTCATCAGACGATACTGTATGAGATTTCGTTGATCGCACATGGCTTGACGACCGAAATTTACTGTCCCCCCATCAACAAACCTCTTGATAATCCTCGTATACCCTGCCAACTGTTCATAGACATCCGCTAGATCAGGAGTGAGCCCAAGTTCACACAAAGGGCCGAAATGAATGGCTGTTGCGTCCCAGCTATGGACATGGTCTGCTTTAAGTAACTCGGTCATCGTCCCCGAAAGAGAAAAAAACGGGATCGGAGGGGGAGACAGGGTCAAGGTCGAATTAACAAGCACCCGACTGCAGGGGAGACTAGTTTAGCACGCGTTAGGTTTTAGGACGGACCCCTGCTCCACTTACTAGAAGATGGCCGCCGCAACTCCTGGCAACCTGATATTATGCAGCCCGCCACGCAGCTGAATCAGCCGACATAGACCCGTTTGATGGTCAAGGTTCGGCTCTCTCGCCCCGTGGACGTTTAACCACTGCAGTCTTCGAAGTGGTGCCTGGAACGGAGACTCCTGCGACCAGTCCTTCGAGCCCGGCATAAACGGCTTCTCAATCGTCATCAGCACCGCTAAGATGGTCGCGTCACTTGTGACTCGCACGGGATCTTGCATGGCCGCATTGATCGCCTTTACTGTCTCTTTGTAGGACGCGCCCAGCGTGAGCGATTCATCTCCCATCCCGAACGGCGCAGGCAAATCTCCTGTCAGTAGATGGTTCACCTTGTAGTGTGTGAGGGACGAGGACAGCAGGGCCGGGAATAGAGCGCTGTCACTCAGTGAAAGGGGGAACCAGGATTGCAGATACGGGTTGGTGACTTCTGGCGTGGGCAGCATACTGGGAGTCATGATAGTGAAGCCTGGTATAAGCGTTCAGAAACACACAGCGACCGATCTATCTTTAGGACACGGTGACAAGCTTACGGTAGGAAAGTGCCTGCTGCACGAGACTCGGTGCCAAGGTCGAGGGATATGTCTCGAAGGGGTCGAGATTTGTCGCGGGGAAGACATAGTCGATCGGATCTGCGATACGCGATCGGATCAGTGGCCGTTCACAGACTCGATCTATCTAGATGGGGTCAAAGGAAGGGGGCACTACTCGCGTCAGGGCCCCTGAGCCAGGGTTCTAGGTCGGGTGGATTCTCGTCCGGGTGTGTTCCGTGGGTTTCCTCCACATATAGATCAAAGAAGGGTTCGTCGTCTGCCATCGCCATCGCGTCGATGTGGGTTGAGACCGGATCCATCTTCACGCGGGGATAAGCTTTCGAAACGAGACAAGTGACCGGTATGGCCAGGGAGAGACTGGGGAAGCAGGAGAGCCGACAGACCACTGGACTGAGGCGGAGGGATAGGAATCATAGGATATTAGTAGACTCGGCTGATCATCGCAGACCAATTTATCCGGCGGCGCAGGAATCCCAGACCCTGCGGCTGAGAATGGGGTGGATGAGCAAAGCAGGTGAAGGGAGGAAGAAGGAGGAGAAGAAGAAGAAAAACAGGTCTATACTCGTCCGGGTGATCCCCGCCGACCCGCGGCGGCCTTAGTGCTGAGGCCGCGCCCCGGTGGCATCCAATCACCCGGCCTGAGGCCTCCGGGCTCTCGGGGACAACCCTTTGTCTCGTGATCGTCTGATTCTGGAGATGGTATTTGGTCTCTCTTTTTGGGCACGTTGAGGAGGGCAGTGTTATCCGAACAGCAAACAGCTGGGCTCCCATGCTACAGAGTACAGACAAGTAAGTACTATAGAGTTGTGGTCGGACAACACCCTCGGGCACTACTCCACGCCCTCTTTGGCTAGCCTGCATGTAGCCAATTCAGCCTGCAGCAAGCGCTAGACCCAACTGGTCCCGTCCGGCCGAGAATATCCACTTACCCTTCTTTAGGAAGTGGGTGGCTGTTCGCACTGGGATGGGATGAGAGCGCCCTAAAGATAGAACCCATCCATGTCTCCAAGTCCAAATCTCTCTAACTGGCCTTTGAACCAGCATGTGATCCGAGCTCAGTCCACCGCTCGTGCATAAGGGACCCTTGGTCTGGTGAGTGCCCGACGAAGACAGATAATCTTTTACCTTGATGGGTATTGTTCATTATCTGACGATCAATGATCCAGAGAGATAAATATAAGATAGAAATCCAATCCTTCCCTTCTATTGTTCTCCGAATACGCCGACACATACACCCACACACCATCCCAAGCCCTATAAAGTCCAAGTATCAACCTACCCTACCACAAACCATCCCCCTCCATCCAAAACAACCACAACCACCACCACAGCCACGCCAATGCCTCTCTCAAACCCCAACAACCATCCCCCCTTACACCTCCTGGGGATCAAGGCGCACAGGGTGAAGATGGACGGCGGGGAGGGACCGAGGCCGGATCAATTGGATCGGATCCTGACGGATTGGGATCCATCCGGTTCGAAGCCTCGGGTTGAATCCCACGGGGACGACGCAGTCGTTGCAGAGGAGACGGGAGATCTATGCGCTCGCGGAGAAACGTGATCTGGTGTTTGTGGAGGATGATCCGTACTGTTTTCTGCGGCTGAGGCAGGATGCGGAGGATCATTCTTGTTCTGAAAGCGCAACCCCGCATATTCTCAGGGATTCACTCCCCTCCTATCTCTCCATCGATCGGTCGGGGCATGTGGTCCGGCTGGATTCCACGGCGAAGATCCTCGCCCCGGGACTGCGCGCGGCATGGGTGACGGCAAGTAGAGGGCTCCTTGTGCGGAGGCCGAACGACGAGCTCCATTTTCGGATGGCTTTTGCAGCGGCGGCAGAGGGTGTGAGGATCTTCGCGGATGTGCTGAAGGACGAATTCTCTTTGAGTCTTGGATGTGTTCAAAGCGAAGCATAGCAGCGGTCTGGAGACATACAACTATAATGCCAAAACACCACCGTTCCTGAGCAATGTAAGTTACCCCGCTGGATAATCCATGCCACGCAATCCCTATATATCCGACAAGGCAGCCTCCGGCCCCAACAAAGAAGGATGATCGGCAACATTCTGCCAAAAAGCAGCCTCGAAATCGTACAGATCCTGGCTGAACAGCGCCGCCCAGTCCCCACCCTCCTCGACCCGGGACGAGACTCTCGCCGGATCGTGCAATGCCCCTTCGCGATGCACAGAGTCAAGGAACCTGTCGATCGTATGGGTTGCCTTCGAGATCAAGGCGTAATTCGGATCCCCAGGCCGGACAATGCTCCCGGCCTGGATCTGCGCGACAAAGATCCCCAGATTCAGTAGGGGTTTGGACCACGGGGTCCTTTCCGCGTGCTGCGTGGACTGTTGTCTCAGCATGGAGAGGAGGAGGATTCCGGCGGAGGGGAGGCCGTAATGAGCTACCTGGGGTCATTTAGCACATTTCTTCGGAATGAGATAGAAAGAAGATGAGCACCTTCCAGACAAGGCCCGTTCCAGAGTTGACGAGCTGGTCTCTAAGAAGAATGATTTCGACTACAAGACTGAGGATTTGTTCGGAGACATCCACGACGGGCCTATCCGGCTCCGTGAGCGTATCGAGCGAAAGCAGTCGTAGCAGAAACAATACGTGCAGGTGGTTGAGGCGCACCCCAGCCAAAAAGTCCCGCTCGAATGGACTCTGCGAGCACTCTCGTAAGCTGCACGCCAGTCTGAAATGAGACGGGAGTGCCATCCACTGCGCGTGGGCTTCATTCTCGATGGCACTAATTCAGAGACGAGTTGTGTTAGTGGACTGTCCGTTCAGGCCGCAGGGGCGAGAAAGATACATGCCTGGCTCTCTGGCTATACGTCTCACGACGCTTATCCCGAAATAGCTCCAGGATCTCTTCCTTCAAGGAGGCACAGAGTGCAGACCAGCGAAGCTCTGCTCTGTAGCTGAACGGTGTGTTGGGGTCCCATGCCGTAACATCTCCAGAGACAGATGAAGCGTTCGGGCTCTGGTCTGGGCCCGTCGGAGTCAAGGGGACTTGAAAGTGGCAGAACCGCTTGGACATCCGCGGCGGCCGGCCCAGAAAGACGGCGACGTTCTTGTCTGCGGAGTAGGCCGTGGCGCAGGCTGCCTTTCGCAGTTCTATCAGGAACGGAGGCCGGCGTGGTCTCGTCTTCTCGACATTCTCGTGATACCCGAGGGCAAACATCGAGGTCAAGACATTCCCCAGTCTGCTCCATGAATGGTAGCCTGGTAATTCCGATCAGTCACATGATTCGTCAGAGAGGATGAATGAAGCCGCCAACACACTCTGATCCCCATTCACATGCGAGTGCAGGATGAAGTTCTCGTACTGCAGCACCAGCTGCAGATCGTTCAAGCAGTCCAGCGAGAGCGCGATATCCAACGCCAGATCACTCATCCGAGTGGAGAGCTTCCGCAGCGCGATCTGATCCTTCTCCGATGTATACAAAGCCGGATAAAAGGCGACATCGATCGTCGCCCGACTCACCGCGCAGAGAAAGATGCCCATACTCTCCCAGCGATAGTTCTGGCCCAGGAACTGCGCCGAAAAGCTCGAGATCTCGGACGATTCGTCGGCTATCAATGGCCGCCGCGAATTCTCCAACAAGCGCCGCGCATACGCCAGATGCCAGTGCGCCTCCTGGGAAAACACCATGAACAGCTGGTTGATGTGTTCGCTACATTGCTGGGTGAAAGGCTCTGCGAGGGCAAGGTTTGTCCCTTTCGCGAGCCAGAGCAGGACGAGATCTCGCATCGCGGGGAGAGGGAATGTGTTCAGGAGCTGTTTGAGGATATCAGCGCCTTGGATCAGCAGGATGTTGTCGCCCGCGGACTGCGGGTCGAGGAGCGTCATGTCCGAGTTGGACGCGTGATATGCATCTGGGCCGTGAGAGTCGTCGTCCGGGGAGATGTGGTTAAAGATGGCCACATGGCTGGAGGATCCCAGGAACCCGGGGTTCGGATAGGGGTTGGTTGTTCTCGGGGTAAATGACGGGGAGGAGGGGCTACTATTCACAGGTGAGTGAGGGGGTAAGTATCTTGAGGTCTGCCGGGAAGGGGAAACGTCCGTCCTTCTCCTCTTGAACGGGGCGGCCCGGTAGATGCAGATGGCCGCGTTGTTGTTGCTGGCACAGCGCGTACATGCTGGCCGCTTGTGGTCACAGGCAACCTTGGCCTTTCTACAGGCTTCACAGGCTGCCAGCCTGGAAGCCATGGTCCTCCCGGTGCAGGTGCCAGTCAGATAAATCGGTGATGTTTTCGATGCCGGAGTAGATCGGAGTGTCTGGAGTGTTGGTGTTGGAGTGTTGGAGTGTTGAAGTGTTGGAGTGTTGGAGTGTCCGGAGTATTGGAGTGTCGGAGTGTCCGGAGTACGGCATAAACTCGGGCATTTCCGGCCTACCCAACTCAAGGCAAAACTCAAGGCAAAACACAATGAGGTCATCAAATAATCCCACGTACGTCTCTATTTTAGGCCCTAATACCACGTCCTCAATGCCACCCCTCTGATTGGCTGCTCTATTCCCCTGATGCGTTTTCATACTAGTCAGTAGCTCTTCTGAGCTGTCACCGCAGAGACAATCGTTGAAACACGAGGATCGGCATTGGCGAGGCATGGGGGAATCAGAATACCACGACAGTCAATCCACAATGAATGCGATGTGTCGGGGGGTGTAGGGAGCCAGGAATGTTGATGTTTTCTGATTGGGTGTGAGTGTCCATACAACTACAAGCCAGGCTGTCGGGGGGTGTATATATACTATATTTATATATATATATAAAATATATATACTATATATAAGAACGTTCTTCTTTCCATTTCCTATCTCACTCTCTCACACACACAAGCAATCAATATTGTTGAAAATTCAATCCCCATGAGTTCCTACTACGGGTAAGTAACCTTCCCTTTCTTTCTCTCTTTCTTTCTTCTCTCGATCTCTTCAAACCAACCCCAACAATTCTAACATATTCTCCCACCATTCAGCCACGCGGACTTCCGTCTCGCCGCTCCCCCCAGAGCTGCTCGGAGCATCCAGCAATTCTCTTCGGTATGTATATTTCTAGTCCCTCACCCAAATACCCTTCCTTCAACCCCAAACTCAACTAAGTACTAACTAGCTAACTAACTAACCACCACAGCAGCAGCCTCAGCAGCCGCAGTCCCAGTCCACCAGCATCTACCAAGCCGAGCGCGAGCGAGTGTTCCTGATGTCGCGAAACAACAACGGCGCCATCACCCGCCATGGGCCGTACTTTGCCGAGCCGGCCACGGGGGGCCGCCGGGTCCGGCTGTTCGGCAATGGGCCCGAGCCCATCTGCATCAACGATGATACTCTGTTCGATAGGATGGATTTGATGGCCGCTTGATTGCTTGTCGCCCCTCTCTCCTTTTCTTCTTCTTCTTCTTCTTCTTCTTGTCGTTTTATCGATTTTTCTATCTATCTATCTATCTATTTATTGTAGTCTCAGATTGTCAGGTTCGGATTCATTCATCCCGAGAATAGCTAGTCTATGGCTTGGGTGTTTGTTGTTTTTCTGTTTGATGTTTGATATGTCTCATGGTTTGTAAACATGGAAACCATCTATCACTTGCTTTGTATTGACAATGTCTGCTGTTGTCCTATTGCAATTCCCATCCAACAATAAACATGTGTCTGCCGCTGCTTTTTCCTGCAGACTGCAGACCAGAAATTCTCTTTTTTACGCGGGTAGTGGGCTTACTCTGTTATTCTTCCAGTCAATTGTGTTTTGATTGCATGGTAAGGATTCTTTCAGTTACAGTGGCATCAAATCTCACTGATATATTTATTATATATGAAGTCTTTCATGCAAACACCCTTGCAAATAGACACAAATCACGCTTAAATTAAACCAACATAATCACATTTACCCAATCAACAAGACGCCCAGTCTAGATTTGCTGCTGCTGAGTCTGAGTGTTCCAATCAGCAGTCAGGCGTCGTGCTTCAGCAAGCTCTTCCTCAGTCGGCAGATTGACGACCAGAAGATAGAGCACTTTCTGTATGCATGTCAGTAAACCAGTCCAGGTAATTAGGGTATAGGATGAGAGAAGGAAGACCGTACCGAGCGAAAGAGGCTGTTCAGGCTTAAGCCTCCCAGCCCACCAGCGCCAGCGCCCCCTCGTGTGTTTTGTGGTTGCTGTTCCCGGCGCTCATCATAATACTCGGCGTTGGGATCCCCATTCGGGTATCGTTGCCGCTGTCCCCTGCGCTCATCATAATATTCAGTGTTGGGATCACTATCCGGGTATCGTTGCTTCTGCTCCCTGCGCTCGTCGTAATACTCTGGGCGAGAGTCGCCATCCGGATATGGTCGCTGCTGTTCCCTGCGCTCTTCATAATACTCTGGGCGAAAGTCGCCATCCCGATATGGTCGCTGCTGGTCCCTGCGCTCATCATAATACTCTGGGCGAGAGTCACCATCCCGATATGGCCGCTGCTGGTCCCTGCGCTCATCGTAATACTCTGGGCGAGAGTCACCATCCCGATATGGCCGCTGCTGGTCCCTGCGCTCATCATAATACTCTGGGCGAGAGTCACCATCCCGATATGGCCGCTGCTGGTCCCTGCGCTCATCGTAATACTCTGGGCGAGAGTCACCATCCCGATATGGCCGCTGCTGGTCCCTGCGCTCATCATAATACTCTGGGCGAGAGTCACCATCCCGATATGGCCGCTGCCGCTCCCTGCGCTCATCATAATACTCTGGGCGAGAGTCTCCATCCCGATATGGCCGCTGCTGATCCCTGCGCTCATCATAATACTCTGGGCGAGAGTCTCCATTCCGATATGGTCGCTGCTGTTCCCTGCGCTCATCATAATACCCAGCATCAGAGCCACCGTACGGCGCATGGGGATTGCTGTGGTTGTTGCTGTTGAGGTTGCTGTCGATGCTTTGGCTCTGCCTTTTATGGCGATGCTCACTGACAGCATTTGTCGCTAGGCTGACCAGCCCGAGAAGACCACCACCACGACTGCTACCACGATTCCCACCAAGGAGACCACCACCAAGACCATCACCACGGCCGCTACCACGACTACCACCAAGAAGGCCACCACCAAGAAGGCCACCACCAAGAAGACCCCCACTTCGTCCTCCCAAACCCCTTCCCTGATCGTCTCTAGAACCGAAGCCACGGCTCTGTCCTGTTCCTACTCCTGATCCTGCTCCCGCTCCTTGCAAGCCGGCTAAGCCACTACGCAAGGGATGCGAGGGATCAGCAAGTTTCGAGATAAATTTCGGTTTTCCGGCTTGGTTCAGATAGCTATCTGGGTTCTCAGCGATCTGTTAAGCCAGTCAGTCAGTCAATGCGGACATGCCAAAAAAATAAGACAATATACGATATATCGACTCACAAATTTCGCTTGCGCCTTCCGATCCATATAATCATCAATGAAACCCTTCCCGCGCTTGAACTTCATCTTGAATCCCTTCCTCTCATCCGCTGTTGCAGTAGCCAGCCAGTCCAGACCCGGGAAGACGAGTTCCGCAGTCTGCATGTACTCCATCCCATTGGTGACGCCGTTCGAGGACTGGAATTTATGGGACTTTTTGCCCTGGGTGCTCACTGTACTTTGGATGGTGGAGTTGATGTCCATATTGGTGCGGGCGCTGGTTGATGTGGGGTCCCAGGTCATTACGAGGCAGAAGAGGCCGCGGGGGTTGAAGAACTCCTTGTTGAGGGTATCGAGGGCTTTGTTTTGTCTGATGTAGTAGTATACGTGTTAGTGTGTTCTATCCTTTAGGACTGGACCCAAGTATAGGTGCGGGGGGGGGATCATACCGATAGCGACCCTGAGTCTCAATAGCAATCGTGGTCGAAACCATAATGGCCATGGAAATGGCTGTCGAAACAAGAAACGGCAGAGGCGCAGCGGCCAGTGACGCCAAATTCAGGGCATTGATCCACGGATTCGCGAGACTGGCTTCGTTGATGGTCTCGATCAGATCGAACCAGGTCTCTTGGGTAATGCCCATGTTTTGCAGGTCGGGCGCGTACGCGCGTATAAACCCCCGCGTCTTGTCTTTTGGACGACGCTGCGGGATTGCCACAGGATACGCGAGTCTGTGGTCAGGGTGTGGACGACCGTCTGGGGCGAGTGTTGGATAAGGAGGAGGCTGGCGCTGGAGAAAGGCGCTGATGACTTTGTCCGGGTTGGCGACGCCGGATTTGCTTTTGCGAGGTTTGGAGGGTTCGGATTCTTCAATGGCGACGTCTTGTGCTTCGTCGAGTTGCCAGGAACGCTCGATCTCATCTTCGGCTATGGTGGCAGTCTTCTCGGTTGGGAATGCAGTCTGCTCTCCCAAGGGAAATTCCGTTGCTGAATATGGAGGTGGAGACCGGAAGGAGGAGGAAGAAGAAGATGATGCTGATGCTGATGCTGATTCTTGTTGTCTTCCTTGGTCGTGTTGCTTCAACTCTCGCTCCTTGATGGCTGCTTTTCGCGATTTTTTGTATCCGTATACTTCGCTTGCGAAGCCAATACCGGAGGTGACTCCGCCCACCAGTTTTCCAATGGGGCCCTGTGAACGATCCATGTTCGCTTTGAAAATGAGAAAGTAGTATATGAATGAGAAAGTAAATATTTTTGCCGATTCTGCTGTTCCACTGGCCTTTTATAAAGATCAACAGAGAGAATCCCCAGCACAGCCCCCGCACAGGTTTCCCGATCCGGTTAGCATTGCGGGTGGGCTTGGTGAAATCAGCACCAGATACGGAGTAGAGTGGTGGAAGTGCTTAACCAGATTAAGCCTCCCATACCATTATGAAGCACTCCTCAGCCCCGTTGTCTGTCCGTTGTGTCCGTTGCAGGGACCCGATATCCAATCGAGTCCATCATACTTTCGCCCGAGCGCTTGCGACCCCGCGCTTTGACTGGACACTGAAGAAGGCAATCCGATGGATTCGTGGATGATGATGATGATGATGATGATGATGCTACATGGAAAGGGAAGGATGGAGGGGAACCCGTCTGGGAAGGAACGATCGGGTCACATGACCTGTCACACAGTACTACTGGTACTACTCTTAGATACCATTCTTTGACGGACAGGCTTAATTATGACAAGGGAAAAAAAAAAAAAAAAAGAAAGAATGGGGATTATATCGACTGATACACGTTTTCCGAGTCTACTGCTAGACCCTGGTGTCTGGTATCTCTTGTTGGAGCGACCGAGCGGCCCGCCCCTCCAGTACTCTACTTACTAATAGAGAGACCAATCTACCACCAACACGGGACAGTTTAATGCCCAAACAATCAATAGCAAAAATGCCTCACCAACACCATCGGGTCATCCCGCGTTCAATTTCAATCCCTAAACCCTATAACCATTCACTTCGAAGCCAAGCAGAAACAAAGTCAAAAGCTTCCCCCCCCCCCTCCTACGCAAACACATCCGTCGCATACCGCATATTAGCCTTCAACCCCTCCATGAATTCCTCGGCAGTTTCATCCGTCCCCTCCGGCAAAGATCCGTCGCCGCGATCGAGGCACTTCTCCCGGCGCACATTGAGGAATATCCCCTTCAGGGCCTGCCGCACCGCATTGCCCACGTCTGTGCTTCCGCAGACGTAGATCCGAGCGCCCTGGCCGAAGAGAGAGACCACTTCCTGGCTATCGGCTGTGATGTTATCCTGAATGTGCCGGCCCTTTTGGCCTTCAGGGGGCCGACTATATGCCCATCTCACATCCACGATACCCTGCCGGGACCATTCTGCTAGTTCCTCGGCGTGGATGTCGTCCTTGCCTTGGGTGCGACACCCGGCGAAAAGAATCGCTTTGGCGGGTTTCTCGGCTTCGAGGGACTCGCTGCGCCCGAGGATCTTCTGCGCGCGGTCCATGATGAAGCCGCGGAAGGGGCCGAGGCCGCTCCCTGTGCAGGCCATGATCATGGGCGTGTTGAGGTCCGTCGGGGGCCTGAAACCGGTGTGAGATGGGCGGACGGAGATGTGGACCCGCTCGCCAGGTTGCAGAATGGATAGGAAGTGGGAGGCCACGCCAACGTACGGCTCGTCTGTTCCGGAGAGAGATGGGGCGTTGAGGACCGATACCGTGACGGAGCATTCGGATGGGTCGACCAACGGGGAAGACGAGATTGAGTATTGGCGCACGCGCATGGGTGGGAGCATGGCAAGGAAGTCCCCGATGGATAAGCTGATCAGAGGATGGCGGATCAAGATATCGAGCGGACTCAGGCGTTTCTCGACGACCTCCTTGGTGAACTGGCTGGGGCTGTTTGCAATATACCGCAGCTTGGCTTGGGCTTCTTCGTCTGCGACGGCCGCATCCGCCAGCACGTTGAGGTCTCGCTTGGAGGCGGGCTGGGACAGCTCGACGTATGTGGCCAGAAGACTGAACGCAGAAATGGGCGTGTCCAAGGGGATAGTTGACGGCCCGCTCAAGTCTTGCGATGGTTTTCGGATCGTCAAGATCGCATCCCAGGGAAGGTTGAACCGACGGATTGCTCGACGGACAATATTAAGTGGGTTCACGGGAAGCACCGCAAGGTAGTCGCCGCACTGATAGGTCATGTCTGTTGGGAGCTTGAACCGCACCAGCCGTTTTGCCGGAACATCAGGTGCCGTCAGCAGCTGGTTTTCGATCACGTACCCCTCCTGCAACTGGAGCCCCAAAGTAGTCGCTCGAGATTTCGTGCTAATATCAACCTGCAGGGCGGTGCTGGCCTTCTTGCCGGCCTGCGACTTATCACTAGTACCGTATTTTGAAGCGATGGCAGGCCAAAATGCGGATTCACCCCAGTTATCAAAATCGGTGAACATGTCGGAGTTGGCGGTATCGACGAATCCAATGTCACACAAGCGATCTCCACCATGCTCGCTCACCAGCTGGTTGATTGTCTTGGGGATTCGATAGAAGGTAGCCTGCCAGTCGTCTGAGAGACCCGATGGTAAGCACGAGCGCAATGGACAAGGTGATGAAGGAAGCCCTAAGGGCAAGATATGCACTTACGATGACCACAACCGAACACGGCATAATTGACACCCTCAAGCTCGTTGCCTTTCACCGCATTGAGCCACTCGAAGAAGTGGGCAGCATTATCAGCAGGCTGGCCTTCGTATGAGGCGGCAATTATCACAACGGGACCCTCCTTAGGGATATTCTCGGTGGCCGAGTCCAGCGACTTGACTTCCGCGGCAAACCCGTATGTAACGGCATCATCTGCCATTCTTCGCGCAAATGCCTCGCAGGTGCCAGTATTGCTGCCAAAGAAGATGTGCATCGGCTTCGGGTCCCCGGCAGGAGCGGTCACGTCTCTCTTCCGGTCTCTGCTAAACACTTCCGAAGTCTCATGCGGCCCGAAACTGTTATTCAAGGCAGGCTCCAAGGAGATGGGATCCATTCCGTGCCGTAGGGTTGCCTTGATCTTGAAATCCTTGGGCTTGATGGTGAGTGTCTGTTTGATCCGCAGGTCATAGCTAGGGTCGTCCATCTGGAAGTTGAAATTCTGCAGCAACAAGGCCACCGCCAGCAGGCCCTCTTGCCAGGCGAATGGACGTCCAATGCAGGCTCGCATGCCATTTCCAAATGGCTTCCAGGCATTCGGGGGCAGCCTATTGAAGTTTTCGTCCAGCATTCGCTCTGGTTTAAACTCTTCGGCATCCGATCCCCAGACCTTAGGGTCACGATGCAGTTTGGAAAGCAGAATAGACATCCCCTCTCCCTTGTTCAGAACATACTTGCCATTTGCTAGAGTCACCGGGTCTTCGGTATTCTTAGTCGGATGGGCATGGACTCTTATGATACTAGCTGTGGGTCTGAGTCGCAATGCTTCCCGCAGGACCGCGTTAATATACGGCACCTTGGAGAGATCATCCACAGTTATTTTGCGTCGTCCAATCACCGTGTCAACTTCTTCCTGTGCCTTCTTGTACGCATGCGGGTTCTTGAGCAAGAAGTAGAACACGAAAGACAGCATGCCAGATGTGGTTTCATGTCCTGTGGTAAGAAAGTCAGCGCCTGTCAGGTGACAAAGTTAGAATAACGAAGCTCCATACCAGCAATCAGAAATGTGATCATGTTACTGATGATCGAGTCGTCACTGAGGCCTTGTCCTGACGAAGGATCACGGCCTAGGATGAGAGCATTGAGAAGGTCTTTCTTCTCGGACGGATGACTCCTTCTCTCCTCGGTAATCTCCTTCGCTAGATTCCTCATGTAGGCAATGTCGTTCCAAAACGTATTGTTTTCGCTGGTAGGCAGTTGGTTCGCCAAGGCCGGGCGCCTCGACCTACGGCCGGCACCCCCCAATACACCAAGCATCGCTTCCACAAAAGGGTGCATTGATTCATGGTAGAAAGAATTGAAACGGGTGCCCATGGCACATAGGGCGATGGAGTCAAGGGTCAAGCGGGTAAAATCTTCCGTGACCATAATAGGAGTCTCAGGGCCCTGTCTGGCCCATTTTAGGACCAGCTGAGTGGAAATGTCATACATTTCTACCAGCCATCAGCCATCAAGGTACCATCATACTCTGGGGACACGCACTGGGGTTACCACTCACCGTCAAACATGTTCCGGATAGCCAGCGGCCCAAAAGCGGGCAGAAGAATGCGATGTGCAAGAAGCCAATTCTCCTCTCCGGGGTACTTTGCTGTGAAGAGGCCATCATGGGTAAGGTTGCGGACCTCCTCCAGACCCGCATCCACTGCTTTGATAAATCGTTCTCCATCGGAGATTTCGTTGACCAGTTCATGACTACTGACATACAACTTGGACTGGCCGTATGTTGTCAAGCGGTAGATTGGGCCTTGGAGGGGTAACGCAGGGTCAGCCAACGTTTACACCAGATAGGCGGTTGCATGGGAAATATCCAAATACGAGGGGCGGGGCAGATGGGGGGGGAAGAGGCGGGGTCACCATAGCTATCAGCCATCAACTCATAACTCCTCAGCGGCACTTCTTGCTCGACATCGTAGATATTGCCCAGGAAAGGAACCCCCTTGGGTCCTGGGATGGGGACTGGCTTCACTTCGCTCATGGTGACAAAGATAGGACTGTTGTCATATGAGAACCCCTGTCTGGGAGGATAGTATTGCTGCCTGGTCGTGCACCAGAAATATATACAAGGGTAGGTTCACGATGACCGGAGACTGCCTGATGGTTGCAACCTGGAGATGCAAGGAGTGACCGACGCGGTGACAGGAGCCTTTTGTAGATCACGGACGCAACGGGACGGTTCACTCTGACATGATTGTGGATGGGATGCCTGAAGTGCATGAAACCCCTCATCCAGGCAGACGCATCATCCCAGACGGTCGGTTATGCAGAGCCGCGGCATGGCGAGAGAATTCATGCCGTTGCTGCACACTGACCGATTCAAAGGCCGGCAGCCGTGAGACATGGGGCTGCATATACGAGCATAACCATTATCATCTCGATGAGAGACGCGCGGAGGGGGGCGGGGTGATGAGAACACAGAGCCATGGACGGCTGTTGGATAAACGGCAGATCTGGAGCGGCCTGTGCGCCAGCGCCGACCTCTCATAGAAGCTTGACTGGATGCAGTGGACGGGAGTCGGGACCTATGATCTGCGGGCGCGGCGCTTCACTGTCCGAGAGCCGGGATGGGGGTAAGGAGGAAGGTGGATGAAGGATGGAGGGGATGAATCCAAGGTTTGGCCGGGGATGTATCATGGATGGATCGCTATCCTTTGCCCAGGCTCATGTAGTCAGAAATGGTCAGCTGATATTCAGCAATTGGTCTCGTGGCGCAATGGTAGCGCATTAGTTTCCGGTACTAGAGGTTGTGCGTTCGAGTCGCACCGGGATCGTTTTTTGTTTTCTTTTCCCCCTCACGGATTCTATTCCATCCATCCCGTCCGAATGGCAGAATCACCCGTCCATTCTTCTTCTTCCCATCTGACCCGAATGTTCCCACCCCTCCAACTGACCACCTTCCCATCCAACAGCCATCCATGTCAACAACTAGCAGCAGGTAGTAACACCCTCCGTCAGGCCACACAGTACTCCGTACACATCATACAAATACAGCACGTCACACAAAACGAAACGAACCACCCTCCCATCCTTCTAGAAGTAACTAAGTAAGCATCCGGCGTCTCCCACACAAGCACCGCGCCGCCGTCGCCGTCGCAGTTTCGAACCACTGCACCGCATGCCTAGCCCGGCCACCCACCCAATAAACGGTACTTAATTGAGTCTCTAACCAACCCAACATGGGCCCAGACCCAGACCCAGACCCAGCATGCCCGATGGAGCCAAGTGGCCAGCTATCTAGCTAGCGCATGCAAGCGAAGAGGGGACCCAGATACGGAGTACCTACAATCTTACTCGGATCGTATCAGATATATGACCCGTCTCGTCTACCAATCGACGGATGGTAAGGCATGCGGAGAAATACCTACCTAGAGACAATGATGTAGGAGTCGGGGGGAGGGGGGGGGGTTAGGCAGACAGATATAGGTAGATGCTCACATGAGCGACACGGCGATCTACTTAGTACTTACGTCTATCTATAGATTGTTGGATGCTCCGCGAGTATAAGATGCATCATGCATGATGTCGATTCTGGAAGAAATGAGTCCTAAGCCCGAACTAGCCGGCCCGCGGCTCCGCGTCTGGGATACCGATGGCCGATGGCCGATGGAGATGACGGCGGCTCGGTCCATTCAGGTCATCGGAGCCGTCTACCGAAACCGGAATAGCTTCAGTCGTTGCAGCGCTACCTCCAATAATTTGGAGATGATACAAAAAAAAAAAAAAAAAAAAAAAAAGCAAAAATTACAACTGGTTTGAGATAGTTCCCATGGGTTGCAGGCTGGTATATACAGAGAACAGGAGCTCCGTCCCGATGGCACGGGACTGGATGGAGCACAGGGGATTGAGGGAGAGGACAATATAGACACGACCTACAAAGATAAGGGAAGAAGGAGGAGGAAAAGTGCGCTACGGGTCGATGCTTGAGCCCCGAGAGGCTCGCGAACAGCCCCCGCGTGACCTTGGCCAGCAAAGCAGGCGTGAGCATGGTCTGCGTGGTTGCAGTGGCTCCGTGCGCACCGGGAAGCAAGGTACAAAGCCTCGCCCGGGGAAACAGAACGAGACTTCTAAAATAACGGTCGAATTCTTCGTTTTCATCATGGACACAGAGGTCGTCTGGGTCGGGGGGGGGGGGGGCCTTCCAACAGGACGGTCTAGTTGACTGGTTGGTAGCCCCTCGGCTTGTGCCTCCATTCGCTTTGCTTCCACTCGGACTGGAAGTTGTCCATCTCGGTCCGTTCGCTATCCCACTTAGCATCGTTGAGGGCGTGCTCGAGGCGTCCACTCTTGCGCTGCTTCAAGCAAAAGAAGATGAAGGCACTGGCCGCACCGGCGCCCACCACGGCAATGGCAACATAGATACCGGTCTTCGCTCCCGTCGACAATTTCGCCCATTTCTCGGCAAGCGTCTCCTTGGGAACCTTGTTGAGCTCCGTCACGGTGGTCGAGTTGCCCCTATGAATCGAGTCAGTATTGGTGGATCGGCAAGACATCTCGGCCTTCAGGATCACTTACGCAACAACCTTGATACTCTCCCACGAGCCGGAATGGTTGGTGTATTCATACTCCTTGCCAGAGTGGAAGTCATGCACACGGACCTTCTGGACAACCATGGTGTACGGGCCTGCCGTATAGTTGATTTCACCACCGGCCCACTCGATGGTGCCGAGAGACTCACTGGGGTCACCCGCGGGCCAGACACCATACCGAATGTTGCTGGGGGTCTGCGGGTAGTTCTTTCCACCCAGGGCGTCCTCGTAGTTGAGAGTCCGGACCAATTCCTCGTCAATCCACCACTCGAGCTTCTCCGCCGTCCAGTAGGTCGTGTAGTTGTGGAACTCGGTGTCGGCGTTGGGGACATAGTGGTAGCCCGCACGGTCCCAGGAGGAATCGTTACCCTTGCCGTAGTAGTTGGATTGCACGCCGCTGGTGTTGTAACCCACCCACTCCCAGTCGATCTCGTCCAGATCGTCCGACTCGAGCACCACACTGCTCACCACGCCACCACCCTTGGCCATCTTGACATGAGACTCGACGATGCCAAAGAAGATATAGAAGTTCGACTGTAATGTGGGCGACTGCAACTTCTCTGCGATGGTGAAGTTCGCTCCCTCATCGGTGTAGTAGATCTGGTCGTTGGTGACGTTCCATATGGTGTCGTCGACCGTGCTGTTGAAGTACCAGGTGTGGTTGGTCCCGAGGGCTTGGTCCGCGGGGCATGTTTTGTTGAGAGGGTTGCAGTTACTGTAGGTCTGCGCGGTCACCAGACAGACCTTGGCCGCCAGCAGGGCCAAGACATAGAAGAACGACATGATGGGATGCTGTTGTTGTCGTCCAGGGTCACCACTCCCGGGGGAAGGGGAAAAGACTGCTGTAGGTTGGGGAGAGGGGGAAGAGAGCGGAGCGAGTCAGGGAAACTGCGGGTCAAAACGCCGTTTCTTGGGGGAGGGAGGGGGAGTGATGATTGATGATAAGGCGCGATAAAGGGGGAATGGGGGGCTTGAACGCGACGGCGATTGTTGAGGTCGAGGTCGAGGATGGACCGTCCGAAAAAAGAGTGACAGTTCGTGGGAGGGCCGACAGTGGGAATCCGAAATGAATGACAGTGCGATCAAGGCGCACGAGGAGTAGTGATGAAGCCCACCCGCGAGGAGAAGAGTTGGAGAAGGAGGGAGGAGAACGACGCGGAGGGGAACGAACGACAGGAGGAGGGAGGAGAGGACATGATTGATTAATTAAGGAATTATGACGGGTTCCCTTTTTTTGTGTCGCGGGAATACTAATAATAATCATAGATAGCATCTACTTACTGCTCTCGTCCTTATTTTTAAAACGGGGGGGGGGGCCGGGATGGGCAGGCGCATGTCTCTCGTTTTTCTGCATTGGATGTCACTAGTCTGGCCCTAAACATTAAGGGGCAACTCGAAACAGGAAACTCCCCGGCCCAGGAGGGGGAGACTAGTCCGCACCTGGCATGGCGCCCTGCAAATTTACCCTGGTTCAGCAACTAAGTCGTCCTAGCGTGGTCCCTGGCCCTGATGCTAGCCGTTCCGGGGAATAGTCGCTTGGCCTCGGCGAGCTCGGATGCTTCCCCCCCCCCCCCCGCCGTCATGATTGGCCCGCCGGGCCCGGCCATGGTCCCTCCCCAACCCAATCAGCTCAGGAGACCTGCGAGGTTCGTTGGATCTTCCGGGATATGATAGATAAGTCTGATCATGGATCACACAACAAGTGTCTAATATCCGAGGGGCCCTCTGTAAATAGTAATCCAGTCAAATTGCACACCGTAGTTTTAAGCAAGTATGATTTCCCAGGTACGGTACTCCGTACTCCGTAGATACTCCGGACCTTGCTGCTTCATACGCACTTACATCATAGGTACATGCCGTGGTTGACCTTGCGTCCAAACGTCCCACTCCCACGCACCAGGCACCAGGCACCAGGCACCTGTGTGGCCAGCGTCCCACTCACCAAGCCTCCAAGAGTCCAAGGGACGGGACTCCAACCCCAGCGGTGGAGTCCCGGTCTCATAGTCACTCAGCAGTGCGCCAGTCCAAGGTCAGTGCCGCCCGCCACTGCCATGGCAGACAAAGTCAGACTGGCGGTGGCTCAGCGCAGCAAGAGTGATTGGCCAGTGGCAAGACTGCGGCAAAATTTTATTTGTCTGTCATTCGGGATATACTTTTGGAATAATAATAATCAGGGGGAGGATAATCATCGGACTATCGGACGCTCCAGCAAAGGTTTGGTCTAGTCGAACGCCTCTCAGGGTAGCAAGCAAACCAGCGAGTCAGCGACATCCTCCAGCCCTCGATAGTCAATCAATGCAGAGAAAGCAAATGATGATCAGCAGTTGGAGTCGAGGGGAGCGACTGGGTGAAGAAGTACCTGAATGCATGCGAGCCAAGAGAAACATGGAGGGAGGTTGTGCAGTCGCCATTCTGCCAGTCTCAGGTTCGCCAAGCATTCTTCTTTCGTTCCTGGGCCTGAACTGAGGTCATTGTTCACGATTTCAGACATGCCGAGATGATCATGCTCCTGTGCCTTGCAGGTGGCATTACAGCCTTGGAGGTGATTTATGAAGGTTGAGTTACTCCGTACCGATGACATGCCCGATGAGTAAGGCAGAACCGATCCTGAACTCATGCATGAATCATGTCTGTAAGATACCGTGATTATCGTGTGTCATCCGTCCGGGTTAATTACATACCATACCATCCCAGCCATCATTACCCATTATTTCCCACTCCGAGGGAAGCAAAGCAACACAATCCAACACAATCCAATCCAATCCAATCCAATCCAATCCATCCGACCATCCTCATTCCCTGACCTGACCATCTTTCCTCCATCTCTCTCTCCCTCTCCCTCTCCCCAGTCCCCCAACTCAAACCCAGACCCAACCAATTCAATCCATTCAACTAAGATAAACCTTCGCCGGCCTCCTCACCTCCCCCCTCGGCTTCTCCACATAATAAAACCCGGGGCTCCGTCGTCGCCGTCGCCGTCGATGCTGAGTTCGGGTCGTCAGAACGCCTTCCTCCCGAGGCATCGTGCAGAGTCGAAACAGCCACAGCAGCAGGAGAGTGCCGGCGATAGTACCGAGGACGATTCCCGCGATGCCGCCACCCGAGATGGTGCTGGGGCAGCCGCCGCCGCCGCCGACACTGCTAGGCTCATCGCGAGTGCGGAGGGACGACACGGACATGGGCACGGGCACGGGGGCCTGGTTTTCAGGTACGTCAGTCTACTAACTATAGCTCGGAAACCACGGCCCGCGGCGCAGAGAGCCATGGGTGAGGGTGTGGACGTACCATGGTATGTATAGATATTTATCAATTATCAACGACCATAAAAATAAGAATGGGAATGGGAATTGGAATAGTGGGGAGGAGGAGGAGGTAGTGGTGGTCAGGGTGAGACTGGCACTGGCACTGGCACCGGAGACTGACTGGTGCATGGCAGCACAGGAGAACGAATCCAGCAGATTGGATTCAATAATGGATCGATCTGTCTTATAGTAACTATCGCCAGGTTCTTTGTGGGTGTGTATCACTCACACATCTCAATCCCAGCCCGTCTCATCCGTTGACGTCAATCACACGTCTTTGAGTTCGCGCCTGCAGGCCATGGCCGCATGGAGCAGCGATCTTCATTGTTCACGGCCAGAGCTTGATATCTGACAATCATGCTCGTGGTCTCCGTCCAATGGAGGATGATACAGGCATCGATTATTGGTGATCGTCATCATCTGATGCTTACTTCACATGGATTCAGGGTGGTCTGGGCTACCTTGACATGATTGCGTCTTTTGTTCAAAATGTCCCGCGGCAGAAGTGCGGAAGTAACTACCGGGTTGATGCTGGTCTACGATTTGCCAATGAGGTCAAAGGCATGCGTCGTACACAAGATACCCCATCAATCAGGTGATGATCAAGCTCGATGGTATCTCCTATGGCAGGCCAGAATTCTGTGGATTCGTCATGACTGGAACCCACCAATGAGGTGTCTAACTAGATTAGAGTCGCTGTATACAGGCGACCCAGTGGTGTGCTCATATAATCCGGTGCCCTGGTGACGGAGGCACACTTCCAGTCTCCCAGTCTTTTGCTTCCGGGCCGAGTTCGAACTCGAGTGTGCCTCCCTGGGCCATGATATCCTCGTGGTCGAACCAGTTCTTTGTCCAGGATTGGCCATTGATCTTCACACTCTGCACGTAGTAGCCCTCGTCCAGTCCGTTGGCGATGATACGCAATGTCTGGTTCCCGTTGATTGTCATGTTGAGGTCAGGGAACCAGGGAGACGCAATGAGATACACGGGCTGCGTGACAACGGGGTAGATCCCCAGCATTTGCCACAAGAGCCACGAGTTCATGGCCCCTGCGTCGCTGTTCCCCGGGACCCCGTAGGCCTCATCTTTGAAGCTGGTTTATTGGGTGAGTAATCTGCGTTTGCGGTGGGTTCTGACTTATGGTTTACTTACTATTGATATCCGAGTCCTCTGGACCTCTGGACGCTCTTAGCTTGCTTGTTGATGTAGTTGTAAAGATACGGGGTTGCAAAGTCAGGTTCGTTTCTTTCGCACGCAGGTCAGTCTCGACATGGTATATATATGATAATCTGCTGGCATTGCGCTTACCCAATGTTAAGGATCGTTGTGATTCCAGCGCCGTTTGAACCAAGATTCTGGACGGACATATTCGGCTCAAACTACAAAAATTCAGCTAGCAGTTTACTCAAACCAGTCGGACGTCTTACCATGATGTCCAACCGGGAGTCAAAAGTGTCTGCTCCGCCCATGAGACTAATCAACGTTTCCATATCATGAGGTATCACAAAGGAGTATTCTAGGGAAGTATCTTCGTTAGACCCTTTCTATACTTCGGTTTCTATCGACTTACCCCAGGGCACCCCTTCGTAGGTATACGCGTGCCATTCGCATTCATAGCAGTAACGGGGATCATAACCGGTATTGTTGAACGTGCCATTCGAGAACTTGGGCGCCAGGAATCCGGTAAAGTTCAAACTCTCCACATCGGGGTTCCATATCTTTTGCCAGCCAGCAGACCGGTTCATGTACTTTTCCTGGTCGCCCGGACTTTCTCCGCTGGCGACCTGACTCACGGCAAAGTCATTGAGACTGTACTCCACAGTCCTGGAGATGCAACGTGTGTTTTGATCTTCCGACACATATCCGAGCTCTAGCCAGTCGCCCAAGGCGCCGCGCCCCTCTTTGGTACTGGCGGAAAGATCAGTAGGATCATAGGTGTTGTACGGAATAACCTCTGCGTCCGTCTTCATTGCAGCATAGCCGTCCGTCCAGTTGATTGCGCCGCGCAAACCCTTGACGTAGGCATCTGCCAGCATGTTGTCCGCATTGGAGCCACCCTGAACCAGCCCATTCCAGTTCCCCGAGCGTCCATCTGGGAGAAAGCCCTGGTGTCTGTTGGTCATTGTTAGCCTCGTCGATTGTATTCACCTTGCTTCCCGCCATTCATTTCTATCACTCACTTCCAAATGTCAATGAGCCCTCGGATCATGGACTCGTAGTAGGTGGGCTGATATATATGATAGAAGCTGACAGTGCAGCGAAAGATATCCCCTAAATGTGGGTTAATGCAAGTTCTGCCACGGAGAAAAATGCTGATACTAACAAAGCGTATAAAAATCATCCCAGAAGGGCTCATCTGACTGCCAAAGGGGATTTTCCCCTGTCCGATCAGAAGGCATCAGGTGGATAAAATAAAGAGAGCTGTAAAGCAGCCTAACATTTGTCATGTTTGCTGCGCTATCGAGAGACACTCGTGTCTTACCCAAAACATCCTGGTTCCACTCTTCTACCGCAGACTGCACGGTGTCGTTAAGGCTCCAGGAAGGGATTTCAGCCGCTATGTATGACTGGGCCTGTTCCGTGGAGATGAGCGAGATGCCAACCCGAGAGATAATTTGGGAGCTCGACTCAGAGTCCCAGCTGAAAAGCACTCCTATGCGATCGTTCATCGGTCCCGAGGTTGCCTTGTCAGAGTTGTTCCCATATGTTGGCTGGGCCACACCCCCGTTTGCTAGGTTCTGATATCGCGGCATTGGGTCTGTGTTGGTACCAGTAAAGGTCTGAGCCATTTCTGGTGCCGATGAGAACTCGCCGTAGAAATAAACCGTAAAAGGCGCGCCTGTTGGCTTGGTTAACATGCGTGCTCAGTAGTCTAGGGTCGAATTGCAGACCGTTGTTCCAGCCACCAACATACGTGCCATAGCCGGTATATGCTTTCCCACCATCTTCAATTTGGATCTCTCCGCCGACATAGAACTGGCCGTTCGCATCACCTGGTGATCCCGGAAGGTACTTGGCCACGGTGAGCTTTTATCCTATGGGAGGTGCGATTCAGGTTCATACATGAGAGAGATCAACCAACACATGCTTCTCGCCATCAGGGAACATATACTGCATGATACCGGCATGACGAGAGGCGGACAGTTCTATCTGGACACCACTCTGCAGTTGTGTTTTGAAGTACCCCACACTGGCTGAGTCATTACCAACCTGTCTTCCATGTGAGAATGCATAAACCAGTCAGAAACGAGTGTACTTTCTTACTCTGGGCTGGCTGTATGTGAGGTTATCCAGTATATTCACCGGGCTTGTGACCGAAGTTAAGGGCATCTGGGGAATGAGGCCGTACTTCGGGGCGCCCCCAGTGCCGCTCTCATGCATCATACCTGGAAAAGAAAAGGGAAGACAGTTAGGTTCAACTATAAGTAGCATCTTTAGCCAGAAACACATACTGACTGCAGTGACATTCCCATCAGGCGTCCACCCCCCGTTCAGCACCGCCGTACTCCAGTTCGCAGCGGTGGTGTCGATTCCTACCTTCGCGACTCCAAAGGGCCGCGCACCACCGACGAAGATGTCACCCCCTCCATAACCTTGACCCGGATAAGGGCCCTCGGATCCCATAAAAGGGTTGACATACTGAGAATAATCCACCTCGGAGGCCAAACTGGCTTTCACCATTCCTAGCAGCAAGGGCGCCAGCTCGTGGCCAGTCCCGATCTTGAGAATTCGCATGGTGACCAAGTCCTACCTAGGGAGGGAGGCAGGAGAGTGTGTAGTGGTGAATGGCAAACTGGGGAGAGATCCAAGTTGACGAGGAAGGAAGTCGGGCGGGAATGATGGGGGGACTTGGATCTATTCTTCCCCGCGGGGATGATCGATGCGGAGTTTGCCTGCAGCTCATCCCTGGCCGCAATAATTCCACAACACACCGTCCAGGAAACAAACAGGGCCACTGGGAATGCCGATCGGGCCTTTTTCAAGTCTGTCACCGGTGTTTACTTTTGTGGTCGGCAAATAAATTACCAGCCCTGAATAAATATATAGTTCCACGTAACGAGTATGTAAAATCGCCATTTTGCTGCGATTTCCGCCTTGCTTCATAATCTCCAGCCTGGAAGCATCGTATTCCACAGGGGGTCTCTGCATCATAGGCAGTTCGAGCTCTTTCTCCATCTTCGGTCTACCTAGGGCTAGGGGAGTTATGCTGGGTGCATAACCCCTAGATGAGTCAGCGGGATAGGATGGCGGAACGGCGTCGGGGCGTCTGTCGAGTCCGCTCGAGTCGGACCATCTTCCTCCCTCTTCCACAACCCATGCGATCTTATCGAGTAGAGTGGCAGAATGAGCATTCCAGCATGTTCCCGTGCCCACAGTGCAACAAATCCTATCGGAGAAGGAGCCATCTGCTCCGACATGAGGTGACACGTCAGGCCCCTAATTATTACTTGCACTGCATGGAAGGCCGCGGCCCGCACATACACTCACTGACAACGACAACGACAACTTGACAGACACCGGCGCCTCCTCCTCGAACTGTCCGTTCTGCAACAAATCTTTCCTGAAACAGTACGAACTCATCTATCCCGGCTGTCTCCGGTAGTGCTGGATTCTAATTCAAGGTTGCCTTAGGGAGGTGGCGCGAAGACATAGTAAAATATGCGCCAGAAAGCACAACCAGCCTCCTCCGGCAGCAGCCAGGCCGGGGAGGAAAAAGCAGTCCTGTGACGAATGTTTCTCCGCAAAAGCAGCGTGCGATAAAAAGGCCCCATGCTCTCGATGTCAGTCCCTCGGGAAACAGTGTTCGTTCAGGGATCAGTCGACTGCTTCCCCCGGGCATTTCTCGGAACTAAGCCCGCCCTCTCCACCACCACCGCTCTTGCGTGGCCCCCAGAAGAAAGGCGAACCGTTCTTTTTCCTGTCGCGTTTCACTGATCCTTCAGTCAAGCAGGATAAGCTTGCAATCGCAGAGACAGCGAGGAGCTCCACCAAAAGGAACCTTGACCCATTTTATTTCCAACCGGAAGATATGCTCTTCCCCCCCGATTCAATCCCCAATTACACGATGGGGTTTTCAGTCGCTGACATATTCCTTCAACCTCCGCCCACATTGAGTGAGCATTTTTCTATGTCCTTTCTACCCGAGAGTACATGTTCAACAAGACTGTCTACCAAACTTAACGACATCATGATTGAGCTGGCGGAGACATCGAGATCTATGGAGCCGGTTAGCGCTGGTCTGCAGAACCCGCTTGATACGACGGAGTTGGCCTCCCTCTTTACGGCCAATAATCTATCCACCTTCATTTCTGCTTTCTTCCAGTCCCTTCATTGGCACCTTCCCATCGTGCATTTCCCAACATTCGATCCTGGGATGGTTTCCAACCCTCTTCTGCTTTCAATCTTTCTATCCGGTGCAACGTACGCTACTTCGCAGGACGGAAACTCCTTGGCAACCGGGCTTCTGGATGTGGCTGAGGAGTATATCTTTCGACAGCTCGCGAATCTATCGACCACTCCATCTCCGACAGGGCCCGCCCATCTCCTTCCCACCTTGGAAGTAATCCAAGGAGCGCTTATTGTGGAGATGCTCCAGTTTGGACATGGCGAAACGGGCACCAGGCGGCGGATACGCATAATTAGACACCCGTGTGTGATATCTACCATACGATCGTTGGGGATCTTTCAATCCAAGCGGAGCATGGCTCTTGGAGCCTGTGACGAGGCGACCTGGCGGTCAGTGATAGCGGAGGAGGTTAGCATAAGGCATGTTCTACTCATAAGCCAGTGTTGAGCAGCTCTGACTGAGTCCCCAGAATTGCTTGCTGGGCCTTCCTGGCGGACGGGTTCCTTACAGTTTGTTTCAACAACCACCCGGCACTCTCAATCTTCGAGATGGATTGTGACTTTCCCTGGAGCTCTGCTGTATTCGAAGCTGAGAACGCATCATCCTTCAATGAAATTGCGTCGGCGCATACAACGGCGTGTCCGCTGCCATCGTTAAGAGAGTTTATCACACGCCTGCTTGATGAGAACGCTGCGGGTGACTTGGTGCAGTGGAGTCGCTCCTTAGTAGGTGAACACTTCTTGATCTTAATTTACGGTAAGTGCGTCCGCGTAACGTTGCTTGTCAGTATGGTCGAGCTAAGCGTAGTATTAGCCATGCACTCGCTCGCTTTTCAGGCGAGGAGTGGCTTGTTTGGATGGATATCAACGAATACGATAAAACGTGCCGCTGAGAACTGGAGAAGCATCTGGGATTCCCTTGCCGGTAGCGCGGCAAAGGAAAAGGCACAGCAGCTGGGGTATCCCAAGCATGCCGAAGAGCTCTGGTTGCTCCTGACTGCTACGCTTGACCGCACCAGCGGGCGTGGTATGGGCTCCCGGTATCTGGAGAATGCTGCGACTGACGACCTGGCGAACCTGAACGATTTTATCCGAAATATTGCGGCCCCAGATAAGACATAATGGGCCATGCCCCGTGTATTAATATGTACAGTTATGAATAACCTCCCTTCCCCCGCCTACATTACAATAATATTATGAACGATCCACGTGCCATCATGAAGTAACACCACCAACGCCCTCTAGTGGGTTTTAACCGCCTTCAACTCATCACCCTTGGCTTTTCGATACGTCCCTCCGAGACGATCCCACAAGGTCGTGAACTGCCCATAGTTATAGTTGAAGTACAGATGGTGCAAGGTATGGCACTCGGGGCCATTGACCACGGCGGAGCGCGAGAGACACTCGGCGTCATCTAGATGCAGTCAGAACACACTCACACCGACCCGAGGTCGTCACAAAGGGAAAAACTTACGGATCACCACGGTCCACATCGTCACAAAAACGAACAAACCAATATACGCGCTCTTTTGCAGCGGGAAAAGCATGGGGAAAAGATGGTAGGGCAGACTCTGGGACCACCCGTCGACGGGGTTAAAGGCGTAGCTCGCGAAGGGCGTCGGCACCACCCACTTGTGATGTTTCTTGTGTAGCCACCGATACACCAACGGGTGGTGCAGCCATCTGTGGATCCAATAGATGCCCGAATCCGTGAAGGCGATGAAGAGTGGGTACTGGAGGTAGTTGTATGCCGGGAATGGGGCCTCGCTGGCGAAGTCGTACAGCTTGGACCAGCCGCGGATCTCGGTCAGGAAGAAGGGAACCGTGAGGATGGACATGATTGGCATCGCAAGCAAGCCCTGCTTGATCTCCAAGGCGATTTGGTTCTTGAGGATGCGCGGATGTTGGAGGAGGGACTTGTCGAATATTGTGTGGTACAGGAGTGTGCTGCCGAAGAGGTACATGGCTACCCCGAAGAACCTGTGCATGCGAAGGGGAGTTGTCAGCCTCATGGTCTGGTATGGCCTGGTATGCTCGATTATTGTCCTACCACATGAGGAAGAACAGCGACGCTGCCTGTCGTGGAAGGTAATCACGCTTCCAACTGCTTGCGGTGGCCCATTCGGAGGGCTGGAGAGGATAATAGCGTCCAACATGTTGGTTGAGGGGAGGCTGAAAGGCATATTCGAGAGTGGTATTGCCAATGGGGAGAACCGATGCATAGACTCGATCGAACACGAACGTGTCGAGGACATCCAGGATGACGTCCATGGTGGTGGAGCTATACCTGACGGTCGTCCAGGTTGGGGGGGTAGAGCTCAGGCTTAGCAATTTAAGCTCTGCAGAACGAGAGAGATGGAATTGTAGAATGATGAACTGTCTCTACCTCATCCCAAGGCATTGAGTTGCAGGAATAAGACTTGGGGGAGAGCAGCCAGCACCCATCTTCTTATATATACGGGGAAACCCTACCTGGGGCTACACCTACACCCGTCACCCACCGCCGGGGAAACCCTACCACGGGCTATCCCTACCATCTGCCCACCCCGGAGTCCGGAAACACGGCGAATCCCTACCAGGGGGATTACCTACCCAGGGGTGGGTTCATTTCATTCCCCTACAAACTAAGTATCTACATCTCTCATACGATCTGCAGGTCAGTCCACCATCCTCCCAGCGGATCCGCTTCAGGTACGGGTTCTAGGCGTGGATCGACCCGTGGCATCACCTGTTCGTGCACTATTTCTGAACCATGCCGAACAATTCTTGGACCATTTCAATGCATCTCAATCCCATGGATACTATTCCTACCGACCGTGGTGGTCCATGTTAGGGAGGGAGATGGAGAAGTGGAGAATATGAGGGGAAAAGGGCAGGCCGGATAAACTATCCGAGAGCGGCAGTGCTCCGGCCGGGCAGCCGCACAGCGAGACAATCGAAAAATCGCACAGCCAAACCCAACCGCCAACCGCCAGCCAGTCCATTCATTCATTCATCCCGCATCTCATCCTCCATCCTCCTCCTCCACACCCCCCCCATCCTCCCACGCCCCCTCCCCCCCTCCTCCCCCTCTATCCGTCAACATGGGTGTCACCTTCGACAAGTGCGATACCCGCCCGGCCAACATCGATGCCATCCTCAGCGGCCTCGACCGTTACAACCCCGAGACCACCACCGTCTTCCAGGACTATGTCGCCCAACAGTGCGAGGACCGGACCTTCGACTGCTACGCCAACCTGGCCCTGCTGAAGCTGTGAGTGCCTGCGCCCTTTCTCTTTCCCCCAGAACACCTTTCCCTGCCAGAGCTCCGACCCAGGAACATAATCGGTTTTACATGATGAAGAATTGCATATCATTATCACGTTTCCTATTACCTGACACCCTCCATCGGGGAATGTCGAGTCTTCAATTCTCCTGAAAACCAAAGCTATCTCAGCGAATAAACCTCGTCAATGACTACATGCATTCGCAGCCAGGCGTGACCGGCGTGCTAACCGATTCCACGTCTCCTACAACAGCTACCAGTTCAACCCCCACCTCCTCCAGGCGGAGCCCGTCACCAACATCCTCGTCAAGGCCCTGACCGTCTTCCCCTCTCCCGCCTTCTCTCTCTGCCTTGCCCTGCTCCCCGCCCACACCCAGCCCTTCCAGTCCTCCGACGCCGAGGACTCCTCCGACTTCGTCGAGTCCATCCAGAAGCTCGCCCTTCTCTCCACCCTCCTCGAGTCCGCCCAGTACACCCAGTTCTGGTCGACCCTGAACTCTGACGACCTGTACGCCGACCTGGTTGCCGACGTCGCCGGCTTCGAGGAGCTCATCCGCATCCGCATCGCCGTCGAGGTGGGCAAGGCCTTCCGTGAGATCCCCGCCGAGGTCCTGGAGCAGTGGCTCGACCTGCGCAGCCGCGAGGCCCTCGAGAAGTTCGTCGTCGAGGTCTGCAGCTGGGAGGTCGACAAGACCGGCGCCACCGGCACCGTCATCAAGGTTCCCTCCAACAAGGAGAACGAGGTCCGCAGCGAGGTCAAGAGCGAGCGGGTGGGCGTTGACATGTTCGGTCGTGTCATCCGTCGGGGTTTCGAGCAGGCTGCCTGAGCGAATAGGATAGCGAAAGAAAGAAAGAAAAAAAAGCCCACAGAAAGAAAACCCTTACTATATATCCGTCGCCACCGCAACTCGTCCTTGATTCCCATTTCCCTTATTCTTGCTAATATTTTTTTCGCGTGCTTTGCCTCGAATGAAGATCTCCCTGGGTCACGAACCCCCAGATCTAGATCTCGGTCTTTCTCTCTTTCTCTTTCTACCTCTCTCCCTCTCTATCGAGAAGGGTAAAAAAAGAGAAAAGGACAAAGACCGTAAAAAGGGAGAGAGAGAGAGAGGGAAAAACGAAGTGTCCCCTATCCGCTCACTTCGGAATCTCAATCCCATGCATGCATGTGACAACGCATACTACGCACGAGCTCCAAGCCTCAACTCAACAAAAAAGATGATGATGACGGGGGGGGATAAACCAGCATGGGTTGGGGAAACAGAAACAGTCCGGACGGACCTGGCGCAATTGGCGTTTTGAGTTTGCTTCGCATGACTAGGTTGTGATTTATCATCGTCATCATCTTTTTCTCCTTTTTCTTTTCCTTTTTTCCCCTCCTCATACGATCATATGATATGATATCATACCATATCGTATCCTCAGCATGTTTCTCTCTACGTGGATGATGAATTGAGTTAAAAGAATACATTTCACTGAAGATATAACTGTCCTGTCCTGTTCCGGGTTGGTTGCTTGTAATAGTGGAGGTTGGGTGGGTATTTGTTTCATCGTATGGGAGGATATTGCTGTACTACGTAGCCTACCTAGCACAGCGAATCACGAGCAAGTGATGTATAGAAATAGATGGAAACATAGATAAATAGATGGTACTTTTCTCGCAAACTAAACCCAACAGGTGTCTATGCATGTATGTATATGGTCATCAACATCAACATCAACATCATAGCGAAGCGTAAAACCAAACCAGTCGGACGTCCAGGCTATTTCGCCGCCTCCTCCCACTGCACGCCGGCCCATTCCTCACGGTAGCCGACGACACCGACCTCCTTGGGACCGCAATCCTTGGCGCAGACCCCCAGGATGATAGTCCCCCACTCCATACCGGCATCATCCTTGGCGAGGCCGACGTCCTCGCGCCCCTCCTCCAGCACACTGATGGCGTGGGGCACGAGCTGGAACTCGAACACGCGCTCGCTACCGCAGTATTCGCAGCGGGGGATACGGCTGGGGTTTCCGACGGCGACGGTTGAGACGCCGCGCGCAGCAGCAGCAGGGGACTTGTCGTGGAGGCGTTTCCCGACGGGGTCGGTAAAGGAGTAGAGGAGCGGGGAGCCGCGGAACTGGTAGCGCAAGACTTGTTCGGGGTTCTGACCGAGACGGGTGGAGAAGCGGATGAAGGCCTTGTCGAGGTCGGATTCGAATGTATCCTTCAGCTCTCCTCCTCTGGATGAGCCGCCGGGGCCCTCCTCTTCCGTGTTGTCGATGGTGACGTTATCCGGGATCGTCGGGGTCGAGGGCCGCGAGAGCTGCTCATATTCGGCGTCGAGGAAGAATTGGGTGTACGGGGCTGGGAAATCGGATTGCGCGGGCCAGGGCGCGGAGGGCCCGCTGGCGGCTTCGGGGGGTGGGAGGAGGTTGAGGTTTGCGGTGGAGGGTGGGGGGGAGGAGACCCGGACTTTGTCGGCGAAGGATTCGGAGAGGGTGTTAGCTGTTGTTGTTGTTGTTGTTGTTGTTGTTGTTGTTGGGGTGGCTGTTGGGGTGGCTGTTGGGGTGGGTTTGGCTGCGAGACCCGGGGAGGGGGCAGGGGCCGCAAATGGGTTGGCAAATGGGTTGGCGTTGTTGGATTGCGCGGCGGGGGACGAAGAGAAGGGGTTCGCGCTGGCGGAGACACTGCCGGTGAGAGTGGACGAACCGAATAGACTGGCTCCAAGATCCTGCTTGGGGGCCGGAGGGTCGTTCTTCTCCTCCTCCTCCTTCTTCTCCTCTGCTACTTCTTGCGGTTGCTTTTCCTCCTTCTTGGGGCGGGGCTTTTCAACCTTCAATTTTCTGGTGGCGCGCAGAGCCCGGATACTGCCTGGCTTGCGATTGCAGGCCTTTCTCGGACACGAGAGGATGTAGAGCCGTCTTTCGTCGTGGGGGAAGTCATCGGGGAGGTCGCCGTGCAGTTCGATGAGGAGGAGCATGGGTTGGTTGCAGACTTTGCATTTGGCGAAGTCGCCCGGAGGCGGGGTAGCGTCGTCGAGCCAGGTCTGGGAGAGGAAATCGTGGTTAGTGACGGGGGGGAGGGTTCAAGTGGGAAAACTGTAGGGGAGAGATGGTGATGCGTACCGGCCAGCCTCCCAGATGACTGATTGTGTCTTCGATCATCTCGTCGGCAGCGTAGCCCAGAAGAACACCGGTATCCCCCTCATCTTCGGAGCCGGAGGAGTCGCTGTCATAGGGATCCATGGTGGAGGGGATGGGGCTGAGGGCTGACTGGGTCAATCGGGGAGAGTGAGAGGGTGTGGAGGATGTGTCGGCAGTCAAGAAGCAGACAAACTGAGCTGAGCTTCCTCTGGGATAGCAGATCGCACGACGTGATCTGAGCTGAGGGTCTGGTGTTTCTTCTTGTTTCTTGACCGGGTTTTTTTCTGGCAGAAAAAAAGATGGCGGCCCAAAGCGGAAAAGTTCCAGGCCGCAATCCGCCCCGGGACCCGCTAGTCCGCATCCGGACTAGGGCTGTGCGTACCTGAGGTATCCATTGCGATGATCACCTCATCGCCTTCCTCTCCTCACCGGCCATCTTCTACAACACCCTGCTGGTCGCCATCAATTGCGTCTCCACATCTCATCGCCAGCTCAGTCGTCTCTGGAAGAGGCTGATTATCTCGGGTAAAGCACCGTTCAAGCTTCAAAGAATGAGTTGAGAAGCTGTTCGCTGAATCTCGGCACTGTCAATAGCAGCTTCAATAAGCACTACTACTAACTCGCTCAACCTGAATTGCTCTACAAAGTGACCGTTATATCGCTTCCACTTATGGATTCCTCTTCTAGATACAGATTCTTTCGGTTCTCCCTCTACGCTCATGTCCTATGCTATGTGATCACTCTATGCCTGATCCCTCTGGGCCATGCTGCATCTGCCTCCTCTGAGGTCACACCAGCCAAGAGGGTCGCCGTGATCGGTGAGACGTCCCCATACTGACGGACCCATTCCCTTAAGCTCACATCCGGGGTAGGAGCTGGAGCCGCAGGATCCACTACGGCATATTCCCTGCGCAAGTATGCAGACGCCTTGCAAATCCCCGTCAACATCACTGTCTTCGAACGCTCTTCCTATGTTGGTGGTCGCTCAACCACGGTCAATGTCCTCGACAACCCAGCCAACCCGGTCGAGCTGGGCGCATCAATCTTCGTCGATATCAATCAACACCTGGTCAATGCATCCAAGGAACTCGGACTGCATGTCACGAGTGCAAACTATTTGCGACCCCGCGAGACGGAAGACACCATTGGCGTCTGGGACGGAGAGCAGTTCGCATTCGTGATGAAGGACAGTTCCAGCTGGTGGAACATCGCCAAACTGATCTGGAAGTATGGCCTGGCACCGATCAGAACCTATCGCCTAATGAAGTTCACGGTCAACAAGTTCCTCGACCTCTACGACGAGCCCATCTTCCCCTTCGAGTCCCTCACCCTAGCCACGGAAGCAGCAGGTCTGCTCAACACCACCGCCGTCTCCGGAGCATTCTTCCTCCAGAAGAATTCAATCTCCTCCGAGTTCTCCCGCGAAGTCATCCAAGCAAGCACTCGCGTCAACTACGGTCAGAACCTGCCTCTGATCCACGGTCTCGAGACCATGGTCTGCATGGCAACCGACGGTGCCATGTCCGTCGAAGGAGGAAACTGGCTGATCTTCGACGGAATGCTCAATCTATCCCACGCCGACGTCCGTCTAAACCACACCGTGACATCCATCGACTGGGCCCCCAACGGCCCATCAACCCTCACCTTCCAGACAAACACAAACAACCCATCCCCAGAGCAGCTTGACTTCGACGAAGTCGTCATCGCCGGCCCGTGGCAATTCGCCGACATCACCATCACCCCCCCACCCAAGAAAACCCCCGACGAGATCCCCTTCGTCAAACTCCACGTAACCCTCTTCTCCTCCCCCCACCGCATCTCCCCCAAATACTTCGGCCTGACCGACCCGGACGCCCACACCCCCGAAACCATCCTCACCACCCTTCCCCCCGGAACCGACCTCGGAAAGAGCGAAGCCGGCGTCGGCCCCGCCGGCTTCTGGAGCATCAGCACCCTGCGGACAGTCCCTGCCCCGGACCCAGCAGAGGGCAAGCACTACGTCTACAAGATCTTCTCCCCCGAACGACCAACCGCCAAGTTCATGAAATCCATCCTCGGCCTGGAGACCTCCGCGAGCGACTCCACTACCTCCATAGGCGACCTCCCCAAGCGAGACGTCAGCTGGTTCCACGAGAAGATCTGGCGTCCCTACCCTTTCGTCTACCCCCGCGTCACATTCGAGGACCCCCTTCTCGCCCCCCATATCTGGTATACGGGTGGCATTGAGAGTTTCATCTCGACAATGGAAACGAGCGCCTTGATGGGGCGAAACGTCGCGGCGTTGATGTCGCGCGAGTGGCAGGCCCAGAAGGAGAATGAGAATGAGGAGAAGGCCAGGGAGGGCTCGTCGTCTTCTGCGGATGATGAGATGAGGGTTGAGTTGTAGGTTTGCAAGTCGTAGGTAAATCAGTCTGTGGGTGGGTGGATCATCCCTTGCTTACTTGCTCTTTATCTTGATCTGTCTGTGTATTCCTCTTTCGTAATTGTCTTTCATTCTTTCTCCTTCCTTGTCATCCATCCTCCACTGGTGTCGGAGGGATGCGTTATCACTAAGTTATAGGGTTAAATTGCTCTGGGCGGCTAGGATAACCAACATAAGGTGATTGAGGCATGGCGGGTATGGGCTGTACCTATCTTTATCTTTCATATATTAATTAACAGACTGGACTGTGCCACGACTGTATTTAAAGGAATCTACCGTAAACTAGATCGGTATCCTACGGAGGAAAAAGCCATTTATGGAATCATTATCTTTGTATGTATTTAGTTCAGTGTACCTATGTATGATAGGTTGACAGATAGAACCCAACCAGGCGTGCAAGCCTCGCTGCAGCCACGAACTTTTCCTGCCCTGTTGAAGAAGTGTTGAAGAAAGCCATCCCAGTGCTATTGTTCATTCACATGCTCATGCATATCCATATCCCATGACCCGCGTAGTTGAAAAAGCAGACCTGTATAAACCCCTTAGAACGCACAGCCGACAATCCTTTTGGACGCAATGATGTTGAACTCGGAAACAAAACAATTAAAATCAAAAGTAACGTTATGGTATCATAGAGAAGTCACCCCAACGTCGTCGCTTAGACGGGGAGGGGGAAGGTGCTGGCCCACTCAGCGATCTCCTTGCGGAGGCTGATGATCTCGGGGACGGACTCGGAGGCGACCTTGGCCTTGAAGTCCTTGAGCTTGTTGGCCTCCTTGGGCAGCTCACCCTGGACCTTCTTGCAGAGGTCGATGGACTGGTCGATGTAGCGGGCAATGCGCTTGAAGTCCTCCTCACCCATACCACGGGTGGTCATGGCGGGGGCACCGATACGGATACCGCAGGGGGTCAGGGCAGACTTGTCACCGGGGATGGAGTTCTTGTTACAAGCAATGTTGATCTGCTCCAGAACAGCCTCGACACGAGCACCGTCCAGAGCCTTAGCGCGGAGGTCAACCAGGACCATGTGGCTGTCAGTGCCGTCGGAGACGAGCTTGTGGCCGAGGACCTTGAACTCGTTCTCCAGAGCCTTGGCGTTCTTGATGACCTGCTCCTGGTACTGCTTGAATTCGGGGGAAGCAGCCTGCTTGAGGGCAACAGCAAGGGCAGTGATGGTGTGGTTGTGGGGGCCACCCTGGTGACCGGGGAAGACGGAGAAGTTGATGGGGCCCTCGAGGTCATAGAGGACGTCCTTGCCGGTCTTGGCGTCAGTGCTGCGGACACCCTTGCGGAAGAAGATCATGGCACCACGGGGACCACGGAGAGACTTGTGGGTGGTGGTGGTGACAACATCGGCGTACTCGAAGGGGGAGGGGATGACACCAGCGGCAATCAGACCGGAGATGTGAGCCATGTCAACAACGAGGTAAGCGCCGACCTTGTCAGCGATCTTGCGCATACGCTGGTAGTCGATCAGGCGGCAGTAGGCGGAGGTACCGGCGACCAGGATCTTGGGGCGGTACATCTCAGCGTTGGCCTCGAGGGTATCGTAGTCAATGATACCGGTCTCCAGGTTGACACGGTAGGGGAAGGTCTCGAAGTAGGTAGAGACAGCGGAGATCCTGCGCAGATGGGTGTTAGTGATCGAGGCCACCGTTTCGCAACCAAAGCTGACAACTTACTTTCTGGCGGGGGTCTGGTAACCGTGGCTCAGATGGCCACCGTGGGGGAGGTCAAGACCCATGAGGCGGTCGTGGGGACGCATGAGGGCCTGGTAGACCTGCAGGTTGGCAGGGCTGCCAGAGAGGCACTGAACGTTGACACCCCACTTGTCGGAGTCCAGGCTGAAGGCCTTGAGGGCACGAGCCTGGCAGGTGAGCTCAATGGCATCGATGTGCTGGTTGCCACCGTAGTAGCGAGCACCGGGGTAACCCTCGGAGTACTTGTTGCTCATGGGAGAACCCAGAGCGTTGAAGACAGCGTGGGAGGTGAAGTTCTCCGAGGCGATCAGGACGATGGATTCACGCTGACGTTGGATCTCCTTCTCCTGTAGTGGCAAGGACAGTTAGGAGCGTTCCCGATGAGTCGGGGCAGGCATTGTCGAACGTACCATGATCTGGGCGATCTCGGGATCGCTCTCGATGAGAGTCTTCTCCATTTGCTGCACGGATGAGTCAGTGACCAGAACATCCCCAGAATTGGGAGCAGTGGAGGACTTACGTCCCGGTGGGCCGGGGAGAGAGCGTAGGTGGCCATTGTGAAGGATGGGGTGGTGGGGGGAAAGGGAGAAAGAGATGAAGTTGGAGGATGGAGAGGGAGGAGGAGAGAAGAAGAAGAGAAGAGAAGAGAGGAGGGAGAGGAAGTTAAAGGGACGGGGAGGGAAGGGAAGGCGGCGAGGAAAAGCTCAGGAATGGTGGGGGAGGGAAAAGATTGCCTCAGGATCGAAAAAAAAGAGGGCCCCGCAGAAAGCGAAAGTCCCGGCGAGTTTTGCGGTGCGAGTCACGGGGCGGTGGCCGCATCGGGGCCCGTGGACGACATCGGAGCTGCTCTCTGGCCCGCCGGCTCGGGGAAAGTCTGTCCTCGTCACGCCTCGTGTGTCGTCCTTATTACTAACGCCACCCGCTAGCTCTCGGCCTCCAATCCTGCGGCAGTATTAGTGCCAGCAATTACTCCGTCGAGATAACTGGGAGCGAAAGAAAAAAGTCAATTCCCGACAGAGTATGGCGTCCTGGCGTCCCAGTCTGTCGCCGAGGGGCGATCCATGGGTACAGCCCACTCCTTGTTGAAGCTCCATTATTATTACGGTATAGTTGTCACCGGGGGGCGTCTCCCAGCAACTCCTCGCGCCGACTGGGTTGCAGGACCTCCTCTTCCAGCGAATTGAATGATCACCACTGCACCGTCAAGTAGCATTAGTGGTCCTCTTCGGTATGCGTGGTCTCACGGGAGAAAAAGCAACCCTTGCAGTTACGTATGTGTATGTACAGAAGGTGATAGCCTGATCTGTCCAGACAGGAAGAACATGGTACAAATAGCATGAGTCATACATAGTAGCATTGGCCTCTACGGAGTAAATATCTAGATGATCGTCTTCAATCTTGACCTCCCGCGCCAGTTGATCAGCCCCAATATAATCACTGAATGAAGTGTAGCCTCCCAAGATACCCACATCCGGCAATGGGGACCGTGGTGGCCCAGGAGGGGTAGAGGTCCAGAGCTGCCTGCGAGCAACTTCCATCGGACAAACAACGCTCGGAGAGAATCCCTCTCGATGGCAGAGGGGTTCCCAATCTGCCCGCGAATCCAGTCCCCGTCCAGTTCCTCCTTGAAGCTTCGCGTGAAGTGTTTGAAAAGCTAAGATCCGTGGCATTTATTCCATGACCAGGTGGGAGACAGCATGAGCCCCGACCGGGCCATCTTTGTAAAAGCACCAACAAAATCCTCGGTAGGGCCATCAACCGCGGGCTTCCCGGCGACACATATGGACCTTTCATGATCCTGCTGCATCCCGAGTAAAGATGCCGTTGAGCAAGCCCTCGGACTTCCTCGACTACGACTCAGGTTGAAATCTTGTCATTCCCAGTATTAACCCAGCGAGAGTCTCCACAGTATATTCCGCCCCGCGATCAAAGCATGCTGTGCTCCTTTGGGGGTTTGAACGACAGAAGTGTGCTATCTTCAAGTTGTTTCCGTCGGCTTAACCGATCCCATCATGGAGGAATTAACCTCACAGATCCTGAGAACAACGTCTCCATCATCTGATGCTCGCGCCCTCAAGGTCCTCGAGCCTTGGGCTTCCCAGCCCTCTGGCCAAAGTCGGCAATGACCGATTTGAGCCTTGCAATCCGGTCCTCGAGGTTTCCGATTTCTTCTTCCTGCTCGGCGACAGAGCGGTCCACATCAGGCAAGTTTTCCACCACTGCATGCGCCTTTTGGATCCGGATCTTGATCGAGCTGACCTCGGTGGGGAGGTTCTTGATGTCGAGCGGCGCAGGGATGTTCGAGCCCAAGGCGGCGATCTCAGCTGCAGCCGAAACAGGGCCTGGGCCGGCGGAGGGAATGGTGAGGAGGACACCACCATGGGTACTGTGATTCTCAGACTGCTGCTGCTGCTGTTGTTGTTGCGATTGAGATTGACCCGGCGCGGCAGGGGCGGTCGCCCCGTTGGGATCTTCACCCGGTCTCACGTCATTCCCATTGTTTGACGGCGAGAGGAGGCGGAGAAGGAGACCATGCAGCGGCGGGATGATATCGAATGTCTGGGGAGAAGGGAAGGGGACCGCCTGGGGGGTGGTGGGCGCGTCCTTGATCATGGGAGTCTCAGGCACGGCGGATGGTTTCGGCAGAGGAGTGCCCATGGCGGCAGTGGGAGACCGGGAGGCCATTGCGGGAAGAGCAACTTAAGATTTGACGATTCCACTCCGGGGTTAGGAACAGGATGGGGACGTCTTGTTCCGAGAAGCCGGGGGGAGAAGCACAGGAGAGTAGGGAAGAGTCGGGAGAAAGGCGGAAGGCGGGAAGGCGGGAAGAGAAGCGCAGGCGAAGTGACGTCGGGCGGAGGAACACGAAAACCGTCCCAAAGCGTCACCGGGAAAAAAGAGCCCCTCCCCCTCCTCGTCCTCCCCGATCGAGCCACACGCCTTGTCACCTCTGTTTTCACCGGCCAACTCTTTTCTGCTTCTCCTCTTCTTCCTCCTCCTCCTCCTCCTCTCCCCTCCCCATCTTCTTCCTATTCGTAATCATCCCCCCATCCTTGGTGAGTTCTACTTATCTATTCCCCTTCGTCCATGCATCCCGTCTTCCTGAGAGCATATATATATACAGCTAGCTGGCTATCCTGGCCCCCCCCCCTCCACCAGTCCCGCAATTGACTCTCCCACTCCCTGCTAACCGACCTTTCCGCCATCTAGTATCTCGCAACCATGGCCAAGGTTGACCAGAAAGCCGTTCTGAGTAAGCTAGACCCTTCATCGCGAAACGCCATGGACCAATGCACTGATTCATCCCTCTGCCTCTAGTCGTCATCGATGGTTGGGGTGTCGCGGGCCCTAACTCCCGCCCCGACGGCGATGCCATCGCTGCCGCCGAGACCCCCTACATGTCTGGCTTCGCTGACCCCGAGTCCAAGACCGCTCAGGGCTACACCGAGCTCGATGCCTCCTCCCTCGCGGTCGGTCTGCCCGAGGGTCTCATGGGCAACAGTGAGGTCGGTCACCTGAACATCGGTGCCGGCCGTGTCGTCTGGCAGGACAGTGTCCGCATCGACCAGACCCTCAAGAAGGGTGAGCTGAACAAGGTCAACAGCATCGCCGCTTCCTTCAAGCGTGCCAAGGAGGGCAATGGCCGTCTGCACCTGCTGGGTCTGGTCTCGGACGGTGGTGTCCACTCCAACATCACCCATCTGGTTGGCCTGCTGAAGGTCGCCAAGGAGATGGAGATCCCCCAGGTCTTCATCCACTTCTTCGGTGATGGTCGTGACACTGAGCCCAAGAGCGCCACCACGTACATGCAGCAGCTACTTGACCACACCAAGGAAATCGGTATCGGCGAGATCGCTACCGTGGTCGGTCGTTACTGGGCCATGGACCGCGACAAGCGCTGGGACCGGGTTGAGGTCGCCATGAACGGTATCGTCAAGGGCGAGGGCGAGGAGAGCTCTGACCCTCTCGCAACTATCAAGGAGCGCTACGAGAAGAAGGAGACCGATGAGTTTTTGAAGCCCATCATTGTTGGCGGCAAGGACCGCCGGGTGCAGGGTATGGCTGTCTCTCCTGTTTCGCGTTCAAGGAAGTCAACCGCTCGACTACTGACAAGATACTATAGACAACGACACCCTCTTCTTCTTCAACTACCGTTCCGACCGTGTCCGTGAGATCACCCAGCTGCTGGGCGACTACGACCGCTCCCCCAAGGCCGACTTCCCCTACCCCAAGGATATCCACATCACTACCATGACCCAGTACAAGACCGACTACACTTTCCCCGTCGCTTTCCCCCCTCAGCACATGGGTAACGTGCTGGCTGAGTGGCTTGGCAAGAAGGACGTGAAGCAGTGCCACGTTGCCGAGACCGAGAAGTACGCCCACGTCACTTTCTTCTTCAACGGTGGTGTGGAGAAACAGTTCCCCGGTGAAGTGCGCGACATGATCCCGTCGCCCCGGGTTGCCACCTACGACTTGGAGCCTAAGATGAGCGCCGCCAGCGTCGGTGACAAGACGGCCGAGCGCATTGGCGAGGGCACCTTCGAGTTCATCATGAACAACTTCGCTCCCCCCGACATGGTTGGCCACACCGGTGTCTACGAGGCTGCCATCCAGGGTGTTACTGCCACGGACAAGGCTATTGGTGCCATCTACGAGGCCTGCAAGAAGCACGGCTACGTCCTGTTCATCACTGCCGATCACGGGTAAGTGTCAATCCCTGCTCATCACCTACCTGCGTGTGGAAAGCACTAACATGGTCTCTTGTAGTAACGCCGAGGAGATGCTTACTGAGGAGGGTAACCCCAAGACCTCCCACACCACCAACAAGGTTCCTTTCGTGATGGCCAACGCCCCCGAGGGCTGGAGCCTCAAGAAGGAGGCGGGTGTTCTCGGAGACGTCGCCCCCACCCTTCTCGCTGCCATGGGCATCGAGCAGCCCGAGGAGATGTCCGGAAGCAGTCTTTTGGTCAAGGCATAGATTTAGCGTATAGAGAATATGTCATGTGTTGTGTGGATACGGTTCCGTTTATGAAGAAATGAATGATTATGGAGTCTACCCTGGGATGCAGTTTTGTTGCGACATAGAACAAGATTTTGATTTATTTCCATTCAGTTGCTCTGATCTCCTGTACAAACGTAGATTCACTGTGTCGTGAAGCTTCTTTGGGACGCATCCATTCTCGTCCTGTTGAGATAGGGAAATCACACTGCAGAGGCCACCATGATAGGCGGCCCAATTGGCTACATGACCTCAGTATGACCATATGAATAATTCGTAACAGCCACTAACAAGGGTATCTAAAAATCCCACAATCCTGCTGTGCAGGCCCAAAAGCCTCATGAATAGCCCCTCCATCTTAAGGTGCCACTCTTCCCATGTGGCCTCTTGCATGATTGCCTGGGGACGTCCATTGTCACTTGCGTACCCATCTGGTACTGGCTTCTTTCGACCCCGCTAGCACCGAGCCAGTCGACATTTCCATCCTAATCTGGAGATATAAGGCACCGACATCTATCAACGGTACGAATCGGAGTAAAGCGTCCGTCTAATCTCAAGCAGAAGCAGCCGCCGCTTGTTGCTGGACCTGGGTCTGGAACTGAACAATCTGCATGAAACCGTTAGAACAGACAGTTGACATGGTATGCGCGCTGGTGTGTTGGAGTTGAACTCACCTGAGCCCGCTTCTCGTCCGACTTGTTCTGGTTCTCCTCAATCTGTCCTTCGATTCGCTTGCTACAGAAGAGGTTAGCTCTTACTATACTCCAAGACCCAATTGAGGGTAGGCAGAGGGTCGTACATCTCCTTCTCAATGAACTCGAGACGTCCTTTCACGGCCATGATGGCTTCCTTCTTGTCCTGCTTCAACAGGACCGGCCCGATCTGCTTGAAGATGTTGGCATCGTCATCCAACGAGTCGAATTCCTTCTGAACACCCAGGTTTTCTTGTTCTTGCGACTCGAGCTTCTGGCGCGCTTCAACGAGGCCGTCGAGTTCTGAGAGATCATATGTCAGCAATTATGTACTTGCATCCATAGTACGTATAAGGTCCCGGAGCTGCTAAATGACGATCGATACCAGTGCAGCTCTTCCCAGAATCACGCTCAACGCAGAGAAAACCACATACCAGTCTGCAATGCCTGGAACTCCTCCGTCATAGCCTGCATCTGCTTCTGTGCGTCCGCCATGATGCCGTGGGGTCAAGAAGGAAATATCGATGGTGGTAGAGGAGGAGGAGGGAGCAGTGATGGTCGTCGGGGAAATGGGGGGATCGGAGGGGCAAAATGGAGCGGAGCGGCAGAAAACCAAAGACGGTAAACAAGGGCCGCCGCCCGCCTTTCGTGGCCGTTCGTCCTTCGTCTCCATTCCTCCATTCCTCCATCCCCCCCCGTCATTCTCTCGCCCAGAACCGACCTCAGAGTGCCCTCGGAACGACGCTGTCCGGCAGGAATTGGTCCTGCAACCTTGTATTGCCGCTGTTGAGCCCTGTCCGTGCGCAATCGACCCCCATCCCTCGTCCCCGAGAACGACCCAGGCAACCCGTCGTCATTCCCCCGCCTTTACCCTCATCCTTCCCTTCCTGCCCTGTTTCCGGCGTAGTCGTGACGGGCCCCGAATTAAACCACCTTCAACATGAGCAATACCGATTTCCTGGGGAGGGCGATTGACACGGTCAAGAAGGCCATCGAGAATGACAATGAGGGCGAGTACGAGAAGGCTTATCAGCTGTACTACTCCTCGCTGGAGTTGTTCATGCTGGCCCTGAAATGGGAGAAGAACCCCAAGTCCAAGGAGATGATCCGCGCAAAGACCGGCGAGTACATGGATCGCGCGGAGAAACTCAAGAACCACCTGGCCTCGCAGGATAATCGGAAAAAGCCGAGTGCTGTCGGTGCTAACGGCAAGGTGGCGCAGGGAAGTGGGAAGGGAGGGTACGTACCCATGCTATTTGACTTGGGTGTCCCTTGCCTTGACCATGAGCTGGCACATTATGTACTGATGCTTTGCGTTATAGGAAAGAGGATGAGGATGCTGAGGATGCCGACTCCAAGAAGCTACGAAACGCCCTTGCTGGCGCTATCTTGTCGGACAAGCCCAACGTGCAGTGGGAGGATGTCGCGGGTCTGGAGAGCGCAAAGGAGGCATTGAAGGAAGCAGTGATTCTACCCATCAAGTTCCCACACCTGTTTACCGGGAAACGACAACCTTGGAAGGGAATCCTGCTATATGGGCCCCCAGGTACCGGAAAGTCGTATCTCGCCAAGGCCGTTGCGACGGAAGCGAACAGCACATTCTTCAGTGTCAGCAGCAGTGACTTGGTCTCGAAGTGGATGGGTGAGAGTGAAAGGTACGGTCAATCTGGAGCCTCCTGCGCTCATAGTAGGGCTGAGAGCTAATGCGCCTTTACAGACTTGTCAAACAGCTCTTCAACATGGCGCGAGAGAACAAACCCGCAATTATCTTCATTGACGAAGTCGATGCCCTCTGCGGTCCTCGTGGAGAGGGCGAATCGGAGGCCTCGCGTCGTATCAAGACGGAATTGCTTGTTCAAATGGACGGTGTTGGCAAGGACTCGAAGGGCGTTCTGATCCTGGGCGCAACGAATATTCCCTGGCAGCTGGATGCAGCTATTCGTCGTCGATTCCAGCGGAGAGTTCATATCAGTCTCCCCGATATCAACGCGCGGATGAAGATGTTCATGCTGGCCGTCGGGTCAACACCGTGTGAACTGACGCAGGCCGACTACCGGTCCCTGGCCGAGATGAGCGAGGGCTACTCCGGTAGTGATATCAGCATTGCTGTTCAGGATGCACTGATGCAACCGATCCGAAAGATCCAAACAGCGACCCACTACAAGAAGGTAATTCCCCGGCCCGTCTCTCTGCGTTTTGACTCCAATTTCTGACTGGAAACCAGGTAATCCTGGACGGCGCCGAAAAGCTCACCCCCTGCTCGCCGGGCGACCAGGGCGCAATGGAGATGTCATGGACGACCGTGGAAGCAGAGCAGCTTTTAGAACCCCCTCTCATACTGAAAGACTTCATCAAGGCTGTCCGCAACTCACGGCCAACCGTCAGCCAGGAGGATCTCTCCCGAAACTCGGAATGGACCCAGGAGTTCGGCCTCGAGGGCGCCTAAACATTTTCCCACGGACTTCCCTTCCCCCACTTACTACTTATACACTATGCTACGAACCCGATAGAGTCAAGCTGCATCATTCCATCTTTTGTCCTTGTATGGGTTGGTTTGGTCTCCAGCATTTGATCTGTCGTTGAATTGGATGAACGAAAGGAACGAACGAACAACACGTGCTACTACTTCTATACATACGCGCCAGCTACCTATATCTGCCATTGCTCCCTTCTTCTTTTCTTCTTCTTCTTCTTCTTCTAGCCTCCAGCCAGCCTGCCAGCTAATTAAACCTCGCCTTTCTCATCTACCCCATTTCTGCTCACTTCTCTTTCTTTCATCCTTTCCCCCTTGATCCCTCTCACCCGTGTAAGGAAGATTTATCATCGTGCGGCAAGGCGAGGCGTTACAGCTCTTCGGTTGTTACCCTGTTACTTCATTACCTGGTGTGAATCTGCATTGAATTTAAATTTCTTCTTCACTTCTCCTATCTGTTTTGAAAGTAAGACTTGTTGGGATGGCAATGGGGGTGGTGGCGAGGGCGAGGGCGAAGAGTGGGAGAGCTATCTATCTATATACTAGCATTATCAGGCTTTGATTCTACACCCGTAATAGTACTTACCACTCACTACCTTGGAGAAGCCACCGCCGCTGCTCTTATATGATTACGGAGCTCTGGATAATTCATCAAAGGCTATTTTGTATTTAATTTGTATTTCTATTTGGTATCGATGCCTTGGAAATAAGTACTTCTAGTTTAAAAAGGTTCACAGCGGACGGAGTTGAGATTGAATTTCTGCTAGGTATAAAATAAACTATTCCAACCAAACCCGGAATATTACGGGAAAGAGCGACACAACTCACCACGTAGAATGGATAGATATACCCCACTACAAATATAGTACTTAACTTGAAAACCACACCGGCGAATAGATAGGTAGTAGTATGTAATAGTACTGGTAGAATCCCTGCAAAAAGCGACAAAACCAGGAAAGAAAGATTTTATCATAGTATTCAAATTTACCAAGGCAAAGTAAAGAATCTGTATCTCCAAATCAAGAAAGTCAGAAAGAAAGAAAGGAAGAAATAAAGACATCAATTGTTAGATCAGACAGGCACCGGTATCGCAAAACGTCTTGCAAAACGACCGAATACAGAAGCAATAGTGGGTAAGGAAGTGGGTAAGTAAGTGGGTCACTAGGTAGGTAAGTAGACGACCCTACCAGAAGACAGTTTTCACAAAAAAGGGCGGGCAGGGGCAGGGGCAAAGGCTAAAGCAAAGAATGTGCGTCGAAGGGGGAATAAGGGGGAAGGAAGGGGAAATTGAAGCAAAAAGCAAGCCCAGAGAATTAAGAAAGGGGGTTGAGTTGGGTTGGGTGACAGAGAAGAAAGAAATGAACACAATTTGGTATCAAGATCATGAACACGTGATTAGGTAGGACATTCTCGCGTCATAGGTGGGTGTGTTGGTTGTTCATGAGGTGAGCATTGGGCATTCGGCATTGGATCGTGGGGAAGTGGAATGATCGTAGATACTTGTAGATTGTAATAGTAGGAGCTGTTGTTGTTTAGATGATTTGGAGATAGTTGCTCGGCACCAGACCGGGTCGGCTCCGCGAAGTGGTGATCTCGGCTTCCCACCAGCCGTCGTCCTGGAGTCGGATCACGGAGAGGACGTCGCCTTTAGTGAATCCGAGTTCTTCGGGGATAGCTGCACCGTAGCTGTACATAGCTCGTGCTGTAAGGGGTAGGTTGGTTAGCTACGTCTCGGGGTTCAAGGGAGGTGGATAGTTTTATATATAGCTCACCGAAATGGAGGATGGGTCGACCATCGCGACTAAATTGTCTGCCGGGGTCGGCAACGGCCACGGTTCTGCTCCTGGATCTGCTCCTCACGCTGGCCGAATCGTCGTAGTAGGACATTGGTCTGCCGCTGCCACGTCGAGAGCCGTAGCTGTCACGACTGCCAGAGTACATGTCAGGTTGGCCCGACAGCTGAAGCTCCATCCCGCCAGCGCTCGAAGGCCGAGCCTGTTGCCTGAATTGGGGCTGCGGCGAGACAGCTCGAGGCATGGAGGCCTGGGGCTGTCTAAACTGCGGCGGCTGTGGGGACACGGCTCGCGGCGCCATGGTGGGGGATTGTCTGTATTGAGGCTGGGGAGAGACGGCCCGCGGCATAGTGTTGGCAGATCCTCGCCTGGAGGCCGTATCCATGGGGCGCTGAGGAGGAGTCGAGACAGTTGGAGACTGGCTGTACCGGTTGTTCATGCTGTTTGACTGGTACGTGCTTGGACTGGGGCTCGCCGCTCTGCTATACTGGCCCATGCGCGTGTCCACCCGAGGGCTGACGTGGGGACTTGCACTGCGTCCTGGGGCAGGCGATCGAGCTCGAGGAATTTCCTGGGACTGTGCGCTGGTCCGGCTTGACATGGACGGGGGCTTACTCGAACCGCGCATCCTGCTCTGGGTCTGACCGGTGTACCTTTGCGTGGTTTTCTGCATCTGGGCCGACGTGAAGGCGGGCTGCGGCGCATCGAGGCGTTTCAGCGATGTATCGTTATAAGCTGGAGGTGGTGTGGCCACAGAGCCGGGGGTAGGCACCGAGGGCACCGGTGTAGCAATGCCATGGTATCTGTCGGCAGACACTCGGGTGGCTGACTGCTTCCCGGCCCCCTTCAGGTCCGCTAAAGCGCGCGCGATGGGATCCAGTTCTCCTTCCTGGGCCACCTGGGCCTGGGAACCCTTCTTGCTATCCTTGTCTGGGGACTCCACGTCGAACACGTTGTTTCCGACATTGAGTTGGAAGTTTGCCCGAGGATCCACAGGCTCAGGGCTTCCTGACAACCGACCAGCTGGAGGGGCAGACACTGGCTGCTGGGGCTGGATGGCCTTTGTTGGGCTACTTTGCTTTGAAGGTGAATCCCAGGTGCTGCGAGACGGGGTTTGAGATGGGCCTGAGTTGCGGTCTTTGTCATGGCGACTCTTGCGACGGAAAGGACTATTGCTGAAGAATGCGCTCCTCTTCTTCTGAACTTGCTTATCTCCGCCAATACCTGGAAGGGCCACACCGTTTGTCGGCTTGGTGGGAGACTGTCTGGCACTTACTGGCTCTTGACTGGACATCGAAGTTGGGTTGGAAACCTCACTCTGAGAATCACGGCTTGATGGTCGATAGGCGCTGTTTGTTCCCGAGCTACGCTCCGAAGGAGGACCCGTTCTGCAAAACATCGTCATTCCATCTGTCGGGTATGCGTTATGAGGTATCTTTGTAATCTCGCCATGTTGATTGGGGTCATAATTTGGTGGAAGCTGGCCACCACGGCGGAGATCCAAGGGGGCGGGATGTTGCATAGGTTGCTGCATCGGCTGTGACATGGGCTGCTGCATAGGAGCCTGCATCACCGGCATTTGCACGGTCTGATAGACTGGCTGCTGTGGAGGCTGTTGCATCGGTGGCTGAGGTGGCTTTTGCGGAGTGACTGTCGCTTCCCTGCTGGAAGGGTTCGAATGCTCATTGACCTTGGCCACAATCTCGGCATCCGGGTCGCTAATCGGCTCATGAGATGAAGGCTGTGGGGATGAAGTGCGGTATGCTGGGTTTATGGTGCGCTGAAATTGGGCTACTGAATACCCATCCTCTTCGGATACTTCCGAGCTCGTATCATTGATATCTCCTCGACAAAAATTGATGAATCGGGGTGGATCAGGGATGTCTTGACCGGTTCCCTTCTCTTTGATGAAAAAGATAATGTCCTTTTCAACCTCGCAGTCCTCCAGTGACAGACGGACCTTCTCACAGGACTAACAATAGATCAGTTATGATTCAGTACTTGTATGGCATTGGACATACCGCATCGTCGCTCACGCAAACAGTCGATGCAATATTTGCGTACGTCCACAGGCTGCTTTTCGTAAAGTCGAGTCTTTCCTCCTCGAGGTCTTGGAATTTCTGGGGCAAATCATCAGTATCTTTGTATCCACGGAAGGGCACGGGATATCGTTACTCAAACATACATCGCAAGCTGACTTCCACTCCTTGTTCCAACGTCCGGTAGTCTCCTCCAGAACCTTGATCGCTGCTTCGTATTCACTGCTGCTAGATGCAAGCTGTATCTGTGTTTTTTCCAACTTCGCCTTGTTCTTCCGCTCTTCGTGGCCCATGACCATATGTCCTTGTGCAAGATAGCCCTTGATTCTTAAGCAGTCTTGTTCATATCGATCCCGGGTCTGCAATTCATTTAGCATACTCCGTCTCACCCCCCCCCCCCCCCCCCCCCCACGAGACCGACACCACATACCTTGTTCACCGTCTGGGTCTGTTGAATCTTCGTTTTCAGTAAACGCTCAATCCCGTTCTGTATGATCTTCCTCCGCTCCTTTGAGCCACCCGCAAAGGCTACCAATGGTTCCTCCAGCTCCCTCTTCATCTGACCAGCAATTGCTGCATGGGCCTTCGCAATGGCTTCGGTTTCCCCGCGGACGGTATCGAATGATGTGCGAAGAGAACCTATCTCGGTGGACCCCAAGGGCTTGCGACACAATGCCAAAAGCTTCCGCGCGTACTCGTCTTCGATGGCGCCTCGAACTGTCAAAGATGGTAAGCCCCAAGCCCATCTGGAGGACTGCGTCGAGGGTCGGAGGACATACTGCTGTAGAAGGTCTTCAACTCATCGCAAGACACCTTGGAAGTATGCATTCGATCCAACATCGGCCCAACACCCGCATCCTCCTTCCCCCAAAAATTATTGGCAACTATGGAGACGGAGGCGTTAGCTTGACACGAGGCGTAGCGATCCACGGGCACGAGGGACTATACACGACATGGCCACGGTTGGCCCATCTGCAACCGTTCCTGGCATTGTGGCGGATTATAGTCCGGTACGAGTGTCGAGCGTCGACCAGCGTGTGCTCATGAGATTATTCGTATCAAGGGATAAGGCCCAGGACAAAGAAAAGGCAGAGGCAACGGTAGATGAGGCGCCGTGCAATCAGTCAATCAATCCAGGAACGCAGGAAACGCCACGGCAGCTGGGTTGGCGATGGAACGAGGACGAGACGGAGACCACGAAGTCCGTGGAGAACAAAGTGAAGGACTAGAATCCACGGAAGGAATGGACAGAGCAGTCAGTCGGTACGATTGAGCTGGCTCTGGGTGGAGTTGGCCACAAGCTTGGCTGTGGAATGGAAGCTGGCGGCCGGGCTGCCATGTTTACGCGGGCGTGTCTCACGGGGCAACCGGCGGTCTGGCTTATCACGAGGCCGAGTCAGCCACTCTCTACAATTATACTCCGTACATTCTCAATGACGGAGGTGTATGTCCTGTCCTGTTCACGTTCCACCTCGCTTGGTGTCATGATGGACTGACAGCTGGCCCATCCCCGTTCTGCTCTTCTGCTTTGTGGGGTTGTTGTTCCTTCTGCTCGTGATGACTAGATAGAGCGGAGTACTTATCCTGTGGTTCCTTGGTGCAAGCTGTGGATCGAGTCGAATACGACAGCTACACAGTATATCATGCACTCATTGCTTTACTCTCCGTCTGTACTGTGTCGTGGAACGGCGCTATTGCTTTCGCACGGTATCTCTCTTCTCTTGTCATGCCAGTTGACTGTATTATGTAGGACCAGAATATTAAGTAAGTCCTCCGTACCATGTACTAGTTGCCTACCTAGTCCTGCGACATTCTGCATAGGTACTGGGTACCTCCGTAGTACTCCATCCGATACTACTGACTATAACTGAGCCGGGATGTACTTCCTACTACTCCGTACCATCAGAGCCCGTGCTCCCCTCACGCCGCACCTGCACCTGGATCGCTCTGCCGGGAAATGCCGCCCGATGACTCTGGTGTTACGTAAGCCATCGCACTGGCCCGCCGCCAGGCCTCACGTGCCGGGGTCCCCCCTCCCCAGCTGCACTTGTTGAATGCAGGACCATCCATGGCAGCTCGATTCCGGAGATCTCCTACAGTTCGTGCCTCTCGATCTAGTCCTTGTCTCCAATTCCACCCTTCTTCTGTTCAGTCACTGCCCTGAATTTGCTCCCTATCTTATCCCCCTCCCTCCCCCTTCCCTTTCCCCTCGCCCTGGGTCATCCTTTCTGTCCTCCTGTGTGTTCGGGCCCCCACGAGACCAGACCCGGCTCGCTGCCAAGTTAGCCTCACTTGGGCTCTTCAAGCCAAAGAGGCGGTAGCCTAAGGCCGGCTAGTGTGGACTCCTCAGGCATCGCAACCCGCCGTCCACTCATCCTCGCTTTCTCTGCCCGTCATTCACCACCCATCGGAACTTCCCATCCTGTGCCACGAAGCAACATCCTTTTCCAACCCCCAACGGTCTCTGCTCGCCGCTACCAGAATCCGTCGATCTGTTGCACGTCACAATTGTTCCCATCATTATCGACTCTATCTGATCGTCTATTTGGTTACGAATAATAAAAATTTGTCGCTCGCCTTCAGATCAAATGATCGCGTCTCCTAGATGACCTTCCCTCCCCCTCCTCCTTCCTCCCAATCGTCGATTGCTTCTGGCACCGATAAGTCCTCTTCGACCAGACCGGCAAGGTCACAGCAATCTCCCTGGGGTCCGTCCGTGTCCCAGTCCAGTGTTCGGCGTGGGTTGACTCCACTTGCGACCAACAACCTCACCTCCCTCTCCTCAGCTTCCCGAGGGCCACCACAGTCCAGCAGCCCTGGCCCAGGTGGTGCGACCTCCTCCCCTCTCACTTCCTCCTTCTCCGCCGTTCTGAGCTCCGCCAGGGGCCTCCCAGTTGGCCGCAACGTGCCCTCGCCGGCCTCCACCCCCTCTCCGTTCGCCTCCTTCCAATCTGGCTCGCAACAGAACCAGCAACCCGGGCAGTCTCTCTCCTCGCCCAAATTTAGAGCTCACACCCCGTCGTCAGGGTCACATCTGGCTTCCGCAGCGGGTTCTGTCGCGGGTGGAGGAGGCTCCGGGGGAGGCGGAGGTGGGACGGGATCTTCCAGAGGCGCCACCTTCTCTCCGTTGTTGTCCGGTACAACTGTGAATTCACCTACGGGATTTCCTTCTGACAAGCCGGGCTCCGCAGCTTCAGGTGCTGCAGCTCACGCCAGCCAGTCTTCATTAACGAAGATATCCATCGCCCAGGTCTTCCTTCTCCTGGATTCCATTACGGAGAAAGAGGGTAGAGAAAAGTGGGAGACCAAAGCCGCTCAGATTCACAAGGTAAGACTGCCTCAGTTAACGGACAAAGCGCCACCAGTGCCGCACGACCGGCGATCTAACTCTCTTCTAGCTTGTTGCGTCCAACGGAATGGAAGTCTTCTCTAAATACTTTCGACGCTTGCTCACGGGCAATGCCCCGCAGATCTTCCCTGGAGTCAACAAGTCTGTGGAAAATGCCGGCAACTACCCGCTCCTGGTTCAGGAGATGCAGAAAATATCCCAGGATATAGAACAGGCCCAGAAGATCGCAGAAACAGTGGACACCTCTGAAGGTGACATCTTCCGTGATTTTGATCTCTCTACGTTCTTGGACCATTTCAAGCTTGATCCTCTGGTGAAAGTTGCCCTGGCCTTGGCCTTCAAGACCGCAAACAAGTCAGACTTGCGCGCTAAAGGTGAGTCGCCCCCCCAGGTTCCCAAAAGCGCCCGCTAACAATTCTTGTCCACCCAGCTGATGCCATCATTTCTAATTCCATAACCCCGTTTCTGCAAAGCCTTGCGACCCCATCGGATGTCACTAAGGATTACAAGAATTCTTTCATTGGCATGACCATCGAGCGCTTCATATTGTACCCCCCTAGGAATTTCACCGACGATGTGAAAGGGAAATTGGTTTATGCAGCAAACTTGCGCTATTCGAAATTGGGAGTGGACATGCCATTTGAAATTGCCTCTGCCCTGCAAATGTTCAACTTTATCAACCCGAGATACACTCTTGTTCGCCAACTCCACTCACGAGGTCCGAAAGCAACGTCCAGCCCGGATGCCGTCACTGAAACAATCAATGCGACCGGCTCTGAATGCTGGAGTGAGGAGCATATTGCGAGTGCGCTGCTCTTCCTTGTCCTCTCGCAGTATTGGCGCGAATTCTCACTGGAGACTTTCCTCGGGGCTGTTCAGGCGCACTATGGCGAAAAGAGAATCAGTTGGCCCATTATCTTCCGCAACTTTGACCGCGAAGGCTTGAGGCTCGACGCTCGGCAATTCGTCAAGTTGTACACGGTTCTACTGGCTGCGGCCACAGATGACCCAAGCCTGGACGTGCAAAAGCTTTGGGGTGGAGATTGGGAGCATCGCGATACGCAGATGTCCTTCCTGGCAGCTTTTGTCTCTTCCAGAACAGATGTATCTCAGGTTCCTAATCTTCGCGCTACCTTCCCTACCGACTTTTTCGCCGACGGTCCTGAGCTCGTTCGCTTGCAGGGCGACCGCGCAGCGAAGTCGCCTCTCCGCTCTTTGGACGCCATCAGAGCTATATTCGATCTAGCATTGTTTTCTCAAGCGGCCTGGGCTGCTGCGGAGAGTCAGTCGCTGATCAAAGCTGTTGTTCAGTATGACCTGCCTGTTTTCCTCTGTTCAGCTCTATCTCTCCCTCAGCCATGGACCAGTGTCCAGCAGAACTTCGTTCTCCGGACCTTGATAGTCTTCATACTCAAGCAGGAGGAAGGCTACCACCTGGCGCTTCATGGAGCGTGGCATCAGGATCGTCAGTGGGTAGCAGAGCAGCTTTTCACGACTTTCACTCAGGATCCGACATCAACTGCTGGAATTTATGAACACGCTGTTGAGTTCAACTGGCTGGAGTATCTCCTTGGGTATACCAATGGCCTTGCTATGGATCTTGCCTGTTATGCACACCGTAAGGGTCCGTTTGACTTGGGGCAATGGGTTCGCAATGCCGCCCAGAAAGGCCCCATGGATATGGGAAGCCTTCTGTCGAAGTTTTTAAGGATTAAGGCGGAAGATGAGCTTCATGTGCAGAGAAAAGAACAGCCTGCACCTCAGATGGTTAGTCTCTCGGTCAAGACGGTCTATTCACTACTGTCGGTGCTCGAGGAATACGTCGGTGACCGCGAGAATCTTACCCCCGTGCAACGCATATGCATTCAGACCTACCCGCGACTCATTAACTACGGGGAAGGCTTCGACGATATCATAGATGCTAATGGCGAAAACGGCAATGCGTTACCCGAGACCGTGGACAAGCAAATGCAAGAGCTTTTCGGCAAGATGTACCACGAGGAACTATCGTTGAGGGAAATCCTCGAATTGATGAGAAGGTACAAGTCATCCCGCGAACCTGGTGAACAGGACCTGTTCGCTTGCATGGTCCACGGCCTCATCGATGAATACCATTGTTATCACGAGTATCCCCTAGAGGCTTTGACCAAAACAGCTGTCATGTTTGGTGGTATCATCAACTTCCGCCTTGTTGATGGCATCACCCTAAAGGTTGGCCTGGGTATGATCTTGGAGGCTGTGCGGGATCATGAAATGCATGATCCCATGTACAAGTTCGGTGTCGAAGCAATTGAGCAGTTGATCAATCGCCTCCCAGAATGGGCTGGCTTCTGTCATTTGCTCCTGCAGATTCCGACATTGCAAGGCACCACGATCTACCAGAAGGCCGAGGACGTCCTACGCGAGCAAGGAAGCCAAGTGAGAGACGAAGCTGGAAGAGTCGAGGCTATCTCCGCCCCAGCTCTGAATGGTACCGTTGATGAAATTGCACCTACCGATGGATCGACTCGTAAATTCATTTCCGTCCATGTCGACTCACCATTCCGACCAGATGTCTATATCGACCCCGACGAAGAAGTCCAGGACAAAATCCTATTCGTGTTGAACAACGTTTCGGAGCAGAACATCGACGAAAAGCTACGTGATCTACTTGATGTTCTCCGAGACCAACACCATCAGTGGTTTGCTTCTTATCTGGTGGAGGAGCGTGCGAAGCTGCAGCCAAACTTCCAGCAGCTATATCTCGATCTTCTCGACCGCATTAACGACAAGTTGTTATGGAGCGAGGTCCTGAGGGAAACTTATGCTAGCGTATCCAAACTCATCAACTCCGAGGCGACGATCAATTCTTCCACTGACCGTGGCCACTTAAAGAACCTCGGTGCATGGCTTGGCTCATTGACCATCGCAAAGGACAAGCCAATCAAACATAAGAACGTTTATTTCAAGGGACTTCTCTTGGAGGGCTTTGACAGCCAGCGCTTGACTATCGTGATTCCCTTCACTTGCAAAGTACTTGTTCAAGCTACGAAGTCTACTGTCTTCAATCCTCCCAACCCATGGCTGATGGATATCCTTGCGTTGTTGATGGAACTCTACCACTTCGCTGAGTTGAAGTTGAACCTGAAGTTCGAGATAGAAGTCCTGTGCAAAGACCTTGACCTCGATCACAAGAATATCGAGCCTTCCGTCATTATCCGAGACCGTTCTGCTCATATCGAGGATGCGCTGTCTACGGCCAACATTCCCGACGGTCTCGAAGCATTTGAGGATATGGCTCTCACCAGTATCAACCAAGGCATCCGTCACGAACGGCTATCCCCGGCTGCTATCATGTCGACACTCCCAAGCCTGGACAAGATCCTTGTGCTCCCGTCGTCCGCGAGCAGCATGGTCGACCCCAACGTTCTTCGGCAAATAGTACACAGCGCCGTCGAACGGGCTATTGCCGAGATCATTACACCGGTTGTGGAACGGTCTGTCACGATTGCTTCCATCTCCACCGTTCAATTAGTTTCGAAAGATTACGCGATGGAGCCCGACGAGGAAAGAGTGCGACATGCGGCTGGTACAATGGTCAGGCAACTTGCTGGTAGCTTGGCGCTTGTGACCTGCAAAGAGCCCCTCAAAGTAAGCATGACCAACTATATCCGGATGATACAGCAAGAGTACTCCGATCAGCCGATGCCTGAGGGTTTGATCCTGATGTGTGTCAACGATAATCTCGATGCCGCTTGCGGTATCGTCGAAAAGGCTGCGGAAGAAAAGTCTCTTCCGGAGATCGAGAAAGTCATTGAACCGCAACTAGAGGCTCGCCGGCGTCATCGGGCGGCCCGGCCTAATGAGCCATTCATCGATCCGTCTATGAACCGTTGGGGCCTTTTCATTCCCGAGCCGTATCGCCAAGCTGCAGGGGGTCTCAACAAAGAGCAATTGGCCATCTATGAGGAATTTGCTCGTCAGTCTCGAGGCCCGGCGGCTGCTCACGTTCAAAACGTCTCCACCGATTCCGGTCGACAGCTTCCAGACGTCCTCCAGGAACCGTATTCGCCTATCCCTAACCTCTCTACACCGGCTGAGCAGCCCGCCGTCCCTCACAGGACACCGCAAGCGCAGCAAGACACTCGGTTACAGCAGACTGGACTTGTGGGCGCACAAACTCAGCTCAACGGATTTCTCGAGGCCCAGAGCCCGCGGGATAAGGTAGAAACTATCATATCCGAGTTGCAGCAGGCGGCTCGAAGCGCCCCGGAAGAACGTGTGCGTGACCTTGGCAGAGAAAGCTCTGTTTTGCAGGAGTACAACCAAGCACTGCGCACTATTCTTGCCTCTCCAAACGGCGAAGAACTCGCAAGACTGACTTGCTTGAGGATATGCACGACTCTGTACTCCCAGGCCCCGAGCACGTTGGAGATTGAAGTGTTGGTACATCTGCTCGCCAAATTGTGTGACATGTCGACCCTGGTTGCTCGCTACACCTGGGCCGTACTGTCTGAAGTTGATGACGAACACATGTTTAACGTGCCCGTTACGGTCGCACTCATCGATGCTGGCCTACTAGATATCCGGCGCGTGGATATGATCTTGACCCGGCTTATCCTTCAGAAGAACACTGCCGCTTTGGAGGTTCTTTCCAGCCTGATGGACCGCGTTCTTTTCAGCGAAGAACCTTCCGCACTGAGGTCAGACTTCTCAGGCAGCCTTGAGGCCATGAGCCAATGGCTTGCCGAAGACTCGGATGTTTCCGTCGCCAATGACATTATCCGCAAACTACGTGAATCTGGGATTCCCGAGGTCGTCAACCCACTTCTCACTGACAAGGCCCGGTCTAAGCGGGACCAAATGGAGTATATCTTCAGTGAATGGATTGGAATTTACAAGGCCCCCGGTGCTATTGACCGCACCTACTACTCCTTCCTGAAAGACCTACACCAGCGACAGGTCATGGACAACCAGGAAGACTCGGCCCTCTTCTTCCGTCTCAGCATTGATATCTCAGTTGCTATGTTCGACCACGAGTCGCAGAACCCTAGTGGCAGTTTGGACGAGGCGTTCCTCTATATTGACGCCCTCGCCAAGCTGGTGGTTTTGCTAGTCAAATTCCAAGGCGAATCCACAGGAGCTGCAAAGACAAGCAAGGCCGCCTTCTTCAACTCTATCCTGTCTTTGCTTGTGCTCGTCCTAAACCATCATCACGTCATGAGGGGCGAGGCCTTCAACCAGCGCGTCTTCTTCAGACTATTCTCCACCATTCTCTGCGAATACTCCATGAATGAGCTCCAGAATAGCGACCAACATCAGGACATGATGTTCGCCTTCGCAAACAAGTTCTTGTCTCTTCAGCCTAAGTACTGCCCGGGCTTTGTTTACGGATGGCTCTCCTTGGTCTCTCACAGATTCTTCATGTCCGGCATGCTGAATATGCCGGAGCGAGCGGGCTGGGGACCATACTGCGAGATCATGCAGGCTCTGCTTTCGTACATCGGCGAGCAGCTCAAGCCGGTCAACATCAGTTACGTTGCCAAGGATCTGTACAAGGGTGTGCTCCGTATCTTGCTGATCTTACACCATGACTTCCCTGAGTTTGTGGCAGAGAACCACTTTCAGTTCTGCAATGTCATCCCCGCTCATTGCGCCCAGCTTCGCAATCTTGTTCTGAGCGCCTATCCGTCATCCTTCCACAAGCTTCCGGATCCGTTCCGGGAGGGTCTCAAGGTCGAACGTCTCGAAGAGATGCGCGAAGCCCCAAGAATCGCCGGCGATACCACTGGCCCGTTGAATGAAGCCAACATCAAGAGTGTCGTTGACGATGCACTTCAAAGCAACAATGCGTCGGAGGCATTCGTTGAGCAAATCTGCGAAGCAGTGTACAACCCTGTCACCAAGGACACTGGTCTTTTCTACACAGCGATCAATGTCAATGTGGTGCTATTGAACGCGCTTGTACTCTATGTTGGACAAAACGCCGTCTCCGTGAACGCGTCCAAGGGCAACATTCGCGCGGCCTTTGATAACTCCCCTCACTCGGCCCTCTTGGAGAAGCTCGCAAAGGCTCTACAGCCGGAGGCGCGCTACTACCTGCTGAGTGCGATGGCAAACCAGCTCAGATACCCGAACAGCCACACGTACTTCTTCAGCTTCGCCATCCTCCGTCTCTTCGGCGCCGATCACACCGAGCAGGATGAGTCCGATATCCGCCAGCAAATCATCCGAGTGCTTCTCGAACGGCTCATTGTGCACCGCCCCCACCCCTGGGGACTCATCATCACCCTGCAGGAGCTGCTGCAGAACCGGAGCTACACCTTCTTCCGTCTCCCGTTCATTCAGGCTGCGCCTGAGGTAAGTTTGCTCGCCTCCCCGGCTCTCTCCAGCGGTCGCTAACATGGCTGCTCCAGATCGGCCGTCTGTTCGATGCTCTCCTGCAGCACATCCAGCAGCAAAGCCCGCGGGCGATGCCCTGAGCACTCGCCGGGATATACTCTCTACTACCTTCTCCAACTATATTAATACGAAGTATTTGATCATGTCTCAATGCCTTGCATTCTGTTGAGATGACTGCCTGCCATGGTGTCTGGTCGATGCCGCTCATGACATGCAGCGCCAAAATCCGGGTCTTCACTGGGGTGTATGATTTGAATGGTTTCCTTTTCCGTTGGCATGTTGCACCGTTCTTCGTCGTTCTTCATTGTTTCGGTTGGGTTTCTGGGAGGGGTATGCATGCATATTAGGACGTGTCAGCATGGTCCATCGCTACATGGTGCTTATATCTTGTTCCTTTTTGCTTGTTTCTTACGCTTCATGTTGGTGTTTTCTTCTCTCTTCTAACTACCTCTATGGTGGTCTGTAACGATAAGCCGAGCCATAAAAACACGAGTCCACGAGAAATGTGCTGCAGTTCGTAAATCGTAAATAACCCATGTGTATAGGAAGGATATTGGTGTTGGTGTTGTATATTTTGTCCAGGGTCGGAGTCGGCGGGAATCTCCGCCGATCTGCGCCTGGCGGCCACCGGTGACGTCGACGCGATCCTGAATGTTGACCCCCCTTCACCACCACCGCACCGCACCCCCAATTGCCCCCCCCCCCTCCGCATCCACCCTGATACGATGGAATCCGGGTATGAGACCGGCGATGAGACTGAGAATGGCCGCAGTATGGCATCGAGGGCTATGGTGATTTTCTCTTTGCCCAATCCTTCCACCACCCATGGCGACAAGGACTAACGGACTTTCCCACCATACAGCACTCGGTGACAACAACTCTGGAACCCTTGGTATCTAGACGGGCGCAAAAGGCATATCTAGGGATTTTCCTCTTTCTCTTTACGGCCATTCTCATGATCTTCATCTCGACGGTTGCATATGGGATATTCTACTACCGGTTCATCCCGCAGGTCGGCCTGGAGCGCATTGTCCACCTGCAGTTTGGGTGAGTCGGACTTCGCGTCCAATCGCACCAAGTCTCTCATTCGATGACCATGCATACTAATCACTCTCTTTCCAATATCCACAGCGACGAATCCCCGTGGGGAATCGCATCCCTCGGGTCCGATCTGGTCTCCTCCCAGCCGTACGATGTGCAGGTGGAACTGGAACTACCACGCACCCCTGCGAACCTCGCCGCGGGAAACTTCATGCTCGACCTGACGCTTCTCTCGCGCCCGTCCACCTCCGCCGAGACAGGCCTGAATACCTCGGTGACAGCCCTCTCGCAGTCGCGCCGCCCTGCGATTCTTACCTACACGTCGCCGTTGGTAGACACCGCCAGCAAACTCTCGTTCATGCCCCTCTACGTCATTGGCTGGCAGCGCGAAGCCGAGAAATTACAGGTCCGCATGATGGAACGCGTCCAGTTTGCCCGCGGGTGGCGCAATATACCGGACAGCCTGCGCTTGGAGATCCACAGCTCGGAGAAGATGCAAGTGTACACGGCGAAAGTGATGTTTCGGGCGAGGTTTACTGGGTTACGGTATGGTTATCTTATGGGTCCTGTCCGGGTTGGTCTGCCATGCTAACAGGAAGAATAGCTGGGTGATGTATAACTGGAGACTCACGTCCTTCGTTGTCTTTGGGTGCATGTTTTGGAGCGTGTCTATGGTTTCGGCTGGTGTTGTGTGGACGTTCCTGGTTTTGCTGCTCAATGGGGGTGGCGAGAAGGCCGGGCCGGTGGTTAAGACGGAGAAGCGCAGGGAGACGCCCGTCAAGGAAGAGGATACGGATGAGCCGGTCTCGCCGTTGGAGACTCCTTTGGAGTCCTCCGTTAAACCACACCGAATTAAGAGGGAGGCAGAGTCCGAGGAGGAGGAGAAGAATAGAAGGGAAGAGGAGGAGGATGATGATGATGATGATGATGATTACGATGGTGATGCAGGCGAGGATTCTGAAGAGGACCGAGGCGAAGGACCGTCGAGGGCCACAGCCGGGACTGGAGTGGAAAGCGCTCTGGCTCGGGGGGTGCAACGACGCCGAAGCCATCTGTTCCGGGACGACCCCTCGTAGAGGAAGGGCACATTGAGAGGATTTGTGTGAAGTGACTGGACTGTTATGACTGTGACTGTAGGCCTGAATAGGCGTGAATGACGAACAATTGGGCGCAAATGAGGAATGGGCGGGATATCGATAACTAACGGGGTGGGGACGAAACAAGGCGGGGGAAGAAGAAGAAGAAGTCGCAGTAGAAGTAGTTAGCAGTACTCTCTCTCTCTGCTGTCTGCCGCCCAACCACTCTTCCTCGCTGCCCCTCCTCTTCTCTCCTCTCCTCCTCTCTCCTCTTCTCCCCGCGTCTCTCTCTCTCTCTCCGTCTCTCTCTCTCTCTTCCTCTCCCTCTCTCTTTCCCCTCTCTCCCCCCCGCTTTCCTTCCAACTCCGATTATCCCCCCCCAATGCATATCTTAGTAAGGCTTGTCTCCCCTCACATTCTCTATCCACGCTAACGATCGCCCTCTGTGAGTGGTAGGTTGTCAACGACGACGGTCCGCCGTCACAACAGTCCTCCCCGTACATCCACTCCCTCGTGAAATCGCTGCAGTCCGCCGGTCACACCGTCTCCGTCGTCCTTCCCCACCAGCAGCGATCATGGATCGGTAAAGCTCACCTCATCGGCGCCGCCGTCAAGCCGACCTACTTCCGCCCGGGCACCCTCCACCAAGACGACGGAACCACGCACGAATACCCCCATGGCATGAACGAGGGCGACGATGAGAGCTACGACGGAGACGAATGGGTGCTGGTGAACTCCACGCCGGCCAGCTGCGTCCAGATTGGCCTGTACCACTACTTCGAAGACCGGGGGCCCATCGACCTCGTGGTGTCCGGTCCGAACTACGGCCGCAATACAACCGCGCTGTTCGCCATGTCGAGTGGAACGATCGGCGGGGCCATGGAGGCGGCTGTGTGCGGGAAACATGCCATTGCGCTGTCGTACGCCTTCAGCTCGCGGGACCACGATCCTATCGTCATTGCGGAGGCATCACGCCATTCGGTCCGCTTAATCGAATACCTGCAGAAGAACTGGGCCGAGGGGGTGGATCTGTATACCGTGAATGTTCCGTTGGAGCCCGGAGTTAGCGAGAGCAAGGTGGTCTACACAAAGATGCTCGATAACCGGTGGTCATCGGGCAGCTGCTTCAAGGCGGTCGATGCGTCGAGGCCAACGGATTCGCCAGAGAGGCAGGAGGAGAAGGTGCGACACCAGAGCGAGGTCAACGGGGTTGATGCGCCAGTGAAGAAGACTCGGATTCAACACAAGAACTTTGAGTGGGCGCCGAACTTCACGGACGTGTACAGAAGCGTCGATGAGGGTCCGCTAGGAAATGATGGCTGGACCGTGAAGGAGGGGATGACCAGGTATGTTGCATCTCTACCTGTTGGTGCATCTGTCCGACTCCGCTAACGCACCGCAGTGTTACGCCTCTGAGGGCCAATTTCATGCACACACCCGGCATCGAAGGGGAGATCAAGCTGTGAGTGGAACGTTGCTTGCTGAGTTTATGACGTGGTTGCATGTTGCATATGGCATAGATTTGCGCGTTTGTCAGATATACAAGCTAGTTGATGCTTTTTGCTATTCCTCCCCTTTGCTCGATTTCTCTGGTTTGCTCGTGATGGCCGGTGTTCTGATAGACCTATCTCGTGTAGACCGGATACGGATAATAATGAACAACCTGCACTCTACACTCTCGTGGACAGCGATGACCCATATGTCCAGCGCCTGATGGAGCGGGCCCTACAGCGTCGGCTGGGAGAGGGTCAATCTCGAGCCATCACCTCCCTGGACGACCTTCCGTCACGAACCACCCCGGTCTTCCAATATCGGGAATACGAACGACTCGAGTTCGAGCACATCATGGTGCACTCATCCACTTCGCTCGCCAACGCCTACATCATCCGCAAGGCCTTGATCCGCAAGCACTACCTCTCCAACACGGTGACCAACTGGGTGACCAAACACCCGGACAGCGTGCTCGCCAAGCACTTCAAATTCGCCTTCGACTTCGAGCTCGACTACGCCGAATTCCTCGACGACGCCCTCCTGGAGGCCTACGAGCTCCGCGAGAGCCTCGACAAGAACGAGACCGTCCCCGAGGAAGAGAAAGAATGGTGGATCCTCAAACCCGGGATGAGCGACCGCGGCCAAGGCATCCGACTCTTCAACAGCGAAGACGGACTCCGTGAGATCTTCGAGGAATGGGAAGTGCCCGACTCAGACAACGAGAGCGGATCGGAGCGCCCCGAACCCTCCGACACCGAAGACAACGACAATAACGACAACGGCGTCGTGACCTCTCAACTCCGCCACTTCATCGCGCAACCCTACATCGACCCCCCCTCCTGATCCCCTCCTCGCACAACCGCAAATTCCACATCCGCACCTACGTCCTCGCCGTCGGCTCACTGAAAGTCTACGTCTTCAAAGAGATGCTCGCCCTCTTCGCCGCCAAACCCTACTGCCCGCCCTGGGAAGACGAAGACGAAGTCAAAGACCTAGCCCGCCACCTCACCAACACCTGCTTCCAGGACGGCGGGAGCAGCAACGCCGAATCCGTGCGTCGCTTCTGGCAGCTCGAGGACTACATCCCCGGCCTGGGCGGCGCCTGGAAGGAGAACGTCTTCGAGCAGATCTGCGCCGTCACCGGCGAGATCTTCGAGGCCGCCGCCCGCGGCATGATGGTGCATTTCCAGACCCTGCCCAACGCGTTCGAGCTCTTCGGGGTCGACTTTCTGGTCGATAAGGCCGGCAATGCCTGGTTGCTGGAGCTCAATGCCTATCCGGATTTCGCGCAGACCGGCGAGGAGCTTAAGGAGATGGTTGTGGGGAGGTTGTTTGAGGAGACGGTCGATGTGGCGGTTAAGCCCTTCTTTGGGGTTGGTGGAGAGGAGGCCGTGAAGGGCACGGAGGGGTTGAGGTTGGTTAAGGATTTGGATTTGGGGAGGAAGAATTAGATAGAGTAGAGAGGGTTTGGTGGGTGGGTTTCTTGGTTTCTTGGTTGGCGTTGACTTTCTCTATTTCTCTCTCTCTCTCTCTCTATTATGATTGGGGATACGGTACGACTTACTACACTAGAGCTCATAAAAGTTAAAAGTTGGGAGTTGGATCGGGTGGTTGGGAAAAGAATCGCTGCTGGACTTGGTTTTTGATATTTATATTGAAAGAAAAAGAAAGGAATACATTACGAGGGAATCTACCTATCTATATACAGCCACAGTTGTGATCGAGTACCGTACTCCGTATATGCAGCGTAAATCACTAAATCACAACCACCCACTTAGCAACTGTACTTAGTCTCTGTCTCACCCAAATCTCTGCTTCGCCAATGTCTTCAACCACCCAATCGTCTTATCCTCCTTCTGCCTGTATTGGCGCAAGCGCTCCTCACGCTCCTCGGCGCGGGCGCGCATGATCTCCTCCTTGCGGATCTCGCGCTCGTTCTTCTTGCGCTGCTCCCTGGCGCGGGCGTTCTTCAGGGCGTCCAGGTCGTTCTCGCCGGATCCCATCAGCTCCTCCTCCGGCGCGGCCTCAGGCGACCCGCCGCGTTTGGCCTCCGCGAACGCCCGATTCGCCGCCGTCGCCTCCTGCCGTTTCTCCATGCGCCGTTCGTGCGTCCCCGGTTCTGCCCGCGGCGCTACCTCGTCCTGCATGTGGCGCACTTCGGCGCGGTGCGAGCGCAGTTCGCCCCGGTGGAGGCTGCGCGAGTCTTGCCGCGCCGCGAGGGCGTCTTCGGCTGCTTGTTCTGGTTTGTTTGTTGTTTGTTAGCCACGTACACGCGGAGACATACACAGAGAGACACAGCCCTAGCTGTGCAATTGGGTGGTAGGTATGTTAGCGTACCTTTCCGCAGTTCCAGATCCTGCATGGTGGGTATCGTCGGGCCGGATGAGAAGCCTCCTGTTCCACAGTGTCCGTGACCGTGACCCCCGGGGAGAACGGGGCCGTATTCATCGTCGTCGTCGTCGTCGTCGTTGTCTTCCGCATCAGGCCTATCTGACTGTCTCCCCACCGGTATAGTATCCTCAGCTGATTCGTTCTCCCGCTGTGTCTGCGCCTGCATCTCCGCAAGATTCTGTCGCGCCTTCTCCAGTGTACTCGGATCGTACCATCCCTCGGCCAGTTCTCCACGGTTCCTGTGATGTTAATTACTATTCATCATTATTCATTTCCGAGGAACTGTTCCCCTTCCCCATCCCTATCCCCATCTCCATATCACGTCCAGCCCAGCCCAGCCCAGCCCAGCCCAATAATAGACAAAGACATAGACAAAGACATAGCCAAAACAAAAGGAAAGAGATAGTTTTCAAAAGCAAAACCAGGATGCAGATAGACGGGGGGGAAAAGGGGGGGAAAAAGAACCTACCATTTCCCCACAAAGCTCTTCCACCGCCCCTTCAGCTCCTCCTCGGACAGATCGTCCAGAAAGATCCCCTTCTGGATATCCAGATACATATCAAACATGGGAGTGTAGTGCGCGAGGTCGCGTTTCCGGAGTTCGCGCGCTTGGAAGGGGAGGGTGATGGGTGCCGGGGGGGCGGCATGTTGCGTCGGTTGTTGGCTGCTGCGGTTCTTCTGGTCGCGGTGTTCGCGGTGCGCGCGGTGGCGGTCGTGGCGGTCTTGACGGTCGTGGTCGTGGTGGTGGTGATGGTGATGGTGTCTGGTGCGGTGTCTGTCTGGGCGGGTGGTGGTGGTGGTTGTGTTTGGGGAGCGCGAGCGCGAGCGCGAGCGGGTGCGGGAGTGGGAGTGGGAGTGGGAGTAAGAATGGGAGGTGCGATGAGGGTCGCGAGAGGACATCTTGGTTTCTGTGGTGGTGGTGGTGGTGGTGGTTGTGGTTGTGGTTGTGGCGGATTGGATTGGATTGGATTTGATGGAGGATGGAGGATGGAGGATGGACCGCGGAAGTGACGTCGGAGATCGTTCGGGATGCCAAGCTTTTGGGTTGTATCAACATTATTTTCTGATCAGTCAGCGATGAGAGAGATCTTTCACGGTGGGATTTTGTTCAACTGGACCAGTTACACGAGTCAATGTTTATTTTGTAGCATCCTGATCCACAGTGGAGCTTCTGCCTTAGTAGAATATCTATGGGTTTATAGTCTTTACCAGCAACTTTGCAACAAACAATACATTCCGTGCGTAATGTTCATTTTGAACACCCATTCTACTTACACTACAGTGACATGACAGGCGTGGACGTAACAAACACTGGTATTCAGTAATATGCTTAACTGGCCGGAGCGCTGGGCTCGGTGGCCGTGGCGGAGGAGTTGTCCGGAGAGGTGGTGGAGGCAGTGGAAGGTGAAGCAGTCTTGGACCGGTTGGCGGCCGCCATCTGCCAGGCAGGAATAGACGCGGACCGGCTGAACTGCGACAGAGGATTGTTGTTTCCCAGCGAGGTCGTGCTGGCGCTCGGGCTCGGCTGGGCGGGGGGAGGTGTTTGTTCAGGCAATGCCGAGGGCGCACCGTTGGTCGTGCCCGACGCAGCGGGGCTCGACTCCTCTACTGGCCGGGAAGCAGTCGCAGTAGGTAGACTCATACCGCTGAACCGTCCAGGAGTAGGAGAGCTAGCGCCGTTGCTACCACTGCCGAGTCTGTTGCCCAGCAAGACCTTCAAGCTCTTCAACTCGGAGCCCAGCTCCTTGAGCCGTGTCTCGTTACCTTCCCGAGCACCTTCCAGGGCCTTGGGAATGGCATCCTTCAGTGACTTGACTTCGTCGCTGATGCGACGAGTCTCATCGTCTCTTCGCCGGGAAGCATTCTTCATATCGGAAACCAGATTCTCTACCTCCCGAAGGGCAGCGTCCAGCCGCTCCGTGCGCGCCTCTTCTGCCGACTTCAGGGCCGCCGTATCTGTGGAGAGTTGGTCGATCAGGGCGAACGCGCGGTTGAATTCCTCGTCAATGTGTTCCTTGTCTTGCTCCAGCTGGGGCGGAGTTGGTGGTGCGATCAGGGGTGTAATGTAGCGCTTCCAAGTACGTCAATATAGATCCCCGCCGGACGACTTGACACACGGCAATGAGACACGAACCTTGGTGATAGAGTAGAGGCCATATCCTACTCCTCCCACAACTGTAGCCATAATGAACCAGTCACGCCAGTCCCGTTGGGGGGGCCTGCGCGATAACAGATTGATTAGTCTTTGTCACAAGCCGCGCACATACGAAACTCACTCTGGCGGAGGCTGCCATTGACCATACGGAGGATAGCCATAGCCCGGCCCAGGTGGGGGAAAGGGCCGGTAGGCAGCTTGTTGGGGGGCTGGTTGATAGCCAGACGATGAAGTTACGACTGCCGCCGCAGAGGGATCCTCGCCCGTCCTGGACAGAGCGACATCGATCTCTTCCTTCGTGAGGTTCTTGGACTGGAGGAATGCGACTCGCTTCTCAACCGGGGATGCGGCTACCGACGGGTCCTGGAGAACTGCCGGTGTGTTAGATAGATGAATCCGCGGGTCAACAGGATCGGGGGAGGGCTGAGCACGCACAAGTGACCTAGAATCAACGATAAGGGTCAGCTCCGACTCCGGTGCCAGCATCACGGGTAAAGGCAGACTGGCAGACGGGGCAGACTTACAGCAGAGGAGATAAGCTCCTCGCGAACCATGGTGGCGAGTTCCCCCGGAGCTCTGGAGCTGGCTGGGCGGAATCGGGTTGTATCAGGCACGAAGGGATATGTGCACGGAGAGGAATGGTGAGGGGAAGGCGATGAGGAGAGAGGGCGCAGAAGGGAGAGGAGAGGCGGAGGCAATCGACCGCATCGGCAGCGAGCGATGAACCTCGGAAGTAGAGATAGATACGATGTACGTCGTAATACTATTACAGATACAGAGTACTAACTAGTACATTGTAAATGGTTCAGCGCCACCAATTAGGGCAGGCGGTCTAAAAGCTATAATGATAATTACGCCGGTTTTGTAACGGGTTCGAGAGGTTCCCCAGAGTCTCGTGATCCTGACACCGCATCAGGTTAGCGCCTGCCGGTCCATCTGTTGTTCCCCTGTAGCACACCGCCTGCGGCTTCTGGGCGAAGTGGCATGTCTTGTTTACATCGCCCGCTCGGTTGCTACTGCCCTCCAAAACTCCCCCCCACCCCCCCGGTCTCCTATATTGCGGCCCGATCTCCAGCTTTGCGCTGCCTTCGGATTTGGCGTTTTTGGTAACCGGCGCATATCATTGGGATTGGATCTTGCTCTGGGATACTGCGCTTGTTTTATACCTGTCAGCCGCGATCGCGGCCTCACCGTCACCATGTCGCAAGACACAGGATTGTTCAGCATCAGACGCCCCCGAGAGGTATGTACCCTGGGCCCATCTCCTTTGACTTTCATCTCGCCCTCAGTCAGTTGCAATATAGGTGTACTTATTAACTTGACTAACGCAGTCGATGGCGCAGACTTTGGGGAGCGTCCAGAATTACTCGGCTCTTCCTCAACCCTCCTCGGCCCTGAAACGCACCAGTTCGATCGGCTACCAGAATCCACCCTTCACGTCCCAGCACACGCGCATGTCGCTTCTTAACTCCGCCAGTCGCCCTCAGCAGCCCAACTTCAAGCGCTCTTCATCTGGTGGAGGCTTGGGCCCCGACGCTGGCTTATCTTCGGTCAGGCGCTCTGCGTCGAGTAATGCTTTTCATGGGCCTAGTGTCGGGCGCCCGAGCTTTGCCCCAGGGTCGATGTCATCAAACACAGCGGCGCAGGGGCTGCAACGGCGGAGCAGCGTCTTTTCCAGACCGTCTGTGGGCGGCGCCATGGGTCACCAATCGTTCTTCACCCAGGTCCCCACGGTAGCCGGTGTCCCCAGGGACCCGCGACCTCTCCGGGACAGATCCTTCCAGGCGCGCATTGGACAAGAGCTCTTGGAATACATGACACACAACAACTTTGAATTAGAAATGAAGCATTCGTTGGGCCAGAACACGCTGAGGTCTCCGACGCAGAAAGACTTCAACTACATTTTCCAGTGGCTGTACCATCGCATTGACCCGGGCTACCGGTTCCAGAAGGCAATGGACGCAGAAGTGCCACCGATCCTCAAGCAACTGCGCTACCCATACGAGAAAGGAATCACCAAGTCACAGATTTCCGCGGTTGGAGGCCAAAACTGGCCCACCTTCCTCGGCATGCTACATTGGCTGATGCAACTGGCGCAGATGATGGACAGGTACATCCTTGGTGAATACGACGAAGCCTGTGCGGAGATGGGAGTGGACGTGTCGGGCGATCGCATTATCTTCCGCTTTCTCACGAGTGCCTACCACGACTGGCTACAAGGTGGTGAGGAAGAAGACGATGACATGGCCGAGAAACGACTAGAACCTCACATTGCCCTCATGGCTCAGGATTTTGAAAAGGGCAACGAAAAGTACGTGCAGGAAATGGAGGCTCTGGAAGCGGAGAACCGAACACTACGTGATCAGATTGAAGAGATGGAGAAGAACGCTCCCGATATGGCCAAGCTGGACAAGCACTTCCGAATCTTGGAGGACGACAAGAGGAAATTTGAGGACTACAACCAAAATGTCCAGGGAAAGATCGAAAAGTACGAGCATCGTATCAAGTTCTTGGATGATGAGCTCAAGAAGACGGAAGCAGACCTGCAGTCCGCCGAAGAAGAGCGATCCGGGCTTCAGGCGAGTGTCGACCAGCAAGGCCTGACCATTCAGGATATCGATCGCATGAATACCGAACGCGAACGCTTGCAGAAGAGTCTTGAGGATACAATTAACCGGTTGGAAGAGACGCACGCACGGGTTATGGCTAAAGAAGCCGAAGCCAGCCAAAAGCTCGAGGATCTAGAGGAGATCGTCAAGGCCTACAACACACTCGGTTATCAAAACAGCCTGATTCCTTCATCGGCTGTTAATGCTAAGGGTGACGAGTATGAACTTAGCCTGAACGTCAATGAAAGCAATTTCTCGGCGTCGCAAATCGGAGGTCTACCAAATCGGGTTTCTCCGGAGGGAGACCGACTGCTGGCAGAGCCGTTCACGGGCTACCACCCGGCGCATTTGCTGAACCTGGACCTTCGGGGCGTCGTGCGCAGCAACCTCCAGGCTCTTCGGAAGGACATCAACGAACGCCGGAAACAAGCCATTGACGACGACCTGGATCGGCGCAATTTGCTGGACAACATCAAAGAGGCAATGGATGAAAAGCGAAGCGAGGTTGAAGCTCTGGAGCATAAGCGACGCGCCGCAGAAGAGGAATTCGAACGCCTCAAAGAGATCACGACCACCCAGAAGCTTGCTTCGGATGCACAGATCGAGAAGATGGAGAAGGAGCTGGCTAAGATGCGGGCCACGTTGAGTGAGAGCGTTCAGTTGATGGAGCAACGCGAGATGAACACGAATATTGAATACGAACAGCTGGGGGTCCGGGCCAATGCGCTGCGAGAGGAGCTCCATAGCAACGTGGAAAGCATGCTGAACGATGTGATCCGCTTCAAAGTCCACGTTCAGAAGGGTCTCGAGGACTACGAGAGCTTCGTTGTCGATGAGGTCGAACAGGAGCTGGGGGGTGACATGCAGTTTGCGGATGAGGATGTTGAAATGACCGCTGAGGAGCTTTGAAGACAACGAAAACACAGCCGTGTGCTGCTTGATATCTCGCGAATTCCGAACGTCTTCTTGCTTCCTGCGCTATGTCCGTTCTTCGCATGACGATTGATGATTGCTGTAAGGGAGTTTGGGGTTGGGTTGTCTGGTATTGTCGGCGGGCATCCTTTAGTGGGCCGAGAAAGAAGCCTGTTTTGTTCCTCTGGGGAGACAATATTGGTCTCACGTCTTTGGTTCTCAGCTGGTGTCAGATGTCTATTGTCGAGGGTTTTTTTTTTTTTTGTTGAGTGTACAGAACCTGTGTCAGATTCTAGCCCTTTGCCATTATTCGTCGCCGTAGTGAAAAGCATATAGCCCGCCTCTGATTGGCCGCGCCGGCCCCGCTGAGTCAGCCGCCTCGCGATGCTTTTTCTCCCCAACGCTCGTCGAACTTCTTCCTCCGCAACGAATAATCCCTGGCGTTTCCGGCGCCTGCTCTTCGCTTTCGCTTGTCCGCCCAGCCCGTCCAGCTCAAGGAATGCAGAGCCTACTGCACGATTAGATGGATATGCGCCACAAGACGCCCGTCCGACCGTCATATCGAGCTTTGGATTTCCTTCACCCGCAGGTCTCACCCGCTACCTCCATCGTGTCATGAAAAGGTGCCTGCGCCCAACTCGTCTGCCGTGCCTGGACCAGGGGTCTCACGTGGTCCACGCCTCTCCCTCGATACTTCGTCGTCGCTCACTTCACGTCTCGCTTCGCACAGGGGTCTCAGGCCAGGGACCCTTCCCCGAAAGGCGACAATGGAGTCCCCACTTCTCCGCGGTGGCCGGTCCTCCGATTGATCGCCGGGTACTTCAAGACAACGTTAGGAAGAGGTCTCCGGTTCCTGAATCACAAAAGAACCACCCGGAGGCCTGGGTCTCATTATTGGAACAGTACCTGCCACGAACGCTGCGACGCGACGTTTCCGATCCGGTGCCGGACCCGGCATCCCCACAAGATGCACGATATCTTGTGGAGACCATCGAGCTGGCCACCTTGCTGATGCATGCGCGAGGATGGGGTCAGATAGATCTTCTGGTCCATCTCGGGTTTCGGTTGAACAATTGGCCCGCGGTACATTTCCTGATGAACCGGTTGCTTGATGGCGCGGATTCGCTCAAGGAGGTCACATTACCCCTGCGGCCATTGTCCAACTTTGACTGGTCCCTGGGATCTGGGCTTTCTCTTGATGATCTCACCTATTGGCCCGTCAATGAGGTCCTACGACCCTCACAAGTTTCCAGCGTGCCACAAACATCGGATATGACGAGCTTGGATGCCTTTACGGAGCGGCCATTCGCCCAGGATCACTCGAAGCGCTTTATGGCCGAAGTGTGGCAGAGCTTAGGGGCCATTGTACTGGAGGCTGCGGATGCCTCGCCAAACGAGTCGAACTTAGCAATGTCTTGCGTATTTCGGAACCTTGCTCGTTTACACCACTCCGGTGCTGTATCGGATAGGGTGTATAAGTACGTTCCTCCGGCCAGGTATCAGGCCAACTTTCGACCGCCAGGAATACATCTGCTTTCCGGCCATATCATGAATGTTCTGTCAGATGCCGCGTGGCTGGTGCACCAATCAGAGGTCGCAGCCCAAGCAAAGTCTGCAGGCGTGGATTCACCATACCTCCCCTTCAAGATGGGTGTTCGAGAACTTGGGCCCGAGATCTGGTTGGAGTTGATTCTTTGGTGCTGTGTGGAACATGGCCATGTCAATGAGGGAGCATGGTTAGTTGGCCAGATGGAAACTCGGACCGGTGATCAAGCTTGGAAATTCCAGAGCTGGAGACCCATTCTCGATGACACCAGGTCAGTATGGAAAACCAAAATCGAACATGAAGAAGTCTGGAGGCAGCATGAAGATTTTGAGCGCCCTTCACTACTGCCAAAGCGTCTTAATCCTGCGCCCTTCCACGGATTGGGGGAACGAACCATCAGCTTAGAAGTGGCGTCGGCATTACTGGATAACCTTCCCAATCATGTGTATCTAGGCCTTGGGTTCCGTGGTACCTCACCAAGAGCGCTTCTGCGCCATGCGTCTTGCCTCAAACAGGCCATGTCTCCATCAACAGCCGGTGGAAGCCTGCTACGGACTCATAGAGCGTCGAATTGGTTCACCGTGCGGGTTGTGGAATCAGGCGGTCTGGATCCGGTGGCTGACCCCGGCATGTTTGACGATTTCCTTCGAGGCACGTCGTGCGTTGTCCCGCCTTGGGATGCAGATCAGCCCCAAGTCGATGAGGACGGCCTGGCACGGTTGAGCCCGGCACGGCTCTACGATGAGACCTCTGCCTTGGTTGGCCTGATCGAGTACAATGTCAGGTTTTTTTCGTCGCGACGCCTCTGCGGTGACGCTGTGAACGCATTTGTTTGGCTCCAATCCATCGTCGACACCGGCAAAATGAACAACATCAACGCGTTCTTCTCATCGCAGGTAGAGCGGCCTGACATCCCCATCCCTACCTTCAATCCGCGCAACTTGGCTGCCTTAAAACCACTTGAAACATCCATGCCGCAACTGTCCGTCATCACCCTGGCCGAACTGCTCGACCTGATCTCCACATCGCGAGCGTTTGTGTTTGGTGACTGGCTCTTGTTCTCGATTGACGCTGATGGACCTTCGGTTCCACCCAGCGCATACGGCAATCAAGCCCTCGCTCCGTCCATCATCCGCTATGCCGCCGCGACCAAAGATACACAACTCTACGACGCAGTCGTCCGCTCACTTTCTCAACCTATCTCGTTAAACACCCACCGAGCTCTCCTCAACTACCGCATTGTAATGCACGAGTGGGACCATGTAACCATGATGCTCGAGTTTATCCGGGACTACCGCGCCAAATCCTGGGGCCACAGCAACATCACCGCACTGGCCGCTGAGATCATCCGTATGGACCACGCCATCAATCAACAGACTGACCCCTCAACAGTTCCGGAAAAGGATATTCTATCGTTCATCCAAGCAAAAAATCTCCTCCGCCGTTTCCTGGCTGGCGAATACAACGAACACGAGTGGCTCGCAAACGCCCATTATCAGGAACGCACCCTCGCCGGCTTCCACCGCATATTCCTCTCTATCCCCGGTGCCCTCCAAGGCATTGCTCAATCTGTCAACCTTCAGTGCAAAGCCCACCGTCGAAGCAAGTCCCCCTATATCCCGGCAACCGCTTTCCACGCCCTCCTCTCCGCCGTCGTCGATACGCAAGGCAGCGCCGCAGGCACACGCCTCTGGGTCGACCTGTGTCTTGACATGAAGTCTCCAGCCACTCTTCGTCTCCAAGAAGGCGGTATCGTGCGCATGTTTCTGAGGGAGGAACGGAATCTATTGAGGGGCGACCCGCACTTCGACGCCGCATACTTCAAGCAAATACAGAAGAAAAGCACCATTGCTAACCCCAATACCGTCCGGATCATTGCTCGGGCGGCGGTAAAAGAATACGAGGAGGAGAATGAGCGATTCAAGTTCGATGCCGCCTTCGTCCGCGGCCCTGCGCTGCAAGTCCTCATATTCTGCATCTGGAGATTCAGGTGCTTTAATATGCGTCAGCGAGAAATCAACCGAGAAGTCGGAGGTCTCCTCTATAAGACGATACATTTTCAAAGTAAGATGAGGAAGATATTCAAGAGATTGGCGAGGTGGAGAACCTTCAGACCTATCTTTGCGCCACAAAGGCCTAGAACATCTCGACTGCGCAATATCAGCAGAAGGCCCGTCAGAAGGGCCATCATGAGAAGGCCCGTCATGAGAAGAGCCATGTGGATACCCCGAAGGAGCGCCACAAAAATCGACAGTGCGCTGCCTCCCCCGGCTTCTTCCCCGGCTTCTCCCCCTGAGTCCCTGAACCATCTGCTCCGGGGGCGGTTCACTAAAGTGCGATACTCAGTATCCGGCGAATGATTTTTGCTGTCTGCCCTGCACCCCCCTTCATTCCCCATGATTCCCCGCGCATGCTGGTTCCTTAGTGCTGGTTCCGTGGACGCTGGTGCTTGTATATATCTATATATGTAACTATATTAGACAACATCTTTGTATTATATCTCACTCTATCAACTCGCGTCGAATCAAAGAGTGAATGAGTATACATCATCAAACAGCCATGGTTGTCCACAATTTTACAGTAGTATCTATCTATCTATCTATCTATCTATCTATCTATCTATCTATCTATCTATCTATCTATCTATCTATCACCCATCCCTCTCTCTCTCCAGTAAAAAGTAAACTGAATACGGAGTATACTCAATCTCAACCAAGGACTCTAGAGACCTTGCTCAGTGCATAGATAGTACCACCGCTTCAAGAATCAAATAGAAGAGAAGAGAACCCCTCCACTCCCCATTCCATTCAAACAACCGACCCTCACCGGCCCAAAACCTTGAACACTCAGCACATTCATTCTTCCTGGAGCGTCTGTTCAACATCACATCACACACATCACATCACATCACATGACCTAACATGCCCAATCAGTCACAGTGTCAAATAGTAGTTACGTCCTCCGTACAGTTTGCTCAGGATATGTTTTCCAGAGCGGAGCGTCTGTCCGTTCAGAGGAAAATCACATGGCATTTGAACACTCCCACGGGGTAATTTTCCGGGAGCGTTTTGTTCGGAAATCGGAATTCACCTCGCCAGATCGTATATTTGAACGCTCTTGCTCGGGAGAGTAGTATTATAGCAGGACTTCTTTCGGTCAGCCCCGGCATGTGAGAGCGCAAAAGCAGGTTAGCACTGCCCGGCGCTATTCTGTATTCCAGGCACCCTCCGCGGCCGGCGAGATTGGATGGCAGTTGGTGGACGGGTATAGAAGAATTTTAACAGTGATAAGGTGGATTGGTTTGATTTGATTTGATTTGATGTCCATGGAGAGATAGATAGACATGGATGTTATGTACAAAACTTGAGAACGATTATCAGATATATTCGTTTTGGCGTAAGGGGGAATAATGGAGAAAACAAAAACAAAAACAAAAAAAGCCAAGACCACCCAAGCTCCATCCATCTATCCCATCTGTTCCGTTGGATCATCAGTGCCAGCCTGGATCTCGTCACCCTGTAGATAGAACACCGATCATTCGAATTTGTCCCAAGGTAAAAAAAAAAAAAGAAATAAAAAGAAAAGAAAAGAAAAGAAAAGAAAAGAAAAGAAAAGAAAAAAAAGTACACAATCGTGTGGAATTAGAGAGATGAAGAGACTCGGGTGTATATCACGCATTCAAGAACATATTATGAGGGTATGTAGGATAACAAGATGATTACAATGAACGTATCATTTAGATCAACTGGGTGGACGAGCTTAAATCCCCTCCCATAGATCCTCTTCCGCGGCATTGGGGAAGAACGAACGGATGAATTCCCCGCCGATTGGGTCGTATGGGAAAAAAGTGTCACCTTCAGAACTCACTTCCGCATTCGTGGGCATCAGGTTGGGTGGAATCGACACGCCCTGGAACTGGTGCTGATGCGGAGCGAACTGTGTAACGGGGTTAGAAGATACATCGGAGGATGGAACGGTCATAGCATGGTTCAGATCCGCAGCGGCGTTGAATAAGGTTGGCGTCGGTTGTATGGTCTCATCAGACTCAGCCTGTGAAGGAACAAACTTCTGAACATTAGGATGAGTTTCATAGTCGTAGGCCGGCATGTCGCTGAGGTCGTAGTTCATCCCGGTGGAAATCTGCCGCAGGCTACTGTAACACAGTTCCCATGCGCGTCGTGATGCGAGGCTGTTCTCGGCCATGGCAAAGAGCCAGCGAATGGCCTTCTTAGCCGCTGTTAAGAAGTTCATTTCATCATCCGGCATGTGAATGCTACCGAAGGATAACTCAAGAAGGAGCACAGTCGTTGTTTGCATGAGATAATGCAGAATGCACCACCACGGACAGATGTCATAAAGACGGACGGCATCCGGTTCATCGGGGATCAGCTCGAGCATGCGCAGCGCAGACTCCAGAGTGATCACGGCCATTTCATGGCTGAAGGTTGGCTTCTTGTTGGCCACGGTCTGCCGTGCATCACGGCGACACAAGCACGGGCGCCCTAGGGTGATCCGCGCGCTGTAGTAGTGAAAGGCGAGGAAGAGCTTACCACGGACAGTGTCCGATGGCTGGTCATCCCTCCGAATAAAGTCGTACGATTCATGGAGATTTGTGTACCAGAGATCGATGCGGGCCCGCAGGTCACCAATGCGATTCTCAATATGACTCCATGGAATCTTGACACAATCCAGCGAGTAGACCCGGTTGACAATCTCTTGCGCTATCACTGCGAGGTCGACATAATGGAGGAAACCAAGGGCCCTGCAGGGTTGAAGGCTTCTCAGCCACGTCACATCACGCGGTTTGTCTGCTGGCCGTGCAGTTCTACCCCCTTTAGGGTTGGAGGGCATTAGTCGGACGGAGGAACAAGCCATCGCTGTATCTATGTACTCCTCGCGTAGTTCGGGCTCGTTCAAAAGCTGAGCAGCAGCAGGCTCTAGAAGTTGTTCCTCCTCGAAAGGAAGCGGAAATGGCGTGGTGCAGATCCCGTCAGTAATGGTTGAGGCCCGTCCCGTCATAATCCCAAGCATGTGCTCGAATGTGTAGAGACACCACCAAACCCTGTAGCGCGCCTCCTTGGAGAGTTTAGCCGTCCCTTGGCTAGTGTTCTTCATGTTGAGCCCGAGAGTAATTGCAGACCGGACAGCCAGCGCCGCAATTCGCCAGGACCTATCGATCATCACATTAGCGCAAGCACGTTGGGGCGTAGGGCAATATCTCAGACTTACCTATTAATCTGGTCCGATGCAAGTAGGTAGTAAGATATCAGGCCTTCGACTTGTACCTGCTGGAGGTCAGGATGGCTAAATAGAACATCGCCATTCAGACTCAGTATCCGAGCTCGCGTCAGATATACGAGATGGTCATTTTCATCGCCACGCCACGGCGCCTGCGTAAGGTGGGCGTGCTTAGCAGCGATGGCAAAGATCATGTTGAGGATAGCTAGCCATTTGTCCCCCGGCCGCGCGGCACTTTCAAAGAAAGTTTTGTATTGGGCACGGAAAAGTGTGCGGCTGATAATCGGAAAGAACGGGTGCACAGTATCCAAATAATCCTCGAACAATTTATCGGCCACATTCCGTGGCGGCATCCAATACACATGCACGGGACCCGGAACGGATATCTCCATATCATCGAGGTGGTAGTTCATGGAGTGGATTGCAAATTCGCGTTCGTCATCCACCTCAGAAGACCCAGGGAGTTTTCGAGAACGTTGCTCGGCCTCCATGCGCACGCGCTGCATCCAAATGACTTCGGAATTTTTCCCCATGTAGCCTGTCGCTCTGGAGCTCGGGGTACGATTCAGATCTTCAGTTACCCGGTCGATTGCGTCCAAGGATCCGATCGATGAAGGTGATGACACCGCATCCTCATTGTCCTCGTCCTGGGGGGTCACCGAGCTGGATTGGGATTCATTCGAGGTGCCATCTGTACTGCGAGAATGCTGGTTGACGTTAGAGGTCGAATCGTGCAGAACACGATAGCGAGGTACAGACCTTCTCCAGTACCGATTTGATACGCTCGGCAGCCCGGCCATCAACATGGGTGCTGAGTTCCCGCAGAATATTCTCATAGTCCGCCGACTTGACGGAGAGCTTATCTATCTCCCTGCACAGTCCAGTCAGTTACTGGTCCCCAGTCGCGAACGTCGCAATTGCGAGCAGCCCACATACCCTTTGGTCTGGTCTCGCCATGACACTGGATACCGACAGCTCATCCTCAGCTCCTTGCACTGTCGACAAATCGGCGTGTCTCCGCTGCATTTTGTTTTCCGTTGCCTACACGATTCACAGGCCAGGGGGACACGTCGACTGAATCGAGGGGCGGCGGCGGCTCGCTGTCGGGGGATAGCGACTTTGCTGGTGCTGTTACTGCCATACGGGGTGCCGGAGGCGGGGAGCTGCTTCTTTTCGGCGTGGGCCGTTCGGGTGGCCAATTTGGGTTTCTGAGGGTTATGCGACGCGGTGCCCGGAAGGGCTGGGGGGGTTGCAGTTGAGATGACAACCGAAGGCCCGTCCGTATGAGGACGGAGGGGGATGTCGCCCGGCAACTGGCCTTCATCCGGTTGCGTCTCCATGGTGCCGCCCGTCTGGTTTATCGGGGATCAGTCGAGTGAGGTCGCAGGAGAGATCAGGTGTTGATAATCTGTGTTTTTTTTTTTTTTTTTTTTTCCACGGTCTGGTTTTGAGGACGAAGGATTTGGCGCTTTGCGATTCGATAGAAGAGGTATTCAAGCTTACTATTGCTCGGGTGGACAGGTGTAAAAAATCAACATTGTTACAGGACTTGCGGCGAACCCAATTCGCGCGTGAATCGGGCCGATGGGAAAGGGACAGCGACTGAGGAGGTACAAGTCAGAGCACTCCGTACCAGGGAGCACCAACCTAAGGAGAGTAGTAGTCGAAGAAATGGAGGGATGACCGGGGGGATAATTTGGGGAAGAAGCACAGTCCAGAGGATGGAGGGGGGAGGGATGACTGACATTGCGCGGTAGATGGCAAATGCCGAACGTGGAAGGCCAATGGGAAGTGCCCCCTGACGTCAGGTACACTTAGGTCAGCCATCCCTGCCTGAGGCAGCATTCCTGCCTTACTTTACTTTACTTTACTTTGTATGGTCATCCATCCCATGCATGCAGGAACCCAAAAAGAAATAGAAACTAAAATACTAGTTGCCCATCCAAGCCTCGAACGGCCCAGCCAGCCAGATCCGACCGGCCCAGTCTAGCCCTAGATATCTAGTCTGCCCCCCTTCCCCCTGATATCAATCAGCCCGATTCCTGGGGCTGCTGGTATCGATATCTTCTTCTTCTACACCGTATGGCCAGACACGGCAGAATTACAGCAGTGTTCATCTCGTACCTAGATGCGCGGGGGTAGTCGCAACTCTCGGGCCACACACACACGCCGCACTGAATCATGTGAGGGCTGTGCAGCATATACTGTGGCTCGGGAGGCCGTGCGTTCCTCTGCAGATGTCAGATCGGATCCCAGATATAGTACTCCGTATCTAAATGACAAGGATCGATCGAGTCATGTCGCTCGCTAGTACTTAGACTCCTTATATGCATCCTACACAGTACCAGTACGAGAGTGTCTATGGCATACCATGGAACAAATAATATCTTCAGATCAAGCCCTTGCGGGAATTTTTGGATTCAAGGCCACAGGCGCTAAGCTAAGCATACATAGTCAGACATCAAGCATAACCCGATTTTCTTTCTTCCTTTTTTTTCTTTCCCCCCTGAGCCATTCTCATCCTCGACTGCGTCGGTCTCCCGCCTCGCCGTGTCATTCAGGAAGAGGCTGGAAACAATCCCCAGTAAATGATGAAACAGATACTCCACAGCCAGCCAGGGGATATTAGAAAAACAAGAGTGTCAGAGAGAGAGATGGAACGTAAAGTGTATATATACAGGTGAGGCAGGCGCGCAGGCCTCGCCGGAAATAACGGTGTCAAACTCGGAAATAAGGTGAATCAAAATGTTGCGGAACAGGCATTAAACGGATAGAACTGTACAAGATTAGGTCAAACGGAGTATCGAGGTGGTGGTGAGCGGCCGGTCATGTCGAACCGGCAAGAGCGGGAGTGGAGATGGAAGGAGGTCGATCCTTCGGTGGGAGATTCTGGAGAAACGTCGAGGTCTCTTCAGAGGGCAAAAGAAAGACACAAGACCCCAACGCCTGTAGTCTATCGCTTCAAGGAACAATACCGCCGTGACGGCAAGGCTCAGATTTCTCCGAACATCTCGTCAAGCTCGTGGACGTCCACCGTCTCGGGGCTCTGCAGCTCTCTCCAGGAGTCGAAAGCCATTTCAACATCCTGGTTGGAGAAGGCGCTGGCTCCGAGGGACAGCTTGTCGTCCTGCTCGGTGAAGTCGGACATTTTCATGTCCAGATCAGGAAGGCCGCTGTTCAGCATGTCGAGAGAACGCTTGAGAGCGGAGACAGGGGGTACCGTCGGGTCCTCCGGGAGGCTAATCTGTGGAGTCTCCGACTCTGTCTCATCCAAGTCGTCGTCTGAAGCCACGCTCGTGCCAGACGAGATCGATGAGGCCACAGAGGTAAGAGAGGGGGAGGGAGAAGTGCCGAAGAGAGTGACGGCGGCAGCATCGTCAAGAACCTGCTGTTGGAAGTGGTCCTGCAGAGGAGACTGTTCTTGGTAACCGCTATGGGAGAAGTAGTCGCCATCCTGATCGTCGGACATCCGATCCCCGCTGATGGAGGAGAGGGGGCTGTCGTCCACGACGGGGTCGGAAATGCTCATGGTCCCATCGTGCAGCCCGCTGAGACCCTCGGAGAGAGCAGAGAAGCCAGCGCCGAAGCTCTGCATCTGGCCCACTTTTTGCTCCGAGGCCCGCTCGCGAACAGCACTGGCAGTTTGTGTGAATTCTTTCTCGTCGCCTTCCAGGGGTGGGGAGGCGGCGCGATTGGAGTGCATCAAGCGTCCATGGTGATGGTCGGAAAAGTCGGTACTAGCTCTTGATGCGCCGGGGCCAGTGCGACCGTCCAAGTCGATGTTCTCTTCGTCGAAATCCGGGGAGGACAAGTCGACTTCTGGACTGGGACTGAGGCGCGACCGCTCCCGCGCCAACGCGTCCTCCTCGTCGAGATCGGCGCTGGAGACACTGGGAGTGATGTCCTTTCCTTCCACACCTGGGATGATAACATCGTCGGAGTTCTCTGGGAGGGGCTGGCGAGGTAGCGTGGTCAGGTAGTAGTAGACCTTGCGTGGGTGGATTGGGACAAGTTCCTTTGCCAGGGGACACGGCGCCAGAGCAGTCCAGGGGCGCTTCATGTAGGCACTTAACCGGGAAGACAGAAGAGCTGCAGGGTTCGCGGAACTAGAAGAACGCCACACGTTAGTATCGCCAGTTAGATATGCGGGAAGAGGGTAGAGAGACGTACTTTGCGACATTCTCGTTCAAGGCGATGAGAACGGCAGCCAGTTCCTTAACCAGGTGAGGGCGATTCCCCGTGCTCTCCAACTGCTCGATCACACCAACCACGATATCATCGCTGATCCCCTCGGTGTCGATCTTGGGCGCGATGGTACCGTCAGTGGGGGATGGCGGTGGCGTATTCTCCAAAGCGGCGCGGCGCCCACTCTGACGTAAAGACGCGGAGGATTCCTTGCCAGCGGAGGAGCGCGCGGTGGCGGACGACGGCTCTGGCGATAGCGATCCGGAGTCGTGCGACCTCTTGACCTTCTTTGAGGGAGGGAGCTGGTCGTCTGTCGCGTGAGACGGTTTCGACGTAGACGTAGACGGAGACCGGCGGGATGTGTTGGGGACGTGAATTCCGAGAGAAGGAAGCGAGAGTGACTTGCGACGGGTATTATAAGGCATGTTTTTTTGGGGCGGGGGTGATAGTCGGGCAGAAGGAAAGGCAGGTGGTAGAAGATATGTAGGTGTAGGTGTAGGTAGGGTAAGGAGGGTAAGGGTACAGATGAATAGGAGAACGATAGGCGATAATGGAAGTAGTAGTAGTATAGTACTGATAAACCACACAAAACACGAACCAAGACAATACAAGCAAGTAGAACTAGGAGTAAGGAGATAGAGTCTAATAACACACGAAGAAAGATGACAGGATGAAAAGGAGATGAGATTGAAGAAGGGGGAGAGGGAAGGGGGGGGGGGGGAAGACGAACAGTGTTACAGGAAGTATGGGTAGGGGGGGAAGATGGAATGGGAGTGGATGGGATGGGATGGGATGGGAGTTAGGGAGGGAGGAGGAGGGATGGGCGGCGGTGGTGGGCGATGATAGAGGGAGAGATGCCGACCGGCTGCACGGGAGGAAGGAAGATGGAAAGACGAGGGAATGGGAATGGAATAATCACCGGAGCGATCGTTGGCCAGTGAGGGACAGTGAGGGACAGTGGAGGACCACCCGTCCGTCGGAAGAAACCACTTGAATGGACTCGTTCTCGCGGCCCTGCGTAATGGTAATAGTAATGGAAATAATAATAACAACCCCCCCAAAGCCTCAGGAATCCGTTTGTTGTGGGTGTTTCCAGTTCCACCTTCCACCTGCGATTGTCCGCGCCCGGCTGAAAATTAAAATATGGCCAAACGGGTGGGTGTTTTACAGTGGCGATTATTGGCCCGTCACCCACTGGAGTGTTTTATTGGGGTTTCCAGGAATGCCGCGAAGGGAACCTCGCCCATCAGTCCCCCCCCCCCCCCCAAAAGACAACCAAGGGAAAGTCAAAAAAAAAAAAAAAAAAAAAAAGTAAAATTATTAAAAATAATAGAAAATATGCAGATTCTTTAATTCCGAGGTTGTTTTTCTTATTCCTTTCTGGGGTTTGCCCGTTCCCTCTATCTACTATTCTTCCCCCCCCCCACATCAATATGGCATGCTAAAGGGACTAGAAAGGTAGATGTCTACACCGCTTTGTTTCAACCCGGTCCAGAGGGTGTCTGTGTGTTCGCGACAGGCAAGTCGAGGAGCACCGGGCAATCAACTGGACACACAGGCAGGACAAGACGGGCGCAATATGGACGGCCGGGCGGCGGATGGCGAGAAGCGAACTAAGCCGGCCGACGGACTGAAGGGGCAAAAAGTACGGTGGGTCCGAACCATGTGTCTATGACGACCAGAATGGCTATTCCGGGCGGTGATTGGCGGGGATGACCGTGATCAACTGAGGTTCTGCATGGACTTTATGATGGAGTATGCACCGTGGAGTCAACCCAGGCCGGCGAATCGGGTAGCTACTGCAGCTAGGAGCCTAGAAAGCACTTGGACCTGGTTGCTGCGCAGAAATTTTCTGATAGATAGAAACAAACAAGCCCTGGCAGAAGCATCTCCCCCGCGGCCAGGACCACCCACAGTTAGTAGCCTTGACCTCCCCCCCCCCAGGCTAATCCGTTATGCTGCCGGGGACGCTCTGGTCTGATTTCTCACCGACATCCCTTGAATATCGGACCATTTTTTGGGGCTGTCGAGGTTGGTTAGCCTCGAGCAGCGCCTGTTGCTGCGCTCGAGGCTAGCCAGCCCTCAGCCCTGATGACGGAGAGACGGCGGCGACTTCTACGGGTAGATACATCAGCGCCCTCACAGCACCCATGGAACGTCCGGCAGGCTAAGTCGAAGGGACTGACCTGACTGATCTGGGACCATGACAAGTGGGTGTGGTGCCAGAGTGCTGTGCTGGCTGGCCATGGGAGCAACGCGAAAGGCCGGCCAGCAGGCAGGCAGGCAGGAGAAAAGGGTCAAAAAAAGAAACAGGAAAAGGAAAAGCACCAAAGCCTTACACAGAACGCTAGTGCATAGCGTTGATGGCGGCGCTAGCTCCTCCCGGGACTAGCCCGGAGGAAAAATGGAGGGCAGGCAAAAACGCGGCGAATCCCAGCCCGAGGCCAGCCCCACCCTCCAAAAGCGGTTCCAAGGACAATCGTTCCTAGCGTCGCCGTTTGGGGCTGCGGGCGAATCAAAAGCGCAGACGTGGGGCTAATGCCGGTCGTCTAGAAGATTGGCAATGGGCCCAATCGGATGGAATCGAGGCGGCGCTAACGCCAGCAGCGCAATGGACAAAGGGAAAAACAACCACCACGGCCACGCGCCTCGCCACTTCCAGCTCCAGCTCGATGCACTGCGGATGCGATGGGTACTGCGGCAAGGCTGTCATCCCACAGCTGACTGGTCTTCAGCGTTCAGTATCTATCTATCTACTCCGTCCCGACCGATGATCCGTCCGTATCTTCGATGGAAGCCATGCTCATGGATATTATTGCATCTTCCCTGGGGGCCTGTCTCCATCTGCCACTCCACCCAACCAATCAGTGCGGGTTGCAAAAGGCTGATCCCTTGCTGGGATGTGATACATCGCCTCCTGATCTAGAACTGTGTGTGTGTGTGTGTGTCTACCGTATCTATCTACACGACACACGTCGCCATCATTCCAGCTGCTATCTTCATACCTGTCTCGCTGTCTCGCTGTCTGGCGTTGCCCAGGGACCACTGGCATACATGTCTCTCTCCCTCTCCCTTCCCCACTCGAGAGGGTGCTCCCCTCTCATGTTTCCTTCCAGACATGTTCCTCGGACATGGACGAGAACAATCCCTCAGCCACCTCATATCATGTCTAACTATTTCATCTACATGATGTAATCGTCAGAGTTCCTGCAGTGTCGACAATGCAAATATAGTATGCGACACGTAGTACAGGCGGCAACTGCAAGACTCACTCGCATGCTTCAATGTCAGCATGTATGTATCATCTCCACTCTCTAGTATCTGCAGCTGGATACCGACCGATACATGCAGAAATGGAAATGGGGCAGAGATCTGATGAGTCTTTGTCCCACTTCCTGTAAAGGGCCTACCAACTTACAAAGTAGGTAAGTAAATAAATACTGTCTATCTATCGATAAGTAAGTAGGTGAGTGGTTGGCGTCATCACTGTTCGTTCCTTGAGCTAGGGTCTCGCCAACCCCGGTTCCTCCTCCCATCCTGGCTAACTAGTAAACCTAATAGGCAGAAACCCTGCAGCATACATCGATATTATGATAGATAAATGCAAGCACATACCTCGAAGCCAGCCAACCTATTTCCTTACTACCCTACCTACATACCTACTTCCTGTACCCAAGTACCGTGTTTGCTTTATATAGCTGCCTAGGAGGTAGTAGGTAGGTACATACATAATAACTCCCTTCAATAATCAATACATCATCAATACCTGCATCCTGCACATAAATCTCCTCCTACCTAAGAGGCAGATTTATTCCCCGACCCTCGATGATGATGGCATGGTACATTAGACTACCAAAGTCTATGCTATGTGTCCTGCGAGGGTCTCCAGGTACAGGTAGGTACAGGTAGGTACAGGTACAGGTACAGGTACAGGTACATACATTGCATCCGTACTTGGTTACACACACACATCCACCTACCTACCTACCTACATACATAACAAAAGTAGATAGGCGCAGTCACTACTCCATCAGCCTGTCTGTATCTAGGTATCTATCTACCGTAGTAAATCCCTCCCCTCCAGGCTCAGCCCAGCCCAGCATAACAACGCATAACAACGCACAGCACAGCACAGCACAGCACAGCACAGCAGTACTACCCCGCATGCGCATAACGCCATCTTGACTTCATCTCGATCTCTTCACCTCCCCACCTCCACCTGGATGGACCACCTCCCTCCCGGACAGAACATCCTCGATCCCGTACCATGGTAGCGAGCGAGTGGGATTGTTGCCCAGGTGATTCATCCGAATGCGATGACAACGCGACCCCCTCCTCCCCTCCCCTCCCTGCCTCTGGGTTGGTGTCACGTCGCGTGATGAGGGTGTGAGGTCAAGTCAAGTCTGGGCGGGCGGGCGGGCGAGACTTGGAGAAAGACAGGCGCGGCGAGAGAAACCCCGTCTACTGACTAAGAAGCATATCGATAACTAACTAACATGTGTTCATCGGCCTGATGTCAAGGTTCGGTCACTGCTATAGGTAACTAAGCTAGGTACTGCGCTGGTTCGTCCGTCGATCAGGTCATTTCGGTGTGTTTCAGATGGTGTGGTTTTTTTAAACCTTGTATGTATACACACGTCTATCTACTGGCTGAGACCGTAACTATGGTTCCTTGCTGTGACTCACCTGTCAATAATAAATGAAGGTATTTGTACTTTTGTTCTTATACAGTACCTAAGAAGGGTGGGTGATAGGTTGAGGGATCCATGGTATTATTTGGTTTTGGTTTTGGTTTTGTTGATGTTATTGTTGTTTACTTCATTATGGGTACGCGACTTTCTTGCGACATCATCTCGACTCGGATTGAACTTGCGTCGAGATGTCGTAAACTCCGGCATGCTATGGGAGATACTCTCAACGTTACTGATGCAAAGGATATAGACCCGAGTCTCACGCCATGGCCTTTGTATAATATCTCTACCAGACTTCAGAATGTCCATGGATACTACCGCTTCAATATATACTCGGATGGCCGTGAATCACTGATGTTCTAGACTTTTTACCCCTGCCCGCCCCGTCCGCCATTAAGCTATTGTATCTCTTAAGTAGCACTGAACCAGCCCGGTCTTCGGTCTTCGGTCTATCTTCTAAGACAACCCCGCTATAATACATATACAAATACATCGAGTCATCCACGTCTACATCTACGAGATATCATGACTTCTCCAGTTCCACTCCCGTCCTCGCCGGCCTGAGGACATATTTCCACGTGGTCCCGAAGTGCCAGCGTTTCTCCTCGACCACCTCCAACCCACTCTCGCGCACAATCTGCCCAATATCCCGATTCCACCAACACCCATGCCTATCCGCATGCGCGGGGGCCAGGTTATCCAAGACGCGATTGACCCAATCATAATGGGACCTGCCGTGCTCGAGCAGCAGGATCTCGCCCTTTAACGGCTCCACCACCGTCCCAAGATGCTTCAACGTCTTCACGGGATCCGGCATCGAACACAACCCCATCGTCTGCACCACCGTGTCATAGTACCCCTCCTGCTTCCTCCCCTCGACCGAGAACCCGGGCCTCGGCACCTCCGCGGCATCCTGCACCCGGAACTCCACCCGCACCTTCTCATCGGGAAACTGCTTCTCGAACTTCCCCCGCGTGATCTCCACCATCTCCGGACTCAAATCCACGAACGTCACGGACCGACACCCCTGCACCATGCGTCCCTGCGCATTTATCCCCCGTCGCTCCCGAAGCTCGTAGTAGGGAATATTCCGCCCCGTGCCGCAGCTGACCTCGAGCACGTTGCCGTGTGCGCGGTGGATCAGCGCCGCGCGCTTGGAGCCCATCCGCATCAGTTTCTCGGACATCTCGATGTCGGCGTCGAAGCTGCCGGCTGTGTGGTTGTAGCGGTCGGAGACGTCGTGTGGGACGCTCAGCGATTGGGATTGCTTGACTTCGCGGCTGTAGGAGGCGTAGAGGTAGCCGATGTAGGTGCTTACGGTGAGGGCGCTGACCCCGAGGATGGTCATGACGCGCGGTGACATGGTGGTGGTTTCCGAGGCGGTGGGGAGGACAGGAGGGTTTTTCAGGTGGGGGTTTGCGCGATTGGGGAGGATTGGGGGTCTGGATATGTGCATGGTGTTAGTTACTGTTCCGTTGGAGATGTCGGAGAATTGTTGGGGGGGGGGGGGGGGGGATGCGGAGAAGGTGCGGGCATTGGGATGAGATGGGGGGGGGGGGGGGTTTTTCCCGGAGTAGAGGCAATAAACTCATCGCATGGTGTTACTGACCCTGTGCTATCGGCGATAGGGAAACGAGACGCGGGTTTGGGAGCTGAAGCTGCGGCACGAGCAGGCGTCTTTGTCGCCTTTTTCAGCGCGCCTCGTGCGGCGCGAGGTGCACTCATGATTGCAGACGATGTCGGAGGGATATGAGGGGCGGTTCGACTTTATAACACGGGATGTATGTCGAGAGACCAATGCTGGAGAGTACCAGGGGAGGAATGGGGATGCAGAGACGGCGGAGTCAGTCCATTGAGGTGTTGATGATGGAGGATGGAGGGGAGGAAGAAGCGGAATCGAGGACGGAAATCGGGCGGCCAAGAGCGGTCTGCCGATGTCGACTGGTTGGTTATCGACTCCGAAGTCTCCAACACATCTAGTAGATAGTCCTACTACTACTTCGATCCCCATCAGCACCTTGTTCATCTCTCTCTCGAATCTCTGCTCCCTTCTCCCTCCCCCCCCAACTCCCCCAGCTGAGAGACAACACCATGTCTCTTCCCCCCAACATCCTCATTGTCGGAGGAGGGGTCTTCGGCCGTAAGTCGCTTTCCCCGGATTTCTATATCTTCCCCCGCCATGAACACAATCCCAACCCCAATGCCTCATTGAACCAGTCTCCACGGCCCTCTCTCTCTCCCACCGCCACCCCAGCATCCAAATCACCCTGTTGGAATCTTCTCCCACGATCCCCAACCCACACGGCTCCTCCGTCGACACCTCCCGCATCGTGCGCGCCGACTACTCGCAACCCACGTACGCCCGACTGGCCGCCGACGCCCTCGACCTCTGGCGCAACACCCCCTGGGGCTCAGAAGGGCGCTACACGCAGAACGGCCTGCTCCTCGTGTACCCCCCCGACGGCACCAACGCCCGCGACTACGCCATGAAAAGCTACGACAACGTGAAGCAAATCCCCGGTCAGGACGTCGAGCTACTGCCCACGAAATCCGACGTCGCGCGAGTCGCCCCAGCCTACGGGGTGGACCTGAACGTGGCCGGTGGCTACGTGAACTGGGGCTCGGGGTGGTCCGACGCCGAAGCCGGCGTGCGATACGCCAAACAGCATCTGGACCAGGAAGGCAAAGTGCGATTCCAAACCGGCGAAGTGAGCAGCCTGATCACCGACCCAGCGACCGCACGCGTCACCGGCGTCACCCTCGCCGACGGATCCTCCATCACAGCCGACCTGGTCATCCTGGCGACGGGCGCATGGACCGCGAAGCTGGTCGATCTGCGAGGTCGGGCCGTCTCAACGGGCCAGGCACTAGCGTACATGCGCATATCCGACGACGAGCAGAAACGCCTCGAACACATGCCAACCATCCTGAACTTCGCCACGGGCATTTTTATCATCCCGCCCCGCAATAACCTGCTCAAGATCGCGCGCCATGCGTACGGATATGTCAATCCGGTGGAGGTGCCGGTGCCGGGCCAGCAGGGCCTCAAGATGCAGGTGAGCTTGCCCGAGAATGGGGTTCCGATCCCGGCGGAGGGGGAGCGGGCGTTCCGCGATGCGTTGCGCGAGTTGATCCCGGCGTTTGCGGATCGGCCGTTCGTTCAGAGTCGCGTTTGTTGGTATACTGATACGTGAGTTTTCATCCATGGTCCTTCCCTGGTTTGTCATTGTTATTGTGTGTGTGTGTGGGGGGGGGCTGATGGGTTCTTAGCCCGAATGGTGACTTCATCGTTACCTATCATCCCAATCACCCGGGCCTCTTCCTGGCTACTGGGGGTAGTGGGCACGCGTACAAGTTCTTCCCTGTACTGGGTGACAGGGTGGTTGATGCGTTGGAAGGTAAGCTGGAGCCGGAGCTACAGAAACTGTGGGCTTGGCCTGCTGCAGTCCCTGAAGGCGAGTTCGAGGGGACGGAGGATGGAAGTCGCTCCGGGGCGAAGGGAATGCGCCTGATGGAGGAGCTGGCCAAGACAAAGAAGGCACAGCGGAGCAGCTTGCTCTGAGATGTCTCGGTGTTGTAGTGCATATATGCCGTATCTAGATGTATATAGAGTGTATGGGGGGTGGCTTGTGTCAAACCTTATCTATACCGCAGTATGATGCGAAACGAATGCGTTCCTAACTTGGAACACGCAAGGCAAGGCAGATAAGGTTATTTAGGCTACGCTGTGCGCGGTGCCATGTGGAATCAGGGAATGACGTCTCTACCACGCTACTCAGGTACTACGCCGAGGCACAGAAAGCTGCACATTTCAAGTCCATTTCTACCCACTAAGCAGGGAAACTCTTGATTATGCCACCGTCGAACGAGGGCAGCATTCCGTCATTCTCCCGGTGTATTCATCCACTTCCGTAACAAAGCGTAACGATCTAGAACAGAAAAGGAGATTTTTTTTGCTTAAGCCCTCCGACCCTGGAAAGCAAACAATCGGCGGAGGTCAAACCACCTCGGCGTCGGCCAGGCCGTTGCGCGAGGCTCACTGCCAATAGGCAAAGAACATAAAAGCCAGGAATTAGAAGGAGGCAACCATTCGACCAGCGCACAGTACCGCCCCCTTGAATCTGCGGTGTGCGACTATCTAAGATGGTGAGACACTTTGATGATGATTGTTGAAACAGAGAACAGCAGGTAGCAGGAACCGAATCGCTAAAACGCCGTACAAATGCTAGCATGAAAATCGTGATGAACAAGAGGAAAGGGGGGAACAGAAAAGCATCAGCCGAGCTAGGTTGAAGCGTGTCGCCTGTCCATAGTACAACCTCGCGGGCCAGTGCAAGGGGGGGGTAAAGCCAGTGTTAATACAAGTTGTTGAAGGTAGGAAGGACGTGGGGTCGGGATCTTCCTGTTCAGCACGAGGGCTCTAGACTTTACGGAAATCTTTACGGTTGGTTAGCCATGCCACCTCGAATGAGAAGTGAAGACAGTGATGCATACCCGAAAGCACAGGATAGATCAGTTCGAACGCCTGGTAGATTTCCTCACGGACCTTCGCACCGGTGAGGACAATCTTTCCACTGACGAAGATCAGAAGCACGATCTTAGGTTTCATCATGCGGTAGATAAGACCAGGGAACAACTCGGGTTCGTAAGAACTGAAGTTGTGATGGCGACTGGCCAGACCCTCCAGGCGGATGGGGAACTTGATGTCGCAAGACCCGACAATGTTCTGGATCTTGAAATCCGTGAACTTGGCGTTGAAACCAAGCTTTTGGATGATACGCGCGTACTTTCTGGACGCCAGTTTGGAGTCGTCCTCCGACTTGGCACCAGTAACCACCATCTTGCCAGAGGCGAAGATCAAAGCGGTCGTTTTCGGCTCTCGGATACGCATGATCACGGCCGCGAAACGCTATGGAGAAAGAAAACCAGTTCAGCCACACTGTGCCCTGACATCACAAGCTCAGGGAGGTGTGGAAAGTAATACCTTAGGGTTGTATTCCGCATTTCTTGCGTGGAGCGCGATCGTCTTCAAGTCCAGCCGGCAGTCAAGGTTGACCGTGGCGACAATGTTTCTTCACCAAGAGAGATCATTGTTCAGCAATCTGGTAAACCAGAAGTAGGAACAGCAAGAGTATACTCACTGCAACGTAGGTACGATGCCACTTCCCGGCGTGTTGGTAGCACCGGGGGTCGCAGCGGGGGTTGCGGGCGCCACCCCATTGCCATTAGTGGCATTTCCTCCCTGCTGCTGACCGTTCACAATCCCATTCGCACCCTGAGCCATTGCCATGTTTTCCTTATCGGAAGGTGGAGTCAGATCACCGGCACCACCGGGAAACGACAGAGAGGCGGGGGAAGTGAAGGCCCGGGCCTGTTGCGCGGTAGAAGGATGGGTCGTAAGAGAATCCATTGCGACGAGAGTAGGTGACACTCGAGCCGTAAACCAGCCGATGCTGAGGTAGTAGAGGAGCTTTCAGATGGCAGTCTGCACCCACGAGAGCCCAAGGTCAGTCAAAAAGTAGACAGACGATGCGATGCGACAGCAGCGATCGAGAGTGGAATGATCCAGCGGCGATCTCTCAGGCCAAGAGTGAGAGGAAGAGGAGAGAGAGATATAAGGTCGGGACCAGACAAGAAGACAACGTACCCTTTTGCGGGAGATGGACAAATCAATGTCTCCCCTACAGCAACACTGCCTTGGGATCCAACAACAAAGAGCCGTTCCGGATAGGAGACGGGAAGATGAGGTCGGTCAAGGGAGAGAGCAGAGAAGTGCGACAGCCAAGAGAAGAACCACCAGCGACAAGACTGGGAGGAGAGAGGGGGGCAACAGGAACAACAAGGGACTAGAAAAGCACAGTGAAGTGTTTTCTAGAAGCAGGACACAGCTATTTGGGGGGAGGCAGTGAACCGATGCAGGATAGGTGAAGGGAGTGTAGTGTGAACAGCGACAAAGCACGTTGTTTTTGGTAGATGACAACTTTTTTTTGGGTTTGCTTTTCTGTCAAATTGGGAATGTCTATCTGCGTTTGGAAGAGAGAGAGAGAGAAAGAGAGAACGGCGAGGATGCACACCTGAGGCTGCAACCTTCCTGTTTCAGTAACTGAATCTGAAACTGTGGGGACAAAAAAAGAAGAAAAACAGAGAAAGAGTTTTTCCCGTTTTCTTTCTTGGCTTCCTAAAAAGAACTTCTTCCCGGGGGACAGTCGACCAGCAGGCGCAGCAGGAGCAGAGAGACGGCTTAAATCAGCAGATCTCCGCAGTCCGTACGTGTGGAGAGGGAGAAGGGGAGGGGAGGAGGAAGGATGGCGGGCGGGAAGAAGACTGTATGGCTTTCCGGGCGGTGCCAAGACCAGAATCAAAAATTCCAAAGCGACACGAAAGTGGGAGGTTGGGCCTTTATATAGGCTGACTCACTGCGCCCGGGGCCGCTGGCGTCAGGGGGGCTGGGCCCGGCGGCGGCGGCAAAAGCAGCGACGGCCGGTCGCCTTCACCCATGGGTTTGGCTGCGCTCGCACTGCTCGCTGCGTGTTAGCGCTCCACTAGCGGCTCTTGGGTGGCCAACCCCCCCCAGCAAGCGCCCTTCCGTCATCTCTGGTTTGCTGATCGGCGGATCCACTCAGCACCCATTGTCTGGGAGCCCCACCGTTGGCCTCCCGCTCTCGTTGGCTGTCGCCCCCTTACTCTTTTTTTCCCGGCCCAGCGCCGTGCTCCCAGTGGTTGCAGCAACTCAGCTCGGACTGCGCAGTCCAGTCCGCGTCGCTCCTGCGACTGATAGCCCGACCCACCCGCGAGCCCATCCATTCTTCTGCCTTCCAATCATGCCGCCTGGCTGTTCTCGGCGGCCCCTTCTCAGTGCGCCGTCCGCCTGCTGCCTCGCCGCTTTAGCGCTGGCCAACTGAACAAAAATTTCATCCCGGCTCCATCCATTTCATCTATCCAATCTATCCATCCATTCATCTTTTCCCTCCGTGCTTAGCTTGCGCTTGCTTGCTGGCTGGCTGTTGGCCGACCGGTTCCGACAGATATTAATAAAAATTCTACGGAACACAGTGACAATGACAGCGACAACAAAACCAACAACAACAAAGAATGATAAAGAAAAAAAAGAGAAAAAAAAAAAACACACGGCATTCACGGCGTACAAACCATGGGAGAGGATGTTGATCCCATCTTTGAGTCAGAGTCGCGTCGCTCTGTGACCCCCTAAGTCGCGAAAAGATGATGAGTCGCCGGGCTAAGTCCGTTGTCGCCGTGTACCTGTCAGGGATTACGGGTTTCATCCTGGTCGCGTTTGGTCGCGTCATGGGGTTCCTCCCCGGCGTTCTCGCCTCTCATTTGGCGTCGCTTGCCGCCTTCCAATACCCCAGATCTCAGGCAATTTGCGATCCACCAATTCCGATCGTAGCCTCGCCCTTGTTGGCTGTTTTGGCGTTCTTTTGGAGTCTTGGGCGGAAATAGACTCGGCCAGGGTAAGACGTATCTACGTATTCAAGCTCAACCTCCCGCGTCGCGCGAGTCTGCAACAGCATGGGGTCCGGCGGCTACCTGTACCTTTTGTGACAGGTGAGTGGCGTGTACGTAATCCGGCCAAGTGTCCTCTTCTGCGCCCAGGGTTGGGGCAAATTTGTCTTTTTCACATGCCACCGTGGTATGCCAAATACCATACGGGTACGCCGTATAGACTGACTACAGAGAGAGTCCATACGACATCATGACTCCCACCGATGGGTTTGCGGGTGGGTTTTCTGGGGGTACCTGGGCTGGGGTCCAGGGTTGAATATGAAGCATTATGGTGGAGCAATGATATCCAAGGCTTCCTTGAAAATTCCATGGCATCACATGGATGTCAGCGTCGTAGATTACTGGGCAAGGCCCTGGTGTCGTCATCAGATCTCCGGCGCCAGTTTGCCTTCTCTTCATGTGATCATCGGTCACGTTGCCCGGCGTGCTGCATAGATAGCATCCATTCTCTGTCTGCTGTCAAATCGGTTTCCTCCGTTGCCCGCGTTAGTACGACGTACTATCTTCGTGTCGGTCAAGACCGTATTTAAAGTAAAGATGGATATAGATAGGTAGACGTCTGCGAACCAGGTGATCGCTCCACCCTGGGGCTCGCTTGGGCGGAAGACTGCCCCATGAATTTATCCGATGACCTGGTCCCTTTTCCAACGTGTATCCACTACCATCTGCTCGGTTGATATACGAACGGTAAGGACGTCGAACCCGACGGGATGACGGGTCTGCGCTGCGCTGCGGGCGGAACGACGAGCGCGAGGGAGATTGATTCCCATCGCCTGCCCTCCCATTGGCTGTGGTAACCTCGGGTACTGCCAGCTGCTTCAGGCCGACCGCCAATTTTTCTCCCACGATCATTAGTCACTCCCTCAAGCCGGTGACGGAGAGGGGCCTGTCAACGCTTAAGTTGTTGCTATTCTCCTCATTATTCTCGCCCTTTCGCGATCCTCGTTGTCCTCGCTTGCTCCGCCCTTGATATCCCTTCCTCTTCCGCTTCCACCACCGACTTGCCCCCTCCCGTCCTACCATGCAGTTGTCCCGCTTATAGGATCCCAACAAGCAGCGCCAGTGTGACCCATCCCCATCCCCATCCCTAGCTCCACCACCACCACCACCACCATGGCTTCAAAAGGAACTGTCCTACCTCTTTTGAGGCGCGAACTGCAAGCCTCTTCCTCGCGAGTATCGAGAGCTGCCGCCTCTCTCACTCCCCTCGCCAAATCCACACGCATTTCCAATAGCTCCCTTGCAGCCTCTGGCCGGAGAACTGTCCGCCGCACCTCTTTCTTCCCACCGATCCAGACCCGCGCATTTTCACAGTCGCTGTCAAGGACATTTACCGATGAACATGGAAACTTTGACCCCAGGCAGATGGATCGAGAGTCGGACGAGGTGGACGTCTGTATTGTCGGCGGTGGTAAGCAGAATTGATTTGCCCGATTATCCACTCCCGTGCAGGAGAGATACCAGTCGAGGAGGACCATAAGACTGACCGACGTTTCCTACCGCCAAACTAGGCCCTGCCGGTCTTGCGGCTGCCATCCGACTGAAGCAACTGGCAAACAAAGCGGGTAACGAAGAGTTTCGCGTCATTGTGCTGGAAAAGGCCGGTGAACTGGGTGCGCATGTTCTTTCCGGCAACGTTCTGGAGCCGACTGCACTCAACGAGCTTTTGCCCGATTGGCTGTCGGAGGAAAATCCCTCTCGCTTCGAAAATGTTACCCCCGCGAAGGAAGATAAGATGCGCTTCTTGACCCAGAACTCGTCGATTCCCATCCCCGCCCCGCCACAAATGAACAATCACGGCAACTACATCATCAGTTTGAACGAGCTCACGAAATGGCTGGGTGAGAGAGCAGAGGAGCTGGGTGTCGAAGTCTACCCTGGATTCGCGGCCAGTGAACTGGTTTATAAGCCCGATGGCTCGGTGCGGGGAGTGGCCACCAATGACTTGGGTGTTGGTCGGGATGGCAAGGCCAAGGACAGCTTTGAGCGGGGAATGGAGTTCCACGCCCGTGTCACCCTTCTTGCGGAGGGCTGCCACGGAAGTCTGACCAAGCAGGTGATCAAGAAGTACGACCTTCGGCGCGACAGCCAGCCGCAGACCTATGGACTCGGGATCAAGGAAATCTGGGAAATTCAACCCGACAAGTTCAAGCCCGGAGAGATCACGCATTCCTTGGGATACCCCCTCCCTCGAGACACCTATGGTGGAGCCTGGATGTACCATTTCGGCGACAACATGGTTAGCATTGGTTTGGTGGTTGGTCTCGATTACCCGAACCCATGGCTCTCGCCCTATGGCGAGTTCCAGAAGCTCAAACACCACCCTCTTTACAAGGAAGTTTTGGAGGGCGGGAAGTGCATCTCGTATGGCGCGAGGGCCCTTAACGAGGGTGGTTTCCAGTCAATTCCGAAATGCGCTTTCCCCGGAGGTGCACTGATCGGTGATAGCGCTGGGTTCTTGAACGTCCCCAAGATCAAGGGCACGCATTCGGCAATGAAATCGGCCATGCTTGCCGCCGAATCCGCGTACTCGGCTCTTGAGGGCAACCCTGATGGCACTGTTTTCCTGTTCGACTACGAAGAAGCCCTGCGGAAGTCGTCGATCTGGAAAGAGCTGTACGAGGTGCGCAACATGCGCCCTTCCTTCGGCAGCCCGCTCGGACTTTTCGGTGGTATCATGTACTCCGGTCTGGAGGCCTACATTCTCAAGGGTCGGACGCCATGGACCCTCAAGCACCACGGCACCGACGCTGCCGCCACCAAGCCGGCGTCTGAATACAAGAAGATCGAGTACCCTAAGCCAGACGGCGTGATCAGCTTCGATATCCTCACCAGTGTCAGCCGGACGGGTACCAACCACGAAGAAGACCAGCCCGTGCACTTGCAGGTGGCGGATTGGGATAAGCACACGGACGTTGCCTGGCCCAAGTACCAGGGCGTCGAGAACCGTTTCTGCCCGGCAGGTGTTTACGAGTATGTAGAGGACTCTAGCAAGCCGCACGGAGTCCGCTTCCAGATCAACGCTCAAAAGTAAGTGCCCGCTTTCTCTTCTCCGAGGGATCGCCTATGCTAACCTAACCGCCCGTAGCTGCATCCACTGCAAGACCTGCGATATCAAGGTGCCCACGCAGGATATCAACTGGCAGACCCCTCAGGGTGGCGAGGGTCCGAAATACTTCATGACCTAGCGCTATTGGCTTAGAGCATTGCTTGTTGTCCTCCTTTCTTCACCGGGGAACTAGACTGGGCGGATGTGTGGACTACGATGTTTGTTATTTACTAATGTTTGATGGCGGTTTGAGGCTGGCACGCCCGCTCCAGGGATTTGGATATCATCTGGGGTTGTATAAAAGCACCTGGTTGCGCCGGGATGGGATCATGTATATATAATTTGGGGGTGCGTCGGCGGTATCCCATCCGGAAGGCGGCATGTTCACATTCAACATAAGATTTCCATGCCATTTTACTTTTCTGGCGCATATCGGACGGTCCTTGGCAGGGGACACACGATCGACTAGGCCCAGTCCAGGCTAGCGGCTGGCGGGTCCATTCCCCATCCATAATCAATTCCAATCCCCGGTTCGGAGGCGGGGGGAGCTGGATATCAACCATTGAGTGAGCGAGTGTCCGGAATACCTTTCAACACGTCTTCAAGGTGGCACAGCAGGATGGCATGCAGCGTGGACGCACGGAGTAACTACCAATGGCCTCTGTCTGTAAGCCTTGCCTTCCGAGGGTACGGTGACTGCCAGTGCAAGCTTGGCTAACAAACCCTACTAGTTGATGAACCAGACCGCGAAATAATACTACTACTACTATACTCTTCAAGCTCAAGCTAGCCGTGAACACTACAGATAGTACTATATATTACCCGCCAAGAATGAAACATTGGTTCACGAGCTCCCTGATGTGGCACGCGACAAGCTTGGGGATCCAATATATATATATTTATATATCATGATATATATATCAGAACCCTCCCTCCCTTTCCTTGCCTCACCCCATGACTTCACGCCGAACATGGTTCCCTTGTCAACTGATGACAATGACATCCGACAGGATTGCGATGCCAATTAGCCAAGATCATTTATGCTTTCTGTGGTCGTCCAAGTCGGGACCCCCAAACCCAATTTGGACGATACGTTCCGTTCGCCACCAATCCAGATGACGATATTTTAAGAAACCAAGGAACAGGCGGGTTCCCTTCAGCTGCGAGCTGAGCTGTGGCAGCTGGCCGAGTGGCCTGTTCCGGGTCAGCCTCGCCGGGGAGAGAACCCACTGCAGGGTTGATATTGGTAATTGGAGGGCATCCGGAGACGGGATAGGCAGGTTGTTGTGCTGGTCAAGCAATGGGATCCACCGGGGGGGGGGGCAAGTGACCATCACCGGGATGCAGAGAACTCGCCACTTCCCACTTCCCCCTGAGGCGAGACGGGAAGGATTTTATAGGAGCGCACAGGAGGCGTAAGAGCACGGAGGGTATCTATATCTACAGTCAAGAAGTAGAAGAAGGCGGGGCCACGTGGAACGGGCGGGCAAAGAAAAGTGAGGCGCCGGGTTGGCTGCCATTGGATGCCCTCCACCGCCAGAGCGCATCGCCGGCCAGTCGTTTGGGCGGGTTTGTCCGTTTTGCCTGGCGGTCAGTCAGCCTCCCTCCGCGCTGTTGCGTTGCTTTGCTTTGCTTTGCTTGCTTTGCTTGCTTTGCTCGAACGCCCGCGCGACGTGACGATCCTCTTTCTCTTCTCTCTCCTCTCTCCTCTTTCCTCTTTCCTCTTTCCTTTCCTCTCCTCCTCCCTCCCCCCCTCTCCCTCAAACCTCCATCCTATTAAACCCCCCCCTTCCGCCCCCCCTCGTCTCTCCCATTCCTCTGATCTCGGTTGTGCGCGAGTGAGAGCCCCGGCTACTCCCCTGTGAGCTCGGGCTGCGTCCAGCGTACCGATCTCTCCTCGCCTCCCCCAATCCGTCAGGCCCACCGTCACCTTCTGGAACCGTTCTATGGTCTCGCATTCCGGACGCCAGGAACCATCGCAACTACCGCCAACCTACTACCATTCAACCTTCCCAGGAGCCCGACCCGATCCGTTTGATCCTCTAGGCCCCTTTCCATCGGTCGTCACTCCATTGTGTTGGATCCCCCTCCGTGCCTAGGTCGCTGTTCCCCAGGCCAGAAGAAGTGTTGATTAGTTAATTACCCGATTGGACGCATCGTCGACCCGTTGACTTGCTTGTTTGCTTGCTTGCTTGCTTCTACCACCAGCCATGACTGAAGTCTCGTCCACCCGACTTTACCTCGGGAACCTCCCCCGCAATGGTATGCTGCCGTCCACCGAGTCTCCTTAGGTCTCCTTCTCCCCTCTTCAATTCCAACCCGATTCGGATGTTGCCTTGTTTGTCTCGTCCACCTGCGCCGCAGTGACTGGAAGCTCCGCTGGATCGCCATGCGTCTGGATTAACCCCCCCCGCCCCCCCCATCTAAGTAGCCAAGACACATTCCGCGGAACCGGTGATTGGTGCTTCCCCGATCCGGGGGGGTTGACAGCGGATTTTCCTTGCTTTTACCCTTCTCCCCCTTGTTGTGCCGCGGTTTTTCCCTTTCTTGGATGCCGGTTTGGCAGCGTTGCAATCAAGTGGTCCCGGTTATTCGTCCATTTAGAGTCAATTCGCAATAAGCTGACCGTTACTCACGGCGCCCGTGTGGGCGCCTTAGTGTTGTTTTTACAGTGACCAAACAGGATATCGAAGAACATTTCAGCACCCATGGGTCTGGAAAGATCACGGAGATCAAGCTCATGAACGGCTTCGGCTTCATCGAGTACGAGGATGCGATGGATGCCAGAGATGTTGTTCCCGGTAAGGACCTCCGCCGACTTGCCTTGCGTCGAGTCGTAGCACCCTGCTAATGTGATTTCCTTCTAGCCTTCCGTATGTATTGACATCAGCGCCGATTTGAGGGCTCCAGCATTGACCTACCTTCCACGCAGATGGCAGTGATTTCAAAGGCGAGCGTCTCACCGTGCAATTTGCCCGTGGGCCCCGCCGCAAGGAGAACTTCCCTGGCCCAATGGATCGTCCTAACATGCCTCGGCCCCGTCGCACGATCTTTCGCATGTTGGTTTCTGGACTCCCGGAAACAAGTTGGCAGGTTAGCAGCCCAAGTCCCCTTTCCTCAGGATCCACCGGACGCCTCGCAGCTTGGCCGATATGTGCTGCTTGATTGTCTTTTCTGTTTCCTTGTACCCTCTCTGCATGTCTCCGCATGTCCGCGGCCCAAGGGATCCATGGCGACTATGATCGGCTCCTCTTGATGCCTGGGTCGTCACCAACCGCCTCCGGGCCATCCACGGTGATAGGAAGGCTGGATGGCTACCTCCCATTGTCGAGCCCGGCTCTGAGAGTCGGGAACCGAAGCTGGACGACCCTACCCAGGATGGAAGCCCCCAGTCACACGGAGCCCCCCCGCCGGATTTGTACTCTTTGGTTCATTCTCGGGCCTCCCTCACCGTATTTCATATTCCTACTTTTCCTTCACTGCCGCTTGGAGATGCCCGGATCCCAATATTTCACCTGGAAATGGACTCACACCATGGGGTTATCTAGGATCTCAAAGACTTCGCACGTCAGTCTGGCCTGGACGTGGTTTACTCTGAAACTGGCCGCGAGCTTGGCAGAGGGTGGGTCAATTCCTGAACTTCCTGGCACGCCTGGTAGCCCCGATTAACACGGAATCCAAGGTTCGTTGAGTTTGAGACCGCGAATGACCTGAAGACGGCCATCGAGAAACTCGATCAACGCGAGTTCAAAGGCTCCCGTGTGACCTGCATTGCCGATGTAAGGCCCCGTGGCAACTGACCCCGAACGGAACGAGACCCTTATGCAGTGTTTTAGATCCAGACTCATCCGGATGAGCGTGCCATCCGGGATCCCTACCGGGCTCGGTCCCCCCGTCGGAGCTACCCCCCTATGGAAGAGTACGACCGACGCTTCCCGGCCCCGCGCGGTTACAGTCCGCGGGCCCATTACCGGGAACGGTCCCCCATCCCCGTCCGCCGCGACTACTATGAACGGGATGGATATGGACGCCGGACTCCCCCCCGCCCTCGGATTGAAGACTACCCCCCTCCGCGTCGCCCCTATGAGGACCCGTATGATGTCCGGGCGCCCCCCCCTCCGCGCCATTATGAGGACCCATACGCCCCTCCCAGGCCTTATGGACGTCCCCGGAGCCCCCCGCGAGGCGAGTACATGCCTTATGACCGCCGCGCGTACTGGTAGAGTCTCCTGGCATGGGTTGTTCAGCTGTATTCCAATCAGCGCATGGCGGGATACCCATTGTGCGTTGCTTTTCCTTTGTCGTTCACCTTTGATTTTGTTCCCACTTGATGGCGGTCCAGGGAAGGTTCGAATCGCCGACTCGAACCGAGTCCCTGGACCGGGATACGGCAGAAAATACTATGCGGGGCGTCACCATGAGGAGATGGGGAGGGGGGAGACGAAAAACGGAAGGACATAGGTGCTTGCTTTGATTACTTGATGTGACCATGATCTCTAGTCCCGCTGGTCCCGGGCTGGGCCGGAAGGTTTCCCGTGGATCCCACTGTTTCGGTGATCTCTTTTCTTGTCTGGGCTGCTCACCCTCTGCACACACGAAGCAGCCTGCGGGATGTGGATGGTTCTTGACCTTTGCCACGTAATACCTCACGATGTCGATCATTTCTCCCTACCGGGCTATTATGTACATTTGGATCAACTCAAATCGCTTCCACGGATGGTTCGTGGAAGGCGCTAATTTTAATGTTGGGATCCTGTAGATGAGAATTGTAGGAATTGTATAGTGTGGCTCTCCTGCCGCTCCCCGCGCTAAGCCGAACCCCGCCATTGCCATCCGGTCGCGGCGAAATTTCCGTTCGTTGCACAAAGCCAGCCAGGCAGCTTCATCTCACCCTCCAGCCCCTGGAGCCACTCATCCTCGTCCCATCGATCTACGCGGAGGTGTGATTAACCTCCTGGTCTGAATTGTGGGTACTCCGCCCCCCAGTCCCCCGTACCAGACTCGCAATCCCCGCCCGTCTGGCAGTTGACGTCACGGCGGTCCCCAACCTCTGGGAGCTCCAGCTCCTCCCCACGGCCAGACAGCTAAGCTCCAGCTAACAGCTCCAGCATCCTTCCAGCTCCCACCCCCAGCCACCATGGCTAACGAACGCGTGAACGTCCACATCCCCTCCCACCCCGCAGTGCTCGATAGCGTGCGCCTGCGCAACATCCAGCTGCCTCTACCGGCCGCCCCGGACCCGTGGCACCGGCCGGGCAAATCGCAGCCCTGCACCGCCTCGCTGAAGCTCTCTTACTCCTCCGCCGTGGCCGCCGCCAATGCCGACGATGTCTCGCTCTCCCTGGACTACGGCAAGCTGTACCGCCGCCTCGAGGAAGACATCCACAACCTGGGCAAGCACCCCGAGCACCCGGGCCACCGCATGGTCAGCGTCGACGGCAGCCGACGCGACGAGATGCTGGGAAGCGATGTCGGACAGGACGTGCGACTGACGGCCGGCATTGTCGCCAACTGTGGCCTGGGACTGCTTGATGAGACGGCCGCCGGGGTGCGGCGGATGTCGCATATGCACAACTCCCAGCGGCGGAGCAGTGGCTCGATGGGTTCCCAGGTCCAGGCTCAGGCGGCGCTCTTCGGCCCCTCGTCGACCTCCCCCATCGACGGGGTCTTCGGGCAATGTGAGGTCTCCCTGTACCTCCCCAAGGCGTTGCTCCGGGCGGAGGAAGGGCTCAAGTACCGCAGTGTGACGGTGTGGGGATACCGCCAGGGACCCGACGCGGCGTTGGAAGACCCGGCCAAGTCGGAGCGGTGCCCCGTGGTGCTGGAGGAGGAGTTCCGGATCGATGGCATTCGATGCTACTGCATCCTGGGGGTGAACTCACACGAGCGGGTGGAAAAGCAGGCTGTTATCATATCGCTGGAGTTCAAGGGGCCCGGGCAGCTGCCGTGGGGGTCGACGGTGGTGGACACGTATCAGGCGATGACACGGGCGGTTGCTGAGGTGGGCTAACCCTGCTTTACCCCTCTGCTTGTTACTGAAGACGTGGCTAACTATTTTGTGTTTGTCTAGCGGGTCGAGGGAACCGCGTTCCAGACGGTGGAGGCCCTGGCGACGTTTGTGGCACGCATTGTGACGGTGGAGTTTGGCAACGAACGGGTGACGGTGCGGGTCGAGAAGCCCAGCGCGCTGGCATTTGTGGAGGGATCGGGGGTGGAAGTCACCCGGTCACAGGCGTTTTTCGAGGGCAGAGATGCATGATGTTGAGGTGGAGGCATAGGGATAGGGCATCATCGGTCTTTAGGGGTTTAGGTACTAGTCTACTCGGTACACTGCACACTGCAACTGCACACTGTGGTCCGTACACATTACTTTATCCCTCCGTACTGGCACGGGTCTCACCACGTCACTGTGCCCCTCTACACCCTGCTATACCTGGATATTACCCGATTGGGGCATCCGGGGCCATCCATGATTCCATCCAATGACCGCCACACGTGAAGCTGTCCGTCCCCATCGGGACTAGCGTCGCTTAGCACCGGCGACCGCTGATTGGCCCGTAGCGGGCGAAAAAACAGCGCGGGCCGGGCAGCCTCAGGCGCTCAGCCTTAACCGTCCGTCAATAACACTTCTTCGTCTTCCCTCCGCCCTCTTATTCCTTGTTTTCCCCCCCCCCTCTTCAAAAGGGTCCTCCGTCCTTTCTCCCCTCGGCTGCTCCCTCGCTGTGCCTTTGTTTCCACGCAAAGTCTCCAGGACTTTTTAATCTCTCCATCTTCGCCTTCTTCCACCTCACGACCGCTCCTCTATGTGCCTGTCTGTGCTGCCCACGCTTTCTTCGTCTTCCGTTCTGATCCACTCCGCTGGCTGCTCTGCCTATCCCCGCGCTCTCTCGCTGACGGCTCTCGACTCGGACTCGCTGTCCCTCGATACGCCCTCCTCGACTGGCTCCCACGCCGTGTCGTCCAACCCCGTCATCTCCGACACGGTGATCTGGCTAAGGGTCCATGGTCCGTCCTGAAGAAGGGCGGACGGTAAATCGGCGCGATCCCCGACGGTTTCCTCGGGCTTCCTGGTAGCGTTCCCTGCCGGGTGGGTGACCATCTCGGATTGCTTGCCATACAGATAGTGTACGTTGGGTGATAGTCTCAGGGCCCCTTACGCAAGAAGTGGGTGTGGTGTGTCAGGCTTCGAAACCTAATTTTCTCTCCGTGCGTCCTTAGATTCACAGATCGACCTGCCCCTGAGTTGTTGTCGATGCCTGGGCGCATCTGACTACCTTTGGCTTACGCATCGTGCTACCGCCACTCTCGTCGGACGCCGTAACGGACTAGATTATCTACAGGAGAGGCCCATGGAAGACTACGACAGAATGGATACCTCGGCGCATACCGGGCAGGATGACCTTTCGGTCGGGGACGTGTTTAGCCCGCAGGCCGACATGTCACATTCGTACAAGGAAACCACCTTCCACGACCCCCAGGATGCCGGATGTCGCACGAGTGCCCGCAGTCCCCAGCGCACGCAGGGCCCGATGACCAAGGGACTCGCGGTCCACGGAAATGCCTTTCCAGCGCCGGAGCTGAACGCGAACCCGCTGGCGGCAAAGGCCGACCGACGTAAGAAGAAGAAAAAGCACGCCGTCCATGAGGTCGCCCCCGTTATCAACACTGTGCGTGGGTTTACCCCGCGCGGCTCCGGCGATGAGGACTCGGACATGTCCGCTGCCAGTTCCCGTGCACCCAGCTCGCGGCCGCGAGCACCGGCTGGGGCGAATGGAGGTAGTCCGTTGATACAGCCGGCGGCGGCCTGTGGAGTGAGCGCCTTGAAGCTGCAACTCGATTCGATGAGCCTCACTGGCAATGGGAATGGGTCCCGGTCTGGCCTCCGCTCAGAGACCCCCAGCAACGCCAGTGTGTGTTCGGACAGTGACCAGACGGAGGTTCTGACCAGCTATGAGGTGCCCCTGGAGCACGACTACGTCAGCGCGGATGCAGCCGCCGAGGAGACCTCGCAGAACACGTCGAGTGTGCGGGATATGCGCACTCGGTTGTGCCGAAAGATGACCACCGATGACTTTGAGCCGCTGCTCTGCCTGGGCAAGGGGTCGTTCGGGACGGTCTTGCTGGTGCGCCACGTGCTCACCGGGAAGCTGTACGCGCAGAAGCAATTCCGCAAGGCATCGCTCACCGTCCACAAGAAACTGGTCGAGCAGACCAAGACCGAACGCATGATTCTCGAGAGCGTCAACCGCCATCCGTTCGTGGTCAAACTCTTCTACGCATTCCAGGACCACGAGAAGCTATACCTGATCCTGGAGTATGCCGAGGGCGGCGAGCTGTTCACACACCTGGCTCTGGAGCGCATGTTCGACGAAGACGCCGCCGCGTTCTACATGGCCGAGATGGTGCTGGCACTCGAGCATCTCCACCAGAACGTGGGTGTCATCTACCGCGACCTGAAGCCGGAGAACTGCCTGCTGGACAACGAGGGCCATCTGCTGCTGACGGACTTCGGACTCAGCAAAATCGCCCTGGACGACGACGACCGCTGCAACTCCTCGCTCGGCACCATCGAGTACATGGCGCCGGAGGTCATCCTGGCCAAGCCGTACGGCAAGGCGTGCGACTGGTGGTCCCTCGGGGCGCTGGGCTACGATCTCCTCACGGGGTCGCCCCCCTTCAAAGCGAACAACAACGCCAAGCTGCAGGAAAAGATCCTCAAGCAGAAGCTCACGCTGCCGTACTTCCTGGGCCCGGACGCCAAAGACCTGCTCATCCGGCTGCTGCGCAAGGAACCGTCGAAGCGGCTGGGATACCACATGCCCAAGGACCTGCAGACGATCAAGAACCACCGGTTCTTCCGCAAGATCGACTGGAAGGCGCTGGAGCGGCGGGAGGTGGCGCCCCCCATCAACCCGGTGGTGACCGATCCGGCGCTGGCGGAGAACTTCTCGGCGGACTTCACGCGACTGCCGCTGAGCCCGCGTGTGCACAGCTTCGACGAGCACTACGCGGCGGCGCGCTCGGGGGGGCTGCGGACGGGCCACGACGGACTGGGCGAGACGGCGGATCTCTTTGGCGGGTTTAGCTTTGTGGCTTCGAGCAGTTTGCTGGATAATGGGATTGGGGTGTAGATGTAGAGGTTTCCTGGTCTGAGTCCCGATGTTGGAAAGAGATAGATAGAATACTCCATGGTTGTCAGCAATGAGAGAGCGTTGGTTGTGCAGTGGTGTTATTTGCAGTTTGCAGTTTGCAGTTTACAGCGGTGTTACTGGTACTTTCCACGGCGGGAGTGACCAACCAGCTGCAGGTCTGTGTGATTGGATATTGACTCCGTACTATGTATTACTATGCACTGCCAACCAGCATAATTATGTAATTGACGGCATAACTGGGCAGCGTCGTCGCCAAGTACGGGAGTACGGGAGGAGTAGAAGTTGGTTTGGTTGCAACTTGCAACTTGCAACTTGCAACTCCCTCGAGCTTTACTCCACTCCCACTCCACTCTTCTCTTCTCTTCTCCTCCCCTCTCCACCGATGCGGAAGACATTCCACTTCCAGCAGCCAAGCAAGCCATCCCTCAGCCGAGGCGTTGCACCCATGGAACGATCATCCGATCTAGCGAATCTCGCAGGGCAATCATCGCCCTTCCTGGGCCGGTCCCTCGCCCTCCCTCGGGCCCCTCGTGGCCGACCAGTCAAAATCATAAAAAGGACTTGATCGGGCTCGATGGCGATGCTGACGCCGGCAACGTGCCTGTCACCCTCCTATCTCGATCCTCTAGCTATTCTCTGCATTCCTCATCCTCCTCCCGTATCCCTTGCATTCCTTCCCCCTCCCCCCCTACCCCTATACTTATGTCCACTCCATTTCTCTAGGTAGATAATCCTCACGCCATTGCCATGGCCGACAGGACTACTGCCCCCGAGGCAGAGGTGGATGCGGATGCGATTCCCATCCCCCCGGCCATCCAGGAGAAGGAGGAGAAGGAGGAGAAGAAGAAGACGACGGAGAAGACGAAGAAGCGTCGCATCCCCCCCTTTCTCGATCATTTCAATGCGCGCGACCTCAAGGTCTTCTTCCGCTGCTGGGTCGCCGCCTGGGTGGCCTGCCTGTTGATCTTCATCTATCCTTCGCTGAGGACCATCGGGACCGCCACCTTCTTTGCAGGGTACGTCCATCCGTCCCGTAACCACCGCGCTGGGACATACTGACTGCGGACAGTCTTGTTTTGATGTTCCTCCCCCCTTCCGGCATCCTTTTCATCTATCTCCTGGGGGCGGTTTCCCTCTTGATCGGTATCTTTCTGGCCTGGGCATGGGGTGTCATAACCATGAAAGCCGCCATGGCCGCCAGACCCGCCGCCGAAACGCAGGCCCGACTGCTCGCGCTGGAGAAGGTTGCCGTGGCCCAGGCCCAGAATTCGACCCTGTCCGTCTCCGACCTGGCCAAAATTTTGGTCTACGACGGGTATATGCTGGATGCCCGCGTCACTGCCGTGACCTTCTGTCTCCTCTGCGTCTTCATCTATCTCATGGTAGGTTGTTCCACTGCCAATTGCAGTGCCCAGACTGACAGACCAGGCGCGTCTTCGGGCGAGCAACCCCAAAGCAGCCTTCACGTCCATCTTTGGAATCATCATCTCCGATCTCTTCCTCAATTATACGCCCCTTCTGCCCTCGTTCTCTGGCACTTTGCCCCTGACGCTCGTCAAACCGGCGTTGATCGGAGTTGGAGTCGGCGTGGCGTGCTCGGTGCTCTTCTTTCCCCAATCGACGTCGCATGTGGTTTTGGATAGCATGGAGGACATCATCAAGCTCCTTCAAGCCCCCCTGGCGCTCACGGTGAAGACCCTCGGCACGGATGAGGAGCAGCGCGACCCGGAACAGCTCCGCATGGCCCAAACGCTCGTGATACAGAAGTACCGAAGCATGGGGCCCGCGCTGGCCTTCTTGCCGCTGGATTTCTCCGTCGGATGCTGGGGAGCAGAAGATGTCACTTCCTTCCAGGATCCCTTGCGAGATGCCCTCGCGGCTATCCTCTCCCTTTTGGAATTTCACATCGGCAGGGTCGCGGGTGAGGCGTTGAGCCAGGATGTGCTTCGGAAGTATATAGACGAAAAGCCCGACGATGACGACGAAAAGCGGACGCGCGAGGTCGGCGCGCACCAGCTCTCGCAGTTGGCGGAGCTGCTGCATGGATTCCGCAACCCGGACAGCCACCCGCTGCGCAAAGAGGTCCTCCGGGAGCTTCGGAAAACAAGCACCACGGCGGTGGACGTCTGCGTGAAAGGCCTGGACGCGGTCCGCGAGTGCATCCATGTAGTAAACTGTCGACGCTGGTTCGGACGGCCGTCCAAGGCCGAACGCGAGCAGCTGCAGGAGCGCTGCGATGGTGCCCTCGAGGACCTGCGTCAGGCCCGGGCCACCTTTATCAACAGCATCAGTGAGATCTTGATCAGGGAGCAGGAAAACCGCATGGGCGACCAGCCCAGTCACTTCCGGCCCCTCATGTTCGCGATGGTGTTCGAGGAGCTTATCTCCAACTCAATGCAGAAGACCGAGGCCCTCCTCGTCCGAGTATCCGAAGCCTTCCAGCAATCGACGAAAGTCCGCATCTACTGGCCCACCCGGTTCCGATACGCCGCGGCTTGGGCTTCCGAGAAGGAAGTACAAGCGCCAGGGTCCCAGCCAACGGAGGACGACCCCGACCGCGACAGCGTCGACGACGTCACGAAAAGCGCACAGGAAAGGCTGCGGGCCACGCGTGGGTATCGCACCCGACAACGCCATCCCATCAGTCGTGCCATCCTGGGCACCTACCACTGGTTTACTTGCGACGAAGGCCTCTATGGCCTGCGTATGGTCGTCGTCACCATCGCTCTGGGCATCCCCAGCGCGATCCCGAGCAGCGCGGGTTTCTACTTCCGCGAGAAGGGCCTGTGGGCGCTGATCATGGGTCAGACGGGACTGCTCGTCTATATGGCCGACTTCACTTTCTCCGTGATTTCGCGACTGACCGGGACGGTGATCGGTGGCGTGCTGGGCCTGCTGACCTGGTATATTGGCTCTGCGAACGGGCCGGGTAATCCGTACGGATTGGCCGCCATTACCGCCGTGATGCTGCTCATACTGGTCTGGGTGAGACTGTACCTGCCACCCCTTCTGCTCCAGGGAGGGATCATGGGTGCCGCCACCTTCCTGCTCGTCATCGCATATAGCTACGACGATACGTGAGTTTTTCTCCTCCCTCTCAACCGCAACCGCAACCGCAACCCAACTAACCCACCCAGCCACATCCCCCAATACGGCAACCCGGGCGTCGGCTACAACGTGTTCTGGCGCCGTCTCGTGCTGGTCCTCGTCGGCGTCGCCGCGTCCGCCATCACCCAGCTCCTCCCCCGGCCCCCCTCCGCATCACGACACATCTGCAAGAGCCTCTCCCGATCCATCCGCACGCTCTCAACACACTACGCGCTCTTCCTCTCCGTCTGGGCCAAAGGCACCACCGAAGGCCGCCAACTCGCCGAGCCTCTCGCACTGCAACTTGCCGAATCGCTCGTCGCGCTTGACGGGCCCACCCGGCTCCTCAAATTCGAGTTCTCCAGCTCCCGCTTCGACAGCGCCTCCCTAGCCACAGTCAACCGAATCTGCCGCAGCCTCAACCGCCACCTCGCCCGTCTCCTCCTCCTCTCCGCCTCCCTACCCCACGAATACCAAGACCAACTCGCCCGACAGACAGGCCTCCGCGACCACCGCGTCATCGGCCAAGTCATGGCCGTCATGGGCATCTGCGAACAGGCCCTGAAGACGGGCGACGCCCTGCCCGAGATCCTCCCCACTCCGCTCGTCAAGCAGGCGGTCGAGAACTGGGCGTGCGGACGCTCCGGCGAGATCATCTCGAGCGAGATGATCCGCGATGAAGGGTACCGGCGGTTCTGTGTCGCCGCGAGCGCGTACTTCGGGTTCCTGGGTACGGTTGATGAGCTGGTGTTGGTGCTGAAGGGTGTCTTGGGTGAGGCGCATCTGGTGGGGAGGGAGATGAATTGGTTGTTGGGGGATGTAAATGGGGGTGTGTGAAGACGAGGACGAGGACATTCTAGAGAAGTACCAGATAGTGCGGAGGGGTACACTAGAGTACACTAGGGTAGATCAGACTAAAGTAGCGTATATATAGTAAGTAGACTAGACTAGACTAAACTAGAGTAAAGTAGATCTGCTACCGATTACCGATACATATACCATACTATACTAATATAAACATGACGCATATCATACAATTCATACCTACATACCTACCATTCTTTGTCCATACTCAGCACACCCCCCTTCCCTCCCTCCCTCCCTCCCCTTGCCTATGCAGTCATGACAGAACACTTACCCTATAACGCAGTAACCAGACCCTCTGCCATCACAACAGGTGCTGTGGTCTAGTGGTATGACGTCACGTTGTGGCCGTGCCAGCCCCGGTTCGATTCCGGGCAGCGCCAATCATCATTTCTTCATTATCTTTTTGTTTTTATCTTTTGTCTGTCTTTTGTCTGTCTGTCTGGCTGGCTGCATGTGTGTATGTGTATGTGTATGTGTATGTGTATGTGTACGTGTACGTGTACGTGTACGTGTACGTGTACGTGTACGTGTACGTGTACGTGTACGTGTACGTGTACGTGCACGTGCATGTGCATGTGTATCTATTCATGTGTATATGAGTACTATATAAGAGAAAAAGGCAGGAAAGGAAAAATCCAAGAGGGAAACGGATGATTTGGCAATAACTACTCTCATCGTGCGAGGGGAGTATAAGTAGTAAGATGTGACGTGACGGGGTTGAGTCGAGCTAAGCGCCTAAGCAGCAATACGCCGGCGACAAGACTAGTTAGTGAGGTAGTATCTATCTTAGTATCTATACGGGGGTAGAAGTACATACTTATTTACTTAACTAGTAAGTAGGCCTTGGCTAACCTAGGCCTTAGGCCTAGATCTAGATCTAACTAGACCTAGACCTACTTAACTAGTTAGCACTTAGGGGGCGCGGAGGTGGGCGGTGAGAGTGAGAGTGAGAGTGAGAGTGAGAGTGAGAGTGAGAGTGAGAGTGAGGGTGAGAGTGAGAGTGAGGGTGAGAGTGAGAGTGTACACTCCCAGGACCAGCGAGGATATTTCTGTATAACCCAAGTTGAATCCATGATGGCCACCTAGTAGGTAGGTAACCAATACTGTTGTATAGGGATAATTTGCTAATATTATATATATATATATATATATATATATAGTTAGTCTAGTAACTTGCGTTGAGTATTTTTACGGATCCTATTTTATGAGGGTGTAGCGATTGTATGAGGTATGTAAGTAGCCCTTCTGTAACAGTATCATATGATGAATGGAATGGTTGGTAGGCCCTATGTAGCGATCTATTCTATGCTACAGAGTATACGGAGGTGGGATAAGAGATTGAATGAGGAGGAAGGTATGAGCTGGTACTATATAGTTAGGTAGGTAGGTAGGTAGGTGTATTGCTAATTCTTCATCCACACATGCATGCATCTATTTATCATCCATCGCTCTCTATCTTCTTTGATTTTTCTTCTTCTTCTTCTTCTTCTTCTTCTTCTTCTTCTTCTCTGTGCTCTCTACCGGGGTAGACAGACTGCTGTAGTTGTGATATATCATGGTGAGATAGACCATCGCAATATAGAAACAGACAGATAAACGTGACGATATAATTTCAAGAGAGAGATATATCGAATATCAGGGATGAAAGTGATAGTAGACATAAGAGGGTCTTAAACTCTTGACGAGCAAGTACAAGTACAAGTGGAAAAGGAAATGGGAAATAGGAAAATATAAATCGAAAAATTGAAATAGGAAATAAGAAAATATGAAATAGAAAAAAAGAAATAAGAAAAATAGGGAATGTAAAAGAGAAAGTACAAAAATAACAATAGAAAAACAGGGAATAAGAAATAAAAGATAAGAGAAGAGAGAGTAGGAAAATAGGAAATAGGAATAAAAAATAGAAACGTAGGGAATAGAAAATAAGCAACAAGGGAAATTAGTATTGAAGTCGAGCACAAGCACCTTCAAATAAGAATGTGGGTAGAAGATCGTAATAAACTGGGTATTTGTAGATCAATATGTAGGTAAGTGGATGGGGAATGTATCCTTGTACATACAGACATGCAAAAGGTAGTGGTGAAATACCGTGAAGGTGATAAGAGCCGAAGGCTATCTCTAGCTGAATTAATTAATCAATTCGAGGCATGAGTCTGTCCGCGCGAGAGCAAAACTAGGCTCTCACCATGTATGAGGCCATAGTCTATGCTGAAACAGACATCTGGATGATACAGTAAGATCTCACTATCGGATGACCAGCCTCACTGAACAAGGTTCATTGAAACGCAGCATCCACCGTACTAAACCCCGTGACGTAGGGAAGTTCCCCCGGCGTGTTGGCATAGATAGGCACCTGCACCGAGGGCAAATCTAACGGCACGGCAGGGGTATGCACCGGATCTGGGGCGGGAAGCGTCACCGTCAGCGAGGACGATCTGCGGTGGTCAACGGCAGGGGGCACAGGCGCGGGCGCAGCGCCAGCAGCGCCAGCCGCAGGAGTAACAACAGTCATGCCGTCCCAGACGGGTGGAACGGATTGTTGGAGATCGAGTTCCTGTTTGTATTTCGAGAGACGATGGAACCGGTCCTTGACAGTGCGCCAGCGCCAGTCGGTGAGGAGAGTATCATCTGCGAAAAGCGAGTCAAGTTTCGTGGCCAGCCCCAGCAGACGAGCGAGGCCCTGGAGGACAGGGGGCTCCCAGCACTGCCATTGCTTGTGGGACAGGGAGAAGAGGGTGTCGATGGCGCTGCCGCAGGCCTCAAGACCGGCCATGTAGGAGCGGACGTAGGACTGGGTGCTGGACGGGGTGAGGGCGGCGGTGGAGGAGGGGAGGTTGGCGAGGACGGGGAAGCTGTGGGAAAAGAAGGAGATGCAGTCGGTGAGGCTCTGGACGAGGTCCACCGTGACGGCGATGGCGTCCATGCCCATACCCATGTCCATGCGCGGGAAGAGGAGGTGGATGAGGAGCGTGCGGTAGGCGGTTAGGATCCAGGTCTGGGCCTCGCGGTCCTCCATGTTGGCCTCGATAATCTGCACGTTGCGGGCGAGTACGGCGCGGGCCTCGCCGCAGAGGTTGCCCAGGTCGACTTTGTAGAGCTGGATGTTGCGAAGTTGCTGGTGCAGCTGGGTTTGCCAGGAGTTCTGCTGCGAGAGTGGCGACTCAGGGGCGTTGGACCGCCGCGGGCAGATGGAGTTGAGGTGCACGACGGCGGAGGTGATGTGGCTGATCGTCCAGATCTCTTGGATCCAGGCGCTTTGGTGGGGGAGGGTGGAGAGGTTGTCTGCTGCCCTGTCGAGGCGCAGGATCAGGGAGGCGTGCTTGTTCATGGGCGGGTGGGCGTTCATCATGGCCAGCGCTGGTAGGCTGTCGTCCACGATCTCCAGGTGCGTGAAATACCATACCATCAGGGCCAGCGTCATCCACCCGAGCACATGCATCATCTCCAGCTCGATCTGCACCAGGTTGATGCCGTTGATCTGCCGCACGTCTCGCGAGGACCGCGCCAGGGTGTCCATAGTGAGCCGCGTCACCGTGCGATTGGCGTAGATGCTGTACGCCAGCGCTTGAAGGTCGTTCCCCTGGCACGTTTCATGCCACGCCAGCAAGCTCAGGGCCTGTGCCGTCGAGAGGTCAGACGAGGCGGTCGAGATGTACTGCAGCCGCGACGAGGCCCATCGCATGAGTTTCTCGGATTCCGCGATCGCCTCCACGTCCCCGAGTTCCAGCTGAGCGCCCCCCAGGATGACCGCGAGCAGGAGAGGGTCGTAGGAGTTGCCCCGGACGGCGCGCAGCAGGAGCGTCTTCGAGAGGGCGATTGACAACGGGTGCGCGGCAAACCACACGTCGATGAGCTGGGTGATGCGGTAGCTGTTGTACCCGGCGAGTGGCGCGGGCTCGAAGGCTTTGGACGACCCGTCTGGGGTGGACGCCCCGGAATGTTTCCAGGACTGAGCCTCGTCGGGGAAGAAGGAGAGACAGTCGAGACTGCTGAACCGGGCCACCGTGGCATCCACCAGATCCTGGGTGAGGACCATGACGAGATCGCGATAACCAAGCTTGGGCGCCCCCAGATGCAGCGACCCGGTGCGAGTCAAGGGGAAGCCGTCCAGGCTATGGCCATGCAGCTTCTCCCGGGTCTCGGTGGAGACCTCCAGCAGCGCCTCGGCGACACTTTTGAGACGCGGAGAAAACAGCTGACCGGCAGCCCCGGTCTCGGACGGACTGGGGGGCGAGGTCCAGGGGGTCTGCTTCATGATGGGATCGGAGCCAGTTTGCCTGGCGACTGGACGGTGGCCCGAGCGAGCGCCAGTGACGCGGGGACGGCCCTTGGGGCCGCCCTGGTCGTAGAGACATTCGATCTGACGGTCCTTGCAGGCGCTGCAAACGCTGGCGCCGGAGCAGCGCAGCTTGCGACTGCGGCAGAACCGACAGCTTCGTCGCCGGTCCGTCGCGGGAGCCGATTCCATACTGTACCGCCGACAGTAGTCTAGAACTTTGACAGCAGGGAGGTGGTGGCTCCGTGGCTTCGAACGTGGCATCGTGGAGGGTTTTGTTGCCGGACGAGCATTCTCGGGATTCAACATGGTGTAGAACCGTCAAGCAGGACCCAACAGGCTGGAGCGGCGGAGCGGGTCGTGATGTCAAACATTCCAGCGGGAGAGACCATGGAACGAGGCAGCCTGACGGATCCAGCTGCCATCAGCCAGCCACTCCCTCGAGGAATCCGGCAGTCGACGGCATTCGACAGGTATGCATGGGTGCAGCAGTAGTATGCTGGACTTATTATCCGAAGCACTGCACTTTTCCCCCCCTCCGACAAGTTGACAGGGACAGGAGATTGAATGCCAAAACATATTTGGCAGGAGGTGAAGTATTTGTCACGATTGTTCAGAGTCGAGAGAGTGGTGGGTGAGGAAAGAATGATGGACAAGACAAGACAAGACAGGAAAGGAAGGTCCGGACAGCTGCCAGCCTGCCAGGCAGTGTCAATGTGAATGGCCAGACCCGGCCGTCTCAGACGCATTCAGCAGCCCCCGACAGCCAATCAGCAGCCAGAAGGGTAAAGGGTCCGTACCACACCATCCCCGATGCGGCCAGTCTGGGGGTCCCCCGTGGCCCGAACAGGCCTAGCGGCATAGTGCCCACGACTAGCCGGATGTCGTTTCCACCAACCGGTAGCGACCCTAAGTTGACGGCCCGTTGGCGCAGCAAGGGACGCCCCAGGAATATGTAAGTACTGAGTAGTACTGAGTAGTAGATACTGAGTAGTAGTGGTAGACTGGTAGTATCCGGGTAGTAGGTAGGTACATACGATAAGGCGCATGGTCTACGTGGCCCGGATCAAGGCATGTTGCGGGTGGGAGATACCTAGATAGATAACCGCAGGCGTGGTAAATAAGAATACATGAGGAATCCCACCCCCCCCCCCCTCCATATCCCCCGATTGGGGGCTCCAATTCTTCCATGCTGATCGCTCTAAGACAACAGAATGACGATGGGAATAGTGATAATAATAACTGCTTATCGATATTAATTACATGTCGGGTTCGTCGCAGATATCTGTCTCTCCCGTGCAAGTTATGTGGCGTGGCCGTCCGGCCTCCTCGTTCATTTAACAGCCCGCCGTCAGTCGGAGGTTAATGGGGAATGCGTGCGTGCATTTCCGCGGTGAGGAGGACAAGTATGTATGCAGGTATCGGCGGCTCCTTCCTGCGCAGCCGAATGTCCTTGGTTTTCGCTGGCCCATGCGGGATACAGCGTCGGTGGGCTCGGGGAGGGTGGTTGATTGGGCTCGGGGAGGGGTGGGGTATGGGGGTTCGTCGGAGGAGCGGAGAGGAAGGTGACCACCCTATAACTCGCCCTCTTCACTGCCACCGCCCTCATCGTCCCGGTCAGGCGCCGGGGGAGGCGTCGGCTGCGCGGGGGGTTGGGGCTCCTCTTCCGGGGGTGGTGGCGGAGGTGGCGGAGGTAAATGCTCCGGGTGCGAAGGCTCATCCTGCGACGGTTGCCTGCCACCGGTGGAAACGGACGGCCGTCGTCGTCCCGAGTCGGGCTCAGTATCTCGGTCGCCACGATGCCGATCTGGATGGCGCCGGTCCGTTCTGCCAGAGACGCCTTGAGGAGGCATGTTTTGTTGCACAATCTCGTCGATCCGTTGCTGGATGGGGTCGACTGGCATCCCAGGTTTCACTCCCTCGGGCCGGCTGCCACTATCACGCCGAGAGAACGGTCGAGGCGCGGGTGGTAACGGATGTGGGTGCCGGGGCTGCGGGTATGGCTGCGAATGCGAGGGAGGAACCGGGGGGCCATGTCCATTTGCAGAGTGGCGCTCGTGCGAGAATGATGGCCCTCCGCTGGTGGCGGGCGCCGTGGACGGCCCGTGTGAGGAAGTCGGATTCTTCTCGGGGGGGCCCCCCTCGGAATCTTTGCGTGGTCGCTTGGGGGATCGTCCCCCATTCAATTTCGGGTCTGGGTTGGGCGAGTCGATCGAGTCGTTGAAGGAGTGGGCGTGAGTCTCCTCGTCGGGTTCCCTCGAGCGTTTCCGTCCGTTGACGAGGTCCGCCTCATGCGCAGAAGTGCCCGCCGGGCCGCCCGCGTGCGGGATCCTGGTCTTCTCAGTACCCTCGTCTGCGCTGATGGGGGTGGTTAGGTAGTACAGGTTTCGTTTCTGCAGCGCATTGTTTTCATAGAGCTTGGCCATTCGGGCACACGCGCGACGCACCTGAGCCAGGTCTACATCGAGCTGCTCCCACCACGGGCGGCCGAGCACGTCGTCTTCAAACCCGATGTCACAATGCCGGGCGGCAGCGTACAGAGCGGCGGCCGCAATGGTGCGGGCTGTGAACTGCAGGCAGAGGGCGGTGTATCCGGAATCGTTGACAAAGGCCCATGCGGCGTTGCGGAGCGGTTTGTGATCCTGCATGCCGAGAAAACAGATGAAGTCGTAGAGGATGCGGTACGGTTGCTCCAACTGCAGGTCGAAGCAAAGCGCCTCCAAAAGGACATCTTCGTGGACCAAAATGTTGTCGCGCCATCGCCAGAACTCCTTGGACTGCTCGTCCACCTCCAGGTTGGGCTGTTTCTGACCCACTCGACAGCACGCTATCACCAGCTCCTTCATCCGCCGCACGTTCTCCTCCACTTTTGTAGCCAGGAAAAGCGACGTCGCCGCGGTCGTATACGGATGCATCCCAGGCCGCTGCGGCAGATCAACCATGCTGTATCGCATGTAGAATCGATGGAAGTAGACGGCGGCGGTGGCGAGAGTGAGTTGCGGTAGCCTGAGCAAGAGACCCACCTGAGAGATAAAGTTGACGCCCTTGCTGCGACTCGTGTGTTCGGCCTCCATGGTCATGCCATCCAGTTGCGATGGTGTCCGCGTGAGCTCCTCATCGGTGAACAGCCAATGCGCCTGTGTCGCAAGGAGAACGGGGTTCGATGGTGCAGGCACCGGCGGTATTTCGGCGGATCGGGCTGCTGGAGACGCCATATTGATTCCAATTCTCGATACTCTGTAGGGTGGTCAAATTCTAGCGGCGTAGAGCACCGTCCGAATGGAGAACAGAGGCGGGGGGGGGGGGCGGTAATGAAAGAGTTGGAAAGGAGCTTGCGGGCGAAAGAGACGGGATCCGGTGAAGACGTGGAGCCGCGTGTGGAGATCACGCTGGGCCGGTGGATTGGATCGACCTCCTGCAACTCTTTCGTACTTTTAGTACATATCACCGGGGTTCGAGATGTTAACGGGGCGTGTTAATCATGGCGGAAGAGGCCCTGCATCGCATCGGAGCCGATTCTTCGGGGGGGGGGGGATCTAGGCCACTCGCACCACAGCAGAGAGGAAGGTGGTGGAAGGTGGTGGAAGACGGCGAGGGGAGAGTGATCGGAAGGAGCTTGCAGACCGAAAAGGTCGGTGGGAGAGAAGCGGGTGGAGAGGGAGGATCGATTGAGGCCGTTGAGTCTGGGGAAGAAGAAGGCCGGGCCAGCTCCTTTCCAGCCGTGGTTTTTCTTGACTTCCCGCCGCCCAATGACGATGCGCCCCCGGATCATTTGTTGTTCCGGCGACGGATCGCCGGTGTTACTACGAGCAGTAGAGCATTACACGGAGATTACACCAAGGTCTGAAGTGTGAAGTGTGAAGTGTGAAGTGTGACTGGAACAGCGAATATGGTATCATCGCTCGCCAGAATTGATAATCGATCATTGTAGGACTTCGCCGCGTCCTGATGCCAAAACTCCAAACGGCGCCATGCTTGTATATAGACCGGATTCAAAGACCACAGCATAATTATTCAACACAAATGCGACAGGTAACAACGACAACAGAAGCATACATTACTCCTCCTCACTCACATCACTCTCGTCTTCACTAACAACATGATACTGGTGGGACGCCGGGTGCGAGTGGGATTGCTGACTCCGAGCCTCCTCTTCTTCCCGTGCACTTTCCTCAAATGCTGCCTCCATCTCGGCCGCCAAGGCATCATCATCATCCTCCTCATCAACATCCTCATCGTCCATCGTGATCGCAGGGCCATGGCCCATGTTTGCCGACACCGCGGGCGCCCCTCCGTGTCCAGCCGGAGATGGGAGCCGCAGGGCCTCGATGTCCTCGTCGTCCTCATCGTCATCACCGTCGTCGCCATTCGCGGGGGTGTTGTTTGAGGAGAAATGGGCAGGGTTGACCTTGAAGGGACGAGACGGGGGCGGAGAGCCCATGTCGATGATGAGATCGCCGTCGATGATAATGTTCGACCCTGGTGACGGAACGGTTGTTTGAGCAGACACGGCACCCGGGCCGATTTCAGGGGGGGGAGCCCTGGATGCCTCCGCCGGGGGCTCTTTTTCTTTTGTCTTTGGTTTTCGGTCCTCGCCTTTCTGCGTTGTGCGAACTGGAGACTTGGGCCGCGCCTTGGTGGCTGTTGGCTTGGGTTGTCTAACCTCAGGTTTCTTCTTCGACTGGACGGGGGTCGGTCGGCTCTCCGGGCGGGGTCGAGGGCTAGGGGTGGGTTTCGTCGCGGGCAGCAATGGAGTATCGACCTTGCTGGTGTGGAAGTGGATTTCCGGTGTTTTGTCCGAGCCCGACTTCTCATCGTCAGCACTCTCCTTGGGAAGGAAGTGGCGGTAGTCGTAAGGGTTGCTGTCATCGGCTGGGCCGTCATCGTTGCCGCTCGCCGTGTCGGAAGCCCGGTCATCACCCGAGCCATGGTCATCCTCCTGCAGTGTCCGCAACTGTGCATGCTGCTCGAGCACCTGCTTCTGTGATTTTGCGGGGGCAGAGCGGAGGTTGAAGTTGAGTTGCGTTGCGACCGGCTCCAACACAAACACTTTCCGCGCCGCATCGAAGACCAAGACCAGATTGTGTTCCCCCGAATCCGAGACCGCTTGCGCAGGGTCCACGCTGCCTTGATACGAGTAGGTCAGGACGTTGCCGGTGCTCGGGGCTTTATCGGTGATCGTCAGATTGTAGCGGTCTCGGGATTGCCGGCTTCGGGTGATTCGTTGCCGCGCGGTCGCAGATTTGGTTTTATAATTATACTGGACGTTGACCAGTGGCGACTGAGAGGCGCCATTTCGTCCGGCTAGTCTGTCGCCCAGGACTATCGGGTACTCGGCTTGTTTGGTCGGATCGATCAATCCGCCGGTGGAGAGAGCGGGGGCCGCCATCGGGGGTGGAGGTTGGAGACAGGGGAGAGGCGGTGGTCGAGGTGGTCGAAGAGGGCGTCCACTATAATATGTATGGTCTTTCTTTTATTTTTCTTTTATTTTTCGAACATTCAGGGGGGTATATATGCCAGCAAATCACTGCACGCAAGGGAGAATGTCACACAGCAGCAGCAGCAGCAGTAGCGACGGCGGCAGTCGAAGGGGCCAGAGCGACCGGGGAGCCAGCACCGGTCATGCAGCGGCAACTATATAGCGGAGAGGGGGGTATATAGGTGGAGGAGAGGCAGAGTATGCCAATGGAGGAAGAAGGGGGGGGGAAAGTGTCGAAGAGGGTCGAGGGAGGGTCGAGGGAGGGTCGAAGGAGGGAGGAGAGGAGGAGGAGCGAGGATGACGGACGGACGGTCCAGAAGTCCGGCCGGGCGACGGACAGCGTTGGACGGCGGCGGCCATCCCCCTTCGGGTTAGAGTGGCCCGGGTGTCCCGACTTCCCCTTTTTGGGAACAAAGGCGCCCATCCCCTCCAAGACAATGAAGGGAGAACGAGAGAAAGAGGGAAAGAGAGAAAGAGGTGTCGTAATGGTCTTACAATCCCCTGGGTATTCCCCATCTCCTAAACGGGTGAGGCAATTCGCAAGGTTGCCTTGGACGAGGCCCCCGCCGTTGCACCACCGCCCGTCAGCTGCTCCAATCGCCCTGCCAAGGCTCGGTGCTTCCGTGTCACCTCCTCCCACTCGTAGGCCAACTCGTCCTCGTCGTCGTTGTCCGCGTCGCCCAGCTCGGTCAGGATCATGCCAAAATCCCCTCCCAACCGGCCGAGACTGGCGGCACAGTACAGCACTTGCGTCAGGAGACTTTCCCGGGAACTCTTGTCCCGCACGTTGGGGAGATACATGCGCAAAGTCTCGGTCAGTAGCTGGATCAGGTGCATGGGAAAGGTTGCCAGGGCAGGGGGAAGGCATTGTAGCGGATCTTCTTTGCGAGCTGGCCGCGAGACGGCCGCTTTGACTCGCGCGTCGATACCCCGTAACCCTGCCACCGCGAGCTCGGATTCGGACTGGTCCGCGGTGAAGATATTTTTGTACAGGGAGACGATCGCAAAACTCTGTTCGCGGAAGATCTCGATATACCGCTTCAAGTATTTCTCCGTCTGGTGCCCTTCGGACCAGGCTCCCGTCGCGCCGTTCTTTGGGTCCGCATGCTGAGTTCTGCGCTGCGTCTCCTGATCGGCCAGCTCTCGGAGAGGATCCAGGGCTTCCAGCATAGTTATCAAGTTTGCCAGCCGGCAGATGAGGAAGATGGCGCCAAAGGCCCCCTCCCCAGAGCCCGTCGATCCATCTTTCTGAAGGTTATCTAGCTCCGGCGCCACCCTCCGCAGCCAGCCAACGGTCCTCATTGCAGCGGCCAGTCGAAGGTTCTGTGCCCGGAGGCCCGCGATCAGGTTGGATGTCATGTCCTTCATCGCGTCCTCCGCCTGGGAGACCACATCCTTAATGAGCGGAGATTCGGGGTAGAGGGTTTGTAAGCGTTTGATGTGTGCGTATAAGTCCAGTGCCGTGGAGTACGTGGTCGAGCTGCCTGTGGCCCCCGAGCTGGCCGCGGCGGACGAGACAGCCGTCGAGAGAAGCGTCGGAAGCTCCAAGATATCGGACAGCCGGTCGACATTGCGGGCCAGCTGCATCACCTTTTTCCGGCGCTCCAGGGCAACATTCTCTGCTGCTCTGCTGTATTTGGACGAGAAGCGAACGGTCTCCTCATCGAGTCTCGGGATCGCATCGCGGAGTTGGTGTGCATCACGGGTCAATTGGGGGATGGAGGTGCGAAGGTTGGACAGGCTGTCAGCGGACGCCACGAAAGCTTTGTGCGAGCGATTGGATAAGGCCTGGAGAGAAAGGAGAGTTGAATGGGACGACTGAGCCAGGGACTGGGACTCCGTGGACTGCAATGCTTGAAGGGAGAGGGTGGGGAGTCGATTCAGGTACTGGGTCGTGGTGATGTCGCGTTCGGGGTCGCGGGGGTGGAGGAGGCCTCTGTCGAGCAGGCCAAGCGAGGGGTCAATAGCTCATAGAGATAGTCGGCCATGGCTGGAGTTTGGTGTCTCTGGGATTTGGCTGGGACCCGGGGGAGGGGAGGGGGGAAGGTCGACAGGAGATGGGAAGCAATTGGGGAAAGAGGAACGGGCCAGATTTGTTGGCCGCCCGGCGATGCGATACGGGCAGCCTTTGAGGCAACTGGCGAAATGTTGGCAGTGAACACACCAAGCTCCTTCGCGATGGAAATGTGTATGGCAGTAGCTGTAAGGAGTACAGCTATACCTACCTACCTACCTACCTACCTACCCTAATGCTCCATAATACTCTGTGTCTACTACTAGGTGGCTAAATGTGTAGATAGTAAGTTACCCAACTTACCGAACAGTACGAAACTGACATCATTCAGCGCGCTAGCCCGATCCAGCCCTTCCCCCCCAGCTCCCTCCAATGGCGGGCCCGCATTGCAAACCCATCCGTCTCTTTCCATCTTCCATCGCGGCTCCCTCCTCCCCTCATTCCCTCCTCCCCTCCTCCCCTCCTCCCCTCACCCTCCAAAGTCAGGCTCAGTCCGTCGGTGTAGAGATCCGATAGTAGCTATATTCTTGACCCACATCGCTGTTATCGTGGGGGTCTTGTCTTGTCTTCTGCTCTGCTACCCCCTTCGGAACTAGCGCTTGTACTTCCCCCTCACCCACCATCCCCCCCCCCCCCCCCCCCCACTTCTCCTTTGTACTGCATGCAACAAGCTACAGCAGCAACTACTAATCATGGGGAAACCCCGGGTGAGTTTCCCTTTCTCAACCTGAGATATACCTGAGCTTACAGTGATGTCTCCACCAGATGATCATCTTGATCCGCCATGCGCAGTCGGAAGGAAACAAGAACCGCGAAATCCACCAGACTGTCCCCGACCATCGGGTTAAACTCACTCCCGAAGGCCTTCGTCAAGCACAGGAAGCCGGCTCCAACCTGCGGGCGCTTCTGCGGCCAGATGACACTATCCATTTCTTCACCTCACCGTACCGTCGCACTCGAGAGACGACGGAGGGCATCCTTCAGTCCCTAACTTCGGACTCCCCAGCTCCGTCCCCGTTCCCGAGACATACAATCAAGGTCTACGAGGAACCCCGGCTACGGGAACAAGACTTCGGGAACTTCCAGCCATGCTCGGCGGAGATGGAACGTATGTGGCTGGAGAGAGCAGACTACGGCCACTTCTTCTACCGGATCCCCAATGGCGAGTCTGCCGCGGACGCCTATGACCGCGTCAGTGGGTTCAACGAATCGCTGTGGCGTCTGTTCGGAGAGGACGACTTCGCCAGTGTCTGCGTGCTTGTCACCCATGGGTTGATGACGCGGGTCTTTCTTATGAAGTGGTACCACTGGAGTGTCGAGTACTTCGAAGATCTTCGCAATATCAACCACTGCGAGTTTGTGATCATGAAACTCAATCCGGACAACGGGAAATACGTTCTTCAGAACCAGCTACGCACGTGGTCCGATCTGAGGAAGGAGAAAGAGCAGGAGAAACAGCATGAGCGAGCAACCAAGGGGCTGGCCCCAGCACATTTGACACAGTCTGAGACATCCATCCCTATCAGACGCAAATGGGGCGGTTGTCCAGATGGGTGCAACCATAGCACCCGACGAAAGAACTCCTTGCGCTCATCTCGCGTACACACGGCAGATCATCCAAAACATCACCATGACTCTCACCCCAAGAAGACAACAAATGACGTGAACCACGGCCACCCATTCCAGGAGAACCACGACGGCCACTCCACCCCAGCAACTGAGACAACCACCCAGGCAGAGCCACACATGCTCAGGGCTCCAGAGCCCGCCTTGGGAGACCGCTCAAGTGACACAAGGCCGTTGGAAAAAACCCTCTCCTCTCCGTCTCAGCAGTACGGGTTTCACGGAGTCCAGCTAGATGGCGCAACCACGACCTCCACCCAGGCCACCCTGTCGACCCTCTCAACACCCGATGCATCCAACAAAAGTGCCAACTCCTCGAAGCCTCCCCCACCTTCGACCCCAAGTCCAATCCCTAGCGCCATTCCCCGTCGCCCCGACCTCCTCAACTTCCACCGCGACAGCGAAGACCACCTCCTCCACCCCCCACGCTCCAACTACGCCTACATTCACCTCGTCGGCCGCGACGGCGGCGGCTCCCTTAGCGGCGCGAACAGCCTGGCTCCCTCTGAAGACGAGCGCGAAGACAAGCCACAGCCAAGCACACACTCACACCCCCATTATACCCACCATGCTCACATCCAGACTCAAGCTCACGTCCACACCCGCCCCCGATCTATCTCCAACTCTCACCAATCCCGACCCTCACAAGACCTAGACAACGACGGCGATGACGAAGGCAGCGGAAAGCCATCTGCCCGACCACGACGCACACGATCCCACAACCATCATCACCGCCACCTCCCAACCCCAGGACGTCGGAACCTCACTAAGCGCGTCGCCAACATCCTCAGCAACGACAACGCCGATCAAGACGGATTAGAAGACGAACCAGAACCTCTCGATCCTTCAGCATCACAGCAGACCGATCATGATCAATTTCCCGAGTACGACCATCTTCACGACCGACATGAACATGAACATGAACATGACCATGACCATGATGAGCACGAACATGAAGCCGACTATGACCATGACCACGACCACAAGAGCGATGAATACGAGCAGAGTGGTACCGAAATCGAGGACGCCGATCTCGAAGCCGAAAGATGTCATGATCAGAGCATCGAGGGGAGCGTGTATTAGGCAACCCTCCTTGCATCCGTCCCATCTACCCTTCCGTACATGCATACGTACAACCATACATACATACACACATACATGCATAATTGCATAATTGCATATCGATCAACCCAAGCCAATGACGAATAACATCTAAACTTAGAGACGACAATTTCTCTCTCTCTCTTTCTCTCTCCTTTATTCATTCCTTGCTGGCTTGGCTAGTCTCCTTCCATATTCCCTGTGATGGGATGTATGACAAAGTCAGTCTTTCAACGGTCAAAGCCAGATCGGACCGATCACATCACATCCATCCATCCAACCCTTCCTTCTTCGTTCCTTCCCTTAACATTAACATCAATCAATATACCCGGGCGAAGTTGTTTCTACCTTTGTTATTCTTTTTTTTTTTTACTTTCGTAATTTCGCGACCACCAGTTACATACATACATACATACATACGTACGTACGTACGAACGTACGTACGTACATACAGGTGTATAGTACTACGTAAAAAGCCTGCATAGAAAGAACCACATATATATTATTTTCCTTTTTTTTTTGCAATTCAAAAGGTATTTTGTAGTTTGCTTGTTTGTTTGTTTGTTTGTGAGATTGTTTGATCTAGGTAGTTTCAATCACAAGGTAGGTGAGTAGGTAGGTAGGTAGGTAGGTATCCAGCACCGAGTTAACAACAACGATAAGATAATAAAGAAAGGGTAGTAAGAAAAAGAAAAGATGAAAATTACAGCGGACAGAAGATGAATGGATGGATATATGGAAGAAAAAAAAAAGAGTCAAAGTAAAAGTAAGAAAGAAGAGAAACAACCCTGCAACATCCAGGGCGCTCAAAAAAAATGTCTTTTTTTTCCCCAGATTTCTTGTGGTTGGTAATGGAATAGTAAATCTAACTTACATTCATGGAATGAGAGAGAGAGGGAGAGAGAGAAGAAAAACACACAAGAGGTGCAATAACCGGGACGAGAGTCAAGGGTGAATAAACGGGGCATAAGGGGGGAGTATCACTTTTTTCAAATGCCGCACCAATCACTTGGGGACGAATAGGCAAACATGCAAGACAAAGGTCATGGGAAATAGAAGAAAACAGATGCACAAAGGTGTTGTACAACCAAGAGTAAGCCTCCGACGCGAAGTGACAAACACCGAGGCAGGACTCTGGTCGCATCATAAAAAAATAGAAGAATCTGTCAACCGGAACAGATGGATGCAAAAAAAAAGAATAAAACAAAGGATAGAAGAAACCGAACAACACAAGGTATTAACGCCACGAGACTCAAGTGGAGTGTGGGTAAAGAAGAAACCAATGTACCAAATTGACAAAAGTCAAGGGAAACAATCTATGAGTAACAGTCGCCACAAAAAATGCCCAAATCCGGAGAAGATGAGGAAAGATCGAACGAAGAGAGAGAGAGAGAGAGAGGCGAAGAAGGCGGAGGCGAGTCAAAGACGAGGACGCGAAAGAAACAATCGTAATTGTCGTGATATCTTACTCCGGGCCCCAGTCCGAAGAGATCCCTGGGGCAACTTTTCGACACGAACAGTTGGCTGTTCCATAGCCACAGGTCGTATCGGAGCAAGAAAAGAGAAAAAGAGAAGATAGTGTCGCACCGATATGTCGCTGTCTGACACTTTTTTTGGGTTTTTGCTTTTGAACCAAAAGAAAAAGAGGACCGAGGGTACTTTTCAGCGAACAGACACAACCGAAACCGACTGAAGAACACGGGTAGTCATGCGGGGAAAAAAACGAAGAAAGAGACACGGTATCATCAGAAGAATAGAAAAAAAAAAATAAGAACAAACTAGAAGGTCTAGAAGAAAGCAGGGGAATCACACGGGCAGGAACACGTATCCCAATCAGCGCGGTCGGGGGCAGTCAGATGAGCGCGTCCCCTGACTAGGCCACGATGGGCTGCATCGAACCAAACGGGTTGGTACACATGTAGTGCTCCATGTGCTTGGCACAGTACAGGCAACCACAGGATGACCCGTGGCCTGTCCAGACACTCTGCGCGAATGGAAGCGCGTAGGCGGGAGTGTGATGATAGGACGGGGGCTGGGATCGCGGAGCCGAAGCAATGTACTGCTGCGGCGGCGGAACCCAGGTGCGGGTGTACGGTGGTGGAGGCTGCGTGTACCACGGCCCAGCAGCGTAATAGTCAGGCGTGTTCGGGCCCGTGTGAGGCGCAGAGGGAGGCGAATACTCCGAGGCTGCAGGGTTGAGCCAGGAAGTCTCGTAGTTGGCGTTGCGCTGGTACTGGGGCGGGATGGGGCCCTCGGGCGAGAGGAGGGGCTTCGACACGCGGTGGCTGCGGGGAACATTCGTGTCGATGGGAGCCAACGGGTGGCGGGACTCTTGAGCCCGGGCTGCGGTCTTGGCACGCCAGGTCTCCCAGTGGGACAACCATGACGCAAAGCCATCCTGCTGGTCGTAGATGCGGTCGTGGATCTTCCATTCGAAGGCGAAGAGCCAGTCGAGCTCCATCGAGTTGAGTTCGCTCACCGGGATGTTGCTGACTTCGGCCCACGACTTGTTCTGGAAGGTGTTGTCATCCAAGAACTTGCTTCCCAGGAGGAGAGCCACCGTGAGCATACGGTACACCTGGCCACTGCCGGAGTGGAACACCTTGGCCAAAGACAACATGCGCATCCTGCAGGCCAGGTAGTAGAGACCAAGGAGAATGGTCGAGCTCGGCAGGCGAGTCGACGACAGAATCTGATAGACGTATTTCCGAAACTGGGGCGGGACCGATGTTCCTGGGTAGACGCTTCGCGCGAAGTCAATATCTGCAAGGTTGATCTTGGTGATGTACAAAGCATACATTCCCTGGGCCATTTCAGCCACAAAGTCGGACATCTGGTCCATCTCATAATCCAAGTGGGCGGCGACACCTCCGGTGGCCTTTTCCTCCTTGCGCTGGGGTTCGGGCTGCTGCACCATCATGTCTTGGCGGCGGTACTGGGGCGGAATGGCGCTCTCCATCGGGGGCAGCTGGACGTTGTTGCGGATGGGGGGCAGAACGTTGGCGGTAGCCAGGGGACCGAACATGGGTTGGCTGAGCGCGGAGTGAGCGGCGGCCATGTCCCTGCCGGTCCGCATGCTGAGACCGGACTGCGCATTCATTGTCATTGCTGACTTGGCGTAGCAGGACGACTGGGAGTACTGCTCGATGAATTCACAGCCGTTCTGGGAGTAGCGAGGCGGGAACGCGGCAGAGGGGTTGAGGACGTAGAAGGACGGGTCGTGTTCCATCCGGCCACCGCTCAGGATATGGGGAGGAGTGGGAGGCAGGCCCTGGAGGCCGGGAGCGAAGAAGGACGGCATAGTGGGGAGCAAAAAAAAAAAAAAAGAAAAGCAAGAAGAAAACCAGTTCAGGACGGGGGAGGTAGACGGTGTGGGGGGGCTGTGCGCAGAAAGATTCTCGAGTCAGCAAATTGGTTTCAATGGGACAATGCAATGATCCCAACGAGCAAACAATCGACGACCTTAGAAGACACGGATACGAACCGTCTACACGTCCGACACGCCCTGGTCCTGGGGGGAGAGCGTTTGCTCTGCGAGCCGCGGCTCTGTTTTTTGCGGAGTGAAGGTCTCTTAGTAGGATAACATGGAGGTGCAATTCCACAACACGAAATTAGAAAGGAGCGGAAGGAGCGGTCGCGACAAAGGGTGCCTCGGAAGAGCGTTCCTTGCCGGGGGGAAGAAGCGATCCTATTGTGGGCAGGGCACGAGTCTGGTGATCCTTTTCTTCCGGAGAGGGGGTATTGGAGCGGACAATTGATCGAACACGAGGCGTTCCTAGTTCGTTCGAGGGCGGGCGGCGAAATGGACGATGGCAGGTCACCGGAGACGTGAATGGAGACGCTCGACAATGAGGATAGCCAAAGGCGGTCGGTTAGAGTGGAAGGCGGCGAGGGCGAGAGACGTTCGACTTTCTTTTTTTTTCTTAGGTTTCAACGAGTCAAGGTAGAAAAACAAAAAATCTCGCGTTCCGTGGTGAGAGGGGCCCTGGTCCACGGCGACAACGACACTTAGTGAAAAGCTCGTTGAATACAAGGGAGGAAGAGGAGGAGTAGGATGGGTGGGAGGGAGGCGGAAGAATTGAGGGAAACTGAGGGCGACGAAAAGCGGAAGATGGGGGGGGATGGGGAGGGACAGGTGTGGAGGGGAGAGAGGATGGAGAAGAAGGAAGATGAAGAGGAGGAGGAGAGGGGATGGGAGTAGTAGAGTAGTAGAGAGGGAGAGAGGGCGAGGAAGAGAGAGAGAGAGAGAGAGACGGAGAGGGATTAGAACGGCGAGGCGAGCCGGGAGCCAGAGAAGGCAGGGGAGCGCGCTGAGTGGTCCGAGGTGTCAGAGCGAGTTCTAGTCCGGCTGTCTAGTGAGCGACCGAGAGGGTCGACGAGGTGACGATCCTCGGCGCCCTCCCTTTCCTGCTCTTTACCTCTGACTAACCTAATACCCGTACCACCGCCGTATGGGACTCCCTACGGGGGCGGTGGTCCAGTCGGCCGGGTGGGTTTTTTTCCTTCCTTGCCTTTTTTTTTTTTTTTTTTTTCTTAATTCTTTCTTTTCATCTCTTGTGATCCTCCCTCCCAGGCTAACTAAACCCCCCCCCCCCGGTCAAGGAGGAGACACACACCGGAATGGGCACGGGGAAAAGTGTAAGAAAAGTGTATCAGGTTTCAAAACCACTCCCCCCTCCATCATCATGGATTTAATCTAAAATATTGGCATGGGATTTATTACCTATCATTCTGTCTGCCTGGAAGGTTGAAGGTCGTGCTCCCGACGAGAGAAGAGAAAAGAAAGGCCCTACTAGACACTTAGGTATGTACCTTACCTTACCCTTACCCATGAATCCCAATCACAGCCACCCCGATCGAACGAAGCAAAGAACCCACCAGAACAAGCCCAATGACGATGGTGATGTAGTACGATTCCATACAAACAACTGGAACTGGGACCAGTGGATGCAGACAGTCACAGTATGTACGGTGTGTATGTATCTACTTCGCTACTTTACAACAAGCCCATGGGTGGGAGTTTAGAGTTTTCAAATTTTCCCCTACTACGAGTAGTATTTTCCCTTGGGGGCCTGCTTAAGGGGAGAGCGCCAGTGACGATGGCCCGACCAGCAGACTACAAACACCACTACCGGTAGATACTTTACCTCAGTCAGTCAGTCCTGTAGGCACTAAGCAGGCAAAGCAGACAGACAGACAGACAGACAGGCAGGCAGGCAGGCAGGCTAAGGACCGCGGCCAGAACGGCAGCAGAAGGCCGCGTCCATGGTTTGACCCGACCGGCTGACTCACCCGGACGGCACCCGGCGCGCGGCTTAATATAGTAATAATAATCTGGCAGGGAAGTTGAAATTTGAGGGATGATGAATGATGATGCTGCTGCTGCTGCCGCCGCTGATGATGATGATGATGATGATGATGATGAATGCATGCCGGGGCGAGAGGGATCCCTCCCCTCTCAGTCTCCGGGTCGTCGGTTAGGGACGGAGCAGAGTGCATGGTATCTTGGGGTCTAGACAGACCATTTAATTTTTTTTTTTCATCATGCCAGGCCATCTGACTGCAAACCCATCCAATAATCGACTGCACGACTTGCGTACACTGATACTCCGTACAGATGGATGGATGGCAGATGCTACTGTGACTGACCAGACTGACCAGACCCCTGGGCGGAAGGGCTCCGTCCGGTCAAGCCGTTTAGGAGTTAGGAGGGAGGGAGTGGGTGGGCTTCCAGTTCTAAGGGGTTCGTGGTCACTGGCCCGTTGGGGTTGGCGGCTGGAGCAAAAAAAAAAAATCCTTCCTCGAACCCACCGGGTGTTGGTTGACTCAGAATAATAGTACAAAGTTGAAGAAATATTATTATTATTATTATTACCCGTAACCAACTAACTACTCCGCCTCTGATTATTAATAATAAATCCCACAGGATTCCACTTCCATTCCAATTATTATCCTGTATTCTTTCCACCTCGAATAGATTATTCTGATTAGGTGCTCTGGGGGGTGATGAATAGAATAAAGTGATGCAACCCCCCCCCCCCCCCCCGGGATCATTCCCTCGATTGGCTGGGGACGGGCAAATGGGAGGGTGGAACAGGAGGCGGTGCGAGGCCGGTCACGGGGTACGGAGTGTACGGAGTAGTAACTTACCAGTTACCTACCACTGTACTGCACGGCGAGGCGTCGTACCAGCAGGAAGGATGATGGATACCAGATACCAACCATACCACGTCCTCGAACGGCTGGACGAATGGGTGGGCCGTGCGCCCCCGTGCTAAATTCGAAAGAGTCTAACAGTTTTAACAGTTAGTCTAACAGGAGAAAAAACGTGTCGGGGTGGTACTACTCCGTACATCGAAACTAGTTCGGTCGGTGGCTTGGCTTATTGCAGGAGAGGCGGAGACGCTCTGTCGGTATCTCTTCTCAGCAGCCCGCAGGGTCGGTGGTATTTATAGCCAGTGAAAATTAATTGCCTGTCCAAGGTAGATACTACAGGTAGTTACGGAGTACTGTATGGATGGGATACCCGGTGGCTCCACGCTCTAGAAGAGGCCTGGAAGAAGCTGATGAAGGGGGGGGGGGAGCAGTACGTCAGGTTACCAGATAGGTTGCCAAGCAGGTAGGTACAGTAGGTAGGTACAGTAGGTAGGTACAGAGTAGGTAGCAGTGGCAGTGGCAGTGGCAGTGAATGGCAATGGCAATGACACTGGTCAGCCAGGGCCAATCCGACCAGCAATCAGACAGCCTCATTCGGAACCCCGTCCAAAGTATAAGCGCAATGACACCACAGACATCGCGGAGTCTCTCTCTGTCTGTCTGGGAAGGAAACAGGCAGGACACATATGCAGACCGTCAAGCACGGCGGAGGGAGGGACATGCTCCATGCAGACTTCTACATAGTACATACTACTACATACATCATTCCATTCCACATTCCGGGTTACTCGACCAACCTACGTAAGGTCGATGCCTGATAGAGCACCTTACAGAGCGGGCGCTGGCCGAGGATTCGAAGAAGTCAGATGTCTGGGGAGTGGAGGTGACTCACTTCACCCATGCAGGGGAATGTGATGACTGAGCGATTTTGGTCTTCGGAGGATTGGAGGTAGTAGACTCGGGAGGCTGTAGGTAGCTGTAGCTGTAGCTGTAGCTGTAGCCTACGCAGGTAGCCATCTCTGGCCCCTTCTCGCCCCTAAGCCTAGTCGCTGCAATGCAATACCCCTATCATCTTGCTGTTTTATTTTCCTGGTTGACTATCTATCGGGAGAGATGACACCATGCATGGGAGGAGGGCCGTTTTCCAAGTCGGTCTGATAGTATGGTTCCCGCCAAAATATACCTCGACACACCACCAACTGGGAAACACCTGAGGCACCGGTATAACCCTCCATTAGATGTATGCCTATAAATATATATATATATATATATACTATGTACCCAGTACGGAGTACTTCATACTAAACTCACAAAATACATCCAGGAGAATGACCCTGTCCAAACAAACCCCCGGCAGCCAGATGGTACCTTACTTTTTTTCCCCAGCAAACACAACCACCACCACAACAAACCGCCCTTACTAACAAAGCAACCACCCACAACACCGCAATCGGAATTACCCAGGTAACTCGCCACAACAACACCTGCCAAACAACCCCACCCCCACCAACACCAACAGCAGCAGCCTTATAGGCAGCATCACTGTCGTAATCAACTACCTACGTACATACATAGGTAGCCTACCTAAAGGCTAAAAGCCCAGCCACCCGGGTCAGGTAGGCGAGTTCTGCCCCTCATCAGCTGCACCGAACAAGATCCAGTAATGGAAGTGGGGGAAGGGGACCAACCCCCATCCCATCCCATCCCATCCCATCCATCTTCATCGCTGCCCGATCCCTGACTAACCCGCTTTGGGGGGGGGGGGGGGGGGGGGGGTGGGATCATGGGAAAAAAAAAGTAGCTCATTAGTAAGGTGCATGTGCGTTCTGACTGACAGCAGGGAGATAGATAGATAGATAGATAGATAGATAGATGGTGGATGGATAGATCCCATGGGTGATATACATATGCGAGTAGGACACCATCTAACCAACTACCGGGTACCTTATGTCTGCCACTACAACACCACTACCACAGATTACTCGATCTATCTAGATAGTACCATGTTATTCCGTACGATACATCTTCAATAAATCAACACACAGATACGGAGTAGATACTCCATAGATCAGTACTTAACCCACAAACCTATCATCCCCCATATCCCATATCAATAGCCAGGTCCCTACTTACCTACTACCTACCTACCTATATACATACCTACATACAATCCCATCCCACTTCCACCTCCCACACCCTCTCACCGGACACCCGGATATGCACCCTCATCCTTCATCCCCTCTCCCCTCCACCCCCTACCGACCTACCGACCTACCGACCTACCCCCCCCTACCAGCTGACTCTCCCTCCATCCATCACATCAACATCACGGAAAAACCCGGCCAACCATGCATGCATACATACATACATACATACATACATACATACATACAACCAGCACCCGACCAAAATCTTATTTCATGAGCCGAGTCGAGTTGACATGAGTTTCAATCCAGTCAGTCAACCATCCCAGCTCAGTTCAGTTCACCCGCCCGCCCGTCCATCCGTCCGCGGGGTCTCCCGATCCGACGTTCCATCACATAAAATCAGTCGTGAATGCAGGTGCAGGTGCGCAGCGCGTGTGCAGGTGTCAAGCTCGACCAACCCCGGCGGCGCGTGAGCGGAGGCGGAAGCGGAGGGGGAAAGGGTAGGGTACTAGGGTAGGATAGGAAGGATAGGATAGGATAGGGTAGGATAGGATAGGATAGGATAGGATAGATAGGATAGGGTAGGGTGGGTAGGTAGGAAGGAAGGATAGGATAGGATAGAATAGGATAGGATAGGATAGGATGGAAGATGGATCTAGGAAAGATTCGGATTCGGATTCGGAGAAGGAGGAGGAGAAGGAGGAGGAGGGGTAAATACCTCTCCCCTCCCCTCCATTTCATCGCTTATCGAACAAACTATCTGGTTTAATCTGACAGGAGGCTATTACCCTACTCCTTCATGAGGGGAAGAAGGAGGAGGAGGGGCACGGAAGTAAGGTAAGGTACTAGGTACGTGAATGACAACTCATCGTCATCGTATCATTAATTAGGGCCAGTCGGTCGGTCGGTCGGTCGGAAATAAATAATAAGAAAAATAAGAAAAATAAGAGTAATGGCTCGCACCCCATGCAACCCGTATTTGTATTTTGTCTATGCAACTAAAATAAAATAGAAAAGAAAAGAAAGGAAAAGAAAATAAATAAAAAAAAGGAAGCAACTCCAGCTTTTGTACCAGATTGTCCCCCCATCCCAAGACCCGGAAATTACAGGAATGGAAGATGAGGGTGAGGGTGCAGGGGATATGCAAGAACTCGGCCCGGCGCTTAAATCCATGCCCTCCGGGACGTGGCGGGCACGCAAGAAAAGAAAAGAAGAAAAAAAAAAAAAACAGGAAACTGGAAATGGACCCTCGGTCCAGAACGGAGGGGATATCATCGAGAAGCAGTGGCAGGAAAAAACCACGGAGGTAATGAAATGAGGAGAGGGGCAAAACACAAAACAAAAAAGCAATATCAGCAAATAAGAAAAAAAGGATCGTACTCCGGGTCATATCGTAAGACCGTTGTGATCGCACTGATTCCCAGATCACGGATCTCCTAACACCAGCCCAGTCGCCATGTGCAAGTGGTTCATAAACATGAAAGGCAAATCCCAAGTCGTAAATTCGTCAGTCCGCTTGACCTCGTCCGTCCCAGCGGTCTCTTTTGCAACTAATGGTCCTTCAAGCTGCCGATCAGGTTGCGCAGCGCATCCACGATGACCGCCTCGTCCTTCGGCTCGCCGCCGGGGAACGAACTGCCCGTGGCGTTGCCGAGCACCCGGGCCCGTGCACTCTTGAGAACCTCCCGGATATAGTTCTTGTCCTCGTAATCTTCCATCAGGACCGCTTCGAAGTCGTCAATCGCCTTGTTCGCTCGCTCATTGAACGACGACACCTCCGAATGGCCCATGGGTCCGGGCCCAGGGTCGTGGCCAACGCCCATATTGGGCTGGTGCTGCTGCATAGGAGGCCCCGGGGGCGGCGGGGGAGGGTGGCCGTGATGCGGGGCGTTCATCGGCGGCATGGCCGGCGGGTTGGGCGGAGGATAGGGGGACTGGTGCTGCGGTGGCGGCGGCGGCATCGACGACGGTGGCTGCGTCTGCTGGAGCTGGACCAGCTGCGGAGGCGGATCCGAGGCGTAAGGGGAGGTGTAGGTGGAGGGCGTGGTCTGGGCAAAAGCGGGCGGGAGGTTGTTGCGGAGCGGACTGGGTATCGGGAAAGGAGTAGAGGCGGCGGCTTGCGCGGGAGGAGGATAGGGACTCGAATGGTGATGGTGTTGAGGAGCAGGGGAAGGAGTAGGGGCAGGGGCTGGGGAAGGAGCCGCGTGGTAAGGGTTGGGAGGCATCGCTGGGAATTGGAAGTGCGGGTTGGCCATCCCGGGCTGCCCGTTCTGATTGCCGTACGACGGGTTCAGTTGAGGCATGTATTGAGGAGCAGGTGCCGGGGCTGATGGGGGCTGCGCTGCTGGCGGAGGCGGCGACGGGCGTCGCTTTTTCTCCTTCTCGACAGATGCTCCAGGGCGCAGCTGCCATGACCATCCCTTGCCATCGCGCTCCGCGTGCATGAAGAGGTGGCTATTGCCGTTGAGATTGTGTCGGACACTGGACGTCCAGCCTTCCGTTTCGCACTTGAACCGAAAGTATGGGTACTTCAACTTCAGGGCGCGATAGATCTGCTTCAATGTCATCGGCGTGCCGGCATCGGTGAGGGCATCGAAAATGAGGACGGCATAATTGTATGGCGGCTTGGCCAGATCTTCCGGCGTGTATGCAGACTCGGGGGGGTAGTTTGGCGAGGGGGAACGTGAGGGCTTGCGCTTCTTGACCGGAGGCGCCTTGATGAACTCCTCCGGACGGTGTTCCAAGGGAAACTGGCCACCTTCCAACGAGGGCAGGGGGAAGTCCATCGGCGTGCCATCGGGCTTCTTCCTCTTGGTGTACTTGCGCTTCTCAGGCTTGGACCCAGGGGACTCGGCACCAACCGATTCCTTGGGCGTCGTGGCGATAGCAGCAGTAGGGGCTGGGGCTTTTCCGGCCACCTTTGGCCGGTTGAGCATAGGCGGAGGAGTGACGCCCCCGTTTGCCTCCCGCTTCGCAGCCAATTTCTGTTCCCGGGCCAACTCGGCTCGCTCGCGTTTGGACATGATGCCGTCCTTCGGGGGCCGTCCAGGGCCGCGACGCCGGGCAGGTTGCTGGCTAGCATCTCCCGCTCCTTCAACGGATGGTACCGGCCGCGTCAGATCGGGGTCTCTGGTCTTGAGAATGATCTTCGTGGTCTTCGGGGTCTCCTTGTTCTCCGGACCATCAGGTCCGCGTTTCGAGCCCTCCGCGTCATTCTCCACAGAAACCGAAGCCTGTGCATTCTCGTCTTCTGCCGTGAACGGCTCTTCCACTCTGTCCGCGCCCGTTTCGCCGATTGGCACGTCTGGAAGCAGAAAGCGGATGCGGACACCTCCGATCTGGATATAATCACCACTGTGTAAGGGTCTTACTTGCCCCGGTGATAGCCAATCCGCTCCGATAAACGCGCCGTTCCTCCCCATCACCTCCATCTCGAACAGATTCTTATCAAAATTGTAGGCAATCTTGACATGCTTGCGGGAAATTCCTCGATGCCCGGCGGCACTGCCGTCAACCGTCGCTGGGGGATGGATCGGGATGGTCGGACACGAGTCCGGGGAGGGAAGGAGCGCCAAGGCGTCGACGGGCTTTGCGTCCCCATTTTCGTCATTCAAGGATTGCATCGCAAGCGCATTGTAATCGGTAGTGGATTGCAATTGGGCCGGCGTCGCATGCAGCGGAGCGCTCGATTCGGGATGGGATGAGACCGACGAGCGACGACTGAGATGATGCGGGAGATGCGACGGAAGATCGGGGTCGAATCCCATAATGCCACCACGGTCGCTGACGACACTCCCTAGTATTCCACTGCCCTCATGCTTCACACGGACGGGGGTATGCGACGCATTGCCACCGCTCGAACTCTTCGCCCGGGACGTCCTTATCACCTGGCGGGCCTGTATCTCGCGCTGATGGGCAGCCCGAGCGGCCCGCACATCACGTCCAAGAACGAAGGAGTATGTGTTGCAGTAGAAGTGGCCGTCGTCGAATTCCAACTTCGCAAAGGCCTGGATTCGGGGCTCTGACCCGGCGGCAGAGCCAGCAATATCATGAGGCAGATGGCCCCCGGAATACCCCAAGGCGGAGAGATCGGCGTTTTGGGACAGATAGGCGGCGGTGAGCATCTCGTTCTGTTGCAGGGCCTCGAACGGGGTCTTCGGCGCGGCGGTCATATCGAAGGAGGAAAAAAGGTCGGCGTGGTCTAGATTCGATTTGGAGAACATCAACGGGTCTGTCAGGCCGTCCATCGGATCTGTCGACTTGAAAGCCATGTTCTCGTCGTGCTCAGGGTTCGCAAAGGACAAGTCGAACTGATGGTCGGGGTTTTTCTCGTCCGGCTGGTGAGGAGCCAGCGGGTCGGTCGAGTCCGGTGGAAAGTGATCCAGACCTCCGTTGTTGACCGAATCCGCAGGCATGGCCGGGGGCTCCGAGGTCGAGGCCCCGGGCCATTGGCCCTCCATCGCATCGCCATTATTTTGGGGGGGATCGGACTCGTCCTGGGGGGGTGGCATTGGATGATCCTCGGGCCCAGGGCCGTCGTCGGCGGCGGATTGGTTGCCAAGCAGTTGGGCCAGGAGCGCGCTGGCAGCGGACTGGCGGCGGAGATCGGACTGGGAGTCGTGGGAGTGGCCGTGGTCGTCGGGCTCGGCCTTGACGAGGGGCATGGCTGAGGAGGAGGAGAGGGATGGCAGGCCATTGGGGGGGGAAGAGGAGGAGACCGAGGGCGAGGAGACGGGGGCAGAATCGTGCAAAGCGCGGATTGCGGAGTCGCTGGGCGGGGAGGGGTGCGGCTGGTCGTCCTGGTGCTGGTGCTGGGGGGGAGGGGCGTAGTCGTACACGGACGACATATTCGGGGCAGCATCCGGAGGACGATGGCCCACCGCAGACGCTGTCATGGTCTGCGACGACGACATGACCGGCGGGCTGGTCTGTCTTGTCTATGGGGGGGGGGGGAGATGCAGGGCGGATTGGAGAAGGACGAGACGGGCTGGGAAGGAGGAGGAGGACGACTGAGGAGAGAAGTCGAGGGCGGTGAGCCCGGCGCCCCCGTCACCGCGTCCTGTGACTGGTTGGCCCGGCCACGCCCCGGCTTTTTTTTCATAAATTTTCTGCCAGCCCGGGACGGTAATTTACTGCGGCCACCTGCAGAGGAGGTAGGATGGATGGTATTGGGGAGGTAATTACATTACTAGCTGCGACTAGTGCTACTTTTACGGAGTCTTGCTTCGGATTGATCCGTTCCTGACTGACCCCATCTTCTTCATGGTACAACCATCCCTTAGGGATTTACCAGGCTAGAGAGGTACCTCAGTCTCCAGAGCCACGTCCGGCCTCACCGCAACACTCCCTCACCATGCCTAAAAAACCCCCCTCCGCCAGATCCTCCAAACCCTCCTCCAACAAACCCCTCCCCTCATCTCCATCCTCATCCTCATCCTCCTCCTCCACCACCACCCCCAACTGGCCCCTCTCCGCCCCCTCCTCCCCTCCACCTCCCTCACCCTCGAACCCCTCCTCCCCGACCAAATCTACCTCATCCGCAACTTCTTCCCCTCGACCCTATGCAAAACCTACACCTCCTTCCTGGCCTCCCTCCCCCTGACCACCACCCCGGGGAAACCCAAAAAGGGCGATGCCGTGCGCGTCAACGACCGCTTCCAGATCCAGGATGAGCGGTTCGCCGAGATGCTGTGGAGTCAGACGGCGCTGAGGGAGTTGGTGATGCATCCGGATGGCTATGATTATGATTATGGTTCTTATGAGGATGGGGATGGGGATGAAGAAAGAGAACAGAAAAAGAATGATCATGATGTGAAGCATACATGGGGCGGAGATCCCCTCGGATTGAACGCCAATATACGCATTTATCGATACTCGAAGGGCCAATTCTTTGCGCAGCATTGTGAGTTTCTTCCTCTTCTTTCCTTTCTATCCTATCCTATTCCTACTTCACTATATCTCTGGTTGGTTGGTTGGCTGGTCGTCGGTTATCCCCCCGCATATTACACACATCTAGACATGGCTCCTCTCCCCTCCCTCCCCCCCCCCCCCCCCCCAAGTAAACCCCGCAACACCCATCAATAGTAGTAAACAACCCAACCCAAACCCAAGACCCACCAAGGACAGAAAATAACTAATAACCCACGTAGACGACGACTCCAACACCCTGACCTTCACACGGCCCAATGACCCGCCGCGCGCGGGCCGCACAACCTGGACGCTCCTCATCTACCTGACGGGCTGCGAGGGCGGGGAGACGGTCTTCTATCCCGAGGCGACGCGGGCGAACCGGAACCCGGCGCCGGTGTCGGTGGCCCCGGAGCCCGGGATGGCGCTGCTGCATCGCCACGGCGATCGGTGTATGCTGCATGAGGGGAAGGAGGTGCGGCAGGGGGAGAAGTGGGTGTTGAGGAGTGATTTGGTGGTGGCGCGGTGAGGATATAGTACTACCTCTTCTTTCAAGAGGAGGAGGGGGCGTTGGAGGAGAGTTATCTATCTAGAAATTACTATATCCTAGGTGCGACTTCTACGGTATTAGTCTAGGGTACCTAGGGTAAGGTAGGTAGGTAGGTAGGTAGGTAGGTATGAATTGACATGGAGAACATATGTACCCTCACAACTAAATATAGAAACACTTCAAATCAACAGCACAGTTGGGAGTTTATCGTTATTGGGTGGAGATGTGAGGGCGTGGCTATATTCCAGCTAGAATCAACAGAACACATTATCCCGTGTATGAACAGTCCAGACAACCCCATGATGCCGATGACAGTAGACCAATGTTTCGCCGCCGATGAACGGGGTGCTTTTTTTTCAACCCCATCTTCCCGCAGATCTCCACACGTTTAAACAGGCTCCCAGCCTCCCTTGGCTGGCCCGTCCAACCAGATACATACACACACACACACAGAGAGAGAGAGAGATAGAGAGAGAGAGTAAAACAAATGACACAAGAAATAAAATGAGTAATCGCACCACTCCAACCCACGCAAATACCACTCCTTTTCGCCGAGGCCCCGTCGTAAATCCCACGTCCTCATGCCGCTTATGCCTCGCCGCCAGACGAGGTGGGTTTCGATTCATACTCCGCCCGTCGCATGATGTCTTCCACGGGCCCCAGTAACCGCTTGAAGCCGTCCCGGCCCAGCTTCGCTACCTTGACATCCGTCTTGGCAACGATGCTGGCGGCCCGTGGCTTGTCATCCAACAGAGCCAGCTCGCCGAAGTAGTCGCCCCGCTTGTAGAACTTGACGGGCCCCTCCACGTCCTTCTTGAACGCGTCAGCCTCGCCGGACTCCAGGAGGTAGAATGCGTCGCCGGGGTCGCCCTCGGAGATGATCGTCGAGCCAGCCGGGTATTTGATGGCGTCCAGCGCATCGGCGATCTTTGCGCGCTCATAGGGCTTCAGGCTGGAGAGCAGCGGCACCTCCTCCAGGAACGCCTCGTACATGCGACGGCGCTGGAACGCCGAGTCCATGAGGATCCGGCGGAAGGTGATGCGGTCCAGGGCCCAGAGCGTGCTCTTCGGGTCCACAGACACCACGGTCGCGGCACGGGGCGCATTGTACATGAGAGCCAGCTCTCCAAACGAGCCTCCGGGTCCAATCGTGTTGACCTTGTTGCCCATGCCCTCAGCCCCCGGTTGCACGGAGCCCGACGGGTGGATCAGCACGTCGAAGTGACCATTTTCGACAATGTAGAAGTAGTCGCCCGCATCGCCCTGGCAGATCACCTTGATGTCCTTGGCGGGGATGGGCTTCTCGACCAGCGCATCGAGCACTGTCTTGAACTGGTCGTCGTCGAGGTGCGAGAAGAGAAAGTTGCTGCTCACTGCGGTTTTCAGCCGAGCCAGCTGCTCCTCGGATTTGGCGTGGTGCGGGGGGGTCCAGCTGTCCGAGCCCGCGGAGGTGGGATTCAGCGACTCTGCCGACACCGATGTGCGGCGGCCGAGCGCGTAGTTATTGGGGAACCCTTGGTTCGCAGCCCCCGTCGGGCGGATATCCTCTGGGGGGAAGTCGTCGGCCTCCTCGTCCTCCTCCCGGGACCCGTCGTCGAACGGGCTTCTGTTGAAGCGAATTGGGCCACTGGTATCGCCAAACCCACCGCCGCCGCCGCCGCCGAAGAAGTGGCTGCCTGTTGACGAGGAGGCAGGCGCTGCGTTGGCGGTCCGAAAAGTCGAGTCAGTTGGTGACGTCACCTCGTACTCATCATCTTCTGAAATCTTCTGAAAGGGGGCGGTTTTGTCGTCTTTAGTGCCAACCCGGAGGGGTTGGTTGGCGCTGGGGATAGTGCTCTCAGCCATGCTGTCGAGGGAAGGGCCGGAGAGGGCACCGCTCCGGCCACTGTGAAGCGGGGAAGATGGAAGGTCGGAAGACCGCGACTGAAGCGGCGGGTTCGCAAAGGCGGAAAGGGTCTGAAGAAGGTCAGACGCCAGGAAGAGGGCGGAAGAGCGTGTAGACGAAGAAGGAAATTGGAGGTGTTGAGGGGAGGGAGGAGGGCAGAAGGAGGATGTAGTCATCAAGAAAGGTGGGAGGGAGAGAACAGAAGTGGGAGGAGAGGAGGGGAGGAGGAGGAGGTGGTAGCAGCGCAGAGAACGAGGGAGGAGGGAGGGGAGGAGGGGCGGGTAGGGAAACCGACCAGAAGGTCGTAGGCGGCCAGACTAGCAAGATGGAAGACGAAGAATGGTTCCAGTCAGGCAAGCAAGGTCATGGAGTGAGTGGGTATGGCTGTCCGCACTTCCAGGCCTTATTGGACGGGCAGCCGTGGTACGTTTCTGCCCGGAGCCTCTGAAGGTCGGATCGGCTGAAGCTTCGCGGAGGGGGAGCTTCCAGAACCGGACGGGAGAGACAGAGTGAATGATGAACCGATGAACCGATGCACCGATGATACAGACCAGGGAGGGTCAAACACAGCCACCAGACAACACGAAAGGAGTGGAGGGGAGGGGAAGAAACAGAAAGGAAACGAAGCGCGGCGGCACGGGCAAGCTTTGGAGGGGCAAGACGGCAGAACTTAAATTGGGGGGGGGGGAGAGCTGAGCTTCGAGGGAATTAATAGTCGGACCAAACTTACTTTGTGTCTTCCAGTTCCCTCAAGTCAGTCAGTCGGTCGTAGAGTACGTATGATAGTAGCACTACTGTCTGTCCTACTGAAATGTGGGTTGCAGTGGTTGTTTCGGTCGCGTGGGAGGTTGCCCGGTAGGATGGATGGATGACAGCCACCGAGACAAGGGTAGTAATGACGACAACAACAACAACAACAATAGTAGTAATAATAATAAGTCTTCTTCGGTTTCTAGAACGGCATGGGGTTTTGGTTTTAAGGGCGACAGGCAGCAGAAAAGGGGTGATGGTGGTTGGTGGTGATACGCAGGCGACTTGATCCGGAGGGGTTGCAGAAAAGGGAGGGGAGGAGAAGAGAGGAAAGGCGAACCATGAAAAAGGCGGGGAGCAGCCGGCTGGATGGATGGTGGATGGGCCCGGAAGCTTGCCTCCCATCCATTTCTGCTGGCCACTTCCTCCTCCCCATGTCTCATCGAGTCCTCTACATCCGGCATCAGAAGACTCTCACCTCCTTAATTAAACGATGCCTACGGGATGCGACTGCTATCTACACAGTCGAGGGAGTCTGGATCGACGTCACGGACGCCCGCTAGCCAAGTACACTACTTCAATAGCTGAGTGCCCGGCTCAATAGTCCGGCTGGATATTATCCAAATTATCCAACAGAATCCCTCGTCCCGGCAGAGACGATCGGCCTGGACACGAACTAAGAGATGCTAACGCCATCTCCTCGTTTCCAATAATCTTCCAGAAGGCGAGACCGAAAAGGGGACAGGGGACGGCGATGGTCCCAGAATCCTTCAGCCCAGCAGGCCGGGAACGGACGACGACGACGCGGTGTGGAAGCCTTCCAGACGTCTTCTAGAACATTGCGGCATACGGTGTAGGGGGGGGAAAGCCCGGACTGGGTTGTGTTGCGTGGTGCTGCGGTGCGGTGCGCCACCGGAGCTGCGATGGAATGGGAACCAGACCCTGGCTGGGCCCTTCAACCGCGATTTCCAATTTCCCTAATTCCCTAACAAAGGGGGCGGGGAACGGCCGGAAAAGGAGAGAGCAGACTGGCCAAGCAGGTCCATGATACATCATCCACTTGCGTGCGCAACAGTCGTCCCCGATGGAAATGAAATGAGGTCAAAATCCTTCCTGCCTTCTCTCTTCCCCCCCCCCAGGCCGGTCGTGGTCGTTTGTGGCAAACCACAGGAAGCTGTCGGATGATCTACTCGCTGAGGTCATAGTCCGGTCGATTACCCCTTCGTTGACGTTGGCTGGGACCGCCGTTATGACAGGACGAGTCTCCGGCAGCCACTCGCTTGGTCTGGATGTCCGTCAAAGTTCTCACACCCCCACTCGAGGTCCAGGTAACCCTGTCCGTCACTTGCATCCGCGACAGACCTTGGAGCTACGGCGAGCTTTCCGTCGCAGGCTTCCCATGGGACGGACAGCCTGAGAGTCGGGAGACTGGGAGAAGCTGCTTCTGGCCCAGCCCACGCCTTACCAGATGGGGCTAGCGTGGGTACCGTTATCGCTGGCTGGATCGCCGTTTTCGACTGTTCCTGATGGGGGCTAGCGCGGGACCGTGCAGAGCCCAGTCGGGACTAGCGCCAAGGACTGTTGGATTGGATTCCAGTCAGCGCTGTTCTCGTCTCGGCCTGACAGCAAGTCAGGGCAGCTATGGAGTAGCTGGCTTGTCAATCATTCGATCTTGTGTGAAAGTACGAAAAGTGGCTAAATATTCAGTGGGAACGGTTGAACCCCCCCCCCCCCCCCCCCAATGCAGGTAGGGTGTAGGGAAGACTGTCGGTGGTCGGAAGATTATGTCGATTGATCCAGGTACCATCGAGGGTAGCGACCACGTAGCTCCTGTATGCGTGTGTGCATGTCGGTAGGTACAGCTGGTCAGGAGTACAATCGCTATCTACCACTCGGCACAACAGGGATGAGACAAGCACGAGCCTCCATACTGATGGCTTTGATGCCAAACAAGGCGTGGATGAGGGATCCCAGCCTGATAAGATGCCAGCTGTCGGGCCTCTGAGTTGTCAGTCTACGCGCCCAGAATCCCAGCGGTGACTCAACTGGGTTACTGTCCACTCTGCTCCGTATGAAGAACCTCCTGAGCGAAAGATCTTGTCCAGCGCCTGAGGAATGCGACAGTTGAGGAAAAGAAACCTCCCCAACATCTCTGTAGGTACTAGGTATCTTACCCCAGCCCGACCGGTGACGGTCTGTGTGTGACCGCTCCACCCCGCATCAAGCTTTATCGCGGCTTCCCAGCCTCCCTTCGCAAGGGACCCCGTCGTTCACCCCGTTTTTCGCCCTTCGCGCCCCCTCTGCCTCTCTCCTTCCTCCCTTCCCTCCCCATCGCTGCCACGGCGTGCACCATCCAACAACCCCCATCCACCGACACCATGGGGAGCTACACCTTCAAATGGTAAGTTGAAGAACACTCTTTGTGTGGAATAATGGCTGGCTGGCTGTCTCCACGGCCGCCCAGTGGGAGTTCTATTCATGTTCCCGTCACCTTCCGTACCAAGCAATGCCTGCGGACGGAACAGGGCCCGGCTGCTACTCAGCGCGTCACGAGACGGGATGAGAAGAGTGAAGAGAAAGAAAAGAGACGAGACGAGTTGAGTTAAGTGGATCGCTGGCTGATACGGCTTCTCGCATACGCACCAGGCCATACGATGCAAACGAGGTGTTTGTGACGGGCACGTTTGACGACTGGGGCAAGACCGTGAGACTGGACCGGATCGGCGACGGGTTTGAGAAGGAAGTCTCGCTGCCTCCGACGGACGAGAAGGTGCTCTACAAGGTGAGTTGAAGAATCCTGATTTGCCTTTCATCGCGCAACGGGGATTACGTCCTCGGACGGGGCATCGCCGCCTGATCCTCGACAGAGGCGCAGTTTCCCTCCCGCGATGACGCTGCGGGCGGCTTTTCTGCGCTGACGTCATGCACGTCCCCCCCCCCCCCCTCTTCTTGTCCTTCCCTTCCCTTGGTTTTCTGTCCCTCTATCTACCTTCCCTCTCTACCTTCCCTCTCTACCTTCCCTCTCTACCTTCCCTCTTGCCGAACCATAATCATATATCCCCCCCTCCCCCCCCCCATCGGCGTCATCCTTGCACGATCTCCACTAACCTCATATCTTTCTTGGTTTAAAGTTCGTTGTGGACGGCATCTGGACCACCGACAACCAAGTCTCAGAGGAAGACGACGGCAGTAATAACATAAACAACGTTCTCTATCCTGATCAGATTCAAACTGAACCTTCCATCGATCTCCAGAACGGCGTCGCAGCTATGTCCGGCGTCACCCCCGACTCCACCACCGCTGCACTGGCAGCCGGTATTCCCAAAGAGTCCAGCAGCAAGCAGAACGGATACTATCCCACCATCTCGTCGGCTGCCCCGGGATCAACCACGGCTGGACTTGGCCAGGATGTGCCTCTGGAGCAGAGGGCTAATGTCCCGGGATCATATCCAGCGACTCCCGCCACCGAGGCTCAGAAGTTCTCCGTGAACCCAATTCCGGCCTCCAGCGGTATCGGCAACCCGATCAAGCTCAACCCGGGCGAAAAGGTGCCTGACCCCAACACTTTCAACCCCAACACGCTCTCCTCGACTGTACGGACCGACAAGGCCGGTTATGACCAGGGTGCCAGTGCTTCTGCCTTGGCAGGAAGCTCGACCCAGGGAGACGACGCTTTTTCGGTCCCTCCCGTGTCCAAGAACATGATCCCCGAGTCCAGTCTCCCAATGGGTGAAGGCGCGGGGGCTACGGATCCTACTAGCTACACAATTCAGTCGGCAGCCCCCACGTCCACGACTGCTGGGCTTGCGGCGGCAGTTCCCCTGGAATCTCAGAAACAGACAACCAGCGCACTTCCTGCTCGAGATGTCCCGGATGTGGTGAAGCAGTCCATCTCCGAAGCCCACAAGGACCCGGAGGCGGCTGCCAATGAAGAGGTCGTCGAGGAGAAGAAGGAGATGGAATCGGAGCTGCAGCACAAGGTTCATCTAGACAACTCCGCCGGCACGCCGGCGCCCGCTCTGACTGCTGCCACTACGGACACTGCCCCGCGGGCGACGGGTGCGGAACCTGCGTCGGCTCCGATCTCCCCTCGGGCCACTCCCGCTGACAAGCCAACGGTGACCACCGGGGTTGGTGCAGCTCAGGTGCCTGAAGTGTCTGGTCCCGGGGAGACGGAGCCCAGCGCGGCGAAGTCTGTTGACTCGGGAGTTGGGAGCGGTACCACCGATGACAAGACCGTCCCGCCTGTCGGCGCCACCGATGCCAGCGCGGCGAAGACTGCGGAGCCCAAGCAGGCCAGCGGACCGACTGCAGGTGCAGGTGCAGGTGCAGGTGCTGCGGGAGCTGCGTCGAAGCCGGCTGCGAGCAACAATGGGGCAGCGAACGGCAAAGAGCAGAAAAAGAAGAAGAAGGGGTTCTTTGCGCGACTGAAGGAGAAGTTGAAATAGGCTCGGCCGATGCAAGTGAAGGGACACGGCTTCTATGATAATGATCACGGTGTATAATGGATGAGGGATGGGTCAATGTGCTTTTTCTTTTCTTCGACTGGATACCTGTTTGCTTGATTCGTATAGTGGCTACGGCTAGTTGGGGATAATTGCTTGATGGGAGCTACGATACGCTAGCATGATAATCCTAATGTTCTCGATTTGTGATTACTGCATTACAATAGATGGTTCCGAATGACTAGCTAGATAGGTATCGCATCGCTGACGGCCCCATTTACCTTGACGGGATACCCCAGCACACTACGAAGATTAGTATCTTCCAGGTCTGGCAAGAAGAATGGGGACAGGACCACGTACTCCTTCCCCGTCTGCGTCAAGCAGCATCCACAGAAGATCGAAGCCGGATAGCAGATAACCTGAGATTGTCAGTCTTCGTCTTTACCATACATACGTTTGCCATTGGGGACATACCGCCGCCACAACCGTGCAGATAAACCCTGTATGTGTATCTTAGCATCCATCCATGGCCTTTTATCGAAGATAGATAGATAGATAGATAGTAGAAGGTGAAGTAGAAGTAGAAGTAGAAGTAAGTACATACCAAGTGTCGGGCCGACAACCTTACACCGACAGGGATTCTGGTCCGTTCCGCATTGGAAGCAGATGGGGAAGATGGGGAGGAAGGGGACGTCGCACATTTCTTTTTGGTGGGATGTGGATGGAGTATTATATAGTATATGGTGTGGTATGATGGATAATGGATATATGGAGATTGGGATTGGAGGTTAATTTGGAAGAATTGAGAATGGAGGATTGAGGATTAAGGATTGAGTGGTAGAGGTAATTGATTGCTATTATTATGCATAATCTATGATCTGGTGGTTGATGGGGGGGTTTGCATGCATGATTCATGATGACGACAAGAATAGTAAATCCAGCTTTAACTTATTTAGAGCTTAGAGCGGATAACACCTGCGGAAAGGAATTAATTAGTTACCATAGCTTTAAGGTGAATAATTGATTAACTGATTGCTCACTACCTGACCTGTTGTAGGACTGATTCGGATGTAAGGATATTTGTGTAGAATAAAAAAAAAGGCAAAGAAGATTGAGCACCTCCCCCAGCCGGGCGGGATAGAAGCGCCGGGGACTGTAGTAACTTAAGGCGGGGGGCTTTGCGGAGTCGAGACGAGCAGCGACGGAAGAATCTCAGCGGCCAGGGATGGTGGTAAAGGGCTTTAAGAGGGCGCAGGCTCCAGTCTTTGATTGCTTTCATTATCTGATTCCAGTATATGGTGGAATACTTTGTTTATGCTCAAGTTGGTTCAATAGCCGACGGGGGCTAGGTGCCAGCCAAGTCTTAACCTGTCTACCGTATATCTATCTATCTACATCTAGATCATCGAAGGACTCGCTAAACATCATGATGGAAAGACATGATGGAAAGAAATCCAATGGGCATCTTTTCAGTGCTAATTAATTTTTATGGTCCAAAGCTGACCCACACACTAAAGCAGATGATATCACGAATCAATAAAGATACCTACATTCTCTGCATGATACTATAAATACCACCCCCCCCCTCTCCTCTCTGTACTTCATAATCTAATATCCAAGAAATAACCGCCTGCGCCCCAGTCAGTCAGTCATATTGCAAACCCCATCAACCGCGCCACAACAACGATCAGGCACCCGAATTCTTCTGGCGGGCGCTTCGGCTTGGCAAGTTGGCAGCCGATCGGAAAGCCTTGTGGCTAATGTGGAACCCCAATTTATTAGTCAGTTAGTCAGTTAGTTAGTTAGTTAGTAGTCGTCAGTACTGTGTAGAGATATTTAAGATCCACGGGTTTTGTGTGTGGGTTAATGTTTGGGGGTTATAACTAAAGGGGGGGAGGAATCATATTAATAGGTCGACAGACAACAACACATTAACCTTTCAATTGTGACTGGTCATTTCCTCTTCCCTTACCTGGACAGACAGTATTGCCCACCTGACTGGGTCATTTATTCATTCTTCATCATTCGTCCCCGGATTTCAGGACTAGTCTGCTCAGAAGTGGGCACGCATACATAATACGAACACGGTTCGGTTCGGTTTGGTTCGGTCAGCCCTACGCCCGCCAGCCACGCCCACGCCTTGTCTTTATAATAATACGTAACTTCCTTCTTTCCCACCTCCACTCCACTTCACTTATCTCTCCCCCTCTCTCTCTACCACCACACTACAAAACTACCATACATTTACCTTTCTTTTACGCCCCAAGCAAGGCGCTCCACCCTCCACCGATACAAACTACACCTCAACTCAGTCCTACAACCACTAACCCAGAGAGAGAGAGAGAGAGAAAGAGACAGAGAGAAAAGACAGAATGACCCGCCTCACCCCCCTCTTCGTCCTCCTGGGCGTGCTCCTCGTCCTCGGCGTCATCGGCTACATCGTCTACTCCATCGTCCAAGACGTCTCCCGCACCACGCGCTCCAAGATGGAGAAGAAGAATGTCATGCTCACCCGCGACGGCATGACCGTCGGCGTCAAGGAGTTGCAGGAGGAGGAGTATATGGATCGGAGCCAGAAGTATGTTCTCCCTGCCCATCCCTGTCTTCTCCTCTCTTCACTTCCCTCCCTTGTTCCTCCGATTTCAGTTATCACGGGGATGCTGGGGCACAATGACTTTACTAACGGGTATCGGCAGTGTCCTCGTGAATATCTGGAACCATTCCTCCTTCCCGGCCTACAAGAGTCGGCTGTGGAATATGACGAAGCCGACGAACTGGGCGGAGGAGAGTCGGAAGGAGAAATAGGCCACACCACACCACAACCGAATCCGAATCCGAAATCGAACCTGAAACTGAATCCGAATCCAAATCCGCAAAATCGCTATATCGCTATAATATTTATTACCATAACCTATCCACTGTTGGCTCTGCGGAAACAAGAATGAACGGAAGGATGGAAGGAAGGAAGGAAGGAAGGAAGGAAGGATTTCTATGGAATGGAATTTGCTTAAATACACGAGCAGCAGCAATAGGTGCTGAGGATTGCATTCATTATTAGCTATGCGAAAAGCGGCTTTTGGCTTCCATCTGTTGCAGGTCGCGCGGTCCTCTTTTTATCTCTAAAGATGCGATGCGGACGAGACACGAGTCAACGAATTCTCAAACAAAACTGTACGATTCATAACAGACGTCATCATTTTCATTTCCCCGGATTCGTAGACCGACTAGTCCAGGTCGGCGTAGTAGGGGTAATCCTGGTTCAGCTTGTAGAAGGGATCCGGCTTGGGCTCCCAGCTGCTGCCGTACCAGGTCGGGGTCGTCAACCGCTCCGGGGTGTCCTCGCGCTTCTCGCTCGAGAAGACGTGCTCGAAGGTCTTGGCCCACTGCACGCGGTTGTTCAGCCCCTCCAGGCCCCAGAGCTCCTGCAGGAAGTGCAGGAACGAGGTGTGCGTGTAGGCGGAGTTGTTGGCGTACATGGTGCCCTGGTCGTGGATCAGGTGGTTGGCGGGCACCCAGGGGGAGATGATGAACGAGGGCACGCTGGTGATGGTCAGCATGCGGGGCTTGATTCTCAGGGATGGGGTAGTACGTACCGGACACCAAGACGGGTGAAGTCGTAGGTCACGTTGTGGCCGTCCGACAGACCAGAGAAGGTGATGCCGTCCTCGGGGGCCGGAACGTTCACGGGCGTGGGAACGTGGTCAGCGAAACCACCGTGCTCGTCGAAGTTGAGGATGATCAGGCTGGGCTGTGTTAGCTGCCATGGTAGGCTGGTCGGTGGACTCGCGGCACTTACACATTGTCCCAGTACTGGGACTTGCGCACCGCATCGTACAGATGCTTGATCAGCTGCTCGCCCGAGGCCATGTTGCTGGTCGGGTGCATCGAGTCGATCGTGCAGCATTCGGGGTTGTAGTACGAGAACTGGGGCAGTGTGCCGGCCTCGAGATCGCGGTAGAACTGGTCCGAGTGAACCAGACGGTCCATGGCGTTGTCTTGCACCCACTGAGCGAGTTAGGCCGGTTGTTCCTGTCCGAGGGGGCGGGGGCTGGCTTACCTTGTACATGTAGGCGTCGACAATGTCCGTCTCATAGTACTGCATCCGTTAGCCGTGGTTCGCTCCACCTCTGTATCGCCCTACTTACGTTCTTCCATGTGATGTTCTTGTTGCTGAGCGACTCAAAGATCGAGGTCGCACAGGTCGTGCCGGTGTAGTTCGCATACCACCCGGCGGCCTGGTAGGTGTTGTCGACGAATCCACAGGTGGAGCCGGAGGTCGCGAACTGACGGTTGGTGTTGGTAGGACCGGGGTGTTCCGCGTGCTGCGCAATCAGTGTATGTTCATCGTCAATTCAGCCTGGCAACTCACGTAGCTGTCCCAGAAAGCAAAGTTCTTCGCGACCTCGATCAGAGTCGCCGTCTTCTTCTCATCATATGCCTTGATGACGAAGCTGGACTCGCCCGGGCTGGCAGCGTACTTCTCTGACTGGCGCTCGATGAACCCTCCCATGTTGGGAACATCGTCCCTGTCCGCGTTCCACTTGCGGAAGATCTCATAGGTGGTTCCGGCGAAGTTGTGGTCCGGATCGGTCAAGGGCACCTCGGTCTCGAAGGGGGCGGCGCAGATGTTGAGGGGCTCGTCCCAGACCGTCCAGTTGGGGTTGGTGTACTCGTTACAGTAGCTGATGTTCCGCAGGTTGTCGATGTCGGGGTGGAAGTCCCAGTAACCCGCGATGTTGTCGAACGAGTGGTTCTCCATCATCAGGTAGATGACATGTTTGATCTGTTCCCGTCAGTACTCGCCATGCCATTGGGACACCACCACTGCACATACGTTGGAGCGAATGTTCCCCCAGGTTTCATCGGTGCGCCTGTGAGGGAGGGCGGAGGCCACAGTAGCCAGGGCCGAGATAGTAGCCACGTTCAGCTTCATGTTGGTGACCGGTCAGCAACCACTTCTTGGAGACCTCTGAGCTTCAGAATCCAAACTCCCTCCTGGCCGGGGTCGACCGGCTCGATATTTATCTCTGCCCCTCGCATGACGGGGACCGGCCGCTCGTCGGATTGACAATGGCTCTCTTTCCCCCTCCGGGCATTGGGGATCCACCGCGGCAGCAGGGTTTGCATCTCCTGCTCTCAAGAAGGCAAAAAAAGCGGCACGATTATCGGTGAAAGAGGGGAATGACCCAATGGCACGCGAGCCGACGCATCCCACGTGGTGGAGATGCGGAATCCAGGTTGCCTGCTCGCGTGAGGCCTTTGTCGTGCTCCAGGCAAGAATGGGGGGGGAGGCGACGACTTCCGGCCGTTCTCCGCAATGGGATGACCGGGTGCATATCGAGTGCATGCATCGAGTCGCCGGCAGTGGTTCATCAGCTGCGCGATTGATTGGCGTGGAGGCAGAGATGGAGAGTGGAATTGCGCCGTCTAGGCCGGATGGGGGAGGTACTGGATAGATACGTTCTCCACCCGGGAGGAGAAAGAAGGAGGAGGAGGTGGTGGTGCTACTCTCGAGATAGGCAAGCGATGTGACACGGCGTCCTCCGGTGCAGACGATAGCAGATGCAGCCGCGGCACCGTGGGCGCATTCGTGCCTCTGGGTTGCAGTTCACTGGGCCAGGCTAAGACTTAGTATGCGTAGGATGCTCTATCAAATTGCTTCTAGACGGCGAGCCCACCAGACCGCCGATTAGGAAATGCGCCCTCCTGATAGGCCAGGGCACGGCCTTGTGAGAACTAACTCAGGCACTAGCCCGCAAGCAGCAAGGACGCCTTCCTAAACAGGTCCAAGCTTCAGGGACTCCGCAGATTGTGGGGCGCGGGCTTGCATTGTCCCGCGGGTCCCAGCCAATCAGGAGCCCACGTGCAGGCGTTGGCAACCCCGCGCCTGCAGATGACTGCGAGCCCATCAGGCACGTTGCTGGTCACCCCCTCTCGATAGGCCCTTTGTGAAGGCACATGGCGGATGATAAGCTGAGCCCGCGCAGGCACGCGATGTCCACCGGCAACCCCCATCCTTGTCGCGTTGCCCACCAGCTGCTCTCTAGCTGCCATTCACGTCCGTCGGACCATCCATATGTACCACCCATTCCCGTAGGCCGAACAGGCTTCCACCCTTAGGATCCTGCTGATGCCGTGTTGATTTGTTCGTCTGTGCCCCCATAGGTCAATTGCAGCTGCAGCTCAGTGGTCTTTTTCATTTTTTTTCACTTATACTCCTCACTTCCCGGGTTCTTTGTCCCCTCCGGAAAGTCCGCGGTGAATCGGTCCACCCCCCCCCTCCGGGCATATATTAGTGGCGACTTCATCCTTCGACCCCGGCAACAAAACTCTTTTCGACAGAGTTTAAATTTCTAAAACTCGCCTGACTTCCCAACACTTCCTACACACCCCTCACTCCCGTCAGAATGTCGATCTCCTCCATTCGAGAGCTGATGTCCAGCTACTCCCCCGTTTCAGAATACTCCCAGCCCGACCTGGAGAAGGAACTCCACGTTTCACTGCGAAACGGGAGTGACACCGACTCTTCCGTCGGCTCCACCGGATCCGTGGGCCGCGGGGGATCGGAGAAGAAGGAGTCCAAGATCGTCGATGGACGTATTGTGTCCGACGCCATCATCGGCCTTTCCGATGGCATGACGGTGCCGTTTGCGCTGACGGCCGGATTGTCGGCGCTGGGAGACACCAAGGTGGTGGTCTTCGGTGGAATGGCTGAGCTCATCGCCGGAGCCATCTCCATGGGACTGGGAGGCTATTTGGGAGCAAAGAGCGAGGAGTGAGTATTCCCCCGTGAACTTGCCTGACCCGGACAATGCTGACCCTCCGTTCAAGGGAATCCTACCGCGCGACCCTCAAGGAGACAAAACAAGAGATCCTGACCGACCCGGCCTCGGTGACAGAGACCATTTCCGAAGTCTTCGAGCCGTATGACCTTCCTGCCGAGCTGGTGGGAGAACTCACCCGACACCTCTCCGCCTCCCCCAACCTGCCTTCATTCCTCATGAACTTCCATCACACCGTGCAGGAGCCATCTGGATCCCGTGCCTGGGTCTGCGCCCTGACAATTGCACTGGGTTACTTCATCGGCGGGTTTGTGCCGCTTCTCCCGTACTTCTTTGTTGGTCCCCATGACGCATTCTCGGCTCTGCGGTGGTCGATTGCGACGATGGTCATTGCCCTGTTTCTCTTCGGGTACGGCAAGACATGCTTTGTGAGCGGCTGGCGAGGACACCAGAACATTCGAAAAGGTATCGTTGGGGGGTTGCAGATGATATTGGTGGGTGGCGTGGCAGCTGGGTCAGCCATGGGGTTGGTGAAGGGGTTCCAGATGTTGGCCGATGCACATGGTCACGATAAACACTAGGTATCATCTGTCTTATGATCTGTCTGTTTCTGTATGGCGTTGAGTGGGATTTCAAAACTGCACTATATCCGGCGTTGGGTCTGATCTTTTACATGTCGATAGACCTTATGAAGAATGAAGGCAATATTATTAAGTATCTACCCGGTTAACAATTAGTTGACATGCACATCTCTCATTATATCACGGGACGCCTACCTCAGGGTCTTACCCAGAAGATGCCTAAACAGCCTCAGGCAATACTTGTACTTGCCTCGGGCTAATTAATGACCATCATCCTAAGGCCTCCGTCAATCACAAGACACAATATAAATAGACCATCAAACAATATTGCGATATATACCAGTCACCAATACAGCAGGGGGAACCCAATCCCTTGTCACAGTATATACACCAAACATACCATACAACGCACCCGACCACACCTTCTAACCCCAGCCCCGATTCCAGTTCCACAGCATCCCACACGCCATCATCGTGGCTCATCCCCAAGCCCTCCTCCCCCGAAAGCTGCCGCCTAGTGGCTGTGCCTGTACATCAACCCAATCGTACTAACTACTAGTATAAACGTCATGGCAACAACAGCACACAGCTTACAGCACACTGCTGAACATTCCAATCCAGCCGAGAGCCTGAAACACATACCCCGGCCAAACATCTCCAGTGGAACCGTTTTACCGCCGAGAAAGGCAGGACAAACTAGTAGATAGGTAGAAACATATCATTCCGTTGCCAAGTAAAAGTCACAACCCTGGATTGGCCAGGGCGGGAGGGGAGGGCTGGGCATGAGCACTGCCACACCCATCCACTCACCCACTCAGCCAGCGGCTTAATTGAGCCTCAAATATCCACTGTGGAGGAGGCTGTTGAGTACGCGATCCTTGTTGAGAATTGAGATCCCCAAGTTATGTGACTGATGTGGGGGGGGGGGGGGCTGTTGGTATGCTGTGGTGCAGATCTTTATAGGTGTGAAATTGATTCAAGGGATGGATGGATGATGGATGGATGGATGGGATAGTTGGTATCTAGTGGTAGTTACAGTATATGTAAAATGTAAAGGATCTACACTCTGCAAGCTGTACTCCAGATGTATGCTGTACTTTTGTTGAGGGATGTGGATGTGCTCTACTGTGCTTGCTTGCTGGCTGCAGTATTGAGTTTGGGGTACATGATGATGTTGAGATTATGCTTTTTGCGGAGGGGACTGGAGTTAGACTGGGGAGAATCCTACCGGGCACCGACCGACCCATATAGGAAACAAGTATCTACGGAGTCCTGATCCTGGAAGGCGATCCCGAGCCCTAGAAAGTAGAGAGACTTCGACTAAAAAGTAGTTCTCACCAAAGCAAAAGCTTAAAGTGAGCGCAGGGCGAGAGTAGTGTGTGTGGTATGCAGGAATCAGGTTGGCGGGCCGGATGGATGATGAGCAGTTCCAGTTCCAGTTCTTGTTCTTGTTCATTGTCAACCGGCATGCGGCATGACCTCATCGGAGCCGGCGCATCGTGCAGGTGCGGTTGAGGCTGGGGGCGCGCTGATTCGCGAAGGGATAGGATGGCACGAGGGCTGCGGTATCAGGTGATGCGATGCCGATGGATGGATGGGATGGATCGCTCGGGATGGGGCTCCTGCAGCCGCGGCGGTCAGAAGATATCAAGTAATCTGAAGTACGAAGTAGGTAGGAGGTATGTACGGGCGTGTATCACAGTACGTATGTATGTATGTATGCTGTATGTATGTTGTATGTATTTACCTTACCTCGATTCGACTCTTCTCTTTGCTTGGTAGAGGCATGGAGTTCCTGGAAAGTCAAAGGTAGGTAGGTAGCATAGCAGATACAGGGTGGTAAAAACCTGATGATGGGCTCGACTCCGCCCACGGTTGTATCGGCATCCATGATGTGTGATGATGTACACGACGCTGGCGCCCCTACCCCATATTCTGCCCCGAAACCGACCGCCCATGATGCAACGACGAGCGGGGGAAGACAGACAGACACAGACAGACTACTATGTCGGTACGGAGTGGATGGTTGATGTATCCCTGACGTTGGCTGGATTATTGCTGGCACCTCGGACTTGTCCACTGTCGAATCGCATCAATCCAGAAAGAACGGATGAATGAATGATGATGATCTGGTCCAAGCCACGGCTCGGCGTCGGGCGGTGGTCGCGTTGTTCTGGCCCAAGCTCTTTCTCTCTCTCTCTCGATCCACTCACGGCCAGGCAACCGTCAACGAGGCTCGCGGAGGAACGAATACGAGCGGCCTCGAAGAACCCTGGATGATTAGGGGTTTCACCCAGAATCCGATGCATCGAGATTAATATTCGATTCGTGACTCGACAGACAGACAATGGAGCGCTCACATCATTCGCCGAGCACCGAAGCAGGCCAGCTCTGCCTGGGGTGGCTGGGAGTTGACTACGGCATTCCTTCTCCCTTTAATCTCACTCGACACTACTGCGGACTGCGGACTAGACGAGATATCGACCACGATCCCCCGACCGGCTCTTGCGCGCACTGCCCGATGGATTCGCATTCGTAAGTAAGGGTGCTGTGCCACTGCCACGCGCTGATGCTAATTCAACTCGTGTCTCGGAAACACTAACGGGCTCCCAGACCACGAAATAGATTGGTATAACCACTGAACTAGTTGAGAACTAGTCGTCTATCCTCATCACCACCGGGGCTTATTCAGCGGGGAGTTTGGGCGGAGCCTCTGCTAGTTACAATAGACGAGGCAAGAGTAAGCAGCTAGATAACCATGTCACTCCAGCGCCAGCATCGTGATTTAATTTGGGGCCGAAGCTGTGATGACGCTGCTTTCTGAAACCATAATCTCATCCCAGTCCCAACAGAGCACAGGGTACCTATTTACACAGTGTACAGACAGATAGACAGACAGACAGACAGAAGACACCCGCATCACGATCCCCTCTTTCCATCCGCAACCTGCCGGTGCCATCCCATGGATGGTCAGCTGCCCTACCCTCTCCAAACTTCACCTGCAGACCTGCTGTTTACATCCCAGCCTGCCAACCTGCCAGTACATTACTCGGATGCAGCCTGATCACCTCGTCCGGGCGGCTTGCCGTGATCTTCCCACCCTCTCAGATGGCCTCAGATGGGAGGGGAACCGTACGTACCGTATGCAACGGGATACCATACCGGACCGTAAGCTTGGCGGGCGCTTCCGCCTCTTCGTGTGCCCAATAACCGTACACAATAATTTCCTACTAGACTGCTGCTTAGACTCCCATAGACCTGCACATCACTGCCTATCCTTGACCCTGAAATGTCAAATCCCCTGAAAGGCACGGCGTACGGAGGTTTGATGAATCATGCCCGTCCCTGAAGCTAACTGGTGTGGTGCATGCGCGATCCTTCCAGCTGCGGCTTGCTGGTCAGCTCGACGACCGACGGCGGGCCTGTCTTGTCACCCGCGCCTCATCCTGATGATGATGATGATGCCTCGAGCATTGGTCGGGCATATGACAGGCATCGCCCGTTTCGTGTCCAGTGTCCACCGGCCGGCGCGGCGAGGATCGGTTGGGATACAGTGATTACATACGGCGTACTAGTCAGTTATGCTTTTTTACAGTACGGGAGCCAGTGGGAAATCTTCAGCAAACTAAGGCAGCTGTTGGCTGATCGCGGTATATCAAATCAATCAATCAGTCAATCAATCCAGATTCCAAGTCTGGCCGGGGTCCTCTGCGGCTATTGTCCGAGGGGTTTGTCGGTGGTCCGGAGTACGGCAAGTCAAGATTCTTCGAACGCCGAGTAGTCAAAGAAGAGAAACAAGAAGGAAGGAAGGGGGCGGCCTTCGGAAGTTAGATTTCCGATTTGACTTAGATCCGGGGAGCTTCCATCCCGATGCTTTCTGGATGCTTCTCATCGACGCCAGGAGCACCGGCCGGATGAGACAGACAGTAAAGCTCCAGCCCTCGAGGCTCAAGGCTCAAAACTCAAGCAGCATCGCATCGTATCAGAGCCGGGGCCGATCGACCGTACCTATATCCCAGCCTAGCTTCCGCAGGGAGGTTTAATAATAATAATTAAAATAATAAAAAAATAATGCGCAGGATGGAGATTATGACCAACCAGACCATTCAGGGACAGCGGGGCTTGGCTGCAGGGTAATCGGCGATTTCTTTGGTCAGATGTTGATGACTGTGAGACCGTTGTGGGTTAAGCGAAATTAGTCCTGGAGATCCACGGCGCCCCATTGGCCATGGGTGCTGACTGACGGGGTCCGCACAGCCAATCATCAGGGGCAGGCCAGAAGTCGATGAAATGAGCACTCGACCTCTTTCTGTCCTGACTAAGAATTTGGGCGTATCGCTGGCGACGGGGCTATTCTTTTGTTTTTCTGACCGGCGCCAGCAGGGCTCGGTCGCTCGGTCGCTCCGTAAGCCTAGATAGGTAGGTAGGTAGGTAGGTAGAGGTCTCGCACAGCTTGCTTACTTTGTACGTATTTACTTTCCTCCGCGGACGGAGGACCGTGTCTGCCGTTCCGTCCCCGCTAGATATATACAGTATGTACGGAGTAGGACGTCTGTAGGAGACTATTTCCCACCGGGAGTAGATAGTGGTTTGGTAGCTCCGGCCTCGTTCCGTTGATATGATGTCTGCCCGGTAAGGCAGAAAGGCAGGGCGTGGTCTGGTTAGCCTCAGGTGTTCGGGTATCGCGGCCTCCGTGGTCCGTTGATGCAGAAAATTTCTGCAATTTGATGGCAGGACCTTGGTTCCCTCAGGCACCTTCGGATCTGCCAGCCCAGCGCACCGAGGCACCGCCGATGCGCGCTAGTTCCCAAACGGGTTGGTGCCTCTCTGGCCGCCCAAGTCGGCCTAGCGCGCTGCCCGGGCGACCCTGATTTGGGATAGCAGTGACGACATGATACGGGGCCAAACCGGTAATACGAGTACGCCGGCCCAGCGCCCAGTCAGGCCCCCGTAACCGTACCCGTCGTTGTCCGTCGTCGCCCCGTCGCTCGCTGCTGATCCAGCACCTGCAAAATCCTCATATCCATCCCATTGTTCCCAGCTCCCCATCTCCTCCTCTTCTTTTCTTCTTCCTCTCCTCTATCCTCCACTTCTCGTCCGTCTCCCCTCATCCGATCCTCCCTACGTCGTCCTCATCCTCCCCCCTCCCCCCCCTCCCCCTTCCCCTCCTCCGACTCTCCGGCTCCGTGGCCATCTGCGCCCCCCCCCTCGCGATCCGCCTCGTTCTGGGTTTCCCTCTCTCGCCCTTACTGTCCGCCTTGCGTCAGAGAGCCCTTGCAACGTGATCTCCCACCTCATCCTCGTTTGGCCGCTGGAGACCGGAGCCCGCGCTCCCACTTGGCTGTGATCTTCCCAATTTGATATTTCTCCGCCTCGCGAGACGCCTGTCGGCTTGAGCCAGCCCAGCGATCGAAACGTTGTGTTCCAGGCGCCCCTTTCAGCAGCTCCTGTCACGTTGACGCCCACAACCAACACCACCATCACAACCCCCTCCCCCCTTTCCGAAGACTCCGCTTCCTTTAATCCTCCACCGTTCCTCGACCTTGCTCGGATTGCTGGGAACCCCAAGCTGAAGATTCCCCGGAGTCTTCCACCACGCGAGCCGCCGCGATGAATACCTCCCTTCCCTCCTGGAAGGATCGCACCCAGAACCAGTTCGGCAAGCTTCAGATCCAAGTACCATGGCGCTCCATCCAGCTGCTGGTGCCGCATCGCATGCGACGGAAGATCCGCTCCAAGTTGCGCAGCAGGCTTTCTCCGACCTCCTCGATATCGTCTCTGCAGACTTCCTTCTCGCCCGTGGATACCCTCCGGTCGCTCCAGAGCCATCGGTGGACGCCCTATGACTTCCAATACCTGCTGCTGCTGATCGTGGGGATCTTCTCTCTGTGCATGATGGAATCTCCCGGTCCTTTGGGGAAGACGGCCGCGTTTACCATGCTTCTTATCTCTCTCCTGCTTCCGATCACCCGCCAATTCTTTTTGCCGTTCCTCCCGATCGCGGGGTGGCTGATCTTTTTCTATGCCTGCCAGTAAGTCAACCCACACCGGATCCTGCGGATTACATGGGTGCAGAAGAGAACTGTTCGCTCACGCTTTTGAAAATAGGTTCGTTCCAAGCGATTGGCGCCCGGCCATCTGGGTCCGCGTGCTTCCGGCCCTGGAAAACATCCTGTACGGCGCCAACATCAGCAACATTCTGTCTGCTCATCAGAACGTTGTTCTCGACGTGCTCGCATGGCTACCATATGGCATTTGCCATTACGGTGCCCCGTTTGTCTGCTCCCTGATCATGTTCTTCTTCGGTCCTCCTGGCACGGTTCCCCTTTTCGCCCGGACGTTCGGGTACATCAGCATGACGGCTGTCACTATTCAGCTGTTCTTCCCTTGCTCGCCTCCGTGGTATGAGAACCTCTACGGCCTGGCACCGGCCGACTACTCGATGCAGGGTAACCCCGCGGGCCTTGCTCGCATCGACAAGCTCTTTGGCATCGACCTGTACACCTCGGGCTTCAGACAATCGCCTGTTGTGTTCGGTGCTTTCCCCTCGCTGCACGCCGCGGATTCGACACTGGCCGCCTTGTTCATGAGCCACGTCTTCCCGCGGCTGAAGCCTCTCTTTGTCACCTACACCCTTTGGATGTGGTGGGCAACCATGTACCTTTCGCACCACTATGCAGTGGATCTGGTCGGTGGTGGTCTGTTGGCCACCGTTGCCTTCTACTTCGCCAAGACCCGCTTCCTCCCGCGCGTTCAGAGCGACAAGATGTTCCGCTGGGACTACGACTACGTTGAGATCGGTGATTCCGCTCGCCAGTACGGCTACGACCTGGTCGACTACGATGGCGACTTCAACCTAGACAGTGACGAGTGGACGGTCGGATCGTCATCCTCGATCTCGTCCGGCTCCCTCAGCCCCGTCGACGACCACTACACGTGGGAGGGCGAGTCGCTGGCCTCTCCCATCACCGACATCGAGTCCGGGAGACACGTGATCAGCCCGTGATCGCGCCCGCCTTGGACCGAATTCACTGCATATACACACACATCCAACTTCTTGCATCTATTTATGAACGGCGTTAGCACATTTGACGACATGCTGGGTTTATTGCATTGAGCAGATTTCGACACATATATCTTTAATACCTGCCTTTACTTTCCGCAGTCCAGGCCGCATGGTTTCGATTCACCGTTTTGGATTGGTCACCTGGATACTGCCATGTTTTATCTTCCTCTTGACCGCATTGTACATCACACCGCACACTTCCGGGCTGCGTTGCCGCATGATCCGACAGCCCGCTCTCCTCGAAAGCTCCGTCGATAATATTAATACCGAAAGGCTCCGGATCGCCGGCATCTCACCTCCGGTCCCGCGACATCCGTGACGCCTCCCCCCCCCCTGTTTGAGACGCTCGCTTACGCATTTCGTCTGGATCACCCAGCACGACCACACTCGTTTACTTCCTACTATTGTCTTTCGCTCTTCATCAGCTGGTCGGGCCTTTATTCATTTCTTTTGCTCGGCCAGGTACATATATCTTTATCTTCGTGTCGATCGCTCACACTACTGGCGCCTGGGATTGGGGACTCAATGAGAAAAAGTTAATTGAGGCGCCTCGACTTGCATGCACCTCACTCGCTGTGCTGCAAGGGATTCAATGCTTTTTATTAATGACCATTGCATTGGCATATAGACAGAGGGGTTATGATGAACCTTTGTATTGGGGTCGGAGACAGACCCATGTTGTGTTTTTTTCCAAGGTTCGAGAAAGGGGGAAAAGCGTGGAACGGAGCCGCTTGTCAACCTTGCACGAGGGGGGAACCGGGAATCAGGGAAAGTCGATGTCGACGGAGTCATCTTCTTCCCGAACAACAACAAGCTTCACTTGCTATGGGGGGGGACTGTTCTGATCCGATCCCGGCACCGATCCACGGGCTCAATTGTCTGACCTGTTGTCAATTTTGACCTGTACTCCCTACATGGTTGTTGGATTGGATTCATCCGGTTATAGGTATCCTCCTAAATATCAGGATGACCACTTCCACATACCTCACTCTCACCCACTCACTCGCTCACCATCACCACCGCTCCTAAAACCTCATCCCCATTGATACTATTCCTCACCTAATATCGATGCTACTGCGGCCGAGGAGACGGGGGAGAGACCGAGACCGAGACCGAGAGAAAGAGAGGAAGGGTGTCGGATGCACACAACTATCCATAGCAGACAAACCTTATTATTAATTATAATCAGGTAGCGTTATGATTTATGAAAGGCTATTGTATATTATTACATTACCATTACCATTACCCTTGATCTCCGTGTTCGAATTACTACCACATATCCTGTGTCTACGTATACTATCATATACCTATACTTGGTGTCTGCCCGTTGACGAATTGCATCTACGTCTCTGGGTTGTCGACACTACTATTTAATCCTTGATCAATTATTAGTTTTGTAGCTGGAGCTGGGGCTGGCTGAGCCTATCGTCGCTTTTTACATAGTGTATAAGTGAGTGTGATAAGTGCTATACCGATACGGAGTAGATATACTATATATACTACCTTAACCGCCAGTGAACTTGGAAGGCAGATGGGACTCGATGAATTCCCATGGTTACGAACTTAATCAAGCCATTCTTGTGTTTCGTACTATTTGCTGAGATTAGAATTGTCAATCAGATGGATTAACTTACCCAGCCACAGACACACACACACACACCCAAGGTACCTTACCTTACCTAAAGTACGGTAGACAGACAGACAGACAGCCCAGCCACGCCATAGCCATCCATCCATCCATCTAATCTTATCTGCGTACCTGCCCGATCTATCTTTTTTTTCATCAGTAACTAGCTACGTAGCCAGCCAGCCAGCCAGCCAGCCAGCCAGCCAGGTACATAAAACACGCATTTAGACTACACAATCCACTTCCACTCACTCACTCACTCACTCACTCACTCACTCACTCACTCACTACCGACATACTAAATAGTCGGTCACCCCCTGTTCGAACCCCAATACCATTTAATCATTCATTCAGTCCCAAGTACAACAGGAGGTAGTAGGTAACGAACGAACGACCTTTGACAAAGCTCGCCTGACTGCGACCAAGGTGGGTTGGTTGGGTTAGTTAGTTACTAAGTAGTCAGTTAGTCCGTCCGTCCGTCCGTCCGTCCGTCAGCCAGTAGATCATAGATATCCTTCGCGGTTTCCCCAACAGAAAGGGAAGCAAGAAGCAAGAAGCAAGAAGCAAGAAGACGCACCTTCCCAATTCGGCCTCCAGCTGGCAGTCCTTCCTTTTGGATTAGGAAGGATGGATAGATGGAGGGATCCATGGAATGGAGGGAGGACAGGACAGGGCAGGGCAGGGCAGGTGCAATCTACTATACCTTCTGCCCTTCTGCCGTCGGGATCCTGATTGGGAAGGTGCGTGTATCTAGATACCAAATCAAAGGTACCCAGTACTCTAGTAGCTGTAGCAGGCACCTACCTACCTGCCTAGAACTGGTTCGCCTGTCCAAACATAGAGGTCAGTGCATAAACACCCAGTTTAAGGATGCAATTATTTTATAGTAACCACCTTTCAGTAAATTGCTTTTAAAACATTAAGTTCCTCTTTCACAGAGTAGGCACTACTAAGTAGAAGTAGTAGTAGTAACCCCCATGCACTACCCACCCACCACGTCACCCAGCTCAAATAAGAAAAGCAAACAAACACATCTCATTCCCGGGAATCTAAGTCTAGCATGATATAGCATCTCATAATATAAAATAAGGTATGTACGTTAGTAGCGAATGAAAACACACCGACCCCAACAACTTTTTAACGCCCTCACTCATCATCGAAGATCTGCACCCGGTCCGCATACTCCTTGATCTTCGAGACGAAGGTCTCCTCGATCTGGTCGCCTTGACCGCCCGCAACGCGGAGGATGAGGTCATTGAGGGAGGCGCGGCCGAGGATGTCGACGTGGTCGCCTGGTGGGGGTTAGCTAGGTAGTAAGAAAGGCATTTGGTTGGTGGTATAGCATTAGGTGTAAGTATACAAGAGGTAAGCATGAGGGTACGTACCTGTGTTAGGCCCCCCGCGGGGCGAGAACCGATCCGGTTCGTGTGGCATCTCAAAGACCTTGATCTTGACGCCGGCGGGGTTGTAGCGCTTCATGCGCCAGCCCTTGGCGCACATGTAGCCCGTGCTGAGGAGGTTGACGGTGCCGTCGCCCTCGCCCATGATGACGCCGTGGTCGACGCCATCGTTGTTGGTAACGGTGGTGTCGATGCTGACGTTCAGGTTGACCAGGGGGTCGCGCTCCTCCTGGTAGAAGTAGCTGCGTTCGGTGGGCTTGCCGACGCCGTAGAAGCAGTAGATCTTCATGTCCGGGGCGAGGGGCAGGCGGGCCTCAAGGGGGTTGAGCCACGTGCGGGGGTTGTTCTCGTTTTCTTCGACTTCGCGGGCCGTGTGGGCGACGCCGTGCGAGTAGCTACCGAGAACCTGGTTGCGGTACCAGGGTTCCGAGTCGTTGAAGAGATAGGACAGACTTTCGGCGACGGTGAGGTTCCTGGATGTGCGGGTCGAGTTGGACTCGCGGAAGTTGAGCACGGTGCCGTACGAGTGGGACTGGTTGGGGAGGTCGTCTGGCGCCCAGGTGGCGTTGCCCCAGACAGCTTCGCCGCCCTTGGGAAGCATGCTGCTGATGCCGGGCATGGCACGGAAGATCTCGGCGCGTTCCTCCTTGGAGAGAAACTTCTCGAGGCCATAGACGGCGAAGGCATTGAGCTGGGCCGTGTCGCGCATCTCCCCGGACAGGACGGCGGTGAGACCCTTGACGGCGCCGAGCATGCATCCGCTGATGTTGATCCAGTTGGCAATGTGATCGTTGACCCAGGTGCTGCCTCCAGCGCCATGGTCGGGGTGCTCGACCCATTTGAAGAAGTAGAGCACGACCTGTGAGCCCATGCTGTGGGACGCAAGGGTGACCTTCTCGCCGCCGACCTGGACCGCCGTCTCGATGTAGGACTTCAGCCGACTGAAGTACTGGTCGCGGACCTCCAGGTTTGGGTACGAGAGACGCCAATCGTAGGCGGCCGTGAAGGCGTTGGTCGGGTCGTAGCCGATGGTAGCCAAGTTCTCGAGGATCTTGTTCCAGATCCAGTAACCAGTGATGAAGAAGTCCGTTGCGTCGAAGCCCTGCGCCGCGCGGAGCTTAATCCCGGGGGGATCCAGACCGGTCTCCTTGTCCAGCATAATGTGGTTCTTCCATTCGGTCTTGTCGAGGACCAGCGCGCGCATCATGCTCCAACTGCCCCAGAGTCTGCGCCGGAAGTACTGGCGGGAGGATTCGTCGGTACCCCAGCTCTCGAGGCCGGTGGAGATGACCCCGGGGACCATGATCATGGGGTGTTTGGCCTTGACGCCCTGAGACTGGAGGTGCAGTCCGACGGAGAACGAATCGTAGTTGACCGTGTCGCGCTCATGTTGCTGCGCGCAATCAGTCAGTCAGTCAGTAATCATTTGCGCCCGCATCGCTCCGCATATCAAGCATAAACAGAGCATGTCTGCGACAGCCATAGCATCGAACGTACGGTGAACTCCCTCGCATCCTTGAGCAATCCCTGGGGCATGACATCCATCAAGGACTCCAGGTTCAGGTCCATTAAGCTATCGAGACTGATCACATCCTGCTGATTGGCAAAGAGAACAGCCATAAGCACACCGAAGAGGCCACCGAGGACGAAGATGAGGCCATTGCGGCGTTTGCTGCGGGGTTTGGTGACGAAGGACTCGGACTTGTGCTTGAGCTTGGGCCGGGGAGGAGTACTAGTAGTAGCAGCAGGAGGCTCGGGCTCAGGCGACTGGAGAGGGTCGCGCGAATCGGCCGACTCGTCCTTGGCCAATCGACGACGGAGCATCGGGACGACGGCCAGAGGAAGCTGCAAGGGGGAGGGGAGAAGCAATGAGGGCGAACCGGGGGCGAAGAGGCAATGAAAGAGGGAAAGAAAGGACAGGAGGTGCGAACGGAAGTCAGTTCAGATCCGATCAGTCAGTCAGTCAGGCACCCGCGGCACACCGGCGGGAAAATCAATCAATCACATGTGCGGACGTCATCCGATCTTTTGTTTTCTTCCGCGCGCCGTTCCTCTTCCTCTTCCTCTTCCTCTTCCTCTTCTTCTTCCCAACAGTTGCTAAATGACCATGGATAATCCATCAACATCAACCTCGACTCCCCCTACTCCTGCTCCTGCTCCTGCTTCTCCACCGCCCGCCCCCCGCAATGACCTCCGCTACATCCGCTACAACGCCGCCCACGAGGACGCCTTCGTCCCCGCCATGCGCCAACTGATCTCCAAGGATCTCTCCGAACCCTACAGCATCTACGTCTACCGCTATTTTCTCTACCAATGGGGCGAACTGTGCTTCATGGCCATGGACGACTCCCTCGCCGACCCCATGGTCGGGGTCGTCGTCTCCAAGCTGGAGCCGCATCGCGGCGGGCCCTTGCGCGGATACATCGCCATGTTGGCCACGCGCGAGGAGTATCGCGGGCGCGGGATAGCCACGAAGCTGGCTCGGATAGCGATCGATGCGATGATCGAGAGAGAGGCGGATGAGGTGCGTTTTTTTTGTCTATCCATCCATTTATCTATCTATCTATCCCTCCCTCTTCCTCTTCCTCGCCTCCTACCTCCCCACCCCACTTCTTTCCTCCACAATAAAGAGAGCCCAACATACCAAATGCAATGCGCACATGTGTAAAATAACCGGAATAAACTGACTCCTTTGTTCACTGCGATTAGATCGTCCTCGAAACCGAAACCACAAACACCGCGGCCATCAAACTCTACGAGCGATTGGGCTTCCTCCGGAGTAAGCGTCTCCATCGGTACTATCTGAACGGCAACTCGGCGTATCGTCTGGTCTTGTATCTCAAGGAAGGGGTGGGGTCGATGCGCACTAGCAATGTCGATCCGTATGGCCCGCCGCCCATGTCGGGGCCGCTGTACCCCGTGGATGCGAACGCGGGGCCCAGTGCCAATGTGAATGTGAATGCGAATGCGAATGCGAGGGCGGAGGGGTTAGCCGCACCGGAGCCGGCGTTGTTGCATGAGAATGGGAAGGGGGTGTGGTAGGGTTGGGTGATGATAATTAATTGACTATGACTGTAATGACTATGCATGTTATGATTGGATTGGGGATGGGGGGGATGGGTGGATGGTGAGGGGGTAGATAGATGTATATACTATATTGACTGGTTGCATTGCGCGAGGGAGGATGGGATGGGAGCTATGTACAAGAAGTGGCTGGTTGGTTGCCTGTGCATACTGTGTATGGCCAAGGTGCTATGCTATGCTATACTATGCTATACATGTTATGCGTGTACATGAGCTGCTCGCTACTGTTATCACAGCATTGTCAAGAAGGATCAAGGGAATAGACATGACACATGATACAGAGTAATATACAGGTGGCTGGTAGTATACACATATACCAAGAGATATGCACCCGGGCAATAATAGATGGGCCCGGGGGAATCCCACACGCATCATCGGATCAGAACTCATCTGAAAACATGGATTCCTTCTCCCGCACCGGCACATGAATGGCATTATTCATCACCCAGGGGAGCGGGTATGGTTTGGCCTCCCAGGCAGCATCCAGCTTACAGGCGGCATCCAGCATGATCGACAGGGGGACTTCGGGGACACGCTTTCGGCCCACCGCCATGTCGTAGTAGATGATCTCACGGGCGAGAAGTTGCTGGAGAGTCCGCTCCTTTTTCTCATAAGGTTCGAATCCCCGGCTCAGATACATCAGTGGGTCGTTGTGGTACTCCGGAGGGAGACGAGCGACCAGATCCTGGTTCAACGTGTATTTGGATTCATGTGCATCGATTCCCACGATGGCCCTGCCAGAAGTGAATTTCCAATGCGCAACTGACACATGCCTCGCATTGTCCTTGTTGGCTAGGTTTCGTGTCAGGGAGAAGATAAGCGTCTGCCTCATGTCGGGGGTCACCTTCCCACTCATGCATGCATACAGCCACGCCACGCGGCAGATGTTGTAGTAACGGGCCGAGTAGGCGGTGAGGAAGAGCCGCCCGAACAGATAGTTAGTGAAATGCAAAGGATGGGGCGGTGCCCGAATTAGATACTGGACAGGGTCCAAGATATTACTTCGCCATAGGCCGAGAAGCTGGTGGTGTGAGTGGCTATTGAGGGTAAAGCCCCGCTGCATGCAGAGCTCAAACAGCTCCTTCGCGGCCTCGAAGTTCTTTAGTTGGTTGATCACACCGAACATCGAGGCGATGAGCGACCCATTGAACTGGTTCCCGCACGCGGTTTCCGTCCTCTGCACGTAGGAATTTACGCTCTGGCCGCTTTCCAGATGCTTCCGAAACGTATTCTGGACCGTCCCTCGAACCACTTGACCCATAGCCTGGGGTGTCTTCAAGTGGCCCCGCATCAGCAAGTAGGTGGCTAGAGCGGCCTTGGCCTCCGGGGCGACAAGACAGTTAAAGAAGGCAATCCACGTGCTGGAATTGGGCCGGATCTGCAATCGGCCCATGTGCTGCAAATATATACCAAAGTAGTGGAGGTCCTGCCTCCTGGCCATCGCGCCGAGAAGAATGTTGAAGGTATCGACTGTTACGAGGTGCTCGCCTTGTGTGAAGATGGAACGGACTGCTTTCAACTGCTCGTGGCGCAAGAGATATGAGAGTGCCGTATTCAACGCGCCCGTCGACAGTAGGCTGTGATACTCCTTGTCCTCGAACAGCGAGACGAGCTGCCGGGTCACTTCCGTCGGATGATCAGGCGGGCGAGGCTCTTCCCGGCCAAGTTTCTTTCGAGTCTTGAATGCAGGCAGCGAGAGTGTCAAATCAGTCACGTGCTCAGTAAACTCGCGGACGGTCGTAAAATCCGGACGGCACTCCAAGAGCTTGTCCAGCCTGGTGGGGGTGTAGGAGGGCGAGTCAAAGTCCCATTCAGCTCGAACCAGCGTCGGTTCGTCCTCAGTGCCCTCCGTTGCATCCCGGCGCGGGATGATTGGCACGGGCGACAATGGTATTTCAATCAGAGGATCACACTCCATCTGCTTCCTCTTCGCCTCCATGATGCGGTCGCAGACAACCTCGACGACCCGCTCCGAGCCCGACACAATGACTCTGCGGAGGTGGCCTTTGCTCTTGGACGAATCCAGCGCATGGATCTTGCACCCATGGTGGATCGGCACGATCCAGATATTTTCCGACGTCTCAGTCACGCCCGTCATCAACGCAAGTGTTTCTTCTGCTAAAAGCAGTTCCTTGTGCATGAAGCCCCTTCTGGGGGGCTCCGACAACATTTTCTCCTCCATGTTTATCAACAATTCTCTGATCCAGACCCATCTTCTTGTCTCGTCGTAGGCTGATTTCCGCTCGTGGTGTTTTTCTTCAAATTGGTCATTGAGGAACTTTCGACTCCTCAGCTTCTTGCGGTCCTCCAACGAAAGCTTTTTTACAATTGCTTCCGATTGCTTTCGGCCTCGGGATCGGCTCGGTCGAGACGCGGACATAGCGTTGGTGAGATGACGTTCCCTTCCTGGACTGGATAGCCCCCAGACGTCTGACTCGCCGAGTGTTGTGTCCCTAGAGCGAGGCAATGGGGCGTGTCTATGTGATTTCTGCTTCGTCGCCTCATCATGTCCCTCCGGTTTCTTCTGCTGGCGTTCACGTTCTGGAACGGGGTCGTGGGATCGATCGGATAATGGTGTAGAAGGAACGGCGTCCTCAGCAAAGGAATTGACGGATCGTCTAGACGAAGTTCCGAAGGAGCGAGGGATCGTTCGGCCGGCACAGTAGTATATTCGATTCAAGCAAGCCGAGGTTATTGGAAACGAGGAAACAGGCCGGTGCCGCACGGGTGAGAACCAGCGAGGGTAGAGGAAAAGAAGCGGTCTTTCGGGCCCCGCTGCGACATTGTCCAAGACCGTAGACAGACTACGTCTTTGCAGACACGGGCGCCCGCGTGTTAACATGGAACTGCGCGTCGGAGAAGCGCCGGAGGCATGAAAAGTCAATCAATGGTGAGACTGGGAGGGGAGCGTGTTGGAGCCGGAGAGTGTTGAGCTTCAGTGAAGTTCGGAAATTTGGCATCGGAGGCGGTCCGCCGTCGGTCCGACCTCGCCGCCCTGGCTGTCTGCCCTGCCCTACACCTGGAATCTCCAATACGTGGTATCAATAAATAAGATTACTTGCAACTCCTACTCCTTCTCCTTCTCCTACTCCTACTCCAAAAAGAAAAAGGAAAAGACAACAAGAAGCGCGCCAAAACTCCAACCCAACCCAACCCAACCAAACCAAACCCATTCACGTCGAATACTGATAAATATGGCCTTCGCGTCCAACTTCGGCCGCCTGAGGAATACCCTTGATCTCCCCCCCATCATCCATCGGCTTGAACGAGAACTTGCCAGAGTATCTCGCTAGCAGACTGCCTTTCTTCGGGGCCGGGGTCAGGTCCAGCATGCCCGACTTAGGCCCCTGATGGTTGGTCCGGAGGACTTCAGGTCCGGTGAGATGTCGTCTGGCCGCGTCGACAGCCTTCTGGAGGTGGTCCTGTCTGCGCTGCATCACTTCGGCCTCTTTCCCACTCATTTCGGATACCCTATGCCCCAGATCCTCGACGATGTCCACGAGATGCGTCAGGAACTGCCACCGGGAGGCCTGGAAGACGAACATGGACATGATCTCCGGGATCTACAACACACACCACCATCAGTCAGTCAGTCAGTCAGTCAGTCAAACCCGCAACATCCCCCATCAGTCAACCGGACATGAGACGTACCTGCCCATCCAAATAGAACAGCTCCTCCCCTCCCTCCTCTATAAACCGATGCAACGCATCGACCTTCTCACGATCCACAATTGCCACCCTCAACGCATGCATCAGCGCCGGGATATCCGCGATCTCCTCCACCGGCACCTCCTCCTCGCCGGCCTTCGTAGTCGCCCGACTCAAACTAGCCGAATACCCAAACGTATTGACCCTCGACAAGCCAGCCTCACTCTCCGCGCGCCTCTTGTTCCGCCCCGAATGAATCGTAAAGTAATCCTCATTCAACATATGCGCCATCTCCAGCCCCGTCCGTCCGCGTCGAATCCTTTCCACCGCCCGCTTCACGCGTAACCTCACCCATCTGCGCCGACGCACAAATGAATGAAACCACGGATGCGATCCATGCCACGCCGACGACGCAAACGAGAACGAGTACTGCCATCCCTGATCATCCACGTCGCCAGACATATCCACGTACCAGTTCCTCCACACCCATTCCCAGCTGGGGTCGGGGAGCTGCGCGTTTGTAATGTTCACGGGACTGTCGCGGCCGTCAGCGGTGATCCACGCCGTGGGATCGAAGTTGAGTAACGAGCTGTGCGAGTAGAGCGGGATGCCGAAGAAGAACCAGCCTCGTTGGTTCTCGTATAGGATGTCTAGTTCGGTGCCCGGTTTGAGGCCTGTGAGCTTGGGATGTCGGTGATGTCGGTGCTCGTCGTCGGTGTTGCCGTGGCTGTTGTTGCCGCTGCTTGTAGGTTCTGCGGCGAAATCGGTCGCGTTGACATCCTGGGATGGGGGTTGTTGGGGCTCGCCTTCTGTGGTGGTGGTTGTGGTTGTTTCTGCGCCGGTGAGGTCACGTCCATCGGAGGGTCGTCTGCTGCTGCTACTGCTTGCTATTGCTGCGGCGGCGGCATCCACCTCGCTATCGTCGACGTCATCATCGGTGAGGCCCAGACGGTCTGGTTGCCATTTAGCATATTTGCGTTTGGCGAGCTCGCTGCGGATGGATTTTCGGGTCCATTTTCTGGAGATGTGGCTGCTGCCCCCTGCGGTGGTGATTTGGGAGAGGGCGGTCTCGGAGGGACGACGGGGGGCGGTGTTGTCGATAAGAGCGATATTGCCTGCATTGGTATCCATCATGGGAGGGGTTGAATTGATCGTTATTAAGTTAAGTAATAAATGCGTGTATGTAAGTTGTCGCTGTGGTAAGTGGATAAGTTGGTGTAGAATACAGGGGGGGCGCCAGCAGTGGTGGTCACCATGACGAGGACATCATCATTATGCAGCAGGATAACGTAGGACAGCAATTGAGAAAAAAAGGATTAAAAATAACAATGTAGGTAGGAGATTTAGTAGCTGATAAGGCGACCAGTAAAGAACGACCAACGAAGACCCGATGGCATCGTGCGACAACCCACCAGCAGCTGCTAAGTCCCAACCCAGCAAAAGAAGGCAAGTTCGCGCGCTGAAGAAAGCCAAAAGCCAAGCAAGGCACATCCTCGATCGATGACATCGTTGCGGGGCGATCGTCCATGCTGTGGTGCCTGAGGCAGAGCTCACCTCCTGGATCCGGCATTTGTGCACGCCTCAGGCATCAGACGACTAGTGACATACTACTGCTTGCTATCTAGCATTTGGCTACACTACTAACTACACCTTTCCCCTCGTCCGACGCGTCCACCTCCCCTCCCTCCCAAACACCCCATCCCAACGCCTTCAAGACCAAGATAAAAAAAAAAAAATGGACCACCACCGGCTAATCGAACTGCAATCGGCGGCGGACTTCACCTACCTGTACGGCAACACGGTCGCGCTGTCGCGCCAAAAACTCGATCTGCATCTTCCGCCGTCGGCGAACCCCAATGACGGACCGGATCCGATGCGCGAGCGTGTGAGGGAGTTGGTTGATGAGGTATTTTCTCCTCTTTCTTTTCTAGCTACATCACCAGCACCGTGATCTTACAACACTGTGATCTGACTACGCAAACCCCCATCGCCATCCATCCCCTCACCTCAACACCTCAACACCATAACCCCCCCCCCCCCTCAACCTCCAAACTAACCCCTTCTCACCATCCAATCCAGTACATCCACCAAACCTTCCACACCGCCTCCAGCAGCATAAGCATCAACGGGCTAGACAGCACCTCCCCCGAGTTCCCGTTCCCGGGGGCCTTCACCGCACCAACCGAACAAGTCGAGTACGAGGCATACGACGGAAAGCTCGCGTCGCGGGTGACATCACTATATGCGCAGCTGGAGTCGTTGACCACGACGGTGGCGCAATTGCGTCGCGATGCGCCGGGACGGGCGGCTAGGGCGTATGCAGAGAAATTGAGCCGGGCGATTGAGGAAGATGATGATGACGACGACAACGACGATCAGGATGCTGAGGATGGCGAGGGTGAGGATGGGGAAGAGATGAAGGAGGAAGATGGGAATGGGAATGGAGGGCAGACTACATCGAATGCGAATGTGGAGGGACAGGAGGGGCAGGAAGGCCAGCAGGGTGATTCAGAGATGGTTGATGCGGACAATCCTCTACATACGCAGGGTGAGGAGAGGGCGCAGAGAGCGAAGAGGAGGGCGAAGGCCAAGGCGAAGGCGAAGTTGAATATCCCGCTTGGGACGGAGCATGAGGCGGAGCGTTGGCGGGGCGGGGAGATGGCGGAGGTTTATGAGGATGCGTTGCGGACGTTGTTGCGGCTCCAGGGCGAGTCGCAGGGTCCTGGGACGGAGGGGCCAGATGGCAGTGGTAATAGCAATGCCCTTGCGTCGACGCTGGGCAAGGCCGAGCGGGCTGGTCGGGCCGTGGAGGTCGTTGAGAAGAAGTGAAGTGATTGTTTACCGGTGTTTTGTTTCCTTTTCTACTCGGGTCTATTGATGCGTTGGATGGCGTCGGCAGTCAGGTCTTGGGATGATACCAATTGGTTTATGGTAACGTTATTCTAATGAAGTACGCATATTGAAAGCGCAAATAAAAGGATCTTGTCAAACTCGCGCTGTATAACCGCTGTATAAGTATGTCCTCTCACTCGGCCTAGAGCATCTGATCCACGTAACACTTTTTATCGTCGCCCCCATTACTGCCCTGGCTCCATTCTATAAAATCACCTCGCGCCGCTCATATGGTGTTTGATATCTAACTTGAAAAAAAAAGATGAAAGGAAAAGAGAAACGACCAGAAAAAAAAAAAAGAAAAGACAAACAATGACGATATCCGACGCATGGCAGGCCATCGCAAAGACATCCTACAACAACCCTTGACAAAACAGGAGTGAAGCATCCCTGATGTCTCCTTCCCTAGCGAGACAATTCTAGAAGCAAAAGAAGGGATATAGATTGGCAAGATAGTGCCCGAAGCTTTTACCATATTGATCCAAAATAGAGAACGAGAAATCCGACGGTGGATAAAGCAAAGGCTCTATGCGGTGGGCTGGGCAGCCTCAACCTCGACCTCCTTCTCCACAGCCGCCTCCTCGGCCTTGATCTCCTCCTTGGGGAGAGCCCACTTGGGGGTCTTGGACCACTCAGCCTCCTGCCACGGGCCCATGTCGCTGAGCTCGCAGCCACCGCCGCACGAGCAGGAGCCGCCGAACTCGACGGGAAGGTTCTCAGCCGGAACCTGAGCCAGCAGTTCCTTCTTGTAGTTGGATCCGAGAACGTGGATCTTGTTCACGGTCACGGGGTCCAAGAAGCCCTTGACGACGTTGAACACGCCGCTGAATCCCCAGGGGGCGTTGATCAGGTAGAGCTTGCCCAGACGCTCGGGGTAGTAGTTCTGGGAGATGGCAGACGCCTGCTTGAGGTATCCGTAGACGGAGGGGACGCTGGTGATACCGACGCCCTTCAGGTCCATGATGGTGCAGCAGGTCTCCATCAACTTGCCGGCCTTGCGGGAGCAGGCGGGCAGACGGGGGTCGGCGAGCTTCTCATACTCGGTCACGAGGTTCTGCAGCATGCGCTCGGCGGTGGTGATCTTGTACATGGCATTGAGGTCGATCTTGCCGAGCTTCTCGATGTAGACAGGTCTTCCGTCCTATTTGGGATCAACTCCATTAGCGTCTCGATCGGTCTAGCGGTGGGGAAAAAGCGGTCTGTCCAATCACCCACCTTGTCGGTCTTGTGGTAGTACTGGGGGTAGTATTGGAAGACCTGGGGCTTCTCCGTGTAGTCGAAGGTGCGGACGAGCTCGTCTGTTCCAAACTCCTTCCGCCACTTCTCACACTCAACGAACCTTAATCCCGAGAAACGGATGTTAGCGCGCGCCTCGAGCGTTCAGGTTTCATAACATGGAAAACTCGAGCGGGAGGAGCATGCACCGCGAGGCAAGCATGCAGTCTCTGCACAGCCAACGCTCTGCAGCGATCCTTCTCCCTGCGAGACTCAACAGAAAACACGTACATGGTCTTGGAAGCAGCAACATCGAACTTCCGGGCTCTCAAGAAGCGCAGCAGCGTCAGAGTATCCAGTCTCTCGGTGTAACCGAGCGTCTCCAGCTCGGCCCGGAGCTGCTGCACCTTCGCATCCTGCTCGGGGGTGGTGTGGCCAGGGTGGCCGGGCTGGGGCTCCGGCGCAGTAGTCGGGAAGTCGTAGTCGTCGTACTTGATCTCAGGCGCCGCCATTGTGATGGTTGGTTCTAGTGGGATGGGGGGAAGTGGTGGGAGGGAGGGAGGGGAGGGAGGAGGGAAGAAAGATTTAAGAGTAGAGAGTAGTAGACCCGTGGGCGGTAATGGCTTGCAGTAAGGAGAGGGAGGAGAGAGGAGAGAGAAATCGGGCGGTGCAGGGGGGGGGAGGAGTGGGGAGGGACAATTAAGCGGGATGTCGCAGTTTAGTAGAAGGGGGGGGGGGGCAGATGGCGTTCAGGGGAAGGAGGGGAGGGGGGGGTTTGTCTTGTCTAGAGTCTGGATTAGATATCAACCCGAAGGAGATGGAACAAGAACGAGTACGACGAGAGAAACAGAACGACAAAGCGGACGGAAACAGCAGGCTAGTCGGGCGGCAAAATCATAATAATCCAGCGCCAGGCGTTTTGGATGGCGACTTGGACACCCGGGGGTGGCTGCCGGCGAGCCTGAGGAGGCCGCCGCCGCTGCCTGAATTTGCTGCCTGAGCCTGAGGGGCGCGAAAGGCGGTCAGCGGCCAAGCAACCGTCGCCTTAGGAGTTGCGATTCTTCATGTCTTCTCTTTCTCACTCCTCACCGGGGATCGATCGGTCGTGGGTGACTGACTGGTTTCCGACCTCTCATACTGTGCCACTCTACATCTAGAGAAAGATCATCAAATCGAGCTGCCCTTATCATCTCCCTGATACCACCCCCTGTCTTCGCCGTTGCCATCTTGCGCCCCGGCCCGCAGGCTGTGACGTAGGTGTCCTCGTCAGTCGTCACTCGGGAAACTGGGCCGGGAAACTTGACCGAACACTGAGGGGCTCCAACTGACCCAGTCATGTTCACCACACACTAATAATGAACTATCAACTATAAACTATACACCATGCATTACATTAGACACTACAGTATGAACGGGATCAGATCGAAAAAAAAACACTTTATCCTCCATGCGTGGGAGATATCCTAAATGGCCGGTGCGGACGGCTCGCGGTCAAGCCCCCGAGCATCCTCATTAGAAGCCATATATAATCTCGCAGAAACCAAACGCTAAATCCAGAACTTATAGGTACATATCAACAGCACGACATGATCGCAGCCCGAACCGAGCCCATGGAATAAATAATAACGGACGCACCAATCTCATCAAAGAACTGGCCAAACTCACGCGCAAATCATTCAACGGGGTATAACCGTCGCAAGGACAAACGAAAACCAATACTGCCCGGGCTATCCCCGGCCTTGGCCCCTCGTCCCCGAGCCAGCGAGGAACGAGTGGGTGGCCACGCCCCGGGATCGACAAGCCCGCCTGCGCACCAGATTACCGCCCCGTGTAGGAGACCTATCCAAAAAAAAAATCAAAAAAGAAAAAGAAATTTGAAACAAAACAACACATCGTATGCCCCGATGACCGATCGCCATCCCCCACTAGATCGGGCACAGGTCGGTTATCGGGGCATGTCAATCGTCCATCTCCAGGTCATAACGTAAAACAGATGATTTAAGCAAGCCTCCCTTCGGAGATCTTTCATCTTGGCACGTTCTCAGTGCCAACCGTCGTTCATCAAATCAGCTGCCGGTTGGCTAAGGCTGGGGCCGGGGCCCGGTTGAGGTGTGTAGGTAGCCATCCGCTCTGTTTCATAGACTTCGTGATAGGGTGTGGGAGACGAAAGCGATCTCCTTACCAGCCCTTCTTTCGTGCAAATCGTTTGTTGAGAAGCAAAAGCACCTTCGAGACGTTGAACTGGACATACTCCAAATCCAAGTCCTCCTGGCTGTCTTTCTGCATCTCCAGCAGATCATCGAGCTTGAGATCTAGCTCCAGAAGGCCACGGGCACGACCTGTTACATGCCAGATTAGCAAGGGAGCATGGGTCGGGGTAATCAATCTGAATTAGACTTACCTTTGTAATGCAGACTGATAACAAAGGTGCCAGGCAGGGGACTCTTAAACATGAAGTAAATGTTTGCTCGCCGGTTTTCGGGAACATTGCTCTTCCGAATGACGCCTTCTTTTTCAAGCTGCTGGTGGGTGAACTTGTAGGGCCCGAGCTCTTGGTGCTTTTGCTGTTTCCGCTGCTTGCCCTCCGACTGGCTGCGGACGTTATGCAGATACGACTTGTATGTCTCCAGCTGGCCCACCAGGTAGGCGTTGTGGTCGCGAATGGTTGCAAAGACTTCCTCCAACTTCTTGGTCTCGTCCAGGACTTTCTCTTTCAATGATCCCAGATGCACTAACTCCTGCTCCACCTCGTCTCGGAGGAGGCTGAAGTCGTCGGAGCGGTCGATGACTCCCATCTCCTGTAGTTGACTCAGGAGCTCCATGGTGCGAATACCCTTCCGGACCATGACCGCATCGTTCTTCAGCGTCGCGGCTGCCTCCGCGATGCGATCAAGGCGGAGAGGACGTCGGGCAACCGAGGAATTGGGAGGTAGAGATCGTAGGATTTGGACGAACGTGGATTTGGCTTCCATGAAAAACACTTCCTCTTGAGTGATATCGAGGGCCGAAGTCAAGTCATCCAAGGCCGTCTCCCAGCGACTGAACAGGGGCACGGTGATAGTCCTGTTCTCCTTTCGCGGGACCTGTGGTGGAGCAGAACCGAGCTCCTGCAACAGTTCGTTGAGGTGGGAGTGTTGGTCCTGAGCCAGAGCCAGGTTGTGTTTCTCCAGCAAGGAATGAGTGGCATACATCTCATTGAGAGTGATCTGCAGCTCAAGGTCTCGCTTCGAGAGCGCGACGTAGTTGTCCATCTCCAGACTCTCATAGAAATCCTGCACTTCACATAGATCAAGTAAGAATTTGTTCACACGTTCCTTGTTCTGCTGGATGAAAGGCTGGAGCTTCGCCATGTACGGCTCCTTTGCGTAGGAGGGCTTGTTGGCCAAGTTCTGGAGCATCTTGGCGATTAGCGTCAGGGTACGACGGGGTTTCTCCGTCGGCGTCGACTCAATCAGCATATACGATCGCGGTGTGACAATGGCTGGGTTGATGAAGCGAAGGAAGAAGAAACCTCCGATCAAGGTACAGATGGTCTGGTCTTGGGCGTCGGGGTACTTGCGCCGGGACAAACTTCTGATCTGCTTGCAAATCCAGCGGATTCCATACGGTGTATCGTCCACGGATGTGATGATTGTCGTCAAGAAGCGGTTGGCATGATCGGTAAGCATCCTCAAACGCGGCTCGATGATCTTCTGGACCTGTGGGTTTTCTGCTGCAGCCTCCGCCGTCACAGATCTCGCAAGATGGTCGGGCAGCGATCCTTGCTCCTCCTCGATCTGCTTCACCATGGCCTCATACACCTTGAGCGGGTTGATCTCCAGGTCCACGTCGCGCAGCTCGATCAGGGCATTAATCTGGTTGGCGAGGACCTGTTTCAGGTAGCTCTGACCAGGACCACGCCGTGTGTAGGTGGTCATCATGCGGGAGACCGGGGTGTTCTGGCGCAACAGCGACGAGTACTCCGGGGTGTTATCGAACTGGTAGGTGAGGACGGACTGGAACATGGTAAGAAGCAGGTGTTCTTCGCGGCTTTCGTACTGGTTTCCGTAGATGGTGAACATCACCGTTTGTAAGAGGGAGTCGATCTCGGACATGGAAACCAGGCGGCACAGGTGGGCGATATGGCGGGGTTCCGACTGAAGAAGGAAGAGAAGATTGCCGTATTTCTGTGTTTTCTCGTCATTCGGGAAGAATCCTTCCTGGGGATCTATAGCGTCGTCGAGGTGACTGGCCACTTCGTTTTGCTGGGACTGTTAGAGGGACACCTCGGAGGCAAACTGAATGGGTTCTTACTTCTTCCAATGCCATCCGGTTCTGGATCAGCAGAGCTATCCGCGAATCCAGATACCGCACATCTTTCTCCAGCACGAAATTTTTCTTCGATTGAGACGAGATCTTCGACTTCAGTTCGCGGAGGTATTTCTGGGCTATAGCAGCAGAGTCAGCATACCCACCCAATTCCAACCGCAGTCGGGAGGATCCAAAGGCTCACCTCTAGCCAAGTCATCTGATATTTCCAAGTCCCTGTCCTTCGCGGACATCGACAGATACAGCGCGGTGACTGACAGCCGCTTCGACTGGCGGAGAGAGCGGGTATCGTGAGAAGACATGGTGTTTTGACGTGTGACGGGTTGGAAGGAGGAGGAAGAGGAAGTCGACGCTCTCGAGGCAGGTTGCAACATGGTAGCAACGGACATTATGTAGAGGAAAGGAGCGTAGGGACGTGTGCTGGAATTGAGCACACAAGTGGGCGTTCAGACGCGATATATACGGGCGAAAACCAGCCACCACAGAAATCACACCTCGAATGTAGCGATTGGGGGAGACTGAGCAACGGTCGCTGAGGTTGAAGTGTTAGGAATTGCTGGTCATCGGGAACGAGGAGATCGAGAGCAGTGCAACCACGCAACGCAACGAGCGATTCGTAGCCCCTTATCGAACGCGTGGGAGGCCGGCAGTCGGGGGACGAGCGGAATGAGCGATCGATCCGGGTTGTTTGGCGAATCGGAAATGGGAATGGGAGTAAATTCCGAATTGCTGAAAGTCGCAAGTCGCGAGGGCGTGAGTAAAAATAGGGAGTGGGAGGAGAAAAAAAAAAAGCAAAGGTCGGTCGGAATGGAGGATTGACGCAGAGCGGAGTGCGATGGGTGCGATCAACAGGAGGAGTCTCAAATACCCCCGGGCGGTTGTGAGGGTCGGCGGGAGCAACGAGATTGGCGATGAAAATAATCCCGAGTCAGAGAGGAGTTAGAGATATGGGCGATGGGCGAGTTATTGGGAAGGGTTTGGGGGGGTGGTGGAATGGGGTGGGTGGGTGGGTGGGTGGGATTGAGGGAAGGAAAAAAGGTCCACCGTCGCAGAAGGAAGGGAGTGCAAGGCAAGGATGGAGAGGAATTAATTAATGGATAGATGAAGAGGCTAGAGAGCGTGGAAGGAGGGGGGGAGGACAGGCGAGAAAAAAAAAAAAAAAGATGCCGGTCGGATGAGGAGGGGAAATACACCAGAGGAGTTGAGAGGTGTAAGAGGGAAGAAGAGAAGAAAAGAAGCGCGCAAGCAGCAGAGACGATAAAGTGACTGTCGAAGTATGAAGTACAAACGGCGAAGTCCAGTGCAGTGGGATTGAATCGGGCGGCAGCTCCAGATCCAGGAGAGGGGAAAAGAGAGCCAGGATGGTTCGCGAGTGGACACGGAGGGGGGGGATAGGGGTGTGGAGTTGGTTTCCGTCACCTGCAGCACTCTTCCTGAAGGGCCAAAGCAGGTACGCGCCGAAGACCCAAAGTACCAAGTACCTTTTTGATGAACTATATACTGTTTGCTCTGGGTACTTTCTTTTTTCAATCCATGTTTCTATTCGAATTTCCCTTTCTTCCTGACCCTTTCATTCCCCGGACTGAAACTGGCTATGGCGCATTTCTCATCATAAGGTATAAAGTAGATAAATACTCGTTAGGGCAAGGGCAGCCCGAGGACGGAGCACAGGGTGGTCAGTAGCGGTAGAGCAGATTACCTGATGGGCCCTCCACCAAGTCCACCGGACGGCAGCCCCAGGGGCCCCCCAGCGAACGATTCAATTCCTCTTCCTGAATTTGGTCCCTCGGTCATTCGGATGTCCACGCCACCACACACCTCTCTCACATTTCCGTTCCCCCCTCCCCTTCCCTCCCCAGCTGACTGCCAGACGGGAATGTTGCGACAAGTCCACACAATATCTGCACGGCATGACTCTGTTCGCTGAATCAATGCGGGACTGGAAGAGACGATCGGGGATCGGGGAGGGAACTCACACAGGTACTATACAGGCTCTCCAGATCAGATGTTTGGGATAGAATAATAATAATAATAATAATAATAATGGCTCTGGAGGAACGAGTTGGGGACCGATTCTCATTGCCTGTTTGGGCATGTCCATCGGCTGCTTGTAAAGTGCAAACCTTGTGTGAGTGACACCCTTAATTTTGAACCACTAAGAACTTAACTGTAGATACATACCTCACATCTCATCTCATCTCATACCACCACAATCAAACCCGATATTATTACCTACATACTACAGCAGAAGAATCCTCCTGACAGTCCGAGTCTCCGAGAGCATTATTTAGTAAACTCCGACCTCCGGGGCTTCAAATGATGATATCCGGATGATCGTCTCCCGAGCATTGGCTGCCCTCGACGGTCGGATGGTCGAGCTGCAAGAGGACGCAAGGGGAATCCAGCGGAACCCACCGCTTGCACGTACCGGGGGCCTGGTGGTCGTTAGTCGGCCGTAGCCTCGGGGCTAAGAGAAACGACCCGACTGAACCGGCCAGTCGTCGCATGGCACATTCCAAGGTTCGAACCTTTTTAGTTTCGCATTGAGTCCCTTTTCCCCATCCGTCCGTCTTACCCCTGGCCCGATGCTCCCTCCATCCACGGGTACCTGAGCCAAGCAGCGTTGCCACCCACCACCCAGTCAGCCAAGAAAAAAAGTAAAAAAAAGCAAAAAAAAAAAAAAAAAAAAAAGAAATAAAATAAAAGGAAAGGCAAAAAGGAGGATTGGATTGGATGATGATGGGTTGACTCGACACACTATCTACTCTACTAACTACTACGGAGGAGAAACACCACAGTCGATACAAATATCCAGTATCCACTATCTAGTCGGAACTACTGCTGCACACGCAACCGTGCAGAGAGGTGGAGGACCAACCTGCCCATCTTATTTCCTTAGGCTGATCTGATTCTTAATTTCACCCTGGAGAAACCGGAAACCCATCATGTCTCCTCCGTCCGGTCTCACTCTCACCGTCTCATGTAGATGGTAGGGTTTCGGCGATGGTTCCGTCCCTGGTAGTGGTAACTGACCATCTCCAGGATTTGCATGGCCGCCACCTGTCAACCAGTGGCTCACTCCCGGATTAAATTTAACGATCGTATTCCGATGATCCATCCTACTCTTACTCTTAGGTCCCTGACTTTGTCGGTTTGTATCTATCTGCTATCTACCTGCCTACCTCGTCAACCCCGCGAGTAGATAGGTATCATCTAGTGTGGTCTCCAGTCACCAGTCCCCGACTCCCAAGACCCCAAGTTTCAGTTTTTTTGTGTCCCCGACACGGGGAACCGACTGGGTCGACATACGTACAGGCTGACATACGATACCTATCTACTTCCATAGGGCTTGCGTGCCACGGTTCCAGTGTTTGCTTCGCAACCCCGTGTCGTGAGTAGGTAGGTATATTTGGAATCTGAATCTCGTGTGCCGAGACTCCACCTGGTGATTGGTTACTTCCCCTGGTGTCTTGAATCATGTCTCCGTCCCCTCTTCTGCCCCTGTCAGTCCCTGCCTCAGGTTAGTAGGGCTAGGTACATAGTAAGTATGTTATGTGGGCTGTGGGCTGTCGGTCGGGACAATAATACTATAATTATAGCCACAGCGTCAAAGCACAGTGCTTCGCTTGCTTGCTTGCTTGCTTGCTCGCTCGCTTTGGCCCACCGTTCCTCCGCTCGCCACGAACGTCGTCATTCCTGGCACTGGCACTGGCACTGGCACTGGCCATGACCCTTGGCGCGTGTATACACACTACACATACATAGGTACTGACTAAGGAGGCACTTACCTAGGTACTCCGTACTTATTATAACTATGATAATTATAGCACATGATGGTCAAACATGTTTCAAAACAGCGACTGGATGGATGGATAAAAATAACAGCCAGAAGCGAGCGATAAGTATAATACGCACCTACTTATAGCGAGTGTCCGAGCTCTGAAAAGGAGGAACTGAGCGGGGTGAAAGGGGGCAAGTCAGACTGCCAGACTGCCAGAACTCCAAGCAGATTGATTCTCCCTCGTTATCGGGATCGCCTACTCTGTCCGTAAAGAGTATCTACTTAGGTAGATATTCAAGTATGTATCTATCTATCTATCAGGGCTCTTTCCTCCCCCCCCCCCTCTCCTCCATGTAGATAGACACATTGTATATTGTATCGCACGCGGAGTTCCTCGGAGGAAAGGCTTATTTGCCACGGAATGTCGCACAAACAACATACTTTGTACCAAACCACCCCGGACGGGCCAAACGACGGGACAAGACATGATACTATTAACGAATGTCTTCTTGGCGATGACATCGCCCCAAACTATGTATATCTATCGGAGTATACTCCGTATCTTGGTTGGATCCCGAGAAGTTGGGGTGGAATAAGCAGGCCGATCTGTCAGGCGAATTTAACATGCACTATTATTGCGTGTACTGTGTAACACTTAGATAGACTACTATACATAGTGAGGTATGTAAGCCAGCCTCGGGCTTGATGGGCGATGGATGGATCGTCTGCCTGTTATTGGTGACGATAACCGTCGTGCATTTCAGCCAAAGTTAGATTTCCAGGTCGATAGGGCGGGCTTGAGTTTGCCGTGGCAGGTTTTGGTCCAGGCTATCTATGCGGTTAGCGTAGACGCCAAGGGGAAGATGCTCGCAGTCGGTCAGTCAGTATGGCGGGGCGGGTGACATGGGTGGGGTTTGTGTGTTGGTGATGTCTTGAGATAGTATCCTGTTATGACTTATGAAGTTTGGGGGCGTATAATCAGACTTCCATGTTAGAATAGGACTAGCCATGGCATGGACTGCTGCAACAAGCATTCGCCCGAGGATCTGAATTCGGCTCTGCAATCTGTAAAGAAAAGATAGACTAGTAGTTACTACTTTCTTATGCCGCTTCCCATATCCTGGAATCAATGATCTCCCTAGGCCCCCCACAAACAACATAGCAAACAACAATAATTTGTAAGCTTAAATCCAAACCCTCGGGTCCATGCGCAAAAGCAAAAGCAATCAAACCTTGCTGTCGGGCCCTCCAAAAGCAATTCCCATCTAATCTGCCAAGTGCCAACAGCATCGTAGAGTTCAATAGCGAGGAGCTTTCAAAAGCAACCATTATCATATCACCGCGGACATGCATGCACATCGGCAGTCTGATGTCATTGATTCCCGGCCCAACCAGATGTCCGCATCAGAGGTAGGAACAATTGCGCCCTGCCTTGCAATATGGGTAGTACACGGTCACAGTTGCATGCGTCTGCGTCTGCACCTCCACCCAAGCTTTCGGTTGAACAGGGTTATTGCGGGTTGTGCGGGGAGGGCCATCCTGGGCGCGAGGAAGTCGCAGGTATCTCAGGAGATGGTAAGCTTTGTGCATGTGTGTTCATTGTAGCCTTGGAAATGTGACAAAATGCTCGTCTCCATGTTCCGTACAGAGGGACATAAAGTCGATTTCCTCATATACAGTCTGTTACATCCAAGACCGATCAAGTGACAATCATTACACCAACGGTGCTTGAATCTCCGATGTCTCACACCGGCTGCCATATAAAGCCTACCTCCATAAGGACACCAATCCCACTCGGGATCATAAGCCCATTTTCGACCCTGATGGAGGATCAACACAGTCATGAAGTCGGAATCTCCCCAAGGTGCTGAATTGAGAGGCCAGGAAAATAGCACAGTCTAGCCCGGAATATGTGCTGAATCAGCTTCTTCCTGTAAACGAGACTCCGATGGTTCACCGTATCCATACCAACCAATACCTAGACCCAAGATGTCTCCACAACCATTGTCCAAGGCCATGATGACCAGGCTACGCCGCCCGAGCCCTACTTTGTACAGCTTGACCCCACAAGCCCAGGTTGCCGTTCTACCGTTTTTGTTCCGGTTGAGAATAATCCAATAGAGCCTTTTTTTTTTCTAAGTTCTGATAGCCAGTGTAGCAGCTATCGCTTGAGGCCCTGCTACCCTACCATGAAGGGGGCCTAATGGGTATGTATAAAGTCCCAAGCCCTGTCCCAAGTTTCACACCGCACTTTGCACAAATAGCTGTGTACTGACCAGCCCCTGCCCCATCCCATCACCGGCCCAATACAGCCTTCTTGGCTCCGGGGCGCTCTCATTAAACGCCCACAGCTGCTCGCCGTTCAGCATGAGGAACCCATCATCCGAGATGCCCCAGCCTGTCACCGTTTCGTAAGCCTCGGGCTCTGCCAGAGCTTGGATGATCCATGCAAACGAGGTCGCATCGGCGACCACGGTCATTGCCTGACCGTTGGCACTGTAGCTGATGGTGCCGTCTGCGTGGGGAGATACTATAATTACCAGTTTGAAAAGTAATCAATAGGTGTACGTAATAGGTAGGTAGTCGGTACAGGAGGTACAAGTAGAAGCTTACGCGTGAATAAAGTTCCTGTAGTGCCGTCGTAGATACCCCAACCATCGGTGGTCAGGGCTGAGTTGTCAAGGGTGGAGATTAGGGTGAAGTTGGCAGGAAACGAGGTGGTTGTGGACACAGCCGAGGCAATAATGCCGGACAAGGCTAGGAGGGATTGGCTATATCTCATGTTTATAGCTGGCAGGAAGATGTTTGCTAATGGTAGCAGTGTTGGTGGAATGATAGCCTGAGATGAAATGGCGAAGAGGCTCTTTATACTTACCTTTGGCAGATTCCAGTTTGTGCTATTAGATACCCCATAGCTAAAAATAGCGGTCATCTAATATGTAAGGCCGACCACCGGCCCATCTGGTGCCTTCCTTGACTGGCGATGTGGGACGCCTAAGCTGACTGCTGATCTTTTGATACTTGCTGTAGAGTGTCTGAGTACATAGTATATTTGTGGGTTATCACATATTTTACAGCTGTTCCGCGCACCTAGTTGAGTTTGGTCCCATGTAAAACATTGTGGCTAACTATTTACAAATATCAGATGTGAAAAGCCTTACAGAATCTTTACTTTGGGCTGCCTATGTTCCCAGCTAAGGGGCCAAGAGTCAGGTGACTCTCATTGACTAAAACACCCTCGACTGGTGGTTGTAGGTTATCATGAACACTGATCACCCGTGACTGTGTGCTCACCCATGAACTGGTACACCGTGCGCCGCTGTTTAAGACTGATACTATACTAGTAAGATACTTTATCCCTGATCTTTACTTATTTGTGCCATGTTAACCGAAGCAGAGAGCACTCTTATATCCTATTATTGTAAGAGATGGACTATAATATCTAGTATTTAGATTGCCTGTCTGTCACTCTCTTTTCTTCTTTTTTTGTATATAAATTAAATCGCTATCACCCAATGTTGTCACCCCAGCTTACCCTCCCCGCGTGACCTCTCAGCCGACCGGTCAGCTATAAGAGATGTCTCGCGCCTTTACAGGCTTGGATCCCCCACTGTCTGGTAGTGCAAGACAAGACCGATATTCATCATGACAGCACAACCGCGAAGAATAGAAACATCTTTCAGATAGCCCGAAATCAAAGCATCAACAACAAGATTATCGAAAAGATAATTTGTTCTTCAAATTCTTCGAGTACTGTCACGAGTGTGATACAGATACATGTATTATAATTTAAAACAAGAAAACCACTCAAATCTTATTCTTTAATTCCAACAGCAACTGTTCTCTTATTATTAAAAAAATTCATTGGTAGAATATTGTTCTATAATAATATCAAGACTACTATTCTGATAAGATAATATATAGGCTTTGTATTATCCAAACCTAAAACAGATTATATCAAAAGAAGTAGTAGCTGCTAGATACGCGACTAAAGAGTCACAGAATATACCAAGTAACCAGTCACAAGCCCGGATAACTGAGAAATTTTAATACTGTAGTTGGGTCGAGAAACAAGTGAGATTGTGATATAAAGAATAATACAATACTAGAGTTTACAGTTGAGCCTCAACTGGTAAAGCAGATAGTATATACCCTGATTTATCATATTACTTTGGTCTGTGACGCGAGGATTTGGATTGCTTCTCCATTTCCACTAAACCGGGATAGCACTAAACTGCTCCAGTATCTCCGCTGTAGTATTGTATTGTTCACTGTAAGGCCTTATTGACCAGACAGTCAAGGCCAAGAAACGCAGAGGATAGTTCTCACAAATACTGTACCACCTCCTTGCAAACAAGACTACGTGTAGCCGGCGTGGAGCGACCAATTAAGAACTTGAAAGAAAAATGGGCGATTGGTGGGGTGAGCTCGGGATGACTCGCAATAGCCACGAACTTTATAAATCGCCTTTTTTTTGCAAGGAGACCCAGCTGGCAACCAACCAACTTATTATAAACTAGAGAACATTGAGAATTCCAGTGTCTGCTTGTTCCGACTGCTACAGCAGGCTTCATGCCCCAAATCAGCAGCCATACTATGGATCCTGAGCGGATTCGGGGTCGGGAGTTTGTAGAGCAACCGGGTAGTATTCCATGGCCTTTCTGATCTTACATTATGCCATTACTATTGGCACACTCTGATGGCGATGGCTGATGCATGGTCACGTCATGCGAGACCTACAGATGATATCCCATCGGGCAAAGCAGAGTATCAGCAAAAAGCTGATAATTAAGAAGCACTAGCTGCCGGATGCCATCCCAGCAGCTCCCCCTCCCATTCCTTCACCGGCTGAAGAAAACCATGCGCGCATTCCTGCATGAACCCTAATTCCAGAACTAACATAAGCCCATCATCCACCCACCTGCCATCTGGATAAGACCAAACAAGCAAGATAAATCACATAAATACAATGGCAGAAATAACCCGAAATGCTGCACAATTTCTCCAGCTTTGATTTAGTCAGTCCCGATCACATGCTAATAACCCAGCTAAACCATCGATCGACTCCGCCCACTTGGTTTCTGCAACGTCAAAAAGGTTCGTTTCATCTTCCTCACCTGCAGCCCCATACATCGACATCCAATCTATACCGTCCCCCCCATCATTTCTTCCACCTCCAAAATGTCTCTCAAAAACCCCTACCTCCTAATCTACAACACCCTGAATGCCCTCCTCTGGCTCCGCATCCTCCTCTCCATCCTCACCTCCCCCGCCCAACCCCCAGAGACCACCTACACGACCCTGGAACCCTGGACCCGATGGACGCAAACCCTCGCCGTTCTGGAAATCCTGCACGCAGCATCCGGCGAGTCCCCCCTCCCCCTCCCCCTCCCCTTCCCATCTTCCCATCTTCAAAACCAAAACCAAATCCAAATCCAAAACACTAACAACCCACTCCAGGCCTAACCCGCTCCCCGGTCTTCACGACCTTCACGCAGATCTTCGCCCGCAGCGTCCAAGTATGGGCCATCGACTTCGCCTTCGCGGACCTGACCCGCGTCTCCCCAGCATACAAGTACATGCTGTTTGCGTGGTCCATCGCCGACACGATCCGGTACTGCTATTTCGTCGTGCTGATTGCGGGGGTGCCCGTGCCGGGCGTGTTGAGGTGGTTGAGGTTGGTGGTTTTGATTCCTGTCCCCCGTCCCATCCTATCCCATCCTATCCTATCCCATCCTATCCCATCCTATCCCACCCCCATCCTCACCACCCTGTGTGCATGGTCTATACAACCCCTCCACGAGAAAACAACCAACCAAATGCTAAATACTCAATACAGATACTCCCTCTTCCTATTCCTCTACCCCATCGGAATCAGCAGTGAATGGTGGTTAATGTTCAAAGCCACCGTCAGCACGGACAGCTGGCCTGTCAAGGCGTTGTTTGTTTTCTTTTTGGGGCTTTATGTGCCGGGTGAGTATTATTGTTCCTGTTATCCCTATTCCTCTAGATCTATCCATATGGTTATCTACGTGTTTGTGGGCGCGAGGGAAAGGGAGAGGAAGTGGGCTAACTGTTGCGTGCATTGCTGTAGGGTCGTTTATGATGTATTCGTATATGGTGAAGCAGAGACGGAAGACGTTGGGGGCTACTTGATCTGGATAGGTGAGGGAGGGGTCAGCCGCCGCTTGAGAGAGGGAGGGGGGAGAAGGGGGCTAGGGGCTGGGGGCTGTGGGTTTGGGTTTGGGTTTGGGTTTACGGTGGTTAGGGGGTTGGTATGAGATTGATGTAGGGTGGGTGGTAAGTATCAAGGCGAGGGGATTCAAATCTATAGCTACCGCTCAGCGACAGCTCAGCATAGGCGAGGAAAAATAACTTCTACCACGGATATATTCGTAGTAGCAAAATCAAATTGATTTTGAATAATTCACAATCTTTATTCATCTGCAAACCGGGTATCGCTATGCATTTAGAAACTCTAGATATTGTCCATGCCCATGCTTTTGCACACCAAATCACCAATCCATCCGTCCCACACAAGAAAATGAAATGAGAATAAGAAGTAAAAAAAAAAAAAAAAGAATCAAGAATCAAGAACCTATGGCAAGCATCACCGGAAAGTCATCGCCTTGCCGGGAATCTCGCGCTTCTGCTTGCGCACCCCGGACGGGGCCTCGAGTGCCTTGGCATATGGGTTGTAGGCGCGCTTGGACGGGAGTCCGGACTTGGACTTGGCGGCATTGAACACGGTGGCGGCACCCTCGTAGTTGAAGGGCGCCTCTTCTTCCTTGGCGGCCTTCTCGGGCTGTGGGGGTTGAGACGCCGACTTGTCCTTCTTTTCTTTCCGGCGCTGTTTCTTGGACGGCTTTTCGTCGGCGATGTCTAGCGAGGAGCTGGCGTCGGTGGTGGGGTCGAGTTCGGATGACGCGGACTGCTCGACCGTCTCGGCGGTGGGGGCCTTGCGCTTGCGCGGGCCACCACGTTCTTTGACGGTGAAGTATTTGTTCTCGTCCTTCTCTTCTTCGACGGCGGGGGTGGGGGCTGCGACGGGCTTGGGCGGAGCGGCGGCGGGGGCGGGAGCGAGCTTCTCGCGGGCTTCGGCAACGGTTCTCGGCATAGGTGGCAGAGGGAGGGAGAGGCGGAGCGCTTCCGCAGAGGCGACGGCGGAGTATTCGGGGTGGGCGGGCGGTTCTTCCGAGTCGAGGACGGAGCCCCAGAATTGAGATACTTCGTAGCGGGCGGCGATGGGGAGGATGTCGTCTGACTCCGTCAAAGGCTCTGCCGATTCTGTTGCTGGTCTGACTTGAGTTCCTCTTGTCGGCTTGACGTACACGTCGCGCCATTCGGGCCCTTCGGCACCTTCAAGCTTCGCGTTCTTAATGACTTCCAGGAGATCGACGGCCCGGTTCTGCGTGATTGGCGTCACAGGCGACAGTGTGCGGAACAGGGTGCCCAGGTCGAGCGGCATGGCCTGAGCGACGCGGAAAAGAACGTGCTTCGGGAATACACACTGCACGCCTTCATCCTCTTCTCTGGCAACCTCATCGCGCCACTGGTGCACCGCCTTGAACACGGCAAACTGCTCCCTGTTGACCACGATCGGGTTGCGAGACAGAAGATCATACCAACCGCCCGGTCCCTGTCCGGTCGCAGCGTCGTAGACGGGACGCTCATACACCTGCAACGCTTCCTTCTTGGACTGTTCCGAAACGTAGTCGACGAGGTTGTTGTCGGGGGTGGAGTTTTCGACGAGCTCATTGCGGATATGGTCGTAGACGTGGAGAAGGTAATGGGTATCCGAGCGGGCGTAGTCGAACATGCCCTCCGGGATCGGCCGAATGCGCCAGTCGGCCATCTGGTATTTCTTGTCGGCTTCAAAGTTGACAAACTTCTGCAGCAGGTACTTCAAGCTGCGTTTCGGGTAGTTCAAGGCGCAGGCGGCATGATACGTATCGAACATGCCAACAACATACAATCCCAAGTCACGCTGAAGCCAGATGATATCCATGGAAGAACCGTGAAGGACCTTGAGAATGTTCGGATCCGTAAAGACTTCGTTGAGAACCTGAAGCTCCTCCCTCCACGGCTGAAGCGTGTCCACCACCCAATCCTTGTCCCGGGTGCTGATCTGCATCAAGGAAACCAGACCCTGGTATGAGTGCACATCGTGATGCTCCAAATCAATCGCAATCTCCTTCGCCGACTTAAGCTCCCCCAGCATCTCCTTCACTCCTTCCTGAGTATCCACGAAAGTCGCGGTTGTCGATTCCCACGGCTGATAATCCACAGGGGACGACACACTATACGAGGCCTCCGGAAACTTCGCAGCACGAATCTCGGCCTGGTAGGGGTGGACATATCCCGCCACCGTGTCGGCGGGCTTAATCGAATCCTCCAGTGAGACAATCGCATGCGGCTTGGATCGAAGCAGCGGTTTGAAAGGCGACGTGTCGGTGTTGTCGGCGGGGTGCTCAAACAGCAACTGAGGCTTGGGGATCTTCGACGGACCATAGTCGTAGACGGTGGGGAACTTGGCGGCGCTCTTCTTCGCCGCCTTTGCGGCGGCCTGATCCTGCTGGGACGGGCTCAATTTCTTGATCACGCCGGTGAATTCATCCAAGCACGCGTCGGCCTTTTCCAAGAGCGCATCGATCACATCCACCACGCCGCGCCAGTTGTCTTCGACAGAATCCTCATCGCCCAGTGTCGGCGCAGACACATCCGTACCGATAGTCGCAGCTTTCAGGATAGACGAGGTGAGAGACAGGAGTCGCAGGCTCTGCTCATCCAAGGCATCCGAGACCTCCGCGTTCGAGGAGCGGTGGAAATCGAGATCTTGGGCTGAGAGCTGACCGGCGGTGCGGGTCACCTCCATCAACGAGGACTGCACCCGCTGCTGGAACGGAGGGAAATCAGTCGCGGAGTCCATGATGAAAAGCAGCGACCAGACGGGCCCGTTGGACACTAACTGATCTTGCAGCAAAGGTAATGCAGCGTCGGACAAGAAAAAAAAGCCGTTTCGAGGTGGAGAATTCATTCGGACGGGCAGAGACCGACCGCCTGCCCGGTGCGGACTAGCGATCCGCGCCGAGTGACTTCAATTGGGATGGGGGCTTACATAAGGCGCATGGAGGCGATCTCGACTGACAGCCAGCCCAGGCAGCAGAACAGGACAGAGAGAGTGTCTCATTGCCCATCTCTTACGCTTCCAGTGTCTCCGTGCGACGACGCGCGTCTGATTCGAACCAAAATGTCCGCATCAATCGCCCCAGAATGCAATAATATCAAAGAGTACGGTAACCAACCCGAACATCTTGATCTTGATCTTGATCTCGATCTCGATCTCTAGAGATCTCTATATCAAACAAATAAATCACAGCATACTGACTGTCCCCCCAGAAAATACGACACCTGCTTCCTGAAATGGTACAGTGAGAGTAAGCCCTCCCAACAACCTCATCCACCTCTTCATCTGCTAACCACCTCACCGCAGAATACCTCCGTGGCAACACCGCCTCCAACGAATGCGACGAGCTTTTCGCCAAGTACAAGACTTGTCTCAACGTATGACTCAAAACTCCATCCCCTATCCCTACCCCCCCCCCCTCCCTCTCCGAACCTAGTACTAACCTTTCTCAGATCGCCCTAAAAGAAAAAGGCATCGAGTCCATGCTCGACGATGCGCGCAAAGTCATGAAGGATAGCGAAACGGATTAAGCCCGGAAAAGGGCTGATCCGATCCGATTCGATTCGATTCCCCCTCTATCTCTCTGTGATTACTTCGCTACGCGGCTCTACGGCTGTACTTCCTCTTCTTCTCACCGGATGCAGATGGACGTATCTTTGAAAGAAGGAGGTAAAGATTCGTCATCTTCACTCTGACGACACGGGGCCAACGGGGCGCCCGAGACCTCACGCGCGCGGCATTGTTTCATCGCATCTCATCTCTGCTAGTGAGTGTATGCCATCCTTTGGCGTGGATTGATGGGTGAGTCTTTCGGGTCTGAATTTGCATGGTTTGGCGAGGAACGAATCCACGAAATGTACTGTACTTTATGTGACTCATAGGCGTTGTGGCTACATCGATTTAGACGCTCTTACTTCTGGGCAGGCAGGAGTTGTGGTGCGGGCAGATTTGTATCAACCATGTATGCATAATATAACTATCCAGCTGTACTACTACATTACGACCTGGAAATCAAACATTCACCTATCTTAATTCTTGTTCCATCGTAACTCCGTCATCCCAAAAACAGAAACCAAAAGATCTATTCTAAATCATATCATGAATTGGCAAGATTATCTACTATATTACTAAGGAATAGACATAACTCATAGACGATCTATCGATGACCGCGTCTCCGCAGATCCCCCTGTCCAAAGCCCCCGGGGAGCTTGAGGATGCCGTTCGCGGCAGTGCTCCCTCCGCCCATGGACGAGGAGCCGCTCCCGCCGCTGCCGGTCTTGCGAGGCTGCGTCAGCATCGACCACACCTCCGTCATGGTTGCCCGGCGCGCAGGGAGCATGCTGTACTGCATGCCATACAGGTTACGCCGGTGGATAGGGGGAACAAAGCGGCCGGTGACGAGGCAGAATATGACCTGCGGAGAGAGGTAGTGCTTCCGGAGGCGATGGCCCAGTTGGAAGTATTGGTCGAACATGGCGCGAAGAGTAAGAGGGATGGACTGTTTGGGTCAGTATGTGGCGATGCGGTCCAATAGGGGGGACAGAATAGCATACCTCAAGATGGATGTAAGGCACGCTGGTGTTCGAGGACTTGTCGTGCTCCTCACGAAGCGCGAAGTGGATCCCTCCTGGTCATACCGTCAGCTATAGCGATCCGGAATGGGAAGGTAGATAGACACGCACCTGGTAATCTTCTGGAGTCCTTGACGCGAAGCATTAGAGCAAAGAGCGGGAAATGGTTCAAGAAAGCTAGGCACGTATCGAGGGCCGCTTTCAGCGAGATGATCAACATCCGCGCGCTCGCAAAGGCGAGGTAGAAGACAATAACGGTGGGGAGGAGGAAGAAGAGGACGGTGAACAAGATCGTCCCAAGGAGGAGTTGGTCAAGGTCATAATCGCATGAGTCTATACGGTTGCGAAGCACGTTTCGCTTCTTGCCTCGGAAAAGATGGAAGAGAGATATTATAATGGTTAGTTGCCAATTGAATATGCGTGCCGATGCGATGTAAAAGGAGTAGATATGCACGGTCAAGATCGACACGAGGTCGGAGAAGAGGGCAATCGGCATGCTGGCTCCCGCAAAACTGGAACAGCCAACAACGTATATGATGTGTGGGAGGTAAGGTTGCAGATTTGCGATACAAGCTTCTACAGTGTCAGTCGAGGAATGCCCGATGGACATGACACGGCCATGGGGACTGGAACCTACCTGCCCAATTTTCGATGACCCACAGAAAAAGGTCACCGAGGAACGCGGCAAGCTCATTGTTGAGCTTTAACCCGGCTGGCCAGTCCATCAGCCAAGAGATGGTGCGCTGTAGCCCTTCCACCGTCCATCCCGTTAGGATGTAATTGATTTGGAAGGCCACCCAGTTTGCATTGTCGATGATGTACGAGCCCAATGCAATGCCGATGATCACATCATTGGCGACGAGCCACAGGCTGTTGTAGAATCGAATGTAGTCCGGATGGCTGGTAGTCACGCTCTCCCAGTTATCCTTTCTCTGCCGTAGTTTCACGTACTGGATGGGCCAGTAGCAGAACTGTTGGAGCCGGATATCCACCTGTTGAGCTGTCGCCGATATGTCTTTTAGTGCCGCAGCGTCCGGACGAGCGCGCCACTCCAAAATCTGGAGGACAATCTCGGCAACCGTGCGGTGGAAGACGAGCCCGATGATGAATATCCGGGTAACGACAGGCCAGATCCACTGCCAGAAGACATAGGAGACGCCAAGAACGAAGAGATCCCAGAGGGTTGTTGCAGATTCGACAACCCGTTCACCAACGCTCATGCTTCTCTTGACTCGGATGCCCACAAGGTGGCTGTTCTTCTCCATAAGCTTGCCCATTTCATACGCGCAATTGACCTGGTTGATAATGAGGGGAAGTGCCTGTTCTTTGAGCGACGGGACATGCTTGACGACAGTATGAAGCTTCAGCTTTTCCACCAGCTTCACAGCCTGAGTTTTATCGCACTCCTCCTCCGTATCAATCTTATCCGACAGATCATCCGATTTATCCGCCGCAAACACCTTATCCCCTAGCGCCAGGGATATCGGCTCCAAGGACATATACTCCATCCTCGTCGGATGAGGGCGATGAAACATGATAACCTGAACGGAGAGGTTGGTATCCGATGGGCAATAGATCCGAGGCACCTTATCCGACGTATTCGTAGTGACACAAAGGTGCGACGGATTGAACGTGGTCGGCGGATCCGGCGAATTGGTCGATCCTAGAACATGCATAGCGGAGCGCCCACAGAGAGCGAATATGCGCACGATCGGATGAGGGCTATTACGGAATAAGATCCCGGCACGCAGAGCATTGTCGACATTCCGAGGCTATTTCCGCACATGTCAGAGCTGTGTCTACCACGGAGACAAGACAATTCAGCCATTCAGCGCACTCACCTCCACATCCTCCAACACCGTCAACACGAACAAGTCCCATTCTGAGTTCCGCCACCCCACAATCACTCCTGGCGACGACGACCGCGGCAGATCGTTTGGCCAAAATACCCGTAGCAACCCATCGCTCATGAGCATGTTGACATCCTTGGCCGCGATCAGAAGGAGCCTCGACGGCGGAGTTGTTCGCGAGCGGAGACGCCCAGGTGCACGTATCGGGGGTGCTAATCAGCGGGTTATCGTCAGCTTTCGTCCTGCAGAATACAGTGCAGTGTCTGTTCGCCGACGGCGCGACAATCGGGTCGATGCATATAGCGTACCAATTCACCCTCGGTTGTAGCCAAGTGGTTGATGGGAAGAACGAGGAGGAAGAAAAAGACCGACAGCAAAAGAAAGCCCTTAGCCGTTCTTGTCTATGGGAGAGAGATACGTTAGCCAGGTGCATGAAGTTGGATGGCATTGCGCGTGGAGACAGATGGCAGAAGAATGACCGGGGCATGGTGCATGGAGCATACCACAACGCCGTGATCCCAGGCAAAGATGGCCAATTCGTACAGTCGGGTAACAAGATCCCACCTCGCGGTGATGTAGCCCGCTACGAAGATACCGAGAGTGAGAATGGAAAAGGGGTGCATGAATCAAGCTGTCCAGCGGGTGGTCGCTTCAGTTTGCGCGCATTGCTGAGGGGCGTGGAGAGAGCTGGAGGCGGAAGCGGGACAGCCGAAAAGGAGGGACGATCGCACAAAGCAGACGGGCAGGTCATTCAAGGGACGACCAAGGGACAATGTTGCTTCTGGAATCAACAGGCAGGCTGAGGTCTCAAAGGGTTTGGAGCGACGATTTTGGGGGGGGGGGGGGGGGAGGAAGATGCGGACGGTCGACGGCAGTCTCCGAGGCGTCTAGATCTCCGCGGTCCCACGTGACTTCATGCAGGTGGTATACTCAGGCTTACAAGATAAAGCAGATGAAATGGCAGAACTTAGATGGACCTTGACTTAAAGAATAGAAAGGAGGAAAGAAAGATGAAGCGTTTATCTATCCCAGTATCCCGATGTAACATCCGAACGTACAAACAGTCAAATATCCCATTCCCGAACTCCCAACCGCTAGAAACCCGAGATGAATGAAAGCACACCAAATCATGATATGACATGGCACCCACGACTCTACAGAGCCTTGATGCCCTGGAAGACTTTGTTCGCTTGCAGCTTCGGGTCACTGTTGACGAGATCGCGCATGATCTGGCGCTTCTCTTCGACGGTGAGGTTCTTGTCCGGCGAGTCAACGGCCTCCTTCCATTTTAACAACATCTCCTTGAGCAGGGCACTGCCCTCCTCGACCTCCTCCTGCGAGTACTTGTCAATCGCCATGCTAGACTCCTGGTTCTGCGTCCCGGAGGATGTGAAGTCTTCCAGCTCGTCCGCCTTCTGCCGCGCCATGTTGACCACCTTCTCCGGGAAGCGCACCAACTCAGCAACGTGGATGCCGAAGGACTGGTCGCAGATGCCCGGCTCGACACGGTAAAGAAGGGTGACCTGGTCGCGCTTCGAGTCCTTGCTATCAGCCCCCTTGTCAGTGCCATCGCCGATGAAGGCCACCACGTGCAGGTTCTTGGCCGACTTCGGGTACCGGTCTGCCAGGGCCGTCAACTCGTGGAAATGGGTTGCAAAGAGGCCGAAACAGCGAATCTCGGTGACAATGTGCTCCGAAATAGCCCATGCCAGACCGAATCCATCATAGGTGCTCGTTCCGCGGCCAAGCTCGTCGATGATGATCAGAGACTCCGACGTGGCGGACTTGAGGATGTTAGACGTCTCCAGCATCTCCGCCATAAAGGTCGACACGCCCTTGAGCTGCGAATCACTCGCGCCAACACGGGCAAGGATGCAGTCGAAGATGGTCAGCTCCGCCTCCGAGCATGGCACGAAGCACCCCGTCTGAGCCATGAGCGCGATGACGCCAATCTGGCGGATATAGGTCGATTTACCGCCCATGTTGGGACCGGTGATGATCAGGAAAGACGAATCGTCCCGGATCAGAGACACATCGTTGGTGATGAACGAGATATCATCCTGCATCTCCATGCATGGGTGTCGCGCCTCCTTCAAGATCGTATTTCCAGTGCCTCGCGGGTGGATCTTGGGACGGACATACGGCGTAGGGGCATGCACTGACACATGCGCAAAGCTCACGATCACATCGAGGTGAGCCAGGACGCCGGCAAGCTGCTCCAGCACAGGGCAGTAAGACGCAGCAACACTGACCACCTCGCTCACCAGACCCGTCTGGGTACGGTTGTAGTTGGAGGACATCTGATCATGCTCGCGACGGAACGCCTGCATCGTGGACGTGGTGAAGTAGACGCCGTTCTTCTGTGTCGAGCACTCCTGGTACTCCCTCTTGTTGCGGATGCAACCCGCCTCGTTGCGAGTCAGTCGGAAGCACCAGCCATGCACACGGTGGTTCTCCAGGAACAGCTTCTTATCCACCTCCTGGTCCAAGTCGCGCCCAACCCGGCGGTGTTCGACGTCCATGTCATGTCGTAGCTTGTCGAGCTTCTTCCGGATAATGCGCAGGCCCTCATCAAACTCGGGCTTGATGATAAACTCATGGTTTTCCAACGCACCCAGATCGACCGTCGTCTCGACCATCTCCTCCAGCTTCGCCAAGCTATCCGAGAACCCCCGCAGCTTGGTCGTGTACTCCTTCTCCAAGGGCGTCTGATACTCCTCATCCATCACATTTTCCAGGGAGGCAACAAACCCAGGGAGACGAATAGCAACCTGGTAAACGCGCACCACATCCTCCAGCGTGGCCTGTTTCCGCTGAAACCGCTTCGCCAGCCGATACAGGTCCGGGATTGACCGCAGATGCTCCTCCTGCATTGTCTGCCTGAGCTCGGTATCCACCACGAACGCCTCGACCAGCTGCTGTCTCTTCTGAATCTCCGCCAGATCCATGAGGGGCTGCTTCAACCACTGCGCCAGCAACCTGCTGCCCACGGGCGTCTTACAGTGATTCAGCAACCCAAACAGACTCATGGACTTGGATCCGTCCCGCGGACCAGGCATCAGATTCAGGGCCCTGAGTGCCGACGAATCAAGCTTCATGAACTGCGACAGATCATGCTGATACAGCTGATACTGACCAAAATTCGACGGATCCGACATGACACCCAGATACTTGATCAAGGCAGCAGCAGCACCCATCGCCAACTTCAGCTCCGTCTGCGGCAACGTGCCAGCGGACCTCTCATCCCTCAACAACCTAGTCAAATCCTGCTCAATATCCCTAACCCCAAAATCACCCCCCTGCCTCTCCGACACCGCAATGCCACAACTATCCGCAATATTCCTCACCTTCGCCAACTCGACATCCTTCTTCCCGGCGTCCATCTGCACCAAACACTCCTTGACCCCGAGCTGAATAACCAACGACTCCAGATTCGAATACACATCATTATCCAGAAACTCGCTCACGCCAAGCTCCCTCACACTGGCATCGGCAAAACACACCCCCACGCTCCTCGCCTCGCCCGCCTTGGCCGAGATCTTCACCGCGAGAATAATCGGCGCCGCCGCCTCCGCGCTCAACCCGCCCACACTCCCCAGCTCCTCCTCCACGTCCTGCAAGTTCCCGGGACTCGCCTGCTTCGATAACTTCCACTGGCCGCGCCCGGACGCGCTGCCGGACGCCCAGATCTCCACCCGCTTGTTGAGCCGGAAGAGCGCCTCGCGCAGGAAGTTGCGGAACACAGTCACGCTCATCGTCACGGAGGGGAGGCCGCCGGTCTCGCTGCGGCCGAGGTTGCGGAGCACCGAGGTCGTTTTGTACACGGTGCGCGCGATGAATTCGGCCTCTGGGCCGTGCGCCGAGTACCAGTCGCCGCGGTCGAAGACGCGGATGGTGTCATCGTTGCTGTTCGAGGAGATGGAGCGGTAGAATCGGATGAAGCCGACTTCGTCGTCAACCTGTATTCAATGACGGTGGTGTTAGATACGGATTTCTTGCGTTGCGTATAAGGTTTTGTATAGTTGCACGCTAGGACTGGGTGGTAGGAGGGTATGTATGTAGCTGCTGGAGAGGGCGGGAGTTAGTAATTGGACTTACTCTGAGATCCGGCCGGGAAGACATGATGCCAGAGAATCTCCGTCGATGTGGATTGACGACTACGAGCCAGCTGGTCGGTCGTTGGAGAGGAAGGCTTTCAGCTCGGCGTGGAGTTCTTGATGGATCGATCGATGGAGGGACGCGCCGCGGGAGAGTCACGTGCGCACGCGTCCGCGTATGGCCTGTCTAAGTGGTTTTGCGCCAATCAGAGCAGCCGTCACCATTTGTAGTAAATAGCCATTAGGCAGTACTGTGAGATTTACATGAGGAAACAATTTTAATGACAGTACCATGTTGATATTGAGGTATTCACTAGTGTTACAGGATAAATGCGCTAAATGCTATGCCGCTGCACAATGCAATCATAACGCCGGGAGCATACCAGGCCACCCGGATGAGGTATATCAGACATCCAAAACGACAGACAGACACATGTACCCAACAGAGGTAAAAAAACAAGAAAAAAAAGCATCATTATGATCACGCAGAACCCTCCACCAGCACAGGGAGAGCCTCGGAGCCCTCCCACCCGACCTTCAACTGCGCCACCTTGGCCGCAATCTCCTTGGTCTGGACATCGGCGCACGACTTCAGGACAACAGATTTCATACGATTCACCGTGACGAAATTGACCCATTGACCGGCAATGTCTTCCCGCGCCAGGATCTCGACACAGATCTCGACCTCCCTCTCGGAGATAGGACTGCGTACGGAATCGCGCACATTCTGGGCAATCATCTCCAAGCGAAACGGCGTCCTCTGCGCGGTCATCACAGCCTTCGCCCCGGTACCAACATACCCAGCGGGCCTCAACAACGCCAACACGCCCGCAACCTCCTCCACGCGCTCCGCGGCCGCCCTCCGCAACAACATATCCTTAGACGGCGGCGGCGGCAACTTCGCCTGGCGCAACTGCTTCTCCTTGATGCGATCCAACAGACCCTTCCTCCGGGTACTCGCCGCATCGACGGGCTTCTCGGGGGTCTCATCCTTAGCCTCAGTGCGCATCCTCTCCGTCTTCATCTTTATCACGCCGCCCTTCAGATCCTGCAAGCGCTGCTGACCCTTCCGGAACGAGGTAAACGGCGTCAACGACTCATGAACAACGGCCGTCCCCAGCGTCGCCAGAAAGTCCACCCGACTCTCGTCCCCATCCGCCGCATCCACGGCCTTCTCCCACCGCACATCCAGGCTCTGCTCGAACCGCTCCTGCCACTCCGTCTCCGTTATCCGCCCTTCGCCGTCCCGGACCACCCGCTCCAAACACACACGTCCAAGCCCGTAATTCGAGATCCTGAACCCCGGCATCGCCAAACCCGACGCAGCAGCAGCAGCAGTAGCCTCCTGATCCAGTACCCAGACAAGGCGCTGCAGATCCCGAACCACCACCTTGCGCTTCCTCCACAATCGTTCCACGGTAGGGAGAAACTCCCTCAGGTCGGCCGGGGCGGTCAGCCCATTGTGCATGGCATGGAGGGCAGCGGCCTTCACGAACGCGGAGTGCAGGTTCACGAGGTCATCGATGCAGGCGGGTCGAGTTCGCGCAGGGAGGACGGCTTTCCTCGCAGTCGCGGCGCGCTTCGAGGGCGAGACGGGAGGAGAAAGAGCAGAACTCGAATTCCGGCGCGCGTAATGTCCGCTCCGCGGCGTGTTCAGGGCTAATTCGCCGAGTCGAAGGGTCTTGGAAGGGGTGACGGCCTCGAAGCCGATCCCACTGGACGTGCTTTCCTCGTTTTTGACCGGGCTGGCGTGGGGGCTGGCGCAGTCGACGTTCTCGAGCTCGTGGAGTTTGCGTTTCTTGGAAGGCGAGACCGGGAGGGCGGTGACTGCAGGGACAGGGGCGGTCGAAGGCTTCTTGAGTTCGGACAGCGATTTTCTCGTGGCTACGCCGGGCTTGATCGCTCTTGCGAAACTCTGGATGGCTGGCTGGCCTCGCGGAAGGGGGCTTTCCGGGTGGAGGTGCGCGGCATGGTCGCGGTTTCCGTGATATTCAATCAATCGATCGATCGAGTAAGAGATAGATAGGTAAGTAGGTGGCTAGTGTTGGGGTATCATAGACGGTGAGGAAAGAAGGATGGAGGTGTAAATGGTAGAATCAGCTGGGTCTGGGGAAGGAAGAATCGGTGTTTGGTCTGTGTGGATATGGATGGATATTCTTAGGGGGTCTGGCTGGGCGGGTAGGGATTTCTGGGTGGAGCGCGACGCGGTCGGGCGCGTGTCTGGCGTCGGGTGGGCCGGATGGGGGAATATTAGTAGAGTAGTTCAGCCCCGAATTGAATGGAGCTGAGGAACTAGCTCGAGGCTATTCGTTATTCAATGGAAGATGATAAATATAAACAGGATTGTAGACCATGCTGTGGAGTACGGGCAAGATATGGGAGAAAATGATGTCTGTGCATGGCAACCCATGACTGCAGTAATCCGCCGGGGAATGTCGCATACCAGAAACCGACTGGACACCTCAGGCCGCTGTCCAGTGTATATACGACCTGAGGCTACCGATCTAGTAACTCCGTACTACTTAATCCTTCCCACGTCGTACTCGAACATCCCGTCACATCCAACCCTCTTTGGAACACAACCAGTGACAGACTCAATGCCGTGAGATTAACCAGCTAATAGTCAGAAAGTCAGATACAACACGGCCCATGAACCTCCGACCCCAGGTAGAGAGAGAATCATAAACAGAAAAGAAAAGACATATGCATCATTAGGCCGATGATCGGTTGCTTTCGGTCGGTAGTTTTCCGGCCCACCGACCGACGGATCGACAAGCTTCCCCGAATCCTCAGCTACACACTATTCTTCCGTATACTTCAGGCATAAGCCCATCCGTCCGTAGCTTCATCCACCATCCTCCAAGTGTGTATGCAACACTTATTTCTTCCCCCCAAACCAACCCGACAGTGTCCCCTTCGCCTCCGACGCCTTATCCTCGATCTTGCCCTCGATCTTCTCCGCCCCGGACTTCAGCTCTGCCGATGTGTCGCGTCCGATCTGCTCGAGCCGATTGACGCCGCTCTTGGCTTCCTTTTCCAGTCGGTTGGCGCCGTCGTTGACGTTGCTGCGGGCGTTGTTGATCTGTCCAGGGGAAATGATATACCACATTAGTTCAACTGGAAGGGGAGAGAGAGAGAAGAGAGGAGAGAAGGTAAACCATACCGCCTCATCCACATTCAACCGCGCCTCATATCCCGCCTTCTCGCCTGCTTTCTCTGCCTCGTCGCCCGTGGGGATCTTGAGACGGGCGGCGTGTGCGTCGTCTATACCGACGCGACGCCTGTTAGCTAATCGATGCGAACCGAATGGGGTGGGCGGATAACATACGCCGGATCTTGTCCCCCGCAACCTCAGGATCTCCTCCAGCGCGGTACAGATAGTAACCGCCGGCGCCGAGGGCAGCGAGACCGAGGTAGAGAGTGGTAGGGTTCTTCGACATGGTGGTGTGGTGGTGAAGTGGTAGGAGTAGCACTGTAATTGCAGTTGTAGTCGTGGGTGTGGTCGTGGGTGTAGTTGTGGTTGATCGAATCCAGTCAATTCAAAGCAATTAATTCTCTGCAGTGACCTTCAACTGGCAGCGGCGAGGTAGTATTTATAAAAGTCGCACGCCGAGGTAGGAGGTGCTGGTGGAACTTGGCTGGGCAATCACCGGGTATGACGTCTTTGGTCCCGGGTGGGCGTAACCTGCCCTGTATGTCGCTGTAGTAGTCACTACTGGCTGACTGACTGACTGACTCTGGTAGTGCTCCGGCGTGGGATTCGGTGTGCAGCTAGCTATTGATCAAATCAGCTGATCTGGAGAGGAACCCTTTTACGCAGTAATGATTAGTGCCTGTGATCCTCCTTGTCGTCGTGAGAGAGCATCCGCACGACTGTCTGTCGCACTCTGTAACTGTACAAAGTCGAAGTTCGGCTGTCGGCTGCGAATACGTCACCACGTGGTCATCGCCAGCCCCCGGCGTGGTCCATGGGGTTCGGGCCCTCCTGCTTGCAAGTTGCAAGGTACCCGGTCTGCCGCTGGAGAATAAATCAATCACGTCATCCCCATACGACTCAATACGAATCTGGCAGGATCTACACGAGAAGCAGATTGAATCTCTGACTGTGGTAGTATCACTTGACCCGCAACGAATTGCTAAAACCTAAGACTAACAAACGAAAAAATAAAACCCCATTCGCAAAATAAAGAGCATCCTGAAACAAAGGGCCGCATTTGACGCCACCGAGAGGGCACGAGGGAGGCAGACTATAGACAAAGCCGAACAACACAATCGAAGCCACACCACGACCAGAGTAGGAAACTCCTTCCACAACCTCGTAGCTGAAACTCGAGATCAAGGCCGGGGGGTATCTTCATGCACTATGGACAGCAGACCGGGGAGAGAACGCCAGAACATGCAAGCCGGACAAACAGCACAAAATCAAAACACCCGAACAAAGCTCGCAATTGTCAGAGAAGCCCATATATCGATCCAACCCACTGATGCATTAGTCGTCAGTCATCACATCATAAAGATTCCCGCAGCCGAGCGGTGGTGTGTAGCTCCGAGTAACGAGAGGCCAGGGATCTAGCAATCCGCAGTTATATCCAAAACAGACACAAATGTAGAGGAACCCCACAAGAAAAAAGGCCGGGCGCCCCATACTATACAACTCCGGCTCGAAACAAAAGAGAAAGGGCGGGGGAACCGAGAAAGATCGACGTGCGACCCGCAACCCGCTGGCCGGGCCGGGTCGTGAAACGACACCCGCGTCAACCGCGACGTCTTCAGAGGAACAGCTTCGCTGCGCCTTTGTTTTCGCTCGTGGCGACTGCAACAAGAGCCTCCAGTCGACCCATGCCGGGTTCCCGGACCGTCTGGGGCAGGAAGTCGGACCGCAGGTCACGTTTGCCGTGATAGTTGTCCGACTGAGGGGGTAGAGGGGGGCAAGCCTGCGGTTCAGTCAGTGTCTGGACCCTTATCGACGGTCCGGGTAACGGGTGCGTACTGCTTGAGATGTTTCGGATGGAAACGGGGTTTGGTGCGGCTCCACGTATCCGTTGTTGTGCACGATGGCCGGATGGTACTCGAGAGATGCCGTAGATGGAGTGTGCACCCCTTCACTGCTACTTGAATCCTCGGGCGAAGTTCGCGTCGCGTGGGAGCTGGAGGTAGCATTGCTGTAGGAGTGAGTGTGCCCTCGGTACTCATGGTACTGTGGCTGATAGGAGGAAGACGGGCGGGAGCCGATGCTGTGAATCTCTGCGATTGTCTGCTGACCCCAGTTCGACGCGTCCCGCTGAGCGGGCTTGTCTCTGATTTGTAGTCCGGTGAGGTTGTTGTGCAGCGACATGTCCCAAGAGACGTGACCCCGTCGGTGACCGGGACCGGATATGGGCGGCGCTGGCCGCTTGGCGGGCTGATTGTAGTTGTAGCCTCCAACGAGGTTATAGTTCGGAGGCGGCTTGTTGGGGTTGTCAAGTTGCATCGGACTGGCACGGCGGACGGGAGGGGTCAATGGTCGCTGGGCCATCACCTTATCAAAGCTTTCAATCCCAGGCAGCCGCGGCGGCTGTTCTGCTGATCCGTTCGCTCCAAATGATGGCTTAAACACTTCGGGCGTCTGGTAGTTGCTCAGGCCACTAGTGGCAGGCCGAGGAACGGCGGACCAGGTTGACGGATGCCAGGTTCTTCTCCGCAAATCAGCATCCGAGGATCCGTGGCTTGCTTCGTCGCGAGACAGTGAATACGATGAGCTCACAGGGCTTGCGTACACCCCGCCATGGGGCGCGTACGGCGGTGGCGGAACATAGCCCGGGGGGTAGACATTTGGATGCTGCGACGCGAACGGGTTTGCGCCCGTCGGGACAGACAGGCGACGGGCAGCCGTCTTTCCCTCCCAGAAACCCGAGGCCTGAGATGCCGTGGACATCGGCGAAGCTATATGCGGACTCGCGGTACCGCCGGCCGCGAAGATGTGATGTGTGGGCGTGTAGGGAGATCCACCGGCGGTCGGGCCTGGGAGACCCCGACCTGGAGGAGTGCTGGGAGCGTCCATCGAATCCATCAGGCGCGCTCGGTCATTTGCCATCATCAAAGGCGCGGGCCGACGTCGAAGCTCCTGGGGTTGGCTAAATGTCGATGCTGTCGAGGTAATACTCGAAGCGGATAGGTTTCGGCTGTGACCTCTGCTATGGGTGCCTTGACTGCCCGCTGTTCCCGCCCTTGCTCGGCCCTGCGGGCGGACACGATCCGTTCGGATTTGGCGCTGGAAGCGAGTCCCAGTGGCTGCGAGGGAGTCTCCGGGAATATCCTCGTTGACATGCACAGTCTGGGCATGTTGCCGCAGGTTGTCGAGTCGAGAGAACCGGCGGGAGCAGTGGCACTGGAAGGGGCGCTCCCCGGTGTGTTTGCGGATATGTCGGGCGAGATGCTCACTGCGGGTGAAGCTCAAGTTACACGGCGGGAAGTCCGTGCAGTAGAACCGTTGACCTTTCTTCTTTTTCGAGGGCGGAGCGCCGCCCTTGTGATCCTCCTCGTTGTCGGAACCATCAGGGTCCACATCGTCCGAATCCCCATGCGCAGCTTCATCCGAGGTCAGCGACGCGGCCCCTTGGTCAGTAAGGCGGGCGTCATCCATGCTATTTAAGTTCCGGGGTGTGCTCTCGTCATGGGCGGCACCCATGGAGTGTGTGGTGTCGAGTGTGGCCGGTCCAGGTTTGGGATGGGGGCGAGGGGTGGAAGACGCCGCCTCCTCCATGACACGGTCTTGTGGCGATGAGATATTATTGACAGGTAAGAATGAAGACATATTGACAGCGAGGAGACCCTCGAGCCCACCCAGCAAGCTATGTACTTTATCGATGACAGGGCAGTCGAGCGATCGTCGGGACACAGACTCGATCTGTTTCAAGGGAGAGGGCTGGAGGTTTCAAAATGTCAAAAACGCGGTGTCGATCGCACAACGCTGACTACTGGAAGGTTTGCGCAGCAACGTAAGCAGGTGAACCATCGCATTTTCTCGCTTTGAATCGTGTTTTTAACACCTCGGGAGGAGGTCGGAAGTAACGTGGGCCAGGGAAGGGGGAGGGGGTGGGGATGGGATTTTTTTTTCTTGTTTATCCAAAAGTTTGAGACTTACAAAGGAGGGGAAGTAATTCGGTTGTTGTGAGGTCGAGCGAGGGGTTGGACCCGAGGAATGTTGGAGATGGATGGCGATGACCTGTTTAGCCGAATGCCCGACGACGATGGCGAAGCAAGGGTAGCCAGGTGGTACACGATAGATGGGAGGGAACGACCATTAGGTGCGAGGACGCATCGCTCACGGATCTGCCTGACCAGAAAGGTAGGGACAGTTGGGTGATCGGCCGAAAGATAAGACTGGAGAAGTCGGCGGGATGGAGGAGGGGGGAGGATGACGGGGGGGGGGGGGAAGACGATCAGGTAGGTAGGGAGAGAGGATGAGTAAGTTGAGGGCCGACGAAGGAGGCGGAGAAGGTTGAGGTGTGAGGTGTGAAGGCGAGGTGGAGGTGGTGGTGGTGGCAGCAGCAGCGGTGGTGGCAGCGGTACTGTTTGGAGGTGAAGTTTGGCGGACTCGATCGAGTTTCCCGCCGGCGAGTCCTGGTTGTGGGTATGACAGTCAGGACACCGACCCAGCCAAGACCTGAACTAATGGCAATAAAAATAGGTGTGATCGTAAACCGATCGGGCCCCTGGTTTACGGATCGTCCGGGAAGGAACAAGTAACAGCAGGGAATGCGCAACGGAGGCAAGAGGAGTCGATGGAAAAGGTCACAAAATAATAACAAATAGTAATCATAAAATAATGGCGAAAAAGGGAAAATAACAAAGGATAAAAAGCAAATACTAAAAAAAAATGTGATATCAGAAAGTAATAATATAAATAGTATAGGGACACAATTCAACGCGGTCCACGCTGGGCACTAGAAAGTGATGTACAGGCACCAGGGCGGCCACGAGGGTGGTGGGAAGACAGAGAGGAGAAGGGTTGGGTTGGGAAGGAAGAGAGATGGAAAGGAGGAGAGAGGTAAGAGGTAAGAGGTAAGACGGGAGAAGGCGAAGAAGAAGAAGAAGCAGCAGAAGGAGAAGAAGAAGCAGGGAGGCTGATCGATCCACACACACACACACACCCACCCAGATTGGGGACAGGGAAGGGCGAGACACCATAACAAGTAGTAAGGTAGTACCTACCTGAGGGAAGGGACCTGTAACCAGACGTGGAGAAAGGATGACGGCAACTAACCCAGCCCGAACAGGTGAATGGTGACGACGATAGTACCAGTTGTCAGGACCAACGGCAAGCAGTGGCAGCAGTGGCAGTAACAGCAGTAGCAGCACCAGAGCAGCACACCTACAGCCAACAGAAGAAGAGGAGGAGGAGGAGGAGGAGAGGAGGGATTGTTGGAAGCTTATCGGAAACAACGGTCGTTCGGCGGCGAGCGGGCGGCGAAACGAGGGGCAGCCAGAAAGAAAGGATCCGTGGAGGGATGTATGAATAAAGATTTAAAGTAGAGTTACCTGGGAGGTACTCGGTTCCACGGCGTACACTGTAGATATACAGCCACTTTGACTACCTACTTTTGCTACTACTACCACTACTGCTGCTACTACCACCACCACTGCCGCCGCTGCTGCTGCTACTACTACTACTACTACTACTACTACTACTACTACTACTACTACTACTATTGCCCCTCTACAAGGCTGAAGGATGACGGTGACTCGTCCAGTTAGTACCACTGCAATGCGACGTATGCCCCAGGGACAAGGCCGTGGCCCTTCTACGGACGGCGCTGGATTTACGGTTTGATCAACCTGGTGATGGTGACGATGCGGAAGTGTCTCTCTCTCTCTATTGAGTTCAGGCGAATGAACTCACCGGGGGTTGAAACTGCAGGTCTTTTAGCCCCAGGTACTGACGACTTGGTCCGGACCGACCGACACGAATCATCGATCGTCAGGCCGGTGGAGATTCTCCAGCTGGGGTGAATTCATGGACGACCGCTCTTGGCGAAGATTGAACCTTGGATGTGCGATGCTGTTTCATCGGGCGGTTCAGGACGATTCCAGGTTGACAATGGAGAAGACTCCCTCCGATATCGCCGGGTGAGGGATTGCGTTCTGGCCAGGCCTGGTGGTATTTAGGTAGATTACTTCTTCAAGTAAGGAAGTAGATCATAAGTACGGAGTACCCTGGCCCTGAAGGATGAGGGAGGATGGGGGGATGGATGATACTGATACCGACAGTACGCGCCGGTATGGGCCCCGTATCAGGAACCCAGCGCTTAGCAGGAGTAGCAGCAGGAGCAGCCAGCCCTCCGTGGTAGTGTGTACTCCATAGTACCCCGTACTGACACTGACACTGACAGTGACAGTACTATCTAGTAGAAGAGGAACCCTCGGGAATCGTCCGGGTGAATGGGCTATTTTCCTTCTGCTCGGTAAGGCTGGCTAAATGGCAGGCAAGGGCAAGGGCATGGAAGAAGTCTCGGCCCAAGTCCTTCTTCGGCCGTACCATGGTCGCCGTCCATCCAGGGTCTTCGATAGTTCATATAGGATTACGGAGTACACCTGTCCTGGTGAGGCACCAGGCACTGCAGCAGCAGCCAGTGGGGCAGCCTCGAACTGTCGAGGGCTCGAAGGGGGGACCCGATCGGCTACTTTTTCCAAGGCCCCCAGGCTGGCACGCCCGCCGGATCCACGGGTCATTGGTTACTTACTGGGAGATGATTCATGAAGCGTTGTTCTGAGCCGACCGAGTCCAGGTGCTGACCCAGAAAAGCCTCCGCGGGGAGGGGGGGGGGGGTCCAACGGGCGGCGACCCTCGGTGACGTTAACCACTCAAGGCTTCCAGGACCCTTTGTCTCCGGTAGCTTTGGCCCGCAACAAATCGCAACAAATACCAAGTGGTCTATCCGGTGTTCGAGGTTCGAGGTCCGAGCTAAAAAAGAAACGAGAAGGGAAAAGTCTGGGAAATATTGGAAGCGTGCCAGCGCCAGCAGAACAACGTCCCTGGGGCAGACACTTCCACCCTACCACATATGCTCATTCTCTCTCTCCACTCTCCACTTCCTGCACCCTAACTCCAGGCTGCAACGTACTCCGTGCTGGGCCAGATGCTGCCCGCTGGGGGGACAAAGTGCAACAACTGAGTAAGCCGGCGAACGCCTGACTGGATTCTCAAACGGCCCAGGACACCAGGCTTCAGCATGGAATACGAACGGAATGTCGCACAGTGGGTTCCGGGGCTTCCACACCTGCAGTCAGGTGAAATTCTCCGGGCCGACCTCTGCAGTACCTTACATCGGGGTCGTTACGGCCTTGATTATCTATTGATTACTCTGACTCAGGTCATCATCTCCAACTGCCCCAGCCCAGTCCCGGCTCTGGCGGACACACCTGCTCCATGGCGACTATTATTGTCGACTCTATTTGTGACCGCCATCCATCATCCTGTTCGACCCTCCACCCGGATGTCGAGGGCAGGAGTGATATACGTCAGCCCGAACTGGCCGGCAAAGTTTGTTCCTGATTGACAGAGACAGCCGTGCCAAAAACCCCAGCAGGATCCCTCATCGCCGCGTTCAGGACAGGCATCGATAGACTTCCTCCCTCGAAGCTAGAATCAATGGACAATGGTAATTCAAATCGGTTTTAACTCTGCGATCACCCTGGACATCCTCTGCCTGACCATACTGCAAACGGCACGGGAAGCGAGGGAAGCTTCTTCTCCTGGTCTATGACATCTGGTTGATGCAGGACCACGAGCAGCGCAGGCGAGGCACGAGGACAGCCAACGCCACATGTTGGAGAGATGATGTGCTTTGAGGAAAGAGGGAGGATGGAGAAGCAACGCCGATTAACACCCACCGTGTCCGGCGTTCCCTGGTAGGAGTAGTAGGTCTGCAGCGCTGGTGGTCGGGGACTGTGTCTATCTACTTACGCAGCATACACGTATCTACGCCATGGGAGGCCACCCGTGCCTTGGGACTACCTACTTTACCCAGAGCAGTAACGACGTGAACAATGCATTAGTCTCCCGCATTGGCATTATTGATCGGATCGTGGGGAGGGGGAGGCGGAGAGGGGGACCTTAACTGGCTACTACTAGCCCAATCTGGTAACTGCCTCTGCGTTCAGAATGCGCAGACCAACGGGCTCACCCATCCACCAGCATTCGTGCCCTCCAACCTACCCACCAACTCAGTATGTCAGTATGAAGCAACTGACCTGACCTGACCTGACCTGCACGCACCAACGTCCGGAAGTGGCGGCGACGAGCCCAGCCGGGCCGTCTCCAGCAGGATCATCCTCGCGGGCTGCCCCCCTTCCCAAGGTCAAATGGGCCGTGGGCTCGTAAAGTGGGCGGGTAGGTTGGCTCTACCGACAGTGCTCCGGACCCCGTGCCTCCCATCCATCACCGAGATCAGGTCTGGGTGATCGACGTGGCACTGCCAGCTGGGGGGGTGGCCACCAATGGCCGGGCCCGATAGCAGGCAAGGCACCGGAGCACGGGCAGAAGCACAGGTAAAGGTACCAGACCTCCAGACCACCGGACTCCTGGAGCTAAGACGCAGAAGACGCAGTACAGTAATCATCGCACCACTGATGGAGGCCAGCTAACTTCCTGCCCCTCATTCCCAAACCTGAAAAGGCCACCGGCACGCGCGCGCCACTGAGGGGCAAAAGAGTCAATCAGGTTTACTTCCCCTTGTGCCAAGATGGGTGCGATGGTTTAGTGGCTGGCCACATTTTCGTCAAAGAAGGGGAGGGAGAAATAATGGGAGGGGGAGGGGAGGGGAGGGGTTGTGAGTCGCTGACAGGTGACACGGATGGTGTACGGCGGGGATCCCTGTTCTATCTGAAACACGGCGATTACGGGGATCTGAAAAGGGTGTATCTATCTACGGACTATATACAGAGTAGATAGTCTTACTGCTGCCCTGACTCCTGACTCGGGAGTGAGGACATCCCCTTCCTGATTCTTGTTCATCATCCCCTCCTTCCTTTTCCTCCCGTCGGGTCCTTATCAATGGGAAGCGGGGTTGATAAGTTAGTGGCGATTGATTGAGCTGATTGTCCTGGGGCTGAGGGCTGAGGGCTGAGGGATGAGGGGGGCGTGCACGAAACCGCTCCAACTAGCGACTAGTCCGGTCTAGTCCCTGCTATACAGCTACTACGATGGAGTACAAAGCAGGTACCTGCGTTGCGGGCCAACAGTGTACCTGGGATACCGACATATACCCATTACCCAGACCAACCTTTGTCCCACCCGACCGATCAGTATCGCGGGGGTTCATCCGTACTTACTGTCCTATACCGGGTACTGTGTCACTTGTCGCCATCTCTACCTAAATTCCAAAACATTATCCACCCGCATCAGACTCCTGACCCCGACGCTTACGTAGAATCCCGATCCCTCGGCGGGTCCTGATCCTATGCTGACGTCTTGCATTATGTGTGCAGTCCAGGCGGCAAGAACCGTCTCTTTTTCTTATCCGCTGACAATTAATCATCTGGATAAGTAGGTACTGGTGGGGACTTGCCACTGATCTCTCACCTAACGTCTCTAATTATAGGCTGACACGGAATCGCGGAACTTACGAGGTGCAAGTGGTCAGAAGAAGTCGGAGCAGGCCGGGATGGTCAGTCAATAGTAAGGTACCTTAACATCTTATCGGTATGAAATCTAACTATAATCCTATTATATCGGTCTACTACTATGGATTTATTGTTTCAGAGTGGGGGGGGGGGGGGGGGTGAAGACAATAGAAGATCTTAAAGCTACTGGTATATAGCTTATGTCTTCTTTAGATACAAAGTATATAAGCTGTGTGGCAATATAATCATGGCAGGAAATGTAGCGTCTTCATTCCTCCTATAGTCTATAGTAAAGTACTTCTATTCAAGCTCTAATGTCTTCCATCATGCGCAGTAGAACTCTCTCAAATAGATCTCGTTTAATAAGATATAGTATATCTGAGGTAAACATACTTGTACAGCTGTACTGAAAAACTAATCTTATAGCACAGCATCCTCATACTAGTAGAATATAAGCACTCTCCAACAGGAACCAAGCTCAACCCTATCACTACACTACTCATAACCACCTATCTAGTTAAGCCCACCAGTACCTTTTCTACCAACACACCCCTCTACAGGATCATAACACTCCCAAGCGACAGACGTACTGGTGCCGTTCATGGGGAGTAAGGTGGATTATGGGCCCTGTTATACCATACCCCAGATACGGTGCAAATACTATATCTTATGCACCGGCCTAGTATCTATCTGTTCTCAGACATCAGATATGTATCAGATACCAGGTACCCTAAATCTAAAGTCTAGACCCCCCCCCCCCCGGTCAAAGAGACAGATAATATCGCATATATACTTTTACTATACATAGGAGTCAGCACAAGATAAGATGTTCAATAAAACCCCTACCATTGATTATCTAGACAGAACCCCTATCTACCTTAGGTAAGTAAGTAACCCTACCACACTATCCCAACCCAAGATAACCAATATCACCGATCTATAAGGTACAGAGTACATATCCAAAACATCCAAAACATCCAACTATAAAACATGACTCACCACCAACCCCAATATCCCAAACGTAATCTCCCACAACAATAACAATAACACCACCACCACCACCTGCATCCTGTACTATCTACATAGCACATACATACACATACATACATATGCACCCCCTACCGAAACATGTGGACAAAAGCAAAACCCAGCAGAAGCAGCAGCAGCCACATACATACATACATAGGGTAGCTTACTATCTACAGGGCTATCTATACCCACCGAAGCAAGACACGCAGACAGGCAGCGAACTCATCCTGATGGTAAGTACGTAACCCGGCTACTTAACTCGGTTAGTAAAGGAAATAAGTATTCACGTATATACTATAGGTATATAAGTAAAAAATATATAGATACAGTATTCCGTACGGTACCTATATACACATTCCAAGTGAGGCAAGACAAGACGAGACAAGGCAAGGCAAGGCAAAGCAAGGAAACCCCCACACGCACTGTGATTGGCGAGGGACGTTGCACAGAACGAACCGGGTAGGAGATAGCTGCCTGGTCGGATGGCTGTCAGCTGATGCGATCGCCGGATGCAGGTGAGAAGAAGAATATTACTAATGAGAAAAGGAATATAAATATAGGAACTAATATTATTGAATTGATAATATTAACGTCATTGGACGGGTGGTCGGAGGACGGAGGGATGGATGATGATGATGGAGGATGGATGTACCTGGCTGTGTATGGCGGGATCCCCTGGCCATCACATGCGAATTGTCGAGGGTGTGTGTACAGGGTGGTGGCGACTGCGAGAATGGGAGAGAATAGGAGGGTGGGTAGGTTTACAGACTTGGAACTGTTAATGTTAACTGTGTTGATCGGCGAGGTTACTTTTTTTAATTTGCCCCCCCCTCTCTCTCTCTCTGACACACACATACTGTCTTCTTATATTATACACTGACTGGCTGGCACATTATACCGTAACTATCGATCCAATGCTCCTGCTATCGAACTGACCATAACCGCAGCTTCCCGCTCCCAGGTTCGATCTGTCCCTGAATCCGCCGTCGTTGTCGTCGTCGCGCCGAGTCGCTTCTCAGTCCCGAGTACTGATGTCGGGAGCTGCGAGCCGCGCAGAACGCACTCCTTGATTTCCTTCTTGATTCGGTCCCGGTTCGAGCGCAGGGTCCGCGCGGAGACACCGCCGCGGTTGATGATCTCTTGCACCCGGGTGGTGAGGTAGGACGCGAGGGTGCGCCAGAAATAGGACGGGAGGGACGACGTGTCCAGGGCGTTGAGGAGGGGCTGGAGCTGGTTGTTTTTGCTGCTGCTGCTGCTGCCGGCTTGCGGTTCCGGTGGCTCTCCGGCGCGGATGGTGGCAGTCGGTGGTGCGGCGGCGGGGAACAGCGGATGCGATGGAGGGCGCAGGTTGCTGAGGATGGCCTCCAGGGCGAAGATGTCCTGACAGCGTGCGGACAGGTCGGAGAGCGTCCGCTCGAGCGTCGGCAGCATGGACAGCGCTCGGGTGAGGTTACTCAGGGACGAGGAGATGGCCGTGTTCATGTACCCTTGCAGCGTAGAGAGGAGCAGCTCCGGCTGGAAGGCCGTGGCGGTGTCCAGGCTCTTGGGGACTGGGGAGAGGAGGTACAGGATGTTGACAGCGGAGACGAGACGTGCGCGGGCGTCGCGGGCCTGTTTGTAGTTCATTTGCGCCTGGGAGCCGGCACCCGCGGTGGAGGAGATGGTCGACATGGTGAATCGTCCGATGGCCTGCTGGGCGCGCGCCTTGACCATGTTCTCGGCGGGGAGGACAAGCTCGTTCCGCAGGGTCCGGATGACTTTGACGCGGTCCAGTCCGTGGCCCTCCTCGCCGGGGCCCGTCTCGGAGAGCATGCGGCGTAGACTGACGATGGTGGAGGCGGCCCGTTCCAGCGTGCGATAGTCGTCCTTTGCGGGCGCCGTCGCATCGAGGCCGCCGATTTCGGCCAGCTGGCCCTCGAGCTGGCGGCCGAGCGAGAGGCAGCGCGCAACGGCGCGCGCGAGTCGCACGGTGGCCAGGGACTTCTCTGCAGCCAGCCTGGCCTCGTCGGCGGCCTCCCACTTGCGGAGGACCTCGCGTTCCAGGCGCTCGTAGCCCTGCGTGACGGAGGCGATCTGGTCTTCGGCCTCCTTGAGGACATGGCTGGCGGCGGCGGTTTGGTCGCGCGTGTGCGTCAGCAAGGGGAGGGCTGATTTGGTGGTCAGCGCATGGATGTGGGTGTCGATCTCCTGGAGGTCGAAGAGCACCCGTGAAAGCGGGGTGGACAGATCCAGCGGTGTGTCTGTGGCATTGTTGGTGGCTACAACCAGGGCATTGGCAAACGAGGCGGGCGAGAAGTCCGGGTCTAGGAAGGCCTCGTAGTCTATGTAGGAGGGCTCTCCGTCGGCCATGGCTTGCGATCAAAGAGAAGAACAAGAATCTGAACCTGAACCTTAGGTGAGGGAGGGCTTTGGGTATCACCGTATCACCGTATCACCGTATCACCGTATCACCGTATTGAACAAAGCAGTAGCAAGAGGGATTACAGGCTAACAGGGGGGTGTTGTCAATGAATCGCCCTGGATGAGCGCTTAGACAGGCAGCAGGACAATCAAAGCTTAACGGGGGCGATTCGCCCATGTGATAGATCCAGTGGATTGGCAAAAGATGAGGCCAGCATCGTCAGCCCGAGTGCTTGTGAAGATGATGTTGTTCATGCCATGTGTCTGGCGGGATATCACTGCCACGGCCTAGGTTATCTCGCTTAGTGCCTTAGTCAGCCGCATACTTGTGTGCACAACAACAGATGACAGGCTCACTGCGATCGATACAAATAATAATATTAAATAATAATAATAATAATAATAACTGGCTATCTCACTATTTACTACCTGCATGACAGGGGAGATATACAAGCTCAAGCCAAAGGCCTGGCGGTCTCTCAGCCACATATCCACGCCGATACAACAATACGAATCCCTATAGTGACCATCCGAGCATACACGCTCTACTCCAAAACCAGCTTCCTGAGTCTTCCAGAGGCCCTGGGCATGATATGCCACTTCTCCCCCTCATAATTCAACTCCACAACCTCCCAGTCAGCCGACTGGAGCAGAATGTCCACAGTGCGACGATCCAGATGACATCCGCCTCTAGCAGTGGGCCACACCAGGCTCCAGAACTCTGCGCTTCATCAGCATCCATCGCAACACAGATCGCTCAAACAAACTTACTCTGCACCAGATAGGTCACCCAGTCCGCATTGGCCCCATGCTCCCAGAAGATCAACTCGCCGCCGGGCTTCAGCAGCTTCCAGAGCGTCGACACGACCGCGTTCGGGTCCCGGATGCAGCACAGGACCTGGAAGCTGGTCACGCAGTCGAGACTCCCCTCGACGATTCCATGTCGCTCGAGGGCGTCGGCATCCTGGATGTCACAGAAGATGGGTGTGTATATGTCGTCGAGGTGGGCCTCGGTGATTCGGGCCTGAAGCACCTCAGTGAATTCCAGGTTGCACTCGACCCCGTAGAGGCGGGTGATGGCGCTGGCATTGTAGCGCTGGAGTTGGTTGCCTGGTCCCGGGCCGAGCTCTAGGACGGTGCCCCGAGCTGCAGCGGCGAGGGATGGTAGCCCGGTTGTATTCTCGTAGTTGGTGTGCAGGGGGGCTAGCTGGTTAGTCTGGTGGAATTGGGTGATGTGGTGGTGGGAGAATACATACACATGTCTTTGTACCAGTCTGCGAAAGCGCGGTCCTGGATTGAGGACGTTGCGCCCTGTCGGGTTTTGTAGGCAACCCAGTGGTCTTGGGCGGTTAACTGCTGGACATAGAGGGTGTGGTGGAGGGGAGAGGGACGTACACTTGATGGCATTGAGTAGTGGCTGGTATGGCTCGATATAGCTGGTCAATCGCTCCTTGAGATGGAGACCCATGGCTGGAGTTCGAGTTTCTGAAGCAAGCGCTGGGAATGAAATGGGATGGAGGTGGAAGTGTCATCTCACGGACGTCCGGGTCATGCGTGGGCTTTTATATGTGCGATCGGCTTGGGCAGGCTAGACGATATCAGGCGCAGGATCTAATGGTATCATCTAGTCCAACCCCGAGATTGGTTAGTAGATATCACGGTTGCCCTGGAACGACCCAATGGCTGGGGTGTGCGTGGGTATGGTGCATTTGGAATGATAGTCCTGGTCTGACATGGGGGTTGGCGAGGTCTCCCCTTGATATCCCACGATTCTGTTTCCCCCTCTTTTGCAAGTCGGGGTGGACACTCCTGACTTTGGGGGGGGGGGAGGGAACACCCGGAACAGGAGGAGTGATGAACAAGATGGGTGGGTGAGCAGTTGAGTGGGTTGGGTGGTTGTGAATGGCTTGGAGTTTCATCTTGGATGAATTGGAAGTCTGTCTGGGGTATAGAAGGCGTATACCACATTCACTGCCAGAGGGATGTTGGGAAGATTAACTGACACAATAATGTTTTTATGTTTTATACCATGTCGTGGATGGGGGGAGAACGCACTTGCTACGTCGGCTATAGTTATTGGGAAGTGAAATCATTCCATCAAACAGGCAAGATGGCCGAGCGGTCTAAGGCGCCAGGTTAAGGTCTACCTTAACAGCAAGCTTCAGCTTCCTGGTCAACGTAAGTTGGCGTGGGTTCGAATCCCACTCTTGTCATCTTTTTGTTTTTTTCCCCTCGGAAAGAGGGGGAGGTCTTGGATAGCGGAACACAATCCAATCCGTTCATTCTTATGTTGCCTTTTTTTTTTTTATGTGTTGGTGGATGGCTCTCAGGGCTATGGATAAAGTATATTGCCCGTCCAATGACGGCATCAACTCACCTGCATCTGTATATCATCGGTCAAGCATCATTTTACTAGTTAACATCTCCACGCACGATTTGTAATCACTACCAGACTCAATGAGAATACAACATAAATATAACAATATATATTGCCATGACTCACAACCATCTCAAACTAACCCATCCTCCGACCACAAAAAAAAATAGTCCTAGTCTCAACCCCACAATGAATCAACAAACCACCGCTGACAAATACTCCCATTCCCTCATCACCACCTACTAGATAGAGTCAAAGAAACAAACCAGAAAAGCATACTATAGACAATTCATATCTACTTACCTACCTACCCTCATCCTACCACTGAAAAAAACCCAATCTCATACACCACACCCGATCCATAACCCATAACCCATAATAATCATGACCCCACCCCAAGCCCTCATCTTCGACCTAATGGGCACCTGCACAAACTGGCATCCCGGAATCGCATCCGCCATATCCGCCACTCCATCGCTCTCACACGTCTCGGCCCAAGAATCCGCCCAGCTGGCCGCGGACTGGCGCGCGGGCTTCTTCACCGAGATCCATGAGCGGTTCCGCACCGGCGCGGGGACGGAGAGTATCGATGTGACGCATCGGCGGGTGCTGGATCGGTTGTTGGATGAGAGGGGGTTGGGCGGTGATATAGGGGAGGAGGAGAGGGGGGAGTTGGTGGAGGCGTGGCATACGCAGGGAGGTGAGTTTCTTTCTTGTATGGGGGGGTGTTGGGGGTAACTAGAGGGTAAGGGAGCAAGGTGTAGTAATGCAATCCAGGCTAATATGTCTGGGTCTTGGGTCTTGTGATTAGCGTGGAGTGATGCAGTCGAGGCGATAGAGAGGTTGAAGGAGAGGTTTATGGTGTTAGTATCATCACCCCGCCTCTTCATGTTCCCTCGCTCCCCCAATGTCCTCTTGACATCGCCTGGATATCCAATGTCCCGGACGAACTATACGTATATCCAGAATCTAACCGAACCCCCCCCCCCCCAACAGCATCGTCCTCGCAAACGGCACCCCGAGACTCCAACTCGACCTCGTTCGATCATCAGAACTATCTTTCCACGCGCTATTCTCCAGCCAATTACTAGGATTAACCAAGGTCTGTCCGTCCATCCCTTTACTACTTCCAGATCGAACCCATTGTATTGACATCATTCAGCCCGACCCGGCGATATATCGCAAGGCATTGGAGTTGTTGCAAATTGCCCCGGAGGAGGCGGTCATGGTTGCGGCGCATGCGTACGACCTGCGGGCTGCGAAGAGAGTGTATGTTTATTCTTTTTTTCCCTCCTGTTTCTATGTTTGTTTCAATGGCTCGCGCGTGGGGTGTATTGCGGTGCTAATATGAGATATATGCTAGGGGAATGAGGACGGTGTATATTCGTCGGGAGACGGAGGATTTGGATGAGGATATGGATGTGGTTCGGGAGGGAGTGGATGTTTTCCTGGAGGAGGGGGAGGGGAAGGGGGGTCCGCTGAAGCAGCTGGCTGATTTGTTTTGTGTGTAGCTGGGGTTAATGGACTGGGGATAAATGGAAGACTTTATATATAGTATAGTGGATAATCCAGAGTAGATGTGCAACTATAACAATAGTAAATTCGCATGAAGCCAGGCTAAGGATGGATGTGTTGGGTTGGAGAGAGATCCCGTAGGAATATAATCACTTTTGTTGGAGGGATTGATTTGGCTTTGTAGGATTGGAATTGATAGCAAGACTACTCCAAAACCCTTCCATTAGTCTCCTCCACAATCAGCTCATACTCGGGCTGGAATTCGGTGTAGAAGTTATGCTATATTTCGTCAGTCGAGCCGCATAAATATAAAACAGAGGCAAGGTAAACGCACGTGGTTCTGAGCCACATCAGCGGTATACTGCGCCACTTCATGAGTGATGATCCTCTTGGGGATACCGTTGGCAGCGGCAGCCTCAGCCAGCAACTGCGTGTGGCAGGCCTGGTCCAGACTGAAGAAAAGGAAAGCCGCCTCATCGACGGTGCGGCCTACAGTCAGGAGACTAATGCTTCCGTTAGTTATACTTGGACCTATCCCCATTTCGAGGAAGCAAACTAACCCATGGTTCTGCAGAATACAAGCAATGTTATCCTCCCCAAGAGCACGAGCAATCTGCTCGCCCTCCTCCTGCGCAAGAGCAATACCGCCGTGGTCCTCGTACAGACCCACCTTGCCGTAGAGGTTGCACGCGTCTATCCTATATATCAGCTGACATTTCCCAAACCAGCGAATCATGTATATGTATAAAGACAACTCACCCTGAGTAAGCATCTCAATCGGCTTCCCAAACGAACTCCACGTCTTCCCATGAATGGAATGCGTATGCGCCGCGGCGATGACATCGGGCCGGGCCTTGTGAATCTCAGAGTGGATCATGAAGCCGGCCTCGTTGATGGGCATCTGGGCACCGCCCTCGGTCACGTAACCGTCTGCATCGACGAGGACGAGATCCGAGGCCTTGATGGAGGAGAAGTGCTTGGCGAAGGGGTTCATCCAGAAGTGGTCTTTCAGCATGGGGTCTGTTGGCGGACGTTATTTAGTATATATGTTTCCCGGCTGTCTATAGGGTAATAGGAAGAAAAGAGCAACGAACCTCTCATCGAAATATGCCCCGAAATACCCTCTCCGTACCCCCTCTTCCCGAAGAAGCGGAAGGCGGCCGCCATGTGCTCCTTCATCCACTGACGCTTGGCCACTGCATCGGTGAAGGTCGGGATGCCCCGTAGCTTGAGGGTGCCGCTGCGGTTTCCCCGCGCCACGGACTGGAAGGCCTTATCGTTGGCGGCGTCGTCGTCGGCCACCACGAGAGGGGCGGGGTAGGAGGAGGAGGAGGAGGAGGTGATGGTGGTGGTTTGAGTGGCTGTTGTAGACATGATGTGAAGATTGTATGTGAGGGGTATGTTGAGAAACGCAGAAGACAGTCAGAAGGTGATCGAATATAGATATATAATTAATGGCCCTGGTCATCTATCTGCTATCACCCCGGCTTATCACCCCATCCCGGTCGCGGCGATGTCATAGGCGCATGTCGCCGAATGGCCGGACCCTGATTGGCCCCATCAGATAACAGCCCCCGGCGCCTTCTCCGGACATTCAGCAGCACGAACCACTAGCCACTAAGCACTCAAAAACTATATTCCAAAACAACAAATTGACCATCTATGCTGGTGCCAGCCAGCTAGGGTCTACATGATATAGTAGCAGTAAAGATATTAAACCAGAGCTCTTCCTCCAGCGCATCACGAACCACCAAGAGCCCCCAAATAATAGCACAGTCGGTCACAGTCAAAGTCATAATATATAAACCCGGATGTCAAATAAACAGCCAACAATCGAAAGAATAAAAAACACAGTAAGTGAAATCTATACCGCCTCCTCGCTCCCCACCCCCTTCATATCCGCCATTTCATACTCATCCCCACTACCCTCCCGCATATTCCGACCTCGTCCCCGTCCCGTCGACAGGGAGAACGAGATGTCCGCCTGTTCCTCCGCCGCTGTCGTCTGCTGTGAGCCTGGTCTACCACCACCACCACCACCACCATCACCGGTGGCAGAACCGGAACCAGACACCCCTCCAAAGCTAATCGGCTGCAGCTCCCTCCACCGACAGGCCCAGATACCCAGGAAGGTCATAAACGCGGCACTCGCGCCCTGCAGTCCCCACCAGAGCCAATTCGCCGGCACGGAATGCGAGTACAGCGTCGTGGCGATCAGATGCAGGAAGTGTAATGTGAGGGAAAAGTCGGGGATGAGTTTCGATCGGGAGACGAGCAGGAGGAGGAAGATTGCACTGTGAGTGGGTTCATTCGTTAGTTAATCGCTCGATTGATTGATTGGTTGGTGCTTCTGGGGAGAGCGCTTACCCAATCCCACTGGTCAACATCCAGACCAACCCCAGCATCCACCCGATGGTGGTATCTCCGCGGAGCGCATTCCAGCTGAAGACGAGGTCCAGCGAGAAAACCGTGCCGTAGACCAGCGTCGTGAAGAGGATCAGCGCCGTTGCGGTGCCATAGTAGGCCACTTGTAGGAGGAGGATCTTCCGGACGATCTTCAGCGGGGGAAGGTCGGTACGAGAGCCCGCTCGCGGAGGTCGGCGGCGCGGGGGCATGAACTGGGTTGGAGGTTGTTTACCGGATTGAGCTTGTGGTGGTCTGTTGGTGATGGTGTTTTCGGAGCGGAGGCTGGGCGAGGTGCGGTGCGGTGCGGTGCCGGGCAGGGAAGAGTAGCAGCTGAGAGGGGTATATGGCTTTGACGAGGAGCCCGTCGAACTTCACTCCCTAGTAGGTAGATGATATAGTACAAGGATCCCCCTTAGAGCGCAACCCCCAAGAAAAAAAAACCAGAGTGACGTGGTAGAAGGTTTGGTCGAACAGATGATGTTTGTTGGAAGAACGACCGGACGGGTTAGCGCCACATGACCGCCCGGCCGGCCGGCGCCCAGCATTCATTCATGCGGAGCGGAGCTTCAATGCATTGCATTGATCGGGTCTTCCAGAACATCTAACCTCAACCTCACCACCACCCTGCACCCGAAAACTCGAAAACACACAATGGGCTGGTTCTCCTCATCCTCCGACGCCCCCAAGACTGCCTCCGATGGTGGTCGCATAGCCCCCGACCGAAGCTCCCGCGCGCGATGCTACGAAGGCCGCGACTTGTTCTTCGCCTGCCTGGACAGGCATGATATCCTGGATGCGATCAAGGAGGATAAGGAGGTGCGCCGGAAGTGCGGGAAGGAGATCGCTGAGTTTGACACTGCCTGTTCCGCTGCTTGGGTATGACTTCATCCATCCATCTATCCATTGCTCGTGGATTTTGGTCTGCGGAGTCCGACTAGGGACGGGATTGTTGGATTTGGACCCCCCCCCCCCCGAGGGTGTAAGGATACTGGCTAACTGGATGATGGTTGAACAGGTCAAGTACTTCAAGGAGAAGCGCGTGATGGAGTTTAACCGGGATAAGACGATTGAGCGCATCAAGAAGGAAGATGCCGCCAAGGTCCAGGATTTGAAGGCACAGGGGTGGACTGCCCGGTAAAAAGGCAGAAGACAAAAGAAAGGGGAAAATAAACGAGACCGAGGATACGATTGTGCTTGAAAATTAGGGGCTCCGCCACTGTACCATATTTCGCTCTACCTGTTTTCTAATGACGGCCATTGCTACTAGACGCTCTCAACTACATTCTTGGAACATTGTCTTATTAAGGTTGCCATGGGCTTGCATTTGTCTCAGCCAGGCTGATCCCATCATGCCTGATATCTCGCATGAATTCATAGAAGGTGTAGATACAATAGTTCTGCGACAAAAGCAGACATCCCGCGCCGTGATGCCCATCCCGGACCTCAAAATCAACTAAACCATGCACTCCTGTAGCCCGTGCTCGCTATTCGACCGATAAAAACAACCCAACAACCGAGCCATCATAACCCTACCGACGGTACTGTTCCATATCCGGTTCTCAATCGATCGATCAGTCAACGCCTGACTCCGCGAGATGTCGCCAACTGAGAAGCCAGAGGGAAGCAAAAGGGGAAGAAGAGAAAGAGAGGAGTAAACAAAGAATGCCATCAATCATTGCTTCCACTTGCCCAGCTGGTGCATTATGTTCTGCACCTGGGGCCCAACGGCGGCTTGGTTCTGAGGCTGCTGGCCCCCCAAGCCTTTTGCTAGCAGTGAGATCAAGTTGGGGTCAGATACCACCGGTGCGTTGGGCGCCTGCAAAGGGAAGGGCTGTGTGTGCATTGGCTGTTGCTGGTTCGCAGCAACCGGCGGTCGAGTAGCAGCATTCAGCAGGCTGGCCAGATCTCCTGCACCGTGGGATGTGCCGGCAGTGGGAAAATGTTGCGGTCCAGTCGGTACTGCAGCCGGCCGCTGCTGGAGAACCCCCAGAAGCGACTGGAGAGTGGGGCCATCCAGGGAGGTAATCAAGTTTGCAATATTAGGCTGATTCGCGAGCGCAGGCATAGAGGCATGGGGCACCTGAGGGACCTGAGGGACCTGAGGCACCGACACGGCTGGGATGGGAATGGGCGGAACGCCAAACGCCGGGCCGGAGGTGAAGGGAGCCGAGGGGGCACCACGCTGCATGGACTGGGCGTGGAAGACTATCTCCGCTGCGATGTTGGGCTCGACATCCGGATATTCTACAAGCATGTTAGCGTTAGGTCCCACGCAGTTGGGTCGGGTTAAGTAAGGGCGGCTAACCGTTTGAGCGAATGTTGTCTGCACCCGCGCTCCGATCAAACACTTGCAACGGAATCTTTCTCGAAAACTGGCTTGGTCGCGACAGTCTCACCACGGCAAGGACTCCCTCTTGGATCTGTCGCTGAACGGCAGCGTTCAATGGGATCCGGGGCCCAAGCACCAGCACGTCCACCCGGAGTCCACGGTTACGGAAGGAATTCTCCACGTGGAAGATAAAGTTCCTAGAAATGAGTATTAGCAATAGTGAACAGGAGAGCACAGACCTCAGAAATGTATCACTCACCGATCCAATTCCTCCAGCACAAGAATCTGCACCTCTGGAACATCTCTGGGAGCCCGTCGCGGGACAGGAAGGTCTGCGTCGCCTTCGTATGCTCCCCGAGCCCGTGGGCTGGGACTGCGATACCTCCGATCTCTCGTGTACGGTGACCGAGAACGCCGTCTTTCGCGTCGATCATACCGCTCGGGCGTCCTGTCCCGGGACCGGTATCCATCTCGGGCACGGAAGGTCCGGGGAGATGGCGAACGCGGAGCAGGCGGAGGTCGATAGTCGTCACGTCTACGATGGGTTGGCTCGTCCCTGAAGTCGCTGAATGGCACCCGCCCCGACTCGTACGATCGATCGTAACGATCAGCCGTAGCTCTCGCAGCGCGACTGCTGGGGGGACCGTTTCTGCTGAACTCGGGAGACCTAGAGCGTCTCGATGGAGGGGCACGAGAGGTTTCTGCTGTGGCCGCCCCTGGTCTTGTACTCCTCTGGGGCTTGGAGATTTCAAGGTCTGACAGGATATGGATCAGTCTTGAGCGAGGTAACCGATCCTGTATTGGATATACTTACGGACTTTCCGTCCTCTCACCACAGCACCTTGCTCCGCGTCGAGGGCCTGCTTACAAGCGGAAGAATCGAGGAATTGGATAAAGCCGTACGCTTGCTTGATCGATATCTGCGCCAGCTTCCCGAACTTGTGGAAGATGTGGAACAAATCCCGTTTGGTCACCCGTTCGGTGGGGAGATTGCCTGGATTCAGCCAGTCAGAAAACTGCGAAGATTTGGAACTTCTCGGTGATACTCACCGACAAAAAGCCGGGATCCAGGGGGGAACCGGTCCCACAGGCCTTCCGTAACGTAGATTCTCTCATCATGGAGGAACTCGTCATATTTCTTCTGGACCTCCGGACCCCACGGAGTATCCTCATCGGCACTCTTGGCTTGACGGGCTTGTGACCGTTCCCTGCGACTAGTCTTGTTATTTGCGGGGGCTGGTGTCTCCTGAGGCTCGGAGGCCGAGGGCGAGGACTGCTGGAAGCTTGGGACAGGGGGAGGGGGCAGGGCGTTGGAGCCCGAGGAGGTCCCCGGGGCGCCGGACGCGGCCAGTGGACCAGCCAATGGTGAGATCCCTATATTGGACTGGTAATTACTTTGTTGGGCGGGGTAGGAGGCAGTGGGAGAGGACTGTGCGGCAGTAGGAGTGGTGGCGGTGGAAGAGGAGGAGTTCGGGGGGAGCTGATGGTAGGACCGAATATCATCGCTGGGATTGTAGTTGGGATGGATGGAGGGCTTCGCCTGGGGAGGGGGGCGCGGGGGAAGCCCCAGGGCAGATTGGAGGGCGTCCTCGTCTGCTCCTGCTGGGGGGATCGCAGAAACATCCACGGACAGAGGCGCCGTCTCCGAGACCGCAGGGGCAGAGGGAGCGGTGGAGGAAGGGGGGAGATTATCGAGGAGGTTCTGGAAATCGACACCATCCTCACCCGTGTTATCTTCGGCAGCTTTGCTCGGTGAGTCTAGGCGATCTTGCGGCGCGGACTGGGCCGTCCAGCTGGTGGCAGCGTGGTCTACCTCGCTCGCACTGGGGATGTTCTGAGCGGCATGGGAGGAAGAGGGAGGGACATCGGGGATAGAAGAAGCTAGGAGGGAAGCGGGATCTGATGCAGGCAGAGTGGTCAGAGAAGAGTTTGCGATTGCTCCCTGGGTCGCAGAGGAAGAGGAGGAGGGAACAGTGGCCATGGGAGGAGGCAGGGACGACGCCCGGGGAGTAGTGGTAGCCGCCGCAGAGAGTGCGTTGGCCGTGCCGTTCCTCGAACCATCATCGAGGGGAGAAGAGCCAGTGTGGAAGAAGCTACCTTGAGTAGGGGTATGGGGTGGTTGCTGGCGCAGTGGTGATTGCTCCGGGGCTGGATCGGAGCCAGTGGTTCCCCTCACCTCGCGGGGCCCTGCATACTGGGCCTGAGGGTTTTGGTGTTGCTGGTGGAGGTGCTGGTGGAGGTGGTGTTGATGGGTGGAGGAGACAGCGCCCGGATCCCTGGGATGCGTGTGGAAGTTATGCCCATGGAGGAAGTCGGGCCTCTCGTAAGTCGACGTGTCGTTGAAAATGGGGTCCATTTGATTCTGAAGCACCGGGATCCTGGCCGGTTCCGCGATGTGCAGCGGACGGGGGCTTTCGGGAGTCAGGGTCTTGCCACGAAAGTGAAGCGCTTCATCTGGGGAGCTGGGCGTCATGTAGACCGAGATGGAAGAGACCGATTCATCTACAGGAAGAACACGCAGGAAGGTTGCGACAGAGCCACACGCGATGGGGATTTTGGAAATGAAAATCGACGAAAGCTAAGGTGGGGCTATCTTGGAAAAAGAACCGGGCCGTTGGAGCCGGGGCGGTAAAGGGGATGGACGGCTGGAAGCCGCTGGTTTGTTTGGGAGGGGGAAGAGGGAGGGGAGGGGGGGAGGGGGGGATGAAAGAAAAGAGAGAGGTGAGAGGAGAGAGGAGAGAGTCAGTCGCCGCCAGCCAGTGGCCCAGATGGAGTGGAGGAAGGGAGAGGGACTCGACAGCGACAGACGCAAAAACAAGACAGTAAGTGACGTGACGGAAGGAAGGAAGGAAGGAAGGGAGGAGGCAAGAGTTGAGGGAAAGAGCCACCACCAAGGCGTGACTGTGTCCGTATAGTAAGTAGTGGTAGGCAAAAGCTGATACTGCTAAGGATCTAGTAGTAGGAGTAAGACGGAGGAGCGGAAGAGTAGGCAAGTGTCATCAATACCCAATGATGACACAGGAAAAGAGAGTGGGAGAAGCGGACATCCGATCAGCAGATGCGATGAGGAGACCGACGAGGTGCTCCCATTGATGGTTGGTGATCCGATCAGGGTCGGGGGCGCGACCAGAACCAGAAGAGAAGGTTGTTGAGAAGAATCGAGGAGTGTAAAGTTACGGAACGGGCAGAGTTTGCGCAGGCCTGCGTTGCCCTGACTGCGGCCATCCGGGCCTTAGGGGCCTTACGGGGTCTTACGGTGTTACGCAGTACTCGTTACTCACAGTCCCCGCCCCGATTGGTGCTGGGTCGACAGCTGGGCCGGCCATGCGGTCTGAGTGGCCAGATCTCCGGTGAGGGGCGGGTCAAGGCGCGTCTGGATTCCTCTTGTTCTGCTTGTTCTTAGTCACCGCCGCGCCTAAGAATAGTTAGTCAGTCAGTCAGGAGTCTCAGGACATCAACATGAGGGAGTGAGTGCTCTCTGACCCGACGGAAGTCTTCCGTGGAGTTGCCTGGGTTGGGTAAGGCTCGGAGCGCTGGAAGTCATCTGACTGGCTTGCAGTGTGAACGTCAGGCATCCAAGTTACCGATGTTGAGGCCGACACTACTAGATAGATACTATCTATCTACTAGATATCTATCTACCCGCCGACGAACCCTCCAACCCTGCCTGCCGGTCACCGTCTCTATTCTAGTGACCACTAGAAAACGGGTCCTTGGTACTCCGTCGTACTAAAAGCTACCTTACTCTAGCTCGGGTTCTGGAAGATCCTCGTGCTTTGTGACTCGCTAGCATGCCATCCTTAATTCAATGTCTTTAGTCTCTCGACTTATCTACTCCGTACCCAGTACACCCAGCACTCACCCCCCTCCCTTCCCCTCCACTCCCTCACTCCTATCAGTCTCCATGTTTCGAACCAATCCTGTCAGAAGGGGACTCGGATTCTTCATCACCGGTACTGTCCGGTCCCCTCCCCGGGAAATTTACCGCTTGTCCCAGCCCTCTTTTCCTCTCCCCTCGTCAAGCCCCACCATCGCAACACGAAGCTTTGCGTCTAGGCGAGCCGCCATCGCGAACAACGACGGTCTGGATGCGGCGGAGGACTTGACAGCAGCTAGGGACTGGGTCGCTAGGCTCAATGCGAACACCATACCGCGTGACATTGCTGAGATTTCTTTCAGTCGCTCTAGTGGCCCGGGGGGTCAGAACGTCAACAAGTAAGCTGCTGTCCAGTTTCCCGCACCGAGCCGATCCATCCCGGTGATTGGCGTGACTAACAGCTATCTGTCAATCCTCCCTGCACAGAGTCAATTCGAAAGCCACATTACGAATCCCCCTCCATTCGCTGCTGCCGCTGGTCCCTCGATTCCTACATCCTGCCCTGCTGGCGACTCGCTACGTCGCTGCCCGAACCCAGAGTCTGGTCATCCAGTCGGACGAGTCGCGGAAACAGACCGCCAACGTGGAGTCCTGCTACGATAAGCTCCACCAGCTCCTCAGGAGCGTGGCGGAGGACAATATACCCGGGGAGACGTCGCAGGAGCAGCGAGACCATGTGCGAAAACTGTAAGCGTCCGTTTCTTATAGGCAGGCGGAGCCCCCTTGGCTAATCCTGTACAGACAAAAGGCTGCGAATGAATCGCGAATCAAGTCGAAGAAAATGCACAGCAGCAAAAAGAGCAACAGACGGGGTAGTTATGACGACTAATACACATGCTAACTTTTCATCATCCAATAACCAAAGCGAACTTCCCTCATTCATTGCCCATGAAGCCTGCGACGGAACTATCCGGTAAACGCCGATGAATGACTGAAAACGATATGTAAGCTCTACGCTCCCTGAACAACTTGCTCCGCGTTGCGAATGGTGGCCGCGATGGCCTTCTGGAGGGAGGGATCCAGGCCCTCGGTCTTCTCGAGCGGCTGTAACCAGCTGATGATCCCCCTGGCCACATCGGGGTTGTTCCGGTACTCCTTGAGGCGGCCGAATGCCGCGCCGAATGCACGGGGGAAGTCGGGTGAGGTGACCGAGATACCTGCGGCGGGGAATTTGATGTAGCATATTTGCGTACGAGGACTGTTTGGCTTGGACTGCACCATTGCGTCCACGACGTGTCCGAGGACTTTGCGCAGACAGGGTAGGTCGTCAAACTGGACAGCCATGTCATAAAAGTCATGGCCGAAACTGTCATCGTTGTCGAAGTTTTTCATTGCCGTATCAAAGATGGCGAGGGGAATGGCACCGCTCAGAGCAGGGGTCGAAGCGAGATTCTGGAGGGCCACTTCGTCCACGTCGCCTTCTTCCCCGGCGCTGGGGTTGATGTCTTCCCCGGTGATTTTTGGCATAGCGATCATATCGGCATCTAGATCATCATCATCCTCCACGGGCTTGGGAGCCTCGGTAGGCTGGTCGAGTCCCAATATCCGCTGTCGTGCCACGAGCTTGGCGATGTAGATCAATTCCAACTTGGCATAGTGAAGCCACAGCTTCTTGGAGCCCTTGCAAAACCTCAGCCCGCGCTGCATGTACGCCCGGGACTGTGTCATGTCGGCATGTTCATCCACGGAGTACTGCGCCGCATAGAGCCACAGGTCGACGTTGGCGGGATGTAGTCGCACGGCGTCCGTGAGAATGGACGAGACCTTCTTGTAGGCCTTCTGTTGCCTGGCGTATTCGAGGAACTGGACCCACAAGCCTATGTCGCCGTGGAATTTGCGAGTCGCCCGATCCAGGATGAAGAAAATTCTCCTCTGCCCCGTATATCCCGCCGTGCGAATGCCCAGCCGCTTCACCCTCTTGCGGCGCAAGGTGTCCAGGTTCATCTCGTATTGCGCATATCGAACAAAGTCGGAGGGCTGAGCACCCCGCGCGTTCAGCTTGTGCTCGAAATCGGACCGTTTCTTTATGATCGATGTGATTTCTTCCTGTGACAGACGGGGGGGGGGATTGGGTCAGTGATCCGAGCGGCATGGCAGTGAGTGGATTGTCAGTGGGATGTTGGCAGATTTACCTTGGAAAAGATCTTCTTGCGCTCATACTCCTTGAGCTCGGGCACCGACTTCTCCAGGAAGAAGCGCGCCTTGTCGGTGGCGGCGGACATGATGGGCTATGGGCTTGCTTGTCTTGCGGGTTGGGGTGTTCCTGTTCCAGACGGCCAGGCAAAAAAAGTTGTCGGCATCCCGCACGAGACCCCCGACAAATCCACTGGGGCAGGGCCCGACCGCCCGCCTCTTCTGGTTAGAACAGCTGGCGCGCCCGCGTGTTGCCGAGTGTCCGCCTCCGTCGGTCATCCCATCTCTCTCCCTCCCTCCTCTCCCTCCTCAGGGGAATCTTGAGTTTCTCGTGGTTGTCGTTCCATTGAATGCCCCGCTCTCTCCCTTTCCTTTTCCTTCTTTCCGTTTCATAGCCGCTCGTTTGCACCCCCTATCTTGTTCAGTTTTATCTTATTCTTTTAATTGGCCGGAGTCCGAGCTCGGTGTCTCCTCCCCCCCCCCGTGCTGCCCATGGCTCCCAGATATAAAGATGGGGATGCCGTCGTGGCGGTGGGTGTCTCTGTCGACCGACTTCAATCCCCCAAGCTAATGGAATCTGTGGCAGGTGAATGGAAAATGGATCGCCTGGACGCATACCGTCGTCGCCTACACGGCCTTCTTCAGTGCCCTCGTGGTGGGCATGTCCTTGCACTTCCGCAAGATTGTCCAGAACGAACACTACGGCTACCCCGACGAATGGTTTCCTTCGGTATCGGCCACCATCGGCGATCGCTATCCTGAACGCTCTTTCTTCCAAGTCTTCATTGCTATCACCTCGGGTCCTCGATTCGCCCTGGTCTTCCTGTGGTACCTTCTGACTTCCCGCCCCAATTCCGCCCTCCCAAAGCTGGTGGCTGGCGTGGGCTTGTTTCGGACTTTCACATGCGGCGGCTGGACTTATGTTACCTCGACTGATGACCACGACTGGCACGATATCTTCATGATCTCATACCTGGTGGCAACGCTGCCCTGGACTCTGGGCTGCCTCGCTCTCAGCCCGAACAACCGCCGCGCTGTCAAGTACCGCAAGGTCTTGGCGAGCCTCTTCTTCGGCACTCTGGTCCCTTTGATCTACTACTTCATCCAGCACAAGGTGCACAAGGTGCCTGGGGGTAAGCACGGTCATCGACTGCCTGTGAGAGGTTACTGACGCCCACCAGCTTACACCAAATACGCCTTCTTCGAGTGGTCACTCATCCTGTTCGACGTGGGATTCGACGCAGTCACTGCGCTCGACTTCGACGCGTTTGAGATTGTTGTGAGGGATGTCAAGGGGGTCAGCAGAGGGTATGTACAGTGGCTTCCGAAGTAAACCAGAGCGAGAGAAAATGTACAGTTGCCAAGATTGGTTGTTGGTATTTGAGAGACGTGATCTAAGATCGCATACTTCCAGGCAGTTGAAGACCACTGCGGACTCCGTCCTTGAAATAGAGTGTGTACAATCTGTTCTCCAGAATAATCCGATCATGGCAGTTAACCCGTAGTCAGGAAGGGCAAGCCTGTTGGGAACACGTTTGGCGAAGGTTTCTTCTGGACCGAAATCATTGATGCCGCCGCAGATGTCTACAATGGGGTACGCTTCAACCGAGCCATCTCTGCAGTGTCATTGCTGACGTGTTGTAGTTTGTCTTTTGGACGATGATGACTGCCCTTCCTGTTCTGGTTTGGTGTAAGTGATGCTTTGCTAACCCCGGGGCCACACATCTAATTGCTGTAGATTTCCCTCTCTGGCACATGGGTATCTCCGGATATGAAGCCGCCATTGTCTGCTACCTTTCCCCCCTACTGCTCGGTATCCCAGCTCTGAAGTCTGCGGCTATCAAAACCCCCCGACTCTTCCACCTACTCTCGTTGTCCGGACTCCTGGCATACAAAGTCCAGGACCCGGCCAACCGGCTCTTTGTGACCTCCTTCGGCGTTATCTGCAGTTGCTTGACATGGGCTGCTACCTTGTATGCGGAGAGGGCGAACACCACCAGGCTGGAGTCCCGGATCCTCTCATGGAGCATTGGGTTGATCATGTCGACCGTTGCCAAGTATGCATGCACGACCAACAACCCTCTGTGGCCCATTATGCACTCCGAGAATGGTGGATGGAACAAAATCGGAATTCTTTTCGCTGTCCTGGCTGTCCTTCGGTCCTACCGGAGACCTACCACGAGCGGAGGAGATCATTTGCCGTCGAGCGGCAAGAAAGGCTCTTGGCTCTTGGCCGGTCTGGGCCTTGGAGGCTTGTGGTTTGCCATGCACTACCTTCTGTCAGACTCTAGCACGATGATCTCGTGGGTCTGGGATGGATACCCTGTGCGGGGCCCTATTGCAGTTCCTCATGGCAGCCTCATCATCTTTGCCATGGGCGCTGGCCTCGTGTCCGGTCTCTTCTATCCTTCCGTGGCTGGAAGTTGGACGGCGTTTGGAATTGGCTCCTTGGGTGCGACCTTCCTTACCTGCTACGAACACTGGACTGGCTTCTATGGTGCGCTTGTACTTGCGTTCTACCTTCTGGCTGTGACTCCCGTCCTGGTTTCCTCGGCTGTCAGACACTCTCCGGCAGCTACTTTCGGAATCGCCTCCCTCCTGTACATCTTCCTGATTTTGTTCCACGTTTGGGTCGTTGCCTACGCTTTCGTTCCCGGTGGATACCTTGTCAGGGAGCACACAGATTGGGTCATGATTACCATCATGCTGTCCATCGGTGCCGGTGTCTTTTCGGCCGGAGTGTCCAACGTTTCCAACCCGAAGAGCAAGGCCATCATCAGCCCTAACAGCCGGAGACAGCGGTCATACTTTGTTTACGTTCTCGTGATCTTGCAACTGCTGTCGGTCGCTATCTCATACCTCCGCTTCCCCACCAATGACTATACCCCTTACCACAAGGAAGACAAGGTTGCCACCATGGGTATCTGGACGGTGCATTTCGGCCTCGACAATGATATGTGGGCCTCTGAGCGACGCATGCGGGATGTGATCCAGGAGCTGGAGCTGGACGTGATTGGCCTGCTGGAATCCGATAACCAGCGCATCATCATGGGCAACCGTGATATCACCCAGTTTGTGGCGGAGGATCTGGGCATGTATGCCGACTTTGGACCCGGTCCCGACAAGCACACGTGGGGATCCGCCCTGCTTTCCAAGTTCCCGATCGTCAACTCGACCCACCACCTGCTTCCTTCCCCCGTCGGTGAGCTTGCGCCTGCCATCCACGCTACTCTGGACATGTATGGAGAGCTGGTTGATGTTGTCGTCTTTCATTCGGGACAGGAGGAAGACCCAGAGGACCGCCGCCTGCAAACGGAGTACCTGTCCAACCTGATGGGCTCTACACTTCGCCCGACGGTGTTGCTGAGTTACCTGGTCACGAAGCCGCTGGAGGGCAACTACAACACGTACGTGAGCGACATCAGTGGCATGAAGGATATCGACCCCACGGACTGGGACCGTTGGTGCGAATACATTCTTTTCAAGAAGTTGAAGAGAACAGGCTACGCCCGAGTCAGTCGTGACTCGATCACCGACACTGAAATTCAGGTATGCCCCTTGGCCAAGATTTTTTTTTTTTTTTTTTTTTTGGGTCGTGCAGCTAACCAGCCACAGGTCGGTAAATTTGTGATTGGTGAGCCGGAGCCGGAGAATGAAATGCGCATCCCGGAGGAAATGGTGCCTCCAGGGCTCCAATTCCCCAGCCTGTTCCGCGGCCAGGGTGTTCGTGGTCACCGGTACCATGTCTTTGATGAACCCAGATACTGGCAGTGAGTAGTTGCTCGTATCTACGGGGGTATGCGATTCCCGATATCTCTCAGCAACCCCGAATGTCTCCCTATACTGTTCTTGAGTATAGTTCAGATTCCGAAACATACCAGCATTGCGTGGCCGACCGCCCGCGATGGTTGATATGATCTTATACCGTGAATTTAATCGTACATATTCTCACCCCTTCCTGACTGCTGGTTGGGTTGATCATGAGCTCTACCCCGGTTGGGGATCCCAGTTGGATGGGCCTGGGGCAGGGCGTGCAGTAGTTTCTACGTACATTCTGTAGCGCAGTGTGGTGACTGGTGAGGGCCGAGGAGAAGCTGAGCGGCTCTCGAAAATAAGTAAGCTAGTCTAGTGTGGACTGTGGAATGTGAACAGCACCGAACAATCTGACAAGGTGAGACGAAGATCGAGGTGCCCTGGTTGGTTGGCAAGCTAATCCGGGGCAGAGATCGGCGACGTCCTTTCTCTTTCTGCTTCTGCTTCTGCCTCTGCTTTTGCTTTGGTCCCCCACCAGCGCTGAACAACACTCGGCGACCAGGATGAGTGAATCCCTTCCTTCGATCCAGCGTGACCTGACCGGTGAGGAGAAGCTAAACCCGCCGTGCAGCCAGGTCGCATTCCAACAGCAACAGCGACGAGGGGTCGACCATGGACGTCCTTCCTACACTCTCAGGGTACCCCCCCCCCCCCCCCCCCCAGCCCCGGCCACCCGGTATCGCAAGCACGAGGAATCCCCCGAGGAATGCGCTCTCACTTTCTTTGTTGATCGTCGCCCCGGCCTTGGACTCTGCCCAGGCAGCCATGACCGGAAAGAAGGAATTTCGTTCGATCATCTTCTAGGGCGGAAATGTCATGGGAGACGAAGGATCGCGGGATAATCATGGAATTGGACACTCGACCTGGAAGGATGCTTCCATATCACTAGGTTGTACCCTCGTGTTTCCCCGCCACGGATGTCGGTACTCTACCTAGACTGTGGGACGCGTAATCGAGGCCGTTTGGTTCTGTCACTTGGTGTTTGCGCGCGTGAAGCTTACGGTTGGGTTTGTTTGCTGTGCTGCTCGTACTTGGACTGGGGTTGAAAGATCTTGGGGTTGGGGCAAGTCGGGCAAACCTACTTGCTTTGTGTCACAGGTGAAGCTGACCATAGAATCCGTTCCTGCTTAGCGCTGGGGGTTGTTGTCGTGGGTGCACAAAGAGCGCATTAACAAAGAGACCCGGCGTGCGGCAGTGCGTCTATTCAATCCCCAACCCTGGATGCTCTCGTTCTTTCTTTGAAAACGGTCCAAGAGCTGCTGTGGCCACCGAGCTCGCCTACAACTCGGATCAAACGAACTTCAGAGACGTTCCAACTCTTCCCGCCCACCGAGGTACCTTTCTCCTGATGTGCGCATGTGCCATAAAGCTGATTCTTCGGAAAGTCGATTTGTTCTGCGGTGTAAGGTGCTCTCGACGACAGCGGCGCTCAGCTTCTAGCTTGCCTCAAGAACATACCCTTCATGGGACGAGAAGCATCTTCGTACGTGTCTATTGCTCCCCGCATTTGACACACGCGAAGCTGACAATCGACAGCCATTTCTCATACACCCCGTCTCAGTCGACAATGCCCAGTACACCCGCAAAACGGCCTCGGCGTAAGCCCGAGGAGCCCGAGGCTAAACATGTGGAGGTGGCCGACAAAGGCCCAGCTCCCCTGGATTTGACAGATGATGAGGCGGATCAACGTCTATACAATAGGTTGCTCAACCTAGGCGAGAGTGCTCCCACTCCACGGTGGTTGATCGAGGCTCCGGGGGATGCAGACCCTCCGCGCCAACTTCGTTGGAAGTTTGACCCAGGAGACAACAGCCGAAACCCGCAGGAAAGCGATGACTTCTACAGGGAGAATTACGAACATCTCCGAATCCATCTTCATGACATGTTTTTCAGAGACAGATTGATTGATTATATCAAGGGCAACAAAGATCTGATGCGAGTCGTGGGGAATGCCGAGAACTCGATCCCACTCCTCAATACCACGCCCCGACCAGCGGGGATCAAGAACCGGCCGGTGCGGCACCCCATGCTATATAAACCCAACCCAGCGCTCCTGCCACCTGCTGGACTCACTCCAAACGCATTCACGTACGAGGGCTTCAACCGCCCTAGGCCAATCTCGCGTGCGATTGAACGGGAAGAGGAGGACGCCTCGGATGAGGGACACAAAGGCCCTCTCCACAGACGAGTCCAGAAAAAGTTTAGAAGGCTTATACCACAGAGAGCTGGGGGCGGTGCAACCAAGGGTGAGTGTAAATGTGTCTGGTTTACAGTCATCCTCCTTGTGCTGAGCACGTTTCTTTGCCTGTTTCTGTACGCGTTCAGGATTATCACATGATGTAAGGAATTAGTTTATCTATGGGTGGGATTGGATTCCGAACCGGAAATCTGCTGTGTGATAAGCCTGCTTTCTTCTTTCTATCCTCTGGATATCGAGGTTAACGGAAGAGGAGGGTTCTGCTGGCATTCCTGAGCACCCCCTTGCCTACCACATTTTTTTACCTTTTTCCGATGGGCTAACTGAAACCCTTGCCATGTGCTTAGATGACGACGGTGGAGACGGTAAGCGTGATCTCTTGCCTGCCATTGTGTGGTATCGGATTCGGCTTGCTAACCCGTGATGCGCTGCAGATGATGATGACGGCCAGGGGGGCGCCGGTGGTGCTATAGTCCAACATGGTGCCCGTCAAAGCAGGCCTGCTAGGGCAGGCCAACAAGGTGCGGGTGCAACCGCAACTGGCCAACAAGGCGGCGACGACGGTGACGACGACGGTGACACCCGAAACACCAAGAAAGCACGAGTTGGCGGTGATGGTGGCGGCGATGATGATGGCGGTGGTGATGGCGGTGGTGATGGTGACGACGACGACAACAACAACAACGGTCCCCCGTATAACAAATCACCCCAGAGACAACCGGGAAGCCCCGATCCCCAAACAGAGGAACAATACGCATACGAGTCAGATTCCACCACCGATACAGACGGAGGATATGGACCAACGGCCACGAAAGAGGCCATCGATCGGATGAAAAAAGCCCGAAAAGACCATTTTCCAACTTCCGTGAAACGACGAGTGCGAAGCTTTGCCGGGTATCAAAATGATGAAGATAGTGCGCTAGGGCCAATAGCTACCAGAACGATGCAAATCGATCCTAGGCACGCAAATTTGAAATCTATATCGTTCTATATGGTACCGCAGCAGCACCTTCCCAACCTGCCTCCGTTCCCTCCGCCGAGGCCTGCTGCTCAGCCTGCTGCCCAGCCTGTCCCGCAGCCACAGCAAGCGCCCAAGAAGGCGACAAAGAGGACGGCTCGGTCGAGGGGGACACCGAAGAACGCGGCGCCGGCGGCTGCACCGTCGAGGATTCGGACGCGTGCGGTGGCTCGCGCTGAGGCGGCAGCGGCAGCGACAGCGGCAGGAGGAGGAGCTGGAGGAGGCGCTGGGGTTTGAGAAGCTGGAGACTAGAATCAGATGAAGCCTAGTGTGTTTAAAGCTATGTTTATGATTGTTGTATTCTGTATAGCTGTATAGTAGATCCGTCGTAGGCGATTGATTACCTAATCTCGAGATAAAGCAAACCAGACAAACGGGCGGCGATTGACGGGCGAAGAAGAGAAGCGGATCAACTCAACAACTCCACCCACTGCTCTCTCCACAATCCCACCAGGGAAGGATGCTCTAGTTCAGAACCGTCTTCCGAACCAGTCTTACCCTCCATCTCGCCCGTATCGATGACCTGAGGGCGTTTCGCCGAGTCTCCGCGACAGCCTCACCTGCAGCTCCTGGTTCGCGGCGCAATGTTCACCTTCACTCCTATCCTGGGCGCCCAGTCCGGGTCCTCGAAGGCCTCGCAGTCGATCCTGGAGCTTGACGGGGGAATCAAGATTCTCGTGGACGTCGGCTGGGACGATTCCTTTGACCCTCTCGATCTGCAGGAACTGGAAAGGTGAGCGACCGCGGCATCACCAGCCTCCCCCCCCCCCGGAGACAATCCTCCAGCTAATGCTCTGCTCTGCTCTGCTCTAGACACGTCCCTACCCTCTCATTAATCCTCCTCACCCACGCTACCCCCGCGCACATCGGTGCCTATGCGCATTGCTGCAAGACCTTCCCCCTCTTCACCCAGATCCCCGTCTACGCCACAAGCCCCGTCATCGCGCTCGGCCGCACCCTGCTCCAGGACTTATACGCCTCCGCCCCGCTGGCCGCGACCTTTCTCCCCAAGGCCTCGATCACCGAACCAGGCACATCACCCACACCCGCCACGGAGGCCGATGAGAGCGCCGCCGAGTCCTCACACGCCGGACGGATCCTGCTTCAACCCCCCTCGACCGAAGAAATCGCCCGGTTCTTCTCCCTCATCCACCCGCTGAAATACTCCCAACCGCACCAGCCGCTCTCATCGCCCTTCTCCCCGCCACTGAACGGACTGACCCTGACTGCCTACAATGCCGGACACACGGTCGGAGGTACGATCTGGCACATCCAGCATGGCATGGAGTCGATCGTCTACGCGGTGGACTGGAATCAAGCCCGCGAGGGCGTGATGGCGGGCGCGGCGTGGTTTGGAGGGTCTGGGGCCAGTGGAACGGAGGTTATTGAGCAGCTGCGCAAGCCTACTGCGCTGGTCTGCAGCACCCGGGGAGGCGATCGGTTCGCGCTGACGGGAGGAAGGAAGAAGCGGGATGATTTGCTGCTGGACATGATCCGGAGTACCATCGCCAAGGGCGGCACGGTGCTGATCCCTACAGATACCAGCTCTCGCGTGCTGGAGCTGGCTTACGCGTTGGAACATGCCTGGCGCGATGTGGCGGCCAACAGCCAAAGCGAGGATGCGCTGAAAGGCGCAGGGCTCTATCTGGCCGGTCGGAAAGCCAACACGACCATGCGGCTGGCGAGGAGTATGCTGGAATGGATGGACGAGAGCATTGTGCGGGAGTTTGAGGCGTCCGAGGGTGTTGATGCCACGGCCCAGACCAAAGCGGAGGGACAGAGGTCCGGAGGGCAGAACCAGGGCAAGGCCGAGGGCAAGGGCATCGCGCCGTTTACGTTCAAACATCTCAAGATCGTGGAGCGGAAGAAGAGACTAGAGAAGGTCCTGACCGACCAGACACCCAAGGTCATCCTGGCCTCCGATACGTCGCTGGATTGGGGATTCGCCAAGGACTCGCTACGCCTGGTGGCCGAGGGCGCCAACAACCTACTGCTTCTGACGGAGCCGCTGCACAAAGAGAGGCTCTCGACGGACCAGGAGGACACCTCCCGGAAGACGCTGGGGGGCATGATCTGGCAGTGGTACGAGCAACGCCAGGACGGGGTTGCGCTGGAAAAGGCCTCGGATGGCGAAATGCTGGAGCAGGTGCACAGCGGCGGCCGCGAGCTCTCCTGGACCGACGTGCGCCGCGCGCCCCTGGACCCGGCAGAGCAGCGGCTCTACCAGCAGTATCTGGCCACGAAACGCGAGCTCCAGGATGCCTCTCAGCCGAGAGGGCAGGAACCGCTGGACACGGCGGCAGACGCGCTGGATGACCGGTCCAGCTCAACATCCGAAGACTCGGAGACGGAGCAACAGGGCCGCGTGCTCAACTTCTCGACCTCCCTAGCCCACGCCAACCGCAACAAGCTCGGCCTGAGCGACGAAGACCTAGGCGTCAACATCCTCCTGCGGCGGAAAAACGTCTACGACTACGATGTCCGCGGCAAGAAAGGCCGCGAGCGCATGTTCCCGTATGTGGCGCCGCGCAAGAAGGGCGACGAGTATGGCGAGTTCATCCGCCCGGAGGAGTACCTCCGCGCCGAGGAGCGCGAGGAGGCGGACATGCAGCAGCGGCGGACGGACTCGCAGACCAAGCTGGGGCAGAAACGACGATGGGACGAATCGGGGCCGAACGGCCGCCGGCTGTCGAGCAGTGGCGGCAAACGCCATGCGTTTGGCGACAAGAAGGACGCCAGCACGGCCGACGAGGTGAGTCTCGCGGAAGACGGCGAGGGCGCGGACGCGGCGGTGTCCTCGGAGGACGAGATCGACGGACAGAGCTTCGAGGGGCCGGCGAAGGCCGTGTACGAGAAGGCGACGCTGACGATCAACGCGCGCCTGGCATTCGTGGACTTCACGGGGCTGCACGACAAGCGCAGTCTGGAGATGCTCATCCCACTGATCCAGCCTCGCAAGCTGATCCTGGTGGGAGGGATGCAGCAGGAAACGACGGCGCTGGCGACGGAGTGTCGGAAGCTGCTGGCGGCCAAGTCCGGCATGGAGGTGTCGACGGGGGATTCGGCGGTCATCTTCACCCCGGTCAATGGCGAGCTGGTCGACGCCAGCGTCGACACCAACGCGTGGATGGTCAAGCTGAGCAACCAGCTGGTGCGCCGGCTGAAGTGGCAGCATGTGCGCAGCCTGGGTGTGGTCACCCTGACGGCGCAGCTGCGGGGGCCGGAACCGGCCATGCTGGAGGAATCCGCGACAGACGGGCCCAGCAAGAAGCCGAAGCTGGACGAGGCCGACGAGGATACGGCTGCAGCTGCGGACGCCGCAGAGCCGGACTCAGGGGCCAAACCCAAGGCCAAACCCAAAGCGACGGGCGAGAAGGCCGACAGCTACCCCTTGCTGGACGTGCTGGCGGCCAACATGGCGGCGGGAACGCGGTCGATGACCCGGCCGCTGCACGTGGGCGACCTCCGGCTGGCGGACCTGCGCAAGATCATGCAGGGGGCCGGACACACGGCGGAATTCAGGGGCGAGGGGACGCTCCTGATCGATGGGATGGTGGCCGTGCGGAAGTCGGCGACGGGGCGCATCGAGATCGAGGCGACGGCGCAGTCGACGAATGCGAGTCGGGGGGGAAGCTTTTTGGCTGTGAAGCGGAAGATATACGAGGGGTTGGCGGTGGTATCGGGGAGTTAAGACTTCGCAGGTTGTTTTGTATCCCCGAGTTCATTGTGTACTATGCAGGACTGCCCGTATCATCTTGTTTGCCAGTACATGTCAGTAAATAAAACATTGTCCTTGGGATAAGGAGAAACATCCTTCCCTCTTCCACTCCACCAACATCCTACCCTGCTGTGACACTTCTTGATACCATTCCTGAATGCTGAGATGCTGAGATGCTGAGATCCTCCAGCCCCGAACCCAACCCAGCCCCCGCCCGATCGGACGAACTGCTGCTTGTCCTGCTGCCTGCCTGCCTGCTTGCTTGCTTGCTTGCTTGCGGCATTCCGCGTTCCGCTTACCATGTCATGTGAATGTACGGAGTATCTAGTTACCTACCTTACTTCCCATTCCCATTCCAATCACCCCCCCCCCCCCCGAGTGAAGTCAGACTCGTCGGAAACTAATATAGTCTTGGTGGTGGAGGATCCGTCACACGATAGTCGCACAGCGGTAACTCAGCCATCCCGACAACCCGGGTGAGGTCACACGATAGTATGTAGGGATGGGATGAATCAGATATCGATAGTCGATGGGACAGGACACAGGTAGGAGGGAGTCTAGATGAAGAAGACTAAGTACCTAGTTAGGTACTACTACTTACTTGCCTTGCCGTATTCCATACGGAGTACTCCGTAGGGGGGAACTATTCGTCTCAGAAGACGATAGTGGCGGGTGTGGCAGTTACTTACGTACGTAGGTAGCGTAGGTAGGTACTACTTACTAAGGGGGAGGGTATTTTTATCTATCTACACCCTCATAAATATTATTTTTATCATCATGATTCCATTTCTTGTAGGGTGAAGTCGAGTCAAATGGTAGGATGTACAGTACAGTACGGTACCCCTAGTTATTTATAACTTAGCCTGTGTATCGAAGTAAGATCGAAAGTAAGTAGAATGGTCGACCGATCTGACAGCCGACTAGCCATCCTAGTCAGGCACAATCCCAAGATGTGTTGGCGCTAGGGGAGGTGTGGTGCTGTTCATTTTATTATTAATTTATTAACTATTGACTCGGACTGATTATGCACGGTGCACTGTTTTATTTTACAGAGTACGGAGTACGGAGTACGGAGTAGTTTGTAGAAATATGAAGGACTGTGGAAATACTCTGGATACTGTACAGTGTAGGTAGGGTAAGGCTGGAGATTAGGTGGGATGTAGACACATTAGGAAGCCAGCCAGCCAGGGAGGAAGTCCAACACACACACACACACACACACACACACACACACACACACAATATAATGTGTACGGACTACAGACTATGGCGTACTACTGTGTGAGATCCAGCCCCAAGGAATACTCTCCCTGCTGGTTTACTACCTACCCGTCCAGGCAGGTACACAACAGACAGCAGACAGACTGATGAATAAGGCAACGATAGACAGGGTTCAATCCAGTAGTTAGTAATTCAGACTCACTTTTGGTCTCGGATATGTCGGGTCGGGTCTGTCAGTGTCAGTCAGTCAGCGGACTGGACTGTATTCTACAGTCCAGTCCAGTCCACTCCACTCCAACCCCTCATCTCAACCCAACCTTTGGTTCAGACAATCAGACCCCCCACCCACGCTGAATATTAATGACTACTGAACACTGAAGAAAGACAGTCCAAGCCAGAAGAGGGGGAAAGACAACCTGAAACACTCCCCAAACACACCCACCCAGCCTCCTAACCACGTCAGACAGACGAAATCCCCTCGCTCCCTCCCCACCCACCAGACTAAAGCACGTCACCGTCGTCAGCCCAAAGGATGGGAACCTCCAATCCTCCGATCTGAATGGACAATGTACTCATTTCAGCCAATCACGGTTCAGAGAAAGGATAAGGTTGGAGACGGGCTGGCCAATCAAACGTCAATAAGTATCAGTGGAGAGATGTCTTTCTTCCTTCCTTTCATTCTTTTTTTTTTTTTTTCCGTCCATTTTTATTTTTCGCAGCAGGTCATTGGATAACGAAATGTATCCACTAGGGCGTGGTACTTCCATTAGTCTCTCTGAGAGTCGACGGATGGATGGATGGATGATTCACTCATTGGTAACTACCAAGTGGTAGATAACTGGGTTTTCCTTCTGCCCTTTGACTTTTGGCTTGGGCTTGGCTTTGACATTTGACTTTTGGCTTACCCATTGTTCGGGCCCTTCGGGGCGAGCGGGCGGGTATGTTACGTGGGCGCCGGGTACGCCACATCCTTTTACCCATTCCCCCAATCCATTCTTTCTCCGTTCTTTCTTTCTTCCTTCCTGTCTGCCTGCTGTCTTCTTTTCTTTTTGCCTTTTGGCCTTTATTTTTGACATTTTTATTTTTTGTTTCCTCTTCCTTTTTTTTTCCCCTTTGGGATGGATTAGATGGTTTGGACCGTGGAATAATTCGTAATCGTCAGGATGAATGGAAATTGCGACGGAGGTACTTGATTTATCTACCTATTTACCTACTATCTACCTAGGTACGAAGTACTTTGTACAGAGTATAGAGGACTGTCACAAGGAAAGGATGGACCTTGTTTGTTCTTGTCTGTTGTATAGTACTATACTCCAATAGGTGCAGAATAAGGGCCGAAACCAGCCCGCCCCAGTCTGGACAGTCTGGATTGCTCATCACTCGGTCATCGTTCATTCATTATTATTATCCACCTGCCTACTCCGTACAAAGTACCTCAGTAAGTACATACAAACATAATTCATCAAAGACATGTCCACAGTCCACAGTCCACAGTCCACAGTCCGTCCACCACTCCGCTCCGCTCCAGAACCTGAGATGGTGAGATCATCTTTGACCGAATTTTTAATCCAGCCATATTTCTCCTCTTTCATCTACTATCTATTATCCACGGGACCAGTCCATCCTCCCTCTTTCCTGTCCGGCATAAAAAGTAGACAGGTAAAAAAAAAAAAGGCATCTAAATTCCAAGCCAGTAAGTAACAGAAAGTCTAGATTCACCACAGTCGGTGAACCAAACTCTCTCTCTTTCTCTTTCTCTCTTTCTCTCTCTTCCCCACCGGGCCACTGGGCCACTGGGCCACCACAGTGGATAGATAGTGGATACACAAGTGGACACTAGACAGCCCACGGCCTAGCCGGATCGATCACCGCCCATCAGTGATCAGGTCGTCCGGGATTGGCTTAGACTGGGAGTGAGTGGATCCGAAAGATCCACTGTGGCTGCGGCACACCGGACACGATGGAATGGACTGGAAGTGATGACTGACTGGCTGGCTGGCTGGCTGGCTGATTTTGGACTTGAGTGAGTGAGTGGTGACGGACATGTGGGTGGGTGGGTGAGTATCTTTCCTCTGTGTCTGTGTGTGTGTGTGTGGCTGCCTGCTGCCTGTGCCTGCTGTCTGTGTCTGTGTCTGCTGTCAGTCGGTCGGTCAGTCTAGTGTGACGAGTACCTGCATAGTACCTGCATTTTTATTTTGTTGGAAGGATTTTTGGAAGGATTTGGGGATGACTTGTCAGAACTTACTTATCGTAGGATTTATTTTTTTGGGCTTTATGTCCATGTGTCTGTGTGTGTGTGTTTGTGTGTGTGTTGGATATTAAATCTGAGATAGGGATGATGAGGATTGGGGCTGGAAGTGAGATTAGGATTAGGACTAGGGTGGTGGTGGTGATGGTGATGATGATGATGAGTGTTGGTTGGTTGATGCCTAATTACTATTGGTAGAAGTAAGTAGTAGCGGTAGCCCTATCTTCAAAATAGCCAGTCAGTATAGCGGAATCAGTTGGTATGTATGTATGTATGCGTGTATACAGTTGGCCCAGCAGAAGGAAGAGAAGGAAGAGAAGGAAGAGAAGGAAGAGTAGTAGTGAAAAAAATCAAGTCTATAGTCTATCCATAATTCGTAGTGATGTGATGTGATGTCAAATCACGGTAGATACATAACAGCATAGCACAGCGACGCGTAGTTTTTTGTTCTTCTCGCACACTCAAAAGATATAAACCAATCAAATCAGAATCGAAGAGAATGTGAAAAGGTTCTTCTAAGACAAGAAAACCAATCTTGAAAAAAAAAAAAAAAAAAAAAAAAAAAAAAAACCCCGTCCAGGAGTTTTCTTTTCTTTTCTTTTTTTTTATCATCATCAACAATCAGATCAGATCAGATCTCCAAAACCAAGAAAAAAAAAAAGCAGCAACAGATAAAACCTCGAAGAAAAAGGTTGTGGGTGGGTGGTATAATCTCCAAACAAGCTTCTTATAAACCGGACTTGGTCAGCGACACAGCGCGCCCAGGTCTCTTCTCCCTATTCACAGGATTTGAGAAAGAAAGAAAGAAAAAAGCACAGAAAAAAAGAGGGAAGAAAGTAGAACGCAGGAGAGATGAGGGTGTGTGGTTGGTTGGCAATTGCGTCAGTCAAGTTAATCAATCAATCAATCAGAAAGTTTGAATTGAATGATGATGATGATGATGATGATGATGACATTTTTACACCCCCAGAGTCAGAGTGAACTGGGTATCAATGGGACAGCCATGGGTGGCCTCGTTGTCATCGGGCTTGTTGTAAGCCTCGGCGCAAGAGGTATCACCAGCGGCGCAAGTGACGGAGGGGCAGTCGTCGTTGGTCTCGGAGGGCTCGACGCTGAAGCCGTACTTGCTGAAGGCGGAGTCGCTGCCCAGGTTGATGCAGGACATGTCCCAGAAGATGGTGTCGCCGGACTCGGTGTACTCGAACTGGAGCACATCGGACTGGGTCTCGGTGGTGGAGAGCTTGATGGAGATGCCGCCGCCGTTGCTGTTGCTTTGCCAGGATTCTTGGTAGCTACCACCGCCCGCAGAAAGGGTATGCATGTTGCTGACTCTATCAGAAACAGACCACGCGTAGACGGTAGTAGAATCCATGTTGTTGACGATGTTGACGCCGCCACCGGACGAGGTGGAGTTGCGCGCCGCCAGGAAGCTGTGCGGGAGGGCCGTGGCGGCGGTGGCCAGAGCGGCAGTGAGGAGGGTCTTGAAGAACATCTTGATGATGATGATAGTGATTGATTGAAAAGAGAGAGAAGGGACTCTGTGTTATGTTCTGAATATGTAACTTTTTTTTTTGTGTGAAGGGAGTGATAGTCAAAGATAGACTAAAGACTGTATGAGGATGAAAGTCCAAAAAGAAAGAGGACTTTTTTTTGATTTGAGAGAGAGTGAGTCTGATCGACAGACAAACAGCACGCAACAGTCAAAAGAGAATGACAAGTCAGACAAAGCTGATCAAGAGAGTGTTGGATGATGCGAGGATGCAAGACTTATCCCCAGCCGGTGTGACCCGCCTTTATATAGGTTTCAGAGGGGGGGGGGGGGGATGGGGGGAGGCGGAGGCGGAGGGGAACAGAGCCACCGAACGGAACCAGCCCTCAAGAGTCGCCCTCACTCTTGTCAATTGCTCTCGGCCCCTCCAAGCGGCAAGGCATCCAACCGTCGGCGATGTGATCGGCTAGTTCCTGGACTTGTTCCTGGCCGTTCCAGGCTTCAGCAAATGGCGGCCAGCGAGGCGCAGGGGTAAAAACTCTGACGCCGGGCGAGAAGAGGTCATGGTCCACATGGCGACTGACGTGGATTGGGCGGTCCCTGAGTCTGGCTGATGGTTGACGATGTGGTTTGGCCACGAGTGACCCAGTCGAACCCTACTTTTCCTTCAATTGGGTTATGGAAGTATCCCTCCGCAAGTCCACTTTAAACTGCTGTTACTAACCATGACGACGGAGTGGAAGGCGAACTGCCTGCTGACAGCACCTGCAGTCGGGTCGTGTCCGAATAATCGTCGTGCCTCCTCGTCTAAGTATCTACTGTCTAGTATCTATCTATCAACAGTCAGATGTATCAACTCCCGATCTTTCCCTCAGAGCCAATATTGCTGCCCAGCCGTCACTATTGTCAATAACCCCCTCCGCCTCCCAAAAATAGGTCTAAATGAAATAATGAATGGAATGAATGAATGAATGAATGAACGACAATGTCGATGCCTCTGACTCCTCTTTTCCCCTCTTTCCCTCCCTCCGCCCCATTCTTTTTCATCGTCCGGCTTCGGTTGTGGTCGAAGAGGAGCATCCGTGGACGCCATGTATCTCCACTCGGGTTGCCTTCCCTGGGCAAGAAAAAGTCTAAACGCGTGGGTGTAACAATGTCCGGTGGCAATACCCCCTCTCTCTCTCCGCCAGTCATGTCTGTGGAAATACGCCCTACCACTGCATACAGCCTGTGGAAATAATTCCCCTCTTCCTCCCCCTCCCCCGGTCTGGGTCCGATCAAACAAAAAAAAGTAAAAGAACCGATGCCCCGACCACGGATCCAAACCGCCTCTTCCAGTCGGCTAGTCTCGCCCTTCAGCCCAGAACCATTAATCCCCAAAAATCCCCTCCTCCAGAGTGGATCGATCCGCTGGCGATTTCTCGCAAACTAATTCTAGTCTCCGAGCCTTAGTCGTCACCTTATCCGCCGCCCGCGCCAACGGTTCTAGGCCTGTCGAGAGACTCTTCCACTCGCTCGCGACTCGTCCGAGAATCTTCCCCCCCTCGTCTCGTCTGGCTAACCCGACCCGGACATGGATGAGGGCGGATGATGGGTTTTCGTACAGATTTTTGTGCGGCACTTGCGTCTAACTGTCTATCCGGTTCTACGCCTCTACGGGAAACCTTCCGCTTCCGATTTTTTTTTTTTTTTTTTTTTTCGCAAGCCATCGCCTCAAAGACGTGCGTCTGGTGGATGTGTGTTTGTGTGTGTGTGTGTGTGTGTGTGTGTGTGTTCAACGCTCAACCGTGGTATACTGCAAGTCACTGCCCGCTCACTGAAACGGCTTCCCCTCCCTCTAGACCCTTTCCCTAGCCTCTTCCCCCTCTGCCCCCCTCTGCCCCCTCACCAACTATGGCTGCATCCGGCTATCCCTCTACCAATATGGCGCGCGCAGGCTGGCCAGACTCGTCAACCCCCCCTCCGCCGCCGAGTCCTCGCGTTTGCGATGCCCCGCCAGCTCCAGGTTGATTTGCCGGTGCACATGCACCAGCCAGTCGACATAACTCTGGGCCTCGTTGTTGCGGTCCTCGACTAGCAGCCGCGCAAACTCGTATTCCGCCCCGTCCAGACCCTGGCGCGCCAGCTGGATCGTCACCGCCTTCGACCCCCGGATCGTCGACAGGTATTGCAGCAGGTTGCGCACCTGCGCGTTCAGGTGTGTCTCCAGCACCGGGATCGTCGATAGCTGCGGGCTCAGCCCTTGGAGCGACCCCTGGCCCGCCCCGAACAGGTCCTCCAGTAGGTTGGGCGACACCTGCGCGTGCAGCCACAGCAGGCACTGCTGCCCGTTGTCCACCAGGTACGCCCCGCCCTCCTCGATCTTCGAGAAGCTGGCCCGCAGCGATGGCGGCACCTGCAGCTGCCCTTGCTCATTGGGGAAACCGTCCGTCGGCTGCATGTTGTGGACCGGAATGATGCGGGGGTACAGGTACAGCGACAGCTCCGTGCACCCGATGGACCGCAGCATCCGCATGTCGTGAATGCGCCGGTCCGACGCCTCTTGCCCACCTGCCGTCCGTCAGTCCGTGTTTGCCCGATCCTGGTCGCAGCGGACTTACCTTTAACAGCCCGTGACTTGATCAAACTGAGCATGTACATCGAGAACTCCTTCAGGTTCTCCGGCAGCACCAGCTGCCCGGGGGGGTGCGACCCGGAGAAGATCTTGCGGTATCCGCTGAAGATGTCCACCGTCTTCTCCGAGATGCTGGCCCGGATGTCCTTGAGGGACTTGTCCAGTGTTTTGGACGCCGCTATAGTCATTAGCATTGCCCACGTAAACGAGTAGCGAGGAAATAGCTTGCTTACCCTCCTTGGCAACCATGCTCACGACCGCATCCTGGTCCACGTATTTCATCGTCTCCATGCCGCCCTCGTTGACGGCCGCCACCGAGTTGATGCACCGCACCCGGCGCTGCCCATTGGCCGAAGTGTAAAGCAACGCCGCCTGGAAGTGTGCGTCCAACTTGGTGTCGAGCTTGCCATCGTAGCTGAACACCACACCGATGGCCTTATCTGCATCGATCGTGCCAATCTCCAGGTCCGCCCCAAACGTGTGCTGCACGAAGTTGCCGTGGTAAGCCGACACCTGCAGTCCGTTGGAGCACCGGACCTTCATCAGAGCCTGATAACCCGTCTCCCGCGTGACCGCATGCGCCAATTCCTGCGACAGCTTGCGGATGTCGCGGGGCGCATGGAAGTTCGGGTAGAAGAAGGTCTCACCGCCGGTTACCTCAGGGACGTGGCCTGCCAACGTTAGCCGCAGCCGGAGATAGCGCGTCACAAATCAACTCACCGATCGTGGCCACATCCATGTACGTCCCGCTCGGCGCAGCAATGAACATGTCAACACCAATGCCCGCCTCCGCCAAGTGCCCGGCTGTCTCTCTCCAGGCCGTGTGTTCCGTGGTGAACAGCTTCTTCTCCGCGTCGGTGCCGTGGACCTTGGGGTCGTCCCGCAGCGACAGCGCTCCCGGGCCCCAGGTGGGCAGGCTGGCGATCGTGCCCACGATCTTGCCGCCCGTGTGCTTCAAAGCCGATAGCGCCGCGTTCAGGGCGGGCAGCAGGGCCGGCTGGGGGTTCTTGACGTGGGAGAAAAGGCTCGGGATGCGTTGCAGCAGAGATGTGATGACGTTCCTGGTCATGTTAGCCTGGCCTCGTCACGGGAGCAGAACACCTACTTGGACTCGTAGGGGTCCACAAACAGCCCCTCACTGAGAGGCACAAATGGCTCCTCCAAATCGGTCATCACCATCATCTGAGCCTGATCGAGTTGGGCCTGGGGTTGTCAGCAGAGCGTCGCTTAGAGGCCAGGGTGAACGTACACTGAGGTTGTAGAACTGCACTTCTTTGTCATAGGTGACAATACCAATCTTTGCGCCTTCGGGGATGCGCCGTGACGGGGTCTCGTCCTCGGGGTTCTCTGAGGGCTCGTCGCTGTACAATGCTTCGGCGATACCCTTGCACACGCCCTTCAGGAATCCCCGGTTCACAGACTCCTGGCTGACATCAATCAGGAACAGCCATTGCAGGCCCACGGGCTCCTTGTTCCAATAATCCTTCGGGACCAGGAACTCCACGGTTCCCATCATCAGCTCCGGACGCTGCATGCGGTCGACGCGCGAGCCGGACGCGTCCAGGGGGGCAAAGTATTCCGGTGGCACATCATTGGGGAATGTGCACATGTTGCAGACGAACTTGTTGCCTCCGGACCGGAATGACATGAAGGGGTTGATGTAGGACCGACAGCGCCGGCAGCGTGGGGGTCCGGCGGCGCCGAAATCCAGCACGGGGATGGGCTGCTCGCCGGGGTCCAGGCGGGCCAGCGGCTGCAGGATCATGCCCAGTGGCAGTGAGGTCGACGCGAGGAAGTCGGAGGAGGATGGGATGTTGTTCAGAGTGAGCCGAGCATACTTCGGGGACGAGTTGCCCTGGTCGTGGGCGACGAAGGGAACACCGGCGGGTGGGGGGAGATGGCGCTCCATGGTCGGGTACACATGGTTGAAGTAGTATTGTGCTGGCAAGTCGCGAGAGCGTGGTATGCTGGGGATCTGCTCGGGATCGATCTTGCCTTGTGCTCCCAGGGCCGGGTTCACGGGGGCGGGGATACTGGCCGCGGGCGAGATGGGTCGCGGGGCCTGGTTCAGCCCGGTGTTCAGGAACTGCGAGCCGGGCTGCAGGGCCTCCGGTGCAGCTGCAAACGCCGGCGAGACTTGCGCACCGGGAGCAGACGCGCCAGCAATGTCGTGGTGTGCGTGCCGGTGCTTCTTCTTCCCCGGACGGGCCCCTCCTTCACTGCCCATTATCCCCAAACCACTCATCTGAGACGCCAGACCGGCCATGCCGGGGTCTGCGGGGGCCGCGGCCGCGCCGTACGGGTCGGCCTGGTGGGCAAATTGTGGCGGGGGCTGTTGTAGAGGCTGTTGGACCGGAGGAGGGCCGTAGGCGGGCCATTGTTGACCAGGGGCAGGGGCTCCGTAGGCGCCGGACTGGGGAGGGTAGCCCTGCGGAGGGACTTGGTGGGCCAGGCGATTGGGATCGGAGGCGGGGTCTTCAACAGGCACCGGAGGCTGACCGTAGGAATGATGATACATGTTGGGGTCAGCCATGGTGCTTCATACCGCGGGGGGGTGGGGTAAGGGGCGTAGACGATGGATCAGCGACGGAGGAGGATTCCGATCAGCCGCAGACCATCACCGGCAGGTCGGAAAGGGTGGCGAGGGCGGAGATGTCGGCGAGGACAGAGAGGACAGGGGCGTGAGGGGAAAGTTGGCAGGAGGAATGTTGGCGATGAATGGCATCACCGACTTCAACTGACCACCTAAACTAAACAACCCCCGGTCTAGTCCCGCTTGGGCCTAGCCCCTCGCTGCTGAGTCAGCCCTGCGGCACTGGCCTGTTCGGCCCGCCGGAGCCGAAGTATAGACGGCATCGCGCTAGTTTGATTAGTCTTGTTAGTCTTGTTCGTACCTCCAATGTCGACCAGGACCCTGGTCACTGCGTGTTTGTCGGCTGCGATGGAGCTGAAATCCCCCATGGCTCCTTTCCTAGCCCAATGGCCGTCCCACGGGCTAGTCAGAGGCCCAGGAGGATGAGTCGCAATATAGATTCCCCAGTCCCTACGACTCTCGACTGCGTTCTGGGCCTCTCCACACATGCCTACCCCCCCCCCGGACAATCCATACAAAGCTATACATGTTTGGCTTTGGACAAGCTGGGATCTTTCTTTGTCCCCAAAGATGGCGGTTGTGTCACCAGGCTGCCTTGTTTGCTGGGCCTATCAGCCCCCAGAATGCCTGATAAGCGATATTGCGTCGACAGCCACAGCCCCTTCGTCCCTCCATATGCCCGGCTGGATGCTGGAATGAAGCGCTCGACACATCCCCCGTGCAGGGACCAGGAACTACTCCGCTTCCCTCTTAATAGCTGGATGCCCTCGACTCGAAACCGTTGTGCCAATCTTGTTGCTGTTCCCATCGCTGTCTGCGGGATCTTCACTGTCCTTCTCACTGTCCTGAACCGTCCTCACCGACTTTTGACTGGGATCTAGGGCATACTGATATACGGGGGGGATCCAAGTCCACTGTCACACGTGCCTCGCATTGAGCCTATTTCCTTTATTCGCCCATCATCTGCCCAGCAAGACAACACACACTTTCGTCCGCTTCAACGCCATGGCCCCCATCGAGGATAGCGATGAGCTTCTGCTGGCCCAGATCGGTTACAAACAGGTATGTACACTCACCAACCTACCCACCCCCTGCCCAGCAGACGTCTCACGGCTCAGGAATTGAAACGCGAGTTCTCGCGATGGTCCACCATCTCCTACGCCATCTCCATCCTGGGGATTTTGGGCTCCGTCCCGGCCACCTTCGGCTCTCCCCTGGCGGCAGGAGGCCCGGCCACGGCCGTGTGGTGCTGGCTTTTCGGTTCCTGCATGGCCCTGTGCATCGGCAGCTCGGTCGCGGAGCTGGTCTCGGCTTACCCCACGGCGGGGGGCATGTACTTCGTGACCAAGCATGTGGTTCCCGAAGCGCAGGTGCCCATTTTCTCCTGGGTTCAGGGCTGGTGTAACCTGCTCGGCCAGACGGCGGGGGTGTCCAGCGTCGCCTACACGGTCAGCCAGATGGTTCTCGCTGCTGCCAGCATGAACTCCACGCTGGTGGACGGCAAATACTCATACTCCCCGTAGGTGTGCCATTGCGCGCGGGGTGTCGATTTGAGCTGACAGGGCGGGTAGGTCTGCTGCCGAGACGGTGCTCTTGTCCGCGCTAATCTTGGTCGTGGAGGGCGTCATCTGCTCCATGACGACCAAGTCTCTGCACCGGATCATTCTCTGGTTTGCCCCGATCAACAGTAGGTCATTGGGAGCTACCTTTATATCTGTATGAGGAGGAGCTGACCGGTAGTCAGTTGCGGCGACGATCGGCATCTCCCTTGTGCTGTTGAAGTGCACCCCGGACAAGCAACCCGCGAGCTGGGTCTTCACCCATTTCACCGATGGATCCGGATGGGGGTCCAAGGCCTTCTCGTTTTTCCTGGGGTTTATCGCCGTGGCGTGGACGATGACGGACTACGACGGAACCACCCAGTGCGTTGACCCTCCCCCCTACTTATCCTCCACATCTACTCACCTATGTCCAACGCCAGCATGTCCGAAGAAACCCACAACGCTGCCTCCTTCGGCCCCCAGGCCATCCAAACCGCCGTCATAGTGTCCGGCGCTCTGGGATGGTTCCTGACCATCTCCATGTGCTTCTGTCTCACCGACTTTGAGAGCATCATGAACACCCCCACCGGACTCCCCGCCGCCCAGATCTTCCTCAACGCGGGGGGGCGAAAGGGTGGCACAGCGATGTGGGCACTAGCCATCCTGGTGCAATTCTTCACGGGCTGCTCGGCCATGTTGGCCGATACGCGGATGGCGTATGCCTTTTCTCGCGACGAAGCCCTTCCCTTTTCGGGGTACGCTCCCCTTCCCCCCCCCCCATTAGTAAATACACTAACAACCTCCCGCAACCAGCTTCCTCTCCCAAATCAACAAATACACCAAAACGCCCGTCAACGCCGTCTGGTTTGTAGTATTCTTCAGTGTCGGCCTCAACTGCATCGCCATCGGGTCGACCGAAACCGCCACCGCCATCTTCAACATCACCGCGCCGGCCTTGGACCTCTCGTACGCGGCCGTGATCCTCGCCCACCAGATCTACCGAAGCAAGGTGCGCTTTGTCGAGGGCCCGTTTACTCTGGGCCGCTGGGGTCCCTACATCAACTGGGTGTCGGTCATCTGGGTCGTGTTTATTAGTACCATCTTGTTTTTTCCGACCACGCTGCCGATTACGGCTTCTAATATGTAACCTCCCCTCCTTTCCTCTTCCCCCTTCTTCTCTCATATGTTTCAAGAAACAGCTATACTAACCATATCATCGCAGGAACTACGGTATCTGCGTCGGCACATTCATAGCCATGTTTGCTTTGGTGTGGTGGTGGGTTGCTGCTAGAGGGTTAGTTCTCCCTCCCTCCCCCCCCCTCCCGTCCGATCCTCACTCAGATACACACACACACACACACACACACACATATACCCCATCCACATCCATCTCCATCTCAATATCCACCCCCAACCAACCAATCAACAACATTAACAATCCACTAACCACCCCCCTCATTTTTTTTAAAAAAAAAAACAGAATCTACACCGGACCCCGAACAACCGGCGGTACCATCCAAGAGAGCGTCATTGAAACCGGTCCCAGCCCCAGCTACGGATCCTTGGAGTGAGACGGGAACGTACTAGTTCGAACTTCGAACCGCTACGAGATAGGTTTGATTGCATTGCACGTCGTCGACTTACTGGATCTTATATACGGGATGGATAGCGTGGGTACTACTATATATACTTTACTGTATTATGCTGCTGCCTATCATCTGTCCATCCATTTACTATCTATCTATCTATCTATCTATCTACACGTTCATATCTCTATAGTAAGTACGGAAGAGACAATGTTCCTATTCTATAAGGAGAGAGACATACGTTCGTTAGTCATAGCCCATCGCATCACGAGTCACAGCAGACAAACTACCAGTATCCTGAACCTAAACCTAAACCTAAACCAGGCTTCTCCCTATACACAATCATCAAATATAAAAAGTCTCCCCAAACAGAGAGAGAGAGAGAGAGAGAGAGAGAGAGAGAGAGAGAGAGAGAAAATAATCATCAGGTCTCATCAACGCATACTCCGTCGTATATATAAGTACATAAGAAGAAAATCAATTCCCAACCAGCCAGGTAGTAGGTAGAGGTTTCCTCCACCCCGATGCTCGCAAGTGGTATACGAAGGGTATAGGTACTGTGCCCCCTCCCTCAGCATGTCCCCTGACGCCATATCCATCCCATCTCGCGGTTTTTGAGGGCAACTCGCCCTGGTCCTGTTGCCCTTTCGCTGGTCCGTAGACCCCAAATAAAGAAAAAAAGAGATTAAAAAAAAAGAGAGGGAAAGAGAGAGAAGAAGGAAATACATACATGCAACAGCATAGCTTATAAACCAAAAGCTCAGCTTGTGGATGGGAAAGGGCGAATTATGCAGCCGAAACAAAACAGAAGAAAAAAAAAAGAAATAGAAAAAATGCAACGATGCAGGCAGGCAGGCAGGTAGGTAGGTAGAATGAAAGGCAAATTGCCTAGGTGATGAGGAAATCCATGTTCATGCCGCTGATGATCTTCTCCCAGTCCCAACTTTCTTCCATCTTGGTGTCCATGACCTCCCACACACGTTCCACTACTTTGCGGGCGGGTTCGATGTTGCGGAGGTTGGAGTAGGCCTTGAGAGACTCGAAGCCCTTCGTGATTCTCTCGCGTTGGCGGGGGATGAATGCAGAGCAGCCCAGGAGGAACAGTGGCATTAGAACGATGCTGTAGGCACCCGCGTCCTGGGGCAGCTGGTCCAGGAAGGCGAGACCGTCGTCCACAACCTGGGCGATCTTCTCACTCGGCCGGGAGGGTCGGATGGTGCGGTACAGATACACCCAGGTCGACTGGCGGTACAGTTGGGCCAGGAAATAGTTCGGGGTGTTGGGGGCGTACGACGTCTCCCAGGCCCGGATGGCCGAATCGATGGAAACGGCATCCCCCAGGATCTGGTAATCGACCGCTGGCTCATACCCCTCGTTGGATCGCTGACGAATCCGATCTCGTATCCGAGTCACCTCGGAGATGTAGTTGAAGAGCCCGTCAAACACGCCCAGGAACATGCCTGCTTGTGCGTGAGGCACGAAGTCGGGGAGCCGCAAGCCGCCTTGAAGATGGGACGGGCGGCGATCAAGCGACGTGATAGAGTTGGACACGTCATGGTACTGGAAAAACTCGACAATAAACTGTCGGAACTTCTCATTCCTCGGTTGCTGCGTCACCAGCAGATACCTTGCGGCATCCATGTGCGGTCGATATTCACCGTTGGTCTCTCCCTCGCAGATGGTATTCAGGCTGAGGGCTATTGTGGAGGCAATGATGGGATCTTCAACCAGCAGCTCGGGGTCTTGTACGGCCGAGGACGATGCGGTGATGTTGTCCTTGAGATCCCTGATCGCGCGGTGGAAATGATAGTATTTCCGCTCTTTCAGCTTGGGCTCCGGATCAAGGGCCGATAGATGGGACCCAGAGAGACACATCAGCGAATGCATAAGCCCCCGATGCTGGGTGGCCATGGGGAGCAGAATCTCTTTGAACGGATTTGAGTCATCGTTGATCAGAGTCAACACCCGACTGAAACCGTAGACAAAGTGGTCTAGAAACCGCCGATCAATCTCGGTCTCGACGCCATCGATCAAGAGAGGTAACGAGCGAGCAACCATGGAATGGCTGCGGGCTGCTGTGAAACCAACCAAGTCAGATAAGGCAGACATGCGGTGATTGGAACCTATCATATAAGCTTTAAGAAAAAGTAAAACCCCCAGCCCGACTGTAGAACAGGCGACGATCCAGACCGGGGAGCGGAACGTAGGGAGACTTACCATCTTCCAGCTTCTGCTTCCCACTCTTCCAGATCTCCTTGGGCGGATACCCTTCGCACACGACGGCATTCTTCTGACAGTTCAAACACCTGCGAAGCGACGAAAGTTAGCCTCTGCGACCGTGAGACAGGTAGCAAACCCCGGAAAAGAAGCCTTACGCTGGCTTGGTCTCGTCACATTTCTTCTTTCGCCGGCGACAGGTGATACAACCCGTCTTGGATCGACCCTTGGTTATCTTGAGCTGGCCCCCGGGCACTGGCAGCGGATGTTTACGTGGTCGTCCACGTTTCCGTGGGACGTGGACGGGAGCAGCCGTGGCATCCGGATTCGCATTGACCAACGTCTCCACTCCCACCGGCTTAATACTTTGCAGCTCATCCACATCGTCGATCTCCTCGATCTTGGGCGTCACCTCGGCGTCCGGGAGATGGGATGCGAGCAGGTTGAAGCGGAAGGCCTTGGGCGAGACGACTGCGGCGGTGGAGAAGGGGTGGTGCAGCCCATCGTGGACCTTGACGTCGACCTCGGCCGTGGGGGAGCTGTCGGAGGGACCGTCGCCATCCCACGAGACGGGCGAGTCGTTGGAAATGTCATCGTTGGTGCTGATGCTGTTTCGATGTGAGAGGGGCGAATCATCTACCAAGGGGCAGTCGGCGAGGGCGGGGACGTCGGCCAGCATCACGGAGCGGGTGGAGTTGCGACGTTCAACGGCCTGGTTGGCCGACGGGGGGAGATGAGGCCGGTTGTTGTTGTTGTTGCCATCGTAGCTGGCGGACGGAGGGATGGTATAGGAGGGCGTCTTTTGCATGGACAACATTGACCCATACGCACCTCAAGATGAGGTGAGACACGATCAGGCGCAGGAGCTGTCGCAAAAAAGGCAGGTAGAGGAGGACGGTGTGCGAGGTGCGAGGTGCGAGGTGCGAGGCGAGCAAGTTTGGGGCGAGTGGGTGTAGAGGAGGGGCAGTCGGTCGGTCCGCGACGGAGAGCGACGGTGGCTTAAGAAAGCCGTTGGCCGAGGAGGGAGAGAGTCAGGGAGGGAGGGGAGGATGAGGGTAGATAATAATAAGAGGTCCTTATAGATAGGATGACTAGAGGGGAGGAGCAGACTTGGCTGTGGTTTAGTGGAAGGACTAGACAGGCAAGTCGGGGGGGGGGACGAAGGCACTAGAGAGATAGATACCGGGTGAGCAACAGCAGCAGTACCGCTTGGGGTAAGGAAGGCGACGAGGATGAGGGAAAATCAGCAATCTGCCTATGAACGAGGCTGGAGGGCGATCGGGGAAGAGGGACGGGCAATTTAATATGGATCAGGCCGAGGGGCAGGCAAGCAGGCAGGCAGGGCCTGATTCGACTGGCGCTGCGGATGGGATTCTTATTATGATTCTCACTGTGATAATAATGATAATTATTATTTTTATTTCCGTGGCATCGGGTCGGTGGTAGTGGTTGGGAGGGAAATAATGGATAATAACCACCCCCCCCCCCCCCCCGTATGGTATGTATGGAAGGGTACGGAAGGGTAAGAATCAGACCAGGGTATAGACGGATGGTGACCAATCCAGGTGGCCATTACTGCTGACTACTGGCTACTGACTGACTAACTGGAGATGAAGCATTCTAATGGAGCAAGTAGTTAATTGCAGGTGAATCTGGTGAATCTGGTCGGGTGCAATTGGAGGCATGGAAGTGGAGCCGGGCAGAGAGGGCATCCAAACTAGGCAAACTTTATGATGGATGGATGGATGGATGGATGGATGGGTCCAGCGTGGGCTAATCTAAATCGCCATAATTAACACGCACCGCAACCCGGGAAGAGCAGGCATGTTGTTCAACCTGCTGGTCACTGAAGAGGAAACCCACCTGCCAGATTAAGTATCCCCAAACGAATCAGACTGACTGACTGACAGTCCGTCACCCTCCGACACAAAGGGTAAGTGAACAGTGGATAGTGAATAATCTTAATAATAAGAAGCAGTAGGGCATCCATCCAACCCTCCCAAATCCCAAACTCTAACATGGATGCGGGGCGCGAACAATGCCAAGCCGGTTGCTGTCCCGCCCCTGATTGGCCCGCCGCCAGACGGAGAAAAACGCCAGACGAGCGAGGAAACGCCAGAAACCCGCCTAGACTTCGCTAGGGAGCTGTCTGCTGCGATGCTCGGTCTGTCCAGGTCGCCAGTGGTGGATGCTCTGCCCCCATTGCCTCGAATGGGACCCGCCCGATTCTCCCGTCGAGAGGACCCTTCAAACTTTCCCACGCAGGATGATCCTCGTCGCTCCGTCGCCCACTCACCCACTCACCCACTCACCACCGCCGAGCACACCCTTCGGTTAGCGACCGACCGGTGTGGGTGATTCCCCAGACCCGGCCAGATTGCAACGGAGCGTTCCCAGGGGTTGGCCCCAGAGGGGAAGGCAACAGAGAAGGGGAGGGGGGGGGAGAGGGGAGGAGAGGGGCCAGGATCATCTCCGCACGGGTGAGGAGGCTATTGCCGACTTCATCCCGACAGGACCGTAGTACAGGCCGCGTCGCTACGAGAGACAGCAGCAGGACGGCAGCAGGAAACCCCGGATTCGTCCTGATGACACAATGCCAACATGAAGCAGGTTCAGAATGGACGGGTGCCCGCCGGTATGCATGGCTGGGGCTTGAATCCCCACGGAAACAACACCCGGTTCATCATGATCATGGGGATCGGGGGTCTCGTATAGTTAACATCAACCAGTCATCTAACTACCCTCCTCACCTCACGGCAGTCCCAATGGCTGACTGGCTGGCTGGCTGGGAGGACAGAAAGTGAGACCCATCCCGGGGGGGGGAGAGGAGGGGGCGACCCAAAAAAAAAAAAAAGAAAAGAAAAGAAAAGAAAAGAAAAATCACCACCATGTCTTCGATCTGTCTATCGGTCGACGAGATCCAACTTGAACCCCATTCTCCCCCATTCTCCCACCTGGGACACGTTGAAGCAGGACGGGGTTCACGAACAGCCCTGTGCCCACTGCCCTGCGGCGGCGATGACGGTGGTGATGACGGGGCGTAGTGCTCTAGTCGGTCCTGGGGATTACTTGCATGCCGGGATGACACGGCTCGGGCTCAGCTGGACGCCACACCCCACGCTATTCCGCACCAAGTCCTACCTCCTTGGACGAGGCCCTTGTGTCTGTTGGACAAGTGCGGAGAGCGCCAGAGGCTCGGGCAGTGACACCACAGGCCAATGCAATGGTCCTCGGGGCACTGGAGTCCTGCATTGTGATCAGTCGGACGGCCTGCCTTGGGATTGTCCGATGGCTTCCCCGGACGACGAGAGAGCCAGGAAGGGAGACCAGAGAGAGGGGGGGAAAAACCCTCACTCGGACAATCTGGGGAAGTGGACCAGATCATCGCCCTGTGCTCCCAGCACGGACAATCGGACTGCAAAGAATCGTCCTCCATGACCTGCCTTACGTCGAGCCGGGCTCGCCCACCGGCAGGCACGGAGGGCTTGGAATTACTACTGTAGGTACGGTGGGAACGGTAGGCACGATAGGTACGGTAGAACCTCCCCGTGATCAGATGAGACAAATTCAATCTGGCAGGTCTGTGATCTCGTCATGGGCGGTCGGTTCCCTGTTTCTTGCAACCTACACAGCATGCCGGACAGACACTACTACTAGTAGATAGGCAGCAGATGCCTACTTACCAGGTAGCTGCTCCGTTAGCCCGGTCATTCTCGCTGACCACGAACATCGCCAGACCAGACCGGTCGTTGAAAGGGACGCCTTCCTAACTTGCCTCGTAGGAGCTTCTTCCTATCTCAAGCTCGGAAGCTCTCTGTTGCCAGAGAACCACGCCGTCGGGCATTGTCCCTCATTGGGTGGGGTTGTTCCCGAGGGCTGGGCTAGGGCCTCGCCGACGACCGTGATTCGAAACGGCTTGGAATCATGAATCCGCCCCATCTGCCGGGCGACGAATTGGGAAGTGGAGTTGAAGCTAAAGCAGCTCCGGCGGGCTTGAGCTTGAGCTTGAGGTCCTACCTCGACGGTATCTAGGCTTCAGAGGAGTCTCTCTCTCTCTCTCTCTCTCTCTCTCCGTCTCCCGACCGTCGGGACTCGCGTTTTTTCTCCTCCGTTGGAATTACCTGACCCTGCCCGTCGCCGGATTCGTCTGTCAGCCTCCTCCGTTTCTCACAATTAAGCTTGATGGTCCAGATGGTCAGATGGTCGGGGGATGATACCGGACATGACCGCAGGATGATGGTAATTATTCAGGACCTGCTGCGGCATCAGGTGAGCGGGTTGCCAAGTGGGGAAACCCGTAAGTTACGAGGTACGGCAGGGCGGTTCTCCGTACAGACTGGAGAGTGGAGAGTTTACGCTACGAGTCTTCACTTCCTACAAGTCCAGCCGTCCGTGGGCCAGGCAGGTACGAGCGACTACTAGTTAGAGTGGTGTGGACCAACACTCGTGCCCGGTCAGTGGGAAGCAGTAGCAGCAGAAGAAGACAGAAGTACAACAGTAGCAGGTGTGGAGGCTGCAAGTGTCCCTCTCATTCTATCGTGACTGAGAGAAGTCCAGACGCAGGAGCATGGAGAACCTGACAGCCTCGGCGGCGAGCTTGGAAATAAGCATTGCGATGGAAAGACACCGGGTTGAAACACGCCCCACCGCCACGAAGTGTCTGTCCATCGCCATGCCATGCACTCCATACTTCATATTCCCACCGCATCGGGTATACGTACAGGACGAAGGAGCCATTGCCTTCGTCCCGTCGAGGTCGAACAATGAGCTTCCCGGAGAGGGGGGGGCATGAGCCCAATCCCATGCAGAACAAAGTTAAAGCATCCATCGGCCTCTTTCCAAGTCTTAATAAAGATAGTGGAACTGACAAGTGGATCCACGGAAGGGTGTTCCCGTCGTGTACCAGTGGAGAGCGAACCAGCGGTTCAGCGACGACGGATTTCTTCATCATCATCATCTATCTATCTATTTACAGGATACTTACAGGATACTTAAACTTTATCCTCGCGGATTATTCTAGCGATGTGCACTTTGGTCTACGTACGGACACTCTCTGCTTGGTCTTTAATTAGCACGACTCCGGGTGGACACTCCCACGTCGAAGGTCGATAGTGCTCAGTACGCAATACAGGATTAAGCTAAGACCAAGCACATCGTCGGTCTCCATTCCATCTCCGCACTTACGCAAGGGAGTGAGAGCTACTGTACTGACTATCTATCCATGTCGAGGTAATTGTTCCTTGAGTATGCACTGTGTATCTACTCCACTGCCAAGGCAGAGTGACACTCCCATTGACATTCAATGCATTCATTCATTCATTCATTCATTCATGATTTAGTATACTATCGACGGAGTAAGATCCAGTTGGTCGTCCCCACGTTAGGCAGGCATTTCTAGTCTCCCTACTCCCTACAGTCTACACTACCAGATACTCCACTACAATAATGCCAACTAGACTACTCCGTATGGAGCACTATAATAATAACATGGACTATGGTCCCATCCATAACTCCTCCTTTATAGTTGTTATCCTCCGTCAACTTCCGACCGTATCCTTTCTACATCTCTCTCTCTCTCTCCCTCCCTACCCAGATAGGCTAAGGTACCGACCGACCATTATTACTACTACAGTCGCCGCCACTCCGTAGATTACTGTACTAATCTCTGTCGGGTGTAGCAGCATGTACGTACCACCCCATACATACCTAGGCATACTTGCTACAGATAGGGGCAGAACCAACCAAGACCGTGGAACTATCGATGCGTCCGGAGGACTTTCTAATAAACAAGAATTGAAGACCGACCAATCCCGAATGGGAAAGTAAACCGAAACTCGCCTGTCTGGCTGTCTGTCTCTCTGCCTAGACATTCCATTCTATTCTCCTCTATTCTGTTCTAGTCAGAAGAGGTAAGACTAGACAGGTTGGAAAGAATCTATCTAGTCTGTTCTCAATCTCGGTGTTGAAGTTGGTGGTGGCTAAGCAGGTACATACCTAAGGTAGTTAAGCGGTTAGTTGGTCGGTCGGTCGGTAAGCTACTTACTGTTAGATACTATAGATACGGAGCACACACACACACACACACAATATATTTAGAAAGTGGAGAAGCAAATTAAACCGAACAGACTGAAATTAAACTAGGAGATTAAGGGTAGCTACATCTACAGAGTACTACATAGATAGATAGATAGATAGATAGATAGATACTTGATCATGTTGGTTGGAAATTCCAGAGCTAAAAGTGAGGGGGGGCCATGATTCGCTGGGTGGAGTTGAATGAGCATTCTTTTCGCTAGCAGGACGGCGGTGGGGGAATTCGTCTCATACATATATTCATTACTACTACCTATCTAGATTTGGTCTGTTTCTTCACTGTCAGTCCTCATTCTCGATTAGGTAGTAGGTCTAGGCAGGGTAAGGTAGTAGATACTTATCTACCAGTAGCCTGTCATTTCCACTAGGTAGAGACTATCTAGCCCGGCTTTAGTACGTACCTACGATAACTATCTAGTTGTTAATTCTTTTTCCCCCAGTGGACTCCGTATAGATAGCCGGTCGGGGCACAGTCTAGGTATAAGATAGGATACTAATACATCAGGAAAGGATGGATGTCAGCGCTTGGAGATGGTCTGCCTGTCCACTCACAGGCCGTGATTCTACCACTGACCTGTCAGAGGATCGGGGGTGGATGGCCAATATTCACTCGCACGTTTAGTGTTGGAGGGTTTAATTTATTTTACCCTGTCGACATACTGCTTATTTTTGATGGACTGTCTGTAATTTGTACATACTACATACATACATACATACATACATACCTTACTGTGTAGACTGTATGGGGTGGGTATCCAAGTATTCCTGGATTGTGACTTTCTTGCTGGTCTGTAGATATACTATATTTGATAAATAATATCTAAATAATATCTAACTACATCCAACTCTCTTACCGCCTCCACCCAGCCAACAAATCAACCCCCCCCCACACCGAGCGATGCCTCAACCACACTGCCCGGCGCTGCACTGCACTACATTACAGCCCTGCGCCTCGCCACCCTGCCTGCCTGCCTGCCTGCCTGCCCCATTGCGGGGTCCCTTAAAAAAATGAGAGGGAAAGAATCATCCCCATCCCATCTGATGAACCAGATCCCTCAATCGCCTTGACTAACAGTATGACCTCTCGGAGAGTGAGTGAGACGACCCACCCTGACCTGTCGTCACCGTCATCGTCACTGTCGCCGCCCTCGGGTACCAATGGAGGATGTACCACTGACTCGCGCGGGAATGCATCGTGTCTTGGGGGGCGAGGTACCGGGTTCCTATCCGGTTGGTACTTCTACTTCTACTTCTTTCTTACCTCTTGCTCATCTTCCTGCTTACCCACCAGGCTATCTACTCCAAATCCCGACGTTGGTGGATAGATGGACTGAGAAATGGTATATCACTCAGCCAACTCTACCTATACCTATACCTATACCCCACCATCCACCATCCACCATCCAACATCCAACACCCCCCATGAGCCACCGCGTAGAAACCAAACCAAACCAAACAACCCTCACCCGGGATTAGAAAGATGATAGACAACCACACATCCACCCATCCATCCATCCATGCACGCACGCGCCGTGACTCACATCTCCCTCCAACCCATCTATCTATCTATCTATCTATCTACTGACCCGCCCCAGCGCTAGTCGGAGTCTGGAACGAGCGGAGAAGCTGTGTGTGGAAGCCTAATAGAGGGTGCTGGGCCGGGGCCAAGTTGCCGCCGCCGACGGGGAGGCGTTACGTGCCTGCGATGTACATGATCGAATGCGGATGGCTTGGGCAGCAAGTATGTATGTGGTGGGTTTGGCAAAAGTACGGTGCTGATTACAGACCACTAATCATTTACTTATTGATTGGGGATGGGATGAGAATATGCATGGATGGATGGATGGAGGGATGGATGAGATAGGGCAGGATTAGGATTGTGATGACTATGATGATTGTGTTGGCGGAATGAGAGAAATTGGTAGATTGATATTATTTGAAATAATCGACTGCCCTATCTATTATTATCCGTCATCTCGTCAGTGTGAATGAACATCCAAAAGATGCCAGATATAGTAATACGTATATATATAGCCAGAACCAGCAGCCAGGGGTACTACTAAGTAATATCATCAGATCCAGCCACTGAAAACGAAGGTTTGTCCACTTCCAGATGATATACCAGATCCTGTATATATCAACCATAGCAGCCTTCAAGTTGAGAATCCAGCAACATTCATCAATCCACGCTTCCAATAGATGAATGAGATCAACAAAGAATTATCTCTTATCTGCGACAACCCGACAGACAACAAATCCCACCCTTGATATGATTTTGTTGACTTCAACCTGCTTCAACATCCATCGATGACTACTACCCTCACTGTGGGGAGCTGGCGAGAAAGCACATCCCAGGCAGGGTATGACCGAACTCAGCACAGGTCGGAGAAGGGAAGAATCTGGTTTCCATGATCTCCAAGAGCTCAAAGGCCATAAAACCACCAGCATCTGGACCGATTTTCCTCTCTCTCTCTCTCTCTCTCTCTCTCTGGGGCCCAGAAGGCAGAGACCGGATGTTCTTCTTCTGTTTTTTTTTCCTCCTCAGTTCGCTGTGTGGCGACACAACCACTCCATCCCATCTCAACAGATTCACCAACCATCCCCATATCCCCTCGCCAAACCCTAACCTCTCACCCCCCGAGAACCCATCATAGCACAGCACAGCACAGCACAGCACAGCACAGCACAGCACAGCACAGGACGGATCTCCAACTCCACCACCCCGTACTCCTCTCACAAACAAACACAGACACAGACCCAGACAGACCCATGTCCTGTTCATTCCCTGCAGCTGAACCCACTCCCTTGCGCCCTGGGACTAGTATCTATAATCTGTCATTTCGGAGATGGATCTACCTACTTGCACCTCGTAGCCACCTCCACCTCTTACTACTGACTTATTTACCTACCTACCTACATACGATTCGGGCACCATTCCTACCGGTGCTAACTAATACCGTAGCACTAGGTAAGTAGACAGGTAGTACGAGGGGTGTGTGTATCAATCCCTAACGGGTAGGCAGAGGCAGATACAATATTCCCTTATACACACACCAAGAAGATAGAAGCCACAAACAAGGGCGAAAGAAAGATACCCAGAAAATAGCGAAACAGCCCACACTCACGGGCATTCCCATCTACCCAATCCCAATATTTCAATTCGGACGAAGACGAAGGGGGAGGGGGGGGGAACCGTTGTGGAATCGTTGATATGAAGAGGACCTACTTATTTCCTTCCTACCTAAGATTTGATACTGGATAGGGGGGGACGCTTTGATCCCGGAGACACGTTACATCAAAGCTTAGCGAGAATCGACAGGGGGGAGGAGGGGGGTCTGGGATGCTAGGTACAAAAGTTACTTCGTTGATCTGCCTGGGAGAGTGCTTGGGCCCGCGGACTAGGACCTACCGACTGACGTCGTGTTATGGGTCAAGCAAGGCAGGCAGTTAGTTCGTTACCTAAGGGAGTGGAGTGGAGTGGAGTTGAGTTGAGTTGTTGGTTCAGTTCAACGTCTGCGGTGCCAGGTGAGACGGCGTCTGGATACACGGTAGGTACTGCTGCTGTGTTAGTTGGGTTGGTGAGAGCCTCTCAGGGCGTTTGCGTATGATAAGATGGTGATGGTGATGGTGGTGGTGGTGGTGGTGGTGGTGGTGGTGGTACCTTCTCTTTCCAATCTGGCTGGGTAGTACTTACTCCTAGTAGTAGTACTAACGGGTTTGGAACTTGCATTGCATCTGGCTCTGCATCGGGCTCTTGCCTGCCATGGTTTACGATATCAAAGATTAATCATCACTGGTGATTCCTACAGACTGGTTGAAATTCTGATTGTTGTATTCAGGTGTATCATCGCATCCCAATGCAATCATCAACATCAATGCAACACACGGAAAAGGAAGAAAAAAAAAAGCAGAAAGACCCCACCCATGCTGTATAGCAATGCTCCTCTTGGTACAACGCCGATCCCGTTCAAGCCGGACTGAAATAACGGGTTTAAGTGTCAAAGGGAAATTGGGAAATAGGAACTGTGTCGTAAACATGACCGTTTAGATGTGTGAACGGGGGCAAAATAAAAGCAGCTTGCTAAATCGTATACACCAAAGATATCGCCAGCATCGGGCACGCGGGCGCCGTGCTGGCGGGAGAAGGAAATGGGGAGGGGGAGGGCGAAAATCGAACGGCGTCACGCATTGGAAATCGACCCGTCAACAGACTTATGCCGTGAACACTCGGTCTAATTGCCGAAGCGCCCGCATGTCTTCGCCGCCGAATCCGATCTTGTCGCTGGGGATATCCCGGGGTCCCTCGGCGCGTCCTGCGGCCGGGGCTGGGGGTGCGGCGATCGCCGGTAGCGAGCCAGACGCGGCGCCGTTCATCAGCAAACCAATGCTGGGCACCGTTGTACCGCCGGCACTGCTGGCCTCCAGAGGCTTGGGTGCCATCGCGCTCGGAGGGGGGATGTGGATACCATTCGACGGCGGTTGGCTGAGCAGTCGCGGACTGCGCACCATCGGTCCAATGCCATTGCCGTGCGACACGACATGAGGCTGCGTGCGCGGCGACATCCTGAGCAGCTCTCCAGGCGGCCCAAGCTCCGGCGGACTCGGGCGGTGAAGGAGCTCGTGGCTTCCACTTCCACTCCCACTTCCTGGGGGCACCCGTGGCGATCTGGCAAGCACCTGCACGGCGGCGGGCTGGAGAGGCATCGTGACTTCGGCTGTATGCACCGGCCGCTCGTGGGGCATCGGCAAGCCCGGTTGCGGGGGCGGCAAGGGCGTCCCCGGTGGTACGGCGGCTTGATGTCCATATGGGACCTGGCCATTGGCGGCGGGAACTGGCGGGAGATAGGATGGGTAGTGATGTGCTGGGACAGGTGGCGTGGCAAGCGGCGTCGGAGGCCATGGGTAGGACGGGGTGTAGGGTGTCGGGTGCGTGATCGGGGTACGTCCATATGGCGCCATCGCATGGGAAGGGTAGGCAGCTCCAGGCATGGGTCCGCGGGTTACCACTGGAAGGTTTTGCTGGTCATTGACGGTGGACTCCGGATAGAGGCCCTTTTGAGGGCGCACATGTCGCAGGTTGGGATCCGTTGACGGTTGTTGAAGATTGGCAGCCGACGGATGCGATCTGGAGTAGTAGCTGATGAGGTGGAGGTGCTGTCCGGCGGAGGTCGTGATACTGAATGATTGCTTCATCAAACCGTCGGGCTTATACCGGTAGCCGTCCGGTCCCTCGTCCGCCCCGTCCGCCCGGTCATCATCACTCCCTCGTGTGCTTTCCGGAGTCTTGCCCGCTCTTGACATGGACGACTGGGATACGCCCGTTCCTCCGCGCTTGCCCTCCATCTCGCGATACGTTAAGAAGCTGCCCGACACCCGGCTGGCACTCCATGACTTGCCGTCGGTCCATCTTCGCATGCCCGCTTCCCGTTCATCCCAGACAAACACTGACCCGGAGCGGATCAGCTGGCGCTCTTTCTCGGACAATCGTCGCTGGACGCGCGGGAGCAGGCCGATGCGACAGGCTTCGAACAGGATAATAGCGTCCGCGGGGGTGCGAACGTGGCCGTGATACGTCTCCATCCACCTTCGGTGATCTGTGTAGGTACCCGTGATTATGGGGGGTTTGAGCGCCAGGACCGGGGGTTTCGTGGAATGCAAAATGGTGACAGGTGGCGGAGGTGATTTGGCGATCTGGCGATCTGGCGACCTTCCAACCCACGCAGCGGCTCCTTGTTGAGGGGGGGTCGAGTAGATCGAAAGGATGGGTGAGGCGTGGTATACTTCCCGTTTGGGAAATCCAGGCCAAGCTTCAAAGGGTGTGCGAGGGTGATGAGAGACAGGCGGGCGCGGTAGAGAAACGCACGGCGGAAAATAATCTAACGGACGAAAGCGACATTAATCTCCCATCTACTCGGGATGTTTATTGAAAATTGAATGCGAGTGTGAGCGACAGTGAGAATGGGAGAGGGGTAGAGGGGGAGGCGGCGAGGGGGGGTGGAATGTCGAGAAGCAGGGCAGCAAGGAAGGGGAGAGCAGGGAGGGAGTGGGGAGGGCTGATAGGAGAATTAAAGAAGAATGCAGGCCGGCGGCGGACCGAGTCAAGCGTTGTTGTACATACAACAAACGCTGAGACATGCTCCGGGCAAGGGCACTTACCGGGAGGGAGAGACGCAGCGGAGGGCTGATTGATGGTGGAGGGAGATTGTCTGTTGCGAGTAGTTGCAAGTTGTAAGTGAGGGAGAAGACAGAGAAGAGAGGAGAAGAGAAGAATAACCTCGTAGTTAGGAGGAGCAAAAATAAGAATTAGAGAACCAGAGCCAGAGCCAGAGCCAGAACCAGAACCAAGACCCAGAATCAGAATAATAAATAATAAATAGAAGGAAATTAAGTAAAACCAAGAGGCCCGAATCAGAATAATGATTAAAAAAAAGATCAGGCAAATAAACGCAGAATAATAATAATAAATGCAGAATTAGCATCCGAGAGGGGGTGGGGAACCGACTTAACTCTGACCCCCACAGGGTCAAGCAGTGGTTTTTATTGAAAGACGCCGTAAGTAATTTATGCCCGGTGGAGGAGGAGGAGCCCTTTGTTATCCAGGGTTGCGAGTGACGGCGGATGTATTATTCTTTCATTAATTTGATGGGGGTTTTAATTTAATTTGGGTCACTGCTAATATAAGATTATAGAGGTTCTGGGATTCTGGGATTCTGGGGAATTTCTTTTTCCCCTTTGCCCGTGCTTGCCTTGACTCCTTCACCCTGACGATGACCGACTGACTGACAGAGACACTGTAAAAGATAGGGTCAGAGGAACTTGGGCTTGGACCTCTTCTCTAGGCGCTGGCCATGCCGAAAATCAACCAGCCGAAAGAGAAGAAACGCCCACGGAAAAGTGGGTAAAAAACAAGACAGAGAGAGGGAGAGGGAGGGAGGAGCAGCCCGCAGCAAATGATTTCATCTGATAGTTGGGTGCGGGATTCATCACAAAACACATCGAACCTTGTTTTTAACCTTTTCTTTTTCGCCTGAGGGGCCATCCATGGCTCTGGGGACGAGGCTGGCTGGGGTGGTTCCGGTGGTGTGGAGGCATGGAATCAGATTCAATGAATGAATGGGTTCAAATGAAATGAATGGGTTGGTCCTACGGTCTCGTTTCTTTTTCCTCTTTTTTGTAGGTAGTATTTTTTGTTTTTGCTTTCTTCTCTCTATCTATCCATCTGTGTTTCTTTCTTTCTTTCTTTCGGTTCTGTCTGGCTGGGTTCCGTCTTGGGTCCCGGTGGGTTCTTTGGGGTTAGGATTACTCCGTTGTCTCATCCGTCGGGGTGGTGCTTCAATTAGGTCCGATCTTAAGTACCTCATCTTACCTACTTTATCCTGAGTACCACTACTGCTAGTATGTATGTACATAAGTACATCCATAGTATGTGGTAGCTATCAGCTGCGCCCGATAGCCCCGTCATCTGAGCAACAAAGAAAAAAAAAAAAAAAAAAAAAAAAAGGAACACAATGAACCAAACTATCGACGGATGACGGGGGGAGACAGGCACCGGTGGAGTCTAAACCAAGCCGAGCGACGTGGTATTGAATATCAAACATGCCCTGCTTGGGCTCGACCCCAATACTATTTATTATACACTATACATAGTACATAGACCGATGGGTAGGACAAACTCCTGCCGACAGGGCTGGAAGATTCCCACATACCAGAGGTTCATTCCGCAGCCGGCATGTCCACCGCAGATGCAGATGCCATGATGCCTGTGGCGGCTCTCCTTACGCGGACGGGGCGGGCGGCGGTGGTGGTGGTGGTGGGATGGTGACAGTCGATCGAGCAGATCTTGGCCGGTCTGTGGACTGTCTTGTCTTGGAAGATGGAGGGAGGGTTTCTCTTGGCCCGGACAATTTGCGATTCAGAAAAATGAGAATATTATCAGTAATCATACAGGGCCAACCCGGGCAGGTTACGGTATTACGCTAGGAAGATACCTGTGGCGCTCTGATCGCTTGATCCCAACCGGAAGTTGATTAGTACGCGACTTTCTGAAGCTTAAGCTTAATCCAACACGAGGAACCTTAAGCTCGCTTAGAGGAGAGACATGGCCCCCCCTCCTCCACTGTGGCTGGGGGTCCACTTGTTCCATGGTCGCGCTTATTAGTACCTAGTACTCGTCCTGGCGCACTGTGAATGGTTATGCTGGATCATAATTAAATCTTTATCCAGGTCCATCCCGTCATTCTGTTCAATTTGACTTACACCCAACGGGGTTACCTATAGGAGAGGTATAAGTCGATCTTTACTGAGGCGTAATACTAGATAGAATAAATAGAAACCCTGAAAAAAAAAAAAAAAAAAGAATAATAGAGTCATAGAATACCAGATATTTACCTAGTACCATCCTCATCTGATCTCCCAAGCATCGTCTAGAAGAACCTTAGCTAGCTAGCACAGACCGTGCCCCATGTCCCGATTCGTAATTCCTGCCCGCCCGAAAGACAACTCGCATTTTATGATTATTTAGGGTTGGGCTATCCCCGGGTTACGCAGCGGTTCCGCCCGAAAGTGACCATTTCTGGCCAACGCTGACGACATTTCGTCCTTTGACTCGCCTTTGCCGTTTTGCCGTCGTTTAGACTTCGCATTGCGACTGGATTTTCGGCTTCTTTTTTTTTAAAAAAAAAATTAAAAAAGAATATTTTTATCCCTCTTTTATACAGCGGTCGCGCTGGCAGCCTGGCCCGGCCTGACTCACCAACTCCGCGCTCTTGCGTTTCTTCTCGGATTTCCGGCTTCTCGGCAGATGACAACAGCCACTGTGGCGAGTCGTACTCTCGTATCCGTAGCCACCTGATGACCTGATGCCAGCACAGGGATTATCATTATTTATTATAATTATTGTTCTTCTTTGTGTGGAGTATGGTCGGTATTATTGATTGGTATGTGGTTTATCGCCGAGGCAGCTTAGCCCAGACATAAGCCGGAACATGGCCGGTCGCGACTTGACTTTGCCGATAATCAGGTAAGTAAGTCAGTAGATAGATTGTTCTCGGACTTTAACTCCGTTACCATCCATCACTGATTTACCCCCAACCCTGCACCTGAAACCATCCTTGTAACGAGCAGGGTTTGACTGTCGGTGATAGGCGCCAGGCAAAGAAAGCTACTGCCAGTCTGCGAGAGGCCAGAGGGACACCGCATTATTGCCCCCCCCCCTCCCCCCTCTCCCTTTTCCCCGCTGAGAATTTATCCGCTGCGAGCCAAAGATAGACACTTGAACACCGAAAAGCTTGACAAATCTTATCCGGGGCGATGGTTCGCATGACATACTGTCCGATAAGTATGAGAGTGGGCCCCCTTTCCCAAACGCCTTCCCTTACTCGGGTAGGCAGGTCCTTGTGCGAATCCACGATAGACTTCAGCGCGAAGTGAAACAATAATGCTGAGAACAGGGAAGCCAGGGAAGCCAGCGAGCCCCTAGGATCGGTCATATGCAAACGCGCAAACCAATCCATCCATCGGCCACGTAAGACAGACCGACCGAGCGACCGACCTGAGTGAGGTGAGACTCCGAGAGAGACTGAGTTGAGATTATTGACTGCCAGTCAAGTCACTCCGGTCTCAGAGAGGCTGGTCTTGCGCGTGAAGTTACTTATCATACTCCAATCAGCGGCTTGGCCCCCTCAGCCTGTCGCTCGCCCGGGAAAATTCGCGACGCCATAGCCCCGGAGCTTATTGTCCAGTAACGTTGATGGGAGTCGATAAAGTTGCGGGCGCAGTCCAACCGGGCAGGATCGAGCTTGGGTCCGTCGCTTCATCCTTCGCTTGAAGTTACTCTAAATTAAAGGTCAGGTCAGGTCGGTCAGTCTGCCTGGTTGCTTTGCTTTGCTTTTCTTAGCCTAGCTTAACTTGGCTTACTTATTTACACCTACACTTACGCTTACACTTACTTACACTTACTTACACTTACTTACAATTACTTACACTTACTTACACTTGCACTTACACTACACCCCCCCCCCCCCCCGGGTCGAGTCACCTCCCTCCATCATCATCATCATCATCATCAAACCATCAAACTTCATGATAACTAACCTCCCTCACGAGTAAGTGATTCTGGACCTGCACAGCCCGCCCGTCCACCCGCCCGCCATGCACCGGGATTCCGTGGCCCCCGTTTCACGGTCATCGTCACGGACTCCATACTTAATAATAGTACTTAGTAGTATAGGCAGTCAACTTAGAATTTAGATTGGAGTCTCTTCCTACTGCCTATCTAGGTAACAACAATACGTTCACACTATTATTATACATAAGTTATTATTGTTCAGTATATATCTGCCTACAGCCTACCTAGGTAACAACAACAACAACATCATCATCATCAGTCTCCAGCCAAGAACTGACACACAACTAGGCTACCGAGTATCATACCAGAGCGAATAAAAAAAATATAGGTAAAAAATAAGTAAAGTAGGTATCCAATACTACTAGATACTCCGTAATAGATGGATAATTCACTCATCCACTTTCTTGGGTTTGCCCCCAACTGGTAACAAAAAAAAAAAAAAACTGGAGCTTATAGTACACACTCCCTACACTAGCGCCGTCCGCCGTCCTACCAGACTAGCGAGCGCTCCAAGGATAAGCGTATCGCCAACAAAGTCGGTCGAATCCTGGCCGATTTTCTTGGCCTTTCCTTGGCTCCGGTCCACTATCTTGCCTTAGATGCGTAAGTTATTTCGGGGCCAAGCGATATGGTCAGTCAGTAGGGAGTAGGTACAAAGTATGGAGCATGGGCAAGAGGGGGACTAGGTACTTACTTGCTATTTAAGTGCCTAAAGAAGTAAGTAGTATGTAAGTATGAGTGTGTATGTACCAATCAAAGTCAATGCTAATACTAGTGTACTTTACTACCTACAGGGCTTGCGCTGGGTTGCAGCTGATGTCTCACATGGCAAATAGGAGATAAAGGGCAGGGGCTCCCAGCGTGGTATCGGTTGGCGATAGAGGATGAGACGATAATTAATTTTAGATTAAATTGTTAATGTTCTGGGTCTGGGCAGGGACCTGTCAGAGGTTGGCTATACGGCTAGCTACTAGATGGATGCTAACTCTTAAGGTATAGTTAGTTTAGTCGGATAAGTGAGATTGCCTACTTAGGCAGTAGTTACCTATCCAGTAATTAGTTACTAAGTACTAGTAGTAGCGACTGTAGTATGGATGTACCACGAACTCCTCCGGACATCTACTGGTCCCTCCCTAGGTAGGAACTAGATAAACGACATGGTTATTAACTCGACGGACAGTGACACTCCGTTGATTGCGAGGAACAAACCATCGAGTCCGTCAGTTGTATTGATTTAGTACTACTACCACTACTGCAACAACAACCTCCTCCTCCTCACCCCTGTACATGTGTGTCGATGCACACCGTGCAATGCGCAAATGCAGTGGGACTCCAATGCATGCCCTCCGTACTATGTATATGTCGACGCGGTGTCACTATCTCTTGCAGACAGCGGCGCAATTCAATTCTGGCCCTTCCCCATACGACATTGGCGGGTAGAGCGCCATTCTATCACCCATTAGGTGGGTGGGTAGATAGTATGTATATATCACCTGCATCGCTGCGGTGACTTGTTGAATACTTTAAGCCTATGCGGAGTCCGGAGCACCACCACACCCACATACACTTACACTTACACTTACACACACATGCATGCCCTGAAAATAGATCGGCGTGTACGGTACACTACATACAGATAGTAGGGAGTGTAGATAGATAGATCCCCTCGATGCTGTGACCGCAGGAAAGTAGGTATGTACAACATTACTATCTACTATACGTAAGTCGACCGCCTCAGTCAGTCAGACAGGGAAACCATGTACGGAGTATATAGATCAATATCACGAATTTATCTACCTACAGCCACCAGAACAAGTTACCACAGACAGACAGACAAAACACAAGGTAGTACCACCTATGTACTCCGTACGAAGGAAGCATACCAGTACAGTTAGCGACACAATCAAGCTTTTGCCTCCCACCACCCGGTCCACGACGAGGGATATTAACCGCCGTACCTACACAGCACTACGAAACCTTGTTGCAGGGCGCCGTCGCTCCGTAAAGTTCGCAACTTGTCGCAAGAGTCGCAAGGTACCACTACCATGGCTATCTCCTTCATTTAGCCTTTCCTTCCCTTAAAGCAAAAAGTAAGTTGGAGTGAATCGAATCGACTCATCCAGCTTTACCCATCCGCCAATCGGACTCCTTGGCACGATTCAGGAAGTCCCCGGAATCCGAGACACTTATTTGTTTTATTTGTTTTATTTGTTTTTATTTTAAACTGGCTCCGATCGACCCCGGTCAATAGTGGTAGGACTATCGACTATCTATCTTAGCCTTCCTGCTTTCGGACAGCTAGATACTTAGGTAGCTGGGTAGCTGGGTATCTAAGCTGGTTGGTTCGAGTCCGGCTGGCTGTGGTTAGGTTTGGTTTAGTTCCTCCGTCCGTGGAACTGGTTACTAGTAGCGTAGCTCGACGCTTAAACTTTTTACCTTGTCGTCGGGGGGAAAGGTTAGTTCGTTAGCATGTAGGACTGAGTTGAGTTGACTGGTGGTGGTGGTGGTGGCGGCTTTACCAGGTAACCATGTTTATTTAGGTAGATTTCATTAAAGGCCCCGGGAAAATATATTCTATGACCCTGGCATGTGTTATCATCACCAGATAGATACCTAGTACGGAGTACCTCCCTAGGCACTAGTTACTAGACAGACAGATGGACAGATGGATTGGATACAACCAAGGACTCAACCCATAGAGTATTTACATAACTACTGTACTGTCAATCACCGCTAACTACCTGCTTCTGTTACTACCAGGCAAGTCCTGCGACTGGATAGTACATAGTACTACTACAACTTACACCACTCACTCCCCCTGAGTTTCCCTTGCATGGCCGTGTCACCCCAAAAGCCAAGTTCCAAGTTACTCCTGGAAATCTAGTGAGTCAAGATTTTTTATAGTTACCCTACCCACCAGCCTACATGACCTGGACGACGCTACCTACTTTAGACAGACAGGGTCAGTCATGCTCCAATGCAACCAATCCATTCATCCATCCATCCACCTATCCTGTCCTGTCTTGTCCTGTCCACACACACACACACACACACATATATACATTCACACCTACACCCTTGATTCAGCCCGAACAGGTCAAGGAAGCAAAAAAGAAGAAGAAAGGTTCCAACTGCCTGCCACACAGCCAAGGGGTGAAGGGAAGGGAGGGGAGGGGAGAGGGGGGACCCCTTTGTGAAACGTTGCACGGGCTTATCTCCACTAGCATAATTGGTTTAAGGTAGATTATTTTTTTTTTACGATTATTGGGATTTGGGAATGGTGAAATGCAACAAAGTCAGGCCATCTTGCTGGAAATCCCGAATGCAAGTAAGTAGGTAAGTACTATACGGAGTATGTACTCCGTAAGGGTTCTAGAAAAGGCCGTTGGTTTTGGATGGCGCAGAAGTTGGGCGGCGTTGCAATTTTTCGTTGGAATAATTAATTAGCTAACTGCCTGGAGCTCTAGATAACTAGCTACTGGGTAGTATTTAGATTTTAGATTGCCTTGCGCCGGACTTCCGAGTGTATGCGCAGGGGGGCATGAAGTCCCCGCTAACAAACAATCTCCTTGAATAACTATTAAATAAGAGGGGTTTTGTTTTTTTGTCTGTCCTCTGCTGTTAGTTATTGTTGTTGTCATCGTCGAGTGTCGATGAACTTTCATGATGATACATACATACTATGTACTCTGTACAGTGGTCTGTCGTACGCCCATGTCTTGTATTCTGTAAACCTACTTTATCGTCGCACTCGCAGATCACCTACCCGACACAGACATTGCTGACGGGGATCTTCCCCCCCCCCCCTTTGCATAATGATCGGTCATAGTAGGTAGTCTGTCTGTTTGGATTAGGTTAAGGTACGGAGACAGGAGACCCAAGTACAAAGTAGTAACTACTAGTAACCTCTACTTGGGACTCAGTCTGGTGTTGTGCTGTGCTCCCCCGAGTTGACCAGTAAAAAGTGCCCAGAACCCGATCAAGTCCAAGTAAGATTAAGGTAAAGTGAAGAGAAGTGACTTCAATAACACCAAGACCAGCTGCTCTGGGCACCCACCGTTGCAGCCCTAGCCTCGCGACGATTGCTTAGTTTGGGACCCAAGCCTCTCCAGCGTCTCCCCTCTCCGTTGTGGCCGATGGAGATGAATTCCTCCTTTGGGGAATTCCCTTGACGGATGTGACTAATGGGGCTGCCCTCCGTGGCGGCGTATCAGACTGCCAGAGCCGAGGATCGCTATCCCTGACCAGCCCAGGCGTCAAAGCGCTGCAGAGCCAAGCCATCCCCGCTGACTACTCGCCCTTTCAGAGGTCGATGTAACACGAGTTTTCCGACTGGACCCTCGACCGGCCAGATAGATAGATAGCCAAGGCTTAGCCTGCCCCGTCTAGTGTCTGGCGCGGGCGTATTCCCCGAGCCAGCACCCCAGGAGCAGTTCATCGTCTTACGTGCATTGAGCATTGATTGTGCCCGGAAATCAGCCTGATTGCTAATCGGATCCTTCCTGCGCCGTGTCATATCAGAGACAGAGACAGAGACAGAGACAGAGACAGAAGAGGTCTGAGACTTTTGACTCTTCATTGAGGCTATGGACCTCGTACATAGGTAGGTAGGTACACAGTACACCGAAATAGCCGGTGGCTACCGGATCGATCGCCTGGGCCATGTTCCCCGTCTCCGAGTCTGCAATTTCCTGTTTGGTGTATTTCCGCTCCCTTTTTTGGGGGGAGGGGGGGGGGGGATTTTTATTTTTGCGGCATCCTTTATGAATTTATGCCATTGTTACGGAAACCTCCGCGGAAATAACGGGCCGCTTAGGTAATTAGGCGAGCTATGGGGAAGAAGTTCATAAATAATAATAGTTCCGTCGGGAGCATTCAGACGTACTACTATCTAACTACTTAAGGTACTGTCTATTCACTGGCAGTCGGAAAGTAACAAGTGTCCTCATCTGAGTCAAGTTGCCGAGCACCAGCCGATGATACGAAGAGGGTCACGCCGCGATCCACGGTCCCATTCTGGGCAAAGGCCACCTGATTCCCTCGTCGAATCATGGCCGTTTCCACGTTCATCACCCAAGCATAGTGTGCTGTCCGTCTGGCGCCGGACAAAGGCCGAGAGAATATGCTTAACACCAGTAAGGTTGGCAACTTGGCATTGCCCCCTCCCCGCGTGGTATTCCTCCGCAAGCCAACCTATCTCGAGAGCGAAAAAGGTGCGACAGGGAAGGATTCCCGTCAGCCCATCTGATCCATCCAGCAGGCTCAGCAAGCACTGACTGGACTTGTCGTGATTCGGGATTCAGAATTCGGGATTCAGGGTCACGGCCTTGATGCCCATTCGGCTACGGTTATATTGCCTATCCAATCCAATTATCCAATGACCCATGATCCATGATCCATCTACGGTGTGCCACGGCCCCGTCCCTCGTGCCGACGGCGACGATCCAGCCGTGTCAGGACTGACTTTCAAGTCTCAACCCTCCGCCAAAAAGAAAATCCCCGCCCGATGATTGATAGATAGATGGATAGATAGATGAAGCTTCCGCCTGAAACCGCCCGTCAGAGCGTGAAAGTAAAACAGGTCGGGATTGAGATGTCCCCTTTCTTAGTACTATCTAGTCTCCCCCTCTTCCGACCAAGATTATTGCAAACGAGATGTGGATCGTAGGCATCCCGATTCGGGCAATCGGCGTAGCGAGGCTCCGCCCAGACCGCAGCTTGGAGGGAATAAAGTATCCGTTCGGGGTGGGCCCCTCCTCCCCATCCCATACAGAACTCCGGCGGCAAGCCAGGTTGTCGGTTAGGCCCCCCCCCTCTGTTCCTGATTCCTGGGTAGGCAACGATTCGATGAGGTGACGGACTGGCGCGGTGGATGGTCTCACCTCACCCCCATCCGCCGCTCCCGAGTCCAATCATCCGCGACCCAGTGTCCCTGAACCGGAAGTGCTCGACCGTTTTCGCGGTGACCTTCCAGAAATCGAAGCGTCAACGAAGGGGGGTGGAAGCATTCGGGGAGCTCCAGGTGACGACCGATCGATCCACTGTACCATTCATTCATATGGCATTAGTCGGGACTATTGACTAGTCGGCTGCCGAGCTTCAGATTTGGAGGTTGGAGGTTAGAGGTTAAAGATGGGACTAGTTCAAGTCTTGGTCAAGAGAGGAGGGGAAGGGGGGGGGGGCGAGGATTATGGCCCCTGGAGAATTCCATCGCGCATGAGTGGTTGGAACTTGGAGTCGGTTTTGGGCGCCGCCGTACGCCGTGCGTATTGCCGAATACGGGGACATACCGGTAACTTTTGCACGTGAATGCCAGACTAATAAGTGCCAAACACGGACCGGCACTATCTTACCGCCAGGGTCTCCGCCTCGGCGTCTCGCTCACGTGCCAGCCGAGCTCTTCTCTTCCCTGATTGGCCGTCGTTGTCTACTAGCATGTATCAACTGACTCACGGGGATCTCACGTTTCAAGTCTCAAGTATGTGTATAGATTAGATAGATACGAAATATCCAGATAGATGGCGCAATCGCAAAGCGTCATGTGATAGTGGATGGTGGACAAGCCATCGTGGCGTTGCCGCTGGTGTCGGAGTAGCCCATGGCTACTAGAGTCGAGAGCATTCCAGGAATCCTTGGCGTGAGCCCTAAAAGCATGACTCAAGTTGATTCATTCATGTTGATGATAGAGATGCGATGACAGGGCAGGTCTACAAATAGGACTGGGACCAGCGGTGCATCGGGTCAGCCACCATGGCCCAATCCATGTCAGCCTCTCAAGCATCCATCGACATCACCTCCTCCGAGAGACTGTTTCCTAACCCGGACAGCACCTCGGAGCAGATCAAAGCGCTGTCCCTGCTGGATGCCAGCACGGTCAACTTCTTAGCCACCTCTGCCGTCTGGCTCTTCCAGGGCCCCGAACAACCAAGCCCCTTCCACCACTTGGTGGATCATCTCCGCCAATCGCTGAGGGTCACCCTCGATGCTTATCCACAATGGTGCGGCCTGCTGAAGGCCATCACCACCGTCGACGGCCCTCTGGCACCCGGCCAGGATCAACTCGCGCCTCATGCCCGGCGGTTCGGCCGCGTGTACGTCCACTATGGCACCCGTCACGACCCTGGTGTCGAGTTCGTCACCGCACGCACCACGGCCACTCTGGATGAGCTCCATCCCTCTTCACGCACCACTTCCCACCCTCTCTGGGACCAGGAAAAGGTTTCCCTATCGAGCCTTGTCTCCGCAACACCGCTCGTCAACCCGCTGAACCCCCCTGCCATCCGCGATGCCGATGCCGATGCCGATGCCGACGCCCTCTCTCCTCCTCCTCCTCCTCCTCCTCCCATCTTGGCCGTCCAGATCACCAAATTGGCCTGCGGCGGATTCGCGCTCGCCGCCAAGATCGCCCATCCGCTAGCGGACGCAAGCTCGTTGGTCCGTTTTGTCAAAGACTGGGCAAGAGTGTGCCGCTCCGTACTCGTGGGCGCGGCCACGCCAGCCCTGCGGTCGGTGTTTGCACCGGAGCAGTTGGACGCCGTAATCGCAGGCGATATCAACGCTGCCAGCCCCGACCAGGCGATTATTCAGCGGACAGAGGCCCTCCCGTTCCATCGCTACGACTGGTGGAATCCCTCCCCCGACTATCCCCAGGCCGCGACGGTGCCGGAAGCCTTCCAGAACCAGGATCTTCCCCCAGCCGGCAATCCCATCCCGTGGCGCGAATGGGACACGAAAGCTCCCGTTTCCCATTACGTTTTGCATCTGAGCTCCGACCAAGTCGAGGCTATTTGGCGTCAGGCCAGCGACGCGTCCCCCACAGCAACAACAACAACAACAAAAACAACAGCTCCCCCTAACCGACTAAGTCGACACGATGCCGTTCTAGCCCATATCTGGGCCAGCGTCAACCGGGCGCGACAGCTGCAGAACGACAGCGGGCCGGTGCACTGCGATCTGACGTACGGGTTCCGACCGACGTTTCATCTCGGCGAAGCCTACCTCGGGAACGCAAACGTCATGGTCAATGTGGAGATGACTGGGGCGGAAATGACGACGACAACCACAACGACGACGACGACTGCAGATTCAAAAGGTCAACAACAGCCGCACGGCAACCTCCCAACAACAGCCGCGCTGCCGCCCATCGCGCAGCGCATCCGCCAAACTCTCACGCGAGTCAGAGACCCGACCCTCCTGGCCGCCCATCTCCACCGTCTGGCCTACGAATCCTCCCCGCAGCGCATCTGGCAGGGCTTCTTGGGCCGCCGTCATATCATGGTGACGACGTGGGCGCGCGCAGGGCTGTATGAGGTGGATTTCGGGCTGGGTCCGCTTCGCTACGCGGACGGCATCCTCGCCAACCTGGATGGACTGCTCTTGATTAAAGAGGCGCCACCACCGTCGTCGCCCGGTCGGAGGTCGGAGCTTGTCGGCAACACTACTCATAACGGCGTCTCTCAGTCTCCGCCGACCTGGACGGAGCATGGCGTGGATGTCCAGCTTCATCTGGCCACGGAGGTTATGAACCGTTTGAACCGAGATCCATTGCTCTTGCCAAGTACATAGTATATCTAGTGTCTATCAATAGCCGTTCTAGTACATTGGATCAATTAAATTTTTTTTTTAAATTAATCCCTTAATCTAGCGATTGCACATCCTTCCCCTTCCCCTATACTATCTATCTAGTCACCAAACTCTGAAGTCTAACGGCAGTCCCTGCATAAACAGTTAAGGCTTACCGTGTGTACGGAGTACTCTTACTCTTACTGTTAGTTATATAACTAGTAACTATGTTCCCAACGTCTGCCCACACCTATTCTGGAATAGTCTACTAGTAGATAATAGCCAGAACATGATAACCACTGCAGTGATCCTTGTCCTTAGTTCGGAGTATCCCGTGCCGTGTCCAAGTAGATAACTATAGTACCGTCTTTATGTATAGTACGACTGACTCTAAGCGAACCCCCTATATCAAACAACGCTAAGCCCTCGACCAACGTTCTATGTGTATATACAACCTTAACGGCCAATGGCTAGTTAGCTAACCATTGTATAGCTCATCAAACCAACCAATTCAGCAATCATCATCATCATCATCACTCTCCAACCAATTATCTCTTCACCCAGGATCTATCTCGTACACCGCATATACTACTAGTAGTTACCACGCATGTTCTAATGCATGTCTGCATGTATGTACTATACACATCTACTTAGTACTTAGTATACATATAGTTATACCTACATACCTCATGGTCATACACAGCGGTCTCATCTCACATGGCCTCCACGCAACAATTCAACACCCAAACAAAGACCACTGAGGTCAAATACACACACACACACACACACACAAGCAAACGCCCTTCCGCTGCATATGACACGCAACAAAGAAAAAGGCCGAGGCCGACTGGACTGGACTGGCCGTAGCCCCCTAATTCCCAATCCCTGATTCCGATCCCTGGATCTGGATCTAGACTGGTCTGGCTGGCTGGATAGCTAGGAGGAGGAGAAGAAGAAGGAGGTAAGTTAAAGTAAGATACCTACCTACCTAATCCCACTGTACGGAAGTATAACGGGTAGTTACTTCACTTCGATAACTATTACCTAGGTACTACGGACTAGATAGGTTCAAGATAGCCCGTCTGCTCTTATGTACACACCTCTATACATAGACAGATATGAATGCAGATATCCATGAAAGTCGAATTAAGTACGCAACGGCACAACGACCCGAAACTAACGTAGTGGCGCGGAACGGTTGTCCATCTGACGGGGTTTTTACGAGAGTAATCAGTAAGATGGGCAATTTGAGTTTCTTTGTTTGCTTGCTTGCTGCGCTGACAGCAAAGGGGGGGGGGAAGGGGAGGGAAAGGAAGGGGAGGGAAGAACGCCCCCCTGATTGCGCCATTGCTTGTTTGGTCCGTGGTGGGTAGGTACCTAGGTACCTTTATTAGTATAGTTGATCATCCGTACAGATAGTTAGGTATGGAGGAGGAAGGTGGCTAACTATAATAGGTACTGAGTAAATGGGTTCTTCGAGGTCGGTAGGTAACTAGGGAGGGGATCTTTGCATTCGTAATGACCGGGTGGAGATTAGTTATGTCTTCTTCCCAATTCATTAGCTAGCTACCTACCTATCTACCTGGTCATACATACCGTGTTTCTTTTGCCTGATTCATATTCCCTGTCTATCTCTCTATCCATGTCAATAATATACACCCAGTCAGTATTCCATGCTGGTTTGTCTCCAAGGATCCCGAGATCCCGACTAGCAATCCGCCCGTCCGTAATATCTCGGAAACGCGACCACGTCCCGCACGCTGGACACGCCGGCCAAATACCCCAGGAACCGGTCGAATCCTAGTCCGAAGCCTCCGTGTGGCGCCGTGCCCCATCGCCGGAGGTCGGCGTACCATTGCAGGTGGCTGAGGTCTTCGCCGGGGAGGAGATGAGGGTATACCGGTTCGCCTTCCGGGCTACTGCTGCCGGTGCTGCCGGTGGTGCTGGTGGTTTCGTCCCCGCGCTTGATCAGGCCGTGCTCGCGCATGTTCGTGATGATCTCCGCGAGACGGTGTTCGCGGAGGGAGCCGCCTGCGACTTCGCTGACTTCGGGGAGGAGGAGGTCGAAGCAGGCGACGGTTTCGCCGTGGGGGTTGTGGCGGTTGCGTGGGACGGGGCCATGTAGAACGGCTTGATGGTCTTGGGGTAGTCGGTCACGAAAACCGGGTGGCCGTTGTTGAGCACGTCGACGATGTATTTCTCGTGCTCGAGCTGCAGGCCGCCGGTCCAGGTCGGGGGGTATTCAAATGAGGCGGAGTCGGCGGTGACGGCTTCTTGGAGGAGCTCGATCGCTTCGGTGTAGGTCATTCGTCGCCATTTCGGCCCGGCGATCATGTCTTGCCAGCGCTGGCGCAGGTCAACGGGAGTGGAGGATTCCTCGGACTCGCTGGACCGTTTCACGGTGAGTATTTCCTGTCCAACAGACGTCTCGTGGAGGCGCCGGGTGAGGTCGCGGAGCAGGTACTCGACCATGTCGGTGAGGGAGTCCAGGTCGCTCATGAAGTTGGCCTCGGCTTCCAACATGTAGAATTCGCTGAGATGGCGCGGCGTGTCGCTCTTCTCGGCCCGGAACATGGGCGACATGGTCCACACGTTCCCCAGCTCGGCCGCGTAGGCTTCGAGATGCAACTGCGAAGATACCGTGAGGTACTTGGGGGCGCGGAAGAAATGTTCGCCCTCGGCGGGAGTTGTTCCCATTTGCTCCCGGGGGACGACCGAGAATGTCTCCCCCGCACCTTCGCAGTCCGAAGACGTGATGAGCGGCGGGTGCACCTGTATGAAGCCGCCATTGGGGGCAGAGCGAAACACGTTCCCGAGTTGGTATAGGCATTCAGATCGGAAGCGCGAGAGGAGGGAGTTGAACGACGTTCTCAGGCGGAGATGGGGGATCTGACGGAGGAAGTCGGGACTGTGGTATTTCTTCTGGATCGGGTAGGTCTGTTGTATCGCGACCGTTCGTCAGTATGCGTTTGTTGTTGCGGGCGGAATGAGCCTACCTCCGGGTCTGTTTTGCCCACCACGTTCACGGCTGTCGCCTGGAGCTCATGCGTTTGCTCCTTGCCAGGGGGACATGCCTTCCATATGCCGGATATCTCCACCGCTGTGCCAGTAGATAGTCTAGACGTTATGTGTCAGTCTGGGTATTTGTGAGCTCGGGAAAAGCTTCGGACCGCGGAAGTGAACGTACTCGGCCGCCTGCGACGGGGTCAAAACAGCCTGCAGAGGTTTGACCGTCGAGCCATCGGAGATCTCTGCGAAGGCAATGCGTTTCTGCTTGCGAACAGAGCGGATGAACCCGTTGAAGCTGATCTCCTGGTCCTCCAGACTAGATCCCCGGCTTTGCTGGAGGGCCTGCGCGCAACGGACCAGCGCGGGGCTGGCGGCCCTCGCTGCTGGCTTATGATTCAGCCGAGCAACTGATGTGGAGAATGTCCGCCGCCATGTCTGCATCTCTTGGGGCAATTGGGGAGATGTCGCGGGGGAAAGCTGAGGGGGTTGGAGTCGGAGAATGCGGTGCGCATCATCGGCGGTGGAAGAAGTGCGCCGGCCCGATGATTCAGCGCGCACGGCTGCCTCGGCGATAAGGCGGTCACAATCTACAATCTATAGTTATACGACGCAGGGAGAGGAAGCATTTATTGATATTCAAGCAAATTCAAAACATAAGACCCGCTAGGGCAAAGCAAGTGACGTATCCCAAGTTTCATCACTGTCAGTCTTCAAGCAATAGCAGTCCACAGCCCAGCCGGAACACAAGATGGAGAAAAGATAGCAAGTCAGGAGTACAGGTATTACTAGCAAATTAAGTCATCAAATCGTGGATCCCTGTTGTTCGTAGGCCTTTCGTTCCTCCTCAATCATCTCAATCGCATCAGATACCCGGCCGTCCGCCGCCGCAGCATACACCGCGATCCTCTGCAGCCCGCCATCGCTTGCACCCCCATATCCCAAGCTGACCAAGGTGGACACGCAGTCATCAATGCTGCGCTGTCGCGCATTCGAGCCAGAGTTCGGAGGCTCGGATGAAGGGCTCTCAAAGAGACCCCCTCGAGCGGCCCGGTGACGATGGCCTTCCGTTCTCCGACTGGACAGGCCACGAGGGATGTCTTCTGAGAATCTAGAGGCGCCAGGATCTGCCCAAGAGGAACGATATGACTTCTGGGCCCTTGAGCGCCGAGTATGACGACGAGGACCGAATGAGGCGCCAAATTCGGTCTCACCCGGCATGTGACGAGTTTCTGACGACGGCTCTGGCCGGGCCAAAAGAGCGTCACTTGCTTCCTGCGGGAACGTACCAGGAAGTCCCTGCAGAGTCGCATCCTTGCTTGCGTCGCGACCCTTGGAGCTGGCCTCGGGCGCTGTGCCTAGAGATACTGGCTGTTCAGCAGAAGACTCGACTTGCCGACGCTGTTCAGCTAAGAAATGTGCCTCAAGCTGGGACACGGGTGGGAAGCGACACGCATCTAAATTACGGGCAAGATCCGAAACGGGGTCAAACGCAGGTTTATCGGAACCAGAAGGTCCCGGAGTACCTTGAGGCAACAGGGAAGGGTAAAGAGAGTTGAGCCTCTCGGCATCCTCTAGAGATGAGTTCTCCAGACCATCACTAGGTGATACTGCCAGACCATTGACAGGTGATGCTTCTCTCCCCAGATTCCGGTTGTCGCTGGAACAGAGGTCCGCCACTTTCAAAGGGGCGGAACGCTTACTGGTGACAAACTCATCGTCTTTGGACAAAGTCGGCTCCAACCTGGCGAAAGTAGCGCTTGAGCCTTGAAGCTCGGATAGTTTTGATGCTTCGTTAGCAGGAACGGGCGCTGGATGATTCGATGCATTCTGCGACGGAGAATCCTCAGAGCGCACTCGTGTTATTGGGACGTGATCACTGAATTCAAGATTGATTGCGTGCCCATCGATATGCGTGCCCTGCAAGGCTTCCAAGGCTGCCTTCGCTGCATGTACGGACGGAAAATGCAGATAGCCAAACCCGGCATGCGTTCCGGTTGCAACATCCTGGGGCAGCTGCACTTCGACCAAGAATCCCTTCGAGGCAAAAACATTGTGAATCATTTGCTCATTCACGTTAAACCCCACATTGCCGACGAACAACGCCGTGGCAGCAGGGGGGCGTGCATCGGAAGTGGCGGGCTCTCCTCGCCTAGGCCGCGAGAAATTATTCGTGGTCGACTGAGCGACGTCTTGGTGGGACAAAAATGGTGGCCAACCCTTATGATGACGCCGGTGCGGGTGTCCATGGGTGTGTGGATGCGGGTGCGGGTGCGGGTGCGGGTGTCGTTGCGGGACAGAGTGTGGTGAAGACGGCGATGGATAAGCAAAAGGACCACTGGGGGGGAATGCTCCTGGGGGATTGAAAGCATCGCTGGGTTGCCAGAATGGGGGAGGAGGTCCCGGAGGAGGCGAGAAGTGGTGATAAGACGTGAAGTGTTGGGGAGGCACCGTACCAAATAGAGGGTGAGGGGGAAGATCATGGAAAGGCGGGGGTGGGTGAGGATGAGGGTGGGGAGGAGGAGGTGGTGGTGGTGGAGGAGGGTAGGCTCCAGGGATGAACGGACTGAATGGTAGAGGTGAAGGAATGCGAGGCGAGTCCGGCTGCGTCCGCGAGTTGTCCGCCTTAACAGGCTTGTCTGAGCCCTCTTGGGATTTGGAATCCGTTGCCAGATCCTTTGCTTTAGTTTGAGCCTTTTCGCCCTCGCCCTTAGCATCCCGACTTTTGGTGTCCGTAGTTGTATCTTCGGCCGAGGCAGCACCAGACGGTTTAGCAGGCTTCGCGTGCTCTGAGGGGGGATGGCTCTGATGCTCTTCAGGAGCCTGGGGTTGACTGCTAGTTCTTGGGCAACCAAACTCGGTCTCGAACGCCTCGAACAGTGTATGTCCTACGTTCCCAAGCTCGCACGCCATTGCGCGCAGACTATCCACGGTACCTGCGGCTGTAGGCAGTTCACCCCGGAGCGTCTGCCCAGCGGCGACAGTTGAGTTGTTGAGAGAGTCTGTCAAGTGTCTCATACGAGCTTCCAGTAGCGTGAGAGCTCCCTGCACCGATGATTCCACGTGTTGAGGGATGAGTCTTTGGACATCTTGAAGACCCTTTTCAATCTCCGACAGACTTAGCCCCACGCCAGAATTGATGATCGACGCCCCTTGGTTCAAGGTTCCGTTGACACCACCGTTGATCAGGTTATGCAATGTATTTCTCAGCATATCAGCGGGGTTTTGGGGCCTGGCAGCTTCTGCCTCTGTTCGCCCCTGAGGGGCGGCTGAAGATTCGCCCGGCGTGTTGTCATCGTTCACAGACCTGGAAGCATCCAGGATCTTGGCCATTTCAGCCTCGAAGGCGGCCAACAGCGGCGGACTTTCATCCGCCTTAGCGGGATCGACATTCTCGGGTTCGATACCCGATGGCACATCTGCTGGAGCACTCGCAGCTGGGGCGTCTGTAGTTGCTGGCTTGGTCTGGGTCTCGTCCGCAGCCTTTGTGACCGGCACGTCTTGCTCGACTTGTTTGACCTCGAACTTCTTCCACAGCTCCGTGACCGAGTTTGACCGTCGAATATCGAACAAGTGCATCGGTTCGGGGATGGTGGTTGGCGACACCGAGGCTGGCTCAGCTGTGGGCTCAACAGGCTCGTCCAGACGTTGTGAGAGTTCAAGAGATGATCCGACCTGTCGTCATCATCATCAGTTGGTGGAAGGACGAAGTATACAAGGAGGGGCATCAAACGTACTGTGATGAGTTCACCATCGTCGTCATCGAGATAAGTCAGGCGTGCCCGGGGGTGGGTCGAACTGAGGTCATCGTAGTCGTTGGCAGATAGCTGTACGATGCCCCGGCGAGTTCTGGGCGACGCCAGTCCCGATGACGAGGGCTGCGCGGATGTATGTGATGGAGATCCATGGAGATCTCTAATTTGGAAAGGATTCAACATCTCCGGCGATTAAAACGGTCGCGGAGGAAACGCTCCGTTTTTCGGCCGTTGGGAGGAAGGACAGGGTACTATAAGGAGTACACTGACAAGGCTTGGAAGAAGCAAGCCGCCCGCAGGTGTGGTGTCAGTACGGGATGGATGGATAGATAAAAAGGACGGATGAGATGGAAACAAAAGGGATTAAGCTAGTGGCTAGCTAGTAGCTAGTAAGTGGTGGAATAAGGGACTGGGGCTGGGACTGGGACTGGAACCCGGGACGAGGAGACGATAAGGAGGAGAAGGGCAGCGACTGGCGGTGGTCGTCGTCACTATTGCTGCTGCCTATGGGGGGGCGGTTCGGAGGTCTTTGCCTCAGCTGTTAAGCTCAGACAACAGGATTCCGCAACAGGAAGCCGACCATGGCCATCCGAGGGTCAGCTGCAGTGTCACCCCGATAAAAAGGACACAAACGGACAGGCAACCAGAGAAGCAGCCAGTTGATTGTTTGGGTTGGGATGGTGAATGAAGAGTTGATACGATGGGAGAGGGAAGTGGGAAGAGGAAAGAAAGATCTGGAGTCTAGACAGTGCTACAGTACAGTCCTAGAGTTCAGTCAGGTAAAGTAGTTGAATACGGTACTCCGTACATATATACTCCGTACTAAAGTGACTTTTTTTCCCCGCGCGCGGTCGGGGTCAACTGACCCGGAGCTTAGGGACCATCGCTTGCTGTCAATGCAGATGAAGTGAATGAAACAAAGAAAGAAGCAGTGTTCCCCTCCTTACTTGACTACTGAGTATTACTGCCTGCTTTAGGCTAATCGCTCCAACTCCCGTCCCGACCATCCAGAACTCTCCAACCCAGTCTGCAACCAACAAACCGCCCTTCCAATGGCCTCTCTGCAGAAACGCGCCCGCAGCAGATCCTCTACGACACCTCATTAGGGGCACGTCCCCAACTTTATCCCGAAATTCCTCGCCTGGACTGGACTGGACTGGACTTGATTGGATTGGATTGGATTGGAGCCACTCTCGTCTCGTCCTCTCCCCAATGGCTCCAAACGACGAGCTCGCGTCGCGCACCGACCCGTCGTCGTCCACCGACCGTAACGTCAAGCACGTCGTACTCGGCGACCTGCTGTTCCCGACCTGGTACCAATCCATCTACCCGGAAGATCTGGTCACCAAAGACACAGACCGGTTGTACGTCTGTCGATGGTGCTTCCGCTACTCGTGCGACGTGCATGCCTACGCGAAACACACGCGCCTCTGCCACCACCGCACCACGCCCCCCGGAACCAAAGTCTATGATCACGGCGGATACTCCGTTTGGGAGCTGGACGGCGAATGTCACAAGCTCTACGCGCAGAACCTGTCCTTGTTCGCCAAACTTTTCCTCGACCACAAGTCCGTTTTCTTCGACGTCGTCTCCTTCCTCTACTACCTCCTCGTCTTCACCGACCCCAATGACCCGGAGAACTACTACGTCCTGGGCTTCTTCTCCAAGGAGAAACTCTCCTGGGATGCGAATAACCTCGCCTGCATCCTGGTCTTCCCGCCCTATCAGCGCAAGCAGCTCGGGAAGTTGCTGATGGGCGTCAGCTATAAAATCAGTTCCTGGGAACGCGACAGCGGGTTGATCGGGGGTCCGGAACGCCCGTTGAGTGAAATGGGTCGCAGGAGTTATACGCGTTTCTGGGAGGAGCGAATAGCCAGATACCTTCTGTTACAGGGCTGGGATGATGCCGAGGACGCAGGGGAAGGGGAGGCGGAGGGGGAGGAGGAGGAGAGGTCTGGGTCGAAGCAAAAGCCCCCCCAAGGCCAAGGCTCGAAGAGAAAACACCCCCACGAGCTCATGACAGTGCAGGACATTGGATTGGCCACGGGGATGCTCACCGAGGATGTGGTCACGGCTCTGAAGGGTTTAGGGGTCGTGGAGTCCGCAACGCCGGCGAAAAAGCGCAAGGCGAAGGATCTAGTATCTGGCGAGGCGGGCCTCGGTGAGGGCGAAGCCGTAATAATACGACGAGCCACGGTTCTCGAATGGGCCAAGGCACACCATATGGCTGTGCGAGATCCGGTCAGAGATGACGGCTTTCTCGGGAAATGGGCACCAAGGGACTCCGACGATGAGAGCATTGCGGATAGTGCGGACGGTGATGTGGAAGACGAAGATGAAGAAGAAGAAGAAGAAGAAGAAGGATAAAGGCACTACGGCTGTTCTTTTCCGGCATTTCCTTTCGACCATGTTCTTCTCGCGCTGGGGAAGCAACATGCCCTGTATGACTACCTATTTAATCCACGTACGCTACTGCCCGTATGAATGCAACCTACACTTACGAATTTTTTTTTCAAAAAAAAAACGTAAATAAAAAAAAGAAAAAGCCTACTCTGCTATCGTCCGTAGAAAATTACCAGAAAAGGCAATGCGTCCCCATCCGACAGGAGGCCCTACTGCTGCTGCTACCCATGTGTCTCTCTCCAGGCATCAATCCGGTGTGCGCGTCCAGAAAGTCCCTCAGTGTTCAATAGTACCACAACTAAGTTAAGCTGTAATACCCAGCCCAGGCCCTGCGGTGTATCCCGCAACGTAAAGCAACTCACTCGAAAACTACCTATCTATCATGTCAGACGCACTATTAAGGAATACGGTGCTGCTCCGCAATTATCTCCGGAACTAGCGAGCCTCAAGAGACATTTCGCGGCCATCAGAGATATAATATTGATTGATTGATTGATTGATTGATTGATTGATTGCAGCCGTCTCACTCCGTCTGGGCATGAGTGATGGTGTATCTATCTATCCTGCTGCCTATATTCGTTGCTCGCCTCGACATACGGCACTCCATCCATCCGTCGCTTAGGCAGCGACCAACCGAGCATGCATGAATCATGAAACTACTGACAGGGACTCGGACTCCTCGCCAATACAGTCGCGTTACGGGATATAATGAGATAGGGTGATAGGATTGCCTCATTCATGGATGATTAAAAAATCGATTAGGGTATGCCGAAAGAAACGTCACTAGCATGGCCTTTTCAGCAAGAATTTGAGTACAATTTTCAGACGTAGGATGTTTTTCTAAACCGGTAATCCAAGGAAGGAATCCCCACCAGAAGGTTTCTTTACATAAGCTCGTCCTAAGTCACATTACTCTTCCATACCGCCGGGTCCGCCCGCCTTGCTCATTTGTCTGGCCTTCAGCAGCTCGTCGCAGAGCAGGAGGTTCGAGGCAATGCCCGTGCTGGATGCGATGCAGTTGCGCAGCACGCGGAAGGAGTCGAAGACACCCTCCTGGATGGGGTCCATCGGCTCGCCGGTGTTCAGGTCCAGGCCGACGGTGTTGCCCTCCGCCTGCTCGTCCTGCAGAACGGCCAGGGAGTCCTGGATGTCGTGGCCCGAGTTAGCCGCGAGGGTCTTGGGGATGATCAGAAGAGCATCGGCGAAGGCAGACACGCCCCACTTGGCCTTGCCCTTCACCGTCTTGCGGACCGCCTCGGAAGAAAGGTGGCCAGCGCAGGCCACCTGGAAGGCACCGGCACCGGGGACCACACAGCCGTCGACAATGGTGTTGTACACAGACCGCAGACCGTCCCGAACGGCATCCTTAACCTGGGCGATGGTGTGCTGGTTGGGGCCCTTGATGAGCAGGGTGACGGACTTGGGGTCCTTGACCTCCTCAACGAAGGTGAACTTCTCCTCGCCGAGCTGGTGCTCGTAGACAAGACCAGCCCATCCGAGAACATCGGGCGTCAGGTCCTCAACGCTGTTCTGTGCAATACCACCGCAGATAAGCTGGAGACGCTCCATGTTCCTCCGCTTAGCTCTCCGGAGAGCCAAGATACCGTTCTTGACAAGCACGTCCAAACTCAGGGGGTCAATACCCTTCTGGTTGATGACGACGAAGCTCTTCTTCGGGTCAGTGCCGCAGACTTGCTTCTTAAGCTCCACGATCTTCTGTAGCTTGGCATCCACGAACTTGCGCTCACTCTCCACCAACTTGTCCCTCTGCTCGGCAGAGGAGTAGTAGAAACCGGAGTTGATTTCCGACTTCTCGTACTCCAGACTCACGTTCAGGGTCAGGATGAAAGCATTCTCCACACGCTTAGGCATGTCGGGGTGTCTGGCACCGTGGTCGAGAGCGAGACCGCGGATAAGTCTGGTGTCAGCGGATGTCCGATGTTGCATGGTCATGATCTCAACCATGTGCAGATCCGGCTTCTCGGGAGCTCTGTGGATAGCGAGAACAGCGTCGACGATACCAGGGGTAAGCTTCTCAGCAAGCGCGCTGTTCAGCTTGGTGCTGAGGGACGTGCGGGCGACGGAAAGCAAGAGTTCGCGGTCGATTGTCCGTTCAAGCTTGAACTGGTCGAGGAACTGTATACCACCACAACTTAGTATCGTAGAGATCCCAGTATCGGCCTCCGTTTACTGACCTTCAAGGCTTCGTTCTTGGCAATCTCATAACCATCCGTGATCACTCTGGGGTGTAGGCCCTCGGAGATGTGTCGCTCGGCCTGCTTCAAGAGCTCTCCCACCAGCAAAACAACGGACGTCGTTCCATCACCAGTGATGTCATCCTGTGCCGTAGCAGCTCTGGCGATCATGACCTTTCGCGTGTATTAGACTAGGGGCGTTTCGGGGACGAGGAGGAAGGTAGCTTACAGCCGTGGGGTTTTGGATTTGCTACAACCGTTAGCTTTGATCGAATGATGTCTGGAGGCATTACTCACCATCTCACGCAGCAAAACATTGCCATCCTTGGTCAATTTGATCTGTTCGCTCCATCGTTAGCTTCCCAGATGGCCGTACAGGAGGAAATATTTCATACTCCGCCAGCACCGTCCACCAACCTAACATTTGTCAGCTCCGCGTCAATCCCAGAATGCGTGTAAATAAAACATACATCTTCAATGTCCCCGAGGGACCAAGGTTGGACTTCAAGACATCCTGAAGACCCTCACCGGCGCTGATGTTGACCTTCAAGGCTTCCGTTCTCCGCTGTGCACTGTTAGTCTCTGCTGGACCACTGAGGGGCTGCTTTCGGGGGGGGGGGTGGAGGGGGAGGGAAGAGAAAGTGGTCGCATACCCTCGACTCGGCCTTGGGATTGAGTAACTGCGTGGCGGACATTTCTGCAGCACGAAGGAGCGACAAGCAACAAGACCCAACGAAGAAACCCGGGGCGTAATAATTATGGGCGTGCTGGTGCCGGTCGGTGCTGCTGCCACAAACCTGGTGGTGTTTGCCGTCGAATGCGGTGAGCGGCAGATTTGGCAAAAAGCCCACATTCGATGTTCGCACTAGCGCCGCCGCGAAAAAAAAGAGCTCCGACGGCTCGAACTCTGCAATTCTACCCTTCCAGCCTTCTCTTCAACTCCACGTCGATCCACGGCAGGTCTACGGTCGCAAAACCCCCGGAAATTGAGAAGCGGGCTCGATTGCTCGCACGTAAAGGACCGTTTTGTCTGATTTCTAGGGCCTTTCCCTCAATTTCACTATGGCCGACTTTCTCCTCTTCGAGGGCCCTATCGGCTACTCGCTCTTCAAGGTCGCCCACCAGGGCGACAGCGTTGGAAACCGCTTGAAGGAGGTTCAGGAGGGTGTGAATGACCTCGCTACGTTCGGAAAGATGGTTGAGCTGGCCAGTTTCCTGCCTTTCGAGTATGTGATCCAATTTTTCTCAGGGATTTTTTTCGCGGGGTCCTGACCATCTCCAGGAACAACAAGCAGGCTCTTAGTGAAATCAACGACGTCTCGGAGGGTGTTGCTTCGGATACGCTCATCTCTTTCCTCGAATTGAACCTGCCCAAGCCTAACAAGAAGAAGAAGGTCGTTTTGGGTCTGCAGGACAAGGCCCTGGCCGGAAGTATCAAGTCCGCCTTCTCTTTCGTTGACTGCGAGACCGGCGACACTAGCGAGGTTGTTCAGGATATGCTTCGTGGCGTGAGACTGCACTCCTCCAAGCTGCTGAAGCAGCTTCGTGAGGGTGACATGGACACCGCCCAGCTTGGTCTCGGTCACGCCTACTCCCGCGCCAAGGTTAAGTTCTCCGTTCAGCGCGACGACAACCACATCATCCAGGCCATTGCCATTCTCGACCAGCTCGACAAGGCCATCAACACCTTCTCCATGAGAGTGAGAGAATGGTACTCGTGGCACTTCCCCGAACTCATCAAGATCGTCTCGGACAACCAGCGCTACGCCCAGCTTGCCCTGTTCGTTAAGGACAAGAAGGACCTGACCGACGACAAACTGCACGACCTTGCCGCTCTCGTGGAGGACGATGAGGGTGTTGCCCAGAGCATCATCGATGCTGCCAAGCACAGCATGGGTCAGGAGATCTCCGAGACTGACATGGAGAACGTGATCGCTTTCGCCCACCGCGTTGTCAGCCTGTCCAAGTACCGCAAGTCGCTCCACCAGTACCTGATCTCCAAGATGAGCGTTGTCGCCCCCAACCTTGCTGCCCTGATCGGAGAGATCGTCGGTGCTCGTCTGATCTCCCACGCCGGAAGTTTGACCAACCTGTCCAAGTATCCCGCTTCCACCGTCCAGATTCTTGGTGCGGAGAAGGCCCTTTTCAGAGCCCTCAAGACCAAGGGTAACACGCCCAAATACGGTCTTCTCTACCACTCCTCCTTCATTGGACGCGCCGGTCCCAAGAACAAGGGTCGCATCTCCCGTTTCCTTGCCAACAAGTGCTCCATTGCTTCCAGAATCGACAACTTCTCTGAGGAGCCCTCCACCAAGTTCGGAGAGGCCCTGAAGATGCAGGTTGAGGAGCGTCTCGAGTTCTACGCCTCTGGTGCCGCCCCCACCAAGAACGAAGTCGCCATGGTATGTCTACATTGAATTCTCATAAATTTCCTTTTTGGGATATAAACTGATTGATCTTGCAGAAAAACGCCATGGATGCCGTCCTTGCCGATATGGACATTGATGGTGAGCAGAGCGACGAGGAGATGCAGGATGCCGTGGCCGAGAAGAAGGAAAAGAAGGAGAAGAAGGAAAAGAAGGAAAAGAAGGAGAAGAAGGACAAGAAGGAGAAGAGCGAGAAGAAGGAGAAGAGCGAGAAGGAGGACAAGAAGAAGAAGCGGAAGCACGACAGCGATGCCGAGCCGTCCAAAAAGAAGAAGAAGGTTTAAACGCACCGAATCTTGGGACAGGAGGGCGTCATTGTCGCGGCGTTGTTGGGTTTCTTTTTACCATCTAGTATGTTCTGTTTGCTACTTCACGACTTGATGGGCTGGGTATCTGTAAATTATTCGATTGAGGCCTGTGTCGTGCCAAAATTTTCGTTTAGTACTGCCAATCTGATTCGGCTTTTATGGTTTAAGAATTGCTGACTCCGCCTGACTTTTATCTGTTTGTAAACCAGGGATGGTTCGACGTCCCAAGTGTCAATCTACTGCTCTGTTCGGTTCTATTGCATGTCCTCTATATCTAATAATAACCGAACTGGACTATAGCAGAGCTGATATACCCGGTTGAACGTTTCAATTATACGGAGCCCGCCACTTGCATGAGGCAATCTTCTACCGGCAAGACTGATTGCTCTATGCGGTGCTGTTTTCCGGCAAAAAGAGGCCCTACCCCTACTTGTTGGGGCCTAGATCTCATCAACCTCTTGCACTGGGGGGTCGAAGTCGATTTTGATAGTCAACATTCAATTATATACTAATTTGGCAGCCAGGGATAGAAGCTTGGGGCCATAGCCCCCCGTCATCACAGACAGCTAACCATAGAATCTCGTTGTGCAGGGTTAAAATATAGAGGCATATCAAGATGCATCACATGTAACTTTGACCCATCTGGGATTAAATATCGTACCACACCCAGCGATTGGTTGATGTTATATTGCCGAGTTCCTGCGTGGTGGCGTACCAACATAACTGGGGTTTACTTTCAGATCCTGCTAGCCTACTGCAGACGCAAGCTAGAAGCCTTCTACTATCGAGCACACCTTCATGGCCGGAGAGATCGCAATGTCTCAATGCTAGTCTTCTAGAATCTGAGAGTATTAATTACTTACCTTAGTTAATGGCTTATTCACCCGGCGGGGGAAAGGGCCCCCGGGCGGCCTGAGGAACCGGCAAGACCCCCTCACCAGGATGATCCAACCCCCCCTTCCCCCCCCCCATCGGCCCCTTCTTTCAACCATGACAATGGTCCGAGCACTTCTGCTCTCTACATCCATCCACTAGCCATGATGGCTTCGTCTATTATCTCCGGTGCGCATCGTTAGAAGCTAACTCACTACTGCCAAACCCTTCCCTTCGTGGGAGATTCTATCCCCCAACCAGGTGCCTGGTCGTTGTGATGCCCCCCCCACACCTGCACTCAGTCCCAACCCCGCGATGATGCCAACCCCTCGGTCAACGATGCCTTTTGACTCCCCCAAACGCAAACGAGCATCGTCCGAGGAGTCTGACAACGGCAGTCCCCCCGTCTCGCCGACATCGACTGTCTCGCTCCCGAGTCTTCAGGAAGTAAGGATCCGGGAAACAGAAGACCTGGGAAGATACAGTCCTCGAGCATTAGTCGCTGGTCGCCTGGGACAGTTGGCTATCCGCGGGGATCATATTTCAACAACCCCCATTCCTTATGGACTAGACCAGGGCACGGCTGCTCGCTCGCTGCAGCCGGAAAGCTGGTCTGCCTCTTACGACCAGTCCCATGATACCTATCACATGCCAGAAACGAGCAGGGACAGTCCCAGTCCTAGCGGCCCATCCGAATTTGCAGACGCCAGTCAACCTCCGGACCATGATGAGAGCCCATCGGCATCAGCGTCCGCATCAGCATCAGCCTCACCCAGGAAGAAACAGTCAACCCCAAGCCCCCGAAAGAGAAGAATTTCCTCAACTACACCCAAGAAGCGCAGCGGGAAAGGATCCCCGCCTCTCATGAGCGCAGCTTCTGAAAACCCGCTTACATGGCGCGACTCCGAAATAACCGGCCACAACCCAAATGACCCCACAGATGATGGATATGGTATGAATGGTATTGGATTCAAACCGACTGCCGCAATGGCTTGGGCCAGGTCGCAAAGAAGGCAGAAACAGGTTGCAGAGTGGAAGAACCGCGAGGCAAGAGAAGCGCGCGAGCGGCGACGAGAACGACGAGACGGCGCTGAGTTTGATAATCTCCGGACCATTCAATCCGGTGCCATTCAGAAAAAGGTCAAATTTGATGTTTAATGGAGGACGTCACCATCGAACATCTTTCTTTCTTGGGTCAATCCGAATATCTTGCGGCCTTCCTCTTTGGTGTTCATTGGTTTAAGGCAGTTAATGAAACAGGCGTTGGACAGGTTCATTTGATTGGAGACATCGATATGAAACGAAGCAAAGTCCCAACTTGGCCAGGACAAGAGCCCATAGCATGGATAGAATATGTACTTTACACGGACCCAACCCACTTTATACATATAGTACTGTACAACGAGATCCCACCAAACTCCGTTACTCCATGCAAGGTGCAAAAAGCCTACCAGAACTTGTAGTTCGATAGGTTGGTCCAGCTCTCCCGCTTCCTCTTCTCCTCTGCCAAACGCGCGACCTCCTCGGCCTTCTGTTCCTTCTCCCGTTGTTTCTTGACCTTGAGTTCCTTCATCAACTCCACCGCTTGCTTCATGCCATCCAACTCCTCTATCCGGCGGCGCTGGCAGAATTCGTGTGCGGCAAGTGCTGTAATGGCGAAGGCGCCAACCGCCCAGTTCGAAGCGGACCACAAAGACCGTAGCCCTACAACGAATCACTCCATTAGCTACCAAGTCTTTGTTTCCAGATGACATCCGTGACTGCTTACCTCCCACCACACCCCTCACACCACCTACGCCGAACCCGGCCCCAATTCCGAGTAGCAGGGAGTCCCGGGCACAGGGAGCCTTGTGGAATGATGTGACATTTTCGAAAGACATTGACTTCATGGCGTCGGTGACCGTAATATCCTTTGATTTACTGCCCGATTTGACGCCCGCCGATGGCAGCATATTCACCGGCTCTTCAGGGTTCCCAAAAGCATCCCACAGCTTCCCGACCTGCGACTGTGGAAGATCATGTTTCGGCCTGTTGGTTTTCGGGCTGCCCTGGGGCTCCGGCGTGGATACTGTCGACTCCCGTGTATCGTCAGCCATGGTGTGATATCTCAAACTTGACCGATTCAGAGCCCTGTCCTTCGTAGTATATACCTCAATGCGGGCTGATTTCGTGGGAGGGAAACAAACCGCGGCCATCGGGCTAACAGATGATCCGCGGACCTCCCCGGGACGGCTACCAGAAGGGAAAGTTTCCCCGGGCGGCCCGATCCTCCAATGGCACGCGTAAAGTAGAAACGCGAACGCGTTGGAATGGCGTAGGGCAAATCCGGGCAAATCTGGGCTCCGCAACATGCAAGTGGATCACCCAATTCAGTTACATTGGAGGCACTCAATTATTGAGAGTCCATGAAAACCACTATACCATTGACAGGCTAATTTTCACGCCAATCCAGCTATGCGCAGCTCTGACCTGTGTTGAAACAACCTCCGATTGCTTTTCCATGTTCAACCGACCCTCTCCTCTTATCCTGCAGTGATCCTCAGCCCCGGCCACTGGGCGCGTCGTCGCGATGCCTTCAAGAAAACCCAGCAAGTTCGGGAACAAGTTTCGGTCCGGCGCTGCTTCCTTCAACCCCAAACGAACAAAAACCGTCGAGTTCTCGTCCCTTCGATCGTCGGAAGCAACCTCCCAAGATGAGAAGTTCGAGGCGATCCGGCTGGCCAACAGCATCGACGAGTCCCTGGGGTTTCCGCGCTTCGAGGCCGGCGAAAAGCGAGTGGGGTGGCTCATCAACATGCACAGCACTTCCATAGAGGATTCGAATGTCCCGGGAGGACGCGCCGGCGTGGATTACTATTTTCTCGAAGACGGCGGCACCAGTTTCAAGGCGACTGTCGAATACGACCCATATTTCCTGATCGCTGTGAAGAAAGGGCACGAGCCGGAGGTCGAAGAGTGGTGTCGGAGGTCGTTCGAAGGGCTGATCAAGAAGATCTCGCGCGTTGAGAAAGAGGACCTGGATCTGCCGAATCATCTTCTTGGGTACCAGCGGAACTTCCTCCAACTCTACTTTGCGAACGTGAGCCATTTGCTGGAAGTCCGGAGAACACTGCTGCCTCTGGCGGAGAAGAACAAGAAGAATGTGAATATGATGGATACATATATGGAGATTTCCAGGTAGGTTGGAGTGTTCTGTGCGATGCTTGCTATCTATGTGGAGGCTGACTTGACTCGGTAGCGCAAACGCTGGTTTTGATCTCTTTGATGACGAACTAATTAATGAATCACGATCTAATGGCACTATGAATGCGAGCGATTTTATTGTTGATATTCGAGAATATGATGTTCCCTATCATGTTCGAGTCTCGATTGACAAAGGTATGCCATTCTTGAGGCACACGTATCTACATCCACTAATAGCTTCAAGACATACGTATAGGGAAATGGTATACTGTGGAGTCAAGGCACGGGGTTATTTCATTGACATGTTTAGAAGAACGACTCACGCGAGCCGATCCTGTCGTTCTAGCATTCGATATCGAGACGACAAAACTACCGCTCAAATTCCCTGATTCCGTGATTGATCAAATCATGATGATTTCCTACATGATCGATGGCCAAGGTTTTCTCATTACCAACCGTGAGATTGTATCCGAAGACATCAATGATTTCGAATATACGCCCAAGGCCGAATACAGTGGCCCGTTTATGATCTTCAACGAACCCGACGAGCGAGCCGTCCTAGAACGGTTTTTCGAACATATAAAAGAAGCGAAACCGACAGTCATTGCTACATATAACGGTGACTTTTTCGATTGGCCTTTCGTTGAAGCTCGCGCGAGCGTTCTGGGAATCGATATGTACAAGGAGATCGGTTTCCGTCGGAGTAGCGATGATATCTACCAGAGCGATCACTGTGTGCACATGGATTGTTTTGCTTGGGTCAACCGTGATAGTTATCTCCCTCAGGGAAGTCGTGGCCTGAAAGCGGTTACCGTCGCCAAGCTTGGATACGACCCCGACGAACTTGACCCAGAACTCATGACTCCATATGCGAGCGAACGCCCTCAGACTCTGGCAGAGTATTCAGTCTCCGATGCTGTCGCAACCTACTACTTGTACATGAAATACGTCCACCCTTTTATCTTCTCTCTGTGTACAATTTTACCTATCAACCCTGACGACACCCTGAGAAAGGGTACGGGAACGCTGTGTGAGATGCTTCTAATGGTGCAAGCATATCAGGGAAACATCATCCTCCCGAACAAACACAAGGATCCCCCTGAATCTTTTTATGAGGGCCATCTACTCGAGTCGGAGACCTACGTCGGAGGACACGTCGAAAGTATTGAGGCCGGTGTGTTTCGAAGCGATATCCCTGTCACATTCAATGTGCAGCCCGCTGCTATAGACGAACTCCTTCGAGACCTTGATGCAGCGCTGAAGTTCAGCATTGAGGTCGAAGAGAAGAAGTCGATGGACGATGTTACGAACTACGCCGAAGTAAGAAAGCAGATTGCAGACAAGTTGATGGGCCTGAAGGAGAAGCCACATAGAGATGAGGTGCCGTTCATCTATCACTTGGATGTTGCTTCCATGTATCCGAACATCATGATCACGAACAGACTACAACCCGACTCTATGATCGAAGAGTCTAACTGTGCTGCTTGCGACTTCAACCGACCTGGAAAGACCTGTGATCGAAGAATGCCATGGGCGTGGAGAGGTGAATTTCTTCCCGCCAAGCGCGACGAGTACAACATGATCCGCCAAGCCGTTTCAAATGAAAAATTTCCAGGAAGGACGAAGACTGCTCCGATGAGAGCCTTCAGTGACATGGGTATTGAAGAGCAGGCCGCCATCGTTAAGAAACGACTACAGGATTACAGCAAGAAGATCTACCACAAGATCCATGACAGCAAGACCATGGTCAGAGAGGCCATCATCTGCCAACGAGAGAACCCATTCTATGTGGATACTGTCCGCAGCTTCCGAGACCGACGATATGATTTCAAGGGAAAACAAAAGGTCTGGAAAGGCAAGACTGAGTCCCTCAAATCCTCGGGTGCATCGGCCGCGGAGATCGACGAGGCCAAGAAGATGATCATTCTTTACGATTCCCTGCAGCTTGCCCACAAGGTCATTCTTAACAGTTTCTACGGCTATGTCATGAGAAAGGGTTCCCGGTGGTATTCCATGGAAATGGCTGGTGTGACATGTCTGACGGGTGCCCGGATTATTCAGATGGCCAGAGAGCTGGTTGAACGCATTGGTCGACCGCTGGAACTGGATACTGATGGTATCTGGTGTATGCTTCCGGGCAGCTTTCCGGAGAACTTCACGTTTACGCTTAAGAACGGCAAGAAGTTGGGGATCTCGTATCCTTGCGTCATGCTGAACCACCTCGTCCACGGGAGCTATACAAATCATCAGTACCAGACACTTATCGACCCGGTGACCCATAGATATGAGACACAGAGTGATAACTCCATCTTTTTTGAGGTCGACGGCCCGTACAGGGCAATGATTTTGCCGACCTCGAAGGAAGAAGATAAGAACCTGAAGAAACGTTATGCGGTCTTCAACCACGATGGATCACTGGCCGAACTGAAAGGTTTCGAGGTCAAACGCCGAGGAGAGCTGAAGCTGATCAAGATCTTCCAAACACAGATCTTCCGGTTCTTCCTGGAGGGCAAGACGCTTACCGAGACTTACGCAGCGGTAGCCAAGGTAGCTGATCGGTGGCTGGACGTGCTCTACGACCATGGTGCAACTCTGGCCGACGAGGAACTAATTGATCTCATTTCGGAGAATAGGAGCATGTCAAAGACCCTCGAAGAATACGGAAACCAAAAATCAACGTCCATCACGACCGCCCGCCGTCTAGCGGAGTTCCTGGGAGAGCAGATGGTCAAGGACAAGGGCTTGAACTGCAAATACATTATTTCTTCAAGGCCAAGGAACACTCCTGTTACTGAACGAGCTATTCCCGTGGCGATATTCTCCGCTGAGGAGAGCGTCAAGCGCCACTTCTTGCGAAGGTGGCTAAAGGATGACCCCGGTGATATGGACCCTCGTTCTGTGATTGACTGGGACTACTACTTGGAGCGCCTGGGTTCCGTTGTACAGAAGCTCATCACTATCCCAGCCGCCCTGCAGAAGGTTCGAAACCCGGTTCCCAGAGTCGCTCATCCGGACTGGCTGCAAAGACGGATCAATATCAAGGATGACAAATTCAAGCAAAAGAAGATGACAGACATGTTCATCAAGTCGGACAAGAACCCACTGACCGACATCTCGACAAACATTCTTGAGCATCGGGTCCAGCATGCCGGCGACATGGATGAAGTTATCGCGCACTCAACACAGAAGCTGAAGTCATCCCCCGATGGCAAGGTATCTCAAAAGAGAAAGCACCCCGAGGGTCTCTCCAAGACCTCTCTTGATCCGTTTGCCACCCTACCTGCGAATATGCCTCTCCCAACGGAAGATTATGAGGGCTTCCTGAAGTATCAGAAGCAAAAGTGGAAGATTCAGAAGCAGGCTCGAATCCGCCGCCGTCAACTCTTCGGAGAAAAGGCGAATGCGACCAACGATTCTCTCAGCAACCTTTTCCGGAATCAGGCCGAGCTACTGTACATCAACACTTGGCAGATCCTGCATCTTGCTGAAACAGCAAGGCCCGGCATCGTCCGAGCGTTTGTTCTAATCGACCGCAAAGTCCACACTCTTACAATCAAGGTTCCCCGGCAGGTTTACATTAATTTAAAGCAGGACTCGCTTCCCGATGTTGACGTGCCGGACTGTGAAGTCGAGAAGGTCAACCACACGCTGCCAAATGGGCACCCTTCCGTGCATTTGTTCAAATTGACGCTGTCAGAAGAAACATACCTGCGCGAGTCGGAGAAACTTGATGTCCTCCTGCAGCATCCTAGTGTTGAAGGTGTTTACGAGAAGAGCATCCCTCTCAACATCCGGGCCGTTTTGAAACTGGGTAGTATTTGCACTTTCGATGAGGAACAGCGGGGTGTTCTTGGAGAAGGGCTGGACCGCGGATTCGATCTCTCGACCCTGTGCCGGACCACTTCCGAGCGGCCATATCTTTTGGACTCCCCCTTGGCTTACCACTATCTGTATCACCTTACTTCCGGCGATAGGCAGATTTTCGCTCTCTTCTCAAGCACGAAGAATGAGGCGCATGTTGTGATCCTCAATCGCACGAGGGATGTTCAAGGTCTGCCGAATCTCGACAAGATTTACGCCGAGCTGCTTGGCCGTAGGATGCAGAACGTGGAAGGTGACCAGCCACAAGGTGCCTTCGAATACCAGGATAAGATTCATTTCAAGACCACGCAAGTCACCACCAGGAGAAAGGCTCATCTGGAAATTGGGGATCTGATCAAGAAGTTCAAGTCCGACGAGACCCAACCTGCTATTATGCTCATTCAGTCGCAGCAAAGGATGCGCTTGTGCCATGACATTCCGATACTGAGAGAGTACCCTATCCTGCCAGTGAAACCGGAAGTGTCGGATATGGACCTGCCGCCCCTGGGCTGGCAGACTTTCATTGCACGACGACTGGTCACCCACTATCTCTATATTTCCGCCTGGGTTCAGCACTTGACATTGCTCGCTAGATACGGAAATGTCCCTCTGTGCAACCTGGAAAATGACGACCCCCGATTTCTTATCGACATTTCCTACGCCAGACGGCTACAGCAGAGCAACGTCGTACTGTGGTGGTCCTCCAACCCGCGGCCTGACCATGCTGGATATGAGAAGGATGACATCTCGGGCCCTCTGGAGAAGGTTTCCATGCCGGCTGTGAACGTCCCAAGCGCCTATACCACGGTGTGCATTGAATTGGAAGTTCGCAACCTTGCAATCAACACGATCCTGACCTCGTCTATCATCAACGAAATGGAAGGCGCTGATTCACTTCTAGCACCTTCCGGCCAATCTTCAGACGCGAACGGTGGCGGCGTCCTGTACTCAGAAAAGGCGTTTGCTTCCGCTGGTGCGGTTGTGTTGCGTGAAATGGTAAAGCACTGGTGGACAGAGGCTTGCGACGGAAACAACATGGCCGACATCATGGTGCAGCATCTGATCCGATGGGTAGAGAGCCCGGTCTCCTGTCTGTACGACCGATCTTTGCACCACTATGTGCGGATGCTGTCGAGGAAGTCCTTCCAGCGGCTGATGGCTGAGTTCAGACGGGTCGGCTCGAATGTTATCTTTGCCAGCTCTACCCGGCTCCTGCTCCAGACTTCCAAGACGGAGGTGGGCAATGCTTATGCATACAGCCAGTACGTGCTGAAATCGATTCGCGCTAACCCGTCCTTCCATTTCATTGATCTTGAGATCAAGGAGTACTGGGACTACTTGTTGTGGTATGATGAATACAACTACGGCGGCAAAGGGTGTCAAGAGGTTACGGAGTCGGACGAACAGGACCTGGAAACCGTCATGCACTGGCAGCTCAGTCGTTTCCTGCCCACGACCATGCAGTCGATCTTCCACGACTGGGTTGTGGAGTACATCGAACTGATGCACGGTGTCAAACGGCCCGACACAAACGATTCATCTACTCCCCGGATGACACAAATCCCTCTCACGCGTCCTCATAACGAAGACAGCGAGGAGGTCTCCGCTCTCCTTGCGGAGAAATTCTCGAAGCCATTGAAGAAGCAGATTACCGGCCTCATCCGCCGGCAGCGCGACGAACTTTTACACCCGGAGCTAGCATCCGACTACGTGTTCCCCATACTCCCCGGTGTGCTGTCCGACCCGAACGAAGAAAAGCGCAACCCGGTGTTGGAGCTGGTGAAACTGCTTATGCAAGTATGCAGTCTGTCAAAGACGACCACCATGGAGACGCGGTTACTGCGTCGCGAACTGCTCGCAATGTTTGAGGTGCGAGAATTCAGCAAAGAGGGTCGATTCGAGAACCCCGGCGCCAGTCTGAAGCTCCCAGAGCTCACCTGTGGCGCCTGCTGCCTGATTCGCGACCTGGATCTGTGCCGGGACGAGGACGTCCTTCCGGACCCCGGGACAGACCCCAGCAAAGCGTCCACCAAGCCCTGGCGCTGCCCCTTCTGCCAAACCGAGTATGATCGGTTGGCCCAGGAAGAGATCCTGATCGGCCAGGTGCAGGGCTACATTGTCGGGTGGCAGACGCAGGACCTCAAGTGCTCGAAGTGCGCCAGTCTGAGGATCAGCGACTTCATGGAGCATTGCTCCTGCAGTGGGGAGTGGGTGGAAACCATGAACCTGAAGGAGATTCAGAAGAAGCTGCGGATCATGAACAGCGTGGCGAAGTTCCATGGCCTCAAGCTGTTGGAGAGCGTTGTAGGGGAAGTTCTCTCCCAGATGTAGGAGCCGCTCGTCTTTGTCCTCGCATTGCTTGTTGTTTGAGCGCTGTTGGTGGCGATACCCTTGGAAACTATATATAACATTGGGTTGGCGTTGATAGAAGGGGTTTTGTTACATAGCATACGTATCATTCTGTTGTATTGTCATAGCGCATGTATGCATTATTATTATCATTATTATTATTCACTGAGTGGTGGGTAGAAATGCTGCGAGAAGCCGGGACCGCCAGAAAGAAGCAAATCTGCTGTCGACCGCCACCTGGCAACCCCACCCAAGTCTGCAAAGAGGGGTCATTCTCCTCCCTCTTCTCTTTCCGAAGCATTCTGCAAGAATCCTCCCTCTATCCATCTATCCATCCTCTGTGGGCCGGATCCCTCCCTGTACAGCGCGCCCGACGGCGTCCAGACGGCAAACCCCGCAGTGCGCCGCACAACTCCACCTCAGCGCCTTCGTCCCATTGCGCCAGCACGACCGATCCCCATCCTGAGCACCGTCCTTCCAAGCCCCTGTGAGTCCCTAGACTCCCTAGACCCCCTGCACCCCCTGCACACTGTGCCCCTCTCTTGATTGGACCCGAATCGCCTGAGATTCGCGATCCTGTCCACCTTTCTTCTGACTGCGGGGCTGACTGACGCAGGCACCTTCACTAGACCACGCCTCGCTATCATCCCTCTTCGGCTCGCACGAAACCCACCCCTCCTCCTTACTCGTCATCTTATCCATCCCATCCCGAGAGACTGTCCGAGCCAGACCTGCAACCGCGCAAATGGCGTCACAACCGCAAGCAGGCCAGCGACCCAAGGTCCAGCCCTGTCGGTACAAGACCGGAAAGACACTAGGAGCCGGCTCCTACTCGGTCGTCAAGGAATGCGTGCACATCGATACGGGTCGCTACTATGCCGCCAAGGTGATCAACAAACGGTTGATGTCAGGACGTGAGCACATGGTACTCCTCCACCGAAGCCAGTCGGTCCTGGCTGGCCATAAGCCCAAGACAACACCGGAAGGCTAATGATAAGGGATGCCGGGTGGTCTCAACAGGTCCGCAATGAGATTGCTGTGCTGAAAAAGGTGTCGATGGGCCACCAGAACATCCTGACTCTGGTCGATTACTTCGAAACTATGAACAACTGTACGTGCCGACCTCCTGCTGCGGTCGCCCATTGGGGAACAGAATAAACTAACCCGCCCCTCCTCGCACTCGGCAGTGTACCTAGTTACCGACCTCGCGCTTGGTGGCGAGCTTTTCGACCGTATTTGCCGTAAAGGCAGCTACTATGAATCCGACGCTGCGGACCTCATCCGGGCCATCCTGTCTGCTGTGGCGTACTTGCACGACCACGGAATTGTGCATCGCGATCTGAAGCCCGAGAACCTGCTGTTCCGCACCCCGGAGGACAACGCGGATCTTCTGATCGCCGACTTTGGCTTGTCCAGGATTATGGATGAAGAGCAGTTCCACGTCCTCACAACGACATGCGGTACTCCGGGCTATATGGCCCCCGAGATCTTCAAGAAAAGTGGACACGGAAAACCAGTGTACGTCTTGATTCTTTCCCACCCTATCTCACACTCTGTCTCCTAGCCCTGACACCTAACCAACCTTAAACAGTGACATCTGGGCTATCGGTGTCATCACCTACTTCTTGCTCTGCGGATACACCCCCTTCGACCGCGACTCCAACCTGGAAGAGATGCAGGCCATCCTTGCAGCAGACTACTCCTTCACCCCCATCGAATACTGGCGCGGCGTCTCGCCCAACGCCCGGGCCTTCATCAAACGCTGCCTCACCATCGACCCGAACGCCCGCATGACGGCCCACGAGGCCCTCCAACATGCCTGGGTCAACCCGCCCTACAACACCGAGACCGACCTGGCCGGCTCCGGCGAGGATCTCCTCCCCACCGTGAAGAAGAACTTCAACGCCCGTCGCACCCTCCACAAGGCCATCGACACCGTCCGCGCCATCAACAAGCTCCGCGAGGGCGGCGGCTTCATGATGGACGGCGTGATGAGCGTCGATCCCAAGCCCGAGCGCGTCAACGGCAACGACGTCATCGAAGAGCGACACGACCATCCCGGCCACGACGGGGCGATGGAAATCGATGGCCGCGCCAATGCCCGCGGCCAAACCGAGGCTCAGATCCGAGCCCAGGAGCGCAAGGTCCAGGAAATGGTGACCGGGTTGTGGAGTCGGACCGTGAAGAAATGATTTCACCGACCCATTCATCCATCCATCCATCCATTTCTTAATGGATGTATTGATTGACTGACGATCATGATGTGGGAAATATAGCTACTATCCATATTAGATACCTCCTTCGTTTTTTTTCTTCTTCTTTTTTTTTTCTTGCTGTTGGCGGTCTGTCATTCTTTCTTTTGGGATGAGGTCTCGCCCCCTACCTGTCTGGTTCGCTGTCCAGATGAACATTAACATTTCGGTCTATCTACCTATCTACTTTCATACCTAGCTGCATATCTTCTGTATTTTGCTCGGATGATTTATTTTTTATCCTATCTGGGATATATGCATATGCATCATCATTGTCATACTTGCCTGTCTGTCTGGTTGGATATCATGTCAATCTTTTTTTTTTTTTTTTTTTTTTTTTTTTTGATTTCTTGTATATGGAAGTGGCTATCTACATATTTACCTAGCTGATCTATACGACTGTTCATATGGGATTTTTCTGATAACATGCATCGTGATCTATTAACGGACCATTTATTCATAAAAGCTTTCTTTATTGCCCTTCCCCAGAGATAGTGGTATGGCTGGATTAGTCTTCTATATAATATCAAAGATTGCCTCATTGCCTGAACTGCCCGATTCACATCCATTGACCATGATACTTACACAACATGCAGTCATCAAGTATACCGTATGATACATCCTAGTCCCTAAAACTAATAGTGCAAGAGAAAGTACCCAGATTCCAGAATGCTCTCACCTGCCTGCGCTCACTTGACCAATCTGGTCTATTTACTCCCGTGAGTCCGTTCATGGTTACCACAGTTACTACATACAGTACTGATGGATATCGGGTGCCTCAGGCAGTCAGGCTCTAGGTTCCTTTCTTCACTACTAATAGCGGTACTGGTACTATCTTCAACAGCCTGGTTTGTTTACACCTCTGGTTCTATTCTGTTCTGTTCAATGTTGCTGTAGTTAATACTAGGGAAGAACAGATGTCTGCCTTAGGCTTCAGTTTCTAGTTCCGGTAGTAGCTGAGTTCCGTGACTAACTAATGCACACGCTGTCTTTGACAGTCTGGTTTGTTTACTTCTCTGAGTCCGTTCAGAATTACCGCGGTAACCAGAGGTGTATGCCCCAGGCAGGTTCTGAGTTGCTGTTTTCCGGTCGGTGTGCAGTAGATGGGAAGAACATGTGGGGTATTGGGTAGATGGATAGATAGATGGATACCTTAGTCAGTCAGACCTGTTTCTAACTATAGTACCTACCGTGGGGAGTTACTGCCTACAGTACAAGTGAACAAGTGAACAAGGGAAAGTGAAGGATGTTTTTGATAGTATATCTCATAGTTTATTGGTTCAGTAGATGATGAATAGATTATTCCCGAAAATACTACATATTAGTTGACTGAGAACGCCTTGCCTGTCTCGTAGACACCATTACATCGTATCGTAAATCATTGCAGCCCTTCGTATAGTGAGCCCAGTCTCTCTCTCTCTCCCAACAAAAGGATGGGCCAGTCGTGACTCATGCCAACCATTTAGCCCAATAACTCCTCATTCCCGTCCTCCAACGACAGAACCCACTGCCTCCAATCCTGCCACTCCGCGTAACTGCTACTCGCCTTCAGACCCTGATACTTGACCGTCCTGAAGTCCGAGACCTGATCCCATGGCTTCACGGCCCCGCTCGAAGAACCGTGACTCGAACTGTTACTGCCCCTCAGGAACCGTCGTGCTGCGCTCTCGGATGGCCCATCCCAGCCCGCCTTGTGCATCAGGCTCGTCACAGTCTCTTCTTTCGTCCAGCCTTGCTCGACAGCCACATCTGGGAGGTAGGTCGCGCCGTAACGTCTCCCGCGGTGGACGAAGGAGATGCGCAGCCCGTGCACCCCCAGGATCCAGTCCATCGCGTTGGTGCAGGGCTCGAAGGTCCCCAGGAGGGTCAATGAACAGGATAGAGATGGGAGGAGAGACTCGGGAATTGGCGAGAATCGTGAGTCGTCGAATGCGCTGTGTGGGTGGTTAGAGGGTGGGAAGGAGGGTGGTTCGGGGCGGGGGGTGGGGGGTTGGTTGGTTGGTTGGTTGTTGGATTTGGATGCTTTGGAACGGAGGGATACGTACGAAGTGAGAGCGTATTTCTGGAGGCCACGGGCGAGTTCCTGAGCCTCGAAGGTGCCGATGCATCCGCGGAGGGATTTATGGCCGTGTTTGGAGAAGGTGTTCCACGTTACGAAGAGGGGGTATTTTTCTTCGCGGGGACGGCCGGATCGGGTCGATGATGAGCCCGGGGTCGTGAGGGTCGTGGAGGTGGATCGCATGGATTGCGATGAGTTGGTGGATGTGAGGGAGGGCGTTGTGGATGAGCTCGAGTCGGACTGGAGGCGGCTGACGATGGGTAACTTGGTCTTGCGGGAGTGACTACTCGGGGTTGGTTCATCGTCGTCGACGTCGTCGTCGTCTAACGGCACATTCTCTTTCAATGATACTGGCTCGTCGTCGTTGTCGTTGTTCAGAGCCGCGAGTTTCTTGAATTGCTCGTGTCGCTCCCAGAGCTCTTCCACGGAGGCGAGGCTGATAGGCTCTTTGTTGTCTTTATAGGAGGCCGCGAGGCTCTCGAAACAGTAGTAGCAATGAGCTGGAGAGGCCATGCTCGAGGCTTTGGAAATTGAGGTTTTGGGAGAAATTTTGAGATGTCAGAGAATGAATTTTGAGATACAACGTCTATCGGCTATGTGCGGGTGGTGCTTCTGTTATGGGCAGGATTGCGGATGTATGCTGGGTGGCGCTGATGCCGATTCAACCGGGGCGAAAGCCGCTCGAGAAAGGCCTACTAGTACTCGTCGCAGGTCCAGAATGGCCTTGAAGTGCGTCGGTTTGAAGAATCACCACAGGAGCCAGCAGGGGAGAGTCTTCTGGGTGCAATCCGCCCGAAGCCCGAGTCCAATGGAGGCAAGAGAGGGGCAAGGAGGGGAAAGTTGAAGAAGAGGGGAGAGAGGGGAATGGCCTCCGCTCACGGCGCAGTGACGCCCGATTAGATCCCCCACGTGATAGGACGCGCTTACCGTCCGTCGGGATTATCCGTAACCTTATTTCCATCCCTGACGGAAACAAACAGCCATCCAGTCAGTCAGTTTTGGGGCAACAGAGAGCATCATGTAGTTATCTCGCTGATTGTGCTGCTGTAAGGGCTGTTCTATAAGAAAAGCTGTATTCGAATGTGTCAACCGCCAAGTTAAATGTCTCGAATAACAACCCGGTTCAAATATATATTTATAATTCACAGCAGACATCTACAGACACTAGACAAGGATATTTTGTATATGGTACTCCATGTTTGCCACCGGAGCCAGCCAGTTAAACATGGTTCCAGCATTTATGCCATCCAATGCTGATAGAGAGAGAAGGCCATCGGCCACAAGATGGTGCGCAACTATTTCCCAAGAAGACGGGACTGTCGCCCTCGGTTCCCCCCTCCCCTTCACAGCTCCGTTCTCATTTAACCCAGTGCTGAGGTATTGGGCGAGGTACGCTCCAGTGCCCATGATCATCGCACAATCGCAGACCGGACCCCCATATACAGCGAGCGTCCTTGAACCTTCAAAGAGTGCCAAACCTGACATTCCTGGGCTGACTGCCTTAAGAGAATGGGGGAGGGCGATATGCAAGCCCGTGGGAGGACAAGCAGACTGAAGATCTGTCATTCTAGACAGAACAGCCTTTCGACTGTCAGAGCCGACTGCCATTTTTGTTGACTATCTTCACGGTGTAGCTGTTTCAGCGGTGACGATCGTCTTTCGGAATGGGCAGGCCCATCATCGAAAGCATGTTCCCTGCCGGGCCTGCGGTGCCAGCCTGGCCCTGGAGGCTTTCAAGCAAATTCTTCGCAAAGTTGACATCGATATCCTCATCCTCAAAATCCAGAACATCCTCGTCTTTGCCCTCATCTGACCTTTCGGCCAGGGCCTGTTTGCCACTAGCATTATTACCCTTGCGATTGAGATTGAGAACGCCTGTGCCTCGCAGCTCCGCCTCCATTTGCTTCGACAGCTCCTGGATCTGCTCTGTGTCATCCTCGGATTCACTGTCCAATTCTTGTACTCTGTTACGCGACGCTGAAGGTAGGGGCGGTCCCTGGAGGCCGGACCTTGACGGCATCCCTGACGGCATTCCCATCATCTCTTTCATCATCCTGGAGAATTCCTCTTCGTCGAACGAGGCCTCTTTATCCTCACCGTCGCTACTACCTTCCTCCTCGTCGTCGTCGTCCTCGTCAGAGTCCGAATCATAGTCGTCAATAAATTCCGCTCCTTCAAAGCCAGCTGAATCATCGTTCAAAAACTTTTCGAATTGAGCCACGATGCGCTGCAGGTTCTCCTGGGCGTTCGCATCCCCAAACGCTCCTTCAGAAGGGGCTTCACCCTCCTTGTCTTTGCCCTTGCCCTTCAGCTCTCGATCCAGGTCTTCGAAACTGATATCCAGCCACTTTTCGTCATCCTCGCGTTTATCCCATGTTTCAATGTCCTTATCCGTCGGTAGCTGCTCGTCCCCGGTTTCCAAGTCTTCCAGAACCAGCTTCATCTCCCTCACAGCTGACTTGTCTTGATTCTGGGGATCCGTAATAAGCATCTCAAACCCGCAAGAAAGCTTCATGCCAATCTCTGCCCGATCGTACAATTTCCGGTCATCCGTGGAGGGCAGTTGTTCGGCCCACGCCTTCGGGACGGGGAAGTCCTGACTCTTGAGTTGCGCATATCCGACCCGAGTGAAGCGGACGCTGACGGTGACGAAGTCCTCGGGTTTGAAGGTAAAGTTGTCGACATCCTTGGATCGCAGGGGCCGGAGGGCAATAGGGTCTCGTAAATAGAAAGCTTCCACAGCGGCCGAGATATATGCGGGCTTCTGGTGCAGCAAAAAGGCGACCTTGCGCGGGATGGTCACCAGAGCGGAGTGGAGGTTTTCGTTAATCTGCTTAGGATAGTTGCGCAAGCGATAAAACGCCTCCTCCTGAACCATAGTCGAGCGCATCAGACGTTCCGGCTCCTTTGTTATAATGTGCCTCGCGTCCTCCAGAGATATTTTTTCCGTCACTCTCCCCTTATCGTTCTTCGGCTTAATGATGACAAGTTGTCCCTGGTTTATCCACACCTGTGGGAGGGTCAGTACAACGGGAAAGGCTAAAAAGCATGCGCAAACACAACTGACTCTGTTATCGGCGACTTCAGGCTCCAACCAAGCCGGTAATGTGGCGGCAGCCTCCACGAGAAGAAACTGGCCGTCGCCATCCACAGCCTTCGCCCAGACATCCTTGTGCTTCTTAGTTAATTCGCGGAGCAAGTACACAACGACCCATTCATCCTCGATCGAATCGCCAAAGTTCGTGCGTCCATGCAACGAGGTCACTCCTAAATACCCGTTAGCCCAAAGACCGACCGGCGAGTGAGTGATAGATCCGCGCACCATCATCTTTTGTGATCTCCAATCGAAATCCCTCGCGCTGCCATATGTAGTCCTTCAACAGGTCTTTCACCAATTCCGCAGAAGTTCGTTGTACCTCCACCAGTCGCGCGCGCGTTTCTGCGACCTCATCGATAATGGCGGGGGCGGGGCTCGAAGGGATATAGTAGAGAGAATAGTCGATAGAATCATCGGGGATCTCGGGCTTGGGGATCGGGCGGAAAGTCGACTTGAACCATTCCAGGTCCTCCTGCGACATAGGCGCCATGTTCAATAGTTCGTTCCGCAGCAGGGGAAAGAGTCCAGTGAAGTTGTTGCGCGGAGAGAAAACTCCAAAGGAAGCCTGTGATTGAAGGTGATTAAATTACGGCATGACTTCATACCAGACGAGACGCGGCCGACGGCTTGGCGCAGACCCCGTGATCAGGCGCTAGGCCGGGTTGGGCTAGATGTCAACAAGAACGAGGGCTTGGGGCCTCACCGCCCAAAACACGTATCGCATCGCATCCATTGCCGGTCGTTGTTCCCTCCGCAACCCCCCCCCCCAAATAGTCGAGGTGGTCGGTGATGGTCACCTGTTGACTGACACTCGCGCCTTCCTATCCGCCCGCCCCCAGTGACAAAAAGACGCGTCTTTTCTCGCGTCAATCAACCATGGCGTACCCATACATTGATACGCCGCGCACCGAAATCGACGGAAACGCGACTTACCTGACCAACGGCAATCGCAGCGTGGGACGACCGAACCTGACGGCGCTCGACTCGGTGGAAAACTCCTTCCTCACACCGTCCAAGGGTGATGATGACGTTCTCAAGGGCTTTGGTGAGGGTCGAAGACGCACTTCTGCGAGTTTCAAGATCAGCACGCCGCGTGCCGGCTCTGGTCCAAAATCTTCTCGGAGCGCGTTAAACAGTCGACATCAGCTTCCCACCGCGGCTATCCCCAGAGGCGAGTTCACGCCCCTCATGAAAAGCGCCACCAAGAACAATTACCTGAAAAACATGTCCGCCGCGCGAGGTCCGAAGACCCCAGGCTATGCGGGAAGGAGCTATCTGAGTAATGGCAATACACCTGGCTTGCCCGCTATGGAGATGACGGGGATTGATGAGGAGGAGACGACCGATGATCAGCCTACTCCTATTCCGCAGGTTGCGAGTAGTAGTGTGCAGAGCACGCCGCTTCCTGGGCTATCTAGGGACGGTGGTGTCCTCAACGATGGCAATAATATGATGACGCTGAAAGAACAGGAAAAAGTAAGTGCCTGGTGTTTCTGAAAATATACCCCATTGCTGACGGTGGTAGATGATCGATCAATTGGACAAAGATAACTTTGGTCTGAAATTGAAGATTCATTTCTTGCAGGAGCAACTCGAAAAGGCCGGCCCCTCGTATAACCAAGCAGCGCTGAGAGAGAATACCGAACTGAAAGTCTCCAAATTAACGATGCAACGCGATATTTCACGATACAAGAAGAGCCTCCAGCAGGCCGAGCGCGACCTCGAATCCTACCGCATACAATTCCAGGAACTCAGAGAAAAGAATCGCAGACGGCAACCGGATGATACGGTACAACGTGAGATGGACCTGATGCGAGAAGAGATGGAAGCGAGAGACAATCAAGTGAGAGAGCTCCAGGAGGAACTGCGAGAAGCCAAGGCCGGGCAGTCCCAGGAACTTGACAGACTTCGCGACGAAATCGAAGATCTCGAGGCATCTGTAAGGGACAGGGATCGGACTATCGAGGAACGCGATGAAGAGCTCGAGGAACTGAAGGACCGGGATGGCAAGGAGCACGATGCACTCGCTGAGCTGGAATCAGAATTGCAACGCGCGAAGGAGCAGATGGAAGAGCTGCAAGAGTCGCTTGATCAGGCCAAATCAAACGCAAAGGAGGCGAGAGAGGCTGAAAGTCAAGCGGAGAGAGAGAAGGAACAGGCTCAGAAAGATCTCCAGGAGTTGCACGATGAGATGGCAAATAAGTCAATCAGCACAAGCGGGCTGACTCGTCAGCTGGAGGAGAAAGCCAGCAAGCTCGAGGACGATCTTCGTGAGATTCAACGAGAAAACGGCACCTTGAAGAACGAACTGGAAGCAAGATCCCGGGATGAAGCTCGACTGAACGATCAACACCGAGAAACTCAGCAGAGGATGGAGGAGAGGCAACGAGAGCTTCACGATGATGCCGCGCATACAAGGCGAGAGCTGGACGTGGCTCAGCAGGAATACGACAAGTTAGCCGCTCAGCTACAAGACGCGCTTGATGAACTCCAACGCAAGGCAGACGAGAAAGAACTACTGCAAACACGACACCATGCCCTAACTGACGAATCCGGGGGCCTGCAACATGAGTTGTCTAAGGCACAGTCCAAGATCACGGAGCTACAACAGGCTGTCGATGAAGAGAAGCGCCGTGCCTTAGATGGTGCGGATACTGTTCGTGTTCACTACAAGGAGGAAGTCGAGAGATTGCAGGATGAGATCGAATCTCTCCACCACGAGATTGAAGACAAGGAGGGCCAGTTCGCTCTCGAGCAAGACAGATGGGAGAGCAACAGGCGCGCTTTACAACTCCAGAAGGACAGAGCGGAAGACCAGGCCGCTGGGTTTAAGCGGACGATCGAGAAGCTTGAACAAGTGGAACATACTCTGTCAGGAAAGGAGATGAAGCTGCAGGAGGTTATCGACAGCGAAAAAACACGGCACTTCAACTCGGAAGCTGTTTTGAGCCGACAAGTCAAGGAGCTGAGCGATGATCTAACTACCAAGAGAGAGGTGATCGACGAACAGCGCAATGAGCTTCTTTCCGTCAGAGAAGAGCTGAGACTCATCAGACGGTCAGAAGCAGCGTTGAAAGAGAAAGTACAGGCCTTGGAAGACGAGATCTTGGTGTTGCAATCAAGCCTGGAGGAAGAACAGGAATACACCAAGGGTCGGACACAGAAGGGGTCTTCCGAACAAGACAGTCAGTTGCAAAAGCTCATCACGGAGAAGCAAAGACTTCGTGACCAGCTTGCCAATGCCCATGTCGAATTGCATGATTTACGGACGTCAGCCGCTGAGATCGAGACCGAGCGTGATGAACTCCAGGCTCAACTAGACCAAGTGCAGAACCAGGCTGACGACACGACGCGGGTTGACAAGGAAAAGATCGAGCTGCGAAAATCTGCCCTGCGCCTCGAAGGTGAACTCAGACGGCTCAAGGAGGACAAAGCGTCCTTGCTTGAGGGTAAGGAGACACTGGAGAAGCAACTTAGCACTGAGATCGAGCGGGCTACTCTGGAAGAGAATCGCCTATCAGCCGAAATCGACCAGCTTCAAGATAAGCTGCATATGATTTCTGGTGGTAGAGATCGGGAGCTGGCGTTGTCGAAGAGCAAGATCCAGCGCTTCGAACGACGCATAAATGAACTCGAGGCTCTTCTTCAGCAGCAGCCGCACATTGAGAACGAACATTCAACTTCCGCAGCAGACCTATCGATGCTTCGCCATAGCCTCGATGAGGCTCGGAGGCGTGAGAAGACGTTGATTCAGCGCGACGCCGACCAGAAGTCCTCCGTTCGCACCTGCAAGGCACGTATTGCTGAACTCGAAAAGGAGCTACACGACGCCATGATGAGGAAATATGAGTCTCGGTCTCCCTCATCCTCGCCATCAAACAAACTCCACGAAGAGCTCCGCAGTCTAAGAAAGCAACTGTCGGATGCGCATCGAATGCTCAGGGAATTGAAGTCAAAGAATCGCGACCTTGAACGAGCGGCTATGAGAGAGGAAGATCAACGAGACCTTCACGAGTTGCTCAAATCATCCACCCTCGAGGCAGAAGCCCTGGCCCTCAAGGTATCAGAGCGAGATGCCCGGTTGAACGAGCTGAAGAATCAGAGCCGTCGGATCCGCGACGAACGTTCATTCTGTGCCAGGAGAGCCGAAGCGGCTCTCAAGGAGCTTGAATCTCTCCAAGAACGGTACGACCAGCTCGTGGAGAGAATGGGGGCCAGGTCAGATGGCAATAAGACTAGACACGACAAGGAGATTCTCGGTCTGGGCAAGGAAATCATCTGGCTTCGTGCGCGTCTGAAGCGGGAGGAGAAATTCCGCCGTGATCTGGCGTGGAGTAAGGGCTTGATGGAGCTGGGCGAGCGTGTTCGGGTTGCTTGGTTCGTTATCCCTGCCATTCCTCCTACATCCATCCACTTCATCCCCTTTCAATTAATGTATGCGACCTTACTTTACTAACATCATTCTCTCTCCAGCAACGAAGCCGACCTTCGCATGATCTCCGAAATGGGCGTTAAATCCCGTGATCGCAACAAGCTCCGATCCCCCAAGGCGAAGCTCAAGACCGCCGTCTCCATGGTCAAGGCCATTGTCCGAATGAAGCGGATGTCGCAGGACTGGAAGAAGACCAAGAAAATAGGCGAAGGTCTGAGACGAGCCAAGAACGAGGTGTTGAAGCGGAGGGACGGTTTGAGTAACAGTAAGACTGTGATGGAGTAAATGGCAGAAGAAAGGGCGGCGAGATCGATTTGTTGGCTGTTTGTCTCACTTGATTGGTTTCCTCTCTTCCTCCCTTTCTTTCTTTCGTTCTCCCTTTCTCCCCTCTCTCCCACTTGAAGCCTTTGAATGACGTTTCCTTTTTTGTTTCTTCTTTTTGGGTTTGTTGAAGAGATTCCCCGGCGCGTTCGAATTTGATTATGTTTCTGGAGGGGGGTGTGGCGTTTTGTCATAGGTTTCAGATGAATTGTTGGCACAGTACAAAGTTGCTTACCTACTTACCTACCTACCTGTTTCCTACTACTACTTACTTTCCTGTAGCTGAGATTCTTTGCGCATATACTACAACATCATTATTAAAGCCATGGTTAGGACATGGCTTTTTTTCTTTGTTTTTTTTTCTTTGTTTTACTTGGATTGGATTGGATTGGATTGGATGGCCAGAATGGGTAATGAGAAATGTCAGTAACAAGCAGTGTCAGTGTCAGTGTCAGAATTAGAATTAGTGATCTATCATATTAGAGCAGATTAAGTAGTATACGCCTTAACGAGGAACAAATGGAGGGCAAGTCTATGGTAAAGCGGCAAGTGGGCAGAGAGAGAAGAACAAAGAAAGGAAGAAAGGAAGGGGGGAAAGACAAGATCCGCGACTCTTGTGGAAGCAAGCCAGTCAAAAAAATCCGGACTGTCTAACGAACGCCAGACAGAAAGAGAAAATTAAGTTGCAAGGACGGGAGCATGGTAAAGACAAGGAAACAGCATGTCCCGGGAAAAGAAAACAAACAACGGAGAGAGAGATAGGGCGAGAGAGGGCGAGAGAGATGGACTGAGACCGTATAGCAGGAAATTCACACCCCAATCGAGTTCAAGTCATCACATGAACCATAAGATTACCACCAGCAATGAACAGCAAGATTAGAGCCAGAGCCAGAGCACACCCTTCATGGGGTTGAGTCTGCGCATCCACAGCCTTGGACCATGCATTCAAAGTCTTTGGGGCTGGGCAGGGCATGTACCTTGCTCTCCTTACAGTATGGTTGTGTCGATGCATGGAAGCCGGTCATCACGATATCTTCCCAGACGGGACTCGGGGGAAGATTGTTGGCTGATAGTGGTTCAAACGGACCATTGCTTCCGCTGTGACTCGCAGTCGCTCTAAGGAGGGCGGTTGCAGTTTTCGAGATGTGACAGTCTAGGTAGACGTGGTCGTTTATGTGGCCGCAGCTGTTGTAAACACGCTGGACTTGACACATCGTTGCAGTGGCAGAGGAAGCTTGGGTGTGGTGCCAACTAGAATGGAGAAAAGGAACGTATTCTTTAGCTTTTAGGGTTTGTTTGCAGCCAAGCTAGCCAGACTTCCTTTGGCGAGGAATTGCGATTGCTCTTGTTTCTCGAGACGTGTCCGGTTGGGACTTTGGGGCAGGAACCAGATTTTGGGCGCAAAGCAAAGTCACTTGAATATGATATGATGGAGTTGCCTTGTTAAGCATGGCCGGTTGGGTTGGAAAAGGGGATCCGACGGGGGTTTCGTGTCATCTTGTTTTATAAGTATGAAGGTGAATAAGTTGAAAAGTGTCAATTCCACAAGACATGGTGAATCTCCGCAGTCGCATCACTATGGAATGGATTCTCAGCTAGGACTTCACAGTCTTGTCCTGACTTGTATAGTCGGCAATCCCCATTGTTCGTGGTGACAGGACGAACAAAGGACGGAAAGCACCATAATCAAATATTGGCCGTTTATTGAAAATATCGACTATAGGTTAACTTTCCTGCCTCGTTCCTGGGTTCTTTGTCTCGTATCAGCTTTTGAAAGGGTTTACTAATCTTGCGAAATTAAGATAGCGCCATGAAGAGGCAATGCAATTCAGGTGAAAGATAGTGAAGAGAGAAAGAGACATGCATGAGGCATCTTGACAAAGTATTATGTGCGCGCCAGCCATATAAGTAATCATTATACACACATATGAGATTCTGTATTATGTTCAATTTGACACTGTACAATGTTGCTCACCGGTCCATAATCGGGATTATCCGGCAGGCGTAGTGGGAAGTATCGATGGCATGATCAGGCCCGGAGGAGCCGAATCATGGTACCGTACCGAGAAGAGCGAGATCATTCATCGTCAACAAATGAGTTGGCCAGACGGCCGAAGACGGGGACCTCGAAGTGTTCCAGAGTATCAACTGGGACATTGTCAGCTCGCTTTTCCAACAAGGGCCCAATGGAGTGCTTACCATCTCGATAAGCGCGCATGCTCAGGAAACCGATCATCGCAAGGTCGCCAATGAGCAGGAGCCAGGACAGAAAGCTTGACCACGAGAAGATCAAGTGGATTATCTGGAGAGGGTTAGAGATCTGAATAGCAGGATCGGAAGCGCGGGGGACTTACAAACATGGCCGTAAACAGCATGCTGGACTGCCATGCATGGAAGCTAAATCATGAGTGAGAAACTGCGGAGAGTGTCTTCCTGGATACTGAGGGTAGAGCATACCGGACATAGTCACTCTTGTGTTCAACGAGTAGGAGAAACACACCGCCCGCAGGAGGTAGAAGCACATATGCCAGCATAGCTTCAACATCCATGCGGATGGGGAGACTGGTGTCAAAAGCCCCTAGGTTCCACCGGCCACTCTCGACGTCATTGCCAAAACCCGTATTCCCATGCCCGTTGGTGTTTATGCGGCCCGGGGCGGCGAACTGGCTGGGGGATGGGAGGCCGGGGGAGTTCAGTCCTGGAACGGGAGACCCGCGCGGCGAGTGGACATTGGGGAGCTTGGGGTGGGAGCGATGCGCATCGACCGGCGACGGCGAGAAGGCACGTTCCACCTCGGGCGACTCGTCCTGGTAGGGAGCGAAGTTCATAGTGCGGGGGAGGAAGTGGGGGGAAGAGGTGAGGGGAGGAAGAGGAGGAGGAGGGGATGACAGAAGAGAAGAGGAGGAGAGATGAGGAGTGAGGAGTGAGGAGTGAGGTCACGTCGTTCACATCGACGGGGGAAGACGCGCCTGCCTTATCGGGGGTGTTTTACTAGTACGGGAGTAGATGCTCGTTCCAGCAGCAGCAGCAACAGCAGCAGCAGCAGCAGTAGTAGCAGCTTGGCTTGCAGATCCCGCATTGGCGCTATTGATCGCCGCCTCAGGCAGCCACCCCGCCAAACTTGTTGATTTGCAGCAACCACATACGGAGTAGTATAGTATGTAGGCAATGTCTCGGCATCGTGTCATTTTGGGGGTATCATCTCATAACTAGCATTGCGCTTCGTCTCAAATTGTCTCGTACTATACATCCACAGCTTCCCAATCTCCCACAGCCTCTACGCCCTGCCGCGGCCACGCGCAATCCCCGATCCCCTCGCGATCCCACTGACTGGTCTACGCGTTGTTGAGGTCGTGCTGGGCTTCCCGGCCGTGCTTGAGGATGCCGTAGTCCGTGTCGCGCTGGAGCCCGTCCCCGAGTACGATACACTGGGCGTTCTTCCTAGACCACCCGTACTGCGCACTACCCTTCCCCGAGTGGTTCCACGCGTGCCTCGGGTGCCCGCGGCCAGGGCCCTCTTTCGTCCTTCTTCCTCGGCCTTCCGGGCCGCAGTCTCCCTTTGATACTGACGTTCGCGTTCGCGTCTTTCGGCAGCCTGCTGCCTGGCAAGTTCCTCGCTCTCCATGTCGGCAGCATCTTGGACGGCTCCTTGCCAATTGGGGTTGAGAATCAATCGCTGGTTGTGCTCCGTCTGGGCGAGAATCCGAGTCCATGTATTCAGCAACGTAGATGCCGACTCGAGGGTTCGCGATACGGTCTAAGGAAGCATCGCGGGTTAGCAATCGCAATCCAAGTGTGATCGTGGCGGTGGAAGGCCTGGACATACATCCATGTTTCCCTTGGCGCAGTCGAGACTGCCCAGCAGGCCCTCAATGACGTGGTTGATTTTGCGAACACTCTCTAGTTCACTGCGCAAAGCCGCTTCGCGTCCCTCCTCGCGGTCATAGAGGGTATCGCCTCCATCATGGGCATGGGCAGGTGCAGGTTCTGGTGAAGGGGACAGTGACAGGCTCTCTTCCTTGACGGCTCGATGTAGTTTGTTGTTTCCGCGTTTGGAGGGAGAATTCCAGAGATCGTCCGAGTCATCATCCGAATATTGGAGTCTATTCATCTTGGTGGTGTGTTATGGAAATGTGGGACGGAATGGTGTGGTGTGGTGTGGTGGCCGAGGTGGATGGAGGCGGGGCTGTGGCAGCGATCAATGTTGTTGATGTTTGATGTTTGATAGTAACCGGGGGAGGTACAGCGCGTCGTGGGAGAATAGGCAGCCAATGGAGAGTTGGACAGGGACGGATCGACCGCTAGATGTCGTGGGGCGATTTCAGCCACTCGATTAACTCACTAATTGACGAGGGAAGTGGGAGGGAAGAGGAAGGGCGGGAGAATTGGGTGTGGCTGGGAGTTTGTTAGCATTTAGCATTCCAGCGCCCACACGGCGACTCTCTCCGCCCGCCCTTTCGCGCCCGACCAGCAATCGTTCATTCTTCCTCTTCCTCCCTTCTTCCCCCCCCAGTCTTCCTCCCATTCATCCTCACCCTCACACCCTCCCTGTTAACCACTCTTACCTGGTTGTTATTTCCACCTATCCGCTTACATCCATCCCATTCATTCTGCGACATTGATCTTTACGCCTTTGGTGCTCCATTGGATAGCACGTTGGACCCGCGCCCTACGGTCGGCTTTTGGCACGTCGCGCGTTTTCCTCCCTTTGTCCCTTGGACCGAGATCCCATCGCCATCGTCCACCACCCTTTTAACCTCCAATCTCTTGGAATTTAATCCATCCTACCAGACGACCTTTGCTGTCAATTTGGACTTGGGGTTTTCTGGGGTGTTTCTAGTCTCATAGACAAGGCTACCAGTCGAATTGGACATATCCTTCAAAATGGCGACAACACCACCGCCGCCCTCGACCCTACGCATCCCTCCCACCCCGCGTCTTGGATCACAATATGATGAATACGAGCCCTACTCGACGCGACATTCGGCCAGGCTAGCAAGCCAGCGTGCTTCCAGAGAATCCCGCACCACTCCCCCGCCCAGTTTTCCCAGCACGAAGGGCACAGCCAAGCACAACAGCCATAGCCATGAAGCAGAGACACTGTCACCTCCAGGGTCGGTTCAGGGATCACCCCGGAAGCACAGGTCGGCCCGGACGGTTGGCCTGTTTGCATCGCATTCACTGGATGGCGCCTCGCTTGACGACTCAGACCCCTTTGGCGCCGAACCCTCCTACACTCGTCGTCCCCCACAATCACTTCGGCCCACCATGACAGAGGGGATGCTGCCAACTCCAGCCAAGACGCCGCGGAAGAAGGCTGTCGGTGATGTAGGAGGCACCGCACGAGCCCTCTTTCCCGCCCCTCCAAGCTCCAGAAAGAGGACCAAGAAACACACTGGCTTCTCACTGGATAGTTTCAGCGAAGACAACGCTCGCGGTGGATCTGAGATTCAGATTTACACAGACTCCCGTGACCGAATCCCAGAGGTCGACAACAGCGAAAGCAACCCTTTCTATAAAAAGCCCGCCGCTGGCAACAGCACAGTCACCCGCACTTCAAGACGCCGAGAAAGTCGCCGCGACAAGGACATTGATGAGTCGATCGACCGCGAGGATGGCATGGTCTATGTTTTGTGAGTTTACTGTGGTTTTCATTTGCCTGTGCCCATTTTGCTAACAATCTCCCAGCCGAGGCAAGAAAATGTTCCGCAAGTTCACCGATGATGTCCCGAGCGACAACGAAGATGATGACGACGATCTGGGCCTGCTGGCAGCCCGCCCGGACCTGATTGATTCATCGATTACGGCCAGCATTCGACCTCTTACTCGCTCGTCTATCAAACCCCGTGTGCTCTTTCCCAGTACGAAGGATCAAACACCCGAGACCACTCAGTTGAGCGATGTCGACGAGGAGGCAGCTACCGATATCGAGGACCAAGCGCTCCATGCTGATACCGAACCCGAAGCTGACGAACATGATGAACACGACGACCATGCTGTCGACATTGAGATGCAGCAGCGGCCAGTTACCCCTCCCCCACCTACTACTGCAACTCCCGCATCTCCCGGTGCCACGATGCGTTCTCTACGCTCCCGAAGCAAACGAGAAGGCCCCGACCACGGCGACACGCCCACTGTCTCCGAGACCAAGAAAAAGCGCGTCAGTCCATTCGACGGTTGGCTGCGAAAGAAGCAAACCCCCGCCGTGACCGGAACCAAGGCGAAAAAGCGCGACGCAGAAGCTGCTGGCAGTCCTGGCGGCCCCGCTACAAAGAAGACTCGAGGCAACAAAGCGACTGTATCATCGTGAGCACTGTTACCTAGACGCAACACAAGCAAACGTCCAAGGATCAATCTCTATTGAACCCCATTGGGAGCAGAGCTCAGACTTCTCTTTCTTTCCCTGATACCTTCGTCAAGTGTCTCCGCGAACCTGGCGAACCATTTGTCCTCCGCAACTTTGATTGTTTTATCTTCTCGTTCAATATTTGCCGGCGCTCTTGAACTTCGGGTCCGGCTCTAGTACGGTTTTTTTTTAATGTGTCCGACTGGTCCCCAATGTGCGTTTGTTTGATACCACCTGCAAAGACAGCATCCGTTGTGTTGTACTCTTTGTCTTGAACATACATGACTCGGTCAGTCGGAATGGAATGGAAATAGGCGCGAATTGCTGGGTACCTGGGACGGATGGATGGACCGGTGAACTTACTGGCTTTGGCTTGGCTGGCTGGCGCGTGGGACGGAGTTCAATTTGTCTTTTCAATTCTGTTTTCTTTCTGAAAGCTTTCCTTCTATTATCGGCGTCTTCTCTGCTCCCCCTACCCATCCATCCCCACACCTTGCCCGCTTGGGTCCCTCTGGCTTGAGCCGGAGGCATGATTCACCGGGCCAGATGTTTTACTTAGATAGCTAGCTAGCTCGAGAACCTTCTCTCACTTACGTAGATACCAATGAATATGAAATTGCGATGTCTTTCTTTTTTTTATCCCTTTACGGGTTGTTTTTTTTTTTTCTTTGGCAAATCGGTCCGTCCAAGAAGTGTAGCTTTAGTGTTTATATTAATTACAGTCTGATGAGTGGAGATAGTGTAAGTGACTCGATGACTGTCTACTTACTATTTAGTTAGTCATTCAATGATTAATCTCTAGTTAGAACAAACCACTGGAGCTCCAATAATTACTTACCGTCAGCCACCAACCCATTTACCTTACCTTATCTTACCCTACCCTACCCTACCTACAGGGTAAATTATAACCTGACTCAAGAAGAAGAAAAGCAGTCATGGGTTCTCATTGAATAAGCAGCTGATCAACAAAGAAAAGAGAAAAAAGAGAGAGCATTTACTAATACACCATCACCCCCTAACTACTGTCCTGCAAAAGAACCTGGTGGCAGGACAAAGACATGGAGAGGGAGGGGGGGAAGGAAGAAGGAGAGACCGTAACAGAGAAATACTTGTACAAGAGACGACGGCAAAGAAACCAAACCAGTGCCTGACGGGTAAAGAGGACGGAGATTCCGGTGGAAGGGAAGTAAGTAGAAGAGAGACATAATCGTAAGTAAGTAGTCTGTTTACCTAGGGTTCGTTCGTGCGGGAAGAAAAATTCATTCATTGATTCGTTATTGGGTAAGGGTAAGAATAAGGGTAATGGGTAATAACGGTAAGGATTGAAAAAAAGGTGGGCTCCATCACAGGTTTTCTTTCGCACTGGAAGTAAAAAGGGAGAGAGAGAGAGAGACATGTGAGGAATCCAGGTCTGGAGTTGAAGGAAAACAGGTGGTTGGTTGGGTATAGGAAGGTATTGATTGCGGCGGTATTCCAAGTCGCTCGCTTCTTCTTTGGGCTCTTCAGACAGCGAAGCGAGTCCTGTCGATTCAGATAGGTTCTTGCAGGGATATCCAATCGAGGCTGTCAAAGAATGAGGGTATCTATTTTTTTCATCATAAAGAGGGGTTTGAGGGAAAGGGGGGTGTGTTTCTCTAGATGATATCTAGGTCATCGTCATCGTCATCGTCAAGGTTCGTCTGCACCAGATCGGGTTTCCCACCCAGACTGTCCCTCCCGGCCTCTTTGATGCCATGGGAGGTGATAAACCGAGTCTTCTTGACACCGCTGCTGCTCTGGGGTCTGTCGCCGTCGTGGGCGCGTTTCAACGAACCCAGTTTGACCGTGTCCGCCCGTCTGAAGCTCGACAGGCCGAGGTTATGAGCCGAAAGCTGATCTGAAGCGTTCTTCTCCCGGTCTGCTTGGGGGTCGGGACGGGGCGTCGGGACATTGCCGCTATCTCGGGATCGGAGGTACTCTGCGCCAACGCCTCCGGGGCGGGAAATGAGCTTCGTGGTGATTTCGCGTTCGCGCTGCTTCTCCTTCAGGCGTTTGCGGAAGCGCTCCTCGCGATTCTCCATTCCGCGGCCCATCATGCCGGCGGCGATGAAGGGGTCGTCGTGGTCCGCGTCGATGAGATTAGCGGCCGATTGTCCGCCTGGCATAGGGTGGAATGAGGGCCCGGCGCTCCTGGACTTCGGGGCGGGTGCAATGTAGTACGACGACTGGGATTGGAAGTCGAATTTGGCGCCGGCTGACTTCAGTCCGTTTGGGGGGCGACCTTTTTGGCCTTGGCCTGCGTTGCCGTAGAAGCCAGTTCGAGAGCCTGAGCGGCCTCCGGGTCCCCCATACATGCCCGTGCCTCCGTTCACGCCCATCCGGCCGGCCTGAGTTCGACGGATTTGCAGGTCCACGTGGAAGTCGCAGAATTCTGTCTTTCGAGCATCCACCCAGGAATGACATGTTTTGCCGTCCTTGCGGACGGCTTTGCAGAACCCGATGTCTTGAGCGTAGCCAACCTCCAGGATCTTGTCATCCGATGAAGATACAGCGAGACTGAATTTGTTGGTGTCTAACTTGTTCTTCGGCGGAGGCATAATCGTGGGGTTCAGAATGGCAACGAGTATCCCTTCCGAAATGCGGTAATAGCGAGGAAACGCGGTTTCAAAGAGGAAGAGGTCGATGGTCCATTTGAGATCCGTCAGGGTGATAACCATGTACTGATTGGTGTTGTTCCTTCCATCGTCAAAGGGATCGACTTCTTTTGGGGTGGCGTTGGCATTTGGTGCTTTGATTTGTCTGGGCTCTGACTTCGACGCCACGATGCCAAACACGACGAAGTCCGTGTCAATGTCCTCCGGTAGTTCAAAGTCGGGCGCCTTTACTGTGCGGAGTAGATCGGGGATCTTAAGGACTTTCTTGTCCTCTAGAGTTCGAGTCAAGAACGAATGGGGTAAGATGCGGTTTGACAGGTGTTGAGAGGAGAAGGACTCGAACTTGGATGGGTCGCCACCTTTGTCGCCCTGGGAATCACCGCCAGCACTGTTCTGAGAGCTTCCTGGCGCTTCGGACTCGGATTTGAGGTTCCGTCTGTGGAAGTGCGGCCTCGATTCCTTGGGTTCAGCCTCAATATCATTGCGCCGTACGCTGGGGGTGGTCTGACTCCTTTTAAGAGACGGCTTGAGATTATTGTAAGATCGTAGGATGTCGTCTCGGCTGAAGGTCTCGGTTGGGCGACTCTTCGTCGGCGACCTTGGAGCGTCCTTCCTAGCCTCGGCGGCCGCCTTCAATGCTTCCACCTCGGCCTTGTCGATTTGGAAGGCCGTACTTCTATTGGCTTGGATCCTCTCTACCCGCGCTGTTCGCTCTCTCCGAGACACATCGGCGGACCGGCTCTCAGCGACTCGTTCACTGAAGCTCTTGGGGCGAGGGCGTTCACCACCCCCCGTGATCGCCTGCAGAATATTGCCTGAATGAGAGACCAATCCATCTCGTGTCGCAGGCCGTGCTAGCTGACCGGTCCCCTTTGAGCTTGGGGGGCGTCTCAGCGATACATCCCTGCCTCGAAGACCCTTGTCGATGCCCAGAAAATACCTTCGCGGGGACACAGGGTCGTTCGGAGGACGCCGTGTGGGCGACAACGGAACTTGAACGTCATCAAAATGCGCATCACTGCTTGCTGCATGTACGCTTTTGGTTCTTGTTGCCTGCTCATGGATTTGCGAAGAGCCGATCGCGGTAGCGGGTCTGGCAGGCGTGTCGTTCTCGTGTCGGTCCGGTCCAGGCGTTCCTGTCTTCGCGCGGCTCTTCTGGAGCTGTTTGAGCTTCAGCCGGGCCTCAATGGCGGCCAGCTTCAACTGCAGCGTTTCTTCATCCTCCTCCTCGTCATCGTCCCCTTCATCCAGCCCATCGCTCAGAAGTTGTGCCGCCTTAGATCGCAAATCGGGAGTCGTGGTGGAGCGTTTGAGAGGCGAGCTTGGGTTTTCGCGGCGACGCTGCATATCCTCATACCTCTTGCGACCATTCGGGGTGCTGAGAAGGGCCTCCCGAGGGGACTTTGGCGGCCATGAGATCTCAACCACTGCAACAGACTCGTGTCAGTCGCGGTCCCAGTGGAAGGTAGGACAGAGCTAGTAGGCCCGTTGAAAGAATTTTGCACTCACTTACTGCTTGTCATCGCACCCGGCGTTTGTCAGATCAGTTCTAGTCCACTCGAACCATGTAGCGCTAGCGATCGAAACCCGCGGGGGTACTTTATTTCATAGATCGGTCGGTTGTGTTATGCGCTTGCCATATTCACTCACTCTCTCTCAACGAAGGGATGCGGGGAAGAGCGTTCGTCGGACCGGGGCAATTGGGGTCGCGTCAGGCCCAGCAACGGGTTACCCACCGACAAGGACAAACAAGGCGCTAGCGAAGAAAGGGGAAATAAGAATCGTCGACATGCATGAGGTGAAAGGCAAGGAAATGAAGTATCTAGTAGCTGCAACAGCCTTTAGTTTCCTGCGCGCCGGCGGCCTGAGGCTCATGCAGGCTTGCCCGCTGACTGGCCGGGGCAGCGGCAGTCCTGATTGGCCAGCGCGTGTCGCGTCGAAAAACGGAGACGCGTTCAATTGGAACTTTCCGTGCTAACTAACTATTAGTGCGGCGTTAACAATTAATATTATTGCCCTTAACATAGTAATCGTGCACGCTCCACAGGCCCAGCACCCTCAATTGTCCTCCGCAACACCAAACGACCACCCGCCAAACCCTCCCCCATCACCACCACACAACACCATCACAATGCGAACCCGCTCCAAAGCCCCTCCAACCAAGTCGCAGTCGCAAGCTACCTCCGACTCCAAACAAAAAACATCACAATCAGCCTCAGCACCACTGCCACCACCAACCAAACCCAACAAGACATTCATCCTCCCATCCTCCGCCAGCGCCTCCTCCCGCATCCTCACCCTCCCTAACCCCCAAACCAACACACCAACCCAATACTTCTTCTGCCCGAACCTCGGCGTCCACGAATTCACCGTAATCGCCTCTCCCGCGACCGCGCCACGGAGCATCCTATCCGCGCGCAAACCCACCGACGACGAAACCTCCGCCCGCGCCACCAAACCCCAAGGCCACATCACTCAGAACGCCGAACTCCTCGTCGCGACCCCCATCGACTTCCTTTTCTTCCTCGTTCCCCTGCTATCCGCATCCACCGCAATCCAGGGGGGCGGCGGAGGAGGAGGAGGCAAGGGCCTCTTCCAGCCCCTAGACGACATCATCGACTCGCAGGACGAGCTCCCCAAACACTTCCGCCATGTTCTCTACGACGATACCTTCCGGGCGGCTCTGCATGATCGGGCTGCTGCGATCTGCGACTCCGTAGAGGCTGGAGATGAGACAATGTACCGGTTTAGTGAGACGAAGCTTCTCTTGGAGCTTGTTGCCAAGGCCGACAGGATGGTCGCTATGGGTCTGCCGCCTAGTTTGGAAGAACAGTTTGTGAGGCAGGCGTTGGCGACGCCGTTGATGGCTGTGAAGCGCGAGGACGTCGGGGTTGCGCCCCCGCCGCCGTCGGCGTCGGATGATAAGGAGAATAAGGGGGATGGGGAAGACGAAGAGGAGAAGAAGACACCGTCAGAGGAGATTTCGGCAACAACGACGGCGACGGCGACGGCGACAGAAACGGAGACGGAGACGGGCAAATCCACCCCCGCCACGGAACAAATACCAGAGGGCCCAAGCATCCCTGATGGCGTGGCCGATCTGCTACGGGTATCCACGGCTCTGACATTCATGAAAGAGTGCTACCTGTCCAAGGCGATGAGCGCGCGGATTGACGAGTTGCTAGCTGCGCCGGAGAGTCCGAAGGATTTCAAGCCCATGCAGGAGCATCTGAAGCTGGTGGCGAGTCTGCGCGCGCAGGCGCTCGCGTCGCGGTCACTGGGGGATTTCAGTCGGAAGCGGAGTGCGGAGGACCAGGAGGCGGCGGAGTTGCGGGCGGAGAAGAAGCGCAAGAAGGAGGAGGAAGAAAAGAAGAAGAAGGCGAGTGAGTCGAGGGGAGTGAGGGATCTGAAGAAGGTGAATACTGTTGGGATGAAGAAGATGAGTGATTTCTTTGGAAAGGCTGCTCCGAAGAAGAAGGCTTAAGATGACCGGGCTTCCATTGCATGAGAAGCACGTATGCTGTTGCTATTTCTTGCCGGTCGATTGGCCGTGACGAGGCCATGTGAGATCTCAAGCACTCTGGAGGCGGGATGCGCTCTTTTAACGATGTCTTGGGCTGTGCGGATTTCGAGCAGACCCAGGCAAAGTCCCGACCCGTCTGCTACAAAGTACCCAAAGGATGATACCCGAGGGTTGTTACTGTCTAATTGCTTCTAAACAAGGGCGGATATCTAAGATATGCTCCGCCGGCGAGGAAGATAGTCCCATTTGTACATATACACCCACGCGATATACACAAGTGTTGGGGAGAGGAGGATCACAGAGCCTCGCAACTGTGTTCCCGGAACATCCTGTTAGAAGGGGGGAAACCAACGCGAGATCCAATGGCACACTGCCGATTACATGACACATTACATTGAGAACACCCTTAGACCTCCACCTGAGCAATGGCTGCGCCCGTAACCCTGTGACATGTTAGCATTGTGTATTAAACACATCCAGGAATATGGGAACGTACATGAAGGATCCGTTGGACGGCTTGCTGATCACCATCGCTTGAGCCAGCTTTTCTTCGGTGATATCCGGGAACCTCTTCAGGTAATACTCCTCCTTCAAAGCCTTGGTGACAGCCTCGACCTTGGACTGCGGCAGCATGTGAACAGTGCAGCCGCCCCACCCAGCGCCAGTCAGCCGACTACCCAGAGTACCTGCCCGGCGTGCGATGTCACAGATCTCGTCCACTTCCACAGCGCTGCACTCATAAAGGTTGCGGCAAGAGGTCTGAGATTCATTCAGCAGCTGGCCCAGGTACTGGATGCGCCTCTCGTCAAGGGTCTTGGCCTTGGCGAGACACGCCTTGAAGTCCAGCACCCGACGAGCCTCGGTGAAGCAATGCAGAGCGCGCTGGCGGAGAAGGAATCGCTCTGCTTGCACGGGGAATGAAGACAGGTACGTGGCTTCGAGCTCCGGAACTGTAATGCTAAGGAGCTTGGCGATCTCCTCGCGAGTGTATCCTTGCTCTTGAGTCAAGAGCTCCATGGTACTCTGGATGACAGAGTCGATCTGGTACTCCAGAGGATCGCCTAGGCGGCCCTCTTTGCGCATGAACTCTTCATGGAAGTTACGAAGACTGTATCCCAGTGAGCTGTTGTCCTTGGGTAGTTTCAGCCCGTGCAGGGCTCCCAAAACCACCGCAGCGAGGGTGCACTCGGCGACACGCAGATTGTAATGACGGGGTGCGGTCTCAGCCTTGTTGGACGTAACAAAGCTCTGTGCCATGAGGAAAGTGATCTCTTCCTCGGCCTTGGGGATAGGAACGTGCTGAACAAAAAAGTTGGGGTAGAATTGGGTGTACAGCAGGTATCCTCGACGGGAGAAGATGGAAGCAGCCTGGTCCATACTGGCGGCAACAAGCCAGGTTAGAGATGAAATGGCAGGGTACTGTAGTACATTAAGACTTACCCCCCAGAGTACACTCCGACTGCGCGCTCAGACACAACAGCCAGGTCCAGTAGATCCTGCTTCGACACATCGTGGCTGTTGGCCTTCATAACGGCCAAGGCGCTGGCACACACGAACGCGGCACTACTGGAGATGCCACCACCGGGAGGCACGTTACCATCCAGGAGAACCTGCATGCTAGCGGGCACAAAAGAACCGTCGGCATTATGCTTGCGCAGGAACTTCAGGGCCCCCGAAAGCCCAGCCTTGAAGTAGTTGACCCATTCGTGCTTCTTGGGGTCGATCTCAATGTCTGTATCGCGGGGCACGGTGAACTCGCGGGTAGGGAACTTCTCAGGGTTGACGTTCGAAATGGTTACGACCGACTCGGAGCCCTTCGATGGAACCACTTTTACGGCGATGATCACATCCACGCTCACTGCGGTGGGGAGGACATCGTACAGGTTGTAGTCGATGTGCTCTCCGATGATGTTGACGCGACCGGGACTGCGCGCCACGAAATCGGGGCGATGGCTGTATGATCTGGTAAACTGGGCAACCAGGTTGTTAAATCGCGCCTGGTGTTCGGGGGCGACTGAGGTAGCCGACACATCGTCGGTTGCGTAGACCTCAGCGATGGATTCCGTCTGGGGGACGAGTTCCTGCGGGGTTGCCATGGCGGGGTAGATGCGAGATAATCACCAAAAGGAGGGAACACGGGATGAGAGGGAGGGGAGCGGGGGAGGGAAAGGAGGAGAAGGGAAGAGGGACTGAGCACCGCAAGGTAAATAAATAGGTCAGTAACCAGGCGGGCGCCAACGTTCCTGGCTCGTCAGCTAACCAACCGCTATGATGATAGGAGGGGAAAATTCGAGTTGGTGGTGGTGGTGGTGGTCCGCAGAGACCCTGATCGGTTCCGCATGGATGATCGAGGAGGTCGCGGGCATCCGGCCTGGGAACCCGAAACTGGAAAGCGCAACGAGAACTCCGGGCCCCCGGCCTGGGTTGTGAACGTGTGATTGCCTGATGGCCGGGGAAGAGTGGAGCCCCGGAGATGACAACTTCCTCCCACTCTCGCCGTCTCCAGCTTTTTGTTTGCCCAACCGACCCCCGTGGTTTCGGCTGAGTCGGGATGCCCTGGTCCCTTAGGTTCGGTCGGACAATACACCTCACCATCATCCATCCGATCCCCTGGTCCACGGAAGCCGTGGCTTCCCCGGCCTTGCAGATACTCTAAATATTAATCTCTGTTGTCCCGGGAATGGTTTTCCCACGCTTGACTGGAGACCTCACTCGTCTCACCCGTCCAGACGATGAATCGCCCGCAATTCAACCAACCTCCCAATAATCCCGCAAATAGCCTATTACCCGAACGCAAATGGCCTCGCTTCCGGTGGAATTTTTCAAGGAGGTGCAAACCATTGCAAACATAACTAGCTACTACCTACGGACTCCGGATTAGATTCTGCACGCTTGGATAGTGAGGGAATAATTAAGGCGCTGCCCTACTGTTAGTCTGTACTAGCTGGCTAGCTTGGTCGACCGATAGGATCTTTGAGATTGCGGGGTATGAGCCTCACGATAACGATTGAAATGGGATACAATGGTCGCGATTGACTTTATGCATGGCTTGCATTCTCGATAAATATCGATTCGAGAACGGCGGGAGGCTGTTCCACGGTCCGCGGAGTATGCCCTGTCATATGCAAGGTGGGTTTTGCGAGGAAGACTCCGTATGGGTGTATCCCTTCAATAGCAAAGTGGAGGATACCAGGTAGATACACCCTATTGGCAGCGCCTTGCTCAACATGATGCAGTTGACGAACTTGCAAATTATGAAGTTGGCATAGAGGTAGCAACGCAGATCCTGACTTCTAATGCGCATAAGCATAAATCCACCAAGGCAAACATGCTTGTGTTGCTATGCATGCCCCCTCTTCCGAGGTCGGCCGCGAAATCACCCGATCAGGTTGAGTGGGCAGGACATCGACCTCCAATGGATGCCTCGCTATAGCAGGCATTTCATAGTTGAGATGCAAGATCCATTTCTATGGCCTGACCTTAGGCATTTAGTGAATTTTTAATCCAAAAAAAAAAAAAACAAGCATTTTAAAGGCTTACGGTTCCGACAGCATACTTGAGATACTTGCTACATACTCCGGACCCCTGCCAGAAATGGGTAATGCATTGTCAATGCAAATGGCTGAACCGGACCAGAAGCATCATCAATGGACATGTAGACCGATGGAATACATGTGGCATCCTTACATTGACCCTTTGACGCATGGTATCTGCGGGGGTTTCGGTTATAGCATTGCGCATGTGCCAGCCGTGGAAGTTGGCCACCCAGTTCAGCAGAGGTATAGTAAGTAGCCTCTAGGGCTAACGAATTGGATCTAGGCCGTTGGGGACCGATGGGGGCACGGCTGAGAACCACACCCGACCGACTGACGAGGAACAAACAATAATGCGTGCGTAGGTATGCGACGTTCCCATTCCGTCACATAATAATTCGCGTCCCTCGCCTGTTCCATTGCCTTGCAGAAGAAAGACCCAAGAACGAGAGAGTCCCTTTTGAGGCTTCAACCCCAATCAGGTGACGCTGGGGCTTTCGCGTCTGGAGGCCGATGATCGGAGCGGTGGGACCGGCTGGACCAATGGCAGGCCCCAGATTATTCTCCTCCAACGGGGCTAGTCCGGAGGGGGCTAGCGTGCAACCATGACTGTCCCCGAAGTCTGAGTCTTTCGTCCTGCCTTAAGGGACCGAACTCACTCACTTTCCCTGGTCCCTTTCTTTTTCCCGCCGAGAGCAACTCCCCTTCTTCATCCCCACGGGCCTGGCAGTCATCCGCCGTCAAGATGATGCCTATGAGACCATCCCAAAGCGCTATGCGCGCCCTGCACTATCAGAAATACCTCGCCTCCGGTAGAAGGACTTTCGCTACTTCTTCCGTCGCTGCGACCGCCTCGCCCCACCGCTTTTCTTCTGCTCAGAAGAGATTCCAGAGCACCGCGACAGCGCCTGCGTCGTCAGTCTTCTCTACCCTGCCCTGAACTGCACCCCCAGTCAGGCTACGGACGCCGTTCCGAGTTGCTAACCTCCCCATCAATTGCTCAGAAATACGAGACCTGTCCCTAGTCCGGCCTTCAACCAGGAACCTCACCGCAATGAAGTGTCGCCACTTCAAAACCGCCAGGTCCCCGAACTGGACGACTCGTACGCAGCCCTACAATTGCCCACATTTCATACAAGCAGAGCTGACCTGGTCCTTGGAGCATAAACAGTTTTGTCGGACTCAGTGGTGGAGAGATCTTCCACGAGATGATGCTGCGTCTGGGCGTGAAGCACGTCTGTGAGTCACTCTTTCTCCCTTGGCACACCGGCCCATCAGGACGGTATGGCTGACCCACTACCACCAGTCGGTTACCCTGGCGGCGCCATTCTCCCCGTCTTCGACGCCATCTACAACTCCAAGCACTTCGATTTCGTCCTCCCTAAGCATGAGCAGGGCGCCGGACACATGGCCGAGGGCTACGCCCGTGCCTCAGGAAAGCCCGGTGTCGTCCTCGTCACTTCCGGCCCGGAGCCACCAACGTGATCACCCCCATGCAGGATGCCCTTTCGGACGGTACTCCCATGGTCGTTTTCTGTGGCCAGGTGCCCACCAGCCTGATCGGAACCGACTCTTTCCAGGAAGCCGATGTGATCGGTATCTCCAGGGCTTGCACGAAGTGGAACGTGATGGTCAAGTCCGTCGCTGAGCTTCCTCGTCGCATCCAGGAGGCTTTCGAGATCGCCACCAGCGGCCGCCCTGGACCCGTCCTCGTCGATCTTCCCAAGGATATCACCGCCGGTATTCTCCGTAAATCTATCCCGATGAACAGCACCATTCCCTCCCTCCCCAGTGCTGCGACTATGGCCGCCCGCGACCTGAGCATGCAGCAGCTCAAGGGCACCATCAGCCGTGTCGCCCGTCTCGTCAACGTGTCCAAGAAGCCCATTCTGTATGTCGGTCAGGGTCTTCTTGCTCGTCCGGACGGCCCTGAGGTCCTGAAGGAGCTGGCCGACAAGGCCTGCATCCCTGTCACCACCACTCTCCAGGGTCTGGGTGGATTCGATGAGCTGGATCCCAAGGCACTGCACATGCTGGGAATGCACGGATCTGCCTATGCCAACATGGCTATGCAGGAAGCCGATTTGATCATTGCCATCGGCGCTCGTTTCGATGACCGTGTCACCGGAAACATCTCCAAGTTCGCCCCCCAGGCCAAGCTTGCCGCCTCCGAGAACCGTGGTGGTATCGTTCACTTCGAGATCATGCCCAAGAACATCAACAAGGTCGTCCAGGCCAACGAGGCTGTCGAGGGTGACTGCGCCGACAACATCCGCCTCCTCCTTCCCCACCTTGACGCTGTGCCCGAGCGCAAGGAGTGGTTCGATCAGATTAACGACTGGAAGGCTCGGTTCCCTTTTTCCCTCTACGACAGACAGACCTCTGAGGGCCCCATCAAGCCCCAGGCCTTGATCGAGAAGCTCAGTGATCTTACTGCCCACATGAAGGATCGCACTGTCATCACCACCGGTGTCGGTCAGCACCAGATGTGGGCTGCCCAGCACTTCCGCTGGCGCCACCCCCGTACTATGATCACTTCTGGTGGTCTTGGTACTATGGGATACGGTCTCCCGGCCGCCATTGGAGCCAAGGTTGCTCGCCCCGACGCCCTCGTCATCGATATCGACGGTGATGCTTCCTTCAACATGACCCTCACCGAGCTCTCCACTGCTGCTCAGTTCAACATCGGCGTCAAGGTTCTCCTTTTGAACAACGAGGAACAGGGTATGGTCACGCAGTGGCAGAACCTGTTCTACGAGGACCGTTACTCGCACACTCACCAGAAGAACCCCGACTTCGTCCCTCTGGCTCAGGCCATGGGTGTTGCCGCTGACCGGTGCACCAAGCCTTCCGAGGTTGAGGAGAAGCTGAAGTGGCTGATCGAGAGCGACGGCCCCGCTCTTCTTGAGGTGTTCACTGACCGCAAGGTGCCTGTGCTCCCCATGGTGCCCGCTGGCTGTGCCCTGCACGAGTTCCTTGTCTATGATGAAGGTAAGTCGCACTTCCCCCCCCCCCCCCCCCCCCCCTTCCTGCCCGGAAGTCTGAACGAGTGCTAACATGTGTCTGCTATTCAGCCAAGGAGAAGGAGAGACAGGCTCTGATGAAGAAGCGGAAAGTCCCCCTGTACCGGGGCGTCGACACTAATTGAAGAGTTGCGTTGCGTGTTATTCCATAGTTGCAAAAGTGCCCACCCATTTCTTATCACTTGATATCCATGGCGTTTCTGGCGGGCTCTAAAACGCTAGCGGGTGCCCATCTGCACCCCAAGACATGGCTCCAGCAGCCCGTTCTTTCCGGGTTGAAGAACCAAAATGATGCAGGGAAGAGACGGATAGCATTCTCACGTGGGTTCCAATCGGATCCTGTCCCCCTAGAAGTGTGGACTGGGCGGTCTTCTGATTCGAACATTGATGCGGAGCGTTGTTTTCCTCCTTTCATTTCCCACTTTTCTTCGTTTGGCATGTTGTCGATTGCATTCTGGGCCGTCCAAAAAAAGTTGTCTCGTCGGTTGTTGTGGGACTAGCCTGTATATAATCCTTATGTTGCTGTAATCTTTGTATCACATTGGAAATGCGATGAGGTCGTGAAAGGGGACGGATGTATCCTGCTGGCGCCGGGCCTTAGTGCTGACCCGGCGATCTTTTTGTCCATGTACTTACTTGTACTATCTCCGCCTTTCACCGCTACTGAGTACGGGATGCATCCGCCATCGTGGTGCAAAGTGAGGTGATCGATCAACCTGGCCGGGGATAATCGTAGTTCCGGCGGCCAAACCAGTGACGGGCCCGCCCGGCCCCCGCCGGGGTCACGTGGGGCACCCTTTTTTGCCGCCGACAAGCCGCGGTTCACATCCGAAGCAGCGCTCGGCCAGGCTAGTGAGGGATTACATAGCGCTAGTGCGTGACTGCTGCTGGCGGCTGAGTGCTGCTGCTGAGTGCAACCGCCGGAGCTGCCTATTACGGCCGTCGCTGTCATTCTCCCCCTCCGTTCTCGCCTCCAACTCTCTCTCTCTCTCTCTCTCTCTCTCTCTCTCTCTCTCTCGCCTCCCACCATCGCATAGCCTACCCTTGCACGCCCTTCGTCTCACGCATGATGCTGCGCGCCTTCCCATAGCTCTGACCAGTGCTTTTACTACCGCTGTCCTTCGCTTCCCTTATACTTCGCCATGGCGTCGGTCCCGGGTTATTCAGCCTCCGGCCGCCCACGCTCATCTGACGATCATACCACTTCCACCCCCCAAGAGAGCGACATCACCGAGGGCGCGACAAACTGCGATTCCTCCACGGAATTAGTAGAGGATACAGATACCGTCCTTCTCAACAAATCCGCGGAGGGCGAGGACGATACGGCTACCCGGGAATCCCCGATCGCGACCCCGACCTTTGTCGACGAGCCACGGAAATGCTGGATCTGCTACACAGATGAGACGGAAGACTCACCCCTCAACTCGGAATGGCGCTCGCCGTGTCCCTGTGCCCTAACGGCTCACGAAGCTTGTCTGCTCGATTGGCTGGCCGATCTCGAGAATCCCCGGTCTCGCAGGCGGAACGGCCATACCGCGAAGATGATGTGCCCGCAATGCAAGACCGAGATCATAGTGTCCCGCCCGCGAAGTTACATTGTGGATATAGTACGACTGTTTGAGCGTGTCGCTGGCCGGCTGGTGCTCCCAGGGATGGTCTTCACCCTGGCGGGCACCGTGTGGGCAGGATGCTGTGCGCATGGAGTGTACTCGATGTACTTTGTCTTTGGGACGGACGAGGCGAGGCAGATACTGGAGGAAACGGCAGATGGCCCGTGGAATTCGGGCCTGAATCTGGGGCTGCCTCTGATTCCCATGGTGCTGATCTTCTCGCGCACCCGATACGCCGAAGGCCTTCTCCCCGCCATTCCCGTCATGTTCTTCGCCACACATCAGCCGGGCCAGGAAGTCGACTTGGATCTTTGGCCACCCAGTGCGGCAGTCACTTTTGCAGCGCTCCCGTATGTGAAGAGCTTTTACAGCGCCTTCTACGAGAAAATGTTTGGAAATTTGGAAAGGAGGTGGGTGGCGGAGGTGCAACCGCGCCAGTCAGATGTCAATGAGTTCGACGATAATGCGCCACCAGAGCATCCCGAACCGATGGAGCCTAATGGAGATAACGGACTTCTGATGGAAATCGATCTGGAGCTACAGGTTGGGATGGGCAATGACGATGGGCCGCAGGGGCTGCTTGGCTTCAACGGTGGGAGAGATGCACAGGGTAACGGGCAAGAACAGAACCAGGGTGGCGGGGGTCAGCCACTGGGCTTGGGTCGACGGGACGATCTCATCCACGAAACGAGTAATCTTGCGGACATCATCCTTGGAGCTCTCGCATTCCCAGCCATATCCGCCTCGATGGGCGGTCTTCTGAAGTACCTCCTGCCGGTTTCATGGACGACCACGTCGGCGCTCGACAAAGCCCGACCGGGACTGCTCCAGACGCGATGGGGCCGGAGTGTGGTGGGTGGGTGTGCGTTTGTGCTGCTGAAAGATGCGTTGGTGTTGTACTGCCGGTGGAAGCTGGCGCAGACACACCGACGACGCAAGGTGCTGAACTATGATCGGTCGAAGAAGCAGGCATCGGCCAAACGATGATCGATTGCTTCCAATTAATGACAGCAGTGTAACGATGCATTTCACGGCGTTAATCTGGTTGGTGGGATGTTCTCGAAGATACACTCTTGTTTACTGGGTCTTTTCTGCGTTTCCGGTCTGACGAGCGATGAGGGTTTACTATGTAGTATGAGAGATTCCCATAATTGCCAGGTAAAAGCGATTGGGACAGCGATGGATATGAAAACACAAACCTTGAACCAAAGTAAACCACAATGACAACTACAATCAATTTAATTGACTTCGTTTACTGTACTGTACGTTTGTTGTAACCACTGTACCTGATAACCCTCGGCGCTTACCGCCCCAGCCCCATTAACTAGCGCGCGGCTGATGATCAAACTTCCGCTCCGCTCAGTCAGTCTTCTTTCTCCGGCCGACGCCTTCCTTCGTTCCTCACCACCACTACCCCCGTCGTACAACCCTCCACGACCGACCCGCAAACATGCGCACCCTCTCGCCAGTCCTCGCCTCTCTGGCGAACGTCTTCCGCATCCCGATCTCCCAGACGCCCACCCGCCCAGCCATCAGCCGGATCACCAACGAGGTCCTGAAATCCTCCACCACTCCCATCACCGCCGCCGCCGCCTCCTCCGCACGCGCCTTCTCCACGACCAACGCCCTCCTGAAAAGAAAAGAAGCCAACAAGGGAAACCAGAAGATTAGTACGTTTCCCTTCTCCTGCTCCTTTTCTCTCAAACCCCCTGGCACCTCCCCGGGGAATGCCAATGCCAACGCCAATGCCAACGCCAATGCCAATGCCAATACCAATGGAGAACCACCACCCCACCCAATACCCAACATTTAAATTTTAACCACCTCAATCCAATCACTAACACTAACATCAACACCACTTATAACAGCCCTAATCCGCTACTTCCTCCACCACCCGCTCACCCCGCGCCCCCTCCGCTTCTCCCGCACGCGCTACCTCCGGCACTGGACCATCCACCGCGCCTGGAACCTGTACCAGGCGAACCTGCGCCGCAAGAACGAGCTGGAGCTGCAGCGCCAGTGGCAGGCCATGCAGTCTGCGTGCGAGGAGCTGCGCGTCGGCGCCGGCGACGGCGGAAAGCTCTTCCGCAAGAGCATGATCAAGACGGCTATCTTTAAGGATATGTTCCCGATTGAGTATGGGCGTTTGCAGACTGAGGGGCCTTCGAAGGAGGGGTGGAATCATGAGTGGAAGAGGGATTGATTTGATTGATTTAGTTGATTGATACTTTCTTTTTTTTTCCCGGGGGGGTTGATTGCGGTCGTGGATGGATGGATGGATGGATGGATGGATGTGGGAGACTGGTCTCTTATCTAGAGCTCTAGAGGGTTTGGAGGGGGTATGTTTTAGTACCCTGATTTTTTTTTATCTATGTATCTATCCATGTGTGTTTGTGTTTATTTGGTTTGTTGGGATGTATAATATGTATCTTTTCTCTCTTTTTATTGGGGATTTGGATTTGAAAGGTGGTGGTGTGTAGTCGAGCCATGCTTAGTGGGCTGTTTACGGGAAATTTAGGATAGGACGAGATGATACAGTCAATTTACTCAGTCGCAATACACAGGGAATAATCACCGCTAGGCACTAGACACAGTAGGGAATGAGACACAAGAGAAGAAAAAAATAGTAAGGACAGGACACATCGTAAAGCACGTTCCAACAACAAACCATACCAAAGGAGAGAACTCGGAGTGCACCGTTATCAAGGAAAGTCGCTCAGCGTGTACCCCGGAAATCAAGGGTATGAACAAGCGCGGAAATATCGTCGAACATGCAAAGGGTGTTGATATGCGACCGGAAGAAAAGAAAACGGGGAAAGAAAAAGCCCACCCAAACGCCGGAAATGCAAGAGATATATCGACCAACATCCGTCGTCGACGACACTTCCCCCCCTTTTTTTCGAAATCGAGAAAAGTTCCAAATTCAAGACAGTAGCGGTGGCGGACGCGCGCGCGCGTGTGCGACGCGTGTGGCAAAGATGATGCTCAAAGAAGCGCATAGCGAAATGAACCCGTTCGTTGGCCGGCATGCAAGATCGCTGAATTACCATCAGAGTCGAGTCGACGACATGTAAACGTCGCAAGGTCGTCATTATCTTCCGTCATAGCACAATGCAGCATGAGCTCTTCCGCTTGTCGAACGTGAGGAGCGCCGCGCGGGTGGCGGCCTCGAATACATCGTCGACGCCCTCGCCCGTCAGCGAGGAACATTCGAGATATTTGCGGGCTCCGATCGACGTGGAGATGTCGCTTCCTTCCTTTGACGTCACGAATTTCAACGACTTCTTTCGCATCTCCTCGACCGCCAGAGGATCTTCACGGAGATCTTTCTTCAACCCAACCAAGATAATCGGCACGCCCGGACATCGCTCGTTCGCTTCTTCGATCCACTACGAACTTGTGTCAGCGGCGCCGCGCAGCTATGCAGCACTCGAGATGGGCCGACCAACCTTATGTTTGACGTTCTCGAGCGAATCAGGCGTGTCCACGGAGAACCCGATAAGGATCACATGCGCCTTCGAATAGGCGAGTGGTCGGAGCCGCTCGTAATCTTCCTGACCAGCAGTATCCCACAGTGCCAATTGGACGGATCGTCCATCCACCCTGCAGTCCGTCACGTAGTTCTCGAAGACCGTCGGAACCTAGTGGACGCGGCGACTGTCAGACTCCTGTACGGTAAACAAGTAGGGGGGAGGTATGGTTACGAACATAGTGCTGTCAGATAAGAAGTAGTTAGCACTGATATGATGGCATCAATGTTGCGACGCTTTGGGGGGTGGGTGGAAGGACTCACGGTTGGAAAGTAGCCCAGCGTGAATACACTGAGCAGACTGGTCTTTCCACAGGCGCCATCCCCGATGATGACCAACTTCCTACATGAAGGTTGCAGTCAGTACCACGTTCGCCACAGGCGGTCCTCCAGGATGACCTCATCCCCGCAGCCCCTCTATACGAGGTATCTGATTGAGTGACACGGAAGAGGGGGGAGGGGGAGGGGGGGGAGTGGGAAGTTGATGTGGGCTGATAACGGGAACCAGCGATCGGTGGATGACAACATGGTTGATGGTGGCCGTCGCTGGAGACGGACGGGGCGGGCGGAATGATGGCCGGACATACCTTCGCATCACATTGTCACTCGGTTGTTGGGCCATTGTCACGGCGGGATGGGGTCAGTCGCCGGAGATCCTGGGAGATGAAGCGAGGCTGCACGAAATGGACGAGGAAATGCGAGGGCGCTGACGAGCCCTGGCGGAACCCGGAACGGAATAAGAATCAGGCAGCAGCAGGCGAGGCTGGCTTGGAGGTGGGAACTGTCGGACGACGATGAGAAGTGCGCGGAAGAATGGGGCGGGCACAGTGGAAGGAGGGGAAGAAATTGGTCGACATAGGCCCCTCCCCCTAAGTTAAGATATACAGCTGAGGGAGGAGGAGAAATGATGACTTTCGGAGAATGATTGGGGGAGGGGGGATGGAAGAGGGCCAGTGGTTCTGGAAGGCGGTCTCGCGCCAAGTCGGACGCCGTACTAGGGGTATCGTATCGTATGGTATCACGTACCGGACGGGACAGGTAGGATCCGGTACCTGGATGGTACTTAACCCTGTGGGCAGTACCTGACTAGTGTAGAGGTAGTTTGGTGGTACCCAGATAAAGTGTGGTCAAGTGTAGGAAGTGTACGGAGTAGTAGTAAGTAGTTAACTAGTTGGAAGTGAAGCAACACCGAGTGAAACATCCTTTAAGATTATTCCACGCCTAAGGCCTGCCTATAAGTATTGCTTCCGACGGCTCAGGCGGCCGGCAGGTGGGCAGCAGCCGGCAGCAGCCCAGCAAGTTAGCAAGTTAGCAAACCCCCAGTGACTCGAGTCTAATTTACTTCCCCATAGCAATCAAAGGGAAGGATGGGATCGACCCGGTCATGGCACAGCTGAAGAATCGTCACCGCACGGCCACCTGTTACTAAGGTTAGAGATTTGTCTCAGACGGTGCAGGCTAGACGCTGGTTATTTCGCGATAGTCGCTGCCACTATTCTGACGGTGGAGAGCGTGCTGGGCCAGGAGAGGCCATGGGGGAGCCGCCAGCTGCAATCCCGAGCCCAGAGCAGGGGCATGCCCTGCTTACCATTGGGTGGATGGTTTGGAGGGATTCGATATTTATAGCTCGGATGCTGTGGAAATGCCGTTTTTTTTTTATTTATTTATTTTTACTTTATCTAGCTTACTACTACGACTACCAGATTGTAAGTAGTAGACTGTCCTGAACTACTTACTTCTGATTTAGTGAGGCTAGTTATCTAACTAACTAACAACTACTCGGGATTAATAATTGGTAGCTAATGCAATGTCTTAACACTGGAAAAAGGGGGGGGGTGTGGTTAGCCTTCTGATTGGTCAGCGGCGGGCTGGATGTCTCTGATGACAGATATGTCCGGCAGAATCCCCACACCGCAGAGTGAAGCTGTATAGACTATTCCCCAGCTAGACTGGTTTTGTAGAGTGGTACCTTGGTTGACATGCCATTTCTCAATTTGAGGTGATATATTCGCCGAACTCTATTGCAGCCTTCCAGACGTGCAGGGTCCATGTGCTAGGCTCCGCTGGCTTTCCACTGTTATCCTCTCCGCTAGATACTTAGCTTCACTTGGGGAAAAGTGAAAATTCCACTAATGGAACCAGGTATGGTTTTATCATGGACAAATAAATCCATTGTCCAGCCAATGAAAAAGGATTTCCAACATGTAACTCACTGGATCGATCAAAGGTGGCCTTACCCCTAGTCATCCTCCAGTGTTTTGAAAACCGGGGGATTGGGCTGCCGAGCTGGATAATTATCTTATCCTCAAACATGTTGCCTCTCGTTTGTGGAGAATTTCAAAAGAAGCTTAATCGGAAGATGAAATTATCGTGGTGGCATCAGTCGCTGTTCAGGTCCAAAGATTTATGGACAAGCTCTGGCTTTATAATACACCAGGACAGCACTGGCGAGGCCAAATGATTATTAAACATCAAGTAAGTAGAGATACGAATTTTGAAGAGCCATTTTTAACAACCATATCCTTAATTAAGCAGGCATAGAGTAGCGGCTGCCGGAATTAACAAGTTGGAGAAGCTTCAAATTGGTATACATGACATCAAAAAAGAAAAAAGAAACAAGAAACAATGCCCAAACATACTGTGTACCGAGCATTCATATCTTCACCTCGTCAATATCGTAAACCAGATGCTTCTGCCCAATTCCCAACCATTCCAACCCCAATTTGTTGTACAATCCATACGCAGCCCATGCTATGTACTCGTTCATCCACAGTCTCCAGGGACTCACATCTCTCCGCTTCTTCCCGTTCCTTGCCGCCAAATTATAGATCTCGGTGACCCGCGGTCTTCTGATCTCTTCATACCGGGCAAAGACACTCTCCAAGCTTCGTTCTTGGTCTCTCAGCAGCCGCGAGAGAAGAAACACATCCTCCAGAGCCATGGAGACCCCCTGGCCCGCATGAGGCGACATAGCATGCGCCGCATCCCCGAGCAGCACCGTTCGCGAGGTAAACCACTTCCCGCCCAGCGGGAGCCGGAAGCTGGGATAGAAGCTGACGAACTCCGTCCGATCCAGTATTTTGATCAGAGCGTCTCGCCATTCACCCCGACCCGGCTCGAGAATTTTCAGGATGCTATCCTTATACCCCGTGACCTCCTGCTGGCGTCTCTCTTCCCATCCGTCTCGTGCGTCACCAGATTTGGAGTGTGGAATGGCCGTCTCTCGCGAGAAGAACCAGAATAGGTCTTCTCCGGATGGAGAGCATGGCATCACTGCAATCAGCCCATTGCTTGTCATGAAGGCATTGCCGTGTGTTTTCAATGCGTCTGGGAGGCCCGCTGAGCGGACCATCGACATAGTTCCAGCGATACCTGAGTACTCGGGCACGACTGACGGGTCAACCTGTAGACGACGAACGCTTGAGTGGATCCCATCGCAACCGATCAGAATATCGGCGGTGTCGGTTGTACCATCCAAGAAGGTCACTGTGACGTCCGTTGGCGATTCGTTGACGGAGACTATACGCTTGTTGAAATGTACCGGGATTTGCTGCTCAGCAAGGGCAGAAAAAAGAACATCTTGCAGGTCGGTGCGGCGGATGCGCAGGTATCCGAATCCGGTCTTCTGATGAGCCCAGGAAGCGATGTCGACCTCAGCGAGATCACCACTCTGCAATGAGTGGATTTGCATATTAGTTATAGATGATCCGCGGGCGAGAAGGGCCTCGTGGAGGCCGAGCCGATGAAGTAAGCGCATGCCATTTGGGAAAATGCCGATCCCTCCGCCCAGGGTAGTCGGTTCTGGACGCAGCTCGTATACTGTGGTGGCGATGTTGTTCTCCCGATGAAGTTGGAGAGCTGCGGCGAGACCGGCCGGGCCTGCCCCGATGATGATGGCCTGGTTGTGTTTGGTTTAGCTGGGATCTTCTGACCGAGGAGGCAGAACGAACCTTTTTGACAGCAGACATGTTTGAAGGATGGGATGTGACTGGAAATTCGACACTTGACCGGCGCGATCTCGTGTCTTATACTTCATCCAAAACTACAGCTCCCGAGATAATCGGGTTTAGCGTCCGCGGAGCCCGGACAAATCCGCGGACGGAATTACCGAGCTTGGTTTAAACAGGCACCCTGGCTCTGGTACCTGTGGTTGATGCTGTACTTGATACAAGGCACTGGCTGGAGGATACCTGCCTATCTAGGCAATGATCGCGTGGCGAGGTACGTGGCAATCAGTCAGTCTTCTGCACAAGATTAAAATTGTATCATCGTTGTTCATAGCCCAGCAACCGTGCGATCTCAAAGAAAGCCGGTGATTGGCTTAAGAGGATAATATGTCACGTGGCCTTCACAGTCTCGACTGTCCGCCAATCAGAATCCGGGTTCCTTCTTTTCTTTACTTCCCAACACTCGAGGCACCGCGACCTGTGTCCACTCAGCAAAATGCTACCTCGCTAGTTCGGACAGAGTACAATAATTGACCCTCTGTTGTAGGCAATATCTACTTACGATTGATGCCAAGAGCTTTCCTTGTGAGAAACTAAACCTGCCTGCAGGCACCGAGTCGGAAATTCGGAATACTTCTCAGATGAAGTACAGCTTGGGCATCGCTCCCATCTTTACAGTTCCAGTCGCTGCTCAGAGAACTCACAGCAGATCATGTCCCCGAAGAGGAAATAACGTCCTCGAGAAGAAAGATAAGGCCGGTGTCCCGAGAGAATAGATGGCTATCATTATCTATCTCCTATCTCCAGCTGAAGGTGCTCCTCACACCAAGCTAGAGCCATGTCTATCTCTCTCTCCACCAAAGCCCGTCATCTCTCTCTCTACTCACACACCTTGTGCGGCAATGATCTTGTCGGCCATCTCAGGAAGAGTCGCAGCCATGACCTCCATCTCCCCAAACAGCTCCACAATGGGCTCTTTCTCCCAGATAGAGCAGTACGCCCCTTTGTATCTATGCAGATTGTGAGTAACCGAGTCTGTCACGATAACAAGTCACCTATCGCAGCGGCACTCACCCCGCACGGCGAGCCGCCGAAACGTCCCACATGTGTCCCGCAGCGAACCAGGGCTGCGCGTGCTCAGATAGTTGTTGGAGAAGCGGTTGATATACTCGCAAGTCTGGTTTCCCGATGCCCTGCGTATCGCACGACTTCAGGTTCTCTGCGGGCCATGCGAGACCCGCGTTGGCGAAATAACCCCCCACCCTTGCGATGTCTCCAGCCGTCAACGCCCAAACGGTGAACCCGGCATCGCGCAGCTTCGTGACGCACTCGACTGCTCCCGGACGCAACCCCATTTTGGTGTATTCGCTCATGATGAACTTGAGATCGCTGTCGGTGGCAAAGCTCCGAGGCTCCTGGATGCCGGCCATATAAAGCATACGGTAGAATAGCAGTTCGAAACAGGTCGCAAATGATTTATACTGCCCCGACAAGCTTAGATATGTGTACTCACGCTCCGCGACCTCGATCCAGGTGTACCCCAGAAGCGACGGCTTAATCCCCTCTGCGCGGAGACGGGCCCCCAACTGCGTGTCGATGGCATCAAAGAGGACGTCGTACGACACCAGTGTGCCGACGATGTCAAACACCACATTCTTGCTGCCGGTCATGGCGCTGATAGGTCGAGGAGGTGATATGAGGAAGGTCAGAAAAGTAACTTTGTCTGAGGGGTTAGCTCTCTCCCGGTCTACTACCCCCTCTTTATAGCACTACCCAAGCCTGATCACCATGCGTCACCCTACACGGACGATCAGCAACCCCACTTTTGCCCTCATTCGACCTCAGTTTTATCTTCACCATATGGTGGTTGAAGAATGGAAGAGTAGGTTCGGACTCGCGCGTCCAATTTTCGGAGAACAGCTGCCAACGCCGCGAGTCCCTATCGCTCCCCCTGATCTGTCTTATCATCGCCGATGCCAGACTTCATACTGCCGTCCCTATTTCAGATAGGGCGGCCATGATGGCCAATTAAATGGTCATTATGTCTTCACTATGGCCACTCGAACGGGGTATAAAGTCCCGCCGTTGCTACCAGATATTCTCCCCATCGACCTTCTCCGAGTTCGAGTAACCAACCATAACAATGACAAAGAAAGTGGCCTATCCTGAAGCGGCGGACGTTGCCAAGGGAGTGAGTGAACTCTTGGGAGCGAATGAGGATGTGGGCTATCATCGATCGCTTGGCCATCGTCAGATCATGATGATGACCTTCGGGGCTGGCATTGGTACTGGCTTGTAGGGTCTTTCCCTAACGTACGGTTGGCTGAATCTAACTAACAAGTTTCAGATGGGTTGGGACAGGTACTGCGTTGAAGTATGGTATGCAATCCTTTATGAAATCTGCAGATGATCCGTACCTCTAATCAACAGAACATAGCTGGCCCTGGTGGTATCGCCGTTGCATACACAATCACTGCGTAAGTATATCACGATATTCTATTATTGCGCAGTCACTTACATATGCTAACGATGCTTGCCAGGTTCATTGTGTACCTGCAATATACTTCAATTGGAGAAATGACAACATTTAAACCGGTCCACGGTGGATTCATCAGACAGTGCATCGAGTACGTGGAGCCCGCGTTCGGATTTGCGGTCGGGATCAACTTCTGGTTCTCGGTAAGGAGCCCCTTGAACACCCAGACGGGGTGTATGCGACTAATAAATGGCAACAGTGGGTGATTTGTATTCCTGCGGAGATCACAGCAGCTGTATCCGTCCTTGAGTTCTGGCCGCAAACAGAAGTCATCCCTCTTGCAGCTTATATAACCATATTCCTGGTGGTCATTGCCGCCGCTAATTGCTTTGGCGTTCGCATTTACGGACATGTAGAGTATGTCATGTCATTTATCAAGTGCCTTGCTATCATCCTGATGATCTTCTTCATGATCATCATGACTTCGGGTGGCATCCCGGCTACGCATGGCGCGATCGAATTCCGCTACTGGCGCAATCCCGGTGCGTTTAAGAACGGCATCAAGGGGATTTCAAAGGCGTTCGTACAGGCACTCTTCAGCTTCGGAGGGGCGGAACATATCGCAGTCATTGCTGGCGAAGCCAAGGATCCTCGCCCAACCATCAAAAAGACTGTTTATCCAGTCTTCTGGCGCATGTTTTCATTCTTCGTCGTCAATATTTGGCTTGTGGGCATGTGTGTTCCTTATGATGACGATAACCTCATCAACGGGAGTGGTACTCTAGGGAGCCCATTCGTGATTGCTATCGAGCGTGCGGGCGTGATGTGGCTGGCACATGCTATCAACGGCTTCATCTTTCTGACGGTCATCAGCTGTGGGATCACCAGTGCATACATTGCCAGCCGCAGTCTTGCAGCATTGTCAGACATGGCGATTATACATCCGTTCTTCGGCCGCAAAGACTCTGCAGGGAGGCCGTATGTCTCTCTGGCCATTAGTCTTGCTCTCGGAGGGGGCCTCTGCTATCTGAATTGCAACGATACGGGGGCTGTCGTGTACGGCTGGTTTTCGTCCCTGGTTAGTACTATTCCCTACGGGCGCTCATCCTGTTGCATCTCTGATTGATTCCCCGCAGGTGTCCGTTTCCGCCTTGTTCCAGTGGTCCAGTATCTTCATCTCGCATATACAATTCCGACGTGGCCTCGCCGCGCAGGGCCTCAGCACCGGGGCCCTCCCCTTTCGAGACCGCACAGCGCCCTACGCGCAGTATTTTGGCCTGGTCGTGATTCTCTTCATTGCAGGCTGTGAATTCTACCTGGCGTGCTTTCCCTTTGGCGAAAAGGGATCCGCGACGTCTTGGTTTTCTTCTTACATAGCTGCCCCACTGTTTTTCCTGGATTACTTCGGCTACAAGGTGAGCGTTCAGCATCCACAGATCGACTTGTTTCTCTCCGCTGATTTGTTTCCAAACAGATTTACTACCGATCGAAGCTGGTCGCACCGGCAGACATGGATTTCACGGTGGCTCTTGCGTTTGACGAAGAGGACCGAGCCAGGGCGGCTGTTGGCTACGAAACACAGAGTCGGGCAGACAACAAGATTGTCCAGCATATCAAGGGTCTGGTTCTTGGCTAGACTGGCTGCTCTGGGGTAGATATTCAACTCCTGCCAAAGCGTGGGCTTGTAGAGGCCACCGGATAGAGAATTATATAGCAAAATTACAGACTGTCCGACCTTGTGCACGGAGAATTACCACCAGATCAGTAAAACTGAGACATACCCAAACCGGTTATCCTGCCAGCTATTTATAACAGGCTGGGTGGGGAAGAGGCGTTGCACAACTCAGTGAAACAACTCATTGGTCGGCGCAATGGCACAGTGTTGAATTTTCAACTGCCATTTGAATCCCGACTTCCTCGCCATGCCGCTTGCTCCCTTCCTTTCGCATGGATCCGGTCAATCGTCTATACCATCATCCAGACAGCAAGCGGAGCGGCTTCCGTGCAGGTCTGGGTAGTCTCCACTCGCAGGAACTGCAGATAAATACCTCTTCTGCCTTCAGACCGACGGGGAAGTTGGGCATATTTTCGTTGCAGGTACATCTCAGCTTCAGAGATTTCTCAGACATGGACAGGGGGTCGAATGGACCCCTTCTCCTTCGGCTTTGCATGTCTACATACTTATCTACATATCTACACCGGGCAACGAAGGCAGGATTGCTGGGTGTAGGATCTGCACAAGGCCCGGGCTGTGCTCGGGTCAACTGGACGATATTGAAGGTCTGCCGGTTGGTTCTCTTCCCCATTCCCGAAAGCGATACTCACTCTGCTGAATCAATAATTCTAGACACTATCGATGAAGCCCGAAAGGCCACCTACGTCAGCGCGACCACACCCAAATCCTGATTACGATTTTCCATTTAGTGTCGGCTTCCTTCCGCATTTCCGCGACGGTACTTTCGCTTAACAAGTCGACAAAAAAATATATATACAATCGCGTCAAAAAGGCGTTTACGGTTCATGGCCACCCGCCTGACGATTCGGGAAAGTTCTGGCAGCCGTTATCTATCTACATCTACTAGGCGATTGAAGAGGAAAGTCTAAACCGATTATCTTCTTCAGGGCCGATTTCCCCTTCTCTGACAGGATCTGGGGGGGTTTGCGAGTCCTGACTCGGGCACGCAGGATGGCGCACTATTTTACCGCCTCTGCGAATCAAAACATTGAGATCGAGCAAACTGGACCCGGCGGACTTTGCTTTTACCACTCCAGTGCCGCATCACGGCTCACACGGAGGTTGCATGGAGATCGCCGATGTACTTCCACAGGTTGCCCTTCCTTCGGCGTCCGTTGAAGCTGCCACCGTCTGTTTCCAACGGGCCCGAAACTCCAAATTTTGAGACGGAGACTGACTTGACGGTGAAGGGTGGGAACAGATTGGCCAATGGGCTGCGAAGGCCATTGGACTGCACATCGGCTCTAGATATCTAGACTGAGCCCTATCTTTCGGTTTGGGCAATCATCCCGCAAGGATTCACCTGCTGCCTCCACAACAAATCATCGTGAACCGGCCCGTCGAGGCGCCCATCCCGAGTCCCAGTCGAACTGGCTGCCAGACGTGTCAGTTTCCGGCGTAAGGACGATACACTGGGGCGAAAAAAAAAACAGCCGATCTGGAAACCAGACCATCACAGATAGATACCATCTATCTAGGTAGTCAGTCTACTGTGGAGCATTCTTCTGCCATCCCACTGTCCCACGAGCGGCCGCACCTGGGCCGGGCTGATCGGCACCGTCTAGTGTTCTTCAATCATCCCGCTAAGAAAATAGTCGAGACGATTGTGCCACGAGAGCCACCCACACCCAGAGGGAGGGACATAAAGAACGAAAGAAAGAAGGTGATACTGACCCATCACCCATGTCATATGATAAGACGGCGCATATAGTTACGGAGGGCTCCGTACAACGGGGGCCGAAACAAACGAGGTAGGGACTAGTGGTACAGCTCCAGCGGCCCACCAGTCGTCATGAGCGCGGGACAGCGGCCATTTCCGAGCGAGTCCACACTCGGTGGTGCCAACTGAACCTTCCTTCGGTCCGCTAATCCGGTAACACATAGATACAGTACAGGCGGATTCCTCTGTTTGCTCTGCGAGACTGTTAGCCGCCTTTTTTTTTTTTGCGCGGAAATGCGTTGGTCGTTCTTTGTTCCTGGCCCAGGCAGTGAGTGACACAAGGTCTTGGGCAGTGGGCACAGGGACCGATGGCCCAGCTTTCTGAACGGCTGTCTTGCGTCTAAGACTCGCAGTTTATTCACATGCCCACGAGGTGGGAAAACGTGCGTCCCGACATACAGACTGTGGCCCTTGCTTGAGCTAGGCTCCTTCGCAGATGGGGTTCTGACCATCCACCGAACGTGTTAAAATAGCCCGCCGCGGCCATCTCCCCGGGCACTCAGATCATTAACGACACACTTTCCCGTCCTCAGCCGTGGTCGCAGCCGTGTCACCATACCATTGCACCTCAATAGCCAGGGAAAGCAAGCGGTCTCTATCTTTTTCCAGGATGGGCCTCCGCGAGGGCACTGAGTCGTGGGCTCAGGGTGCGGAGGAGTTCAGAGGACAGCGACTGCTTCCCGACATCGTTGACTACTATGCTCACGAGCAGCCCGATCGTGTCTTTGCCGCCATTCCTAGATCTGGAAATGTCACAGACGGATTTGAAGATGTCACTATGAAGACAATGGCCGCTGCGGTGAACTATACGGCTTGGTGGATTGACCGCGCCTTCGAAGACGTCTTCAAAAGGACGACACTGGCCTATGTCGGCCCTTCTGACCTCCGGTACCCAATCGTGCTGTTAGCGCTCATGAAATGCGGTTGGAGTGTACGTGACCATCGTCCCTGAAGTCGACGATTGGATACTGACAGAGGATAGGTAATGTACATATCGCCTCAAAACACCCCCATCCAGAATCTGGGCCTGCTCCAAGAGGCAGATGTTCATGGCCTTATATATGCGGATGTCATGTCATCAATTGCAGAGAATCTTCAACAGTTTGACCCATTCATGTCGAGCCTGCAGTTGCCCGGACTGACAGAGTTGCTGAAGTCTGAAGCACCTCCATATCACTTTGGTGGCACTTTTGCCGAATTGCAAGATAAACGCTGCCTGACTTTGCACACGTCCGGTACGACGGGCCAGCCAAAGCTGGTGCACTACACTCATGGCACTCTCGCCTGTGCCGACAATGATCAATTTATGCCGGTCCCGAAGGGGCGGCGACCACAGAATGCCTCGCAATTCAACTTCTCCCCTTTTGGCCGCTACTATGCCCCCTATCCACCTTATCATGTAAGTCGTGATATGCGTCTTTTGAAGCTACTGTACTTATGGATTGTAGCTGGCGGGACTCCACGCCGCCACGCTTGTGCCGATATTCTCCAATGCGGCCGCTTTTGTCATGGGACCCCATTCTGTCCCGCCAAGTGGATCCCTGATGAAAAGCATTTTGCAGCAACAGCCACAGATCCGGGCCATCTATGTGCCGCCGTTTATGCTCGAGCAGTGGATGGTAGAGCCGGGTGCATTCGACGAAGCACAGCGCCTAGATTTTATTCTATACGGCGGCGGCGCTTTGGCACCCAGTGTCGGGCATAAATTGAGCCAAGCAACTGAGATGCGTCAGATGTATGGCTCTGTTGAATTTTGCCATGTCCAAGTGCTCGTCCCTCTGCCCGGAGAATGGGAGTACCTGGAGTTCAATCCGTCCGAGGGGTATGAGATGCAAGCTGTAGGGGATGGGGTATATGAATTGGTGCTGCACCAATACGAGGAGTCTCGCAAACACCAGTCATTCGCCCACAACTATCCCAATCTCCGCAAGTGGCACACCAAAGACCTATTTGTGCCTCATCCCGAGAAAACGAACCTGTGGCGCTTCCATTCCCGCACGGAGGATATCGTCGTGCTAGAAAACAAATCCAAGGTATGGCCCATTCCCATGGAGGCAATCTTGCGAGGGAATCCCCATATAGGAGGGGCCTTGATCGTGGGCAATGGCCGTCCAGAACCAGTCCTCCTCATCGAGCCCAGGCAAAGCTGCGCCGCGTACACAACCAAAGAAGAAATGCTGGACGTTATTTGGTCGTCCGTCCAAGAAGCCAATTCTATTGCGCCGCCATACGCCAAGATTGACCGATCGCGGATCGTGCTTTGCCCATCACAAGTTGGCTTCTTCAGAACCCCCAAAGGGACGGTCATGAGGAAACCGACCGAGTCCCTATACGTGGAGCTTATCTCGGCGGCGTTCAAGGAAGACGATGACGACAGTGGCGGCGACGATCTCGAGTATACGGGGGATCAAAGAGAGGTTGAATTGCGCGGAGATCAACTGCTGGCTGCGACATAGGTTCGTCACCTCACAGGTTGAAGACCACTTGCGTGGGCAAAAAAGGGATTGGAGGCTCTGAAACGCAGAGGAGGAAACCAGCGACATTGGCCCTCGAAAACAACGAGGCTGTATGGACCATTATAACGACCGTGACGACACCAATAAGCAATTACGATAGCAACAACATGACTATGATTATGGTCTCAATCCCACACTGGGCATCAGGTCAGAAGAGCATCGAGGGGATTGCTCACTGAATGCTTTACGGAGGAGGCTCTCTTAAGCCAGCTCTTCTTGTTCACTAGTATTCTCCGTGGCCATGGCCTGAGGGATAACCATCGACACTGAATCTGTTGCATGTGCGCGAAATGCCGTGAACCAGTGTGATCTGGGTTTGGGTTGGGGATATCTCATAGGGCTATTGCGGGTATTTTGCAGGCGTTCTAGAACACTTTTAAAATTTGCAGGCAAAATGGTAGACACTGACTGTTATCAACTCGACCTGCTCTGTATGTAGACATGAGTGAAAGGATTGCAGCCATTCCAAGTGCTGGGTTCAATCTTCTTTGTCTTTCCGAATCAATTTGCGGTTTTGGTAGTTAATTGGCCCAATCCACCCTGTTTGGGGTGTAGACACGCCCCGTAGCCCTGCCTATTCAACCCTTACTGCGGGGAATCAACCTGGTCCTATACAGCATGTTACCCTATTCCATGCCATTGAAAGAGAAGAGGGGGAATAAAAGAAGCTGGTCTTCCCATTGGAAAGTTCATCGACCCTATCAATATCTCGCAGGTTATTTTCTACTGCATCTTCAATTAACTTGAGCCCGCCTCATTCCCAGAACAGAACCCCTGCAGCCCACGGAAAGGATCCAACACTCCAGTGATGGACAAACTCAATCCAGTAACTCTCACTCCCCCAGCACTAAACACTACTTTCATTATTACATTTGACTTACCCCGATCACTGAAATAGGAAATGAAAGGCCTGGCTAGACTCAAGAACCGCACCGCCCCTTCGCCCCTCTCCCCTCCTGGTCCGACCGCCCTCGGGAACCATTCAATACGCACGCAACCCCTCCTCCATATAGGGCAAGCCACCAAGACATGTCGAGCAGCTTGCAAGCATCAACCATCACAGTAGTTGGACAAACAGACACAACATGCTCGGAGAGCCAAGCGAGACTTGCCCAGTCACCATAACCAACGCTACGTCCCCTTTCTTCCCCCCCCTCTCAACCCCGCGGCAGGGGAACGCCTACAAGCCACGGGCGGCCTGGAAGGAGTATAGCCCGCCTCGTGCGGACGCATGGCCCTCGACGCTAGCAAGGTCCATGACCGGGGGGCAGGGAGCAAAGCCCGACGGTCGTCCGAGGTGCTGGCTTGCTATGCTGCAGCCAGCAACCCACCCCCCCAGACAAAGCCAGATACCCCGAGCGACAACATATGACCGTTCATGTCATGGGGAGGGGAGGGGGTTGTTCGGCCCGCTGGGTTCCCCTCATCTCAGCTTGCCTGGGTGGCACAGCGAAGGCGCTTAAGCAGGTGGTCCCGTGGCTGCTGGGAGGGCGCTTGATTCCATGCTTCTCTATGGTGGGAGTGAATCAGGACTGAGACTGAGACTTGGGGAGTAGAGTGGTTGAGTGTCACGGTGACTGTAGTTTCCTTCCATTGGGATGGAGTATGGAGTGGAGGGAAGATGAGAGCAACGAACCACTCCGAGGAAGAAACGCCGACCGGCGGTACTGGCTTAGTCATGCCCGGAGCAATAACTAACTAGTTACCCTGCCTGAGGGTGCAGGCAGCCAGGCCGCAGCGCTCGCTTGCGGCGGCTAACCCAGTTGCGGCCAGCGGCACGGCAACCATCCAGAGCCCAACGCCCGGCGTCAAGATCCACCATCCAAACCCATCATCAGCAGCCTTTTACCCATCTGGCTGTGGCAGCGCGTGTCGCCAACCCTCAATCGACTCACGACCGTCTCCCCACTCGCTCATCCGTCATCGCTGTCCCCTCCCTTCCCCCCGAGCCCCCCGATCGCCTGGGATTGACTGAACGCCTGTACCTTTCCCACTTCCCCCCCCCTCCTGCGTGCGGCCCGGGTTCTTTCCACCCCTCTCCGCCCTCGCTCCCCCCCGTGGGATCACAATTCACCTGGGCGCCTCCACCCGCGGGCTTTCGCTTGACCCCAGTGATTCACCCTGGGTGCTTCGTCCGTTGCCCCCTCGTCCGTCCTCGACTTCTATTCTCGCTCCTTCTTCCCGACCAGCGGTCCGGTGAGCTTCGTGTGCTCCTCCTGCGTGGCTATCTCCGCCCTTCCTCCTGCTGACTTTTTCCTCCGCACCCTTTCCCTAGCATGGTGTTTGGTCCGGACGATCCTAGGAGACTGAGAATTCCGCTGCCTTCCTCCTCCGTGCCCCTCGGTGTCTGAGCAGCATCAGACCGACGCCCTCCCATGGCTTTGCCGCCAACGCCCAGACCGAATCCCGGTGCCACAATGTCCGGTCCTGCGTCGACGTCCATCCCTGCACACACCACCAACGGCGAGGCCCACGCGCCGAACGACCCCGCCGCCCATCGCGCCTCCCCAGACCCCAAGCCCGTCCCGATAAACCGCAAGAAGCAAAAGCGTAGACAGAAGCAGGCTGCTCGCTTGGCCGCGGAACGTCAGCTCGGAAATGGGCATGTCCCCGCGGACCTCCTCGACGACGACGGAACCAGTCCCACGGGGCCGGGGAGTCATGCGTCCGATGATCGTGATGTCGACGAGGTCGCTTCGAACGCCGACATGTACTACGAAGAAATCCACGACGTGACTGATCTGCCGGGTCTGGCCAACGGGCAAGGCGGCCTCCCGGGTCGGAAGTCGAAAAAGAAGAAGGGCAAGAAGAGTCGCACGGGTTCGCAAACTATGGGCGATGAAAGTTCCACGCCGTTGTCGACTCCCTCCGTCTCCATGTCGCATCCTCTTCCCCCGCCTCTCCCCCCGCACCTGGGCGCCCACGCGCTTCTGAAGTCGAGTAAGGACCGCAGCATCTGGAACACCTCCACGCAAGAGGAGCGAGAGAACATCAAGACGTTCTGGCTCGAACTCGGCGAGGAGGAGCGCCGGCAGCTCGTCAAGGTCGAAAAGGACGCGGTCCTGAAAAAGATGAAAGAGCAGCAGAAGCACTCGTGCAGCTGTACCGTGTGTGGGAGGAAGAGGACGGCCATCGAGGAGGAACTGGAAGTGCTCTACGACGCATACTACGAGGAGCTGGAGCAGTACGCCAATAACAACCAAGGCTCGTTCGAGAAAGGCCCGCCCATGGTCCCGCCCCCGCGTCTCTACCAACCGCCCCTACGATCGCCCGGTCAACATACGCGCACGCAAGGCCAGTTCCATCCCTCCCGAGGCCGGATCCACGAATTACCCGAGGATGACGAGGATCTGGAGGAGGACTACGACGAGGACGACGAGGACGACGAACCGTACAGTGACGACGAATACGAAGACGAGGAGACCCGTGCAGCTCGCGCAGATTTCTTCGCCTTTGGGAACAGTCTAACTGTCAAAGGTAGGGAGGAAACGGGGACTTCTACATCGATTGGGGCCGAGGCTGATTCTTGTTCACCACCTGCAGATGGGATTCTTACGGTTGCGGACGATCTCTTGAAGAACGACGGGAAACATTTCATCGACATGATGGAGCAATTGGCCGAGCGTCGGATGCAGCGTGAAGAGGATACGCAGTACGGCATCGCTGCCGCGCATCAAACTCTCCATGGCGGTCACAACCACGGCCCTCTCGACGACGACGACTACGACGACGAGGAGGACGAGGACTACGATAGTCAAGAGGACGAAGACTACGAGGAAGATGAAATGGTCAGCTCCGGGAACTGGCCGGGTGGTGGTGATGCCGTGCAAGCTGACACGTTTCTGCAGGACGCCATGACGGAAGAGCAACGCATGGAGGAAGGCCGGCGAATGTTCCAAATATTCGCCGCCCGCATGTTCGAGCAGCGCGTCTTGACAGCCTATCGAGAAAAGGTCGCCGAGCAACGCCAGCAGAAGCTGATCGAGGAGCTCATGGAGGAGCAGACCCGGAACGAGCAACGGGAAGCCAAGAAGGCGCGCGAGGCCCAGAAGCGAAAGGACAAGAAGAAGCTGCAGAAGCAGGCCAAGGAGGAGGAGAAGGCGCGACGAGAGGCGGAGAAGGCCGCGGAGGAGGCTGCTGCCAAAGCCGAACAGGAGAAGAAGCTCGAGGAGCAGAAGCAGAAGCGGGAGGAACAGAGAAAGAAGCGCGAGGCCGAGCGGCGAGCCCAGGAAGCCGAGCGCGCGCGCAAGGAGGCCGACAAGCAGAAGCGGCTGCGGGAGGAGCGCGAGCGACAGCTGGAGGCCGAGAGGAAACAGCGCGAGCAGAAGGATCTGGAGAAGAAGCGACGCGATGAGATCCGGCAGAAGGAACGGGACGAGCGCGACCTGCGAGAGAAGCGGGCCAAGGAGGACCGCGAGCGCAAGGTGCGGGACGAGCAGACCAGGCGAGACCGCGAGGCCGCAACCAAGACCGAGCACGAGGGCCAGGAGAGGCGCGATCCCCACGCCAAACGAGTCTCGCATCCCGGCCCTAACCTGCACCCCTCCAGTCTCTTCCAGTCGCCTCACTTCCACATCGCCACCCCCATCGTCCCCAAGGCTCCCACCCCGGCCCGCCCCCGACAGCCCTCGCAGCAGGGCTCCCACTCGTCCTCCCCGCGCTCCCAGCCGGCGAGCACCGAGCCGTCGCAGGTCTCGATCTCTCCGCGATCGATGGGCCCGTCGCAGTCGTCCGGGGCTTCGAGCGTGACCTCCAAGCAGGGCCACGCGCAGCCACCGCTGCTGCACCACCCCCAGCCGTCGACTCCCTTGTCTCCTCTGGGCGCGCTCGGTAGATCTCACCCGCCTGGGTTCTCGCCGTCCAACCCCCCGGGGCTGGGCCTAGTCTCGCGCCCGCCAATCGGTCATGAGTTGCCCTCGTACCCACCGCACTCGGGGCCTCTGATGAACCAGCTGCGCGGGTTCCCTGCTCCGAATGGCCTTCCCGGGCTCCCAAGCATGAATGGAACTCGTCCGATCCCACCGGGACGGGGCTTTCCCCTCGACCCGGGACACGGTCTCCCGTTCCACAGCCAGCAGCCCATGGCCAGTGCATTCTCCGCACAGCCAAGCGGACTGTCGCATGCTCACTCCAGGCATCCATCCAGCTCCTTCGAGCGGTCACCGCTGGAGACGCATGCGTTCCCGATCTCTCGCCCCAGCCCGATCAAGCGTCCGTCAAGCACCCACCAAGACCAGAATAACCGCCCTTCGCAGCGTGATGTGGACCACCTGAGTACGCAACTGGGTAGCAGTGCTCTCTTGGATGACACCGATGTTCCCTTTACGTCTCATCTGTCCCAGTCACTCCCTGGCGCTACCGCTCCGGGCTTTCCCGGGCCGACACGCGCCAGCTTTGGCGGGACATCCCTGTTCCCAGATCCCCTCAGTGAGTCCCTTGTCAACGAGTGGCACCACGCAAGCGCTGACAGTATCGCAGCATCCAAGCATGGTAGTTTCCCCATCGGTCCCGGTAACAGCACATGGAGTGCGCAAATTCCGTTTGGCACATCACCCTTTCCTGGGACAACGACATGGGGAACCGGACCTGGTTAGTTCAAGGCTTCACCTATTTGATTTCGGTGCGCATCGACTGACAAAATCATGCAGGGAGCGGTTGGTCGACGAATGCGTTCGCGCCTGGAGGCCACCACCGAGCTCACACCTCTCGCCCTGTGACAATACGACTACTCGTGATCCAAGCTTGCAAGCAACTCAACGCGATGAGTCCCTCCAAGGGAGGCGGCGGCTACCACGACGTAAACGTTGTCCTCCGTCAGGTGGACCAGCTCCGACCCCCCGGCGAGCCCTCGATCTCTCTCAAGGAATTGCTGGTGATCTGCGATACGGAGGGCAACACGCAGAACGGAGGCGGGACGTTCTCGATCAGGAGCGACGAGACGGGCGAATTCGTCAAGTTCGAGCCAGACACCAACAGTGCGTCCTCAGGGCACAGAGGCAGCATTGTGCCTGGTGAAATCGGCAGTCCCGTCCCCAGCAGCAGTCTTCCGGCGTTTGGCGGCATCGGCACATCGACTCCCTCGGTGCTACGGCAGTTTTCTTCTCCACCCACAGGTTTCTAGGCGTCCTCCGGCTTTTTGTTTTTGTTGTTTTCTTGTTTTCCCTCTCAGCCATCCATATCCATGGTGGTGAGAGTGCGCTGGGCTCATGATGACATACTCATACTCCTTTTGCTCTTTGCTCTTCTTGTCTACTTTCTCTTCCTTCCTCCACCTGGGAACACACACACACGCCTTCTCCGTCTCCTCCCATCTCGCTCTCCTCGCTCTCCTCCCCTCCTCCCCTTTCCTCCCTCTTCCAACCTCTCTCCCCTTCACCTCTCATCTCTTATACATACTCAACCCCTCTCCTCCATACCTACATACATAGGCCGTGTGTTCCCTCTCTATCTCTCTCTCTCTCCCCCCCTCCCTAACTCAATGAATGGCTTCTTCTTTTCAAGTTCCCATTTTCTCTTCTCGCTTCACATTACCGGGCATCAATCATGTCATCATGTACGTTATATTGTCTGCTTATTTTTGCTTGCACTCACCTCACTCACCCCACCCACCCACCCATCCGCGGTGCCGGTGTACATGTATCTACATGTATCTACATATGTGCATGTGTACATGTGTGCGTGTGTGCGTGTTTGTGTGTTTGTGTGTGTGTGTGTGTGTGTGTGTGTTATGTGCGTGCCTGCTGCGATTGAACCCCTTATGTAGCGATTCCCGTGGAACAAACCCCATACCTAGCTAGAAACCTGGCCATCATCATCATCATCGTCATCTTCGTCGTCGTCTTCCATGCATGTCCGTTTAGGTTCTAACTACCTAATTACCTAAATACCTACCTAAATACCTAAATATCTACTTACCTACCAACCAACCTACTTCCGTTGTTTTAAAAAGAAACAATTGCATTTTCGGAGCGGATCGATAAGTGAGAGTTCGTTTGGTTCGTGTCTGTCTGTCTGCCTGTCTGTCTGCCTGTCTGCCTGGCTTTTTTTTTTGTGGGATGATGAACCTTTCTCTCTCTCTCTCTCTTTCTTTCTTCTGAGGTGTGTAGACCAGCTCTGATGAGGTTATATTATGTAGTCGTATTTAAAAGGTGAATAGGTAGGTAAGTGAAGTAGGTGTAGGTAAGTGAGGTAGGTGTAGGTAGGTAGGTAGGTAGGTAGGTAGGTAGGTAGGTAGGTATGGTATTTTATTGTATTTTATTTTATTGTATTTTATTGTATTGTACTGTGTTGTGTTGTGTTGTGTTCTGGGCTGGGATGCCAAAATTCCTATACCGGGCTGTTTACTGGATATGGAAGGAAACTGACTGCTACCCAAGGTACTCCGTAGGTATACTAGGTGTGTAAGGTACTAACTAGGTAGGTAGGTATTGACTATATGGTGTTGTGGATGGATGGATGGATGGATGGATGGATGGATGGATGGATGGATGGATGGCTGGGATCTGGGATGTGGGATCTGATGAATAGATCCGTCGATAATGGGGGATAGATAGATGGAGAATGAGAAATAAATGGATAAGAATGAATGCCTAGTATAATATTCAGCTATATCTACACGTACACCTATATACAATACACCTTCTATCTATCTACCGATCTATCTAGTAAGATAGATAGCACGTATACCACGCACGGTCTATGTCTAAGCATCCACCCGTGATACAAAGCATGACAATACTATGCGGAGTACACCCAAAATAAACAAGCCATCACTCACTCATTCGCCCTCCCTTCCCTTCCAAGACTAGAAATAGAAACTAAGTAAAGTCTCCCATTTTCCCTATCCATATATCATACCTATCTATGCCTATTACCATGCCTATACAATGAAGACATATAAAAATTAAGAATAAGACACATGGGATATGAAGAGTGAAGAAGAATGAAGAAGAATACGTAAACTTTCTATCGATATCATACGACTCGGATTGGGTCCCCCCTAGGATAGATAGGTAGGTAGGGAGGTAGGTAGGTAGACAATGTGGAAGATGGAAGAAAAAAATGAAGAAGAAGAGGAGGAGGAGGATAGGGTATGATTGGTAATACACTGATCGATATATTCGACTCAAAGTTAAGAAGAAGAAAAGCGTGGAAGGGGAAGGTGAGGGGGAAAAGGAAGATGAAGATGTAAGAGGAATCGAGAATTGGGAATTGAAAATTGAAAGGTGTGCTGTGGAGACAGACATGAATAGCATAGCTAAGCTAGTTGGTTCACTTGAATAGATAGATAGATAAAAAGGGAATCTTACAGACAGACAAGGGAGGCTAGTAAAGAAAGAAAGAAAGAAAAAAGAAAGAAAAAAAGAAAGAAAAAGAATAAAAACAAGATATTTGCGGCTAGCATGAGGAAGGGGGTTGAAAGATCGCTCATTCATACGGGGGTCGTTTCACTTCACTGTCTTGCGTCGATGACTATGCCTTCGAAGTCTCGGGTTCGGATGTAATCCAGTGTGCGCTGGAAGTGACGCCTCGGGCCCTCCAGACTGGCGTTGGGCTCGTTTTCGTCCGTCTGCAGGTTGGAGTGGATGAGCTCGATGAGGCCGTTGAGATACTTGGTAGTGACGGTTTCGTTCTGTTGATCGAAGTAGTATACGTAGCGGTTAAGGATCTCGACGAAGAGTTCCACGGAGACGGCGGTGTCCATGCAGGCGTCTGCGACTCGGAGGGCACGTTGGAGGCATTCCAGGACGCGTTTGCCGTCGCGGTAGAGCTGTTTGGGGTTAGGATTAAGTATGGTAGCAGAGCGGAGAGACGGTCTGGAGACGTACGTTCTTGGGATCCTCGTCCCCTCGTTGAGGGTTCTCGACGACCCACCAGAGATGGCTGGCCAGGTAGACGGCCCGACATTGATCGGGCTTCTTGAGCAGCTTGCTTCCGTGAAGGGCTGCCTTGGTAATCAGCGTGTCGTAGTTCTCCTTGGAGAACCCGCGGGTTCCGTGCAGCGCTCCGGCAATGACGCAGACGGCCTGGAACTGAGCACGGGAATCGCTGATGGAGTCCTCGTAGATGGTGAAGGCCTGTGCGAAAAACTCGTAGCTGAACTCTTCGAAACCCGTCTGGTCGGCCACTTCTCCGCACATCACGAAGAGACGCAGGGCCAGGTCGGCGCAGCCAGGGTTCACGCGCTGGTAGAGGTTGTTGACACACTGGTGCATGAACCGGTAAAGCGCCGAGGATTGCGATTGCCAGTTGTCATCGTAGTGCTCGCGGGACTTGAGTTTACGCGCCAGGCGTATCGAAACGGTGATGAGGGCGGGCGTGGTGTATCTGATCCGCTCGTTACCATCGAGGTAGGCCTTCCGGGTTGCTTGTAGGAGCTAGACATGCGGGTTAGCGTGGACTTCATCAAATTCAAATGGTTGATTACCTTCAGCTGGGTGTCGTTCTCTGGCGCCCGGATCAGATGAATTATCCTTGCTAGCCATCCTTGCTCCTCGATGGTCTCATCCGTTTCACCCCGTCGTTGAGACTGCAGCCCAGGGTAACCCATAGACTGTTGAGTGCCCTCCTTGATAAGGACCCTCAAGGCTTGTAGAACACGGTCAAGATTGTCGGGTGTGGTGATCAGAGTGCCGTTCTTGAGAAGATTGCGGGCGATTTCGCCGGCGACAGATCGCCGCGTAGGGTAAGATTGAGAGGTCAGGAGCGGAATGTAGTGAGGCAAGGCCAGGCCCGTAAAGATGGAGGCGTAAGAACGAAGGGGTGCGGTGAGGAGATGCAAGAGGTTTTGCTGTGTCGGGGCGGAGTGCAAGTCGGCATGGTCAGCATACGCGGCAGTCTCTCGGGTCGCAAAGTCGAGGATCTGGTCGACGAATTCCAGGCGCTCTGGGTAGGTGTTGAGCGCCAGGTTGACGAGCGAAACCAGCAGTGCCATGGTATCTTGGATGGGGAGGCCGCGGGTCTTGATCAGGTTGACCACTTGCTCGTAAAAGATGTCGTACAGCTTGACATCGACCGGGATGCCAGCCTTCTCGTCGCCATCGCCGTTGGCCTTGGGTTCGCCTTCTGTGGTGTTCGTGGTTTCCGTCGACTCCTTCGAGGCCTGTTCAACGCCATTCTCCTCAGTTGCGTCTCCAGCGAGTTCCTCTTTCTTTGTCTCCTCGGACACGTTAAGTTTCTCGAGGAGCTTCGTGACAGCTTCCTCTTCCTTCTGCTTCCTTGCATCGGAGTCGAGGGACGATTCAGTCTCACGGGCGGCGTAGGCCGACAGGCGGTCCATCAACCCAATTACGATCTTCTTCAGGTCCACATGCGGGTTGAGTCGAGAAATTGCTGACAGCAAGAGATCAAGCGTGTAGAGGTGGAATTCATCAGGGAACACCTTGGTGATGACTACGTCATAGGATCAGCCTCGCAGTTCCGCGACAAAAAGAACGCTCTCACCTTCAAGCAAATACTCCTGCGCCAACACATCCCGGCACTGGACGACCTGCTCCAGCAGCGCCTGCAGAATACCAGACTTGTAGCCCTCGAGGTCGACCAACTGGCTGAGTCGCACAACATTGCTACCAACCAGCAATTCGAGCTCCCGACGTTCCTGCATACGCTTCTCCCGCTCGCGAGAAGGACCCTGGTGCTGCAGCCTGACCCACAGCTTGTTCATCTCGACGAAGTTAGTCAAGACGAAGTTGATCGAATCCTGCATGTTGCCCTCCGGGCCATCTCCGGAGCCCGTGGGAAGGTGATCCCTCGCCTGCCCGGAGAGATAATAGCGCAGGAACAGGCCACGGATGGGATGTTGCACGCCGCGACTCATTTCCATCATGTCCTTCATGATCTCCTTCACCGGGGCATCCTCGACGGACATGTAGACCGTGCCCACTGTGATCATGAGGTAGAGTCGCGGGATGATGTTTCCGGCATATTGAACGAGTTCGTACAGATCCGCCAGGTGGTTAACGGGGTGGTTCTCTTTCAAGTACACGGAGAGGTGTCGCAGGGCGTCGAAGACGGCCATGTACAGTTCGTAGTATTGCTTCGGGCCAAGGCTGGGGGTTCGGAGCTCGGAGACCAAGGTAGATCTAGACCAATTGACAGGAGTTGTCAGTTTCGCAGCTCCTTCGTGGGTTATCTTGCCCCCCCCCCCCCCCCCGAATCCACTGCTGCCTGGAGGAGGGGGGGGGGGGTGGAAGAGGGGGTATTCGCAGCTGAAGCTCACCCGCATTTCAACGCATCCATTAATTTTCCGGGGGTCTCGAGACATTTTCGCATCATCTGCGACTGCTGGCGCACGACGCCCAATGCCTCCTCGAGGAGACGGCTCTGGTCTTCGGGGGGCGCTATCGGGCTGGCCATGGTGGATGTGATGTGAGGGGAGTTGGAGTCAGTGGGTTGAATCGGGCGGTAAACACCTGGTCGGAAAGGGGGAGGGGCGGAGGAAGGGATTCAATGAGGGGGAAGATAGGGAAAGACGGCGCGCTGGGAAGGAGGAAGGGAAAGCAGGCAGCTCCTGGTCCATAGACAGGAGAGAGGGAGGGAAAACACAAGAGTGGAGGAGAGATGAATGTGAATGCGGACATGCGATCAGGACGTAAGTAAGTCGGACGGCTGGCTGGCCGGGGCGCGGGTTATGTAATGGCGAGCTGCGGCGGCTTACCGTACCGTACCGTACCAAGGACGTCACCGCACGAGGCGGCTAGTCCCGTTTGGGGAGGCTCCAACGGTCGACCGCTCGCTTATTCAGCAGTGTGCAGCTGTTTATGATCCTCCTGTGCCAGTACGATTTAATCTCGCAAATCACTGCAGGACACCAGCTGCATCTCCAGGTCCAGAGAGTCCGAGACCCTAACGCAGGGACCAGCTGGGTTCTCCGCCAGAACGTGGGGCTGCCACCCAGAAGAGGGGGAAACAGGGGAAATGGAGAAGACCCCAACAAAACAAATTAATTGACATATGTGCAATTTACTGGGCAACTACGCACGGTACTACGTAATGCTTTACCCGTCGGCCTCGACTTTTTGAATGATCACCATGCAGGAACGGTAGACAACCAGGTCCTTCCCAGACAACAACATCAACATCATTTACGGGGTAGTATACACTCTTGACCCTTTATCGACTAGACTTTACCATTGGCCATTCTCACTATTGATTGGCTGGTCCACACTTAACCTAAGGCTTGGTTCAGGTAGATGGATAGATATTACTGTCAGATGGCCATTGGCGATATACTATACCCGTAGGTAGCCCTAAAGCCGACAATCGAGTTAAAGACTATGGCGAGGGAAGAAGGGAAAGAGAAAGAGCAACAACAAAAAAAAAGCAAAACAGAAAAATCAAAAAGTAAGAAGTAAGAAGCAAAAAAAGGAAAAGCAGAAATGATGTTTCTACTAGGGATACACTCTGCAGGCCAAGGTAGTAGTAGAATACTCGTCTAGTAACGAGTCTACCATCGCAACATTCCAGAACCAAGAGCGAGAAGCCCTCCCCTATCCCTCAGATGCAAACCTTCCTGCTACTAGTAAGACACACATAGCAATAGGAATAAGTATAACAAAGCGAAGAGGAGTGATAGCACCTCGGATGCCTGCACAAATTCTCCAGCGAACAATCACCACCACAAGCGAGATTATCCTCTCTCTTGGTAACGCCTTCATCATCATCATCATCATCATCATCATAATCATCACCAAGGGCCTCCACCGTCGCCACGGCGGTATCCAGTTCTGCACACAGCTCGTCACCAGCAATGGCGATGACTTCCTCATCCTGGGATGTTTTCAAGTAATAGCCTCCATTTTCGGGGTTCAGGAAGGTTTCGGGGTTCTCGGTGACCAGGTCGTTCAGCGCCTGTCTGTCTTGCAGGACGATGACTCCGGCTGGCGGGTCGGTTTGGTAGCGGGTTACACCTTCGGCCATTGCTATGATGCAGAGAGCGACGTATACGAGGGGTTTGAAGATGTCTTTCATTCTTGGCTCGATGGTACGACGGACTCGGGTTAGTTTGGTATAGTATTCTTCGGGCTGTTGAGGGGATTGCCTACCTTGGTTCAGTACGAATGGATCGTCGTCTATAGCAATCTGGTTTTTGTTTTCAAGAGAACTGTCTCATGGTTAGTCTTTGTTGTAGAAGGAACAGGGCTGAGTAACTAACCAGTAAACAGCTGGACAGATGCAGATGCAATAACCTAGAATTCATTCCAAGCCATCCAGTCCGAAAGATACACTCGCCGACGCAGAAAGAAAGAGAGAAGAAGAAGAAGAGGGAAAGCACATCTATTAAATAGTCGCCCAGGACCTCAGTGCTCAACCACCCCGTCCAAATCCTCTATCCATCAACATTAGCAAGGTTACATCAGTCCGACAACTAACAAGGTATATGCCAGGGCCCTGTCATGCTAGAAGGTATACTAGATATAGCATAGCGCAGTCTCTTCCGGCCTCAAGCCTTGAGCTAAAAAAAGAAGCTAACTGTAAAACTGGACCAATGATTCACCATCAGAGTGAGACATATCTCTCACCACTATCTTGAGTGGACTGGATACTTACAGCTTTTTCTCAGCCTTCTCGGCCCACTACACTATTGGTTTGCTTCTGGTACCCTGAAATCCCTCACTCATCAGGTATCCTGGATTAATCCCTCAAGTCTATGGGAGTTCTTCGGTTTCTAGCCAGGGTGGAACGGACTTGAATGTTTAATGTTTATACTACTGTCTCTACTCTCTGTCAAAACATCAAAGGTAAACAACGAGAACACCCCCAGCCAGATCCCCCAGACCATGACATAGCATGACACGACATGACATGACATGACGCTTAAGCATGCCGTATCATCTCCCTGGGCCTGGACTCAAACAATTGCTGCCAGCCATGGACCGACTATCCGGTCCGGAAAAGAGCGGAGATCCTAGCAAAGCCTGTGGCGACTAGCCTGGCTGTAACTTGCCTGGTACTGTTTCTATTGGATGGTTCGTCTCGAAAAGTCTCCTGTGGTCTCCAGGCCTGTTTAGCTGTCAGAGCACTGACTGTTATCGCCTTCGATTTCAGATACTATATTGCTATTGTAGATGGTCATTTCAGATCATGTTTTTTTTTTTTTTTGCCTCTTAGCTCTCTCTGCCTGGGTACTCTGTCAGTTTACTGGATAGGGTTATCTCGTTGAATGGAATGTCTTTCTCCTTCAAAGGGATATCTCTAGGCTCCAGGGAAAACTTGCACAATGGGCTAGCTATATCAGGTTAGCGAATTAATTGACTACGATGTAGTATCATGATATTCTTTGGTCCTACTGAAAGAAATGTGAGGTGAAGAAGCATGTATAGAGAATGTTGTTTTTTGAAAATGAAAAATTTATTCATTCACAAGAGATCTATATCTACCCGAGTTTCACGCAGTCAATTTGGCCCATAATCATGCAAAAAAGAAAAATAGATACCATGAAGAAAACACATCAACATATGCAACCAAACCAAGCAACAAAAAACAAAAAGGAAAGAGGGGGAAACGCCCCATCCATGCGCATTTTCATGACCACATCTCTCTCTCTCTCTCTCTCTCTCTCTCTCTTTCTTTTTCTCTCATCATAGCAAGTATGTAGTCATGACATGTCGTGAATGTGATAAATAAACCAACCCAAAAGAAAACCCCGAAATGTAAAGTAAAAAGGAAAGTTCATTATAAAAAAGCCATCGCTCACTCGCTCGCAATTTCATCCATATATCCATGTAATTGTAATTCAATCATACCAATCGTTGAAACCATCTTTTCGCGTAAAAAAAAAAAAAAAAAAAAAGGAAAAGGAAAGGGGAGATAAGAAACGGTCAAAAGAAGAAGAAGAAGAAGAAGAAGAAGAAGGCTAGTTTAGATGTCACTAGCGGTCTCGTTCCGGGCCTGGATCGAAGCAGTGCCGTTCGAGCTCCGGGCTCCCAGAGCCTTCACGGTGTGGTCGGTGGAGTTGGCATGCTTGTCGATGACAGCAGCATCTTCAGTCAAGGCCCGAGCCATGGGCTCAGAGACCTTGGTGGAGTTCAGCTCGCGCGAGGTGACGTTCAGGCCACGAGTCGCGATCTTGGAGATGGTGTCGTTGCCCCGGGCAAAGACCTCGGCGGTCTCGTTGCTGCGGGCGTGCAGGGCGTGTGCCGTCTCGTTGTGGGCGCGAGAAAAGACTTCGGAGGTGCTGTTGCTGTTGCTGTTGCTGTTGCTGCGAGCGTGGTGGCCGTGGGCAGTCTCATTGTGCGCAGAGTGGGCAAAGACCTCTTCTGTCTCGTTGCTGCGAGCATGGTGACCGTGGGCAGTCTCATTGTGCGCAGAGCGGGCAAAGACCTCTTCCGTCTCATTGCTTCGAGCATGACGACCATGCCCATGCCCCGTCTCATTGTGGACAGATCCACGAGAGTTAAGAGTAAACCGCTCGCTCAAATCAGCGGCATCCTCAGTGCGGGCAACAACCTCAGCAGAGCTGTTACCGCGGGCATGCAGGGCATGTTCGGTCTCATTGTGGTGACCTCGGGCAACGACCTCAGATGGTGATGCCGTATCATTGCTTCGAGGGATGATGGCACGAGCGTCTGTGCTGTTGTTGCTGCTGCTGTTGTTGTTGTTGCTGGAGGAGGAAGCATCGGCGATGGAGCCGAAGCGACGGAAAGCCCTCTTGTTGGAGTCGTTGGCCTCGTGGCGCTCGAAGGGGGATCCGCTGGCGGTGGGCTCGAGGGTCCAGGAGGGGTAGGGGGTGGAGGAGGAGGAGGGGGATTGGGTGATGGTGATGGTCTCGACGACGGGGGTGGTTGGGCCGGCGACGTCGACGACCTTGTAAGGGAGGTTGTCTGGGTCTCTGCGCTCGAGGGTGTCGGTGTCGTTCCCCCGGGGCTGGAAGACGGGGATCGCGTGGGCGGAGAGCGAGAGAGCAAAGAGGAGGGCGGCGGTATGCATGGTGATGGAGTGTGGATGCAATGTATGTGGGAAATATATCAATCAGGTCTAGAGATCTAGATATCAAGAGAGAGAAAAAAAAACGAAGAGAATTGAAGATAGAGAGACGATGCAAAAGATGTCTATAAGTAAAATATAGAGTGTGTGATCGCTAAAGACAGTCTTTTAGTCCTTAATCAAAACCAGAGCTGATGAATCTACCATCCAGAGAACAGACGAGAGGACGCCCTCAATTTATCACCCCGATGCCAATGCCACCACAGAACCACGCACACACCGACCAACGCAAGCCCCGGAAGATTAAGTTGGCGCCTAGAACAAAAAAAATTACACCCATGACGAGCGAGCAACGAACGATCGACAAGACCCAGACATAAGGGATTGTATGTATATTCCATCATAGGCCGGCACAGGACCCATCGTCGGGAAGAAAAAGGTGCAGGCTGGCGGCATCACGATGCTGTCAAAGGACTCAAAGGAGGCTGGGAGGGAGGGAGATGCCAGCCACGTTTGTTTTGGGACTGGCCCGTTGAGATCCACCCACCGATGAGGAGGTACCGAGATCCTCGTAGCGATTGCCGATTTCTATGAATATCCACGACCAGCCCACTGGTCGTGGATGGAGTAAAGGAAGTCCGTAGATACATAACTAACTACTAGTATCTAGTTACAAAGAAGATGCATATTCAGTTAGTCTAATCGTGCTAACCGTGCTAAAAGTAGAAAAGGGCAACTAAAACCTGCTAAATTAACCCGTCAAGTCCCGTGACCCGGGACTAATGTGGCTGGGGATCCACTCGCGGCTGTGGCTGCCGACGCGCTGGTTGGCTGATCGAAGTGTCAGTCATCCACGCGCAGGCCGGTTTTTCGCCATCATGGCTGCTATTATTATTATTACGGTGTACTCCGTCCGTACTATAGTACGATCCATGTACTATGTATATCTCCCAGGTGCCTGGATATTCCGTCCACGCAATCGCAATGGCTGGGTAGAACGTCGATCTCGTCTCGCTGTCTACGTCATTTCCTGAACACTGCCCTCTTCAGACTCCAGAGAGTAAGTACGGTGTACGTCGGAGATGTCTGGACGGTGAGTGAGTGAGTGAGTGAGTGTACATGTCGGCATGGGATCTCAAATGCTTAGCGGATAATACCACGAAAGCAAAAGACTACATGGCCAAATTACGTTCCGGCCGAAAACTACCTATCTACTACTAGCTAGGAAACCTGCACCGCCGAACATTGGCCGAGAACATAAGTACATTCCCATGCAGCTTTGCATCCGGCAGGGTCTACGGTACGGAATATAACCCGAACTCACCAACTCTAAACTATACCATACAGATATCTATCTACCTACGTACGACAGACTTACTTCTACGACGACGAACATCTACTCCATCTGACCGCAATAAACTAAGCGTCCCATCTGACTCTCAACTGATCAATGCGAAAAAAAAAAAAAAAAACAGTTTAGATTGACTGCGGACTTCGGTGCATTTGACTTGACCAGGACGACCAAGTACAGTCGATAGGAATAAATAGTAAATAGTAGATGCATCCTGTGCTTTTAGTTCTCATGCGAGATACCGCCGATTGACAGACTTAGTTTGCATGTATGCGCAGTGTTCGCAGGGAATGGGGAGGCTACGTAATGCTTTTGGCGGTCGAATGAGCTGTCTGTCCTCCGGATGGAGGAGGGCCAATCAGCCATGTTCTTTTAGGAGCACTGCTAACCGTTTATCTCGGGTTGATAATTATGCTATGCTATGATATGATTCCACCGATGGGAGGGAGTAGAGTGAATAAGGTGCTATGGAGTATTGGAGTATGAACAGACACGACTTCATCTTCATCGCTAAGACAAAGCCAGATCCTCGACCCGGACCAGGCCGCATCCCATGCCCGCCGCCGCCCACCCCGCGCACGACTGGTTGGGGTTCCACGAAAGCGCCGTGACGTGGGTTCCCTCCTCGAAGACGGTGATCACCGCGGCGCCATTGACCAGCTTGGGATCGCCGACCAGGTTGCGCAGCAGGCTGGTGCTCTCGGCGCGGTGTCCGTCGTGGAACCGACTGGTTCCCGAGCTGTTGGCGTCCGGGCCGCGCACCCATTCGTGCTGGAACCAGGTCTGTTGCCATTGCTTCTCCTTGGCGTGCAGCATGCGGCGGAGGGGACTCGTCGCCTGAACGGTGCCCTCGGTGCAGCCGAACAGGACGCTCGGGTGCCAGGAGCTGCACGGCCCCACGGCGGAGATCATGCTCGGGAGCCGGGCTATCGCGGTCGACGTGAAGAAGCGTCGGACGGCGAGGAGACGCGCAAAGTCGTTCTCGTCGCTCGAGATGAAGCAGTGCAGCATGGGGGAGTACGTTAGATGCGCGGAGCCCACGCGCATGCGGTTGGTGTTGACCATGTCTTTGTGAGGGTCGACGATGGATGTCAGCCGGGTGTCTCCATCCATGGACGTGGTGCATATGATGTGAGGGTTGGTAGGGTAGGCGGAGGCGATGCTGAGGACCCACGTCGAATGGAGTTGCTGGTAGAAGTAGGGAAGGGGGTTTGAGGGCGATGCCTGCGATGGTAGGATGCTCCAGATGGCAACGAACCCGTTGGCACAGCCAACAGCAAGATCGCTCGGGGAAAGCCATGTTAGACATGTGCATACGGTCGATGGTGCCTTCGCTTCAAACACAGGAGATTGTAGTTTGTCTGGAAAGTCAGCACGGCACGGGCCCTTCTCTCTCTTGGTCAGACTTACAGAATTCCGTCTGCTTTGGATCACGACCCAGTTTGATATCGATCACTCGCACGCGGCCATCTCCCCATATACCAGCCAGAAGCCCGACGTTCTTCTGCGCGCCCTCGTCATCTTCATCCCGCGGCGCTCGAGGCATCGGGCACCAGGCCATCCGCCTCAGGTCGCCCCATTCCGTACACACAGCGAGGCGTAGTCGGGGCTTGAAGGTCATATCGATTGTCCGTGTCAGAGACTCGGCCTCCTGGGCCTTGAACGCCCAAAGCTGCAGCACACATGGATAAGGCGCTGATGGCCGGAACGCTGGAGCGGCCTGGTCCTTCAACGGGTCGGGATACTCTTCCTTTTGGTCTGGTAGTATCGGAGCCACCGCCGACAGATACTGCGTGAGGCCGCCTTGATTCGGCACCCAGGCCAAACACTGGATTTTCTGTCCCAGATTCAGAATCCAACCTTCTCGCTTCTTCTTTTTTCGTTCGCCACCCGATCCCGCCTTGCCCTTACTCTCCTGTTTCACAGGTTTGGACGGGACCTCGCCCCATGCCTCCCCAAAATCAACCACATCATGCCTCCCCAGCGAAAACACCTTCTGACCCTCAAGTGGCCCTACAAGCACGGTATGTTCCCCCCGGGGACGGGGGAAATAAACGCGACGAGCGTCCTTCTCTTTGATCTTCTTCATCCGCTGCGACTTCCTGAACCTTGCCCCCAGATCCTCATCATAATACCAATCCCACCCACGAGTACTCTCCCGCGGCAATTCATCCGACTCCAGCCCAAAGCTCCTCCCGTACCCATAATCATTCACACTCGGCGCCTCATCCAACGTCGCCCGCGTCGGAAACGTAGAATCCAAACCCCTGCACCATTGATCCCTTGCACTCAGAACAGAGAAAAGGTCCCTATCGTCCGTCCCAAAGGTAACCCGCAGGTGGACGGCTTTCCCGACATGTTCGAGCGGGTTCCACGATCCGCGGGAGTGCGTCTCATCACCCGCCAGCGCGATAGTCCCATCCGGACGTCTCTGCTTAGGAACCCTCGGCGTGGAGGTGGCAGCAGGCTTGCGCCGACGCCGAGGGGCCTCGTTGGCTTGTGAGACGGAGGCAGCGTCGTCGTCGTCATCGTCGCCTTCTTCTTCATCTTCTTCTCCTGCATCGTTATCGTCTTCAACCATCTCCACGTCGTTGTCTTGGTACTCATCATCGTCCTCTTCCTCTTCATCTTCATTGCCGTTTCCCATATTGAAATCCTCGTCCGAGGTGTCGTCATAGACGGGCTGTTTGGCCTTCCCCTTGCCCTTTTTGCGCGTCGCGACTACAGAGGGGTCTTCATCTTCGTCGCTGAGCACCCCGGCAGCCTCGAAAGGGTCATCGATGTATTTTGTTCTGGCGCCGGGGGCGCGATTAGATCTGCGCGGGCGAGGAGGCATCGTGCCGGTGCAGCTTGAATTTGGCTAGCTAGTGCGGGTTGCCGAGGAAGTCGCTAGCGCATGTCGTACAGGTTTTGCGATTGAGCTGATGTGGCTGGTGGTGGTGGTGTTACAGCGCTAGCTAGAGAACATTCTGTATATCTGTTGTGGTTGTTGTTCCAGGAGAGTAGCGTACGAGATTGACTAGTAGGTAGATATGTGCTATAGAAATAAATTCGAGAAGAGAGAGCGAGAGAGAGAGAGAGAGAGAGAGAGAGAATGATGCCGGAGCTACTTATGCTAATTGCCCGATTCGGGCAAGACGGGCTTGGCGTACCGTACTTACCCCTGTAACGGTGGCGTTACATTACCCCACTTGGAATTGTTACGTTGCTGGGAGAGGTGTATCTGAGTATCTGTACGGATGGAAGGAGAGGATGAGGGACCTATACAATTGTTTTCGATGTAAATACTTGATCGGACGGCTGTCAGCATCCCTCCAGTATCCATGTCCCTCCGATACTCCTAATTCGGCACCGGGTGCTTCCTCGAGCAGTGCCAAAAGAGGTACCTTAGTGACTGACCCCCACCCCGCGCCAGCAGTGGGCCATCCATCCAGACCACTACATCATTTCCATCCAATCCATCACCACCACCCAGCTTATAATAATCTGCCATCTCCTCATCCCACACCTGCACATTCCCATTCTACCAACTCACCCCTCAACCACCACCACCACCACCATAACCACAACCATGTCTCAATCCCACCCCGGCATTCTCCACGAATACGTCCTTCCCCCTCCCCCTCCCCCCTCCCCTGCCCGCCCCTCACAACTAACACCCCGCAGGCCCCCGCCTGATCGCCCACGAATTCACCAGCCCAATCCCGCACCCGAAACGCAACGCATTGCTCTTCATCGGCGGCCTCACCGACGGGCTGCTCACAGTCCCCTACGTAAAAACCCTCGCCCAGAGCCTGACCAGCTCCCCAACCAACACATGGAGCGTCTTCAACGTGCTGCTCACCTCCTCCTACCTCGGCTGGGGCATCGGGAGCATCGACCGCGACATCGAAGAGATCGGGCAATGTGTGACTTACATCCGATCGCTCAGAGGCGCGGACACCAAGGTCGTCATCATGGGGCACTCGACCGGTAGCCAGGACGTGCTTCACTATCTCTCGGCGCCGAATCCTCTGCCCCGGTCCCAGTCCCAGTCCCAGAACCCGTCTGTCGACGAGGGTCTCCAATACCTCACCCGTCCGCCCGTCGACGGCGCCATCATGCAAGCGCCGATGTCGGATCGGGAGTTTCTGCTGAACATGCTGAAGGGGAACCACGAGGCGAGCGCGGCGTACGCGCAGCTCGTGAATATGGCGAGGATCGCGGACCCGCGGACCCTCCTGCCGCTGAATCTGACCGGCGTGGTGGGGTTTGAGCCCGGGACGCCGGTCAATGCGGGTCGGTTTTGGAGTCTGGCGAGTCCCGAGAGTCCCGCGGTGCCGGCGAAGGATGATTTGTTCAGTTCGGATCTCGGCGAGGGGAGGCTCGCGGAGACGTTTGGCGTCGTGGCTCAGAGGGGTCTGTTGGGGTATCGGTTGATGGCGCTGTATTCGGGCGAGGATGAGTACGGGGTGCCCGGGTTGGATATGCAGGCCATGTTGGAGAGGTGGAGGGTCGCGACGGATAAGGGCGCCGTGGATGGAGAGGTTAAGTGGGACAAGGAGGGGAGTGCGGTCATTCCGGGCGCGACTCATAATGTTAAGGATGTGGGGCAGGAGGAGTTGGTGGAGAGGGTGTTGGGGTATTTGGGTAGGGTGGAGGGTTGGTAGATAGGATCTAGTGTGTGTGTATATATGGTGTGCAGAGTGAATCGCTATTTTAGGCCTTCTGGGCATGCCATATCAAGAAATCTTGTTGGCTAAGATCCTTTAGAATGGGATTTGACTCTGGTAGATAGGAGATGCAAGACTTCAAGATTCAACGCGTTGGGCGAAAGTATCAACTAACTCCCTTACCTCTGGAACCCACAGAAACAGGAGCACTTAAAATCAATAGCCACGAGCCTTCAGTTCAAGAAACATGGCCTGTTGTAGCTCCAACACCCAGACCGGACAACAACCCAGATCACAAAACACTAATACCAGCGCCTGTCAACGAAGAAATGATCCAGACAGCCGTTAGAGCCCCGATTTTCGGAGGACAGAACCTAGATCCATAAGACCGAATTAGCCAAGACAGACAGACAGACCAACATAATCATCATATACATGAATAAGATCACAATCACATACTCATCCGAAGCAAGACCAACAAATCCACCCCAAAAGATCCATTGCGCAACCCAGAGAAGGAAGATATTTCGGACAGTGGAAGCATACGGGCGCACAAAAGGTACCTGTTTCTGGGAAACGAAGTGGTGCTGTTGGCGGTTTGCGGAAGGAAAAGAGCCATACGTCGTGCTGAACGCCGTTGGTTTATCGCCTGCTCCTCCCTCGCCACTTGTGAATATCAAGGGTGTATGTTCAGCGCCCAGAACGGTATCATTGTTTATCTGATTATATGCGGGTAAGTTCTCCCTGGGCCTTGTGTAAGTATCATTCAAGCTGGCTGGTAGTGTTGTTATTTTCGTGACTTGTCTGTAGTGTATTGGCTGGGTTTGTGGATCGAGACGACCGGATCTAGTCAGTCTGTCCGTCTTGCGCTTAGCCCGCGTTAACTGGACGACTGTTATGATGATGATGACAAGCCACATGAGTGCTCCGGCATACATGGCTTTTGCCTGTTTCGCTCTCTCTGCTCCTTCTATACCTCCGAGGTAGAAGTTGTGTTCTCGACCGTAATTGACGGTCATGAACATGTAATAGGATGATATACACTGGAGGATAGTTTCCGCGAATAGCAAAGACGCAGCCGTGGAGAATTTCATCGCTTCGAAGGATGGCAGACCGATCAGCAAAATGGGCAGCCAGGCAAGCCGAGGCATGGAGCTCCAGAGGAGCATCAATTGAATCACGGGAGTGTCCTTATACCCAGGGGTTGTCTGGACAATCAAACTATTGGACCAATGTGCCAAGAGTTGCAGAGCAGCGATCAAAATCCCCTTGGAAAACCAACTCCACGGGTGTGAGTGCCCTAGAAAGCCGCGTGCAATTTGATCATGTATGCTTATTTTCTGGCCGAGGAGTGCTGCAAGGAAAGTAGCTATGTGGACTAAAGCGAAGCTTCCGAGCTTCCATTCATTCGAGGCACATGGCTCCGTTACCCCGAAGGATCCCAACCGAGTCGTATTAGCAATGTCTGAGTCGATGGATGGCTTGAGAGTCCATCCCCATGGAATCATATCGCTAGGGGTAGGGACGGCTAATTGACGCCAGTGATCTGGCAGACCGTGCCAGTCGTGCACATTGCCACACAGACCGTGTAGCCACTTGATATAGTCGATTCGGGTCTCGAATACCTGGCACGAACCACCGCAGGAATCGTAGCTAATATTGCGGCAAAAGCAAGCCCTGTCCACTGCACGCCTGACTTTGCAGTAACCGCTTGAGTCAATGTCACAGGCGTCGGTTGCACACTGATCAGTAAGCTGGATCGCCTGCTCCGGCATATCCGCGACACACATGGGCCAGTCCCAATTTTCGATGGGGATGTATGCGAATTGTGTGGTTTTGAGTGTGTCCGTCCAGTGATCGGGCAGGGACGTCGATCCACAGGTGGCATTCATCCAGACGCGCTCCTTCGTCAAATCCAACAGGTCTGACTCTGAACAGGGTTCTTTCGTGAAGTCTATTGTGAAGGCACTGCAGAAGCAATCCTGATCAAAATAGTCGTCATCGCTGATGCGATGCTGGACGAGGTCGTAGCCAACAGTTTCAAAGTCCAGAGCGACCATGGACCGTAGAGATTCACTATATTCCCAAGGACGAGCAGCATTTCCGGTGTGTCTGGTAGTGCCTGTGAAGCTACAGGAGGCTATAACATGTTGAAATGACTCCACCAAGGACGCAGAAGTCGAGTCGGTCAGGCATTTCGGTGCATTGTCAATCACATCAAGAGCTGCGTACCCTTTGGCTAGCGAGGCTGGGGAGAGATGCTGTAGGCTGTTCGTGTCGCCGACATCGACAAGCCACGTTCGACCGGTGATGTTGCGAATCCATTGATACAACTGCGCTTTGGCGAGTATCGATCGATCACAGTATGGGAAATAACTTGTAATGACGTCGGAGGAAAATGCAGTGCTGAGACAGCTGAGCTGGGTCAGCCATTGGTAGTGGGCGCAGATGACTCCGAGGTGAAAGGTGCATCGTTTGCCGGTGCATTCCGTCATGGTATCCAGCCAGGCCGACTGATCTTGCTGGGCGATACATTGTGGCATAGAAGACAGATCCTCGGGGTTGACCCAGCCGTTGCGGTTGTCTTGGGGTAGCAAGGTACGGTCCTCCCCATCGGCATCATAGTTAACAGTGGGGGTGGTGGGATGGGGCGCTCCTGTAGTCCTGATATTAGCGCCGAAGATAGATACAGACCGACCTGGGGAGGAACCCGAGTCTTGTACCTCGAATATTGACCCCGTAATTCCCAGTCGTCCACAGCAAAGTCAAAGGCACAGCGAACGTGCTAGATATTTTCATCTTGCCGATGGTGCTTTCAGTTGAGTGGAGTAAAACAACGTTGATTCAGTTGCGACAGGAAACTTCTCCGGTGCGGGGTGGCGCTTATGACGAGAGTGACCATCAAGCCAATTGCAGGAAAGTGGAAAGGTTCGGAGCGAATATGCATGGTTTTAGTTCACGCGGTCATGGTAAAGTAGTCTGTTAGTACTGATTGGCATTGTATGATCTAGAGACTGCATGGCAGTCTTGCATTCAACAATGTCCTGTAGGAATATGTAGTGAGTGACTTTTGTTATTGCCGAGCTTTGCAATAACTATGTACTTACTACATTGTATAAGTAGTCATGTGAATCCATTTTGGCCTCTGATTGGCTGTGTGTCTACCCTGTTAGTATAAGTCACGTGATCTTATCGTGATCAAAGTCCTTACGGCCTGAATATTGAGGCAAAAGGTCTAGGGGGCCGGAAACCCCGTATTGCGCATTGGAGTGGGCCATTTCATGAACAATACTCCGTACAATAATTTACATACATAGGACAGACAGACAGACAGACAGACACATACACATACACATGCATAGGTACATAGACACAGACTCCCTCAATAGAATGTGACACAAAGAAAGAAAAAGCTGAGGGTATAGAAGAAAAGTAATAAACCCCATGCACACCATCCTCATCCAACCCAACTTCAACCCCAGCTTAAACCTTCAACCACAAAGTCACCACACCCTTCAAATACTCGACAATCTCATGCCCTCCCAGCTTACTCTCGCCATACAACCGATCAACGAACGTGATCGGACACTCCGCGACCCTAAAACCCATAGCCTTGGCCCGGACCATCATCTCCATCTGGAAACTATACCCCTTGCTCTGGGTGCTATGAATGACCTTCTCGAGGACGCTCTTCTTATACAACCGGAAGCTGCCGGTGAGATCACTGACGCCGGGCATGAGCATGACATCGGCAATGAGGTTGGCGGTCCGCGACGTGAACTTCCGGAACAGATCCCACCCGTACACGCCGCCCTTGATGTCGCCGCGGCTGGCGTAGCGCGTGCCCGTGACGATGTCCGAGTCCGTCTCCTTCTGGATGCGGATCATCTCCGGAATGAACTTCGGGTGGTGCGAGAAATCCGCGTCCATGATGATCACGTAGTTGCCTGTCACGAATTGCAGCCCGTGGATGTAGGCCGTGCCCAGGCCGAGTTTGCCGGCCCGCGGCTTCAGCAGGATGTGGTTGTCGCCGTAGTGGGCTTGGAGTTGCTTCGCGACTTCGAGCGTGCCGTCCGGGCTGCCGTCGTCGACGATGATGATTTCCCAGTTTAGTTTACTAGGGGGGGAAGAGGGTTAGAGTGGGCTGGGCGGGGGGGGCGTGTCGTTGGACGGAGGGGGAAGGAGAGGGGGGGGATAAGGGCTAAGGGAGGGGCCAGGGGCAAGGGGCAGGGAGAGGTATGTACTTCTCGCGAAAGGTCCGCTCCAGCAGCCAGACGATGATAGGGAGGTTCTTGCGCTCATTGTAGGTCGGCAGAATGACCGAGTATTTGGTTGCGGGGGCGCCCATGGTGATGGGTGGATGGGTGGGTGGGATGTGGCAGACTGGACAGGTAGTGGAAGTGGGATTGTAATGACAGGTCTGATCTGTGCCCGGGCCAGAGGGGTTAAGGGAGTGACTGAGGATGGAGGAGAGGGAGGAGGGAGGAGGGAGGAGAGGAGAAGTGAGGAAAGGTGAGGTTTGGAGGTGGTTGCTGGACTTGGCGCCGGTGCGGGAGATCCGCGTTCGTAACGTGGCCAGTCTAGACGCTACAACCCCGTCTAGATCTCGTCTTTCTCCTCTCATCGCCTATTCTTGCTTTTATTTCAGGTCCAGAATCCTGACTAGCACTGTCTATCTATCATACAAGCCAAACAATCATAATTGACATAAAATACAAATAACGCTGAGGGAAGGGACTTTAACCCATTTCCATACCATACCCATACCCTAACCCCTGAGGATGATCGATCGCCCTTAAGACCCCAACTTGGGGTGATCATACCGGTTTTCTAATTCCTCATTGTGCTTCTTCACATCCTGCGGGACATCCCCCGTGGGGTTCCCCTCCTTGTCGACATATGGTGGATGGTCTTCCGCCAGGGCCGGGCGTGCCTTGTTCGACGGGGTGTCCGCCCGTGTGCCTTGGGTGACGGGGCCAGTGGTTTCGGTGTCTGGGGGAGGGGGCCCTAAGTACGAGACCCGGTTAGCTCAACACTCAACACTCAACATCCAACAACAATACATACCAGGATGCTCAATGTCTCGCGTAGGTTTGTTTTGTGGGTTGTTGGTCTTCTTGGGATCGGATTCGCCCTCGCCGCCGTAGGAGCTGTGGGCGTAGGGCCGCCGGGGTTGCGTGTAGAGGATGCGCCCGAGGAACCCGGGGCTGGTTCGCAGGGGGTATCGGTTACGGGCAATGGTGCTCATGATGTGCAGATGTAGTACAGATTCAAGTGTATGTCTGAGAAGATAATGAATTGCAATTCGAGTCAAGTCAAGGTATCCAAATAATAAAAGTCTATCGAAAAAGAGAGAGGAGAGGGCTGGCCGTGCTGTTATAAGCCGCATTCAGCCGTCGCCCCCGACGTTGCACATCGCAATGCCGATGACGTTGCCATCCGGTCATCTCCCTCTCTCTGCCCACCCCAAGACAAGTCCCCGGTTCTTAAGATTTACCGGTCCACTCACCACTCTCGCCCGGCGAAAGTAAGGGGTGCTGAGGAATTGAAGCCAGGAAGAAATTATATTCGGCTGATCCAGCCCTTCAAGCATTTAGATTCGGACAATATTGCCAGAACATGTCGAAATGCCACGAAACCAAAACTCCATCCCAATCGATGGCCTCCGCACGGAGATAAAAAAAAACATACACACACACACACACACACTAAAGGAAAAGTCCAGAAATGGGGCGGGCCCAGTGATGTTAAAGCGAAAGTCTCTTGTTGCCCGCTGTGTAGGGTGCCTGGCACCGTGTCCAATCCAAAAAAACGCCATCCCGACTGCCCTTCACAAAATAATGCCACAGTCAATAGTTAAGCCAGAAAATAAACCCAATCACAAGGACCAAAGCCACCCAAACTCATGGGTGAGTCAATACATAGAATGCACGCCGTACTCAGCAAACAGACCGGAAGCCTTCATACCCAGGGAAATAGACCAGTGGCCCGTGCAGGACCATTATTCGTATGCACGTGAGTCGAGAAAGAAATCGTTCCCACCACCTTCGTAAACGCCAACGCTGTGGTTGCCGGGATGCCACTTGAAAAAAAAGACGCTCTCGTTTTATCTGTAGAATCATTCGGGCGCATCAATCCGTCAGTGATACGCAGTAGCAGACGCTCTCGTACTGGGCCTTGGCCGTATACGTCTGCGACGTCCCGGTACCTTCCATCGTGGTCGTCGGCGTCGGTTGAACCTCCTTGATCTCGAGTGTTGTTTGCGAGATCGGGCCGATTTCGCCGTCATCCAAAACCTGCATCTGCTGGCAGTAGGGGTTGGTGGCTCCCGGGTGATCGCGTTTCTCTTCCATCTTGATCCGACGAGGGTAGTCCGGCAGAGAGCTGCTGCTTCTCTTGGAGGCCGAGTTCGAGCTCGAGCTCCCTTGCGTGGCCTGGGCAGTGGCTGTCACAATCGCGCTGCTGCTGCTGTACGCGGCTTCCTTGGTTGTTTCGTTCATGTACAAAAAGAACTCCATTACTGTGCTGTTCCACCAACAGAACCACGGCTTGTCCCCGGCCTGTGCCACCTGCTTGCGGCTGTACATGTTAGCCGCCACTTCGTCTGTGGTAACATAGTCGCGTTTCGACGACGCGCTCGACGGGAAACTATCCTGCGGTACAACGACCAGTTTGTCGTAGAGGGTAATAAAGGTCAACGCCGGCCCGAAACTGAGATCGTTGGAGTCCATCATCATGGACATGTTCTGCGTGGGGTTGGAAAACACCGGTTGCTGGGCACCATAGGTGAGTGACGAAGACGACGAGGAATAGGTATCCTCGAAAGTGATGTTGCTCTCGTCGTCAGTGCCTTGAACAAGAATTGGAATCTTGCCGGAATTGAGGCAGCCCCATGACGACCTGTAGTCCGAATCCGCCACGCAAAACTTCGACTGATTCTTGGGGGAAGCGGGGATCACGAATTGACCGGTAGGTAGAGTCAGTAGGTTGGTGGGAGTAGCCGTGACTGGCGTTGCGTCCATTCTTGGCGTTTCCGTCAAGGTGACAATACGCGGACCTTTTGGTTTGTTGTGCTCTTGCTCCGCCGCCTTCCTCGCCCCCAGGACACCGCCAATGATGCCCCCAATGCATCCTCCCACGAGCATAACAACTCCCACCAAAACCAGTGTCCACACCGGGAGCCCACAGCATGCCTTCTTCTTGCCTTTGCTCTTCAGCTTTTCTTCGAATGCCATAACCCCGGAGACAGGGGGCTCTTCCACCCCTCTGTCACCGGCTCCATTCGCGGTACTATCCATCACTAACGTATTGGAGGAAACCTCCGACATTGGTGGCCCAGCACGCTCATCGTGAACGGTTTCGTCCCGTGTAATGCCAGCATCATTGACGGTCGCAAAGGTGCCTTCCACCTTGGGAGCGGCGTTTGCGTTTTCGGGATAACGAGAGTAGGGGGAAGTTGTTCGGTGTGTCCATCTGGCCCGATAAGGTCGCCCACGTCATCATCCGCTCGACCAGGCGCTCGCTGGTAGGCTTGATTGAGCCCGGGAAAGCCAAGGGGTACCATCGAATTGTCGATCGGGGCATCAAGACCATCCTCCTCGTCCACCACGTTCTGCGTGTACATCGCGTATGGATGCTGTGGCGCACTTGTATCTTCCAGCGGTCGGTCGATTGGTCGTAGAGTCGATGTGGTCGCCACACTAGGAGAGCGACTGACACCGACCTGCGGATACATCGCGTACGGATGGCTGGGACCAGTGGCTCCTGTGTAAGGGCTCAGTGCCCGAAGAGGCAAAGAGAAACGCGAGGAGGCACTCTGGCTACGACTCGTGATGGAAGGGGCGGTGGACGCGATGGAGTTGCGATCGGTCAGATCCAGCCCCTTCGGAGGGAGGCTCGATCGGTGGGGGGTCTCATCGAATGAGACGCGGGCCTCATCCGCAAAGGGGTCTTCGAAATCCAGTTCGGCATCGGTGGGGGGAATGGTGTTGAATGCCTTCTGCTGTTGGCGTAGCGAGCCCCGGAGAGTGTTCGAGGAGGCACTGGAGGATACGGATGGACTTCGAGCGGTGACGGTGGAGTGTTCGGATTGGGAGTCGATGGGTTCTAGGGAGTATTCGTCGGAGAAGACATTAGGGTTGGAGGAGCGAGCAGACATTGAACGATGATGCATCGAATCGGTTTCGCTGGTAGACACGAAGCGTTGGGATGAGGGTCGCGAAGACTGCGAGAAGGAGCGAGAATGGTCGGATGATAGACGCCCAGACATGGCGTTGTAAAGCCCTGTCGGGCTACCTGTCTGATTCGGTCAATCTCTCAAGAGGATCGAGTCAGTCACCTGAGTCGACCGAGTACCGGGTGGACGGGAGAAACAGGAACGAGTGACCGGCGAAAGGAGAGAATGTTGGGGGTGGATAGTGGGCGGAGGGGGGGGGTGCAAAAGAATGATGGAAGGGTGACAGCCCAGAGGAGAGAGAAGAAGAAAGCGATGGGACGGGATGGAGGATGAGGAGGTGGTGGTGGAGTGGGTGGTGGTGATGGGTTGAATGAGAGGGAGGGATCGTTAGTGGAAGGAGGAGAAGGGAAGAAGGGGAGAGCGAGCGAGAGAGGGAAAGAGTAGCCGGCGGTGGTGAGGGAGTGACTGCGAGAGTGAGTGATGCGATGCTGCCTGAGGACGAAAGAAAGGGCCGCCCGGGAAGCGGCCGAAGACGGTTTAGCGCAGCAGAAAGTGGGAAACGAGCGAAAAAGTGGGTTACGGTTCGTTACCGGGTTGGCTTCGGTTCCATTGGGTTGCGCCCGGTAATGGTATCTCAGCATGGGCCTCACGAAGGAAGAATAATGGTCTTATTAGCTAGCTACTTGGTACTTAAAGAGCACATCTACATGGAACAATTTGGCCTACAATTAGAACCTCCTTATCAACCGCCTGGCTCCAGTTATTGCGTGGACGACTCCATATGGCCATCAACATCACAGCCGCCATGTTCTATTTGTGGTCTTTGACTGGTGCTGCGCCTCGCCACTAGAATCGTAGTACGACCCGTATTGCTAGTACGGCGTGGTCGAGATAGATAGATACGGGGTAGTCCTCCTTCTCTCCCCCATCTCGGCCTAGAACAATCATTCAAGACTGAAGATAGACCCAGTCCATGCGAGAAGGATCAAAAAAGATCAATCCATTCTGTTAGAGAGGAGATACTACTCCATCAGGTCCTCCCAGACCTCCTGATTTCTGAGTTGAATCGGGGGAAGTTGACAGCCCGAGGTACACCTTGCCCTACCAATCAATCCCAGGCCCTTCTCCTCCTCCCTACAAGGCAACGCTGGCCTGAAACACACCACACCACCCTATCGTCGTCAGAGGCGCCTGCAGGAGACGGCGACCGTCGGTTACCACCACGATACGACCTGGTAAGATACCCCGTACTATGTATGTATTATCTTCCTTTCCCCCCTCCCCCATCCCCCCCTGTTCCTTGGCACCTTTCCCAGCTCCTACAATTCTTACACGCTTCACCCATCGGTGGATATTCTCTGCTTCCTGCGCGCTTCTTTTTTCTTCCATCCTCTCCGTGATGACACTAGTCGTGACCAGTAAACGTCCCCTCCCTAAGTTCCCCCCCTCAACTTCCCCCCACCCCAATCAGATGCCAGAAAGGCTAACCCAAGTCAAGACATGGATTGGCAGTGGCTCACAGACCAGTTTGCCCCGATCGGGTAAGAATCGCCTCCGATTCGGACAACCTCCATCAAGGATGGGCTTGATGGAGGCGAAAAAGGGAAACGGCCCAACCAGACTAGCGACCGCTAGACAGATACTGGGGAGGGGTCTCGATAATCCGCCGTAAACCCATACCCAGTCCCCGCCCGAGTCTGAAGAAGGGATCGTGAAGCGCCTGTCCGGTGGAACCCGGCCGACTAGGTGAGGTAGTGCCTGGCGCGGAAAACTCTATCTATCTGGCCGAATCCGGCATTGCGGGCGCGAACCCTTGATATGGATGCGTGCAAACTGCGATCGCCCCCCGCGTTGCATCATGCGAGGGCGGAGTTGACGTATACCAGATGGTTTCTTGGCCCATTGGAATGGAGAGGCGTTTTGTGCTACCGCTTTCATTCTACGACGATGCTTACTGATCGGATCTGATTGCAATGCCTTGGCCATGGCTTGTTTACTACCTCGGTCGGTCGACTAGCTCGCTACCATGAACGACGCCTTATCGGATGATGGCGGTCTGGGCGGGTAACGACCCAGGGCACTCTAGCCAGGAACCATCTGGACAACAAACATTTTACTTGATAGGAACAATCGGGCAGCTTACATCACACGGGCTGCATGGGGTCTGAAAGGTGACGATTCTTATTCTGTGGAGAATTACTACTCTATGGACGCGGAACACATGCCGACTTGACGTACAGAAGGAAACAGGAAGAGAAAGATGAACTATCCGCAAAAACTCTACACTTCAACTTAGAGGCCTTTTTTTCGAGCCTTTTCCTTACGCGATTCCAACATATAGTATATATCTTCTCTTCCCGAGGCTGCTTTCCATTTGCAGAACGGTTTCCCTCGATTATGGCGCCTTAGATCATGCATAAAAACATATTGCAAGTTCGTGCACTGGTCCTGAATGTGTTGGAGGACATCGATCCAGCTTCCACTCAGTAGGGTTAGTGAGGTAAGAGATAAAGTGAGCAAAGTGTCGCTAAATCTAGTCAGCCAACTTTTTAGATCCTTTGACTCAATGAACAGGAATGAGAGTTCAAGAGTCTCGATCCCAGTGGCCTTTGTCGCGGTCGAGCTGGCTGTCCGAAAGATCCTGGAAAGGCCTCCCCAAGAATCGTCCGACCCCGTGAGACTGAGATGTCGAAGTCCCGGGGCGTGCTCAAGTATGTGAGAAACTGCAGTCCCTTTTGACAGGTCGCTAGGCAATGCTTCGGTGACCTTGAGGGCTTTCAAGTTCATCCACATATCAGCAAAGTCAATAGACGACGGCATTGAATGCTCGTGCGGGGCTCTGTTGGCCACCCTGCTGTCCAGAGTAAGCGCTTCCACCACTGCCGAAGAATCGGCAAAGGCCGCATACACCACATCATCAATGTATAAGACCTTGTTCTGCATACGCAAATCATCTTTGATCAAGGTAACATGAAATTCCTTGCAATTGACGAACAGCCCCATGTCGCGTCGCAGGGACTGCATTTCAGGACGCCTGTGCAGAGCCTCCTGATCGTACGCGAGGGACCCCTGGTATATTCTACGTGCAGTCAAGTCCCCGACATACGTTGCCTCTATATGCATGGATCTGGGCAAACTTTGGGTGGCCGCATTATTGGCCAGGTAGCAAATGCCAGCGATATCCTCGGCTGTCAGTTTGGTGTAAAGCTCCTTCAATACGACCTCTCTAAAAATTGGCTGTGTACTCCTGTATATTGTTCTGGAGACAGCTCGCAGTTTCTCAAGATCTCTTGGTTCAAGGTATCGAACGATCATATGGAAAACGTCCGGGGGGATGTTGTCCAGGTTTGGGAGCAATTTACCTGTTGCGAGTAATATGTCGTCTGCCGGATTTGTGTCAACCTCAGAATGCGTGCCATCCTCTGAAGATGTTCCATCCTCGGAAGGTGTGGCATCGTCCGAAGATGTGGCATCGTCCGAAGAATTTACATCCTCCGAAGACAGTTCACCCATAAAGATCCAATCGAGGCTTATCGAATCGTCCATGGTGAGTGTAGAGTGTAAAAGCAAAAGTGAGACACGGCCTGACAAGAACCCCCAGCTTCGGGCTCTTTACTGTTTAAATAATTCCATTTCTCTACTCTGACAGAGAGATCTTCCGCAACATACAGCTCTTTCTGAGAAAGAAAACTGGCAAATCCCATAAACATCGACATGAAGACAGAAGATATCATGTATTAACTCGGTCAAGCTCCGGGCACAAGCAGGCATGCTCCTTAGCCCCTTCGGTATTTTTCCACTGCGAGTCCAAGGCAGACAAGGGAGAAATCGGGTACTCTTCTTCTTTGTTCAAGGTCCTCGAACAGCCCGAGTCCCATTGTTGACTGCTCGATGCCCTTTTTCTTCTTGGCTTAGTCAGCGAGATCTTCTTGGTTAACCACAGGCCAGAGCAATCCCACCAACCTGATCAGCTACTACTACCACTCGGTCCAGATGACTAGAACCAGAAAAGGCTCTTTCCAATGCAGTCCAGAGTCCAGACCAGGAACTGTCAACCCACCACGACGGGATTGTAGACGAGACATGCAACGGGACGGTGGATCGAGGGGTGTGGAGCCTCGGCCTTTGCTGGCTGTCCATCCACCAGTCAGACTGCAATGCGGAAAAGATCAATGGCCATCCACTATCATCCACCATCAGTATCCAAACAAGACGATCAGACGGAAAGGACCCAAAAGGCCACGCGAGTCCCCCCCCCCCCCCCCCCTTTTCACGATTCACAACCCAACCCGGGGGTCTAAATTGCTCTAACTGTGTGAGTCGGTGAGAACTCGAGAACAGAGAAAAAGATCCACCGGCATGCATCACCGCTATTGGCGGTCATGCTGGCTCTCCGTCCGTGTACCCTGGACGAGCTGTGGGGGGAGGGGGAGAGACTCTGCGAAACGAAACTCGGTCAACCAGTCAATTTGTACTAACCCTGCCCAGTGCCCACAGTACTGCTGTTGCAGTGTGTACTGTGTAGGGTGTAAGTACAGTACTCTGGTAGGCTGAGTGGTAAGGTAGCTCTCTCGACGCTCCCAAACAGGTTCGTCACCACCTCGCCAGTCGCGACCCATCTAGATGGATATCTACAAGGCCGCGAACTAGTCCTTGTGACATCAGTCCCTGGTTCGGAGTTTCAGAACCAACTCCCCCCCTTCCCCGTCCCAGGAACTGGTCTGGCCTGGGCTTATACTCGTAATTCGACTCAGGCGTGGACCTGGACCTGGACGTCTGCGATGGACCCGGAAAGCTCTATTTCTCGGGGTTTGCACCCTGCCTGCGGGTTCTTTGTTGACGTTACAGTGGGACCAGTGAAACATACACAGCATCGTATCGACGAGCTTTCCTCTCCCTCTGGGTGATTGTTGCGTTGCTCTGGCGTTGGTCGAAGCGGATGTCAGTACCTTCTTCTTCTTTTCTGGTCCAATTCGCTCTATGTTATACTAACGACTTCCCCCTTCTCCCTTTCAGAAAACTATCCTTCGTATTAATAAGCTGTATAATTAATTAATTTATGATGAACTAAGCTTGCAAATACTTCTTAGTCGAATATCGAAGATATCTTACTCAATATGTATATATATATATATATATATTATCATGATATATCTTGACTTCAGGGTTGAAGAACGGGCAGATAGCAGGTAACAGATAGTAGCAGATAATACTAGTCTGATAAAACAGGCCAAAATAATTATCTATATTTATCATTCTAGTATATAGTATACCCGCTGCCTTCAACTGCCAGACATGTCTTTTGAAAATAATTAAACACTAGTCCATTTTGTCCTGAGGACCTGGATGACGATGATTATTAGAGGCAGCTATCTATCTATCTATCCATCCATCCATCTAGTTTACTCCGTACCGAACCGATTATATAGTGATTGGTATCAGATATCAAGTCACTTTCCCCTTTCCGCTTCTACTTATTCAGCGTCCCGGAGCGCGGGGGGGGGGGTGAGTATAAAAGCATACTTATGTTCCAAGGGTACTCCGTATATCACCAGGAGAATGATGGAGCCCCTCCCTCCCCATTGACTGACCCCCTAAACTAACTATCAGTCTTAGATATCAGCCCCTGGCCCGGGCGCCTCCAGGACCCTACCGACGATGACCCAACAGTACGCCGAGACGAGGGTGATCTGCACGGCGATGGCGGCGAGCGGCAGCCAGAAGGTGAGGGCGGCGAAGAGCACACACATATATATATATAAACAAGGCCCCTTCACCGCTTGGGATTGATCGCCAAATTCATGTGATGCGGCAAGGAACCCTATAGATGGTGGTACAAGGATGACATCGTACCAGGTATATAGCCCAATCCGGGGGGGGGGGAGGGGGGAATGGTGTATATGCAATATGACGAAGTATACCCCGGATGTCGCAGAGACATATTTTCCCTGTCGATAAGCATCATCATGATGATGGAATAAGCAGTGGGCCAAGGACTGTAAGGCAGAGAGAGATGCAAGTTATAAAAGACGCTATGCAACGGAGAGGAGTGAGTTCAAGACGATCATCGAAGGTTTACTAGACTTTGCTCCACAATCTGTTATAAGCATACCTACCTACAGAGGGGCCTTACAAGTCATCATGTCTGATATCCACCACAATCCCGACCTTTCGGTCATCATCATCGGGGGTGGTTTCTCGGGGCTCGTCAGCGCTTGTCAGCTCCAAATCAAGTTCGGACTCCAGGACTACTGTATCTACGATCGTCAGGATGGGCTGGGTGGAACCTGGAGAGCCAATACATGTAAGTGATGATTTTGTTCCCCCCCAGCTATCAAAGATCACCTTTAGAGGGGGGGGGTTGAAAAAGTTTGAGAAACAATGACAATAACCCCTTGCTCATGCCATCTAGACCCAGGTTGCGCCATTGATATCCCGGGGACAGCTTACAGCCTGTCATTTGCACCCAACCCCGGCTTTAGCGAGTGGTTCCCCTCCCAGAAGGAGATTCTGGCCTACATGGAAGACGTGGCGGCGAGATTTGACGTCAAGCGGCGCTTTGTCGGACAGGTCGAGTGGCAGGGCGCGCGATGGCAAGAAGCCATGAAGGTGTGGGAAGTGCAGATGAAGGACCTGCGGACTGGCGTGCAATTCAAGCGGTCCTGTCGGGTTCTCCTCTCGGCCGTCGGGGCCTTGACCAACCCTCGCGAGCTCTCCGTGCCGGGCCTCAAGTGCTTTGCGGGAGACGTCATGCACACGGCCAAGTGGGACAGCCGGGTCCAGTGGGAGGGGAAGAATGTGGTCGTTATCGGCAATGGAGGTGTGTGAAGCTGCAGCTGGTCCCTGCGATGGCATTGCAGGCCCGGTCCATCACACAGCTTATGAGGGTACGTTCGCACAGTCGACCCTGTTGCGTGCATGTCTGAACCTGTAAGCTGACCAAATCACCGGTCATCATCAGACTCCCCACCCCGTGGTGCCCGGGTGGAATTGCAGCATCTCCTCCGGGTGATTCCCGGGTTTTTGCTCCTGCTGCGCCTGTTCCTGCTGACCTATATGGAGTCGTCATTCGCGCTGCTCAGCACTGGTCAGCGCGCGATGTCCAAAAGAGCGGGCCTGGCTGCATCGAGCGTCGACCATATCCAGAAAACGGCGCTTCCCCCTTACCTTCTTGCTGATCACAGTGACAGCATGATCTAGCCACGTACTGGAACATGCTGATACACAAGTACGAATTCGGCTGCAAGGTAAGAAAAAGAGTCGTTCTGTCCGTGTATATACGATGCCCATCATGTCCTCACGAAGATGGGTCGGAGAATTCCTGCGGATGGTATTGTAAGATAACCCCACCCTTGCGAGAAGTGCTCCTCACTAGCACATCACCACATATCTCCATGGGTAAGTTGCTCCCAGGCCTATGCCTCTGTTAACTGTCCCATGTAGGTACGCTTGCTCGACGGATGCATATGATCTATAGATGCGACGAAGATGGATTTCTCATCAAGTTGATGCAGTTTTCTTTCTGAAAGAAGAAGCAGATCTATAAGTGTCCCTGTGTTAGTAATAGCTAGTGAGGTAAGATTTAGAAGAGGAGCACGGCTCAGGTGGTTGGGCAGTGAGATTCTTGTTGACAGGCAAGAAGTAACTAACTAAACGGAGACTCCGTACTTAGTAAGTGAAAGCTGCCTGCCTCAGGCCGCCGCCCATCTCCGCCTCCGCCGCTCCCCCCCAAGAAGTCCGAACCCAAGTTCCAAACAGAATCCCTCCTCCGTCATACTCCCCAGCCAAAAGACCTGCCGCCACTGGGGCTTGGTCGCCATGTCGGACGATTCAAATCCCAAACCATCCCCTGGAATAGCAGCGAAGCTGTCTGCAATCCCCAAGAAGTCGCTCTTTGAACGCCAGAAAGCCGAAGCCGAAGCCAAACGTGCCCGAGAACAAGCCGAGACTGCCGCCGTTTACGAGGACTTTGTCAAATCATTCGAGGATGACTCTCACGCCGACCGACATGGTGTTGACGGAAGGCTCAGCAGGCTTCCCCCTTCCAGGAACCAGCCTTTGGGGGGTCCTGGCAAACGGCATTTCACAAGCTCTGGCCCGCGCATGAGCGGCCCTGGCACGCTGGGACCCCCGTCATCGCTTTCTCGGAAACGCACCCACGAAGGATTCCAGCAACTGCACCGGCCCCGGGATACCGCGCAAGGGAAGACGGGATTTGAGAATATTGCGCCCGCTTCGTCGGCCGCCGCATCGGCTTTCCGAGCTTCGGACGACGAGGGCGAGGCGACTAGCGATGCGAAAGAGGCCGAAAGAGCTGCGGCTAAACCTACATTGTACCTGGCGTCTCTGCCCCCCGGGACCTCCCCCTCCGTGCTCAAGTCGTTGATCCCGTCGGTGTTGAGCGTCGATAATGTCAGGGTCCTTCGTCCTCCGGGTCAATCTATAAGCGACCGAAAATCAGTGGCTGCCATTGTGACGTTAGCAAACGAATCAGCCGCTTCGGACATTGATAGCGCCGTCAGCGCTCTCCAGAATAGATATCTAGGATGGGGCTACTACCTTACTATCTCGAGACACCTTTCTTCCGCCGCTATGAGTTCGGCGATGCCGGTAACTATCGGCCTGTCTACGACCAGCTCCCTGCCCTTCGGCGCCAAGCCTATTGCATCAGATATTCCCGGACGTTTGAATCGAGCCCCACCCCCGGGGATGCACCGTGGAGGATTCGCGCCCCCGACATCGTATGGGCCAGCATACGGGAGGACCGGGCCTTCCACGCAGGTCGAGGTGAAGGCGCCGTCGGACTTGAAGCAGCTGAAGCTCATACATATGACATTGGAAAATCTCTTGCACCACGGCCCAGAATTTGAGGCGCTACTCATGAGTAGACCGGAGGTCCAAAGAGAAGAAAAATGGGCATGGATATGGAATGCAAGAAGTTCTAGTGGGGTGTATTACAGGTGGAAACTATGGGAAATCTTGACCAACAATCGTCCTGTGGCAGCTCGACGAGGGGCCCCTCAGAGCTTGTCGGTCCTTTTCGAGGGTGGTGCGAACTGGGTGCCCCCTGAAGCGCACATCAAGTTTGAATACACTACCCGCATGGATGAATTTGTAACGGACCAAGACTACGACTCCTCTGACGAAGAGATGTCCGACTATGAGGATGAAAGGCGACACGCGGGTGGAGCGCCGCCAGCCGATGGGCTAGGCGCCAATAACGAAGGCCTGGGCTACATGAATCCTTTGCAGAAAGCCAAGTTGACACACCTGCTTGCGCGACTTCCAACTACACATGCCAAGTTACGGAAAGGCGACGTCGCGCGGATCACTGCTTTCGCGATCGAGCACGCGGGTGCAGGGGCCGAGGAAACCGTGGAAATGATTGTGTCGAACATCCTCAACCCATATGCCTACACCGGGGCCAATCCTGACCGCGATGCGGTAAGAGGACTTACAAGCCGCGAGCAAACAGGAGACCTCGCCAATGACGCCACTGAGTTGTCGAAAGAAAGTTTAGATACGTCCTCCGCCAAGTTGGTTGGACTTTACCTGATATCTGACATTCTCTCCTCATCTGCTACGAGCGGCGTGCGCCATGCGTGGCGTTACCGGCAACTGTTCGAATCCTCCTTGAAGATGAACCAAGTGTTCGAGCATCTCGGGAGGCTCGAAAAAACCTTGGGGTGGGGACGGCTCAAGGCAGAGAAATGGAAACGCAGCGTTGGCACCCTTCTGCACCTGTGGGAGGGCTGGTGCGTGTTCCCGCAGTCAAGCCAGGAACACTTCTTCCAGATCTTCGAGAAGCCACCGCTCACGGAAGAAGAGCTACAGGAGGAGAGGGAGAAGGCCGAGGCCGAGCGAGCCGCCAGTGCGTTCTCCAAGAACAAAAGCCGGTGGAAGACGGTCGACGAAGATGAAAATGCTGGAAAGTTCGATCCCAGTCGAGCCCCGGAAACAGATCCGAATCGGATGGACATTGACCAAGAGCCTGTTGCCCCTCTCGCCCCCGGGGAGGCTTGGAATTTCGATGGGGACTTCATGGACAATATCGACGGGGAATCGATGGAGGACAGTAGTGACTTGGAAGAACCGGACGACGATCTGCTGGATGAGGAGCCCTTCGAGGAAGAAGGCGACCCGAAAGAGCAGCCTGAGAAACCCACCGAGCCCTCCGTTCAGCCGGAGTCCCAAGCGTCAGCGCGCAAACCACGACCCAAGGCAGAAGACATGTTTGCTGACTCCGACCCCGAGTGAGGCATGAATGATGATGATAGGCGATGACGGCGCATGATCTGGCTATGTAATCCGAGTAATGATGTCTGGTTTGATGCCAGGTTCGTACAGTTAGGATCTACCAATTCCGAATAGTTATATCAACCCAAGGCTTCACATCCCTGAAGAGTCAGGCACCCACTTAGCGGCGCCCGGCTGGGCTGGCTGCCTTAAGCCTTAAGGCACCAATCGACCGCCCGGAAGCCCCACAATTCCCCTCGCGACGGAAATACTTTTGATGTTGATGTCAACCTCAACTCTTCCTTTCCTGCTCATCCCACCCCCGCTGCCTGATCTTCCCTCGATATCCTCTTCTCCGTCTCGGAATCCCCACCACCGTCAAAATGGCCGGTAAGTGCCCTCTTGCGCGCCTATTCCCACTGACGCGACCCCCTGTTCATCCCATTTGCGATGTTTTTGCTGCCCCTCCATGAGGCTCTTGGCCCCTCCCTCCCTCTGCGGCAAACACGGCCAGCCTACACCTACAATTGGCACGACCCAAGCTAACACGATCTTTGCTCTCTCCCAGACTTCCAAAGCATTGCTCGTACGTGATGAGACTTCATATCCTTCGATTTCCTCCCCGCCGATCCGTACCACGAGGGGAAGGGAACGGATAGCCCTCATGCGCAGTCGCATCCAACCCCCCCCCCCCCCTTAACGGCTAATGGCAGCCGACCCTGAAATCCCAAATCCAATCAGTCTAACACATGTCCCCCCCCACAGAGCAGTTCGTGCAGTTCTACTACAACACCTTCGACACCAACCGTGAAACCCTGGCTGGTCTCTACGTACGCCAACCCTCCCCTCCCCGCCTCCGGCGACCAAACACTACCACAATCACTAACGCATACCTTACAACCCACAGCGCAATGAGTCCATGCTGACTTTCGAGACCTCCTCGATGATGGGTGTCCAGCCCATCATGGAGAAGCTGCTGGTGAGTATCTATCCCCTCCCCCTCCCCCTCCCCCGCGCCACCCGTCCTGTTTCACTAATAGATATGACACAACGCAGGGCCTTTCCTTCCAGAAGGTCCGCCACGAGATCGCCACTCTCGATGCCCAGCCCTCCGTCAACAGCAGCATCATCGTCATGGTCACCGGTGCTCTTCTGGTATGCTCTCTCTCTATCTCTCTCCATCCCATCCACACGATAGATAACGTCTATCGCCGCGCTTTCCGGGAGAAATCGGGACTAATACATCTATCTACCTCTCTTTTCTTTCTGCAGGTCGACGAGGAGGCCAGACCCATGAACTACACCCAGACTTTCACCCTTAGCCCCGATGGCTCTGGAAGCTACTTCGTCTACAACGACATCTTCCGTCTGATTATGGGTTAAATGCGATAACACGCAGAATGATGGACCAATGGGGCGTACGCACGCACGCACGAATGGACAAGGCTCGACCCGGTGGCATGCTATAGTAGGCAGATCATGAAATGAAGATAATGAATTAAAGAGCGGTCACCCCGTTTGGCTGTTGTCGTTCGACCTTTTTTTTTTTTTTTTTTTTTTTTTTTTACACCCTGCTGCTGCTGTGGGTGTGGGATCCTGCTTCTTCTTACTCTTCTTCTCCCTCCTGCTTGCTTGCTTCCTTTGCTCAATACATCTGCGCTGCGCCAACATAGTTGATTTTAATCTTCTGTGAGTGTGTTTTTAGTTATGTTTTCGGTTTAGAGAAATACCACTTTTTTTTTTCTTTTTCTTGTTTACTCTTGGTGGTTGGGTGGGGGGGGCTACAATTACGAGAAGTAGGAGTGTCTAGATGTCTGTCTGTCTGTCTTGAGTAGAGTAGCTGCGCCAGCAGCACTTGCACTTGATACGCTCTATACACCGTTTAGCCAGCTAGTACTTACTCCATATATGATCTAGATATACATGGCGCTGAGAACAGGGACAATCGCAGCAGGATGGTTTCTTTTTAGGCAGGCAGAGGCAATGCATGCAATTCATCTCTTATCGGTCCGACCCGCACGGGGGTCGGGACGATCTAGCAATATCAAAATGGCAGGAACCCGAGTGTCGCGGCATCACTGGTCGCGGAGCAGCGGGGTTTCTTCGGAGGGTTGATCCTGATCAAACTCCTCCTGTCGGACATTGTCTTCAGCAGCAGGGGGGGCTGGGATTGCGTCCTTGTCGTGTTCATCATGGCTGTGGCCTCTGGTGGGGCCCACGAACTCAAAGAAGATGCCCAGGGCAAGGAGCGTGCCTTGTAGAAATGCAGTCACGATCAAGACGCCCCAGGTGCTCCAGCCCTCGAGACCCATTCTGGCTGCTAGGCTGCCGGCCCACACGAGACTGCCGGGCGTCTGGATGCACATCATCGGGATACTTAGGCTTCCCACGCAGCGCAGTCGGAGGGTGGTGTAGATCTGGGGGAAGTATTGGATCGAAGCGAGGATGGCGGCCAGGACGCCACAGAAGTTGGACCATGCTTGGAGGGACGATGCGCGTGTGTAGCCGACCGCGAGGGTGGTGATCAGCATGACCAGCGCGTGGATGATGCAGATACCGGCCACGATCAGGGCGCTTCGATATGTCGGGCTGTTCTTGGGGAGATGGGAGGTGTTTCGGGGGAAGAATAGCACGAAGAGGAAAAGGCTGGTTTGGGGAGAATGGTTTAGTTCCGTTCCGTTTTGTAGTATGGCAGGGCAGGGCAGGGCAGGGCAGATGACCTACATTATGAAGAAACAGAGGCATTGTGTTCCGACTTGAAGTATCCCTAGCACGCCGGCAAAACAGCTTGTGCCGTCGACATGCTTGCAACATGCCATATCCTGGAGACTTTGTTGTTGCGAGATTACATTCGCCAGAGCGGACGAGCCGGACGTTGTCCCCAGCAGGACGAAGTACGGTGAGATCCCGAAGGAACTCTTCATCCTTGTGATGCGGACATGCTGGGGGAGGTACGAAAGGAGGATCCCAAACACAATGAGGCTGTTGTTAAGGTTAGCCCTGGTGTTGCAGGGACAGGGGATCAGGAAGCATGTAGATCACATACATCGAAAGAACGAAGTTCTTATAGTCGGGCGAGACTAGATGCTCGCATTGCAGGTCCAAGGAATCCATGTCGAGAAGGAGAAGGGGAAGGGGGGGTAGTAGGGGCGCGTATATATCGAGGACTTTCTTCTATCACCACGGCAGAGACGCTGTTCCAGACAGACAAACAAGCACAGTTCAATTCTTCAGCAGCCGGGTCGTCGAGCACAGCTGGACTTCTTCTAAAGCCCGGGGCATAGGGGGCCGGACGTGTATTCGGTTAAGGGAAAGGCGGAAGAGGCCGGACAGAGGACCGAATTATTGGATTCTAAAACAACATTCTCATACCAACACACGGGCGCGTTGATTGGGTGCTGGGGGGGGGGGGGGCAGGTGGATTGGGGGATGACTTGTCACAGCTGGATTGCTCGAAGAGGAGAACGATGATGATGATGAGGAGGAGAAGAGATGCCTCCTTATCGCGTTGTTGGCCGTCTCCGCATTTCCCAATCGGGAATGGCGGCTCCGATCGCCCCAAGGCAGTTAGCGGCTGATCATGTGTCGTTGTGGTGCCTTGCAGCCTTGGGCTTCTGGCTATCTTTTAGTCTACTTTGTACTTGGAGTCTTTTGACTACTACAACCACTACAACTACTATGGAATGGACGAACGACCTTTCGTGGTCACACCCGGGGCGGTGGAACAAAGGACTGGCTGTCGACCATTTGTCTCGCAGGGAACCTTGCCCAACGCAGCGATGAAAGACCATGGGAGACCATGGGCCGTCAATCATCGATGACGCCAGAGCTGGCGACCGACAGCTTCCCCCCCCCCCAATACGTCACTCGACGCTCATCCCGCCGCCGCTCCTTGTTTCTCACTACAGCCCATTCTCTACTGCTACCAATAAATATCTTCATCGCGAGAAGGGTCGTTCTTCTGGCTCTCTTCTTTCCCCTACGGATTTACCTCCTTCCACAGTCAACGATTGTGAGTCGCGACTGCTTCCTGTTGACGCCGCTCGACGCGGGATCTAGAGCTAGAAGAGCTAACAACGGCACCAGAAGTACCCCATCGAACTCCCGATATAGGCTCTACGAAACCCCATCATGAAGCTGCATCTGGCTTTCTGGCTGGTCTTCGGGCTTGCAACTGCTGAAGCGGTTGGCGCGTCCAACTGGTTCAGTAAAGCTGGTATGTCTCCATTGCTTCACTTGTCCTTGATATATCCCAATCTTCATGGAGAGGCACTCCTCGCTAACGCGTCTCTTTTAGTTTACAATAAGTGGCACGAAACTGAATTAGAACGCTGGCTATCCGATCATGGTACGACTCCCTTACAATGACGGTATTCTCGCGTTGAACGACGTTGACAATTATTTGTACAGACATCCCATACCCATCACCTGCCGATCGCAAGGATCTGGAAACCCTCGTCAAGTCCAATTGGGAATCCAAAGTGCAGAAGCCTTTGGGACATGCCGCAGAACAATCTACTGACCACTGGCATAATGCTAAGGAATGGCTCTTTGATACGTGAGTGCTTAAGGCCTACGGGTAGTCGCATGCGAACAAGCTAACCATGTCGAATAGCTGGTCCGACTCTCAGTTGAAGGCCTTCCTTGACCGCCATGGCGTCCCTGCTCCCCAGCCCCGCAAACGTGATGTTCTCCTGAAGACTGCTCGTGAGAACTACGAGAGTATCGCGAGGAAGCTTGGAGAGGCCGTCTCTTACCCCGGTAACTGGGTCTATGAGCAATGGACTGAGTCTGACATGAAGGAATGGCTGGATGAGCGTGGCTGGCCGGTTCCTCAGCCTAGCACCCGCGACAAGCTTATCGCGTCAGTGCGTCGTAATGCTCGTTTGGCTAGTCTGCATGCGAAGAGCATCGCTGCCTCCGCTTCCGCCTCTGCGGAGGCCGCGCAGGCTACCTTGAGTGAAGCTCTATTCAACGCTTGGTCTGATTCAGACTTGAAGAAGTTCCTCGATGAACACGGCGTCAAGGTGCCGCAGGGATCCCGCCGCAACGAACTCGTCGCTCTGGCAAGGAAGCATCGCGCATCTCTCGTCAGCCAGGCATCCGTCGTTTCCGAAACGCTCTCTTCCACCGCGACCGAGTTTATTGGTGCCGCCACCTCTAAGGCTGGCAACGAGTTTGCCCAGGCCACCGACAACGCACAACTCAAGGCTCAGGAATCTTTTGATGGCGTGATCGAGAGCTGGTCTGACTCGCGCCTCAAGGCGTTCCTCGATGCGCGGGGTGTTCCTGTGCCGCAGAGCAACAAGCGCGATGAGCTCCTCGCCAAGGTCAGACTCCACAGCCACAAGGCGGCCACCGGCTGGAGTGCATGGACCTTTGATACCTGGGATACCGAGCACCTGAAGTAAGGAACCCACCGATTTTGGCGTGTTGACCGTTGTTGTCTAACGTGATACTACCAGGAAATATCTGTCGTCGATGAACGCCAAGGCGTCCCACCGCACTGACATCACCCGGGACGAGCTGGTAAAGCACGCTCAGGACAGCTACGCTAAGGCCTCCAAGACCGGAGGGGCGAATCTGGCATCAGCTACGTCATACATGGCGCAAGCCACCGACACGGCCAAGGATTCCATCTTCGACACCTGGACCCATTCGGACCTCAAGTCGTACCTTGACTCCTATGGCATCCCGGTTTACCAGGGCTCCAGCATCAACGAACTCCGGGCCGCGGCGCGTCGCAACTCGCAGTACTTCCGGTACGGCACCTCGAGCCCCCAGGGAGCCATCTATGCGAAGTTCCAGGAGGTCAGCCAGTGGGTCCTGAACCAGCTCAAGATCGGCGCGTCGAGCGGCCGAGCTCAGGGCCAGGAAGCCGCCGAGAAGGCGAAGGCCAAGGGGTCCGAGGCGGCGGAGAGCTTGCGGGTCGAATTGTAAATGAATGATATTGGACTTGTTTCATGCTCAGGTTTTCGGGGTGGGTTTGGGCGTTTTGTGGGTGAGAAACGAAACGACTTTATGATATCACATAATAGCTGCGTCGCAGTTTGATGACATGGTCTATGCTTTCCGATCTTTAATATGGTATGGAAGGGAAGGGTAGGAAAAGTTGCGAGGCTGGATCTGGGTTTTAGCTTTGACGAATCGAATGTCTTAGTGGTTCTGATAGGTCTCACGCCCGGTTACTGCTTAAGTTAATTAAATTGCGTTCACTACTCCGCAACTAAGTCAATCCGTCAAGGTATAGATAACCCGTTATACTCGAACCACCTACTACAGCGATCTTGAAAACCCGAAATATCATATTCACCAACCGAGTGCTGTCCCTTGCCCGGACATCACCCGCGAACGCTTTTAGAACGGTCATTGCTAAGAAATACACCCCCGTCACTAGTAGGTATCCTCACCCCTCAAAACCGATCCCACTCCGCATCATCATCCTCTCCGGTCGCTGACCATCCAATCAACCAACCACACAGGCAAAAAAAAAATAGAAAAAAGCATAATCCCAACTTAAGCCTCCTCCTCACCCTCAGCGACCAACTTCCCCACGACCAGATACTTCTCCGAGAAGCGCTCCTCCCACGACTGCAGATTCTCCAGCTGCTCGCCATCCAGATCCTTCAGGTCATCCAACGGACCCTTCAGATCCTGGGTGAGCATCTCCTCGTCGAAGCTCTGGCAGGCCAGACCGCGCGATGCGTCCCGGCCGGCGAAGTTCTCGTACGGTCCGCCCTGGAATAGGACCGTAGGTTAGATGAGGTGTATGTGTATACAATGAGGGAAGAGACATACCGGTCCATAGAAATTCCTCCCCGGGGTGACATCGAAGACCCGGCCGCGCACAGCCAGGTAGACGGGCTGGTCGTCGGTGCCGTTGTACGGGAGGAGGGTGGTCGGGGTGAAGGTGCGGAAGATCACCGGGGGAGGGCCCTTGGGGAGGGAGACGGGGGCCTTCGGACGGAGCTGGTAGTAGACCAGGACCACGAAGAGAGAGAGCAGGATTAGGTTGATTGGGGAGGCGATTGTCATGCTGTGGTGGGGGCAGGGTTAGTGGGCGTGCTTTGCTTTGCTTTGCTTTGCTTTGCTTCTCTTGGATAGGTTTATGTGTTGAGCAGGTAAGAGATAGGTGAGACGGAGTGACTGACACTTCGGCGGGCGGCGGGACCGCTTGTTCTGTGTGGGGGGGTGGGTGGTTAGTTTGCTCAGCTATTTAAAGGGGGGTTCGGTGGGGTGAATGCGTACCTGGGGATGACATGATAGCTGATGGGCGTCTGGAGAGAGAGGGGGGGGTGTGTGTGTTTGGTTGAGTGGAAGTTGATGGATGAATTAAGATGATGACAAGGCCCGGAATCGCGATTATGACGACGTTGAAGACCGCGGCCAATCACGTGGTGGGGATTCGGTGCGGAGACGGGGCCGATACGGTACCGTACCATGTCTGGTATCTATCTGCACGTGATGCTGTGAATGCCTGGCGGGTCAGGCATGGGTCAGGCATTGTTGACATTCGGAGTAGTCGGAGGATAAAGACAGAAAGAAGTGTGTCTGGCTGGAGTGCTAGACAGGCATGTTGCATCAGGCTCCTCCGCTCCTCCGACATCCTCCGTAGTAATCATGCAACTTGCTCGTGTGAGACAAGATCGATAATTCAGACCTGCCTTGAAGATGGGCTCCGACAGCTCTCGACCATGGACTCGGTTGCAATTAGAATGAAGGACCGACATCGACCAACCGAATCATTCTGAAACAGACCCCAGCCTGTCACTTGCTCCCCTGGTTATTATTATTATTAACTATCCTATCCGCTGTCTCCTCCTTCTCCAAAGTCCACTTTCTTCTCTCTTTCTCTCCTCTCCGCCTCCAAAGCAGACAAACCGGTTTGTTTGCATCCGTCGCTGCGAGGAGGGGCACTCCCTGGTTGGCTGTGTTCTGGATTCTTTGTTCTTTATCCTTCTGCTGTTCACTGACTTCTCTCTCTCTCTCTCTCTCTCTCTCTCTCTCTCTCTCTCTCTCTCTCTCTCTCTCTCTCTCTCACTTCCTCTCCTTCTTCTCCATCCCGCGCGCCGCGTTCTTTCATTGTCCTTCTTTCTATCTATCATCCTTACCAGCGCTGCTTTGAATCGGTCTTCCTCCCTTCAACTTCCACCTGCATTATCACTCGGGTTTTCCCTCCATCACCATATTTCATGATCTAGCTGCGCTTGATTGATCTTCTCTTTCTCTTTCTCTTTCTTTTCTTTTCTTTTCTTTTCCTTATTTAAACAGCGTGCGGGCATGTCTGCTGCATGAAACCCCACTTGCACCAATTTACTTTTTTCTATGTTGATCATCGACAAGCAATCCATTCCTTTCTAGAACACCTTGAACTTGAAGAAGGTATGTGCTGGAATTGGCCACATACCAGGCCGGTCGACGCAAGTCTAGCCTCGCGGGGTTGATGGATTACTTATACTTGGACTCTCCAGCACCCACCTCACGCCGTGCACCCTAGATACTATCTACTACTACGCAGTACACACATCTTTTGTACCCACAAAAAGCATGTGGGGGAAAATCTCCTTTCATCGATCGCGAAAGCCGGTCATCGGCACGCCCACGCTGATCGACAAGAGCTTGGATGATGAGGTCTATCGCTCTCTGTCTTCCGCTCCTGGCGGCATAAATAGCGAAAAACATTCCCGAGCCCAACCGGCTATCGCACGGTAAGTACTGACCACACCCCCCAGTGGATCTGGTAATAGATAGTACTCCTCGATTGCAACCTTCTCGCAAAGTATAATTGGCCTCCCTAACCCATTCCAGCAACCCTGCGGACTCGCTCCTTCCTGCGCAACGCCCGGACTCGAGTCGTCGAGCCGTTTCCTCCTCCCATGCCCTGGACATCCCGACTGGTGATCCGCTTCACCAGCGCTCCGTCAGCCTGACACATAACGCGCCCCAGGATCCGGCCTCCCTCAGTCTCAGTCACGACCTCGACCGACCCGAAAGTGTGGGCATTTCGCCTCCCGACTCCCCCATTTCCTTCAGCCACCCGCCCCTCAGTCGCGGGAGCTCCCGCGTTTCACCGATAGAGGACGAACCCAGGGAGGATCTAAGCGCGGACATGGAGAACAAGGAGAACAGCAAGTTTGCCAGCCATTTGCCGGTGCGCAAACGTGCCGGTTCGCAGGCAGACCGTCTACAGACACCCAAGCCAATCTCGAGAGGCCATGCGACCGGGTGGGACGACTTTTCGGGCAGCCCGTCATCTGGCGGCCACTTAGCCCCTGGAGGGGTTTCTTTCCGCACCGAGATCTCGGCAAACCCCCCATCGACCCAAGGTTCGAATATCTTTGGCTGGGGCAAGCAAAAGAAACCATCGGAACCACGCACACGGCCATCGAGGGTCGACAATACGTTCTCGCCCGCTTTGCGCGAGCCCTGGAAAGGAGCTAGCGGGCGGTCTCCAATAGTGACTCCTATCCAAGAAAAGCCGGGAGCTAAGCCGTTGGCACGGGTTCACATGTCCAGAAGCAATGACCGATTGAGAGACCACCGAACAGATAGCCCGACCCCCGATTTCGTTCCGCACGCGGTTGTTCCGACCGTCGTAACCACCATCACGGCGGGTGAGCCCAAGTCGAAGGGGCCGGAGAAGGACAAACCGGCTTTTGGCAAAGAGCATTATCGAACACGAACATCCGAGGAACGCGCTCCGACCCCCAGCATCAGCAGCATTGCACCACCTCGTGTTGACCTTCCGGAGCCTGATTGGGAGTCCTCATTGGTGGACTTGAGGCTGACCACGGATGAGTTGGCCGAAGAGCCCGCGAGTCGCTTCAGTGCAACCACGTACGAGCCTACAGAGACGGGCAGCTCCATAGGAAGTGCGCGCGTTAGCTTGGACGGTGCGTCCCAGTCCACCGACAATTTTGCATCGATCATGTCTCGGAAGCGTCCGGTGCCCAGCGCGATTGCTCCGGGGAAAAAGCCCACGCGGAAGCCCACTCCGTCTCAGGCCCTGGGAGATGCCGAGGCTCCCAAGGAGCCCGATCAAGTCACGCCAGAGCAGCAGATCCAAGGTCGCATCGATGCGCTGGAGGCACGCAAGGACACGCTTGCGCGCCGCAAGACGAACATCAATACGATTATCTATGAGCTGACTCAGGCGATCCAACCGAGCTCCATTGCTTACGACATGGCTGCCAAGGACGAGGTCAAGCGGACGGTTGCCAGTCTCGAAACAGAGCTGGCTGAGATCAAGAGAGAAGAGCACGAAATTGGCCTCAAGCTGTTCAGGGCCTGGAAGAAGCGCGACGACATTGGTGGCTACGGAGGCTCCAGCCTATGGGTCAAGCGAGTCACCAGTTGAACGTCAGCGCTGCTTCTTAACTTTATTTGGGTATCCCTCCATCCGTCCGTTCATTGTTGTTTTGTTTATTTGCATCATCCTTGGCCAAAACGTCCTGCCGCTGGATAGCTGGTTGGGGCGTGTTTTTTCAGCGTTGCAAATACCCTTGCGCAGCATACAGCCGGTTCATGTCTACTTCTTTCTTTCTGGTCATACTGGTAAGGCGTCTGTCTGTCTTTCTCTCTGACTGTGCTGTGCACAGTGATACCCTTTCCGCTTGTTGGGAGGCTATTAATCCTAAAGCTGATACCGGTGGTTGATGATATGGATGATTCTGGAGTGCTGCAGGGAGGAAGACACCCACGCTTCCGTCCACTGTATTTATGAAAAAGTTTTTGGGGGAGACAGGAGGCGCATTGGAGAGAAATATGTATCAAGAAGGTAGTTGCTCAGTCAAAGAAGTAGTGCTCAATGCCAATGCGAATCCTCCACTCGCTCGTGGGTCGTAGCTCGTTGTATTTCATGAGGGATAGGTATGCTCCGAAAGATCCCGTGGTCCGACTATTTCTTGCCCGACTTCTTGATACCCTGCGAGCCCGTGTTCAGGGGGCCCTTGCCCTTGGCCTTGTCCATCAACTCCTTCTTGGCCTTGGCATCTGTACGTGCAAGATCGAGATGGTTAGTAACCTCGTCGACAGCGAGGCGATAGCGCTGGGGGCGTACCAGCTCTCTGCTTCTCCTTGAAGGCAAGCTCGTCCTCATCGAGATCCTTCTGGGCCTTCTTGGCCTGCTTGAGGGGCTTGACCTTGCCACCTGCATGGGGATGAGGGTCAGCGGACCATCCATGGTCGAGAAACGATGGTCGAGGGATAAACGAGATCAAAACTGACCTTCTCTGCTTTGACCACCCATGATGCAGTTGGATATGAAACGTGAGGGGTTTAGAGGGGGAGGGAGTGGAAGTGGCGCTGGAAGTCGAGTCGAGGAGGGGAAGAAACAAACCATCGCAAAAATCGGCTGCTTATCAGCGATTGTCCCGCGCGGAGACACTACGCCCGACTGGGTTAGGCGCGAAATCTCAGCGGCCCAGCTCACCGCCCGGCCACCAGCTCATCTCACCTCCTCGTCACTTCATCCGCTTCATCGCCCATCCGCCTCCATCTCCCATTCACTATCCTGGTTCACGTGTCACACACCCCCCCCCCCCCCCCTTCGGTCTATTCTTCTCAGGGTCCTGGTACCTGGTACCTGGTATTTGAGCCTCGGGGAGAACAAACCCCCTCCCCTCCCCCTCAGAAACCACAAGAGCCGTCTCATGTACCTTGGGAGACTATAATCCGGGCACGAGCCGTGGCATCTCAGCCGGTTGGACTTTCTCAATACACTCTCCCACATCACGCGTCGCTGGAATCCGTTCTTGCTAACCGGGCATCTGTTGTTCTGTCTCTGAAGCGGCCGTGTATCTCCCGTTCAAGACTCCGGAAATAGCAAAACAAGCCGAATCGCGCAACCATGGCATCACGCAGGTCGAGGTCTCCATCGACCCCTTCTGAGGGTGAGATCATCGAATCAGGCTCAGAGACGAAGGCAACTACGTCGCAACTTCCTCTTAATGGCACCAGCGTTGACCGTCCCACCAGAGCTAGTACTTCATCCGCGCCCCGGTCTCCAGCTTCGTTGAGCAGATCGCCTCGCCACCGGAGATCGAGATCGAGGACAAGGACCAGGTCGACATCCCGCACGCGGTCCCGCTCTCCCTACCGCGACCACAGAGACAGAGGCTACAAGCGTCGCCGGGACGATGACTATGACTATGACCGTGAACGTGAACGCGACCGCGACCGCGACCGCGAATATAATTATGACCATGACGACCGGCAATACCGACACGACCCACCACCACCGCCCCGGCGCGTCGCGTCCCGATACGATGACAATACCCGCTACTCCGGGCGAGGAGGCCAGCCCAACAGACGGCCCTACTACGACTATGATCGCGAGGAGCACTACGGCGATGGCCTCCGGTACAGTGACGACTCCGATCGCCGCAGGGAGAAACGCGCTCGCACCCGGAGCCGCTCGCCGTATCGCGAAGTCCGCAAGCCCAAGCAGTATTCGGGGGATGAGTGGGAGGCTCAGAAAGATGAGAGCGCCGCCTCGCGGAATCGCAGGCGGAGGCCTTCTATTGAACAGTCAGTGAGCGAGCGAGGGAATACTCTAGTCGTCGCTCCACGTGTTAAACAAGATGCTGAAACTCAGAAACCTCAGGTGCAGCACGCTTCTGAAGCCTCTAATCCCCGTCTTGATAGGTATGCCTCTCTCTCTTACCGCTCTTTCAATTCTTTACAGATGCTAACTGCGCTTCAGTGTGAATGAACCAGTAGCCGAGACACCGGTGGAACAACCACCCGTCGACGAGGCAGCTGAATTAGAGGCTCGTCGTAAACGACGTGAAGCCATCCGCGCGAAGTACCGAGGCCAAGCCACCCCATTGCGCGTCCAAGCGCTTCACACCGCTAGTAGCAGGGATTCGTCTACCCCCGGCGCAGATGCAGCTGTATCCACTATGTCAGGTGAGCATCTTGTCCGTATGAAAACACACAGGAATTGCGCATTACAGTTCTGGTAGCTAACAGTGACATTGTCCCAGATGCAGCGCCGGTCTCAGCTCCTCAGACACCTGTAGATAGTCCAGGGGAGTCATTCCCCGACTTTAAGGTTGCACAGGATTCTGATTTAATGAATGACACACCGATGAACGGTGTGGACAAAGACGAACCTTCTGCAGCCGACTATGATCCCACCTTGGACATGAAGGCGGAGAGGGAGAAGCACGGCTCGGGCGGTTCGAATGAGGTCTCCGCGGCATCTTACGATGAGACGCAGACCACGAAGCAGGATGTTCTGCTCCCCGACGCTGTCCAACCGGCAGCCCCGCCCAAGGCGACGGATCCATATGATATGTTTGCCGACGACGACGATGACATGTTCGCTGAAGAGACGCAGGAGACAGCACACCCGACGCACGCTTCGGCCAGGTCGGCTGTCCCCCAGGCGAAGGAGCTTGACATCAGCATGATGGACAACTGGGATGACCCGGAAGGGTACTACAATGTCCGGCTTGGTGAGTTGATTAACGGGCGATACCACGTGCAGCAGAACCTCGGGAAGGGCATGTTTTCATCGGTGGTGCGCGCCACAGACTCCAAGACGGGCGGGTTGGTTGCGATCAAGATCATCCGCCAGAACGACACGATGAAGAAGGCGGGTATGAAGGAGATTGGCATCTTGGAGCAACTCCACGAAGCCGATCCGGAGGACAAGAAGCACGTCATCAAGTTTGAGCGACACTTCGACCACAAGGGGCACCTGTGCATGGTGTTTGAGAACCTCAGCATGAACCTGCGCGAGGTGCTGAAGAAATTCGGCCGCGACGTCGGCCTGAACCTGCGGGCGATCCGGGCCTACGCTCAGCAGATCTTCCTGGGGCTCAGCCTGATGCGGAAATGCAACATCCTCCATGCGGACCTGAAGCCGGACAACCTGCTGGTCAACGAGCAACGCAACATCCTCAAGGTGTGCGACCTGGGGTCGGCGTCTCCGGCGACGGAGAACGAGATCACGCCGTATCTCGTCAGTCGGTTCTACCGGGCGCCGGAGATCGTGCTGGGGATCCCGTACGACCACGCGATCGACGTGTGGTCCATCGGGTGCACGCTGTTTGAGCTGTACACGGGCAAGATACTGTTTACGGGTCGCAACAACAACGGCATGCTACGATCGATCATGGAGTGCCGGGGCAAATACCCGCCGAAGCTCCTGCGGCGGGGATCGCTGACGCATATGCACTTCGATGACATGCTGAACTTCCTCAGCCTGGAGGAGGACAAGATCACCGGCCGGCCGGTCACGCGGGTGCTGGACTTCAAGAAGCCGAAGCGGGATCTGAAGACGCGGCTGATGGGCGGCAAGGAAACACGAGGCATGACGGACAGTGAGGCAAGGGAGCTGGCTTCGTTTGTGGATCTGTTGGACCGCTGCCTGAGCCTGAACCCGGAGAAACGCTGCACGCCCGCCGAGGCGTTGAAGCATCCCTTCCTGGCTTCCCGTCCCAAGGCGTAAGTAATATCTCATCCATCCTTCCATCCCTTTTTCTTCATTTTTTTTTCGGCCCTGTTGTTGTACATATTATGTCATAGTAGCACGGCAATTCCCCCCCCCCCCCCCCGCCCTTACCAGCTATACCACAATGAATGAATACCAGATATCACCATCTCACAATATGAATCGGGGTTCGCCGTCGCCACCCCAGCCGCCACAGCCACCCAACCCAATCTATGAAAGGTGAGGTGAGGTGAGGAAGGATCCAAATCGCCACTGAAGACGCGAGTGTATGACAGGATGACTCCATCAGGTCACGGTCTCTCCCGGGACCAACAAAAAAAAACAAAAAAAACCTGTGAAAAAAAAAATGTAACAAAGAGGGAATTGAATGATAGTGCCTTGGGTTGGGGGCACGGGAGTGGCAAAACCGGGGCACAAAACGCCTTCCTTCCTTCATTCATTCCTTTCCACCCAGCGATAATGATCACGCTGGCCCATAGAATATACCTCGAATAATCCATTCGCATTCCATATTCCATACGGAGTCCGGCAATCAATGGAAAGAGATCGCCGGGAGGCAATGAATTTACTTTCACCTGACAGAGAGATAGATACTATATACTATACATATGTACTTTAGATCGGATCGGATTGGATCCGGTGCTGCCCGGATCCGGGAATCCGAAGGGGGCCGTGGTTCGTTCCTTTTCTCCAGTAGATACGGTAGCAATAGCTAGCTAGCAGTAGAAAATGGTAATTTCTAGAAGATCTTCACAAGCCTGGGTAGGTAGGTATGATGTCGCTTCTTTTTGTTCCGAGGAGCGGTTTGGTTCTTCTGGTTCTGGTTCAGGCTGGCTCAGTTTATCGGCATAGCCCGGCCAGGCCAGTCAGCCAGCCAGCCCTACACTAACTAGTTAGTAACTATGTCTGCATTATTATTTGTCAATTCGTTTTCATCATTGTACATGGTACATGGTGGAGACCTGTGATGTGACCGTTTCCATAATGATGATGATGATGATGATGATGATGAGCAGATTCGCCCCCAGTCCAACAGCAATTACTTGTATTTTGGTGGATATCAACTCCGTACCCAGATAATAGGTCGAATTCTATGTGGGCGATAGATAGATAGATAGATAGATAGATAGATAGATAGGTAGTCAGCATTCAGGCTCCCAAGGCAAACAATTAATCCCCGGGATCGACACCCATCCATTCTTTTTTTCTTTTCTTCTTTTCTTCTTCTTCTTCGTCGGCTCGGCGCTTGATCTGTCATAACCCCGCCCAGGCTAATCCTTTGTAGAGAGTCATACTACCTACCTATCTACCTACCTACCTACAGGTTAATTAATTGTTCTTTTTGAGTGTTTAATTGTTTCGAGTATCTGTTGCACTTATCCTGTACGGAGTATATACTCTTGTGTTTATCTAGCTACACCCACTTAGGTACGGTAGGTAGGTAGGTAGGTAGTTCTTGTTGAGATGATGTAATGTGTGCTGGTAGTTAGTACTGATAGTACTGGTAGAGTTTAATTATTGGGGATCTTCGGGGGGGGGATCATTGGGAGATTTTCGGGATTTACTGCTCTATTTCACTGTAGTTAGTTGCTGTCTATTTTGTAGGGAGTTAGGGAGTTATGATAGGTAGTATCTGAAGATCTAGATACTAGAGTACCACAGATGGCGAGATGTACTTGATATGTATGTGTAAACTGCGAAAAATGAGTCAAAAGTAGACATGATATCAAGTACCTACTAGTAGTTACTCAGACCGAGGAACTGCACAGTCACAGTCTAAGGCTCTGTATATAGATAGGTAGGTACGTACTATATACCTACTAACGGAAGTAGCCTAGCACCTCCAAGCATGAAGAAGGCAAATATGCATCCCATCACCTACATATGCTTTTATACTTTGTAGGCATGTACTCCATACTCCATACAGCAAGCACCGCCCACAGGCAGGTAGCCTAAGTACATCCTGTAGGCACAGACAGACAGACAGACAGACAGACAGACATGCATGCCTACGGTACAGCAGGCAGGCAGGTCATATTAGGCAGGACCCTCTGTCTGTAGGTAGTAGTTACTACCTTTACATCTGTCAGTGCTATGCAGGATGATGTGAGTTCCGTGTACATGAACAGGGGTTAAGTACGTATCCTGTGTATGTACCTCCTGCGTGTAAAAGTACATACAGGATACATAGATACCATGTCATACCCGTGAGTAGGTAGATGGATGTAGATCCCAATCTCAGCCTCGTAACCAGAGACTAGTACCTAAGTACTTACTCCGTACCTAGGTATATATGATATCTAGTAAGTCAGTCCTTGGTAGGATTGCCAAACACCCCGTTCTGCCCATCCGCATACCTAAGTATAACTAGCTCTGGCTAGTTTTAGTTTCCTAGTAGTTAGTAGTAGTTAGACACAGTCACAGTCACAGTCACAGACACAGACACCGTAAACCCGGCGCTTATGTAGGGGCCGGAACCAGGATCAATCAGGGGGAAGGGGGGAAGGGGGGCGGCGCCAAAAGCAAAGCTCACTCCGTCAATCATTTCCCGCGACTCTTTTTTGGGTGTAAGGCGAGATCGAGGCGATGATTCACTCACTCACTTACCTAAGTGGTTACCTAGTGAGTAGGCTAGGCTAGGCTAGGTACGTAAGTAGGTAGGTACTTACCGGTAGGGAGGGTAGGCCAATTGAGAATTCTCCGAGGTGGGACGGAGATCTGTCCATCTATCTATGTATCTATGTATCTACGGAGTACTCGGGGTACCTATTTGTTGTGGTGGTGGTGGTGATGATGATGATGATGATGATGATGAAAGGGGTTGGCTCAGATTGTTTATCGGTGGGGATTGGCTTGTACCTCTCCCTACTGTCTCCGGACTATGGTCTGAGACTCAATCTCGGGATTGAGGGTGGTGGAAGATGGACTCTGGACTCTGGACTGTGGACTGTGGAGATGGTCGAGGTCGTCTGGTGGATCGGTGTGCTTTATATAGTGCATGGCTGAGATGCATGAGGGGTCTGGCCAGAGTAGTATACCTAGATAGTAGTTTGGAGTAGGTATACTGTAGATATTCAAATCATCGAGTGTAGACTCGAGTAGCTGGATTCTCGACAGTCAATACTAGGAGGCTACATAGAGGCTAAAGATGCCGATGGGCAAACATGGATGGTCTGTGCACTCCACAGCCGTCAGCTCAACTTGCCCATCCATGCACGGCAGCATGAACAATGCGCCCCGTCAGCCAATCCGCATCACCGCCCACGCCCCAGAAACTCTCGGACAGCAAACGTGGCAGCAAAGCAGCCAATCAACACGCGCCATGGCCGTCATCCGATATTCTCGAAGCGGACGAACTGGGCCGTCATTGGCCCTGTCGCCCTTGCCTCACTTTATTGAGTTCGGTTGCACTGGCCTGCCTGCCTGCCTGCCTGCCTGGCATCAGCATTCAGGGTGTGTGTACTGTGTGCACAGTAGATAGTAGAGATGACACGGGCGTCGTTTTGGTCGGTCGCGTCGGGTTGATTCAGAAGGCGCCTGCTGGAACTACTTACTAGTAACCTACTCGATCCTTTTTAAATTTAGTCGTTGGATTCCGTGCTGTGTGTTGGAAGAGAATCATCAACACAACACAACACCAACATCTCGATGACCATCGCCATCACCGGGTTTGTCACACACCGGTCTGGCCCAGCAGAAAAAGACGGTGTGTTCGGGACACTTGGACGGACTACAGAGGGTGGTCCCGTAGGTATCTGGTAGGTACAAGAACAACAAGTCCAAAAAGTCGCACCGTTGTCTCCCTGAACGCAATAATCGATACCCCATATCTAGCTAGATACTCCGTACTGTGTGGTCAGTGGTGATGGTAGTGATGGTGGTGGTGGTGGTGGTGGTGGTGGCATGCCCGTCATCCAAGACGCAGCGGGAAGGGGAAAGGCGCCCCATCCAGCCAACTCCGTTTGGTTCGATGTTTCGTATAGACTCCAATCCGTTTCGACCTGGAAGGCTCCATCCCGTTAGCCCTTTAGTCAGAATCACCGGTCCATGAGGCCCTGGCCTCGATGGTCCGATTAACAATCGTGCCTCCAAACCTTGTCCCAGGCTCCCAGCAAGTAAGCATAGAGACAGGGCAAAGGTAGTTAGTGGTGGAGTCGTGAGCTGGCAGCCTGGCAAGCACCACCAGCAGATGGGAGGAACCCCATCCGGGAGCCAGGAGGCTGTCCTCAGGTTGCACGGCACCCCCGAGGGTAGCGTTCCAGGACTCCGGCCCTCCCAGCCCTCCAGCACCCCAAACTGTGTCAGTCCTTCAGGGTGTGTCCACGGTTGAGACTTGATACACGGGCGAGCACCCGCCCAGATCCTGAGATCGGTCGTGCCCTGTCAACAACGCGAGACAATCCGCAATGGGGGGGTCCCCGTCCCGTCCTGCATTCAGTCCGTCGCCCGGCCTCCAGGGCAAGTCCGTCCCAAGTCTAAGTCTCAAGTCAAGTTGTTAAAAGTAGTTCAGAGTTCAGACACGGACGGTGGGGCAGGCCCCTCCCTCATCCATCCACCCAGCCTCATTCCTACCACACAGCAGCGAATTAGCCCGGACTAGTGGCGCTGGATGGACTGGGGTTGTGTGCCATGAGCTCATTTGTGCTGGGGAGGCTGGAACCCAGCCCAGGACCTATCGGGGCTGTTCGAGCAGCTCGAACCGTCCACAGGCCGAGGGCGAAAATGCCGCCCGGCCAGCGCTCTGCGTTCCTGCTCAGATGACTCTCCAATCACACCCACGGGGGGCGGATTTATCTTCCCTGCGCGCCCGCGACCGGCCAATGAGGGCAGGTCCGCCCGGGCCAGCCTGGGACGCAGTGTGGGTGGGGCCTCTGCACCCGAAAGACCTGTCACACCCACACCGCCTCCTGGATCCTGGCAAATAACACCCACACCCACCACCACCACCCCCTACGTAAGTCGGTGGGAAACCTGGAGGCTGCCAATCGTCGCCCGCGGTTGCGGTCTGCGCCGCCTTCCCTCCTCCTCCTTCTCCTCCTCATTCATCATCACCCTCGTCCGTGATCGTCGATCCTCAAGTCGCCCGTCCCCGTTTCGTTGCCCTGGTCGGTCCGGAAAACTGGAGAGAGGCGACACCCTAAACTGTACAGCCACCGCGGGCGGCCAGTGCCGTCGTTGTCTTGTCTTGTCTTGTCGTCGTCGCTGTCGCCATCGGGTTTACGCGGAGCATTATTCCTGCCTCTCCCTCGATCCATTATTGATCCATTGATCCATTGATCCATTGATGAATGACGGATGACGGATGACGGATGATGGATGATGGATGATGGATGGATGGATGAAAGGGCGACTCTTCCTTTGAGGAGGATAATACTAGATAGATCCTACTATCAACACCACCACCACCACCACCGCGTACTCAGCAACATAAGAAGTCTGCCGGCCTTGTGACCCCCCTCGTCCCCAAGCTAGAGTTTCCCAGTCCACGCACTCGTGCCCATTTGACTCCCTCCCTCGAGTGTCCGTCGCGAAGATCCACCCGACTAGTCGTCGTAAGGAGGTTTCGCCCTTCCAACCCGGGCCCTCAGCGTCCAGCGGTCGGTGGGAGCAGAAAGGCAACTTGCGCCCGCAAAGTGTAAGTGTCGCAGGTCGCCGCTTCTTAGTCAGGACCAGGGGACGGACGATTCTGAATCATGGAACCGGGGATCCTCCCAGGCTCCCATCTGCTTCCGAGCCCTCGAGTGTCCTGCTTCAACCTGTCTGGTCTTGTTCTCAGATTCGCCTCCCCCGGCGCTTGCTTGGTTTGTTGAGGCCGCGGCCTTGTCGGTGGAGTGGGGGTTGGCCCGTTCCCTCCCTTTCCTATTTGTAGCTGGACCCTAAACTAGTCTAAGCATCATACATGTTAGTCTGGTGGGGTTTGCCCCCACCTGGTCTCACCTCGGCCAATCCAGTGGCGTTGCCCACTGCATGCTGAAGATGTAACGGGGGAGTTACATAAGGGGGGGGGGTTATGACTCCTGTGGCCGATTGGGGGTCGGCTGCGGTTGCTGAATGGCCGGGGCGCTTCGAGGCGATGATTCGTCTTGGGCGGCGGCCGCCTCTGAGGTAAGAGAAGACGGCCAGAGGGAGGGTGGCTCTGGCCACGAGTGGTCCCAGGCTTAGCGGCAGTGGGTATTACATTGATCATTACGGATATTATTATTATAATAATTATTATTTATTTGATTTATTATTATTAGGGAAGGATTATCATGGCGGTCGCTGCGACTGCTGCGACTGCTGCTGTTGTTCGTTTTTGGAGCTGGTGATTTTCCGGGTCCCTATTATTCGCCTTTCGCCTTCGCCCTTATCGCCCGCCCGGCCATCATCGCCATATTAATCTTATTTTTACTTATTTTACCTCCCCCTATACTTTACCTACTTTACCCTACTTACTTACCTACCTTTTACCTACCACCACCATCACCTTTCCTCTCCCCCTCCTCCTCCTCCTCTCGTCTTGTGTCTCCTTTTCCGTCTATCCCTCGAACGTTGTCCGGTCCGGCTGTTGTTGTTTTGATTATTCAGAAGCTTTCCTCTTTATTTCCTCTTTCCGACCGACCGATCGTCTTCCTTTCTTCTTGGTGTGCCTCTTGTATAGTCACTTCTCTTGCATATATACTATTCGGCAACCCCCTTTCCATTCACTGCACAAACCACACCACAACCCCTTTATACCGCCCACGGCCATATTAACCGCCCGCTGGCCCCCATCTGACTACTCCCTGGACTGCATCCCCCCATCCCTGGCTGTGCAACTTCCCTGGATCTCCCCCATCTCAACCATAATACAACCTTCACCACTACCATAAACAACAACAATAAACAATCACCAAAATTCCCCACAAACCACCCCCTTCCCGTTGGACACTCCCTAGGATTTGATTGCTTGCCTGACTGCATTCCTTCAATGGCTCCCTGAACAGTGAACAGGAAAATCAAGCGACTCTCTCCTTCCCGCACTTGCTTTGGATGTCCTGAAACCCGCCACCGGATTTTGGAACTCCCCCAGGATTTATATCAACCCCTTACAGCCGTTGACCAGAAGAACCTCCCATCTCTCCCCCCTCCCCCCCCATCCGTTCTCCAGGTGACTCGGTGCCGGTGCGCGCTTGAGTCTTGCCCTCCTCCCACTCCGTCCGCCCTCATGCTCATGCTACCCCCTTCGCCCTTGTTCGGCATGTATCCCCCCATGCCCCCCACTCCGCCTCCATCTCCGCCCATGGCCCGCTGCTATGCTCCGGAGGACCGCCTGGGACTCCTCTTGGCCAACCGCCTGGAACTCACCAGCATCCTGGGCGTCGGAGCCTACGGAGTGGTGTACACGGCCGTCGACATCCATACCAATGTTCTGTATGCTGTCAAGGCCCTCAACAAGACTGGGCTGGACTCCCGCCAGCTCAAGTTCCAGCAGCGGGAGATCAAGCTGCACCATCTGGCCAGCCAGCACCCCAATGTGGTTTCCCTGGTCCGCATTATGGATTCCGTCGACTGCACCTATGTGGTCATTGAGTTCTGTCCCGAGGGCGACCTGTTCTCCAGCATCACCGAAAAGGGCAATTTCGTGGGTAATGATCCCCTGGTCAAGCGTGTCTTCCTCCAAATCCTGGATGCGGTCCACTTCTGCCACTCCCTGGGAATCTACCATCGGGATCTCAAGCCTGAAAACATCCTGGTCACCGACCAGGGCTTGACCGTCAAGCTCGCGGATTTTGGCCTTGCCACTACGGATTACCTTACCTCGGATTTTGGCTGCGGATCGACGTTCTACATGTCACCAGGTACGTGCGCCCCGTTGGACTCCCCCCCCTGTTCCCTCGTTGATTGACCAAACTTGGCTTACACTGATGAAACCACAAAGAGTGCCAGCAGCCGAACCCGCGCCCCATGTCGTGCTATGAGTCCGCGCCCAATGACGTCTGGAGTCTCGGCGTGATCCTGGTCAATCTGACCTGCGGTCGCAACCCTTGGAAACGGGCCTCAATCGAGGACTCAACGTTCCGGGCGTACCTCAAGGACCCTTACTTCCTGAAGTCTATCCTCCCCCTCTCGGATGAGATGATCTGCATCCTGAACCGCATCTTCGAGTGCGACCCTTCCAAGAGGATCACCATTACGGAGCTGCGCCAGCTGATCCTGGAGTGCCCCCAGTTTACCCTGAACCCGGTGCAGCCCTGGGCCGCTGGGCCCGTGCCGGTTGACTACGTCAACCACTCAGTCCCAGTGTCGATCCCCGGCGACATCTACACCCAGTCCTCTGTCTCCTCGGGGTCCTCTCAGTACTCGGATTTCTCGGACTCCGCGGTCTCGGACGCCTCCTCCTTCACGGAGGGCTATCCTGATGTGGATAGCGTCTCGTCGATGTCATCTCTTGGACTGGAGCCCGAGCTGGACTGCAAGGATGAATTCACCGCCGGTGATATCCTGGAGCCTCACATCATCCCCCATATCCCCTTCCACATCCCCATCCCGGCTTGCTGAAGTGACCGGGACAACCGCGCAAAAGAAAAAGCAAAAAAGCAACACAAACCCCACAGTTTAACGCAGGTCACGATTAACGGCATCTCTTTCGCTTTTACACCACTGGAACTGGATCTTTTCATACACCGCCTATTTTTGGATCATCTCCGCCTTGCATAATCCCAGCGACATTTTGTATTATTTCCGCAGGAGGAACCCTGGAGATCGATTTCTTTCTGGACATACGCCCCTTCTTTTATTTTTGTGTTTACATTTGGCTTTCCATTCCCTGGAGTTTGGATATTATACCCGGATCAAAGTCCACACTGGAGCTCAGCCGTGGGCATAAATTGCCCTTCTGGAAACGGGGTTCTGCCCGCTCACCGCGAGCGTGGGACCGGCAGAAACCGTGGAGCTGTTATTAGTTATTAATATGTTACCACCTTTGGGAGGAACCTTGGGAATGTTCATGATACGGGGGGAGTTTTCTGGCGTTTCCGCTTCGGCCACTGGCATGGAAAGAAGAAAAGACATACCCGACGACGCATTATTTTTTTTCAGTTGTTTACCCCCTCTGGAGTTGGATGGCACGATGGTCGCTCTTTTTCTGGGATGATACCTGAGTTGGAGGACGTTTCTGCTGCTGCTGCTCTCTTTTTTTTTTTTTTTTATCATTTTTTTACCTTTTACATAATCTGTGGGTAAATAGTTTCTTGATTTCGGACTGGATCTGCTGGAAGGAAGAAGAAAGTCTGGCTGGGTCGGGGGCGAAGAGGGACCCGATATCTGCAATAGAGACGAGGACTAGACGATGATGATGATGTTTTTCCCTTTCTTTCCTTCTCTGCTGGTATACTGACTGGGGTGCGATTGCCACGCTTGTCCAGTAAGGCAAGGGAGAAATCCCCGTCTCGCAGTCTATTGTCTGTCTGTCTGTCTGTCTGTCAGCGTCAGCATTCAGCTCCACCGGACGGGGCTGGACTGACTGGCTGGAAGCGTGTGCAACCGTCCGCGCGCTTACGGCGATTCCACTCTGGGCCGGCAGCCTGTCATGTCATGTCATGTCATGTCAGTCAGAGGCTCCGACCAACAATGAGGCAGCAAACCCCAGCCAGCAGGCGATGCCCGACTTGTCTTTTCCTCTGTGTGTTGCTGTTGCATGGCCTGACCTGGCCAGGCCAGGAGGCCGATCTCGTGCCATCTGATTAGCAGCCTTGTTTTTTTTTTTTTTTTTTTTTTTTTTTTTTGTTCTTGTCTTGTTGCATGCGATGCGGGTCATTGATGATGATGATGAACATGTTCCTTCTCCTGTACAACAACAACCACAACAACCACAACAACCCTATATCATGTACACTAAACATTTACTACACAAATCCCAACCAACCACTTCTGCTGGCGGGAATGCGACTTCAGATATCGCATTCCCAATCATACTCAACACTTCCTTCCTTCCTTTCTTTCTTTCTTCCAATCCGTACGTAGTCCTCTTTTCCCTCCCCTTCTCCGTTATTGGTAACAACACTAGCCAGTCCCCATCCCCCATCCCCCAATCCCCACCCCCCAAAAATAACCAAAACCAAACCCAAACCCAAACCCAATTAACTAAGTATTCCTCCCCCCCGTCACCCGAATCGTCTCCCCACTCACATACGAAAACAACGGACTGGCCACCCCCAACACCGCCCTCGCCGCCTCGAGCGCACTTGCCGGCCGTCCCAGCGGAATATCAGGATACTTGGTCTTGGTCTCGGTGTCTGCGTCGCCCTGGCGCGCGGCCAGCTGCTTGCCGGGGATGCCCAGGGCGACCCGGGTGCCGTCGGGCGTGGTGATGTAGGCCCCGTCCTCCTTGGCGGCCGTGAGTCGGGTGGTCACGAACCCGAAGGCGATGGTGTTGGCGCGCACCCCGAACGATGGGCCCCATTCTTTGGTGATGGTTTTGGTTAGCCCGATTATGCCTGCTTTGGCGACGGCGTAGTTGGCTTGGCCGCTGCGTGGATTGGGTAGTGGATTGTATTGTTAGTGGGTTGTTGGTGAATTGTTGGTAGAGGTGTTTGGGGGGGGGGATATGGAGTATGGAGTATGGAGTATGTGAATTAAGGGTGGAGTAGAGTAGAGTAAGATAAGAGTGGAATTTAGAGCAGAGCAGGGGAAAGGAAGAAGACGAAGGAGGAGGAAGAGGAGGAGGAGAAGAAGAAGAAGAAGAAAAAAGACATACGCATTCCCATGCACCCCACTGGTACTACTGATATTAATCACCACGCGGGCCTCCCCGTCCTTCACGCGGAAATACTTCGCCAAGGCACGGACCAGTTTGAATGGGGCGGTGTTGTGGATAGCGAGCATTGCTTCCCATTGTTTGTCTGTCATCTGTAGTAACATATAACTATTCAGCATGAGGATCGTAATTCTGAGTTATTGACCTCATTCTCATTCTTATGGGTATATACTTCTGGTTTGCATGATCATGATCATGATCATGATTATGACCATTCCCATCATAATCATAGTCATCACCATCATAAAAAAATGAAAAAAAAAATAAAAAAATAAAAAAAGAGAATGTAGAATAAAATACCTTATGTATAACCCCATCCCAGGTAAACCCGGCATTATTCACCAAAATATGAATCTTGCCTCCCCCGAACGCCGCCGCCCGAGCCACCAGGTCCTCGATGTACCCATCATCCAGGATATCGCCCGGCACGGCGAGCGCGCGGTCCGTCGAGAAGACGGCGTTGATGCTGGCTGCTGTGGCGGTTGCTTTTTCTGTTGTCCTCAATGTTGGTTAATACCCGGTTGCTTTAGGATTTGGGTTTGGATTTGGTTGTTTTTGATTTTGTCTTGGAGTGTATGTGTCTGGAGGGAGGTGTGTATGTGTAAGGGTATGCGTATGTGTATGTGTATGTGTATGTGTATGTATAAGGGTATAGGTATGTACTTGTATACAAAGGCAAAAATGTACTCATACAGGCAAGGCAAGGACAAGGCAAGAAAAAGAAAGGAAGGAAGGAAATACCCGCATCAATATCGGCAACAACCACCTTGGCGCCTTCATTGGCGAACAACCGGGCGGTCTCGGCGCCGATGCCTTGGCCTGCGCCGGTGATGATGGCGACTTGGTTGGCCAGGAGACCGTGGGGAAAGGTGAGGTGGGAGGTTAGTTGGGTGAGGCGGTCCATTTTGGATGATTTGGATGGGTTGTGCGTATGAAGATAGAGGGACTGTCGAGATACAGACCAGACAGGGAAAGGGAAGTTGGAGATGCGGAGGTGGAGAGGAGAGGAGAGGAGAAGGAGAAGGAGAGGGGAAGAGAGTGGAGTGGAGTGGAGACTGAGAAGAAGAAGAAGAAGGATTGTGCCGAGGCCCGCTGTCGTTCGGCTCAACTACCTTAAAAGTAGTTGCTCAATATTCGGTCTTGATGACCACGCAACTACTCAGAAAACATGGGTATAGTCATGTCATCTCATCATAATCATAAAAGATAGATATCATCTTGCGACACCCCTGTACGAACAATTATACACACACCACATCACACCACACCCTAACCTAGGTAGTAGCTACGAGGTGCTGCACACACACCCCGACATGGCCTGCAAGAGCGTCTCCACCGTCGCCTCATACCCCCCCAGGATATGCTGCAGCCACTCGCTCTCCACGCCCTCGCTGGCGCTGATATCGCGCAGCTCGGGGCTCATCCGCCGGCTCATCTCGACCGCCTCCTTCAGCAGCCCCAGCGCCTCTTTGCACTGCAGCAGGCGCCCGCGGAGCAGGAAGCGCCGCATGCGCCGCGTCTCGTCCGCGCTCATCTCGTACTCGCCGTACCCGACGACCATCATGCTGTTGTGATCGCCGCCGGACGGCGACGACAGTGACAGCCCGTACGGCACCCAGAACTCGAACAGCTGCAGCGTGAAATCCATCATCGACACCGAGTACAGCAGGTTTGTGTTGTCCTTGGGGCAGTGCAGGCACTGCAGGAACCCCCGGCACACTGTCAGCGCCGTCTGGATGCCCTGCAGGATCTGGTCCACCCGGAGGTGGATGCTATCGATCACCATGTGGCGGAGCCGGTTCGTGTGGAACATGAGTGCCCCTGCGCATTCGCACCCCTGTAGCGCGTTGGGTATGTGCACTGCCAGCGGGCAGCTGGTCAGCCCCTTGGTGATGAACTCCTTCTGGAGGAAGGTTGGCGACATCGACGTCGGGCTGAAGATCGGGGCCACCGAAGAGAGGGGGTCGCCCAGGGAGGACGGATACTCCACCCCATGGTCGTGCAGCATGCCCGGGTCGGCCAGGTTCATTCCGTGGCTGTCGGGGCTGTCTGATGGACTGGCCTGGCTCGTGTCCTGTGGACTCTGGGCGCCGCGTCAGACAAGGCTCCTGAATGGACTGCATGGCTGAGACATACCGTTTCATCGACCCCGATTTCGACGTCATAGCCAACACGAGGCGGTTGGCTGCGACTGACACTGACGGGCTCCGCCCATCCGTTGGCAGAGATGCTGGGCTTCTTCTCGTCCTGCAACTGCCCCAGCTTCCGCAGGGTCGCCCGGTTCTTGCTCCCCTTGGGCTTCCCCGAGCGGTTGGCGACGCGATATCGACAGGGCAGCCCGTGGCGGAGACACCGAATGCAGGTGTCCTTCCCCGACAGGTTACATTTGACCTTCGACTGCCTGCAATTTTCGCAGGCAGCCCGGAGCTTGGGGGCATCTCCGTTGCTGACGGCCGGTTCGGATTCTGCCAGCATGGATCCTGATCTGACGGGGGACGATGAGGTGGGAGGCCGGATCGACGACCTTGGAGGACCATCAAGGGGGGGGCAACGGCCGCGGGATTCAGGGCAAAGGGGATTCACGGCCACAAGAGTCTCGAGCAACCAAGGGAGATCAGAAGGGAAAACATATACCAACCGCCCCCCGTGGTCGAAGCCCATCGACCAGCGCATTCTTATATATACCAAGCGGCCGCGTTGGCATTGCAGGACTCGTATCGGGATTCATCAACCGACGGGAAGTGCAGATGAAGTCAGCCGTTGTGAAACCCTAAGATTTCATCTGATCCACCTCGCATGGGAGCCGTGGCCAGTCGCCTACGGGAGATGCTTTCAGCATAGTTCAACTGACCTCATCTTACTTGTCAGAAAGGGCAAATGCCAGATTGCTTGGCTACCGCCCAACTGCCTCTGATAGGGGCTGCCCACGACCGCCAGCTCCGCAGGACTCTTCAGCGTAAGAGGGCTGGTGGAACAAGCTCAGGTGCAACATCGTCGTCGAGCCCAGTGGGGACCAGCAGGCCGCATAACTCTAATGCTCTCGAATGAGCCACCGCGCTGCAAGGCCATTGTGTCTGACGTAGCATCCAATAAGGTCGCCAACCCGCCATCTAGGGTCGTTCTATCGGTATGCAGGCCAGCACACCATGTGAGCTGTAAACCGATGCGGGAACGCACCCTTATTCGCCTGCCCAGTTTGAAATGCCCAGGCAAGCGGTGAACATTCATGCTGTCGCAAGACCGGCTCTATTATTGTGATTATCCTGGAAATCCCCCTATTTTTTTTTTTTTCGTGGGCGCGTTTCTTCCTCCCCCCTCCCCTCCCCTCTCTCTTCCCTCCCTCCCCCATCCCCCCCCCAGGTATATCCATCCGCCAGCCGCTTCCCTCCCATGTTGCGACGGTCAGCATGTGGAATCGAGGGTTAGACATGTCTCGTATCAGCCGGGAGGCGTCAGCATCATCATCCTGTCATCTCTAGTACTGTAAACGTTGGATTCTGGCTACATGTAGTGCTGGGAAGACGGGGACCCACCCCCGGACGTCTCGCCTGTGCGATCTCAACCCCCTCGCTCTAGCGAATCACTGCGCGCCCCCGAGACAGCCAGCTGCAATCCCGCTGTGTCTGTAATCAAACGCCTTAAGCAGCCCGGTCAGATGAGCCACGGCTGCGCAGACCACCAGCACATGAAAGATCTGGTGCGAGCTCCCCCAAAGATCGAACTGGCCTGGTCGAAGCCGCTCGGGGAGGCGGGCCGCATAAATCGAGGCCCCCAAGATGTACAGAAAACCTTGAAGGAGAAGCCAGCCGAGCCCGATTTGGCGGGTCATCTGCTCCAGGCCGTACAGGCGTAAGCCGTGGATCACGGGGAACACCGCTGACAGACCCATGCCGACAAACATCGCGGCACGGAATGGCCGCCACCGAGGAGTCCGGAAATGAGGGAAGATCGAAACCAGGGTGCAGCCAAGACCAATGGTGCAGATCATCGTCCAATACAACCGTTGCAGATCGGGCAGGCAGTAGAATCCAAAGTAGACGCTAGGCACAAAGCTGCCCACGATAAGCCCTACGATCCCAACGTAGTCGAACGCGTTGCCGACGCGGGCCACCACGGGGGAATGGTTGGAGATGGTATGGTAGGTGGCCGACATGCCCAGGCAGAAGGCCGCCCCGGCGAAGAAGCAGCCAAAGGCAACCAGATCCGCCTGGGTCGCGTTCTCATATCGCGGGGCTAGTGCCCGATAGAGCAGCCCTGCCGCCGGGACGGCCAGCAGGGAGGGCAGCAGATGCGTGTAGATGTTCACCGTTTCATTGTGCAGGTAGGTCAGGGACTGCAGGGAGACTAGGAGCGAGGCCGACGCCGGCCGGTACCCGGTGTGGATGTGCTGGTTGTCGCGCTGCCAATGGGGGAGGTCGTCCCAGTGAAGAAGCTTCCTGATGGCTTTGGAAGGCTGCTCCAGCACAGCCGCTGCCACCGTAGCCGGCTGACTGGCACCCGGGTTCTTCTCATGGCCTGGAGTGGGGCGACGCTGGCGAGTGGACATATTCCTCACATGCAGTATGCAGATGGGAGTGACAGATATCGGATCTCCGGTGAGAGGGAGAGGTTCTTGGGACTGACTGGACTTGGGGGGATTGGGGGAATTGGAGAGCGGATTGACCCCCTGAATGACCAGACCAGAAGTAATCGACCTCCCAAACGAACACCGGTCGACCGAACCGGTGGAAGAGGAAAGCAATGAATGTTCAAATGTTGGGATTCCGCGGATCGTCGGACTTCCCCAACGGGGAAACCACGCAAACCACGCAAACAGTGCAAACCACGCAAACAGGCGGCACTTGCCCCGACGGGCTCCCCCGCGGCGATCGCTTTGGATAGCTTCATCTCGTCCTTCCCCCCCCCCGCTTTCCTCCCTCAGCATGCAACCACCGTCATTCCATCTCCTTCAACTCGTGATCCGTTCGTCATGGCTGGCCATGCGCAATTGGGTAAAGCGTCGGGGTCTCGCTTAAAGCCCATCAAGGCGGACCCTCTAGAGATGGTGGGGTTTGTGTCGAAGGGGGATCGAAAGTATGCCCACGGCCTTCTGGCACCTGCGTCGGAACAAGGGTGTGGTCACCGGCAGCAGAGCTGACGTTCGCAGATTGCTAGATCATAAGGATCAGAAACTCTACTATGAAAGGATTGTAGCCCGATATATGGAGTTCTGTGCCCGCCACCAGAAAGGCCTGGACGCAGCATGGGCGTCCCTCCCCAGCAGCGCGTCAAGCGATGCGACCAGCAACCCGCCGGCTTCTCTTCCCTCCTCCGGTGAAAAACCGACCGCCCCCCACAATCCTGCAGCGTCCACGGAGCTATCAACGATCCTGCTTTCCCTCCGCAAGCTGCGCGAGGCCGTTGTGGCCACCGCTTCCACAGTCCCCATCGCCTTCTCCCAGCATGTATACATTCTCTCGATCAAAATATCCATCCAAGCCCGGCATCCGCCGTCATACTATCCTTCCCTGCGCCGTCTTCTAGAGGAATTACACTCCGCGTCCCACCCTCTCCCGGACTCCGACCTGAGAGACGTCGTTTCATACTTGCTCCTCGATTACGCCTGTCGACAGGAGGACATGGCTGCCGCTTATCAGCTGCGTGCACGTGCCCGCAGAGAATACGGGTTTCAGTCGTCAATAATAGACCGCGTTTTGACTGCACTGGCACATGACAACTGGGTTGAATTCTGGCGGGTCCGCAAAGAGGTGGACTCCAGTATGCGCGCAGTCATGAACTGGGCGGAAGACCGCGTTAGAAGACTCGCTCTCAAAGCAGTCAGCAAAGCCTATCTCAGCACCGACGCCAGATGGATTACCGAGGGTTGCACCGGTGACAGGAATTGGACGTGGGAGAAGTTGGCCGCCGCGGAGAACCTCGGTTGGGAGAAAGACGGCGACAAAATCATCATCAAGAGGCCGAAGAAAAAGCCTCAGACGAGCCTTGCACCTATCAAGGAGAATCCATAAAGAGCTCCGGTCGATTGATTATCGTTATGTTGTCATCTGGCGTATGAATGGCATTGGGGGAGCATGGCGTTCGTTTCTGGGTAAATGGGATGATATGAGAGCATGTCGACCCGACGAACATTCTTAGATAGCATATCGGTTCTTGAAACAAGTCTATTCTTGGAGACGGGTACGTGAGTTTTCGGCGTTTATTGTTCATTCCATCACAGCTTGAAATCCGCATTGGATCGATCTAGATTAGTGAATCCAGTGACCGGCTGTCTGGCCACAGTTTCTGTAAGATCGGTCTTCAACTTGGCGGACTTGTCAGAGCACAGCTCGTAAACCGTTGAGAGATTAAACACTAGGCTCGAGAACGAGTGGTGTGCCTGCACCAACGACTCGAGAACCTCCCGGGCCTGCGATGGTCTTAGCAAATACTGACAAGTGGTGGGAAGACGAATTACCTCATTCAGCCGGCCAGTGTACAGTAAACACACTGCTAGGTTCTGCGATATCATGGCTGCATCGGGTCTTGGGGTGTCTTGGTCAAGTAAGGCGCGCCATTCTTGCGCTGCGTCGTCGTAGTTCCCCTCCGCCATGCTAAGGAGTGGGCTAAACAAAGCATTTCCCGCATCACTTGGTCCCCCGCACACCTCCTTTGCAGCGTCAAGATCGCCGATAATGAGAAGAAGGAGTGCTTTCCTCAACTTGTCCGTCTCGTTCTCGGGCTCCGACGTGCGCAGGTTGTTAAGTGACCGCCTGGCTGCATTGACATCCCCCATCTCAATCAGCGCGTTCACGATCCTCATTCCAAGATCCGACAGCCGGCCCCTCCATATTACCCGCTCCTCCGGAGTCAAGTCTGGCCGTAAGATCTCCCTTCGCGCTTCTAAGCCAATCTCATACAGACCGCCAATGCCCCTGCGCGAGTCACCAAACCCAATACTCTGCAGCCTGACGGCTTGGACTCGCAAGGGCCATGGCACAATGTGACGTGGGTACTCTGGTTGCTTCTCCAACTTGTCGGGGATTGGCTCCACATAGTAAAATGCGGAACTCAGGTCCTCAAGTGCCTTTGATTCTTGCGCAGCGAGAATCGTGTTTCCCGACAGCTGCAGACATGCTAGTCGGGTGTAGAAAAGAGAAAAGATCCGCTTAATGTCAGTGGGCGAAATCAAAGACGATGTCAGGATGGTGCCACATAAGTAAGCTGCAAGCAGGAAGTGACCTTCGGCTAGGAGTCTCTCGAGAGTGGTTAGGCTAGAAGACAGGGACTCATCCGACGTCGGGGCAATAAACTCAGAACGCAGAGCAGGAGGTATCTCTATCTGCGAGAGCGAGTGATAGACATCGTAGCGGAGCAGATACGATAGATCCTTCTCCACCGTTGGGGGGAGCTCGTCGGGCGCCAAAGGGTCCAGTTTGCTAAAGGAGGCACCCGAGAAGCCACGCTCTGCTGTACCCCATGTAGGTGACGTGGACGTATTCAAGATCTCAGCGCTGAAGGGGCTGACCTGTTAGCACACCTCTGAATGAAGGAGCAGTGACGCTCACTCATCTGGCTGGTCTAGAGGGCCTTTCGTCGTGCTACGAGGCCGTGACGCTAGAACGAATCAGCCCAGGACCCATGGTTGGTTGATACGGTAAGCAGCAATGCTTCTTACATCTCGAGATATTGCGGGTATGCTTGGACGTTGGGGCCTCCATGATTATGATCGCGGAGGTCTTGGATACTGGTCTATAAATGACCTTCAGACGAGCAAACGAGCAGACAATGCAGACAATGCGAGTAATGCGAGTGATGCGAGTCTAGTCTAGTACGGAGAGTAGATACTCCGCCATCAATAAAGCGGGATGATTCTGCCGCGGGCGGTGAGGGAGGCGGGCGGAGGCAAACTGGCCCCATCCTCCGTCAGCCGCCGTCTACTCCGGCCTGGAAGCTTCTCCAGATCATCACCCTGCCATACTGCCTGCTCTATATACACACCACCGTCAACGTCACGCCATCACTCCACGCTTCTCTCGTACGCTTGGATCGGACCCTCCCGATAGACGACATTGTTTCTGAGAGAACAATACCCAGCTTTATCGCCCACCATGACTATCGCCGAGGAATTCCGCTCGAGAAACTTCAGTACGGCCCTGCCTTGTTTACCAGTACACTTTACCAACCATAAACAGCAAGGAAAAGCTAACCCCTCATCACTTAGGTATCTACGGACAATGGTTTGTGATCTGCTCTTCCACTTCCCTTCTTTGCGCTCGCTGTCCGATTATGCGCCTTTATAAAACAATTGCGAAAATATAACATGGCTGCCTGGATCTCCCAACAAGGCGCTTGGCGCTGTTGCTAGACGACATACCGTGATAGCTGTTGAGATTCCGCATACCCCCCAGCATTGCGCATATATTCCGGACAAACCGACAGCTTCCGAGGACATGGATCTAGACTTGGGAGGGCATATTTGCTGACTGGCTTTCTATCCAGGACCGGCGTGATCTGCATCGTCTTGTGCCTGGCTCTCGGCATCGCCAACATCTTCTCGTTTAACGCCATTACCATCATCTTCAGTGTCCTGTGCCTGTAGGTCGATCATATCCGCATCCTCGATATCGATCTTAGAAGCTCACACACGCAGTATCTCGGGCCTGATTCTCATCTTCGCCGAGGTTCCTTTCTTGCTCAGAATATGCCCGACCTCCCCCAAATTCGACGAATTCATCCGCCGCTTCACGACCAACTGGATGCGCGCTGGGATGTACCTGGTCATGAGCGTGGTGCAATGGCTGAGTCTCATCCACGCCGCCACCAGTCTGATCGCCGCTGCCGTTTTCCTGCTCGTCGCCGCTCTGTTCTACGGACTGGCGGGCCTGAAGAGCCAAGAGTTCGTCGGCAGCAAGACTTTGGGTGGCCAAGGTCTTGCGCAGATGATCGTCTAAGGTTTTCGAGCTTAGGGCGTGAGCAATGAAGCTTGAGGTATGCCGCTTGTCTTGCAGCCATCGTAGCAGCCGTGCTTCCAGTATGCGCGCGCTAGAAGCATCTGTACTAACGCTCTTCGTCTGCAGGGTGCCGAAAATATAAAAAAAGATGGAAGAGCCGTCTCTGTGTTGAATGCTCCATGATTACGAACCGACTTTGCTGTTCTTGACGCTGCGAAGCAGACTCTTGTACTCCTAAAGCAGCGCACTGTTTTGATAAAAGGAACAGGTTCTGGCCGGGACTCGGGATGTTGAAGCTGTTAACAACTGTTCATCCTATTTTTCAAATTCCTTGCGCCGCGCTGACCAGTTTTAATGTTTCTCTTTTTTCTTCCTGTTTTATGTGTGTGTGCCGTGCTCGAGAGTGTCGCGATGAGTTTTAGAAGAGATCCTGTACCATTTACCCGTTTCAACACCAGCGAATACCCTGTTAGCATCCTGGCGATGAATGAACTGGAACTGTTTCCACCAACGCAGCAACGGATTCTTTTGGATTCTAGTAATCGCCACTCGGGACCGGGGGCAGCAGAAGTGTTCATGTGGTGTACATATGTGCCTCATGCATCCCCATCACACATGCACGTACATAAGCGCCCATATCGGGCGGGCTGTTCGGACCTTAACGGGCAAGTATCTAAATGTCATTATCGTCATTATCAATCCCAACAACCCCCAGGGGCCAGTGCCAAAGCCAAGCCAGCGCCAATGAATTTCTGAGCAGACGATGACCCCAGCCCGGGTATCCATCAATGAGAAGACTTGTCTTTCTTTCTTTCTTTCTTTTTTCCCCTTCTAGGTAGGTACCTAGGTGGTAGGTAGTATTGACGATCGCCGACAACCCCCTCTTCGAGTATTTCCTTCGGGACCGGGAATTGGGAATTAGGAATTGGGAATCGCTTTGTCCGTGGAAAAAGTACTATGTACCTAGATGGATTGGTGATATCATGGTGACCGTGTAGGAGGGGGATCTTACATTGTAACTGGTTTTGCTGCCTTGCACGGATGAATACCGCGCCCTGCCTGCCCCTCCGGGGAAGGGCTTACCCCGCGCTTGGGGCGTGGTTGTTACATTTCAATTGTGTTCTTGGACTTGTACGGGCACGGGGCTTCCCAAAACAAAAAGATAAATAAATAAAGCAAAATATTTGTTGCATAATTAAATGATAGAGAAACGCAGAGCAAGCTCAAGGAAAGGGTCTTCGATATAAATAAGATAACCATACTGCATATTGATCAATCCAAAGGAGTCTGTTACTGTTTACTTTGATTTTTTGCCTCAACTATACAAAATCGGATAGAATCTGAAAAATGAATCACATTCCATCGCATTCCGCCTCAGAAATTACCTTCCAATCGCACACAGTGGAAAAGACAGATCAACCAACAGAAGCTGATTGAAAAAGATATTCATGGAATCGAGTTGGCCTCTGCATCAAAGATGGGCTACCATCAATTCCTACTCCTACGCGTTCTGTGGATAGACAAAAGGCGAGCTATATCACTCCCAGAGGGAATCCAGAAACTGCTCCTTGATGCCACGAAAATGTTGGCGGGCTATACTCTTCACGGAAGATATACTGCGATGCTCTCGGCGGCAACTCTACGACCACCGAAGGGGATTTTACTCTTGCTCGCTATCACCAAAAGGCAGCTGCAAACAGCACAGGAAATACCAGACCTGATGCCACTTTCGATACACCAATTGCACTACGCACTCGCAACAAGCTCAAGGAAAAGGCCTTCGATATTTCTAGACTTCAAATAGTACCCAAGACACCGTCCAGGAAGCCAACAAAGCCGCCACAGACACCTGGATTACCAGACTCTGATGATGACGACGATGACGATAATCTCATAACAGATGATTATCAGGATTCCGTTGAAGCTATTACTCCAGCTGCCCATGTCTCTGAGGATCTTCAAAAGCAAATGTTTCAGCCAACAAAAGACGAGAACATTGTAAACGCTGCTCTTGTACTCTTTCTTAATGCGCTTACTATCAACTTCTGTCAACCATGTGAATGGACGATGCACAGAAAAGGGTTTATTGCCAAGTTTCAGGAAACCAGTTTCGAAGCTCGAACAGATGGGTATTTAGATGACGGCCAAGCGAATGCTTATGCGCTTGTTGAGGTCAAGCCGGTGATACGTCATGAAAAACAAAATCTTATCCAGATGCAGGAAAGTGCCCAGATGGTCGGATGGCTTATGAACAACACCAATGTAAATATAAACAACAAACCGTAAGGTTCATACCTTTGATGCTTAAGATATCCCTAACAGTTGTCTACAGGGGAATCCATATCTCACAGAATCGGCATGAGATATTTCTGACATTTGCTGATTATGATGATGACTATCTTGCATATCTTCAGGATAAACCATCAAAAGGATCGGCTTTATCATTCCTAACTATGCGTCAATACGGGCCTTGGAACACGCAATCTTTCTCTGACATGGTCGAGTTGAGCCCGATACTCCTTGCCATTACACTTTATGCTCATGCTGAAATTCAGATATAAAAGCCCCCCTAAACGAAGATAGTCTGGGAGCTTGGAACAAAAGGGGATGCAAGCTTTTAACTCGGCTTTTTGATTTTCTTTCCTTCTTGGCTTTTTTTTTTGGCTTTTTGGTACTGCCACAATTAAAATTCCAATAATGACGTCCTCTTTGGATAACAAGTAGATGTCTCTCCTTCTCTGAAGAAGTTTGTCTGTTCTTGTATATATATTCCCCTCCTGCGCACTGCGTTCTTGCGAAGACCAGATAGCTATAATCAGGATTCAATTGCTCTATGGACGAGCTGAATAGTGCCGTAGATTAGAACCATGACTGGAATAAACTAAAGCAAGATCATTTTAGCCCAGTGATCTAAAGATCCTATCACTAAAATTGGATGCAAAATTTGACTCCCATAGTTGCCTATTGAAGATTATAGGTTGGACCCTGGCCCTACTTTGTATAACTCTTTCACATGAAACGGTTCCCAGGGCAGCCGGTGTTATGGAGCGCTCACGTGTTACTCTGACAAAAGCAGCGGGCACCTGCTTCGGGCAAGCTGACGGGGCTCGCAAGAAACCATTTCAGTTAGTGTATAGCAAGGCGCTGGCAGGATCAGAACCCGGATAGATAGATGCCTGATGTAAGACATCGCATTGTAACGTGCATGACGTGGGAAGACCGTAATTGTGGATGGCTGATAGCCACTGCTCAGGTACTTATCTACTATGTACGTACCCCGGCTCAGCCACGGCTAGGTAAGGTAGTGTTGACAATGAATGGATGTATGCCTCATACCGGTAACAAAAGGGGGGTCCACAATGTGGCGGTTATCGTCGCTGTTTGGATCTTTTCGAACAAGCCGATACAATCATCATACAAGGCTGAAGCTGGCTCGAAGTGGGGGGGCCGCCTGACCGTAATGGAGGGACGGGACCCCCCCTGGAAGAAAAGGAAAAGTTCCTTGGGCAAGACAAGGAACTCTTGTTCTGTGGTTCGTGGTTGATAATATTCGAGGAGAGGGATGTCCGGTTTGAGAGGGGGGAATGACAGGTTCGAATCCCAGCCTCAGTGCTCGCTGCATCGTATTTTGATGGCCGATGGGTGATGGTTGAAGGCGGCAACCCATTCATGATGCAATAAAGATGAAGTTCAAGTCTGCTCACCGCCTCGGCTGTTCTGGCCAGTCAGAAGCCCCGATGGGTGAGGGGGTGAGGGGGCCAGTCAGATACGCGCCGTTACAATCACCTCCTTCTCAATGGTACCGCTTGAACTAGAGAGATAGATAGTAGCACATGCAGCGATCATATGAATGGGTTGGTTGTTGGTATAAGAGCAGCACGCGGAGTTCCCACCTGCTCGATCTTCAACTTTACGAGGGAATATCACAGTTGCTCCCACAGGACCATGAGGGATATACGGAGGATGGATGATGGGTGCATCTGGTTAGCAACAGCTGCTGTACGACTGTAGATCCGAGCCTGCAATCGAATGGCCGGCACCGCCACAGGAGGGGGGGGGATTTGCGGCGGGAAAAGAAATGAGGAAGATCATGGCAACGTCGTGGTCAAATAAAAGAAAAGAAAATAGATCGCATTACTCAGTCAGACTTGATTCAACGCAAATCGATTCACGACTGCTGCCATGTCAGTTGCTCCTCCAGGATCAGAGAGCCTGGTTAACCCCCTCGTGGCGCTGTGGCTAAGAATACTTCTGGACCATGGTCTGGCCCGACACATTTTTCAACACGGGGTGGTCCCTGATGCAGAGGGATTTACCAGTAATACCATCGAGATACGATAGGGGGAGGGATTTTAATTCTTAGGGGCAGCGACGGTCAAAAATGGATCGACCGGATCATCAACCAGAGGCCGCCAATTTGATACTACCAAGTTTCTACTCTGTTAGAGGCGGGATTTCTTGGGCCCGAGCTATTCTCGACCTTTAGGCTTTGGGATGCTGCCAATTCGCGACCTCCCCGAGCACACTAAATTGTTGTCGAGCTGCTAAGGGCGTCTAGGCCGATGGGCCGGAAACGCTCTGTAACTTAGTCGGCTTGGAAGGTTGAACAAATGCATGCCAGAGGGGGGAAAATGCCTCAAATAATGCAATGCAAGAGGTTACAAAAAATGAAGGGGAAAATAAAAGAAAAGAAAAGAAAAGATAGTTGCAGCAATAAGATCCACATATTCAGGCAGTACTTACTTACAAGTAAGTAAGTATTATCATAGATCGATCTATTACTCCCTTCCCCTCCACCAGTACATAGTCAGCTGTGACTGACTGACTGTCTTACCATTATTCATACAATCAGGGTCAGGCAGGCCGGAGAATCCAATGGCGACCACGCGTGGTGATACCAAAGGGCAAAAAGTAGGAAACCTAAAAATGACTCCTTTCCCCAACGGGTCCGACTGGGGCAAGTTGGGACGCCGTAATTGCGACAGCCCGGATACCCGTACCGTACAGCCCCCGAAGGGCAGAATCCCCAAATGCCGTCAGAGCACGTCACGCGACGGGGCGGTGGGCCGTGGCAGCAAGAAAGCGGTTAGGCTGGCGGTACGGCCACTTTACGGAGTCGAGAGTCATAGTCATACATCATCCTGCTGCTGCTTCGTTCATATCTTTCGGCCCTGGCGGTAACTCTAGTTACTCTTGTCTGTCGCTCTCAACTTTTGCTCTTCTTTCTTCCTTTCCTCTCCTCTCCTCTTCTCCCCTCCCCTCCTGCCCCTCCCCTCCTGCCCCTCCCCTTCTCCAACTGCCTTGTGTATACCTTCATATCGTTTACTTCCATCCTGCATATTCTTCGTTGGCCTTTCTCTGTCTTCACTCGGCCATCCAATTGATCAATCCAACCTTTGTCTCTCTCCCTCAAACCACCATCTACACCGACCACCACTCATCTCTCAAGGTAAGCGAATCCACCCCTCCCCCCTTATCAGCATCGCTGGCATGCTTTTCATCTCCATTGCTCCAATGCTTGGAACTCCCACTCCCCTCGTCAAGATCGGGCGGAGAGGAGCCAAGACAGGGAAGAATGTGAGAGGGGATCGGCTTCGCATGGCACCTATCTTATCGAACTGCTGCGGGCTATGTACAATCCCTGCACGAGATTTTAGCCTGTTGCCCTCGTCATTTGTCCCCCTCATTGGAACCTTACGCTTGGACCAGAGAGCTCAGGCCGTCAGGCCAAATTTCACTCCCTTAGTTCCCCCCCATTCCAATCCAGTCACCTATGCACAGCTGCCCTGCTCTAGCTTCATCCCACGCCCAACCATTCCCACCTGCACGAATACCCATGTGGCCCAATCCTGTGGTTCTTGGACTCCCTGGAAGCTAACACATGATAGAATTGAATTTCAGCACATATCTAATTACCATCACGAGACCGACCATGACTACACAAACAGCTCCCGTCATTCCTCCCCGGCCGTCAAGATCACCCCAACAGGGCCTTGCACCGACATCAGCAGACATGCCCAGAATCCCTCCTCGTCCCACCCAGCGCATCGAGCGCTCCGTGTCTCCTTATCGCGATAGCTATGCGCCATCCCCATTGAACGAACTGCCCAACGGGTCGAGTATGAAGCGCCTCTCTGCGAGTGATCTGCCTCGGCGCCCTCCGAGTGTGACAATACCATCTTTGGGCGAAGAGGGCATCGAGTACGCCGACCTGGATGTCGGCAATGCCTCGGATGGTCACCAGCCGACCCCCGCAGAGACACGGAACGTGGGAAGCGATCTCAAGCTTCATGCGCCAAGACCGTCGCTGCCCCAGTATAGTGCTGAGGCCAAAATGCAGACCGTTACACGTACGGATTCCCGTCAAGCTGCCGCAGCAGGTCTGGGTCGCGCCGCGTCTCCCCTCCATGACGATCAATCTGAACGGCATACCCGTTCAGTGTCACGGGCCGAGTCAACTGGCTCCGTCGATCGCCGACAATCGTTTCACGGGGATGAGCATGGCATCCCGGAAATCGGACAGAGAGTCCCGATGTACCCCAACGCGGGTGATGTCCAAGCTCCCTCACCTAGTCCCTACGTCGTAGAGCACCAGCACCAGCACCAGAACCAGAACCAGCGTCCGGGACGCAATCATCAACGCACTCGCAGTGGCCGTGAGGCTTCTCTGCCTCCTGGAAGTTATGGCCTGCATGGACACGGTGTGCCTACAAACGACAAGTTCGAAAAAGCTTGGTATGATAAGCACCCCGACGAATACGTCCGGGAAGAAAAAGGCCAGTATGGCCCTGGTGTTGGCAGGCCAAGACCCACCTGGGCTTTGAGCAGTGATGACTTGAACAAAATCGTCCGAAGCTCTGCCGTGACTGGTTCTGGATACGGTAGGTCTCTAGTACACTATCTGCAGGGAGGAGGCTAGTGCTAACATGGATACCTAGGCACCTCGCCTGCTGTGGTAGGAACTCCAGAAGAGGAGGTCGGTTACATTGCCTCCGACGAGTACTCCCGCCCGACTTTTGAATCGCCCCTCCGCAATTCGAGCGTATCCGCCGCCGGATCGAACCAGCAGGATGATACCGTTGAACAGAACCCCTCTCCCAAGAAGGAAGCCCCTCGAGTGATCCACGTTGACGAGCCGTATCATCATCTGCACCATCCCGATGGGTTTGCTCAAACCCCGGGTCCGGAACAGCTCACTCACGGAGCCGGTGAAGGAGATGTCGCCGAAGACGACGCCATCCTGGCTGCCGATGAAGTGCGCCCTGAATCTGCCTTCCAGCACCCTGCAATCTCGCCTACATTTGGCAGGAGCGGTAGTATTGACCACGAGGGCAGGAGTCGCACACCAAGCGTGAACCATAGCCGCTCTAACAGCAGGACCGCTAGCAATCATGGCGGCATGCCATCTCTGACAAGATACGACTCGCGCGAGGAGCACGCGGGTACATACACACCTCTCGAAGATGTTGAAGAATACGAACCCTTGTTTCCAGAGGAAGATTCAAAGAATAAGAAGGCCGTCTCGACCGCAGAGCGCTTTAAACAGCGTCCGGATTTGAAGCATCGATTCCCTAGTCAAGACATCTGGGAAGACTCGCCAAATAGTTTGCAGCTGCACACTACCGTGTCTACACCGGACATTCCCAAGGAGGAGACCTTTGAAACTCCGGAGGAAGAATCGTTCCGCAGAAGCCAGGCGCCTCATCTTGACGCTCATCAAGTCGCGACGCAGATCTTGGAGTCAGAAGACCGTGGCAGCAAGCCACCCATCCGCCCGGGAGTGGGCAAGCAGAGGTTCCCTAGTCGCGACATCTGGGAGGATGCACCTGAAAGTCACAACCTGGTGACCACAATCGAGCCGTCGGAAGAGGAAGTGAAGAGTCCGGAGGTGCCCTCAAAGCCAAGTATTCCGGCTCGGCCCCAGAAACGCCCTCAACAAGCTCCTGCAGTGGATGCTTCCACAAAGCCCGTCACCTCGCCAATTGAGAAGCGTCAACCACCTCTTATCCCGGATAGGCCCAAGCCACAGATCCCGAACCGGCCTGCCAAACCCATCTCCGAACCCAAAGACGTAGCCGCCAAGCCAAAGCCCGCCGTGCCAGCTCGTCCCGGCGGCAGCAAGATCGCCGCTTTGAAGGCCGGGTTCCTGTCAGACCTGAACTCGCGGTTGCAGCTCGGCCCGCAAGGTCCGCCACCGAAGCCGCAAGAGAAGGAAGAACCCCCGGCGGAAAAGCAGCCGTTGAGCGACGCCCGGAAAGGAAGAGCCCGTGGACCCGCCCGGAGAAAGCCTGCCGTTGAGAAAACCACCACGAGACTGCCAACAATCCCCGAGATCAAGATCACCACCACGTGGAATGTCTTCGAGGTCGGCGAAGATGGCAACCTGGTCGTGGGGGCTGCTGAGGTTAAGGCCCCGGCTCCCGAGACCACAACTCCTCAACCCATGGCCCCAGCACTAGCAAAGAACGCTGCTGGGGAATCCGTTGACCCACTGCCATCACCTCCAGTGGAGCAAGAAGACTCCCCTGTCTCGCCAGGAGACGCGAAAGTGATCGAGACCCAGGAGCCTACTTTCACAGACGCCACCCACTCGATATCAACCAACGACAGCCCGACTGAACCCAGTCTCGCTGTCGAACCCGTCGTCAAGGAAGACGTGCCTGCCGACGTTGAGACCCCGCAATCTCCCGAGCAAGTCCTGGACGATGTCGCCGAACGCCTAGCGGCTTCTGCCGATGGCAAACGGCTCTCAACAGGCAGCATTGAAGAAGCCGAGTGAAGTGGCTTGCTTCTAAATGGTCATGAATGTGGCCTGTACTCGTGCTTTTTGTTTTCTTTCTTCGCGTTCTGTGCCCGAATCATACTTTCCCTCATTCACCGATGGATAGCACATACAATGTCCCCTACCTACTAATCTATCTACCTCTTGTTGCTGCGCAGTGGTGGATCGGATCATCAGAGCGTCCGACATGGTAGAGTAGCTAGTCTACTAAGCTTGGGTACATGTACTCGCCGTAATCACTGTACATTCATTTGAATTGTGTTATGACGAATATACTACTGCTTGTGTTTTCTTGGTACTCTACCGCACTGCATACTCCTTACAGGCATAAGACCATTGTAGATGGGTGGGGATATCTATGCAAACGCTTTCTTTCGATTGTCAATCTGTTAATAGCTTAATCAAATGTACGAATTTAGGTAGGCAGGCAAGGTATCAAAATGCTGCATGCTGCATACTGCATGCTGTGCTCCGCAATCGCAATTGCACTAAAAAGTAAGAAAACAAAGCAGAAAAAAAAAACAAAAGAAGAGAAAGACAGAAACATTTTCGTCCAGGATAGATAGATCGATAAACAATCAGAGGAAAATCACAAAATGCCGCACGCAGGAATGTGCAATCAAGTGAATCAATCAAATCAAACCAAACCGAATGAAACCGAACCAGCACTGAGATATGAAATAGAAAGAGAAGGGGAGGGGGGGGAAGGGGGAGGGGAGTAAGTAGATCAAAATCAACCTAATTTTCTTTTTCTTTTTTTTCTTTTTTTTTTGTTTCAGTTCAATATAAACAAACGCAGAGATGGAAGGACTAATACCTAGAGCGGTGATGCATACGAGGGACAAAAGAAAAAAAAAAAAAAAGGCACGAGAATAAAAAGTAATGTCGATGGGTGAATGGGTGCATTCTTGAAACTGGCAATAGCAATCAATCAACCAACCATCAAGCACATCCGGACCACTTGCCCATTTCCCCGTAGAGATAGATAGTACCAGGGGACAGAAGTCTGCATCTGCAAGGAAATGGAGCGAGATTGGTCTATTGGATATCTCTTTTTTTCTTCCTCTCTTTTTTGGTTTTTTTTTTTTGGTCTTTGTCTATGTGGTCGGGGGGTATCATGTTTATTCTGGGTAGTAAAGTAGCTAGGTGGTAGGGTTGGTCGGTAGGTAGGTAGGTGGTATATATCTGACTAGAAGGGGAGAGAGAGACAAGTTGACAAAGGGAATCAACTGTCTGTTTGTGAGGGAAAGGGTCCGGTCCGGTCCAGTTCAGTCCAGGCCCAGGCCCAGGCCCAGGCCCAGCAATCTAGCTAGCAGGGAGATTCTTCAGATCACCTTTCCCGTCCTTGATCCATGCGGGGTCGATCAGGCGCTCACGTTCGGCGTAAAGCTGCTTGTAAGCACCGCGGATCGTCCCGTCGCTGACGTGCGCCACCTGTGATATCTCCTTGGCGGATTTGCCTTGACCCATCAAATACGACGCCATGTAGATGCAAGCGGCCACGATGGACAGGGGGGACCGACCAGCCAGATCTCCCATCGTGGTCACGCGATCCGAAAGAGAAGAGGACACACTGGTGACCTGGAAGGGCAGATCAAGCAGGTTACAGAAACGGTTGCAGAGATCGCTGGGTTTGGTGGAGGTGGTCGCGGTGTAGGTGTCGTTGGGGTCAGGCACGCCTCCGCTCGAGACCACAGCGTTGATCCGCTCCAGGTTCTGGGCCGTGAAGAACTTCTCCAGAGCCTTGTATATACGTCCGATTTCCTTGCGGGTGACCTTGGTGACTGCAAATATCTCCGTGAAGGTACGGGGCACCTTGCATTGACGGCAGGCAATGAAGATACAGCCCGCAATTATCACATCCTGAGATTTTCCCTTGAAGGCCTTCGCGTCATCGACAACCTTGAAGAGATACTTGGCGGTATCCGCCACGTTCTTCTGGATGTTGAAACCATCGCAGAGAGCACCGATTTCCTTGTAAGCCGCCAAAAGAGCCTTGTTCGCCTTCTCGCTCGACTGCTTGTTCTGAGCACGGTACAGATCGCGGACTCGACCGGAACCACCGCTGGCAATCTGGGTTTCCAGCTGATCACCATTCAAGAGCGGGTTCGTAGCATCTCCCACACGCGACGGGTCGTCGTTGTTCTGGTCATCGTTCGAAAAAGTACGCCACTCGGAATGCATATCAATTTCACGATCAGCAAGCACCAGCCCACATGATCCACAAACGGTTTCGTGAGAGCCAGGAAACTCCAGGTTCGGTGGCACTTCCTTGCACTCGGGGCAAATGACGTGGGCCGAAAGGTTCTTCTTCCACTGGGCCGGGTCGGCTCTCGCTGCGGCTGAAACAGCGGCCATACTTTTCGGATGATCTAGTGAAATCGGATATCTGCTGCAGTCTATTTGCGATCGTCGTGGAGGGAAGTCGAGAAGCTGGTGTTCGCGAGTGGAGGAACGAGTGATAGGCCTTAAGTGAACGGGCTCTCAAGAGAAGGAGCGAAAAAGGACGGGACAGCAGCGAGGCAAACGGCTCAAATTGATAGGCAAGTTACGTCTCTGCGTCACTGCCTTGGGTAACTCATGTTAGCCTGAATGCCCCAAGAAATCTTAGATCTAGCCACTCCGCTGGTGAAGATGCAGGAATTCCCCGAGGGAAAAGGACCTGACGAGGAACAACCCGGTCGAGCACGACTGGTTCCCCCCGACATGCTGCGAAACCTCCAGGAGGGATTCAGGTTCTATGAGCTAAAGCTTTACCTTTCCGGGCAGGTAAAGGACTCTTGGTCCTGCCAAAGTTCCCAGAGTAAAGCACTGGCGTACTCGGTGGAACTCCTACTCCGGCGTATTCCCCGGAAGCCTCGAAACCAAACTTGCCCGACCGCAATGAACCAGTCAAGGTCTCCGTGAGGGTGTTGATCTCACGGAAAAAGGGCCGCAGAACCTGACAGGTAGCCGCTGCAAGTGGAGATCTAAGTGATCGAGACGAGCAGAGCAACGTGAGATGTCGGATTCCCAGACAAGAGAGGCCGTGTAAGAAGGTGGCTGGAGGGGGGTTGTCCGAAGGGGGAGGAGGGAGAGGGGGAGGGGGACAAAGAAGGACGCGAGAAGAAGAGAGCAAGAGAAAGAAGAAGAGAGGAGAAGGCGAGGTTGAGGGGCGGCAATTGATTATTCAGACAGCGAAAAGCCGGGAGCCGCAGCCGCAGCTGAGTCAGCCGCCAAGCCGAAGCCGCCCGAACAAACGTTGAACTTCCAACATCGGCTTCAAACACCAGCACTCGCTCTCCTCGCAGAATCCCACTTATCCGTGCCCCCCTCAGCCATCCCCCCCTCCCACCGCCGCGATGATGTCCCAGTCCCTCAGAGCTTCCGTGAGTATTCAAGGAGCTGGAGATCTCCTCCGTGACATCGACCGGGCCCCTTGTGACTGACCCGGTTTGACAGCGCTCCCTCTTCGCCCGCGTCTCTCGGCAACAGGTTTCTTCTGTGTCTCGCCGCACTTTCCTGACCTCCGCTGTCCGTCAGGGTATGTCACTCCCTTATAAACATGCCACCACGCTCCATCAGCCATGGGCGCCGTCCATTGGCACCCTCTACATGCATCTGAGGCATCTACGGAATCTAACATCTTGCAGCCGACGCCGTCCAGGAGCTCTACCTCCGTGAACTCCGTGCCTACAAGCCCACCCCCATCAAGGCCAGCGACGCCGACGCTCACGTCCAGAAGTTCTCTCCCCCCGCGGCCCCCCAGTCCCCCGAGGAGGCCAGCCTCGCCAATGAGCTGAAGGACTACGAGAGCCAGGAGGTCGAGGTTGAGGGCCAGGCCGCCGCCGGCGAGGCCGCCCCCGTCGAGGAGAGCTGGTTTGTGGAGGAGGAGGAGGAGACCCCCGCTGCCCACTAGGTTTTTTCTTGTCTCGACGACAAAGATTTAGGGAAAGTCCGGGCTAATAGACAATGGGGATGGACTGACGTTGATATCACCTGTTGCTCGAGTCCTGCAGTGACGTTGTAAATTAAACCTACCTTGGAGCACATGAAGTTTCTTTTTTTCCCCCTTAAGCCCTCTCTGGAACATGGCATGCATTTCCGTGGTCGGAAGGTAATCCGGACGTTGTAGTTGGTCCCAATGGCGAGAAGGGAGGGAGGGAGCCGGTGAGGATAGTATCAATCTAGATATCAATCAGCCCTTGGGCGAACGGAAGGGGGAGAGAGGCTGGGCGGGTCCCCCAGAGTGCAGAGATTGGCCTCAGGCGACCGTGGCGGCAGGCGGGATGGATATATCCCGTCCACCCAACACCGAGCTCGCACTGATTGATAAGTCGCAGCACTGTCCCCGACCACTCCAGCCTTGATCCAAAGTTACAAACCGAACGGGATGCAAATCGCATCCTGCAATGATGACCCCCGTGTGCGACGTGTGAAAGTTACGAACCCACCTGGTCTCTGTCGGTGCAGTGCACATGGGCGCGGACTTGCTTGTTTACTACCTAGGTACGCTGTACTCCGTACCTGGGTAGGACTGACTATCTATCTACCTTACCGAGCTACCTTACTTCAGGCTGAGAGTCGATCAATAACGTGTACTTCTTCATCGGGTGTGAACTGTGAAGGACAGGACGGATCCCCGTTTGAATTGCAGACCAGATCGGTCGAATGGGAGTGGCTGCAGGGGAGGGTACGCAGAGGCCTTGTTGTTCTCGCGCGGCTGCAGAGGGCGATATGACAGCTCCAGGACGGCCCTCAGACCGCTAAACTGCTGCCCTGGGACTGGGAGATGCCTAGGTACTTGACTCATCCCGAGTCTGTGTGGATGGGTCTGTATGCATGTAAGTATGTCTGTCTATCTGTCTACGACATCTCAGCAGCAAACATATGGTTCGTACATCCCGACTGCAGGGTCGATCCATGGACCGATTGATGGAGGTGATAGACAGTCAGACGGTTAGATACCTTGTTCTTGTTCTGATACTCCAGGTATCCTGGCACGGATCAGGGCACCGTGGCAGGGATGAAATGGCTAGGGGGGGGGGGGGGGGGGCAGTTCATCATCAAGGTTATTATTCCGCGAGTGACGTTGTTGGCTGGAAGGAATGCAGCGGTATTCTCCAGGTGGACAGTTTCTAACTGTACCACATTCCTCGGGGAATCGGATTGGCGGGCATTACGCCACTGTCTGATGCGCCATAACGATCGTGATTAAGATTCGAATGGCGACCTGACTGTCTGAAGAGGACTCGGGGCGGGTCTCCTGCAGTGGTACTGAGGGTGTGCACCCCGTATCTACTCCGTACCCCGTTCGATATACTTACGGATTACGGAGCACTGAAGATGGGAGATCGGGACGGTGACGAAGAAGAAGGCCTCAGCCAAACTCCTCGTTGGAACCCTAGCTCACTCACTAACCATGCCAAGTCGAACACGCACCGCATTACTCATCGTGTTTCACGATTACCCCATACAGTAACCAGAAAGGGTCTAACATCAGGGTCCTGCCAAGGACCATTCCCTCCTGTACGAAATAGAGCACTAGTCACTAACAATATCGCGGAAGAATGTCCTCCTCTCCCTTCATCGAGTCAGCGGGTATCGACGAGGGTTGAACGCTACCGCTAGCCAGCCTGTGCCTGCAAGCCTCTGTTGGACGCACATGCAGCGAAGTCTGACACCGGAGGGCAGAGATAACCGAAAGATAGAGAAAGAGGGAGGAAGAGAGAGAGAGAGAGGAGAAAGAACCCGACATATCTACAAAGTAGATAGGTGGTACTCCCAAGGTGGACGTACGGTACCGTCATGGTACAGCGGTGCCCCATTAATAGTCCCAGCCTAGCGATCCGATACTTTCCTGGCTCCCATAGTCCGGAGTATGCGACTTCGTATACTCCGCACAGTAACCAGCTCGCTTCCCACAGGGCCAAGAAGGCGTGTGGTTATTCATAGCAATTGCGCCCGGTCGAATGATTCGCCATGACGCAATTATTGAATTTCCCTTCCCAGCCTTGCATTGGGGGGGGGCCCATGTATTGGGTTTCGAGGCTTGAGCACAATCCTCCGTCCGAGAGAGAGCGAGGGCAGCGCACAATGAGAACTGGGCGATGGGAAGGATGCTTCCACTGTTAAAATGGTCGACGCTTCGAATCACCCGAAGGGATTTCCCATTTCATTCTGGACGAGTCCTCGGTTCGGATGACTGGAATTCCGCTGGGGATGGGGATGATACGTACGTAAGGCAGTGAGTGAGTGTTGAGGGGGGGGGAAGGGGACAGAAAGTACGGGGCGCGTATGGAGTACCGCCAGCGATACATACCGTATGGACGGGGCAACTGGAAAGTACATGGCAGGCTGGCAGGCAGAGAGACTGGCAGCAAAGAACGACAGGGGAAATAGAGAAAAAAAAAAAAAGAAAGAAAGAAAGTAACAAAAAAGCAAAGAGAATAAAATAATGAAGAACTACTCGGGAAAAATTCACATCTTAACATCTTAAACGTGGTGAGATTCCCAGTCCTGGTGCTCTCTCCCCTTCCAGGCCTCCACACCCTCTCTCTCTCCCACTCTCAGCATCACCACCGCTTCCGAACACCTGGTGATTCCACCCGTCCACCAGCCTCAATCAGCCTTCCAGGGCATTAGTTTAATTTTGCTTGTCTCCAAACTGCTTGTTGCTTGGAACCTGAAGGGCTGAGTGAGGCCAGGCTGGATCACAGCAACGGCAGGCTGCGGGTGTATGTAATGAGTGCGAATGAATGAATTGAAGATTATTATTGAAAGTTGAAACCGGTCAGTGTCCAGCCTGCCTTCTGCCCCATTCGGCCTGCTGCTGCTTGTCATCCATCCTCCATCCGCCATCCGCTATTCTCTCTCTCTCTCTCTTGCTTCCTCCCTCCCTCTCCCTCTCCCCCTCTATCCATCTTGCCTTGTCTGCCTCTGGCTCCTTTCTCCCTGTCTGTCTCTCGCTTCCCTCATCTTCCTCTTCGCCTTTACCTTCACCCCCCCCCCCCTCCTCCTCCCTTCCTCTCTTTGTTCCCGACATTCGTTTCTTCGGCTTCCTGCATGCTTCCTTCGCTGCGTCCCTACTCGCATATAAAGAATTAGGGGGAAAAGGGGAAAAAACCTGAATCCAGAAATTAAAATTAAAACGACACGGCGACCAGACCTCCTGCATCCACCTCCCACCTGCCCCTCGTTGAACCGTCAATCGTTTATCATCTTTATCCGCTGCTATACTTGCTTCCTCCTCCCCCCCCCCCCAAGTCTACGCCCGGAATTCTTCCCGTCCGTCGATCAACCCGCGCGCCCTTCTTTCCACTCCCAGCGCTGGCTAACACTCCGTCCTTAGTCGGTGTACATACCTCCTCGACTATTTCCCCGTTTAGCTTTTCCGAGACGGTCGCCGTCCGAGCGCTGTTGTCGCCTACTGCCGCATCCGCTTGACGTGGTCGCTTGCCTGTCCTCCGCCGCCTGCCTGCACCGCCGCCGCCAATCCACCCCCCTCCAATTCTCCAAGCCTCCCTCCCTGCCGGGCCCTCCGTCCCTCCCCACCGGTGTCCAGGCGTTTCAATGCTACTGGAAGAAGCTCGCCTGCATATGATTTGATCGCCCTCGGCGTGCATTTGCTGTTGTGCATGGAGGAGCTGGTCTCCCCAACGCCCGCTTGAGCGATAGCTAGTATACTGCGCAGTCGTCCTCGGCTGGGGGAGATGTACACCTCGCCAGGGCTCTTCCTTCGCATGGTTCTCTAGTCAGACCGGGCTATCCTTGAACCTTGACCATGTCTTCCTCCTCTCCAGACCTCACAGATCCTCATCGCGATGACGAACACGCCCACCTCTCCCATGCCGCCAGCTACAACCACCTTCCCGATCTGGCAGCCGAGGCAGGCCGTCCGGGCCTGCGGAGGACATTCTCGGATCTGACACACCCCATCAAGGCGGAGTCGCCGTCAAAGGAGGATGTGGCTGCGGGAAAGGACATCTTGCGACGGACCTCCCTTCGCTCCAAAAATAAATCGACCATTGCGGTCTCTCGTTTCACCGTGTCCACCGAAGACCTGTCCGATACAGCCCCCTCCGAGCCCCCAGCGCCCCCGACGAGCGTCCCGGAAACAAGGGCTCCCTCGCCCGTTGCCCGTCCCTCCAAGGCCCGTTCAATGTCTGGCCGCCTCGTCAGCTTGGCCCGGAAACCCTGGGTATCCAACTCTCCTCCGTCCGGGAAAGGCTCTCGGCTCCGTTCCTCGCGTGCAGAGGAACAATCGTCCCTAAATCCACCGATCCCACCATCCAGGATTAGCGGTCAAACAGAGCTTGAGGCGGAATCAGAACTGGCTGCTCCAGCCCGCCGGCGGACTCTCCTGAACAAACGGCCACGGCGCCCAATGGTCGCGGTAGTGACCCAGAGTCGAGCAGATAGCCCGAGCAGCAATTCTTCGCCTCAATCATTGGTGGCCAAGAATTCCCTGGAAAAGCTCGCCGCGTCGCTGAATGTATCAACACCGGTCCTTCCCCCGGTGCCCAAACCACCAACCCCCGCAAATATACCCGGCAGTATGGACGTTCCGCGGAAGAAGGATGAACTGTGGGGTGTCTTCCGGGGCCTTGAGGCTGACTTCCAGAAGTGAGTTCCACTGGTGCAAGGGAAAACGGTGTGACTAACTCTTTTACAGGTTTCAGACAAAGTCTAGTGCCCTAAAAGCTAATGTCATTCGCTCGGCACTACTGCCATTCTTGAGCCGCAATCATTCACATCAGTGCTATAAAGATTTGAGGCCAGAGGACCTAGACCGCCGCGTGAACATCCTCAACAAATGGTGGACAGGATTGCTGGAGATGCTCAACGGCAAGAACAACCAGTCCATATCCGGCACGGATAGGCCAGTGTACTTGGAGGCGATTGTTGGCATCATGACTCGCTCCGAATGGAGGGTTCCTTTCCCGCTGCCGTCATCCAGCGGCGGCTTCCCAAGGCCACTGAAACATGCGTCGACTTCGATATCGGAGAGCTCGGAAGGCTCCTCGGGGTCTGACTTTCTCCTGGAGTCCATTCATCATAACATAAGGAACATCTTCACGCAGAACTTACTGTCTCAGATGTCTTTTGTCGTTGAGCGGATGTCTATGAGACATGCACCGGCCAGCTTGGTCGCGTTCTGCGGGAAGGCCTGCGCATATGCCTTCTTCTTCTGTCCCGGTGTTGCCGATATCCTTGTGCGACTGTGGAACACGCCTCCCAGCGTCTTTCGACGAGTGCTTGCCCAGTCAAGCTCTGACAAGAGTAGTGGTACGCGCGCATTGACCCAGGAGCTCGCCCAAAACTTCCCCACGGCCTTGCGGACACTAGCCTTCCACGCCCATACCAGCCTGGTTCGGTACCTTCGTCAGAAGCCTGACGTTCCCCTCAGCACAGCTCAGATTCCGTGGCAGAGTCCGTGGGTTACGCGGTGGAGTGGCCGGGATACGGACCTTTTTTTCGTTTTCGTCAAGTACATACATGTTTTATACGCGGATGCGCTGCCACTCGAGCTCGAAAAGTCGAAGCGCATCTTGGCGCCTGGCCTGCTGCCGATTCATTCGCAGCTTCTTGTTGTTCTAGAGGATACCCTGTACAAACAGTCTATGCCCCAAATGTCGGAGACCAACCACACGGCGGCTGCGGTCACGTTTGATGATTTCATTGAAGGCGCCGATGCCGCGGTTTCGGCGCTCCCGTTGGGAGCTGCGAACAACCATCGCCTGATGGCGGAAAATCGGTTGATCATCCTACTTCGAGATTTCCTCTCCGAGTCCTCACTCGAGCCGAATCACGCCAGGTTATTCTATGCCGAGTCCTTCTGTACCACCATGAGAGCGGCTGCGGAAAGAACATCGCTGTTCGATCACAATGCATGCTTTCTTCTGTGTGACTTTGTGGAAGAGGTTCTTCCGATCATCACCCGTTACTCTCAGGCCCTGGGGACCGATTTGTTCGATTGGAAGTTCTGGCTCGAAGTTTGTCGTCAGATGATGCAAAGCCACAACTCCCTTACTGAAGTTCGGGTCTTCTCCTTCCTATTCTGCGTCTGGGGCACTTGGACTAGCTCCGAAGAAAGAAAGGCAGATCTCTGTTTGGGTTTTCTTTTAGACGAAACTCTCTTCTATCATTACTTCAGCCATTGGAGTCCTATGGTTCGTGCGTATTTCCATCGTCTTCTGTGCTGGAGGCTGGGGAGATTTAGTGATGACCCTGCGCCTCTTGACACGTCGATTTACGAGACGCTCTGGAGCCGACTACAGCGCACCTGGGACTACTATCTTGCTTTCCAGGCCAAGGCCGACGATGAACTCACTGCGCCGCTATCTTCGGCGCCGTGTACGCCAGCGCCAGGGCGGAGAATCATCATCATCCGCTGTGACAATCAGCTGTCACCCTCGAGCTTTTTCGTGTCTTTTGACCGGGTCGTCCCTCCCGCCCCACAAGAGAAGGCTTCTGCATTCTCGAGCAGTAGCACCAGTTCCTCGAAGACGGACACGCCGGAGGCCCCGCCCCCGCCCAAACGGAAATGGAGCATCCTGAAAGCCATGTTCGGTAGCTCTTCTAGCGTGAAATCCAGCGGAGAGGCGTCCTCTTCCAGCAGCTCCGATGAGTCGGATTCCGCTAGCTCTGAAACCATTGCGGCAGCGGACAAATCTCTCGACGGCCATTTTCGGCCTCAGAATGAATCCGGGGAGCTCAGCCGGCCCCGGACCGCGCATCAGCCCTACTCGTTCAAATTCTCGCTGGAGTGGATGGACCGGCCCCAGTGGCCTAGCAAGAACAAGCGTCTTTTTACGCCCTGTCTTCCCGTGGGCTCGCAGCTGCATCTGCAGCTTCGGAAATCGCTGGCGAGGCAGGACGAGTATGATACAGCGTCAGAGTACGTATCAGCCGCCGAGGAAGAGGAAGACGAGGATGCCGCGAGTAGCGACCTCCAAGGTACGCTCGAGTCGGACGAACAAGACGAAGCACCGACAGACAACACCACCGAGTCGGAAAAGCAGTCCAGCGGGCTTGATATCAAGCTCGTGATTAATGACAAAGTCGCCGCTAGCAAATACGCAGGTCGCGCGCTTGCGGAGTGGGCGCAAATCGTGTCCGAATGCGACAGTTTCTTCGCCCGAAGACGCGACGAGGGTGTGCCCTGCGATCGCCTGGTCGAAACACCGACGCTGGGCGTTGAGGGTTTCCGTAAGTAGGCATCACCAGCATACAGAGTCGAGGGCGAAACACGTATACGCGAATCCTACCAGCTCAGCTTGCCCTGGCGGCGATATCCTGCCGTACAGGGACTCACTCAATCTTCCCCCACCACCTTACCTACCATCCACCCCTGGTAGATGACCTTTTCCATATTTCCATTTCAGCGATCAATAGAGCCAACAACAGAATCATTCCCGGTTCCATTCCCCACTACACATCCTAAGCCACATTACTACACTCCATCCATCCATCCATCCATACATATACATACAACCCACCATCTATCTACTCATCAAAACCAACAATCCGACCACACACAATAGCACAAAGGCACAAAACGGGGATAATGCATATTTAATACTTTTCTTTTTCTTTTTTTTTATCTTCTCTCTCCTTGTTCCGTCGTCTCCATCCACGACATGTACTGTATATATAACATAACCTGGGTTGACTTGACTTGACTTGACTGATACATAACACACACGGCGCATGCATGGATGGGATGAGGGGGTTTTCTCTCCTTTTTGTTTTTTGCAGTCAAATCAATCTACTACATCTAAGCGGGGTCTGGCTGGGGCTTTGGATTTTTTTTTTTTATTTATTTATTTTATTTTTCATGAATGGGTATTCTTTATTTTATTTTTTTATTCTTCTTGTTGTTGGGTGCGTGGTTCTCTTTTTTCTCTTTTTTCTTAATTTCTTTTTTATATGGTTGGCGTTGTTGGTAGGGATGTAGCTAGCTAGCTAGGAAAGGTAGGTAGTGGGCAGTGGATAGCTGGATGGATGGATGGATGGATGAATGGCTGTGATACAATTGTAATGGCAATGCAATGCAATGCAATGCATTCATGTATATGCTTGCAGTGTGTTGAATATATGATTATTTATGTGTTTGTTTTGTATTGTGTTGTGTTGTGTTGTGTTGTGTTGTGTTGTTTCTGTGTCTGTGTCTGTTTTGTTGGTGTTATTATTGGTGTTCGTGTTGAGGTTGTTAGTGTGAATGGATCATGGATTATGGATGTGGACGAGGATGAGGATGGGAAAGGATAGGGGGTGGTAAGGGATGGATGAATAACTATTGGGCAGGGGTAAGGGTGGATTGGATTAAGTTAGTGAGTCAGTCCATTCCATGGACTTAATTAATCTAGATATGTACTATGTAATAAACGATCGACGAATACCTTTACTACTTTATTTTATTTACGGAATATCTATCTGTCTAGTTTCTGGGGATGATAGGTTATGAGGTTATTACCTACCTACCTACCTACCTACCTCCCTACCCAAGTTCACTAGTTGAGCGTAGTATTAGAGTCAACGAATAATCATCCTTTTCGGAGAGTCAAGTACTTGAAAGGAAGAAGGAAAGAAAGAACTGAAAGAAGGAAAAGGTAAGAGTTATATAAAAACATGAGTTACTTTAGTTATATACGTACCATAAATACATGTTTACATACAAGTGAGATACTATAAGAGAGAGAAAATTAATTACCTTATATTCACTCACTAATATATAGTATAGTAGGTAGGTAAGATAGGGGTTGATTGATGGATGGATGGATAGATAGGTAGGCAAGCAAGGTACATACATACATACATATGTAGTAGGTACGGGTGTAAAAGAGGTAAAAGAGAAAATGAAGTAGAACAAGATCATGTAAAATAAGATAGATTGAAACGCCCGGTTCGCCAGAATACACACGCACACACACACACACACACACACAAATACACACACAAATACACACACAAATACACACACACACACACACACACACAAATACACACACAAATACACACACAAATACACACACACAAGGAGAGAACAAGAGGGAGGTACAAAAGAAGAAAAGATCAAACAAACCCATCACGGTTAAGGCTAGGTACGTAGATACAGAGACGAAAGATAGACAGACAGAAAGTAGGTCAATCAATCAGTCAGTCAGTCAGGAAGATAGATGATACGAAACTCGGGTTAGGAGCCACTACATACACGGAGATGAAGATCAGGAAGGCATTGCATGAGAGAGATGGGGGCGGTGATGAGAAGCAACAGGGAGGGGAAAGTCAATGCCTGTCTATCAAGGGAAACAGTATTTGCCAAGGAAAGGGAATCTTTTGGACAAACAAGAGGGAAATACACAGAGGTAGAGAGGGAGGAAGATGAATACTGTGCAATTGGAATTGGGGTGTATATAACTGGCGCTGGGGGGTCGAAGTCTGTAGAGGTGGTATGGTATGGTATGGTGCGAGGAAGAGGAAGGGAAGGGAAGGGAAGGAAGCGGTAGAAGATATTACTAGATCATGTATGGATGAAGAGCTGGTCGCCGGCGAAGCTGAGGATGTCTGCCACCCGGTCGATCCATTCCTGGGTCAGGTTCCAGTTGCCAGAATCGATACTATCCCGGATGGCGGGGAAGAAGGTCGGGTCGTAACCGGACCAAAGCTCTGGGCCGAAGATGACATGTTTGAACTGCGTGCGGTTCGGGACCTGTTGAGACGGGTGTTGTTAGATTGATATCCTTCGGAAAGGGTGTATGGGTGTATCGGGTCACTTACTCCGCCATCGGGCCGGTCGTCGAGAAGATGCGTCTCGAAGTGGGACAGCTTGACGTTGTGTTTAAGTCGCTGAATGGCAATCACGTTGTTCTCGTACCCCCCTGAGCCCCAGACGCTGTCGTGCCAGACCTGAGCCCAGCCTTGGAACTCCGCCGTGTCGGCCTTGAGCTTCGCGGCGGCCTGGTGCAGGGGGGTGAAGGTCACGGAAACATCTCGCGCAGCGGTCTCGGAAACACCACCGGAGATGGGCACATTCTTCGACTTGGCGTAGCTCTCCAGATCGGCAATGTAGCCGGCCATATGATCCGCGTATCCCTCCAGGTCGAAGGGCAAAATCGGGCTGTCTGCAATCTGAAGAATCAGCAGTCCCCAGAACTGGCCCAAGATCTTGTGGTACTGGAAGCCGGGGTCCCCGAATTTGGTCATCCAGTCCCAGTTCTCATAGCAGCTGTGGTAGGGGAACGGTTCGCCGGTGAATCCAAAGTCAACACTCGAGGTTCCCGCAATGTCCTGGAAAGCGACGTAATCGCTTCCAGAGCCAAGAGGCCCAAGCCGCTTCTTCTTCTTCTCCCATAGATCCTTGAGCGTTTCATTGCTGATGGGATCCGAGATGCGGGCTAGGATCTGCGTGATAACCCGTTCGAAAAGCGGACTTCCACTGGCCTCGAACTCCTTGCCGCTAACGCCAACGTCGACGTTGATGTATGCGAACCCATGCTCACGAAGGGCCTTGATTTCCTTCTCGACGTGCTCGGTCGACCCAACAAGGTTGTATTCCTCTGCATCCCAGCTGATAAACTCAATGGTGCGCAAGGGACGCCAGCCAAATGTGAGCAATTCGCCGAAGACCCGAGCAAGCTCCAAGAACACAGCCGTGCCGCTGCCTGGATCGGCGCTTCCTAAACACCACGAGTCTCGGTGGTTGCCGATGATGATCTTCTTCTCCGGCTGCTCCAGCCCGATGATCCTACCGACCACGTTGTAGATCGGCTGTCTTGTCTCCTCATCCTGGAGGTTCATGAGGTTGACAGTGGGAGAGGACGCGTCTCCGGTCCACCACTGATCCACGTCCGGAACACCGCCAACCCACTTGGCCGGCACCTTTGACCCATGACCCTTGAGAACCTGCAAGAGTCTCTGAGCATCACGCCAGGCGAGAGGGATACTGGGAATTGCCGTCAACCCCGCGCTGTCCTCCGGTCGGAGCCGGACCTTCTCATGCGGAGTTGATGCGAAACCAGGGGAGAGGACATCCCCAACGACCCACGACATCAGACTGACGGCACCCCTTTGCGTCCCGTCCGCTGGCATATAGCGTCCGTCTGGAAAGGCGGGGCCTCGGACAAACCCGTCCTGGGCCGGATCCGAATATATGATACACCCCACTGCGCCGGCCAGTTCAGCGGCTTTGACCTTCAAGGCCCGATCGGTCTCTGTTCCATAATAACGAACCAGCGCTATGGAGCCGCTCAGATCAATGCCTTGGTCTGCCAGGTATTGGAAATCCTCCCGAGAGCCGTAATTTGCGTAGACCAGGTGGCCTGTAACATTCCCCGACTTCGAATGCCCATGGAATACCAGGGTCTGCTCGCTATCTTCCTCCAGGGCGGCCTCCCACGCCAACTCCGGGGGGTCGATGATCGCCACCTTTCGGCCATCGGGCCTGGGGTAGTTCAGATACACCTGGAACTCTTCCATCTCTGCCTCATCGAAACCCGCCTGTTTGAACTCCGCTTCGATCCATTCTGCCAGAACAAAACTGCCTTCCGTACCGGCGATGTGAGGATAGGCGGTCAACTTCCGTAGGTTTTCCGCGATGTTGGTTTCGTTGATATGGCCCTGGACGAAGTTCTCGACGGATGCCGCGCTGTAGGATTGTCCCATGATGAACTTGGCGTTCATGTTGAACAGATCGGAGATAAAGAAGACGTAAACGATAGCGGCGACCAGGAACAGCCCGAAGACACGCAGCAGGATCATGCACCCGTTCTGCTTCAGGCCGTCTCGGGCTTCGTCGACGTGGACGGTGAACCGGGGAAGAGTCGGTAGAAAGCGACGGAAGGGGAGATTGAATGACGAAAGGGTCCGGGTCAGGTTGTTGAATCGCTTGGAGAAGCGAGAGCGCAGCTGCGAGCGACGAGACGATGATTGGTGATCCGCATCCTCCACGTCCATCTGAGCGAGCTCCCGCTGCAGCGCCTCGAGCGAGCCCCTTTCCGACCCGGAGCCCGACGACTCGAGGTCATCGAGGCTATTCCGAGCGGACTCGACGGTGGGAGGCTGGTATCCATGGCGTCGATCTCCGCGGGCGGCGGGATCAGGGCCGCGCTGAAGGAGGCCTTGTCGTTCGGCCTGGTCGGTTGTCTCTTCGGCATCGAGGTGGGATCGGGAGGAACTGGGGCGAGCACCGATAGCCTCTTCGTAGGAGGGGATCGGGAGGGATTCATATTCAAACTTATTATCGTTGCCCATGGCGGGAGGTATGGGGCTCCCGGGAGCCGTGCGAGTTGGATAGTATCACAGATACCGGGCTAAGCGGGATCATGACCTGGATGGGAAAGGAGTGACAGGTGCAGCCATGCTCCCGAATCGGAGGGGTGAGAACGAATGACAGGAGACGTTGAAGAGGAGGGAGGGGGGTTGAGAGGGGTTGGGTTGCGTAAGGGGGGGGGGGGAGGGTGGAGGGTGAGGGGAGGGCGAGGAATGAATCCTAAGGGGAGAAGGGGACTTGGACGTCGTCAGTCGATCGCAGCGTCAGACTGGAGAGAGAGGCAGAACTCACGTAAGTCTTTCCCCGGACCGCCCGTCCGCTCGAGGTTCGAGCTGGGCTTGAGGCTACGCGTGGCGCAGTCGAACACCGGGGGGGGCCCACGGCTCGGCATCCGTAGGCAGACGGGTTCTGGACGATGGATCAGACTTCTCCCGATGATTCTGTAGTGGGGGAATGGCCCCCAACATGGTGTCGAGCTGGGTTGCATTGGGATGGTGAGAGTTAAGAAATAAAGAAGAAGAAGGAGGAGGAGGAGAAGCAGAAGCAGAAACAGAAACAGTTGTTCCCCAGAGATGGCATTTGATCCTCCATACCTCTGGTATTATTGATCCTGTCCGGACTGTGACCGTATTGTGTACGGTCCGGTACTCTCCCGGCAGTACACAGTACAGCACAGTACCAGATGTGTAGGTTAGGTAGTATGATAGTAGGACCTTCATCGTCACTGTGAATTTAGAGACGTTCTGGCATTATCGTCTTCACTTATGCTTTTGAAATAAAATGAGTGCAAACCATTTTGTTGTCCACCAGGAAACGTGACTGTAGGCCACGTGCGAACTAGGATCATTGTTGCTGAGACCCCAATCTATCTCTACAATCTCTTCCCATATAACGAAGACAGCCCTGCAATTATATATCTGCCGATCCACTGGCAGCATGTTGATTGCCTGACCATGGCAAGTGCTGTCGATCTTGCACAAGTCTCCGCCACACCCATAGCAACTTGAACCAAAGGGTTCAGATACAATCAATTTCCTCCAAGCCACCCGGCTGATTTCTCCATCGCCCGTGTTTCCGAGTCGGCTGTTCCGGGTAGCCATTGATGCCAGAACAATGGCTACCTACCCGTTCGGTGGGTTAGAATGCCCCTCGATTCTCGAAGCCAGAAAACCTGCAAAACAGCCCGTGAGGGGCAGTGGATCGGGGTCGCCATTGGCACCAGTCGGATCTTCAGGGAGAAAAAAAGGTGGGATTGTTCAGGACGTCAAAGGAAAGCCGCCGACCAATCTCGCGCTCAAGGAGGCACGGTCAAAGGGCCATACTCGGCCACTTGATCCTGATTCTTTCAGTCTCCGCATGTGAACCCACGGGAACCCTGCTCTGGAATGCTGAATGTCGGCCAGATGGAGCACCGGACACACGCTCGACCCGAGAGCTCCACAAGATAAGATGAATCCTTCCTTCAGTCTGTTTCAAGCCAAGGCTGGGCCACACTCGGGTGGATAGACTGGGATGAGGTCTGCACCGTACTCCATGGTCTGATTGGACTGGGATGAAGTCTACACCGTACTCCATAGTCTAGTCCATGGAGCAACGGGGTTTTGATTACTTTAAAATTTATTTTTTTGTCCCGTCGGGTCGTCGTGGCTTGATTGATTGTTTTCCGCCGATGTCGCGAGTTCAAGCTGACATGCTTCGGATCCTTCCAAGGCCATATTGATATTAATGGCAGACGCACCGCGATTCCATGCGTCGCAGTGGGTTTGGCTGACAGCCTTGCCTGCTCCCACAGGGGGGGGGGTTGGTTCGAATTGATTCGTAGGAGCTGCACTGACGGCCATATCGCGACCTAGGTGTATCCGATAGGAAGTACGTAGACCAGGCTGGCAACGACCAGGGAGGGACTATACGACACTGGACCACCGGACTGTTGGACAGCGACCATGCACGGGCTGCTACGCAGTCAGATCAAACACCCGCATGAAGATACTCCGAGGCCATAGGATGTATGTCTAGGAACTGTCGTCATGGTCGACCCATCGATGCTCAGGATGCTGAGTCGATAGCGAGGGATATCTCATGGTAGGTGGAACGATTCAGATGCGCCTGACCGGACCACCCACGGCCGATCACATCGTCTGTGTGCGGGGCGGAATGCAGCATCCGTTGTAGCTTATTATTACCCAGCCCCTAGATCTGCTGCTCGCCGTACCGAACGGAGGAGGAGTGCATGAGAGAATGTAGGTTGACGCTGTTGGGTGCGGAAGAGGAGGAAGGGAGAGGAAGTATACAGTGGACAGAGGCCCGATGACATCGCGCCCAGAGAGTCGGTGAAAAGGACAGCCAAGGGCGAAACGCGATTCCATCGGAGCCAGCAGCCGTCGGTAAGACGAGTGGAAACCGGGGCTAGCTGTCTAGGTTGTGCAATGATGCGTTGCGAGGGCGGTGGTTGGAGCCAGGAAACGTATCGTGTCTCCCGTTTCGGGAGATAGGATGAAGAGTACGGCGTATACCAGATCCTGGACACCTTCAGATTGTCTCCCTTCCCAACAATTGTGGAAATTGGGCGGTGGATCTTTTTTTTTCTTGGACTCCGTCCGGACAATCAGCGCATCAGCAATTTCGGCCCCTTTTGCTCCCCTGGTGAGGATCAAAGTTGGAGGAGGTGCAGTTGTTGTACTTCTCCCTATGCCGCCACGAGTTCCCCGTAGATAACTAAGGTAACTAACTATCTAAATACTGGCCACCAGCTGTGTGAGGGGACGGAGCACCGGTGCGGCCAGCCTCAGGCACCCCCCGGCCAGGTCAGGGCACCTCCCGGCGGCCAGCCAACCACAGCCAGAGACGGCCGGGCGCGGCCCCACCAAGGCCACGCACTAAACGCACGCTAGCCAAAGCGGTGCTGCATCTGAACGGGGGGGGACCCAGTCAGTAACCCAGTCAGTCCTTTTTTGCCTCCGGTTTGGGAGAAGCCAAAAAAAAAAAAATACTGACCACCACCTGGGAAACCGTTCGGCCGCTCCAACTGCGGGCCTGTACGGAGTGTCCTGTGAATGGCGTTGCGACCACCACTCAACCAACTACTACTACTACTTATACTCCCCCCCCTTCTCTCATCTGCTCGCCTTGAGATCTCTCTCTTTATCCCAGCCCTCTACCACCCTCTCTCCATCTCTCCCTCTGTCCCTCTCTCTTTCTGATCGTGTGATCCTACTCTCCCGTTTCTGTCCCACTTTCCTCAAATCAACAATCCTTACCCCTCCTTCTCCTCTTCACACCGTCACTATGGCTGCCCGTCCCCAGAACATCGGTATCAAGGCCATTGAGGTCTACTTTCCTCGCCAGGTATATCTCACCCCCCTCCGCGATGCTTTTACTCGGGTTCTGTCCCGTCCCATGCGAAAGTCGCATGCTAACAACCTCCTGCAGTGCGTCGACCAGGCCGAGCTGGAGAAGTTCGATGGCGTGGGTGAGGGCAAGTACACAATTGGTCTGGGTCAGACCAAGATGAGCTTCTGCGATGACCGTGAAGGTATGCAACCCCCGGGCAGACCGGTTTCCTCGAGACCCGGGGACAATGCTGACTCTGGTGTGCTGGCAGACATCTACTCCATCTCCCTTACCACCTTCGCCTCCCTCCTGAGCAAGTACAACATCGACCCCAAGTCCATTGGCCGCCTAGAGGTCGGTACCGAGACCCTCCTGGATAAGTCCAAGTCCGTCAAGTCCGTTCTCATGCAGCTCTTGGCTCCCCACGGAAACACCAACGTCGAGGGTGTCGACAATGTCAACGCCTGCTACGGAGGTACCAACGCCGTCTTCAACAGCATCAACTGGCTGGAGTCCTCCGCCTGGGATGGCAGAGACGCCGTCGTGGTTTGCGGTGACATTGCTCTGTACGCCGAGGGTGCTGCTCGCCCCACCGGTGGTGCTGGCTGCGTTGCCATGCTGATTGGCCCCGACGCCCCTATTGTCTTCGAGCCCGGTCTTCGTGCCTCCTACGTCACCCACGCCTACGACTTCTACAAGCCCGACCTGACCAGCGAGTACCCCGTCGTCGACGGCCACTTCTCCCTCAGATGCTACACCGAGGCCGTGGATGCCTGCTACAAGGCCTACAACGCTCGCGAGAAGACCCTGAAGGAGCAGGCCCAGAACGGCACCAACGGTGTCTCTCAGGACGAGACCAAGTCTGCTCTGGACCGCTTCGACTACCTCTGCTACCACGCCCCCACCTGCAAGCTGGTGCAGAAGTCTTACGCTCGTATGCTGTACAACGACTACCTCACCAGCCCCACCCACCCCGCTTTCGCCGAGGTCGCCCCGGAGCTTCGTGACCTGGACTACGAGAAGTCTCTCTCCGACAAGAACGTCGAAAAGACCTTCATGGCCCTGACCAAGAAGCGCTTCGCTGAGCGCGTGAAGCCCGCTCTGGAGGTTGCCACCCTCTGCGGTAACATGTACACTGCCACTGTCTGGGCCGGTCTGGCTAGCTTGATCTCCCACGTCACCTTCGACCCCAGCCAGCCCAAGCGCATCGGCCTCTTCTCCTACGGCAGTGGTCTGGCCAGCTCACTGCTCAGCGTGAAGATCGTCGGTGACGTCTCCAACATGGTCGAGAAGGTTGACCTCAAGAACCGCCTCAGCAGCAGAACCGTCCTGCCCCCCCAGTCTTACGTTGATGTAAGCATCCCCGTCCCGTTCTCCACTTCACCGCAATTTACTGACGTGATGTCTCCAGATGTGCGACCTCCGCAAGCACGCTCACCTGAAGAAGAACTTCAAGCCCTCCGGCAGCACCGAGACTCTCTTCCCCGGTACCTACTACCTGACCGAGGTGGATGATATGTTCCGCCGCAAGTACGAAGTCAAGGCATAAATGATGACGAGCCCATGATGGACATGCTTTCGACCCTGTTTCTTTGGACATGACCATTTTCTTTTAGACGGTTTACTAGATTCCCTTCAGCATGCGTGTGATTTAATGTGTTGTTCCACCTTCATAGAGCTCGGATACAGCGGGTTGCTCTGACCGAGTTTTCGGGTCTGTTTTTCCTTGCTCCTTTTCTTGGTGCTTTAATGTTCTATATCGTGTTCGTGGGTCCTCCTAGGGAGGGCAGGACGCAGTTATACAAGGCAGTGGCCGATAGTCCCGGACAAGAGTCGTGGGAAATGATATTAATATAGTTAATCAAGATATGACATGAAGATGTGATTGTACGTGCTTTGTCATGTGACCGGCAGTAACTAGTAGCCTGCCTGCAGTCTTGTAAGAGGCCCGGTCCGCGTGCGCTTCGTCCTCCGGACTACAACTTCACTTCTGCACCCTCCGGGCGCCAAACGACAAGACAAAGATAGAGCTGTTCCACCCCCCCTCCCCCAAAAAGCAAGTCGTTCAACAAAGTCGAGACCAAGCAAGCACTGCCCAAGAATAGCAATACGAGCAGGCAATCCGGCTGGGCCCTGGGGTTATTGTTTCACTTCCCGCCGACGCTCTTCCTTCACGTCGCTTGTCTTCTCTCTTTTTCCATCTTTAATCCATGACGCCCAATCCCATTACACGCCCAGCATGCAACGTCGTCGAGAGTGTATCTGATTTGTCTGTTTCAAGAAACACAAACCTGCTGCAGGTTTTCGACAGGGAACAACCACTGAGGCGCTCTGACGCCGTGCTGGGCCGAGGCCGGCGCGTACTGCGACGACAGCCCAGAGCTCTGATTTATCAACCTCCCCCGACGGGTGTATTCTTAGACTCCCACTGGCAATGAAACTATCGCACTGATTGCATGGTGACCCAGAACCTCGGCCCTCACGGCCAATGTCCGTTGGAATGGCTGCGGCTCCCAGGCCCTTCTATCAGACCTCGGCGCCTAGCGCTGCAACGATTCCCCCTCCAGCACGCGCCGTGAAGGCATGCCAGTCAGTTGCCGTTCATTTGTATCCTTAAACATCTACTTGCCGCCGGCTCTGTGATATGCCAGGCGTGACGCTGCTGCTACTGCGTGAACCACAATTAATCTAGCTACAGTTCCCTAGAATAGACGAAACACCAGTGTTGCCGAATATAGATATCCTGCAGGACTCGACGAACCAGACTCTGCGAAGTCTACCAGCAGCCTGGTTCAGATCTGAAGAACTGCAGAAGATGCAAAATATAGAAACATTTTGACGCGCGACTGTCCGATGAAACACTGTCGCTTGCCCTAGGATCGTTTGCTCCGCACAGCGTCCTGCGTCGCTTGCCCTACCGTCTCTCATGAACACCTAGAATGGCTAGCGATGTGTCGCCATGGAGCAAGCTCCATGTTTCAAGTGGCCTGCAGCCATGGTGTCCTATTCTGTATCTTTTTTTGGATCAGGGACTGGTAGGCCCTGATCGATGAGCATTTAATATCCAACCGTTCTCCGTCTGAATGTGCAAGTTTCAGTGTGATCCTCACCACGACCATGAACTGAGCTTGACGCACTTGCATCTCTTTCCTTTACTTCATCCGATTTCCAGCTTGACGATTGGCATAGATTGCCCGCTGCACCTCGTGGGAAGCTGGTTCTTCCTAAAAGTATTTGTTCTAAGCCTATCATTCTATTCCATTTCATCATCTCACGCTTCACGGTGACTCGATCCTGCAATATGTCCCTAGAATTCTCCTACTATCGGCCTTCCACCCCCCCTGCAATGCACTTCCAAGAGTTCATCGGGATGGGCCATAGCCGCAACACTTCCGATTCTTCCGCATACTCCAGCAGTTCATCGCCTTGGTCGGCCATCACCTCAGCCACCAGCCCAATCATCGATTCGCCTCCCCGGCATCACCATGGGCCTACTCTGCTCCCAAAGATCAGACCACAGGATGTTGTCATTGAGCCTGCTCCCACCAGCGGCTCACAGCGTCAACGGCGAGTGCTGTCAAATACTCGAAACCCCCCAGGTTTCCTGCCGCCTCTTTCCAGCCGCAGATCTAGCCAGCGCCATGAGGCCTCGGAGTATATTGCCCTGGAGTCTCCGGCATCTACCTCGCCGACCTATATCACGCACCATGGCTCGGCATTGTCCTCGCCCGTGAGTGTGACACCGTCGCAGAAGCGCAAGACCACCAGCGGGCATTCTCGATCGGTGTCTGCCTCCCAGGTTGACAATTCAAGACCGAGCCGGGGCGGTAATCCCGCATACCGGCAGGCCCTGAGATATGCCTCCCAGCCCCAGTGCTCTCCCACGGCACCAACGACCCCGGTCACGCCAAATATCATAGTATATCCGCCTTGCGCGCAACAGTCGCCCGTTGAGCCCTCCTACTCGAGGGTGTGGCCTCCGCTCCAGGTGCCTCTCATGCTCCCTGGATCACCCTACGGATATGTACACTCGAGCGCCCAATGCTCTCCTGTCGGTCTTGTCCACCCGGCCGAGGCGACGAACTCGACCACCTTGCTTTCTTATTTGACCGCTCCGACGCAAGCCGTGAACCTTGTTCGCAATGTGAGCGTGATCCCCACGCGGGGACTGCACGACTACTTTTGGTGGGATGTGCGAAACCTGCGCAGTTGGACCTCGTTCTCTTTGGCCACTTTCAACTCGATCAATGGGCTCCCAAAGCTTTTGAAGACCGCGATCCCCTCGCACCTGACTCCTTTCAATATCCTCCCCAGCGCTTATTTGTCCCCGGACTCCGAGCCTGGTCTGGTCAGTGTCATCCGAGAAATCTACGCACCTCGGGTGAACGCAGCACTGGCGGTCTCCCAAGGCCCGGAGCATCTGACCCTTTACGCCGTCCCTATTCCGCGCGCTTCCCCCAACAAGAACTACGGCGGGCCGCATTTCCTTGCCAATTACGCGTCGGACACCGAGCGGACAAGTACCGGTCTCCCCCGAGGCCGGGTCGTGGGTATTGTCAAGACCTTTGACCGTTGGAACACGGGGATGCGCAACGAAACACCCCACCACCGGGTGGAGTATCTGAACGGACTGGCACACCTGCAACGCTGCATGCGCGAGCACTCCTGTCGATACGGCTTCATCCTCACAGAAATCGAGCTGGTCTGCGTGCGGGCCGGCTGCGACGAAGGCGACGATGTCCCCTACTTCGGCTTCCTGGAGCTTTCTGCTCCGATCCCAACCAAGCTCGCCGTCGGCCAGCACGGAAACGCCCCCGGACAGTATCCAGGGACCTATGGCTATCGGCACTCGCCCACGCCATCCACCGACAGCTCCCTGGCAAGCCAATCTCCCGTGATGGACAGCTTTCCCATGTCAAGCCCGGATGAACTAGACGTGCCCATGACCGCCAGCATGGCTTTGTACTTCCTGCTGATGCTGTCCAAGTCTGTCCCCTTGCCTTCGCAGCCGTCTGCGCACCTCAACGTGGGAGGACCGGGAGCGTTGACGCGACAGCGCATCCTACCGGAGGGGAAAGATAAATGGATCCCCGAGCCGCAGATCGGGGAGCGTCGGGACGCCAAACGCGTGCGAGGCTGGGTCTGGCCGCAGGATTCCTGGCATCGCCGGGAGGGGGGAGGAGCGCCGCGTTCGCGGGCGATGACTCTCGAACCGCGGCCGAAGAAATGGCATAAATAGGGCTGGCTCGCTTAGGCTAAGTCAGAGCACTCAAAGACAGGCTCTTTGCTGAAGATTTGTTTCTGGTTGTCATATAGCTTTGTGATATATTAATGTAATTTATTTCGGATGTGCAGATAAGTATCGTACAGAGAAGATGTGTAGTACATAGTAGTGATGGTGATGTCTCTCTCGCCAGCCAGCGCGGTGGTTAATGACGGTAAGCACAACCTTCCTTACCCAACATCAACCAGCATTCTCCCCATATTTCCAATTGACTCACTAGCCTTCAAACAACAGAACGCCAGACCCATCAATCCCTTCTACAAGGTCCCCAGCCTCATACCAATCTGATGTCACCCCATCGCGATGGTCCCCCGACCTTCCCGTTTCGGTCCCAAGGACCTTGGGATCCAAGTACCCGGGGAGTGAGTCGCAGTCCCAATAACCCAGCAAGATCCAAAGATGAACAGAGACCTCGATTGAAGAGCATCTGATTTCTCAACTACTTTTACTCTCCCCTAGATCACTCACCTCACCTCATCCTAACCCAACCCAACCCAACCCAACCCAGCCCAATCGAACTACATACATACATACACACCAAGCACAAACAACAGAAACCACAACAATGTCCAGAACCAAGGCACATACACCCCCCTCCTCCTTCCCCGACCTCCTCGACGTCCTCATCGTCGGCGCAGGCCCCTGCGGCCTCGCCGTCGCCGCCCGTCTCCGCGAAGAAACGCCCTCCGCCATGTTCACCGACGACGAGCACCAGCGCTACCACTGGATCAACAAGCATAGCGGCCGGATGGCGCTCGTGCAGGCCCACCGGGGGAAGTTACATGGCGTGAGTGCGGAGAAGTGGTGGGGGTTTGGAGATTCTTCATCTCCTTCTTCTTCTTCTTCATCATCGTCGTCTTCTTCTCGGCGCCAACGGAGTCACTCATCAACATCCTCGTCAACGCCATCCTTGTCGTCATCAGTTTCCTCCGCGCCAGAAATAAGTCTAGAATATGGCAGCAACAACAGGAAAGAAAAAGAAGAAGAAGAAGAGAGCGGCATCTCGACCCTCGTCCTGGATAGTTCAGGGAACCGCTGGATGGAGAAATGGAACCAGGCGTTCCGGACGCTAGAGATCGAGCAGCTTCGCAGTCCGATGTTCTTTCATGTGGACCCGCGGGACCGCGATGGCATGTTGGCGTATACGCAGGAGGGAGGCCGAGAGGCCGATCTCTGGGAGATTTCGGGCTGCGTAGGTAAGGAGTTGAGTAAACATAAGAAGAAGAAGATGTGGGGGAGGTCGAGGGCACAGTGAGTTTTTCTTGTCTTTTCTCTGGTTTGGGTTGGTTTGATTTGCTTTTGATATGTTTGTTTGGTGGTTGGTGGTAGATGGTTGGTAGAGGGGTGATAGTGCCTATTGGACAGCATGCTGATATGTCATAACTCGACAGAGCAGTAGGAGAAGTCGAGATCGACGAGCGAGACCGCAAGGACTACTTCTCTCCATCCACGGGCCTATTCGCCGACTACTGCGGGAGCATTGTATCGCGATATGGGCTTGACTCGCCCGACATGATCCGGCAGTGCGAGGTCGAGGACATCAAGTACGACTACCACCCGGAGATGTCACCAACAGACAAGATCTTCACGGTGACAGCGGCAGACGGGACCCGGTTCTACAGTCGGGTCGTGGTGTTGGCTATTGGGCCTGGGAGGACGAAGATCCTCCCATTCCAGCTGACCGCGGAGGAGAGGAACGGGGCGTGTCATAGTACGGAGATTCGCGCGTTCCCAAGCCCGAATGTGAAGGCAAAGATCAGGCAGCGGCAGGAGACGAATGTGGTCGTTGTTGGGGGGGCTTGTCGTCGGCTCAGGTGGTGGATATGGCGCTGCGTAAAGGCGTCACGCGCGTGTGGTTTCTCCTGAGGTCTGATTTCAAAGGTACGCAGCTGCACAGCCTACCAGTCGGTCTGGACTGTCAGAAGCTATACGATACGATATGACAACACACTGACACGCAATGCAGTCAAACACTTCGACCTATCCCTAAACTGGATGGGCAAGTTCAAGAACTTCGAAAAGGCAGCCTTCTGGTCCGCGGACACGGACGAGGAACGCCTCGAGATGATCAAAGCCGCGCGCAACGGCGGCAGCATCACACCCCGGTACCAGAAGCTCCTGAAGCAGCATGTCGCGCGCCACCGACTCTCCATCCATCCACGCACGGTCATCAGCGGCCGGAAGTACTGCGCCTCGTCGCGCACATGGCGTCTGACGACCGACCCCCCGATTCCGGATCTCCCTCGCATCGACTACATCTACTTTGCGACGGGCATGCAGGCGGACGTCCACGAGCTGCCGCTGCTCCGCCAGATGAACCGCGACTATCCCATCGAGACCAAGCAGGGGCTGCCGTGCATCACGGATGACCTGATGTGGCGGTCCGGGGTGCCTCTCTTCCTGACGGGCCGGCTGGGGTCGCTGAGGCTGGGTCCCGGGGCGGCGAACCTGGAGGGAGCGAGGCTGGGTGCGGAGCGTGTTGCGTGGGCCATGGAGGATGTCTTGGGTCGGCGGGAAGATGGCGATACTACGCGGTCTGGACGCTCGAAGGAGTGTTTCTGTGGCTTGGGGAATCGGTATGCTGAGCTGGCTGACGTGGATGTGGATGTAGATGGGTGGGAGGAGTAAAGGAGAGGAGAGGAGAGTAGAGAAGAGGATACTGGATTCGACGAGGGCTTTTTTTTCCTTTGGGGCTGTAGAGTCATCCCGTGTTGAAGAATAGAGCTTTGGTGATAATGATGTACTCGCTGCAGGCTGATGCTGATATCGTAAGTAATCACGCTACACTGTAAGTGACATACCCACAATACCTCTATTGCGCTACCTACTGTGAGAGTGAATGGTAAGTCGTAATACGCAGCCCATACGCAAGTACGACCGGGACACGGCGAGGCTGAATCCTACTTCTACTTCTTTTTCTTTTCTTTTCTTCTCTTCTCTTCTCTTCTCGATACCTGCTGCTGCCTACAATCCCCTCTCTTCTCATCTCCGATGGCAATTCCATCGTCTCCACCGTATCATCATCATCTCGGGGCCAAGACATCATTAGACTTCTAAGCCTCATCAGCATCCACATCCACATCCAAGACAGCCCCCAGACTGACTGAGTAGCTGACTGACTGACTGACCGATCGACCAGCTCCAGCTAGTTCGCCATCCTCCTGATTCCTGATTCCTGATTCCTGCTACCTGATATTAATTACTACTACCCACTCACTCACTCACTCACTCACCAGCCACAGTTGCAACTACAATTCCAGTTGCGAGTTAGGGCAGCATCATCCATCCATCCGCGCGCAGCAAGAGTGCGCCGTCGTACACAGCACTCCAACTCCCTCCATGACAATCATACTCACACGGGTCCACGACGCCTCAGCCACGTCAGGTCGGGGTCGGGGAGGTTACGCCGCATGTTAGTTATCTGATCTTCATGAAACCAGTACTCCGTACCAGCACCACCAAAGCGTCTTTGCCTCCTCAGCCACAGTGCCATCCCCACCGATGTGGCGCAAATGTGGCCGTGCATTACCTGTGACACAGTCAGCAGCCAGCAGTCAGCAGTCGGTAGTTAACTAACTTACATTCTCTCATTATTAGTTATTCTTCGGGAATTAATCAGGATGGAAAAAAGCGGCCAATCAAATGCCGATCTCCGATCTGCGCTAGTCGAGCTGGAACAATCGCAGCGGCAAAAGTATGCACTGAGTTATCTATCTACTCTCTTACTCTACGCACCCACATTGGGTGTGGATGATGCCATGGATGGATAATCCCGTCCGAAGTGTAAACGAACCGAAACGAACGAGGCGCAGCCGCCCCCTGCTTTCTCGATAGTCATTCGCCGACGAGGGAGGGAGGGAGGATGACCCGGCGGCAATTTCCATGAGGAGTCCTCCTCCCTTCCTCCCTTTCTTCCTTTCTGGAACCTGGAATTCACGGCACGACGAGAGGTTGGGCAGGTCGTTTTTAGAAGAATGATGCGTCATGTCATATCATGTCATATCATGTCACGTCTACCTAGTACCTACACCCCCTCCCCGTCTGGTGACGGACCGTCCGTCCTTCCAAGCGAAGCTCGCCAGATAAGATGAACAGGAGCTCCGTCGGGCGCCTAGACCTCGCAATCTAACATGCATGCATTGCTCGAGGGTTAACTTCGAGATACCGATAGGAACTGCATTACTGCGGCCCTTCCCCGCCCTTTAGTCGCGGGCATGGGTCTGGGTCTGTCGCCCTCCACCGCAGGTGATAGGACGGCCGAGGGAGGCTGTGCAAAAAAAAATCCAAAAGTGACATGTTACCCAAGAAACCGTCTAACTGGGTCACCCACGCACCTCATCCGTTGGATCATGACGAGACGAGCAAGCCTGCTACATCCGGGCCTTGCGTTGACTAGACTACTAGACTAAACGGTCAAACGGAATGCCTTGGCATGACCCGATTCCCTTGGGAGGGTGGGCTGCCATGAAAGAATGAAAATTTTTCGATCCCAAGGATGCGATGGCGTTTAGACGGTGACTGATATGAGATCGTGCGAGACTATTGGCTTTAGGCTCCCCTCTGGCGTGTGCACTGCCTTCCTTAGGGTCGACGGTTGGTACTAATATCGAAGAGGGTCCCGCACCCTCGGCATGGATGGAAGCCAAAGGGCGGTTAATCCGACGAGACTTTGATACTATTGTCTACATTATTGTTCCTCTGCTCGTCCGGATTGGATGCCCGCGTCTTTGTCCTCGCCCGATCAGTGTCTGTTTCGGTCGCATCAATGCAGACCCCAGACGAACCTCGTCAGACCGAGCTCCTGAACCCGTTTGGGGTTTCAGATCGACAGGTATGTCATGTCAGGTCATGTCAGATGGCGCTTGCACTCGATGTTCACACTCGCTCTTCCAGCGCCCTTTCTCCCCCAGCCCAGAGCATTCGTCTGTTCTCCGGCCTTCGTCCCCGTCGGATATGTCGTCGCTATCCCCCAATAGACTGAGGGTGCACAGTGACGCCGGGACGTCTCGCTCGCTGGACGGTGAGACGTTACGCCCGCGCGCCAACTCGAATGTCTCCAGTGCATATACGGCCGTCAGGTCGAGGGCCAACTCGGAGGCCACCAATGCCCCGGTCAAGGAGCTATACGATGATGTCCCCTTGTCGGATGCCTTGAACCCCGACCCTCGCAATGAGCAGGACTTCATCGTGACCGACAACAAGTTCGCCTTCTCGCCCGGCCAGCTGAACAAGATGCAGAACCCCAAGTCTCTTTCTGCGTTCCACGCCCTCGGCGGGATGAGAGGGCTCGAGCGAGGCCTGCGGACGGACTTCACGTCCGGCTTATCGGTCGATGAGAGCTCGCTGGAGGGATCGATCAGCTTTTCAGAAGCCACGTCGACTGGCTATCCAAAGGAGGCTCCTGTCGAGCCTGCTAGCCCGCCGACCTCCGACAGCAACATACAGTTCGAAGACCGCGTACGCATCTTCTGTCAGAACAGACTGCCGGCCCGCAAGTCAACCGGCTTCCTGAAGCTGTTCTGGCTTGCCTATAATGACAAGATCATCATCCTGCTGACAATAGCTGCCATCGTGTCGCTGTCTCTAGGCATCTATGAGACGACCAGCGAAGGGAGTGGGGTCGACTGGATCGAGGGGGTGGCCATTTGTGTGGCCATCCTGATTGTCACCACCGTGACTGCTCTGAATGACTGGCAGAAGGAGAGGCAGTTTGCGAAGCTGAATAAACGAGTAAGTGTCCGCGATCCTTTATCAAAGGGATGGCTGCTAACCGATGTAGAACAATGACCGCGAAGTCAAGGCCGTCCGTTCCGGCAAGGTCTCCATGATATCGATATTCGATATCACGGTTGGAGACGTCCTTCATATCGAGCCGGGTGACTCCATTCCCGCCGATGGCATCCTGATCTCGGGCCACGGAGTGAAGTGCGACGAGTCCTCCGCTACAGGAGAGTCCGACCAGATGAAGAAGACCGATGGCCACGAAGTCGGGCGGCAGATCATGGATGGCATCGCCACGAGGAAACTCGACCCGTTCATGATCTCGGGCAGTAAGGTGCTCGAGGGCGTCGGCACCTATCTGGTGACCAGTGTCGGGCCGTACTCCACCTACGGCCGGATCTTGCTATCGTTGCAGGAGTCCAACGATCCGACTCCTCTCCAGGTCAAGTTGGCTCGACTTGCCGATTGGATCGGCTGGCTGGGCTCAGGGTAAGAAGACTCCACCCAAGCCTTGATCTTGCTAACAGTTTCATAGCGCTGCGATCATCTTGTTCCTCGCCCTGCTGTTTAGGTTTGCTGCGGACCTGTCTCATAACCCAGGCTCGCCTGCTGTCAAGGGCAAGGAGTTTGTCGATATTCTTATTGTTGCTGTGACGGTCATTGTTGTTGCGATCCCTGGTAAGTGGTCACTGGCCACTTTGTCCTGATAATTCTTACTGATTGGTATCTCAGAGGGCCTGCCTCTCGCTGTAACCCTCGCCCTTGCGTTTGCCACGACACGCATGGTCAAAGAGAACAATCTCGTTCGTGTCCTCCGTGCTTGTGAGACCATGGGCAACGCAACGGTCATCTGCTCCGACAAGACCGGCACCCTGACACAAAACAAGATGACTGTTGTTGCTGGAACTCTGGGCTCCAACAGCTTCAGACAAAGCCCGGGAGAGGAGCGCTCCTATGATGTGTCGACCGCCGCGGAGCTGTTCAAGCAATGCTCGGACAAGACGCGAGACCTCCTTGTCAAGAGCGTTGCGTTGAACTCTACCGCGTTCGAGGAGGAGAAAGATGGATCCAGAGAGTTTATTGGTAGTAAGACAGAGGTGGCGTTGCTGCAGCTGGCCAAAGACTACCTCGGGATGGACGTCGCTACCGAACGGGCCTCCGCGGACATCGTCCAACTGATCCCCTTTGACTCCGCGCGTAAGTGCATGGGGGTGGTCTACCACGAGCCCAAAACGGGGTATCGCCTTCTTGTCAAGGGAGCTGCCGAGATCATGGCTGGCGCTTGCACGAGCAAGCTGGCGACGGGCACTTCTCACGATAGCCTCGTCGCGGATCTGTTACTCGAAGAGGACAAGCAGAAGATGCTGGGTACAATCGAGTCGTACGCGAGTCAATCCCTGCGGACGATTGGGCTGGTGTACCGCGACTTCCCAAGCTGGCCTCCACTGGATGCTCGGCGCATGAAGGATGACCCCGATGCAGTCAGATTCGACGATCTCTTCCACGACATGACGTGGATCGGGGTGATGGGTATCCAGGACCCCCTTCGACCTGAAGTCCCCGCCGCTATTCAAAAGTGCCATGCTGCCGGCGTCCAGGTGAAGATGGTCACCGGTGACAATCTCGTCACTGCCAGCGCCATAGCCTCCTCGTGCGGGATCAAGACCGAGGATGGCGTCGTCATGGAAGGCCCCAAGTTTCGCCAGCTTTCGGACGAGGAAATGGACCGAGTCATTCCTCGTCTTCAGGTGCTGGCGCGTTCATCCCCAGAAGACAAGCGGATCCTGGTGGCGCGACTCAAGAAGCTGGGCGAAACCGTGGCTGTTACCGGCGACGGCACCAACGACGGACCGGCCCTGAGGACTGCAGATGTCGGTTTCTCCATGGGAATCGCCGGCACCGAGGTGGCCAAAGAAGCCAGCTCGATCATCCTCCTCGACGACAACTTCAAGTCGATCGTCACGGCCATCGCCTGGGGCCGGGCCGTCAACGACGCCGTAGCCAAGTTCCTACAGTTCCAAATCACCGTGAACATCACCGCGGTGATCCTGACCTTCGTCTCGTCCCTGTACAGCAGCAAGAACCAGAGTGTACTCTCCGCGGTGCAGCTGCTCTGGGTCAACCTGATCATGGACACGTTCGCTGCTCTCGCACTCGCAACCGACGCGCCGACGGAGAAGATCCTGCAGCGCAAGCCCGTTCCCAAGAGCGCATCTCTCTTCACCGTGATCATGTGGAAGATGATCCTCGGCCAGGCCCTGTACCAGCTCGCCATCACATTCATGCTCTACTTCGGCGGCCACCGCATCATCGGATCGGCCCTGGGCATGACGGACCCGCAGACAGTGCTGGACACGATCGTCTTCAACACGTTCGTGTGGATGCAGATCTTCAACGAGTTCAACAACCGCCGCCTCGACAACCACCTCAACATCTTCGAGGGCATGTTCCGCAACTACTGGTTCCTGGGCATCACCTGCATCATGGTCGCCGGCCAGATCATGATCGTCTTCGTCGGCGGCGACGCCTTCAGCGTCACCCGCCTCGACGGCCTGCAATGGGCCATCTGCATCATCTGCGCCATCGGCTGTCTTCCCTGGGCTGTGGTCTTGCGTATGATCCCCGACGGGCCCTGCGAGACTGCTCTGGGGTTTGTCGTCCGGGGCATGAACCTCGTCTTCGACCCCATGAGCAGGGCGTGTCGCTCTGTGAAGCGGACTGTCCAGCGCGCCACGAAGCGCGGCGCGAGGGAAAACAACGACGTCCCTGCTGCTGCTGTTGCTGCCGCCTTGCCGGACGAGGAAGCCGCCGCGGCGTCGCACGATATGCATGATTTGCCCCAGATAAAGCGCGAAGAGACACCAGAGGAACCGACCGTCTCGATTCCGGTGCCTCCGATTACTATTACGACATCTTGATGATTGATAGATCGATGTGATTGATGTGATTGATTTGATTGTATTCTGCATAGCGATGCGGTGGGTGGTGCGATTGGCACTAAAGATACGATATTGTATTATAGATTATATGTTCGCGAAAAAAGAGATACGAATAATACCCTGTTCCTAATAATCATAATCATCATTGAGTGATGAATGTCTTCCGTGTCTATTGCCTATGAGTTGTGGATCTGTCTGTATACTTCTTCGCGATTTGGCTGCCTCAGGCACCGACAGCCTCTCCGCAGTTGTGCCTTGGTGACTGAGGTACTCCGTACTCCACTGTTGCTCTCCTGTTCCGCCCGCCACTTCTGCTCCTCCCCTCGTCAACACTCCCCTCCTTGTTGCTTGTTCATATCTATCGGCCCCATTGCTCCCTCAATTCGTCTCCGACGATAAGTTCCTTTCACTTCCGCAATTCATCCCTCCTTCTGGGACGCAACCGCACCGCACCGCACCGCACCGCACGCCCAGCTCGTGGTGTCCACTCCGTCATCTCCTTTCCCCGCGGAAGCCAGACAGACAGACAGACAGGTAGGTAATGACGCTGCCTGCCACCCTCACTCTCACCCTCACCCTCACCACCCTCACCACCACCAAAAAACAACACCTAGCAAACCAACAACAATCATCTAAGTAACTAATTTATCTAACCAACCAACCCTCCAGCTTAACCACCACACCTACCACCACCAACCAACCCACCAACCCAACCCGACAATCAAAACCAAAAATGTCCCAACTCAACTACCGCACCATAAACATCGACGTGCTCGACCCAGACTCCTCCATAAACTTCCCCCTGGACTCCCTCCTGCCGTCGACGCTGCCCTCCGCCACAAACGCCAGCGAAGCGGCCTCCGCGGCCACGCAGATCCGCCAGCTGCTGCGCGGCGGCGACCCCGAGGGCGCGCTGCGGGCGGTGCTGGACTCGGCGCCGCTGGGCGGCGACGACCGCGCCAAGGAGGTCCATCTGGCCACCGTCATTGAGGTTCTTCAGGGTATTCGGCAGGGGGAGATGAGTCGGGTGCTTGAGGGGGTTTGTGCGGGTGAGGGTGGGTCGGAGAGGGCGGATTGTTTGATGAAGTATTTGTATGTTTTTCTTTCTTTCTCCTTCTCTTTTTACAGCCTTCTTTTTCTGGTTTTTGGGGGGGGGGAGATAGGGTAGGGATAAGCTGACTGTGATGGCTGTTCTAGGTACAAGGGTATGGCGTCGCCGGCTCCGTCCAGCGGGTCCAAGTCCGTCTCCCCGCAGAGTACCGGGGGGTTCTCGCAGATTCAGGGCCGCAATCTGGGTGAGGGTGGCGGTGGTCAGCAGATGAGTGTGCTGTTGAACTGGCATGAGAAGCTGGTGGAGGTGACGGGGACGGGGTCGATCGTGCGGGTGATGACGGATCGGAGGACGGTTTAGTTTGTCTGGTGGGAGATTAGGAAAGGCGATTAGGGGATGTGGTACCTAGTCGTGATGCTTTGTATCTTGTTGTTGTTTGTGTTGTTCTATTCCGTCCATATTATACGACCCTATCATACATATATCTATCCATGTATACCCTACCTACCCCGTATACTTAAGACAACCATCATCTCCCCTCAAAGTCACCACCCCCCAAAACATCCTTCAGATTCAACTGCCCACTGCCCCTCTGCAACGGCTCACTCTGCCCCAACCCCTCCTTCCACCCAATCATATAAATCAACCGAAACGTCGCAGGCAACCCCCTATCCCCCTCCTCCATATGCAACTGTCTATAAATAGCCTCATTCGCCAACAACACATCCCTGGAGATGGGCCCCAGCTCCCTATGCAAAATCGCATTACTCTCCCCCATGGCCTGCAAATCCCGCATCAAGGCAAACGAATCCGGATACTCCACCCTAATATCCTCCACATCGACCGTCAACATCTTAAACCCGGCCTTATTCAACAGTCCGCCCACGTCCCTGACATCCGCCAAGGGCGACACATGCGGACTGACACCCCCTCGCCGCTCCAGATCCGCCAGCTGCAGCGACGTGCGCAGCTCGAACAGCGTGTCCCCGCCAAACATGGCCGCGATGAACGGACAATCCGGTTTCAGGATCTTGTTGACTTGCGCCAGCAGCGACGGGAGGTCGTTGATCCAGTGGATCGAGAGCGACGAGAGCACCGCGTCGAAGCTGTTCTCCGCGTACGGGAGCGTTTCGAGGTCCGGGATGATCTCGCGCGTCAGGTTCATTTCGCTGTTGAAGGGGAGGGACGCGTCTCGGTGCAGGAGCGCCGGGGAGGTGTCGACGCATGTTAGGTGCGAGATTCGTCGAGAGAGAGGTGGTGAGCTCCCCGTTGGGGAGTCGGGGTCCGGGTCTGGTTGCGTTAGGGCCCGCGCGATGTTGCAGCTGTTGGCGCCTAGGTCGAGGACGTTGGGGAAGTCGCGTTTGATGTCCTGTTTGGTTTTGCAGTGGTTAGGTTTGGATGGGTGTGGGTGGATGGATTGGATTGGATGGGTCTGGCTGGATGGATTTGGGGGGGGTTGGTGCTGGGGGAGACGGACCAGCAATCGCTCACATAGCCGCGTGGCAACCTCGTCTTTGATGTAGTCTGTCTTCCGGCTCTCCTCGACGTTCTGCGCCGCGCGGTCCTTCTGCAGGTGCTTTGTGCGGCGGTTGAAGATCTCCATCACCGGGCTGCCCGGCGTTTGTAGCGCGTAGGTCCGTCGCGATTGGCATGTGTAGGTGGTGGAGGGGAGTGCGCGGGGGGTGTGGAAGCGCGGGGAACGCAGCGCGGGACGGAGGAGATGGGCCAGAGACATTGTGGGGGGGGTGTTCTCTGGGGATTAGGATTGGGGTGGTATGGGTGTGATGGGAGTGTTGAAGTGAGGAGGAGGAGGAGGAGGAGGAGAAAAAGTGGCGGCGGCCCGTGACGTCGGGCGGGCGAGAATCCATCCGACAATACAATCGGCGAGCGGCTCTCCGCATTTTCCCTCCGCCAACATCATCTTCGACTTCTCGTCGCGTTCCTCTGCACCGCGTCGATAGAACCTCCCACTGGTTGGGTGTTGGTTTCGACGCAGTGGAATGCAGCGTGCTGCTGGTTTTGGATATCAATTGCCATTGCGGTTCATTACGGTGGTCTCCTAATTGGTGAGTGAGGGATTGATTCCCCTGATGCATCCCCCCACTGACGGTTGACCATGCGACGAGACAGACACACGCCCTCACCATGTCGCGCCCTTTCCCTTACACCTATATCTCCTGTCCCTGCGCCAATACCCCCGTGCCTGATCCCTCCAAGAAGCGCCGGTCCAGGGAATCCCCCCAGAAGTCCAATCCCGACCAACCCAAGCCTCTCGTGCCGATTGACGACGAGGACGAGGCCTTCGATCCCCGGTCTCCCCGCGCCAACTTCTCGCTGTATCCCCCGGAACAGCTGCTCTACTGCGAGGACTGTCACCAGATCAAATGCCCGCGATGCATCACGGAGGAAATCGTCTGCTGGTACTGCCCGAACTGCCTGTTCGAGACGCCCAGCAGTATGGTCCGGAGTGAGGGAAACCGGTAGGCGAAACCAGATGTTGGCATAATAGGGGCATGCTAATACAGGTAGATGCGCGCGCAACTGCTTCAATTGCCCGTCATGCACCGCCCCCCTCTCCGTCAGCACCCTCGAGAACGTCGTGGTCGGCGGCACCAGCCAGCAAGGCCCCTGGGTGCTGTCCTGCGGCTACTGCATGTGGTCGACCCTGGACATCGGCATCAAGTTCGACAAGCCCACCAACATCCGCACCCAGCTGTCCAAGCTGACCGAGGCGACGCCCGTTCGCTCGCGGCAGATGTCCCGGACATTCGGGGAGCTCAAATCCCCGCTCTCCACCTACTCCTCCATCGACGAGCATTTCCCCCCGCCGGGCGAGACCAACACCAAACCAGAGGACTCCCCCGAGCAGCCCACCATCCCCCTCAACTCCGACGCGCGATTCAACGCTCTCAAGAACTTCTACAAGACCCAGATCTCCGCTACATCCTCCTCCCCCACCGACCCCCTGGGGATGGACTTCGGAGCCGGGTTCTCCTCGCCCGGCGCCCTGAACCGCATCATGTCCCTATACACCTCTTCCTCGCGCCTCAGCAGCCTCTACGGCGGGGCCAACAAGAAGCCCAAGACCCGACCGCCCGTGATGCGCGAGGCCCTCACAGCCAGCGAGGGCCTGAAAATCCCCGCCCCGGACGCCGAGGAGGCGCTGATCCAGCGCATCGCGGGCCCGGACTGCGGCTGGGACGGGCTCGCGTCGCTGGAGCAGCGCAGCTTCCAGTCGCCGGACGCGCGGTTCGTGGAAGACCTGCTCCCGCTGCCGGTGCTACTGCGCACGAAGCGGTCCAAACGCTGCAAGTCGTGCAAGCACATCCTGGTGAAACCGGAGCTGAAGCCGCAGTCCACGCGGTTCCGCATCCGCCTCATCGCCCTCAGCTACATCCCGCTGCCGACGTTACGGCCGCTGAATCCCGGCCCGCACGCGGCCGCCGTCCTACCGACCCCGGCCGGTTCCACAGCCCCTACCACCAGCACCAGCACGACCCTCACAAACCTGGACGCCCTGTCCCCGCTACGCCCCATCCAGCTGCTCCTCACCCTGAAGAATCACATGTTCGATCCCGTCCGCGTCACTCTGGCCACGCCGTCCGTCACCCCAGGCCGCGTGGCTTCCAAGGTCACCATTCTGTGTCCGCAGTTCGACATCGGCGCCAACAGTGACGTGTGGGACGAGGCCCTGCAGGGCGCCGCAGCGGCAACCCCTGCCCCCGGCACTGCCACTGCCACGGCCACGGCCACCACCACCCCTAGCACAGACCCGCGAGGTTCCCGATCCGGCGGGCTCGGTGTGTACGAGAAAGTCGCGGAGGCGGGCAAAGTGTGGGACAAGGGGCGGAATTGGACCACCGTGGTATTGGAGGTGGTACCGGGAACGTTGCCGGGCGGAGTGAGGCCGTCCAAGACGAAGAAATATCCCGTCCATGATAATGAGCCTGACACCACCACCACCAACACTAACAAGAACAATAACAATAACAAGAAGAAAGCCCACAATGCTAGTGATAGCGATAACGATGATGATGAAGACGATAACGACTCCGACAGCAGCGCAGATCTTCCCGCGCTGGACTGGACCGGCCAGGCAGACGACCCGGGACAGAAGCTCCAGCCGGACGAGGATGTATTGGAGATCCCGGTGTTCGTGCATATGGAGTGGGATTCCGAGAATCAGATTGATAATGAGCAGGCGGTTGGGAGGTCCAGCGGGGATACAGTTAAGAGGGAGTTGGCGTATTGGATGGTTTTGGGGGTGGGGAGGATTGTGCAGTAGTTACTGTAGTTGGTAGTATAGAGTGTGTTTGTATTTGGGGGGGAGGGATGTGATGTGATACCTATTAAACGTACATATTGTTTACTACCTAGGTACCCACATATATATATACCTGCTTGTATACGGAGAGTACTGCTTACTCCCTCCCAGGCATCTAATAGGTAGATATTCGGTTGGTGTAAGGTATACCGAGCAGTATTTATTCCCAGCTATCAATCAATAGTACTATGTATCACAAGTAACATCCCCTACAAGTTAACCCAAACCCAGACTACATCCATCCATCCATCTGATGTCGAATATTGAATACTATTGAATACTCCCATACAAACCAATCCATCCACCCCATCGTATACGTAAAACTTCTTAAAAAGAAAAGAGAAAAAGGTATTTGTTCTCGTTACATTTTTTGGTTTCCCCTAGATTCTAGATAGATCCTAGATAGATTCTAGATCCTAGATCCTAGATCCCTACTACCGACAGCCATGACCAGATCAACCCTCCCTCCCTACTTCCCTGCTCTGCTTGTCCGCGGACTCATGTCCCCCAAAATGACCGACTGACTGACTGATGACCGACATCCCGACCCGAACCTCACTGTTATCAAACCAACCACAGCACAGCACAGCACAGCGCATGGCATGGGTAACGGGATGGTCATCACATCACATCACATCACATCACATCACTCATCTTGACATCATGGCAGGTAAAAAAAAAAAAAATGACCTGACCATGGGGGAAGGGGGGGCAGAAACCAAACCAAGCAGACAGACAGACAGACAGACAGACAGACAGACAGACATAAAAGACATGGGAAGTGAAGATTTGTAAAAAAAAAATTGGATTAGAAAAGTAAGGGGGAAATTTCAAATCAAATTTTTTTTTTTAATCTTCAAGATCAAGATCAACAGCACATCACATCACAACCAGAACCACATCACATCCACATCCACATCACAATCATCATAACGTCTCTCCTCCCCTTCCCCTCCCCCTCCCCTACCTTACTCACTCACTCACACAGAGAAGAAAAAAAAAGTCAATATGTAGGTAGTTAGGTAGGTAGGCAGAAGAAGAGGAAGAAGGAGAAGAAGAAGAAGTAATCCATGTTATGAAGAAGGAAGCTAGATCTAGATGACAAGGATCTAGTAATCAGCAGCGCCACCCTGAGGGAAATCAAAGACGACAGCACGGCCCGTCAACCGACGGTAGACCTCGCCGTAGGCGTCGAGACGGTGGTCGACACCGCCGCGCTCCTTCTCATCGAGGATGACCTTGAGGGTCTTGGAGCCGTCCTCCTTGGTGCGGGTGCGCTTGCCGACGATCTCGACGGGGTAGACGAGGTCGGAGAGGATGGCGTCGTGGACGGCAGTCAGGGTGCGGGAACGGGGGCGCTTCTGCTTCTGGTTGGAGCGGGAGGTCGCGGAGCGCTTGGGGCGGGGCAGGATGCGGCGCTGGGCCACGAAGAGGACGTGGCGGTCCGAGAACTTCTTCTCGAGCTCACGGGTCAGGCTGTTGTTTTTTTTTCTTGTCAGTATTCTTTTATCCTATTCTATTCTTCTGTGTTGTGGTTCTGGGTAATTGGTGGTGGTGGTGGTTGTGGGTGTAGTGTGGTGTAGTCTGTGGGGTTGTTTGTGGGTTTGTGCGTGGTGTCCGGGGAATGCAGAATGAAAGAATCAATCAATCAATCAGGAGTAAATGCTGGAGGTCGTACCGCTGCTGGATCTTGTGGAAGCTCTGGAGGAGAGGGACAGGCACGAAGATGATGACGGCCTTCTTGCCGTGGCCGACCTCGACCTGGAGAAGAAGAAAAAAAAATGTGTCAATATCAAAATCGTATCGAAAAAAAAAATTGCGCATGCAGCATAGCAGTGTAGCAGATCAAGATCGATGTTTGTCTCTTCCCGTTGCTTCTCTTTCTCTTCTCTCATTCAATCCATTCCCCATATCCAATTGAACTTTCAACAAGTAAAATACCCCCAGTCCGGCGTCCGCCGTGTTTATATTTCCCAGACTTGATTCGATCGATTCCCCTCGCACAACATGTCCCAATCTGCTTTGCTCTGCTATGCTCTGCTCTGCTCCGCTCTGCAACAAACAAAGAAGAAGAGAAAAAGGCATCTTACCTCACGGGCAGAGACAAACTGCAGGGGCCGAAGGGTGGCCTTCAGGTCCTGTGTGTTGCTCTCGAGGTCGAACAGAGCACCGGCGATCGCGGTCTCCAGCTCGGAGGGGTTCTGCCTCGACGGCGAGTTAACGGCGATCTTGTTGATAGCAGCCATGATTGCAGACGAGCGACGGGTAGCTGGCTGTGCTGCGGGATGCTGCCTTCTGTCGTGAGGTGGTTGTCGAGGTTGGTGGTTGGACGGAGATCACACAACTGAACTGAACGAACCTCCTCCAATTTGCGCGGCCGTCGGCTGTGGGATCGGAGGCTCGGCGCCTCGCTTAGCCCGCCGTCGCCTAGGCCCCTTCGGGTCTAGTTAGGGGTGGCTTGGTCCCGTGACTGCCCTGCCCTCGGCCCGCGTATCTCTATCAACTACGGAGTACTACTTACTATACTGGAGAAATGATACTAGGTACGTGAATCTACTACGGCTCTATCGCTGGGTGTGTGGATGTTCTCAGAATTCTTATACCTCGGCTCTCCTCTGTACAACCTGCCAACCGCCATTACCCTCACAGCCTCCCCCCCCAAGCCAGTAAAAAACATCCGTAATCGCGCAATATCAGCACAGCACAACACAACGCAACAAACTCTCGAGACGCCAGAAATGATAGCTCAAGCCGCGAATCAATCTCATACCGGCGGCTGTTCCACCGCCGTAGACCCGACTGTGTAATCAACTTGATATTGTATCGAACAATTAAGGTAAAAAGAAAAAAAGAAAAAAAGAAAAAAACGCATGCACAATCAAAGGCCATAACGCGCTGCAAAACAATCCGAAACTAGCAGGCACACCCTTCCTTCGCCGTCGCAGGCCCGCGCTCCCCCAGGTTGACTCGCGAGTCATCCGCCGGACGCCCACTGCCCAGGCTCGTCTGGCCCGTGCCCGCCCCAGCGCCGCGGCCACTCTTCAGGCTGCTCTCCGGGATCGCGTTCGCAATCGCAGTAAACACATCCACGACGTTCACCCCGGTCTTGGCACTGGTCTCGAAAAACAGCAGGCCCTCTTCCTCCGCGTAGCTGCTGGCCTCCCGCGTCGGAACCTTGCGGGCATCCCCAGAGGCCACATCCTGCTCCTCCTGGTTCTCCCCCGCAGCCTCCTCGCCGTCGGCCGCAGACTCGCCGTCCGCCTCCGCGGGCGCCTCCCCGGCCGTGTCGATCCCGTCGTTGGTCAAGTCCAGCTTATTGCCCACCAGGGCGATCACGATCCCGGGGCTGGCCTGTCGCTGGAGCTCGGCGACCCAGTGCTTCGCCTTGGTGAGAGAGGACGGCTTGGTGACATCGTAGACCACCAGCGCCGCCTGGGCGTTACGGTAGTACATGGGAGCGAGCGAGGCGAACCGCTCCTGGCCCGCGGTATCCCAGATTTCGAACTTGATCGTGCGCGTCGGCAGGGAACATTTTTGGGTAAGGAAGGCAGCTGCACCGGAAGACCCATGACATCAGCATCGGAGATCCGGTCACATTCGGGAAACAGGCGGACGGCCGGAATGCGTGCCCCCCGGAGAGCGAGAGGGGGACGCATCCGTCATCGCCACACGCTCGGATGCTTACCTCCAATGGTCGGCTCTTTGTTCTCTTGGAAATCGTTGTTGACAAATCGCAACACCAGCGATGACTGTGCGGTCGTTGTCAGTTCCTCTGGTTACGCATGTCCCACCGGAGGCCCGGAGAGGAGCAGGGAGCAGAATGAAACTGCCGAGGTCGTCCGTACCTTGCCCACAGCGGCTTCGCCCAAAAGTACCAGCTTGACGCTGCTACTCGGCTTGGGAGTATTTGTGCTAGTTGATTCAGACATGGCTGGTGAGCCCAACGGTACGATCACGGTCCGTGATCAGGGTCAGGTCAGGTCGTCTTGCAGAAGGCCGGACGCCAGCGGGGATTATCAATCCGGGCGATGATTTCAGCTCGCGAGCGGCGGCTCAGGCCGGTATGGTGCGGTCGGGGGGGTGGGAGGGGAAGGGCGATACAGAGGGCAATGCTCGGGAGGTAGCCTAAACGACGACGTAAGCAGAGAAACACGAGAGACTCGTGGAGAGGGGTCCGGGTTTTCGAGCAGGGGTAGAGGGAGGGAGGGGGGAAGCTGGAGAGAAAAACGAGCAAATGAGAGGGATGGATCGTACGCACCGGGAGCGAGAGAGGAAATGGCGGTGGACAGAGAAAGAGAGAGATGCGGATGAGGGGGGGGGGAGAGACGAGACAGAGAGGATGCTCAGGCGATAGATACCCAGTGAGGCGGAGGAGGAGGTGAAGTAGATGATGGCACCAGGCCCAAGGGGGTTTAGCGCGGCCAGGACCGGGGGTGGGAGACGGTCACGGGACGTTCCCGCCTTCGTGGTTGAACGAAGCGAAAGTTCCCCGTCCGGAAGGAACGGTCGAGGTGCTGCTGCTGCCGGATGGGGTACTGGCTACTTGCTCTGTACCCAATGGCCTCATACTACGGGCTAGTAGCTCCTACCTAAGTCAATTAGGTACCTGACAGTCAGTCATGTACTCTCCCGACGTCGGGAGCTGGTCCTAATTCCAACCCGTCTCTGTGGCTTTGCGGGTACGGCGGAGAGGCACAGCAATGACACAGCAATGGACTCCAGAATGCCCCATCAATCTATCCGGTATGTAGGTATGTGCCCCGTACATAGGCACTAGATAGGTGGTGGTCTTCCGTGACACCTCCTGTCGATACCCATCAACCGGTCCCAGCGCAGCAGCAAGAAACCAGACCCCGAAACAGTGGTGTGGGAAACACTAGCAGGCAGACAGGCAGACAGACCGACAGACAGACAGACAGACAGACAGACAGACAGACAGACAGACAGGCAGGCAGGCCGTCTAGTCTGTCTGTCTCTGTTAGGCCTCACCATCCCTCGCGCGCACAATCCAATCGACAGATCACCTTCGATAGAACACTCCAAAACACCTCGAGAAAATCATTCTCTGGCCGTGATTGGCAAGGCAAGCGATCTGGCCCAACTCGACCGGGGTTCCCACGGGCTAAGGACTCGCGGTGTCGCTGTGTAGACTGTATGTATGTAGAGGGCACGGGGAAACAGAAACAGCAACAACAACAACAGCAGCAGCAGCAGCAGCAGCAACAAAACAACAACAAAGACCGACAGCATGCCATGGCGTCTGAGCATGACGTGCCAATGGGCCCCCAACGGCCCATGATCGCCGCCAGACAGGTGGAAGGCCCTCCCCAATGGCATCGGGTCGTTGTCACGGAGCCAACGTTGCACGACATGATTTGTGCAGACCCGGTGGCTGCCCAAAAAAAGAAGCACATGCACGCCGTTCGAACTTCCTGATTCTCGACCAGGATCCACCCAGATAATGCGATGCCCCGGCAAATCACATTGGTCCCCGGCTGTGGGCACCCGTCAAACAACCCTGAAGACAATCACTGTTAGATGTCATCCGCGCTGGCTCCCTTCCCTAGTATTCCAATCCGGCCCTCTCCCAGCGAGGTTAACCTCTGCTTTTTTGTGGGCCCTTTTCCCCGAGGGAGGGCTCGGTCTTCGTCCCAGCCTCGAAAAAAAAAAATAAATAAATATGACAGCAATAAAAAAGATTTTGGAGGTTAAATAGGTGCTTTGTTTTTGGTGGCCAGTATTGTACACATACTCATACGCAAACACCTACACAAACGAACAGCACCAAAAAAAAAATCAACTCGAAGATTCCAGATTCAAGCGCAGATAGATGTAGATGTATTAAAGAGCAACACGATGGCTGAAAACAACTGTAGTGATGAGAAACAGAAAACAAATCGGGTAAATAAAAAAAAGAGGTAATTGACCGCGAGGTCGGAAATTCTAGTCTGTCTTGGTATCAATCCATGTATCCCCAAAAAAAGCAAAACCCCATCCGTCTATGCCAAACGCCGGTATTAAAGCAGACCAAAGAAAAAGCAACACATCTCGACAAATCACTTTTGAGGGCACAGATCGTGGACCTGCGCTGGTTCGTGTCGGCGGATTAAAGGTGTAGTATGATGTATGGTGGTAGGAGCAAAAGTGTCGATCAGAAGGAAAGGTGGTGGTGGCCGTGTCGTTCCATGATAAAACGCGACGGCGGAAACAGCGTGATTAGAAAAGATATAAGAAACCGAAACCCGATGTGGTGGCCAAGGATCACCGTGAGGACGCCAGGAAATAGTAGCAGTAGTAGTGGTAATGGTGGTAGTGGTACAGGGAACTATGGCTCGCCGTTAGTGATGCAGTCAGGCACCGGGCCGCGGCGCGCAGGCAACTTACAAGCTCGACTCATAGCAGTCACGTCAAACTCCAGGAGCCATGCGCCAGTTGCAAGTCACAAATAACTTTTCGCTCGAGAGAACAGCAGAACAGCAGCATGTGGTTGGCAGAGGTGTCCGGGGGTTTATTTGGGCGGCGGCGGCGGCGCACCCGGCTTCTTCACCCCGGTGGTATCGTAAGCTCCGCGTCCCATGTTGAAGGCCGACAGATCTCGAAGGATCATCTCAGACTCTGAGCGGATGGCCATTGTTAGAGCGGTGGTCTTGGAGGGAGGATGTGGAGCGAAGTGGAGGGGAGTTGGAGTTGGGAGAGCTGGAGGATGGAAGATGGAAGATGGAAGATGGAAGATGGAAGACGGACGATGGAAGGTGGCAGGTAGAAGTAGATGGATAGATGGAGTGGGGGAGGGTGTTTGAAGGAAATGTTTCAAGCATGAAGGAGTACTCACAGGAAGATTAAATAAACGACAGGGCGACGCCCCAAAAGAAAATATTAATAAATAAAAGGAGACTGTGCGTCCTGGTTGATAGATCGTGTGTAGCGAGTCTCGCGAGGCGAGGTACCCAACAATATTCCCGGCAAGAAGAGGCGGTAACGATGCAGACGAGACGACAGATGCTGCAGCTGCAGGTGAGATCGGAAGTGCGATCCTTATTAAGGAGCACAAGTCTGACGCTGGGTGGACGAGCAGACAGGGTGATGTAGCGGCGCCAGTAGATCTGTAGGGCAGGAATGCGACGTCGAGGGTACCAAGAAATTGGCTTGGAAGAATGAGGAAGGGCGAGGGTCCCTCAAACCCAAGTCGACAGGTCGCTTTTTATTTTGTTTTGCAATAATCAGGCGCTCCTGCGGTTCTTTCCGGGGCGGTCGTTCGAGGATGTTGACTTTCGTTTTCCCCTTTCGATCTTTCCAGATCGAACGTCGTCGTTGCTTCTGGCCCTGTAGCAAACCGGCGGGCAAAGTACGCAGACGTGCAGGGCGGTACTATTGGGAGATCAAGCGCGATCTGATCAAGAACCAGAGACCAAGGACACGGAGGCGACTAATGCAGCCCGCAAGGGAGGTGATCCTGGAAAGGAGTGCCACGGAAGTGAGCCCGTCGAATCCGGTAAAATCAAATGAGAAAAAGAAAACACGCCCGAGTGGACGTATCGCAAGGGAGGATGGAACGCGGGCCTGGTAACGTCACGGGCGAGGAGGAGGATCGGGAATAGAGCCGAGGGCGAGGGAATGGGCGCAAGTACGTAGGGAGGAGCAGCAGCAGGTAGGTAGGTAGGTAGGTAGGTAGGAGAGGAGCAGGCAGGGTGAGTTTAATCGGATTAAGGAATGGGTGGATGAAGAATTTAGTAGCCAGATGGTTGAAGGGGGCCCATCACAGTAGATATATACTAGTGACTAGGCCTTTTCTTCTTCAACTGACTAGATAGATACTTGGGGACCTACGATTTTACCTTACTCAGTACACTCTCACACGGTCTTGGGTTTTTTTTATTTTTTATTTTTTTTGGGGGGGGGGGTTTATTTTCAAGATTGGGGTTGATCTGACCAAGCAGTAAACAGTAAACACAGAAAGGAACCTAAAGTTTGGAAGTTTAAAATTAAAATTAAAAAAAAAAAAAGGCAATAAGGAATTAACCCAAACTCGGCAGGGTAGATAAAAAAGAAGGGAAATGAAAAAACCGATGACAGGCTGCTCTAGACAGTGCAATACCAACACTGAAATTCGAGAAAGAAAACCAAAACGCAATTACGGCATGGATGGCCCAGCGAGGAGGGTAATAATAGTAATCGCAAAGCGAGCATAGCTACGGAGTAGTAGCTAGCTACCATACTAGCTAGGCTAGGCGGCTCTCCCTCCCGTCCCGAAGGTAAGGTACCAGACGTAGTACGCGAAAGCGGTGGGTGCGATCCATTATTTCCCCCTTTCTTTTCGCCTTCTTAGGGATTTCTGGCCCCAGTCGCCAAACGTCGTGGTCCTGACGGCTCGGTCGGTCCTCACCCAGTCAACACTCTAGACGCATCCGATGGGAGACCGTATAGCTGAGGCTGGTCTTTCCCCTGCTTCTTTGTCTGAGTGGCCTCCTGGTGGCCTCCGGTCGCTCAATGACTTCCTCTCGGCCACTGGGAAACCTCCCGACGAGGGCTGATCCCAGACACGGGTTCGTCTCGGAAATTGTAGGGAAAACCACAGGATGAGCTCGTCCGGTCCGTTACGGAGGTGACCTACCTAGACGGGTTCTGAAAAGACAGAAAGAGAGAGGGGGGGGGGAAAAAAAGCAAGAAAGAAAGAAAAGGTCGCTTTGCCTTACCCAACGGGCCTAGGGAGGAGGGACCGACTGGTTTGTTCTGGAAACTAGCCTCAATCACCAACGACCAGCTCAAACCGGAAAAAGGAAGGAAAAAGGAAATCAACTGGAGCTGGGAAGAAGCTAGATAGGAACCGACTTCTCGGACACGACGGGCAAGTTGGGTGCAGGGAGGTGGGGAAAACCGCCGCTCACAGGATCCCGCGGATGGATCCGAATCCAGCACCACTGGATCCGCTGGGGCTTGTCTTGATGCTCGCTCGCGTGGTGTTGGGGAATTGAGGGAAGGACCAAGAGTCAGGGGCCCCTGGAAGGGGACGGGGAGCGTGTCTTCCGGAAAACCCTACCTGGTTGGTATCTACCGACCGTATTCTCTGCTCCCCGTGTGCGACCTCAGCCAGATGTTTTGGCCTCTGTCTCTCATACTCGTTCCTCCCACGCATTGCTCAATGAAACCTGGGTTCTCAATTCCGGGCTGGGCCTGGTCTATCTCTTTTTCTGCGAGTGGTGGCGGCGAGAGAGCTACCCTGGTCGGGACCCAGTATTACTAGGAGGTACAGTACTATCCGGAAAGTGGCTAAGTAGTTCCCCCCAACACGGCTAGACACCTTGGAGTACCTGCATAGCCGCTCCAACTTAGTACGACTTACTTTCCTCTCTATCTCTCTATCTCTACTGCGTCCGATCGAGAGGATCGAACTCTGATCGCGCAAACAAGGGTAGCCAGGCGTCGGCATGTCACTTTGCCATCCGGGATCTCCTCCCCAGTACTCCGTACCTAGGTATGTTTCCGTTCTTTCCGTACTTTCTGTCCTTTGTTTGGGATGTCCTGCTCAACCCTCTCTCCCTACCTACCAAGTGGACAGCCTCCGGGGATACGGAGGACCAGGGCCCCTCCAGCAGGGCAGAACCAATCCAGGAGCTTTCCGCCCGGTAGTTACATGGTCGATAGATAGTAGTCTCGGGAGACTATCGCGACCAAGATCATACTGTTGATTGATTCGATGGCTCACTGGCTAGTGGCAGCTCCCTCGGCCCACCCTTCGCCTGGTTGATTCATCGCCGCGACAGAGAGATTAAGCCGCGTTTCTACTAACTACCCTGAGGTCTCATATTTAAATTCTCTCTCTTGTCTGTTTGCTTACTTCTCCCATAGATAGAGAGTCTGAACATAATCCACATCACATCCTCAACCCTCACTCGGTCCTCACTCAGTTCGCAGTCCCTCTCTCTCCACCGGTCGGTAACATCGACAGGCTGAATGGTTCAATGGTGAAAGGGGCAGTGGGGCACCTAATAATGATCAATGATCCGGCAAATATCCACCGCTACCCGCCTCCGTTACGTAGGATTGATTATGTGCGACCTGCATTCTTCTCGCGCGCTTCTAGTCCTTCTAGCGCCTCTCGCCCTGTCTGTAGTGTTAGTGTTAGTGTTCGGTCACATTGTTCCTGACCTTTCTCCAGCAAGTTCGCGCACGCTTCCCGTCCGTCCTACGATCGCAGCCTACCCCCAGTCTGGTAAATGATAGGTTGGGTCCGGTCCAATTCCAATCCCAATCCCATGGCTCCGAAGTTCTTCTCCTCCTCCTCCCCCCCGACGGGACTCCAGCCCTGTGCGGGTTTGGTTCCTGGGGGTGACATCTCTAGACACCACCTTACTATGTATGGACAGTGAACAGTGGGCCTATGGAGGTAAGGTCGGTAGTTTAGGTACCTGAAAGTACAAATTACTGGTCGCGTACGAGTCGTATACCAGAGGTACCTACTCCGTACTCCGTACGTACCTAGTAGTCAGGCCTAAATTACTTCAGACTCCACCCTACCTACCTACATACGGAGTCCTCACCCACTCACTATGTCTCCGTACCTACATCATTCTTACACTGCTATTCCTGACATTCGCCACAATGGGGCGAAGCAAGCGAGACGAGACGAATGTACCCCATACCTATTTACT